CACCCTCCTCTTCTTCGCTAGGACCTGCATTTATGTTCGCAGCTGTTGCTTCGTGTTTTATTTCATCACTACAAGCATGCTGCGCTCGCAAGTCTCCCTGCGCACCATTTTATATCCTTACATTTCTGCTCTTCATATTAAGGGTTTTCACCTGGTCCCAGTGCGCTCATTCTCATTAACGAAACTCATGACCTTGTCAAAGATGCAGGTCTTCATGTGGAGTAGCCCATGCAACGTGATCTTCAACCTAACATTTGGATGTCGTCCTTGGTCTCCGAATAGTCTATCAACGTATGTTTGGATAGCGCAGACACAATGACTCGCTCTAAAATGATAACAGACCTATAGGCTACCTGTTACTAAAAGTATTTATGAATCGAACAAAAAACAACCGTTGCGCTTTGACTACTGCAGAGGACTCTTACCACTCATGCGGGACCTTCTTAGCTGTGCATAATCTTGCACTTGCCGATATATTCGGATAGTTTCTTTCTACCATAACTGAGCTAACTTTGCTCCAGGATAAAAACTTGGCATGACAAAGCCAGAACAACCAACCATGTCTCAACCGGTATCTTATCATCATCCCCCATAAACTTTCTCTAACCGCGGGGAATCACCACAAGCCCTTGCGGCCTTGCCGCATCAGACATAGTCGCGATATTACGTCACTAGTCCCACTAGAAATATTCGGGTCTCGAACCTTTCCCCTCTTTTTCTCCTGAATCCGACAGGTACAGATATGCCGAGGGCGACAAGATACACATCCACCCAGCGACTCTTGAACTCTCAAAATGTCATCTATAAGCGGACAGGTTCAGGCACATGCTAGGAAGAGAGTTACGCTGGCATGCAATGGCTGCCGGGCTAAAAGGACCAAGGTAATGAATGGATACCCAAAATCTACTACCCAAGGCCTCTTAATGATCAGCAATTTCTCGTCTTGCTACCTTCTCCTCTAACACTTTGATTCTGGCATAGTGCGATGGAAGTCAGCCCAAATGCAGTGCTTGCAATTATCGTCAACAGAAGTGCGAGTATACACAAGTTGAGAGTAAGAGAAAGTGAGTCTCATTCAACCTCTGCGTGGTATCCATGACTGACGGAGGTTTAGACGTCATAGCAATGCGTACATCATGGCTTTAGAAGCACGCGTTGCGAGTCTTGAGAAAATGCTAGCCATTGCTTTGCAACGGCCTGCTGCCAACAATTGTAACTGCAACGGTAAAGCCACGGCCACTATCGTTCTGCCAGATCCCGCATTCATTACTGCACCATTTGGTGAGGAAGAGGATGAAAAATCAGTCGATGAGCTTGCGGATACGCTTGGATGCTTTACTCTGGGAGATACTGGAGAGTTGCGGTTCTTTGGAGCGTCCAGCAACTTCAACATTATTCAGAATCCTTCTCTGAAAGTTGCATCTTCGGTTGAGGCACGAAACTTGGGTATCGCCGCAGCCCGACAAATGCCAGACTTCTTTGAGCCCACAAATGAACTTCGGGACCATCTACTTGGCTTGTATTGGCGATGGCAAAATTCATGGCAGTACATTGTGCCTCGGGAGTCTTTCGTCCTTGATCTCTACGTCGAAAAATCTGGACGCTTCTGCACCCCTCTCCTCCTCACAGCCATACTTGCTCTTGCGTCTCGTTACTCCTCACATCTTGAACTACGAACGGACCCTACCGATCCGAATACCGCGGGGGAAGCCTTTGCAGCTCAGGCTAAAACAATGCTCCATTGTGAATACGAAGCCCCAACAACGTCGACCGTCCAAGCCACAGCGTTACTCGGACTGTTCTGGGCTTCTGTGGATAATGAAGGCCTCGGGTTCATGTATATCGGCATGGCGTCCCGCATGGCGATGAACTTGGGACTACAGTCAGATTGTACATCTTTCGCATCAAAAGGCTTAATATCTGACAAAGATGTTGAGGCACGCAATGTGACTTTTTGGGGCATATATGTGCTTGATAAGTAAGTTGGACCCTTCAGACCGCAATACGAGATACTAAATTGAGTGATCCAAGACTATACTGTCTCGGAATGGGAAGGCCTGCTAGTATTCAGGAGTATAACATCACCACGACAAAACTGAAAACTCAGTTCTGTCCTGTTCCCTTCCTTTCTGAAGAACAGGAGAGGATATCTGCGCCTTTCCCCACTTCCCACATTACAGAAAATGCCATGTACATGTGTGAACTTCTAATCATCACATCCGAAGTAGTTGATCAATTGTAAAGAAAACATCAAATCCTGATAAAAGCATTTGGTATCTAGGCTAATCACTGGCAGGTATGCGCAGAGGTTCCCTTGGACCGGGAGAGAAAGAGAGGATCAAGTAATGAAAGCACACCTGCGATCAGTCAATTTTTTTGACGAACTCCCAAAGTCTCTCAAGATTTCCGAATCAAGCTTGCAATGTTCGCCACCATATGTATATCAGCTTCAGTGAGAAGAGTTCTTGGCCTGCTTCTTAAAATGTTGAAAGCTCACTGTTGATGATCTAGCCTACAGTACCACCATGCTATACTTCTACTGCATCGTTCATTCTTCAAGGCCCTTTATCCCGGCCAGAGTTCCTTCGAATACGACCCAGATGGGAAAGATATCCACTCGCGGTCTTGTAAAGATTCAGCAGTGAAGATTTCAAGGATTCTCCGAATTTACGGGAACAACTACAAAAACGTAAGCACCAAGCTTGTTTCCACCAATCTCAAACACAGGCTGATTCACTTTACTCTTTGTAGCAGTATCTTCCAATCTCTGCAGTGCATCCAGCCTTTACAGCAGCTATCATACACCTGCTAGATCTCAAGTCCACTGGATCTAGTACGCGAAGCGAGGCGAGACGATGTCTTTACATATGCATCAAAGCTCTTTACGAGATGAATACTAACTGGAACTGGGCCAACCGGTCCATTCGGGCTATCCAGTCGCTTGCTGACCAGTGGGAGGTTGACATATGGACATCCGGTCTGAGAGACGAGATTAGCGTAGAGAGTCAACAGCATTTTGAGAGGTATGAAGGTGGGCGTGGGCGTTTGTTGACGGGCTTTGGGCAAGAATCAACTGATGAGTTGGAGAAGTTGTTTCCCACAGAAACATTGGATGACCTTTTTAATGCTTGGACATATGAGCAGAATTCGACGAGCCTGGCTTTCAACTTCATAGATCAAAATTGATTACAAGTTGATATGGTCCACCGAGAGGCTGGAAAGCCGTAGGCTCTCGAGACATAATAGCTTAGCGATATGGGATGGTTCCGTCCATGGGTAATAAGGAGCATGCGTCACATTTAATACACGTCTGGATTTCAAGAAGTTTTACAACTGTATGTATTGAGGTTGAGATGTAGTGCTAGGACAACTGCAGCCTGACGATGTATACTACTAATATATGTCGGCGCCTATGTACTCCCCTCGAAAACCCAATTCATCCTCGGTTGTAGCAGCGAGATGTGGGGAGCAGGAGATAAGGACGTACTGGTATAATATCACAGACTAAAGGTCTCATCGGTCAGAGTGATCGTATCACGCGACCCAGGGACTCGTGTTTACGCATGCTCTAACTTGGTTCTCCCTCGCAAACCACAGGTTGTAAGCCGCCCTATACGATTCGCGAATATAACATAAAGACTAACTCAGGATGGTCAAGAACCCGGCTATTATGCATCCGGATTAGTACGATACTGAGTGCCGAGTATTTCCTAGTGGATTGGAGGAATGACTCCGCAAGGCATAATAAAACAGAGGTGTAATAATATAAACTGCAACTAGCTGGATTATATAAATATTTATTCATTTTGTAAACACTATTTTGCCTATATCTAGGCCCATAGAACTCCTTCATACTAATTCAGCAAGGAAAGTCCTTTAATAACTGGTAGCAATAGCATGAAAACCTCGCCGAGGTTTCGCTCTGCTACTGCTGGGGCTACCTTGTCGTCGTCGAGTCTGTGCTAGTGTCTTCGTCACCAGCCTTTTCCAGGTTTGCGGGTTACGCATTTGCCCTTCGCCTGGCCCGAACTGCCTCCAGGTCTTCGAGGTGTCGTTATCGCTGTCGCGGTGGCAGTGCCGGTCTCCCCAGCTATCCCTTCTCCTCTCGTCTCGTTCCCTGGGGTAATTAGATATATATTGTCTTTGATTTGTATAAAATCTGCTTAGCCCTACAACCGCTGATTTTTATTTTAGATGCGTCCGATTACGGAGGATACTTATCAAGGTCACCAGGAAGGCAATTTACAAAACATACGAGAGATGAAATCAATTCTTTTTTTTTAAAAAAAAAACAAAAAAAAACAAAGGATGGTCCCAGGAATACAAAGGTGAGGTAAAGTACTGGAATTGTGTAACCAGTTGACTTTGTTTGTGCCTTTACCCACGTTTTATGCATTCTCAAGGTGCTCGAACTTATCTCCCTCTACCTTGGCATTTCTTCCAGTTTCTAATCCGGTTAGTCTTGTTGGTATGAACTTATCTCGGACGTTCCCAGAGGCAAACAGCTCATCCATATCTTCAAGAGCGAGACCTGTGGTAGATGTGTCATTAGTACAGGTTATTTTGCCCTCCATTTGATGAGCAACTCACCCTTTGTCTCTGGGACAAAGAACCAGGCAAAAAGTGCCATGGTGAAGCAGAAGGAGCCGTAGAGGAAGTAGGTACCGAAACCATTCGTACCCAAAGTCGCAAACATAGACAATGTGCTCTTCGCTACGACGAAATTGAATAGCCACTGGCTAGCGGTAGCCATGCCCATTTGAAGAGCACGCATGCGTGCGGCGGGGATTTCCTATTTCACTATTTAGACAAAAAGAACCAGAAGTAAAGCGAAGGATTTAGTCTTACCGAACAATATGTCCATACCACAGGACCCCAACCAAACTGGTAGACGGCTGCAAAAATGTAAATAGCCACAATTGCGACATATCCGGCAGCGCCGTGAGGAGTTCCTTGTTGTGGAGGGCTATATCGGATAAAAAATCCGACGTAGAAAAGAGCCAAGCCCTGCGATAAACCCGAGAAATGAGTATTAGGTGAGGAGTAGGTTGGGTGTATGTGGTATAGTGTCATACCTGCACAATAGCCGTCCAAAGCAGACTCTTTCTCCGTCCAAGAGAATCAGTGACGAAAAGGATAAAAAAAGCGCAAGACACCATTTTCACAACCCCGTAGACGCCAGTGGCAAGTAAACCTGATTGCGAGGAGGACACCCCGATACTCTTGAAGATAGTAGGGCTGTAGTATGTCATGGCGTTGGTTCCTGTCAAATTGCTCCACATCATAAGTGTGATGCAAAGAAAGGTTCGCCGACGGTAAGATTTGACGGTAAAGGCCTCTTTTACCAATGTTAGACCGGAAGTGTTAGCTGCGAGCGCCCTCTCTTCCTCAAGCTGTGCCGAAATACTGTTCATCTCGTTCTGAATATACGGATGGTCTACAGGGAGGCTGCGCAATTTTGCGAGGACAATGAGGGCTTTCTCCGGGGTTTTCTGTGCCAGGAAACGTGGAGATTCATTTGCAAAAATCATACCAACAAATAAAATGATAGCGGGAAGTGCCTGAAGCGATAACGGGATGATGTACTGGGCGTGTCCTTTGACATGAAGGAGGCAGCCATAGTTGATCCAAAATGCAAGCTACAGTTAGGGGTTAGTGTGAAGATACTTGAAAGCAGACATTAAAAATTCACTTACAGTCAGTCCAGTGACGATGGAAAGCTGGTAGCAGCCCGTCAGGAGACCTCGGATGCCCCTCGGGGCATTCTCTGAGACGTAGAGTGGGTTGACGGTGGATGCGATTCCAATGGCAATACCTGTGACGAATCTATGATCCGGTGAGAGTCGACACAAAGACGCCCAGGGTCGAACTCACTCACCTTCCCACGTATAAAGATGCGATATGGCCATTGGCAGCAGCCTGTAGTGCTACGCCAATGAAGACTAGGATCGAGGCTGAGATAAGAGACAACCGTCGACCAATTTTATTTGCCAACCACATAGAGAAGATGCAGCCTGCGAATGCTCCAGCCTGTATCACAGACACAATGTTCGAAGACAGGTTTGCAATGGCAGTGCTAGATTTGTCAATGAGTCCATATTTTCTAAGAACAGGGTGAGAAATAGTCGTGGAAGACGGGCCGTAAAGGTGGATTTCTTACTCTTTGAAGGTATCCATAGTGAGAACGCCTCCAATAATGCCCATGTCCATTCCAAACAGGAGCGCTCCCCCGCATGCCTGAAGTATGCGCTGTTGTAAGCACATGTGTAAGTTGAACGTCAGACCCAGCGCTACTAACCACCAAACTGACTAGGACGGTCCTCAGGTTATAGATCTCTGGAGGGTCCGTCTTGATCGACTCATTGCGAACAATCTTTTGTAGAAACATGATGAAGGGCGTAGCTTGTGGATAGAGAACAGGCAAAGAACTATCCGATGCATGTTTTCGTAAAAGACTGGATCCTGTATTGCGTAGACAGTACATATACTCGACGCTACTCGACGGATTTTAGCTTCACGGCAATAGACGGCGTGGCTCATCAGCTGAGTCGAGTCATACGTACTTAGTACCAAGAAGCTGTCCGCCCACCTGCTTGGGCGTGGGTGGTCTCAAAACCCGCCCACCCCACAGTCTTGCTTGGCTCAACTTCCCCGCAGGTGGTGTTCTGAGGGAGCCAGGGAAGTGGAGATGGGGAAGTGGGCCACTATGTTTACGGGAAATGGCTGCAGACGGACAAATGACGTACTAGGTAACGCGAACGGGAGTCAAGAAGCTCGGCAGGACTATGATTCATCGGGATTTAATTTCCATCTTTTAGAAATGAAAACCATACCCTGGCCCTTTATAATACATGTCGTATTATTGAGGATATCTGGTAGTCCATGCAGCCTTGGCTAGACCAAACAGCTGGATGGTGGTGCCGTAATTTGGCGCACCCTGTGCCTTTGGCAGCCAAACACGGGGGTCTTCGACTCTACGTTTGCAGCAGTCTCTTAACATAGTCATAAATACGGTCGCATGGCTAAAATAAATTCTTGACTACATGTTATGAGACTCATCCGTGATGCGGTTGAAACATTGACCAATTTCGTAAGGCACAAGGTTTCAATTTATTCCAACATATTCCACCATGATAATTCTGCACTCTCGACACGTGTTGGTGATGGTATTGATAATTCAACCTAAGGAGAGATTCATAGTCCATCCAAGGGCCGATATACCTTCATCCAGCGCTATAAAATGATTAGACTGGAGCTCCATAAATGATTTCATGAAATCTTACCATGTCATATGGCTTTTCTGGGTCAACGAATCTCACATCAGTTGCGAGACGGATCTTGTCGTTGGGATCCCTATTTTTGCAACTGGCGTGAACCATGTAGGGGTTGTGAAAGATGACATCACCTGCCTCATATTCTGCAATAAGCCACTTTCTATGGGCTTCCTGACCATAAGCCACAGTATCTCTACTGAGAAATCCGCCATCATTCATGTTCTTGTTGAACGCACTGATGCGCTCCTCGTCAGTGAGGTTGTGTGAATGCTTGGTGAAGTCGTCCTCGGTCTTTTTACCAATGTCTGATGAATCTTGGAGGTACATCAGGCCTCCAGCTTCCAGAGACACATCACCGATGGGAACCCACGCCGTAATACTTGTAGGTGGACCAGCACGAAGGTACATTTGGTCGAAGTGGACTGGTGTGAGCTCGCTATTTGGAACGAAGGCGCGAAACATGGTGCGCTGGAGCATGTGAGGATTAGCCCAGCCAGTGAAGTAGCGCACGAAGTCCCGCAATTCCCTATTCTCACAAAAGTCGAGATAGAAAGGGGCTTCATGGGCGGAGACCATCAACTCGACATAACGGTCGCTGTCAGGGTCGTCTTTTAAGCCGAAGAGACGGCGCAAGTTTCCAGGGGGGAGATATTTTCTCGTATCGGCGCCGGAGAAAATTCCTTCGACAGGATCGGTACCATGCTTGAGGAGACCGCTGGGGGACATCCATGAGAAATAGGCACATCGGCATTCTAAGGAGACCTCTTTGGGGATACATCCTTTGACCTGCGTCATCGATTTTGGTCAGCCTGTCTGGAAAGAAAAGCCAAGGAAAACAAAGAGACGCAAGAACGTACGAAAAGATAGCCATCGCGCTCAAATCGCTCATGCATGACCTCAAGGGGAGTATCCTTAGAGGTGGGTTGGAGGTATCCGATTGACTCGGGGCTCATGGGTCCGTAGTTGGACTCGAGGTTTAGGGTCGCTGGGTCAGCGGGATAATAATTGCCATAGTTGTCCTTAGGAATCTCCTTGGTATTCTCCAGCTTATTAGCCGAAGACAGGGCGGGGGATTCCAATGGTGGTGACTCGAGACGACTGGGAGCCATGTTGAGTAGTCTCTGTGGTTTGGAAGATGATTGCTTTGGGCCGATGACCAGGTGTGGTAGATGAGGTGATGTAATCAAAGACTGTATTCAAGATTCAAACAATGAATAAATGACGGAGTGCGAAATAGGAGAGATGCTCGAGGTCTGCCTGCGACTGTTTAAATACGCTGGTAATCTGAAGCCAAGTATGTGCGGGTTGAAGTGGACCGGCATCAATTCGACCGCTTAGATCCGCTACAAGTCGACGAATCAATCCGGAAGAATTGACTAGATGAAGGTATTCTTAGTGGTGTCGGGTGATTCTGATTCACCCAATGTTCCCATCCGCCCGACATGTTGTGGCCATGGGCACTTGTAGAAGACGCCGTCTACAGCCGTCTATTGCCCTCTTCCCTCTGAGTGGTATCCGCATCGTCCATTGTAATGCTGGTATGGATCCGTTCGGTCTTATGCTGCGGGCGGTCAGGTGCTTGTATCCCCATCTACAGCCGTCTATTGCCTGAGTTAGTTGTACTGTGAGTGGGGAAACATCCAACCTGCTAACCAGTCCGAACTATCACCCCGCAACAGATTCATACTCCACATGTCTGGACGGAGTTTACGCCGTCACCTTCGATCTCGCATGACATCGCCTCGTCCATGACAAATCCTCTGAATTTCCGATTACTTTCCCCGCTTGACCCGAGGCTGGAAGCTGGAAGCTGGAAGCCTTATAGACCAACCAACGGTCGGCTATGAAGCATGACCAAAGGCAATGGCTTGCGGCAGTACCGGGCGTGCGTCCGGTGCCGCTCTCGCAAGACGCGCTGTGATCTGTGGGTCGTCTCCTTGCCTTCAGTCTTGATTTGTGAGCCTGCAAGAACGGTTCCATCGCATTCCTTGTTTTATTGCTCGTGCTGATCTCCGTCGTGGATACTCGCTGGCTCAAATGTGTGTATTTTGCTGACTTTTTCGTGCCACTCGTAGACAGAGTCTCGGCGAACCAGGAAAACCCCCCTGTTCAAAGTGTGTCCGCGAAGGCGCTGAATGCATCCTGGCTGGCTCACGCCGAGGCGGTGACTTTTCCCACCTCCGTCGCGGGCAGCAGCAGAAAAAGAGACCCCGTCAAGATACGACTCCCTCCACGTCCTCAACCGATCACATATCACCGCGTCAAGCAAGAGCCGTAGAAGAACCCGTTCACGACAACCTCCAAAACCCATATGATGCTTTGCTGATACTCGCCCACACCGCTGGACAGTCTAGTGACAGCACCCATCCCGAAGGAACTGCTGGCGCTTTCAACCGTCAGGGCCACATAGACAATATCGATGTTTCCAGCGGCTTACGCATGACTTCTCCAACCATTGGTCTAAGCGTCGCCAACAGCCACTCACTGGGACGAGAGTTGAGCCAAATGAATGTTACAAAAATAACGGTTTATCCGCCTATTGAGAATGGAATAATCGATCCAGCGTTACTTATCGAGCTGTTACATCTGTACGAACTCTAAGCCCCGTATCTCACGAAAAGAGAATCGTTGACAAAATCTCGCAGATATGCAGAAAAATACCACCCCTTCTGTCCCATCGTCCCGGGGACAGTGTTGCGACCTGACCAGATATCGGGTACCATAGAGAATGAATCATTTCTCCTGACATCGGTCCTGGTGGTTGCTTCGAAAGACCGGCGCGATCTTGTAGATCTCCACAAATCCATCTGGACCTACATGCGGCAGCTCATTCTCGATGTTGTTTTGGGCATGACCAGCATCCGGAATGTCGGCTGTGTTGAAGGTCTCTTGTTGCTTGGCGAGTGGACCCTGCTGAATCAAGGCCACACAGACGATGGTGGTGAAGGCGCTGCATGGTCAATTCTGGGTCTCGCCGTGAGGTTAGCGTACCTGTTGCGCCTCGAGGACAGCTCCTTCAAAGGAGGTGATGGGGAAGTTGACGCCTCAATACAACGGGAGCGACTTGCTTGGACTTGTAAGCGTTGCGTTTCGCTCTATTTCGTCCGCAAACTAACGCATCACAGTCACCTACCTTTCTGACCGTCAAATATCCATCCGCATGGGACAGGCTTTCTGGTGTCGAGGTCCGGCCTTGTCAGCACGATTCACTGCCCACGATTTTCCAGCATTGCAACCCCGACATTCAGATGATGAAGATTTCGCTTCACTCATCCAGGCTCAGGTGGAATTGACAACCCTGTTTGGAAATGCTCACGACATTCTCTTTGCATCAAGATCTCGGACTGCTGAGATTATGATGAGAGGAGACTACACGAAATACGTCGACGACACAAGCAAGGCCATGTATGCATGGAAACATGCATGGACTTCGTTAGCTGTGTCGCCTCATTTGAAGAGTTGCTTGACCTTAATGCAAGAGTATCTTCGACTCTATGTTAATGCCTTTGCTTTTCAGGCTGTTATTTATCGGGCTTCCTCCAAGAGTAGTTCCAACTCGGACTCCAATGACAAAGACAACCCTCAAACGGCCTTGGTCTTTCCAGACTCGACGATGGCAAGCCCCGATGCACGGAGTATTTATGAAGCCATAAATGCTGCCGAAACTCTAATAACAATCGTTGTCGAGGACATTGACCCAGTAAAACATCTGAGGTACATGCCGGCGCGTTTCTACTTGTGAGGAGTCCTCGGCGTCTCATGTTCCCTTCCATTGCGCTGACTGATACGAAGATACGAAATCCATTCTTCAGTCTTCCTGTATAAAGCTCATGCATCAGGTGCAATTTCTTCTGGACAGTATGCGCAAACTGCTTCGCTAATGCAGCGATTTACATCAGCCCTCAAATTGGCAGCCGTTGACGAAAATCACATCGCATCAAGGTATGCTAAGCTACTGGATAGATTGTGGTTTCGTAGACCAGAAACAACATTGGCGGCGGCCGGACGCCCAGAAAACATGAACCTCGAAATTACCAATCCTGGGATGTCTGACTCGTTGTCTATGCTCGGATTGGACATCAATAGAACTCAGTTGACGGTATTTGACGATGTCGGCTTGCAACCATTTGATTGTACCGATACTATGGACGGTCTCTTTGCGATACCGCCTGTATTCCCTTGGGACCAGTGTGGCTTTCTGAATACTGCAATCTGATTTTAGAACCGATAGTCTAAGACTTCTTGTCAATTTTGTCACCCTCAACAAAGCTTTGGGGATCCCAAATTCGTGTCACCAAAATTGAGGCAAGCCGCAAAAGACTTCAAAATTCTGATAGAGGGTAAGGATAGCTGGCGCCTATCGAGATGCACTGTGATACAAAAAAGGAGAGGCAGGCCCTAGGCGTTGCACCAAAAGGTCTACCTGTGCCTCAGTTATGAATTACACAAGGTATTAGCGTCTTCAAGACACTGACGTACGTATCACACTGGCTTTGTGCTTGTGAGCGTGAGTAACTCCGGCAGGTGGCGTTCGAGAGCAGCGACTTTGAGAATTGTGCGTAAAATTTGAGCAAAATCTCCCAGCGACGAAAGATAGTGATGCTCAATGTTGCTCAATGGTTGGAAAATGCCGCTTCTGAAGTCCTCATACAATGGGACTGGATGCTCGCCTCCCAGAAACGAGCAGTCTGCATGAGCAGCACTTGATCAATAACTCCACTCTCTAGATTACTTCTCAAGAAAAATTCTTCACCACCATGACGTGCATGCTTCAACCTCACCACCATGCGCAGCATTAACTATCAGTGATCAGTGGGGGGTCAAGGTTCTCGCCCTCAGATCCACTGCCGTACATGACGTTCATGCAGTTATTTGCTAGTGAACCTACTATATCGTATGCTGATCCATAGGTAACTGGAGGAATCTCAAACGACGCCTGTTGATTCCCTGGTGGTTATCAGCTTGACCCGCCCGGAACGAGCCGTGACACAACCCGGATCCTGCGAGGCTGATGTGGCAACCTTGACGGATTGCGCTGATTAAGTAGACCACCAATACGAATGAGTATAGAATTGGTTGAGGGTAATCAACCGGCCGCCGACGGCGAACGCAGGCACTTGACTCGAACTCTAGCTTGCCGTCCCATGGGTGTGGCACGATGTTGCCCGGTTTTAGTACGCTTTAGACGAGTATAGCCCTTGATCCTTGCAAAGATAAGTGAGGATCTCTTGGCTGTGGAGAGCCTTGCAGGACCCTTGGTGTTGGTTCTCACGCCCAGAAAAACCCATTTCCGCGGCGTCTACACTACCATGAGGAGGCGTCGCGGGCTAGGGCGCTGAGACCCTATTCGCATAAGCCCTTAGCAGAACTGTGTAGTTTGGATACTGCCTGCTGTACCTGTTCTCCCTCTCACGACTAACAATTACGCTACGGAATGGGTTTGCTGGAGTGTTCCTTGAGACTTGGACTTGGGCATCATCGACACCCCTGTTCCGATCGGCTTGCCCGCATTCCCCCATCCAATCCCCGGTGCCCCCCCGGTAATCAAATCTGGGGCCCCCAGAAGGAAAAGAGAAGCAGAAAGAGAAGGAGGAGGGGAAATGCGCCAGAAAGAAACGATGGTGGCGTCAGCGATTAATTAATTAGAACGGAAAGCCACCGGGAACCGATAGTAGCGAACCAATCATCAAATCTTGCGCCGCCTATTCTTGTCCGCTGCTCTTTCTCATCTCTCATTAGTGCCCGACCGTCTCTGGCGAGTGGTCATCCGATGACGAAAAATTCTTCCTGCCCTGCGGCGCGGTTACGAAAAACCTTGTGCTATCTCGATGTAACCTTCGAAGCTTTCTGCGTTCGCGCCTTAGCAGGGACTGAGTCGGTCAAGCTCGTTAGTAATAAAGGCCGCCGGCTATCAGCAGAGATCGGCAACAGCCATGGAGAACGCTGTTTGTGTGTGGGGATGTCTGTGCTTATCTGGGTAATTATGACTAAGGCTGCCGCCGGCGATTAAATTCTGTCGTATCATAATCTTATCGCACGGAAGAGGCTTTAGCCAGCATTTGAAACCGCCTATTCGCTGTCTTCGGGCTCTGATTTAGCGACCGTCATATACCGGCGCAATGTCTATTATCCCTTCCACTAACTAGTTGTCGATTTTTTTCGTGGCTTATCTCGACGGCGCCGCCGATGGGTTGATCGTCCCAGCATGCATACGTACGATGCACGCTTCCCAGTTCGGAATGGGGGATTCGGCGACTCCTCGGGTACCGTATGTAGGCTCAACACGACTTTTAACTGCGCGTATAAGTGTCGCGAGACTCCCACATTGAAGGAGGAGAGAGACTGGCTACCCAAGTAGAGAGCTTCGAGACAACCTGGATTTCCAATACCAAGATGCACCAACCAACCGAACGCGCCTCGGTCGAGGCCGAAGACAAGGCCCAACCACGACTCTCAGATGTTGACGACACAGCGCCCGAGAAGGGAGAGATCGCCAACATTTCTGCTTCTCAGAGCATCGACCCCGAGGCGGAACGACGAATTGTCTGGAAATTTGATCTTCGGATTCTGCCTTTGCTGGCTGTCATGTATTTGTTCAACAGTCTCGACAAAAGCAACATGGGAAATGCGAAGACGGCCGGTCTCGTTGACGACCTTGGACTCGTGGGCAATCAGTACAACATCCTGCTTTCGGTAAGAATTTTAATCCTGCCACACTTCGCACTGGATATTGACGTTCAATGAAAGGTCTTCTTCATTCCTTACGTCTTGGCCGCTCCTTTTCTAGGACTTCTCGGCAAGAAGTTTGGCCCTTCTCGAATTCTGCCTTGTATGATGATGGTCTTCGGATCAATGACTTTGCTTACCGCGGCTGCGCACAACTTTTCTGGGTTGTTTGCTCTGCGTTGGTTTTTGGGAATGTCAGAGAGTGCCTTTTTCCCTCTAGTCATTTACTACCAGGTGTGTAAAAATGAAAAGCTTTCCGTCGCCGATCTGGGACAATGGGAAACTGACCGATCGACTAGACAACCTTTTACCGACGAGGTGAACTTGCTCGGAGACTCGCAATTTTCTACGCAGGATCCGGCATCGCAAGCGCTTTCTCTGGTCTTCTTGCCTTCGGCACTTTCCAAATCGAAGGCGGCGCGTTGCCCCCTTGGAAGTACCTCTTCATTGTGGAAGGTAAGCAGAATCGAAGCAGTGGCTATGACACAAGCTGACTGATTATTCCCTTAGGCTCCGGTACTTTGATTGTGGCTTGTTTTGCTTTCTGGTATTTGCCATTCAACGGTGCCACCGCGAGCTTTCTCACATCCGAAGAGAAGGAGCTCGCGCATTATCGACTGCAGATGGACTCGTCTTCCATCGTTGGCGAGGAGTTCAACCTGCGTGAGGCCGCCCAGATTTTCAAGCACCCGACCTCTTGGGCAATTCTCCTGATTCAGGTCTGCCTCGGTGTTCCGCTGCAGGCCGTGCAGCTTTACCTGCCCGTCATTGTGAAGCGCCTCGGATATAGCACCATCAAGACCAACCTGTACACCGTGGCACCCAACATTACCGGCGCCGCCATGCTTCTTATCCTTGGATTCGTTTCCGATTTCACGCGACTGCGATCCCCATTCGTGGCTCTGGGTTTCGCGTTCACCTTGACTGGCTTCATCATTTATGCTTGCGTCAACGTCGAGACACAGTTGCACGTTGCCTACTTCGCCTGCTTTATGATGACTTGGGGAACATCAGCCCCCTCGGTCCTACTGGATGTGTGGTACAACAACAACATTGCCAACGAGAACCGACGAATGATGCTTACCACCGTTGCTGTCCCAACAGCGAATGTCATGGGCCTAGTAGCGTAAGTCCAGACTTGATTCTTGTCTTTAAGGTTCATAAACTAACTCCTGGCGTAGGTCGAACATTTTCCAAGAGAAGGATGCCCCCAAGTATCTGCCTGCACTTATTACGACCGCTTCATTCGGTGCAACGGGCTGCGTTTGCACAATGCTTCTGGGCCTGTGGATGGTCCGTGATAATAGAAGCCGAGATGCGAAGGAGGGTGTCAAGGTGAAAGCAAAGGATATCCCCACTGAACTCCTCGCGTCAGGACCTGAGAGCCCTTCGTACAGATGGTACCTGTGAGGCGTTTGATGACGTGCAATAAAATTTGATAGAGCGGGACATATGGAGGTTGTATATAGTCACACTTATTATGACAAAACATGGATTAGAATGTGATTTTTTGTGTTATGGGTCATCTTCGAGTGCTAACGTAAAGGTGAAGTCCTCACAATCCATGAAGCAAACCGACGGCTCACTTAAGCCACTACTGTACTTTCGCTTATGGTAAAGTATATCCGCCATCAATGACCAAATTTGCGCCTAAGATTGCAGGTTAGCATTACCTCTTTGGATGCGGCTTCGTTTCTTTACCAGTCATGTAGCTACTAGCATCACTCGCCAAGTAGACGTAGGATCCCTTCAACTCTGCCGGCTCACACAACCTTGCTCCTGGAATCATAGTGAACCACCTATCTCTCCATTCCTTTGGGTGAACTTCTAGCATGTCTGTCGCGATAAAACCCTGTCGGTCGTTAGAAGATCATCCAAAATAGCTGAACAGGCCTACTACTCACGGGCGAAACACAATTAACCCTTGCAAAGGAAGTCCACTCGACTGCCAAACTCTTTGCTAGATGCACCACGGCTGCTTTGCTGGCGTTGTACGCGGCCTGAGTTTGAGGAACATTCACCAGGATGGCGCTCACACTGGCTGTGAATATGATGCTGCCCCGGGTCTTATTACCCTTCATAACGTTCGCAGCAGCTTGTGCTGTCCAGAAGGCACCATTGAAGTTGACGTCGAGGATGTTGCGGAACTTGTCTTCCGGGTAATCCTCAGCTGGGATGTGATCTGCAATCCCTGCATTCGCAACCACAATGTCCAAGCCCCCGAGCTCCTTTGCAGCAGTCTCAATGACTGCAATCACGGCCGCTCTGTCAGTTACATTGCACTTGTAAGCCTTGACAACGCGACCGGGATTTGCAGAGGAGAGGGAGGCAACAAGAGAAGAGATCTCGTCGAGAGGAGTAGAGGAATAGGTGATTGCAACTGAAGCACCGGCCTCAAGGAGACCAGTTGCAACCTGCAGCCCAATGCCGCGGGAGGCACCGGTAACGAGCGCGGTCTTGCCTTCAAGCGAGAAATGCGAGAGCACAGGAGCCGTGGGATTGGGATGCGAAGCGAGAACCATTTTGCCGAAATGAAGAAATGAGAAATGGGTTAGTGTTTGTGTTTGTGTTGTTGTAGAGTTGACACCAGTCGAAATGGTTGAAGCTGTGACGATTTAGAGCAGATAGCGATCTCAATATTAGTATCATCTCTATCCTGAAGAGTCCCAGTTGTCGAACATACACTCTTTGCCCCTCCCCGGCCGACCCTCTCCGCTGACCGGTAGGACCATGACGAACCGTTGGAGGGGATTTTGGTGGCACTGCGGGGTTAGGGTGACTGTCGACCTCCGCTGCTGAGGACCGGCTTACACCAGCTTGGCCCTATTATGCGAGTTGACTATGTCCGCCGTGCGTCCCATTCTTTGCAGTGTTTTAAATTTTAGCTATCATCAACACTAAATTGGGAATAGTGATGGGAATTTCCCTTTCTCAGAACCAGAAAAGGGCTCCGTGGGATTGATACTCTGAATCCAATTACCAGAAGACAAGCAAACTAGTGCAGTTACCGCTACTCTAGCTTATACATCGGACAATATTCACAAAGCAATGAGTTTCCAGTTTATTTTTCAGCGACAATATGCGACTTTTCTTATGGATGACGGAATTGGTTGAAGTCAAGAAGGCGTAGCGTCATGCATCGCAAACGTACTCTTCCTTGAACGAGCGTGCGGTTTGGAACATAATCGATATTGTGAACGATTTAATATGAACTTGTGTTTTTCTATCTTATTCCTGCTCTACTTTTGGACACCCTCAATAATAACCTTGAGAGTGTTTTCCTGGCCCAGTCGAACCAGTTCAAAGGCCTCCTCAGCCTGCTCAAATTTGAATCGATGCGTAATGAGCTTACTGGGCTGAATCTTGCCACTCGCAATGAACCGGATAGCCTGAGGATAACAACCGGTCGAGTAACGAATGGAACCCTTGACGGTCAATGCACGGATGCATGCCGTGGTAATGGGAAAGACAACATTCTCCTTCCCCATTCCAGCTTGCACATAAGTGCCACCCTTCTTTGCTGCGAAGATACCGGCTTGGATACACTGTTCAGCACCAGTGCACTCCAAAACCACGTCCGCACCCTCGCCGAGACCAAATTCGGCCACTATTCTCTCACCCAATGCCCGGGCGGCATCCACAGGATCGACGCCCTCCTCGGCCTTGGTCTTCGATACGTAGACGCCGTCGGCACCGAATCCTCGCGCGAACTGGGCGCGGGACTCGGATATGTCGACACCAATGACCGTGCTGGCGCCAGAGGCTTTGGCAACGGCCTGGCAGAGCACACCGATAGGGCCGCAGCCAAAGACGAGGACAGACTGGCCGGCTCTCAGGTCCCCCACTCTGACGATCTGAACGGCGACAGCGACGGGTTCGACCAGCGCGCCATCCTCGGCAGTCATCTGGTCGGAAATCGGATACACATAGTCAGAAGAAACAGTATAGTACTTCTGAAGAGTGCCATCGTGAGGGGGCGTCGCGGCGAAAACAGTGTCTGGGCAGAGGTTGTACGAGCCAACCCGACAGAAGTCGCATCGCCTGCAGGGTACACCTGGCTCGATGGCAACACGGTCGCCAACCTTGACATTCTTCACCTTGCTGCCAACCTCGACGATGACACCTGCGCTCTCGTGTCCGAGAATAATGGGGCTCTCGAGGATGAAATCTCCGATGCGACCGCGTTGCCAGTAGTGCACGTCACTGCCGCATATACCCGTTTGCTGGACATGGACACGAACGTCGTGCTCATCCTTGAGGGGTGACACCTGACGGTTCTCGAAAGAGACCTTCTTGATGGATTGGAGAACGAAGGCGGGATTCTTGGCAATGTTAGATGAGAGGAGGAGATGGAACGCAGCGGCTACTTACTACTTCCGTCATGGTGACTAGTTTGTTGGATACCTTGATGGATGCAGATATGAAGCTGGGTAATATGAGATTGTCCAAGATCTTAATAATGGAAATCGGGGTGATTGGGTTCTCAAAGCCTCTCTGTTCTATACTGCCCTCGTCAGACAAGCCTGCTGCGGGGAATCTTCGTCCAGGGTGACAGAGCTCCGCATGCCTCTGAAATGGTCACCCTCGACCACAAAAGATACAATCCCGATGGGAATATATGCAAGCAAAGGATCTGGCTAGGACGGCAATTGCTTTGGCTGGTAAAATCAGAAAACTAGAATCGCAATGGACGCCACTTACCATTCACTTTCCCAGCGAATCATACGCCGATTCGCCCTCAAGGAGTCAGAGGGCCAAAACCGGCTTCTTATCGCCCTGGCCGGCCCACCAGGATCCGGAAAATCGACAATCGCTGCGCAAGTGGTTCACCAAGTGGCATCCATGCCCTCTGGTCCCTCCGTTGTGGCCGTTTCGGTAGATGGTTTCCACTTCTCCCGAGCCACACTCCGATCGCTTCCCAATGCAACGGAAGCACTCGCCCGCAGGGGCGCACCCTGGACCTTCGACGGCGCTGCTGCGGCAAAACTAGTCCAACGGCTCCGCGATGGGGCCGGGAAGTACTCGGTTACTGCGCCAACTTTTGACCACGCAGTCAAGGACCCAGTACCTGATGGTCTGACGGTAGGGCCACATGTGCAAGTTTGCATACTGGAGGGCAACTACCTCCTTTCGGATGAAGAACCGTGGGATGGAATCGCCAGCATTGTGGATGAGTGCTGGTTGATCAAGGTTGATACATTGCTTGCGCGGTCCAGAGTTGCGGAACGACATCTCAAATCTGGGATTGAGGACACAATGGAGAAAGCCCTCAAGAGGGCTAACGAGAACGATTTGGTCAATGGGGAATATGTTATGAAGCATAGCGAAGGACGGTACGATGTGTTGATAGAGAGCGTTGAAGAGCGAAACCTCAGTCTCGATTAAGGCCAGCCATGTCATCAGGCTCAGCCTGATGTCTGATGAACAGTCCAGCCCAACTTACACCCGAGGTCGCAACCGAATGACTGCACTGAGCCATCGCGCCAAATCTGTAAATTTTGTCCACTTGCCCCTATAACCTTGTCGCTTTCTCAACAAGATGAACCATCACCATATTGTTATGCATGTGGTTCATTCACCATTTCCGATGACGTGTACTTGCTCACTAGATTAAGGTACAAGATGGAAGTCTAAAACCGTATAGTCTAGTATGCGGTCCTCCCTCTCCAACCCCTACGGAAAGTCTACGAAGGGAGGGCGACAATCACCCTAACGTGGAGCATCGGAACGACACAACCCCCGTAGAGCCGTCACGCCACACGGCCACTCTGACCCAACTATTTCTGTAATTAAGTTCACCCTGGCTCTGACGGAGCACGGTCCCCGTCTTTTGTAAGCTGGGCCATGAATTAATTCGGCATTATTTGAAGCCTGCTGGACACTCTCCGGGGTTCAAGGCACCGGTAGCTCATTCACTATTTATTTCACAGCTTTGAAAATTTATTGCTTTGGAATAATCTAACAAGGCTCTAAGTATCTTCTATTTCTCATTCCCAGTCACCATGTCAGCTATAAACGGAGCCAACGGACGGCAGTCTATTCGCAAACCCAACCCCCCTGTCGAAGACAGCCTGTTCAAATCATTCAGATTAGACGGCCGTACTGTGATTATTACCGGAGGATGTGGAGGCATTGGGTACGAGATTGCGCGTGGTTTGGCTGAGGCTGGCGCGAACGTAGGCAGCCGGCTTATCCTGCTCCTTCTGATGTATGTACTGACTCATTCTGATAGCTTGCGCTGTGGTATCACAGCTCCACAGCCCACCAGAAGATGCAAAACAAAATCTCTCAAGACTTTGGCGTCAAGGTTGAAACCTACCAGGTGGACGTTCGAAAATATGCAGAGGTCGAGGCGACTGTTGCTCAAGTCGTCAAGGATTTTGGCCAGCTAGACGTAATGATTGCCAACGCCGGCATCCCCACCAAGGCTGGAGGTCTTGATGACAAGGTGGAGGACTGGGACAATGTCCGGGCTACTGATTTTGATGGTGCTTACTATTGTATGCGCGCCGCCGGTCTTGTTTTCCGAGAGCAGAAGCGCGGCGTTGGCATCATCACCGCAAGCATGAGCGGCCATGCCGCCAATGTGCCTCAGGAGCAGAGCTGCTATAATGCCTGCAAGGCTGGTTGCATTCATCTGGCCAAGAGTCTGTCAGTCGAGTGGGCGAAATGGGGTGGTCGCATCAACTCGGTTAGCCCTGGGTACATTGACACGGCCATTTCGGGAGATTGTCCATTTGAGATGAAGGAGGAGTGGTTCAGCTTGACGCCTATGATGAGAGACGCCGACCCGAGAGAGTTGAGGGGAGTTTACCTGTACCTTGCTAGCGATGCGAGCTCATATACGACGGGAGCGGACTTTATCGTCGATGGAGGCTATACTGCCCGGTAGATGTTTGCTGAGATTTCACAATAGAAAAACAAGTTCTCATGTTTTCTTTAGTTTTGTAACCCAACCCTCTCCTGATCGTGGTGTGGTGTGGTTGCACGCTCGAGTCCGGTCTAGTCGCTGGGTGGTCGAACTCCCCTGGGAGCCAGCACTCTGTTGGGGCATGTCACCACAAGCACAACAGTACCAGACACCGCATAAATGAATGCTCATTGCCGTTTCATCTACCATTTCCACATTTTGGGATGTGTATTGCCACCCATCTTGGCTTGGCTGGGGCCGCACTTGGTGGACCTCACACCCCATCTCGGGCAGGGACATGGATGATTAGTTACTCCAAGGTTGACTGTTGCCCAAGGTCGTGAGACAGAGCCTGGCGGTGACGGAGCGCAAGTCTCGAGGAGGTCCGGGGCCGGAGGAGAGAAGAGAAGACAGGGATGTTCATTCTCAGCATGCTCGTTAGGAGCTGACCATTGGCACAATGCGTGGGTCCGAATGACGATAAAACGGGGTCGCGCTTCAATTCACCCGGTGCCCTGGAAACCATCTCCAGGCTGCCAGAGCTGTCCGTTCCATGCCATCTCGAGTCATGAGCTGTTGCTCGGCCAGTCAGCTGGCGGGTTGACTGTCACCCTCACCCGGACGCCCCACTCCGCCTGCGGGGAGACGTCTGAATGCCTCTCCATCCTCTCCATGGCCCCGACTTCCCCGCGAAATCCCCACAGCTAGTGGCGTCGTTCTCCAGGTTCCGGCATGCAGGCGATCCGGGGGTCAAGTTCATATCGGAAGTTCTGGCTGGAACCTATGAATCTGGGCTGACGCGTTGATATATCTGCATGTATATCCATCTATATATATCCATCACTCGTTCCAGCTTCATGCGGCTTTCAACTCCACCTCTTCAGACATCCACCATTATTATCTTGAGACCACTGCTTGGCTTCACGCCTTGGATTGTGTAACTGATATTCGTCGCGTTGCCCTACCATGGCATCTCAGGTAGAACGAGACGCAAAGATTGTCGGCACCGCCTTGGCGGGGGTTTTGCCACACACCAACAAGTATTGGTTCCAGAAACCTCACTTGATTCGCTTAAATCTCCTGCTTCTCATTCCCTTATTGTCAAGCTCCGTCTCTGGCTATGATGGTAGGTCGTCAAATTGTTTAAAAACCTACGTAAAGCCATCGACTCACCACTCTCTATAGGCTCCTTGATGAACGGCCTACAGTCTCTTCATCAATGGCGAGAATACTTTGGCAACCCTGCAGGCGAGATGCTTGGACTCGTCAACGCCGCCCAGTCCATTGGATCCGTCCTCGCCCTCCCGTTCGTCGGTACCCTCTCCGACAAGTTCGGCCGAAAGCCAGTCCTGCTGGGCGGAATTATCCTCATCACCATTGCTTCCATCATCCAAGCTGCTTCAGTCAACTACGCCATGTTTGTCGTATCTCGAATCATTGTCGGCTTCGGCGGCATGTTTGTTGTACAGCCAAGCCCGATGCTGATTGCAGAGCTTGCATATCCGACCCATCGAGGCAAATATACATCTGCGTTTTGGACCTTCTACTACTTAGGAGCAATTTTAGCTTCTTGGACGACGTTTGGAACCCAAAATCACCAGAGCGCTGTTTCTTGGAGAGTCCCCTCCGCTCTCCAGGCTCTCTTTCCTATCATCCAATTCATATTTTACTGGCAACTCCCTGAGTCTCCCCGCTGGCTGGTTGCCCAGGATCGCACCCAGGAGGCTGCTGCCATCCTCACCAAGTATCATGATCCAGAAACAGAGAACAGCCCCCTTGTGCGTCACGAGCTATCCGAAATTGTTGAAACCATTCAACATGAGAAGGCGGCCAAGAGCACGGGCTGGTTAGCCCTTGTCAGCACCCCTGGAAACCGGAAGCGTACTCTCATCGCCGTCTGCACTGGTGCGATGGCTCAATGGAATGGAATAGGCGTCGTTTCGTACTACCTAACACTCGTACTCGACACTGTTGGAATTAAAGATACCTTCGACCAGACGCTCATCAACGGGTTACTCCAAATCTTCAACTTTGGTGCTGCGCTCAGCGCCGCGTTCCTGGTCGATCGACTAGGTCGCCGAACTCTATTCTTGTGGTCTGGTGTTGGTATGCTCGTTTCCTATGTGGTATGGACAGCTTGCTCGGCGATCAACTCGGATACTGGGAATAAGTCCGCAGGAATTGTCGTTGTCGTGTGCCTCTTCGTCTTCTTCTTCCATTACGATATCGCCTGGACACCGCTATTATTTGGCTATCCCACAGAGATCTTCCCATACTACCTTCGATCAAAGGGCATCGCTCTCGAGTTGTTTGCCATCTATGGATCGCTGATTATTGCGGCATTTGCGAATCCTATTGGCCTTGAAAACATTGGATGGAAATACTACATTGTGTTCTGCGTCTTGCTCGTGGTCTTCCTTGCGATCACCTATTTCCTCTTCCCGGAGACCAAGGGATACAGTCTGGAGGAGATTTCCAGGATTTTCGACGGTGATGAAGCTCTCCATCAGACCAAGGTTGGAGGTACAAATGGAAAAGGCCCCAAGGAGGTGACTGATTCTGCGAGCCATTTGGAGACAGTCTGAGGGAAGGTGCGTGTACACGGGTTTGCGCATGGAGGCAGTTTTATTCTTACCCTTTTATTCGTATTAAATGATTTTGTATATTCCTTGATAATTATGTTGAAGAAACTGTCTTGAAACATTGCTCGCTTTAGCCATCTCAGCGATTGGCATGGCCCGACGCATTGTCACCGCCCGCAGCGTAACAATCGGAGTAAAGGTTAGCCATCTAACTGCAATGTTTCAGTAAACAGTGTCTAAACCACTTCCTTGTGTTTACTCAAATCGAAGGAACCGATAAAAGGAGGTAAGCGCTTACCGGGTTCTTAATTGTGTCTCGTGCCATCAGCCTCCGATCCTCGGTCACACGATGTGGCTCGGAATCAAGCCAAGTATTTCTCCAGGTCTCACCGTGCTTGCTTTGTGGGGACCTCGTTGACGTACTAAATTAGTCATGCTATTCTTCGTCGAGCTAACCCCCGGCCGGGGATTGCTCCCCACACCTCGCCGCCCGACGGCCTCATGAAGAGACAACCCTAAATATCTCTCCCTCTCGTCGATGAGTTGACAACGTTCAAACTCTCTGCCCAGATGAAAGTTCGTTGCCATGGAATCACTTTCGGCAGATTTTATACCCGGTGCTGATCCAGCCCGGCCCAACGCCTCCGTTTCGACCGCATTTAGTGATGGTGAGCCCCCGCAGGATGCGACTTTCATCGGTTTATCGGACCAGGCTTGTAAGGAGTGCCGGAGGAGAAAGGCCCGTTGTAACCGGTCTCTCCCAACATGTAACATGTGCATCAGATACCGAAGGCATTGCCTGTATGAAAAGCACGCACGAACGCCATTGACGCGGAAGTATGTGGAATCCGTTCTTTCTCTCTGACTAGGGCTCAAACTGACGGGGCAAGACATCTGACGGAGGTAGAGACGCGTCTGGAACGAGCAGAGGCCCTGGTTCAGCAGATGCGTACCCTGGTGCCATCTAATATGAGGACGTGGGAGCGAGTGAATAACCCGGTTGCAACAGCTACCAGCCAACCCCAGCAACCACCTGATCAGCCATTCAACTTCTCAAGCACCCCTCAGGCGGCGGAACCACCAGGGGCTGACGATGCCGAGCCTATCTCTTCCACGTCTGATATGAGTGCATCAGCTCAGTCTGGCTTGCATCTTTCTGGCTCAGCCGATAGTGTTCAAGACCCCAACCCATCAAACGTGGACCATCAGAGGATGTTGGAAGGCCCGCCCATTGATAACTTTGAGTGGTGTGAGAAGACGTCCGTCCAAGTTCACGGATTGTCCCCAGACGCTGTCGCAGAGCCTACAGAAGAGGACAGTCCAATTTCCGATGGCATGGCATCCTTAACCGTCAATGAGGGCGAGTCAGGTTATCTTGGAGTTGCTTCAGGTGCCGCGCTATTGCGTCTTCTTGAGCCCAAGTCACGTCGTCGGTTGTCCAGAACGCAGCAGACAGCCTCCTCGATTTACCCAATGATACCACAGCCTAACCCGAACCGCCATGTTTCTGAGTCCATGATCGACGCATACTTTCGGCTGTATCACGTTAGTTACCCAATCATTCACGAGCCAACGTTCCGCGCCCAATATAGCGAGGTCATACCTCGACCCAACGGGGCGTGTTGGACCGTCCTGGCATACATCGTCGCCGCCATCGGCGTATGGGCCTCTTCAACTTCATCAATTGAAACGCTGGACATGGCATTATTCAAACAGGCTAGCTCGATTCTTAGCTTTGACTTCCTCGAGGTCGGAAACTTGGCCTTGGTGCAGGCATTGACACTGGCGTCGAACTATCAACAAAAACGGGACAAACCAAACTCGGGGTACAACTATCTCGGACTAGCCGTGCGAATGGCGATGGGTCTGGGTCTTCACAAGGAGTTCCAGGGCTGGAATATCTCTCCGCTAAATATGGAGATTCGGCGACGGGTATGGTGGTCTTTGTGTGTTTTTGATGTTGGTGCAACCATCACCTTCAGTCGTCCAGACGTATGGCCATATAAAGGAGTCGAAGTCTCATTTCCACTCAATGTGAATGACAAGGTATGTAGTGAAGTAGGTTCCGAAATTCCCATCTTTATACTTACGAGCTGTTAGGACCTAACAGCTGCGTCTACTTCTTACCCAACGGAAAGCAACCAGATCACGCCATATACTGCTGTCGCCACACAAGCACGTTTTCATATCGCAACACGTGAATGCTACGAACGAATTATTTCGAAACCATTTCCTTCTGCCGACGAGTTACTCCGGATGGATTCTACGCTGATTGAAACTTGGCAAGCTGCAATCCCAGCATATTTCAAAGAACAGACCCTGGTTCCACCTCGTTACGCTCTCTGTCAAGCTGTCATGTCTTGGAGGTTGCGTAACCTGCGGATTATTCTTTATCGCCCCTTTGTCATCCGCAGAGCGCTAAGGCGTCGGGCTGATCCCGACGAAGCGAACTCGAAAGCGTACGATCGATGTCTTGCCGACGCAAAATCATCGATCACCATGATTGCTGAGTATTGGGCACACCATGAACACAATCGACTTGCTGCATGGTATGGTTTGTAAGTATTTATCCTCTATGAGTGCGACGATACATGCTCAAAAATACCACGCAGATACTTCCTCTTCCAAGCAGCTCTTATACCTTGTATTTGTCTTCGCAATCAGCCTTCAGCTTCCGACGCATCAGATTGGCGGGCACAAATCACAACCACTCTGCACACCATAACAGCACTTGCGCCTAACAACGCCAGCTCAGCACGATGTTATCAAATTATATCCGATTTGTCCGGGCGATTTCTCGATAATGACCAGGTCGAACAACCTGTCCCTCTGGCTCCGACAGAACAAGATCCCGTTGGAGGAAACGAGAACACAGGGCAACAGGTAGGGCCGGAGCAATGGATACCAGAGCCAGTGGAGGAGAGTCCCCAGACGCAAATAAACAACGTCTTTAGTATGATGTGGCCAAATGCGCCGCCTATGGAGGTAGCAGATGTTGTCATGGGCGACGATGCTGGGTGGATGGACTTTTTACGGTTGGAAAGCAATCATGGTTGGGAGGGGCCAAATTCTTAAGACAGTGCAAGCTTCCAAACGCTGCCAAACTCGTCCTCAGATCATTTTTCATAACTCCAGATGACTGAAGAAATGTACTAAAGCTTCATTTAATTTCATATCTCATTTAAGGCCCACCATCCCACGATAGTTAACCTCGTCACTTCAAATAAGTTGAGGGCCTTGCTAAGTATGTGCCACATAGACAGTTTTTCAGTCTCAATCACTTGCTGTCAAGTGGTGGGAGATCACCGTTCGCCCGAGCCTCCGCCACAAGATCATTGTAAATGGCCAGCTTCTCCTCGTAAATCTTGACCAACTCATCTGTCGACCTCTTGCCGGGCGTGGCATCACTACCCCCAAAAGCCCTCACCGCCGCATAGTAGACATCAGCTAGAGCCCTGCAGATGGAACTGAGGGTCACGGATGTGCACTGGTAGTAAAGGCTGCGAGACGAATTGCGTTAGTTACTTTATCGCTGGATATGATGTTTCACATGACTCCTTGGACCATTCTTGAGGTTGGACATGAAATTGAAGACAACGCTTCCTCAATTGTAAAAACTTACTCTGTCTTGAAGTTGTTATCAATCTTCAGCTTAGCGCTCTCAGTGAATCGAGTCTGGGCTCGGTAGTTGTTGTAACCAAAATCGTGACGGTTGCATGCGGGCACAAAGGGGAACCCAAGCGGGTTGTCGGGTGATGAGGTGCAGCCATCAGATGTCCAGTCTAGAGTGGACGGGTTTTGGGCATTGCGACGGGCGGTAAACTGAGGCAGGGTGAGAGTGAAGAGAAGTTCGTCTGTAGTTTCTTGAATAGTCGCACGGCTCATAAGACCAGCCTCGCTCCTCTTCGTAGGAATAGCCGAGACGCCCGAAAGGAGCAAGACGAAGGGTGTAGTGAACTTCATTCTGCAATAGTACAATTATCTAATGCTTGGGTGGATGATCGAGTGCTGAAATAAAAGTTGAGCAATGAGACTGCTTGTATATTCTTATAGAATACCGATCGTCGCAGAGCACTAACTTGTATCTTCAAGCCTAGCCAAGTCGGGCAGTTCTGCCGTGTTGTCCATTGCGACCTACCAGAAGTAGCAATGATCTCTCGGTGTGGAGGCCACGGGATCACACTATGCCTGGCCATTTGCTAAATACCCCGCAGGAAGATGTTCAGGTCCAATACAGCACGTTCCAGTAATGGCAATGAGTTATTGGTGTGTTCGAGGTGCCCGGATATCCATCGCATGATTGCCCATTTAGGATCCTCGACAAAGGATGGCTAGTTTGTGCTGGCATAGCGGGGAAAGAAGGAACGCGCGTCCGTTGATTCGAACACTTGCTCGGCACGTGGGATTAGACGTGGAGTCTTTCTCACCGGAGCAACCATATTGGGCTGATCCTCCGCGCATATTATGTAGCCAAGGTTCTATATCAGCCCAGAAATCCACCACTCGTAGCTCTTCCTTAGAGCCGTGTGAAGCGCATCTTTTGGAAGCCTCGGTAACACTAGGCCCTCCGACAGCCTGATAGGTAATTGATTACAGGGGAAATGGCAAGCGGCAAACTTAATTATGTCTTGGGCCAAAAAGTCGGGGATGTTTTCTGAAATAGAGAAGTGTCGGCGTGGTCTTGATTGCTAATTGAGTGAGAAACAGCGGAACCTTCCCAGTTGGGCACCGAGCTCCTCCACTGCAACACACACTTGTAATGCACGCCGTCTTTCACATGTCTATAAACCCGACCGAGGAGCGCTAAGAAGGGGAAACGTATTGTTGATTGGTGGGTTACAAAATTTAGGCCAGGTTTACTATTTCTCTTCCCGAACAGGTGCGGTGTTCCGAGGAGCGTATTCGATTAGTCGAGCAACATGAAGGGTATGGCACCGTCAAGCACTTGTTTTCTACCCCGCAAGCTGTGACTAGTGCATATATCTAAATAGCACTTCACAGCGCTTCTCGATTGGCAAACATCAGACACTTCTCCTGCTACTTTCTGATCGCGGATCTCAGGCCTTGCCAGCCTAGAAGTAACATTTGCGGCAGGAACTGCCAGAGGCATCAATTAATTGACAAAAAATAATTAATTGGATACAATTCCTCAATTATTACACGCATATTGTCTGTCGTTCAGAGCAACGTGCTCAATCGAACGATAAATATGATGAACTTCTTCTGGTCTCCGAAGTCTACTCGTGAGATTTCCTGTGGTCGTTTCTGGCTGTTGATGACACGATTGCAGATAGTTCGGTGTGTAGGACTGCGTTTTATAACCCAGTGGCACATGTTGTGAATTCAGTTATTTTCATTCCTACCCAACAGTTGAAGCAAGGGGCCACCTTTTTTTTTCAGCCACCGGGGAACCCCACAAACACTAAAGGAATATTGAATCTAGACTTTCCAAAGAATGTGACAAGTGGGGCGAATAGAGAATGACAGATGAGGAATTTCCTTGTGAATGATGCATGCCGGTGGTGTCAAGAATTTATAGGCACCAACTCTCGCGTAATATGTCATGATTCAGTACGCCATTGGATTCTATATTCATCGGCTACTACATTAGCTACGATATATGGAATGATAAGTAAGCCCCTCTTTGATGTTAAGGACATCGCTTTCCAGCTGGCCGGTGCGCCATTGAAGAGGATATGACGTATGGAACAATCATTCTTGAGCTTCTGCCGTCTCAGCATCTTCAATGTCGCTTCGATGGGGTACAAAAAGCCAACTTCCCATTGTCTTTATTTTTAGTTCCTTAGTTAAGATGATTAACTTAAATTATGAGGGTTGCGCCTAGAAGCAGATCACAGTAGTGATGAGTTGATACCTAAGTCAACCTAAACCTATGAAAGAAAGCATTTAGGGGAGAAAAACACCATGTTTGAGTGGATGGGCTTCTTCAATTCGAAAAATAGTAAAAACATGTGATTTATGCCGCTTGACTTACCCGATATCCTTGGTCATGTTGTTGCGTGCTGGACATTTGTCTCCCATCCCAATGCACTCCGTTATGCCGATGCGCCAAGGGGTAGCCAAAGTATGTTACGGTTCATTCCCGTATCCAAAAAGATCCCCGACATTTAACGATAATATGCCAAGATTAATTTTGTAGAAACCCCGCTCTGGTCCCGAAACTTCTCGTCATGTGGGCGGACTAGGAAGGTGGACTTCCCCGTCCTCTGTCACATTCAACCCCACATCCCCGCCATTATCCTTCAAAAGGGCCGAACATTTGTCAACCAGTCCCGCATATCGTGACGGAAGATCCTCGTAGGTTAAACACCAGTTAGTTTAATTCGCTCCTTGCTTCCATGCATCTCAACGCGGCGCCACGGTAAGCACCCTCTTTTCACGCGGTTGTCATCACCCGGGTCCTCTCCACAGTGCCAAGAACTACCGGACCGATCAAGTTCATGATGCCTATTCGACCAGCCAATACTTAAGGGCAAGAACCATCTCCACCTTCTTGTCGCCCCTCAATATTAGACCCCCGGGTTGAAGACCGCATGAGGCGAACCGGGGTCAGGTCGTTCACAAGGCGAAGACCAGCAAGCACATCTCGCCGTAATGGGTATCATCGCTCCATTGTGTCTACTAGGCCTACATAAGCTTGAAAATAAGCCTATGCTCGGCCCGAATGATAACGTGATGATGTGGTCCATCATCACCCCATGTATTGCTGTTGCTAAGGCGAAATTAGCCGCCGTTTCGCCAACACTTGCCAAACAGCGCCAAACAACGGGTGACGATGGCGCTTTTGAATATCTATATGCCTTTTGGGCAAATAACTGCCGAGGGTACATTGTGGTGCCAACTTGTTCTATAAAAGCTGGACCGTTCTCCCGCTGCACTAGAAGTTGTAGTCGTCTTTATCTTTGCTTACATAGTGAATCACGTACCAGTGCTTTTCGACATCATGTGGAAGTATCTGGTGGCTTTTGCGGGCCTCGTTAATCCCTTTGTTCAAGGTACTCCCAGAGGGTATAATCGCAGAAGTCAGAGTGGTGACATTCTCCCCTACCGCAATTCCACACTCTGCATCGATGACCGCGTTGACGATCTACTGTCTCGGATGACCCTCGAAGAAAAGGCTGGTCAAATGTACCATGCCCGAACTTCGCTAGTCAATAACACGTTTGATGGGAATATTCAATCAAACGTGACGGATAAGCACATCACCCACTACGTCTTCAGCGGCGGTGTTAATGATGCACATGCTGTTGCCACATGGTACAACCAACTGCAACAATTAGCTCTTGATTCTGGACTCGGCATTCCCATCACCATCTCCTCCGACCCACAACACGGCTGGACTGATGACACGGCAGTTTCAAACATTGGTGCCTCGTTCTCACGCTGGACGGAGCCTTTGGGGATTGCTGCCTTGCGTGATCCTAAGCTTGCCCGTACGTTTGCCGAGATAGCTCGCGAAGAGTATGTATCTGTGGGCATCCGACAGGCACTGCATCCTATGATCGACCTCATGACAGAACCCCGATGGGGCCGGTCAGGAGGCACCATGGGTGAGGATGCCAATCTCACAAGCCTCCTGGTTGTCGAGTACATCAAAGGGTTTCAGGGTGATAAAATCGGCCCTCATTCTGTCATCACAACCACAAAACACTTTCCCGGCGGCGGCCCAATGCAAAATGGCGAGGATTCACATTTCGAGTGGGGAAAGAATCAAATATATCCCGGCGACAATTTTGAGCATCACCTCATCCCATTTAAAGCTGCTATTGCCGCAGGGACACGCCAAATGATGCCTTACTATTCACGTCCTGTTGGCACCAAGTGGGAAGAAGTTGCATTTGCTTTTAATAAGGCACTCATATCTGGTCTCTTGAAGGAGGAATTGGGTTTTGACGGAATCGTCGTCACCGACTGGGGCATTGTCACAACTCGAGCCTGGGGACTCGAAAACCAGACTGAATTAGAGCGTACTCGTCGTGCGATCGAGGCAGGCTGTGATATATTTGGAGGCGAGACAAAGCCTGAACTGATCGTCAAGTTGGTCAATCAAGGAAGTCTATCCGAAGCACGAATCAATACCTCTGTGCGCAAGTTGATCAAGGAGAAGTTCGAGTTGGGACTTTTCGACAACCCCTTTGTCAACCCTGACGTGGCAGAGAGAGTGGTTGGCAACGAATATTTTAGCAGGCTGGGCAACGAGACGCAGCGCCGTGCTTTCACTCTCCTCACCAACCCAGATGATTTACTCCCTCTGCCTCTCTCTGCTCTCAATGCAAGCTTTTACATCGAGGGTATTGAGCCATCGATTCTCAAGAGCCGGAATCTCAAGGTTGTGGATACTCCTCAGGAAGCTGACTATGCTTTCCTTCGACTTGCCTCCCCCTTCAAACCTACAACCGCATCAGGGCTGGCAGCCAGCATTAATAATGGCTCAATAGAGTTCAACGCCACTGAGAAAAGTCGCCAAGCAGAGATCTATTCTACGGTCCCGACAGTTGTGGATATAAAGTTCAATCGTCCCGCCGCTGTACCTGAGATTGCAGATGCTGCTGCGGCTCTCTTAGGCAATTATGGGAGTAGCCACGATGCATTTCTTGACATTGTATTTGGTATAGATGGGTGGAAGCCTGAGGGTCTGTTGCCATTCGACCTACCTCGATCCATGGCTGCTGTCGAGTCTTCGAAAGAAGATGTACCATTCGATACAGAGGATCCCCTATTTAGCTTCGGTCATGGGCTAGAATACAAGCAAGCTTGTGGGCAGACACAAAAGAGAACAGGGTAATGAAGATCACCCTTCTCCTTGACAAAAACCGTAAATATTCTTAGGGATGTGGCAGAAGTTAGTAGAACAACTTCCAGATAGTGCAACCTGTTTCAATATCATTGGATACGACTCCCCTAAATCTTCTCATACAGATCGAAAAGTATAGTAGTAAGAAATCACAGCACTCGCAGGTATCTAGGTGTTATATCTAAAACCAGAAGGTTCGGCAATAACACAGTAACGCTTGTGTGCACTAAGTCTTTTCGATAAGCCCTCAATATTGTGAAATACACACCGAAACACTCTGAATTCAATATTATGTTCTCTCAAAGAGGGGGTAATCAGAACAATATGGGAACTTATTTCGCGAAACAGTCTTACGTAGGGGATGGATCATCAATCGTGGGCTGAATGGTCGATACTGTGGAGAATTAAGGAATCATATTCTCAGACATTATTAAAACCAGTCCGTGATTTACGAAGAGACACGTGCACATGTCCGGGTCCTCAAAAACTCTATCTTTGCCTCCTCATACCCGGCTTTACCCTTACTCTTCTTCATCCCTTCCGACACAATATCGAACGTAGTGCTCCAGGCAGATGTTGCGAGTTGGACAGTTGCCTCATAGAAAGCCCATCTGCCAGACACCTCGCCCGTTGCCTCAAAACCAATGCTTTGCACATTCATCTTTCGCACAATTACACCTTGCCTTCTTTCAAATTGGATGATGTCCATTCTCAGCGCAGAAGCGGCACGTTCTGTCTCTATCGCAACTCTGGCGACAAATGCTCTCGTTCCATTGACGCTGGTCCGCGAGACGCAAGACACAGTATCCTGATATAGAATTGCGTCATTCACAAGGTATCCGTGGCCCTCGTTGGTGTATTTTGTGGTTTTCTTCTTGGACGGGACCGTCAGGTGGATGTTGAACATGCTGATTCCCGTGGCAGCCTCGATAACCGTCTCATACTCGTACCAAGCAAAGGTTTCTCCGTACAATCCAGTGGAGTTTCCTGCATACTCTGTCTCGATAACCGTGGCACCTTTTCCTTTTCGATTGGCGTAGGTGAGGTGGACAGAAAGATCGGTTTGATCTCGCCCCTTTTTGGCACCCTCGGTTGTTCTGACCCGAACGCGACCAGCAAATACTAAAGAACCTTCGTCATTCAAGTATAGCTTCGTAATATTGGGCTTGATGTCGATGGCCTCAAGAGGAGAAGACAGCTTCACACCCTTTGGAACTGTATCGATCATTCGGCTGAAGATCTTTGAGCACTTAGCTTCGAAAACTGATGGCTTCCGAGCCAAGGCGGTCATCGTCTTGTTGTTGTCGGAGCCGAAGATTCGTTTGTCAGAGTTGACTGTGTCGTTTGTTCCAATAACGAGCGGGTTGGTCGTTGTCCCTTTCACATATTCTGTCGCAATGCTGTTATCAAATTGATAAGGCGAACTATCAAAGGTCGTCACGGTGTCGTTGTAAATATTTGTCGAGCCCTTTGAGATCTCTGGGAAGTTCACGCTGTGAACGCCACCAAGGGTATGCCCGCATGCTACCATGGTGATCATATCTGATTGGCTGTATCCTGCTGTCGCGAATCGACCAAGCATCGTTTTGAGAGGAGTGTGCGCCTCGGGAACGCCCGCCTGGCCGGCTTCGTTGGCGTCGATTCGTCCATAACGGAAGGGGATCTTAGTTGAGCCACCGCAAGAGCTATGTGAAACAATCACGCTCATGGCGAGCAAGTCTGCCGCTGAGGCTCTTGAGGAATAGAGAAAGTTGAAGAAGTTGAAAGTGTTGTTGAAAGCAAGGCCACCGTTCTCGGCGCGGTTCAGCTCGAACCATATAGAACCATCAACACCGCCAGTTCGCTCCGTAGAGTCATGTGTGATCATGTCGTGAAACGCGGTCCGGATCCATTCCGCAGCGTTCTGTCGGCCCTTCACATTGCCTCCCTCAGAGCATGGGACGACTCCTGGTGAAGTGATTTTAGTATTATGGCCTTGCAGCTGCTAGTAAGCAAGAGAACTCACCATCGGCAAAACGTCTAGAGAGATAGCCTCCTTGGAGTGAGAAGATTTCTTCGATCTCGTCGTATTCTGATGGCCACACATATTTTTTGGCGGTGGTAAAGGACGTGAGCACGGCAAGAACGCCTGCGACGAAAGTGACCTTCATGTTGACTCAATGGATTCAGAGTCTTGAAAGTAGGTCATTAGAAAGAATGAGTCGTAATAGTACACCTTTCTTAAAGACTTTTCTATTCAAGGGCTGTGTTCCTTTTAATAATTTTGTGCCTTTCAGAGCGTCCTGCATGTACTAATATCGGGGGGTCGATGGGTCGGCCAAGACCGAATACTCGGCGGAACGCTGCCATATCGAGTTAAAAGCGCGGGCGGCAATTCCCATCATGGACTGTGGGCCTTCGGGACCGACAGCCATCAACATCCCGGTCGGAGATGATTAGAAGATTTTTTTTATCAGATGGTGGCCGATTGATAAATCCCTCGTCGTATTGGGTGGGCCAAGAACTTCCGTCCGAGCCCACAGCCCACTTGGTGTTACCATCAACCCACCTTGGTCTAGATATTGTAGGTAAGTAAGGGAGCTGAACTTCCGCGCATACCTGGTGGCTTCCAAACCATGGGTCCACATGGATCCGGTGCTTCGGTACACCTAGACTTTCAGCCAGGAGCTAGACGTATTAGCTTGTGAACGATTTGATACCCTAGTCTAACTAGGAAAGCCACGACGGGACTCGGGATTCAAGTATGTGAGGAATATCAATAGATGACACCGAACGACTTTGCAGATAGACTTTGTTTCTCGAGCAATGCTGTACGGGGATATCACAAAGATGAGCTGATGGTATGTATTCCGAGACCCCGACCCGAGAGTAGCCTCATGCACATAGGTCGAATCAACTGCGCGATTTCTATCTGAAGAATTAACATGTGATGTATGCATGAAGACGACTTGACCGGATGGGACCAGGCATTCATAAGCACATCTTCAATTGGTGCTTGGCTCCTCTTCTTTAGCCATAGCCCACTGTTCTGCGGGTACGCTTGTTCTAGACTTTCTCTTTCCAGTCTTGACTACCTCAAATACGTTAACCCGAGATGACCTTAGAACTCCAGGCCTCATTGGGTTCATATGCAGCTTAGTCTTCCCCAGCGAGTGCCGTTTCTTGCCAAATCAAGACTGGACGTGCAATGAAGGATATCTACATGAAATAATGATACGCTTAGGAAACCAGCTAGCTCCCGGCCATTGAACAGAGACTCCAAGGTGGATGAGATATTAAGAATGACCTCCATAATCACTTACATTCTACAATTGCAAACGCATGATCTGAAGCTATTGTTCGCTAGGAGCTGGACACGATCCAGAACAGGGTACAGCGAAATCCTCCACACCTAACCCAGCCCCGTGAAGGAGCACATCACAAGTTGGATGGCAGAAAAAACCAAACGCAAGACTAATATCGTTTCCTCTAGTCACTTCTAGCGTGCCGTACAGTGCAGTAGGGGCTCATAGCTGGATCGCCGAGAGGGACAAGAGACCATTGATAAACTAGTATTTCCGATATTTCGTCAGGACACCAATAAACCACACAATTGGCACAAAATATGGGGTGGTTGACGCACAATGAACACTAATCTATTTATGCTAGGATATTTGTAGACGGACAGTCTCTTTTTCTGCAAGGCCATCGAGGTTGTAGGTGCTTCCGATAGATCATGCATCCCAATGTAGGTATGAAATGAGGAACATGTCCTCACATGTGGCAAGGTTTATACTTGGGGCCGTGTAGATCCCAGCAATACATGGCAACTCCGCCCGATCTTGAAAGATTCGAAGTTAAAAACCAGCTATGGAGTATCACAGAGCGCGTTACTACATGGGCTGCAATGTGGGCTGAATTGGTCTAGAGCCGGTGGAGACTGGCCAGGGTTCAGTGGTTCTGGCTCGGCCGCCATGGTGAGATTAAAATTAAGCGTAATCCACCTCTTATTAGGTACTGCGTAGTGCCTGTATCTTGCTTTCAAGACCGGCGTCACCGAGGAACAAGCCATGATGGCTTGTGAGCACTCTACGAGTATCAATCAGCAAATCAGAAGGACTTGATTATATACCTACTCATTGTTCGATTGATGCCATCTTGAAGCCCTTTCTTATTAGTAACATATTAACACGACCAAGCTTGCGAAGAATGTCCTCGGTCCCCGAGCCTCTCCGACACATGGTAGCTGGGTACAGGGGGGGCTGTTAGCCCATGGTCGAACTCAGTCTCCACCCCGACTTGAAAAATCGTGTGATTTACTCGAATTTCCCTGTTTGTCTGCTTTTCAAATACCGCTATTCCTTGGTCCAATCAAGCAACTGAAGTCCTAGCTCATGTTGTATACGACTCTTGCACCGTTTCGGAACATGCACTACGCCGCAGTCGTCAGCCACGCAAAGGACGGTGTGCTGTACTTCTCTGCTCCGGCGCGCCCGTACAAGGATGTTAGGGCAAGTTTAACATGCTTATCGAAGCAGCCATCTTGACAGGCTTCCAGTCTTAAGCGTATCTAATCATTAGTACACAATAACCACCCCAGATCAAGCTTGACGAAGAAAGAGAGGGGGTCCTTTTAGGGTTTTCAGTAACTTCATTGAGAATTTCGAAAGTTGAAGAAGAATTTCCGGAATATGTGAACTCTCTAGTGGAGCTTTCCAATTTTGCAAATTTTACATCAATTGAACCCTAGCAAGCCGTCTTTCGTGATTGGAGCTAGTTACCGCCAAAATTGTAGGTCTGCTGGTGAAGCGTGCCCAGAATACAGGGTAGCGGCAGAGAACTGGATCGTCTGCTTAAGCAACTTAACTCACCCATGAGGATAGCAATTCATGGTTCGGATTTCTGCGGTTTCTAAATTAAATAGCAATATTTAGCATTCGTTGATTTGGTTTTCTGTTAACCCCTTGGCTTATAGCGACGTTGAGCTTCAGAACATGGAACTTCCCAATCCGGTAAGGCCCTCCACGCTCGTCATGCATCCATCCCTCACGTGCGGAGTCACCAAAGGTTAAAAAGTCGGCCAATACAGACTCTTCTTTTACTCTTCTTTTACTCTTCTTAATAGTCCTTCAATTTTGACAAGCATATATCAAACGCATATAGTATTAACCATTTCTTGAACATGCCACGTCCTTTGAGTAAGGACTCTTGGTACGCCGCACCCTGATTTGAAGCCTGTCTGGGAGCCCTTGCCAACATGCAATAGCAACACTTGCCGACGACGCAAGGTAAAATGTGAGCAAAATCCTGAAAAATCTCTGCACAACAAGAAACAACATCCTGATAATTGAATAAGGTGACCAGAAAACGCCGGTGTGTCAACAATGCACGAAGTCCAATCGTTACTGTGATAGATCGGAGAGATCAACCGAGTTTCGTCCGTCCCGGCTGGAAGGCGTTGCAGGTAATTTCATAGCAATATGATTCATGGCCATGATATTTTAAGAACCGATATTAACCACAAAATGTAGCACAGAGCCATCTTGCATCTATGACTCCGCGTGGCGCTCTCCACGATCAGAAAATTGCTCGTCTCTTTGATCACTATATCACCGACTTGTCTAAGTGGTATGATCTGAGCGACTCCATATCGACATTCGAGGTCATTGTGCCTCGGATTTCTCTCGAAGAACCACTTCTGTTCTACGCGATAATTGCTCTATCAGCGATGCATCTATGCAAAACGACAGCCAGCAGCTTCCGAACTACGGCAGAACTTTACCATGGCCGATGTGTTCAGTTGCTCATCACAATCGATGAAGACGACGCTGTGATGAATGGGGGTGTAGCTCTGGCAGCGACGTGCCTGCTGAGGTCTTATGAGATTCTGGACAGTAAGTGACCACAATGGAATAAGAACCTCTTTATCGGGAGATGAAACTCGGCTCTAAAGCAAAGTAGGCAATATTGATCCTAATATGCACCTACGAGGGGCCTACTCCATGGTATCTGTACACGATCTCTTATCCGGCGACTTAAATCGCGGCCTGGTTGCGGCTGGTTTCTGGAATTACTTACGAGAAGACATCACATTTAGTCTCTTCGAGAATTGTCCACTAAAAATGGACTTGGAGTCCATTTCGATGATCATAAAGCATGATTCAGATCAGGATTACCTCAATTCCATCACGCTAATATTGGGCAAGATCATAAATGTGGCATTCCACCACCCGTTTACGGTTCAAGAATGGGAGGCTGCGCTTGAGATGGTGCGGCAGTGGTCTTCAACTTGCTCGGAACGATTGCAGCCCTTTTCAAAACTACCGGGCGGGCCTGGAACAAATGAACTATTCCCTCAAGCGTGGTTTCTCCAGCCGTGTCACGGTACGTCGGCGTCCTGATTCATCACATCGATCAATCGCTGACAACCACAGCGGCCGCGATGCACTACTACTTGATCGCACTCATGATTCTAAGTATTCATGCGAGTTCTCAAAGTTTCGAAGGCCTCCAGGCACTTCATCTCCACGAACACGATCAAAAGCCGAAAGACGAACTTGTAGAGGCGTTTGCCCTCGACATTTGTGGAATCGCGTTCACGAACAAGACTCCATCGGTGATTGTGAACGCATTTGGCCCAATCTCATATTGTCCGTACAGTACCTAGGCTAATTCAGCATCTACCAATGCTTACTGACAGAGTCTTTTAGGTGCCAAGTCCATACAGGCTGAAGCGCCCCGCCAAGAGCTCATCCGACGACTTTTGACCTACAAATCAAGCATTGGCTGGCCAGTCCAACGGCTCGTAAATGACCTGGAGACTTCGTGGAGGGCTGGAGAAGCCTAGTTCCAGAGATTATGTCACATGGTACACATGAAGCCCAAATGGTGCTGTGCTCAAGTGAGGTCTGCCACTAACTGAATGGGGAAAGGAATTCCGAGCTCGGGTTTCCTGCATCACCAAGTCATCCACGCAGAAACTATAAGTGAGGAGCCCATCCTCTGCCCAAAATGCAATTCTACATTCTCGTTTCTTCTCTTGATTAATTCGATTCTCCTCATCTTCTTAACAATGGGTACTGCGCTGTTGACTCGATCACTCTTCTCGACCCGTATGAAGGGGCGACGATTCTTTGCATCAGCAACACACAGTATGCTACCCGCAGTCATCCGGCCCTCGAGGGCGGAGATAGAAGGCTTAACTCTCAACTCCAGGAACCTTGAAATTGCTGTGCGTCACATGCATGAAGATGGCCTGGTAGTCGTCCAGGATGTTGTCCCGCATGAGCACCTCGACTTCCTCAACTGGAAGATGGTCCATGATGCTCAAGTTCTTCAAGATCGTGGCGAGAATGGCCCATTCAACTATAACAAGGGCAACATACAACAAGATGCGCCACCCGTGGCTGAGTACTTCTTCTCGTCCATCTTTGCGAGTACGTCTCACCCTCTTGGGACTCCTCTTTGGGAATCCTCTCACGCTATTGAACATACATGACTTACACAATGATCAGACCCAATAGCAACGCAGATAACATCTGCCGTGCTAGGGCCACGCCCAAAATGGACATTCTGCTCGGCAAATTCAGCTATGCCAACTCTTCCTGGCGAATGGCCCCAGAGACAACCTGTTCATTCTGATGCCGACTTTGCTCACCCAGCCCACCCGTTTGCCCTCGTGCTGAATGTTCCCCTCGTCACCACGACACCAGAGAATGGGTCCACGGAGATTTGGCTTGGTACTCATTCCAAATCCGGAGTCGAGGCGCAGGAGGGTTCTCACGGCGAGCGTACGAGTGGTCGCATCAACGAGGGACTTCTTCACCAGCGACGGGAGGTGGCACCCCCAGTGCAGCCCGTCATCAAGAAAGGCAGCATTGTTATCCGTGATCTCAGATTATGGCACGCAGGGATGCCAAACTCAACTCGAGATATTCGCGTCATGCTGGCAATGATTCACTTTGCGCCATGGTACCGGAACAAAATGAGGCTTCAATTTGGCGAGGATATTAAACCGGTGCTGGATACCCTCGAGCGGGAGGGGAAATTGGGGCTGGAGGTGCCAGTTGACTGGTTGGATAGCAAGGAGGCGATGGGCAGTTACTTGGACAGGGGATTTGGGAACAGCTATGACTTTGACCAAGAGCATTGATGTAGGATTTACCGGGATGTTGGGGTTGCAGTGTGGGAAACGTCACTCGTTAAGTTACTTTCTATCTGACATTCGTTTTTAGTCTTGCTTATCTCACAATAAAATTGTTTCCGAAGCAGAGAACTTCTTTGGGCATCAGCTGTTTGGCCGACGACGTTCTTGGGCACTGAAAGCATACATAATCCACAGATATACGAAATGCGCTGGAAATTTACATCTTGATGGCTTCTATGTATCCGTGTATCCATTACATACCTCAAACAAGACAAAACATTACAATCCCAGGACAAGTCGCCCATTGTACAATGGAGTCGTCCAACACTTTTGGTATCCTTCCAAGTTTCCGCTGCCCATGCTCATGTATCCAGGCATTACGCCGTATTCTCGATCGTGGAATTGTTGCTCCGTAGCAGGTGTCGATGCCAACCGTGGGCTCACAAGACCCAGGCCACGAGGGCACAGCTTATAGCTGGAAAGCTCCGATGGCGGTGGCAGAGAAGAGCAGAGCGCCAATGGCGAGGCCCAAGGTGTTAACACCAGACTGAGGACGGACGCCGGGGGCAGCGCTGTCAGAGTTGGTGGAGCTGGAGCTGGAGCTGGAAGTGGAGCTAGCATCGGAGTCGCTGCTCTTGTCGGTGGAATCGCTGGAGTCGGACTTGCTGGACTCGGTAGAGCCGCCAGCAACAACGACGGTGGCCGAAGCAGTGGCGGCGAGCTTGCCGTCAGCAGTCGCGGTGGCCGTGTCGGTGGTGTTGCCGCTGCAGAAGACGGCGGAATCGGCAGCGCCCTCCTTGTACAGGCACTTGGTGAGCTCGGCGATGGTCTGGTCGAGGGCGAGGCAGTAGAGGCCGCAGTTGTTGTAGTAGCTCACGACGTCGGCATCGTTGCAGCAGGCGGCCATGATGGAGGTGTGGTTCTTGCTGTAGGGCATGGCGCAGACAGCATCTTTGATGGGAATGTCGTAGAGGGTGGCGCCACAGGAGCCGGCGGAGGCGGAGGCGGAAGCGGAGGAGACGGTGGTGGACATTGTGGCGATTGTTGAGGATTGGATGATTGGATATGGGGTTGCAGGTGTGAGAATGTGAAGAGGTGAGAGATGTGAGCAACGATGATCAAGTCAAGAAATGCAGAGCAGAAGAGCACTTTGTCAATGAAATATTTAATCATAACAAAACCACCCCCTGGCTTGCGCTACCACTAGCTCTGACCTGTTTTCGGTTTTTGGTGGTGGCTCCCTATTAATAGGGCGCATTAGAGAGTCACCTTCTAAGTTTAGCGCAGTCAGCGATCCTCAGCTGTTCGTATTTATCCCTGCGTAGATGAGCCCTGCCCGCGCCTTGCCCGCGCCTGGTTGCCTCGCCATCAGGGAGGGAAAGCATCCAATGCGGCCCGAAACTCGCCTGGGACAGCGGGCCTTCCTTGATTGAGTCTGGGATAATGAACCAGCATCAGGTTCGTCCGCTCTCCCATCCATCACGTGGTCGCCGGAAGCGTGTCTTGCACCTGGTTCGCATCAGAAGTGGCTTCCCTGCCCTGCATTTGCAGCGCCACACAGCCTGTCCGTCGACGTGGTTGCCCCACCAATATCCATCGGCAATGTCCTTCCGTTCACAGTCCCAAACCACATCATCGATCTGCCTTTATAACACGTCATGCCACCAAAACACTGCCGCTTGAGGACTAGCGCAATCCTTTGGTAGGTACTCATAGAATATTCGGGCGAAACTCGACGTCCCTGATCGTCCATCAGGATCCAAGACGGCGCAGATGGTTCCCTATGTCCCTCCAGACCTGCTCAAGACTGGTACGAGCCAAATATTGGACGGCGAAAAGTAATCAAGATTACTGCTTGGTAACGTAGTAATGATTTCGTTGTTGAACAATTCGAAGATGAGATCGAAGGCGTTGGCCGATGTACCTTAGGAGGCCTTTGTCGAGCAGTGGTAGTGTATCTGGAGTTGATAGTTTCTTTGAGGCTGTCTTGATGAACAAAACACAACAGAAGGCAGTTAGAATGTGAACAAATGTACTATTATTAGTCTCCGTTTTTGACACTTCTCAACATCACTCATAACACAGGTCGACGGTATGTCGGTTTTTGGTGGCCACGATGAATTTCGCTTGCTCCCAATCGAAGACAAATTCCTGAAGACCTTGTCTATATCCAGACCTCTGGGTCGTCTCAAACCTGTAATTGGCGAGAAGAGAATCAACGACGAATTCGTGATACGTTTGGGGATAGCGGCTATTTTGCAAAATGCACTTGCAACATTGCTCGCTAAGAGCTTGTCATCGTTGATGACATTAGTTATTAACACAATATGCATGGACGTATTTGCTATTTGCTTATGGTGACTGTTCAATGAACATGTTCGCCAAATCTCTTTGCCCTCGCTCCCAATTGATGGTATTGCTTGAAATCATGGGGAATTCGCTTTTCGACGGTACGGAGTGACGAGTAAAACTGGGATACTAGACTCTGCATAGCTTTGGTGAGAGAAAACATAGTGATCTAATATCGAGAGAGTAGCCACGGAGTATAAATTTCGTCACCAGATGGCTGGATTCACCCCTCTCCTCGCTAGCTGTGTTCAACGTGTCAGGGAGAGGGACAAGAGCCCGGACACCTAAACCCCGGGATTTGATTGAAAACTAAACTCAAGCAAGTCATGTACGTTTGAGAATCTGAGCGGCGTTGCATTTTGAAAATGGCGCTTGAAAAAAGGTGGACAAACTTGAACCTTCAGGGCCCGGTGCAGGACGGTCAATGCGTCTCGCGGCATTGACTCCTCTTGGTCAATGTGTTGACAGTCCCGGTAGTTCTTATTGTTGTCGGATGCGGGGAAACAGAAGGGATGAAGTTGATAATCTCTTCAATCATGTTTAGTTTTTGCCAAGGGAAGTTCGGCCGAGATCGCCCCGGAATCCGTGGGAGGAAGAGGCCTTGGCGTCTCCTCCGTACCACGAACCCAATTGAAATACACTTGACGAAGCACAGTAGAAGAGAACAGCAAATTGATCCAATCGCCTCGGCTCGGGCGGAAACGGGTTTGTAGGAGAAGCGAGGTGACGAGTTGACTACTGTCGTGAGACCGGCGTCTAAGTGCCGATTGCCGTTCCCGTCTGGTGAAACCGCGGGTGATGTTCAGGCGTTCGCACGCCTTCAGCCCAGCCCCGCAATTGACGATATATCGGAGAGATAGCCAAGCGTAAATACCAAGGAGCGCATAGATATTTATCTAGAAGCATCCAAATCAATCACACCATTTTGCCTAAATCTTCCCGAAGCCCGAGAAAGCATGGCACACACCAACGTCAGCATACGAACATTACCCCTCCGGAAGCCTTCTTCCTACCTATCAGCGGTGTGGAGAGATTAAACCTCTGCTGGGGTCCGGAATATTACGCCGGCATTGCGTCCAACGCAAGGCGTTCCGTACGTGCGAATGGAGTATTGACGCGGCAATGCTAGACCTAAGAAAGCAAAACACCGGAGTTTCCGTCCGGCGATAGGAAATTGATTCGGAATAATTCCACAAAGCCCGTCCCCACATTCGGCCGGGAGTCATACCGTAGCCATTCGGTATGGCTGCGGTAGTCAGGAACCCGGCGTTGGGTCGGAGTGGTCACATCGCAAATGCCGGCTCCCTCGCCCGTCGACGAGACTCTGCCCCTTTTCTTTCGTCACCTTCTTCCGAATGCGGTTCGTTTTGCCGATAATCTGGGGAAGCGGGCTAATGCAGCTGCGTCGAAAACGGGCGCGGATTGGCCCAGGCGATAGCTCGGCATTTCGGTGTCTGGGCGCACTGGGCGCTTCCGCTAACTCAACCGACTTGATGCCATCCTTGAATCAGTCGAAGATGGGAGAATCGATCGAAGCTTGGGGCTTACCCCTCACAGCGAGGGTGTGAGGGTGTGATGGAGATGCAACCTACCCCTCACAGTCATCGCCGTGCTTGCGTGCTCGCCAGCATTTATATCTTCGAGGTGCTTAAATAAGGTCCGTCCCAACTTCCTCCTCTCAATTCTCACAATGGCCACTATCCGATCCACAATCTCCAAGCACAAATCCACCGCTCTCCTCCTTGCCTCAATCATCCCGGCTGCTCTCGCCTTAGCTCGGTTCCAACAACAACGAAACGCTCAGAAAATGGCCGTCTCTCTCCACCCTTCCATCGACGGCGGCATCACCAAGGGAAGCTCCAGCTTCTCTGGCGGAAAGCTTCGATGCCTCTGCAAGAGCAACCCCGTTGAGGTCACCCTTGGCGGCAACGTCCTCCACAACCACGCCTGCGGCTGCTCCAAGTGCTGGAAGCCCGAGGGTGCCGTCTTCGCCGTCATCGCCGTCATCCCCAAGGACCAGGTCACGGTGACGGCAAACGGCGACAAGCTTCACATCATCGACGAGAGCGCCGTCATCCAGCGCCATGCCTGCTCTACATGCGGTGCTCACCTGTTCGGCCGCATCGAGAAGGACCACGCCTTCAAGGGCCTCGATTTCGTGCACGTTGAGCTGTCGGACGAGAAGGGATGGCAAGAGCCTCAGTTCGCTGCCTTCGTCTCATCTATCATTGAGCAGGGCTACGACGCATCCAAGATGGACGCTGTCCGTGCTCAGTTCAAGTCTCTGGGCCTCGAGACCTACGATGCCCTTTCTCCCCCTCTGATGGATGCCATCGCTGGCTGGACCGCGCAGAGCCGTTTGTAATGACTGACATGTCATAATATTATGTGAAATAGAGTTTGGCGTACCTAAATTGATGTAGTTTTAGGATATTAAAAAGCAGTTGTTCTCAATCATTCCCTTGCCAAAAGCTCCTTGCATGTTAAATCTCTCATCTGTGCGTATCCAATTGACAGGATCAGATCAGAAGGACCGTCTTTCGACGCTGCAGTTTGGTCTGAGTAAGACATGTAAGCGACTGGGGATTCAATGAATTGAGCCTCTGACGCGTTCGATTCCGCCGACACCGAGGCAGTCCTCATTGTGGCCTGCCAATTGGACGTATGTTCATATTCAACAATAGCACACCCAATTGAGGCCGGAACCTGAAGATAAAGTGTCTAAAATACAGACACCTTGCACTCAAATTTGACACTGATTCCTTTGCATGGACGATAGGGCTGAGCGAGGTAAGCATAATATTACGGGTAACATCATCTAAGCAGCCACAACGGAGAGCACAAGACACGAACCAAGCAATTATCGCCGCTGAGTTTAAACACGTCATCGATTACATCAGTCTCATTGTCACATAACATCGTGGTGGCAGAGCTGACCTAAGCTCTCAGCACCACACGTAGCTTCACAGCCAATCAACCATCCCACTTAATACATTGACATCTTGGTTTGCACATTATTGCTGGACCATCACCTCCAAGTGACCGACCGAAGTGTGAGTACCAGTTAGGCCTCCGTGTTCCCTTGATTATGTGTGGTTGGAGGTGGCAATTCGTTGCTAGTGATGCCATCGGGGATGGGAAGTCTGGCCAAGGAGGGGCTCAGCAGGTTGAGAAACCACATGAGCAGCAAAATAACGATGAGGCGAGCCGGAAGAGAGCTCAAGAGGGACTCTGATGACGGTTCTCGCTTTACGTGCCTGGCTACCCTAGTGTCTGTGTGGTGAAGCGTAGAGTCTGGGTTGTCGAGGAAGTGTTCATTCTGGTAGTCATCAGAAGGATCGTCGTGATCCTTCTCCTGCATATTGGATAACTGAACTCCATCGATAGTTTCTAGTTGTGGTTTCGTGTCTAAGATGATATTGATGAGATTTCCTGTTGCTTTCGCCGTCCTGGCGCTGATCCAGAGGAAAACCGGCACAATAAAAACGAGGGACCTCCACCGGTCCATAAGGGATCCGTCGCCCTTGAATGCGTCAATGGCAAGGACGCCTTCAGTGTCAGCCGCAAGCAAAATGTGGAATTGCAGTGCGTATACTTCAAGGGAGCATCGACCAAGCCAGGCCATCGCCTTTGAGGAGTAGTTGCGGAGCGGGCTCGTGGCGTTTCGAATGGCGATGAAGGCCAATATAGGCACAGACGAGGTATACGGATGCCAGAGACGGTAGTCGCCCATCGAGTCAAGCTTCGTTGAGTAAGTGAACCAGTAGCCCAACATGATCACGAAGGCAACCAATGCCACCGAATGTCGCAGGGCCAGGTTCAGGGCTTTCTCGGTCGTGAAATTTGCTACTGCGGCGAGCATGCCGATGTAAACAATAAAAAGGTCCGACGAAACCCGAAACTCCCACTCCTTGAGGCTCCATTCGATCTTGAACAAAGTTCGGAGGACAGCGAATGTCCATTCGGTCAGCGGGGACCCAAGCACAACGAACGCGACGACGACGACAGAGACGCAGATCTTGACGAGAATCAGCTGGACATCGTGGTTCCAGCTACGATGACCGACGGCCATGGTGATGTAAATGACAATAAACCAGAAGCTGGCAAGTGGCGAGAAGTAATAGAACATGTACTCTGTGTTCATAAAGTATGCCAGCGAGCATGTGAGGAGATTGAGACGGAGGAGAACGGCCGCCACACGCTTCAAAGAATAATCCTTCTTTGTCAAGAAGAAAGTGGTGTGCCCATATCCAGTCTGGAAGAGATAGGCGGCGACGAGAAGCCGGACGAAGATGTAGAGCATCGGTGACCGTTCGGCAGCGGTCCACTGGTACACCATAATCACACACTGACTCCAGCCCTTCCATTCTTCGGTCTGCTCTCGGGACAAATAGGGTGAGTCTACCTCGACTAATAGGACTTCAGGTTTGGGACGTGATCCCCGCGACTTGCGGATAGTAGCGAGGGCAATGGCAATGCAGGGGATGCAGAGAATACTAAAGTCAGTGTATGACCATAGTTTCCCACCCTTTGCCATCATTTGTGTACGATCAGCGTAGTAGCACATCAGCAGCGCCATGACAAAGGAGCCCGTTTCCATGTTCAGGAGTCGCGAGCAAGGACTGTTGCGGCGAGTGACCAGATCCCATGTTTCACAAAGGACGCAGCCGACCAGGTATAATAGACCAAGAACCAGGAGCGTTTGCTGGACCGTTGATCTATTCCCGTAGTCGGTGCAGCAGGTACGATTGTACGGGTACCCTTTCTGACGATCAAGCTTGGCGTTGCACCGGAGGTTCAGGTAAATATTAGCCTTGGCCTCGGCGACAATGTCGATGGCATGCCATCCAAGGCTTGTGATATCGGCAATGGTTTGATTCTGATCCAGTTCAAGCCTCGGGATGGCCCATGCGAGGGGGAAGTTGAAGTCATCGGCGTTCTCGCGCAGGTATTCTCGATAGTCGGCGATTTGTGGCCGCGAAACCTTTATTTTCTTGCGCAATTTCTCGACATTTCCAGTGTAAATTGGGAGCGCGGGAGGGGCGAAGAAGAACTGGTTACCGATGCCATCGAGAGGATCCATCGGCGCAGTAGCGAAATCAGGCCGGCTGCCCAGGAGTTCGGACAGGCTGGAAAGATTGCTGGCGAACGTTTGCTTCAGCGCGACCGTGTCTCCTTTCGGATTCGTGAACCAAGGACCCCCTCCCATCACCAGAAGCGCGGGACTCTTCTGATCCGCGATGGGTACATGGTTCTTGCTTTCATCTCGGAACAGCTCGAGCTGCTCAACCACAGGTTCCCACTTTTCACCCGTGGTCTCAAACCATGCGTTCATGGAATACAATACATGGATTCCGCGGAATATGTAGGTGCCTTTTACGCCGAACTTGCGGTCGGTGACGAGCCTTTCCTCGTGGTATTCTACCGCTTTGTCTCGATCCAACTATGGGCAATGTTATTAATGGTCCACCTTGCTGAAGTAGGTGCTGATGAGAATAATACTTACGAGACGTCCAAGGCCGTAGACAACCTCCCGAGTGGTGGAGTCGCCGCTGAATAGGATGCTGCGGCCTTCCATGCACTGGCGGATGTCGGCCGAGGTATACTGGTGGAACAAGCAGCCGTCCGGCTGCCATTGTTTAAAAGGCATTCGATCCCCATTCTCATCTGGATGGTCGATCCATTGACCTGTTTCGAGGGTGGCGCGGCAGCGGTATGGATCGTTATCGGACGCGACGGCGCGGTAGGCGACAGCGGCGAGGAGTAGGACAGCCCACAGGATGGGTAGAATCCGAAAAATTGTGGCCTTCATCCTGCACGGCCCGCCGTATTACCTGTCCTGGAAGGGAAGGGAAAAACGGGGGCAGAGATGGTCAAAGTTGTGGATGAAGGATGGAGGGAGATGGCAATATTATAAGGGCAAAATGTGGTGGATGAGAGACACCGGAAGCTGCAAGGGGACACGCACGGTATGCAGATTCATATTGATGAACCCGACCCCCTTGGGATCCTCATCAATTGCGACTCCAGCCGCGACTGTTGGTCGAAGTGTCTAAGGACTCCCTTGTGTGGCGGAAGCGGCGTGCAATGTCTTATCCGCCCTGCATGAATGCCGAGAGCCGTCTAGTATTTACGACATGTCAGCGAAGGATGGAATGATAGCCATTGTTGTTCGGATGTTTGAAGTTATGCCACGGGGAACAAATAATACAATCGGAAGGGCGTTGCGAGATTTCGCGCGCAAATTCGCAATCTAGCCATGCTGGAGTTGGCCCCCGGATCATTGCGCAAGCCAACGAAGAAGAGGTTACAAGGCTCGACCCCTTGTTAGCGCCGGATCTTGTCGATCGGGCTAACCTAACATCCAATTGCTCCTTAAGTTAGACATGGAAAGCGCACCCTTTGGTTCATGTGTCGAGTGGACTGACCGGTCGGGTCGAGAAGATCAGCCCGTTCGTTGGCTGGCCGGGCTCCCGCCTGAGGCAACGCTCCATTGAGCCGGCTATTAGCTACACATGGGAGCAGTACTGGAAATAATTCGACAGTCCCATATCTGCAAGGCTGGTGGAGACATAAAGTCGAGGCACGTCATCAATATCCTCTTGTCACGTCACTCATAAAGATCATAAAATGACTGCGTTTGTGATACCAGAACTCCGATATTTATACTCCGTAGTGACTCTTGTGATACACCCGAAGCCCTAAACTGACCCAGACTAACCTCCACCCTGCTCGCGGTAGTAGTAGTTCTCGTGGTTGTTCAACTTCTTGCCATACTTGTAGTCGTTTGTCTTCCTGTTGAACGTTTCCAAATTGCGACCCCGCACCTCGGCCTTGCGCAAATCCTTCCTCTGCTGTTGGGAAGCGCCGGCCAGGCCAGCCACGTTTCGGGGCACCATCTGCCGTGCGCCGTTGGCTTTGACCAGACGACCATTGCCACTGTCGTCCGCTGCCTCAGAGTGCCCGTTCTCTTGAATGGCCAACTGCTCAGCCCGTTCATCCGCGGACGGGTGGCTGTGCAGGTTTTGGCGGAAGTACTTGTTCAGGGAACGGTGTCCCACTGACTTTCCGGTAGGGAGATGCAGCTCATACTCATCATAAAAGACTGCATGCGTGTGCTTGTGGGCGTGAGAATGCCACCCATCAGCCTGATGACGATGTCGTGGATCGTTGTTTGTGTGGTGGGGGTGCTTGTCGAGTCTCTCAAACTGGTGGATGTGGCCCTCTGCAGGCACAGCTGTGAGATCAGCAGAGTCCAGAGAGGAGGCTGAGCTGTCAGTCTCCCAGCCGTCGCCTTCGGCCCCACCCTCAATTTCCTCTCCATCATCACCTGTAACTTTGCGTGCTCGGCGAGCCCCAAGTTTGGCCCCTCCACTAGGCTCGTCGGCTACCGAGCCATCATCAGTTGACCCCTCGCCATCCGAGTAGGTGCTTCTGAAGTCGTAAAAGTCGCCAATCTCAAGCTGCTCCTGCTCCGTGCTGAAGGGAATCTTGCAGTGACCTTTGTCACGCATGTGGGTCTGAATGCCGAAGACGGTAGACTTGATCTTATCGCAATACAAGCACTGGTGGGCCTCACGGATCTTGTCTTGCAGTTGAAGAAGCAGACCATCGAAGTCGACCAAGTACTTCTTCTCGGGAATGAACATTCCATGGAACCGCTCCATGTGATGGGCGTTGAGAGGCACGGTGGGGGAAGAGTAGTTGCAGAAAAGGCACGACTCCAGGGTCCAGGCTGGCTCCTGGGCAGCCTGAACTGGGGTCGCTGAGTTGGAATCGCGCGCCTCAGCTGTGTCAACTTGATCAGGGGTGTCGGTAGATGGATGCGGGTTGGAGGGTCTCTTAACGGGGGACGGCCTCTGCTCGGAAACGCTGGCCTTTTGGAGGCCCTCCACGACGTGGTTGAACTCTTCTTCGGCGTCAGAGTCAACTTCTTCCTGGTTGACGGGCAGGGGCTCGCCGAGCGAGAATGTTGAGCTGACAACTGAGGTAGCCTCGTCGTAGGCTCTCTTGGGGACAGGCTCCCCACTCGTGGCCTCCTTCAACTTGTGTTTCTGGCTGGACAAATGGTTCTGGAACGCGTTTTCGCTGAAGTACGTCTTTTCGCAAACGTCGCATACGCGTTCGAAGTAGGCCTTGTCGGCTTCGGCAGTTGACACGGCACGGGCCTGGAGGACCTTTTCTGTGAAGACATCGGCGCCGATGGGGGGTAAGGAGGCAACTCGACGCTTCAGGTTATATCGACTTGAGGACATGGTTAGCCCTGGATTTTGGAGTTGGATGCGCAACAGTGCTCACTGCCAGTCACTCTTCATGTGGTTCTTTTGCAAGTCGATGTTGCGATAGGCGACCTGGCAAGTGTTGCAGGTGTAGGGGTGGGAGGCGGAGGTGGCCGCGGCGGCCTGCGTGGTCGCCATGGTGAGACGCCAGCAAGAAGGAACCACGGGTTCCGAAATGGGATGTGAAATACTTGTGAGGGGGAACGACGCAAGGCCGCAAAGGTGTTGAATTTGATCTCGAAGATCTGTGTGAGGGGGAAATATGGGATCAAGATGCGGCAGTAGGAAATTCAGCGATGGGTTGGTGGGTTTGGGCGGGCTGTGGCGGGCTGTGGCGGGGCTACACTGATAACGTCACACAACAACCGCATCGAAGGCGATAAATAAAGACTTTTCCTGCGCGACCCCTCCAGCCCCGCTCGCTGGAAGGACCCACCCATGGCATCGGTCACATGCTGACTCATGGTTCTTGCTCCGGTGGTCCCGAGTGCTGAGGTAAGGGTACCTCCATTTCTGCTGGGCCGGAGCTGTCGCCGCTTTAACCTATGCAGAGCTAAGGGCTCTGGCACTGTTCCCGCCCCCCTGCTTGTTTATGCCAGCACACTGTGCCAGTGCTCTGGCACACTGCCCAGCTCCAGACTCCAGGCAGACAATGTTAGTAACGCCAGCTTGTCTCAACACCACTGCCAGTTCTTATGAGTTACCTGGGCGATGGCGAGAGGCTCGAAGAGAGTCGTGAAGGAATGAACTACTAACTATTCCTAGCCTCACTTCTAGTTATATAGTATTGCTTTGCCTGGTCGCACCCCAAGCTCTCGACCGTCCTTGACATTTTCATAGGGCCATTATCAGATTAGATACAAGAGTGCTCATTTCAGAGCAAAATCGTCTCGATTGGTGTACCCCTTAGAAAAAAGATTAACCCTATAATAGGAGTATTTGTTCCTAGTTTCACGGCTGAAATCCTGAGGTGAGGATACCATCCAGAAGCGTGGCATCAGCAGAGGTGGCCAGGTCCCTGGGACGGGAGACAGGTGCACAAGCTTGAGGAGGGCTAGTCCAAAGGACTCATCGCCACTAACATATAAGACGTCATGTCCACCCAACTTTAAAGGTTTGTCGAACTCCGTTTCCGTTCAACTAAACTTAACATAGCGCCTACTCGTCATAGCAATACGGAACGACGCCGACGCCGAAGAGGAGATGAGTGTCGCAAGGAACTCGCCCAACATATCAGTAAGCTTCGCATAATCCCATTACCCTCTTGTACCCACCCCGGCCCAGGCTTGACTTGCTCTCTGCTGAGGCTTAGCTGGGCAATGGATAATTGCACGGGAATGGGCATGGGCATGTGCATGGGCTCGAGGCGGGTATTATCTTATTAGTGAGAGATATAACGGAGATAATATTTATTTCGAAGATGGCATAGATATGGTCTGGGGCTGCATCTATTAATAGCGTAATATGTAGACTGCTATTATAAAGAATTAGTAGGGTTATATAACTACTTGGAATTTCCTTTAATTTACATATTATTAACTAGAATATCCAACTTCCCTCTAGTAGTCTCCTTAACTTGTACTTTGTAGTTATTTATATTGTCTTAATTATCTATATTAAGATAGATTGCAGTTAGGCCTAGAGCTGCAAGCTTGGCGAGAGCTTTAGGCTTATAAGCTATAGCAACTATATTACAGTCTAGAATGTGGTAAAAGGTAAGCGGTTGAAAGATTGGAGGAGATAATGCTATTATATGTCAGACTTACTACAAGCTTGAAACTTTTATGCTGATACACAGCTAATACCGCCAGGTGAGCGGCTACTTGCTATTAATATAAGGCGTTATTGTTTTATATAAATTATAGACCTACCTAGTGATAAGAACTGATTTCTTAGATAGCTACATACTCATATTTGGATTTTTATAAAGAGGATAGCTGTAGCAGCTGGGATATATATAATTGAAGCTTGGCATTGAAGAAGCTCGGCCTGCAATGGAGATGGCCAGATTAATAAAAAGCCGATCCGTGTGGGGTGTCTAGGTGCCCATATATTGGCCACCGTATTCTCCATGTAGCTTGTCCAGGTTGGTACTTTGAACGTTGGGACCTTGGGTTTATTATGAGCTACATATTTTCACGACAGTGACTGGGATTCAACTGGCTACATAACTTCGAATAACATGATATCTTCACTATGAAAGCCATTGCTTCAAGTCTAGTCAGACTTTAATGTAAAGACAAGCGCCCTGACCTCGATGCTTTGCCTAGGCAGACAATTCGGCGAGCTCTGGTACTCAAACGAAGAGTGTGGACAGTCTTTGAAGTGAAGTCGATATTAGCTAGCTGAAAGGGTGGTATTGGGGTCGGGGGACGAACCTATTGCAGGGTGCGTCTCGGAGTCAAACATCTTCATCAGGATGGCCTCATTCGGTGACTGATTGCTCAGCCAGTGCCATTGCTGTCGGGTATTATGCTGCAAGAATATTGTCGAACCGATATAGTGTCGGCGGACGTGATCCGTCTCCACCTTATCTTGGGACTCGACGGTGCTCCCATCGCGGACGGCCAGGGGACACTCCTCGACGGTGTGGAACAACGGCCGCCAGATGCTATTGCAGAGTTCCGACATGTCAATGCACACGCAAGGGAGGGCTGCGGGTAAAATAGTTCAAACGCACTTGATGACACGGACTCGTCCTTGCAGTAGTGCATGGGCATCCTCTGGCAGTTGTCGAATGACTCGGTTGACAACTGCGACTGGGCTCTGATCTGGGGAAGAATTAGTACATCTGGTGATCACAACTACTCAACCGCCGAAGGGGGGGCGAGATGTTGAGCAACGCTTACCGATATGGGCTTGATCCACTGGAAGGAGCCATTGAGTCAAATCGCTCAGGTCGAGCGTGTCGCTGGTATATGAGCCCATGGCCATTCGAAGCTAAATAAACGCAAAGACATCATGAGCATCACGAGTTGTTCCCGTTTCCACATCCAACGAGAAGGCGTATGTAAGAAATATCAGGCATACCCGCCAGTCAAAAAAGAAGACCTTATCTACTCCATCCACGTGGCAACGTAGAAAGTCTTCCATCATCGGGAGGTAGTGTTTCTCCACCTCGGACTGATCCGAAAAGTCTGAGAAGGAGAGGACTTGGTCTGTGACATCGCGGTATGTGAATCCGTGTTGATTTAGCTGATACGTGTCCTTGAATGGACGAGTGTCGGAGAGAGTTACATCGTGGGGTGCGAAGACGAGGTTACTCCTGCGTAGATCATCAGCCTCCGGTGGTATGTCGACAAAGATGTGAAACGGTCTTTCCCTCTCATAGAGCTCCTGCCATTCGAGAAACTTGATGGATACCTTGATTTCGAGAGCCATGTCTAGAATAAGAGAGAGACGTCACGGCAATAACCTGTTAGGTGCTGGCAGAGAAAAGAAAATGACCGAAGAAAGGACCAGCGGGGTCTGGCGGGTATTAATCAACTCTGCACGAGCAGTATTCACTGAAGGATGCCCCGTTCGCGTTAATTTCAAATCTGATTCGTTAGACCGGTTCGGCCTTGCAGTTGCCTTGTCAATTAGGCAAAGAGCGGGAATTGATTGCACAATCCGATCACCCTCCTCAACACTCTTGACCGATTTGAGCCTTGCGCCCTTCACGCTAGGATGATAATCAAGTAACACAGACGAAAAATACAGGGAGAAAACCAACACGGCTCGTTAACCCGAAGTGTAGCCAACCATCCCTTTTGACTGCTATACTTGTGGTAGCCCAGCAGTGACTCGTCATAGCTGCGGTCTCACCGAACCACCAGCGTGCCCTGAGTCCCTGATCCCGCTGGACACTGCCAGGCTAGGCACGCTAGTGAATATGAGGTGATTTGGGAATGTGCTGGAAATATCAAGAGGAATCACTGATTATAGAAGCGCTAGGGGAATGTATCTTTTGCACGGTTCGGTCAACACACTTGGAGGGGACGTGTTTGCACCGAAATGGGACAACGAGCGTCCTGAGTTGTCCTTTCAAAAATACGTAAGACTAGGTTCAAATTCATCCCTGTAAAGCAATACGTTATTTCGTGCTCCCTAAGCACGTCCTACTTGTATCTTTGTATCTTCTACCATCAGAGCGGTGGCTTTTGGATGGCACCATCCCCAGCAGACTCGGCCACATCCTTTAAGAACACTTCTCCCTCGCTCAGGTAGGAGTCATGCTGCCAGGTCAGACGATCAATGCCGCCAGCCTCATTAGCTAGAAATGTAATTTTCTGCTTAGCCGGCTTCTAACTTGGGAACATGCAGGCCTTCAGGTCATCCTCCCGCTCAACATTGGGGCGGGCAAAGACATCGTCCTCGTAGTGTGCTAGGTCCAGGGTGACTGGCTTTATGCCTTGAAAATTCATGGACAAGCTGGAACTGTTGGTAGAGATATCAATGAACAGCGTTCCGATACGGTTCTACTACCGACCGACATACTGTTCAAGAGGCCTGCATGGAGTGCCTTGCTTCTGATCCTTGGCCATCAAAGCACGCATTTCCGGGTACCTTTTGAGGTGTGTCTCGGCTGCCTGCTTTGCAGGCGAGACATAGTCGTTGGGATTAGGTTCGCCCGAGACAGCTTCAATGAGCATCTGCCCAACAAAGTCTGCGACGTCCGTTAGAGCCAGTGTGTTGCTCAGAACCACGATGGCAATTTCTTCATCGGGTAACACGTGCACGGATGAGAAACCTCCAGCCATGCTGCCATTGTGATACCAAACTCGATTGCCGTTTGCAAATCGTGCCGCAACAGGGGTATTGCTGCCAAGATCTCCCCCGTTGGTACCGATGGCGCCAAGAGTCCCAGGAAGGGTGGTGAGGACGAGGCCGAGCCCATAGATTTGCTCCTGGGGTGATTTGGAGACGGTGATATGAGGCGTGACCACTGCGGAAGTCTCGACAAACAGATTGCCGGGAGTTAATGGGGAACCAGTGGTGGTCTGATGCGAGACAGCCTTGACCAAAGCCCCAAATAGACGAGGAGGTCGTTGGTGTTGTTCTTCAGTCCTTGGGCACCGGCCAACGACGTCTCGTCGGTAGTAGTAGGCCGAGGAATGTGGTACGGAGAGCCATTGTAGAGAGCGACATAGAAATGAGCATAGTTGTGCTCTGGGGGCACGCCGTAGGGTGCTTTGCATTCTTAGCTGGTCGAAGCATTTGGCTTTGGTGAAGGAGCCCAGGGACTCCCCCGGCTACTTCCTCGACAATGTTGCCAGCCAGACTGTACAGCTAATTATTGTACTTGAAGTCTTTGCGGAATGTCTCTGCAGTAGGTTCTAGAATGGCCATCATCTGTGAGGTCTGGTCTTTGGGGACGAGGTGAATTTGATGGCCCATTGTGATATAGGTGTTCTTGGAAGCAAGCGCAGTGCGGTGGGCCAAGAGGTCGATGATGGTGGCCTCACTCTCGACTTGTGGGCTCTCAGAGGCAAAGCAATCGAAGTACGCTTTGATGGGCGTTTCCCAGCCGAATTTGCCACGGTGGACCAGATGTGCCGCGGCGGCTGCGACAGTGACCTTAGAGAGGGAAGTAACGTGGTAGATTGTATCGCTGTCGGGAGCTGTTCGTGCTTGGACGTCGCGGAAACCAAAATTGGCTCGGTGAATGACCCGACCTGCCTGGGAAACGCCGACAGAGAGTCCGGCGTTTCCCGAGATGCTGCACAACGCATCGATCGCAGGAGCAAGGGCTTCGAGCCTCGACGTAGCGGCGCCGATATCCATCGTTGTGGACGTGTAGATTCCAACTGGGTGCTGGGAACCTATGCTTCACTGCTTCGGGAATTCGAAGCAGGACGACGAGAGAGGTGCTGACAGGTCAACGTGCCACTGGGTGAAAAGAACAGAAGACTCGGGAATTTAAAGCAGGACGAGAGAGGAGGCGTTGAGATGCCACCGCGCGCTTCTAGAGGAGCATGGAGGGATAAACGCAGTCGAGTCCTCTGCCTGGTTGCCCAATGCGCATGTAATATGGGTCTCGGCGGTGGCCGCGCCGGGTACAAGAACCCTACAAAGGAGGGAAGGCAGCGCAGGCCGCAATGTTACGGAACCTCATGTATAGGTCATATGTTATTGAAGATACCTTTTCTCAGTCTCGGAATGTAGTCAACAGCGATGGTGTATTAGTTCTGCAGTAATAAAGATTTATCTCAGCTAAGGCATCAGCGTTGGTTCAATTATTGTCATTTCCTAAGGGACCTGCATGAACGTGAGCGGCATTGATCTATATGATACCAGAACTCAAAATGGCCATGCTAGGTTGACATCCCCTTCCGAGCTACCTCTCCCTTTGTTATTCTCCCAATGTAGTCCTACTAGCACCTCGCATCGATCATGTGCGCCCGATCATAGCGGCAAAGCCAGGCACAGCCAGGCCCAGAGGGCATGAATCGATTCTAGCCTGCGATGAAACGATGATGCTCGCAGAAGGATGCATCGCAACCCACGGCACGTGCACGGAAGGAGGCAGGAATCTAAATAGCCATCAGTTGTAGTCTAAGGTATAGCCTACCTATAAGCAATCCAAGTCTATTCTCCAAAGGCGCACACTCTTCTTCGGGTCACCGAATGGCTTCGAAAGCCACCACTTCTTACGCACGATCTAAGTCAAGCCTCGGGTGCCTCCTCTATCTCGCGCAATCAGGCGCGCTGGATCATGGCCTCTCGGTCAGGACCAGTGCCGATGTACTTGATCTGCTTAAGTTTAGCAATTGCGGTGCAGACCAGTATGACCGCCCACTTACCTTGACTCCGACAAACTTCTCAATGTACTGCTGGTTGTTAGCGCCACTGTTCGTTATGCTAGCCCAGGTAAATATGCCCACCTCGACGTAATCGCGGGCCGCCATGGGCAGATCATAGTAGGTCCTCGCGTTGGTGGTCGGCGTTTGCCAGCCTGGCATCTCGTGATAAACCACCTCAGCACGGTTGAGGATGTCAAGATCCGCAGGGTAAGAGTCCAGTTCCTGTCCAAACGGTTAGCGTCTCCACAATCTCTCACGATCTCGTTGGCATCACTAACCTCTCCGTCGATCTTGTAAGCGATGGCGATCTTAATCGTTTCGAAAGTATCCAAAACGTCGAGCTGCAGAGTGTTAGAGCGTTTGACACGTGTCACAAGCATGCCATGGGCACCGTCTACCTTCGTGAGATTCAGGCTTGTATAGTAGTTGTTTACTATACTTGACAACGACAAGGTCTGTGTGTGCTTGTTAGTTGTTTTCCCTTCCACGCAAGGGTTTGAGGTCGTGCGTACCGAGCCTGGGAACTGTCAGTAAGTTTATTAGCAGCAACGAGCCATGATAAAACTCACCATCCACATCGGCGTCTGCGGCCAGTCGACGTTCCCTAAGTCTTGTCAGCAGCAGAAGCTCGAAACCTCCAGAGCGCTTGGGGCCTCACCCATTCGCGTCCAATCTCCTGGAGCTTGGTGCCGACCCTGTTGTCATTCAGCTTCAGAGTGGCTTCAAGATGGTAATTAACACGCACTCTTCGGTATCTTCGGTCTTGAAGGCCCCCGCCCCGACACGGGTGGTATCTGTTACCAGTCAGCGGTGAAATCACGGCCTTGGAGCAATCGCGACATACAAGCCTTAACCACTCCAATCGTCTCTGTGATGTTCTTTGGGTTCAGTGTGAGTCCACCAATAATACCAGCAAGCGTAGTACTTGAGGAAGTGACGAACTGTAGTTAATCATGAGTACTAGTGCAAACTGAAAGACCAAGTTGACGGAAACTTACTGGGTAAGAGCCATAATCAACATCTAGCATCAGTGCCTATTCAATTGTGAACAAGCACAAGCGCCAGGGCCCAGAACCCCTTTCCTTCACAGGAGACTTGACAGATACCTATCTCCCGGCATCGCACGTGGCATAGAGGTTTGACATGAAAATGAAGCCCCGGGATCATCTTAAAACAGGCTTTCTGAGCACAGTTTGGCTTGAACCTCGACACGTCACAACTGGGTCTGCTCCGAGATGATTCCAGGGCGCCATCCTCACATAAAATTGTCGTCAACTCCACTGAGCACGGTCGATAGCCAACAAGTAGATGAGTAGAAGCCAAGTCTCCGTGTGGCCCGAATCCTGCCGAGGCGGGAATATAATACACAGCTTGTTATAGCAAAGACCACTTATTGGGTTGTACCAGCGAAGTGATTGCTTAGACAAGTACTGTGTTCCGCCCCGAGCTAAGAATCCTTGCCGGACTAGGAAAGAGGACTGTGGGACCACGGGCACGGTGCTCGTTCCGCCAATAAGTCAGTACTATTTATTTAGTCAAAGGATGAGAACCTTACGTTTGCGCCTTCGATCACGATTTTCGTGTTGCTCTGCTGTGCGGATCTCATGAAAGACACGCCGTCCACGACGTACTTCTTCAGCGTCTCCCTGTACTCGTCGAAACGAGTAAGCTCAGCCTGAATGTCGTATTCGAGCAGTTCTCCGAAGCGCTTTTGAAAGCCATCGGCTAAGCGCCTCACCTTCTGCTCGAAAAGGTCACGGTGGAAGACGTCAGTCAATTTGATGCCAGTTCGCTGGGAAATTTAGCGCACAGTCCGCTCCCTTGTTATGACTATCTCTTACCGCTCTGCTTGTCTGATAGCAGGGACCAATGCCTATAGCGGACGTTAGACCTCGCTGCCAATGGCGTCGCTTGCACGATGATGATGGAGATTCTCCCCCCTATTGAGATTTGGGAATGCTTGCAATGAGGTGACAGAAGCAATAAAGGATGATGCGGCCAGGAATCACGGGGGTAGCGTACCGCGTCTTGTTGTTCCGATAGCTGCGTCTGGGGTAGACGTTAGTGCTGTTCCTCAACGACAACGTTGGACACTATGGGACGAACCTCCAAGTTCCCTCTCCTCGAGACCATCCACTGCTATGTGCAGGTCCAAGAGGACATTGACCCTGTCAGAAACAAGGATCCGATCGTGTACCGCGATCAGGCCCTAAGTTGCGTTGAGTTACGACGGGCCGTTGCGCGTTGCGAGTATCGATTGGGTTTGTTGGCTTACCTTCTCCTCGAGGTTGGCGAGCTCGCTGAAGAAACTTGGGCTAGAGGACAGAGTCAGTCTTCTTGGCATGTTCGGTTGAGAGGCGCGAGCCACGCGAGACATCAACGAGATGCCGATGTTGTAGTCGAGTTAGGGGTGGATGATTATATGAAGACTAACACGTGGAAGACTACGCCCGAACCGATGAAGTTCATGCTATGGTACTTGTTAGCGTTGCCGTTGCCAACTTAGACGATCATTATCCTTGACAAACCATTTTGGGTTGATCAGCCCCGAGGGTAAGAGGTGAAAGCTGACTCTATGTTAGCAACTACCCAGTCCTCCCACGTGTGCTGGTTCTCACCTATACGAAACTCCGTTTACCCTTTGCACCTATTAGCAACACATATATCGCGATCGATAGAGAGCGTTCGACCAACCGCACGACGTGCCCGGCATTGTTACCTCCCTTGACGTTAATTAGCAGGTATTTAAGCGCAAAGTTGTCGTTTGGGGATGTTTTAGGGATCGGTGGAAGCCGTTGGTCGACCGGATTCTGCCTGCGTTGTGCTTACCGCGGCTCGAGCACAGAGTTGCGCCTCCTGGCACTGTCCATCAACCAACTTGCCCTTCTGAGTACGCAGTATCGTTAGTGCCCGGGTGTCATCGGCTGTGTTGGGTTCTCCCCGAGTACTCACGCCTTCGTCGCCTGTGGAAGTCCTGGTCAGTATGATGAGATCGAACCGAGAAGCCCAGTTCTGCAGGTAGTAGAGAACTACTACTTTGAAAGCTGGTTTCTACACTAATTAATAATTATGTCGAATTAATATCTTATAATGACGGATCATCGGAGAATGCCAAGCTGGGTGAAGATTTAGAGTAATGCAAGTCAGCTTCGACTTGGTAGGCCTGGCAGCTACTAATAAGCTTCAAGCCGACAATGGCAGAGTGTCCGAGATCGCTCCCAACGAGTCACCCCACCCATTGCGCAGCGCACCATGATGAGCGAGCGAGCACGGTTCAAAGTGTTAAAACAGTCAACCGTTACTCGGTGCATAAAAACAACATCCCTTGGCGCGGCGCGAGTCTCTTTACCAGCCAGCAAAATTGCCATGCTACCTACGTAGCATTGCCGTTTTAAGGTTCCAGCATCGCCCGACCTCCAATCGAGGCCCTAGATTCCCTGCTGACTGATGAAAGCCTGTGCAAGAGCGGCGCTGCTCGTAGGTAGGTAAGAGCCAGGGCCGGGGTTGAGTTGACCCGGGCCGAGGCTTTTGATTGGGCAAGGCTTCGTTGACTCGCCTCCGCCACGCTCCCAGCCAGCGATTGATTGCCTGTGTGGCCCCAAACCTTTGCACGGCCCCACGGTCCAGGCTCCACGCGCGCTCCTCTTTGCGGACCCCCGGCCAGCAGCTTGTCGTCACGTCCTCGACCGATGACTTGCGTTGCGTTGTCGATGACATCGCCGCACTCTCGCTCCTAACATCCACTACCACGTCGCCGGGCCTCGATCCCAACAACACGCTACAGAGCCCGTCGCCTGGGATCTCGATGAAGTTGCCCATTGAACGGACGGAATGATTCCCTGACAGGGCCCTGATCACCCACCTCGAGTCCTCCAGCACCACCCTGCCGCTGACTTCCATCCTCCCATTCCCTCTCATCGCATCGCATCTGGCCTCTGGCTTGGCCGCGCAAACCCAACTTTCCATGACATGACTCCCAAGACTATCCGCGCGCCAGTTGGCCCCCTGGAGACGTCAAGCGACCTGGATCTCCTTGCTGGGCTGTGGCAGGAGGCCCCTTTCGCTCGACTACCTCCCGACGCGCCTACCGAGCTTGATGCCTATGTCCAGGACATCGAAAACCCAAGCCGAGTCTACGCCATCCACCGAGCCAGCCGCCGCAACGATTTCCAACTACTGGTTGAGAGGTATGTGCGACAGAGTGTCCATTACATGGCTCGAATGCTGACCTCATCATCTTAGGTACATTGCCCAGCTGCGAATTGGCTGTGGTCAGCCCAACTGCACGACGCCGACATGTTTCACTTCTCGAAGACGCTTGGCAGGCAGAGCACCGATCCGACGATACAATACCACGAGCGCCAGGACCCTGGCGGTATATTTGGCGAGCCAAGATAACCCCGAGGATGGATTATGTCCGAACCTTGGCAAGCAGAAGGAGTTGCCTGCTGCACCCAACAACCTGATATTCTCTGCCCGACCCCCTTCACCATCTCACCCGGAATTCAAGAAGGTTAACTTCAAGTCATCACCCGCCCGACGGAGGGACAGTGGCGCCGATGATGAACGACAACGCCATCCGACGACCTCCGAACAAACAGCAGGACAAAAAACGCCAGACTCTCCAACAACTGTGACCTCGAAAGACTCGGGCTATGGTTCCCAGCGATCGTTTCAGCTTGATGACACCCTCCCGGGCTCCTACGCTCGTGTGGTTGAGGGACCTACCAACAAAGATCACCGCTCATTTGCTGCTAATCTGTTCGACACTGTAGCCTTCAAAATGCTTGAGTGGCTGACGCCACGAGGCATTGAAGCCATGTCGCAACAAATGTCGGAAATCCATAGTAACGACCAACAAGGGATGTCTCTGCAATCTGATCTCGATCAGAAACTCTCCATCAACTCAAGCCAGCTTCAGGCCTCTCGGGAATCTCGAACGCCACAGTCCGACTCGCAAGCCAGCGCTCGGGAAGCCGACGCCAAAGTGAAGCGGCCACAAAGCCACGTCGAAGGTGCCACAGAAGAAAACTCACAGTCTGAGACATCCAATGCCAATAAACCAAAGTCCCGACGCTGCTCGTTACCAAAGACACGAACACCTTCGACATCAAAACCAAGGAGGGCAACTTCTTTAGAGCCGTTTCCGCCATCCGCGGGTTCAGATGATGCAAAATCGACTATCCTATCTCCTCGATTCAATAGCTTTCATGAAAAGCCCACACGACAGAAGACCACCCCTACCGTAACTGGACGAGGGATCCCTGAGATGCCAATTAAACCAGCTTTCTTTGAGAATGTTCCATCCCCAACGCCACAACCCGTTCAAAAGCTGAAGTTAGTTCCGGTCCTACCGGAGGACCCTTGCGAAAGGGACGTCCCCGAAATGCGAACTGCAACTCCGCCGAGACAGCTGTTGACTGGGCCGCACCCTCGAGAAGAGTCGGAGAAACGAAAGGTCGAAATCCCAGCCTCTTGGTTACACAACGCATTACCGCAAGCACTCTCACGACTAGATGTGGACACCGTTGAGTTCATGTGCAACGTGCTCCAGGAAGACGGCACCTGTGAAGACCAACTGGTTGTTCCAGGAGATTTGGGTGGCTCATATCCCAAAACTCGGAATCCCTCAAAGCCTCTAGCGAGACGGACCTCAAACGTCACTAAATCCTCTAAGAAGGAGTGGAAGGAATTCATACAGCAAACGATGTTCAACGTGCTTGGGAATCCACAAGCCACCATCGAGTCATTTTCTCGTGATGGCGAGCCGTTCGATTCCCAAACACTTTGGTACTGTCTGCATCGCCTAAGTCGTGTGGCTCCAAGTTTGGTGTTTCACAGCTTATGGATTGCTGCTGGACGCCTCTTTGTTCCTCCGCCAGGTCTGCAAACGTCCCGATCGGCCCAGTCGAAGGGTAACACTCGATCTCAGACTAGACTTACCGACGCCGAGGCAGGGCAGTTCATGTCTATCTGCATGCATGCACTAGTTGCGGCGACACCAATGGTACCGGATTCAAGGACATTATACGAGATGTCGCGTATTCGTGCCAACGGACTGACTCTGTCTGGCGGCATCTCAGTCGCTCGACAACCTGCCTCCCGTTGCCTCGACTATGATGACGCCTTCTCGAACGAGGTCGCAGTCAGATTGGCGCGTAGACTGTTCTGCGCTATCACCGCTCGTCGCTGTTTCACTGACATGGCAGGTCGTGGTGCCAACGCCGACGATCGAGACTCGGGCGTTGATGTCTTAGGGCCCTTGGTTCATGAACTGGACTTCCTCAGTTCCGGCTCCGCCCCAGTCCTTGAGTTTGCGCAGTCGGAGCGTCTCCTGCACGAAACTCGGGTCCCCACTGTGCTCATGGACTGGGCTCGTACTATCCTCCTCAACGAATGGGATGGACGTTCTGATTTCTCAATGGATGGCTCCTTCGGTGGAGCGTTGTCCTTCATCGAGACAATGCGTGAGTCTATGTTTCCTGCTTGTTTACAATTGTGTGTGTGTGAGTGTGCTAATTAGAGACAATAGACGAGAACAGAAACGTATTACTCTTAGGAGATATCCAGTTTCGAGTAGATTATCTGTCCGATCGTCTCGACTCTATTGAGATGCCCGTCGATTGGTTGACCTTTACATCTACGCGATGGCGACGGCACATCCTAGACTACCCTTACATATTTAGCCCGGAAACGTTGGTTTCATTCTTCCGGTCGATCAATTTTGCGAGAATGAGCCGAATGTTTGAAGAGTCCAGCTCGCTCAAGACCCGAATGAGTGCCATTGTTGACCCTGGGAGTCTAATCACAAATCCCCACCACAAGATGGTGCTGCAAGATTTACTACAGACAGCATCTTCCAAATATTTAATCTTGGAGATTACCCGACAACATGTTGTTCGAGATGCTTTCGATCAACTTTGGAGGCGTGAGGAGCGAGAGCTTCTGCGTCCATTGAAGGTTCACCTAGGTGAGGAGGGTGGTGAAGAAGGATTCGACTCTGGCGGTGTCCAACAGGAATTCTTCCGACTAGCCATCGCCGAGTGCCTTGATCCCCGATATGGGGCTTTCACGGTTGACGAGAGGACTCGCATGGTTTGGTTTGCGCCTGGGTCCCTGACAGAGGAATGGAAGTTTGAACTTGTTGGCCTCCTGATGTCTCTCGCCCTCTACAACGGGCTGACACTCCCAATCACGTTTCCAAAGGCTCTGTACCGAAAATTACTTGGGAAGCCCGTCGAGGAGCTCCACCATATCGCTGATGGCTGGCCAGAGTTGGCAAGCGGACTAACGACTCTATTAGAATGGGATGAGGAGGATGGGCTAGTGGAGGATGTCTTCGCCCGAACATACGAATTTTCCGTTGCTGCCTTGGGTACAAACATCACACGAGAAATGAGCTCTGATAGCTCAGTATGGCCAAGTGCCGCCACGACCTCAGAAGACGTGGCTCCCCCGCATGCAGCGAACCCGAGCGATGCACCAATGGTCACAAACGACAACCGAGATGAATATGTGACCAACTACGTTCGCTATCTCACAGATGTCTCCATCCGCCCTCAATATCTGGCATTCGAACGAGGTTTTCATGCTTGTCTAGACAAGAAATCACTGTCGCTACTCACCCCTCCCACCTTGCAAGCACTCGCCGAAGGTGTCCAAGACATCGACATTCCAGAACTCCGGAGATACGCGCGGTATGTGGGGTGGGATTCTTCTCACCACACAGTTCGCGATTTCTGGTCGATCGTCAAGAGATACGACGATAGAATGAAGCGCAGACTGCTGGAATTTGTGACATCTTCCGACCGTGTACCGGTTGGGGGAATGAAGAACCTCCAATTCGTCATCCAAAAGAATGGGGAAGAAGAAGGAGACGCGGGCCACTTGCCGACGGCATACACTTGCTACGGGACGTTGTTGCTGCCGGAATATAGAGATAAAGAGGTGCTCAGGGAGAGGCTGGGAATGGCATTGGAAAATGCGCAAGGATTCGGTTTTGCTTAATGCGGCGACTACTGGGAGCCAGGGAATGGACTTGCAGCGACCTATTAATGAATAACCCTGGGACAGGGCGCTTGTATGCATGCACTGTATTTGGTATTGAGACGCATGAGCCGTAAGGTCGGCGTAAACTGGTAGAGGCGTCTAGCGTAGCTTGGGAATGAATCAATCGGAGTCTTTTTTTGGGACCACGATATCCCGAGGCCAACGATACAAACCTCCTTTTGCATCAAGCAATATGGCTGACTCGACTTGGGGTTAGAGCAGGCGAGACATGATCACTACTGGCGGTGGGGGGTTGAAGAAATCCAATTGATAGCATGCTTGCCTTCAAGGGAGTCCTGTAAGCCAATCTCAGACTCAATCCCTCATTTGCCGAACATTCAAGTTTATTCGCTTGTTTTCCATCCATCCTCGCCACTTAGCAAACTTGCCGTCATCACGCGAAGGCCAATCCTTCAAGTAGTCGGGGCAAGTTCCCTTGAGAACCTTGGGCACACCATGCCACGCGTACCGAGATTCCTTGGTCATGTAAATGGCATCGCCCGACCGCAGCCTCAGTAGGAGGTATTGCTTGGTGCCATCGTCATCGGCGTGGCCCATCGCATTTGGTGCGACCATGAAGAGGCAGTCGCATCCGAAGCTCAGACTCACGAGCCCCTTGTCGGTCTCCTCGCTCACATCGCGATGCATCATCATGGTATCCCCCGGAGTGTAAAAGTTCAGAATGGAGGCCTGCGTCTCGGTCTCAGGGAACAGTGTTTCGAGGAAGTTGGAGATGTCCGAGGGAAACTGGAGGGGCGCCTCGTCCGGGTATACCCTGTTGGTCCAGTCGTACTGGCCGCCAAACGTTACCCAGTGAAGGCGTTTTTGCAGGACTTGCTTGATAGATAGGGGCTTGTGAACGGCTGGGTCCTTGGGGGTGAAGGAGGGGGGGGATTCTGGGCTGAGAGAGAAGAAGGATTTGTCGTCGTTGCCATCTCCTTGGGACTCGGGATATGGTAGGTCATAGTGGAGGTGGAGATTGGTCTGGTGCTTTGGGTTACTGAGGTCGCGATGGATCATGCGATCTAGAAGTGGGTGCTGCACAGCCGGCGGCACCAGCGAGGGGAGGATAAGCAGCCCTGCGTCTCGTCAGTTTAAGCGGCCGTTGGTGGCTCGAGACGGGACTAACCAGGGAGCAGTGGATGGTATATAATGGGCACGTCGCCCTCAGCATGTGCAGCGTACTCGGGAGCCAGCTTTGCGAAGCTGCTTGCAAGCTGGGCCTTGGGCAAGGTGCCTGCAGTGAGGAAGCCGGACTCCTGCAGCGGGCCGCGGGGATCATCGATACTGGGGCTGTTGATTAATGCTGAGGCGTCCTGTCGGGAGAAGCTCTTCCACTCTGCCCTCATGTGATCCGAGGGCTGCTCATGGGCGTCTAGTTCCGTGAGGTTGGTCGTCATGACGGCGGCGCTCGTCTAACTGGCGATGCCGCACCAGATTCCCGAATGACCTTTCCTACCGAGGCAATCCTTGACTGACTCTAGAACAGCAAGTTTTGTACTGGGATTCTGTAACTTACTTTTCGTTTTCCAGCCAACGAAATGTGAGAGTGTTGCAAATGCTCTTCATCATGTCACCCAAATCCACTCAATCAATGTGTGGTGGTCCCTCACGTGACTCTCTCAGACCAAGTCTGCCGGATCATATATCTCGACTTGCCTCCCTCCATCGACCTAAAACACCATCGTCAGACCCTGTACTACATGAAATACTTAATTTTCTCGACTGTATTTTTATATTCTTGTTTATACTTCTTTTTGCTCATGGCCCGGACTCCGGCTTCATCATCGTGACGAATCTTGAATCCTTGACTCGGCGTAAGGATTCCTCCAGGTGTGAACAACATGGTGCCAACGCGACTCGTCTCATTCCATTTGGCCACGGCTCTGTCCCGTCCAGCTTCTGGTATATCCTATGTTCTGTTTTCAACATCAACAGCCGCGGCACGCCGAGTAAGACCCAGCGCACGGGGATCTCTTCGCAAGACTCTGAAGACTGAAGACAGCAGGGACGCAGAGGACCCTAATACTTCCATAGCCGCTAACGCTATAACTCATAAGCTGAAGGACAACTCAGCTGCTCGACTCCAACGAGATATCCCATCTCCTGCGGTAAAACAGGGTGATGAGAGCAGTCCGAAGAAACGTGCGGCCAATCCTAAACCATTCAGAGTCGTGGCTCCTCGTGGATTAAAACCACATCAACAATCTCTCTTTCAACATGAGTCGATCTGCTACAAAACGGGTACGACTCAGCCCGAGGCGATTGATAAAACCGACAGGCCTCCTTTAGCAGCCGCCGCAAAATTCTTTGAGGAGAAGTGTCGACTGCTGTACTCAGCCGAGACTCTGTATCACCACGCCCGAAACGATCATGTCCCGGAAATCGTGGTCCTCGGCGCCTCCAATGCCGGCAAGTCTTCGTTTCTTAACGCCCTCGTTGGCAAAATGGATACGGCGAGGGTGAGCCATCGGCCAGGTAAGACCACGACCATGAATGCCTACGGTGTCGGACCGCCCCCAAAGATTGCGCGGGATCTCATCCGCAAAGGCTCGATGCCTCCGAAACACAGCCTAATTCTCATGGACACGCCTGGGTACGGCTTCAAGAGTCGGTCGGACTGGGGAAAGACCATCCTACAGTACCTCAACGTGAGGAAGACGCTCCGTGGCGCTGTCGTCCTGTTGCCGGCGGACAAGAAGCTCCAGAACACGGACCGGTGGATGCTAAAGACTCTTGCGCAGTCCAACACACGAACATTGGTCGTGCTCACAAAGGCAGATAAGAGCGGTGACGAATGGATAACCGTCTGCAACTCTCTGGCAGCTGGCGTGCGGCAGGCAATGGTGGACCTGGACACGACGGCTCAGAGCAGCTGGCGGGAAGGGTCTGACCGCTCTGGGGATGTCTACGCCACTGCTGCAAACATGGGAATCTCAAACCGGCTGGGAAACGGTGCGGGGATAGGGGGCGTGAGGTTGGCGATCCTGGAGATGGCCGGGTTTGCCCTCGGAGAGAGGGTTGAGAAGCAGCCCGAGACGAAGGCGTATACCGGAGCAATCGTTTCCTTCGACGATATCAAGTGGAAGACATGATGGATCGTGTCTGATATCACTCGTCCCGATCTCAAGACTTCGCGAGGATTTTATGCATGCATGAAATCATATGAGGAGAGGGATGTGTTGCTTGCCATGGATGCCTCGGTCGCAACTGGAAAGGGAACTCAATGACAAAAAATTGCGCCAGCCCTGTGATCGCTTCGACATTATTGCACACAGTGGTATCATAAAATACATAGCTTTCCACACTCGAGTACCACCTCATTCCTTCTGGCCGGCTGTCGACTTGGACGAATGGGCCGTTCCTGGTCGACTTATCGGGCGGCTGATTGAATTCCTCAGCTTCCTTGTGCCCTTGGAATCGAACAAACTCTTTACTCTCCTCAGCCGTGCCCACCGCTCCTTGTCCTTGGCATCTCTGTCCTTTTCGTCCTCCTCGATATTATCCGAACCACCGGCGGTAGCTGGGGTCGCGGGTGTAGCCTGAAGCGTTGTTACGGATATGGCTGTCCCTGGTCTCCGAGGCGTTGATGGAACATCACCAGTGGTTTGTGATTGCGACCGAGCTGAAGGCCGGCCTTCATAAACACTTCGCAGGTGTGAGTCGTTGGCTAATGTTTGGACCAAGATTTTCCACCCCGGCAACTCTCCCTCCGGACGATTCTGTCGGCTTCCTTGTTTTTGAGTATCGGCGTTTGACCAAGGGCAGAAGAATCGATGTTCCCTAAGGGGATCCAAGAAATCCATAGGGGCCGGGACGAGAACCTCGCCATCATCCGACACCTCCTTGCTCTTAAACATCCAGAGCCCCAGCCGTCTCAGGCAGGTATGGCATGAGGCCGAGTTGGGAACTGAACCAATACGAGGGTTGGAGAGCCCTTGCCACCCCAGAAGGGCGAGAGACAGAGCAACCCGATTGGGGTGCTGATCGGGTGTTCCACTAACCGGAGCTGGATTCGAAAAGAAGTCCCGGGGCAGGTGAGGCATGATTTCATCGAGCTTTAAGTCATCCGGGAGACGAAGATTGAACTCGTACGGCAGAAAGGACTTTCTGGAACACAGGTCATCGTAGCGTTGCCGCAAGGCTTCCAAAGTGACGCCGGGGTTAGTAAGGGACAGTCGCAGCAGGGAATCTGGCAAAATTAGTCAATCAAAGAGCTCATGCGGCGGATTAAAAGCACATACCATCACAGCCTCTCTTGCGCCAGAGGCACTCCTCCTTGTGGGAGGTTACGATGAGGTCTGCATATTTGTCGACCAGTGCATCCTCTGCGACATGTTAGCACGCCGATTCGACACCACAAGCAATCATAAGATGGTAAACTGACCAATTTCGGAGGGGACAAGTACGGGGATCTCCTTGCCGTCAACCAACTTCCGGTTGAGTTTAACAACCAGCTCTCGGTGGCAGAGCAGACACCGCACCGTCTCTTTACCATGGCAAACCCATCCCCTCTTGGCCCATTCCACCTCACTGACCCTCTCCGGCTTCGGGGTCCAGTCTGTTATCTCTTGAAAGGTACCGAGCCTTCTCAAGAGTTCGCCTCGATCACTCGGCGAGTATTTGGCGGGAGCATCCTTCCGAGTATTCGTCGCGGTGGTCGTCTGGGGTTTTCGCAAGGTCGTCGTAACTGTCTTTGCTGGGCTTTTTGGGCTGTCCAACGCCGGCGCTGTGGAATCGGGCAGGCCAAGGCGCCGACGCTTTTGTAGGAGTTCTGCCTCGAGGGCGGTTGTGGGACGCGTGGGCGTCGACTTGGGCGAAGCCGTTGCTGTGGTTCGAGACGAAGGCGAAGAGTTGATATCGCTCTTTGGTGGTGGGCTGTCGGTGTTCTTGGAGCGCGTAGAACCCAGGCCCTGGAGCAGGGTGTTGAACTTGCGCTTTGTGGCATTCATGGTGGTTTCTCAGCCGTTGGCGAATTGGCAACTGGGAACGTGGACAATGGTGATGTGGAAATGGCGAGCAGTTATTCAGTTATTCAGCCTGGCACAAGTAAATGCGCTCGACAGGAGTCTGGTGAGCCGATGGTATCGCGGTTGAGTACGGCAAAGTCAGGCCAGCTAAACTTTTGAAGATGACGATGATTGTTGTTTGGAAGCTCCCGTTTGGGAAGTGACAAGGGTGTGTGCTACTGGAGGGCCCTTCCCCTAGAGACGCTGGACGACGGGGCAACGGGTACCGACCAGTCAGGTCGCGGGTTGATGAGGTACTCGCAAGGAATGGATACTTTAGTTTAATGTGATCCGAGCGCCTGCGCGCAAGGTAGAATTTGGTTTCTTTCAAGGTGCAGTACCTCCTCCAGGAAGCTTAGTGCCTCATGGTACCTACCTAAGGGATATCTAGCATTCCTTGTTCCTGGACGCATTATTCCCACTTCAATTGGCTGGTTGGTGGAGCCTCACGATAAGAATCTGGCGCTCCGATAAGACCACGTGCCCCACCAACGACAGCCAACCCACAGAAAACTCTTTGGGCGGCCTATTGGGCTGTCTCCTTCTGGCTCGTCCAAGTCGCGACAATTTTTTTTAGTATCCTCCATCGCCAATTCCCCGGCCATTGAACTGTCCGACCGCCCTCCTGACACTGGCACATGTCCGGCTCGAACCAGGCCCCTCCCGCGTGGCTCTTTTCTAACAATCTCCTAAACCCCGTTCAACCCTCCAGCTCGGTCGCCGACACCGCAGACTCCACCACCATGGGCAGCAAAAAGGCCGACAAGGCCAAGGCCAAGGCCTCCTCCAAGAGCGCTTCCGCCTCGAGCCCGCCCCCCGGCGAGCTGATGGACCTGGTCGAGACATTCCTCTCCGAACACTCCTTCACCGGCGCCCACGACGCCTTCAAGAAGCAGCGCGAGAAGAAGGGCTGGAAGCCCACCGACTCCAAGGACGCCGCCAACACCTCGCTCGTTGGCGTCTTCCAGACCTGGGAAGCTTCCGGCAAGACCAAGGCCGCCGCCAAGGACTCTGACAGCTCGGATGACAGCGACTCGAGCGATGACTCGAGCGACGAGGACGTCGAGGACGTCGACATGAAGGACGCCGCCTCGGCCAAGTCCTCCTCCTCATCCAGCTCATCTAGCTCCGATAGCAGCGATAGCGAAGACGAGGCTGCCCCCGCGCCCAAGGTCGAGAAGAAGGCCGCCAAGAACCTGAAGCGCAAGGCGCCCGTCGAGGACAGCTCTTCCGACTCGTCGTCTTCGTCCGATTCCAGCTCGTCCGACTCCGATTCGGACGACAAGCCCCAAGCCAAGAAGCAAAAGAGGGCCGCCAAGGCCGACAGCTCTGATTCCGACTCGTCCAGCTCCTCTTCCAGCGATTCTAGCGACAGCAACGATTCCGACTCGGATGCTAGCGAGAAGGACGACTCTTCCGACAGTGACTCGGACAGCTCTAGCTCCAGCTCTGACTCTGACTCCGACTCTGATTCTGACTCTGATTCGGACAGCGACGCTGATGTGAAGACGGCCGCCCAGGTCCCTCTCCCCGGCTCCGACAGCTCATCCGACTCTGACTCTTCCTCCGACTCTTCTTCGGACTCGGACTCCTCTGATGACGAGAAGCCGTCCAAGAAGGACAAGAGCGCCAACGACTCCGACTCCTCCGTCACCCTGGACAAGACCTCGCCCGAGTTCCAGCAGAACACCTCCAACCCGCCCCTGCCCCCGGACCCCGCCACCACCAAGGCCGGCCGCAAGGTGCAGAACGAGCCCTTCTCCCGCATCCCCAAGAACATCCAGGTCGACCCGCGCTTCGCCTCCAACCAATACGTGTCCATCGATTACTCCCAGCGCGCCCACGAGGACCTCATCGTCACCAAGGGCAAGGGCTTTACCAAGGAGAAGAACAAGAAGAAGCGTGGCAGCTACCGCGGAGGCATGATTGACATCAGCGATAAGAAGGGCATCTACTTCGATGACTAAATGTAGACGGGTCCAGCAACGGAGTACAAAATGGGGGAACATTGTGTCTATAGACAGCCGGCGTTTCGAACGGCGATTCGTTGACGCGCCAAGGCATTGCATACCATGGTCAATTTAATGTTACATTGTATGAGTACGTTCATCCGTGTTGTGCATCATCTAAGAATGCGCTTGTTTTCTATTTCCTCCAACTGTAACGCCGTGCCTATCCAACCTGTTAAGGGGTACTGATCTTGGTCTTGATTATATGGTTGATGTATGCCACATCCAAATGTGTATAAATTTTTGTCGAGTCCCTGTTGCGCATAAACCCAACCGCTTCGCTTATAGAAAAATAACCCGATTCCCGTCTCGTCTCGTTCCTCGTCATCATTACCAACATAGGACGTTTTGCTTCGCTAAAACGAGGCGTCCTTGTTCCAAGCCGGGTTGTTACTAGAGGCAGTCTGCACCTCTGTTGCGGGCGCATGCTGAGCGGCATCGTCCACGCGCCCACCCTCTCTCACCATTTCCTTCATAATTACGTCCTTGCGCGCCACGGCGTTCCAGTCTCGCTTCCCGCCCACAGCGTTCTCATCAGCCTCGCTCAGCCACTTCTTCCACTGGTCAGTCACAGGGGCAGCGCCACTACGGCTGACCCAGCCCGTGAGCTTTGTCTCGCGGATGGCAAACCACAGCGTCCGCGTGAAGCTTGGGTAGCCCTCTCGCTGGTCTTTGTCGTCGGTGATGATGTGGGCACGCCGGGCGTCTTTGGGAGTGACGTCTTTCCACTCGTAGCGAGAGAGGTCCCAGAAGTAGGAGCGGGGCAGCATGCCGAGTCCCCAGTAGAGCCCGTTGAGGACGATGTAAGAGCCGCCAATGAAGATCTGTGAGTTCCAGGTGCAGTTACCGAGAAGAACCACGCTGAGCATCAGGAGGATTGTTCCCAGGGCCATGAGAAGGCGGTAGGTGCGGCCGCCGACATGGTACTTGCACTCCTCGGTTCCGGAGTAGAGCTCACGGGCGACCTCTTCGGTGCATTTGATCAGGATAAAGGCACCTTCACGGGTACGGATCATAACGTCGCCCTTGGGCACCTCGTTGGTGTGTTTGCGGTTCATCAGAATCGGGTGCCAGATGGAGGCATAGCCCACGACGGTAGACGCTAGGGAGATGAGGCTGACGGCGAGGATGGCGGCTCCGTCCTCCCAGATGACGGCAGATATGATGAGGGCGATGCTGAGTAGACAGGATAAGACGGAGAGGATGTGGATGGGAGAGAAGAGTTTGGCAGGGACGGCAGGAGGAGCGGCCTTGTTGGCCAGAGTCGGGTTGGAAAGCATGTCCTGGACCTTTTCCTTGGCTGTGGCACGGCGCCTCAGCATCTTGGGCGCTGGAGATCCCTCAGCCTCGTCGGGGAGGCGGATGGTGGTGGTGCGGGCGGTCCGGCTCCGGTCCGGCGACTGGGCCAAGTTCGGAAGCGGAAGCCCATTCTCCTCGTCGGAGGCGGGGGCCCGCGGAAGCCGGTGATCGTTGTGGGCCAGGCCGTCGGGCACATCCCCGGTGCCGGGGCGGGCGGCGGAGCGGGCCCACGAGAAGGAGCGGCGAAACAGGGCAGAGCGGCGCGAATGGTTCTGGGCGGTCGGGACCTCAACGTCGCCAAACTGGTTGAGATCCGTGTGCTTGATCTCCAGCACGCGGAAGCTAAAGGCCGGCAGCGCGTCGAGCGGCGTGATGATGGTGGCGAAGAAGCCGACCGAGTCGAGCGTGGTGCCGCTGTAGACGCCCGTCATCTTGGCGAGCGTCTCGGGCATGCGGCTTGGGCGCGAGGGCTTGAGGAGGGCCTGAGGCGCTGGGATGAGGCGCGGGAGCAGGCATAGCAGCGATGCGGTGATGGTCTGCGAGTGCTCGGCCATCGACGACTCGCCAATGACGGCGAGCAGCGTGACGACGTCGAGCCTCCAGCCGTCTTTGGTGTTGGGGAACCATTTCCATCCGGGATCGCCAGGCTGGGCCATTTGCTGTATTTCGAAGGTGGTCTGGGAGCAAGAACGAGAGTAAAAGAAGATGCGTGCGTGTCTGTCTGTGTATCTGCTTGGTCTTCGTCTGTCGCTTGTCGCTGAGTTGTTTGAGAGAGAGAAAAGAGGCGGCCAGAACCAGGCAGATACGGCTCTGTCCCTCAGTTGGACTGCTGCACAGCCTGGCCTCGATGCGGGTCGAGGGGCGTCAACAGGATGCGAGTGAAAGGGGCCGCAGGCTGTGAGAGGGCAACAAGAACCAGATGAGCACGAATCAGGGCGCAGAAAAGACGACAGTGAACCTGCACGATCAGTCGAGAAGCCGGCGTCGTGAAGCAATCACGTCGGCCGAGAAGACGACGACGACGATGAATTGCTCTCGGGAATCTCGAACGGAAGAGTCGTACGAAGTAGACGCGGCAGATTTAATCAAGTTAAGGCTGGCGGTTGAGGGTGGAACGTGGGGCAGCAGCACTGTGTTCCCGCACAGTTCCCACCAGCTCCGTCCAATCTCATCGACGCGTCGCACCTGCGCCACAGCGGCAGTGACCGCTAACACAGCCCGCTAGCAAACTGTATGAAACATGGGGTTTCATCCCCACGTAACTTACAAGCGAAGCGATGATACCAATCAGGAAGAATCAGACAACGAATGGCGAGTTGGTTCAAATACCTGCGTGGAATAAAACATCCCCCATCCAGGTATCATAAAGTGAAAGAGGTGGTAGACTAAAAAAGGAACCATCAGTAAGAAAGAACGCAATAAGAAAAAAAAAGACAAGAACTGAACCACTTTCTCACACGCTCCAAACCCAAACACATGTCGAACCGTCCCCTCATAGAAAATATAATCCATAATTTGCGTCTCTAAACCATCAAATGCCGTGCGTGTGCCCGAGGCATGGTCAGATATCTAAGAAACACTGGGAGCTGTCCATCCAGGTGCTCAACCCCAATGCGCCGTGTCCCGTTACCGAAACGCCCCCATGAATCCATTACCAAAGAAAAGTCCAAGGAAAAAACCACCCAAGTTGGTATCCAGCGCCCTTAAAGTTCCATGTGCCCCTGGTACTTCTCCCAGGCTGGCATCTCTGATCGGTCGTGGGTATAAAAGTCGTAATTCCGTTACTCCGTGTCGCAACAGTTCATGCCCTAGGCCAGCTTAGGGCCGTTGCCGTATGTCTCAATCAACCACCCGATGAACTCCTTCCACTGTTTCTCCCATTGTGTCGAGATCCGTTCAAACTCTTCCGCATCGAGGCACGAGTGCTGAAGGCTCCATAGAACCAGCTGCTTCCAGCCGTAGAGACCCATGTCGTCTTTGCCGACCATGACCTGGTAGAAATCGTGCGATAGCGAAGACCTTTATTGTATGTTAGCGCTTACACTTCATTCATAACGGCACATCTATTTAAGAATCACGTACCGGAACAGAGTTCCGTTATCCGAGCTCACTGTGCAGTGCACGTTATTGGCCAGTAGTTGATACATGGCGTGTCCGCTGGCCCGTGGCGTAAGACCCAGAATCTCATTCGAGATGGGGCACAACTCGAGGCAAATGTTGCGCTCCTTCATATGCTGCATGATGTAAGGATGCTTTGATAGCGCGAACCCATGACCGATGCGCTTCGAGTTGAGAAGGAGCGCATCTACAAGGTTGGCGTCGGTGTCGGTACCCATGTCCAGGGTCTCGCCGCAGTGGAAGAGGAACGGAATCTCCAACTTCTCCTCTCGGCACAGCTTCTGGAATTCGAGGAGTTCTGGGACAAAGTCCTTCAGGGGTCGCCCCTTAGCCTCTTCGCCAACAAGATCGAATCCTATTTTAATTAGCATCCATGTACAAGCGAGAGTCCTGTCCTCGTTGTGTTTTCTTACCTGCGATCCACTGTGGCCAACGCTTTTTGAACTCGCGGCACTCATCGAGAGCTGCCTTGACATCCTGTGGTCGGAAGGACCGAGGAGTGCAGTAGATGACCTTCAGACCACCAAATGACTTGTTCTCCCGAGCAATATCAGCCTTGAACGCCTCCACCTCATCGATGATGATCTTCATGATACCCCAGTTATCGATAGGCCCCGTACCATCGTCGTGGTAGAGCTGGTTGTTGGTCATGAAGTTTGGCCGGATCTCGGCGTACTGGATGTTGTCCTTCATGAAATCCTCGAGACATAGCCGGGTATACTTTCTGTATGCCGTTTCATAGTTGAAGAGTCCCTTCATCATCCTTGTTCGGCCGTTGAACTTTTCCCACGCGCTGTGTATTGTTAGAACTAATTGTTGCCTACAAGGATAGAGGGAGGGGGAATATATATGCTTACCCAGATGCTGTCTGCAGGTGGTTGTGTGTCTCTCGCTCATCAAACATGAGCTTGTTGAGCAGCCACTCCTCAGCTGTGGTCTGGCTGTAGTACTGCGGAAAGCGCTTGAGGAAGTCCTGGAACTTCATCGTCTGGCGGGACTCATATGTAGTAGAGAACAAGTCGCCGGGGCACTCCTTCTCGGTACTCATCAGTGAGAACTGAATCTCGCACTGATCGAAGCTGGCACAGTCGTCATCGGAGAGCAGAGGGATGTTGCTAGTGATGAACATGCGATCCATGCCCTTGGCGATATTCAGCAGCACGTTGGGTGCAAGGCATGCGTTGAAGTGGATGTGCAGGTGAGCGCCCTTGGGCATATGGCGCGCAACGTCGAACAGAGCCGTCTGGTTGATGAGGGGTAGGTTGGACAGGAAGTGATCGCCGGCGAACCGGGGGTGCTTCTGTCCGTTGAAACCGGTCCGGGGCGGGGCGGCGTCATATACGCCGGCCTTGTCCTCGCGCTTGAGGCGCTGGATGATAGTCTCGGCGCGGCGCTCATCGGGGGAGCTGTCGTTGCGGCAGCTAAAGTCAAAGTCGAGGGCCTTCTCGCGATGGAGCATCTGGCCGCGCAGGGCGAGATAGTCGTCGACGGAGGCATAGCCGGCGTCGGGGTTGATGCCGCGCCAGGCGGGCTGCTTGGCCGGGGCCAATGCGGAAATGTCGGCGTCATGAGCGTCGATGAGGCTCCGGGCAGCAGCCATCTCGCGTTGACGGATGCGATGAGCGGCGGGCAGCTTCTTGGTGGAGCGAGGGAATCGGGCCATTGTGGTGAGGGCGCTTGCTTCCTTGGTGCTGTCGTCTGACTGATCCCCTTCATTCAGCTCAGACCGGGAGCAGAGGGCGCCCATTTAATAATTCGGCGACGGGCGAGGGCACCGGCGACTTGGGATTGATTCAAAGGGTGAGCACAGAGAGGCAGCAGGGCGAACGGAGTGACTGGGCACGAGGCGCAGTCGCGGATCACGGATCACGGATCACGGATTGCGGAGAGGCTCAGAAGCAGACCCACGCTTGTGCTCTGTTTGCGGATGCTGTCGATTCATTGACAAGCTGGCGCCTTGGTGGGTTCCTTCGTGACGGTGTGTTGGCGCGGGCGGCAGGGGGGTGGGAGCGCTTGTGGGAAATGATTGTTGTGCCTGGCGCCAAGTCGAGGTGAGGCTGAGTGAGGATCTGACTTGAGGATGGATCTGACTGTCAGTGAGCCGTGAGGCGGCTAGCAGTGCTACGCGGGAGGGAGGGTCGGTTAATCAGGGAACCTCGGGCACAAAGAAAGCGACATTTGCGTCACAGCGCTTGTTTGCTTGGAGATGTGGTACAGGATACATGAAAGAGCAGTACAGTCAAAGAGCAAAGAAAGAGCAGGAGATGCCGCCAAAAATGTGAAGATGGAAATGGGCCGAAATGAATGGTCCTAGGCAGTTGTCGAAAAATGCCCCAGCTGGTAGTTAGTCGGTCGGTCGGAGGTCGGAGGGGCACCACGCAAGGCTGATGATGATGACATCCGTCCGCGCATCGGGTTGGGTGCATCCGTACCCGCTGATTCTCACTGCCAGGTACCACCCAACAGACAGTCACAGCGCTGAGGCGAATCCGGACTAGCGGGGCCACAGCAGGCTCCATTCCCATCTCAAGCGCCCTCCTGGCTGCTCCTCCCCCTCCTTGGTTGCTCCTCCCCCCTCCTTCCCCCCCCGCCAATCATCCACAAGTGGCTGGTTGCCTCGCTCAAGGCTTTGTCCGGTCTCCCCATCTTTCCCTTGACGCTTAGCCGCATTCGGACACGGCCCTCAACTGCGGCCGTACACTTTCTTTGATATTAATTCCTTTACGAATATTGCTCCCTTCAACACCACCACAGACCATCATGAGCCTTGACCCAACCTCCCGGTACGCTACCCCGTATCCAGGGGGCTTAGCATCATCTCCTCTCCATTGTCTGCCCTCCAACCTGACACACCGGCTCGCCATCTTCACTAATGCACAATACACTTCTCCTACGTGTTGAGGCCCTCTTTTGGAAGTCTCCTGCCAAGGGGGATTTCGGATTTCTTGGTCTTCTTTCACATCGCCTCGTAAACCCACCACTCGCCCTACTCTACACTAACTTGGTGCTTTCCACTAGAGTCTCAACACCAGACTAGGCAGATTCACCCCCGTCCTCCACCTCTTTTTTCACTTCAACATTGCCCCCCTGCTGCCCACACTTACACCACATCACAGACTGTCATTGAAATTATCCCAGCAATGGAAACACCCTATTTGCAGCGCCTCCTTTTTTTCTGTTTCACCGTTTGACACACCTTCGCCTGTTAGCCCGATGACCACACCTAAGCGTGACACGAACCGGCACAGCCAACCGCCCATCACCAAGTGGATCAACCATCACCAATGGGTCCCCGCCAACATGATGCTCACCATTCCCACACCCAATGCCTTTCTATGAGTCAAAATAGTCTCACCTCCTTTTGACCTAAGTCCCTCCAGCATCGCCCACGTCGTCTGCCCATGTACCCAACGCCAGTTCCATTGCCTACGCCTTGGCCGCACATCACCCAACCCCTTTCACACAACTGGGACACAACATGGTGACAAATCCTGTATTGCAGCACCCCTTCTGCCTGGTATACAAAGTCTATCTAGTGTCGTCGACATTACATCAGGTTATACGTGAATCCCACCCCAATATAAAAGTACAGAGGCAGTGCAATCACTTTTGCCGGTGGGACCTTAGTCTCTAAAAAGCCTGTCCCATCACCTTCCGTTCCCCGTTACCATCTGCACCTCGTTAAGCCCAGACACCGTTGGCAATTGGCCCGTTGTCATTCCCACAGGCTGCGAGGTTGAACTCGGAATGGCCTCCGACGCTCTCCGCCTTACGCGAAGTAGCTTTTCCACAATACACCCTCCAGGTCTTCCAACTGCTCTGATGTGAAATACTACCCAACGTTAGCAATCTAGTGAATCCACAGTCCCCGCCACCTCGTCTTGATGGGCCAAGAGAAACTTACCTTTTGATCCACAGTCCAGCTGTCCTGCCTCGTCTTCTTGAACTCACTCAGAATCGTCTTGGTTGCCTTGCCCACCACTCCAGGGTCGCCAGCAGCTCTCCTCGCCAGGTTTGCCAACACCTCGGGCATCCACTCCGGTGGCGGAGTCGCATAGGGGAAGGCCTCGATCAAGGCACCCAATCCTAGGACTGCTGCATGCCTCCTTGTGATTTGCTTGTGCACATCCACCGGCGTCTCTGTGCCAGGGACCTGGCGTCCACGCTTGGGCATTGGGTTGTGCCGCAGCTCATCCTCGAAACGAGTCTTGAGGTGTGCAATCATCGGGTCACGAATACGTCGAGGCGAGCATCGGATCATGCCCGCTAGTGTAGTGGAGGCGCAGGAGCGCACCTCCAGCTGCGAGTCGCCCAACATGTCCGACACGGCGTTGAAAAGGAGGTCTCGCTGGGCACTCCGGGTCAGGAAAATCCGCCTAAAGTAGATCACCTGCATGTTGACCAGCGCCCGCAAGCGTTGATGCCAGCTGGCAGCCGTCTTGCCGATCCGGACCAGCGCCTCGATGAACTGAGCATCCTCCCCGTCTCGGAACGGAATGTTGGGAAGGTGGCGGTATACGTGGTACGCAAGCCTCATCAGCTCGGGGTCCTCCTTGACGTCCATCATGTGCAAAAGCTCTTCCATGAACGGCGTTGGGAAGAAAGGCACAAGTTGGATACATTCATGTGACGACAAGGTGCAGTCGAGCCACATGAGCACCGTCTTGGAGCCCGAAGTATACGAACTAGGGGTCTGCTGGCCAGGGGTTCGCTCGTGGCGCCACTTTTCTAACCTACCAAACACTTCCTTGATGGTGGAGGAGAACTCCTCAGTAGGGCGGTAAGGCCGAATGCCAATGGATGAGTCTGCCTTGTTCTCGTCTAAAAGTGTGCTCACATTCTCAAACGACTCATGGTACCGAGTCTTGTAGATCACCGACAAGACACGGCCGATCGCCTCGCGGACTGCCTTGTACGGGTGATCGATATGCGCCAAGAAGTCGTCGAGAATCGGTGCCTCGTGCTGGAAGTGCCAGCCACCGTCGGCAACGATGAATTCGAGCAACTGGACCTTCGATGACTCCTTGAAGGCGGCGTTGGACGTCATGTCCAGGCGGAACGACCGCAAAACGTCCACGATTTCGTGCGACCGGCGAGGATCCTTCGAGTCCAAGATCAAATGGAGACATGTCAACCAATACTGCAAGTTCTCAGGAGTCAAGTCATCCGCGAAGATCTTGAGCAAGAATGGGGCGGCAAATTCCCAAACTCGGTTGCGGATCTCTGGGGGATCATCACTGGAGCCTGCAAGCAGGGCACCCAGGATCTCTGACGTGGCTCGGTGCTGGTGCTTGTCGTTACCATCACCATACACCTCCGTGGTCAGCTCCTTGATATCCCCCATAGTCACTGCGGTCTTGCCATAGTGCATCAGGTCAAAGACGTGCATGAGTAAGTAAACGTTGCTCATGCGAAACCTGTCTGTCGAGGAATCCCGCGGCTCTTGTTTGAGGTAGTCAAAGCAATTGGAGAACCATTCACGAGTCACAGTCTTGCCGATCTGCTCCCTGACGGCACTCTCAACTTCGTCATAGGCATCAAATGGAAGAGGCTTGGCACGGAACGCTGTAAACTTCTTTCCCCAGACTAACCAGCCAGGATGGTCTGAGTCAACCATGTATTCCGCGTTGTCGGGTTGCTTGAAGGATTCAAGGAAGCGTTGAGTAAATGCAGCATCACCCTTCTCGACAGGGATGGCCACTCTGTTTCTGTCGCCAATTTCCTTTTCAAGAAGATAGTTGCGGTACTCGTGGCCATAGACCGCACGCATGTCGATTGCAGTGAAAACCGAGGTAAACGCATTGAGATAATAGCCTCTCAGGCCAGGGTGAGGGTCATTTGTGCCGTGGGCAACGAGGTCAACGAACTCGGCGGGGGCTACACCAACAAATCGCAGACACAAGTTCGTAGCGAAGATAGCGCAGCGTGTAGCAATTTTCCAGTGTGCACCCTTAGCCAGTCGTGTAAGCTCCAGGCCGAGGTTGGCCTTGGAATCCTCCACTCTACTTCGGCGTTGAAGGATGAACTGATGGCGAGAATCAATTGCAGTGGAGACTTCCTCTGCTGGCTTAATCGTGCTCACGACAGTATCATCCACGATGATCATCCGTTCAAAGGGCTTCCCGAAATCAATCAGCGTGTATAGCGCAGAGGAGCCCAGATTTTGAATGGACGGCTTGTCGATACCAGCCGTCTTAATGTACAGTCGCATGGCCTCGGGAGCAAAGCGCCAGTCCTTGAGCATAGTCTTGATCAGAGATGTGAAAAGCAAGGTATACATTCCACCCTTGATCCGATCATGATCATTGGTCTCAATGGCGTGTCGCCACTTTGCCAGGATAACTGGAATCACCAAGGGTTTGCCTCCGATAAGTGCCTTCAGCGACGAGTCCTGAGCGCTCTGTGCCACTCGCCGAACATCAGCGTACAGTGACAGGCAGGACTCGGCGAGGTCGAGCAAAAGTTGTTTGTCCAACTCGCTCTTCTGCCTTGCAGACGCATTGTGTTTGCGGCGCAGGAGCTGGTATGCTTCGGCTCTCTTGATAAGCAAAGGGCGAGGGTACACCTTTCTTAGACCCTTGATCTTAAAAGCGGAGATGTCTGCCTTATACAGTCTCAAGTGCCTTTCAAGGGGGTGGGCTGAACGTTCAATACCGACATCGGTGATCCAAGTGCGGTAAGCGGCATACAGCGCAGTGAAGCAGTTCACATCATCCTCCTGGTTCGCATTGAGGAAGGAATGTGTCTTGGTGAGGAGATGGCCCAACTCATCCCGAAGATCATGGATCTTGCCGTAGGCGGGATCACTGGATTTGAGCACATATCCTGCCTTGTAGCGAAACTGGGGTCGGAGCTCCTCGTCCTCAGCAACCTCGGCAAGAGGGTCCTCTTCCTCATCAATCATCATCTCGTCATCGTCACCGACATCATACTCCTCGGCTGTGACACCATTGGTGACCCCCGCGGCACGCTCTGGGTCGAACATGGTTGCCATTCCAGACGTGACCAGGCGGATCTGCTGCATAAGCCTGGAAACCTCGTCGGACCAGACCTTATTCTTTCCCTTTCTGCTCACTGGCGGGTTGTCGCTCATCAAAAGCTCTAGCTGCTCCTTCGCCGAGCTAGTCTGCGATGCGAAGAGCTCAACAGCAAAATCAATCTCAGCAGGGGAGGGCTGATGCCACCGGATGGTGAGATCGGCTGGCGCCGTAGTCTTGCCCCAGTCATCAACATCGATACCACGCTTGACAACATCGGGCTCGTACAGTGCGTGGTCGATTGGGTATGTATGAGTCAAGTTCAGGAGAAGATGGTGGATGAAGTTGGAGATAAGAATGGTTGGCAGGCCGCGGCACTTCTCTTGCATGTACCGTGCGATTCCCAGTAGTTCTTCCTTGTACTTGAGCACCTCGCTTCCAACGTGGACAACTGCCATTGCTAGCATGCTGACATACCACACAAGGGCACGGTCTCGGGGTAGGTAATCTGTCCCACTGCTTCGATCAGAAGCGGCGTTGTTGAAGTCAATTTCGTTTCGAATGTTGACAACTAGCATGGGGATGAAAACCTTCAAAGTCTTCTCGGGGTTGACTTTGCACAGAGCGTTGAGAATCCAGGCCATCGCATCCCGAGCCTGGTGGACGACATGGCTCGAAACAAAAGACGCAACCTTGTCTAGGGCCATGTCAAAGAGCTCTGGCGACAAGGACGCGAACAGCGGCGACAATGCCGCAGGCAGGGCATTGATGACATTATCTTCGGGAGTACCTCCTCGGACCTGATTGGCGTCCGGCAGGTTTTCCAAGAGGGTGAACACCTTACCCAGGAGGGTTAAGATGAACTCTCCAAACCCGGTTGTCGAGGATCTCAAAATGTTGGCCTCATCCTCGTCACTCAGCTCGTTATTGTAGTCGATCTTGACATTCTGACCATCCCGCTCCATGCGGTCCATTTCACCCTGAACCCACTGCATGGCTAGCGTTGTGTCGTGGATATGGCTACCTTCCTTGCTCAACGTCACCATAGGAATGCTGAAGGCGACACTCTGGATAAAGTTGAGAGTGTACTGTGTCTTGTTAAGATCATTGGCATCGATACCCGGCAGGGCAAGAGCCAAGAGAGCCGTGATGTGACAGCGGTATCCCTTGAGCTTGGACATGACGTTGGCGATCATCTGAAGTCCATTCAGACTAGAGGTAGTTCTGTGGACTTCGACCAAGCCCTGAAGGCTTGGGTAAAAGCGCTGCAAAGCGCCGGGCAGAACCAAATCAGGTTCGAGATAGGCAAGTCCCTGCAGTGCGCTATAGTAGTAGTACGATACCCTAGTGCTCTTTGAGAACAAGCCCATAAATGTAACTTCCTTCAACGACGACACAAATCGCTTCTTGAGTTCGTCGTTGATCCTCCGCTCCTGGGGGGTGTCGAGCTCACCACTCTGCTCGCGGTTCCATCGCGAGACAAATGCCTCGGTTAGGTACAGCGTAAGCTGTCCCAGCATAGTGGTCCACGCGCCTTGATTGGAGGGGTGGAAGAAGGTGTCAATAGATTCCATGAATCCTTCCAGGCTGGACATAATAGAGTCTTCCTCGCCCAATGTGGCGGGGGAGAGGGAGCTTACGATCAAACGAGCAACCATATACGCCACAGGGTACTTCTTTTTATCTTTCTCCACGTAGACACCAGCCCCTGAAAGATAATCGAGGGGGGTGTAGGGGGAATTCGCTTGACCAACGGGGATCTGGGTCAATCGCAGAATGGCCGTGAAGATCAGATCGGACTGGTCCTTGGTAAATATTCCATGGGCGGCAAACGGAACGTAAGAACAATGCATGTGGTCTCTGGCCATGCGGGAAAAGAGGTCGATAAAAAAGACATCGAATGCTTTAGAGCGGTTGATAATCGACCAAAGGTGGAAGAGGGTAGGAAAGAAATCGTTTGGCTGTGACTGGTGCTTGTGCACGGGTGCTGGATGGCTGGGCAGCAACGAATTGAGAATACCCACGACGATGAAGGCATTTGGCAACTCATTCACGCTGAAAAAGGGCAAGAACTCTTCCAGCATCGCCCGACGATCGGCGGGATCAAAATATATATGGGCGTGGGTGCACAGCTTTAGGAGCTGCTTCGTCGATCGTCTTCGGTTGCTCTGGTGGGCGGGGACCTCAGAAGGCAGGACCCAGGCCTTGATTTCGTTCCAGAGCGGGCGCCAGTCGAGCGTGAGGTCCTCGCCGGGCTTGAGGTAGTGGTTTTTCCTGCAAATATCAGTCAATATCAAGTGGTATGGTGTGGGAAAGGCCAGCGGGCGCACCTCGTCAGGGTCAACACCATACGCAAGAATCGGTCTGCAGCGGTGGCATCCAGGCCTGGGGCGAGGGCGAGGGAGTAGTAAAGCTTAGCGAGCTTCGCCCTAAGCTCCCTCGTCATCTCAAACTTGAGATTGAGCCATCCTTGCAGCTCTCGGGTCCAATGGAGGGCACCGGGAGAGAAGTCTTCGGCCTTGATGGCGATGTAGAGCTGCTTCAGAATCCCCTGCAGGGCAGCATCACGCTGAGCTTCCTCCTCGACCTGGAAAGGGAGCTGCTGGAAGTAGGCAAAGGTGCGGGGTCGGTAGCGTTTCTTATCGTCTTCGTCGGACTTGGAGCAGGGGATGCCGGGGGAGGTGGCTCGGGAGATGGGCTCGTATGGCATAAAGTTGGCGAGCAGGTGGGATGCCGCCGCCGCCGGCAGGGCGGCGTGCGAACCCGAGGGACGAGGGCCAATGTTCTCGTCCATGGCGGCGCGCGGTCGGAGGAGTAAAGGGAGTGTTGTCGTCGCAAGGCCCGTCCGGCTGGAGATCAGCGGACTGCCGAAGCTTTGTTGGGTCTGGCGGGAAACGGACGAGAGCGGCTGCTCTGCGCAGCTCTCGGGGTCAGCTCAGCTCAGCAGAGCTTGAGGCGGGAGGGGGAAATTATGTCACAGGGAGAGGCACGCTGGGTTCCCATGAGGATACAATAGCGGATGATGTTGCGCGACGAAATCCGGTGGTAATGACGATGCTGGGAGGGTTGGGAGGTGGAGGTTGGAGGGGAGAAGGGGAGAGTGGAGGATGAGCGGGTGATGAGGCGGAACACAATGGAAAGGCGACGTCGCGCAGCGTAGGTGATGATGCCAGCAACAGCAGCCTGGATTTCTGGGGGGTCCCGAGCGAGCCAGGAACGCCCCCAAAAGCCCCAACGACGTATGGACGCAGCGCGGCAGTAGCCCGCCCCTTGGCAACCTAGGTGCCCCGAGGCCACTGGCGGCGGAGCTTGTGCTTGCTGTGGGCGCCGGACTTTAGTGGGCTAGTGGCGGGACCCCGCCTGTGTTCTGGGGGGCTATCAGAAGCTCAGGTGGGGGATTATGTACAAAGGTACAGAGTTTATGCCTAGAATCACGCGTAGGTCCAGGTATATAGTACTTCTGCCCATGCATGGCTCCATGAGCCAACAACTCCCGCCGACCACCTTACCTATGCCAACTCCATACCGGAGAGCAACTCCACTCATGGCTCGCAATAAATTTGCCCGTAAATGGAAACTCTCATTGATCACCCGTCTTCCATCATTTCTGTCCATCGAACAAAGGGACACAATTCTTCCACCGTTGCCAAGAAAGCACCGCAGAATCCTTCCATATCAAACTCCGTCAGCGTGACCATGTTGTTACAAGTGTTGCAGCTCTTGCAGCTCTTGATTCTCGATCCTTCTCTCGCCCTGCTAGACACCCAATAGTGATCCAGAGCATCTGCCACACGGTCGGGATACCCAAGGATCCATCAGCAAACACGATTTGGGGCTGCCGCCAACAACTCCGTCATCGTCCAATGAGATGGGTAACCGGCAGCGTTTTGCTTCTGCATGCCTACGCAGCTCGGCTGCGGATGTTATCATGCGGAGGAATGACTTTCTATGTAGCCCAATCGCTTCTCAGTCTTGTTTCTTTTGGCGGGCCTTCCCAACGGAGGGGAAGATGATAGGCATCAAAGTGCTGCGTGTTTGTCCTTTCTGGGACACCTGACCATTCCCACAATCAATTTCATCAACACGCAATCCTTTGACTGCCTGTCCGGTGTGCTTCGTACTTCATACCTCGTACTTTGTACACAGTCATACGCATTCACCATCAGTTTGTTGCCGTCTGCGCGTCTCCGTCACTGCCTGCAGCTTACCGCAGCCGAGTCGGGCAAATACCCTGACCAACGAAAATCAGCCGGTCCTTCATTTCGGGGGTATCGCACAGGGTTATTGAGTTTAAATGCGCTTATCCGCCGTTCGTGCCCAGCTTTGGAAGCAGGCCATTCTCTCCCGGCCCATGTCGGCCGTCTATGACGTCCTGTTGCTGTCACCTCACTCCGCCACGCTTTGCCTTCGGATCCGGTCTCCACCTGTGGCCGCACTCTCGGGGAAGCCATGAGCCCCACCATAGACATCCCCTCCGTCTCCGATCCGGAGTCTCATCACCTCCGACCTTGGCAGCGCATCCGGTAGTAGCAGCGGGTTCACGATCAAGTCACGAAGGTATGAAAAGTCAGCTGATGGGGGGCTCTTGTAAGCCCGAGTGAATTATTGGTACAGCCACCTCTGCTAGGTGTCCTAATATTCTAACTTATAAAATGGTTCATCCGTTTGCGCCTGTGAAACACTCTTCCTGCGGAAGATCTTGTTCGTTATTTGTCGGATGCTCATGCGTCGCGACTGAGTTCTGTCAACCTTCTCGGCCTTTTCAGCTTCATAATAAATAGTCTCTAGTGGTGGTCGTCCTTCCTCGCTCGCTCGAGGTGCGACAAATCGTCTCACAAATCCAGCGCTAGACGACATCGATCTCCGGCGCCCCGGGATCTCCTGGATTGGCTGATCTCGGATATGGGGCACCGGGCTTGCTGTCGGCTGCGGCAAACTCGGTTGGGGGGTGGGTGATGGGAACCCACTCCGAACGGGAAAGGTTTGCGCTCGTGGCGGATACGCGTTGCTAGTCCGCCGTTGTAATGTTGCTGGTGGTGGGCGAGTATTTGCCATCGCTGGCCAACCTTCCTGTCGGAGGTTGATCCACGCTGCTGTCACCACCATTAGAAGCTTGATATCTTCTGGAACAACTTTGGTTAATCGGCCTTCGGCACTGGTAGCGTTTGTGGCCGTCCAGTCCGGTGCGCCCGTGGGGTCAACAGCCGTGGGCCGCGTCGGTGGGTATCGACCACTCGAAGTTGACATAGTATTGTAGGTATCGAAAACGTCCAGCGCATTCGACATTAGGGTGCCCATGATGGGATGTCTCCGAGTGTCTGGGTGTATCATGCTAAAAGTCCATTTGAACTCAGGCGGCGCAGGACTTGATGGGGGCGAGGCGTTGCTAGTGGCGGCTCGGAAAGTGGGCGCGAGAGCTGGGGCTGCCTTCTTCACCCAGCGTGCCGTGCTAATTCGACCTCGCTCGTCGACACCAATAAATTCATAGGAGCCGTTGGCCATTAGGCTTGCCTCCCAGGTCGATCCATCGTCCATCACGATCTCTGCGGCGTCCTCTCCCATGTGAGGGAGTGGGCCGACGACCGCAATGAGATCTCGTTGGTCCAAGCAATCCTCCGCGTCAAGTGAGCCTGGGGATGCTGGTGCATCATAGTCCTCACTGCGAACGATGAGAAGATCGTTGAGGCCCAGAACAGGCTTAGCGCAGAAGAGGCGAGGGCATCGTTTGGCTAGTCGCGGTACGATGGCAGATCCGACAACCAGGCTTGAGGGGAGAACGTCAAAGGCTGGAGTAGGTCTCTTGTCGGTGAGGTCCTGCAGCTGGAGTAGCAGCCGCGGGCGGACCTGCGATAGCCTGCGTTGCTTTGGTCGTAATCGAGGGGCGGGATGTGCGAGAATGAACTGAGTTGACTTCCGCGGTGCGCGCTTCCGCCTGGTCCTCTTCCTGGTTGAGGATGAGCAGTCGCTGAGATCGCTCAGATCAGAGCAGGCTGCTGACGCTTCGTCCTCGCTCTGCGGGGACTCTACGAGTGGAAGGTCGTCATCGGTCTCGGGCTCGCGAAACCGGACTGAGAGCTCCCTCCGAGGCATGTAGTCAGAGGTTGGCCGTGGACGAGTTGTTCGGGGAGCCACGGGAGCGTGCTCATGGTAGGACACAGGTCGAGGAGTAGGGCCTGACGGTGGAGGAGCCACGGTTGCGGTGGTTCTCGTTTCCGAGTCGGGGGGCTGGCGGAGAGCAGATCGAAGAAATGGCAAGCGTCGAGGCGGTTGCTGAAGAGATGGTCGCGTTGCCGAGTATTCGTGGCCGTGTAGGCTGGCACCGGAGTGAAGGAACATGGTGGCCGGGCCAGTCCTAGATCGATCCCATGCGGCAGGCGCGAAGAGGTCGTTATAACAGAGATGAGGAGGGCTGGCAGTTGAAGCGGGAGCCAGGACTAGGTCGGTTGGATAGTTCGATGTGTGCAAGGTAAGGTCAAGGTCAGGAGAGGTGAGGCAGCTACGAGATTGTATATGTGCGATGGCGGTAGCGGTAGAGAGCCGAGTAGTCGAGTCGAAAGCCGGTCAGACAACCGATCACGTCCAATCTGGCGGGCTGTCGAGCTGGCAGGCTGGGGGTATATGGTCTGACAGACCAGGATATGTGTGATGGGGTGGGACGCAGGGTCGACCAGCAGGCACCAGATAATATCGTCGAGTTGTTGGGGGAGTGAAGACTAGCTGAGGCTGGGACGGTGAGAAGAACCAGGGATGGGTAAGGCGAAATGGGATAGCTTCCAGAGAGTGACCAGAGAGTGACCAGAGTGACCAGGCCAGGGAGTGGTTCAGGGAAGGGCTGATGATGAACGGTCAAGGAAGATGATGAGGAAAGGAAGTGCTCAGCAGGAGCAGGCTATAGCAACAAGTACACAAGAAACAAGGGAGGATGGAGGATGGAGGCGGAAATAGGGACGGCACGGTGCGATTGTGTGGGATGCGACTCGATCGCTGGTGAGTGATGCTGGGTCGCGTGGGAGGCTCGGGCATCCACACGGGGCGGGCCAAAATAGCAGGGTTTTAGGGGCCAGGGCGCCAAGGCGTCAGGGGGGAGGTGCGAGGGTGTGCGCCGTGAGGCGCGAAGGTACAAGTCCAGGGGGAGCTAAATGCGCTGGGGGGGCCCTAAGAGGGACTGGATGGCCTGGAATGGACTGGAGTGGGCAAAAGTCAGCCTCCGACAAAGCGGTCACTGGGAATTCTCGAGGCGCAGGAACATGGGTTAGGGGAAGGGGACGGCCGATGGATGATGGGCAGATCCAGGGGCAGCGGCCGTAAGGCACGGCCAAGCTGGGGTAGGTAGCGACGTATCGACGCATCGGCGCATCGACGCATCGACGTAGCGATCCATATGGATCCCGTCTGCTGCGTCTCTGCGTCTCTGCCCTTGACCGCTCTCCTGCGCTCGCTCCTCGTAGTGGCAGACGCATTCGAGGAGCCATGCCTCGACCCCTCGGCGCGCAATCAGCTAATGAGCTGACCAGACATGGGACAAGGAACATTGCCATTGATGCGGGCTTACGTATGGGTGCGTGTGCAGCCGCTGTGCAGCCGCCGCTGTGTGTGAGAGCGCGAGCGTTTGGTGAGAGGCGATGGGTGAGAATGAGGCGGGCACAGGCACGGTTCGTTAATTTGGCTGGCCTGTCTGACCCAGCGCCACTGTAATTCGCTGGTCTTGCCGCCGCCAGAGAGCATAATGCCAAATTACACAGTAAGCAACGGCCAGGTTGCAATGAAAAACACGGCCATGATGGGTGGCGGGATGGGGGGCGGAGGCGGGCAGAGAGGCTGGAGGAGCTAGGCAGGAAAAAGACCAATACCGTGGAGTACCTTGGGTCCTCGAAGAGGCTGCGCGAAAGCCCCAAAATGAAATGGTGGGTGTGGGTTAGGTGGGTGTGTGTGTGGACGTGTGGATGTGTGGATGATGCTACAATGAGAGTTGTGTGATGAGGCCGTCCTCTTTGGGATTGGGATGTGCCTGTGGTGCGTGCACCCTACCTACTACGTACTGCATTGTCCTACGTATTCGTACTCCGACCTCCAGGTTTATCAGTCAATGTCTCTGGCTTGCTTCTCCCTCTCCTGATGTCTGGCTTGATCTACGGCCCTGATATGATACACTTGGCGTTGCCGATCGTTGTTTTCTTTTTCGTATTTTAGCTCTCTCGTGATGTTTAATTGTGTCTGATTTCTTTTTCCCACCCCCTATCCCGCCTCGAAACCCATCGAAGAAGGCTACGACGTCGAGAGATTCATGGATCCCAGTTTGTCGGGTTTCGGGAAGGGGATGCCCTGTAGTCCAGCGCTGTAGGCACTCAAGGGCAGCACTAGGCACCCAAAATAGGAAAAGGGCATCCTTCCAAGGGGGCCGGGCATCAGGAACCGGGCCCCGACTCAAAGCTTCCACTGATCCACGGCCGACAAGATGGGACGATTCCGTCCCCGTCCAATCTGGATCCGAGCTACGTACCGTAGTGGATGAAAAGTCTCGCCGGAACCAACTAGAAGGGCGGTGCAATCCGCCGTGTTGGTGGCCGACGCCCTTTGCCGTAGTCCTGTGGGACGTGGCTGGCAGCGCGGAACGTGCGTGCTGGGCATCCAATCCGTCCCGAGTCCGCTAAAAGCAACCCGTGGATGTGCCCCATCTGCTGGAAAAGTTCTAAGAATGGGGGGTTGGTTAGCGGTTGGGCTCACGGGTCGGGGGTCGCATGGCCGCAGATCGTTTAGTTATTAGAGAGGTAGCGACGGAGCGAAGCCCCGAGGCCGAGAGCACGCGATCTGGGCCACACGGATCCGTGGAAAAGCGAAATGAGAGTCCGGCGTGGGCGAACGGCCTCCTGCGCCGGATCCTCAGGCCCTCGGACCTTGTGACGTTCCATGAAATTTTCCAGAAATACTCTGGGCATTGAAGGCTGGGGCCTCCACAATCTCCACCGTGTCCAACCGCCGAGTTTACGACGTTCTCCTTCTGGTCCAGCACCGTTTGCCGGTTGCGGACGGAACGGATCGGGATGGTACGCCAACAGCGAGTCTTGGTCTTGGGGGGCTTCTAAAAGGCGGTAGGTATCCAACCACTCAATGACAAAGCATAAGAGTCCTGCAAGCTCTCACCGCGCGCCTGTGCCGTACTCTATGCACGCCGTAGTCGTTGGCGTGAGGTCATTCCTCGAACCATGGTGATCAAACATGTTGAACGACCGCGGGGCACTAACCTCAACGTGAGCGGTCGGAATCCCCCACCACGGGACGCACGATGGTCGACTTTACCAAACGAGCCAAGTCGGGGCACCTACCGCCTGTTTAAGGCAGGTCCCGGCAAGTTGACTGGCGGCGCGGCAGGCGGAAGTGCGAGCAGACAAGCGAGCGGGACGGCGGGACGCCGCCAGGACGCTTAAGAGACGCTTGGGGATGACGGACGTGTGAACGTGGTTGTGGGTTTGTGGATATGAACATGGGGAGCGACATGGGTTGGAAGCACCTACATGGCCGCACATATGTGTATCATGCCAGCTCAGACCGCTTGTCCGCCCGGAGAGGACCGTCCAATTGCTTGATGCCATGACCGCCTCCATGCTTTAAACACTGACATACATACGGCCCGTCTTGTCTGCGTTGTCCCTACTGACCGCTAGGACCAGAGCGCCTTGGCCAATAGATGAGCCCAAACTTCAAAAGTGTTGAGCTCCGAGTGCTTTGTGTGAGCCGGTTCTCGAGACACGACCTTGCTACGGATGGTCGTTCTCGATAGGTAGATTGTCCGGGGTCCCAGGATTCTCGTTGTATGTTCCGTGGAATCTTCCGTGGAACCTGCAAAACTGGCGGGGTTTCTGACGTCGTGCTGCCATGCCCTCGTTCTCCGCCGTTTCGCGTCTCGCCTATCCCCATGGCATCACTAAAAATCGTAAAGTCTCTTCCTCTCGCGCGGGCGCCTCCATCCTGGCATCCACGGCCTTGGGCTATCAAAATCTGCCTCTGAACCATTCCTCTTGTGGGATTTTCCAACCAATGGTTGAAATTCCAACCCTTCCGGCACATCCATGTGGGTTCAGAGTCCCGAATCAATACCGCGCATGAGTGCCTGCATCTGCCGGATGTTAGTCAACCTAGGCCACTTGGGTCACTCGTCAAGAGCCGCAACGTAGATCTCTAGCCTCGGAGTTCTTCATTTGCCGGTCGCCGCCTCCCAGTCGGCGTCTTTTCCATCCCGCGGCTTAACTTAGCTGTAGGAGTTGTGGCAAGTCTTGATCAGCGGCGCACCTGACACACTCCAGCTCGCGCCTAGTCCTTCCGAGCCTCCCGGATGTCGCATCAGAGGCTGCACGAAGATCACTCGAACAAAACAGCTTCACTCCATCCCATCCGTGGTCATCTGCTCCGTCAGCCCTGTCTCGATATAACATGCAGCCCCCACAGGCATCCGGTCAGCCCGTTTGGGCCGGCTTACTCACACGAAGGTTTCCAACCTGGTGGATGGAGCTGCACTTCGTCACAGGCACGTGGACCTATTCATCACGGGACAGGACGCCATGAAATATTTCAACCACAAACGGACAGTCGAAGTCGCATCGGGTTGCAACAGTACCACCCTCAAGGATGTCTAAGTTCTCATTCAAGTCCACGGCAGCCAGACCCTTGTAACAGATGGTGATTCAAGGTTGCACTGCATTCTGCCTTCTTACTCGAATAGTTTCGAAAGCGAGCGCGCCAAGGAAACAAAAGGAAATATTATAGGGTTGCGCGGAGAAACTGCAAGTGAATATACCCTGGCGTCGATTTTATTCAGAACCCTGGATTACCATATGCGTCTCTCACATGTCAGTCTGGAGTGCATGTCGTCAATCTTGACATGTAGTGTCGCTGCAGCTCCATGGTGGGTTGTCTTTGTGCGGGAGTGCTTAGTCACCAGCTCCGTCCAACGGCCCGGGCCAGCCCACCTCCGGCCTCGAAATCTCCAATTATCCGAGCCAGCTTCGGCGCGAATATCACGACTTCATACGTACGTTGCTTGGGGGCTCTGTAAAGGCGCCACCGATCCCTCCCACCACTCAATCAACCTGCCCCTACTCACGCCAGGCCAATCCGGTCTGGCGCAGGCTCCGACGGCTTGAGACCGCTCAGCCTGTCATGTTCAACCATCCGCCTAGTCAATATACATCCATCTTGAATCCTCGTTGCGACGGCTGCCGCCAACATGCGTCGCTCAATGTTCATCGCCGCAGAAAACTCGCGCCACCGAATTGCCGCGATCGCACTCTACCGTGCTCTCCTCAAAACCGGCAAAAAGATTGCGATTCCTCAAAACCTGCAGCCTTCGGGTCCAGTCCATCCCATCGTTCATCTGATCAGGAAACGGGTCCGCAAGAACAAAAGCTATACCAGTCTTCGGCTTCTATACGCCGCAATGGCCGCTGGTTACAAGGTAAGGCCCGCCATTGGATACTTACCAGACTCTTGCTGACTTTGATCACCTCAGTTTCTCACAATGTTCACGAAAGCCCAAAATCCCAACTCCTCTGAATACACCATGATCATCGACCACTTGCGCAAACGCGCAGAAGAAGCCGCACTATCTCGCTCAAAGCTCCCACCCCGGAAGAAACACAAGGCTTGGGAAAAGAGTCCTCCACTTCTCACCAAGATCTCCAAGCCCAACGAGCCCCCGAAGTATATATCAACAGTCCGGCCACGGCCCAAGTCGACGTTCAACGGTGAGAGGAAAGTACCCGTCTTTACGGGCACATCCGAAGGCCTGCCATTCCTCCGAACCCAAAAGCCCCAACCGCGCCTCCTATCCAAGAGCATAGATAAGAAACAGCAAGTACTGCTAGGGAAGATCTACAATATCGTCGACATCGACGAAAAGCACATGCCAGCTGCGGAACAAGAAGACAATTGGGACAAGTTGATGCGAAAGGAATTGAGAGCGGCGGGGCTGAAGGAAGAGGGATCTCTAGAAGGTCCATTTAGCACATACCAACGGAGTCAGGCATTGGCAAAGCTTTGGTATGTGGCCCAGATCGACACGACGTGGAATGACTGGATCGCGCGTGGACGTGCATTAAGCCAGATTGTCGAGGACGAGAAGACCCTAGCAGGGAGGGAGAAACGAATTGCGGACGGAACGCAGGGGCGTACTGAAGGCGTCCAAAGCGGCGGTGGCGTACCCGATCCGATCACAGCAAAGATGGTTCGAGATAAGCTTAACGCCCAAGCACCAATCCCCGTGACAGACCCGTTTCTGGGTCCAAGTTGGCAGGCAGTGGTGAAGCGCGACGAAAATCGGCTTCTGGCACGCAGTGCTCGTGATCCCAGGGCAAAGACTGAACCTGGCGGCGAGCCAAGGCAAAGGAGAGGCAATGCCCAGACGAACGACTCAAAGCAAAACCTATCCAACGACGACCTCGATCTCGACTCGGTGATGGATGCCTTCGAAACTCTCACGTTGAAGAGAAAGGTCTTTTAGACACTGTAGCAAGTATTGTATTAACATATACCCAAATCATCACGGATGGAGTCGGTTACGAATAAATAGTTCACGGGACAATGATATAAACTGGGTACGGTGACCCCTGATATTCATGCTTTTCTTTTTGGCCACTGGCGCTATGCAAAAAATACAAATGGTATATCCAAATTCCCCAAACTCAACACAGACCAAAAATACATATTGTCGTATTATCATTCAGACGAGGCATATGAATCGGACAGCCTCTCCATGGCTCAAATTGATTCCATCATCTCTGCATCACTTCAACCCGCTGACTGGACTGGTTCGACTGGTGTGACTGATGGGATTGGTGCGATCTGTTAGAAAAGGCCCGAGGTCTCACCATCACCCGCGGATCTTTGACCTTCTTGCCGTCATTGGCCACCTCTGCCCAGCTCTTCAAGAGTGCGGGCACGCGTCTTGAGTCTCCATTTTCGCTAACGAGATCCGATCTGAGCGTCCTTGGCGAAGACACGGTGGATAGGGGCATCGACAGGGTAGGGCTGCTCGGTTCAGACGGCAGAGAAGCTTGTTCAGGTGTAGATACCCGTTCAGTTGGTGGGGCAGGCCTCTCCGCAAGTTGACCCCACTGTGGCAGCTTGCTCTCGTCCAAGGGGATGGAGTTGCGACCAACTACCGGGCTGCTCTGGGCGGGGGTTGGTATTGTCTCGAAGCTCTGGCGGGAGAAGATTGACGATGCCATGCTGCTGTCGGTCAAGCTCTGGTCACGGTTGAGGTTGGGTGTCTCGCTCCGGCCGGGAGTCACGGGCAATGGGAGTTTGGAGCCCGAACCGCGAGAACGGAGTTGGTACCCGACGAGGTTGGAGAAGCTCGGGGAGCGAGAGCTTGGTCTGTCGATCGGTCCACGGGGGGTTGTAGGATCGCCGAGGGGTCGCGGGGCGAATATTTGGGGCTGTGCCAACGGTGATCGCGCATCAATCGAAAATCGGTGAACCGAACGGGACGACGGCTGAAGAGGCGGTCTCGAGGCCGGTGTAGTGGGTGTCGACCGTGTCTTCGATAGCCCGAGACCGGTGCTCGATAGGGGAGACCCAGCACCGCCGCTCCGGTTCGCTCTCGGCAGGGGCCGGGCCGGGCCGCGTCCAGAGCTTTTCTTGTGGTCCGCATTTTCGGACTCGAGCTTCCGGCACTTCTCCTCAGCTTCCTTCAGCTTGGCTTGCAGCACCGAGATGGTGTGCTCGTGCGCCTTCCGCTCATGCTCGAGACGTAGCTCATACGTCTTGTCTCTCCCCTCCAATTCATCGATTCTCTTCTTCTGACGTTCATTCTCCTGCCGAAGGCTGTCCAATGCCGTGAATTTCCTATCCCACTTATTTTCGACCCAGGATATCGGTCGCTTACAGCACTCACCATGATAAATCTGGTGTATACCGCCAAGCATTGATAACTTGTCGTCAATCTTGTCTACCGGAAGCCGGCTCCGTGGGTTTGATGTGATCATTTTAGAAATCAAGTTGACGACTGGTCGAGGCCGCACCGTCTCCTGGCCTTCAAAGGTAAACATAAATGGGGGTGTCACCAGGGCATGGGACGTCATTTTTTCGAGATGTGCTTTCAACTTGTCCTCGCGGTTGCGCAATTGTTCTTCCCGAGTCTGCCTGGACAGGTATTTCAGTGCCTCGTCAAACTCGGCCAGGCGAACATTATATAGCACAGTAGCTATGTTTAGAAACACAAGGCCGAGGGAATAGACATCTGAAAGCTGCATACTGGAGCCGTGGTCGGCGTAGAGCTCTGGAGCCCGCCATCTTTCCGTTCCTGGTAGCCCCTCGGTCGTGGTTTGGTCCTGTCCGCTAACATCTCGCGAGATGCCGAAATCGGCCAGGTAGACGCGGTCGGCTTTCAGGAGGATATTGGAGGGTTTGATGTCGAGGTGGCGGACATCGTTGGAGTGGCAGTGGGCCATGGCACGGGAGACACAGCCGATGACATTGCGGAGGAATTCAAGGGGACACTTGGTGTGGCAGTCAAGGCCCTGGTTCTCGGTGTTCGGTTCTATAGCACTCAAATCCTTGAGGTCGAGGGCATTGAGTCGTTCGATGATGTCTTCGCGATCCCCATCGCCTAGGCGCAGGGACTCGAGGTCCTCCAGCAGAATGCTCAGGTTGCAGACGGCAGCGGGCCAGATGAGGAGGCACAGCTCGTGGGGGCGAGGCGCATAGGTTGCGACGAGCTTGACTACATGGCGATGGTCGAGCTTATTCATGGTCAAGCTCTCCTGGCGCAAGTCCTCAATGGTGAAGCCGCGACGGCGAGTGATGCGCTTGCGGGCGAGGCGCACGGAGCCATACGTGACTTCCTCGACGCGGCCGAAAGCGCCATATCCGAGATCGTCGAGCTTGACAAGTTTGCCATCGAATCGCTTGGCCTCGGGGCCGCTAAACAGGGGTTTATTTCTGTGATATTCTCGTGATTAGAGACTTGTGCTTCGAATCTGGAATACAGAGGCGCAGCATACATGCTCGGCCAATTGTCATCATTGTCCCAGGCACTGATGGTCCGTTGCTCGTCGAGCTCGCGCTCGATCTCCCAGAAGCGGTTGTAGGAATGGGTCGGGTCTGCTTGCCCGACTCTAGTCCATCCTCGGACCCAGTCGCCCATAGCTTGTCACAAAGCCTCGAGGGCCCGCAGGGGTGGGTTGAGCGAGGATGGCGATCCGAGGAAGTGTGCGATAGAATGTGGCAGGAGGGCAGGAGGAGCTGGCGGCGGGGGAGGCTCAAGAACAAGGATCAAGCAAAGGCCAGAGCCATGGCTCAGCGGGGGCGGTTAAACTCAGCAGCGCCGAGAAGAGGGCGACGGCGACGCGAGGAGGATATGCGCGGGAGGTTCGGGAGAGGAGGCGTCGCGGTGGTGGGAGTGGTGTGAAAGATGAAGGATGGCGGAGGGTGAGTTGCAGCGAGGACGTCGTCGGAGAATGAGAATGGGCCACTAACTGCTCAAGTTCCACCACTACGCCAACCCATGTTGTATTTTTTTTTATTTTGCGCGAGCCATTCCCGACACAACTAGTAAAGACGAAGATGTACAGTACGACATGCTCCATGCAGGGTGGCACAAGTGCACAGCCTTCCATGCGCCGAGTCCCGATGTTCCACTGAGGCTGAGCCATGCAGCAGAAACGCACCAGAAGCGCACTCACAGAAGTGCTCGATTGGATTGGAATTGCTGACAGCGCGCACAGTGGTTGGATAGTGGTCGGACAGCGACGGTTAGTGGGTCAAGGTACCTACCGACCTGGCCCACCCATCTTCTGCTTCCCCGCCTCGACCAGTGGCCGATTGTAGCAAAGATGTACAACAAGCGTCTGGACCGTGGTGCACATCGTCGCCACTATCAAAGCAGGCTGGTTGATCTAGGTCGTCTATGAGGTTTTTGCACTACTGCCGCTGCGCAGTCCAGTGCAGTCCAGTGCCCCGGAGCCGGCGAGATCGGGTGCGCCAAGGTGGATATAGAAGGTAAGCCACCATTTACCACCATATTTTAGAGTCGGGTAAGCTAGGATCGAAGTTGTGGAAGAGGCTGCAGTTTGAAGTTCTCCAGTACCCTCCCACACAAGAAAAACGACGTAATTACACGCTAACAAGGCAACGGTAACATCTCATGCCCTTCAGTCTCAGATGGAAGTGATAAATGTCACTTTCCGCACTCAATTCGTCCATTTAGGGTTATCTCAGCTCACTCCCGGGTAGGCACACTGCCGCGATGGTGGGATTAGTCCCATGCGCAGGGCTGCCAGTGCACTGGAGAACATCGTAAGCCACTAAACCAAACCGAGCTTTAAACTTCCAGCGGGCGCCAAGACCTCTCGCCGTCTCCATCTTCGCCTTCTCCATCCTCATTTCCAACTTCATCTCCGTCCCCATCAGTCCCCGGTCTCTGGTCCCATCCCCGTTACCGGCCACTGACTGTCACCGCTTCCACATCGCCGGGTTCGCATCATCCTCGCCTGTCTCATCATCTCTGTCTTGACTCTCCGCGTATCGTTCCGGCCTGCGCACGGCCACGCCGTCCCCGCGACGCCACCCGCATCCCTTACTAGCATGACCATCTCTCTCAACTCCCAGCTGCCAAAAATCGCTTGAAGGCTGTTCCGTCCTCTGGGTTTTGTTCAAGTTGCAGTCTGACTATCTTGCCTGACACATTCATCCTCTCAACCCGGGCCCCTGTTCTCATGAGGGGATATTTCGGTATTTCCGCCCCCAATCTTAAACTCTCCGAAACACAACTTCGACTAGCTCAATTCTTCAAACCAAATTATTTGAACTGAGCAATATAAACGCCCCGGTATCCTTGGATAAGGTCATGTCCTTGACTTCGGCTGAAATCTTAGCCATCCACAAATCCCCCTCCACTCATTCCTACCTGCATTGGTAGCCTTAGTTGATATCGCCATCCACAACCCAACCAAATCCGGCCATTCAACCACGCACTATCCATTCTCGACCTGATACTCCCAACTTGATACTTACTCACATTGGCATTCAATCTCTTCCGTCAGCTGGAGCCTGCCCCTCGGGATTTTGGACGTGTCCAGGTCCGTAACGGACACTGTCTCACCAAACCTCTCTCAAAATATTCAACCAGAACCTCAATGCTATGCAAACAACTCTGCCACAATGCCTCGTTCATCGTCCAACTCTAATGCCCCGGCTACAACTCGAAAGAGGTCTGACGCCTCTGATGAAGGTGAGGAAGGGGTCGGAAAGAAAAGGTCAAGAGGTCGGCCACGCCTTGACACCAAGGACGAAACGGCTGCTGATGTGAGTATGCTCTGCCGTGATCCCTCTATCCGCGATCAATTGTATTCTCTCGGTACCTCTCTCTGACATTCCAACCAGCGTCGCCGCACGCAAATTCGTCTGGCTCAGCGAGCATACCGCAATCGCAAGGACACAGCTATCGACACACTTAAACAGAGAGTCAAGGAGCTCGAGAAAGTCAATGAAGACATGGGCAATGAGTTCATGAGCTTATCTCAATTTGTACTCGGGCAGGGTGTATTCCAGGGGTCTCCCGAGATCGCTCAGCGCTTAAATGAAGCCACTCGCAAGTTCATATCTCTTCAGCGGCAGGCCGCTGAGGAAGCTTCTGCTAATACCGATACGGATGCCGGTGGCGGTGCCTCTGCCGATGATGGTACTGTCAATCCTGCGGATAAGCACTCGCAGTTGGCAATTCATCAGCAACCTGGCTCGAAGAAGAGCTCTAGTTCGTCCACATCATCGAATGACGTCCTCTCGACCCCCAATACGGACTGGAGCACTGAGGACAAGACACGCTCAGGTGTGCCGATCCCCTTCCAACACTACAACCACTCGTCTCAGTATCCAGTCAATCCTGTCACCAATCACAGCATGAGAGACTCGAGCTTTCCCATCGGGGACAGTCAGGTTCAGGTTCCACTCTTCACCGACCCTTTTTCTCAGTCGCCTTTTATTCCTCCTCCGATGCCCTCTTCATATGGGGCACATGAACAGACTTTTGGCCGTCGTCTTCAGAGGACAATCTTGGAGGCGGGTCTTAGACTGGCCTCAATGGACAACCCGCCGCCAGACCGCTACATGGCGGTGTTCAGTTTTTGTCTGTATTTTGAAAGCGGACGAGAAATTGTCAGCCGCTTGTCTTCGACTCTAGAAGCTACAGCACAGGAGACTTTGAACCACTGGAAGTTTCCGTTTACGAATCTTGGTGGGTCGGGCCTCTACTTTTCTGACAGTCAGGGAAATGGGATCATGCCAGGCAATATGCCTGCGGGCGGCGAGTTACCAATTGGGAATCATGGTCTTCCAGAGCCCTACAAGCCTTCCGAAATGACGGGCTTCTCTATGGGCCCATTTAGCCGAGAAATCGAACTCGCGAAGGATTATCGCGTTGACCATCGATTGCGGATGATGGAACCAGGCTTTGAAGGGGAATTCTATGATGCAGACGAGGTGGAAACATATCTGCGTCATCGTGGCATCGTTATCCCTGCGAACAAAGACTTCGTTGACGCTGAAATTGAACTCCACGTATTCGATGAAGACCCGCCACCGACGCCTTGGCCCTTTGGTCTTGGGAAAGAGGGCTTCTTTAAGCAGCCGCCACCACCACCAACGCAGAATCCGGGGACCCTATCTCTTTCTCCCGACTTCGCTAATGCCCCGGGTAATTTGTGGCCAGGAACACAACCACCCACCACAATCCCGGTCGAAGCCCCAGTCATGATGGGCGATCCTCACGCAATGCCAGCTATGGACCCGCATCTCGCGCCCCTGGTTCCTGACTTGTCGAACAGGACTTCAGCAACCCAGTTCAACCCAACTCTAGCATCTTTCGAGGAGGCTCCTGAAGCCCCTTGGCGGGATTGGGGAGCGGATACAACATGGACAAGGACCAAAGTGACGATCGACGTGAACCAGCTTGTAACCAGTGAGTTCAGTCCTCGCTCCCATGTTTGCACACAGAAGCTAATCCATCTAGAAATGACCAACTATGCCGTATGCTTGGGCCGCAGCCCTGGTGTCCGGCCTCGGGATGTACACAAGGCAGTCAGACAGTCCATTATCTTGCAACATGGAGTAAAGTGATTGGTTTGGAAAGGAAATGCAATTTTGACATTTCGGCGTTGAGGTGGAAAAGGACGGGAAGCGTTGGTAATTTTGATACCCAGGGAATGGTCGGTATTGGATCTGATGTAAATACCTCCATGTGAATTTGCACAAATCTCTGCAGCTTATTGGTATATTAAACCCATTTGGACATACTGCTTCAGTTGACTGCTCATGTTTTTGACGAGTTACTTGAAGGCCTTTATGCGCAATGTCGAAGGGTGCGGGGTGGGTCTTGAGCTTTGGCGGGGTTACTCGTGCTCATCCACGACGCCAATACGGCACAGCCAAGTTGAACTCCTTATCAACGCTTGATGATAGCCCGAAGAGCGAAGAGGAAATACCAAAGAATACAGAGCTATGGAATACAGAACTCAAGATACCCAGCACCACAGAGTACAGCCTCGGCTCATCATCCACGGCGGAGCAGGCAACATCCAGCGGCATAACTACCCGCCGGAAAAGTACCAGGCTTATCGCGATGCCCTCATCACCATCGTACGCTGGCCTCTCTCCCCGATATGGATCTTGAACGACTACCTACTGACGCAATGGGTGTGTAGGTGACCAAGACAAATGTCTACATGACCACGCCAGCGGCAAGTGTCGCTGAGAAGTTGTCCCCTACAAGACGCCTTCCCTCTGCGCTGGACGTGGCGACCTTCGCCGTGGCCCTGCTCGAGGACAACCCTCTGTTCAACAGCGGCCACGGCGCCGTCTTCACCCGCGATGGCGTCAACGAACTGGAGGCGTCCGTCATGGTCTCCCGCGGCTACAAGAAGCGCGGCGTGGGCGTCATGGGCCTCCGCCGCGTGCGCAACCCCATCGTGCTCGCGCGCAAGATGCTCGAGCACGGCCAAGACGACCTCCAGCCGCAAGCTGCCCTCAGCAGAGAGCCCCGTGCCGCCGCTCTCGACGTCCCCTCGGCGCAGGGCCACACGCAAATCTTCGGCGACGCAGCAGAGCAGCTGGCAGCGCAGTACGGAATGGACCTCGTCGCCCCGGGGTACTTCTTCACGCAGCAGCGCTGGGATGAGCACCTGCGCGCGCTGGAGCAGGAGAAGAACGGGTCTGGCCTGGCGACCTGGAGCGCCACTGAGTACCTGCCCCAGGGGACCTGCGGCGCCGTGGCCCTCGATGAGGACGGCGTCATCTGCGTAGCCACCAGCACGGGCGGCCTGACGAACAAGTTGACAGGCCGCATTGGCGATACGCCCGTCGTCGGGGCCGGCTTCTGGGCCGAGGAGTGGAGTGAGGACGGTGATCCTACTCGGGGCGGCGACGGCGTCTGGCAGCGGTTGCAAGAGGCTGTTACCAGACGGGGTCCATCTCTTGTCCTCGGCGATGCCCTCACAGGCGCCCTAGCAGACTGCCTTCCCACGCCGCTGATGTACTCCCCACTGGCCCCATGGACCGGTGGCACTACGACGACACGATCAATGGGCGGTTCTGGGACCGGCAACGGCGACTCCTTCCTGCGCATCAACGCCCTGCGCACCGCCGCCGCCATGGCGAGATGGAAGCCGGAAACGAGCGCAAAGGCCGTGACGCACGTTGCCGGTCCTGGGGGCGAGCTCGAGAAGAGCGCCGAGGACCGGTGGCGGCGGACGGGCGAAGGCGAGGGCGGCATCATCGGGATCGAGTGTGCCCTTGTTCGCGATGCGGCTGGGCGGGTTGTCGAAGCTCGATCCGAGATCCTGATGGATTATAACTGCGGTGGCATGTTCCGCGCGTGGATTGACGACCATGGCGAGCCCGTCATGAGTGTGTGGACCAACGGTTCCGTGGACGACCTATATATCAAGCAACACGAGGCTCGTGAAAGAGAGCGGTGAACAGGGAATGCCATTGTATATTTGATCTGTACCCAGTTTTGCAGAACCAAAAGCTCCTATCATAGATCCCAGCTCAGGATCTCTCTCTTTCTCTCTCTCTCTCCCTCTCGCTCATTTTTCGGCACCCTTGCTCCCTGAGCCAATGCGCGCACTCCGTTGCTCCGCGAATCGTACAGAGTCTCATCAGACATGGAATAGTTTGTCATCTTGCACGAAGTATAGAAACTCCATCGCTAAGCCATAAACCCGCCCCCCATCGTCCCGTATTCTTTCTCTATAGTACATGGAACGCCGGCCCGATGCGAATTTAGAAGATTATAACGTCAGCCGACTGTTTCTGTTCGTGGCGTTGATGATGGTGGTGTGTGGTGGTGGTGGTGGTGGTGGAAAATACAAAGGGCCTCCGATTGGAAAGAGGCCCGGAAATCGATTTGTGGTGGAGTTGAGAGGGGAGGTGTGGGTTTTTTGTTGTTCTCGTTGATCGAACAAGTCGCCGTCGTAATCATCTCGGTCCCGTACAAACTCGTCGTTTACAGAGTAGCCTCCATGTTGGGCGGGGGCTGAGGCACCTCGAGCTTGGTGGAACCGGCAAGCATCTTGCTGAAGCCGATACCGACACCCTCGATGACGGCGAGCAGGACGGCGCAGCCGATGGCACCGTTGCGGGCAGCCTTGTAGCCACCCCGGATGGCGAGAGAGCCACCGGTGAAGAAGCCAGCGATGATGGCGTTGTAGGGGTCCTCCTTCTTGCGGACGCCCTTCACGGCGCAGTCAAAGGTGGAGAAGAGACCGCCCCAGACGCCGAAGTTGCCGCCGAGCACGGGGGCGCGCATCTTGATGGCTGTGATGGCGCCGATGCGGCGCTCGCCGTAGGGGGAGTTTCGGAAGCCCTTGATGCCGTGCCAGATGGTGCCGCCGATGGCCTATTCGGAAGAGGACATGTTAGTTATGGGGAGCTCTTCATCGGGCGAGATTGATCGGGAGGGTTGGCGGCGGGTCGAGGGGAAGAGAAACACTTACGCCCATGCAGAAAGCACCGCCAAAGTCATTGAGAATGACCCAGGGGCAGGGGTCACGTCCGTGATCCATGGCTGGCTGTGGGTGTGTGGGAGAAGAGGAGCGTCGAGTGCGGAAGCGAGGGGGAGGGCGACGTCGTCGTAGTTGTGGTCGTCGGGATGGTTGCTCTTGAAAATTGTGAGGCCGCTGCCAGTAAAAGTTGACCCCCCGTCCGGCCGGGTGCTGAGTCGCGAATGGAATTTTTCGGAGCATCGGCGCTTCAGAAAGTCCGGCCACCCAAATGCCTCCAGCACCTTCCACCACCAAAGGTGTCGCCGATCTCGGGTACGTACCGGGAAACCAATGCCAAGATGGGGGCGAAATGGAGAATCATGAGTATGCACCCTCGGGTCAGGTTCCTTTTCTTAGAATGTGAGTATAATAGCGAAACATTTATGTCACAGGTAGTTTGCCGTACTCTTCATATTGATCATTGTTTAGGTACACTGCATAGGCTCAACTGTGTGATTGGGGCACCCCGAGTTCAGTTAGAACAATTCTTGGGTTGCACGTATTAAAATGTTTCTCGTATTCGCCGTAAATCAATGTCCCATTTCTAGTTACGAACTGTCAATGGAGGATATCACAATGCGCAGAACCCGTAGTTTGTCTATCGTACCCCCTTGTCTCTAGCTCCTCGAACTTGTGTTACCCAAGCTCGTTGCCAGCGTCTCAAGTTAAGGCGCTCGGTACGTCTACCCAAGTCGGACAGGGTGTGTGTTCCAAGCATGGTTTAACACAACTAGGGCTCGCGTTACCCGGAAAGAAAAAGAAAAGAGACAAATCCTGGCTCCTGGAATACGTCGTACTCCGGAAACATCAACCCGAATAACTGGATCCGAGTCAGACCCCACTCACCCCGGATCTCCGTCTCGGCCGATTGCCAACAGCGCCAGACCCACATCCCCATCCTTCATCCGCCTTCCCAAATCGTCTCGCCGAGAACCAACCCTTGGCGTGATACGACGGGCAAGTATATAGCTCTGCGACTCGGTTCAAGAACGGAGCCTGTATATTTCCTCTTACTCTTCCTCTTCCTAAAAGAAATTGTGAAGGTCCCGAGATAATCAATCTCCTCGCTTAACGTGTTGACTTCGTGGTTACAACTCCCGCAATCACCATGGTCCTCCAGCTTGTCCAAGCCACCGAAGACGACGCTCCCCGCGCCATCGCCGTTGAAACAGAAGCCTACGGGGCTGACAGCCCCGTCAGCCGCGTTCTATACCCCGGTCCCCGTCCCACGGAAGGAACTCATAAAGTCGACGACCTCATTAAGCAGCGCCGTGCCGACCATGACATCCGATGGTTTAAAGTCGTAGACACCGGCCTTGACGTCTCCCCCGAAGATAAGGCCATCGCATTTGCGCAGTGGTACGTATGGACCACGCCTCAAACCTCAACACTCTCCGCTGCTCGCGGCCCTGGCTCCAACCCTGAAGCCTGCGAACTCTTCTTTGGGGGCATGAACAGGAAGCGGGATGCGTTGATGAGTGGAAAACCCTACATCTGTTAGTAGTCATTCCGAACCTGGGACTTTGCCTGGGGTAGGCTATTGTAGTCCAACCGAATGCTGACTGACACCGCAAATCAGACCTCAAGCGGCTACACACAGAGCCGAAACACCAGAGACGCGGCGCCGCCTCTCTACTGCTGAAATGGGGCTTGGAGGAGTCTGATCGCCTTGGTATCCCAGCGGTTCTTGAGTCTTCACCACAGGGTCGCCTACTGTATGAGAAATGGGGGTTTAGGGAAGTGGACAATCTCACTGTCGACTTCTCGCCTTGGGGAGGACCGTCAAAAATCGAGGTCCCGCTGATGCTTCGCGAACCCAAGCGACAGCAAGCCGACATGACAACTATTGATCAGCTATCCCCCCAGTAGAGCCTGTCAGTCGTATAGCTTCCCATTCAGCTAAAATCCTTATATCTTCCGCCGGCGCAACCAACGAGAGAGCGAATCAATCAAGTCATTGCAAGAAATGCCGGAGTCGCAGTGATGCTTTCTTCTATTCCTCCTCTTCCTACCTCCTACTAGACGCCACACTCCCAACTGTGACTACGTGATGGCTTTTTGTCACTATTATTAGGTGCCTAAAGGCACCGTCAAAACCACAAATGCCTCCCCAGTATCCGCAACCAATCCAAAACCAAATGCCAAATGAATGAGGTAACCCGAGCTCACCTCCAGTGAAGCAGAGTCCGAACCAAGGCAATTTCTCAGCCTACCCCAGGGGTATAATGGCCAACCGCTGTGTCCAGATACGCCATCCTCCTGTTAAGTGCTAGCGCGCTCCCAAAAACTCCACGCTTTTCCCCAGAACCCGAGTTGCAACCGATCGTAAAACCCAAACTCGACCCAGGTGCTGCTGTATCTTGTCTAGACGTTGCATCTCTCAACTGACAATGAGATGGCCGTTTCGTTACTGAAAAACCCCGTAATGACTTCCTGAAGTGCTGTTGTGCCTATTCATCTCTTCATGGGACGGTAGTCTGGTAAAGACGCTCCCATATTGGTCATCGCTTAGGACCCCTGGAGTCCGAGGAGACATGTCTGGAACCGCGTGAAGTAGCTGATCTGAGCCTACCGCGTAGGGAGATGACAGAGTGCGGTTAGGGACTACACCGAGGCCACTTAATGAACCCTGGCCAAGGCCATCACTTGTTCCCATTCCTTGCTGCATCCCGCCATCTGTACCAAAATTGGCGTGATATACCTGATTATAGGTTGATGCCGGAGTCAAAGAAGCCCCTGCTGTGATATCCGTGTGCGCTGAAATCTGAGGATACCCTGGTGTAAACTGGCCAGTGATTGGTGAGGATAAGAAACCGGCAGAATGTGATAAATCGACCGAAGGGCTCGAGTTAGATGTCGAGAGGCAGGCTTGCGTAGTTGACGGCGCTGACATAACACCTAAGTCGGGAGTACCTAGAAACTCCTGAGGGTCGTCTGGAGATAGAGTATGGTTCGAGCCAGCACCAAATGCGCCAATCGAGGTGCTCCGGTCAATGTTCGTTCGTTTAAACCGTCGATTCATCAACATGGCTTCTGGGTTTTCTGCCGCCATTCGGTTACGCTTTCTCGTGGTGATTGCTCGCGAATCCTTGCGCAACCTCAACTTCACTCCCTGGTCGGTAAAGGAGCGGGTTAGAAAGGTAGATTCAGCCATGCCAGGGAATTCTTTTGGCGAATAAACGGTAAACGGGTTGGTGATTATTTCCGAAACGAAGTAGACACTGGGAGGGTCGGCCTGGTTGTCTCGGTCGTAGAGAGTAAAGCGGAGCCGGAATCGTCCTTCTCGTTTCACCGACAGATCACCAAACACAAAATAGCCACCATCTGCGTTCGTGGGATCCTTGAGATGATGAATCGAAGACGCTAGAGAACCGGCGAGGTAGCTTGTAGGGAGTTCCGCACCCGTGGTTAGCTCGTGATAGTTTTCGGCTACCAGGGAACATGTAAGAAAGAGATATGGACCTGCCACGTGCGACCGCGTTAGAAATTGTCAACCCATTCCCGAGTCGTAGGAAACTCACTGTTGTACAGCGGGCTTCTCCTGTCGGTCCTCTTATCGATGAGCTGTATGACCGGTGGCGGATCAACAGGTTTGCGATCTGCTTTGTCAACTTCAGCTGGTGTTGGACAAGATACGGGGTGTGGATTTGATTTCACGGTACCTTTCTCTTTTCCTAATGCCACTCGAGCATGGACAGGAGCTTGCTTGACAATCAACTCCCTCTCCGAGTCGCCGTATGATTTAGGCACGGGGTCTGGTTCCTCCTGTTGCGAGGGGAAATCTCCGACGTCGAGGAAAGTGCCCATGGACGGATCGTATTGCCCGGATTGCATGAACGGGACTCCCGGAGAATTCCCCATGGGCGCAGCCATGCTGCGGAGATGGGTGAGTACTTCTGGGTCTTGTGTAAGAGTTGGAATATTCTGGTCGAGACGAAAGAGAACCGAAAAAATGTGTTAGGGCTTCCACGGTGTAGAGAAAGAGGTTATAGCTGCATGTTTTTCGGAACCAGGAGGAACCGCGGCACAAATAAATCCTCGGCGGTTTGTTGGGCCGTGAAAATATTCAAAATTTCAACAAACCCTTATGGCCTCCCTGGAGCCTCCGATGTTCTTAATGGTTCGTGGGAGGCCAGATCCAGGAGGAGGTGCTGTCTTGAGAAGGGAAGTGGGGGCTGCGATGTGCCAGAGAAATTCGATTCCTGCGACCACAGTCCGCATGCGACTGTGGTGAGTAGAGATTCCGGCGCTGAGGGAATCGAAGATGGCCTTGGTTCGCGTACCGCAAGTGTCGAGGGCTGAGCTTCCAGAGGGTGGCCGTGGTGGGAGAACCACATGTGGATATTCCAGCAAAGTCACCAGCAAGGTTCAACTGGGAATTGGAGACTCGCCGCCAGCAGGACAGCGCCACGAGGGCACAAAGAACACGTTGGCGCTGGGGATTCTTTCCGTGGGCTGCGACTCCGTTTTGGTGTTGTTGACGCTTCAGTCGTCCGGGCAAGGCTCTGAAATGGCGAGTGATGATGCGTTGATGCCACCCCTGAACAAGCGACCGCAAGCTGCTGAGCCAGGATGATGACTCTCGACGACGGCGGCGCTCGCAAGGACGGCGCAAGTCGCAAGTGTTGATGCGGGGAGCAGACGCCGCGCAGGGACGAACGGGTGACCTGGTTGGGTAGTTGCGTGTGCTGTCTCGTGTTCCAGACCTGGGCGCAGTGGAAGATGGCAGACGGCGGTGGCAAGTGGCAACCCAGTGAATGGGCTCACAAGTCGATGCCGGGAGGTTTTGGCGTGGTGTGACCGGACAACTGGATGTAGATTTCCCAAAGGCAGAGATATGGCGTGGATGGAGTGTTGGGGAGAAGTTAAGGTAGGTCAAGCAAGCAGGCGAAATCCATAAACGCGGATGTGGACGTGGACGCTATGGCCAGTCAGGCGAGAGAGACATAGAAGGAGGGAACCTCCCGGGCCGATTTTGGATCTGCGCGGCAGTTGCCACCTACTGTGCTATTGGAGAGGGCGAGTTTGGTAGGTAGGCAGGTAGGTTAGGTAGGCGGGTAGTAGAGACGTGCTTCAGCGCCTCCCTTGCGTGGGAGTTATTTGGCACGAGGAGGGGAGGTCGCAGAGGGCTGCGGCTGCCAGGGCTGCATGCAGTACAGTACATGCAATATCAGATGTCATCTATCAACGGCGGCAACGTACCAGATAGATGAAGCTACCTAGCGAGATAATTACCTGGCGGATATCACGATGCGCCGGGGACGGGGAGCAGACCAACGAGGCAGGCGGCGAGGGACAGAAGGGAAGAGGATGCCAGCAGCGGCGACGGTAACGGTGACGGTAACGGTGGACAAGAGCGACGGAGACCAAAAAAGATGGAGATAACAGAAGCGAGAAGGGCAAACGACGTGATGGAAGCAAGAGAGAGCGAGCGAGCGACCATTGCCTGCTACCCTCCTCCCCTCCTCCATTGATAGTCCATATCGAGGAGAATATCACGTCTCCCAGTGGATGGATGTCGGCAGGGCAGGTCGGTAGGGCCAGGACCAGCGGACACTGGACACTGGACAGGCATTGTTGACAGCAAGCACTATGGTAGCACTATGGCAGCACTGCCAAATCACAGAATGACGAGTCACGATCAGACCCGGGGGCGGAGTGGCCGGGGGCCTGCTCAATAATCCACCAAAGGGCAGAGAGGAACAGGCAGAGGGCGGGGAGGAGGGACGAGGGAACTGGGGGTTCGCTCGAGAACAGACCAATGCGATGGGGGCCCAGTACCTGTACCTAGGCGTCTATCTCTTCGCCGGCTGGCTCATCCGTGTGTCGAGAGGCATGCGGCATTGACGTGTTAGCAGGCATTGTACCTCGAAATGTGATGGATCGCTCGGTCCCAAGACCATGAGTGCAGGTGCTCGGACAAGGGACGTTGAGTGGACGCCGATAAAGGCCAACAAGCAGCACAACCCAGAATAGGTACCTGTCTTGCCTACTGCGTAGTATGTACTCGCTGCGTACACATGCTTCCCTGGGATCCATCCGGGCAGGGGAACGGGAACGGGAACGGGAACGGCCATCTCGCTGCCCATGATATGAGGGTTTGCGCAAGCCTCGAGCGAGCCGAGCGGCCAAGGCATTGCCAGCGCGAGCCTCGACGGCCCTGGATAATATGCACCTGCCATGTACGAACTACGTAGTACGTACCTGCCCGTAGGCACTTGCTGCGGGAGGTACTTCATGTCCGACTGAGCCTATATTATCCGGTCCTAAACGCCGGGGATCGAGGAGGCCCGACTCACCTCATGGCCTCACCCCGTCCGGGCGTGACGGGGGACTCCGGTGCGCGTGCAACCCACCTCTATCGAGGGATCTGCCGGTTTCAGACAGAACGGTTTTTAATTCCAACATCATCGCGAACCCCACGGTCGAGACGCCTGGTATTCAACGCCAAGCAATCAGCTACTTGCGCGCATCTCTACCAACCGGAACACAGCCAACCGTCGTGGCACCTGCACATCAGCGCTACCGGTAGGCGATCCCACTCCTCTCCCAAACCTCCTCCGCGATGTGCTAAAGCGTGTCCAAGATACTCCAACGTCCGCCTCTCTCGTGCATGTCCCGCGAGCTCAGCATGTATCTCGACATCTCCTATTCGGTGGTGTCGACACGCCCCCAACGGCCAGGGACCCCTGGACCGTTTGATGACAGGCAGGGGGTTAGTCCACGCGCTTGTACGCAGTACATGGTGTTTGCCTTTGTCTCCCCGTCTTCCAGAACGGCAGAAATCCACACCTGTCAAAGACGGATCCGGATATGCTGAGCATGCACCCCGGGGAATTTCCATGCCTTGGCGTGTGGGTGACGAGCGAGCTGGTTGGCTGGACGGTATGCATCTCCGGCCACCGTGGGAAGCGAGATGATACCGTATTCATGCTGTGCGGGAGCTCTGTGAAAGTTCCTGTACTTGCTCGCCCGACTGAACAGCCCTCCCGGACATTGACAGATCTGCAAGCGACCGACTAATTATGTAGACTATACATGGCTCTGCGCTGCCGTCCATCGCAACGACCAAAGCTCGTGGTAGGTCGGTCCGTCATGCCAACACTTCATCAAAAGGTGCTGGTGGCTGCTCCCGGCCATGCATCGCATTGTCAAGAGCCAAGAGTCGCCTGGATATTCAGCCCTCGGTACTTGAGGTCGCAACACGCCCATAACTCCCGTCGTTGGGTTTCTTGTCTCATGCACGAGGTCCCGGGGCAAAGGAAACGCATTGTGACAGTTCTCGCCAAGCTCGCATCAGCCAGCCTCACTTCGTTTCGGTGGCGTCGGCCTTTGTCTCCGGCCTTTGCTCTCCGGCTCTCCCCGGTCAGGCAAAGGTGCCATCGTCACCTATTGAGGCCTGAATTACCCACCGTGGACGTACTACGTGGTAGTGCGCGCTGCGTAGTAGTGCTTTCTGCGTGGTAGCAGAGCATCTGTGCTGTTTGGCTTTGACCGGGGTCTTGTTAGTGATAGTCCAGTCCATCCGCACGCTACCGAGCCGAAGCCCGATTGCGCATGCGGCACTCAAGCGCTTAAACATGGGGTCGGCGGATCGTCAGTAGTCTAAGCATCTGTGTCACCGGCGAGGTAGCATCTAAGCTCAGAAACCGCTTTTGAAATCCATCAGCTGACGCGCAGCGGAAAGAGTGAACATGTCCGCCCTGCACTCACCTTGGACAGTCTAATCACCGTTGGAAAAAGGTACATTGCCCCGGTGAATACATACCTAGGTACCCAACATGGATCCCACGGCGGTGATCAATCGCCGGGTTACATATCCGACAGAAGAACCCAGGACACAACCCAAGCGACGAGCTCCAGGGTCCATGGCATTGATCGACGCGACGAACCAAGGCTAGAAATTTCCGATCAGGATAAGAAAGAAGAGCCTACTGCGCACTACAGCGTAGCACAGCAAGAGTCCATGCGGCCATTCCCGCCGAACGCCAGATTCGTCGGGGTGGGCAGACCGCATCGAGATATCACCAGGGTAGGAAATTAGTGCCTCGGCTATCCAGGTGGGAGTCGGCGCCAATGCAACTCTGCAGCCCTCCACTCCACTCTTGGGCAAAGAGAGACCAGCGGTCGGGAATAAACATCAGGCTGTCGAGATTGTTGGGGGCGACCAACGGCGGGAACGCAGCCTCGAAGGGGTGTTGGCGGCAGGTCGCCCAATCTAGCATGCTTTGACAGCGCTGACACAGCGTTGCGTTCCGTCGAGATGCCGGTTTCGGCTGCGGCTACGCATTGGATGCTTGTGGCTCATCGACGGGACGGGGAGCCACTTCGGGATGGACGAGCTGCTCAATGCAGTTGTCGAGTTGCCAGTGCGAGAACGAATCGGGCAGGGATATACAAGAGGGCCCGAGGACGACTTGAAGGTGACACGAGAGAGCCTTGGCGGCAGGAAAGAACTGGAGACAAGGTGGGATTCACAAACTCGTAGCCTGACCAGTACAGTACATGACATGTCGGCTGCGACGAGGCCGTGGCTCGACAATCAGACACTCCCCCCCGAGCATTTTCAGCCACCGGGTACTCCAGCCTCTGGCCAGCAACGAGGTCGGCAACTTGTTTCGTTTCCATATGCCGCAAGGGCGGGCAGCCGATTTCAAACCCATGTCTGAAGCATGTCCTAACGCATCCTGTCTGGTCCAGAGCCTAGATGTGGAGTGCAGCTCGACCTGCCTTGGAACGGCTTGGCCTTGATCTCGTTGCAAGGATCGACTCAGGATGCCCTGCTCTAAATCCTACGCCGCAAATTGTCACCCCCCACCTCCCGCGATGTGAGATCAAGTTGTGTAAGAGCCACCAGGGTCCAGGGATTTGAGTTCGTCTATGGAGCTCCGATTACGTGAACAAGGAAACACGCTGAACTCGTGTTGCGAAGCCTTCGTGTCGAACCTTTGAGCTTGTAGACGAGGGTCATGGGGCAGGATTAAGCCGGAACTGCGCCGAATGAGGTGTCTCGTCTCGTGAGGAGCGCGCTCGAAACAGGTCATCGTGTTGCCGAGCGGCATGGCTATGTTGGCGAGTCATGGGATTTGTGACAGCTCAGTTCCAAGGCAGCCGGTTGACTCACGGAGCCGAGCATATAATGGAGATGAAACGGAACAAACTAGGCGCCTTCTTTCGCTTCTCTTTGTTTGTTTTACTTGTGGAGTCTGTGGAGTTCGCTTCTGGAGAATCACCAGGATCGGTCGATGATGCGCCGAAGCTCTCACCTGCGTCCACTTTCATTACGCGTCAGGGTTTAGCACGACAAAACTTGGCATTCAGGCGACTCTAGCAGAAGATAGACCTGTAAACCTTGCGTAACAGGCGTTATCCCAGTTTTCTATTTATATCAAGTAGGCATGATTCGGCTGTGAAGCCGATATTAGTCTCAGTGGAGAGGAAAATTCGATTCTATCTGCCTGGTCAGAGCCGAACGCCAGCCTACACCAGATGGAGTGGATAGTCTACGTAATGGCATGTACTGGTTAGAAGAGAACAATAATGAATAAAATAACTTGTTTTCACATGCAAGAAGTGGTGCATTCTTCTCTGCCGAATTAAGTTGAATGAATTAACAAATTTCGGTACAATTTGAGGTTTCGTGTGGAGGTTGTATCACATCTCACTCTAGGGTATGTCACTCTAGGGTATGTTACAGATCCCGTTCCGCGATATCGAGGCCGTCAATCTAACGTAAGAAGAAACAACAGAGAGAACACCAAAGTAGGATTCTAGCCTAAATGGCGCATGACGCATTCTATCCATGGCAACAACATAAACCCATAAATCATGACCGCAGTGGCGCTTTTGTGCATGCTAAATCCTAGCGCAAAACCCAACCTCTTTCTATGCCGTTACTGACGCCGCGACGCTATCCGTAGGGACCTTTTCGGCCGCCTCCCACTCTAACCTTTCCCGAATCATGTCTCTCTTACACCATTTTATGCTAATGACTCCCCACAGGATCGCCCACAGAAATGGAACAGCCCAGCATATACCGTAAGCCACCGTGGCAGGAACTTGAGGGATGACAGCAATGACCGTGAGGGGGACTGCGAGTAATATGGACGGAATCGACCAAAAGAGAGACTGAACGTAGAGCATCCGTCGGAAGCGTGGGCTTGCGTGGTATCGAGCTGCGAGGGCTTCGCGGTAGGGCCGACCTGCACCGGCATTGACTGCCACGGTGTCTTCGATGAAGTAGTACACGCCTGGCAATACCTGGGTTGACGGTTAACTTTGATCAATGGCTATTGTATTAGGGCGTTTCTTACCTTCTCTCCCTTATCGGTCGAACTGATTCGGAACGGAGCGCGCCAACCCATACGGCTGTACAGGGTAATTAAGGCGAGGACACCCCCAAGGCAGTAGAGAATAGCTGGCGCAGGCATGCAGAGGACCCTCAGCCAGACGATATGAGGAGCACTGCCCACGACGAACAGTGCTGTGACGACTGTGATGGTGAGTACCGACGCCCAGTTCAAGGTGTCAAAGCACCAGCGGCTAGTGCTCCCCAATGGCCGATAAAACCTCTCCTTCTTAATTAGGCGTAGTGTGCGGATCGCAAACTCGAGATAAGTCGGTCCTCCCCAGATGGTGGTGACGATGGCGAAGATGATCCAGCCCTGGACATCGCCAGCATAGTGCATGCCATAGTAGAGGGCAATCGGGATGGCAGAGGCATCGACGAAGACGAGAAATGCGAAGATGAAGAGCCTCCAGCGTTTCCGGCCATGATGCCAAGTGAAGGGCAACTGGGGGAGTAGCTGCGGGTTACTGTCGTAGTATTCCTGCAGGGTCTTGCCACGGCGCCTGTATTCTTCACGGGTGCCGGCTCGCGAGTCGTAGTATGCTTCGGCTTGGGGCCGTTGTGAGTAGGAGAGGCTCTGACGGGGCTGTTCGACGTGATCGGGGCCGATGGTATTTCGTCGCGGCGGCGGTTCAACGCCTTCGTCGAAGCGGACGGCGATTGCGGGTCGGTTCAGAGACTGCGTCGAGAATCGGACTGCGGTGGGAGCAGGAGCGGGAATGGAAGTGGGAGTGGCGTCGGTGGAGGAGAGAACCGAGTCTGATTTGAGTTGGGAGGTGCTTCCTCGACGCACTTCGGGCATTGTAACGGCGGTGGGGATGGAGACGGTTAGATGTCGAGGGTAAAGGCAGTCATGTTTGAACTGCAGATGAAGGCGTAAGATGGACAACGGAGCATGGAAGATGAAAGATGGCGGTAGTAGTAGTTCAATAGTCCATGGTCAGTGGTCAATGGTGACGGTGGCGGATTGCCCGGAGCTCAGCAGCTCCAAGCAGCTTTTGATTATGGGCAACAGGCCATTCCCTGCTGCGCGGCCCCCATTCTAGTGAAACCTGCAAGTACTGACTAGTTGACTAGAGTGCTAAAGTGTTAAGCACGCACTCTGTTTGGTGGAGCGATCAGAAAGGAGGAATGAGGTGGATGTCATCAGGGAATGGTGACGTCCAGCAGCCAACGGCACCTGCCCAAAATCCGAGGATCCGAGGATCCGGGCTACGTCATTGCCACAATTAGTGGGTAGAAGTAGGTATTAGTGGGCCACCTCGCCGATTTGCCCGCGTGCCGCCCCGCTGCTCGCGCTCGGAACACAGTCGAGAGGAAAAAGTCCGCCTGGTCGGCTGCGAGAACCACCGACTCCGCCGCTGACAGATGCTGATGATTTGCTGATTGACCTATTGCCAACGCACCTGCCGTGTGGTTTTATTATAACCGCCCCGACGGCCTCACGGCGAGTCCGCGCAACGGTGTCCGGCGCTCTCCCGCTGTGCAGTCCACCCAAGTTAAAGCTTATTTTTTTTTTGCTTGCGTGGCCTGCCAAACTGCTTCCTGTCCGCTTCTGCTCCTACAACGCCCCATCGACCATGCTTGGCGTTTCCCCAGTCAATGCTGTCATCCATGATGCCTTCCCTTCCAAAGCCGTTCTCAGGTAGCCCCGTTTGGCTGAGGATGAGGTCAGAGTATACCCACTTCTGCCTTATAATCCCAATGAAATAGGCCAAGCATCTGATCTCCCGGCCAAACCCTCCGTCACGCCACGGCAATTGAAACCTCACATGAATCTCACCCACCACCCGAGTAGGCTGTGCCCACCTTTACGTTCGCTCTCGCAATACCCACAAGCCCGAGGAGGCCGATTTCTTCATCCTCACGATGACTATTTTAGAGCATTCCTATTCGCACTCGCATCTCGCATTCTCACACAGGTAGGTATATGCCCCTTCAGCTAAACCTCGGGCAAACCAATGGACCTAGCATGTGCAGTGAATGGGTGTATTCTTAGGCCTCGGACCGACCTTTATTAATAAACCTGAAGAAAAAAAACCTCGAGGGATAATTACTAAAATTATTTTAAGGGTTATATCTTATTTCCTAAACTGCCGTGTTAGGTGCCTTATCGATAATTCTATTTAGGATGCAGGGGATCACGTTCCATTCTTCTGTCAGCCCAGACTACTTCTCACCCGTCAAACCCGGTTCCGTCAAGCCGAACCTGGGCAGGCCACCCCATCTCTCCCTCAATCTCTACTCCCCGATTTTGGACAATCGACCACCCATCGTCAATGAGGGGGTCAAATTAATTGGCGTAAACGAGGAAATCATCGACTTTACTGGTGTGCATAGGCTGGAGACTCGTATAGTGCGTTTATGCCTCCTGAGTGTCCTCGACACAAGTTAGCAATTCGGCTTCACTCCATTCAGGCGCTAGCTGCGTGTCCCATATCAGAGTATATCGAAACATCCGGTTCCCTGCTCGATGCCGCGTGGCATTCCATCCGGCTATTCCAGCGTGTTTGGAGGGCCACCTCGGAGAGATGCCACTACCTAAATCTAGCCATGTACGTGTATCCCATTTCCACTCTAGTTGACTTCTTTGAGCTCTCGAGGTATGTCTTGCACAACGAACTAGTGGTCGACGAAGACCTGGGGCTACTGCAGTCCTTCGCTAGCAAGGTCCATACATTTGGGGAGTGGGCCGAGGGGGACTCAAACGCATCATGATGTGATTGATCAACGCCCGTCGGGAAAGGGATTTTTCGAGACAACTCGAACCATTTCTTCGTCCAGAAGTAGCTGGACGGAACTATGTACACGTATTGGAGCGATAATCTGGCATTTTAGTTCCTGCAGCCCAAACATATTGGGGGGATTCCGTAGCCTCTTCTTTAGCGCGCAGCAATTCGATACCTATATCTAAGACTGTCCAGCCGAGACCTTCAATCACGAACGTGGAGTCTGTCCTAATCCTAGCCGCCTACGTATTAACTGACTCTTTATATTTGAGCTGTTTTGATAGAGGTTTTGAAGAGAAAATAGACATCATGGATAATACAGATCGGCGGATGGTAGATCCAGGTCCTGGAGAAAGTTTGAGGACTTCATTATAGCTTAAAGTGATGACTGGACTCATGCTTCAAGACAGCAGAGCTTGGATTTCATGGGAAAATTTCCCCGGATAGTTATACTATACATTGAAGGGGGTTGTTTGTAGGATCGTATATATGATGGACTCAGGAACTATCACAGGAAGCGTTAACGTATGTGATAGGTCGGTTCGCGATTGGCGATTACAAGGTTCTGTAATAGAGAATGCGACATCAAATATACCGATTCGGACTTTAGTCGACTGGTGTATTGGAGTCTGCTTTGCCCACTTGGACATGACTATTTGCACAAGTCAGGAGATGTTCAAATGCTGGAAATTATCATCAACCACACACCCCACATAGCATTTCAGAACGATATGGCTTAATAAAACTTATTCTCAGTATCTCTTCTTCCTAAAAATATTTATTCTATTTCTTCAGTGAGACCTAATGCCGACGTAGACTTTAGGTCGAAGAAAATACCACTTTGTTGGATGTGCCAGGTCCATTAGTTTAGTAGAGGCTTAAGTTAAGTAAAGAGACTGTACTTCATTTAGCTAAGGCACTGATAGAAAAACGAACCCGGCCGACTTGCGAGGAACGCTGCGACGTCCAGACGAGTCCTCTCTCGAGATGTGGGCTCCGAAAATACAAATCTCTCGCCAGAGTGAGGCCCTCTTAGAGCAAAATAACCACAAGATAATCATGGCGAGATAATTCGCATCTTGGATTATTCGTATCATGGATACATCGTTCATTCTGAATCAAGGGAGCGAGCTGTTGCGTTCTATACAGACCCCCAGTCACCCATACCGTCCAAATCACGAACAAGAAGGCGAACACAGGAAGAGACGGACATAATCGAAACCAGAACAAACGATCGGACAAGGGGTATCGTCATTCCTCAACAGCGACAGCCGTACATACATAGTATTTGTGAATCTCCACACACCCACCCTCCTCCAAAACATAGAGCGAGCCCCTACAGGTACAGAAAGTCCCGTACAGAGCTGCCTCCCGTTTCTCGTTCCCAACAAAGTCCTCCCCCAAAGACACTGCCTTATTCAGACCAAGAAAGCACAAAAAGTGTGCGGCTTACACGCCTAGAGCGGTTCATAGCTCCACTAGGGGAGGCCGCGGGTATTACACAAGAGTCGACGTAATAAGACGACAGTAGATAGCGAAAGAAAAAAGCATCAAATGGGGTTATAGATCGACGGCGGATCGCTTAGGACAATTGTTTGACACCAGTGATCGAGTTTAGTGCTCTGTTCCATGTTAGCCACAAATCCTTACTATGCTGAACTTGACCCGGAAGATACTCACTGCAAGTTGCGATCCCTCATTTCCCTATCGAGGGAATCGATTTGCTTCACCGTCAACCGCGCCTTACTTATCTGTCATGTCCACGTTAGCATAGGTCCAGTCACAGCAGCATGGTGTTATGCAAGGGGCTCTCGCACCAAAGCAAGTGCTGCCGAGGAATGATCGTCAATTTCCTCACCTTCCGCCGCGTCGTCCTTGGCAGCCGCGCCCTCACCATCCTCTCCGTTGGCGAATTGGCTAGACGCAAGGCCCTTGGGCTTGGCTGCCTCGGCGTTGGCCTAGGAGGGTTAGCTTCAACTGTGCCCCTGGAGTTGCTTTAGAGTTCACAACATACCTTGGCCTCGACAACCTCGGCGGCCTTGACCTTGAGCTGAGCCTCGAGTTCCTCCACCTTCTTCTCTCCATCCTGGAGCTTGGTGGTGGTCTCCGAAAGCTTGGCCTCAAGGTCCTTGGCCTTGATCTGGGCCTCCTCAACCAGAGTCGTCATACTCTCGTTGAGATCGTTGTAGTCAGCTAGGGCGGTCTTGTGCTTCGCATCGGCCTCAGCCTTGTAAGCCTCGAGGTCCTTCTGTGCCAGCTCAATATCCTCCTTTAGGCTGGAGATCTTGGCCTGTGAGGTAGTCACCTCGTCCTGGGCAGACTCGAGGTCACTCTGGACCGACTTCAGCTCAGTCTCAGCGGCAGCAGCAGCATCCTCCTGAGCCTTCTTGGCGGCCACAAGCTGCTCCTTGAGAGCGTCGGCCGCAGAGGTGTCGGGCTTGACGTTTTTGGCGGCGTCCAGCTCGGCGAGAGCGGTCATGCGCTCCATCTTCTCCTGGGCAAGCTGGTGAGCCAGCTCCTCAACCTCCTGCTGCGATGCGACGAGGGCCTCTTGGGCCTCCTTCAGAGATGCCTCAAGCTCGGCGTGGGCAGCGGTTTGCTGGGCAATCTTGTTCTCCAGGGACGCGTTGCTGTTCCTGAATTCAGCCATCAGGTCCTCGATAGCCTTGGTGTGGGTATCGCTCAGCTCCTGGAGCTCCTTCTTGGCGGCCGAGCCCTCGTTCTTTATCCTGTCCAAGGCCTCTCCGTTCATCGAAATGAGCTTATCAACCTCGGCGTTATGCCTGTCCTCGAGTTCGTAGGTAGCCCTGTCGACGGCGTCCTGGGTTGCAGCCTCAGCCTTCTCCACATCAGCCTTGGCTGACTCAAGCTCGGCCTTCAAGGCAGCTAGAGCAGCCTCGTGCTCCGCTTTTGTCTTGACCAACGCATCCGTGTGGGCCTTGTCGCTGGCATCCTTGGCATCCTCAAGCGACTCCCTGAGAGCGTTCATCTCGGCGGCATGAGTGGTGGCATCGGCCTGTCGATCAGCGTGGCTCTCAGCCTTGAGCGTAGCAATCTCAGCTGCGTGATCAGCCTCACTAGATTCCTGGACCGCAGTCAGGTTAGACAGATGACCACTGACTAGCCCCTCAGTCTCGATGGCGTGCTCATCCTTGAGGGCCTGCACGGCAGCGGCATGGGAAGCCATGAGCGTCGTGACCTGGTTCTGATGGGCATCGTCATTATCGCCCTTCAGCACCTCGATTTGCTTGGCATGGCTTTCCTTCAGAGCCTCGAGCTGATTGATCTGAGCCTCTCTGTCTGCAGAAGCAGTGGTCTTGGAAGACTCCAATTCCTCAGCATGGCTAGCAAGGAGGGCATCAAGGTTCTTCTGGTGCTCGGCCTCCTTGGCCTCGAGAGCGGCAACAGCAGCAGCGTGCTCCTCCTTGGCAGCCTCAAGGGCCTTGGCGTGGGTCTTGGTAGCCTCGGACGATGAGGCCTGGAGCTCGTTGTGCTGGCTCTCCAGCTCCTCGAACTTGCGCTTGAAGAAGGCGTCACCTCGGAGAGACTCAATCTCGGTCTCGTAATCTCGGGAGACAATCTTCATGCGCTCGTCGTGCATGTCCTTGAGCTTGGAGATCTCGTCATCCTTGCCGGCGAGAGCAGCCTCCGCCTCCTCGGCCTTGGCCTGTAGGCTAGCGACCTCTTCTTTAGCCTTGGCGAGCTCCTGCTTGGCCTCATCCAGCTCTGTCTCCTTCTCGGACAGGCTGGCCTGAAGCTTGCTAACCTCACCGGTCAAAGTCTCGACCTCAGCCTCAGCGGTCTCAGTGGCCTTCTCGGCAGCCTCGAGCGCTGTCTTGGACTCCGCGATTTCAGCCTCGAGGGTAGAGATCTTGGTGGTATGGGCCTCCTGCTCAGACTTGAGCTTCTCGTCGCTGGCGGATTCTAGGGCTGATTGAGAGGCAGAAAGCTCATCGATCTTCTTCTGAAGGTCGGCAATGGTGGACTCGTGGGCGGACTTCAGGTCGGCTATGGCGGTTTCGTGAGACGCGTTATCAGCTTGGCCCTTGTCGAGCTCCTCCTTGTGCTTGGCCTCGAGGGCATCAATCGCAGAAGCATTCTCAGCCTCGAGAGTAGACTTGAGCTCTTCAATCTTGGACGCGTGCTCCTCGATGGCCTTCTGGAGGGCATCCTGGCTGGAGCTGGCCTTCTCCTCGCTCTCGGCCTGGGCCGTCTCGAGCTGGGTCTTCAGTGCCTCAAGTTCAGCCGCGGTCGCCTCCTTGGCGCTGACAGCCTCGGCGAGGTCGGATTGGTGCTTCTGGAGCTCAGTCTCGGCGTTTTCAAGTTTCTCAGCCGCCTCGGAAACCTGGGCCTCGAGGGCGGCGACGGCCGACTCGTGCTCGGACTTGAGGGTGGAAACAGCCTCGTCGTTATCGTGGCGAAGCTTCTCCTCGACATCATGAACACCAGAAGACTCCTTGGTCAGCTGCTCATCGAGTCCAGCAATCTTATCCTCAGAAGACTTGACCTGGGCCTTCAGGGCCTCGATCTCGGCTTCCCCAGCAGCCAGCTTAGCCTTCAATGCCTCAATCTCTTTGGTGGCCTCGGCAGAACCGGCCGCAGTTCGGGGGACAGTTCGTGCGGTAGCGGTCGGGGTGCCAGCGGTAGACAATCTCTTTCGGGCGTCGGCAGTGGATGGGGTAACACCGGCGCGGGTAGCAGCCGTCCTCGTGGCCGAGGTGGCGGAACCGCTCAGTGAAGCTCGCGCAGTTGTGGTTCGGGGGGTCGTGGTGGTGGGAGTGGTGCCGGGTCGTCGGGTGGCAGTAGTTGAGCCGGCCGAGGCGAGAGTCCTCCTCTCAGCGGCGGCCTTGCCAGGGCTCGATAAGATGGAGCTCGCCCTTCGCGAGGAGGTGGTCGACTTCTTCTCGTCTTCGCTGGCGCTCACGCTGGGGCGGCTCTTGTGGCTCGACACCGAGGTGGCAGTCGTGGGCCGGCGAACAGTAGGGGCCGGGGGTCGCGTGGGAGGCTTGCTCAGGCCGCCAGGGGCACGGGTGCTGGCAGCAGTCTTGGCTGTAGCAGTGGAGGTGACACCAGGGCGACGGGTAGCCGTGGTGGAGGCAACTCCAGGGCGCTTCACGAGGGGTTTCGATTCGCCATTCGCCTTGGCCGGTGCCTCGGGGGAAGTGGGAGTCGAGGTCGAGGCCACAGAGGTCGCAGTCTCAGCAACCGGGGAAGCAGCAGTCTCAGCAGCAGGCTCGTCCTCGGCGATGGGCTCGACGGGGGGGACCTCGTCGTGCTGGACGACGTCGAAGCTCTCAGACTCGGACATGGCGGGCGGGACGGATTGGGTATCGGTTGGTAGTCTGTAGGAGGGAGGGAGTCAGCGATGGTCGAGGACCGTGACGGGCGAGAAACGGGTCTAATAGCTCGCGCGGCTACAGCGATGGTATCGAATGTTTGCAGCTCGAGCACAGTAGTCGAATGACGAACGACGCAGAGCCACGGCGACCAGCACAGGGAACGGCTCCAGATGCCTAGGTCAGGGATGATGAGCGGGATTGGATTTAATCTCACCTTGTGTCCCCTTTTTTCTCCAGCAGCAAAAACCACGCTCGACGGCGTGGATAGCAACTTTTGGGGGAGAGGAAAGGAGCTCCGGGGGGAGAGGCAGCAACAGGAGCAAGAGACGACGACGAGACCGATGTGTAAAGCCGACGAATGGCTTGCTTGCTTCGTTTGCGGGAGGAGGGAGAGGAGGGAGGGAAGCAAGGAAGAGTTGTAGTCGGCAAGGTAGTGTAATTAGTACGTGGTCTTGGGATGGGGATGGATGAGGGACCGACAGACAGGCCACGGCTCGTCTCGCAATGAGTGGTGGACGGAGGACTACAGCGGCGGACTGCAGCGGTGGACTCACTGAACTGTGGACCTTCCCCCACTGCAGCCGGTCAGACCCCCTGCAACGGCCCTATCACATCCCACGGGCCCCCCCTGGAAAGACCAGCGAAGCCCCCTCCACGAGCTCCTCCCTGTTGGCGCTGCAGGGGCCAGCTGTTTGGGCCCTTGGGGGGGGAGGGATGACAGCACGCGGGATGCGCTCCCGCTGCGAGTCGGGCCACTACCTGAACGACAACGCCGCCGGGGCCACCTGAAAGCGCTCGTCGACACCGCAACCACCGCTGGAACAGTGAAGGCTGGAACAGTGAAGGGAGCTACCCAAGCCGGGCCTGACTTGTTGGGCGACGGGCTATGGACGGCATGCGAACCGGGCCCTAAGTATGCAATGCAATGCGAGCCACCATGACCGACTGACTTCTCCGTACGCCGTACCTCGTACCTTACTACCCGATTACCTGACCCTAAGCTATTCATCACTGATCGATTGCCGTTTCAAGCCATTGCCCCAGGTGGCGGGAGCTCTGGCCCGTTGGCGCCTGACTGGGGAATTCGCTGGCGACCCCGTCATGCTGCACCGGGCTGCTACTCTGCGTCCGCCCGGTGGTGTTTTTGTGCTCGGTGGCTGCCCTCTCATTCCGCCAGGTGAACCGGACAAGCCAAAACTGTCTCGTTGAAAAGAAAAGAAAATATTGCCTCGCATGGGGGTAGCTCGAAGCTGTTGACGCGTTTGGTACGCGTCGAGCTAAAGGTGGGAAGAAGGAAAAAAAAGGGGGACTGGTGGATTAATTCGGTTTGGCTTGGTTTTGGAGTTCATTACTTGTTCGCTCCCGTTGGTGGTAGCGTGTCTTAGACTTTGGCCTGGTCGGGTGTGGCGGGGCTCTGTGATTAACTGTGGCTGTCAGTGGCCAGCCACCACCGCAGTTCTACGACATGGGGCGGCTGGATGGCATTCAACCACTGTCATGTGCTGATGTGTGGGATGAATATTGCACTGGCAACTGTACAAGATTCTGTACAAGACTCTCTCTGTACATGACTCTGTACCAAAGCATCATGAACGAATACAACCCCCAAAGTCCCTCTACGTAAGCACAACACTCTCTTCGGGCTGACACGATGAAACGCTCGCCCGGCACCCAACGCCCAACGCTTTCCGGTCCGTCCCATGTCCCCGCGCATCCCTCATGCGCTGCTCCCCGACCGTTGGCAACCGGATGGTATGGTGGCCGCCGCGCTGGGCGATGATGTGGCACCGCGTCGTTGGCACAAACGCCGGCGACACACTCCACGAGCCACCACGAGACACCACCACCACACCAGTTCATGCATATAATCCCTCATATTTGGGCTGCCTCGTCCGGAATCTTCTGTCTGAATCTCTGCCGATTTTATGCCGTCAATCCGCTAGTTGACGTTTCAATTGCGATTCCACCCAGTTCCACTTGGGCGCTTGATGTAAGGTACCGAAATACTAGTGCGGATGCGGATGAGACATGATCATCCATTATCGACGTGTTATCTGTTCGTAGGAACAGCCTGAAGATATGGTAGGATCCAACTCCCAATGCCAGGCCTACCATTCATCATTCATATCACATCGCGTTTCTCCGTTGCATGTTGGCATCGGATTGAATGTCCGTGAGCATAGTCCCAGCAAATAACGATCCCATCTCAAGAACGATAAGTGCTTTACGGATAGCCCGCTTCCCTTTCCCAATAAAATAAAACTCCATTGCCCCGTCAAAACTCATCATCAAATCCTATCCATGGTGCCCGGGTATCACGCTGAGAAACACAAACCATCACTCACTCCTCTCTACATCCACAGGATTACTTGGGCTGATAGCACCATAGTGGTGGGGCTATTCCCGTCGTCTCGTACTTGATCCGCATCCGCTCCCGCAAGTCCTTCACCCGCTGCGCAACCTCTCTCACCCTTCTTCCAGGCACAAGAGGAGCTAGCGCCTGAACATCAGGCTTCTCCACTCTTCGGATCATGTTGAGCAGTCGCTCGTCTTCCCATTTATACCATCCTCCATGCTTCTCAAAGTACTCCTCACCGGCACTCAGTTGTCGTTCTGTAGTCTCGGGTTTGCTCATCCGCTGAATTGATCCGATAAAGAGCTGCATCTGTCGATCTTGTGCCTCACTTTTTCTTTGCTGCATCTGTTGGATTTGTTCTTGGCGTTCCTTTTGTTGCGCCTGCCAGTCTTGTCTTTGGCGTTCCCTCTGTCCACTAAGGTCCTCTTCTCTAGAGCTCGGTTGGCGCAGCGGAGCTTCGGGCTTGTTCATCCGCTGGATTGATTCAAGAAAAAGCTGCATCTGTCGGGTTTGCAATTCGCGTTCTTTTTGTTGCTTCTGCACTTGTGCATTTTGGAAAGCCAGCGCTCTCACTGCAGCCTCTTCCGCAGCCAGCTTCTCCCGCTGGGGAGCCATGGCAATATAGGCAAGTCTGTCAATTGCCTGTCGAAGCACACTGTCCATATTCAATAGATGCTCTCCAAGCTGTTTCTGCTGGTTCATTGCCGAGTTGACCTTTTGAACATTGGCCTTAGAGTCGCTGGCGGGCCGAGGTGGGTCAACCTGAACATAGCCCATAACCATGTTGTATAGTCGTTGGAGCCATCCTATTACCCGGAGCGGCAATTGCAAGGTCGATGACGTGAAAACGCTTGTAGTCGCTTTACCATCATGGACCGTCACCGCGCCTCCCTTTAAAAAGCCGTCCTTTAGTACAAGAACAAGCATGGGGATAATCTTTTTGTGCAAAGTCTCCACCGCAATTTGGCCCCAGTTTGGATCATGTGGCGCTTTTTCCGTGACCAATTGTATCTGGCCGTTGATATGTTTGCAAACATGAGATACCAGAGACTCGATGATTTTGATCGACTTGCGAAAGGTGCTGCTTTTCTGCCTGATATACTCAAATTGTGCTTCAAGGTCGGGGGCTTCGGGCATTTCGCGGCATAGTGTCCGTAGATAGGAGAGGTGTTTAAACAAGTCCTTGCACTTTTTGGGTTGGAGGAATTTCTCGTGATGCTTGAGCCAAGTGGACTTGCTCTCTGCCTCCTTAGCCGTGAACTCGCCTTCCCAATTTCTGTCACCCGCCCATCCGCCAAACTTCATTTTTGAAACGAGAGTCAGTATACACTCGTTTGAAATGTCAGTGGTGATGTATTCGTCCATCTCCTGTGGCGGGTCGACGAAGAAAGACTCCTCCGCAGGGTCTAGACTAGACTTTTCAGGCTCAGGTTCGGGCTCAGGTTCGGGCTCGGATTCAGGTTCAGGCTCAGGCTCAGATTCAGGCTCGCCTTCATCAGAGCCATCGCAGTCGTTTCTAGGGGGTTTCTCAGGAGCAGTGCTGGCGTGTGGCTCTCTGTCTGGCGAGGGCTCCCTTTGATGTGGCATGTCCGAGCCTAGCTCCGGAGAGCCTCCCCGTGGTGCTTGGTGCCTGACCTCACCGTAAGGGGTCTTTTTGCTTTGCTTCCGCCTTGAGCGTTGTCGATTTGGTTGTGACGGTTCCACGTTCGAAGTGGACGGGCCTAGTTCTGCTTGCGCTTTCTCCATCTCGGCTTGCTCGGTCTGGAGTTGTTGCTCTGCCTCGTTTGCTTCAATGTCTTCTTGACCATGGCCGTGTTCCTGGGTTTCCTCCACAACCTCAGTATTGGGCTGGGGGCGGTCTATGTCTGGGAGAATGGCTTGGTTGAGAATCTTGAAAAAGTCGGGCCTATTAGGCGCTGACTCTTCATCTTCATCGTCGTCGTCTGTGCCGGGCTCTTGTTCCTGCTCGTCTCGGTCATTCACATCCTCCGTGGACTGTCGACGCTCCGGAACATCGGCTTGAATCTCCATGAAGCGGCGCTGCCTCTTTCTAGCAGGCAGCTCCTGGAAGCCTCCGCGAGGCGGGTCTGATCGAGTACGGGGTCGGTTCGATTGTGCCGACGCCGATCTCTTCGGGCTTGGTTCGGAAGGGATGCCATTGTCGTCCTCATCGCTCGACTCGGCCTGTACAGACTTGAGGGAGTTTCTAGTGATTCTCGGTTTGGACTTTGAAATCGGCAGCGTCGGCTTTGTCTTGAGTCGAGGCGCGCGAGGCATGGTGGTCGTTGGTGGTCGATCTTGGGGCTAAGCAGGAGGCGTGGTATATAGTAGGTAGAACGGCGGTTTGCCTGCGATCAAGCGATTGGCCTCGGGGTCCGCAAGCTCTGTCGCATTTCCGACTACAGTGATATATCAACGATAGCGGAGGGCGGTGTAATGTGGTGGGCAATTGCGTAGTGACGTGAATCGAGGAAACGCGTCGGGACGCGCTGGGGGCAAGTGGGTCTGCGAGCTTTAAAGTGCCTGCCTCAAGCTTGGGGATTGCTTGGGCACAGCTCCAAAAGTCTAACGCAGACAAAGAATGACATGACTAGTTTGAACTTTCTGGTTGGCCCTGGTTGATGAAGGCGGAAAATGAGGTTTATACACTTGATGGTATCTATTAAATCCTAAAAGGATATCATCTCGACACTACCTCACCTGCCTACATCACATACATCCTTTCCCTGCTGAAACACCCACCAAGGTGCAACTGCCGGGAAGCCAGCTGACTAAATTCCGCCACCACAAGAAGTAAAATCAAGCATGAGCTCCCCAACTTGGCACTTATACCCCGTAACTTACACGCCGCCATACTGACTGTCCAACTCCGGACTCCCTAACTTGACCTCTCAGCTTCAACTTTTGCATCTTGCTTCCCACCAAGTATCAGGCCTCCAACGCCGAGCTAGTCTCCCCCAAACATGACATCGGGTACCCCGCCAAAGCCCTCAGCTCTCGAGGTGCTGGATCTCTCGTCTGCTACGCCCGCCTTCACCAAGCCCACCAAGCGCATCCACGAGGGCCCCGACGTCGCGCGCTTCCTCACCAGCCTTGCCTATCGTGATATCGGCACCTTCATCCTCCAGCTCAACCTCGCCCTCTGCCCTCGCAACCAGGCCAGCTCACCCCTCCCCCGCACCTTTCCCCTCACAACCAACCCGCCAGCTGTGCCCCTGCCCGCATCCATCCTGACCCTGCAGTCTCTTCTGGCCAAGATCGACTCCTTCATCGGCGAAGCTCCTCCGGATCCTGGCCCTCGGCGATTTGGCAATGTGAGCTATCGGAAGTGGTATGCTCTCCTTGAGGAGCGCCTGAATGAGATTCTGAACGACGGTCCCTTAGGCGAGACTGTGCAGCTTGGCGGGGGCACCGCTAAGGAAGAGGTGTCTAGCTATCTTTTGGGCGGATTTGGAAGTGTGCAACGACTAGACTATGGAACGGGACACGAACTCAGCTTCGTAGCCTTCTTGGGGTGTCTATGGAAGCTAGGATATTTCATGGACGGGAACCAGGGTGGTGAGATCGAGCGGCAGATCGTTCTCCAGGTCATCGAGCCGTAAGTCAGGACTCAACGTCCAGGGTTGTCAACACAGCTAACCATTACAGATACCTGCGGGTTGTGAGAAAACTCATCCTGACTTACACCCTGGAACCCGCCGGCTCTCACGGAGTCTGGGGTCTGGACGACCACGCTTTCATGCCCTACATATTCGGCTCCGCACAGTTCACCCGTCCTATCAACGACAACGACTCAATGCCCACAGAGGGCTCCGTCAAGGGAGCCCCCAAGCCCAGCGATGTCACCAAAGCGGCTGTCGTAGAGGACTACCGCCAGACCAACATGTACTTCGCGGCCATCGGCTTCATCAACGACGTCAAGACAGGCCCCTTCTGGGAGCACAGCCCCATCCTATTCGACATCTCGGGCATCCGGGACGGCTGGGGCAAGATCAACAAGGGCATGATCAAGATGTTCAACGCCGAGGTATTGTCCAAGTTCCCCGTCGTCCAACACTTCCCCTTTGGCTCGCTATTCTCCTGGGACACCGACCCGAACGCTGCGACACCGACCCAGAGCGTCCACATGGTCAACCAGCCCACTGTTGCAGCTATGGCTCCCCCACCGCCGTCGGGGGTTGGGACTGCGGCGCCGTGGGCTCAGGCGACGAGGATGCCAGCGCCGCCAGGCCCTGGAATTCCGTACTCAAGGGTCCCGCCTCCGGCCCCAAGTACTGGATCACCTGCATCGCGGCCAGTTCAGGGGAACTCAGCAGACCCCGGATCAACTAGCGCGCAGATTACCATGACCAAAGCTCCATGGGCAAGGTAACCTCCTTAGATGGAATTATGGACTATATATACCTACGAAATGAAGGACCTTGCATCACTTCCAACCAGCAGACAGAGATCAGCCAATAGATCAGCCAACCGCTAAGCCGTTCGGGAGGTTTTCTAAGTCTTGGCAAATCTTGTAAGAGCTGAACCCGAACCGCCTGTAGAGCCGGAATTTGCTCACGCCGAGAGCTACAGTCACTGTGTACATCACGAGCGCGATCGGCTTATAACGCTTGTGGTGAGTGATGCGACGATAGTGGAGAGTATAGAGAGCATGGTGCATTAGACAAAAAGGCAGGGTATAGACTTCAAAGCACATAGCAACACTCTCTCCAGGGTATCCAGCCAACTAGCACAAAAAGGAAATCAGACCGCAGCAGGTCTGTAGCAACAATAAAACCAACGAATAGCTTCCGTCCACCCCCCATCACATCCACAATTACTCGGACACACCCATGCTAGCCCTTCATTCAACATCCCCACGACATCAACATACTTGAGTGAGCTTGCAGGTTGGCACGGATAGGAGCAACACCGAGGAGCGTTTAGGCAGTGGCAGTGGGAGCCGGGACAGCAGCGGCGGCGGGAGCAGGAGGAGCAGCCTCTTCCTTCTTCTCCTCGGGGGCCTCAGTGACAACGGCCGGGGTGGTGGTGACGGGAGGAGGGGCCGGCGTCTCGGTAACGGCGGCTGTGGCCACAGCGGGGACCGCAGCCGGAACAGGCTCCGGCTTGGCGGTCTCGGTAGGGACAACGGCCGCGGTGAGGGGAGCGGCGTCAACCTTGGCAGGCTCGGTAGGAGGAACAACTTATTCGACGCGTTAGCCAAATTCGACTCTGCGGGAGTGGAATATTGTAGTCAACGTACCAGGAGTAACCTCCTCAGTCTTGGCGGCTTCCGACACGACAGGAGCCTCAGGCTTGACCTCGGGAGTAGTCTCCTCCTTCGTGGGATCAGAGACGGGGGGGACAGGTTCAGCTGGAACATTGTGGTTAGGGTAGTCCTTCTAGGAAGATATCCGCATCTCGCAGCATTTCGGGCGGAACTTACTGGCAGGGGCCGGGGGAGCAGGCTCAGTGCTGGTGGGCTCAGTGGCCGGGACAGTGGTCTCGACGGGTTTGTCAGCGGGAGCTGTCTCGGCGGGAGCCGTTTTCTTCTTGAAGGCGGCCTTGAGCTTGGCCTTCAAGTTATCGAGGGCGTGGAGAGCTGGCGCATCATGTCAGCAACGAGGAGGAGGTATGGCGCGTTCGAGAGAAGGGATGGATCGTTGAGCAGTGTATCGGGCGCAAGTCGAATGACGGAGGGGGGGCACTCACGGATGCCGGGCATTTTGACGGATGGTGAGTCTGAGGGAGAATTCGTGGATGTCTAAAGATGGTTGTTTGTTAGCTTGAATGGCTCTTGGACTAGAAGCTTGTTTATTTGTGGACGGGAAGATAAGCTTCTGGACGACAGCGCGGGGAGAGATCAAACGTCTGCAAGGCGCTGCTGAGGTTGACGTACCGAAGAATACTTGAGGGAATGGGAGATGTTTGGGAGGTCCGGCTGCCAGTGACTTATGGTGTTGAAGGAGGAAGAAGTAGAAGAGGAGGTCCGATGGGGGAGGTCTAGATGGCAGAGAGGGGGAAGGGGAGATGAGATGATTGGGGGAGAGGCACGTAGGCGTTCCAGGCGGAGCTTTTCCCGTTTTCCCTGTACTGGCGGGAGGTACCTGAGGCTTCAAGGCACGGAGATGGCGACGAAGACGGCCTGCCGGACCTGGGTCTGGGAGAATCCGGGACAAGAGGTGAAACCTGGGTCGGATCAGCCAAGCGCGCGTGCGTGTGTCTCACTGTCATGCTGTCTGTCATCCATTGTGTCTTGTCAGCAAATCTCAGCGAACCGCAGCGACTCAACCACCAGCAAGTGAGACCCGGCAGCCGCTGAACAACATGCAAGTCCCTCCAAAGTCGAGACCGAGACCGCACCAGGGGTCCACCGCGGGCCTTGCAGCGGGGCGGGACGGCCTCCACCTCACTATAATTATAGTAGGCGAGAGTCCCTGTTTGTTGGCGGTTGGCGCCCTCCTAGCCCCTCCAGGAGGTACAGTACTTGCAGCGGCCCCCCCCCTGGGAGATTGGGCAGAGTGCCTGGAAGCTTCAGAAACGCCGGTAATCTCGCTGCGAGTCCAGAGCGTGCTGCGCTGCATGCCGGACGGTGATGAGTGGACGTGACGTGACATGACGTAGCAATCTGCTAGCGAACCGAAGATACAGTGAGCGTGATAAATACGGTATGATGCAAACGTATCTCATGGATACGTGATTCCGTATTAAGGGGAAGCCAGCCGAAACGAGGCTGCCGTGGAGAGCAGCAGTCGATGAAGGGACCCTGTGATGACCGTGGTTGCGGCGGGATGAGGGACCCCCATTCCGTCATCTCAGACATGCATCTCTGCCAAGTACTGTACTTGGTACTTGGCAGTGCTCCGTGATGGGTGCGTCCGAAGTACCTACCACGCCTTGCGAGCCCACGCCATGACAAAATGAAATACGAAGCCCTCAAGCGCTGTCCGGGCAGCTATCATTTCATCGAGATGGCGGGCTGACCCACTCCCTCCCTCATTCACTGTCCACCATTCATTCCCACTCCCGCAAGCAGCATCCCGGGCTCTGTTTGATGAGGATGTTGCAAAGAGATAACGTTCAGCTTGCTCCATCACAGTCTGCGCAAGACACGACCCCTGCTGCTACATGCTGCTAATGCACAATACCGTGCCAATTCTTGTTTGCTGCGTCAGGATTCCCCTTCGCAGCCAGGGTCGAATGTCGCAGAATAAGCGTGTCCAGACCGTCTCCCGAATTGGCCTATCAGTTCAGCTCCACCCGTTAAGCTTTCCAGTGCGCCTTGGGATCTGGTTAGTGCCATCCCGCCCCCACGATGAATGCCACCTGTGTGCATGGCCGTCTACCGCAGCGCCAGTGCACCAAGGAAGAGTTGCGATACAGGTGCCCTTAACCAGATATCTATAATTGACCCGTCAGAGCAGAGCACGCACATGCGAAAGCCTGGGTATTATTCTATCACTCCAGTATCTATCCTGTCATCCTGAATTCTGTCCGCCAGCCAGTCTTGAATCGCTTCCTCTCCCACCTTGTTCAGCTCTAATGTTTCTCCTTCATCCCCAACTTCCAACGCTTGCACTCTGCGCTCCGTCTCATCATCCCAGCTAGCAACCTCGTCGTCCCATTTACTACGCTCCTTGAGCTCGACCTTTTCGATGCTTCGCCTCATCAGTTCGACCAACTCAAGAGCTTGACTCTCCATGGTGTTCCCTCGGCCCGTCGATACCATTCGTCGTCCTTGCTTGGCTGACGGAGCCACAGTTGGTGAGTCATACAAAAGCAAAGACTCCGGGATCTTGAGCGTCGATGCGCGCGGCGGGAACATCAGGTGAGACTTGCGGGGCACCTTGGGCTCTTGCAGGGCAGAATCTGGGTTGACCAAGGCTTCGAGCGCTGCGGCTTCCTCCCCCGAGATGGAGTACGACTCCGGTATCAGAATCCCGGGGTTGTGAAAGAATGTGCTCGGGCTTACAAACGGATCAAACATGTCCTCGGGGGACCTGAATAAATCCGGCAGCAGCTCCTGAAGGCGATGAAGATGCGTGCCTTCAACCGGTGTTGGGCGTGCCGCCGGGTTCTTGGCTCGCTTGGATGGCCGGTTAATCGGATGGTCTGGAAGAAACATGGTCCAGTTATAAATGGCATTGTAGGAGATGAAGCCTCGAACAGCAAATCGCTTGTGGGGATGCGTCTCCGTCAAAGAGAGGGAGGTGGCTAGGCTTCCGCCTATGTGAGAGCCATAGACATAAATGTCCCGTCGCTTCTGACCCTCCGGCGCCAGATTCTGCACAAGCCAAGAATAGGCGAAGCAGGTGTCGTGGATGGGCATCGGCCACTGCGAGGCCACATCTGAATCACCACCTACAGAAGCTGGGGCAACAGGGGACGTCCATCGATAGTTGATGCTGGCAACTGGCTTCCCCCGGAGAAACTCGGGTAACGGGGCAGGAAGCCCGTCAACTTGGGGGAAGGGAGGGAGGTGGATGAAGAACGGTGAGCATGGGGGATGCTTTGCTATGTTGAGGAGACTATAATGGCGTTGGCCTAAGTGTGCTCAAGAGGTTGATGGATATGGAAGGGAGTCCTTACTCGATGGTAACGCTTCCAGCTGAGCCGCATTGTACCTCAACGCGATCATGGCTCTGAGTGTTGAATGGACGCCGTGACCTGAGGGTGAATGGAGTTGTAGAAAGGTGGCAGCCACGGAGTGTTGGAGTACGAGGGCATCCTCGCATGCTGCTGCTACTGCATAACCGACACCAGTGACACGAAGACAACACAACCACCTGCAGCGATGAAGACGCGGCTGGGGGTCCGAGAACGGATACGAAACTAGCAACAACCGATACCAACAGAACCTATTTGTGCCGGCTTAACCTAATAGCAAATCGGAGTGATGGGGGGGGGTGGCTGGATCTGGCACGTGTTGAGGAAGGCTTCGTTTGGTCGCGTCTTGGGTGAAATTAGCAGCGACACAATTGTTCACGAGTTGTTTTGTGGACCGGGCACAAAACACCACATACATGTGCATAATTATGAACAACTCTTGCATCTGTCATAGGCGGGTTGGTGGAGTGGTCTAACACGTGCGACTCAAGAAAAACTTGGTCCTGAGAAAGGATTTCGCATCTCGCAAGAGGCGAGGGTTCGAATCCCTCATCCGTCAAAGATTATGTCTTTTTTTACTGTTTCTTTTTGCTACTTCGTTTGCTGGGCTATTCGCGTCTACAATACCTCCGATGCTCGCGAACTCGTAGCATCAGAGGCGGGTTGGTGGAGTGGTCTAACACGTGCGACTCAAGAATATATCTTGGTCTTGAAAAAGGATTTCGCATCTCGAAAGAGGCGAGGGTTCGAATCCCTCATCCGTCAGATCTCGTTGTTGTGTTGTCGTCGGCAACTCACTTTTTGATGGCTGGCGCCCTGGTCTCCGTTAGTTACGCTGGCAAGAATCACTAGTTCGCTGAGATCCAGTGCACCGTTGAGTGGACCCGGCAGCACAGGGTACATCCATCGTCCCGATGCGCACTGACCAGGTACCTCCAGATTTTTATGCACACCACTGCCACACAGTGCCGAGAGGCCAAAAGCAACAGTACATGGCAACGCTCTGTTAGCGGCCGGGAGATGCTGTAGCGCGCAGCTAATGCCGCTACCGTCTAAGGAAGCGTGCCGCTGTAACCACGTTTGCATCCAATTGGACCACGACGTCATCGCTGCATCGAATCTGGGGGCGTTCCACTGACGCCTGCATTCCCGCCTCCCCATGCCAAGTCTTCGCCGACGAGCGCCGATCAACTTTGCCAAGAGCCCATCTTGCATCCACGTTCCATTCTTTGGGACCCCCCGTCTGGCCTTTGTCCGCTGCGACACCCGCTACAACACCAGGCCGGCTGTTAACCAGTCTTCCAATTCTTACTATTTTGGCTTCACGACCTCAATTCTTCCTCTCCATTGGCTGGCGCCTCTTCGCCACATCACGCCCCGGGCACGCGGAGCTTGTGGTTCCACCATGGACGACGGCGGGCTGGGCGATATCATCGAAAGCGACGCCGATGTCGTCGAGAGCTGTACCACGCGCGAGAAGAAGTTTTCCAATGACGATGCTCATCTCGAGCCCACGTAAGTTAACACTCGAAGAAGCGTAGTCCCGTCTCGCATGAGATCGACGTGCATAGCCGTTCCTCGTCTTGTCGACCGACTAGTCTAACTTTGGTGATATCTTGCTCAGACGCTGGTGGTTCGCCTCATCGGCGTTCCCCATGATCGCAGGCACTCTCGGCCCTGTAGCCTCAGCATTCAGCATCTGCGCATTGGTCCGTCCTTGGCGACAACAATTAACCCCCGGGACGGAAGTTCAAGATGCCACTTTCGTCGCCGACCCGGCATGGTATGTATCATGTATCCCTGTCCAATACTTGCTATGAATTTGTCCCATCATGATAAAGCAACATCATCGTTAATAAGCACCTCTCTAGGCTGACCATCGTCAATGCCATCCAGCTTGTCGTCGCCCTCGTCTCAAACGTCTTCTTACTCCTCAACATGGCAAGACGAGTTCGCTTCAGCATCGCTCAACCCATTACCATCATAGGATGGTACTGACCCCCATGCCTGTTACAGTCCTATTTCATACTAAACTTGCACTAGGTATATTTCATCCATATGTCTGATCATCCTCACTTCCACCGCAGCTGGGCCTCTCCTCGAAGGCCTCAAGTTTCCGGAAGATGAGCTTATCTGGTCGCAGGCTTTCTGGTACGGTGTCTGGGCCGCCATACTCTATTTCCTCGACGCCTCTCTCATGGTTGTCACCTTCTACGGCGCTGTGACTGGCCACTACGACAAGGACTTCATGCTTACTCGCAGCCAACGCACCCTCATGCTGCAGACCATCATGTTCCTCGTATATCTTCTCCTCGGCGCCCTGGTATTCTCCAACATCGAGGGCTGGAATTACCTCGATGCCGTCTACTGGGCTGACGTAACCCTCTTCACTGTTGGTTTCGGTGATATCACCCCGTCAACGAATCTTGGTCGGGCCCTCATGATGCCGTACGCCCTCGTCGGCGTTATCAGTCTCGGTTTGGTCATTGGTTCCATTCGGAGCCTTGTACTTGATCGTGGAAAGCGTCGCCTTGACGCCCGTATGGAAGAGAAGAAGCGCCGTAAAATGGTCCGGACCATGACTCGCCACGGCGACGACGACATTCTTGAGCCCATTCGTGCAGATTCAGGCCTCTCTCAAGGCCCTCGGTCAGAAAAGCTGCCGGCCACTGAGTTTGAACGGCGCAAGGCTGAGTTTGCGTTGATGCGCCAGATCCAGGCACAGTCGTCGTCTCGCAGGAGATGGATGGCCATGGCAATCTCCACCGGGTCGTGGCTCATTCTATGGCTCGTAGGTGCCTTGATCTTCGTCAAGAGCGAGAAACCCTACCAGAACTGGACATACTTCACAGGTTTTTACTTTTGCTTCGTGGCTCTCACCACCATCGGATATGGAGATATCACTCCCGTATCGAATTCGGGCAAATCCTTCTTCGTCTTCTGGTCTCTTCTCGCGTTGCCCACCATGACGGTTCTCATCTCCAATGCCGGCGACACGGTCGTCAAGTTCATCCGAGACGGCACTCTGCGACTAGGAAACGTCACCATTCTCCCTGGCGAAGAGGACTTTTTCAACAACGTGAAGCACATTGTGCAGAAGGTTACATGCGGCAAGGTCTTTCCAACCCATGTTCTGCCAGAGCCCAAACCTCTGGATTCCGAGACTGGCGTAAAACACCCCTTTTCTCAACCGATGACAAAATCTGAGCGGCACAATACCCAGGACGACGCGAGGGGTCGCGCCAGTCACTCCGACGTCGAGCATGAAGCTGCAATGCACCAGCGGCCAGAGCATGAGCGTACCCTGTCAAGTTTCACCGCCAAGGTCCGACGATCGCTCTCACGCCTCCGTGATCCCCTGGACGATTTGCCCGTAGGCACTGACTTCCACTTCCTCCTCGTATCTGAGATACAGGTCATCACAGGCCACCTCAAAGAAAGCAAGCCTCACCGATATACCTTTGACCAGTGGGCGTGGTACCTCAAGCTCATCGGTGAGGATGAGCGCAGTGCTGAGACACATGGCAAGGCCAAGCCCAATGAAAGGCATAAACATCGCCGTAAAGGCCGCCATGACGACACCAGCGACAGCAATGGCAACGACCACGACCACGAACACGACCACGTCCAGCAAGATAGCGAATACGAGGGAGCGACATGGTCTTGGGTTGGGAATCGCAGCCCGTTGATGGGTAGCCAGGAAGAGAGCGAGTGGATCCTCGACAGACTCACAGACCGACTACGTGAATCTTTGTCCATGGAGAGAAGGCGACAGTTGAGGATGCATGGCAGTGGCCACGCAGATGCCCATCACTGTCAGCCGCACCCGCCCCAGGCTCATCACCATTGGGACACACAACACCACCAGTCCAACAGCGCGCATCACGATGAGAACACAAAGAAGGATTCATGACACCCCGCGATTTACCAGTTATTCAATCAAGACTCTAGGACGAAACTCCAGCACGAGTTTAGACCTATGTATATTTAGTTATTGTCATTTGGGACATATGTGAAGGCTAGGATATGATCAATACGCGTCGGCGATCAATCTGGAAATTACATGGAGCGGATGATTTACGATTTCACACAAGTATCGAGGAGAGAAGAAGAAGTGAAGGTATTCTGCCGCACCACGGCAGTTACCAATAGGTATCATCAATTCGTTAAACGTCGAGTGACATGTACAACCAAATAGATGGCACTGATCCATGCCTATCTACTCCATTTGGAACATGCTCTGCTCCTTTGTCGTGATTAAATCATTACATATATATTGACAGTTGATGGGGGGCCATTCTTTGGCCATGGGGGTTCTGTGTTGCTCCCTCTGTGTAAACACTCCTCACACAATATCGCGATTAGTTGCTTCCTCCAATGAGAAGACGCCTGTTGCGACGAATCACCTGATTCAGGCCCTTCTCCAACTTCTCTGTCTCGCGGCGAGCAGCCGCCAGTGCGCCCTCGGCGTCCTCAACACTCATCAGCGGCATACCGCCCATGCCGATAGTCTTGCCACGCTCATCGGCCTGCATGCCGGCCGGACCAAAGTCTGTCATGTTGCGCGCGCCGTCGGGCGGGCTGTAGATACCAACTCCGGCAGCGGCATCGGGACCGTAAAAGTACGGGGCGAGGGAGTTGAGGCTCGCGGCCGCGGCGTCCTTCGTCGGGGAGGCGCCCTTGGGAAACCCCATGTTAGTGGCACCAAGGTTGAGGCGCGGGAGGACGTATTGGTTGATGTAGCTGAGGGCGTCTTCGCGCTGGAGCTTGCCGATGGGATCCTGGGACTGGGGCTGCGCCGTGGCCGGGAAGATGTTGGGACGGCCGTTGGGAACAGCACGACCCTTGATGAGCGAAAAGGCGCCGCTTCCAGGCTGGTGTCGGGGAGCGATGAAGGCGCCAGGGTTCTCTGCCGTGGTCGCAATGGCGGCCTGCAGCTCGAGGAATGCATCTTCCTCCTCAGGGGTCAAGCCGCGGACGCAGTCTCCGTTGGGAGTGATTAGCATGCGGCTGCCGTCGACGTGGAACTGCTTGCGAACAGGCTTGCCAGCACGCAGGGCAGCCAGGTCCTCGTCCTGAATCTCTCCACATTTGCATGAGCAGTCCTTGCAGTGTCCAACCTGCTTGGCGGGGTGGCTGCCAGCACTGTGATCAGCACGGGACGAGCCACCGGTAATGGGCTTGATGATTTGCAGCTTGTCGACGGTGGGTGTCCACAAGGCCTTCCTGAGGTCAGCGAAAACCGAACCTGGGCCAAGGTATGTCTTCTCAGCTTGCTCAGCCTGCTCAGCCTGTTCAGCCGAGTCAACTTGCTCGGCCTGCTCGACCCGCTCGGCCTGCTCGGCCTGCTCGGCCTGCTCAGCCTTCTCGACATGCTCGGCCAGCTCGATCTCGGAAATCTCGAACACGATTCCCTTGGGAAATCGTGGTGTGGTCATTGCCACCACCTCCTTCCCCTTTCCTTTCTCCTTTTCCTTTTCTTTGCCCTTCCCCTTGCCCAGCTTTGCTACTTTCATCAATGCGGACTGGAACATAGCAAGCTCATCTTCCGCCCTCTTTCCAACAAACCTCTTCTGTTCAACAAGGTTGAGCGCAGAACCCTCATGCTTAGGAGCGCCATGCTTAGGAGCGCCATGCTTGGGAGCCTCAAGCTCGGGAGCCTCAAGCTCGGGAGCCTCATGCTCGGGAGCCTCATGCTTGGGAGCCTCATGCTTGGGAGTTTCCTGCTTGGGAGCCTCATGCTTGACTGCCTTAGGGACAGGCGTGGCAGTCTGAGTTTGGGCCACAGCCTTGACGGGCTTTTCCTTCTTCTGCTTCTTCTTGCGTCCAAGGACTGGGGCATGCACCACCTCAGCCTCTGTCAGTGCAACCTCGGCAATAAGCTTTGTCTCTTGCTTCAGAGCATCTTTGCGTTGCTTCCTCTGCTGGCTCTTGGTTGTGATCCGAACCGCTGCAGCACCAACCTTGCTCGGGGGCGGCGAGCTGGCGCGAGAATGCGTCACAGAGGCGGACACCACGGAAGCGCTGTCGCTAACCATCTCACTTCCAGGTGTGTCGGACCTGTAGTATGAGGCGGACATTGCTCTTGATGCCGCAGAAAGGGCAACCGAGGCCATGGTTAACGCCGGGGACGCAGGCGGGGGGATCTCAGTCTTGGGTGTCGGCAAGACTCGCAACGTCTTTGGGGCCGATCGAGTGATAGGCGACGAGACAGCAGTCCCAGGGGTTGGGAGAGGCGGGAAGGCAGCCGATGTTTCGGCCATTGACCTCTCGGTGCTAGCTGAAGTCTCACCAGGATGAGCGATGGCCTTTGCAATCTGAGTATTGACGGCAATTGGTCTCTTCTTCTCGGCAGACTTGGGCTCCTGGATCGTCTTTGCTAGAAGCCTATCCACAATCTTTTCGGCCTGCTTCTTGGACTTTGGCGTTGCCTTGGGTGTTGGTGTTGCTGGTCTGGATCCCAAGGCCGGGAAGTCCTCGTCCTGCAGGGCGCTTCCCTTGGACTGCCTGGCAAACGACTGAGAGATTTCCCGTGACAAGCCGCTCTCGGTCGCAAGCGTTCTAATATTCCTCCTCGCCTCTGAATCAGGGGTTGCTGGCTTTCGCGGTGATTGATCTGGAGTCAAGGCTCCTTGTGACAGTCCAGGCGGCGGGGCCTTGGGCAGTGCTGGGACGATATATCCAAACCTAGAGTGACCTTGGGTAGATGGAGGCCTGGAAATGTTCGCAAGCCCAGGAGGAATAGCCAGGCCAGGAGGAACCGATCGGCGGCCCTCCACTTCGGCTGCGGGGAGAAGGGGCTCGTCGGATACTAAAGCGTCGACCGAGTTGGACGCCTCATCAAGAGAGGGAAGTTCGTCATCTGAACGCCTGTTAGCAAGATGCTCCAACAGCTCAAGAAGACGAACGCAACAAAACAAAGCAAAACAAAACACGACAACTACGGGACTAATACGCCATTTATATACATGAGATTAGGGAATCATACTACGACGTCCATCATCGTCTTCCACGGGGGATAATGATTGAAGAGAAAGGCAGTTCGGAGAAAATAGAGGTTTGATGTTGTTATTTCTGACCAAAATGTCGCCCAGCCTAGGCGGATGAAATTCAACATTGTTAACATACATAAGGGGTTTGTGGAAGACGATGGTGGCTTGCCTGGCTTGAACCCCAATGTGCGGTCGATTGTCGACCCTGTGAAGAAAGTCGGAACGAGGCCGAGATGGTCTCGATTCCCAAGAGAACAAAGCTGACGCCTGGTGCAAAACGTGGCCTCCCTAGCGGCCTTGATCTCGCAAATGCCGGCTGAATCAAAATGCGCTTGTGACTCGTATCCCCCGGAGAAGATGAAGGGCATCTGTGCCCCATCTCTGAAATGCCAATAAACGCCCCTCCGCCCTTTATACATCAAGCAAAGGAAACCAAAATGACATGCTTATACATCCCTGTCGGATTATGATGGCACCAAAATTACCACCTCGCGTAACCAGCATTATACATCATGTTAGGGTTGTACCCACCTTGGCTCTGACCGCCGAACAGTCCCTGTCCGACCCCGGCGTTGCCCTGGGACTGGTGCTGCATTCTCGCTTGAAGGATACTCGGGTCCGCAAGATCTACTAAACCACTCCCCCCAGAGGAGGAAGTGTTAGCATGCCTGTGCTTCTTCCCCTTCTTCTTCTGCTTGGAGCCCATATCTTGGAATGCTCCAGGCTGATTACCATAGAGCGACGCCAGGAGGCCGGAAGCAGGAGCTGGGGTGGAGGTAGAGGAAGGTGGGTACTGGTTGGAAAAAGAAGAGATCATGTACTCACGCTTTCCCGCATCATGAGCCTGGTTGATGCCTCCACGACTCCGTCCGATCAGGCTCTGTAGTAACTCGTTCGAGTTGTCCTTGGGAGCGCCCCCAAAACCGGCTCCTCCAAACCCTTGGCCAAACATGCTTGGGGGTGTGCCGGTGGACTTGAGACCGGGGGGTGGCCCCGGCATCGAAGCACCGTAGAACTGGTTGTTGCCCTGAGATTGGAAAGAGTTCGGCATCATAGACGACTGCTGAGCCATGATGCGCGGGTTTGCGGCCAACTTGACGTTGGTCGCAGAGGCCTGGTTGTCGTTTGCGAAGCTGAACCTGGAAGACTGGCGATTGTGACCCTGGTTTTGGAAGTTACCGCCCTGGTTGGGGATCCCAGGCGGGGCTTGGTCGCTAAAACCACTCTGAGACCGAAGGAAGAGCTGCTGGGGGGTCATCGATCGAGACACTGTGTTGCCTGAGTTCTGGTTAAAATTGGATCCGGTCAGGGCAGGTCCGAAAATACCATCGGTGTTGTTGCGTTGGATCGGAGGCTGGGTGCTCGGCCGTCGCTGCTCGAAGCTGTCGTTTGTGGCATCCCGATCCTCTGGCTCTCCTCCTAGGGCGAGGCTTCCACCAGTTTCTGGTTCACCCTCAGAGGGCTCACGAACTTCGGCCTGCTCCTCTTGCTCTCCGCTCAGTCGAGAGTCTTCCTCCTCTCGCATGGCCTTTCGCTTTTCGCCACCACGAACATCAAACATGGGAGGGTTTTGGTCCTCCACCTCTGCGCTGACCAGACCAGGAAGAGTGCAGGCTTGCAGAGCCCTCAACAAAGCCTTCAGAGAGCTCTCGGGGATGCCCTTGGGCTGCTCCTCTGAAGGAGTAGGCTCGGGCTCCTCTTGCTGGGTGGTCGATGACTCGGCCTCTGCCTCCTCCTCTTCATCTTCCACGGCTTCTTCCGGGACTGCCTCTGCAGTAACTGGCAAGGAGGTCGACACAGCAGGACTCGACGCCGCACCACTGGTTGCGTGGCTGCCTCTACGACTGCGTTGCGGGTTCCGTGCCCAGTTCGCAGAAGACGGCAAGGCGGATCCATCAGCACCACTTTCGGAGCCTTCTTTGCTAATTGACCGTGCCATGGGATGGGATGCCACGGGTGGCGGAGTAGGTTGCGGAGCTTGTTGCCGAGAAACGGACCGTGAACCACCTCCGGGCAAAGGCCGTTGCGTATGAATACTATTCATAGACGACAGGTCTTGCCGCGAATAGCTGTCCTCCTCGTCGCCTTCTTCGTGGAGGAACATACATCCAGGGTTGCTACACTTCTCATTCTTCAGCCAGGCTGAGCAGTACTTGGTTGTACCGTGCTGAGCCTTGAGCATCCGGTCGCCATTCTGGGATCCGTGGACAGCCTGAATGCAACGCGTCGCCTCTTCAGGTCTCTCGAAAGTCACGTAGATCCCCAGTGACTGATGTTGGCCGTCGGAGCTCTTTCGGTTGCTGATGGATATCTTTTGGATGTTTCCGTATTGGCCAAAGAACTCTGGCTTTCGTAACGTCTTGAGCAACTCGTCTTCGCGCACGGTCGGGGCTAGGCCGGTGATGTAGACCAGGTTCTTCTGGACAACCCGCACTCCGATGAGATTTTTGCGGTTCTCCTTCTCGGCTTCGCGTTTCTGAACCTCCTTTTGTCGTTGTTCTTGGGCACGCTTTTTCTGGTTCTTTTGGATGCTAAGGCGGAATTCAGCAACCCTTGGATTCGTCAGCGTGGCAACCTCTGTCAAGGCAGGACTCAACATACTCCTCTGTAGTGACAACTTTCCACTGTATAGTCTTTTCGTCGTATGGTCGTCTGCATGCCGGGCAGAGCCCGTTCATATTATTCTTGATATTGTTGAAACAGAACTGGCAGACCTGCAATGCGAGGGTTAGCGCGACGTGGCAAGAAGCCAACAACGGCGGAGGGTGCCATCAGTTGATCGTACCTGGTAGCCACAGGGACATGGTCGGAAGTTTCGGTCAGAGAGATCAAACTCTTCGATGCAGAGAGGGCTGCCAGGGTTGTCAGCTCAGGTACCCAATGTTGCCCGAGGACGCAAGGTTCTGGGGGGAGCGCGCCCCAGGGACCAAGAAGGCAAACGTACCAAGTGTCCTCCTCATCATCTATGAAAGAATCTTGTGGCGCCATGGTGAAAGTCTGGTGGTCGAGGGATGATAGTCGGAGTTTTAAAGTGTGATGCTAGGAGTACGAGAGCAAAGAGAGGGAGGAATGAACGGTGATCTGTATGCACCAAGGCTGCGGAAGAGAAAGATCCAAACTGCCTAATCTTAATTCAGTTTAGCTCTAGTGTTGTATCACGTGAGTGCTGTGATTTCACGACTCTGAGGCGGAGAGAGGCTCCAATAGTACAGTACCTGGCTTTAGCAGCATTCCTTCACCATAAAACAAGTACCGTAGTAAATGCGGCAGAACCCCGGAAGTTCCGACCCGTGATAGTGCCGCTAACATCTTCGAACCAATGCTTGCAGCATCATTACCAACAGCACATTTCGTCTCGACGACGCTCTCCCATCGTCAATTGGCCTCGCACCGTCACATCACCGGCCATGGCGACTCAAATTTCTCGAAGCAGGGCCCTGGCCTCAGCTCTGCGGCCTGTGAAGCCGTCGGTACAGGCTCGCAGCGAGCATGCAATTCGGTGTTTGTCCAGTTCGGCTCGCCAATATGTCGCAATGCCGAAGGAGGTTTCCAACACGCGAATGGCTCCCCGAGACCACATTGGCACGCTCAAGGCGCCCATTGTCAACCCGGCCGACAAGTACCAGAGCAAGGCCGACAATATGCACCGATATGGCGCCTGGCTCATGGGTTGCATGCCCAAGTACATCCAGCAGTTCTCCGTGTGGAAGGATGAGCTCACCATCTACATCTCGCCCTCCGGCGTCATTCCCGTCTTCAGCTTCCTGAAGTGTCAGTATTCTGTTGGTTTACTGTCCCAATTCAATTGCTAAAATGCCTCCCAGACAACACCGCAGCCGAGTTCACACAGATCAGCACCGTCACTGCCGCCGACTACCCCACGCGCGAAAACCGTTTCGAAGTCGTCTACCAGCTTCTGTCTGTCCGTCACAACTCTCGCCTCCGCGTCAAGACCTACGCCGACGAGGCCTCTCCGGTTCCCAGCATCACTGGCCTTTTTGACGGCGCCAACTGGTACGAGCGTGAGGTTTACGATCTCTACGGTGTCTTCTTCGCCGGCCACCCCGATCTGCGAAGAATCATGACCGACTACGGCTTCGAGGGCCACCCGCTACGCAAGGATTTCCCCCTAACAGGATACACCGAAATTCGCTACGATGAGGAGAAGAAGCGAATTGTCACCGAGCCCCTTGAGCTCACCCAGGCGTTCCGTAACTTTGAGGGTGGTTCCAGTGCCTGGGAGCCTGTCGGTGCTGGTGAGAACCGCACACCGGAGTCTTTCAAGCTCCCGACGCCCAAGCCCGAGGAGAAGAAGGAGGAGCCGAAGAAATAAATGGGGGTTACCCAAGCTGTATAAGATTTCCCTTGTTAGAAATATCACCCGGTTTCGGATCATGTCCGTCCGTCCGTCCATCCGTCTGTCGTCAGTCCATCCATCGCTCGTGTCATCCCTTGAACACTCTGAGTCGAAGTATTGTTTGCTATTCACCTTCCTTAATACGACGGAAACCCCAATTTTAGCTTACGCTATCAAGCCACGGAGACCTGCAAGTAACACGAACACGAGCCGTTTGTCAACATTCTCGCACACTTATTTGACAGTGGATTGTGCCGCCTCGGAAAAAAGATGACAAGCCAATGACAATAAAGGCTTGCTTCTGCACCCGAGATGTCACACAGCAGGTGTGATTTATCGAGAATACGGGAATGGAGTGTGAGCATTACGTCTCCCCCTTCCCACGCATGCTTGCGTGGCAATACACCTTCTTCCCCGCCCGAGTCGGCCGATGTTAAGTGCAATCCTCTTCCCGATATAATCTCTCACGTCTCATTGACTGCGGATAACTGCATTCGATGCTCAAACAAAATCACTGTTTGTGCCCTTGGTCCAGCATCCATTGGCACGATGTCTAGCGGCACCTTTTCACCTCCTGTGTCACCCCCCTCTACCGCATCAAGCACGTCGACGCTGCGGGATCTGGAGCTCGAGTTCCAGGCACTTCGAGACGAAAGCTTAAGCTACGAGGACGACGTTGAATTCCGCATCTTTATCAACGTACTAGACCTCGTGGATGCGGTGGTCGTTGAACGGTCTCCGCTGCGCGGCATGAGGAGGCGATCGTTTGGTCGACTGCTTGGGGGCTTCCGGAAACGATCAGAAAAGACGTCCAACACTGAACCCCCAATGCCTTCTAGCTGAACCAACACTGTCTTTCAGTTTTGAACCGATCATCATCTCAAGCAGCGTGGCTTGCGTCGAGCCCAGTACCTATCGGCAAGTTTGGGCGGTGGACATGAGTGGGGTTGTTCGAGAAGCAAACGGCGAGGTATTGTTGGTCATCTGACTCTCTTTGACTATGCGTGCTACTTTCTCTCCATAGAATCTTTCTCTCTCATAAAGTTTGTTCAGAATTGCTTGCAGGGATATGGTCTCCTTCGTGGTATCCTGGTCTTGCGCTGTTTCGATGTTCATCCCCAGCAACGATTACATTAGCAGGGAGACAAGAAACAGACTCTTCTTGCCATCCTCAGCAGTCACTCTATCACTCACTTGTTACGTTTCTAAATTATTGGAGGGAGATAAGACATTTCTTCTTTTGAACAGCATTTGGACACTGCTCAACAGAATACACCACCGTCATTTAGCTCCACCTTGCTCCAACTTCGGTTCGGCGAGGCCAAAGACTGTATACTCAATCGATGCGCCCCAAGCGATTATTGCGATGATGTTACTGTAAGTTTGTTGTGCTTCCTCTTCCGCGATTGTCTGGCATCTTCTTCGAAAGGTCCGTGGCCAGCGGTGTTATTTAGATCCAGCGTCTGGTGTACCGCCTCGTAAATGCAAGACGACCCCTGCTCGCCCAGGTTGATAAACGTCCTTGCCACAGGTAACCCCTCCTCCTAGTATCTCCACATTTCCTGCAAAAGCTTTCTCTATGTCGCTATGAGATCAAATGACGATTCCAGGCGCGAACGTTCTCTTCATAAATAGCTTTGGTATGGCGTTTAGACCTTCTGTTGCTAGGTCCCGGCATTAAGGCTTCGTTTTAGCTCCAAAAATACTACGACAATCCATTCATATCTATGGATATCAACAGAGAGAAAGGAGGGTAATTTCGGAGGGGCCGATATACCTTGGCATATGCAGGCGTGCGGTTCCCCTTGTCAATGTGGCAGTGCTTAGAGGCCTGGGTGAAGCTCTGCCAACCGCCTCATGAGAACCGCAAGGCGAACCAGTTTCCATTCCGCAATTCGATCCCTTTCGCAATCCTTGAAACTCGTTCTGACATCCTCGAAACCCCAACAATATCTCTCACCAATCAATAGATAATCCTCCATCTCGGTGACGTCTGAAATCTTCAAGGCCCTCGACAAGGCCATATCGACGGCCTCCAAGGTGAAAAAGACACCCGAACTCGCTGCTTCAACACTTCACGATGTCGGCATGATGCGTCGCAACATGCTGTGCTTCCAACAACTACTTAACTTAGAAGCTCTAACCCACTATAGAGGTCTATACATTCCCCTCGGCGATGCCCAAATACATTTAGCGAGTGCGTCACCTCCCTTGACGAGCTAGATAGTCTCATCAAGCCATTATCTGATCAGGGCCTCCAGGGTCTAGCTACGAGCGAGCGACTGGAGTGGGCAATGAATTACAAGCGTATCAACGAGTTGTCTAAGTGCGTCCGCGATGCGCATGCTGATTATTCTCCAACAGTGAGCGAATCCCCTATTTCCTCTCTTTTCTTTAGTACCGAGTTTCGACTCTACCTTCGTGTATTCAATTCGTTTCCACCCCCAACTTCATTTAATTCTAAAATGATCCCACAATGAATCTCTTCTTGAAGTCCACAGGACCATTGGTAGTCTCTCCGAAATTTGCTAACGGATTGCCCCCAACGTCACCCATCTCAACCGCAGAAGCCTCAACACTTATACCGAAAGTCGGCGAAATTATAATGGCCTCGATGATTCCTCTACCATAAGGCCTAGCGCTATTCCAAGACCTCGTCCCAGAGACGGTACTCGAGGACTATTTGGACAGCTCTTAAGACCGAGCATCGCCAACTTTCAATGCCCGGTTCGCTTTTGAGGAGGCGCTAGAAGCATCTCGACCTTAAAGAAGAGCTCAAAATTGAGATTTAGAGGTCCTCTCATACCGATCTTCGGTCCTGAGCCCCCACGTCCTGTCGTTGCTTTCCAAGCTCTCTAGTCTCAGCGTAGGCGACGTATCGATAATTTCCGCCATTCCCCTGCCCCTTTTCTGCTATGGCATTTCCAACCCGCAGCACTACATTTTTGGAGAGATTGTTCCAGAGTAAAACCCCAGTCAGAGTGCGGGTGACCGGGTTACCGACAACACGGTTGTCCCTCTACACCAAGATTCGGCGGCTGGGTCTACTAGTGGATAAGAACCTTGGGTGCCGTAGATTATTCGACGGTGAGGTTGAGTGTGCCCGGTGCTTCCGCTTCTGCCCCGGGTGTTGCGCAAATAAGCCCAGTGACATCAAAGATACCATTGTTTCGCCTAGACTTCAGAACGAGCCAACTTGACTGGCAGAAGATGAATCGCCGAGAATCTGGAACCTCCGCGCCACGGGTGGGGACCTTTATGTGAGACAGGAGAGGCTTCTCAAGATTCAGAAAAGTATCATGGACATCATCGACAAGACATCGAATGCAAAAGAAAGAAAGCTTAGATATGCGATATTGGTATTGGATGCACTACTCCTGGCCGTTGAGGAAGAAACAATTGCTTCCCAAAAAAACTCATCGCAGTACTCAGAGCACGGCAAGGGGTTTTGCCATGAGAGGGGAAATGCTACCGGCATGGAGGGGCCAGCAAATCACCCCCGCAACTCTATGATGTTTTTCCAATCGACAAAAACGGCATTGAAGTTAAAAGACGAGAGACTGGAATTGTAATTGCCATCTGACAGCCCATTTGGTCATAATTCGGACGGATTCTGAATACGATTCAACGTCCGCGAACCAACGTGGAGAGGCTAGTAGGCCATTTTCTCTTCAACAAAACTTGTTAGAGAATATTCATTTAGTTACAATAGTACATATCGGTTGGTGTCTATGTAGATCCGACACCCATTTAAATGCATTGTGATTTGTCGCGAGTTTGGCGTTGTGCTTGTCCACGGGCCCCAGAACTCGGCCTGAAGCCATGCCAGTTCATGATTGAGTTTCAAAACATTCCATACAAACATCATTGTCTAAAGGGAATACAATGCTGTCCCTTATAAATCAAATGTTTAATATGATTAAGTTTGGCTGTTGTGATTCTGAAGGGGCTATTTTCTCCTTCGAAGGGGAGGGGGGCTATCCCAGATGCCACCTTGGGCATATGATTCCTCGCGCTACAATATTTATCTTCAGCTAGCGTCTCATCAACGTGGGTGGTTATAAAACGTGCAAACAGGAGGCAAAGCGCGAATGATAGGTTTTGTTGCACAAAATTAACAACATCCTCGACATCATTATGCTTCTGCATGGCTGGCTTCATCGAATTCGGGGCTCCAGTCATCTTCCATTCGCGGCCGCCTCATGCCTCTACCCGGCTCTCCTAGTGAGCAAAAATAGAGCACGAAAAAGTAAAAGAGAACATACAACACCGGGCATTCGCCGGTCGTCACCGACCCGACTACTACTCCAGCGGTCGCCAGTTTGACTAAGGGAGAGCGGACGGGATCCCGTATTTTCTAGCGCCTGTGGTCGTATGTACCAGGCGTTGATGCCAATCAGCTTATATCGTCGACTTCGTGGAGTGTGGTATCAAGCACTTCTGAGTGTCGCGAAGCCCATGTGGCTGGACCCGGGACATTCGACTCCCTAATCGAGGCAATACAGAAAAACACCTACCCTATCGGATATCCTCCACTGAACGGCGATGGCAGTCGTCTCTCTTTGCCTAATTACAAAATATATCAGTATTAGATGTCATCTGACTCGGATGATGATACCTTGGTCATCCTCCCCTATGACAAAGAAGCTCCAGATGCCAAGGGGATGACTCTGAAGAAAAGCTGAAAGAATAATTCAAGGACGAGCTCGAGGAAGACTTAGTCGGGGCTGGAGAGCACAAAAGATACATCGTTAGATAGTAATTGTAATCACACCCATAATCTCAGCCATGTTAATACCCGCCCTTTACCTGCCTATATCTCTCTCCCCAACATATCGACATAACGAACAGTAGAAATCCTCTTATATCCACACATGCCAGCGACGAAACCGAACTCGTGGTCATTCCGGCAGGTGGCCAAGCCCTTGATTTCTTCCTCAAACACCTCCATGTGCTCTCCATCTCCGGCCCATTCGTCCTGGTTCATTGCCCTCTCAAAAATGTTCGTGGCTGCTGCGACCACAGTTCCGCCCCTTTGGAGGTATGTCTTCGTCACTGGTGGCCACTCGCTGGTTTTGTTGCGCCATAAGTCCAGGACATTCCTTTCGTTCGGTAAATTATTCTCTCTGAGACAACGAGCAATGCAATCGTACATATTTGCAAAGCCCTCTCTCATGGATTTGTTGGTCTTCAGGTTTTCTCGTACCGAGGGGCTGAGATGCTTGAGGGAATCTTCGTTGAAACTGACCCAATCTGGACCGCTGTAATCTAGCTCGTCGGATAGAAAGTCATGGTTAATTTCAGCCTGGCACAATAATGCGAATAGCATCCTGGGGCTCAGGAATCCTCCAATGCACTGGCCACAGGTGCAGCCGTACTTCAGTCGCAACGTGTTGGAGGTCTTGCTTAGCTGTTCCTCTGTAGCTGATGCAGTCGTCCCGGTGTCAAAGTCCGTGGACTCGTTGGGATATAATATGTCAGTGCTTGTAAGTGCAGCTAGACACGTAACATCCGATCGTCCAAAGCCCTCGAATTTATCGGACATGCCAAACCTCGTCCTCCGCAACTCCATATCACTCCGCAAGGCTTCAGCCGGAGTATAGCCTTCCATGTTGCGAATACTAGCGAGATGAGGCAAATTGGACTGTATGAGATCGACTGCTTCTGTCTTGCGGCTCATGGCGGCTAAGTGAAGGATGGTGTTGCCCTTCCTATCGGTAGATAATACTGTTGGCGCTTCCATCGCAACTCGAAACCTCTCTTCAATTTCCCTCACCCATTGGTCTCCAGTCATCGAGGGGTCAGAGAGGGTGGTCATGATGACTTCCATGTCATCAGACATGACCTCTTGCTGTTTTTGGATATCCGCCGTATCGATGTCTTGAGTAGCAGCCAGACTTCGTGAAGGGTGGCTACTATCATCTGCGAATGCAAGCCATGTGGAGGTACCGACTCTCCGGAACCCAAGTGACCGGAAGAATTGCTCGCCAATTGTTGCTTCTATTCTTGCTTTCTCCTCCTCGTCCACGTCGTCTAGGGGACCGGCATAACTCGGCTGGGCAAAGGCAAAGAACTGTGTCGACTTGCGCCTAGTCTCGTCCAAGACGGCCTGAACGATTTTCGCAGCGATTCCTTGACGACGCCACGAGGGATTGACAGCGATATTTCCAAAGAGGAGAATATCACCTTCGTCAAGCTCCTTGTCCCATATCCCAGTTCCCTTTTTGATCTCATGCTCGTAGTACTCTCGGCGGAGGCGGCCGTATCTGTCGAATAGGTCGGACCCGAGCGCCGCGGTTTCTTCACAAGGTTCCTCTATCTCATTCGAAAAGTCATCTCGCATCCGATTGCGCCGGATCAACTTGGCATCACACAGCGCGACTTGAGCCGTCCCCACGTTGGCAAAGGCGTCGATTTGCTCCAACCACACCCACTCTGCAAATTCATCGAAATCGGAACCAAGGTCGTCTTCGTCAGATTCACCATGTTCAACTTCGGAATCCACACTGTCGGAATCAGAGCCTAGGAGCTCATCCTTGTGTTCGCCACAAATGCCGTCGGCATCCAGAGGGCCATGTCCCTCATCGCCGTTCTCGTCGCTGAACCGAAGCAAATTAGCGTTGGGTCAAGGCACAAAATCCAACGAGTGACCATATCGCAACTTACGTCGAGCTTTCCAATTCATCAGCTGCGTCACCATCCAAACACCCCAATAAATTTGCCCTCTGGCGATAATATTCAGCTGGCTTTACCGATCTTGGGGCGTTCTTGGCAGCTTTGGAAGTTGAGCGCAGCTTGACGGTAATCTGAAGACCATCTCCTTGTTTCTGTGTTTCCAATTTGCGTGTCTTGGAAGGGGCAGCGCTGCCTTCGCTTCCATCAAGACTAAGCTGTCGCTTGGTGCTACTCATGATGCTGCGCGATACAAAAACAAGAGAGGTCAAGTCGAGACTGGGGAGAATGGGATTGAAGAAAACAGATCGTGGTGGTGAGAGGCGGGGTGGGAATCGCTGCTGTCAAATTTGGGCAAGAAGTTCCTTAACTTAAGTTAAATTGAAATCAGCCTTGCGAGAAGAATCTGGCCAAAATTTAGGCAGCCACAGGGCTTTTGGTGTTGGTTCCAACACTTATCATTTGCCGTGGTTGGTTGAGTGAAACCAGTTCGGCCGCAACAGAGTCGGCCAAGGCTGTGCTCACCAGCTATGCGCAATCCTCTCGAATCAGAGACGACTTTCGATTTAGCCTTATTGGATCGGTGCCGCTTTGGGGGCAGTCTGAAACTCGCAAGGCACAAAAGACATGGCCTTCCACATCTGGGATGCAATTATCATCGAGATACGGGTATAAACAGTGGGAGGACAACAATTGGGTCCAGAAGCGCCGTCCTGCAGGGATAGGGCCGTGCCAGCCTTTGATCTCCGCTGTTCAGTTTGATGGATTATTTGTGCAAAAGTAAACATCGTTGCGTGCCCAAGAACAGAGAATGCTACTTAGCCCATTGATTCGAGCCATGAGCCTATCATCCCTTTTCGTCCGGGTGAAGAAGACACGGCCTAATATCGACGCATGTTCTTATTTTATTGCATATTCCTAATGTCTTGCACCAAGTAACTTATGGCGGGTCCGATACGGTCAATTCGAGTAGAGCAATAGTGATCAAAGCGATGATAGTGATGTTGATAATTGCTTTTGGCCCATATGGACCGGGCCAGTCAGAGAAGGGTATCGTGACACCCCTTCTGACTAAGGTCATGATATCAATCTATCAGAGGTTTCGCAATACAGGGTCATCTTCCAACAACTCAGAGGTGGTACCAGGCTGACCGCTCCTAGACTCACGTGAGTGGCGTGGAAACCTGCATCTCCAGACACGAGGCAACTCCAGATAATCATCCACCTGTCCCCAACACCTATCTGCTGATAAACAGACAGCTATCGCAATCTGCGCTCTTTGCCTCGCTACCAAATATGTCTGTTTCAACTGTCATCGTTGACCCAGATGGCGATACCTTGATCATCCTCCCCTGTATCGAAGAAGCTGTCGGTGTTGAGGATGACCAGAACAAACCCAGGAAGGTGACCCAGAATCACTCCGAGTTCCACTTCAAGGTCTCCATGAAGCATCTTCAACTAGCTTCACGCCGTGCGAAAGCGATGTTCGCGGGAGGCTTCAAAGAAGCCAGACCAATGGAAGTCGATGGCCTCCGTCATTGGACATTCGAGCCCATGTTCGATCCAGACGCCTTCAGTACCGTTATGGAGATCATTCATGGGAAAACTCAGCATTTCCCGCAACAAGTGTCACTCGAGCACATGGCTGAGATTGCGAGCATTGTCGATGATCTAGAGTGCCAAGGAGCCGTCTGGTTTTTTGCCAAGATGTGGATGCCTCCTCTGAAGCACAAGCTTTCTCACCCCAAATGCGACGAAAACCTCGCCAGGTGGATCTTGATTGCCTATGTGTTTCATGAACCAGAAGTATTCAAGTGCGCCACACTCAAAGCGATATGTTGCAGCACAGGGCCTATCTCAACATTTGGCCTTCCCATCCGTCCCAAAATCATAGGTCCGTTAGCTCGTATAGGTACCAGCACTTGATGCTCATCTGCGATACAGATTCAATTGAGCTCGCGAGGCAAGACTCCATTGACAAAGAGGTCTCCGCACTGTATAGTGAGGTGGATAGGTTGTGCGACGATAAGCCTCGTTGCGCACCTGGCTGCAGACCACTGTTGCTTGGCTCGTTGATTGGAGACATGAAAAGAGCAAAGCTGTTCTCACCACGGCCATCGAGGCCTTTCGACAAACTTGCCTTGGACACATTGCTAATGAAAGTACGAGGGTTTCAATCGGCAAAGATTTACTCGACCTCCTCCAAGTATGATAGATGGAGGTACGAGCAGACACCATATGCGCGGCGACCAGAGATGATCCCTGAACCCCTACGAGATCATTCTTGCATTTTGGATCAAGACGTCGAATCTACATGCATGTCCATCGCGTCAGGAATTCAGGGCCTAGAACTCGCAAGCTTCGTCAACGGTCCGATCCACCACTGAAAGGCCGGAACTTCGGTGAATAGGAAGAAAATTCTCAGAACATTGCTGCCCATAGATGCTTCATCGTGGGGGGGAAGAAAGAGAAGGAAGAAGAAAGGGAGTGCAGAACCATGGTATTTAGTCTCGAATTCATCACTTCAGCGCTGTCTAACATCAAGATAACTGCTTGCCAAGATCCCGATCAAACCTATCCAGATCCTGACAAATTGTTAATTTTCTCAGTCACCCATAATCAGTCAGACCAGATCAAGGATATTGACTTCTTCCATTTCTCTCTCTATTATTCCATATCCTACACACACATCTTCCACATCCGCTGTACTTCCGTTGTCTCTTTCTCTGTGTGCGCGCAAAACGAGCCTCCAAACATCGAGAGGCTCCTTGGTCCAACACAGCGTGCATACCATCTCGGCGTTTCGGATCATCAAAATCCATCCCGAGCAACAAGGTCAAACTGCCCCCCTTCGCTATGCATGTTCATCCACCATGTCTCCCTGCATGTAATGAACTGTCTCATTGCTCCGACGCACGAAACTCCGCAAAGAACCTGCTGGAAACCCCAAACAAAAAGAAAAACAGACGAAGAAAGGAATGAGATGGCCCATATATGACTGTGCCTCTGCACCAACTCATTGCCAACTCTCATCCCGTCAAGTGTTTAAGAATGGACCTCTGTAAAACAGTGACACCTTCACACGCCCGTCTCCCAAAACTCCGCCATATGCTAGGACTTGTGAAGAACGTTACACAACTGCCAGGCACTTGCCTCTGCAGTTCGTGATGCCGATGATGGAAATGGCTATATATATAAGTGATAGAACCTTGGTGGCGGACCAACCCGGGGATGCGAGTCGCAGCCCTCTCACCACATATCGTCCCGCCCGTCCCGCCCGTCCCGTCCGTCGTGCCGGCGATCATCCCCCCCCTTGTCGTGATATTGATAGTATTCCTTTGATCCCTGACCATAGCCGTCAGACCCGTCGTAGTTGTAGCCATTGTTGTGATCATTTCCGTGCTCATCCTCGTATATCTGAGCATCGTCAACATAATCCACCTCGTCGTTGCCGCCAGATTCTGCGTATTGCACCGCCGCCTAAAAGGATGATTAATAAGGGCCTCATTAAATAGGCGGTCCAGCACTCACCCGATGGTAGTCGAAGTTATAATTGTCAATGGCTTCTTGTGAGTCCTGACCCTCCTGCATTTGCTGTTGCTCCAAGTACTCCTGTTCCTGCTGCTTTCGTCGAGCTTCCTCTTCAAGACGCTTTTGTTGAGGCGATAGTGGTACGTTCATCTGTGGGTGCATAGCTTGCACAATGGCAAGATAACTGTACATGAAGTTGCTGAGTAGGACCTGGCTAAGGAGCGATCGGCGTGGGTTGGCCAGTTTGATGTGAGCCATTCGGTAAATAGCTCTCTCCTCCAAAAGGGGGAATCTTGTCCAGTGGTAGTCCACATCCGGCACCATGGGTTTATACGCCGGTTCTTCGGGGACTTTGAGGTGGTGAGTCTTCTTCGAGTGCTTCTCCTTCTCTTCCTTCTTCTTGCTTCCACCGAATATAGACGAGAAGATGTTCCCATCCTTTTCTTTCTTAGCATCACTCTTGCGGTGGCTTTCCTTCTTCCGCTCCTCCTGAAGCTTGCTGTCCGTGTTCTCGCGCTCCATGATTAGGCTTTCGCGACCCTTCGTGCCGTTCTTGTCGATAGATGTTTGTATCACATCCAACCTCACGTTGTCCTGAGCCTTTTCGACCAGTGACTTGGTCTTCGACTTCTTATTCTCTTCCTTCTTCTTCTCCTTGTCATCCGCTCCGCTCTTGAACCATTTCCAAGCGCTGCTCGATTTCGTAGACACGCTGCTCGAGTCATCGTCCCGATCCTTCTTGGATTTCTTGTCAGGTTTCTTCTCCTCCTGAGTAATCGTCGGGATGAATGTCAGGCTATCGGTACGGGCGGCGCCGCCACCTGGAAGAGGCGCAGGGTTTGCCGTTAGGTTGTCATTCAGGGATTGTCCTTGTGGATAAGAGGATCGGGAAGTATATTGCTGAGGCGATGATTGGGGGACGGTCTGGCGACTTGCGTTGCGCCGGCTGGATCGTGGGGGAGGCTCGTCGACCGTCGGCTCCTGTTCAAGGGCCGCTTGAGAGGATGATCTTTGAGGGAAAGACCTCGAGAGCGAGTCGTCTTCAGTGCCAGCCGGCTCTTCGGGGGTGGAGGTCTCGATGATTGGCACAGATGATGTTGATGATGTTCGAACCGGTAGCTGATCCTGAAATGTCTCGGCAGGGGGGGGAGCGCTTGACTCCTGCGACGCTCCATCAAAGGGATCAAAGCCCCCAAGTGATTCTTGAGAAAACTTGTTCTGTCTCCTCACGGAGCGATTCGGCCGTGAGTAATTATCTGCCAGTGGTTCTGATTGTACTCTTGAGAGGCCGTGGCCTGGGGGTGCTTCAAGCGGAGATGTGGAACCTGATTCAGCGGATTCACCATCAAAGTTACGATTTACTGCGCGCTTAGAGAAGGGTGTCCTCTCGCCGGAACGAATACTTCCACCCTTACGATATGTTGTGCGAGTAGAACGACGGAGACCCATTCCCGGTGCCACCGGGAGAATTGGCATGTCATCGACGCTACCCTCCGGGCCTGCTGACCCCTGGGAGTCTTGTGTGAGCTTCTGCACGGCCTTGGTAGGATCCTTCACAAGTTCGTCAAGGCTGAGTTCATGGCTTTGATAACTTCCTCGGGATCGCCGCCTGTCCAGTGCGTCGGCACCATCGACATAGCCAACAGCTCCTCGCCCGCCAGAGTTGTCGATCTGGCGGGACAGCATCGATTTCTTTCGTCTCAGTCCTCCACCCGAGTCGCTCTGGCTAGAATCACCGTCCACGGAGAGAAAAGAGTCACCAGACCTTCGTCGAATCGAGTGAACTCTTTTCTCCAGAAAAGACTTGAACTCTCCTGGCGCAAGTTCCGGATGTACCCGCGCGGGCACCCATAGAAGCCTCGAGGGGTCGTTTTCGTCGTCGTCGCCGCTGGGGGCTATCGCAGGCATTGCCATGAGGGACATTGGAGGCATATCGGGATCCTTGTTGTTTCCAACATCCATCGACAGACGCCTTAGCGCTTGCAGGTTGCTGAGTTCCTGGGCAATGTCGTTTGGGTGTTCGATGTTGGGTAGAGAAAACGGCGAGTTTGAGGAATCGGCTTGAACATCGCGCAATGATAGAGTCGGGGAGAGGGGCGACTTGGGGGCTTGTTCGAACGAGTTACTTCGGTTGCTCATGCCCCTGTTCGGGAGTGGCTGAGATGTTTTGACGCCATATTCACCATTCATTGACATCATATCAAGGGGTTCCGTAACGGAGCGTGTGAGTGGCTTCCGGGGGTCGGGCGACAAACGATCGGGCGATAGGAAGTCATCTTGTTGCGTAGGCCGCGGGAGATGCTCCTGATAAGGCGATCCACCGATGAAGCTCAGCGGCCGGCCTCCTTCAGATCCCGAGTCGTCGTCCTCACCGTAGAGGGTGCCGATAGCCTCGGTAACATGATGGCTGGGGTCGGAGATGGAGAGTTGACTTGTGTGACCGCGTCTGCTAGCGAAGCTGCCGCCAACATCGCCGCGGGGTCGAGATGAGGTCTGCAGATCATGTCAAGGTCAGCAAGGGTCGCGATGGGGAATCCACGGGGAAGGGCAACGATGACGCAGCAGAATGTCCTCGGGGGCGTGAGAGGTCGAACGCCATCGATGCCGACCAGAGAGCACGCGAGCTGGGAGTTGGGTATGATAAGACGCACCATCATCGACGGCTGGGGAGGGACCTCAGCGGAGGCCAAGACGCCAACGGGAGCCTGTCCAGATTCCTGGCTTGGCTGTCAAATGGGTTCTTGAAGGTTGTTGGCGTTATCATGGGCATACGGGCACCACGGCTCGGGCGGCGCGACTGGAGGCAGTTGTCGAGAAGTCGGAGTTGGGAGAGGTTCAATCACCTCCTGAGTCGGTGTCCTCGCGGAGCCTGTCGTCGCATGGGAGGAGGCGCCAAGGGAGGAGAGCCGCTGGTTTGGACGTAGGCCGTCAAGGGACCCTTGGCATCAAGCCGCACGCGGATGACGCTCGGGATGGCGGGGTGTCGTGTCTGTGAAGGCCTTCGAGAAAGACGCAGTTTGGGCTTGGCTGGGCTGGGCGTTGGCGGAGACAGAGAGCAGCGAGATAGGTACGCTGGGTTAGTTCGTCGAAGCGCCCAAGGCAAGATAGGTAGGTCGGTCGGTACCACATCGAGTGTTTCCCCGGGCCGCAATCAAAGGGTGGTGGCCAGGGCATGAACGTGTCACGTGGCGTCGTCAGAGCGGTTGCCAGCAGGCTGTTCCACTGCATCACAGTGCCATCTGGCGCTAGAAATGGCGCCCGTCGCCGCCCGTGAATGGTTCAGAGGCCCACGGCCTCCTGTATTCGCCCGAATCGCCCCCAGGGGCCCCCTACATCTCCACTAACGGGCTCCGTTACCACTCTGGAGGGTGCTCCCCTGCCAGGGTTCGGGGCTCTCCATGCACCTAACTTTAAAACGGGCTACCAGGCACGCTACATAACCCTGAGTCTGAGCCTGAGTCTGAGTCTGTGATGCAACAGCGATGTGCCAAGATCAACGAAGTGCAGAAATCCCAAGCCCAAGCTCCAGCCCTGGAAACGGACGGCCCGGAGATGCGGTCGTGGCAGCAGGCAGCCCGTCCGGGGCATGGATCATTGAGGCCGACGTCTGGTACTGTACATGGATCCGCTCCCCCTGGAATATAGGCGATCCTTCACTCTTAGATGGCGTACGTACTTCGTACCGGACCCCGAGTTACATGCACACAGGCCAACAGGTGTGGTATGGATGGGGGCAGAGATATTTGCAGGATGGATGAATGGACGAATGGATGGACGGCTTTTGCTGATCATCAGGTAGGCTAAGGAGAATGCAGGCTGTATCACGGGGAGTTAGCGCCCCTTGCAACACATCACCTCGTGACGGCGCCTCTCTTCTCGGCGCGCGCCTACCACTGCTCCGCTGACAGTCAGCGTGTCTCAAGCAGAGATGTATCCCGAGATGGATACGATGTAAATACATTCGAAAGTGCGACGGCACACACACGACATGCCGCCGGACACACGCAGGCTTTGTCTCCCGCTTATGCAGCGGACACTGCGGATATTGCAGACATTGCAGACAACCCTGACTCCCATACAACCCGGCATGTCAATCGCGTTCCAGAGTAGGTATATACTGCTTCTGCATACCAGGCACACGACACCACACCCACAGACACACATGCCTCGTCCACAAACCGCCGCTGGCTGAGCCTCTACACACACCATCCCCACAAGTATCCCAACCTGAAGAGAGTGGATTGATGCCCTGGCGCCTCCGTCCGGGCTGGTGCAGGAAGCGGCGGCAGACCTGGCAGCGCGGCCCACCTGCATCTCAAAAGACTTTTGATAGCCAGTCTTGGGTTGTGGCTCCAAGCCGCGATCGTCGCCGTGTTACACACCGGTCCTTTGCTTCTCGTAACAAGCAAGTCCTTGTCTATATTCTCCCTTTCCAAGCCTTAACTCGTCCTCTTTGTGCTGCTAAGATCTGGACCGCTCTGTTCTGGGCGGCACCTTCGGGTCTGGGTCTGGATCTGGGCCTGGGTCTGCAGCAACCCCGCCACAATGCCCACAGCGCCCACAACCCGGTGGCTTCAGCTAAAGTCGCACCACTCCACTTGTGTCTCCTTGCCTCTCCTGGCCATGGTCTCCTATTCCAAGCGCCCTCGTCATTTCTTTAAGCGGCCAGGTCCACCAACCAGAGCCTGTCTCACTGGGCTTCGCAGCTCACAACCCATGGCTGGTGATATTCGATATAGTCACTTGCCATCTCACCTTTCTCCTGCTGATTTCGGCCCCTGCCGAGTTGTGAAATCTACAGGGCTGCAATCCGTTCAAGTGAGTCTGCTGTCAGAAGGTGCCCTGTCGGTTCCCCACTTGGAAATGTTGGCGCAACACAGTCCCGTCCGTGTAGGGTAGCTGCCATCCAACCGGGATGCTATAAGAACAGTTTATTTACGGTCGGTTTGTATTTTGCTTGGTGTCGGTTTGAAGATTTGTCAAGTTTGCAATCATCATACCATGTTGAGTAGATGTGAGGTTTACTGTACCCTTGTTGCTGACTTATATAACTTAAGAGCTTGCTAACAGCTTGGACATGTTTACTACTACACATGTACACTACCTACTTCAATATCATCATTGTTTACTAAGGTAGGTGATAGAACTTTACTCGGAAACGACACGGATACAGCGCTCCTCGTTCAAACCTGATTATCTCTACTAGCAAAATAAAAGGACACAGAGCCAAAGCGATCACACAACTCCAACATCCCATATTCTAACTTACACATGTTTAAGTATATTAAGAGACTCTAATGTCAAGAGGAGAACCATCGGGCGACGCAGAAAATGAGAACCAACGTAACTAGATTGTGCCGTCGATTCTGGGCCGAGAAGCAGATATGGGACGATAGACATTTCTGAGTTGGTAATGATGACGAACAAGTGACTCGGCAACGAAAGAGTTGAGATCTGGCAACGTAACATTGCTCCGCGTGGTACAGACATGACCCGCATTTTGGAGCTAACAAAGAGGCCCCCCGCGCCAGCCTAGATCAGGGCCTGGAAATGAAAGTTGTCATTCCTGCTTGAGCAATGGCCAACTAAGGAAGCAGCACATTGGATCATGTACTATGTATGCACGCTGTTATCGCCAAGCTGCGGCGCATCGCACAACTCGGGTGCAAGGACAATGGTTGCTCATTGTTTGTAGGGTTGTGCCACGTGCCGAGCATTAACCGTCGCGTGTTGAGCGGTGTTGCGCGTGGGAAGCCTGCCTGCCTGCCCGTTAGCAGCGCGGGCAGTGGCTGCTGGGCTTCTGGGCTGCTGGCTCACAGTGCTGGCTCAGTGGCTCCCCGTACAGCTGGAAGAGGCTAAGCCTAAAGGGGGAGCAGAGGTGTCCCAGGTTGGGGCCACCTCTAGAAAATTATCTCTACTTAGCCAGGCTTGCTAGAGCTGCGAAAATCCACCCCCCGTGATTGCTTCCTATCCTTTCCATTCCTCGTCGCCATCTTCTTTTGATACCCATCATAACCCTCCGCGCCCGTACCGAGAACCTGCACCTGCGCGACCGACCGACGACCTGCTCCACGACCGCCCTCGACCGCATCAGTTGATTGATAGAATGGCTGCTGTGAGTCCAACCTTGGATCGCCCTGTCCTTCCACTTGCACTGGCACCTCAGGCTCGCCGCCCTCGCCAGCGCTGCCAGCCGTCTCGCAGCTGGCAAGGCCGGCGACCTGGCTGCATCCTCTCCCACTTCCCCCCCATCTGCCGCCTCGAATCCCGCACAAGCTTCACCTTTCATTCCCCCCTGTCCGCGTCTCCCTGCTCGTTGCGCCGCGTCCCAAGTGCCCGACTTGCGAGACTCGAACGGACTCGACCATGCCATCCCCCACCAGCTACGATCCCTTCTCGGCTCTGTGGCGAGATGCCTCGTCTGCTCGACCCGTCGCTAACAGAAAGCAGCCGCGACCGTACAATAACCCAGGCTCAGGCTACCTCCAAAACGGTGCGAGCGGCCTCCCCCCTCACGGCGCTGCTCCGCTTCTGCCCAACCAGGGCCGCATCATCCAGACCGGCCCCATCAGAGTCCTCTGCATCGCAGATGTTCGAGGTGAGCTACCTCGACCATGTATTCGCTGCAACATGACTGAATCGCGTCGCAGGAAACTTGAGATCCCTCAACGATCTCGCGAAACAGGCCCGAGCTGACCACATCATCCACACCGGCGACTTCGGCTTCTATGATGACACTTCGTTGGAACGAATCGCCGAGAAGACGCTTAAGCATGTCGCTCAATACTCTCCCCTGATCCCCGAGCCTGTCAAGAAGGCGATCCAACAAGGCGGACCCGGCCCTGTCAAGACCCGATTCGCCCCTTCCGACCTGCCCCTCTCCGAGCTTCCCCTCCTCCTTACCGGAGCGCTCAAGCTCGATGTACCCGTCTACACTGTATGGGGTGCCTGTGAGGATGTCCGAGTACTCGAGAAGTTCCGAACCACCGAATACAAGGTTCCCAACCTGCACATCATCGACGAGGCTCGGTCAATGCTGTTGGAGATCGGCGGCGTCAAGCTGAGACTACTCGGCCTGGGTGGCGCAGTTGTTATGCACAAACTGTTTGACAATGGCGAGGGTCGAACTACCATTGCCGGTGGACAAGGAACCATGTGGACGACTCTCCTGCAGATGGGCGAGCTTGTCGACACTGCGCACCGAGTCTACGACCCTACCGAGACCCGCATCTTTGTTACTCACGCTTCGCCTGCCCGTGAGGGCATTCTTAACCAGCTGTCAGTGACGCTCAAGGCCGACTTCTCCATCTCCGCCGGTCTTCACTTCCGATATGGCAGCTCCTACAACGAGTTCAGCGTCAACCCTACGTTGGACCACTACCGCGGAAAGCTTGCCGCATCCAAGGCCTCCTTCAATGACGTCTGGGAAACCGTCAAGGGCGAGGTTGAGCCTGCCATCCAGCAGAACGAAGCCCAACAGAACCTCCTCAAGAACGCTCTGCAGATCGTCGAGAAGATGCCCACAACCGCTGCCGGTGGTAACCCCTTCGGTGGACCTGTTGCTGGCCAAGCCGCCCTTGGCCAGGTGGACGAGAGTGCCTTCAAGAACATGTGGAACTTCAACCTGGCAGATGCCGCCTTCGGTTACTTGGTTTTGGAGATCCAGGATGGTCGCATTGGTACTGAGATGCGCGCTCAGGGCTTCAATTTCTCCCACCGCGGTGCCAAGCAGCAACCCGGTATGGGCCCGATCCCCTCCACTGGTGGTCTCCCTGCGCCTCCCTCGACACAGTCCAGTGTTCCCCCCCCCACCAGCCGACAGCCCTCGTCACAGCAGCCTCCCAAGCCTACAGTGGCGACGCCCCTATCCGCCCCTCCGAAGCCAGCAACCCCCCAGCCTAGCCAGAGTTCTAGCACGCCTGCTCCCCCCCCTCCCGCTAAGGACACCGAGAAGACGACCGTCACCGCCGGCGCAAACGGCTCTGCTAATGGCCCCGAGCCTGTGTCCTCTCCTGTCCCTAAGACATCTGCATCTGACATTATTGGCTTGTTCATTATGAACGTCAGCTCTGAGGAGCAGTGCCGGGACCTGTTTGATGACGAGGACAAGCCTAAGATCGTCAAGGTTGAGAAATGGGGCAACTCGAACAAGGTTGTTCAGTTCAAGACTCTTGACGACCGTGATGCTGCCATGGCCCGGTTGCCCGAGGAGGTGAAGACCCGAACCCAAGAAGATCGATCCAAGCCTCTGGTCAAGATTTTCCAACATCGTGAGGGCAAGACTTTCAGCACCCGAGGCGGCGCTGGAAACTGGGGCAACAGCGCGCGTGGCGGTGCTACCAACACGAGCGGTTACCGCAGCGCCGGTGGTGCAAGTGATTCTGAATCTACCCGACGTGGTGGACGTGGTGGTCGAGGCGGTCGCGGTGGAGAGCGTGGCCGTGGAGTTCGCGGTCGAGGAGGCATTAAGGGCGATACCGGTACCTCGTCGCCGGCCGCCGCTCCCTCGACTCCCTCTGCCGATTAAATGACTTCTTCGACACCGAATATTGATACATTCTGCCCTACGAGACCGTGGTCCGCCTTCATGGCCGCAGCACTTAGCTTCGTCCTTGCGGCATCCCTGTTTCGTCCGCATGTGCTTTTAGTTTAGGGGGTGGGGGGACAAGGGGCAGGAGAAACGGAGGAAGGAGTCCTTCCAACTGCGTTTTCATGTATGTGTACCTAATGAGATCTCGGGGCTGTTGAGCTTCGGCATCGAGGATTTGGCTTTTCAGCTTTGACCTGTATGGAGTTCAGTCGCGAAGAGAATTAAAAAATCATTCTGGGCCTTGATTGACTGACTTATTAGGTGGGTGTGTGTATGGATGTCTATGTTTGTGTGCGTGGGTGTGTGTGCGTTGGGAGTGGGAGGGATAGAGGCGACGTGAAATACCCTTCTATTTATACAATGCCAGTGTTTTGAGAGGCTGCTCGCGATGCCTGGCTTCTGCTGGCTTGCCATGGTGACCTGGCTAGCTCTAGCTAGAGATAATTACATATGACTACAGATTCGTGAACATCTTACAGAGGCTTCATGCCCTTGTGAATAGCGGCAATACCACCAGTCAGATCCTCGTACCCCTTTCCAGCGACAACGAATCCAGCGTCGATAATCATGTCTCTAAATTCCTCTTGACTGGGGAACCTGTCGATGCTCTCCACGAGATACTGGTAGCTGTCGCGGTCGCCGGCTACGAGCTGGCCGATCAGGGGAATGGCGCCGTACGACCATTGCTTGTAGATGGCATTGAACAGGGGGTACTTGTCCACCTTGGAAAACTCGAGGCAGGCAAAAATACCACCTGGCTTGAGAACTCGGTTGGCCTCCTTCAAGGCGGCCGGGATATTGGAGAAGTTGCGGATTCCGAAGGAAACAGTGTAGAGGTCGAGCGAGTTGTCCTTAATGGACGACGGCAGAACCTCCGCATTGGCCTCGAGGAAGGAGAGGGCGGACTGGTAGGTTGCGGGAAGCTCGAGGGAGCGCTGACGACCGACACCCAACATGTCGGGGTTGATGTCGGAGATGGTGACTTCGACATTGGAGTTGCCGTTTTGGATGTGGGCGTGTTGGAGCATACGGAAGGCAATGTCGCCAGTGCCTCCAGCAACGTCTAGGATACGCTGCGGTTGGCCAGGAGGGTTGGTGGCGCCGGGGTTAAGCGATGAGATGAAGTAGTCCCTGGGAAGATGTCTGTTAGTTTCGGAGCGGCAGGTCAGGTCATGACAAAACCCACTTCCACAACCGGTGAATGCCCAAGGACATGAAATCATTCATCTTGTCATAAGAGTCGGCGACGCTGGAAAAGACACCGGCAACACGCTGCTGCTTCTCGCCCTCGGAGACGGTTTCGAAGCCAAAGTGGGAGGGTCGGTCGGAGGTGGGAGTGGTGTGGGGGTTGTTGTGGACGGCATTGGAGCTGGAGAAAGGGCGGGCGAGGCGGATGGGACATGTCGAGGGCTTAATAGAGCGGGAGAAGCCCCGAAGAGCTGTGCGGGAGGCCATCGTGGGCAGTTCTTGGGCCGTTGGGGCGCGGGGATGGTCTATGATGGAGGTCAGTTCGATCATACGAGGCTGAGAGGAATTTGGAAATTTGCTGTTCGCACTGGTGGGGCGCTACAGGTGATAGTCGTTCAGCCTTGTCCAAGCCACTGTGGCTGACCTGGACATTCACACGCTTCCTGGAACAGCGACAAAGAAGTACTGGAGTCGGAGGTTAATCCGATGCTGCTCGGTGTGTGGTCGATGCAAATCGTCTCACCTTTTAGACGGAGCTTCCGGCAGTTGAAGTTGTGGACTCAGCGGCTTGGGAGCGCTCGCGGATCTTTTGGCGATGCCTGAAAAGTGCCTGCACAAAGCCGTGGACTGACTTTCTGCAGTACCAGCCAATAAGCACAAATAGAGCAAACAAGCCGACGAGGAGCAGTGCGATACTGCCTGCTGGGCTCATCCTGGGTCCGAAGCCGCTGCTGTGGTATTCTGCTGCTTGGTGTCTGGCGATGCTTGCGTGCATGTTACAGGCTGTGTTGTGATGTAGATGGGTAATGGTTTGAATTGTGAATTTTCAAATGGAAATTTACATAACATGGTGAATTTCTAAGCGAATTGGTCTCTCTGCTACTTCTTCTTGCTCTTTGTTTGGGTGCTGGCGCATTTCAACAGCTGGCAGCTGGCAAACAGCTGCGAGCTGAAGTTGAGGTTTATCGCAACGTGGGGTCGGCCGATAAGGGATGTGTGGGGGATGGCTGCAAGGTCTCCAAAGTAGACCTGAGGCTGGCGGCAGGGTCATTTCGAGGCTCGGGTCGCTGAACGGCAACCAGGGGCAATTCCTTAGCTCTCAAGGTCCAGCAGAGCCGAGTCCACGCTGCGAACAATCAATCGGAGCTTGTTTGAGTTGCCGAGCTCTCGTCAAATAACGGCTTATCTTTGTCTCGGCTTACACGGTTGGAGTCGGCTCAGCATGACGTCGCTACCCCAGACTTCTGGTCTCCGGGTAGTCCCCCTCGGCAAACCATCCAACTTCCTCATCTTCTAAGATCCCTAAGAAGCCGATTGAAGGTTGCCAGGCTCTCAATTCGAACGGAGAACACCCAAGAGACGGACGAGCCGCCTCCATGAAGTCCCGGACTCTGCGGCACGTCGCCCAGCGGACCGCCGCTCTGGCCAGACCATCCATGCCCACCTTCGTTCGAGCGGCTAGCAGCATCTCCCAGCGCCCTAATTCGGACCATGTCTCGTTCCCCGGAGCGCTGAAGAGCGCCTTCGTGAATAGTCTCAAGTTTGAGGACCCCGAATCGTACCCGGCCCTGCCCACGTATCGCGTGGTGGACCAGCATGGCGTAGTCGTGGACCCGTCCTTCACGCCCGACATTGCGGATGAGGAGGTCATCCGGCTATACAAGGACATGCTGTTTATTTCAATTATGGACTTGATCATGTTTGATGCCCAGAGACAGGGTCGGCTGAGCTTCTACATGGTGAGTGCAGGTGAGGAGGCTGTCAGCGTGGGGTCCTCCAGCGTCCTCGACCGGGAGGACGTCATGTTCTGCCAGTACCGCGAACAGGGCGTTTTCAAAGAGCGTGGGTGGACGGTAAAAGAATTTATGGCTCAGCTGTTCGCCAACAAGAACGATCCAGGGAGGGGTAGGAGTATGCCGGTGCACTACGGAAGCAAGGAATTGAACATCGTGAGTATCGCCTGGCTGGGAAGGGATGAGCTTGAGCTGACATGATAAAGCACTCCATCTCATCACCATTGGCAACTCAGCTTCCGCAGGCGTCAGGGGCGGCTTATGCCTTGAAGATGCAACGGTTACAGGACCCCAATGTCAAGCCTCGTGTGGTTGCCGCCTTCTTTGGAGAAGGAGCCGCAAGCGAGGGAGATTTCCATGCAGCATTGAACATTGCTGCTACAAGGTCATGTCCTGTCATCTTTATCTGCCGAAACAACGGCTACGCAATCTCAACACCGACGCTTGACCAATACCGTGGTGATGGTATTGCTAGTCGTGGGCTGGGCTATGGAATTGACACGATCCGTATCGATGGAAACGACATCTGGGCAGTACGAGAAGCGACCAAGAAGGCTCGAGAAATGGCACTCCAAGATGGCGGGAAGCCGGTCCTCATTGAGGCAATGACCTACCGTGTATCGCATCACAGCACATCGGACGACTCGTTTGCGTACCGCGCGCGTGTTGAAGTCGAGGACTGGAAGCGCCGCGACAACCCCATAACGCGGCTGCGCAAGTGGATGGAGGCTAAGGGTATCTGGGACGAGGCCAAGGAGAAGGAGGCGCGAGATAGCTTGCGTAAGGAGATCCTGAAGGGATTCAGCGAGGCGGAGCGCGAGAAGAAGCCGCCGATCCGGGTGATGTTTGAGGATGTGTACGAGGAGATGACGGAAGATTTGAAGGCGCAGATGAAGGAGCTCAAGGGTATGCTCGACAAGTATCCGGACGAGTATGACGTGGGGGAGTTTGAGGGGGGTAAAGATAGTTTGAAGGATTGATGGCCGGGAAGGACGGATAGGGATTGGACTAGGTTTCACGTATAAATAAGCGGTTAAAGAGAATCCCAGGTTAGATCTATCTACTTACGGCATGCATGTGTGAGGTACTCCGGGATTGATCCTTCGGAGTAAGTAAGTGGCATTTGTCATGGGCGCTGCGGGTCCACGCTGGGATGCAATAGAAATAGTGGAGAGAATGCATCACAGAGCATATATTCACTCTCCAGAGAGACGCTTACTCGATGCCCCATTCACGCAATCATTTACAGGCGTGCCAAGTCAACTTGTTTCGCCTAATCAAGCCGCGAAACAAACGGGGATCTTTGCTGTCGAGTTCTGTGAAGCTTTTGTGGCTTGGCGGGGTGGATCGGGAGCCAGGTCGGGCAGCAGGACGAGTGGCGTTGTTGTTATTGTTGTTGTTTTCGTCAATGGGTTGCAACGACGGCAGGAGGGAAGAGGGCCGGGCCAGTTGGCATTGCATATGGAATGAGGTGGTGTTCCATGCTGCTGATGCCGCCATGCGGCCATTCCAAACGGGTTGAACGGTGAGGGCACTTTCGGCCTGCGGCTGCGATTGTGGAATCTCGTGGTAGTGGTTTGCTGCTCAGTGGTCCAGCGGCTGCTAGGGGTCGCTAGGGGTCCCTCCAGTGGGTAAAAGCGGCGCCACGATGCACTAGGCGGGCCTCCCCACAAAACTACCAAACGGGGCCCCTTGACCCGGAGCGGAACGTCAGGGTGCCAGTATTTTCGCATTTGATGGAAGATGGAGGAACCAGGCGGCTCGGTATTAACCATACATAGCCTTTGTGCAGTCACGTTTATTGGCAGGATTAGGGATCTATGCAAGACAGCAGTTGGTCAGCAGGGCCCATGGCCCATCGACCTTTTGCATTTCAGTCAAAGTGCTGTGGCCAATGTGCAGCTAACCAGCGTCCCGTCCTACCTTTGAGGCCGATAAAAGTAGGTAGGCTGTCTCTCCCGTGGGAAGCACACGCAGCTCCAAGCTGATGGGGCGCGTTGGTGTCGGAGGCCAGGTAGACCCGCGCCACGCCGGAAATGGTCGTAGCTTTGTTCATGAGCTGGGCGTTCGAGATGTTCCTCTGACAGACGGTGAGAAATGGTGAGGAGGGAGAGAGCCGCCGCTTGTATAACCTTGTCCGCCTCGTGAGGTGCTCCACTGCCCAACAGCGAACAGCGCCAACAAACCACCCACCCTCCCCGAGCGGCACAGCGCTGCACAGTGTGGGGTGCTGGTGGGTACAGCGGGCCCGGGTGCGTGAGGCTTCTCCAGGCTTCTCCAGGCGGGTGCGTTGTGCGTGAGGCTGTTCCACTTGTTCCACTGTTCCATGGGCAGACATGACTCTCCGCCCGTCACATTCACAAGCCCCCGTTGGTTGTACAGTGCCCAGGTGCGGGCCTGGAGCACAGTGAGAGGCCACCCTCACGGCCTCTGACTGCGCAGTAGCGTCGTTCCCCCCCGTCAGAGCACGCCCGTCTGCTCGAGGTCCATCTCAAGCACGCACGGCAGACCACCGATGACCTACTTGGCTAGGTACCTACCTACCTACCAAACCAGACCTACCCAGACCTACCTTACCACTTAACTTACTACCTACTGCCACGGCCGACCACACACGTCAACCGTCAAGCGCCAAGCGCCAACCACCACCATCCTCGAGATTTCCCTCTCCCACATACAACCTCCAACTCCAAGCTCTCTTCTCCCCATTCTCCCGTCCGCCCTTGTTGACCGAGCATCGCTCTCCCTGCCAGCCTCCCGCCCCCTTCCGCACACTCCCCGTCCGCCCTGATCTCTCTCCCCCGGGAGAAGCCACGACCGACCCCGCTGCACCTGCGCCCGCGCCTGCCCGCTCCTGCCCGCTGCCCTCCTGATGGCGTAGTCGGTAGCTTGGGCATGGCAGAACGAACATCGGCAGGTGATAACGAAGCGCGACTTCCCTCTACCTCGATAACCTCATCCTCACCCTCGGCCGCCACTTTCCCATCTGCTGCCGCTGTGTCTCCGGGTTCCCAGAGGTAGGGCAAACCCTTTATCTCCTCGCGTCTTCCTGTCGCTTCATCCACCACCGCTGCATCGTCGTTTGCCGTGTGCGTCGTGCGTCGTGCGTCGTGCGTCGTTCGTCATTTCGTCATTTCGTCCGCCGCCTTGACCTGTCCGTTCCCGTGTCGCCCATCGCCCATCGCTCTTCGTCCTTCGCCCTCACCCGCTCGCCATTCACCATTCACCATTCACCACTCACCACTCACCATTTTAACTGTCGACTGCGGCCTCGATACATTTGACCTTGGCCTCGCAACTATCGGGGTCGTCGCCCACCACCCTGCCGGCCTCACACGTGTGCGATGCCGTTGTCGGATCCTGGCCGCCCGGTTCCTGATTCACACACACATACATACGCACCCGCACACATCCACACCTACACTCGCTTCCCCTCCTGCTGCAGCCTTCTGCCCCAGATGTCGACGCCTCCCTCGCATCTTGCCCTCTGACCTAACCTTCTATCCTGCACCGCCATCGGCCTGCGTGCCCCCGATTTCGATCAGGGCCTTCCATCGCACGTCGTTTGGTGGAGGCTGCAGCCTCGTCCATTACCATCACCACCTTTATTGACTTGCGGCCAGGGCCTCGTGCCTCTCGCCTCCGCGCCCTTCTCTCCCCGTCTCGTGCAACCCCATCGCCTCCTGTCTTCTGCACACCTTCATCAATTCTCGTCCTCCATCTGCGTCACCAGAACCAAGCTCATGCCTCTCATGTCTTCTAGAATCACCAGATCCTCGGCTCGTCAAGCAGCAAGCCAGGCAGCCCAATCATCTACTCCTGCTCTTCCCGCTGCCCCAGCTGTCGCTGCTGACGTCCCGACTGCACCTGCTGCCACCCCATCCTCTCGAAAGCGAAAGGGCACCGCTACCGAAACGAGTCCTTCCACCACCTCACAATCTGGTTCTTCGGGTCGACGGTCCAAGAGACAGAAGATCCCCGAAGCCGCTTCGTTTGCCCCAAACAATCCACCTCCACCTAGGCCTCGGAGGAAGGGAAAGACGCCCGCCGATATGGATAGCCCTGAGTGAGTTAGATTCTAACACACTAACTGGACTGTTTTGTTTGCTCGTACACGTTGCAACTGACACATTCCAGAAGTGGACTTCCTGGGCCTGCAAATGCCAACGAGTCCGCCACGCCCTCAGCCTCGTCGAGCCGGAAGTCGAGTCGATCCAAGAAGCCTGGAAATAACTCTCAAGGTTCGTGTTGCCCTGTGGAGCCCGACGCAAGCTTGGGTCGTCAGGTTACTGACATGAGCACAGATCAAACACCAGCCCACCCGCTGTCCACTCGGAGATCAAAGAGAAACCTGAATAATGCAGCCGACCAAGACACACCGATGACAGGAACCGACGAGAACAGGGACCCGGGTCCTCCCCCACCTCCTCCACCTGCCGATTCCCACGCCGACGACGATAGTGAAAACAACGACGAGGATGACGAGGATGAACGGCCACACAGATACGAGAACGACGAAGATGACGATGAAGACGAAGACGACGATGACGATCCCTTTGGCGGGTTCGGTGGCCCAGGAGGCCCAGGAAGTCTCTCCAGCACTCTGCGAGCTCTGACGGGGATGATGTCCGGTCTTACAACAAGACTGCGGGAACTTCTACATAATCTACGCCACGATGATCTCTCGGTTCAGTTGATCGCTCTCCAGGAGTTGTCTGAGATTCTTTTGGTGTCCAACGAAGACAATCTGTCGGGCCACTTCGCTCCCGACGCCTTTGTCAAAGAGCTGGTCATCCTAATGAACAAGGAGGAGAGCCCAGAGATCATGCTCCTTGCTTGCCGCTGTCTCGCAAATTTGATGGAGGCCCTTCCCGCAAGCGTGGCCAACGTCGTCTATGGAAACGCTGTTCCGGTCCTTTGCCAGAAGCTCCTGGAGATCTCATTCATTGACCTGGCCGAGCAAGCTCTCAGTACCCTGGAGAAGATTTCCGTCGAATATCCCACAAGTATTGTCCGCGAGGGTGGGCTGACGGCCTGCTTGTCATATCTTGACTTCTTCGCAACGGGAACCCAGAGGACTGCCGTTACTACGGCTGCAAACTGCTGTCGCAACATCCCGGAGGATTCCTTTGGAGTGGTCCGGGATGTCATGCCCACACTCCTCAACGTTTTGAGCAGCAACGATCAGCGAGTGGTGGAACAGGCTTCCCTCTGCGTCTCAGGAATTGTCGAAAGCTTCAAATATCACCCATCCAAGCTCGAGGAGTTGGCTAGCGTTGATCTACTACGGGCGGTTTTGCGGCTTCTCGTCCCCGGAACAACCAACATGATCAGCTCCAACATCCACACCCAGTTCCTACGTGTCCTGGCCTTTACAGCTCGTGCAAGCCCTCGGCTCTCTGCAGAGCTCTTCAAGCTTAATGTGGTCGAGACGCTGTATCAGATTTTGACTGGCGTTTCCCCGCCCAGCGGTACCGAGGATGTCGCTTCTAAGCTGGATAGTGTGGTAATCATGCAGGCGCTTATTCACCGACCCCGAGAGCAGATTATCGAGACGCTCAACGTTATTTGCGAGCTCCTTCCCAACTTACCTCGGAACGCAGACCCAGCATTTGGTGACTTTGTAGAGCTCCAAACTCCGGTAGAGCCCATCACGCCGTCGTCTGGAGGTGGAAGGCACCGAAGAACCACCAACGACAAGCGTATTGAGCTCCTCGAGGAGTGCAAGGATGAAGTTCGCCGTTTTGCCCTCATCATCTTCCCTACTTTGACGGATGCATTCTCCAGCACTGTCAACCTCAGCGTCCGCCAAAAGGTTCTTACCGCGCAACTTAAGATGCTGTCTAATTTGGACGAAGACATACTTATTGAAGCTTTGACCCCTGTCCCCTATGCCTCATTCCTCGCCTCAATCTTGTCGCAACAGGACCACCCATCCCTCGTGATGCTTGGACTACAAGCTACCGAGCTGCTACTTAGTAGACTCGACAAGATTTATCGCTACCAATTCTACCGGGAAGGTGTCTTTTTGGAAATCACCAAAATCGCCAATGAAGAGGAGCCTGCCGAACCTAAGCCTGAAACCATCGAAAACGAGAATGGCGAGAATGAAGGCGAGAATGCCGCCGACTCCGGAGATGACGATCACTCATCAGACCAGGAATCCGAGCACGATGAAGAAGAAGACGAGGAGCATGAGTCTTCCGAAAACGATGATGAAGATGAAGAGAATGACAACGAGAACGAGAATGAGAACGAGAACGAGGCCCAAGGGGAGGATATGTCTCCAGTGAGCTCTAGAGGATCGACCATGTCTCTCGAGGTCCCCCTTCATCGATTTGTTTCCGATGTCCGGTCGATGAAGTCTCGCATTCGGGAAGTGGCCAAGAAGTTCCTCGAGACCCATGAGACCGAAGGCCACGGCCAGACCATGAAGGCAAAGGCAACTCAGATTCTCGACGCCTTGTCGGAACTCGCTGGGGAGCTGGATACATTCTACCTCAAGAGAACCCCTGGAAGCGTGCTCCCAGACAAAGGAAGCGAACTGTTCTCAAAACTGGCTTCTTATTTCGATACAGATGTCCTCGAGAGTGTCACAAGCGCAGAGCTCTTGGCATCCGGCTTGGTTCGTGTCCTTCTCGAAGTGTTTAGCAACCCCGATGAGGAGTTGGCCCGTGCCGCTCAATCGACATTCCTCGAAGTCTTTATGGGTTACACTGTCAAGTCAAAGCCCAAGACAGCCACTGCCGAGTCACCCGCCACTCCTTTTAGCGTTATGATTCACAAGCTCCAGGACCTGCTCAGTAGGTCAGAGCATTTCGAAGTGATTACCGTGCATCATAACACGTTTGATGGGAACCACAGCAGCCCTGCCTCGATGCTAGGAAAACAAATTCGTCTTCGTCTTGTGGCTGATGACGAGTCTGAAATCCCCCGACCTTATCGTAATATCATGGTTTCGATTCACGCCATCGCAACATTCAAGTCTCTTGATGACTACCTTCGCCCACGAATCAGCTTGACGGAACGCCCCCGTGGTTCCCGCAGGGATGGCCTCACCAGAGCACTTGCCGCTATGGCCGGCTCGGCTGGTATCCCACTTAGTAGCGCAGCAGCAGCTCGGCTTGCTGAGCGATCGCCATTTGGCGCTGGAATCCCTCCTCCCCCTCCCCCACCTTCTGCCCCAACTCCGTCCAGCTCTCGATTCGCAAAGAAGTCAAAGACTCAATCTGGCGCAACCGCCACCCCAGACCAAGCGGCTGGCCCCTCCAAGGACAAGGCTCTTCTGAGACGCTCGTCAAGGCGCCAGCCTACTTCGGCAGACACTCCACCGCCTCCGATGCCCCCACCGGGAGATGACGAAGAGATGCAAGACACGCTAGAGTGTGCTGATGAGAAGCAACTGACTGATGACGAGGACGCTGGAGAGAGCAGTGCCCTCGAAGCCATAGTTGGCGAGCTGGAAGAAGACGTCGACGACGAATCGACTCCAGATGACACTTCTGCCGTCAATATGGAGATCGCTACTGGTGGCAACATCACTGCCCGCAAGGAGGATGGAACGAGAGTTGCAACCCCAACCGGATCTGGTGCTCCTACTCGTGGAGCTGCCCCGCCGCCTCCAGGCCATGGAACGCCAACACCATCGACCTCATCCCGACCAATGTCGTATGCTTCGGCTCTCCAAGCCGTGCCCCAGGACTGGCATATCGAATTCAACCTGGATAACAAGCTCATTCCCAACGAGACCACCATTTATCGTGCCGTGCATAACTCTGCATCCAGCTCCGATGAGCATCTAAGCCGGAGCATTTGGTCCGCCGTTCATCCGATCAAGTTCAAGAGAGTCCCTGGACCGCCACCTGCCGAGCCACTGGCCTTCACCCCCAATGCTGATGTAGATGGAGAAGATGAGAATGGCATCCCTGCCTCACTTGCAAAGCACCCTACAACGTCCTCTATTCTACGACTGTTGAACATTCTGCATGATCTTAACTCCAACATTGAAGATGTATTGGCGGAGCAGAAGACTAACATTGTTGGCCTTAACGTGGAGCCGCTATCTCAATTTGTCAACACAAAGCTCACGGCGAAGCTCAATCGCCAGCTTGAGGAGCCTCTGATTGTGGCTAGCAACTGTCTCCCTAGCTGGTCCGAGGACTTGGCACGGCTCTACCCATTCCTTTTCCCTTTCGAGACTCGGCATCTCTTCCTCCAGTCCACATCCTTCGGATACGCCCGATCGATGGCCAGGTGGCAGAATACTCAGTCTGCGGAGGAGAACCGACGAGACCGCAACAGCGAGCGTCCATTCCTCGGCCGACTACAGCGACAAAAGGTTCGGATATCTCGCCAAAAGATTCTCGAATCTGCGTTGAAGGTTATGGAACTGTATGGTGCATCGCAGAGCATCTTGGAGGTCGAGTATTTTGAGGAGGTTGGCACTGGTCTAGGCCCAACACTCGAATTCTACTCGACTGTATCCAAGGAGTTCTTCAAGAAGAAACTCAAGCTTTGGCGAGAAATGGACTCTAATGGACCTGATGAGTTTGTCTCTGGCGGAACTGGATTGTTCCCTCGGCCCCTGAGCGAGGAGGAGGCCGGGACACCGAACGGGGAGCGCATTCTCCATCTCTTCAAGATGCTTGGAAAGTTCGTTGCTCGATCCATGATTGACTCTCGCATTATCGACATTCATTTCAACCCGATTTTCTTCCGAATCGGGGATGGGGCGCCCACTGGAGTCAAGCCGTCATTGGGAGCTGTTAAGATTGTTGACCCAGGTTTGGCGCGCTCGCTGAAGGCCATCAAGAAATTCGCCTTGGCCAAGAAGGCTATCGATGAGGACCCTGGGCGAACTGCCGCGCAAAAGGTCACCGACACCGAGAACATAACCATTGATGACGTCAAGCTTGATGACCTCTGCCTGGACTTTACTCTCCCTGGATATCCAAGCATCGAACTTGAGGATAACGGTTCGCAGAAGCGCGTCAGTATCGATAATGTTGAGTCGTACTTGGAGAAGGTCATTGACATGACGCTCGGGTCTGGTGTCCGCCTTCAGGTTGATGCCTTCCAAACCGGGTTCTCACAAGTGTTCCCATACTCTGCCCTCAGCGCTTTCACGCCTGACGAGCTAGTCACTCTCTTCGGCCGAGTTGACGAAGACTGGTCCCTCGAGAGTAAGTTAAATCATTGTGCTACTCAACCTAGCGTTGTACTAACTTCCTTCTCAGCCCTTCTTGACTCTCTTAAAGCCGACCATGGCTACAACATGGACAGTAAGAGCGTCAAGAACTTGCTGCACATCATGAGCCAGTATGACCCATCGCAACGTCGGGATTTCTTGCAGTTCACGACTGGAAGCCCTAAACTCCCCATCGGAGGTAAGTCTTGTGACGCTGTTGATCTGTTGCCAAGCCTAACTAACATTGTTCTAGGTTTTAAGAGCTTAACACCCATGTTCACCGTGGTTTGCAAGCCCAGTGAGCACCCATACGCGTCTGACGACTACCTTCCCAGCGTCATGACGTGTGTGAACTACTTGAAGCTTCCTGATTACACCAGCATGGAGACGATGAAGAAACAACTGTCTATGGCAGTCAAAGAAGGCCAAGGAGCGTTCCATTTGTCGTAATTTGAACAACTCTCCCCAAAACAAAAACGGCGTATGAAGCACGTTACGAGCATGACTACGTTGGTATGCTCTGTGGAAATTCAAGGGCGGCATCCAAACCCCGAAACTACGACGACCCCACATAGCTCACGATATCCGTGCTCTTTTGAGCACACAACAAACACCCTCACTCGCACTTGATGCCTCTTACGACACGACACAGAAACCTTGTTGACGGACTTGGAAGACGGGATAGACTAGGGGTGGTCCCTACGCGCTCACAAACAAATGCATGGCAGGGGTAATTAGGCGTAGGGATTTCCATCAGAATTGCAGGAATGAATGGCATGGCAGAATTTCAACTTTTTTTCTTGGGGGCCATAGGGCAAAGGGCTGTGCAAGTATTGCAGAGTGCAGTAGTTATAGAGCCGAAATTGAGTGTGTTAAACTTGTCTAACCCTGTATTTCGGTTTCAACTGTGTGTACAATGTCTACGCGGCGTGATGTGACGGATCTACCGACTTCTGGTGGTCAATTTCTTCCCATCACATGAGAATATCCGTTTCCTGATCAAGAACATCCTGAACACCGAGGCTAAAAAACAGTAATATGTCGAATCCGTTTATCCCATGTCCCACGCCGCTGCTGCGTTCCGTACCGTGCCATCCTACTCGGCGACACCATTCACATCATTTCAGTGACCTTGCAACACCTTTCCTTTTAGAACATATGATACACCTAGGAACATTATAGACCCCCGTCGCCGTCTTCATCCGAGTCCCAAATCTCGGGGGGAACTAGCGCGTCGTCGCGGACCAGACTATCCGGCAGCATTTGACTCTTTGTCAACAGCTGAGAAGACTCGGGAGCGAGCGGGAAGCCCGGGGGCATGTGCAGCGGCGAGTCGTCGTGGAAGACGATGCTGCTGGACGACTGCAGCTGCGGGTACGACGGCGGGCGTGAGGCGGCGGCAGCAGCGGAGGACTTGTCGGGCGTGGAGGCTTGAGAGGCGGTGGTGGCCTGCGAGGGCCGCACGCCGCCGGATGGGCGAGGAGGATTGATGGGAGGTCGTGAGGCGCGGTACGATGATGCGTTGTAGGGCGTCAGGGGCGGGAGGCGAGATGGCGGCCGCTTGATGGCAGTGCGAGGGTCGGCCCTTGTTGGCGTTGGCGACGATGGTACGTGGTGGCGCTCGGCTTCAGGGGTCGACGGCACGAGGATATCGTCAGATGTAGGGAATTGGGTCGACTGGGCGATGTCGCTCTGGAGCTGGGCCTCGACCTGCTGCGAAACGCTGATGCTGGGCGTCGGCGTCGGCGCTGGCATCTTGTCCCTTGGCTGCGGGGCTGAGGAGCTGGGGAGGAGCTGGACTTGCTCTTCTTCTTCGTCCTGAGAGGGAGGGCTAGAGTGAGAGGGAGGAAGCGACGGCGCGTCCATGGCACCGACCTCTTCGTCGGTCTCGCTGAAGAGCGCATGACGAAGGTTCCATAGCAACTGACCGATAATGGCAGGCGGCAGGTAGACGTAGCGGCCAATCTCGCCGTCGACCCAGCCCTCCTCGCGCATATCCTCGTCGTCGACGGGGTTGTTGAGCTCGTACACCTGCGGCAGGGCATAGCGCCATGAGCCGCCGCCCTTCTCGACGCGGCCGGCGTCGGCGCAGGCCATGTAGCGCAAGAGCGTGCCGTCGAAGAGCCAGAAGCGGACGACCTGGGCGGGGACCTTGAAGGGGAGCACGAGGCAGACGCTGAAGCCCTCGAGCACGTCGGCGAGCACGTCGGGGCTCAGCGGGAGGAGCACGTCGGTGCGGGCCGAGGCTGGCGGGAGCGCCTGGAGGGTCACCAGGGGCACGCGCTGCGACTCGAGGGGTTGCGTCTGGGTGGCGCCGTGGGTGGACGCGTGATGGAGAGGTTTGCGGAGGCGGTTGGCTAGGGGGCGAGAAGGCTTTGGTGGTGATGAGGGAGGAGGGAGCGTCGTGGGTTGGGAGCTTGCGATGGGAGCCAGCTGTGGTGACGAATGTGAGGGGCGAGGTCGTGATCGGGAAGATGCCGCCGAGGAGGCCGTGGCAGCTTGGTTGTGTTGGGCGAGAGGAGCAGTAGTAGAAGCCCGAGTTGGCGTTGACGGCTTGACGTTCTCGTCTCCTTCTTCTTCCTCTTCCGAGGAAGCAATCTGGTCCATGATGAACTGCGTCTCGGGGCCAGCCACGAAATCATTTTCATCATTCTCATCATTCTCGTCGTTCTCGTCAAACACCTCGAAATCCTCGTCCTCGGCATCTGAATCGGGTATCTCCAAGACAACCCTTTTCCCTGCCTTGCGAGGCGTGACTCTCTTCCTGGGCGTGGGGCTCGATGTCTCCGCCTTCACCTTGGCCTTCGTCCCGTCGCCCAGTTCGGTACTCTGCCCCCTGCGCCGGGGTTTTGTAGGAGTTTCCATCTCATCCGCCAGCGACGAGCTCTCGGCAGAGGCAGCCGTCTCGCCGCCGGGCGATGGCACGGCAATCTCCTGCAGCGGCATCGCGCCGCCCGAGCCCCAGCTGTCGGTGGCAAACGAGTCCTGGATCACGCGGTCCCGGCGCCGAGGCGTTGTTGCGATACGAGGCTTCCCCGGCAGCGATTTAAGAATGGGTCTCGGGGTCGACCCTGCAGCCGGCGAGGACTTGTTCTTGAGAGGCGAGGGGCTCTGGCCTGGGGCGCCGTACCGACCCATCATGATGCTCGCGGGGGTTGAGAGTTGGCTTGAGGAAGGGATCTCATCGCGGGCGCGCTTGGCGGGCGTCTGAGGCACAACGGATTCCTGGCGGCTGGCGTTAGGGCTGGACGTTGGTGGCTCGTTTGGCTGTGGCAGCTTAGGCGAGGCGAATCGAATCTGGCGCTGCTTTCTCGGCGTGACGGATGTTCGGTAGTGACGCCGCGGGGTCGGGCTGACGGGGTCCTGGAGCCAGTCCTGGAAGCCATTGTCGTTCTCGTCATTCTCGTCGTCGTCTTCGTCTTCCGAGTCCTTGATGCAGAGGGCGTGTGCGGGGTCTCGGCCGAGGAACTGCGTGAGGGTTTGGGTGTGGTAGCTGGAGGCCGGGAGATCGCCAAGCGTCCTGCGTCGACTCGCGGGTTCGTTCTTGACGGCGGCTTCTGTATCGGATTCCTCACCCAGCGTCCGCCTTCGCTTGGCCCGTTCGTCCTTGGCTGTGACCTTTCTCGAGCTCCCCCTTCGTTTCCTCCCGCCCGAAACCGGCTGCTCATCTCCATCATCTGCATCTTTTCGCAAGCTTCGGTTCTCCTTGTTCTCGTCGACAGTTGCGTCGCTCTCCTTCTGTTGCTCGTCGTCTTCGTCTTCGTCGCTGTCGTCCATGACGATCGGGTCGCGGTCCTCCTCGAAGCTCGACACAAAGTCAATCTGCGTCAGGGTCTGCTGGCGCATCGACCGGGCGCTGCCAGCAGTCTCCTTCTTGCGCGTCTGCTTGCCATACGTGCGGACGACCTTTCTGCGCGGCGGGAACTGGGCCTGCTGTTGGGCCGGCGTCGAGTGATAGACTCGGTTTGGGGCCGGGACGCCGCGGGAGCGGGTCTGTGGGGGCATCGCGGGGATGGATTGTTGAATGTGCCGTGTCTCTATCCAGTCGCGAATAAGACAGAATCAATCGTGGGTGAAGAAGTGGTGGATCGACGCTTGGTGGTTTGCGATGTTTAAGGTTGACAATCGTAGGTTCCCCTAGAGTGGTTGTCACTTGGCGGGCGCCTCCGCGGTGGCGTTCCCGAGCGTGAATGGCCGAGGTGGCGTGCCTAACTAACCAACGCGTCGCGTAAAGTGGCCCACACACTACGTAACACTTCAACGCGTTAAAGTGCACGCCCTTCTTACAGCATTACACTCCGTATCTTATGACCTTGATATAAATACTCCAGACTTAGAGGGTACGTAGGACTAGGATACTACCCAAGCCATTCATCACTTCAAACAAGTACATGGCAGCTTCATCAGAGACACAACCATCAACGATCCATTCATCAGAGGCTCAATAATCCCACCAAGAAGACCATCATCATGCGCCGTCACTCTTCCACCCACATATATAGATATATATGTAAATATATAACGACAAGCTGGTAAACAAAACACCGCAGCAGACGCCAATCCGCGCCCCCCCAACATTTGACATGACATGCGTGCGTGTGTCCCTCATCTCATGGTCGCTATCGTAGTGTACTAGTACAGGGCATCATCTTCTCATCTTCTCACCACTCATCCCATCTGTTCCCTAAAAAACTTCAACCGTTTGCTGGCGGTGCTCGAGACCTCACGCCATCTTCGTTGTCATCTCATCCCCTCATCGGAACGCAGACTTTACCTCAGCCCGAGGCCACTCAAACAAAACATCTCCGCCATACACATCCGTCGTCACTCGTCCAATCCGGCTCTCCACTTCTTCGTAAAACTGTTCGCATTCCGTCAGGACCTTAATCACCAAACCTCGGCTGAGCGCTGGGTCGTCGGCATCACCAAAGTGCTTCTCCACACGTTTCCGTAGTGCCTCGATGCCCTTGCGCACTTCCTTTGCGTCGTAGTTGCCGAGCACTTTGTTGAATACCGTCTTGCTGTTGGAAGGCTGCGCTGCGATGGATCCTGCCGATTTGCCGCTCTGCAGTTGAGCCTCCATGTTCTCCAGATGCTCTAGCACCTTACCAAGCGGTCGTCTCATCACAGCGTTGAGATACAGGCCCATGTGCTCGTAGTATGTTGTATTTGCCTGCTCCTTCCACTCCTCAAGAACATCCAGTCCTCGCGTATCCGTCTCCTCAAGGAAATGGTTCATGTTCTCGATCAGTAGAATGTGGAAGTTGAGCGCTTCCTTGTCCTCGGGGTCCGCGGACCCGTTTGTCACGCTCACCGCAGGATTCTCCCGCGCAATCACCATCAATGAGTCGAACATTGTCTTCAGCAGGCGGTCGTATTCGCGGTCAATCGTTCGTCGGGCCGAGAGGTTGGGGTCTATTCCTACCAGCATGTTCTCCACGGCCGCTGAGAAGGTCGGGAACACACGGATGAAGGAAATGACGCCCTTGCGCTTCTTGATCTTGACCTTCGTGTCCTCAATTGCCCGAATCTGCTCGTCAACGAACTTCTTGAATCGTCCGTCCAAGTGCCCGTGCATCTTCTGCAGCAAGGTGTTGAGGAAATCTTGGTTGGACTGGCTTATCTCCCCCAACTTCTTTTCCATTGTGGCTAAAACTCCAACTCCTTGGCTATGTACTTGTTAGTCTTTCTGCATCAATAATCGAGAACAAGTCGTTCAACTTACAGAGGATCCTGTCCGATGACCCATTCCATGAGTCGAAGCAGCTCCTGCTCCAAGAAGGTAAATATCACCTCCATAGCTCGTGTGACGCGGCGGGCGAGTTCTCGATCGGGCTCCATGAGTCGAGGTCGCTTGAGGTCGCCTCCTCGACGATCTCGGGGCGCACTAGCCGCCACCGAGTCGGGGAAGTCTATCTGCTCGAGCGTTGTTGCGTGGAAAAAGTCAACAACAAAGTTTTGTTCCATCTGCACCAGAGGGAGCAGATCATCCATGACTCCCGCAAACACCTCGTACGGCAGGTTCCTGCTGTCGCTTGTCTGCTTCTCTACTGGTGTCCGATTACCACCATCCGCCAACGGCGATCGCAGGGCTCGGGCGAGCGTCTGACTTCGCTTCACGGTTAGCTTTCTCGCTGTGGTTGCCACGCCACCCTCCTGATGCTTCTCCGCCTGCGATGAGAAAAGAAGCTCGGCTTCTTCGCCAGTCAGCTTTCTCGCGTTTTTTCGCCAGATGGCTACAACATTCTGGAATTCGACCCGGTAGACAGGTTGGCTCTTGTCTTGGTAAACCTGTATGATGTTGTTCCAGTTATCCAGATCGACATCTCGGGCGTACAGCATCAAGGGATGGTATTTCCACAAAACGTCGCGACCGAGGTCGTGATGGGTAGAGTCGACCTTTCTGGAAAGCGCCCCCTCCATTGCCAACTTTGTCTCGTTGAAGGCTGCATCGAACTGCTTTGTGATGAAGTCTTTCAGCCGGCTCATGAAGAAACCGCTTTCCTGGACATACATCTCCTTCTTCTCTCGCACAATCCGCATATGGCTATAGTCGCTATTGAGCCCGTGGGTCTGGTCCGAGTCCATTGATACATCAACCACCTTGTTGGGGGCACCGATCAATGATGGATCGATCTTCGCCATGGCTTTGAAGAGAGTTACGAGAGCGTTTTCGACGTCTTCCAGTCCCCGGATGTTGTCTAACGGTGCTATCTTGAGCGCCTCGAGATCGTTGGCTGTAATGGCACACGTCTCAAGTAGTGATTCGAGCTCCTTTTTGAGCAGCTTCTGGTTAGCTGTTTGTACTTGAAGACCTTGGCCTTGGGCTTCGATGTAGGCAATGTCGTCTGAAAGTGTCTGCTAGGTGTTAGTTTAGACTCAACACAAGTAGTGTTGACCTACCGAGAGCTCGACTGAGTAGAGAGTAAGGAGATTATCCAGTTCCTCGCACTCAGCCATTGCAAGGTCCATGCCTTGCTTGATAGCATCCACACGTTCATCCTCCTCGCGGAAGCGAGCCAACCATCCACCAGCCTGTGCCTTGTTCAATTCACGTTCAAGGTCGGTCTTCATTTCCTCGACGTTTCGTGTTCGCATCTGCTGCCCAGGTATCCATCCGAAATGATCTAGCCACGTGCAGAATTCATCACTTCTATCATCAAGGATCGATGGGTCCACCCCCAATGTTTGCAGGTATTTAGAATCATTGCCTGCAGTGATAGAGCGATGGGTCTCTGTCTTTTTAGGTTCCTTTGTCTTGAGTTCCTTCACTGGACCATTAGAGCTGTTCGGGCGGCTTCGGGGAACCGAAATCTTGACTTCAGGAACCAGGGAACCTCGTCGCGGAGACTTTTCCGTGAGTTTGGGCGGTTCCGGGCTTGGGGGTGCGTCCAGAGGTACATCCTTACTTGGGGAAGGAGGGCGAGGGGGAGCAGGAACAACACCGGTAATGCCATCAGGACCAGCATCCTCGGACTTGTTTTTGGCTTGTCGCATCCGTTCTCCAGCGCCACCAGGTCGGGGTTTGAATGCAGTTGCGGCATTTGCAGCAGACGCGGCCTTCCAAAAGGCACCAGCAATCTCGTTCCTGGACTTCTTGGCTTTTATCATGGGCCCCAGGCCAGGCCGTGAAGCTACAGAGTCTTCTGATGGCTCCGGTGGAACCTGAGGCGTGGACTCTGTTGGTGGTACGGTGGGTGGTTCAGCGGGCGACTCAATGGGTGGGACAGCCGCAGGCTCGGGAGGTGGCGTGGGAGCTGATCTACTTGTTATAGCAGGGGACGACGACGGGCTTGCAAACTTTGGCAATGAAGTACCAGATGGAGCTCTGAGGGCTGAAGGGGCCAGAGCCGGCTCTTGCCTTCCCGTCTCGGACGTACGGGAGGTAGGTGTTGGAATGTCGCGGTCGTTAAAACTTCCCGTCAAAGACGTACCTGTAGACCTCTGGCTTGAGGAGTCCTTTCTAGGCGCCATCCGCTCACTGCTCCTGGGCGGTGGTGCCATGGGTTGCGATGCCATGGATTGCGGTGCCATGGATTGCTGCCCCATGGGCTCTGACCTTTTGGATGGGCTCACCAAGGGGGGAGGGACCAAGTCTCGGTCATGAGGGCGAGTTGGGTCCATGGGTGGTCTTCTCCTTTCTGGCGGGGGCCTCTCTGGTTGATAGGCCTGAGGTCGAAGTTGAGGAGGTGGCTGTGGCTGCGCCAGGGATTGCGGTGGTTGAGGTGGCTGCAGTGGTTGCGGTGGCATTAATACAGAGGGTTGTGCTGTTCGAGGTTCCGGAGGCTCTCCAAACCGACTAAAGGCACCTGGCCCCTGCATACCATTTCGAGATCGAGGAGGTAAGCTGGAGCCATCGTCACTTCTCCCCCCAATAGAGTTGGCAACCGAATCCTGGCTCCTGTTGCTCTGGGCCATCCACGGTGGCTGAGGGGGTCGATCTCTGGACGCAGTCGAATCGAGGCTCCCTGCGGGAGAACTGGTGCCGTTGATGGGGGGACGAACCGGAGGCGTCCTCGCGAAACGGGTGTTTTCGGGGTTGCCTCTCATGGGAGGAGGCCCGGGGCGCGGCGAAGAGGCAGATGAGTTTGGCTGACTAGGCCCTTGTTCAGACTGAGGCGGCGGTGGTCTTGCGGCTCCGGCGGGCGGGCGTCTCCCACCTCCCATGACCTGGTCCAATTCCCTGGTATCAAAGCCTATGAGTTCCGGGACCTTGCCGCCCGTGTATTTGCCATATATCTTGATGAGGCTTGCGATGAAGAACTTCTTTTCCTTGTCGGTCTGAGCCTGCCAGAAGTAGGGTTTTCCCAAGGTGACAAGAAATCCAGTGTCGCCAACCCATTCGCGATGGGAGGGGTCAACTTGAGCGCCAGTGTAGGACTCGATGTGAGTGAGGTCGTCGAGGTTCCATGTCTTGCCGATTGAAAAAGTACCATTGACATTTTCCTTGGACTTGTGCATGCGAACACGGCCCGACTTGCGTACGGCTACAATGATGACTCGAGGTTTCTGGCCTTCGGGGGTTCGAGCTTGAGGCGGAGGTGGGGAGGAGGGATGGGAGGAGAACTCGGTGATTCGTATGTGGGTGATGTAGGTTTCGAGAACTGGTGTCGACGTGTCAGCTCGCAAGCTTTGATTGAAAACATAGCCAGGCTTGGGATGGAGAGGGCAGATGCTGAACTGAACAACTTGGCCAGAGTGGAAAGAGCGGGCAGACTGGCTACGGAAAGGACTTACGAGACCCATCGACATCCTTCTTGTTGAAGCAGCTGTCGACAATGCGGCGCTTCTCATCCTCGAACCGCTCTGCCCTGTTGACAGCCGCGCCGGGGCCGCCACCATTTGCGCGGTCCATGGCCACCGTTTGGCCAGCTCAGCCAGCTCAGCACGGGACAGCGAGGGAACGGGGGCGGAAATCGATCACGATGGAGCGACGACGAGCGGGGGGCGCGGAAGCATATTCGGTCGGGGGAGGAGGAGATGGCAGTCCGGTCGGCGAGGACGAGGTGGAGGCCGGGAGATCGGGGAGCCGACCGAGTGAGGCGAAACGATGGGTGATGGAGGAGGTGGTGACGGAGGTTGGAGGTCGGAGGTTGCGTTCCTTGCGTTCCGTTAGGTAACCAGGTAGCCCCATCAGTTTCACAATCTCTCGCTGCAGGCGCAGGTGGTAGGTGGTGAGCACCTAACTTACCTGCTGTACCTTGCTCTGTCCGCTAGTGGGCAGGTACCTCCAGCCAGTGAGTGCTACCTCCTTCCAACGCCGTTCTGGGGGAGCTCGGGCAGGTACGTACTAGCCGATGGCTTTTGCGGCGCATGGACTCGGAGGTGGGGCCCTCCTTAGCTTCATCCACTCCCCACCGCTTTGACGTATGGATAAGGGAGACATCGGACGGCCGTGGCTGTCGACAACCTCGCTACAGTGTATAAGGTGCTGTAGACCGTTCGAGATCGTGCATCTCTTGCCTTGTATATTCGATTTACAAGCTAGTTGCTAATTGCATATTCACAGTAAATACTGTCCTATCTGTCACCTGGCGTAAGGGCCTGGCGTTCAAAGTTCCGCGTTCAATACGGAGTATGGGGCTGGATGATGACGAGGGAGGCTGAGCAACCCGCTACTGAGCAAACCTGTTTCCAACCCAGCTCCGGTATTTCTCCTTCGAAGAAAGAAAGAAATGATTCGTGATCGGAAAAAGACCATAGAGTTGCTCAAGATATAGTTTGAAGCCAGGAGGTTATCACCTTTGAACCCTATGCTAGCCACGCCGGATTTGAGCGAGCAATACCTATCCGTTCAGAGCATGGACCGAGGCCACACACAAGTTCCAGATAACTCTCAACCGTGCATCTTAGACAGCAACTCTCCTAATCCAACCGCACAAGCTATAGGATATCATAGGCGGCTCCTTACAATCTCTCGCATCTTGTCCAGATCTAACGCCTCTACACTCCGCCCCTTATACCCCGTCTTCGTTTCCGCCATGCACAACGCGTTATAAATCGCCTCCTCCGTCGCATCGGCGGCAGCCTCAAACACCCCGTTGATCGAGTCGTTGTCCAGCATCTCCACCGCCCGCGGCAGCGGCTGGTAGGGGTTCACCACTGGCGTCGCCCCTGCAACCATCGAGAACTCTTGGAACGGCACCTTGGCCGCCGTCGAAAAGGCGAGGAATATGTCTCCGGATGAGTTGCTCCCGTAACCGCCCACCTTGGCGAGTCCGACGGTGGCCCGTTTGGCAACGCGCTGAAGCTGAACTGGAGTGAGGGGGACGTCCGTGGCGATGATGACGATGATGCTCCCGTCTTTTCGAGGTTCCTTGCTCGAAGAGTCTGTGTCGCATGTGTTTTTTGAACTGTCAGCGGTTTGTTGCGACTTGATGATGCGCCCGACTGGGACGCCGCCAATGTGCAGGTTCTCTTGGGCTCCGTAGTTTGCCTGAACTAGAGCGCCGACTGTGTAATCCTTCGGCTTTCCTGTCACATCAACGCCCCTGACGACTCGACTGCTCGACCCCGTCCCGCCCTTGAATCTGTGGCATATCATCCCAGTGCCACCACCCGTGTTTCCCTCAGGCACGCGATCCGAGCTGGCCCCTAGGATGCCAGTGACAACATGTTCTGGCGTAACAGCAAAGCGAGACTGATCGTTTAAGTAGCCATCATACGTTTCGGCAACGAGAGGAAATATGAAGAGATCCATATCTCCCTCTTCATTAGAGTGGTGGCGGAACGCATACTCTAAGACGCCGCGGTATGCGTCGCCGATGGAGGACGAAGTGGTGAGGATGATGGGCGACGTCAACAGCCCCGTCTCCTCGATCCAGTGGGTGCCGGTCATCTCGCCGCAGCCATTGAACCTAAAGATCCCGGCATGGCATGAGTATTTGAACCAGTCCGACCGGGGGAGAATCGTGGTTACGCCTGTGTTCACATTTCTGTCGGGCTGGATAGATTGTGTGTTGACAAGGACTCCAGGAACGTCGGTGATGGAGTTGAGAGGACCAGTCGGCCACTTGCCCAGGTGGAGTTGCGGTAAAATATCGCGGAGACGCGATCTACTGGTGGATGGTGTAGGCTGTGCCATGATGATTGTCCTGTAAGTTGTATCGTGTTGGTTCGTGAGCTAGGGTGACAGCAGAGGCGACGGCGATAAAGAATAGAACAAGTCCCAGGCCTCATTTACTTCGATGTAGTAGCAGTGACGACGACTGCATGATTGTGTCGGCGCTGACTCAGACTGGTCGAGTGTCATACGAGATACGAGCAGGAACAGAGTGGTAGTCACCCAAAAGTTCCAGTGAATGTCGGCCATTTCTAGAATGGTGCGAGTTGAGGCTGCATATAAAATCGAATGCGCATCGTGTTTTGACAAATTAAGTTAGATTTGATGCAACAGCAGCAGAATCATATTTGGTTATCACAAATACTCTACAAAAATAGAAACCCCAAGTAGTGACTTAAAAGAAGGACAATTTGTATATCAACGACCGAAGCTCAACGTCTCATGCTCTAAAATAGAAATCAATCACAAATCAGAATCTCTACTGGTATTTGATGGTTCCCAAAATTGTCTCCAATGCATAGGTACAGTCTCAGTGCTGGGCCACGTGGTGCCCACCCAAGAATATGATATGATCGATAGAGTACAAGACCAAATGTCATTGCGACCTAAAAATGGACAAGCTGATGTGGCTTTCCTTCCAAGTCTCCGATATGTCCATCAGATGTATGCTGACTTGCGAATCCGAGGAATCCGGAAGGCGAAATAACTGCCGTGCCATCCGTTGTGACTTGGTTCCATCGAGCGAATGATTCCTCCCCAAGTTCCGCTCATCCCGCCGAGGGATCTGTAAAGTGATATCATACTCGGCAGTTGGGATGCCATATATAGTGACCAAAGAATCCGGCGTTTTGCATCCTCCATCCTTGAGCTAAGCCCATCTTCTCTCAACTTTTCCTCGTCGAGTCGATAATGGCCACCCAACAGGTCCCTCCCACCTACGACAGCCAAAGCACTTGGAGGGAAATACAAACGCGTTTCCTCCCTGAACGCCTTCACTTCAATTCAGAACACGCTCCCACGGAGGAGTGGTGGGACAACCGTGGCCACAATCTTCATCTCGACCGGTGGCGGAACCCTTCCGCCAAGATCCGGGTTATCCTGCATCATGGCGTGGGTACCAACGGCCGGCAGATGTCCATGATCCTCGGCGTGCCTCTTCATGCCGCCGGCTTCGATGTTGTCGCCATCGACATGCCTGGATATGGACAAACTCGTGTCGCATCGGGCGTGACCTACTCGTACGATGACTGGGTCAACATCGGTAATGATTTTGTTGACCACGAGCTCTCCTATGACGGACGCCCCATTGTCTTATACGGGCTCAGTGCTGGCGGCATGTTGACATACCACATCGCCGCCCTCAACAAGAAGGTCGTGGGTGTTATTGGCATGACTTTCTTGGACCAGCGTATCCGGCAGGTGAGAAAGGAGACCTTACATGATCCTGTCATCGCCTCCGTTGGTATACCAATGGCCCGAATCTGCTCACGTATTCCGCTGCTGCGGTCTCTTGCCATGCCCATGTGGCTCGCGGGGAAAATGTCGGCACTGGTCAACAACCCAGATGCAATGAAGGTGTTCCGCGCAGACAAGACATCGGCTGGCTCCTGGGCGACGATGCGTTTCCTCAGTACCTACGCAACATACGCCCCCGCCATGGAGCCCGAGGACTTTGATGTGTGTCCAATCCTCCTAACGCAGCCCGCTGAAGACCGTTGGACACCGCTCCATCTCAGTGAGTTGGTTCTGAACCGGGTTACAAAAGTCCCTGTTAAGAAGGTCATGTTGGAGAATGCGGGCCACTACCCGCTTGAGGACCCGGGCTTGCAACAAATGGCTGATGCTATTATCGAATTCTTGAATCAGCTGGAAAGCTGAGTCGAAGGAAATATTGAGACCTGCTGTGTGAAATGTTTGGGTCAAGAGTTATCTGTCGGAAATAATTATTGTCTCGGGATTCATTCGATGTTTAAGCGCGTTGCGTTCGGAAGACTTTACGCTCGATAATCAGCCACAAACTACAACCTTTTATATTTTTCCTTTACTAGCCAAATACCCAATAAATTCTCGTTTCTCTGGTATGACATGTGGCACAATTCAAGCCCTTGTGTAAGTCCATACAGATTAGGTGTATATTTTTTGCATACTTATTTTAAATCTGCTATAATTGCTGGATTAATCGCTCTAGTACCCGGTACCAAATACTCAAAGATATTTGTGCGAGCAATACGTTTTCTGTGGAGGCACGAATCTATTACTGACCGGCCTGCATATTCTAGGCTTCGAGGTTGTTTCAAGGCCCCTCCGGAACCGTTGTCTGTTTCAGACACTACCACGACTGGAAATGCTCCCGTCTAGAAGGCTCCGTCCTTGCAAGTCTCATCAATAATGGATGTGTATCTCATATCCGAATCTTGCTCTGCCGTCCACGGCGCCCATCCATGTCCCCGGTGATAGGCAAGACACGAGATCCAGCTAGGAGGATGGCTGGGCTGTCTATAAGTCCGCGTATACCGTGGGGATCAACCTCGGAAGCAGGGCAGGGTGCTTTTGGCATGTCATCTCAATCTTGTGATAAAGAACGACTTCAATGCTCATCCACTTTCTCTGAGTCTCGCCAAGGCTGCTGCGACACCTCCGCTCAGTTCGGCACCCTCTTTCGAGGTCTGACTAGTCTGCCTTGTAGCTTCCGCTGCGGCTGTCTTCTTTGATTCCTCGATCGCAGCTGCAAGCATCGCCTCTTCATCGTCTTCGTCATCCGTGTCATCCATGAACTGGAACTGTTTGGGAGCTGACGCGTTGGGGGGCACTGCAGACGGCGCCCCTGTCGCCGGCGGATCTCGAGACAATGGTGCCGTCGACGGCATCTCTCTCAGCGGCACCCGAGATAGCGGCTTTGCCTGATCGAGCTTGGCCGTCCGATCTGTCGCCTTTGTCGCCTTCTTGGCCGCCTTCTTCACCCGGAACGGCTCATCCACCGCCGATGTCCACCGCTTGACCTTGATGCCACCCCAACCGCTCAGCATGCCGAGCTGCTCTGTGTCGGCGTTGATGGCGTTCTTGAGGCTGCCAAAATTGCTGACGAGCGCAACGGCGTCGGACTTGTTGAGACTCCTCGGCACCGTGACGAACTCGACCAGCTGTTCACCGTAGTTTGAGGGCTGCTGGCCGCGGATGGCGCCAAAGGTTGCGGATTCGTAGCTCTTGTACAGCTCGAGGTAGCGGGCAACCTCGGCGGCGGACCAGCACAGGACGAGGGTGACGTTGTTGACGAGCGAAGTTTTGGAGAGCTCTTTGAGGGAGGCTTCGTGGTTGGGGATGTCCACCATGGTAAGGAGGACACGCAAGTTGTATTTTCCTTGTAGGTTTCGGATTCGGGTATAGATGTACTCGGGGTGGAGGCGGTGATATTTAAGACTGTTGGAACCGTTTGGTCAGCACTCAATCGGCAAGATCCAGGGAGTATGCGCCGTCAACCACGAACCTGAGGAAGAGAGCGCAGGTGCTTAGCCCGAGGACGAAGTCGGCCGGGATATCGCTATACTCCCACGCCAAGGAGCGAATGCTGGTCAGGACGGGGTTTCCCCGCTGGCGCGGCGACACGAGAATATTCGAGCCTGTCTGCTTCTGCGGAAGCGCCTGGGGCGTCGGCTGCACGACCTTTGCGCCAGAGGCGTTCGACGGGGGCGCCTTGTCGAGGCGCTGCGGCGTGGGCTGTTGGATCCGCTGCGGCGCTGGCTGCTGGATCGGCCTACGCACCATGGGCGTTGTGTCGGCGGCGGCCATGGCGGCCAGGAGCTCGTCGTCGGCGCCGTAGTCGTCGTCCATGGTTGTCGCCGGATATAGAGACAGCACTGCAGTTGGATTGAGAATGCTGTGCGCTCAGAAGTAGACCTGGTTGTGGTGAAGATCTGGATCTCGGTCGTGGTGTTGTTGCGCGAGCGTGAACTTTCGCCAATGACGCAGCACGCCGAGTGAGCTCTCTGGCGGGGTCTCCATGTGCTAAGCTCGCTCGCTCCACCACAGCTCCAAAGCCAAGACGATCCATTCACTAACATTCCCATCAGGGAGCTTAATGATCTACATCTCTATGGATATCATCCCTATACGTCAAGTACTATTGCTATTCACAGCGAAAACCTCTGCATCAGACAGGATCTGAGACATGGCATGTTGAAAGACTGCCTCGACCACTAGTCCAAGTTCGACCCAGCTTGGAAGAACATGTCGAGTACCCACAGACACATGACGATGCATCACGCCAGCCGCACGTCACATCCGGTATATCCTATTGCATGCATCTTGTACTGATAGCATGATTGCCTTGCGTTCGGGCGATGAGAAGGTACAACAAAGATACACGCGCCACGCTAGTTGCTTCCAAACGGGCCAAGAAAGCGCGCCAGCTCACATGCATGTCCGGTACAGCATCATTGGTCTACGCGAATTAGGCCCCAACGTCTTCGTGTGTGCCCTGTTTTGTTGACTTTTGGTTTGTTTTGAGAAAATACTGTGCGGAGTAATTGTGACGACAGCGGCACTCATCTCATGCCTCGACTTTGCCATGGCCGCGTTTCGTTCTCGATGAGATCCGCAGCTTGGAATCCAGAACCAATATTTATGTTTAATATTCTTGGTAGATATTCATGGCCAGAGGCCAAGCCTTCAATCTATGTATGATGTAAACACACCGTTCCCTTCAATAATCCCGTATTGGACCAGTTGTCAAACGCCAAATCCGCCATCCATCCATGATCCCAGCCTACAGGTCGCCCCGTGATAGTAGTTTTTAAACATAAATTGCCGTTTCCCAGTCTTCCCATGTGTCTCCATTTAATCCAAAGACTCCTCCAGCCCACTGTAATCACCCTCATTGAGCACAGCGCCCGCCGCCATCGATTCGTGGATCGAATAAAGGGCACACAACCACGTATCAAAGATCTGGGTAACCTTTCCAACCTCTCCATTGCCATTGCGAAGGGCCATCCTCGCAACCTGGTCTCGTAGTCGCTCATATGCCTCGATCATAACCCATATCTGCAGGGCGGCGTTGTCTGGCCCGCTGCGAACTGGCCTATCTGCCACAGCAGATGATAACTCCCTGGTGAGGAGGTCAAGACATATCTGTAGGCTGAGGTTGTCCTGAGAGGTTGGCCGGTTATCTCGGGAGTAGGGACGGTAGTCCTGAGATGGAGGACGGGTTGAGGTTGGGGAATCGAATGATAGTTGGGAGTAACCAGGAGAAGGCTCAGGTGAAGGATCCGTAGAGAATGAGATGGGCTTGAAGTAGATGGCATCTTCTTCGAAAGCCACCATATCACCGTCTTGGGGGGTTATTGACTGAAATGGCGGGCTTGTTTGCTGAAGAGGTTCCAAGTGAGTACGCGAGCGTGGTCGAGACATTCTGTGGGTGTCTGGTAGTAGGTGGCTTCGGGGCACTTCTCGTGCATCTAGTCGCCACGGTTCGGCCGGTGCATTGGAATCCTCATAAATCGACTCCGTTTCAGTGCCGTCCCTAGACTCCAAGACTGCCCGGTACTGATCGGCAATCAACTCGACGCTTGATGTCTTGTTCGCAACATTCAGCCCTCTTCCATACGAGGGGTTCTCAAGCTGTCCAATTCGGAATACCGGTGTCTTTGCTTGGCGGCGCATGGTCGATGCAGTCGAAGTAGAAGACACTGGGGAGGGAAGGGATGAACTGTCGAGGGACGGCCGACCACCAGAATCATGGATAGTGAGGTGGGAGAATTCGGGAATGTGGCGCTGTGAAGGTTGCCTGACCACTAGAGGTCTCGGTTCGAGTTCGTCAGAGAGACTGATCAGAGTCTTGGGGCGGAGATAGTGGCTCCATTTCGAATCGCTCAGGTCTGGGGCACCATTCTGATTCTGGCGGGGTGACTGCAAAGGCATTGCGGCTTCAGCGTTGCGACTGGCCGTGGAGTCGGCGGAACCGCGTTTGCCCATAAGGCTCTTCAGCTTTGGGTCGCATTTTTGGAGCCTTCTGCGGGTGGGCTTGAGGGTTTGAGTCCCAGGGCTTGACATTGCTAAATCTTTGTCCTTCAGGTGTTGTCCGGGTTCGAATTTAAGGCGGGCGCATTCGCGAGAACCGAAGCGACTAGTAGACGGCACTGGGTCGTCATTCAGGAAGGGCTTGGGAGAGAAAGCAGCGTATTGGAGGTCGGAGGTAGGTTGGTAGGTTGAATAGGTGATGTTGGTTGTAGTTGGGTCTGTTGTCGTGGGCTGCTTCCGTGCGGACAAGAGCTCCTTGATATTGGAACATATAAAGAAAACAAAAACCGGATGTGAGCCAAGTAAGAGGCTGCAGCAAGAGTTGGGCAATGCATGGCTGGCAATTCCTTACCGCCTCGGAAGAGGGACGCAAGTGACTCGGAAGAGACCCAAGAGGGTGGCTTGGGCCCTGCAAGCTCGCAAGCTTGCATGTAGTGGACGGTAGTGGACTGGAGTGGGCACCCAATGGAGGAGCTGCGAGGCGGATGAAAGCCCACGTCATGGGCCCAGTGGTTTACGCGGGCGATGGCGTCGTGGGCAGGGATCTGGCGCGTCGGGATTCGCTGCGTCGAGTCGCAGGGCTGGGGGCCGAGCGACATCCCGATCGAGGGCCGGATCGACGCTGTCACAGGTACCGTCCAGGAATGTAGGGAGGCCTCGTCCGGGATTGTCCGGCTGGTGCAAGGAGTTCTTGAACAGTCTCGAACTTGCTTCTCTCGCTTCGGCGTCGTCGTCGAAACCAGAGGCCGGGATTGTCAACGACCAACACAACCAGCCAGCCAGTCAGCCACCAGAATTTAGCTCTCGGATTGAGTGTTGGTCGACCGACCAGCAACGGCGGGATCCATCAAAAGACTGGGTACCAAGGCGGGCCGGACGTTGATGGGGCGATGCCCCCATGTCAAAGTGCCTTAATTGATGTCATGTGCAGCGCGGCAGCAAGACTACTCCAGCCTCCAGGTCGACATGTTCTAAAACGGGACACTGGACCATGTCGGCAGGGACCTCTCAGAGGCAGAAAAGCAAGGCGCCCACCTTGGCCGATGTGTTGGCTCGTCCTGAGTTCGTCATGTCCCGTGATTCTCGTTGATGGCGGGTTTTCTGCAAGGAGGGTCTAGGCGAAGAGACATTTTCCCAAAGTCGACAAGCAGGTCTTACTTGCCCTTCACTTAGCCGGACGGCAAGATGCAAAAGCGAGGTACCATGCAAGGGGCCGTGTCTCGCTCGGTGCTTCTCAGCGGATGTCGCCTCGATCCTGTTTCTCAGCTATGACGGCAGAGGCTGTAAGGGATGCAGCGGGTGTGCCTTGAAAAGAAGCGTCCCAGAAGAGGTTGGTACGGAGTACGGAGTACATGTTGGTACAGTCGGAATATAGGAGGAGCACTGTTACCCACACCGTGCACTGTGCCCCTCACCCAAGTGGCAAGATCTTGGTGTGGGTGGGTGAGGGGTAATTAAGAGTTGGCACGAATCGTGGGGTTTGCCCAGGACGCCATGATTCAGGCGGACAAGGGATTGGACGAGTTGCCAAGAGAACATTTCTCCGAAGCGGTACGTAGGCCGGTAGGCCAGTAGGCCAGTAGAGGATGATCGATCGTTGATTGCTTTTAATAACTTCCAAGAAATCACCTACACACTGCCATCTTCTACACTCTCTTGTACGGAAAAACTCATCTCCCTCCTCCCCTCCATCTCTCTCACACGGGGATAGACGGCATTGCGCGGGGGTGGTGGGGGTTGGATTCTTCACTACCCAATTCCATCCTACACAAACGTCGTATTTGCACTACGATGTAGCACGACACGGATAGGCGGCACTGAATATAGCCTCTACCAAGACCTCGGCCCATCTAGCCTGACTCCCCCCAAACTCGCAAACCCCCAAACCTCCCCCTGGCGCGCTTCAGCAGTGGCCGCCGTCCTCTTGATGGCTCGACAACCCCTCCAAATCTCCACATGCCGAACACCGTCAGCTGTCTCCCCCATACTTTTAAGGAAGGCCGCTGTCGAGATGGTTTCTTCTTAGGGGCTCGCTGCACGGAGGTATTTATCCATCAATCAGCATCCTCGGAGCCCCTTGTAGGTGTCGCGAGGTCATGATTTCTCCACAAAAACTCCATGCTCGCCCGCGTCGCGATCTTTGGAGCTCCAGCTATAAAGCAGCCTTGCGCAACGTGACCTGCCGTCTGCCATTCGCATTGAGGTCCCAGGTTCAATAATTCCCATACCCATTTTGCTTCGCACATTTTGTGAGTAGCCGCACGCTGTTTCTCGACATTCACAGTGTGTCCGAGCCGGAATCGCAGTGACATTCTACTTGGCCCCTCCCCCGCGATCGCTGTCACCCCACATCTTCTCTCTCCCCTCATACTCTCCTCCCTCACCATTCAAACCACCTCTTACAATTACCGCCACCATGACTGAGATTACCATTACCGGCTGGAAGACCCGGGATGTTCGGTTTCCGACCTCCCTGGACGGTACCGGCTCCGACGCCATGAACGCCGCTGGCAACTACTCTTCCGCATACTGCATCCTCGAGACTGACTCCGAATTCACCGGACATGGCATGGTAAGCTTCTTTTCCTCTCCAATGCCCCCTAAGCTTGAGTAGATGCAGCTAACCACTCTCCTAGACCTTCACCATCGGCCGTGGAAACGACATCGTTTGCGCCGCCATCAACCATGTTGCCGACCGCCTCCAAGGCAAGACTCTCTCATCTCTCGTCGCCAACTGGGGTGAGACCTGGCGCTACCTCGTCTCCGACAGCCAGCTCCGCTGGATCGGCCCTGAGAAGGGAGTCATCCACCTCGCCCTCGGAGCCGTTGTCAATGCCGTCTGGGACCTGTGGGCCAAGTCCCTCGGCAAGCCCGTCTGGCGCATCGTGGCCGACATGAGCCCCGAGGAGTTCGTCAACTGCATCGACTTCCGATACATCACCGACGCCCTCACACCCGAGGAGGCCATCGCCATGCTTAAGGAGACTGAGAAGACCAAGCCCCAGCGTCTGCAGGATGCCCTCAACAACCGCGCTGTCCCTGCCTACACCACCAGCGCTGGCTGGCTCGGCTACGGCGAGGACAAGATGAAGGGTCTGCTGCAGGAGACTCTGGACGCTGGATACCGCCACTTCAAGATCAAGGTCGGCGGCGACATTGAGCGTGACCGCAAGCGCTTGAGCATTGCTCGAGAGGTCATCGGCTACGACAAGGGCAACGTCCTCATGACCGACGCCAACCAGGTCTGGTCCGTCCCGGAGGCCATTTCTTACATGGAGAAACTTGCCGACTTCAAGCCCTGGTTCATTGAGGAGCCCACATCTCCCGATGACATTCTCGGCCACAAGGCCGTCCGCGAGGCCCTGAAGCCCTACGGCATTGGCGTGGCTACCGGCGAGATGTGCCAGAACCGCGTCATCTTCAAGCAGCTCCTCCAGACTGGTGCCATTGACGTGTGCCAGATCGATGCCTGCCGCATGGGAGGTGTCAATGAGGTCCTCGCCGTCCTGCTCATGGCCAAGAAGTTCGGTGTCCCCATTGTGCCTCACTCCGGCGGCGTTGGCCTCCCCGAGTACACCCAGCACCTGAGCACCATCGACTACGTCGTCGTCTCAGGCAAGCTTTCTGTCCTCGAGTACGTCGACCACCTGCACGAGCACTTCTTCCACCCCTCCGTCATCAAGGATGGATACTACACCACCCCCGTCGAGCCCGGCTACAGTGTCGAGATGAAGCCCGCCAGCATGGACCAGTTCAGCTACCCCGGAGAGAAGGGCGTGAGTTGGTGGACTTCGGATGAGGCCAAGGTCATTCTTGACGGCGTCAAGATTTGAGGGATTGTGATTGAGCCTCAAGAAAGAGTTGGAAATCTACCGCTATAAAGTACCCGAAAGATGCTTGATATGAGGAATGTCATGATGTAATGAACCTTAAAACGCCCGATGGATTGGATAGTTTCCGTCTATAGTACGAGCCAGGAGTGCTCACAATATAAATAGCCCCAGGATAAAATGGGCTATGTTTAACAATCAACGTCCGACCTACCACGCAATGTACGTCCCCATCATGACACAATGCTAAATGAATAGAAATACCTATCATCAAAACATACCCAAATGCAACCAAATCATTACTCGAGCCTTTCAGTCTTAGCCGGAGGCCCTTTGAATAACTCCTCCCACGACTCGGGTCTCCAACTCCACTTGTACTTCTTTGCGTACTTCCATTCTGTGTGTGCTCCGTAATTGTCTTTCTCAACTGAGGAGTCCAGCAACTTTACGAAAGGGTCCATCTTCTTTAAGTAAGAGTCGCACGGGTTTCCGAAATTGTCGAGGCCCGTCCACTTGTAAACTTGGATCGGATGGCCTCCTGACGTGTATATGTATCGGTTGCCGAACTTGCCATGGGATTTCTGATGCTCGCGTCGTACCTGGACTTGGTCGTCTGGACCTCCCCACATGAGCCAAAAGTTCCTGAGAATGCGGCCCATCCAGACGGCTTCCCGGGTTACAGGGTCGTCCTGTGTGAACTCCCTCCTGTCCGAGTAGTCCCACTCGGGATCGAACACTGCGTACCGAGTGGCTCCTTGGGCGCCGTGAAGGGTGTTTAGGTGCTTGAACAGCTCCCACGCGCGTGCCTGCCACTTGGTATCGTCGGTGGCCCGGAAGGCGTTATACACCAGGTCGGATAATTCGACGGCCGAGACCTGTCTCGGGCCTTCGGGCCATACATTAACGTCCCTGTAGATCTGCCAGCAGGTTTCTGCGATGTCGAGTCCAAATTTGACATATTTCTCCTCCTCCACGGCCATGCCTCCGACAATGAAGTTTAGACCGGTAGCGCAGGCGGCTATGTTTCGATGTTAGCATATCTAAAATGACAACCCTGAACGACTGAGGGATTGGGGAACTTACGGCGACTAGAGTTGGAAATGGTCAAGTTGCCCGAGAAATCTGACAGAAAGTGCAACTCCTGATGAACGTCAGGAAAGCTCTGGAGATTCTCGATGACCGAGTCCGCTGCTTTTATCCACCAGCCCTTGTAAAGATGGAACCGAATGGGATCGTATGTCCACAGCTTGATGAGAGCTTCGTAGTAGAGGCGGCCCTCGTCGTTCCACCCGCCATCTTCGCCAAGAAACCAGCCGTCGGTGAGGTTGACGCGATTTGCGAACAGTCCTGAAAACGGTTGAGACGATCTGGGCATTGGGTGATGGAGTCGAATTCCAATCTGCTCAATCTTCTTGCTGTAGTCTTTGACGCCCGATACGTCGCCGAGGCGCACCCACTCCAGCATTATCGAGCCAAGTTCGGCGAGGGTAGTGTTCTGCGCGGGGACCTTCTCGTGTTGGGGGTAGAATTTAACGACGGGAACAGGAAATCCCGAGGGCGTATCGAAGGCAACACTGAGGGTACGGGCGAGCGTCTCAGCTTGGTCGAGATAAGTATGTAGAACGCCTTTCTTATACATGAGGTAATTGAACTGGCCAGAGAGAAGGTCGTAATCTGTTAAACGGTCAGCGGAGACCTTGGGGAAAACCTGGAGAAGGACTGGAGTGGGGTGACGAATAACAAGATTTGATACTTACTGGAGAGCATAGCTCCAAGGTAGTTGGCGGCATAGGAGAGAGGAACTGGTTTTTCCCACTCATGTGTATCGTGGAAGTTGATGAGCTTCACTAGTTCTGTCATGCGGTTGACCGTCACAACTTCGCGCATAATAACGGCTGTGCTCAGGCCGAATACCAGCGGAGCTCTCCAACCATATCTTCGAAGCGTCAGCCCAGCGTCTCATCAAATTTGCCCCCAGGGCTGATGGGGGGTTGACTCACGGATCTTCTACAAACGACCCATTCGCGAGAGGAACTGTTCCGTTTGGGTGTGCATAGTCGATATAGTGGTGCCAGGCGTATCTGGACGCCTCCCTGACCTCGCGGGCCTTGTTGTAGTCACTGTAACTCAGCCAGATGTCATTCTTGTACGACTTGTAGTCCGGGCGGTAGATGGCAGAAGACACCAGGTGGGCAAAGAACCCGAGCAACAAGATGGTGAGTTTGTGCGGCAACATCTCAACAAAGGACGAAATCAGTGTATAAAGGAATGGGACATACGGGCACGGGAAGTGATGATGAAGTAGATATGTAGAGGTGAAAAGAGGAGTAACAACGGCTGGAGGACAGAGCTCTGCTAGAAAAAATCATGCGGTCAGCAGGAGGCCACTGCAAACTTTGTGATATTATCCTTCAAGGAGGCGAATGCAATCAATGTGATCTATCCTTCAAGGTCACAACTCCAGGCAGCGGCTGCAAAGTAGCAAAGCTATCTCATCAGGTGGCAACAACCCTTATGATGAGCTCCATCAAGGCCCTGGGTACCTCTAGAAATAACATGGTTTCAATACCATCGGCGGTCCTGTTCTTTCACCCCCGAGGCCTCTTGGAGGCGTTTTATCCTTTCTACAATATTTGCAAGCACCCAGTGATTCTGGTCTACGTATTGCTCTTTCAATTCAAGATTTTTCTTGTCTGTTGGTGATCTGGCTGCCTTCCGGCCTGATGTACGACAAGGAGTTTAAGATTCCGATTAAAATTTAAAATCCTTATCAAAACCGGCGACGCCAATAAGTCTTTGAGGTCTCCTCGGCTGGACTCGGACTAGCTTATTCCTCATAAAACGCTGTCTGAGACTCACCGAGACATGCATGCACGTACTCTGCATTGGTTCATTGACCAAAGTTCGCCACTACCCGCAATTGCAAACTTTGTCTGTACAAGGCTGACATGACGTGGATTCATCGCACATTGACCACCATTCTGGCCGGGTTGCTTGTTCGAAATGGTGCCTGTTCTGGCAAACATTGGCAAGATGCCAACACTTTAGCCAGCACGTGACCATATCAGATTGCTGCACTAGCCTGGGCACGACTCATCCATCACGCTCCACCTCGGGCAGTGAGTCGCACAAGTAACAGGACGACGTTCTGTTCAGTTTTGGATGCGTCATTTCAAACCGCTTTCCCATCACATCTTCCTTTCGTAACCACCCAGAGAATCTCATATCTACTAGCAGCTCATCACTTCGTCTCTGTCTGGCCCCCAAAACCCCTCGTCTGCAGCCTTGATCGCATCATGGTTTGTTCAGCAGTGTATCCTTTCCAGCACTCTATCCCACCACCGCCCTCACCAAAGAGACAATGCCGTCCGAAACCTCAGAGGCGCTCGTCCAGAAACTGGTGGTATGTGATTCACTATTGCGTGTCACTGGGTCGATGCTCATTTCTGAGCATTTGAGTTTGAGCGATGAGAAGACTGTTCCTAGATTCAAGTGGCGCAAAACCTATCAACGTGTAGCGAAGGATCAAGCCCAAGAATGATATCGTCTAGTGACTCGCTTTGGGGTGTGCCGCTATGACTCGTCATCGCATGGATAACTGCATGGAAAGACATGGTCGCGTGCTGACATCCTTGCCAGGAATCGTTCTGCACCCTTCTGGACGAAGCCCTCATAGTCGCTATCGCCAGCGATCACGATCTCAAACAACAACCAGAGTACGATGCAGCTCAAGCCATCTTAGAAGGTCTAGCTCGAGATGTCACATCCGAAGAAGCAACGGGATTCAACCCCAGCGGTATCTCTGGAAGCCCCGAGGAGACCACCGACGGGCTAAGTACTACGGAAACAAGCAACAGCCACCAAGCTTCTCGCACTCGTGATACGGATACCTCAAACAGTGATCTAGCTTCATCAGCATCTGGAGGCTCCTATTCCATTCCTAGGCTCACTACATTTAACAATGACACTGAAGAGAGTAAGATCCTCCAGCTTCAGAGCATCTTCAGTGGCCTCAAGGAGTATGACATCAAACATTCCTTAAAGAAGGCAGGCGGGGATTTCCAGGCAGCCCTGGACGATCTGCTCAACATTCAGTACCTCAAGTCCACTGGCCAGCACCAAAAAGGCGTGGATGGATTCTTTCAGCCAGACGAAGAAGTTGGCAAGAAGAGGAAGAAGAAGAACAGAAACAAGGGCAAGAAACCACTCCAATCTGATACCCACGTGGTCAGAGAAGGTGCCACGTCTCCTGACCACGTGAAAGAAATGAAGCGTAAGAGCCTCCCTCCTCACAGCCACCCAATTGCCGGCTCCTAACATGTGAGCGTGCAGGACAGGATGATGTTGCATATCTTGCAGACAGGCTGAATCTCCCCTTTGATGAGGTTTCCGCCATTTACCAGAGAAAGCGCTTCTCGAGTGGTGCCACAGCTGTTGAGATCATAGATCAACACATCTCTCTGGGTATCGAAGCCCAAGATGACACGAGTAAGAAAGATGCGCAAGCACTGGCACAGAAATACCGCAATGTGCCTGAGAACTACATGTCAACTGTTGTCCAAGTTACTGGCTCCATCCCCCAATGGTCAGACGACATCGCAGCGCTTCTGAGCAAGCACTTCACAAAGAACCCCTGGAGCCAGAAGCTGGATCTGAACTACACCCTAACCCCGCTCCCACAAGAAGAAATCGAGGGCTTCGAGACTGGCAAGGCAGCCGTCAGCAGGATCGGGGCACCATTGGCCCCCAATGGTGCCAATCCAATGGCGTATGCCCAAGCCGCGGAAAAGGCCAACTACCACCATCGCGTAAAACGCGAGGCAGCAGCTTCAGCATCGCAGCTCAACAGACGGGGCGCTTCGAGCCCCCTTTACCGCCAAGCAGCTGGATACTATGCCGAGGTCGCCCGGGAACAAGGCCGTTTTGCGCAACAGGCGTCATCAACGGCTGCGGATCTTTTAGTAGAAAAACAGAGCGACTCCAATTCGATTGACCTCCACGGCGTCTACGTCCAAGACGGCGTGCGCATCGCGCGACAAAAAGTCCAAGCGTGGTGGTCAGGCCTGGGCGAGTTCCGCTCGGAGAAGGCCAGGCAACAACACTTTACTGTTATCACCGGGCTAGGTCGCCATAGTGCTGGGGGCGTGTCGCAGTTGAGACAGGCGGTGGCTGCAGCTCTCCTCCAGGATGGGTGGAAGATGCAAGTCGAGACTGGTCGGTTTGTGGTAAAAGGAAGACGGTGAAACAGTCGAGACAGCACTGCCCACCAACGATGCCGTGTTGACGGCACCCCCCATGGAAGACGCCCATCGCTAGCGGGCGCCGTGTCAACAAGGATCATACGGGTTTCCAATCGAACGATTCGTCGTCGGGTCTCTCGGGTATGGGGCAAAACACAAACTTGCCTTGATGCAGTACAGCACAGTATGCATCACATCCTTTAAGCGAGAGCCTCAATGCCAATACGGTATCCGCCGAGTCCCTCAAACTGCGAAAAGGGATGCCTGGGATGGAGGAGGTGGCATTGTCATTCAGGATGGGCAAAGACGGCAACGACACTGCAGCTCTGCCACCCGATCGCTCAGCCGATATGGCGAAGCAAGGCTTTCAACGGTCCGAGAAACCACACACCTGGACTCATCAATATTATCATGACATGAGCATCTAATACTGGGAGCGCCTAAACAAGCCTCCGGGTGTTTCTATTCTGAATCTGACATATACCCACCAGTCCCACCCAATTCTGCACCAGGGTGGCGGTGCTAGGCACCACCGAAAGGGCGACTGGACGCTTGGCGTGAATCCTTCGGCTGGCGATTTACAATTGAGGGGCGTGCATGTCGCGACACAGGGGCGTGGATGAAGCAGGCGCCAGGAAGCTACCAATACATATATACTTGCTTCATCCTTCCCCCAGATCGAGAACTTCACCACCGCTACACCTCATCAACATCAATCAATCAACCAAACCATTTTATCTACCATACAACAACCATCAACTTCAAAAACTAAAAAAAAAATCATCATTCAACATGGCGGCAGAGTCTCGTACTCCGCCGAGAAAATCTGGCTTGGGCTTCCGCGTCCCAAGAGACGACACCGCTGAGCGTCTTCTCGACCCTCTTGAACAGCTTGACCCGAAGCCCAAGTTCACCGCCAACATTTCCATCATCCAATTCATCCGCCTAGTGGTCATCCCGCTGGCCATTACTGACACGGTCCTCATCGGAGTATACTGCGACGGCCATGCGGGGTGGGCAGTCTTCTTTGGGTCATGGACCCTTTCGCTCATCCTCTGGTCCGCTTTCCAGTTTATCCGAGGAGTTTCCAAGTCGTCGCAACGGTTCGAGTTTCAGCTCGGCCAATTCGCGTGCTGGTGTGGACGAGTCAACAGCAGCGGGATTACATCACGGCAGCAGCGTCCCTACCCTGTCATGTTTGCCGACTTTGTCTTCTGTGTGCTGTTCATCATCTTGAGCGTCGTCGCCTTTGAGACCGATATCTGGAGTTACGACTGGTACTGGGACGAGCGTAGCATTCAGATCGGAGCTATAAGCATTACCTTGACGTGAGTACTTCACCATATATACCGAAAGACTTTCCAGCTAACCAACCTATATAGCTGCCTACAATTCGCCGTTGCTGTGTTGAACTTCTTTTCCCTTTGCCGAAAGATGAGGATCATGATCTTCGCCACCGAGCATGAGGACCGAGCCGATTCCGTTCTCGGGGTTGGCGAGATCTATACCGATGACCAGTCGGAGCCACGAACGTCTGTCGCGTCTCTCGTCTAAGACATTGACAATTGGGGGAACCGAGACCAATCAACATCATGGTCCTCCCTCCCGCTCACTCTTAATGACCTTGTGGGCGGTGGGGTCACTCGGCAATAAAACCCTCGACGGCATATGACAACCACGTTATTGAGAATGGATGGCACCTAAGTTTGGTTGCGATACGGGCCATAGTTTGGGAAGATGAAGCTATTTGTTTTGGATAAAGCCGGATATGTCGCACGCATATCCAGCACATATTGGACAATTTCCTGATTTCTGTCCTTCTCCCTATGCACCACACTTTTTCATTTTTAGATAGCATGTAACAGCAACCTGTCCTTTGCCGTCAACATCCAAGCTGTTTACTTCTGAAGCTTCTCTCCAATTCGGTCCCAAGCAGCCCATCCTGTGGTCAAAGTCGTGAAGAACATAGCAGAGCTGACTTGACCGGCAGTAATGTTCACCCAGCCGATGGCGGAGCCGGGCAGGAGCATGTCAACAGTGTCGGAAATGAGGCCTCGGACAAGAACCTTCTTCTTGGCGCTGGTCTCCTGCTGACGCTGCTTCTGCTTCTCGGCTTCGGCAGACTTCTCGGAAGCTTCTTTCTTGGCGTCCTTCTCAGTCGCATCATTTTCGGTGGTGCTGGTCTTGGTAGGATCCTCGACGGGCACACTACCGTTGAGGCGGTACAGCTTGATGAGGGAGACCAGTACGGACGCAGCCAACCCGCCAAACCAAAGGTATTGCGACTGAGAGTCTATTTCCTTGCTCTGGATGGGGCCAAAGATCTGGAGGCTGTCGATACCCAACAGGTCCAACAGCGTGAGCGTCTCGGTCATGCCGAACAGACCAAGGGAGGTCTTGCTGATGATGCTGAGCCACACCTCCAGATTCTTCTCCTCAGCGACATACAGCACCCAGCCGGCCTTGAGGGTGTCCATGAAGCGGAAGAGACGGATAAAACGCCGCGACACGTTGATCTGGCCGCGAAAAGCCGCGAGGCCCGTAGCCTTGGCCGCCTGGGCGACTTCAGATGCGTTCGGGAGTAGCGTAGCCAGCAGCAGCGGGTACGCGATCAGCAGAGAGCATGCCGACTGGAAGAGTCGCATAAGTCGCTCAAGGCCGACTGTGCGGTGTTAGCAGTGCGGTATATGAGGGTTGCGATGCCAACGTACCAAGATCAGTGCCAAAGGCGACAAATTGCTCATACGTGTTCGCCATCTTGACGAGTAGAGCAGGGCAAAAAAAACGAACTCAAGGGGTATCCGGAAAAGAAGGAGCAAAAGGAGCAATCTAAATACTGTAACCCAGTCTATAAACAATCTGATGCAGCTAAAATACAAACAGAAAGCAGGAAATATGAGAACGGTGGATGTCGTTGAACTGGCGGTGTTCAATTATGGGCCCCCTGTTATTTGGCGAGTCAGTCGGGCGATGCGCTGGCGTTTAGGCGGCTTAGAATCCACTCGCGCTATCGAACGAGGGCAATTTGGATGCACTCAAGCTAAGTGTTGGCGAATCATGTGGGAAAGTAATGCCGACAAATTCATGCCGTTTGAGGATTTATCCAAGGAGAGCTCGTGAAAGGACAAGTCGTTGTTTGTTGGCAGTCACAATGCAAACGAGGGACAAGTATATGTGGGCATCGTCTTGACGACTCAACATGCCGTTGAACACAAAGTAAATATAACACAGGGCGTCTACGGGAGGCAGGTTTGCATAGTTACACGGCTGCCCGACCTATCCTCCGCTCTAGACGCAGACTCTTATCCCCACAAGAAACCATTATTGACCGGGGGAAATCAGCTTTCCCTGAGCCTTTGCTGAGTGCTCCCATCCGCCCGCCAACGCCTCACCACCAGTCTCCTGCGCGAACTTCTGCATCCGCGCCTCGAGCTCGGGTCGGAAGTGACGGATAAGACCTTGGATAGGCCAGGCAAAAGCCTCACCCAGAGCTGTGAGAAAGTTAGTGACAGTAGACACATTAATCGGACGAAACAACATACCGCAGATAGTGTGACCTTCGACCTGCTTGGTGAGCTCCTGGAGCATGTCGATCTCCCGCTCACGGCCCTGACCCTTCTCGAATCGGCTCATGATCTGCTCAGTCCACTTGCTGCCCTCTCGGCAAGGAGTGCACTGGCCGCAACTCTCGTGGCGGTAGAAGTGGCTGAGACGGCTGATGGCTCGGACGACATCGGCGCTCTTGTCCATGACAATAACAGCTGCGGTACCGAGACCGGACTGGCTGTCCTTGAGACCGTCAAAGTCCATGATCTGGTCGTCGCAGACGTGCTTGGGCAGGATAGGAGTAGAGGAACCACCTGGGATGATGGCCAGGAGGTTGTCCCATCCGCCTCGGACACCACCGCAGTGCTTGTCAATGAGCTCGCGGAGAGGGATGGACATCTCCTCTTCGACGGTGCAAGGGTTGTTGACGTGACCGGAGATACCGAAGAGCTTGGTGCCCTGGTTTCGCTCACGGCCAAACCCGGCGAACCAGCTTCCTCCACGGCGGCAGATGGTAGGGGCGACGGCGATAGTCTCGACGTTGGCGACAGTGGAAGGGCATCCGAAGAGACCGACGGCAGCAGGGAACGGGGGCTTGAGACGGGGCTTGCCAGGCTTTCCCTCAATGGACTCAATCAGAGAAGTCTCCTCGCCGCACACGTAGGCACCGGCACCTCGGTGGATGTAAACATCGAAATCGTAACCGGATCCGCAGGCGTTCTTGCCAATCAGGCCATCGGCGTAGGCTTCGTTGATGGCGTTCTGGAGGACATCGGCCTCCAGGACGAATTCACCACGGATATAGATGTAGGCAGCGGTCGCGTTCATGGCTCGGCCGGCAACGAGGCAGCCCTCGACGAGCTTGTGTGGGTCCTTTCGCATGATTTCTCGGTCCTTGCAGGTTCCGGGCTCGCCCTCATCGGCATTGACGACTAGGTATCGGGGCTTCGTGTCCTTGTCCCAGTCCTTGAAGTTCATGAATGACTACAGAGCGTCAGATAACGAGATCCCGGAGCACGGCGGCGATTGATGCGAGATTGCCCGCGACCTACCCATTTCAGACCCGAGGGGAAACCAGCACCTCCTCGTCCTCGCAGACCGGAGGTCTTGACCTCATTGATGATCCAATCGTGGCCCTTGAGGATAATCTCCTTCGTCTTGTGCCAATCGCCCATCTTCTTCGCGCTCTTGAGGTCGGGAGGGTATCGTCCGTACAAATTCTGAAAGATGCGATCCTGGTCCTTGAGGCCGCCGTATCGCCGCACCGGGGGGGCATCTTGGACGGTGGCCAGACCTCTCACGGCAGTCCGTGAGAGGCCGACGGCCTGCTTCGGCGCCGATCTCGTGGACAGCATTGTGTTGTGGTCGGGTCGGGTGGCGGATTGAGGCGATGATAGACAGACGGACGTGAGGATGCGGCACTTCGAGTTTCCGTCGAGATTCGTGACCGTCCAGAAATGGCTGCGTGGTGATTGGCCAATGCAGCCCCCAGATTACTCAGCCTGTTCCGTTAACCGATACCTCAGTCACAGCCGATTTTATGTGGGGATACAAGTCTCTACTAGCACCACTGTTAAGCACAAATCAGACATTTGTTTGGCTGGCCATCCACTGACCTCATCGATTCTGGAGAGTGCAGGGTACAAGGTACCTCCTGTACGTAAGCTTTTGGACCATCGCCAGCTCCAAACGCCACCCCCCAACGCCAGTCCTCACACGGCCGTCGCCTCAAACAGTCCCGTCCAGCGATGACGGCGTCAAAACCACGGGGACACGAACGCGATACGTAGAATCCTCGACGAATTCCCCGGGCGCCATGTCTAGCAAGCGGCACTCGATTCTTCCGGCCATTGATCGCAGTGGCCCGAAACCGCCTGTCAACTTCTCGTCCTCACTCACCATCTCCGACAATGCCATCCTCCAGGGCACCCACTCGATTACGATGCAGGCGGAGACAGTAGTACACCCTCGCTCACGGGTTGAGTCTCACTTGGGAAGCATCCTCATCGGTCGGCGATGTCTCGTCCACGAACAAGCACACCTTGGAGCCCGCCCGGCAGATATCGAGACGGCAAAGCCAGGCGGTGTTGCACTTGCTGACTATGTCACGATCGAGGCCGGCTGCGTTATCGAGGCTGGTGGCACCGAGATTGGGGAAGGTTCCATCATTCAAGCTGGAGCTAGGATTGGCAGTGGTGCTAGAATCGGCAAGGTATTGATATCTACATGTGCAGTGTGGAACTGTGTTGACTTGTAGAAGAACTGCACAATTACACCAATGTCGACTATAGCCCCAAAAACGGTCCTCCCCGACAGCACCGTTGTTTTCTCCAATGGCACAAAACGAATCGATCAGCGAGACATCTCCGACCAAAAGAAAATCGCACTGATCCAGCAACTCGGAGTGTTGAAGAAGATGATTCGCAGCAATCCGGACAAATTTAGATGATATCCACGATGCAAACGCAGCTCCTCAACTAGTTCGACCACTCGCCATTACTTTATTACGTACCTCATCCTTTTGAGCCAAAAACATAAACTCCTCTGTTGGTGCCAACACCATCCCGGAACATTCAAGTCGAAGCCAGCCTTCTTGCAGTGCCGAACCCAGTTTAGACATTATACACCCTCGCCAACACGACTACATAAACCACGCCTACAAAGTGTTTACTCGGCACACCCCAACCTATTGAGCCACTCGTTTCTGTAGGGGCTGCTATTTGGGGCAGAGAGGCGAATGCCACTCCGTACATCGTTGTGGTAAGAGCTTCGTGAGACATGGTGTTGTCGCTCAGGTCGAGCGTGGCTGTGGCCGTGGACGAATCTGTTGAAGTCAGGGCGGGAACCTCAACGGTCGTGTTGTGAGCTTTCTGTTCCGAAAGGATGCTTGAAAGCATACGCGCCACGGTATATCCATCGGCTGAGCATATTGAAGAGTAAAACTCATCTCGCATCAACGCGAGATCTCCCATGGAAAGCAAGCAGTAACGGCATCTGGCGACAATTCGTGAGCGATAGGGTTCATTGATCTGGCCATAGGGTCGTTGCTCATGCCACCACTCACGCTTTGTCTGTGTGAACCCACCCTGTCTCACAAATGCACTTGTAATATTTTGATCCCGTCTCCTCGTCGCAAGTAGCATCCAGACCATCGAATGCCTCGCAGATTGACCCATCGCCCTGGCAGTATTCAAGACCAGCCTCGTCCGCCAGAACCAGACAACGCAGGACCAGTAGGCTGAAGACAACTACCTAGAGTCCCTAAAGTCGCAGCATCGTGAGAGTCGGCACAGCGCGTTAGAAGATATTCATGATCCAAGTCGCCTGAGTTGTCGAATCTTCCAAAACTTATCACAAGTAGAATTGAACAGGGGCTGAATCTCAGCCCGCCTTACAATGGTGCCTGCATCAATTGAGCCTTTGCCCTGGTTCTAGCGTACTTCTACCACGGCAAGGCCAATCTGTTGAACTTTGGCTCATTAGTGGCTGCAACACCACATAACTGATTGGAGCGCACGACGACGTCAGGAGTCTCAGAAGCTGCACTGGTGGGAATGCATTTCCGACGAAAGCAAAGATGTAGCCGACATCTCACCTTTTGAGGAGCCCAATGCAATGCTTATTCCCAGTTGGTTTAGTTGATGTCAGCGCTTGGCGAGGGGCGGCCGATGGAGCACGAGATGCCGATCCCGCGGCTCATGCCCTGGTATGGTCACTCTCGCACAGCTCGAGACTTTTGTTTTTCAGTCTTCACATTTATCAAAGTCTTGCGATGCTGCAACCGGCCTGGATCACCATGGTTGAGTTGACGGCTAGTTACATTGCTGGTGTCATTGCTTTGGCATCGTGGTTGGTGAGCTTGTCATAGAGTCTTGGGGAGAGGGCCACTGCATGATTGAGTGACTATTAGAGCGCTGACCCGAACGATCAACAGCCCAGCTCTGGTGCCCAAACGCCATCACCTTATTTCTCGCGGGACAGCTTCAGGATCGTGAAACCGTATCTACATGGTTAGTTTCGACCTGGTTGCAAAAACTCCTAGCTATCTTTTACTAACACGTTTTCCAGGACTGTTGCTGCACGAACCTAATGGCGATTTTTCACCAGCTTCATTCCAATATGTCCTAGACGCCAGTGCCATCCGCTCAGGCGAAACAGGGCATGAGATGAATCCATACCTTCCTGAGCCCAAGAACCAACAAGCACAATGGTGAAAGGGTTTTTATTTGTACTCTAATCCACAATTACAGCATTTGATGAAGACATTGTCTGCCCTCATTGGGTATCATGAAAGAAAAATAGACTACCATTAACACCGAAACAAAACCGTCATGCTCCAAGCCCTCAAATAGCAGTGTTGATGCCAAGCGGCTCGCTCTAATCGCGCGCACGCCGTATCCTCTGGTAGAGAGCCAGGAATGTAGCGACAGTTATAATAGCCCATCGTTCCCCCAGAAGACCCGTTAGCCCAGTACCCATGAACTGGAACTTGGCCACCTTGGTCATGCTGCCCATGGCCATGCTCCACGCGGCCACCACCTCATTGCCGGCACTGTCGACGAATCCTCCGCTGACGAAATTCAGATCCCCGCCGGTCCCTCCACCCCCCGGCGGCCCCCGCGCCAGGCGGACCAGCTTGAACCCGGTCGATTCGCCGCCCAGACTGGCGATAGCATCACCCCGCGAGCGCCGCCACTCAAACGCCTCGCGCACGGCGGAGGGCCCAATCTCGATAGCAAAGCGGTAGGCGCCAGGGCCGAAGCCGCTCGGCGACGACCAGACGATCTCCTCGCGGGCGGAGCGGGCGCCGGAACCCGGGACGGGCGGCAGATCGACGTCGAACGAGGGGCCGAAGGTGCGCCACTCGGCGGCGGCCAGCGGCGGGGACGTCTCAACCGGGCCCGAGTGCAGCACCACGGGCGGCGCGCTGGACAAGCCTGAGTGCCAGCTGAAGAGGTACAGCGGCTCACTCTGGTGCTGGCCGAGCGTGAAGTGGCCGGAGCCCCAGTCGCGGCGGTAGAGGTTGAACGAGGGCGGGAATTGGCGGGGGATGTGTGGGTGGCTTTGGCTGGGACCGGCAGCGGCGGAGGAGGACGGATGCGATGGCGGAGGGCCTTGGATTTGCTGGTTTCGTTGGTTCGGCCTCGTAACATCGTCGTAGGCGGGTGGCTTCTCTCCGCCGTACGGAGGCAACTTGTCGCCCTGTGCTTCTTCTGGGCGACCCATGATGAAGGCGAACTGTGATGGTGTAGCTGGGGTTGGAGCTATTGTCGACGGTATGACGAGGCGGGGCGTGTCTAAATCCCCTCCGATTCAGCATGTGGGATGCAAGCTTCCTTTATACCGGGTTTGTCGGATAATTACTCCGTCAGTTACTTAGCCCCTGGCATGATGTCAAGCTCAGCCCCCAAACCAGAGCTAGAGGCGGATCGGAGCGGCCCAACTGCGCTGTGCAGCATGGATGAGATCAGCGACCCAGGATGGGCTTGGTGTTACGGTTTTACTGGTCAGCCGTGGCTCGGCTCGTGTAAGTCGCTCGTAGCGCAGGCTACGGAGGATTTGACACGCTGTGAGGCGGTGTTATCTAGGACAGACGCATTTACATGTCGGACGGCTATCACCGCTCGCGGCATGAGAAGTCCCTTTGCGGATTCGTGTCACGCATAGTTAAACAAGACGAGGGTTGGGAGGAACATGATCCGTTTAATCACTGCTTATCACTCGCAGCAAATGAGCAGAACGACCTGCCCAATTTAGTTTAAACTCGTCCCATAACTCAATGAGCCAACGCATCCTCAAACAGCCGCCGCAGTTGATCCCTCTCCCTCTCCAGCTCCGTCGACAGTCCCGGCGCCAGCATCAGCACGCGCGCCTGCGGGATCGTGCCCTCGACGAGCGCCTCGATGTCACCCGTGCCAAACCCGAGCTCCTTGAGGCCCTTGGGCTGGTCGCCCAGCTCTGCGAGGAACTTGGTGATGGCCTCGGCCAGGACCTCGCCCGCGCTCTCCCGCTTGACGTTGCTGATGTCGACGCCAAAGGCCTCGGCGGCAGCGAGATGGCGCTCCGGGTTAGAGGCAGCTGTGAAGCGGAAGACGGCCGGCGCGGAGACGGCCACCGAGACTCCGTGCGGGATGATGGGGGCGTCCACCTCGTAACCCGCGTGCTTGTAGCCCGGGTTTTGGCCTGAGATTGGGTACGACATGCCTATAGCGCATCGGGTCAGTATATCAAGTCACGGAATCGTAGGATTGAAACATACCGTGGCACAAGTGGACACCCGCATTTCCAAAGCCAACACCAGCCAGCGTAGACGCCAGAAGCATCTCGCTCTGGGCTTCAAGGTCATCTGGATCCCTCACCGATCGGGGAAGGTACTTGATGGTGGCTCGGAGAGCATGGAACGAGAAGACGTCAGAAATGGGGTTGGCGCCCTGGTATGCCGGGCGCAAGATGGGATTTGTCGGCCTGGGAGTTCGCTCGTGGTACGGGATAGCGGTCCACGACTCCAGCGAGTGGCACAGGACATCCAGGCCAGACGCGGCCTTGACAGCGGCGGGCATGGTGCGAGTGTTGAGGGGATCACAGATTCCGAGCGTGGGCTTTAGATTACGGTGGGCAATGCCCGTCTTCGCTCGCTTGGAGACGAGGTCGAAGATAGCTGTGCCTGTGGTCTCGCTGCCGGTACCCGCGGTGGTCGGGACTGCGATGAGAGGCTTCAGAGGCTTGTCAACAGGACGGCCGTTGCCAAGTGGCGCGTTGACGAAGTCCAGGAAGTCGGCGTCCGGGTACGCTGTGTACAGGTTCATGAGCTTGGCCGTGTCGATGACAGACCCTCCACCCACGGCCAGGAAGGCATCGGGCTGGTAAGGGCGGGCCCAGGCGATGGCGTCCTTGATTCTGGGTTGGAATTGTGAGCAACTTGACGATCGTTGGGTCTTGTCTCAGGGGGGGGCTTACGAGCTATCTTTGGGCTCGATCCGGACGTCCTTGTAGACCTCAAAGTTGATGCCCTCCCGGGTGAGCGCCTCGCGGACCTGCCTCATGGCTTCAAGCTTATCGACTGTCCTGTCGGTGACGACACAGACTCGCTTAGAGCCCATATTCTTCAGGTCCATGCCGACCTCCTGGGTGACACCTGGACCGAAGCGGATGGACGACGCAGCCATCTCAAAGGCATACTCCTTCTGGCCAGGGTGCGTCGTAGGCGTGGCATACTTGCGGTGGCCGGCATGCTTGGAGGGCGTCATGACTGGCGGGCCCCCGTGGTACCCCGGGTTCGAGTGGCACGGGCATGAGGGCGGATGGGCGTACTGGACGGTGCGCAGGAGGCTGGTTGCCCGCTTGGCGGCCTGGTGTGGTGTTTCGTCAGACAGATATTCTCCATTGCGCTTCGGGGCTCACGGGGGGACAGCTACGCGCCGTATAACGTACATTGGGGATGGCTCTCACGGCGGGAACCATGGCGGCGGATATGGAGGGCTTAGTCGGTCGGTCAATTGCAGTCAATGAGTGAGATATGAGATACAAGAGCAGAGCGAGCTGAAGATGCGGCCAAGACGGGGGTTTAAAGGTGAGACGAGCCCGGCGATGAGTAAGGCGAAGCTCTCGAACACCGCCATCGAGGTTACCCCAATGAGGCGTTGGGGCGGCTAGCTCAGCTTACCAGAGGTTCCTCCAACCTCGGATGGCCACCTTGCGATATGCGGGGGAAGCGCCAAAGTTGACGCCGATCTGGGGCCGATGAGGGGCGGCTTCGCGATCCAAGAGGGGGGCGGCAATGGCACGGGGATACGTCGCGCCGGCTATCATCGATGGCAAGGAAAAGTGAATTAGCTGCTTATTTCAGTCCATCATCTGCCGGCCTAAGTAGTTCATCCATTTGCCCGTTTCTTTTCTGTGCGTCCGTGGCCCAATTGGCCATGACAGCCGGGGGAGGCTTTTCACGATGCCGACGATGCGTCTAAGGTTTCCTATTTGGGCCAACCCGATATCTGGAGCGGGCCTGTACTCGGCCGAAAGAGCGTCACGCGACCTGGAGCCTGGAGCGCCCCTGATGGGGATATCTTTTGCAATGATAGAACTGCCTTTATTTAGGTGACCAGATTGGAATGTTGATACCAAGGAACGTGGTCAAAAAGGGAAGTTGGGGGGGATCGTCGTGGGAGCCGATACCCCACCATCCATCTTGGAACGCTCGATCTTGGACAAACCAAAGATTCTGTGCTCTCAACCAGCAAGTTCATTGGTCATGTACCTAGGTGGCGTTTGATCGTGCCTTAAACAGCTACAGGGAGCACCATATTATCCTGCAACCTACATCTACCCCGGTCTACGAAGTACCTCGTGTATTTCTCACACCTAACCCTTGAAAATAATAGATCCCACCATCAACAGGATCAAGCGGGACAGGCTGCTTTTCCAGCGTGTTTTTCATTTCTAGGACGGTACCTCTGCAATTCGGAAGTCTCCTCAAGTTCAATACCGAATTTCAACGATTATTTGGTGTTGTTGGGCTGGATGGTTTGTGACTTCATCAAAGAGATGATGTATCTGGGTTTTGTTTTTGGCCAACTTTACTCAATATTACTTATCAGATAGGTCAAGGCCATACAGTAATTCCAAACAATCATGATCTTAGATATTTCTACAAGTCCAGTTTACGATTCAAAAAATCGACAATGTGTCCCAACATCTCAGGGCAATACCAATGGCCGAGCTCAGGGTACGTATGGAAATCAACTGACACCCCCATCCGCTCCAGTAACTCAGCAGCGCGCTGGCCGTCTTTGTATGCCACATTTTCGTCCTCTGTTCCATGGCCCATAAAGACCGGGGTCGACAAGAAAGGGAAGGTTTGTGATGTGGAACGCACTGGAGCCACCTCTGCTTCTTCACGAATCTCATCAATCGCTCTTTGTAGTGGGGTCTTGGAGTCGTCTGAGGAATCTCTCTCAAATGGGTCGTCTTCTGAGTCGGAACCAAACACAACGCCTTCATCCCCGCTATCCAGATTGTCCTCGTCCTCGAGGATACCCATCAGACTTGAAGCCAAGGGCATGAATCCGCACATTACCACCACCGCCCCCAGAGGGTCCCCTTCCCACAGCAACAAGCTGATCAACGCCATGGCACAACCCTGGCTAATGCCGGCCAAGACCACCCGCTGCGCATCCCCTCCAAGCCGCTCAATCTCATCTTTCAAAATACCGCGTATATGCTCCACGCTAGGTCGCATCTCGCCGCGGGACTCGGGTTCCCAGTCGCCGCTGCCCTCGTACCACTGGTGGATGATGGACCGGCGGTATTTGGAGGCGCGCATAAGTGGCGCAGTGGGGAAGACGAAGCGGGCGTGAGGCATGGCTTCGCGGAATGTGAGAGCGGCGTTGGGAGAGGGCGACGCGAGCAACGGGCCATGGAATTTGCGGGCGTTGGAACCGCGGCCGTGGAGGAAGATGATAGTGAGGTTGTGGGTGGGCGATAGAGGAGGGATGACGATGTTGGGAGGGAACTCGCCGAGAGGAGGGCGGGAAGACGGATGTGGCATTATATCGGGAGAGGGTAAATTGTCTTCTCCCATTCTGAGATATCTCTAAGCGCGTTAGACGGCTGAGGATTAGATTCAAACAGCTGCTTGCGTTGAGAATCATTAGTCACAGGAAGCGTCGCCGTTGTGCCGTCAAGATTTGTCCATCGTCGCTGGGAGTCACACAGGCAGCAGCAGGTTGCAGCAGCGTCAAGCTAAACGCGACAGCCCAGGATACTGCACAGTAAATTGATGTTCCCAATTCAAAGGTTCCCAATCAGGATATTGGTAAAAGGGGAGTGTCCGCCTGGAGAGAAAACTGCGTGGATTGAGCTGCTGGTGAAAATGGGGAAGTTCTGAGCCCAGCAACTGTCCTGTTATTTACAGCATGGTTCGCCAACCGGACAAAAGTCTGCGACCACCTCTTGGATCCGCCAGCTCAGGTGGCCTGCGCCGGAAGCTGACTTGATCTGGCATCTCAGTAGAAGTAATTAATTCTCATTAAACTGAATTTTCATCTTGTTCCCGAGTCATTTACTTTTCCAAAAGCAGGACAGGTAAATTATGACTGTAAATTTGGCTTGGTTAAATCTCATCGCCAGCGGACTCTCACCACTGTATCTTCCCGACACGGTGTCTGCTGGCCCACTTCTATCATGACAGTTCATCACTACCCGCCTCAATCACAACCCCCAAACCGCCGGGCGCATTACCATCATGAGTCTCCTCGACCATGAATCCCGACCCTTTCTCTCTCTAACGGCCGCATTCGCCGCGTGGAAGGCATTCCTGCTCGCTATCGCGCTCGGCGCAGCCGGAGCCTCGGACTACGACACCTCCACGTCCGTCTTCTTCGACGTCCTCTACGGCAGCGAGGCGCCCGTGCCCACCGTCGCTGCACGCCTGACAAGATGGGACGCCCTCTACTTTATGAGCTCTGCGCATCGGGGCTACGTCTACGAGCAGGAGTGGGCGTTTGCCATGGGCCTGCCGATTGTCGTGCGCGCCATCGGCCGCGTGTTCGCGGCGCTGGGCGTGGACTTGACTGGAGTGTGGGAGCCTGTCGCCGCCGTAGCAGTCGCTCACGTATCCCATCTCATCGCTGTGCTGGCGCTGTATAAACTCACCATCGCCATCTGCAACGATAGGAGGCTGGCATTTGTGGCATCTGTCATCCACATCCTCTCCCCGGCAGGACTCTTCCTCTCGGCGCCATATGCCGAGAGTCCCTTCTCCTGTTTGTCCTTTGTCGGCAACCTCCTCTTTGCCCTGAGCTTCAAGAGCAGTCCTGATTCACTGAGGCGCAATGCCGCCGTCATTGGAGCCGGCATCGTCTTTGGTCTATCCAACACGTTCCGCAGCAACGGTCTCTTCAGCGGCCTTCTGTTTGCTGTCGAAGTCGTCCAGTGCCTGCTAGCTTTCATCGACGCCCCCAGTTTCTCCAAGGTGCTGCGGTTTGTAGCTCCCATTCTCGGTGGGCTTTTAGTCGCCACGGGGGCTATTGTTCCACAGGTCATCGCTTGGATGAGGTACTGCGGAGGCAACTCTCCTGAAGCTGAGTTGCGGCCATGGTGCTCGCGTTTGATCCCAAGTATCTACACATTTGTGCAGGAAGAATATTGGTAAGACCTGTCTTTTCTGCCATTTCAGAACCTCTACCTAACAAAAATTAATAGGAACGTCGGCTTCCTCAAGTATTGGACTCCGAATCAAATTCCGATGTTTCTCCTCGCCGGTCCCATGCTCACCATACTCCTCAAATCTGGCACTGATACCCTCCGAGAGCCATCTCGGGGGTTGAGACGTATGGGCTCTGGGACAACCGAGCAATATCGCATCTTTGTGCGCACGTTGGCCGCAACCCAGACGATTCTAGCTGTGCTCGCAATCACCAACTACCATGTCCAGATCATCAGCCGCCTGTCTTCGGGCTACCCAGTGTGGTATTGGTGGGTGGCTTCGTGCATGATGGACAAGAAGAGGCAAGGGTGGGGGTACGCCGTCACTGTTTTCATTGTCATGTATGCAAGCATACAAGGAGGCCTTTTTGCCTCGTTTTTGCCCCCTGCGTGAGCCTTCTCGTCGGCTGACATAGCGCTGTTCCGATAAATATGTACAATTAGGTGAGAGGGATCTAGGCTGGACTAAAATGCGTTGTTTCTGTACTATTGTTCATGGCGCTACTCATCGTACCCTTAGATACATCACTTCTGATGTGTCAAGTTCAAGTGTAGTCCTATAATACATGTACTTTTGGCTTCTTTGTATTCACGTGCCAAAAGAGAGACTGCCTGTATAAAACAAACGTAATGAACTGAGCTGGAAAAAACTTTGCTAGGGCTTGTGTATCAATTCAAGACCGTTGTTAAGATTGTGATTCTTGATAATTGCCAACAAATAACTTATTATGTCTGAGAGTCAGGTTTCAAGAGGAATTTGCCAGTGCGAAAGGCTTGTGGCGCCGAACTAGTCGAAAGCCCCTAAATGAAGGACTAAATGAACAATGTTGACCATAAAAATCCCCAAAGCTTTCATCCCTTTTCAAACCCAAAAAAAAACACAGAGAAATTTCGCAGCCATCTCAGTAAACCCGAAGAACATGATTATATGGCCGTGATGGAGTATTCGCGCCCACAACTTGACTGAGTCAAGTACAGGGTAGGCATATTGGAATGGAGCATCCGCTGGCGCTCGCACCATCTCCCGAGCAACCTGGTCGAGTCCCCAACATAAGTTATCAGCCACCAGCCACCGAGTCATGCGGAGCTAGCGAGTCCCTCACCACTGGCAGGGGTAAGGTCCAAGCATTCGAATGACGCAGGTGACTTGCGACACAGCCCAAAACATGCCATGGGTACCTCGGATGGCTCGTTCTCCGTGCTACAGAGCACCAGGATTAAAATGTGTCGAAGAACATTCGGTTCTCAACAAGATACAAAACAAAGGGAATACTAATGCCCCTCCTAATGTTTCGGCGGTACACCAGCTATTTTTCCAAGTACTATTTAGTCTTGAGAAAATCGGGTCCATAAGTAGACAGTGCTAGGTCGGTCCTGCTGTAATTACATGCAGTGCTTTACAGGCAGGTACGAAGCACTCTCGCTCAAGCTGCCGCTCGCCGAGCTCCCGCCACTAATTACGTCGCCCGTGCCTTCCCCCGGCCTCGGTGCACCCACCTCCCACCCTCCCTCTCTCCGACTCCACGCGACATAGCATCGTCATCGTTACCTCTCTTTCTCATCACCTCCCGGAACGTGTAGCATTTCTCCTCGAGCACCAACATTATCCGCAACCACATCCGTATTCCTCGTACGACTGACCCTCCGGGCCTCCGAAACCCCGAAACCTGCACTCGAGCTGTATCCAGGCCATCATTGACGTGGCTGAGCGGCCTCCACCCTCGAGATGCATCATCGCATCGGGGCTGCGGCTCTGCTGCTGGCCGGCGCTGGCCTGACAAGCGCCGGACCAGCAATCGCAGAGCTGTATACTCCCAAACACGAACCGGGACGCTGTGCATTCCGCGGCCACTGCGGCAAACAGAGCTTCTTCGGCAAAGAGCTGCCTTGCGTGGACAATGAGCTTGCCCAGGACCCAGATGAGCAGCTCCGCAAAGAGCTTGTCGACCTCTGCGGTCAGAAGTGGAAGACTGGCCCCGTGTGCTGCACCTTGGACCAGGTAAGCATCTCCAGCGTAGTGCGGCGCATTCCCGATGAAGTGGGAGACTGACGTAGCTCCAAGGTCCAATCTCTCAAGTCCGAACTCGGTACCCCAAACACCCTCATCGGATCCTGCCCAGCGTGCAAAGAGAACTTCTTTAATATGTTTTGCACATTTACCTGCTCTCCCGACCAGTCCTTATTCATCAACGTCACCGATTCCGCAGCCAAGGGCGATAAACACCTCGTCACCGAGCTCGACCAGTTGATCTCGGAGGAGTATGGCTCTGGCCTCTACGACAGCTGCAAGGAAGTCAAGTTTGGAGGAGCAAACAGCAGGGCGATGGATCTGATTGGAGGCGGCGCCAAGAACTACACCGAGATGCTCAAATTCCTCGGCGACAAGAAGCCCTTGGTCGGCTCGCCGTTCCAGATCAACTACCCAACCAAGTATACCGAGCCGCAGATGCACCCCATCGACATGAAGCCCAAAAAGTGCAATGACGAGGATCCCGACTATCGCTGCGTTTGTGTGGATTGCCCCGAAGTGTGCCCAGAGCTTCCGGATGTCAAGAGCTCAAAGTCTTGCCATGTTGGCATCCTGCCATGCCTCTCGTTTGCCTCCATTTTTGTGTACGGCATTCTTCTCCTTGCCCTGGCGACCTCAGTATTCGGTCATGTCGCGTGGAAGAAGTATGCCCAGCGTCGTGTTGAGAGGACCCGATTGCTGCACGAATCTTCGCATAGCGATGACGAGGATGAAGGTGGGCCGGTTCAGACGGAAGCCATGCGCGACCGCCCTACTAAGCGTTACTGGCTCAATGACAAATGCGACAAGGCTTTCTATCAACTCGGTCACGCAGCGGCTCGATTCCCGGGGCTTTCCATCGGCTTGAGTCTTCTCGTTGTTGCCGTCCTCAGCGCCGGATGGTTCCGATTCGACCTTGAGATGGAGCCTGCACGGCTTTGGGTCAGCCCGTCTTCTTCGGCAGCTCAAGAAAAGGCCTACTTCGATGCCAACTTTGGACCCTTCTATCGTGCTGAAAAGATCTTCTTGGTCAACGACACCGACCCTTCCGGACCTGGACCCGTTCTCAGCTACGAGACGCTTAAATGGTGGATGGATGTCGAGAAGAGTATTGAGAGGTTGGAAAGCCCGACGTATGGCAAGTTCTTGAACGATCTTTGCTTCAAGCCTGCCAACGATGCCTGTGTCGTCCAGTCCATCACGGGTTACTGGTACTCCAACGGAGGTCTTGACCCGAAGTCCTGGAAAGAGGATTTGCGTGCATGCGCAAAAAGCCCGGTGGACTGTCGACCTGCTTTTGGCCAACCTATCGATCCCGACATGATCCTAGGTGGCTACGATGGCGATGTGGCCGATGCGCAAGCCCTAACGGTTACATGGGTTGTTAACAATGCCAAGGAAGGGACTGATGCCCTCGCACGCGCCATTGATTGGGAGAATGCCCTTCGTGACCGGCTTCTGGACGTCCAGGAGGAGGCCAAGAGCAGAGGCCTGCGTCTATCCTTCAACACCGAAATCAGTCTGGAGCAGGAGCTCAATAAGTCGACGAACACGGACGCCAAGATCATCATCATCAGCTACCTCGTCATGTTTCTCTACGCCTGCATGGCACTTGGCACCCCCCTGAAGCACATCTTCAGGAACCCTGCCGTGTTGCTCGTTGAGTCCAAGGTGACGCTAGGACTCGTCGGTATCATCATCGTCCTCATGTCGATTGCTGCATCTATTGGCTTTTTTTCATGGGTCGGCCTGAAGGCTACTCTCATCATCGTCGAGGTCATTCCCTTCATTGTCCTTGCCGTTGGTGTTGACAATATCTTCTTGATCGTACACGAGCTTGAAAGAGTCAACGTCAGCTGCCCTGACCAGATGGTTGAGGAACGTGTTGCTAGGGCTCTTGGTCGCATGGGCCCCTCTATCCTCTTCTCTGCCCTGACCGAAACTGTTGCGTTCGCCCTCGGCACTGCTGTTGGCATGCCTGCAGTCCGCAACTTTGCCGCCTACGCTGCCGGCGCCGTTTTGGTTAACGCCGTTCTCCAGATGACGATGTTTGTTTCTTTCTTGTCACTTAATCAGATGCGAGTGGAGGATCATCGATGCGAGCTGTGGCCATGGTGGCAAATCACTAAGGCAAGGATCCATCTCAATGGCACTAATGGCTATGCAAACGGCGCAAGCCGAGGCTCTGACATGGCAGAGGAGAGCTTGTTGCAGGTCTTCATCAAGAACACTTACGCCCCAAGCCTTTTGGGAAAGAAGGTGAAGCTAGCTGTTGTCACCATCTTCTTCGGAATGTTCGCGGCTGCGCTGGCATTATTGCCAGAGATCCAGCTCGGCCTTGACCAGCGAGTTGCGATCCCGGATGGCTCCTACCTGATTCCCTATTTCAATGACCTGTACGATTACTTGGAGATTGGTCCGCCTGTATACTTTGTCACGCGCGGAGCCGACATCTCCAAGCGCGAGCAGCAGCAAGAAGTCTGTTCACGATTCACTACATGCCAATCGCTTTCCCTCACCAACAGCCTCGAGCTTGAGAGGCAAAGGCCAGAGGTTTCGTTCATTTCCTCTCCCACCGCGAGTTGGATTGATGACTTCTTTCTGTGGCTGAACCCGATCTACGAAGAATGCTGCGTGGAGCATGGTTCAACATGCTTTGCTGATCGGGATCCTGCTTGGAATACAACCCTTTACGGAATGCCAGAGAGCGAAGAGTTCCTCGAGTACCTCAAGAAATTCCTTGCAAGCCCGACGGACGATCGATGCCCCCTAGGTGGCGAAGCTGCCTACGGTCAAGCTGTGGTTCTTGAGGAAGATGGCCAGGCCGTGAGAGCCAGCCATTTCAGAACTGCGCACACGCCTCTGAGAAGCCAGCAAGATTTCATCGACGCCTACTCCTCAGCCCGCCGCATCGCTTCGGAGATTGGCGAGAGGACTGGCGCTGATGTTTTCCCCTACAGCGTCTTTTACATCTTCTTCGACCAGTACCTGAGCATTATTCCCCTTACAGCCGGCCTCTTGTCCGCTGCAGTCGGCATTATTTTCGTCGTCGCAGCCCTACTTCTTGGCTCGGTGCTCACCTCTCTGGTCGTGTCCCTCACCGTGGTGATGAGCGTCGTCGATATCATGGGAGCGATGGCGGTGTTCGACGTCTCTCTTAACGCCGTTTCCCTTGTCAATCTCATCATCTGTGTCGGAATCTCCGTCGAGTTCTGCGCCCACATCGCTAGAGCGTTCATGTTCCCGTCCCGCACTGTTATGGAGGCTGGCAGCAATGCCTTCCGCGGCCGTGATGCCCGCGCTTGGACTGCCCTTGTCAATGTTGGCGGCTCCGTCTTTTCCGGCATCACAGTCACCAAGCTCCTGGGTGTCTGTGTTCTGGCATTTACCCGCTCCAAGATCTTCGAGATTTACTACTTCCGTGTCTGGCTCTCCCTCGTCGTCTTCGCCGCTCTTCATGCCTTGGTCTTCCTGCCAGTGGCCTTGAGCATTGCTGGTGGCAAGGGATACGTTGATCCGGAGAGTGAGGGCACCGCGGCGCAGGATCTGACAGACAGAAGGTGGCGAGCCATCCGAGTCAACGATCACAGCGACTCAGAAGACGAGTACTAGTGTCCTTGGCGACTGTGGCTGTTCTGTGCGTGAAGACGGCTTAGGTTTAACTTGTGATGGCCTAGTAGGCTTTACGTCTCTAGCGTCCGTTCATGCTTATTCCCAAGATGCAACCTTCACGCATGAGACCACTCACTAATCACGATCTTAAAACATGCCTGGGAGACTATCGGAATCGACTACCATTAACTCCCTTGGAATAATGATGGAGTTGCAAGCGGGAATCATTTTGGAAATTGAACATGACCGACAGCCATATGGCTATTGCCTGCGTGGTTTGGATCTGCCGAACCAAGTATGGTCTACCTGGGGAGCAAATGCAAAAGGCAAATGACCGAGACGTGTGGAAGTGGGTGTAAAGAGCTTGGAGAGGAAGAAGTGCGATTCGATTCTAAGTTGTGGAGGAATGCATCTGTGCCGACTACCAGCGGTGTGGCTCAACCCTGACGTGGGGAATTCTTGGGAGAAGTCCAGCACCCAAAAAACCATGACTACTGGGTCCTACTGGTTAGAATTGCCTCTATCAGGAGGCAAATAGGGTCGACTTTGGTTCCTTGGAAAGCGACGAGGGACCTGATGGAGATGCATTGGATGATCCATCCCACTGACGGTGGTTTTCTCAGCAACACAAGTTCATCTGACATGAGATCCAGTTCTGGTTTCCCAGAGAATTCACCACCTAGGACGTGTAAGGGAGGGCACACGTTGCCGACCATGACTCTGAAACCCTTTGGCGAGGAAGATGGGATTCCTGGAGGATGGATGTATGACAAGCATGTGGCATAGGAGCAAGTTCGTTGGAAGGGAGGGTTGTATAACTTCTCGATTTGTATGGGTTGGGACATGGCGCTATGGGTAAACAGAAATGATAATCGTTGTGAGACTATAGACAGCGAAGGATGCCATAGCGATGAGTTTGAGGGTTACTAGCGAACAATACGAATTTCCCAACGTCAACTAGCATCTATCATGAGGGACAGAGAGACTGAATGAGATGAGGATGCGAGGGATCCAACGTCACTCTAAAATCTAATTACTTAAGTTCGGACCTGACACTGCACACAAATTGATCTAGTCCTTAACAAATATTGGGTTTCAGCAAATGATAAACACGTACCGGGATTCTGAGATGAATTTCTCGCTTTTATGGAGTACAGTATAAACTTACGGGAGATGGGCTGCGAGGGAGGGCTTATTACGGAATCATCAATTATGCTACTTCAAATTGAATGAGATGCCGAATGAGCCCAAATATATTCCAAAAATGTATTATTAGAGTTGAGAAAATGTCGTCTCTCTCTTACAGGTACAACAGGGCGTTCATCATCTGGATCCGCCGTAACCGCAACATCCCAGAGCAGTCTCACGCACCGCCATCTCGCTTGGCATACTCCTCCTCCATCCGCTCCTCATACAGGCGGTCGGCCTCCTTCTCGGCCTCCGTCTTGGGCCGCGTCACTCCGGCGCCCGAGTTGGCGCCGGCCCCGGTGGCGACAGCCGCGGCGGGGGTGGACTGCGATTGCTGTTGCGGGGTGGTGGTGTCGGCCGGTTGGCTGGTGGTGGTGGAGGAGGAGAAGATGGGGAGGCCCATGTTTGCGATGTGGGATATTTTGCGTGGAGAGAAGTGGGGATTTGAAGGGTCTTTTTATGGTGTCCCGGATGTATTTGCTGACGGATTGTGATGAGTTGGGGTTGCGAGGTCTTACTCTGGTGGTGGTTGATGGCCGTCTTATACCGCAGTGTGGCGAGTGCGGTACGTCACATCCCCAACATCGTCCACAAGTGTGGCTGATGCTGTGGCGAATCACCGTCCAGCCTGCTCAGAGGCAACCAAAGCTGAGGGCGAAGAGCAACGCCACGACTAGGCATTATGTAGCACCGGTATGCGAAGACTTGTCTGGTCCATGGTAAAATAATCTGGACGTTGTGGACTTCATTGTTAAAGATGGACACTACTTTCTCACGTCATTCAAGAGACGCTCGTAAGCCTACTCCATAGTCTTGCAGAGAACTGACCAATTGATTGAAGGCACATATTTCCGAGTAAGCATTGTCTCCATCTGGTATTGGCTGAGCCAAGTGTCGTAGGTACATTCACGAGGCCAATAGCGATTAATATAGCGATATGTCATGTTGATCATATAAGGGAGGTCCGGTCGTTCTATTACACCTAAATTTGACGACACTGCTCAATCTCACAAGCCCCGCCGACCCCGGTGAACCTCATCCCTAGCGACATGGCCAACCAAGCTCCCGACCAATGTCCAACATCCCATATATCAACTTACAAGAAAGGGTATTGTACATTGAACTCCTATTTCCAACCAAACGCTCTTCCCCGTTCCCTCGAACTGTTTTATTTCTTTCCTCTTCGGCTCAGGGGAGCCCTTAAAACTCTCGACTCTCACCAATCTTGCACACGTCGAAGACTCCCTCCTCGGCGATGCCTTTGCGGCGCAGGGCCTCCTTAAGCATCTTAGGGGGCTCTAGCACCTCTTCCACGGTCAAGGCCCAGGTACCCCAGTGGATACCCATGGCGCGCTGGCACTGTGTGTCCTTGAAGATCTCCACCGAGTCGAAGGGGTTGGCGTGCATGGGAGAGAAGGCGGCACGGGGAGAGTAAGCGCCAATGGGAATCAGGCCAAGGTCGAAAGGCCCGCGAAGATCGCCAATTTGCTTGAATTGGGGGCATCGAGGCAGGTGGTCCAAGTCGGCACTGTAGTCGTCGGTGCCCGGAGGCAGGTAGGGAACACCTCGGTAACCTGTATCGCCACCGAACCAAACGGACTTTTCAGAAGAGCGAACGGCCCACGAGCACCACAGGGTGGTATCTTTGTCCCAAAGGGTCCGGGCCGACGTGTGCTGGCAGGGCAAGCACGAGATGCGAGCAGTGATATCACGCTGCTTGTCACCGTCCTTGACTGTAACGGTTAGGTCGGCGTCTTCCCACCAGTCGAGCTCAGTGACGTGGTTAAGGCCGGACTTGCGGAACCACGTCTCTAGACCCAGACCAACAAAGAATTGGGCTTCGGGGTGGTGCTTCTGAACTTCGAGGATGGAAGAATGTGACAGATGGTCGTAATGGCTGTGGCTGATGACTACAGCATCGACAATGGGAATATCCTTGATATCGCAGGGGCGCGGGGTGTAGCGCTTGGGACCCATGAAAGTGAATGGTGAGCAGCGGTCCTCAAAGACGGGATCAAAGAGGATGCGCAGGCCGGAGGGATATTCGACATAGTAGCAGGCATGACCAAGCCAAGTGGCTCGAATCTTGTCCGAGGCATAACGATCGGGGAGCCATTCGGGCTTGACGACAGGGACGGTAGGAGGTGAAGTGTCGGGCTGCTTGATCTCACCAGTAATGGTGGGCCTGCAAGGGGAGACAGACGTTAGCTTGGACGTGTGCTTGGCAGATTGGCAGAAACAAGGGCCCATGACCCGACCGGGGAAGGGAACTGGGGTACGGTTCTTACCAGACGACTCTTCGCAAGATGGTGCTGAAGCCGACGCTGTGGGACCAAGAAGGGTAGGGGTTCTTGAAGCCTACGACCTCGCCGCGTTTGACAAGATGGTGCGGGTTGGAAGTTGCGTCTTCGGGGAGAGTGGAGCGGCCGGGGATCTTGGAGACCGCGGTGGTGGAGGAGATGGAGGCGGCGATGGTAGTAGATGACATGACCTGGGTGGTGGTGTCGTTCACAGTAGTGTGAGTGTCGGCTTGGTCATTGACGGGAGCGTCCACGGAGAGTTTGGCGGGCGCATCGACAGAAAGTTTGGCGGGAGCCTCAACGGGAGGGTTGGTGGGAGGATTCGCCGAAGCGTCGGAAGCTGATGGTGGGACGGACATGTTGGTGGCTGCAGCAGCGACAGAAGCAGCAGCTTTGGTCGATTGATGCCAAAGACGACGGGTTGGGAGACGGAGCAGGCGTGTCATATGGTGGATCGTCAGGAGAGAGAGAGAGCGAGTGATGAAGCTCGGGAGGAGAGGGAGAGGGAGAGTGAGGAGAGGAGAGAGGGAAGCCCCAGAAGCAGCGGATTGGAGATGAATGAGGCGGGGAGAGGGAGAGGAAGAGGAAGAGGGGGAGATGGGGAGGAGTGGAAAAGAAGAAAGAGGAAAGAGGAAAGAAGAAAGAAGAAAGAAGAAAGAAGAAAGAAGATGACGGAGAGGAGGAGGAGAAGGAGGGGAGAAAGTCAGGCAGGTACTACTGGGCCTGGTGGTGGTAGTGGTGGTAGTGGTGGAAGGAGGCTTCTCGCCGGCCGCATCCACATTGACCAACACCTAAACTCCGGAAGGATCGCACCTCAGCTCCGCAACCTACTACGTACAGTACGTACAGCCTGCACCCACAAACCCGCAGCCCACTCAGCGCACTACGGCAACGGCCACGAGGCTCCGCTGTCAGATCTCAGAACGAGTCCGAGCTCGCGATGCCCAGTCCGAATGCGACGAGCGAGACAGATGGAAGGAAAAAAGAACGAGAGCAGCTGGGTCACAGCTCACAACCACCCGCCAGACCGTGGTTCACACCACATGCCATGCATGCACGTCTTGAGTGCTACCCCTACGCACGCTACGCCCTGATTTCCTCTTCTCAAACACCACCAAACAGCTATCGTGCTGTTGTGCTGTGCCTTGCCTCGAAGCAGCATCGCGTCGTCCCCAATCACGCTTTATTAGCGGAGTTAGTACGACCTACGCCCGGCCTGACGCCGCCAATTCCCCGTCCCCGAGCCATCCGCCGGACAGCGAGACGCGGATGCGCGATGGGGGACGAGACCGGGGGATGGCAGGTGGTAGGTGGGTTTGGTGGGCTCCGGACCCAACTCGCTAGCGTACCTGTCGCCGAGTTGCGAGCTTGTCTGCGGATCGGAGACCACGATCTATCCGAGTCCGACGGGTTTGGAGCGAGCCGCATCACTCTACTGCGGCGCGGCTGCCAAGTGCTGACGGGAAAGCTGTGGAATGACGAGTGCACAGATGGTGACGGACACACAGGCAGACAGCCAAGTTTGACGAGTCAGTCAACAAAGGAACGGGTATGGTTCGTCTATCTTTCCTACCATCCTCTCTCCATCTCCCTCCCTCATTAAGTGACCTAACGAAAAGCAAATAGTTTCATTCACTCCCATGCTCAGCCGGCTCGCCATCTCATATCCCCGGTCCCCTATCCCTGCGCGTCCGCACATGGCATTTGCCCACCCAACGCAAACGCCTCCCCGGAAGGCCACTAGCCCATCCCACGCCTGCCACGCGAGTTCCAGGGCAGCCCAGGCCCGTGTAGATGTCCCCTGTGGCACCATATCCGACCCGGAGCCATCCCCCGTGGCTCGGCAGGGATCCGGACCCTTCTCTGGCGCCCCCAAAGGTTCCCCCCATGGCTCCAATGTTCCAATTGCTCCAATGACGCATACAGCGGGATGCACAAAGTCCTGATCGAAAGTATTGTACTCGGTTCTGCAACAACTAATCTGCATTAGGGTACAGTATATTTAGGGGTTCGGGTTGGGGTGAGTATCAAGATCTTTAAGTCAGACCCTGCTGTATATAAGTAAATCTTAGTATATATAAAACGATGAAATTGATTTTTATTTTACTTTAAATTTAATGGAACCACGAATATTTTACCCTATTATTTTAATGGAGTGCAGAGTAAAGTGCCAAAGTGCGGCAGCAATACTAGAATATTTTGGATAGGACTTTATGCTTCCCACCCTACGCGCATTTGAAGACACGAGAGGCGCTACACCGTACTTAGCGGAGTTCCAGTGGAGTTTCAGTGGGGAGCCACCTAATAGACTTCCACGAGGCGCATCCGTGCGCGAGCTTCAAGAAGCAATTCCCCTGACATCCGAACATCACGATGCAGGGTCTCGACACTGGTAACTCTCCTTGGCGAACGCCAGCTAAAGAATTGTGCATGCCAAGAAGCCCCCCTCCCATAATTTGCATGTAACCTTGAAATTATCCATGTACGTATTGAATGCTCTGTCAAAAAGGTATCATCTCCGGAAAAGTCCCCTCCCAACCTTTGACCCTCGGCCTGGTATCTATCTCAACTACAAGCAACATCATCCATCATATCCCGTCGTAAAAAAACGCTCTCAAAAGCCAGGCCACCAAAAAAAAGAACAGGACGAAGACATAGTCTAAACGCGGCATGCCCGTTTTCAGACATCCAGCCACCCAGCCGGTCAGCCAAGACTCCGCCTCCTCAAACGCCGGAAGAAGCACCTCCGCAACACAATGTTCATTTCAGTCATTCAGGGTCTCGCATCACAGGTCAACTGGCCGTGTGTCTTCACCCATATCCTCGCTGCCAAGCTCCTTCTCCAGCTCCTCCGTTACGAATCCTTCGTAGTCGTCGAGGTTCTTCTGCACGTGGATCTTGAACTTGATGACGTCGTTCAGCATCCGATCAATTTCGGTATGCAGCTCCTCTCGAAGAGAATTGGCTCGCAGAACCAGCTGTTCATATCTGAGACTTCAGTTAGTATATACTTGCATGTCTCGGTGAATGACGTAATTCGTACTCAATAGTTGTGTTGATCTCGCGCTGCTCCAAAAGCTGCACAGACTCTGACAGCCCCGCTCGCATTCGAGACAGTTCCTTCTCCATCTTCTCAATCTGTGCGTCCGACGCCAACTTTTGTGTTGTTGTCACCTCTTTGGTCTTTTCGTACTCCTCCTCCGCTGCTCGGACGCGATGATTGAGGGCCTCGACCTCGCTCTTTCTATCCTCGATGGCCTCCTTGATGCCGTCGAGTAGGTCGTGGTCCTTCATCATGACGTCCATGGCTGCGGTGCGTCGTTCTGAGATATCCTTGCGCAGTGTTAGGAAGCTGCTTCGGATCTGGCCCCGGAGGTCCAAGTTGAGGATATGTCCGGGTAGGTAGCCAGTTGTCGCATCAGCTAGCAACCGATCTGCTGACGAGGGCCCGGCAGAGCCCAAGAGGTTGGACGACGTAAAGTCTGAATTGTCGTTGACCATGACCTGGAGTTCAAAGTCCTTGCCCTTGGCATTGGCCGCTGTTGATGGAATGAGCGCGATCTGGTATGCCAGCGTATTGTACTGGTCAACCATGCGCTCTAATTCGTCCAGCTTCCGGCTCGCATCCATTTCCTTGTCGGACACTTTTTTCTTCACCTCTTCCAGCCTCTGACCGGCCGTCTCAATGCCCTTCTGCAGCCTCTCACGCTCAGACGTCATGCGGTCCATATCCTGCATACTGATCCCTTGAGCATCAACTGCCTTCTGCAGACTACGTCGCTCCTCATCCGCCTCCCTCAGCTCCTCCATCAACTTTTCCAGCTCTTCCTGCAGTACGTCGGCCCGGCTTTCATACTTCTCCGATCGCTGCATGGCCAACGCATTGTACTCCTCAAACTTGATCTTGTCCTCCTCCATGATCTTGAAATTGTTGTCCAGGACTGCGGGGTCGGGCGTTGACTTCTCCAGGTCCTCAATCTCTTTGAGTAGTCGCGCGTTCTCTGCCTCAAGCATCTCGAGCTCTGCCGTGTACTTGGAGTTGGATCGCTGAAAAGCTCTCGCCATTGACTGGACGTGGGGCGCCAGCACGCGCTCGGCTTCTTCGTCACCCATATCCTCATCCATGGCAAGCCAGTCCCTGTATGCACTGCTGAGGAAGTCAAAGATGATGCGGTCGCCGCTGACATCAGTGCCATTTTCCATGCAGGCCTCGTCATATCTGCTGGATGCGTAGCCGTCGAGCATCTGTGCTAGCTGCATCATCCAGTGAAGCAGGCCCAGGAAGGTGCTCCAGTTCTGGCCTCCAACAGCGGCAATCTGACTCTTGGTGATGCTTCTCTCAAATGGGTATCGCATTTGCTTGAGAAGTGGCGGTACCTCCTGGTCGATGTTCTTCTGGAACCTGTGGCTGGGGTCGATTCGATGATAGATAAATTGGAACATGTAGTTGAAGTCTTTTTGGGTTGGCGATTTGAGGACATTCTGTGAGAGGACATGCTTCATCTCCATCTCGAAGTTGTGCTGCACCATGTAGTCCAGAAGCTCCTGTCCGATCCGGGCCTGGAACGATCGGTCCTTGAGCGGACGCGGGTCTCGTGGCACACCGGCAGTTTGAGGAGTAGCTTGGAAGAAGCTCTGGTGGCTCGTCGGGGCGGCTGTGGACTGGCGTGGTCGGTATACACTGCTGCGTCGGTCGGCGTCCCCCATTGAAGCGCGAGGTGCGCGGGAGGGCGCTGGAGTGAAAACACCCTTCGGTTGCTGGAACGACGAACGCTTGACCGACGACAGCCCAAGGTCGGCGAGGTTGGTGCCGGACGAGGAACGCTGGAAGAGGGGCTGATTGGGGCGCGACATGGCGAGGGACTGCCTAGATCCAGACATGGAGCGGACATGGCTGCCCGGGTAGTTGGCGGTGTTGCTAGAATTGGATCGCTTCATGGTAGAGCCGGGTTGGGGGAGAGCAGCGTTGAGGCTGATGCCGCCGAGTGTCTGCACCAAAGGTCAGAAGTTTGCTCAAGCTGTGTTCGATGCGACTGGGGACCGCCTCTGCGGTGCAGGTACACTCACTTCCCTGGGTCTGCGGACACTCCACAGGCCTGTATCTTGGGACATGTTCTGAGGTAACGAGCAGTTGGCGACTGCGATGGTTGGTGCGCGCAATATCGGCGAGCGTCGTGGGAAGTTGTGGCAGCGGCGGGGGCGTCGTTACGATGGTGTCTCGATGAGGTGGGATGCGAGATTGGGTCACCGCAGATTGGGACACAAAAGTTGTGTTGCTCGGCGGGAAAGTAAACAAAGGGGTAGAGCGACTGTGATTGGTTGGGGGCACTGACCCAAGCTCAATGTGGGGCTTGGTTAAACTGGCAGCCTGGATGCAGGAGAGCACGTGACACAGCCTTAAGCTCGCCGAGGCGCGATCCGTTCTCGGCTTACCTAATATCCCAGTCGCGAATGGAAGCCGCGGAGGGAGGTCCGCCTTCCCAGCCTGCCTCGGCCCAAGATCGGTCACGCATTTCCCCGGCTCGGGCCCAGCTCCCGCCTCCGCAGATACCGTACTTACCCCGGAGCACATGCATTTTGTCTCTCCAACCGCCACCCGCGATCATCGCATCTCTCTTTTCCACGTCGCTGCGACTTGGTGATGCGGTGAATGTCCATCGGCGACAGTCAACATGGCAATTCGTGAAGATCTAGTCGCATCTGCGGTACGTCATCTCCCCTATCTGCACTCCCAGCCACCACGCGAATGACCTAGAGACTGACCAGTACCAGGCGCAATGTTAGTATCCCGAGATTCGACCCTGACCTTCGGCACACGACTAACCCTGAGCAGTCCTGCTAGACCCCAGCGTCGCTTCCTCCTCCGTCGAGAACCGCATCTCCTTCCTACGAACCAAGAACCTGACCCAGGAAGAGATTGACGCCGCAATGTCTCGAGCTGGTGGCAATGCGCCGCCTCCTCCCAGCGCTCCCTATGCCAGCGCGCCTCCCCAAGGGCCTCCTGTTCCCCAGCAGTACTACCAACCCTACCCTCCTCAGGCTGCATGGCAGCCGCCACCAGCCCCTCCTAGAAGGGACTGGAGGGACTGGTTCATCATGGCTACTGTAGTCAGCGGTGTCTCCTATGGTCTCTACTCCCTCGGCAAGGTATGTCCATGTCACGGTGCCTGTACTGGAATTTCTCTGCTAACCTGCCGCAATAGCGATACGTGTACCCACTCGTCGCGCCTCCGACACCCGAGAAGCTGGAGCAGGATAAGAAATCGATCGAGGAACAGTTCGACCGGGCATTTACCCTTGTGGAGCAGCTCGCCCAAGACACCGAGGATCTCAAGAAGGCCGAGCAGGAAAGGACGGAAAAGCTTGACAGTGCGATTTCGGAGCTGGAGACGGTCATGACTGATTTGAAGGCGGCCAACCGACGACGCGAGGACGACTCGCAACGCATCCGAGACGAGGTGCAATCCCTTAAGGACGCGATCCCCAAGGCTCTGGACAACCAGAAGCAGCTTACGGATGACCGGCTCAAGGAGATCAACAGCGAATTGACTAGCCTGAAGACTCTCGTCTCCCAGCGAATGGCTCCCAGCAGCACACCGGCCCCGATCAGTTCGCCGAGCTTCCTCCGGGGCACAAGCGGAAGCGTGACCCCGGCGCCGGCCACGTCAACCGTCGCGACCAGCGCTACCCCGGCCACCAACGGAGAGAAGTCCGCCGAGGCCGCCAGTTCCGCTCCTACCACTCCTGCCGTCACCACCCCTGTGCCCAAGACCACTGGCAGCCACTTCAACCGGGCTTCTACTGCGGGACTAGGATCCTCCACCGGCAAGGCGTCAATTCCGGCGTGGCAGATGGCCATGGCCAAGCAGAACGACACATCGTCCACGCAGGTCAAGGCTGACGAACCCGCAGCGGGCGGTAGCAGCAGCAGCTCATAAGAGTACATTTGTTAAGAGAAGTTGCTTGTATTATTTACCTATGTATCTAGATCCTCGGGGTTTTTGTATCCGGAATAATGGGGGTGAATTGTTATGGTGTTCATTTGTCGGACTTGGTGTTTAGCATGCAACCATTTATTTTTGTTGTCGGCTATATCCGTGCCACTACCTCTCATGCGAAACCATGGACTTTGATATGATGACCCATCGTAGTCTCTCGGTTCGCATTAAGGGCTGGAGAGTAAATATTACGTGTTCGGCTTAGGCATCATGATCAGTACGAGACAAACGCCTCACCTCGAACAAGTCGCGGTGATTGCACAGAGCCGAAACATTGACAATGCGAATTTGTTTAAATAGAGGACATTGCGTTGGATTAGTGCTTTTGTATGCATTTTCTAACATGCCGATCTCAGGCTATGGGCGCCTTTGCCTATGAAGTTTTCGTCATCGCAGCCACTTAGATCTTAGAACTAATTCCCAACTGTGACTGTCTGACAACCTTGTCGATAGACTTTGCCACATAATCAATATTCTTCTCGTTCAATCCAGAGATTGTAACTCGTCCATTGGTTACTAAGTAAATGTGGTACTTGTCCTGGAGTTCCTTGCATTCGGCCTGGGAGAGTGGCAAGAGGCTAATCATGGTGTAAGCGATTTTATCTCAAAATGACAGTTTTGGAATAAGATTTACCTAAAAAGACCGGTTCCCTTGGTGATAATACTCCAGTCACCTGGGGTCTTGTAGACATTGATGAGAAGATTGGAAAGCTTGGCTCTGTTCCCCTGCAGCCTCTCGTAAATGGCTTCGAGCTCTTCTCTCCTGGGGAAATATGTGAGCTAGAATAACCATAAAGCCAACACGGGGAGCTTACCAGACAGCTTCCCTTGAGGGATCGGAAAGTACTATGTCAACCAGACGCGCTCCATACGCCGGCGAGGAAGAGAACTCAGTGCGGATCAGGAAACGGAGCTGGTCGTGGACCGCGGCGGTGATATCTGCCATGGGACAGATGGCATGCACCGCGCCAACTCTCTCGCCGTATAGCCCAAAGTTCTTGGAGAATGACTGACACACAAGCATCTCGAATCCCTGTTCGGCAAAGTGTCGAACGCTGTAGATGTCCTCTTCAAGACCGTTGCCCAAGCCCTGGTACGCAATGTCGAACAAGGGGAACAGTTCGCGTTTCTTCATCTCTTGGGCCAGTATCCGCCATTGCTCCTTGGTGAAGTCTGCCGCCGTCGGGTTGTGGCAGCAACCTTGGAGAATAAACGTGGTGCCTTTCTCAGCAGTGCGCACAGCGTTCAGGACCGACTTCCAGTCAACGGTGCCGGTTTTGGGATCGTAGTGCCGGTATGTTCTGACCTCAAGACCGACCAAGTCAAGCATGGGCACGTAATTCCCCCAGGTGGGTGTTCCTACATAAACGGCCTTTGACATGCCAGGGACGGAGCGGCTCAGCAGCAAGAAGGCGATGTGCACTGCTCCCGTACCAGAAATGGTTTGGGCAGAGGCGACCTTTTCCATCAGCGTTGTGTCATAAGATATTTGGAGCGATGTCATACTCGGCCTGCCTGCAGAAGAGTTGAGTCTTTGCCGAAAACGACCTTCGCTGCATTCTTTAGAAAGCTAGTGTTGCCGGTGGTTACTTCATACTGAGGACCCAAAGAATTAGTCAACACGCCTCATAGACATCTGGGGACAAATACTGACGTCGTGATCAGGATTGGCAGCAGCCATGTCCTTTTTAGCCTATAAATGAATCAGCACGAGAACTAGACGAGTTGTAAGACTGCCCTATACTGACATCTTTCAACACCTTCATCTCATTGTAAACGCCCTGCTCGTTTCGGTAGATGCCGACACCGAGATCGACCTTAACTGGACTGGTGTCCCCATCCGCCTGTACCTTGAGGTGGTACATGACATCTGGGGCAGCTTTCGTTACGTTGTTGAAGAACATTGTGCTGAGGTGGCGAACAGTGCTCGGCTTTGTGATATTGATTCGCTGCATTCTGGGAAGATAGAAAAATACCGAGTTATTTATCATGTTTCGTACGCTTTAATTCATTATCCACGTTGCGTAAGACTCATCCGGGCTGCGAAAACGTCGGTTTCGGCACCCGATCAAAAGTCGGTCATCTTAGTCCTCGGGGGTCGACACCGAGCGGCCCGAGCTAGACCACTCCCAACTGCGGAGCGCATGAAAGTGTATCATCACAGCCAATCTTTGTGTAGATCTTCTTGATGAACGTCTGGAGATGACCCCCGAGGCATTCCCCGAGCGGGCCTCCTGCGATCAAGAAGGCAAGGCATTTAATAGAACTCTTGAGCCCGAGACTCGTCCCAATCACTCAGCACATTGAAGTGAGACCTGCATCAGAATTTACTCGATTGACAATCTCCCAACAGTCTAAAAGGTCCTTCTTCAAAGATGGTTACTCCTACTTACAGCAATAACCTCTTGAGGTGCATCACCTCAAGCCAGGTGTGCAAGTCATTCGGCATCAAGGTGTCGTCGAACGCACAGATTGTCCAAGTCGCACGCCATGCCGGATTCGACTCACTGTTCATCGACCTTGAACATGGCTGGTTAACGCTAGCCGAGGCAAGCAACCTTTGCAATGTTGGACATTTGGCAGGCATTACGCCGTTCGTACGTGTACCGCATCAATGCGGTAATGGATTCGTCCAGCGGGTACTTGATGGCGGTGCGATGGGTGTGGTATTTCCCCACATCCAAAATGCAGGTATGAATCAAAGTCATGACTAAATTCTTTCGGAGAAGTCGTGACTAATAGATAATTTGATTCACTAGATGAGGCCAGAGCGGCAGTAAACATCTGCAAATACCCTCCACAAGGATGTCGCTCGATGACTGGAACCATGCCGCTGTTCAACATGCGCTCCACCTCGATTGCGGAGGCTATTGAATTCGGCAACAAGTATGGCTCTACAGTGTTCACCATGGTCGAGAGCGGAGAAGCCGTCAAAAATGCGGATGAGATCGCGGCGATTGAGGGCGTGGATGTTCTGCTTGTCGGATCCAATGACTTGAGCATCGACATCGGAGTCCCCGGTGACTTCGAGAGCCAGGCCTACCGTTCCTCACTGGAGAAGGTGAGCGCGGCCTGCAAAAAGCACAACAAGATATTCGGCGTGGCGGGCGTTTACGACGACCCCAAAATCCACGACTGGTTCATCAACGTCTTGGGCGCGAGGTTTCTCCTCGTTCAGCAAGACCTGTCGTTGATTTCCGGAGGCGGACGCAGGGCTGCTGGAGCCGTACCTCAGGTGCACTTGTGAGATGACTATTGTTAGAGTATCACTCTCCATAGATAGTGAAGAGTGATAGAATGGGCAAGTTTGTCATGAATCTCCACTGCGCGAGTAGAGGCGGCTGATTGTTACGACGGGTGCGGGCCGAGCGACCGAGCTCTAGAGGTTTCCTTATCAGATGTACGGAATAATTACCCCAACCAAGTAATTCACCACTGCAATATCGTGCCTTTTTGACCATGACAGACACCGGGGACACAAGTCTACCATCCCTAGTAAGAATATTAAGAACTTGATCCCTGGTATTTTCTACCCCAACTTACGTCATGTTATCGTTGGTGACGGCTTCTGACTCGGGGGTTTTACTACTTGGTCTGCAATTTCGGTGGCCGTCTCCGAACCCCACTCCTCACTCCTCGCTCCTCACCCCCGAGCCTCTGACTTCGGCGTCACGTCTTCTCTCCTAAAAGCCAACCTGATATTGAGAATTGGCTCTCCACAGACCCAACTGCAGCACGAGAGATCTCCGGGATTACTATTCTCTGGCTGGGCGATATCACTTGACCATCCCGATTGGCCATCTGCAGTGGGTCATGTCCGACTCCTCGAAGCGGGCCAGGAACCCGCTTGGTAGAACTGCCTCGGGACGGGACTCCGTCCAGAAGGCAGCCGGTGTAATTGCGTTAGTCCTGACCCCGCTTCTTGTGCAGATTTTGTACCTTATCCCTGGTCTTGATGCTATTGGGCATGTTGTGCTGGTCATCAAGAACCACCAACTTCTCGCGGTCCATGCCTCACTGCTCATCTGCCCGAGGTTGCGTCAAAATAATGTACTGATATCCCCTTAGTTGCCAAACCTGTCGCCTGAAGAAGGTCAAATGCTCAGGGACGGTTCCCTGTCAATATTGTTCTAAGCGAGGCTTATCCTGTGTTCTCCCTCCCCATGGTGTAAGACGGGTTTACTCTGTGACGTACCTTCTTCCCAAGTACCCCTACAATGTATGATCCGTGTTAACGACTAAAAAATCTAGGAGAATTGAGGAACTCCGAAGTCGTTTAGCCAGATACGAGGACCATGGCGAAGCCAGCAATCCCAATGAGAATGGTATGGTAGAAACCCAGCACTTTTTCTTACTTCCTCTCATATCAAGCTGCTCATACCAAGACAGAAGAGGCAAATCCAAGTCTACCGCAAACATCTCCAGCCTTGACGGCTCCTTCGTCGCCACACGATTCCGCGACAAACTCCCATCCCAGGGCTCCAGACATTGTTGTGCCGCCATTCACCCACCCCGGCAGCAATGGACCTCAAACTCCAAATCGAACGGGAGTTGCCCAAACTGGAGGCGACGATACCAGAAATAGCGTTTATGGAAATTCGAATCACTCTAGCACACGTTCCATCTCGGCAGGGGCAGAGGGTTTTGGTGCTCACACCCCGCAAGGGATCCCCGCAGAGTCTTCTTTGAGCTCCAGTAATGCGTTTGGGAGCAAGGTCCAAGATTTGTTAATCAGATCTAGCACAACTCGGTCTGGCGGAACCCAGATCACCACTTCTAGCCCTGGAAACAACACTGTCGGCACATCATCTCTCAGAGTAACCGTGCCGACCGGAAGGTTTCCAGAACTACCACTCGAAGAAGAAGCATATCAACTTTTAGAGGTCGTCAGCTTTTACATCGGTCAATCACAAACCCACTTTGACCAACGGGAGCTGTCAGATCGGGTTGGTCTTCTCTATGCTAACATGAATGACCCAATTCAAGCGCACGACCTCTGGTATATGGAAATGATCCTCATTTTAGCAATTGGGAAGCTATTCACTGCCAATTGTGAGAATGATGGGAGCAAATTTCCCGGATCCCGACTCTTTGAGTTTGCACATCAGAATTTCCCTCCCATCAGTGTGCATTATGCCCACGGTAGGCTGGGGGTTGAGGTTCATGCCTTGATGGCAATGTATCTCCAGATGGTGGATCGTAAAGAAGAGGCCTACCTATACGTGAGTACTAACCATGAAATAAAGTGTCGCTCAATCCATTAACCTTCGACCACTAGATTAGCGCTGCTCTACGATTGGCAGTTCTCCATGGCTATCATCAGAAGGCTACAGGGATGAAGATGCTGCGGTCCGAAAGGGTACAACTAAACAGACTATGGTGGACTATCTACATGCAAGAAAGGTGAGTTCAAAACGAGACTCTCAACTTATGGCAACGTTGCTTACATATCGGATACTAGACGTCTAGCTGCAGCAACTGGAAAGCCATCGGGCATTAATGACGATATGATTGATCTGCCTCTGCCGTCGGACTCAGGTGGTTTCCCCCCAAGTGCTTCTCTCAGGGCCAATGTGAAAATAGCCCGAGTCACAGGTCAAGTGATTGCAGGTAAGTGTGCAGCGTAAATTGCGAGGATTTACCTTTACAATGCTAACTATTACCTCAGTTTTATACGGACCCCCGCATCGAACCGAGGATGATTTCGTGCATAATGTTCAACAAATAATAAGGAATTTATTTGAAATATCCACAGAGATCCCATCTGAGCAACTTTTTAGTTGCATTGGAAACAACTCAGACCTGGCACTTAGGACTACGGCCTCACTACACCTCATGATATACCAGGTATACAGATGAATTAATCCTAATGAACTCGATTAGGGAAATGCTAATGACCTATTATTTCTTACAAGGCGACGCTCTTGACGATTAGACCTCTTATGCTCCACGTAGCTCAACTCATACTGAGTGGTACTCAACCCAACCGCGAGGAACTTCACGCCGGTACTCTTGGGAAGCTATTCAGAACTTGCTCAGAAGCAGCGAGGCGATTATTAAAAGCAATAATTGCGCTTAAGAACAGAAATCTTGTTGGTTAGTTTCCCCCTCTATCAGCTTTAGAACCCCATCCGCTGACTTGAAGTTCTTGTAGCCATCTTTGGATTCTTCGATTGCGATGCGACCTTTTCCGCAGCCTTTATCATGCTACTCACGATGATATTCGACTCGGCCTGTGAACCCGACCAAAGAATTAACCCGACACCAGGATTGCGGGAAGCGATGGAAATTTTGCAGCATCTGGCTGGTCGAGGCAACACATTTGCCATGCAGCGATTTCAAGAAGTGCAGAGTGTTTGGGATCACGTCTCAACCATTCTCGAAGTACCACAAGCATCAATCAACCACCCACTTGCTCAAGACAGCTCGGTACCCAACAACCGTGGACAATTTTACGATAAAGAGACCGCCGTAATAAACCTAGCAGGGAGCCATGAGCACTTAAATCCGAGCACTACCGGCGACCAGCTACGAGAGGATCACGAGGTGGGCACAGCCCACGTTGAAGCTGGCGTCTCTGTGGTGGAGCATCAGTCTGTTCCCTGGGACACGGATATGTGGAACAGTATTTCCGACATTTGGCTTCCTCCTGTCGATGCTAATGCGGCTGAAAGCGCACATGTGGGAAATCTACTTGTGGACCCGCCTATTGAGGACTACTACAACCATTACCAGTCACTGCTCAATGATCCGGATTGGGCATTAACAGGCCAAGATGTGGGAGACTTTGCTGAGCTTCGAAAACATGTGCTGCGTCTGAACTCTTAGAAAATAGTACTTAGTGTAGCTTGCCATGAAGAAACTAGTAGAAAAGATAAGGACCCTAGTCTGAAAAGAGTTACTGGAAGGCCTTTTGAGGACAGTGATACGTTCAGACTGTGACCGTAACAACGAAGAATAGCGACGCGGTATAATCTCGTAAATGTGATCAATATTCTGTGAGCTTCTCCATTTGCAGCTATACATTTAGTAATCCAGCAGTCTAAGAACTCGCAAAAGTTAAGAAGACCGAGTTGATGAGCAGTGATTGAAAAAATAGACGGTATTGGTAATCTAAATGCACTGAATAGAAATACATCGGAGACCGAATTTTGCGAAATGAACAGAGCTATAAATCTTCAAGACAACTTCCAGATACTTCAAACCATTGACATGGCTAGAGTGGGCTTGACTCAATCCTCAGCGTCGCAACTTGCTAATGGTATCCTTCCAAAAGCTCCCATTCCAACGCGAATCTTGAGTGCTCTCCGCCTCCTCGAATTCCCTCCTTCCGGAAACCAAATCCACCGCTTCGGGCGCAATCTTGGTTGTTCCCTTGTAAATCTTCCACCAGGTGATATTTCCAACGAAGAGAAAGCTTCCGAGATACTTGAGAACGAAGACGTCCGGCTTGAAGTGAGGGATAAACGCATCGTAGCCTGCAAGAATATCTGTTAGTACTTTATTTTGGGACTTGAAGGGGCACCAGATATATACCGTTGAAAATGATCACCAGCACGGACATGAATAAGGCGTAATAAGAGCCCCATGGCTGGAACTTGCCGACATAGGGAAGGTCGTTAAGTGAAATGTTCTGAGCCTTGAGTGCATTTCGGAAACAAATGTGAGACACCAGGAGCGCAACCCAGTTAAGCACAGCGAAGACGGTGACCAAGCTAACAAGGTAACCAAAGACCGTTGAGGACGACTTCACGGCATTCATGTAAGCCAGGAGAATGAAGATTGCCGCAGCGCCGACAGCGTAAATGGGGTTACCATTCTTGCGCGCTTTGGCGAAGATAGCAGGCGCTTGTCCGTCTTTGGCGAGTCCGTAGAGTGATCTAGAAGCACAGTAGATATCTGCGTTGTCAATATTTAAATCTTTTTGACTGGAATTGAAGTTGTTGCATACCTGAGCTTGCTGCGCTGAGTGTGAAGATGAGCAGAGACCCGTTGATGATGTCAGGGAAGACGCCAATGCCAGCCAAACTAACGGCAACAACAAAAGGCGATGCAGCTATTTTTAAGTTAGACGACGATGTTTAAATGTAAGAAAGAGTAGAACATGAAACCTACCTCCGCTTGTCGCCTGCTTCGTCGCTCCGATCAGTTTCTCGCTGTTGTATGGCACAGCCATCCCCAAGACGAGAACGCCAAGAATGTAAAAGACTCCAATCCGCCAGAAGGTCTGCTTAATTGCCCGAGGGATGTTCTTTCGTGGGTTCGGGGTTTCACCGAATGTCATACCCACAACCTCAGTACCGGTGAAAGCGAAACATGCCTGGCAAATACAGGCCCAGAACCCAAGAAAGCGACCTGTTGCGCCCTCCGCCAAGTACTCGGCAAAGGCGCCTGGCTCATTCCAATATTTGAATCCGGATCGTTCGTGGTTGGGGCCGCCGCCCATGGCGCAGACGAAGGTGGAGAGAATCAAGGTTGTCATGATCAGGACTTTTGCGAAGCCAAGCCAAAACTCGGTTTCGCCGAAACTGTTGACATGCATCACCTGTGTAAAGGTTAGATGATTGGTGTTGGAGAAAGCAATGGAGAGGAACATACGTTGACGACAACAATTGCAATTCCAAAAATGGTGATCCAGATCGCAACATTGAGGTCAGGTCTCCAATATTGGATGATCAGCCCAGCGGCCGTCAGGTTAGCTGGAGTAGCGATGATGTACTTGAAATAATAGTTCCAACCGGTCGCAAACCTACCGTCTGTATTAGAATCTTGTTATATCGAAGAGTAAAGAGTGTGTACTTACCCGAAGGCTGGATCGACCATCCGGCTTGCGTATCCGCCAAATCCTTTGTTCATGGGAAGGAAAGCAGCCATTTCTCCCAAGGCAGTCATGACGAAAAACACCGTTGCACCGATCATTAGGTACGCAATCAAGATACTCCCAGGTCCACCCCTGGAAAGGGCAGTACCCGAGCCGATGATTAAGCCTGTGCCAATTGCGCAAGCAATCGAGAACATGAACACTTGGTGAGGCTTGAATTCACGGCGGAGTTCATTTGATTGCTCAGACTCGCCCACATGGTTGGATTCGACGGCAGCGAGGTCATGGACCTGCTCCTTCTCGTCGTCAATCAGGGCCATGATGCGAAGGGATTGCCGTGTAACAATTTGTTCAAACAATGAATTGAATGGTGTGTGGAGTACTCAGAGTCGAAGGGAGGATGCCTTGAGAAATCCAAGGAACAGACTGGTATATTTCAACTTCCTTGTTAAGGCGCTTGGATCATGGAGCGTACAGCGTCAGTCTCGGCCATGACAGCCGAAGCCAGAGAAGCGTGATAAGGGGTGGATCCAAGAAACCCGAAATCTGGGGCCCCGCAGTTATTTTGTGCTATTATCGAACCTAATGGCAGACGCGCTATCCTGTTTATCTTCAGCGTGGCGTCATTTGACTTTTGAATCCTCGGTTGTTGATACCGAGCCACGTATCCCTTAGCCAAAACGTGACTAAAATTAGGGGTCTAGAACACCACAGCCCAGTCTTCCGTCGTACTAGCAGATATCAAGCTGAAGTTCACGGGTCAGCGGAGGATAACACGCCACTCTGATGATACCGGGAAGGGAGAGGGAGATAATATGGCTCTATCTCAAACTAAGCGTAGAATTGAGCACGAGAGATTACGATCTGACGATGTTAGAAATTAGAAACGGTGGTATCTCGACTTGATATCTCATGGACCGGATCTTGGAGTATGAAGCAGCACAAGATATACCGATTGTCACGTTTTTATCGAACATGTCTATTATTGAAGACTGCTTTCTACGGCAGATCCAATCTAGCGAGCTCCCCGCACAAATTACAGCACAAGCTACTACAACATTGCCGTCGGAAAGAGAAGGTCCACCGCTGCCCTTGCCATTCCCCTGTGTGGCGATCGAGTCAGTGTTGGTTCCAAAGTGTGGGGCACTTGGGGGAGAAATAATCAACTCACCAGGATGCCTGATAGCCAGCCCCTCCAGCTCCATAATTGTGTATGACAGTCGTGCCATTCTTTCTCTCCTTCTCAATCCGGGCACCGCCTTTCCTCGAAGCTAGCGCGGAGGATTAGGTTCAATCAACAGTGTGTCAAAGGAAGCACTTACCCCGGAGCCCAACTCCTTGCTTCAGAATCCGTAGATCCTCGGGCTTCCCCAACTCAGGAACTAAGGCACAACAGCGCTTCTTAATACCTTCTCCGATTTCTGGATCAAAATTTTCACTCCAATCACCATTGAAACGGCATCCGCCAAGAATTACGCCACCATCTCTTCCTCTTGGGAAGACGTGAGTGCTGTTACTTCCGAGTCGCTCACCGGACCGAAAGGACATCTTCGAAATTCCTCCACGCGGGGCTTCCACGAGATAAATTTGTCCCTGAATAGGCATAGCAGAGTTAGCAATATTCTCCTTGACCCAAGGTATCGAATTGAAAGGTTGGCCACCTTTGCAGGATAAACGTTTGTATCTTTCACTCCTCCTAACGAGAATGCCCCAAGACCTGTGCAATTGAATATGGCGGAAACGTTCGGAAACCGTTTAGGAATATCCGCAATATCGTCAATAATCGCTCTATGAATTTCGACACCAACCATTGTCAACTTTGCTTGAAGCCTAGCCTCTGTCAGCATTCTGAGACCCCAAACCGCCAAGGGGCAGTGTTTCGTACCAGGGCAAATATTTCTGGACATAGATGACAAATGTAGATATCTCAAATCCAAATCTGGCTCCTTCGGGGAGCTGTCCATGTTCGAGATGTCTGATTCCACCTACAAGACCGTCGTACCAAACCTTACCCGTATGCTCGCTCAGAATGTTGACCTTGCTAATGTCGGGGCGGAATCACCGGGTATCTCCCTTGCGAGAATGGTAATCTTCGCAAGAGGTCGGCGTTGTTTCAGTTCCAGAGCGGTGGTCAAGCCGACGACGCCGGCGCCAATAATTACGTAGCTTTGGCTAATGGCTGACATGGCTGTGATCCGAGTAAGTTGCATGCAGTTGAAAGTGTGTCTCGAAGAGAATCAAGGAGTGAATTGATTGCGTTGCTGATACATTTATTACGGATTAATTGGACTTCGGAGGAGTTGGCAATGCATACGATGATTCCGAATGTCCATCGGCTTGACGTGTCGCGTGAGGCCTCGGAGGTCGACTCCGAGGGTGGATTCGCAGCAAGCTGGGTGCATGGTGGACACTCCCTAGCTTCGGGATTCACCTAACTTATCTGTCGGATATAAACTACCAAATTTTCATCGCCATAAGGCTTTTGTCTAAATCTGAAATAATTCACACTAATTATAGTCCTGCTACACGGAGAGTGCTAATGGCCTCCTCAAGCTGGCCTAGAACAACCTTGTACACTTCATTACGAACCATTTGATCTCGTAGTGAATATTTCCCCAGCCCAAAATCGCAGTTGATAAGCTGTGTTGTGATGGTCTGGTACTCACGTCCGAGAAACCTCAAGTCTCTCACTCGATTTCTAACCTCCTTATGGGAGCTTATATCAATAGGCTCCCATAAACCAATCTGTAGTAAAACAACCCCAAGCCCCCAGAGCGTAATGTTGTGAATGCCATGGTCTGTCATTCCTTCGCTTAATTCACGTCTCGTGGAACGTGGACAGGAAGCATTCGGGCAAAGCGTCGAGGTGAGGTGCAATGTCTGCAATGAGTTGCTTAGATCCTCTTCTCCCGTCTCAAAATAAGACACGTCATACGGTGTCCAATCCTCCGGCCACCAAAGAGTAGAATAGAGCTGGAGAGCAGACTTGACCAAAGTGGCAGCCAGCCGAAGGCGCTGCACATCGGATAGCGCTTCGTCTAGTGGCAGCTGGAAAATCCTACTCAGCTCCACCGGCCTTCCGACTATGGCGTTCTCTCGTCTGCTGCTTATGTGCCCAGGTAAGAATTGATGTGAAAATTCATCACTGTCTAGACGTAAGACGCTACCAGAGCGCAAGTGCGCGCAAATGTCTTGCTTCTCTGGGGTACCGCTCGGTACCAAACGGATGGAGTCCGATAGTTCAGATTGGCTTGTCTCTGGCGTTGAAACGCTCGCGTAGGTAGAAGTGCCATCTTGTGAACTTTGGGCAGTATCCGCGAATCGTACCTTTCTCCTCTTCACCTGTCGCTGGGGCTCTTCCATCGACAATGAATCAGGGGTCTGGAGTCCCAACTGGCTAGAGCGAATACAGTACTGTCTCAAGTGTCTATCATCTGGGTTAGTGAATCAGTAAACAAGGGTTAAAGTTCCATTTTTAAGAGAGACATTCTCGTTACTCTCAGCCCTTTCCTGGGATTTACTTCCTAGAGAAAAAGAACAACTTACAGTTCACCCGTGTCATTTTGAACTTCATTGTGAACGAGAATGTCGAGGCAAGCATGTTGATCCCACCTGTTTTCCCAAGGCAAAACTAGTTTTGCTGTGTGTCCGAAGTGTTCAGGATTAGAACATGACCATTTTCTTGTCAAGACTTGGTACAAGGACGCCGAAGCGTCTCTGGTCTGTTTGTAATGGGTAGGCAGACATGCAGACTTCGTAGGCACTAATCGCTGGAGTTGTTCTTCATCAGCTATATTTCGAAGGTCCCGTAGGGTTTCAACTAGTCCCTTGAGACTCTCAAGATCCTTCTCCTTTCCTTTTAGATTGGTGGCAACGTCAATTCGATTTTGAGTCCGGTGGGCAACTGAGCCGCCCTAGTCTTGGTAAATTCCCACTCATACGATCCATAGCTCGGTATAACTCACTTCTTTTCCGTGATCATCAGTAACATCAAATCGACTGAAGAATTCCTCGAAACCTTTTAATTTCTGGCAGGCATCTTCCAATGTGGCTATAAAGAGTTCTCGAGAGTATCCAAGGTAGGCATCAAGTCGACTTTCTAAATCTGACGACGATAGAGAGGAAAGGGTGAAGTCTTGTGAAAAGGTATCTGCACTTTCAGCTTCCTTCGATGCTTTTATTATGACTTTGTCGCATTCAAAGCGTAGTTTGAATGCTTGTACTCCGTACTTCGTCCTTAAGTCTCTGACTTCGTTGACATAGTGACTGGCGGCCTTCGCCTTAGGCATAAGGGATTTGCCCAATTTTATAGCTTCCCAGCAAAGAGGGATAATGGCAAGAGCTTCAGCCATATGCGCGAGGGTAGATGTAGAAGGGGAAAAATTTGCGTTGCTGTAGAATTTACTCGCATCTATTTCCCCGCGCCTCATCATTCTATCCATTGGTCGAATTTTGGGGCGTTGTGCATAAACACATGTTAGGCAACCAGTATTGGCATAATCCGTGGCAGTTTTTGATTGGCGTAAGTTGGGTGGTCGTCGAGGCATATGATACAATCAGGCTACGAGGGGCAATTCCTGACTTTTAATTTCACATCCTTCACCATTTGCTTTGGGATCGCTCATACTTTACGATGAAACGCCGCGCAGAGGGAGATAAGTTTGAAGATCGAGTTGAAGAATGGCAGCGAAATTTGCCTGCAGCGCCTTTGCCAGACGACCTCGGCATCGCTGCTCGGGTTTACCTGGCCTGCTCCAAGCTCTACAAGAGTATCCTCCAACGACTTGTCTCACGAGCCGACATTGGGAAGCCTTTATATCGTAACATCGAGCGAAGTTTCAGTACTTTGGTACTTTGGGCTAAGACGCACGAGGCTCCTAACGGAACCCTTGATCGAGCCCTCCTGCAATCGTCAGATCTGCGGGCATTGACACTCGGATTTCTGGTTGACATAAGCCAGATACTCACACAACGTAAAGTAGTCTTGAAAGATATTGTGTCATTTAATTGCTAATCATGCTTAGGTCTGGTTGGGGCTAGTGGCCTACTACTGGATGACGGGATCACGCTCCTGTCCAAAACCACACATGACCTTGCTAGAGAAGGGTTGAGGCTGATTCTCACCGATGATCAAGACGAATACAATGCTGAGAACTCATACAATTCCCCGCCCGAAGACTCCCTGGAAAGGATCGCATCCAATTTGCGTTCCAATGTGGAGTGTCTTGTCGACCTTGGGCCATTGATTGAGGATCTTCAGGTTGAAGAGCCTGGCATCATAGATAATCGGCCGGAACCAGAGACATTCCATCTGTCTTGTCATGAGGCATTAAGTTACTGCGGAATGATCAGAGACCGCTTTCGCAAGCTTCCCTTGACTTTGGTTGAACGCCTGGGGGAAGCGAATGCGCAGCGAGCCGCCATGATCCAGGAACGCAGGGATGCTCCTCAAATGAAAGATGAACAAATCATCGAAGACATTGAAGAGTCTCTTTTCTCCGAGAGCGCGCCAAGATTTACTGCAACGACGAAATCTACATTGAACTCAGGTTCCGTTTTTGACTCTGCGTCTATCAACCAGACAGCTCCCAACGACACTGCCTCGAGAGCCACTTTTGCGTCATTCTCAACTACACTCTCAACAATAGACCGCGGCCTCCCGCGGATTCCACCCCTGCCCGAAGGGGCGAGTGAGGGAAAGCCATTCGATTGTCTCACTTGTTCCAACCAGCTCAATGGCATCACGAGCAGACCCGCTTGGAAGTAAGGCATTGCCCAACCTCTCCATTTATTGTTCGCTAATAGATGATGCTAGAGAACATATTTTCGAAGATCTTAGCCCCTATGTATGCACTATTGAAAACTGCGACCAAAGTTCTGTACTATTCAAATCGAGCTACATCTGGTCGATACACGAGGCTAGCCACCAGTTTCTCAGTGGAGACTGCCCATTCTGCACGACACGAATGACAGAAAGAAACTCAGACTATTATAGGCATGTCTCTCGCCATCTTCGAGAAATATCTCTCGCTGCACTTCCAAGGACATTGGCCACCTTAGACGAAGATACGGACTCCTCATCAACTTCCGCTATTGTGCCGACTGTGCAGACACAGTCTTCGTCGAAGAAAGCCAGTCCAGCCGCCATTGAGGAGTCGGCCCTGGGGCACCGCCTAGACGCTGAAGCCCCTACAAGATCTAACGTCTTGATGGATAAGGACTTCGTCAAACCGCCCAACCTTGAAGCCATTTCGACCCCAAGCATCGACGCCTTCATTCCTCGTCTATCGTCCGAAGATCAAACACCAGCCGCCTCAAGGTCAGCCATACCCGAAATGAGCGTCTTGGAGACATCTCAGTCACCTACTCCGGGTGTCAATAATGAATCCATGAAAGAAAGTAGCGACCGGAATAGCCAGCCTTTGCTATCGTCACGAACATCGAGGCGGGGTCAAACCCAAACGCGTTCGCTGAGCCTGGCTTGCCCCTTCTTTAAACGTGACCCCAAAGAGCATGGGGGCTGTGTATCGAAACGTTTAACGAGAATCAGAGACGTCAAGCAACATCTCTCCAGAATACACGCACCACGTTTTTACTGCCAGCGCTGCTTTTTTGTCTTTGACAAGGAGTACAGCCACCAAGAACATGTTACCAACGCTAACTGCACCCACGACCCATCTGCGCATTTGATGCGCGTATCATATGACCAGCTAAGGGAACTTAGCCGAAAGAGCAAGCCTAGCCTTTCCGAAACGGATCAGTGGTTTGCTATCTGGGACATATTATTCCCGGGTGAAGTAAAACCTGATTCCGTCTTTATTGACCCATCCTTGTCTGTGGAGATGAGCATCTTCAGAGAGTGTTACCAAGGCCTCGGTGTGGCAATGTTACGCTCAGAATTACTTTCTTCAGAAGCCTTTCTTTCATCAACGCCGGAAGCTGAAAGGGAATCCAGACTGAGCGAAATAATAAGTCGGGACATGCGCAATTTTTACGACAATTGGCGGACAATCGATGATAAAGTCACCCGGATGACCACAGTTGAAGCGCCGGAGGTTCAAGCATCAGAGGGTCATTTGGTGGACAATAGCTCTGTATCGAAGAGTCAGGAGCTGTTGAGTGAACCCCCAGGACATGGCTTCTCAGATGCTGAGAGGGACGCCGATTTCTGGACTCTTCTCGCGCAGAACCAGGATGGCACCCCACTACCGAACATGACAACCTTCACACCTTCAGTCACTGGCGATATTCAACCGGGATCCTCTATTCAGACCATTGGGGATGATGGAAACCATGAAGAGCGTGCCGGCTATGGCGGGGCACACTCTGTCGATACTCTTTTGGACTTCAGCCGGGGGCTGGGTGATAACTTTGAGCTGGACAAAAGCCTATTTGACGATCCATTTGGGGAGCTAGATAAGTAACTTGAGTCATTTCTGGAAAAATTATGGAGATGTAGAGCCGAACGAAGACGTTCGCTTTAGTGCTGATTATCTTGCATCGCCCACGGCCATAGCTAAACTGCTCGTGCGGCCCACCATGAATCAATTATTCGGACAGTGCCGTAGTTCTAGTGCAATTATGGGCTCGAGTAAACCGCCCAGATAGACAATTGCTTGAGATCACCGTAACTAAGAGATGCAATCCATCTGCCTGCACTGATCATCAATTCTTCAAGCATTCCCTCAAACTGAAACGACGAAGCTCGCACTTCTCTGAACTAGCATGCCTTCTGATTTATAATAACGCTGGTTTAGTTGTATTTCGGATGCGACATGCAAAGTAGGAGTCTCTAGTGATGGTCGAGACTGGCACAGCTCACTCACAAATCCTTCTACTACGGTCAACCACCCATTTCGCGCCATCCCTAGTCTACACCCAGTGCATCAGGCCATCCCCGACTTAACGGCAATCTTACTAAATAAGCAGTTGTCTTTGCGGGCAGTGTCATTACCCACAGACGGCAAGGCTGCTGCCCAAGGTCAACAAGGTCGGCGACAAAGGGATTGAATTGACAGCTTGAGGTGATTGACAAGTGTGCAACCACCATATCGTATGAGCTGCGGTATCTTCTGGGGCTAGGTGCAGTGCCACGTATCTACCCATATTGCTTGCATTGCCTTGATGTATGGAGGATATCGAGCAAAAGCAAAAGGGAAGTCACAACAGCTGCCACACTTCCAACCGAGATGACAGTGGTGGGCGGAGATGATACGGGCTCGCCCAGGGCGACCAGGATTCACTCGCCGTCATGTTCTCGAATGTCTACTGAGCGCAGATGGATGCGTGAACAGAGCTCGCTCAGGTATCTGACGAGAGCGTACTACTTTCAGGCGTCGATTAGGACTAAAGCCACCTGGATGTGTCTCTTCGTGTCCAGCAGAGCCGGGTCAGGCCATCCACAGGTTTATGGGCTTCCCAGTCCATTCGACGTCTGGACGGGAAATCGAGCGGCTTCTCCGCTCGCTGGACCCTAATTTTACGGTAGAACAAACTAAAATACCAAGATATCCAAGAAGTGTCGAGAACACCCCACAGTCACAAACCTCTGAGGTCGCAAGTGGCTGATAGGAAGGCGTTCACGTTACTCTGGGAGGCCGGGAACGGAAGGAGATCCAAGGAGGTCAGGATAACCCTCAGCAAGCCGCAGTGCGGAGCCGCCGTTAAAGTATATTTTACATAGTAAATTATACCCTACAATGATGATGAAGAAGAAAAATCTCTGTGAGTAGGCGCGAGGGAAAACGAGTTTTTATAATGAAGTTTGCGGCAGAATGGCGCTATTCCGCTTTCGTCATTTCACGTGACATGGGCGACCTGGACTTCTGAAAATTTACGTTGCGGCCCCTGCACGTGGGGCCAAAAACACTGGCCAACCTCCTCAGAAAAACTCTTCTCCGCTGTTTGACAGGGAAAGGCGTCAGTTGTCATCAGAGATGCAAGCGTCAAAGATTTCACCTTCCAAGCCACATTTACCTCCATAGCCACGCGCGTCAGCGATTCACTCAATCGAAGGGGAAATAATGTGTTGTGTTTTGGAAAATAATATGTGACAACTTCATGTGTAAAGACACAAAACAGCCTGCCTAGATCTCTTTGGGTCCAGCAGCCAAATGCCTGATGGGTCTTTTCCGCAATAAAATGGGTCGAAATAATCTCGGTTCGGCCACATCTTGCAAGACATTCAGCAGTCTCTCAATGCGATTGGTCCCTGTCATGTTCCGTTGCTCTCCCGGTCCCGTCTCATATTCCCTGGGTCATTGACACGCCGGCTGCGAACCTGGCCACTCGCTAGTGCATAATATTCCTCGTCCATTGTGTCCATTCTTCGAAACTTGAGATTTTCTGTGATGATAATAACATAATTGCCATGCAAACTCCTTCCTTGGGTCTTAATGGTACCTTGAAAATTAGATATCGGCTATTAGATGTTTTCTTTCGGCGTCCTTATATGTGCATGTGTGTATTGCCATTAGCCGCCGATAGGTCCAAGAACTCTCGCGTTAAACAACGCTTGGCTGGAAAACATAGACTGGACTTTTATTGCTTGCTGCTTGATTATTTTCTCAAACGAGGAAACCCACGGGAGCCACGTTAGACAGAAGTACTACGCCTAGAATCTACCCCTAAAGTTAGACGGCATCTCTCACAAAAGATCGGGAACTAATGAGGAAGTCTAATCCTAGTCTCTAAGAGTCCGAGAAAGGTATGATATTTTGGGCATTGTATTCCCGGATAAGCCACGGCATCCTTCGGCCTGTATAAATCTCGATATATGCGAAGACCTTTGCCAGTGTGTTGGATTTTCCTAAAGCAACGACCGTTCACCTTGCTTGAAGAACTACAAACTCGTGAGATTTTATCATTGTCAAACAAAGATGTAACCTCAACTCTTCATGGAATACTCGGTCGGGGGTTGGATAAACTACACGAAGAGTGGCTGCTAACTAACACTTCTTCTAACCATCCAACACTGCCCGATTCTGGAAATTTTCGACCAAGCCAATTTGAGACACCCGGGCAGCATATAGTAGTATATCATTAAGGAAATTTGAATAGCTCCGCGATGGGCGGCAACGTGTTTTAAGTTTGATCAGGGCTAGGATCAGCAACGCGACACATTCCTTAATCCCCAGCAAGGCTCTGTTCTGCTGAGGAGCGTGTTCATACTCCCCAAATCAGGCTAGTATGACCGATGAACCATCGCTCTAAAGCTTTAATTGTACCTACAGCCAAAGAAAAATGTCTCTCTTAACGAGGTCTCGTCAATAATTTCTCAAGAGCTTTAGTACTCCAGCCTACCATCGCGAAAAGCCTAGTGCGTCTCTGAACTAATTCACAACGCCCTTTTGGTAATACTTAAGATTCAATGTGGAATATTTAGGCTATAGAGGTGTTTAATCGAGACTGGCACCAGCCAAGAGTGACCGTACGAATTAATTGATCCTGTCTGCTTACTTAAAATCCTTGCAACTGACTTCCTATTTGTCGCCATACCAACTCCAAAGGTTCCAAACACACTGCAACATCACGCCTTTCGTGTCGAATCATTCTGAGTCCATCTACTAACTGTACAAAATCCTTCTCAATAAAAAAGAATGCCTCGTTGATAAGTCACAATGGACTTCAAAACTTTGACACTATCATTGACTCTGATAGGCGGCATTTTAACGTGATCCTCCCAAATATATCCATCTTTTATACGTCACCAAATTATCCAATAATAGTATACCATGAACGAAAACATCGGTATCTCTCTACCATTTCTCCATCTCATGCGCTGGCGAGTGGTCCAGACATGATAACTGATCCATCTTCAGGTCACTAACCTGAGTAGAGTGCAGCTGCTGCTTCAGTTCATAGTAGCGAATTTCATCATGTCCAGTGAGGATCATATTCGGGTCCAAGTATCGATGGGTTTGAAAATAATGTTGGCATTGTCTGGTTTCACCAAATTATGGTTAGTATGAAATCACATGTTTTTCAACAGTATTGTCGAAAGTTACTTACGGTCAGGGCAGCCCATTCTCTGGAGGGCTGCTAGCAGTTGTTTCATGTCATAAACGGTAACGGCCATCTGAATACATACTGTCAGCCAAGTTAAGAGGAAATTGGGGCGACGCTGGTATGAGAAATCTTATGTACCTTGAAACAATGGGTCTGAGGACTTGTATTATCAAGGTATATAGTATGGAAGCCGATTTCCAATAGTGGTTGGTTGCTAATATGACTGTGTTTGGTCTCGGAGTGGCGTATATCTTTGTACGGACTGGATGACTTTGTCGAAGTGATCAACTTGATAAATCCGAGGATCAAGAGATAAATACAGGTTTCTATGGGCCTTTGCAACTTCACTTAGGGAAACCAGCTGTTATGAATGAGAGAAACGGACCATTTCTTTTCTTGCTCCCAAATTCGGTTCAAATTTTGAAAGGGCTTCTGAACAATGAACACTACTGTCCCATGAAGTCCATTCTGAGATTAACACCTGCTGATATCTGAACAAAGAGGATTTTTTATGTGTTTTGACTCTAACACATTTTGACAATGTGTTGAAAAATTGATATAGAGACTGACAAAGCCTAGTATATGAACAAGGAAGCTTTGTTCTTGTCAGCTAATGGCATGCTCGAGATTGATGAATAAAGAGTTCACATTTAACCAAGGAGGTAACTTTCACCTTCACTAGGATAATACACCATGACCGATTTGTTCTTGTTTCATTTTGCCGACTCATCTAATGTTCGAGCGCCCACAGTTAATTGTGCAGTCATGAAGGTGATTTTCACAGCTCATACCGAATGATCTGCAAAGTTGGCGCAACCAAGAATGCACAAACAGTTACAGCAAGGTCAATGAAGCCTCCGACCAGCTAGTACATCATGTTGCGGACGACGAGTCCGAAGTAAGAGATGTCGTCATTTTGTGCCAATGAAGTATCTTGTTCCTAAAGCATGGCATTCGGTCTTTGAACAAGTTTAATTTAGAATTTTTCCTCTCCATGAGCCATTGGAGGGAAAGGATCAAATTCTCCTAGAGATCACGGCCCTGAAATTCTTTGTTTTTGATGTCCCCACCTTGAGCACAAAGGAACGACACGTTGCGGCGGCGTCGATTTGTAGATCAATTTAGTGTGTACGAGCGTGCCTCAGGAATGACAATCATGCGTGCTACCTAACCGAACAAACAAAGAAGTCTGGACCAACCCATTCTCAACACACGACTGCCACTCCCTTCTTGCACCACGCTCCTCCATTCACCTTACCCAACCGGACTTTTTGAGAAGCTGTCGCGAAACGCCGACAAGATGACGACAAAGAGGAAAGCTAAGACATCAGTGCCAAGGGGAGCAAAGGCAGCGAGAACCTCATACCTCTCAACACCTAGAGTCCCAATCTCTGCCACCGTTGACAATGACAACAAGACCAACACGGATCCGGATAAGGACGATTCGCCGGTTGACGAACTTTTAGAGCGCGATATCAACAAAAACATAGATTTGTTTTCGCTCAACCGACACCAGAAGAAGCATGCTATTTCGAAGCCACTCTCGCATATTTTCGGAAACAAAGACTTTTCGTATCTCACCCTCAAGAGAGATCATCAAAACAGGCCGCTCTGGATCGACCCAAAGAAGGGTAGGATCATCCTGGAGAGCTACAATCCACTCGCAGAACAAGCCCAGGACTTCCTCACCACCGTTGCCGAGCCCTTGTCGCGGCCGACCCTTGTACATGAGTATGCCCTCACAACGCATAGCCTGTATGCTGCTGTCTCTGTTGGCCTTTCCCCAAATGACATTATAGGGACACTTGACCGATTTCTCAAGACGGAACTACCGGACGAAATCAGAGCCTTTATCAACAGCTGCACGCAGAGCTACGGAAAGATCAAGCTGGTCTTGAAGAACACCAAGTACTATGTGGAGAGCCCAGACCCGAACATGCTGCAGATGTTGCTCAAGAACCCAAAGATTGGACCTCTTCGAGTACAGGGAACAGAAGAAATCACCACATCTGCGGCGCCTAAGGTTGGAAGCCTTGCCATTCCAGGGACCAAGGACGCAGAGGGAGTCAAGCAAGCAAACGGAGAGCAGCCGCAAGCCAGTGAACTTGGACGAGAAGACAACGCCCTCACCAAATTGACCGAGGATGACGACGAAGACGAAGAAGTGACCCATTCGTTCGAGATCCCAGACAGCAATGTTGAAACAGTACAAAAGGAGTGTCTTAACCTCGGGTATCCGGTTCTCGAGGAATACGACTTCCGGAGAGACGAAGCCAACGCAACCCTCGATATCGACCTGAAGCCCGGCACACAGATTCGCCCGTACCAAGAAAAGAGCCTCAGCAAAATGTTCGGTAATGGCCGAGCCAAGAGTGGTCTAATCGTCCTGCCCTGTGGTGCTGGCAAGACCCTTGTGGGAATTACAGCTGCCTGTACTATAAAAAAAGGCATTGTTGTCCTTTGCACCAGCTCTATGTCTGTGGTTCAATGGAGGCAGGAGTTTTTGAAATGGTCAAACATCAATCCAGATGATATCGTCGCCTTTACGTCGGACTCAAAAAGGGGTTCGATGTTTACTGGAAGCACCGGAATTATTATCACCACTTATTCGATGATTACCCAGTCAAAAACCCGGTCTCACGACGCTGACAAGATGATGAGATTTCTGACCGGCCGCGAGTGGGGTCTGATGCTTCTTGATGAGGTCCATGTGGTGCCAGCCAATATCTTCCGCAAGGTCACATCGACGATTAAAACACACTCAAAGCTAGGACTTACAGCCACACTTCTTCGGGAAGATGATAAGATCTCAGACCTCAATTTCTTAATTGGGCCGAAGCTGTTCGAGGCCAATTGGATGGAGCTGTCTAAGCAGGGTTACATTGCGAAGGTTCAATGTGCCGAGGTCTGGTGCCCGATGCCGACAGCCTTTTATGACGAGTACCTCAAGGCGCCCTCTCGCAAGAAGAACTTGTTGTATATTATGAACCCTCGCAAGTTCCAGGCCTGTCAGTACCTCATCAATTATCACGAGTCCAGGCGCGATAAGATTATCGTCTTTTCGGATAACGTTTACGCTCTTAAAGCCTATGCGTTAAAGCTCGGAAAGGCCTTCATTTATGGGGGCACAAGCCAAGAGGAAAGACTACGGGTTCTCGAAAATTTTCAGCATAACCCTCTAGTCAATACACTGTTTCTGTCGAAAATTGGAGACACATCCCTTGACCTACCCGAGGCTACATGCCTCATCCAAATCTCCTCCCACTACGGATCACGCCGCCAGGAGGCTCAACGATTAGGGCGAATCCTCCGAGCCAAGCGCCGAAATGATGAGGGTTTCAACGCATTTTTCTATTCTTTGGTGTCAAAAGATACACAAGAAATGTACTTTTCTTCGAAGCGACAGGCTTTCCTCGTGGACCAAGGCTATGCTTTCAAAGTCATCACGCAGCTCGCGAATGCAGAAAATCTACCCGACCTCGCATTTGCCACGAAGGCTGAGCAACGTGAGCTGCTGCAGAAATTATTGGTAGAGAATGAGACGGTGGATGAGGACACCACGGACGACCTGTTTCACAGTGGCACGATCGGCGGCCGGGAGAGAAAGCTGGCAGTTGCGCGCCGGACTGCTGGAACACTCAAAGACCTGAGTGGTGGCCAAGACATGGCGTACATTGAACAGAACAAGCGAGCGGGTCAGAAGAAGACGTTTACCACGCGCCGAACCACCAAAACACCCAGCCAGCCACCTGGCGATCAAGACGTGAAGAACACCAGACAGAACAAACGAGCAGGTCTGAAGAAGATGCTTAACACGCGTCGAACCACCAAGACACAAAGTGAGCCGCCTGGCGACCAAGGTGTGACGAACGTCGAACAGAATAGGCCCGGCGGTCAGAAGAAGATGGGTGCGACGAGCCAGGCTGTCGAAACACTTGGCGATCCAAGTGGAAGCCAAGACACGGCAGGCATCAACAAGAATAAGCAAGCGGGCCAAAAGAAGACGACCAATGCGACCACCAAGAAGAAGAAGGCAGAGAGCAACCCATTCTTCAAGAAGATTAACCGGGAAAACGCAAGACGAGCGGCTAGAAGATGAGCCAGTTCAGGATGTGATGTGCACGAGTTCTTGGCGGTCTTTTGTTAGGGATTTGGCGATCAGTTCAGGGTTACGAAGGGGCTGGCGTAAATAATCATGTCTTGCGTTGTGTTTACACTCATTTTGATATCGCGCAGTCTCGGTGAAGAAATGATTTCGCAAGTCCCACAACCTCATGCCGTATTCCTCCCATTCTCATTAATCATCTTGAGGCTGCAATAAATGGATACAGTTACTTGGTTGAAGCTGATGCAGTAATTTTAGCGAACCTAAGCTTGTGGTGAATGTCAATCTCGACCTGTTTCATTTGTGATGTGTGCAGTAGAGCTATTCAGATGGCCAAATCCCTTCAATGATCAAGTTGTTTCTCAAATCCAAATAGACTCTCCCCATCGCCTGCACTCAAAACCACAGCTGTATATCCTGCACAAATGATGCATCTGGCAGGAATAAGTACGTCACGGTTCAATGTGACTAGCTGATATGCAACATCGTTATGCTATTGAGGGAAGTTCATGGACTTTTGAAGACTTGGCAGAAGGCAAAGCCTAAAAGAAATTTCAACGAAAGGTTCAAATAGAACTGACAGCTTGGCTTGTTTCAAGTAGCCTGCGGCACGAAGAAAATAAACCCATGGACGCATGGGCTTGGCAAGGACGTACGATTTAGGGTCTGACATGAAGGGAGCAGCACAAAGATCAGCAAGCTAAGACGAACGAGTAACCAAAACACGGACGAGGTTAGTCAAGGCCCAACGAAGGCTGATTGCAGATGCTGGGCCAGTGGAGCAGTGATTGCTTCGCCCACCAAGACTAGCATAATCAGGCAGCGTTGCTAGGGAGAATATGCATCAGACGAGAAGTGGGTGCAGACTCTCGCGATTGCGTGTAGCCAATGGACGTGACGATGCGCCGCGCAGTTACAGCTCCAACTTCACGCTCAAAAGCTGCCGCAGTTGACGAAGTGTATCGGCACTCATCGTGACATTGATGAGCTCCGAGCCCTCGAAGCCATTCGAGGTAGCCACGTCTGGGTTTGGGTAGTACCAGCACGCAATGGCAATGATGACGTATACGACCTATGGTTATTAGTCCCTGTAGACGCTCAAGTTCGATGGGTACACATACAACAAGCAAAGCTCCCTCAAGCCAGTTCGATTCTCCGTCGCGAAGGAAGTTGCCCACGACGAGAATGGAGAGGACGAGTAGGGCAACCATGAAGATTTCGAAGTTGAGATCCATGGGCTTTCCCATTGCCCAACCGATGAGGACAACCAATGGGCCGTTAAATAGGGCGGTCTGAATGGATGGGCCAAGGCAGTGGTACAGGGCGACATTGATGACACCATCTGTGACAGATTAGCAAAGTTCAAGTCAAGCAGTCAAGGAAGTTAACATACCCCAGGCCTCGTCAATGGCGGTCAAGTGTTCAGCTGCCTTCTCAACAAGCGGGAGCAGAATCAATCCCAGAAACTGGTCCGGGATACCGCTCTCTACAACGTGCTCGATCTTCTCGACAAGGAAGACCAGGAGCAGGGTCACAAAGGATAGCGAGATGAGGAGCGCAACGACGACCTCGGTCATGGTGAACTTGGGCTTCTCCATATCCGTCTCTCGGTCGGCATCGTGGTGCTCGTCCATCTCAATGACTGCGTCAAAGATACTGTGGTGGCTGCTGGCCTGGTACCAGATGAACAGAACAAAGGCAACCATCAAGGCGATGGAGGTGGCCTGGCTGATGCGCACGACGTCCTCCTGCAGCTTTTCCTCGGTCAACTTTTCATGGAGCGTCCAGAGTCCATGCGAGCTCTTGACAACCTCGGCCTTGAGGGCCGAGTAGAAGGCGCTGGGGATGAGCAGGCCGAAGGCGGCAACCAGCAAGAGCCCAGTGCCAACCTCGGATACCACGGGATGGAACTTTTGGCTGACGCGGCGCAGTCCGCCGACGAAGAAGCAGAGGCCAAGACACAGCAGCAGATTGGTCAAGATGCTGCCGAGGATGGCGGCTTGGATGATGGGAATCAGGTTGCCTTCATCGCCATTGTCCTCAGAGCCGCTGGCGTCATGCTTGGCAATCAAGACGACAAACAGGATGATCTCAATGATGGAGCCAAACGTCGTCTCAATCAGAATCCCCGCGACCTTGGGCATCTTGCGCGCAAACTCCTGACCGGCGAAGCCCAGCAGGTTCGCCGACGGAATGACGGCGATGTACGCAGTGGCGAACTTCCAGAGATGCAAGCCAGGGAGGAAATGCAGCACAATGGCGAGCGGCACAAAGGGCCACAGCACGTTGACCAGCATGGACGCGGTGCACGAGCTGCGCCAGAGGACGGCCAGGAAATGCGTCGGGTGGAAGCCGCTTCTGCCGCTCTCGCCCTCGTTCTCGTGGCCGCCATGGTGTTCGTCGTGATGCTGCGCGACGTGGTTGGAGATGGTTGGGAGGAGCGGGGTCGACTCGTCGTGGCCCGCGCCGCCCGAGTGCGCGTGGTTGCTCGCCATGGTGAGTTGAGGTGCGTTGGAAATGCCTGAAATAGCACAAAAGCTGGGTTGAGTCAGTGCAAGTGGCGATGCAATTGCAAGTGGCGATACAATTGTCAATGCCGCTGTCAATTTAAACATCAAAATAAGGGGGTGGAGAAGAATCTGTCTCGTGCTCCGCTTGGGATTGAAAACGCGCTTCGCGTCATTGTTGATCGTCACTGGCGGTGGCGCAGCCAGGTCTAGATCGTCTTGAGGAAAGTTAGTTTGTTGTTGTTGTTGTCGCTAAAGTGAGACACTACGAGTGCCTGAGGTTTACGGCTTCCAGGTTGGTCTGCTACTTGACTCCAATTGAGTGCTACTGGCCTCCAATTGAGTACTACATGACGAAATTTACAATTGTCTGTCATTATGTGTTCCTCAATCGGTAGGCTAAATAAAAGAAATCCTCAGCTACCATGGCAGCAACCAACTTGAGTAGAGTGACTAGACACAATGGTCAATACCTACCTAAAGAGTTTATTAATAAAATCTGTTTAGAGCAATTATAAGAAAGACAGGCAGGCGGATGAGGTGTACTATAAGAAGAAGCACGGCGAGTGAAAGAGGCAAGATAGGTGAGGGTAAAGCTAATTTTTATTGCTAAGATACACCATGTTCGGTACAGCTTGAAGGCCCAAGACTACACTCATTTAGGAGCCTTTAGCTAGTGATTTGTGCTGCGATAGCGTAATGCATCTTACGGCTACGTCGGATAAGACCATGATAGGGTTGCTGAGGACCAAGAGGCCCTGGGCGGCGCGGCAATAGCCAGTAACTTAACGAGCACAAGCGCAGCGAGGACGGCTAAGGAGACACTTACAATGACGGAAAAACCTCATTCCGTTTCTGGATCTATATTCTCATAGGCCGAGTCACGACGGAATATCCCCTGCTCCGTTACTAGGAGGCTTGATAGGCTCTCGATTGTCAGCCTCGCCGCCGTGGCTGCATTCTGGGCGTCGGTGAGTCTCGTTAGGCACTCGTCGAGCATCCCACACCTTGCAAATTCCTGTCAATTCCAGACTGGCGTCCGCCTACCATCTTTGATGAAGCCAAACCCATTCCGACAGAGATAGATCAGGCAGCAGCTAATCGCTCGACGCAGCACCTCAAGGGAATGGCCAGCTCTTCGCAACCTATAGCGGTCGGTGGCCGTGTGAAAGGTCGTCATGTTGTTGCATCATTATTCAATCGTCGATTCTCAGGCGCCTCCGCTCCAACTGCCCCTGTTCTAGCGCTACAAGTTGTTGCCGCACCAAGCCCAACCATACCCCCCGATCCTGCTACGGCTGGCTCAACACTAACCCAGAGCACTGTAGAGCCTGATCTCTGGCTTGAAGCTTATCAAAAGGCGGACGAGAGGACGAGAAAGTGGATCGGGAAGCTTTCCCCAAGTCACGACGACGCAGCGCACGTTAAGGAACTGGTGGCCCTCGTTCGGAAAAGAGAGCAAGAATACAAGAACACGACGCCAAAGATCAAGGTTGGAGACCGCGAGATCATATGGAGGGACCACGCAGATCGGGTGGTGGCGTGGATGACGGCAATTGGCGACATCGCGGTCCAGTTCGCCCCTGCGCCATGCTCGGCGATATGGGCAGCTCTGAAAGTCCTTCTGGAGGTATTTTCGCACAGAAGTTGGATCTACCGCTTCCTCATTACTAAGTAACATGGTAGGCAAATGTCTCTCAATGTGAGGACCTTGTCGCCATCTTCGGGTGTGCCGAAAGAGTTCTCCGTCTGGTGAGGAGGGGCAAGGTCTACGTGAGTGTGTACATTGTCGGAGCTGGTGCCAATATCGCAACGGAGGATCTGCGAAAGGCAATTGTAGATCTTTACAGAAAGGCGCTTGAGCTCTTAGCCAACGCGGGTAAGCTTTTCGAAGAGGGCTGGGGAAAGAAGTTCCTCCGCGCTCTCGTCGACCCGGTACAGGGTGAACAGTTAGTGTCGGACCTCTCTCGGCTCGAACAAGACTTGACGGCGGCATCTCAAGCCTGCGGAGCAGTCCTCGCAGCCGAGAATAAGGCGCTTTTGCAAAGTCTCGATACGCCGCTCCGCCACGTTGACGATGGAATACGAGAGCTGCTTGAAAATATCGATGAGGCACAACTACGCGAGGCCCTGGAGTATATCAGTCCTATCCGATTTGGCAACCACCATCAAAGCAAGCATGATGCGAGGACTTTAGGGACGTGTGAGTGGTTGTTGAAGCACCCTATATTCCTCGAATGGGAAGAGTCCAGCTCATCGTCGATCCTATGGCTCCGTGGTCAGAGTAAGTTACTTATCTAATCCCTCAAAGCCAAATCCCCCGATATGGTACTGCCTAACGTGTAGCATATATAACTGACATTGTATTGACTCATAGTGGGTGCCGGAAAATCGTACCTCGCATCGAGAGTCATTGATCGCTACCGGGTTGACCCCGGATTGTCCGGTGACCGAGAACGCAAGTGCGACGAGGGCTTTGCGTTCTTCTATTGTAACCAAGAAGACCCGGCCCTTCAGGAACCCCAGTCGATTCTTCGGAGTTATGTTCGTCAGCTAGCGACGCTTCCACGTTATCCCCAGAAAGTACAAACCCGGGTTCTGGAGCACTACCGAGTTGCTCATAAACTCGGCAAAGCATTAAGCCTCGATGATTGTAAGCAGGCATTGTCTGAGCTATTGGATGTCTACCCTCGAACCATCTTGGTTCTGGACGCTCTAGACGAATGCGACAAGTGGTCTAGGGACAGCCTCATCCGAATTCTAGCAACGTTGGTTAAGGAGGCGAACCGTCCCGTCAAGCTGTTCGTTTCGAGCCGAAAAGAAGGAGACATTGAAAAACTCCTCCCTTGGAAGAGCCTCATTGAGATCACCCCCGAGCACAGCGGAGCCGATATTGAAAAGTACATTGACGAAGAGGTCGCCAAGATGGACTTGGGCTGGGCTTCAATTTCGCCCGAGGTCAGACGGCAAGTCAAGACAACCATATGTGCGCGCAGCAACGGGATGTAGGGCACCCTATCCATCCCTATTTAGACTCCATCACTCGACTCCATGACTTACTTACAATTTACGTAGGTTCAGGTGGGCGTATCTACAAATGCAGCAGCTCAGGGATTTACAATCCGAGGAGAACATCCGCGCGCGACTCGGTAATCTTCCCGAGGATCTGTGGGCTGCATATGACGAACTGTATCACAACAATGTAGGGCACGACCGAACCATCCTGGAGCGGGCAGCCAAATGGCTAATGTGCGCTGACGGTTCCTTGTCGATCGGCGTACTGCTCCCAGCTGTTCGATTGGGCGTGACAATCGACGACGACGGCCAAGAAGCTCTTGAAATATTGAGCACGCTGGCCGAGTCGACGTTGGAACATATTTGCCGCCACTTAATGATTGTCGAAGGCAAGCAATGGCGTTTTTCTCATGCATCCGTCGTGGATTACTTTAAGCGACGCTGGACAAGGCAGGATGCCCGTTCCCAAGTGGCACACTTGTCTCTGTTATGTCTCATCGAAGGCTTCTCGAAGCGACCTGGTTTCCGCGCCCCGAAGCTGTGGCAACTTAATCAACGAGACCTTGAAGCTAGCTTTTTTGGATACATACTAGTCACTTGGGCTCAGCTCGTCCCAGCCGTCTTGAGTCAGCAGCCAGGGAACATGGCCGTCTCGCGGACTCTCAAGCGGTTTTTGGGGTCTGGAGGCGGGGGCCTCCATTCTAGTCAACAATACCGAGATTGGGCTATGCGCCATCAGGATCTGCGGAAGTACGAGCCCGGCCTACGGATATTATTCGATGCGAAAGACTTGGAACCGATAGATAGCCCTGTCTTCGCGATATGCATCTTTGGCCTTTACAATGGCCTCAAAGACTGGTGGGACGAAGCCATCGACGTCTCACAGGTCAACAACGCAGGACTGGATTTGCTCGCAATTGCCGCAAAGTATGGCCACGAGGAACTTTGCGACGCAATCATTGCGCGAGGAGGCAATGTGAACAGACGTTTGAGTAGCGTCTTGGGAAGCGCATTGGCTGAAGCTGTTGACAGATCACAAGTCGGGACGATGAAACTACTTCTTTCAAACGGCGCAGATCTGAATCTCGGCAACGTGAAGCCCCTCTGCATCGCCGCCCGTGGAAGAGATAAATCTGAGCTTGTCGAAATGTTTCTCAAGGCAGGAGCAGACCCAAACCTCCAATGTGGCCAGGGTTGCGATTACGGCTGCCCTCTAGAAGTCGTATGCCACCAGGGCGACTTGAAGCTGGCAAGGCTCCTCATCGAGTATGGAGCAAATGTTAACCTCAACACCACGAACGGCCGTTTTGGGAGTCCTCTCGTAGCAGCTGCCGCGGGGTATACGGCCGTGTGTGATGAGCTGTTGATCAAGCATGGCGCCGACGTGAATGCTCGTCTGGAGTGTGGACTATATGGCAGCCCTCTCGCGGCTGCTGTTGCTGGGTCTTGGGGGTCGGTCGACAGGCTCAGGTATCTGATCGAAGATGACGGTGGGGATGCCACGTCGGCGTCCTGGCGTCTACCTGGAGACACATGGATACATGACGAATGGGAGCCATGGATAGATGAGGATGAGGCGATATCGTGGGGTTGGGTTCCAATCCAGATGAGGAAAGACATGGCAGCATTTCTTATGGAGAAGGGGGTGCGGAAGAGTGTTCTGATCAAGATGGGTTTCTGGGAAGATGACTTGCAACAAGATTGAGGGTCAGCTGATGTAGAGCTCCTCGAGCACCATCTAGCCAAGTTGGATGCCTATTCCACACGGAGGACACTGTGCTGGTATTTGCTACAGAGTACTAGGGATATGGCCATCACTCCGTTCGGGCTTATCCCCTGGCCGATGAAGTGTTATTCAGCGATTGCAGTAGCGGCCCGGGCAGCGGAGCTTGGTTGATAATCTACTAGACTATAATTCGAGCGTTCAGGTCAAGCCACACGGCACGAAGGACATACCATATCTTTATTAATCAAGCAGGCAGTATTCCAGCCATATTCAGATTCCCCTCAACACGTACCTCGCTATTTTCCACGGTCGTAATAATTCATTAAGAAAGAGTTTACCAAGTAACAATAATACCTTAAGCTTCTGGAATCTACTGAGTATCTATTTCCAGACTCTTTATTCTATGAGATCTCTCTTCTAAAGATCTAGATAAAATAGCAACTAGTCAGGTTTATGCCCATTTAATAGAGTTAGCAAACTATAAATATAGAAACATAATATTTTATTGATTCTCCAGGCTCCAGGTCGTTGTTAAGACAGGACAACCCTTCACCTCAAGGACAGGGGATAGGTCCAGGGAACAAGATGGAATTGGTGGGCAATAAGCGTTTAGGTTGCCAGGCAAAATTTCTCATCCGGTGTAATTGATAGTGGTGGACTTTATCCATTGCGGAAAAGAATCATAGATTTGACTTCTCAGAACAAAGAGGTGCCATGACTTACATTATGGCGCGGTGTTGGAAGCGGTGGAGTTGATCACGAACATTATGCACTTTTCCCTTTATGGTAAATGTGGGCCACAGCGGGTGGTGTGCTGTGAATTTCTAGGCAGCAGTACGGCCTTCCTCAACCCAGATCCCCTCTCTGCGGCGTTGGACTTCACTGATGCGTACTCTTGAATTTTTATTGTACCTTTATGCCAGAATTGAGATAGAAGCCATCAACTTCGCCTTCGAAGACTGCATATTTGGCGGCTTTTAACGATGGCGCCCACGCAGACGAGACGCAAATCAACCGGTGGCAAAGCTCCCAGGAAGAGGAACATGTCGGCTCGCTATAGTCATTTCGAAGATCACGCTGGCCGAACCTACACGGTTGTCCGTGGTGGTGGGTTGTCCGAGAACATTGCCAAGCTTGGCATCCAGCTCTACTGTTTAGGCAGCCCTCACCCATCGCCGGAGGATTTAGGGAACAGCTTTCTCAATTGCGATGCTATTGAGGGTTGGGGAAATGCGAGAAATCGGTGGCCGAGGGTCGATGTGCACTCCAATTTCAGCAGCATTGAAGAATGCGTCGACCATCATCGTCGTGAAAAGGCGTACCGAATGCAAGCCGTCCAAGACATGAGAGAGAATGCTGTGGCGGGTCTGTCGGAGGAAGCTGCAAACGAAAAGCTCATCAACGAAATCCGGGGCAAAGAGCCGTTGCCTCATATAGTACCAACTTGGTGCCCATCTGCGAAATTCTGGACCCAATACAATGACGCGAACCGTTATCGAAGCTGGATTATCGTCTTGCCAGAGGGATGTCTGTCGTGGGAAGATGTCATTGAGAAGGGGATCTACCAAGTCAGTTTTGATCTCGACATCACACCCGCGATGGAGACGGAAATGTACGACTGTGATATTGAAGAGGACACCCTGTTAGATGGTGAGAAGCATGGCTGGGTTGAAGTGGAGAAATCGGGCCTCGAAAAGTGTCCGCCAGTTCAGACTAGACTTCTCTGTGCTCGTGAACAGCCACGAGATGCTTTTCTTGGCCTTGAGGAGGTCGACGATATCAATCGTATTAGGGAAGCCCTGGATGGATGGAAGACACCTAGCCATGAGAGCACCTTAAGCAGTGCTTGGCAGGATGCTGTATCTGGGTTGTGGGACTGTACCTACCGTCAACCGTCCTGTGATGGCTGTTATGAGGGGGAACCGCATGACTTATGCGAGGTTGAGTTGGATGAGCACTATTTCGATGAGGATGGGCAGTGCATTGCCTGTCGGAGAGTGACCGAGTACAGACGTCGGAGCAAAAGGATAGCGGCTATGGGTGGCTAGAAGATGGGACTCGAGGTGTAAGCTAACCGACTTGGAATATCATAAGATTATGGTTCGTATCATCAAAGAGCTGAGCCTTGTATTAGGCAGTAGATGAGTGGCCCTCACTGTCTACATCAACCGCAGGTGCAAAATGGCTCCTGAGGACCTTGAACAGGAAGACGCCCCTGAGCCCATGTACCTGACTCGTGATCCATATGATCGCCCGGCTCCCTCACAGCTTTACGCGTTAATTTCTCCCTGCATGAGACCGGGTGTCACAATTAAGTTAGGTTGCCGGCTACCGACCACGACCCGCTCTCGGCGCGGGTTCCGAATTCCTGTCGGGCCTCATCAACCCTTTTTCTCGCCAAGTGTTGTGATTGTTCCTCTATTGGGTCTCTCGTGTGCCAGCAACGCCACGACGGAAAGCCAACAACATTTATGACGCAATTGGTACCTGATTCATCCCTGCTAGCCAGGGGCCAAGCCTGCCCTCAGCTGGCGACTCGGTTGCTGTTCCTGGACTATAAATCAATAGCGTTGAAAAAAAGGAAACCGCATGCGCCACAAGGGTTAGATCCATCAGTAGTCTCCCCAGTGCCTCGTATCTGATTCTTTCTCGGTCTTGATTGGCAAGTGCTAATCGTAGTGCTTATATTCATTTTACGTCTTTCACAAAACCTAACCTTTTTGGGCATTTTATGCGCCGATTTGTGTATGTCTCAATTGCCCGAGGCAAGACACGCTTCTTAGTCCTGCTAAGCTTGCTCGCAAGCATGCAACCAACGCTTACCGAACAAGTCACAGCAAAATTCGGAGATCGGCATGCCATTTACCCAAGCTTATTAAGCCTGGAGGGAAAAGATGAAAAGAATGCCTCTGTCCCCCGCGTTGCGTTCCAGGGGGTCTTCGGTGTGTCGTTCCTCCAGTGAAACCGGTGACCAGTGCACAGTTGCTCTCAACGCGACAACAATCCGTCAAGATGGCTCGCCGTCTGATCCACTCGCTTTTCTTAACATCACTTTTCAGCTCACTGGCTGTTGCGTCGCCATGCAAGGCCTCATCGAGCACCACGGCCCTCCTCTCGACTACGGAAACCACTTCGGAAGCAACGTCGACTACGACTCCGGTCGACCAAACTACAACCACAAGCCTCACCACATCCGCTACTGAAGGGACACCGACCACGACTCCTGCCACAACCACACCCGATTATACCGATACAACATCAGTATGCGTTGAGACTCCTCAAGCCACCCCTGAGCCGGTTTGTACCAGCGTTGGACAAACGTGCGAGGCCCAACTGGAACAAGTATGCGACCCCAACGTCAACCCCATCAAAAACGGGAACTTTGAGAGCGGTGATCTCTGCCCGTGGGTTCTCTCCGATGACAACGAAGCCTGCGTCTACATTGGCTCCAACGGGGCTTTCGGCACGTCCAAAACATTCCGCACTTCCACAAAGTTCAAGGACAACGTCTACCTAGAGATGTACCAAGACACCTGGACCTGCCCCAACACTCGCGTCTACTGCACATATCAGTGGTACTTTAACAAATACTACATCACACCTAACCGATATGTGCCCTACTTTCGCATCTGGAACGGCAACGACGAAATCGGTAATCGTTACCCTGAGAGCGACGCCGATGCGGGTCACTGGATGTCTGGCTCGTTCTCCTTCGATACGCCCAGCAGTGGCAAGAACCGAATCTGGATTACGGCCCAGAGCCCACAGGTCTGCCTTGACAATTGGTTTGCCATCGACGAGATTAACTGCTACGTGGATGTTCCCCAATAAGCCAGTGTGTGGTTGTCTATATGTTCGGACCTGGTCCCGCTTATCGGCATGGATTGAGAGGAGGCGAGCTTGGGGTGTCGGAACGTGATCCCGGTCTTGAACATCGGCTTCGGCCTTGAGACTTCAGTGTTAGGTCTCTCCGAGACACGCCTTGATTTCTAATCGGACTAGTAGTGTGGTCACTTGATCAAATTTATGAAATCTTAATTACGCCAGCCCTTGGCAGTCCCAGACTCCCAGGACACTATTTCTCTCCGTAGTCACTATCTTCAACATGAAATGTGGAGTTGAGCTACTAGAGTTTCTCGACAGGCCCAGCAACTGCGATAAAATCCACCTGAATGTCGACGCCTGCTGGTAGATTCGACACCTCCACCATCGACCGTGCAGGCTTCTGTGGGAACGCAGGGTTGTAAACCGCGTTAAAGTCGGGCATAATTCCAGCGTCACGTACATACACCTGCGTGACATTTAGTGACCATGGCATGAAAACAAGTAAGCCAGGGGTTCTCACAACTACTTTAACCACCTGCTCAAGACTCGAGCCAGCTTCCTTTAGGATTGCCTTTGTGTTTTGGATGATAGCGTGCGTTTTGTCGGCTACGGATCCTGTAATAAGCTTGCCGTTCACGTCTGCTGGGATTTGACCAGACAACCAAACGAGCCCTCCGGCTTTGATTGCCTGGGACTATAAAGGAGAAATAAACAGTAAGCGTTGGTCTCCGCGCTTTTTTTCGTGCGATGCATCGATAGTAGCAGCTAATAATCCAGTCACAGTAGTTTTCGGCTGGGGCTTACGGACATAGTGAGCAAATGCTGTCGGGCCATCCATTGTCAGTCATAGTACGCAGTAAGGCGCGAGTGACAAGTGAATACTCACGCTTGTAGCACTTGTCGGTATAAACGGACTCAACCGCCATCGTGAGATATCTTCTGGGTTGCAATGGTCGCGGCGGTTGGGGATATAGCGGTCGGAGTGGCGAAATCACACGAGCCAGCTGAGGTAGGGAGATGGGTGATTTGCGGATAAGTTTGAGACTCATTTTGACGACTGTGTTTAAAAAAGGAAGCAACATAACCTGCAGGGGGATAGGTCGGAGTTATGTAGTCCGACTGGCGACGATTTGGGCAGATCGGCAGGCCGATCCGACGGAACGTGGGCAGTGAGATCCAAGAAGTCGGCTTCGGAAGCCGAGCTCTCAATGACTGATCTCACAGATTCCCATATAACAATTGCCATTTCAATTCAAAAGACAGAGATACTTGATGATTGACGGTGACTAGATATTGAATGATATGGGGGTGCATCCCTAAGACCTCCATGACGAAACCATACGTTCAGCCCGCTTTACATGATAGGTCCGATTTGCAATCAAGTGAAGACGTCACTTGAGTGCCAGCAAGTGCAATCGCAGATCACAATTTCACTATAGTGTGGTGGTCAAATAGTACTTGTTGCATCACATCCTACTCTGATTATGTCCATAACATCCTGCCCCGAACGTTGGAATGCCGACGCCCTTGAACCGGGACTTCGGGATCCGCTACCCGCGCCACACACAGCTATGTCCGCCTCACTTTTCCATGATTCCAGCTCCCTAACACTTCAAATAGACCATCGGCACGTTTGAGTTTAGGCGAGTAAGACACAGTGTCTCATTTTGCACCTACTAGGATAGCTTCTTCTTCGCTTCATTAGCCCACGTTACATTCTATCGTAAAAATTTATCTAATCCAGGCTGCCTAGCTCAAATAGCCATTCCACTCTCTCTATTAATCGCCTAGTTATAGCCATACCCCTAGATACCGCGAGAACTCAGCCCATTCAGGATGGGTAGTCCCTGGGCAAAGTGGAGAGCTGCAGATCCTGGCGCTAACTGTGGATAAATTTGACCTCTGAAAGACAAGATAAGCATACTTATTGGCACAAAACCACGGACAATCACTCCCAAAAGCCTCAATGTGACTTTACTACGGTACGTGCGGTATACGATGTAGTATCCGGGGATTTCCACTCTGCCGAGGCGCTACCCTTACTGGATTTGCTGAGTTACGGTATACAGAATACAATTGGCCACCCCGACACTTCATGCGACGCTAGGCTGCCCGATCCGTGGAGCTTTTACGGGAGTCAATTAGCATTCCTTAACTACACATTCGAGTTCTGGAAAGATGCCGATCGTCCATGAGAAATACGGCAAGAGTTTTCCATAAAAGCCCCGAGATTTCCTGTCCCGAAAAGTGAAGATTAATTCCTTACCTCGATCACTCCTTTCCAGCCAAGCCGTCATCATGTGGATCTCTGGACCAGTTATTGTTTTTGCTACTTGCACACTGGCGGCTCGGCCCTTTCTCAACGAGCCAGACACAGGCTTGAATGATTTTCTGGGCGACTTTGCGGTTGGCTCGCTCCCGGACCTTGACAGCATTGCTGGCCTTCCGGATTTCGAATGGGCAGCGCGGAATTTCTTGCCTCTACAGAATTATACCTACTTTCGCAATGCTGCTGGTGGGGAGTGGTCCTATCGAAACAACCTTGAGGCTTTCCAACGATATTCCTTACTTCCACGACGAATGATGGATGTTAGAAATGTGAAAGCCACATTGCCGTATGTATGCGTCGTTTGTTCCCTCATACTTTACCCACAAATATCAGGTCAATACAAGGAAATGGAAACTAAATGTGGTAACAGCACAACTATCCTTGGTCATAAATTTTCATCTCCTTTCTTCATAAGCCCGGCAGCACGGCAGGATATGGCCCACCCTGACGCGGAGCTCAATCTCGTCCGAGCGGCAGGAGAAAGCAATATACTATATGTGGTATGGTGTCTGAGCCCTAGTGCTATCTTTCCCGAGTATAAGCCATTCTAATCGTCATAGCCTTCATTGAAAGCCTCGAAAAGTATTGAAGAGATCGCCGCCGCGAGGGCGGCAGGGCAGGTCACGTTTCAACAGGTAAGTTCCATCATCACAATTCAATAGCCATTCTAATGAGATTGATAGCTTTATCTACCCAACTCGGATAAGACAACTCGGAAGCTTGTGAAACAGATAGAAGACTCCGGTGCCGCTGCCATTGTTCTCACAGTCGATGCCCCTGTAAGTGGGGATCGCCAGCGAGCCTTCCGACTTCGCGGTGGGCCTCCGTATGTCAAACAACAATTCTGGAGACTATTGAAGTATTCAGACTAATGATCCCGTGACACAGAGAGCCAGATTATACGCTGTTAACTGTAAGTCATCTTTTGGAGTCAAGACCCGACCAGCCCAGCTTGACTGACAAGGATATAGTGGGAACGTTACCATAACCTCACAGCGATGACCTCATTGCCAATCGTATTGAAGGGCATTTTGACAGTATCCGATGCGCAAGACGCTGTGAAAAACGGAGTGAAGGCCATTATGCTATCCAATCACGGTGCCCGACAACTTGACGGCAGTCCCTCGAGCCTGGAAGTTGCGCTCGAGATTCGCCAGAAAGCCCCCGAGATATTCTCACAGCTCGAAGTGTATGCCGACGGCGGCGTGAGATACGGGACCGATATCCTCAAGCTGCTGGCTCTGGGTGTCAGGGCTGTTGGCCTCGGCCGCCCCTTTGTGTACGCCAATGTGTTCGGCATCGAGGGCGTGCGGCACGCAATCGACCTTTTGAACCGTGAGGTCACGGTTGATGCGGCCAATCTAGGTGTTACAAATCTTCATGAGATCAACGCTAGCTACGTGAGCACACCGTCTTTTGAGAGTGTATTGATGACTGATGATTTTTAGGTTCAATGGACGCAAAATACCTGGATTCCTTGAGTGGTAGTTGGCAGGAACAATGGTTACGAATAAATGCGGCGGCAGACAGTGGTTTTGTAATGTCAAGAATTGGGATTTGCACACACAATACGTGCGGGTTTCAATTGTGGTATTTAATAATGCATCTTTTCTTAGGGTAGACTTGGTAAGGCGAACTCTCTGTATTATTTTCCCATCTTTACTTTTCAGATTCAGTACTTTGGTAGGTCCCTTAGTCGTGGTCCATTCATCGTGTTCATAGGTAGTTGGATTTCGTCTAGGCCGTGTGCCAATATTCCGTATGCGGCCAGTACTTTGTATACGCGAATAGTGGTAACCTGAAAATCCTCACTCTCCAACGAAGCAAGACAGTAAAACCCATCGATACGCTCATGCAGAATAATCATGCCATCCTGTGGGCAGGTCCCCGCGTTTCCGGGTGACCCGTGGTACAACCAGTTGCTCATTCGGGACTCAAACTCCCCGCACTAACTTACAGCCTACTATATCCGGTGGCAAGGTACCTTGATGACATCTATAAAACATTGCGTCTGCGGGAAAATGCTGCACGGTAACAAAATACTGATTCAGCGATGCGTAATTTTTAATATAAACCTGGGTATTGCTTCAGCCACATGCTCCAATACACCGGCCAAAGTGCCAAAAGCGAGGGCCGCCAACTTAATCCCCCAAGCCTCGCGAACCTAGCTCAGTGAGGAATAGCATAATGCCAGCCAACTGGCGCGCAACTTTTACTCAAACAGGCAGTGTGTTAGTGCGCTGGACGTGGGAAGCGTGATGGATTCCCCCGCCATCCATGCCATGCCGAGGCTCAAACAGTAGACGGAGGAGGAAGAACCATTCCGCTCTTGGGCTTGCATGCGACGCGCGAATCATCGACGGCGATGCTGCCCCAGCTAGACCCTTTGGGCCTTGGATCCCTCTCTGGTGCTGGTCCTTGCTTGTTCGATCGATCCTTCTTCAGAAGCGTCTGCTCATCTTCATGACCGCCTCATGCGGTTGCCGGCTCGCTGGGGGTTCCATGGCCATCCACCGCCTAGTTAACCATCTCTCTCCCTCCTCGCCCTCCTGAGCGATTTCTAGCAAATTTTATACCCTCTTCTTGTATTCTTTTGCATTTCCCATCTTCCTTTTGGGGTTGATTGTCGATAGGCTGGCCCTTACGAATGGCATCTTGCTAACAGCAGTTGGATGGCACCATACTAGCAGCATCACCGAGGACACCCGCCCTGCATCACCGCCAACTTCGTTTCCCCAAGTGCTGTCTCCTCTGATCCCCGCCTTGAGCCTTGCCCAGTATGAAGATAACTACGGCAACCATCAAGGCTGCTTGGGCCTCCCTGTCATTCCTCCCGCTCATCGCCCGCGTCTCGCTGCTTCACATCCTCCAACTCTCGGATGCGGCCGAGTATCTCGACCTGCGCAGCTCGCTCCTCATCGCCGTCTTCCGCGCCATGCTGGTCACCTCCAAGCCGCGCAGCATCACCGACATCCAGAAGCTCACCATGCGCGACAGCGGGCCGCAGGGCTCCATCTGGGTCAGCCGGTACGCCTCGCCGCGGCCGTCCGAGACGGGCATCCGCGATGCCCTCATCGACACGCTCGAGCGCCTCGCCCGCCCGAGGGACTCCAAGTCTCGCCGTCCCCGGGTTCCCGTGCCCGACCTCATCGACGTAGAGGCCGAGTGGACCGGGTACCGCGCGGGAGTAGCGCGCACCGAGCCGTTGCCCAGCATGTCGGAGCGCGAGAGGTATCACAGCATGATGGGCGAGTGCACCACGCCCACAACGGTCCTGTACTTACACGGCGGCGCCTACTACCTCTGCGACCCTTCCACGCACCGCCCAACCACCAAGAAGCTGGCCAAGTTGACGGGCGGCCGATGCTACTCGGTCCGTTACCGCCTCGCCCCCCAGCATCCCTTCCCGTCGGCCCTGCTCGACGCCTTCGTGTCGTACTTTACGCTGCTGTACCCGCCGCCGGACGCCTACCACGACCCCGTGCAGCCGGAGCACCTTGTGATTGCCGGTGACAGGTAAGCCTTGTCGAATCTCGGCGTGTTCTTCATGCCCAGTTCCCCAGTCCCCGCGTGGTGGCGCTGACTCGAGACTCCCCAAGTGCCGGCGGAAACCTTGCGCTGGCGTTACTCCAGCTGCTCATGGAACTCCGGAACCAGGACGCTCCGATCCTGTGGCACGGCGAGCTGCGTCAAGTGCCGCTGCCCGCAGGCGTGGCCGTCAACTCGCCGTGGCTCGACATCACGCAGAGCGCGCCAACGTGGGAGATGGCCACGCCGACGCCGTACGACTTCCTGCCCAAGCCCGAGTCCATCAGCAAGCTGGCCATCCCGCCGTGCGACATCTGGCCGGCCAAGCCGCCGCGCAAGAACATCTACGTCGACGACGACCTGCTGCCGCACCCGCTGGCGTCGCTCGTCATGGCGCGGAGCTGGGAGGGCGCGCCGCCCATCTACATGTGCGCTGGCTGGGAGATCCTGGCCTGGGAGGGCAAGTTCCTGGCGCGCAAGCTCGAGGCCGACGGCGTGGCGGTGGTGTTCGAGGAGTACGAGGCCATGCCGCACTGCTTTGCGCTGCTGCTGCGCAACATCCCGTCCACGCACCGGTGCTACGACGGCTGGGCGGGCTTTATCCGCGCGGCGGTGGACGACGCCGAGGCCATCGCCTCGAGCGCCGTGCGCATCAAGGCCAGGACGCTGGACGAGGAGCCGCTGCGGTTTGAGGACCTGTGCAGCGTCACCGACGACGAGATGCGCCAGCGGGTCCTGCTCAAGGCAGGCGAGCTTCCGGTGATTTCTGCGGCGAAGCTGTGACGGTGTTGGTTTTGGGCGGACAAGGGACGAGGGTCGGCGTTTTTGTGAGTAATTGTTTCGATCCGGGGCATTGGATGGGGAGATTGTTTCATGAGCCCGGCGTTAGTGTAGATATTGTTGGTGGCGTAGCTGTTGCGTTTGTTATGGAGCAATATGAGGCAGCAGATCAAAGTATGCTAGAGAATTTTCAGTTATTTACCTGCGTTAATATAATGGCTTTGTAGAGATGTGCGGTATTGAGGTGAAGCTTGAGATACATTGTTACATCGTCCATACGCAATCACTCTCCTCAACCGTGCTACTCCTTCCAACACAACATCATTGAACCGGCGATATCTCATGAGTAATTACCAAGCCATATACTGAGTAATATTCATCTCCATAGCAATTCATCCGATTTGATATGACACAGCGAGTGCAATTCCAGTTAGCGGTTCATTGTTCCGATGACAATCCCGGCTCCACCCCCACAGCCGGAGCTTCGGCCACAATCGGCCCCCGCCAAGAAAGCCTGCGATACCTTGCTCACAGCTCTGGCTTCAACGTCCCATCCTCCTCCTCCTCAACACCACCGCCGGCAATCCCAATTGCCCTCCCGCACCACCCCTCCGGCCCCCTCCCCGCGCCCCCGCCCGCCATGGAGCGTCACAAGCAGGCCGTCGGCAAGATCGCCGCCGCCGTGCGCGGCTACTTCGAGCGCCGCGAGCCCTACCGCATCTTCCACGGCTCGACCAACAGCACGCGGCCGCAGCAGCACGCCCGCGCCGTCGACATCAGCGCCCTCGCCAACGTGCTGAGCGTCGACGTGGCCGCCCGCACCGCCCTCGTCGAGCCCAACGTGCCCATGGACCGCCTCGTCGAGTCCACCCTGCGCCACGGCCTCGTGCCGCCCGTCGTCATGGAGTTCCCCGGCATCACGGCTGGCGGCGGCTTCGCGGGCACGGCCGGCGAGAGCTCCTCGTTCAAGCACGGCTTCTTCAACGACACCATCAACTCGGTCGAGATGGTGCTCGGCAACGGCGACGTCGTCACCGCGTCCCGCGAGGAGCGTGCCGACCTGTTCCGCGGCGCTGCCGGCGCTGTCGGCACCCTTGGCGTCACCACGCTGATCGAGCTGCAGCTGATGGAGGCCAAGAAGTTTGTCAAGACGACGTACCACCGCACCAACAGCGTGGCCGAGGCCGTCGCCCGCGTCCGCGCCGAAGCCGAGAACCCGGCCAACGACTACGTCGACGGCATCCTCTTCTCCAAGGACCACGGCGTCATCGTCACCGGCGAGCTGACCAACGAGAAGCCTGCCGACCAGTCCATCCAGACCTTCAGCGGCGCTTGGGACCCGTGGTACTACCTCCACGTCCAGGACCGCACCCGCGACGCTCCCTCCGCCGGCCCGGCCGCCGTTCAATCGTCCGAATCCTCGTCCCCCGTCGACTACATCCCCCTCCCCGAATACCTGTTCCGCTACGACCGTGGCGGCTTCTGGGTAGGCGTCGCCGGCTTCACCTACTTCAAGGGCGTGCCATTCAACCGCTTCTTCCGCTGGTTCCTCGACGACTTCCTCCACACCCGCATGTTGTACCGCGCCCTCCACGCCTCGGGTGAGTCGGCCCGCTTCATCGTCCAGGACCTCGGCCTCCCCTATCGCACCGCCGAGAAGTTTGTCGACTACACCGCCGAGAACTTCAACATCTGGCCGCTGTGGCTCTGCCCCCTCAAGCAGACCGCGCCGCCGACTTTCCACCCGCACACGGGCGAGACCGAGACTGCCGCCGACGGCACCGTCACCACCCCTCCCTCGCTGAACATCGGCCTCTGGGGCTGGGGCCCCGTCGACCAGGACGAGTTCGTCGCCAAGAACCGCGCCCTCGAGGCCAAGCTCGCTGAGCTGGGGGGCATGAAGTGGCTGTACGCGCACACCTACTACGACGAGGACGACTTCTGGAAGGTGTACGGCAACCGCCCGTGGTACGACGCCCTGCGCGAGAAATACCACGCTGCCACGCTGCCCACCGTCTACAACAAGGTCAAGGTCGACGTCGAGGCCCGCAAGGAGCAGAGCCGCCGCCTGAAGCAGTCCCTCAAGGGCCAGCGGCCTTTCGGCGGCCTGTACGGCATCTGGAAGAGCATCACGAGCAAGGACTACATGCTGCACCGAAGAGCGGAGTGGAAGTACAAGGAGGAGAAATAGACGACGAATTGAGCATTGGGATACCCTGGATAGGTGAAAAGATGGATGAGAATAAAAGACGATTGAAGGAAAGGTCTCATGTATGGTTGTACGACATATGGCAAAAAGATAAGGGCTGCAACTTCGTTTGGCTTGGATAGAACGTAACAATATTAGAACGTCACTCAAGAGACAAATAGACCAGCGTGTACAATACTGAAGCAACAGGCACAAAAAGCATACAGTAATAGAAAGTCTTGTATTCCTAAATATCGAAATCTTTCTCAGCGCCAAGTAATCATCTATATGGGGGCCATTAACAAGCTTCCAACAAGTGAACTGGCAGGGGAGCGCCGCGGCCACCGGTATTTACACAAGCCCGTGGTGTTCTCGCCACCACATGAGGCTCAATTAAGGGGCCTTTGGCGCAAATCCCTTCTGCGCGCGTGCAAGTCTATCATCATCATCAAATAGCTGCGGTTCGCCTCCCAATGCATCTATTTCCTCCGTGAAAGTCGTCATGGTTATACGCAATGTCCCCCGGGCCCTGGCAGCATGGGCGCAGAGCCAGGCCGACTAAGCAAAAAAAGAATATCCCTGGGGTAGAAATGATGGGACGAGAAGCGGAAGGGTCATCATCAGGCGTTAAGGGACCTTTATGCCTGGATGGCGTACTCTCGCTTGAACATGTCGTCGACCTTGGTCAAGTAGTAGGTGCCGGGGGCAATGGTGGAGATCTCGCCCTTGGGGACGAAGTCCTTCTGGAGGTGGGCCTGCTTTCGGAGGTCGCACATCTGTACAGAATTGGTTAGTTCGTGTGAATCAAGGTAAAAAGAGGTGAGAACTTGCCTGGTCGTAGGTCTCGGGGGAGACGGAACGGCGGGCCTCGAGACGGCTGGGGAGGTCCAGGACGTTGGAGATGTTCTCGACACTTCCGTTGATGCGGAAGGACATGAAGCTGGCAGCCAGGCCGGAACCGTAGCTGAAGAGACCAATGCGCTTGCCCTCGAGAGCCTTGTTGTCGACCATGCTAATCAAGCTAGCAAGGCCACCCCAGACGCTGCCGCAGTACATGTTACCGCACAGGGTAGCGACCTGGATAGCGGGGTTGACGCGCTCCTGGAAGCGCTTCTTGGTGAGACCCATGAAGGTCTTCTCGACGGCCTTGTCGGTCAGGGACTTCTCGTAGTCCATGTCGCGCAGCTCGGGGGCGACGTCGGCAAAGGCCGGGGAGTCGGCGTTGGCGAGGTAGTCGTGGTACAGGAGGCGGGCGTACGACTTCTGGACGAGCTTGCAGGTGGGGGCGTGGAAGGCAAGGTAGTCGAAGCGGTCCAGGCTGGTCTTGGCAGAGTCGCCGTTGGTGGTGCCGTTGGTGGCCTGCTTGGCCTCGCGCTTGCAGTAGGCGCGGTAGGCGGCGTCGAGGGCCTTGGTGTAGCAGGTGAGGGAGTAGTGGCCGTCGACGTAGGGGTACTCGCTGGTCAGGTCGGGCTTGTAGAAGTCGTAGGCGTGCTGCATGTAGCTGCCTCGCAGACCGGGCTCCATGACGATGGGGGCGTTGGGGCCGATGAGGAGGGCGACGGCGCCGGCACCACCGGTGGGACGGGCGTTGCCCTTGGCGTAGAGGGCAATGTCACCGGCGATGACAATGCCGTCGCGGCCGTCCCAGGCGGAGCTCTCGATCCAGTTGACGGTGTTGAAGACGGCGTTGGTGCCGCCGTAGCAGGCGTTGATGGTGTCGATACCCTCAATGTCGGTGTTGTCGCCAAAGAGCTGCATCAGGACGGACTTGACCGACTTGGACTTGTCTAGCATGGTCTCGGTACCGACCTCGAGGCGGCCAATGGAGTTGGTGTCGATCTTGTACTTCTTGAGGAGGTTGGCGGTGGCGGTGAGGGCGAAGGAGTAGATGTCTGGGGGGGATCCATGTCAGCTGTGTTGGTCTTTTGCATGTTTTTTGCGCTGGAGGCAATGAGAGCTCGTAGAGCACTTGGAGCCCTTTTCTCGACGGGAATCGAGAGGAAATGGCGTTCAAGGAGGGAGGGAAGAGACATACCCTCGCGATCATCGCAGAAGCTCATCTTGGTCTGGCCGAGGCCAATGGTGTACTTGCCGGTGCTGACGCCATCGAACTTCTCGAGCTCGGTCTGTTCGACATACTAAACGAGTGGAAAAGTGGTGGTCAGCTCGCGCCCGAAGCATTCAAAACGGCGGACGAGGGGCAAAAAAAAAAAGTTGGGTGAATGAGGGGCACACGACACCGGCGGCGACGCAACACAGGGCAGAGGTGAGAGGAGGGGTCGACGTTGCAGACTGCAGCTCGCACGGAGCAGCGAGAGAACCCTTACCTGGCTGGGAAAGTAGATCTCAATGGCCTTGATGCCAATGTTCTGGGGTCGGGAGGCCATCGTGGGAGAGTTGTTTGAGGGCGAGCAACGGGGAATGTCTTGAGAGGAAGAGAGGGAGAGGGAGAAAGAGAGATGGCGGAGGAGGAGGTTGAAGTAGAATAATAGGAGTGGTAGGAGGAGTGGGAGGAGTAAAAGGGCGTAGGGGGGTGGAGGATGGAGGATGGAGGAGGATAGAGGATACCTTAGGTACGTATTCGTAGTAGAGGAGGGGCTACCTATGGAAGGAATCGGAGGACGGAGGACGGGGCGAGATTGGGATTGGGGGACTTCGGGGCGGTTTGTGGCCTTGGACAAAGGATTGAGATTGGATGGAACCTGGTTTAGATCTCGGCCGGTACAGAACGGCAACAAGTCGATAGCCAGACTCCCAGACTGCCAGAACTGCCAGGGGACCAAGGAACAAGGGGGGGGACTAAAACGGGCCTTATCCGTACTTGTTGAGTTAGCTAGTGGCTTTTTTTTTTTCACTTGTCACTCTGCGCGCGTGCGTGCGTGCGTGTGTTTACAGTCCCGGAACCGAGAATTGGTGAGGGTTAATTCACCGCCCTTTGCAGGCTGCCACTGGAGGGACCTTAGTTGGCCTGGCCTGGCGAGCTGGGCGGTGCACCAGTGCAGTTGCCGTGCCGTGTGGCATGTGGTGTGCGGCAAGATTTGTGTTATGCCCCATGTGGTATGAGGGATGTGGTAGGGGGGAAAGGAGACGAGGAGACGAGACGAGACACAGAAGCTGCGCGGCCACCCAGCCACAAGCAGCCTGCACCTTGCTGCAGCCAGAGACATGCTGGCCAAGCTGGGCACTCCTGCTGCCAGGGGCGCGCCTAAGAAGGAAGAAGAAAAAACGTGGGCTGGGCGAGTTGTGGTAGGATGGCTGGCGGGCGGGCGCATCCTTGTTCGGGTTGGGTTGGCACAGTTGTGGAGAGTGACTGGAGGGGGCGTTGGTTTGGTGGCGGGCGGTTGTACCACGGGAGTGGAGATGACGGAAAACAGGGTCCCTGTGAGGTGGCCGGGGGGTGGGTAGGGGAAGAGAAGAGAGGGGGACTTACACAGCACGTCACTGACGGGGAGCGGATGTGAGAGAGAATTCGAAGACGAGACGGATGCAATGGCGTCGCGAGGGGAGAATGAATGAGGCCACCGGCGAAGAGGAGGGGAAGACGGAAGCAATTTATACCTGTGTCGGTGCGTGGGTGCTTCAGTGCTTTGGTGCGTCGTGGGTACGTGAGTGAGGGCGCGTGAGTGCGTCAGTGGTGCTTGTTGGGTTTGCGAATACGATGCGTCTCTATCTGTGTCTGCCTGTGCCTGCATCTACATCTCCGTCCGGGCTGTTGTTTTGGCTAGCCGAGAATCACTCACTTCCACTGCCTCTCATCTCATCCGTCTCTCCTCCCAAACCCATTCGTTCATCACCACGGCCGTTAAGCACCAACCTCCCCCATAACGGAAATCGTCAAACCTACCGCTCGCCCGGTTCCCTCAATGTTCCCCCAAGTACACGCCATGTACCCGCACATCCATCCTCCTCACTCAAAAAGCGTACTAAAACCACCGTCCATCACATGAGTTATCTGATCCGATGCCGCACTCTCACAGGCTCCTACGAAACTCACTCCACCCCCGCCGTGGACGGGATCCGGCCTGGGTGATCCACATCGGGCGGTTTTCTGTTTCTCATCCAGAGACAAAAGCCGAGACAAATTGCCCAAAAACAAAAACCAGCCGGGCGGGGAGTGCTGCTGAAGAGCTCTCCAGGGCACCTAAACCACAAGCCCGGCCTGCGGGACGGGGAGACGCAGGGGGATCGAGACAAGCCCGTCGGCGGACAGGGGCGATGAGGAGCTGGAGGGGTTCGCACACACGCGTATTGCTACCTACTCGCACACATAACTAGGCATATGCTTCAATCCCGTTGATAATTGGGTATCTAGGTACTATTCCAGTAAATTATTTAGAAGACTAATTCTGGTATTTATTTCCTAATAACTTTTATTTTTATTTTTTTGTCGCCGCGGGGCATGGCAAGCACCAAGGTATGTATTGCTCTACATGAGCGAGAGACAAAGCTCTGACATCAAGAGCAAAAATACGGACTACCGCTACGCATTCTTCAATCTACCCAGTGGTTGAGAAACCCCCGTATCCTTGCTCTTGACCTCAGAGTTTTGCCCTCCAATACTCCCTAATAAACCACAACCGCAAGCTGTGATACAGACCTGTACAGCCCCACTATACACCTGCATTTGCCTCCATTGCCTGACGTTTTTTTTTCTGCCCCTCACCACCACGGGCCTAGGTTTCGGCCATCGCCATACCATCGTCAACATCAACTCTCATAGTTTCCCATGTCTGACGCTCTAAATATTTTCTATTGTCCCAGGACTTCCCTTGACTGCTTCCCAACTCCCACCGCCTAGACTCAACCCCAAAGAACAATATGTAACGCCTCATACTCCTGCTTCCACGTGCATTCAGCCGTCGCCATTGTTCCCCTCCCTTGCTCATGGACCAGCTAGGAACCGTCCCACACACCCTCCCTAATTCCTCTTGTCTGCATCTGCCGTCGGCATTATCCACCATCTCCATCTTGTCTCAACCTCGTGGAGGCATTTTTTTTTATCAGATGCCCCTCCATCCCACATCGGCAGCCCGCCACAACGCCCCAAACATAGCGCGTCTACCCTTGTTACCCGCCGTCTTAATGCCCTCGGTTGAACACACATCTTTGGGATCACGCAACTCTTGTCTCTCGTGTCCCGCCTCCACTTGACTACCTAAGACATTCCCACGTTCCTGCGTTGTCTCAGTTCCTGCCTTATCTCAGTTCCTTCGGAATCAATGGTCTATCTAGCTAGATCTATCCGCAGCAACGACCGCCTTGCATTATATAACGTATATCTCAGCCGCCCCCATCGTCAACTCTGTCGTCTCCATCATCACCACCTCTTCCCCTCATCTTCCCACTTCCCACCGAGCCATAACCATCCACACCTGATCCCTGGGCCGATGAGGACATTATTTCCCTCTCCTATCCCCATCCCATGCTAAAACGACGCCTCGCTAGCGCCGTGGCTCCCGGTTTGTCCCTCGTCAAACGCAACCATTCGCAGCAAACCGAAACATTCAACTCACCACCCACCCGCCACCAGCCAAAATCCTCTCGTTCCGTTGCTCGGCGTGGGTCATCTAGTGCTGATCCCGCTAGTTCCAGGCCCCTCGCTCGCAACCCGCCCGCTACGCAGTACGCCTCTTGCAAACTAGCTCCGGGCTCCATCCCACCAAGATAATCAACGTGCAGCAGACCTGCATCTGCATCCCAGGCACCAGTCAGACTGCTTCATGCCTGGCCGTTCGTTCAGCTCGTCCCAGGAGGCAGGGCAAGCCGGCAGGGGCACGTTGTACGTAAGGCGCCTGGTACCCATCTTCTAACTTGAGTCTAAGCCGCATCGCTTCCGTACGCCGGCCGGGACAAGCGGGAGCCACTTCGTCTGCCCGCTTCGGCACGTCATGGTCATGGCATTTGTCTGCACTTTTCCAATTGTCCCACGGGGCCCGTCGTCAACCATTCATCGTCTCCATGACGCCCCCCATGTCCCCTCCGTCTCCCGCCTTGGCTACCTAAGCAGCTCCGGTCGACTGCCGAATATCCCTCTCCCGCTCCCGCTCCAGGGGGACGGTACACGAATGTACAACGCAAGCCACCCACAGGAAGCACGCCACGTCCGGCAGAGCCTATCGAAACGGGAAAGGACCCGACTATGCTTCCTACTTTACGTCGATCTGATAACATGGACCCCTGTCGCAAGATGGAGAAGAGACAGGGTGAATCCACGCATGTAAGTGTGCGCCATTGTGTCCCACGTCCAAACCGGGCAAGGTGCAACTTCCAATGCAGACGGACGCATCTACTGTCAGCTGATATCCAATGAATGAAAAGAGGAGGTTCAATTTTTCTCTAGTTGAGACATATATCAACTTGGAACATCTCAAAAGGTACAGTACATGATGCAGAAATCTCTGCAGCAGATGCCCCCACGACGGCGCTGCTTGCCGAGCTCGGTACGTAAACAATTCTCCATAGAACCATCCATTCCTCGCCCTCCCACGTCATCCTTACTAGCCCATTCTGGTTGCTTTCCTCTGATGCAGTCATGTGATATTTGGGTCTGTGGTAGTATGCGGTGCAATTCCATCCAATATATCGGATCCAATGTATTTTTATGCTCGTTATGTGATGTCATTACTCGTTCTCTTATGCTGAGATGGTTTCGGGGGTATCGTATCCAGAATCGGAAGAGCCCTTGGACTGCTTCTCCGCGACCAGCCCGTCCTTGCTCTCGACTTCCTTCGCCTCGGCCTTGTTGTCTACGGCCTTGCTATTCTCCTTTTTCTCAGTCTTGTCAGTCTTCTCAGCACCCTCTACCTCGTCCTTCTTCGTCTTGTCCTCGACTTCAGACTCAGAGTCGGAATCAGAATCCGATGAACAATCAGAGCCAACCTCCTCGCCCGCGGCCTTGCGCTTGGCCAGCTTGGCCAACTTGGCCGCCTTCTTCTTGGCCTTGGCCTTCTCCTCCTTGCGCTTCTTCTTAGCCTCCTCCTTCTTGGTCTTCTCCTCTTCCTTCTTCTTCTCGTCCTCCTCCTTCTTGCGCTGCTCCTCTTCCTTGCGGCGAGTCTCGGCATCGTCAAGCTCCTTCTTCTTCTTCTCCTTGCGCGTCTCCACGATCCACTCATCGACGCTCTCGAGCGCCTTTTCAGGGCTGCGCTTGTGCTTGAGGAGCAGACCCTGAATCTCGGCAGGGCTGAACTCGTGCTCAGGGATCTTGGCGGCGAAGTCGGCGGCGAGGCCGCTGACACGCTCGAGGGTCTCGGCGCGGATCTTGGAAGCCTCTTCGGCCAGCTTCTTGGTCTCGTCCGCATCGAGAAGCTCCGACTGCTTAGGCGCAGGGTCACCAGATCCACGCACATCTTCTCCATCATAAGGAGCGTAGATGGCGCGGAAGATGGAAGAGGTCATGTCAGCGTCGGCAAGGCCGAACTTGACAATCATATCAACACGGCCAGGTCGGATGAGAGCTTTGTCCAGCTTCTCGAGGTGGTTGGTAGTCATGATGAGAACACGACCCTCTTGAGAGGCAACACCGTCGAGAATGTTGAGCAGTCCAGAGAGTGAGAGTCGACCAGGCAGAGCGGGGGCGCCTGTGATGGTGGCAAGCTTTCCGGGACCAGACGGGACCGTAGCAACAGGTGTCTGGTCAGTAGTGCCATCATCACTCTTTCCATCCTCACGAGTGTGTGTAAGACCAGCGCTATCGATATCCTCGAGGAGGACCACGCAGCGACGTGGAAGTTCGGCAAAGAGCGAGGACAGGTTCTCCTCGTTGGCCATGATGGAGCTCAAGCTAACCATGTAGATTCTCATGCGGAAGAAGCCAGCCAGCGCAAGACTGAGCGAACTCTTTCCGGTTCCGGGAGGGCCATAGAGAAGGTAACCACGGCGGTATGGAATACCGCGGTTGGAGTACCATCGGCGAGTGGCGGGGTTGAGGTAATCAGTCACATCGGCAATCAGGTCCTCCTTGACCTTCTCGTTGAGAATGACGGTGGAAACGGGACGGCTGGCACGGGTCATGCAGCGTTGCCAGCTGGGGTCACCTCCAGAGGTGCCAGCGGCGCCGCGGTAGATGAGAGTCTTGCACTCGTCCTTCTTCATGTACTCCATGCGGGCCTCGAGCAACAGCTCCTTGAGGACGCGAGGGTTGCGGCCGAAGCAGGAAATGGTAATCTCCTCGCGCTCACTAACAACCAGGAAGCCCGACTGCTCGCGGTTCTCGTGACGCTCAAACAGCAAAAGGTGGCCCTGGTACCAGAAGAAGTGGGTGCCGAATGAGGGTGTGTACTGAAGAGGCTTCTTGCGAGGAGCAGTGCCGTTAGAACCGTCTCCCTCGCCATCTTCCTCTTCCTCGTCTTCGTTAAACCGCCAGAGGAACCAGCTGCGGGAGTTGATGTTGGTGTTGACGATGAAGCGCCGGGACGACTTGGCGAAGCGTTGAGCAGCCGTCCACGACATTATTATATTGTAAATTTCGTCATCGGTGCGAATGCGTACGACGGACATGCCGTATTTCTCAATCATGCTCCAGACATATTCGCTGAGGTAGGTCCAGGCAAAGGTGAGGCCGGAGACGATGAGGAGAAGCGGGATGTAGAGGTTGAGGTCGATGCCCATGTACGCGTGGATGGCGGAGGAAAAAACGGAGAATCCGGGTATTAGGTAATCCAGGATAGCGAACTGAGGGGGCCGAAGAAGGTCGGCGCCGGAAAGGCCCTCGCCGAGGTTAGAAGTATTCACAGACTCCATAGTGATGTCTTCGTTGGTTGATAGAAGCTCTTGGTGGAAGTGGAGCCAAGCCAAACCACAGAAGAGAAAGAGGCCGGTATCAGAGATGTAGCCGCGAGTGTAGATGAAGAGGATAAAAAGACAAACGCAGCCAGGAAGGAGTTTATATAGGTCGGACGTTTACGTGAGACGGCTCTATCGGCCATGCATGTAGACGATATCAAATGCTCCGCCCGATGCATGTTGTTCGCCATCCGGAAGAGGCATCCCAGCAGAGGCAACCCGGGCCAGCCTTACGAGGCGCGGGAGGGAGGGAGTGGGTCCCAGCAAACAGGGATGAGTGGACAACAGACGGACTGACTCACATGGGCCCCCGCGAATGACCCCATGAATGACGCTCTGTGGTGTGCTACATGCTGCCTTGGTTTCCGTCTTTTGCGGCAGATGGCATGGATGGTGTGGTTGTCTCGCTGTTATTAGTGGACGTGGTTGTCCGCTATAATTAGTGGATGTAGTTGTCCCCTGTAGTGGATGCTGTAGTGGACGTGGTGGGTTCGTCTGACAACCCTCCGCCAGGCATCAACTGGCCCAGACCGCGCTGTCGCCTGAGGAGTCTAGGCAGCGCTCCCCCCGCGTCTCGGCCATCTGCGCTGTGACTCGTCAATGGCAATCGCTTCAATCAACCTGGTCCTATCCCGTCCTATCTGTCGTACTTCACGGCCTTGCCACATGACGTCTTGTTTGCCTTGGCTGCTTCCTTTTCGTGTCGTCGCGCAGGAACGGGACTTTGCAAATGGATCTTATGTTAGCCCCTGGCATGTCGGGTGAGCCACGCTGGCAGTGCGTCTGTTTGTGCATGCAGCAGAACTGTGCACAACCGCATCCGTCAAACTGCGTCCTGATCACTTGAGCATGACGGCGTCAGCCAAGCATTTCCTTCGTGCTTTTTCTAGTCCCTTGCGACTTGCTGCAAGACATCGTCATGGCCTTCGTTTGGACTCAGCCACTTCCGCCATTGGCTGGTTAGGCGATGCGCATCGTGGTACCGATAGAACCAAGTATCTTGTTAGTCGGCAAGCGGCCGTAATGACTCCCTCAAGCAATGTTTTCGACTGCGCCTCTTCTTGTAGACCGGATTGAGCCCGACGTATACTCGCTCCCAACACAATCTACAGACTCCCAAGACTGCTCCTAATAGCCACGGCAATTGATGGTTGAACCTCTTCTTCGTAGTCCTGCAACCCCGGCCCCCCTTGCATATGCATCCACACACTCACGCCGGCGTCGCCGTTATTCGCGGCAGCCAGTCTCAAAGGGACTCAGCGGCTCAGTGGCTCAGCGCCTTCACCAGCCACGCCCACCCGGTGGGAGTCAATCGGTGTGCTCTACGAAGTGGCCAATGAAAAGTGCCCAAATCAAGACCCAGGATAAAGAGTCTTCGTCGCCCATCGTAACGGGGGAGATCATGGCCTGTGCCACAATTGTTCGGCCAATTCATTGCGGTTAGTAAACAGATCAGTAATTTCCCTAGACCGTTGATCGACCCCAGCTACAAAACTAGAACTTTTGATGTTTCCCGGATGAATCATATGGCCAAGGGTAGCTCCGATGCACTGCCTCCAAACTAGCGAGGCGGACTTAGTGGGCAGGGGTGGGCGGGCTAACTGCGAGGCTCTCCATTGGGACGTCTCAATGGAAGAGTGGCAAAAACAATGCAACTGCTTGCCAATTGACTGGATGTCATGAAGGCTCCCTCTTGAGAGTAGTATTTCGAATTCGAAAAAGTAAAGACAAACCCGCTTCGCAGGTTTGCCAAATTTGCAGATAACGCCTAAGAGAATAAAATAAAGAAATTATAAATAAAAATAAAAATAAAATCCATATCTAACCCGGATCCCGGATGGAACCCTGCGGCCGTCTCGGATCAAATGTCTCCTCTCCAGAAGTATCTTCAGACTTGAGCTCATCCTCGCCCAGAATTTGAACATTCGCATCCGGATCCACGTTGGATTGACCATCCAAGCCAGTCTCGTCATCAGATTGAATGCACGCTGTGGATAAAAATTCTTTACGGCAGTAGACCAGTCGCTCCAATTATATTAGGAGAGTAGATAATATCGACAGAAAGAAAACCTGAGTTCAATTTGTTTTAATAGTTTATTGCGCTCCTTCCTGAAAATATCTTGGAATCCTTGAAGCTGAGAAGAGTCGAGCCCACACAAATCGAGTCCCGGCGGCAGCGCCTCTTTCTTGAAAAAATCTATTAGGGCGGTTTTAATCTCTTTGTCAAAGATGACATCCTGATTTTCGGCCTCCTGCTCATCTTCGTCAGACTCAGGAGTATTTCGAAGGATCTTGGGAATCGTCACAAGGAGGGGATTCGCAGCCGGTCGTTGGGCTTTAGAAAGCTGCGCAAATTCCTGTTTGCAGCTCAAAGCATTCTTGTGCATGCCGGATCTTCTGCTCGATAGAAGCCGCAAGCCGGTCGACACACAGTGGGAGCTTTGGAGCAATTCCATCCTGTTGCTCTCAAGATTAAAGACGACATCTTTGACCTCCAATTCGGGTAGGTTGAGCAGTGACTTCGGACGACCGATCATTATTGCCGAGAAAAGCACTGGAAACATACGGTCCCGGGCACCTCGCGGCTGGTACACCACAACGCCTCCTCGCCCTCGCCCTCGCCATCAGTCCCGCAGAACAGTTGGCGACAGTGTTCCAGGTTAACAAAGGGCCCCCCTCCAGGTAGCACCATTGCCTGTCCAGCCAAATCCGCCCATGTATTGAATACAGGGGTTCCTGTCAAAAGAAACGCGTGCGAGTATCGTAGTGATCGGACGGCACGGTTCAGCTGGGAGGCTTCGTTCTCGGTGTTCCCTGACAGCTCTCTTGTATGCCAGTGAATCAATATCCACATCAATACTCAATGCCTGCAGAGTGCCTCTAACACAATGGGAAATTGCAGCCAATGTGAGATCATCACTGGCGAAATATTTCAGATGCGTAACCGTTTCCCATTTGCTGCTCTGTGACATGGCAAGTACCATGGGATCCACCTGGGCTGGAGACAAATGTCTAAGGTCAAGAGCAAGAATCCGTAGGTTCGCCATCAACTGGGTTGATTGAAGGATGCGTAGCGGCAGTGTATCGTCCGCTGGAGACTGAACATCCCAGTCATTACTCCAGTCTGAAGTATGTTCAGTCCCAGTACCTGGGACGACATAATCTCCACTGAAGTTCTGAATAATCGTAATCGTAGCGTGGCTATTATGTTAGAAGAATTCATCAACAGTCATAATTAAAACTTACCGAATATGCTCCCGCACTTGAGCCATGTTTTGGTCTGTCCTTCCATCGATAAACATACCCAAGGCGCGCGAAAGACGCTTATGCGTATCCCGAAAGCGGACCGTCTTAAACACCACACGGGAACAGGCCTCCCGACAGAACTTGGAGACTCTGGTGATGGCATTGAGACCTTCATTGTCGGCGAATGATGCGATATAAGATAATAGCTCTGGCGGAGTCCTATGAAGGATAGGCTCTGTGCTGGAGTCTGCCATGCTTGAATGGTTGCAAGTCGAGCTCGAGGGAGCGTGCTCCAGATGCAGAGTTTGGTCGGTCGGAGTTGCTGCTCTAAGCGTTCACCGCGGGATGGATGGTGTAGGATAATATAGTCGTTGGAATTGGGGTGTTCGTGCGTAGTGGTTTTTCGGTCGGAATTGCTGCTTTAAGCGGTATCCCTGGGGTGGATGGCGTGGGACCATATAATAGAAATGAAGTCGTCGGAATCGATGGGATTGATGTTGAGGTTATAGTTAAGCTGAATGTATGAAGGAGGAAAGAGGACTGAAGAGAGAAATGAGTTGGGGCTGCTGATGTAGAATCTTGATGCCGTGAATCACTGCGCGCAAAAAGGCAGCCTGAAAGCAGTGCGGCACGCCATAAGAGAGTAGATTGCTTTCTTTGCCATACAAATTTGTTTGTGTTGCTGAGCGAATGCCTCGTCACCCCCGTGTGAGTGAGCCGACCACAACTTCACCTTGCTTTACCAATCAAAAGTAGGGCTTCCTCAAGTTGCTTTAGACATTGTTCTTGTGCATCATTAGACACTGCCGCCGCCACTGTTACCTTAACTTCACCTCCGTTTCACTTTCTTTAGAAGTCAGGGCTTCCTCAAGTTACTGCAGGCATCATTCTCTTGTGCATCATCAGACGCCCCCACCGCACACTAAGATGACAACAGACCTGACGCGTCTCAAACAGACACCGGAAACTCTCCACCGCCCGCTCCGAGAGGCAGCCGCCGATTTCCAGCGGCGATGCGAAGACAAGGCACTAATAGCGAAAAGCACCTGACACGGTGGTTTGACTGCGACTTTCGCCCTGGTCTATACACCATAGACATAACCAAGGAAAAAGCACACGGCAGCATCGACGATACCAGGGAAGCGGAAAGATAATGCCGTGAACGACCCAACCGAAAGCGACTCTGTTCTTGACGCATTGGAGTCGGAAGATTTCGACAGCAAGCGTCTCTGCATCCACGATGGGACGAGCCTGGAAACGGAATCTACGATACCTATGCAGAGCGCCGCCGCCACCATACTCAATGGCTCAGACATCGCGGATTGCCTCAGAGTTGCTTGGAAGGCTGTGGATATACTTGATCATCTCAACAACCCTGGGTTTAGGGAACATTTAGTAAACTCTTCTCGATCTGCTAGAAACCTGCAGTGCTCCCACTTTTCACTCTCCCATTTACGGGTCATCGCACTAACTAACCAGGTTGGACAGGCATCCTTCACTGGGACAGATCTGGAGCCGACGCCGGTCCAAGGGCTCCGGACCGAATTACAAGACTGGCAACTTACAGGCAAGGAGAGACTCAAGATTCTTGCCGGTTCAGATTTCCGAGGAGGCTTCTCGTGCCTTGCTGTTGGAATCGGTAAGTCTTTGACCGCTTTGGCCGCTTTGACTGCGGCTCTCGAGCAACGGGAGAAAATGTTGCCCCATTGTGGCTGCATGGTGCGATTGACATTTCAGAAGTGGGGGTTTAACGGCGTGGCCACGCTGTTTTCCAGTGCGGGGTGTGCTACTGCGCGAGGAAGCTACAGCGGGACTGCCACTATATTTGGGAGACGGCGCACCTGGAGGGCACACCGATCTCCAACACCAATGCGATCAGATTAAGAAGCACGACAAGATGGTAGGCAAATGTCATGCCCTCTGTTGTACGGTCACATATTGATGCGTTTAAATAGGAGATGCGTCCTTCTTGTATTTATCCTCGACAGTGCCAACTTTCCTGTGAAGGAGCTCCTCGAACACGGACCTTTCCTCCACCAACAATACGACGACTGGATGGAGTATAACGCAGACTACAGTACCATCCACTCCTTTTCGATTGACGTGGCGAACAGCGGAAAGTCATTCACGCCCCACTGCACTCATCCCTGTACGGCGAACTCAACAAGGAGATTACATGTTTGAGAATGGACAAGTCCCATGACGCCAAGAACTGAAACGGCTACGTGTCGTTAGCAGAATTCGCGATCTGGGAGTTTATTTCAACGTCATGGCCATAGACAGTGTTTCCAAATCCGTCAGGAAACTCGAATGGCTATCTGTTTCCAGTGGGTCGACGGCACCGCTTGGAAGGAGACTGGAAGACGGCATCATGGCCCTTCATGTGAGTACTAATAGGCCATACAGACTACCCTTTTCTCACAGCCATCCATGGAATCCATAAACAGCGGCTAACTATTGTACAGTATCAATGCATGGGATTTGCAATCAGCAACATCAGGAAGACGATTGAGCTGAAGCGACTGTCGATTACCATGGAGACCAACCAAGTGCGGTCTAGTTTCCTTCATGGGCGAGCAGGACATGCACCTAACGGTAATCCCTATCTTACATTCCATGAACTCGACACTTGGCGTGAAAGATTGGCCCGTGGATTCAGCACTCTTTTGCCGCAACTTGAGCAAATGTACTTGTTAGACAAGTTCCCTAGATTCTCGCAAGAAACCAGTACACAGGACAGTGACAGGATGGTTGTCACGTCCGGGGAAATATTCACCATGACCCACCGCGAAGGCTTTCCGACGGGAGTTTTCGATTGAAACTGTGCTACGGCGGAGCGCCTCTCGTATCTTCAAATTCGCGCATGCGCCATTGAAGCAAGTCGAACATTGGAGCCATGGGGGAACCTTTGGGGGCGCCAGAGAAGGGACCGGCGATGTCGCTTGTATTTGAGATAGATATCAGCCAGACAATAAGGTGACGTTCGTGCTGGCGCGACGGTTGTGGCCAGGCTTTCCAATTCTCGGGATACGAATAATACATTTAGTTGACCCTCGATGAGAGAACCCAATGTTTGAATTTACTGCATTTTCGTTGTGCACGTCAGTTGCCAAGGCCCAAGGTTAGCCATGATCCATCTGCCAGAATCCTGTCTCACCTTTTCGCCCTCGAGCCAGCGCTCTGGCCCTGAAATCTTCTATTGTTTAGAAATAAATTTAGGTTTTAGGTAACCTAAATTTAGTTATAGGGTAATTTCGTTCTCTTTAGGTACTGAGCCTTTCTTTTAGGTACACACATAAGGTAGGCACCCGTAGCACCCCAGATACCCAAGGCGAATTCAGCGTGCATATGCATGATGCCGTGTTGCTGAATGGGCCGTTTCAAAACTCCCTTCGCACCCAAGCGTGGTTTGCGCACCGCCACTGGTGTCTGGATGGCTCGCTCCTGGATGTGTGCCCTGACATGGATGGCATGTGATTGCGTCTGTTGAAGGCTGGCAACTGCGCAGTAGTAGCATTGACTTGAGAGAAGAATGTCATAAAAGCTGCTCTGTCGGCCAATATGACTTTGCAGCTGTCGGGTATCTCGACTGAATGACCAGCAGCTAGGCCAGTTTGCCGCACGATGGCCTCTTGGGCATCGCTGGGTTCACCGAAGAGCAAACTTTGCAAGTTCCCCAGTACCGGATCAATGGGCATGTCTCCTTCAAGATCAGACTCTGCGAGACAACCCTCGGTGGACGATGTAGACTGCCCGGGTGGCATCATACACTCCGGGGCAGTGGTGGGAGGAGATGGAGCCCCGTTCCGAGTTGCTTCCTGCTCGGCGAGCCATGCCTGAAAATGTTCCTGCTCGAGTTTTCTTCCAGCAGTGACTCTGGCGCCGCCAATATACTCATCGGTGACACCCTCAAACATCGTTCTGCGAGAGTGGCCCAGGCCAACCCGAGCAGCCTCGACGTTCGTGCCAGTAGCAGCTATGCCTGCTAACTCTCGCGCCGCGCCGCGACGAATGTCGTGTGATGTAGCGTACCCCATGAGTCCGACGAGCGCCGCACCACGAGCCAGAGTTCTTGTTCCCACAGCTATGGTGGCGGGGGCGTCGTAGCGTAAGTTGAACCCTTTACCATGATACATGACGCAGAAACCTGGGTAGTCTGGCCGAGTCCAACAGACAGCATGGACTTTGTTGCGCGCAGGTTGGTGAGGAGTTCGTCCCAGCTTGTCTGGGGGACCGCGCCTACACGCAGAGCCCAGATGAGTAGGAGTTTGATGGGACAGCAGACGTTGGATTATGGATCCATACTTCTCCAATCGCGACGTCCCTGTTCTTCTGTGGCTCACCCCTAGTGTGTCATCCATATCAGCATGATGGTCCATTCACAAGAAGAGTGGGCGTACTTACTTCGTCCCCTTCTGAGCGACAGGAGCACCTGAGTGCCCGGCGCGTTCGAGTTGAGCTTCAGCTTTTTCGATCTGATCTTTGAAGACTTTCGGTCTTCCAATGCGGATTTCAACGGAGAGTCCACTGAGGCTTTGCCGAGATGGGCAAATCTGTCCGGCTCCTCTTCCCCGAAGTCGAGGTCAGAGGAGTCCCATCCCGAGTCGATGAGCCATCCCGAGTCGGGGCTTCCGTTCCACCCATCGTAGTAACGAAGATGAATGTGAACAGGTCGATGATCGTCGACAACAGGGTCGTTGGATGGAGAGGAAGTAAAAGAGGAGGAGGAGGAAAATTTGGGGCGTGAAGAAGAGGTGGGAGGGAGGTGGCCACTCTCCATGCCATCGAGAAGGAACGGGCCACATGCAGTTGACAGGCACCCCTCCTCCCCTTCCTTCCTCTCTTGTCATTGGTCATCAACATCCATCAAGTCTACCAACTCGCCGCGGATGTTTAGTTCGGTGGTCTGCTCGCTGCCATTGTCGCCATTGCGTTCTTCTTCTCCTTCGTCCTACGTAAGCTGCTCCTCGCTCTCCGACGAGGACAGCTGCTCCCCTGGTCCAAATTCAACATTTCCAAAGGACTCAGCGTCTGAGCCCTTGTTAGGTATAGTAAGATTCAAGGTCGCTGTCGTGAATTATTTCATGGCGATCCTCCGAAAGGATCTCTGCGGTAGCGTCTTCGTCCTCGTCTTCCTCTTCTTCCTCGGCGCCATCGGCATCCTCATCAGAGGCCACCATCACGAGCATTAGCCTCTGTCTTTGCCATACAGCTTAATTCAGCAGCTCTGGTTTCTATGGCGTTATGATATGCTGGTAGAGTTGGATTCTGAACGGTCTCTTGGTGTGGCACGGTGAGAGAATAATTTGTGACAATGTCCAGCTGTGCGACCTCCTTAGGATGTAGGCCTCAGCCTCAAGGCTTAGGTGTGTGACTAGTGCTCCTGCAAAATTCATATGGCGAAGTAGGTGGTCTTCTTTTGGGGCTCGATATTTTCTATTTTATTACTCTCAAAAGTCGTCTTCACCTTGAATTATGCATTCATTCCATATCATTTTCAACTCACAAGAGACACTTAGTGCATACAAGGAAAGTCTTGTGGGCGGTCCATGGTAGAATATCGTAGTGGCGAGGCGCCCTATTGGCACCGCTGTGGCACCGTGCCAGCAAAGTGCCAGCCGACGGGAGCGACTGGTCCACTGCCCTGAAGAGTATGTATTATGACAAATTGCACCCAGACTTCCTTCCTGTTGGCATTATCCATTCTCCCAATATAACTCCTGATACGCCTTCGAAGCTGAATCCATCAACTCAATAACTATACAAGGCCCAAAAGAAAAAAGTCAAGCAGCAAGGCCGTGGGTCATCATTTCGTACACTTGCTCGTTCGTTCGCTCATTCGCTCAATCATTCATTCATTCGTGCTGTCGCTGTCATAGGAATCATAGCCATCATCCCCGGATCCCGGATGGAAACCGCCGGCGGGTGGTCCGCGCCCGTTTTGGAACGGGTTCCCCGGCTGGTTCTGCCCGGTGACGTTGAAGAAGGCAGGAGCGCCACCAGGCGCCGGAGCGTTCATCGGGGGTGGGGGTGGTGGCGGAGGGAAGCCTCCTCCGGGATAGTCTCCTCCGGGATAGTCTCCTCCGGGATAGTCTCCTCCGAACTGACCGCCCATATCTCCAGGGGGTGGTGGCGGCGCAAAGTGGCCGTCCATGGGACCACCAAAGCCGGCAGGCGGCGGCGGCATCGACATGGGCATCGGCATCGGGTTCGGGACGGCCCCGTTGAAGTGCTTCTGCTGGGACCCACTCCTCTTCCGGCTGCTCCGCCCGCTACGGCTGCTGCGTCCGCTGCTGCTACTGCCAGAGTAGTAGTAGCGGTCGTCGGCCGTGCTGACCCAGTACAGCTGGGTGTCGGGCTCAAAGTAGGAGGCGGATGACCAGTTGGAGTAGGTGGAGTGGTCGTCGGAGATGTCACGCGTCTTCTTCTTGACCACCGTGGCGCCGCGAGGTGCACCAGCGGCCCAGGAGAGGAAACGCATGGACATAGGCTGCTTCTGTTTCTTCGGGAGCTTCCTGTATGTGGTGGTCCACTCGGACGAGGTGGTGCTGAAGCCGTCGATGTTGTCGTCTGAGTAGACGGAGCTACTCCTGTGGGATCGGGAAGGCATTGCGGGTGATGTGACGGTGATACGGGTTTAGTGAGAGGAGGATTTGTCGCCCGTAACTAGTACAGACGGTGCGTGGTTGGTTTGTTTGGCGTGAGTGTAGCTGTTCACCACTCGATGACACTAGTCATTCCTCTGCGGTGTCGTGTCTTGCAATGCCTAGTGTCTAGGCAGTGTGAGAACTAGAATTGCAAGACCGATCCAAGGTTGTGTCGAGGATCAATGGACTGGCAACATAGGGTGACTGGGTTCACCCTTGGACAAAGATGAAGATCAAGTAAAGCAGCTTGCGGGAGAGGGATGAGACAAATGGAACGGCACCTTGGAACGGGACGCTGGGGGAAGATATACCCCGAGAGCTTCGATGACAATACGAATAGGAGCGGGCAGTGGCATGGCCCCCAAGCCGCGCTGAGGGAGCTCCGCAATGTCTGCCTATACCTCGTGGAGCGTTCTCACATTATGCGGGCGACAGTCTACGCGACAAGCTCACAGCCGTTGCACATTGAGTCAGCTAGTAAAAAAAAGGAATATGGACGCCTCGGGCGAGGGGGGTGTGTGTGATACGTCGTTTGGCCAAGCCGACTGGACGAGGGGATACGACGCCGCCGTGTACCAATGCGGTGCGGCACGCAGCAGTGAGATACCAGGCAGCCGGTCTCGTCTCGGTATCGCGGCGGAGTAGGCGAGCGGCTCTGCAGGCGGCTGCAGCATAGAGGGGAAAGAGGAATGTGACCGGGATGCGGTGCGAGCTGGGCAAGCTGGGCGATCTTGCGCCACTGTCCGCCTCGCTTTTCGGGAGGGGAAGCCAGACGGGAGGTCCTAGGCGCGGGGGTGTGTGGGAGCCCGCGTGAGATCCAAGGCCCCAGGACGAGTGGTTTGCGTGAAGCGGACGAGGTGGTGGTGAGTGATGAATTGGCCTTGTGCATGGACGTCAGAATGGTTCGCCAGCTTCCACGCAGCTCCAGGGTGGACCGATCATCAGGTACGGGGCAACTCTGCGTGAGTTCGTGAACCAGCGGCTCTCAAACAGCCTACGCCCTACAGAGCCTCCCAGCCTACGATCCATTGTGCGGGACAATGTGCGCGGGTCAAGTTCACGCAGCTACTATGTAAGCACGAATGAATGGCCAAGAGGCCTGGGACGAGAAACCATCTCACGGCGGCGTGCATCAACGAAGAACGAGAGCGAAACAAAGTGGCAACAACTCCGCATCTGCACCCGGCGGTGACCCAGCGCCGGTAGCGAGAGAAGCGAAACCAGACCAACCATTCCGTCCCGTGAGCCATCCCATCTATCACATTGTGCGCAAACTGCAGCAGTAGCGGCAACGCACGACAACGCAGCAGCCGTACACTTTGCTTTCCCTGATGGTGAGGCGGCACGACCGACGGCGGCGTCGCACACGGACGCACATCTCTGGCCGTCGGGTGGGTGAGATGCGCGCGGGACAACGCTTGGGGGCGTTGTTTCGGTGAGGTCGACGAGTTGCAGTGCCGGTGCGTCGTGATTGGAGCGATGCGAGGTCGCTGCGAAGTGCAACGCTGTGCTGCGAGCATTGGTGTCGTTGGTTGGTTGCCCAGTTCAGGGCTGCAACGGAGGCTTGAAAGTTCAACGAGACAGGGCGGACGAAGGACAAAGGACGATAAGCAGTAATGCACAACGGAAATGGCGACATATTTTTGGAAAGGACTCATGCAGAGATGGTCGGCATGATTCAAGATACGACACCATCAGGATGTGTTCTGCGTTGGCGTGGGTTCACATGTTTGTTTGGCCGTTTGAGGACGGTGAAAGAAACACGAAAGTGAGGTTGAATGGATTTACGTGTAGAGTTTCAAAGAGGCTCAAGAGGTTGAATGTGATGAGGTAGGTTGAATAAGGTATCAATGCAGTGTTTTACCGAGGCGCAAGATACACAGAGCCTCAACCCGATAGGGTGCCGGGTTGAAAAGGATGCAGTCCACGACTATGGTCTAGGGTAGCTGTTTTACAAGACGTGTCTCACTGGTGAGGATGATCGGTGATCAGGCGAGATCAGATCGTCGATGAGGGACGCAACGGCTACCCAGACAGGGCAAGGCAATTCTTGGCCGATTCAATAGCTTCGGCAATTGGAAAATGAAAACACATTTTCTCTCTGCCCGAGATATGACGGGCGTTAGTGAGGGTGTCGTCAACAGCTGTCTTGCATATGCGGACAGATATTATGAGGCGAACGGGACTGCACGGCGTTGGCTGGGCTTTCTCCGCTAGCCGCCTCGATTTGGATCGGCCAACAGACGAGCGATTGCCGACGGCTGTTGGTATTGTCGTTCTGGGACCTGGCATGCCCAGAGTCCCAGGGCCCTCAACAGCCGATTGTTTCCAGTCCCATTCATCCGTCAATCAAGACATTGGAAACAACATCACGCCAGGTTCAAACAGACGGTCGCCGGGTCTGGTCCTCTGCCCCTCCACATCCCGCGCCCCTGGAGGCCCTGGAGGACGGAAAACCTGACGCCTTACGTGGTACCCGCCCTGAAACGGGCCCCTGTGTAGAACCTGCTCCGTCTGGTGTTCTGTGCCCGTGTCCCACCGAGCAGTTGTCCAGTCCTGGGCTGCGTACGTCGGAGCATGTAACACCGGGGAGGGAGGCAGCCCACCGCATTGAAGCTGGCTGGCGGGAGTAGTCACCACATTGGGATCAGATCATCGACAAGAGCCAGCCGGGCTGTTCTGGCGTTTGACCTGCAGAGACGAAGGGACGGGAAAATGGCGATATTGCGGCCGTTTATTGCTGGACGACATGCGCGCCAAGCCGCCCGGCATCAGCAAGGCGATGCCGATGCTTGGCTGATGGGGAATAGAAGAGGCCTGGAAGCATCCGAGCGTGCCTTGACGGGTGGACCCTTTTAACGCTCGCGAGTCTCCATTGTGGGATCGCATGCTTTCTCAGCGGGCTTCGAAAATCCTCCCAAAACCTTATGTAAGGTTACGGACGCTGGAGCAGGGCGATTGGGCGATTAGGCCATGTCGCGATGATGGGGAGAGCGGCGCATCACGAACCAGGGTGAGTCTTGGCCAGGCACAGGGGGAGGATGAATGACTGCATTACATAGTACGTACTTCGTCCGATCAGAAGTGAGCAAGGCAAGAGGGACGGCATCGTCTCGACCGTCGGGACGTGGGGTTCAGACTCCCGACGATGGTTCATGATTTAGAAGCTATGCGAGTAGCATGCAACCGTTGCAAGACGATGTCCTTGTACGGAGTAGGAGGAACCTGTCTAAGGGTTCTCTTACCCAGATCGGCGTCTGAGTTCTGAGTCCATCGGCTGCATTTTCGGAGGGACCCATCCAGACTGGGGCAGTTGGAAACAGACCAGACGAAGAGCTTTGACGGAATCCGCGGGATACTGTATCGAAGTTGGGATCGCTGGGCCATCCTATGCGAGATTGTATGTACAAGGCTCCCAAGGCAGTCGTGCTGTGCTGTTAGTTTAGGCCAGCCATGATTGAATTCCTGTGCCTCTTGGGTACCGTAAATAGGACCTCATGCTAGATGCTTCTGCGTTAGTGATGGATAGGGTTTGGGGGCGTGGAAACTGGTGATGACCGCATAGCATAGAGAAGAGAAAATATGACCCGTCGTGGGGCGCACGGCTAAGCTCGGGAACATTTTGAATTTTGGGAGACTCTTGTTAGACGGCGACGCTATTCCCCTTGGTGTCTGGGACGCAGTGCCAAAACGGTTTGGCCGCCAAGTACGAGGAGGATGAATCTGGTGATGCTGATTGAGTACGAGACGATGGGGTTTCTCGCATCCCAATCGCAGCATGGGTGCCCTCGGATGCTGAATAGTTGCCGAGATCCGGGCTGGGGCGCCTTGGAACTTGTCAGCGGCGCCGGTGGTAGCAGCGGACCAGACGTCGGCGGGCAGCGGCTGTGGTCAATCTCTTCTACGCTCTCGCCCTCCATGGCTGGGTGGCACTCACACAGGGGCACACAGGCTTCGGCACACAGGCTACCGCACCTTATGTAAGAGGTTGAATGGGAAGAGAAACACGGCACGCGGGTCACCTTCGACCGCACACGGAGACAGAATTACCAGGTTGAGGCCCCGAGGGAAGAGGAATCAGCACCCGTTTTGGGCCGCCGGGCGCTCAGTCCAGGCACCGCTTCGAGCTGTCTGCTGCTCCTTGCGTTTCGTTTTGGCACAGCACCCAGCGGCTGCAGTGCGACGTACGACGGGCCGACGACAGGCTGAACTCGCCCGGCAATAGACAGTGGGTTGGCCGGCGCTGGGCTGATGGAGCACGTCTTTCACTGCTCCATTAGGTTGTTCCAAAATCGCCATGGAGCCACCAATCAATCACACGACGAGGCCGGCCTGGCCCCAGCGCAGTCCGAAACCCAGCCCAGACCCTCTGACTCGCTCCCGCTCGCCGTGGCTGCAGCGTGAAAACCCAAACCCGCATGGGTATTCGCGCGGTGGTGAGGGAAGTGATTCTTCATCGTTGGCTTCGCAGGCGATAAAAAAAGATAACAATAACAATAACCCAAACCCAGAAAAACTCAGTCAGCGAAGATGCAGCGCCCGTCGACAGAAACCGGATCGTTTCCCCTGTCTGCCCCCCGTTCCCCTGCCGTATCCCGGCGCCCGCCCACCACACAGTTTCCCAAGGGGAGGGAGAAAAAAGGGCGCCAATCCTGCCCTACCCTGCAGGCCTAGTCCCGTATAGGCGGCCGCCCCGCCTTTCCCCCTTCCTGGTCCCCTGCCTGCCCTGGCCTGACTGGGCAAGCCCGCGGTGAGAACTGGGTCCGGCCGGGCCTCTCCTGGCGAGTCTCTGTGGTGTGTGGCGCCAACCCAGCACTGAGCGACTGCGCGAGACGCCTGAGACCTGCTGCAGCGCGGTCCAGCTCACGCTGCAGTGTGTCTCTCCTGCCCCCAGCGTCTCCCCCCCCCAGTGTCCCAGTGTCTCCTGCCCAAGTGCCATCTCGCGTCTGCTGCTCTCCGGTTGGCCCGTTGCCCTGGCCCCTCCGTCGCTCGTCCACTCAGGGCTCAGGACTCGGAGCCACCACCTCCACCCAAACTCGCTCACGCTGTCCATTCCATCAATCCACCCGTCCACCCATCCCAACCCATCCACCATCCACCATCAGCCGTCCGCGATCCATCCCTCTCATCCATCCAACAAATCCAACCATCAGCAAATCGACCCCGAATCCCCTCATCATCTCCTCCGATCGTCGCCGCGCCCCTCCTCGTCCGTCTCCCGCCTTCTCGAGTCCACACCGTCGTCCGTGCCGCCATTGACGTCTCGACCGTCTCCTCGCGATCCTCGAGCCCCCTGGAATACGGCGTGACCTCGACCGAACGACGTTCATCTCCTAGGGCACGCCTTGGTCGGCGGTTTCGGCCTTTCGAGGAGGCCCTTCCTCAGTCCTCGCCATGGACCCTTCCAACGGCAAGGCCTCCAACTTTGAGCGCCGCTCCTCCGTCCGACGCTCTTTGAGGCTCTCCACCTCGCATGGTGCGACCGAAGATGATGACTACGACTTGAGTGCGATGATGGTCGCTGACGGCTTTCGACCAACCGATAACGCTGCCTCTACCTCCATTCTACCTCCCTCCTCACAACCTCAACACGGCGATTACCGCCCTTCGACACCGACTTCCCAGGCACCACAGCTTCCGCCGATCGGTAATTTTCAGCAGCTTCCGCCCGGCCTCAATGCCTCTCCTTCACAGAAAACAGACATGAGAACTCGTCCTTCCAGCATTTCGAAACCGCCCCGAAGCCACGACTCTCTAGCCCTCCGCAATGACGGAGCAAGCGCCTCTGTCACAGGCCCAGCCCACATTCCCCGCGTGTCGAGCATGTCATCGGATTCCCCGGTCATGAGAGTTGAGAGTCCTTACAGGGGCCCATCAGGGCCTTCACACCCTTACCAAATGTATCCTCAACGCACCATGAGCGTTGCAACTACCTCTACCTCAGCCGCCGTTGCTGCCGCTGTCATTCCCGAGGATCAATCCTACACAGGTCCTCGTGGTCCGACTCATCCGTACACTCTCTACCCCCAAAACACCGTGGCTACGGGCGAACCCGAGGCGGACCCAATTCCCGTCGGCTTCAATGGTATGGGAGGAAATTACCAACGACAAATTGGCCCCGATGGAGAGGAAGCTGGTGACATGATCGGCCCATTGGGTCATATGGAGGAACTACCGCCGTACACGAGATATGCCGAGAACGCCTTTGTCCCCAAGACGACAGTCGCCGCAGTATCCCCAGCAGCCACATCAGCTGGAGGAGCCACAGTGGCCACTGCTGCTACCCCAACCACAGAGCCCACTTCGCCTAGCCGGTCAATTGCGGGTGCTGGGGGAATTGGCATCGCGACCCGAGACCCGGAGTTCTCTTCGACCGAGGATGATATTGGTATGCCACGCGCACGTCCTTCGGTGAGGAGCAATACATCCCAGCTGAGCCAGCATGATGTAAATACTGCAGCTCGAGATGTCGCTGAGAAGCCTACCATCAACAAATGGCAACGGCGGGCCAAGAAGAAGCTGTGGGGAATTGTTCCATACTGGGCCATCTGTCTTCTGACCGTTGGCCTGATTATCATGGGAATCATCATGGGGGCTGTAATTGGGACTTTGCTCACCCGACACAAGAAGCCTCCCTATGAAGATGAGTACGTTGTTCCATGAAATACCCGCTTATCCTGTATTCCCTTGATCTAACATCAGTTATAGCTCCGCATCAGCGGCGACGTCAGGCATCCAGACTTATGATGCCGTCCCGACCGGGATTGCCAAAATCTCCACCGGTGGTTATGGCCTGCCGCCCTTCGACATCAGCGCACAACCCAACACATGTTTCAACGACAGCACTCAGTCCGCGGGCTGGAGCTGCGATATCAAGTTCTCTTACTATTCAATGGATGTCTCCGAGATTCCCAAAGCTCCCCAAAACCAGGCCTATCAGCTCGTCATGACCGCGATCAACGCAACCAACGCTGAGTTTCTCTGGGGCGCTCAAGCTCCCAGCATTGATACTCCCATTACCCTTCAATTGGTCAATGACACATTTGAGCTTGGACGCGGCCCTGCGTGGTGGGCGACGAAGGAACTCAACAAGACCGTCATCGTGCCCGAGGACCAGTTGCATACCATCTCTAAGCGCGGATGGGACGGAGATGAGGACGAGGACGAGAAAGAGAAGGGCCACTTCCCGCCTCCGCCTGGGTTCAAGAAGAAGAAGAGTTGGGGTGCAAAGGTGGGTGACAAACCGTGGATCTGCACCTGGCCCAATGTGCGGCTTGGAATCTTCATCTACCCAAACCAAAACACCAGTGGCAGCAGCTTCGGCAGCAGCACAACTACACAAGGATCCACAACTTCCACCACATCGGGTGCTTACGCCACGGCCACTTCCGATAGCTCGTTTGGCGACATTCCACCCTCGTATCCCAAGGTGTTGAAGATGGTGGAACAGCGATACTGGACCAAGGACAACTCCGCATCTTGTCGCCAAGTTGAGATCACCGACGACGGCAAAGGCTGCAAGCCCGTCCTTGATGCCAACAAGGATCCCATTGTCATCTCACTTGTCGAAACCGCTGCAACGAATTCGAAGTTTCAACAGAAATTCCGTCAAGTGCCGAAACGGTGGCACGTCCGAGATATACTACAAAATCGAGGAACGGGATTGGAACTCACCAGCTGCGGTTGCCTATGGTGGTCTACATAGATTGAGGAAATCTATGGATGACACGCGTCTTACTTCATATAATTGCATCGTTTATTAGCATTGGCATATTCGGGACTGGGGTTACAACTGCGAGCTACGATTTTGGCTTGCTTATTTGTCTTTTCGACTTTGTCTTGGCCTTTGAGACCGGCGTTGTCTCACGCAAGACGCGGTCGTTGCTTTATTGACGTGATTTTGTCAGTCGCCTTTCGATTTCTGTTTAGGACATCGTCCTCTTCTTGTTTTTCGGAAATGGGTTTGCGTACGGCTCGCATTTGGTCACAGTTGGATGAAATGGATATTTTGGAGTTCAGGGCGAAGGCTGCCTTGCCAAATGTGTTATTGGGCTGTTTTTGGGTATCACGAATCTCGAGCTGTTCTCGCTTTTCGTAATCGTTGTGAAGCTAGCTGGTCAGCGGCAGGGGATTGAGAGTGCGTATACGCTTGAGTGCGAGGAAAAGGGGAAATGAAACACTACGCTGCTCTTCAGCCTGTGAGCTTATTGTTAAACAAGTATCTAGATCTGGTGGGAAGGGAAAGGTTTACTCATACTCGTTCGGGCTCGAGACACGGCTGTATTTGGCCTAGGTGTCCCGACGTGTTGTGTTATGTTTGGAAGTATATACGATCATATTTGGATGGTACCACCCCTGGAGAGGAACTTGGCATCTGGGAAAGAAATAAAACCAGTGTTGACTTTAATCATCATTCACACAACGAGGATCCATGTGATAAGGGTGGTGCGACTGGCAACTTATACTCGAGAGAAGAAACTTTTCAATTGTCACATCAATGCTCGTCCGCTTTATTGTAAAGGGTTTTCAAGCTTGCTCGGGTTTGAAACTTCTAGCTATCTGAGTCCGGGGCTACTTGCTTCTCCTTGCCCCCCCTCCATCACAAACGCTGGCGTGAACCGTGATTCTTGCCGCTGCCGAGACTTATTAACCTTGAAACACATCAAACTTGAAACCATAGACCATTCTGCTGAATGCCTTCACTGCCCGACTATCGACGTCTCAATACGTGATATGACCGAGATGGTGTGCACAAGACTTGGGAGATGCCATAGCCTTCCGTGACGAACCCGAGGGTCGCCCGGAGGGCCCAATGACATGCCCATCTAGAGAACCAAACTCTGCGGGGGTTTCCAACAAACCAACCTCATGTTGTGCGCAAACGCTTCGGTGAGCCACAACCCCAACTCGTGGAGGAGATGGGCGTCACTGGGGGGCCTTGGGCCCCTCCTCGTCGCTCTCTGGCGTGTCGCGGATCTCGTTGTCGACGATGTCCTTGCGGCCGTCGCGGAAGTCGCGCATCAGAGAGAGAAAGGTGGAGTTCTTCCACTTGTCGCCCTCCTCGTGCTGGACTGACTCGAGGAGTCGCTCGGCGGCCTCGGAGACCTCAGACTTGGCCTTGGCGGGTCCAGTCGACTCCGACTCCACGGGCGCACGGGTCTCGAGGGAAAGAGCGGCAATGTCAGGAGTCTGAAAGTCGCCATCGGAGCGAGTCTCTGCCTCTGCGGCTTCCTGGTCTGCAGCCTCGGCATTGTTGAAGGCGGCTTCGTTGAGCTCCGCCTCGTCAGCGATCCGCTCCATGACGGCAACGACGTCCTCGGCGCGACTGCCATGGCGGGACATCCAGATATCCATCTCCCGGTCGAAGTCGGCCTCGGCGCCGTGACGCTGGGCGATGGCGGAGCTGGCATCCATGTGGCCGCCGTTGGTCGGGCCGTAGAGGGGAGAGAAGCCAGCGTTGGGCAAGGTCAAGCCGGCGGGATTGAACGCGAGCATAGAGTTGCTCTGGGCCATGTGCATCTGGGGATTGCCCTGAGCCATGTGCATCTGGGGATTGCCCTGAGCCATGCGCATCTGAGGAGCCGCCTGGGTGAAGCCGTTCTGGGGCTGACGCTGCTGGGTGAAGCGGCCAAAGTCGGCAGCCCAGTTGCTCCCATCAGCAGGAGCATGACGAGCCTGGAACTGAGGGTTCTGAGGCGCAAAGCCCGGGGCATGAGCTGGCTGCAAGGCGGTGGCATGAGTGGCCAGTCTGTTGGCCGCGTGCTGATGAGCCATGGGAGCCATGCCAGACATGCCGGGGAGAGCAGCAGGGCCATCCATGAACTGGTTGAAGCCATTGGGACCCTGTGCGGCCTGGGGTCCGGTTCTGAAAGACTATATAAAAGGTCAGTGGTGGACATGTAATGAGTGGCGGATAGTCAGGGGTTGCTTACACCGGGAGCCTGAGCGCCGGGGCGGTTTACAAGACGGTCCTGGTGACGGCTGCCATCACGGGACTGCTGCTCAGTGAGGCGCTTAAAGGGATTCCCGCCGCTGCAAGAATCGTCGGCCATGATGAGAGACAGGAACAGCTGCTGCTGTAAAGGTATATGAAAGATGTGTGGTGTCGAGGTGACTGAAGAGAGGAACGGAGAAGATGCCGCGGAATGCCTCGGCGACTGCGGGGTGTGTGCAAGTGGCGGCTTTTCCCTTGAGAACTCGGGGGAAAAGAGAGATTATATAGCTAGGTAATGGTACAGGAAACGGCGGGCGTTGGGTATTGAATATTGTCAAGTACAAACAAAGGAGAGGAGGCTATAGTACAGTAGCAAGAGTGGTGTTGTTGTGTGTTGAAACAAGGATGCAAACGTGGAATCGGGAAAACGTGGGAAACTCGCGGCAAACGAATAAGAGACGATGGCGTCAAAGTCCGATGCAAGGCCGGTGGCTCGTGATTCCTCCGCTCTGCCGTCCGGGGAAGCGATGCGCCGAGGGACCACAGGAAGGAGGTACGTACCTTGCCTCGTGGCGAAGGACGGATGCGGCAGGTGGGGGCTGGTCACGCTCTCTGCCACGTGACGCCAAAGCGGCGGGCCAACTGTCACCACCGCCACGACGGGCGAGGCTAGGGAGCTCTAGGTCATGGGCGGTATCGTGTCCTCAGTCGGCCAACTTTTCCATATTCCCACTCTCTCCCGTGCGCTGAATCCCCGGCGCTGAATCCGACAAGATGGTATGTTGCACGTCTTCCAGATGGCCACTGCAAGCGCTGCACGCCGCCGAACCAGCGATCCGGGCAAGCACGAAAGCTAACTCCTGGCCCCCTTAGGCGGCGCAAGTCATCTCCAACTCTGGTCATGATGACATGATTGTACGTTCCCTCCCTCCGTCTCGATGCGATCCGAAGTTGCGCAATGCCCTGCTGCAGCTCTCTTCGACCGAACCAACCCCGTGTGCATTGGCCTGGACTGACAGCAGCTCCCGCAGCATGATGCTGTCCTCGACTACTACGGCCGCAAGCTGGCTACGTGCTCCAGCGACCGCACCATCAAGATCTTCGAAATCGAGGGCGACTCCCAGCGCTTGATCGAGACTCTCAAGGGGTGAGTGGGCTTCGCCGTCCCCCTGGTTGCAAATGACCAACGCAAAGAACGAACGCTAATAATGGCTGGCATATAGCCACGAGGGTGCTGTTTGGTGCGTCTCCTGGGCGCATCCCAAGTACGGCAACATCCTGGCGTCGGCTGGCTACGACGGAAAGGTCTTCATCTGGAAGGAGCACGGCGGCCAGACCAGCTCATGGCAGCGCATCTACGACTTCCCCTTGCACAAGGCCTCTGTCAACATCGTGTCCTGGTCCCCCCACGAGGCCGGCTGCCTTTTGGCCTGCGCCTCCTCCGACGGCAACGTGAGCGTGCTCGAGTTCAAGGACAACGCCATGGACCACACCACCTTCGCTGCCCACGGCCTCGGCGTCAACTCCGTCTCCTGGGCCCCGGCCACCACCCCCGGCAGCATCGTTAGCAGCGCTCCCGGACCCGCCGCCAGCGGCAACCGACGGTTCGTCACCGGCGGCTGCGACAACGTGCTCAAGATCTGGGCCTTTGACCCGGCTTCGCAGTCCTACAAGCAGGAGAGCGAGCCCCTGACTGGCCACTCCGACTGGGTCCGCGACGTCGCCTGGTCCCCCACCGTCCTGCAGAAGTCGTACATCGCCTCTGCCTCCCAGGACAAGACGGTCCGCATCTGGACCTCGGACGCCTCCAACCCCGGCCAGTGGGACTTCAAGGTGCTCAACTTCGAGGCGGCCGTGTGGCGCGTTAGCTGGTCGCTCAGCGGCAACGTACTCGCCGTCAGCAGCGCCGACAACAAGGTGTCGCTGTGGAAGGAGAACTTGCGGGGCGAGTGGGAGTGTGTCAAGTCGATTGAGGAGTAGAACCTACGCGGCGACCAGTACAACTAGGAGAGCAAGGCGTTCAAGGCAAAAACGGGTGGATATACTATGACCTCTTTGTCCCGGTTTTGATGCGAAGGGGTGACGGAGCTGGCCCGGTTCGGCTCCCCGAACCCAAGGACATGCCTACAGAAGGATACATCAATTGGGGAGCATGCCTGGGTGACGATCCTGGGCTGAGTTGACCGAGAGCGTGGTGGTCGGGTTATCGGGATGTGAGCGTCATCAATCCCAGTTACGCCACCATTGATGAAGATGTAGGCGTGATGAAATATAGTAATGGACTAAAACAACATTTATGTGCCTTCCAAATGTACTCCCTGACCGACCTAGGCCGGCAGTTTTCTCCATCCATACCATAATATAGACAGTATTCCTTAACGCCTTTAAAACCTGTTGTTCCTTTCATAATTCGTGCCACGTGGGACTTGGCCCGTCACTGTCCCTTCTACCTGATGTTGAGAGTCGATTCATCACGCAAGAAATAAACCCATGATGATCGCCGCAAACGTCACAGCCACGGCCCCTGACCGCGGGGGGAAGAACTGAGACGCAGCGCTGTCATCATCACTGCCGCTCTCGCCCTCGTCGGAACCCGCGTCGTCTGACCCGGAACCGCTCGAGTCCCGCGCCAGGACAAAGAGCTCGCCCGTGCTGTCGGAGCTGAACCAGAGGCGGTCCTTGGAGTCCCACGCCAGGCCGACGGGCCGGAAGCAGTTGTCCGGGCAGTTGGAGAGGTCCGGGTTGCGCAGGATCGCGCTGGCCGCGTCCATGCTGTTGGAGGGCTCGACGGGCTGCCCGTCCTTGAAGGAGATGCTGGAGATGGCGTAGCCCACGGGGTCGTCGCGGTTCCCTGGGGGGTCTGTAAGAATAGGTTCAAGGGGTGGGTTCGTGGGACTTACAGCTGCCGTGGAAGGAGACGTAGGCCCTGGTGCCGTCCTCGTTGAACTTGATGTCAAGGGGCGCCGTGTGGGCCTGGAAAGCGAGCACCGGGGGCACGTATTCGGTGTTGCACTCGCTGTCGCTTAGTATAGTGATTACATTGTCGGACTGGTCGGCCGGGAACTGGTCGCCCGTATCTAGATCGCCAAGGTCCGGAAACCCATCGGTGGACCAGATGGTGTAGCAGAGCGGGTAGCCGTAGTTGCCACCCTGGTCCTCGCCAGAGCCGTTGAGGTAGCCGTGGAAGTTGAGCTCCTCGCCGGGGTTATCCGCGTGAATGTCCTCGCCGTGGCGCCGCAGATTATCGACCGAGTTCTCGACGGACCAGATGCCGCCCGTCGCGGGGTGCTCGGCGACGCCGACCGAGTTGCGGAGGCCCCAGCCGAGCAGCGTGCCCTGGAGATAGCCATACGAGCTCTGGGATGAGCCGTCGGAGGACAGCGCGCTGAGGTTGAAGGCGCGCAGCTGCGAGTGTCCTGAGGTGCGGTCGGCGGCGGCGGCGTCGTCGTTGCCCTCGCTGCCGCGCGACACGAGCAGCATGTCCGGGTGCTTGCGGGACAGCAGCAGCGTGCGGGAGACGTGGCCCGAGTTGGTCATGTTGGTGACGAGGGTGCGGGAGGACGAGGCGTTGAGGCTGGCGGAGGCGGCGTCGTACGTCCACGAGTAGACGTCGTTGGAGGAGGATGCGTAGAGCGTGCGGCCATCTTGGGAGAGGGCGATGCCGTGGTTGAGCTGGAGTTGGCAGAGTTAGCAATGGGAGTTGGGTCCTGGGGATTTGGATCTTGCGTGTTAAGTCTTGATGTCTCTGGATCTTGTCTTTTGGTGTCTTGAGGCATTGGGAATGGAACCCCATGTCGGGATGTAGGCCAGCAGATCAGTCATTGGTATACTCACATCTTCATTCTTAACCAGCGTCTTCTTGTCCGTCACCTGTAGACAAGTCCCGCCGTCATCCCGCAGCGTGAGATGCACAATCCCGACGCCCGAGTCGACAACCAACAGCGCGCCCTCGGCGTCGAACAAGATACCCCGCGGCCGCTCGAGCCCATTCGCCACCAGGCGGTAGGACCAGCCATCGGCGGCGACCGGCTCGTCGTAGGCGACGGAGAGGTCGTTGGAGCAGCTGCTGGAGTCGTTGGCGGCCGAGACGAGGGCGGCGGATGTCACGAGGGTTGCTGTGAAGGCGAGGGCGAGGGTGGAGGAGAATAAGGTGTGGAGGCGGCCGAGAGACACCATGATGGCGGCGTGGAGGCGGGATGCGGAGAAGGACGTGAGCTGGCCGACCGAGGACGAGGGGATCTATATCAATCACGGCTGGCTCATGGTGAACGACGTCGGGTTCAATGCAGAGGACAAAATGTCACAGGCAGGAGATAAACGGTCGAGGGGATCATCCAGATTCCATGTGCAATCCCCAGTATTAGCCCACAAGCGCATCCATGGTCCACCCACCCACGCCTCGCCAAGGTCGACAGCCACACAAGTTACATGGAACCCATGACCATCCACGGCGGGCGATGAGTTGCCGCGCTGCGTCACATGGCCGGCTTTTGTTCGGCCGTGATTCCGACGCATCTCTCTCTATCTGGCTGCATCATGTCGACCAGCTTCCCACAACCGACGGCTCGCCTCGCCGTTGAGACATGTCTTTGTGCCTCGTGCCGCAACTCTCGTGTGGGACTCCCCCGTCGCCGATCCCGCGGCTCATCTCTCCAGTTCTAAACAAAGAACAATCAAGGTTTAGCGGCCGTCGTATTCCCTCGTCCTCGATCCGTATTCTCGCTCCAGCCTCCATTGTCCCGTCCGTCCCCGCGTTTGACCCCGAAACCGAGACCGGCTCCAACGGATCAGTGGATCCCGACGCCAAAACCAGGCTTCTTTCGGGCCCCTCCGGCCTGGACCCCGCAACCCAACCACCTAAAAACAACACCACCGTCGCCACCTAAAACCGGGGCCAGTCTAGCTTCCAAGCTCCGAGCGCCGAGGACCAAGCTCGCGACAAACGCCTTGGATAGTCTGCCTTGCGAGTGGACGAAACGCTCTGTTGAAACAAGACCAATGGAGACTCCCAAGCGCGGCGAGTTTCTTGCCCGCTTCTTGGCTCGCACTCAACAGCTGGCCACCGATATTGAGGACTTTCAATCACAAACCCCCCAAACTAACCGTCGTCATGCCGTTCGTCAGCTCCTCCAACGCTTCTACAACGCCATCTGCGACCTCAGCGAGTACAAGCCAGAGTCGCCTGTGGCTGACCAAGAAATAATCCAGGCCGACAAGGCTGTCCTAGAAGCCTGGTATGCTCTCTTCGTCCCGATCCGCGCCCTGTCGTCATGGACAACAATCCCGAACGGCTCGTTTCTCGCTGCACGTATGGCGCTGTTCGTCATAATGGCCTTTATGTTCCAAGACGCTCTCCCCTTTGACCTCCCACTATCGGACCTTAGTCGAGATAGAGTGCGGTTGCAGATGGACTTTGGCCTCACGCTCAATGAGACTCTGCTGGCCGTTCTGCGCAACATCTGGCAGGAGAGTGGGAACAACGAGTCCTTTCGCTGGGCCATGACCCATCTGAATCACGAAAACCACTGTATCCGCACAGACTATAACCAAGCCGCCATGCTGGCTCTATCCCCCACCGAGCTATGGAAAGTCCCAGGAATGACCGGCACGCAGCAATGGGTGCCGGAGCCGGGCGCTGAGCCCATCTATGAAGGGTTTGACATTGCCACCGTGGTATCGTTTGGAGAACCAAGCCAAATTGGGGGAAAACAGCCCGTCATCAAACAGACGCTATACTCTGAAGGCCCCATCCGCTTCGACATGACCTATTGCCTATTTGACGATGACTCTGAAGAGTGGCACCACGGGCCGAAGCGGTGGCGGGCGTTACAATTCATCCTCGACGCACGCCAAATCATGTATCCGCGGTTGGTCAAAGAACGAGAGCGACTTGCAAGCAGGGCCATGGGTGGGAGGCTGCCTCTGGAATTACAACGCTTGGTGCTCGATTACCTGGAAAAGCCCGTTGAACATCCGTATTTGTCTCACCTGGACTTGTCAAGCGTGTACGCTCCGTTTCCATCACTGGCAAAGGAGTGTGGCACATGCGAACCGACGACCAAAGAGACAGCAAAATCGGACAAACAAGTCACCTGCCCCCACAAGAGCATTTATATTTGGAACCTGGCGTTGCGCACATTTCACACATTTCACGAGTCTGCTGATGGAAACCTTTCTATGTGCTTTCGCCTAGATGTCTGTGCAGGCCACCATGAAGACCCGGGCTGGGACATTCCGCATGAAGAAGCTCTTCGGGCTCAACTCGAGCGCATCGTCAGGTCTCGCTGCGGGAGAGCTGCTTCTCTGAAATCTGTCGGACTCGGACCCTTTAAGTTCATGGATGGTCCTAGGAATTATGCCGATTTACAAACATGGCTAGACCTACCTGCCTGCGGCCTAGACGAGAAGGATTTTGAGACGGACCTGGAAATGGCCAACGCAATGGGTTTGGCCAACGGTATGGTGCATAACTTTGGGTTTTCACCTCGCTTTGGAAATGATCGCCTTTACCACGGGCATTCGCGAAAGAAGCCTGCATGGATTTGGGCATGGTCAACAAACGACAAGGATCGGGCGATGGAGGCTTTGAGGAAGACACATAGATGGTGCGTATGGTGTGATATTAACTAAACTGCACTACAAATAAACTGGGTTTCCTTGACGCCAAAGTAAAAATCATCCCTCCTGTCTTTTCATGCTCTTCGGTGCCAGATAAGTATAGGGAGTTTATGTGTTGACTACCTATGCCTTTGGGTTCGGGTTTCTTCCCATGAAAAGAAGTAAGGCATGGACCGAGTTGCACTGTTTTGCGTGGGTCTTTCATTGGAACCACTTCAGTAACTACGCATACTGGATTCCATTGAATTGCTGGGAAAATTCGATGGTTCAAAACAGGTTCTAATTTGTCAGTGGGTGGTTATGTGATGATTGCTTGGATGCAGCAAGGCTCACTGCTCAACTTGCGAACGGTGAGTGCGCACTAGCCAATACGGAAGGCCATAGTGACCGATTACCGATTGCCACTCGCACGTGAGCCTCTAACACTTAAATTTCTCACTCCACCATCGCGCGCATGCTCCACTCATGCTCTGTCATCCGGTACATCACTCGGAATTCACACAACGTTATAGTGTAATCTGAGCGGAGCCTTGAATGCCCTGATGTCGTTGTCGATTCGAAAGAACATCACTAGATCGCGCAATGGATGCGCAGAATGCAAATCCAAGAGGGTATGAAACCTGTGTTCGATCCTGTTATTGCCAAGCATGCCTGACCGTTCCTCCCAGATCAAGTGCGATGAAGCCAAGCCCTCCTGCTCGCGCTGTGAGAGGCTGGGCATTCCGTGTCCAGGGTATAAGAAACCTCTGAAATGGTCGACGAGATCCAAGCCTTTCACCCCCCAAGCGAATACTCTGGAGATAAGTGAATCAGGAAACCCGCCGGAAATGTCTGGATATGCCATCGACCAGCCGCAATGCCACGACCAGTCTACCATCGATCTCCAAAACTCGGAATTCTCAGAGCAATTCGCAGATATTATCAACACAGGAGGCATTCGCCTCCAGGAACATGACAGCCTGGAGTCACCATTGTCGTTTATAGAACCGTTGGGAGCAGCACAGCAATTCGACATGGATCCAACGCCAGGGCCATCTTCATACATTGAATACCAGGAGCCGAACGAGGATGACCTGTGGCAAGACAACTTTATGAGCACCGCACAGCAACTTGACATCGAGCCAACGCCACGACCAAGTCCCCAAATTGGACACCAGGACCTGAACAAAGACCAACAATGGCCGGATACCTTTCTGAGCCCTCTACAGCAAGACTCTGGCATCCAGGAACGCCGAGTATCGCTGAGACCATCTTCAGGGACTCGCTACGAAATTCCGCTTTCCAAATCCCTGCAGGACCACTCGTCGATTTTAGTCGAGTATTATTTCAAAGAAGTGTGTGGGCTCATGTCTTGCTACGATAGTCGAATGAATCCATACAGGACGGTAATTTCCAACGTATGGTCACAATCCCAATCTCTCTACTACATCATCCAGAGCATGGCTGCTGCTTGCCTGTCTGAGGTGTCGCCCAATCTCGCCAAAGTCAGCCGCCAGCTCCGAGACGCCGCAGTGAGCTCTGTATCGAAAGAAACCAAACGCACTCAAATGGAGACTCCATCTCTGTTGGCATTGGTCATGCTTGGCATGAGCCTCTCCTGGCATGACGCTGGCAGTCTGGGCCAGTCAGAGTTCGAACTACTTGCTAAAGCAGCTTGTTTTTTTGAGGCTCATGACGACAGCCTTTCTTTAGCAGACAAGCAAAAGAAAGTTTTCTTCTATAATTCGCTCATCTACTGGAGGATGTTACTGTCATTCGTCACGGATCAGGAGTTGACATCACCAGCAATCCTGCATCGGCCACAGCCGTCTCAGTCAATAATCGCCCAGCCGTGGGAACTGCGCATGCCACATCCACAAACAGGTATTGGAATCGAGGTGCAGGAGCTGGTCGCTAAAGTTGGGAGTCTGATCAGGAGGGAGCGAAAGCGAATTCGCTCTCGTCGATATTCATCGAGGGAAGATATTGAGCAGTCCGAGAAAGCCATTCAAACTGCGGAAAATCTCTACGTCAAGCTTTGCGCAATCGACCTACCGAAGGAGGATTCGATTGTTGACTCGGGAGACGAAATGACCCCCACAGCCCATTTGCTGAAGATTGCTGAAGCTTACAGGTGTATGGGCTTACTACAACTCTATCGAAATTTCCCGGACTTGCTTTCACTTTACTCGTCACCGAGGGACTCTGCCAGTCAATCGGGCTCGCCAAACAGTCCTGATGGCACCTATGATTCTACCGACACCGGGCATTTGCTGGATACATGGTTGACTTGCCTTGCCCTTCACATTCTTGATTTAGTAGAGGATGTCGCTGTATCGTCACGGAGCCGGTCCATCCAGCCGCTGCTACTCGTTGGCATTTGCAGTGAATTATCCCTCAGTCGTTCATTTTGCCCGATCGGCGGCCGGCAAAGAGTTCCTGTAGCCAGCATTACGTCTAGTCCACGGATCAAGGTCCCACCTACGGCCATGGACGTTCTACAAGCACGAAGAGCTGTCATTTCTCGTCTCTCGTATTTCGAGAACGTCTTGGCGGCCAAACCTATACGGCGAATGTTGTTGCTGATAAAAGAGACATGGGCTTGGATGGACGAGAAACAGGAGGATGTCTATTGGATGGATGTGATGATAGAGAAAAGCTACGAAACTTTGATGGGTTAAGGTGATTGCAATATAAGATTATTTAATAGGGAACCAATTGATGATGGGTGTGAATCTTGAAGCATGCTTGGTTGGCTGACCCCAGAAGGAGGTATTCCGTATCAATTCCAACGCGCAGGGCCATCAACGCCATTCCATAGGGAACGTGTGGCGAAAGATACCGTCAGATAAGCCATTTCATCAGGCAATTGGCGCTAAGTTACCGCAGCACTTGGAGGAATCGCACGCATCGCACTTCTTATCTCCGTATCCGAAGGCACCCCACAACTGATCCGTCGGACCCGCGAATGTCTTTTCCTTTGCTAAAGACTGCCGTTCTGGGATTAGCCTTCTCCTCATCGCTTCGTCTTTCTTGCGAACACATGATGCCTTGGCGATACCGGGGTCTTGATCCGGTGTCCAATTGGCTGGACATTCGCTATTGCAAACTGATTTCCGGCCCAGATGGCTAGATAGCCAGGTGCGCTGCATCATATTATATCTACCGAGGACGCCAAGGAATGGACATCAATGCTTCCCAAATCTTTTACTTCTGAGAACATTGGCAGTCTCAGGCTGTGACAAACATCATGGCTGGTCACGCTACAGGACAGGAGGGCCACCTTCAGAAGCGCTTTTCGAAGATTACCATGATAGGCATGGCCTTCGCTATTCTAAAGTATGCCAACCCACGACGCGACTACTTAATCAAGCTAATATTCCCAGCACCTGGATTTCTCTCGCTGGGTCAATTGGCCTCGTCATGCCGTCTGGCGGCTCCGTTTCGTTTGTGTATGGCTTTGTTTTCTGTGTACTTTGCAATGTGTGCTTGAGCGCCAGCGTGGGAGAGCTGGCGTCGCTCTGGCCCACTGCTGGAGGGCAGTACCACCACGCTTATGCCTTGTGCACTCAAAAGTGGAAGAAGTCGATCGTAAGTCAAGCTATTCCTGCGCCTTGCATTTGCTTACGGATAATAGAGCTTCCTCGTCGGATGGGTCAACATTGCTGGCTGGCTTACGCTGAACACAACGGCGGCCTACTTTGGAGGTATGGCATCAAAATCTTTGCAAAGGGCAGCGTATTGACATCAGACAGCTCGATTCCTTGTGGCAGCTGCGGTAGTCGGCTCCGGCGGCACCTACCAAATCACCCAATGGAGCACGTACTTGATGTTCGTCGCAGTGTCCATCATTGGCGTGCTGTTGAACATTTTCGCATATCCCATCCAAAACCGCTGGAATGAGGGCGCCTGTACGTCACTTCCATTCCACCATGATAACCTACTAACTTCATGCAGTGTATTGGTCGTTGGCGAGCGTCGTCGTGATCAGCATTGTGCTTCTTGCCACCTCTCCCAAGGCCGACGCGGAATTTGTCTTTACGAACTTTTCCAACACGACCGGCTGGAGTGATGGCACGGCCTGGATGCTCGGGTTGCTCCAGTCCGCTCTGAGTCTCATTGGGTGGGTAACCAGCTTCCAGCTTCCATCGCAGGATCGCTAACACGGCCGCAGTTTCGATGCTGTTGCTCATATGACAGAAGAGATGCCTCACCCTGCCAGGGATGCCCCTGTAGCTATGGTTTCTGCTGTCCTCGTAGGCGGCGTAACGTTAGTCTCCCACCCTATGCGTGATGCCGTGTCCTAACACATATGTAGAGGTATCGCCTTCATCCTCGTGATGCTCTTCTGCTTCGTTGACCTCGGCCTTCTTCTCGCATCCCCAACGCAAAGTCCACTCACCGAATTAATATATCAATCAACCGGCAGTAGTGCAGCTGCAGCTATATTGAGTGTAGCCGTTGCGCTGTGTTTCGTTAATGGTGCCAACGGCTGTGTCACATCTGGTAGTCGCCTGCTCTGGGCCATGGCACGAGACAACGGCACACCATTCTCTCGATAGTAAGCCGTCTTGCTCCCTTGAAAGCCAAAGTTACTGACACACCCTCAAGCTTGTCCCATCTCCATCCGAAACTCAACGTTCCCGTCCGCGCAATCCTTGCTCAAGCAGTCTTCAATCTCCTCTTCGGTCTCATCTACCTCGGTAATACTCGTCTACCTACGCCCAATACTATCATTTCTAATATACCTTCAGGACCGGAGGTAGCCTTTAATGCCTACATTGCTAGTTGCACGCTATTCCTCAATTTATCTTACGCTGCTCCCATTATGATTCTGCTTATACGGGGCCGAGATCTCGTTTTAGACAACCCCCCTGAGTTCTGCCTCGGAAAGGTCTGGGGATATGTCATGAATTACACGGCGGTTATTTTCGTGATTGTCACCTCTGTTGTGAGTCCTATAATACCCTTACTGCTCAAAGTATCCTAATACAACACTGAGGAGCAATACTGACATATCCTCGTACTTAGTTCTTCTGCTTCCCCCCGGCCATCCCAATAAATATATCTACCATGAGTACGCACCTTTCCGCTTCTTGTATATGTACTATATCTAATGCGTAATAGATTACGTCACAGCAGTGGCCGGAATCTTCATAGTCTTTGTGGCTGTGCTATGGATTTTTAAGAAGAAGTCATACAATGGTCCAAAATTCGATCTTATCCTAGGGAAGGATCTGCCCGTGGCGAATTCGATTTCGGAGGAGCTAAAGAACGACACAATCTCTGACTCTCATTCAAAGCCTCTGGATTGATATGGATTGGCTTTCGTGTGCAGTACATAATTTGGCACTGAATGACCCAGGGGTTTGGGACGGCGGCTGTCTGAGGTCCAATTATCGCTGCCAAATCAGAAAGACGTATATCTGTGTATTGCTTCATAGACACTCTAAATTTAGTCGACACAATATGTATTATGATCATCAGGTTATTCAGTCCCACAAATTTGGGCCTCATGCGGATTGCGAGCAAGTACCCTATTCCATTTAGGTGCTATGTGCCCATGGAATATGGATGTGTGTTGTCTTCGTTATTGGGCGACTCAGCTGCGCGTAGGTTTGGTTGGTTATTCTTGACAGATGCTTGCCACAAGGTTACAGTCACAAGAGTGACTGACGTCAAGGAGTTAGGATATGAAGTAACAAGGCATTTTTGAGTTCTCTAAGTGTCTTTATATTGATGACATCATGTCTGTAGTACATCGCATCAAATCTACATGGACTTGCTATAGGTTACTAGCCCGCTTGACCCCATCTCGACCCTGGGTATACCCATAGTGCCAATTCTCCCTTCCCAAGTCTTGTCGGATTTCGTAATTCTGCTCCGCGAGTTCGACGGTCCGCATATCTACCTCCAAAACCCGCATTCCCTCCTCGCTATCCGTAAAGCTTCCGGGCACCGCCCCTACGATAGGCAACGTGACTTGACTGCACCCAAAGAACCCTTCCTGTGCAGGTCCGCCAACATTGCAGTATATGATTGCCGCAGTGTTTTCGAATGCTCGAGTGATCAACGTAGATTGCACAAACATCTTCTCGCAGTCTGGGTTATATGCAAGCCCTTCCTTGGACATGTCTGAAGCTGTCCAGTACGAAGGCATGATGATTATTTTGGCGCCCGCGAGAACAAGCTGTCGGAAAGCTTCAGGAAAGGCAAGGTCCCAGCAGACTAAGATGCCAAGTGGCCCTAGGGGGGTGTTGATTACTTGGTGAGGGTTAGACGAGCTGGCGTGAGCTGTTGTTTGTCTCGCGTAGTCGACAGAAGAGGTCAGGTGCTGACGCTCTGGGATCCAGAGGTTGGTTTTAGTGTAGCTGCCAAGAACCCGACCATTGTGGTCAATGAAATGGGAGGTATTGAGAAGGGTTCTTCTGGAAGCTTCAGTGCTATTGCTGGACCCTTGAGGAGGGGCGTGTTTTGGCGCCTCCGAGACGATTGTTCCCGTACATATGTTGATGTGAAGTTCAGCGGCCAAGTCTTGGTATCGCTGTAGAAATCGACGGGCATCCTCAAATGCCAACGCAAATGATGGTTCTTTCGGGACCCAGTCCATCAAGTGGTATTCCGGGAGGACAGCCAGCGACGCTCCCTGGGCTGCTGCTAGCCGGATTTGTCCAGCGGCATGCGCAAAATTGTACTCGGCATCGAGGGGCTGCCAAGAAAATTAGTACCATGCTTCGCCACAAAAGGCCTTGTATAAAAGCTGGTTTAATAAGGGTGTCATCTGGGTACCTTTGGCCTCATCTGCACAATGGCGACCTTGAACGTCGGGTTTGTCGTGGTAGCTGCCATGATGTATTGATGCAATGGTATTGGAGATTCACAAAAATTCGCGAGAAAGACAAATGTGTGAACAGACTGGTGTGGGATTGTATGGACTTTGTGATTCGAAAAGAAACGGCATTTAGGATTCTATTGGTAACATGACCAGGCCAGGTGCTGTTGAATTACCCGTCGGATTCCTTTTTGGCATTGATATCCTTCGCTTCCAGTAACCTCTTTTAGAAGTTTTAGTGGAGCGCTTTAATTGTCAGATGCCAGCTGTGGGGTAGGCGCTGACCCAATCTCTTGATAGTGTTAGTCTAACCTCTTTCAATCCAATGTGCAATCATATGGATCGTAATGGGATGTGTTGTGTGTGTTGGGAGATAAGGAGGGCTATGATATACAGAGAGATAAGCTCATCATCGATTATAGGTTGCCTGATTTACTCGGTATTGGTGTATAAGTACCCATGTAGCTCATGGCTATAAAAAACCCAGCTGAGTTGGACTCTATCCATCAATGTCGGTATATCCTCTTAACTTAATCTGGAAAGCAGGGAATATAATGATATAAAACAACCAAGAGTCACATGTTCCTCTAACTACCGGTCTTGCACCTAAAACCTACAACTCGGGTGACAGTCTATGTTATTACATATTGTGATCAACTTATTTACAGGCAGTCTAAGTCAGGCATCTCTTACGTCGTATGCACAAATGAGGTCATTGCGGTGGCTGGGAATATTATTCAGTTGGTGAGACTAACCTCGAAGCTTATGTTTTGCAACCTGTACGGGCTTGTTCCAGAGGAGAGCTTAAAAGAACCTGACTACGTCCCTATGACGAGGGCGAATGTACGGTAAATTTGAATAAAATTAAAAGCGGAAAATTGTAGCAAGCTTACCCCAACCTCGTTGCTTTGATCCAAGGATGGTTTAGTCTGAAACAGGAACTCATAGAGCTACAAAATGGGCCGGGAGTTGTGTTTCTAAAAGACCTATGGATCGCATTTTACAAATTGCGGTGCTCTCAGTACAACCCTTATTTAAGAGGCAATAAGTTGCTTCAAATTATGAATGCAGACGATGCCGAATATCTCGTTAGGGACATGGCACAAAGACCTCATGTGTTTTCCTCTGGAGTTTCGTAGCGGTATGATCTTTACTCCGGGGCCTAATAAACGGCCACGGCCTATTAATTATGAACTAATAGGTGTTCGAGCTCCCTGATAAATTGGACTTGTTTTTGGGCCGAATATGTTGAATGTGCGAGAGAGTGTGTACAGGAAACATGCGGCTCAGATAGCTGCTTGAGCTTATCTACGGTCCTACCACCCACTTAAGCTGCTGTCATTGGGCCCTGAGGGTTGATAAGTGAACACCAAGCTCTCAATTTGTCTTGAAACTTGTCTGCTGGTACATGTAATGAAAGAGAGAGTGCGAGGCTTGAATAACGACGACTCATGGCGCAATGCAAAGATCTTTCGCACATCACCATCCTGGAGATAAGCCAGTTTCTTTGAAGAGAGAGTTAGACCACTTCACTGAACAATTTTGGATTTTCCGCGAAGCCAAGATATTGCTCCTTTGCTAACCTAGCGAGCAGGATCGGCATTTGGGCCCTCTGTCGTCTTACTTGACGCATATGTCTATCAGCTCAAATTACTGGTGTACTTATGCCCTCTTAGTATTCCGAAGCGTTATCGTTAACTGTCAATAGACAACAGTTTGACGTGATCATGAGATCGAAGCCACGGCACGCCAAGAAGCCATAGATATTCTGGACGAGTTTAAGTATCGCATTATTACAATCTTGGAAAAAAAAAAAAAAAAAAAAAAAAAAAAAAATTCGGTACTCCTTTCAAGACAGGATGAGCGAGTGCTTTGAGATATTAGAAGGCACCAATTAATTCTCTTGCGCCTAGAGCGCATTCACAAGAACTACGAATTTGTGTACTGATAAACGTCTTTCTGGAGCCAGAGGTTGAAGAAAGGCTCGATGAGAAAATTGATAAAGACAGGACCAGAATTGAGGCTGTCGATCAAGTTGCGCCTAACAAATAGCAGAGAGTATGGAACAAGCTCCGCAATTCATTTGGTCCGTAGTTGTTTGCAGAAATGATTTCTTACTTAAGAGAAAAATATGGACGATATGCAAAAAAAGAAAGAAACTTCTCATGCGTAATGCAGAGTTGCAGATGCAACTGCTCGACCACTAAGAATACTCATAAAGGTAATGGATGTATCTTCGTTGCCTGTAATGACTCGGCTTTTAGAGGGGTATTTCTATTCATTAAATCGGAACTTATAGCAAAGTGGTTCAGATTCAAGATTGAAAGTAGAATGGACGTGGTTGTTTCCTCGCCATCAAGGTTGAGGAATAGTTGGCAATGTGTCTTATGCCTGGTGATTAAACTAACCCCCCACGCTTAGCGATCATGGCCCTGCGAAGGTCATTGCAATTATGACCTTCGTTCAGAATTATGAACACGGAAGCAAGGGTTACTCCTAGAATGTCCAATTAAGACCTTCAGCACTCTGGATTAGCAATGCTACAAGTGGGGGAGCGCTCTCGTAAGCATTACTCTCGCAGAGTTACATTTTCCGCGCCCTTGAGCGACTAGATACCGATAACTCGCTGATAGCAGGCAGGCAAGCAAATAAGTGGAAACACCCACATCTGGGCATTGGATGTTGCCCAAGTTGCCACCCGGCCCGGTCCATTTCCATTTGCTTTATCTCCAAGGGTTATTCTTTGGATGATAAGAGGCCTACCCCTCGGCGATATTCGGCCGGGGAGAGAGTGCGGGGATACAACCCGGCGTGGAGAGAGGAACGGGGTCTCTCTTAAAAGCTCTAGCTCCGAGTATCCCCTGCAAGAGTCTCCACCTTGGATGCAGTTTCTTATCTCGACCCTTCGGTTATGAACTGATTGCGGGTGACGTTGAGCGGGGTTGTTAAGAATGAGATCTGCGGAACTTATGTTACCGTTCACGGCCAACAACAATGAGGGGCCGGACACTTGTAAGAAGTTGGCCGACAACCAACTAAACGAGCAAAAGTGGAACGTTCCACATTGTAGAGCTGATAATGAACGAACTGCATCATGAAGCTTGACACTAGCCTCTTTGAATGGACGAGGACGATAAGGCATCATGCGAAAACAGGCAATTAAGCGGTGCTCCGCCCTCGGCAGGGCAGGCCTGTTCCGCCCCGGCGAGGTCGGGGGAATGGCAAATGCCCTACCCAGAGTAAGCATATTAAAAACTCAAGAAATAAGAAAGGATCGGGGCGGCCGTCGGAATCACGCTATTCCTTATACTAGCTAGCAGACACCTAAGCCGAAGGAATATGGAGTATGATGTAGGCCCTCCACGATCTTGATACACCGCCAAGTAACGTTCCAGTTTATTGAGTTTTAATGTCTCAACAACCCTGAAAAATTATCGGGCTCTAAAACTAGCCAAACTTGCAACAAGGAAGCCAGATAAAGGGCACGTGGGAGGAGACACACGTGGGACCGGCAGACCTGGTGTTTCTTCCCCTTTCGGGACTTTTCTGAGAGTTCACCCGTAGCCGATATCTTGACGCGCAGGTCAATCCTACGTTGTAGGTGGGCTATCAAAGGTGCTCAAGATAGGCACCGATATCACTCACAAACCTGGTAGAACTGATTTTGCTCCCTGCGTCTACATCTATCCTTACTCTTTTGTGTCAAGAGAGTCATGAAAATTACGTAAATGTTATAGCTGCCATCCGCTTAATTATTCCCGATTTCTTCGAGGTGGGCCGGTCCTGGGAACAGTTTTGGATCCGAAGCTTGATTATCGGAGCATCGGAAGACTCCGATGATGACGAGGCCTCTGACCGACGACCCGGCAGCACATAGGATGATAGTGAACCGGATACTGAAGAGTACTAGAATCATTGGGATATAAATCATTAGATAGCCCTCCCTCCCGATAGTTATGACACGAGACAGCCTCTAGCTTTGCAAGACGGACCAATTGACGCCAAAGGATTCCTGACGACATCATCATGGCTCCACACATGTCTAAGCTGCTTGGCGTTGCAACAGCCTTGTACGGTCTTTGCGTCGCTCAACCGACCATTGGCCAATCGGTCTCGTTTCAGGGCCCTTTTGATGTAGAGCAGGGCGGTCTCCACAACATCCATGTGGAATATCATGAACAGCTCAATGGCGAGCTGACGATCGTGTATGGCTCATGCACCATCGACTCGCCGTCCCAGGCGCACCATCAAATTGGCCGCACGCACATTGGCAACCACCCAGCCGCGAAGCGCCACCTGGACTGGGATGAGCAACGCCCGACCAAGTTCGTCTGGGTGACTCCCAGTGATGTCATCTCCGGCTGTCTTCATGCTTTTGTTGACGGCGGACTCGTTGGGAGGTCTGAGCAAGTCAGTGTCAAGAAGAGGAAGCTGACCCGTCGAGCCACCTTGGCTGACGTGGCTGAGCCCCTGGGTGCCTGGTTCGATGGCGTCGAATACATGAAACAGAAGGAACCTGACGAGGTATTCGTCGCTGCGACTAAGAAGAAGTCGTTTGGTATCCTTGGAGGTGGTATGTCTGGTCTTATGACATCCGTAAGTCGCTCTTCATTTCCTATGATCACAAGTTCGAATTGTACAATTAGACTCACAAAATACTATAGTTGTTGCTCGACTCGGTGGGTATTCACAACTGGAAGATCATTGAATCTTCTGGCCGTGTGGGTGGTCGCGTCAGGACGACATATCTTAACAACTCCAAGCCGGAGGACCACCAGTATCACGAACTTGGTCCCATGCGTTTCCCACAATCCCTAACAGACCCCGATACCAACGCCACCTACGAAATCATGGACCATCGAATGGTGTTCCAGCTCGCCGACGTTCTCAACGAACTAAACACCGGCAATGACACCCTACAAGTCAAATTCATCCCTTGGATTCAGACGAGTGCTAATGTGCCGGTGAGCACCAACAAGCGACGCCCAGATGGTACCTTTCCCGGTAAAAGCGAAGTCGCAAACGACCCCGCGTATGCCGAAGCGACGGTATATTCAAATGCTACGGCAGTTGCTGAGGCCGAGGAAGCGCTTGATGAGTTCAAGGACATGACGTCGGAGAGGCTTAAGTTCTATGCCACCAATGTTTTCAAGGCCCACAAGCAAGCCGTAGAGGAGGGCTACTTTGACTTCTCAGAAGTAGAGTACCTCCGCTATGTGATGAAGACCAATCCCAACGTTACCGACGAGGTGGCCTCCTCAACTAGTATCTCGCCGATGTGGGAGTACGACACCGTTTACTTTATGGCCGACAAATGGCGCACGATCGACGGAGGTCTCAGCCGCCTGCCTGCCGCCTTTGAGAATCTCCTTAAAGGCCGCGTTATCTTCAACTCCAAGGTCCACAGCGTCAAGCACAATAGCGAGAACGATACCCTCACCGTTTCCTACCGCCCGCTCGGTAGCAACCCCCGGGAGGTCAAGTCAACCACTGAGGAGTTTGACTATCTCTTCAACACTGTTCCCCTTAACCTCCTTCGTTTCTGGGAATTGCCTCGATATTCTAGCCTCATGCGACGTGCTATCGACCGATACAACTTTGGCACTGCCGCCAAGATTGCCATCCAGTACGAGACTCGCTTCTGGGAACATCTTGATTTCCCCATCTACGGCGGCTGTGGCAGCGTCAACATCCCTCTCATTGGCTCGATATGCTACCCCCCCTTTGATATCAACGGCACCGGCCCTGGTGTTTTGTTGGCCACCTACATCTCGGGTCCAAACGCCAACACCGCATGCGCCATGACTGATGAAGAACACGTCGCCTACGTCCAACAGGCCGTAGTTGACATCCATGGCTCTGTGGCCGACGACAACTGGACCGGTAACTGGGATCGTCAGTGCTGGGACCATGACGAGCACCACGCAGGTTCATGGGCTTCGCCTATTACTGGGCAGCAGCAGCTGTACATTCCCGCTTTCTGGCGAACAGAGTTTAACACTGTCTTTATCGGTGAGCATACGAGTTTCACGCACGCGTGGATCTTCAGTGCTTTGGAGAGCGCCACAAGAGGAACCGTGCAGATGCTGCTGGATCTCGGCTTGGTGGACGAAGCGAAGCAAATCACAAAAACGTGGATGGCCAGATGGATTACATTATAAGACTTTTATTGTCGTAAGTGAGGGCAATTGGTGGAATCACGAACCCATGTGGTTGCTCAGGCAAACCGAGCTATTGAAGGTGGTCTCGACTGCGAGCATTGTGAGAACATTGGAAGAGTAGTGGAAGTTGCAACCTGAAAGGGCGTGATAGTATATAAGAGTCATCAAATTATAAGTAAAAGAGTATCTTGACATGCTATGTCCGCCTTTCGTCTTGTTATGCTGCTCAATCCAACGCCCGAAGTCATTCTGGTGCCTGAATACAAACCCACCTTGCTCACACAACTTCAAACCCCCAAAATTTACCTTCCATTACAATCTTTTCCATCCAGCTGTTTTTTCCGGCTTCATGTTATCGGAATACGCAACCTATTAGTCGAGAGCTAATCTCCCATGAAGACGGATACGTTTTCAACTTATAATCTTGCCGGTTGTCGCTTCAGAGGGTAGCCAAGTATACCAAACGATGAACAGAGCATACAGCTTCCAAGGAAGATGATCAGGGGTTGGAACTTCCCCAAACCATACCCCGACATCACAGAGCCGGTTGTCAAGCTCGCAGCGAGCGGACCAGTCGCGATATTTCCAATACCTCTGCCAAAAGCCATGAGACTAAAGGGCAGTTGTGGATCTTCAGATAGAACCGAGCCAAATTTGGTCCAAAACACAACATATCCTCCAGCAAACCAACCATAGACAAGAGAAAACGTCATGATCGTTTCGAGGGAACGTGCACACCCCCACAGAGTGAAGGATGCGATCGCAGATGCAAGTGAGGACACGCAAACAAGAATAAGGACATTGTTGACCCGATCAGAGAGCAAACCAAATCCAACTTGTCCAAATACAGTCGCTCCGTTGTTCAATGCCAGAATAAGAGCACCCATGGTGGTAGACAAGCCCAAATCAGAAGCAAAAGAGGGGAGATACAGTGAGGGAATATAGTATGCAAACCCTTGAAAAAGGTTAGATACGGCAAAGCAATAGAACAAAGGCTCCGAGAGAAATTGAATGTCGACTGTGCGAAATGCAGAGTGAGCTGAAGTGGGCAGTCGGCCCTTGACAAAAGGGAGGACTGGTGCAATCAAGACAAACTGAGCAACTGCGACCACCTGAAGGGTTTTTCGATAGCCGTACTTTGACAGCAGCATCTCGAGGAGGAAGGGCAAGCCAACGCCACTCGCACCGCCTCCGCCGTAGAGGACCCCGTAGGCGAATCCGCGCCGCTGAACAAACCATTCGTTCAGCATGCGCAGCAATGGAAAGTATAGCATCAAGAAGCTAACTCCGTAGAAAATGCCTTGAGTAGCAATGAGGCCCTTGACGGACGTGCAGAAGGATGCAGCGAAGAGGGACAGGGCGCAGCCAGACCAGCCAGCCACGACCATGTAGCGTTGGAATCGCTGGTATCTCTTGACAAGAGGCATCGCAAACGGGGCGCCAATGAAATAGATGCTTGTTGACAAAGTTCCAATAATGGCAATATTATTATCCCCAGCAAATTCAGGCTGGCGAGAATAGTAGTCTTGGAAGACACCATAACTCAGAGGGAAGCCTATGCCGGACTGTTAGCAACTGGAATTACCAACGGCGATGGGGATGATTTACCCCAAAGCAACGCTTCGACAAAGAAGCTAGCAAAAAGGAACTTCCAAGCCTCGGGCCCTTGGTCAACTGGGGGTAGAACCTGAACGTGGCTGCCGTTCTGTTCGTCATGGTCGCGCCCAAGTGAGTCTTCCTCGTTAGGAAGAGGTCGAAGCTCAACAGCTGCAGAATCAGCCGACGATCGCATTATAGCTGGAAATATTTGAGGACAGGAGAGTTGGTCTGAAAAGAAAAGAAGAAGTTGAGTTGGATGGAGCGAGGGGAGAGGTTGATGAATGAATTGAAGAATTTATATACACGAGATCCTGGGCCAAGGGTTCAAGGCCTAGGGTTCAAGGCCTATTTCCCATTAATTTATTGTTTTGCGCCTTCGGGCCCGACTTCCGAATGGTGGGGCCGCGCTGTTAGATGTGACAGCCGAGTCCTGGTATTAGTACTTCCCCACAAGCGTCTCCAACCAGCAATAATATTGTATTTACCCCGCTGCGCTAGAGTCATTGACTTCTATTAACACTAGCATGCCGGCGAGTGTTAACTTCTCTGGGATGAATTTCGGTGTGTCATAAGTTGTGCCGGCTCGCATGTTGGCCAACCGGCCCAGACACCGAGCGAATCGGCAACAGCTCGGCCTTGTTCCGATTGTCCATGTGCTCTGATATTACAGAAGGCGTGTCTTCAGTTTATGGATGAGCGGAATTCGAAGAAGGGGCTCTTTGTGATTCCTCAAACGCCACGTCCTAATACTTCGCATTACTTCTAGTTCAGAAGAGGGAGAGAGATATTCCAAAGCTCCGCCGCCCACGATCGTCGAGCAAAACATACGCCAGACCACACAAAGGAAAAGCCACCACTCTGAGCTTGACGTTCACCTATTTCCATGTACTCGCGCTGTCGGCTCCCCTCTTCTTGCCCTCTTGATACACGTCGCTTAGTCCGTCATACAACCCCTTGACTCTCTCCACCTCCGACCTCAAATCTTCTCGTTTTTCGGTGTCCTCGACTTTCTCCACCAAATCGTTCAGGCTCCGAGCTGTAAAGAACTTGTTGACTTTGTTATACAAGGCCCTGCTCTTCAACGCCTCATCGTCCTCGTCAGCTGCCCGCACCCGAAACACCTCCTCGAGGATGTCGATGTCGTACGGAATGGCAAACCGGTCACGGCTATCCTCATAGGTGAACAGGAAATACAGCTCCTTGAATCCTGACCATGTTATGCCACTCAGGCAAAGGCTGCAAGGCTCATGCGTCGCTAGGAAGACGCAGTCGTCGCGCGGATTGGGCCGCGTGCTGGCGTCGGGGAAGGAAACGGTGTAGAACTGCTGGATGCAGTTGATCTCGCCGTGAAGGAGTGGAGAGACGCGCTCATTGTTGGTTGAGACGGTGTATGGCGCCAGTGTTGAAGACGAGAGGATAGCAGCACCGAAGAGCTTGCTGCCGGAGGAGACGCCGGCACGAGTGAGTGGGATAATATCAAATTCGATGGTGTGGAGGAGAGCAACTAGAATATCTTCAGGAGATTTGGAAGCCATGTCGAAAAAGATTTTTGGTCTGTGCCTCGTATGTGATTACCGAAATGATTCAGAGACCAAGAAATGAGGGGGAGTTGTTTCAAGATATAACGTTGGATGCCGTATCTTTTATCATGGCTGATGCGTGGCGTTCGCATTCTTATCGGAGACGTCCGTCGCGTTAACGGAGGCGTCGACTATTCGCCGGCGGCGACCCGGCGACCTCCGATCGGGAACCTGCGGAGCTAGCGCCCCAGGGAAAGAAGACCAGTATGTAAACATGGAAAATATAATTGTTTCTCCAAAACAGTGATTTAAAAAGTCATGATTGGGCTGCAGAATCAATTCAGAGTTGGTATTTCCATGAATAATCTATGATGGCTGCTCACTTTATTACCTCGCCAGATAAGTTCGTCCCGACGCTTTGGGACTGGGAGATCATCGCACAGTCCGTTCCCTCTTGAACTGGTTACCACAATACAACTGTCGGATGGTAACGCCTACGTCAAAGGAACATGGGCTTCTACTCTGCCAGAACGGCCTATGGCACTGGATTGACGGCATTAAGTTTGACAAATCTTCTGTCTTTACCGCACCAGAAGCGAGTGGCCCCTGGCTATGGCTTCAATCATGGACACTTGCTATTATGATTTCAGCCTGCATATTGACGACGATGACATGATATACGTGGTCTACGGCACCAACCAAGCCGTTATTGCTGAACTAGACATCGATGGCAGGTCCTGAGTGCTCTTGATGGAGCTGGCTATCTTGAAGGAAATCGCTTCCAACAGAAGGATAATATCTACTACATATGGCGCCGCTCAATGGACTAAAACTGATAGGTTTGAAGGAAATAACTCGGGGTTGCGTGGTAATGCAACCACAACCTTGATGAGACGAAATTTAGCATTGATGATAGCCTCACGCTCTTCACCGCGACAACAACAAAGGATATCTTCAGCGCTCGCAACACGCTCACCCTTCGCGGCCACGGCCCTAGTACAGTGGCGATTATTTTGATCATTTTTTTCTCAAATGGCCAATGGTGATCGCTGTTGCCTCGCCGCGTTCCGAGATGACAGTGCTCTATTGGCATCGAACGCTCTGAGGGTAGCTATGCGATTGTTGTGAGAGAGGGAATCAAACTCAATACATCCCGGGAAACGCAAGGCTTCGGCAGTATTTCCGCGACCATTGTAATTGATCAGGGCAGCATTTGGCTCCGGGGAACTATGGACCCCCAAGCGAGCGGCACAAAGAAGGGATCATTCTCCTATAGCATTGATGGTGCCATATCCATGCCGATGGGTTCGGAATTTAACCTCAACGCGGAGTGGGAATATTTTCCCAGATATCGCTATGGTGTATTCAATCACGCCACACAAGCGATTGGTGGTTCTATTCTAGTTACCGAGTTTGGTCAGGTTTAGAGGGCTATTTTATCGAATGGATGCTTTGAACCATCACCCGACCCCACGTAGTCACCGGGCAATACTAGGATTCTAGCCCACCGAATCGTATGTTGCGATGAGGTCATTCCGCTCGTGTGTATTTCGTGCTCGGGACTGCACCATTGGCCGAGGCCGACGACTGGATTAAGGAGTCTGAGGCACGACTTTCCCCATAGAGTGATTCGAACTGATGTGGATCTATAGCTTGCAAGGGGGGTCATACAGATATTATTGGCTAATCTACGGTAGTTCTCAATTGGAACGATCCCTGACGAAATCTTGGGCAAGGCCGCAAAGGAGAACGAGTTTATCACCATAGGAGGATATAAAGGCTTTCTCCGGAACTATTACAACATGTATATGTCTAACCCATAGTTTCAGTTTAATTCCTTTAGAAAGCCGATTCGATCTGCACACCTGCAGGTACGAGTTGCACGACTGCACCTTTGAACGTGCTGGCGATGGGTCAACCCATGATGTCCGGGGAATCTCTGGGGAATCTGTGGGGAAGGATCCTCACCGAGAGCCGCACCACTTCTACTGGTCCGGGCGTCACGTATTCTACCGGCTCCCCGCACATAAATGGCATTCTTCTCCACGAGCTAGGATCAACTTAGATTAAGTCCCCCGGATTTGACGTGGAGATCGACAATGAATGAGCGCTGATGCCAAGGTTTATTTAACCGGTTCAATGGAAAAGAGCTCTGAGGAACCCCTGGTGCGCTTATGATGGCCTAAATGGGCAACTCAATCACTGACCCATCGTTGACCAAAGCCTCGGGTCTTGAGTTAAGGCTCTTACCGCTAAGTCGATAAATATAAAAGAACTACATCATCCTAATCATATATCATGGTTCTTCAGTCCTTGGAAAAGTAACAACACAAGACTCAGCATCCAACTATGGCGCCATATCTCAGGCTTGCTCTTGCGGCTCTCCCGCTGCTCCAGAGTGTGTTTGGTGCCAAAGCGCACGCAGCCTCACCGACTGCTAAGGTCAAGAACGGAACGTATGAAGGCAAATATGTGGCTTCATATGATCAAGATCTTTTTCTTGGCATTCCCTACGCACAGGCTCCTGTTGGAAATCTCCGCCTCCAGAATCCTCAGAACTTGAATACCACATTTAAAAAACGAAGTGCCACCGATTATGCTGATTCTTGTGTCGGTTATGGGGTAAGTGATGCCTTATTGGAGTTTGACACTATTTGTTATTTCCTTTTGCTCACACGCCTCCGATTCTAGAACAGCGCCGCGTGGCCCTTCACCCTGAGCGAAGACTGCCTGACCTTAAACATCGTCAAGCCCGCCAGCTCTAAGCGCAGCAACAAGGATAAACTCCTCCCCGTCGGTGTGTTCATTCATGGCGGAGGCTGGTCCCAGGACTACAGCGCAAACGGGGTCTACAATTTAAGCTTCATTGTTGAGGAATCTGTTAACGCTGGGAAACCATTCATCGGTGTTTCCGTGGACTGTAAGTATTTCCATACTGATTCATATTTTAACGCCATGTGAGCCTGATGCTAATTTTCCACTTAGATCGCCTTTCTTTTTGGGGGTTCATGGCTTCCCAGGATATCCTTGATGCCGGCGTCGCCAATCTTGGTCTCAAGGACCAGCGACTCGCCTTGCATTGGATCAATGAGAACATCAAGGCGTTTGGCGGAGATCCCAAAAAGGTTACCATCTGGGGCGAGAGCGCTGGCGGCGGAAACGTCGGCTACCACGCCACTGCTTTCGGTGGTCGTGATGATGGCCTCTTTCGTGGCATTATTGCGGAATCCGGTGCTGAAGGCACTGATATAAAGAATCTCACAGCGCCCCAGCAACGCTATGACACCGTTGTAAAGGCGGTTGGATGTGACTCCGAGGTTGACAAGCTTGCATGCTTGCGCAAGGTGCCATTCAATGAGCTCAATGCCACAATCACCAAGATTTCTGGCGGCTTTTACCCAGTTGTGGATGGAGATCTTGTCCCGGATCTATCGTCCACGCTACTTGCCAACGGTAACTTCACTAAAACGCCCATCTTGCTCGGCACGAATACGGATGAGGGCACGCTTTTTACCAGCACAGATATCAGCACAGACAAGCAGATTGAAAGTATCATCCGAGCAGCTGGGCCAGATGACAGCACGACCAAAATTCTCATGGCACTGTATCCCAACGTCGATTCACTTGGCCTGCCAACCGACTACCGCGTGACAGCTACTAGTCCGGTCGGGGCTCAGTATAAACGCGCAGTTGCTTTAAATACTGATCAGTTGTTCCTCGCATGGAGGCGCATCAGGACTGATGCATGGTTCAACCATGGAGTTCCAGCGTATTCTTACCTGTTCGAATCCCCTCTCACCTCTCGTAAGTAGCCTCCCAGAAACTGCACATTGACGATCGACTAAGCTCTTTCATTTGATACTGTAGGGGAGTATATGGGAACCACCCACTTCACAGAGATTGGTTACGTTTTCTACAACAGACTTGGCCTAGGATACGCTGCCGCCATTAACCCTCTTGCGAATGCTAGCAAGGATGTGCTGGCTTTGGCGAAGCTCACCACCCGCATGTGGATAAGCTTTATTCATGACCTCGATCCCAATAACCACGGAAGTGAGTAATCAATTTTTTCTATGGCATGGAAAATTGCGTCTGACCGAACTTATAGTCCGGGGTGTCGATAAGTGGCCGGTCTATAATGCCACTGGCGGCTACGGGAAGAACTTCCACCTGACACCCAAGACATTTGGCGTGACTCCTGATACCTTCCGACTTGCAGGAACCACCTTCATAAACTCTGTCGCCCTAGAACAGTATGGGAGATGATTATTATATTCAGCGGAGGATGAAATGAGGACGGCTTTGAGCTATTAGCAGTACTACCTCAGGTCGGTTCCTATGAAGATTAAACATGTATTGCTTTGCCAATGCAATAATGCACAACGACTTTTATAATATATTATTTAAATTAGCCCACTTTGAGTAGACCTGAAAATACTTGCTTTTTGGTTCTCAATCCTCGATTTACTAGATTAATAAAAAATGTGCTTTGTCATCCGTTGCCGTTGCAGTTTTAATCACCTATGATCAATTGCTCGTATTTTTAGCCAAAGTTTGTGTTATCCTTGAATAAATTATTTGATCAGACGGTACTCAAAATTGTATCAGACATTCTCGTCTATTTTAATCGTTTCCATTAACCCCAGTCTGCCTTGTTGTTGTGGACGCATCACCACTGCAGTCATTAGCAAGCCCAGATTTCTCAATTAACTACCCTACAGCACATCGGAACATGGTGCGGGCCACCAAACGAAACACTTCGCATGTCGGGCGTTCCCACCCGGGTCATCGGTCCCCTCTCTCCTTCTGGATGACTATTGACGGCCTAGCCAGAGAGGGAAGGGGGAAGGGGAGATTACGGTCGCTAGCCTCTTCCACACCCCTGAGGCCTCTTCGTAGCAGCCCTATGCCGTGCCAGCCCTACAACGCATCTGGTAAGTACGCTATGGACAGGTGATTTCAATCGGGCATTTTCATAGACTTGTGTGATGCATACGGAGAAAAAAAAACTGCCTATCCTAAATCTAATCTCATTCTTAATCGTTCATTTCGTGAAATGAGGCACGCTTGCAAAAGGACAACCCAAAGGCGCCGACATGGCAGCGACATGATGGGCCGTCGAATACTTGATATCAAATCATGGCAATCGGATGAGATGAAACTTCTATCCATCCCGCATTCGCTGGCTGCCGCTGGCCCACCATACTCCTCACCCACGCTCCTTGGCGAAACAAACGGGCAGGTCAAGCACAAACGGCGACGTGCCGAGACCCAGGGGAAGGGGCTTACAACCATGAACCAACTTCTGCCGCCAGGCAGGGGTATTGCCGCTCTTCCGAGCCCTCATTTCATTTTACCGTTACCATCACGGTCGGCTGAACCTGAGACTGAAGGCGGCCAATCATGTAGTCTGCGTGGCTTAGACTAGCCCTCGACGGACTGTGACCGTTGCTAGCTAGCTTTGTTCAGTCAAAACACCCTCCTTCCTTTTCTTCTTCGGCCGGTGCGCTCGACCTATTTGAACGGTGAGAGTCCGTGGCTTCTCAGAGAGGATTAGCTGGCGGACCGAGCATGCTCGATACGAGTGTGCGTGCCATCATAGTGATCATAGTGCATGCTTTACCACTGGTGCACGGCTTGCAGCCTCCGGCTCATCGCTTGGGAGCATTGACTCCGAGAGCCCGGTGTTGGCTGAGATGTCTGAACTCGACAACTCCAGTGCAGTGATGTGTGGATTTCCTGCAACAGAGACAAGGATTGCGTTGGTTACTTAGTGCTTGCTTTGTGGCCAATTTGGGCTTACATGTTGCATTCAAACAGTTCTAAATTTAACCTTTAGATGATTACACGGGTGAGGCGTGCCCTCCAGACATGTATGATAATTCAGAGTAGATCACCGTAAGGGACCCGACTGGTCAACCTGGCGCTCTCGGTGAACTTTGCCGACGCTTGCTGCAGGAACAAGTGTGGGGTACAGGGAACCCCTGAACGGTTGCCGCCACAGTACAGGGGTAACGGCACGCGGGAGTTCCAGCTGGCTCCGTTTGTGACTATTTTGCGAAGTACATGGCACTATCCGGACATGAGCAGCGAGCACGAGCTAACACACCTGGGACTTGGGCTGCCCGAGGCCCGGACGGCCGTCACCGGATCTCGCCAGGCACAAGACGATGTATCGGAATGAGACATGGCGGAGTGACCTGCACTGTCAATGCTAAGGCTTGGGATCAACGGCTGATTTCTCAACACCCTCGCTTCATGTGTGTTGGCCTAGCTTATAAGCTAGATGACGGGTGATGACCCGAGTACTACGTAATGTAGTACTCTCGCTGGCTTTCACAATCCAGGGTTGAGTCGCTCGAGTGCGCCGCTTGTGATGTATCAGGCTAAAACCGAGGCCGGGCTAGAACAAGCAAGTAAACACGCCAGACCAGTCTAGTTGTTCCTTGAAATAGTTAGCGTTTAGGATGCCCGCGTCGTATCGCCGTAGTGAGGCTTATTCTGGTTCCATTTCAGGTGTGCATGGGAGGCACTTAGACAAACATCGTTGGTCAATAGTCTGCTTCCCGCCTCGGGCGAAGGCAGCTTAATCGGGCGTCATCAGTTGTGGCGCGAAGTTGGCTACATTTGGTGTGGTCTAGACTACTGTTGTAAGGAACAGCGCCACCTATCGCGGGAAATTGGGGCTTGCAGTGAGCCTGATTCCGGGGAAGGAAATGATCATTCACCAGAGGTGCCGCCATTGTTGATGTGACTCCGTCTCCTATTGTATGTCCAATAATCTTATATATATTTGGGCAGCCGCTCTCTAATCCCTCGATCTAGATGATTCTTGTCCATCAATCCAGTCCTCTCTCGTTTTAGGACAACACTCGCTTATATCCCCTTCACCGCGCGCTTGACGGCATCCCAACTTGCCATCATGCGTTTCCACGTCGCCCTCAGCGCCCTTCTCGGCCTCGCCTCAGTCGGCGCCGCTACAAACGCTCCTTACAACGAACATGGTGTTGAGGCAAGAGACACTCGATTGGTTGGCAGAAGCAGCCTTTTCAGCAGAGTTACCTGCGCCTCAGGTTACGAATACTACGGCTACGAATGCGTGCCGAAATGCCCTCCTTGCGCTCCTCGCGCCGGCAACGGGGTTTGCACTTGCCCCAACAACCAGGACTTAGTTGGAAGCGAGTGTAAGCCCAAGTGCCCGACTGCCGCTCCTCGCGGAAGCAATGGAATCTGCACCTGCCCGAACAATGGAGATCTTGTTGGAACCGAGTGTAAGCCCAAGTGCCCTGCTTGTGCTCCTCGAGCCAGTAACGGCGTTTGCACCTGCCCTAACAACGGAGATCTTGTCGGAACTGTGTGCAAGCCCAAGTGCCCTACTGCTGCTCCTCGGGCCAGCAATGGGGTTTGCACTTGTCCTAACAATGGAGAGCTCGTTGGAACCGAGTGCAAGCCCAAATGCCCTGCTTGTGCCCCTCGTGCGAGCAATGGAGTTTGCACCTGCCCCAATAACGGAGATCTCGTTGGCAATGAATGCAAGCCCAAGTGCCCAACTGCCGCCCCTCGTGGCAGCAACGGACTTTGCACCTGCCCTGGTGGAAAGGATCTTGTGGGCACTGAGTGTGTAGACAAGTGCCCAGCTTGTGCTCCCCGAGCCAGCAACGGCGTCTGCACCTGCCCTAACAACCAGGACCTTGTCGGAAACCAGTGCGTGCCTAAGTGCCCAACTGCTGCTCCTCGTGTCAACGGCGTCTGCACCTGCCCCAATGGAAAGGATCTCGTTGGCACTGCATGTGTGGACAAGTGCCCGGCTTGTGCCCCTCGTGGTGACAACGGTGTCTGCACCTGCCCCAATAACCAGGACCTTGTTGGTAGCCAATGCGTGCCCAAGTGCCCAGCTGCCGCTCCTCGCGTCAACGGCGTCTGCACCTGCCCCAACGGCAAGGAGCTTGTAGGAAGCGACTGCCTGGATAAATGCCCTTCTTGTGCTCCCCGCGTCAACGGCGTTTGCACCTGCCCTAACAACCAAGATCTCGTTGGAAGCCAATGCGTGCCCAAGTGCCCTGCTTGTGCCCCTCGCGCCGACAATGGAGTCTGCACCTGCCCTAACAACGGGGAGCTTGTTGGAAATCAGTGCAAGCCCAAGTGCGGTGCCAATGCCGTCCGAGGCAATGATGGCAACTGCAAGTGCATCAACAGGGGCCAGGTTCTGAACTCTGCGGATAACAGCTGTGCCTGCCCCTATGGCCAGGATTTCGTCAACAACTGCTGCAAGGTCTCCTGTGGCTCGGTCGCTACGTACAACCCAAGGAAGTACAAGTGCGAGTGCCCCGGAACAGGCCAGATCTTCGACGCCGGCTCCAAGACCTGTGGTTGCCCGACCGGCCAGAACATGGTCAACAACTGCTGCACCGTCGACTGCGGCAGTGACGCCACATACAACTCATGGCAGCAGAAGTGTGTTTGCTCGAAGCGCGGCCAGATCTTCGACTCCGACACCAAGACCTGTGGTTGTCCTACTGGACAGGAGTGGGCTCGACAGGGTGGCTGCTGCCAGTCTAGCAACCCTGGCCAGTCTAGCCAGCGTAACCGTGGCAAGTGGTGGTGGTAAAGCAATCCGCCAGGATGATTGGAATGGGGGATGGGGTAAGGTTTACGATCCTTAGAAGCTGGTGGCTTTTATGTGACGGGGGCTATCTATCAAAATTGTATTAATCTTTGTTCTTTTTCTTTTTGCAGCCTGTTGTTCTCGGCAGTCGGAAGGTGTAGTTAATAACGCTCATTAAGATAGGCCCCTCACACATCCCCGGGCACGAATATTATGCTAAAGCAATACTCGCTTAATTTTATTTGTTTATTTTTAATACTTGCCGTGTCATGTGAATAGGTGTCACTTCAACTTGGCTAGTTGAGATGTAGGACGAATGTTAAGTGTTTACTAATCTAGGTCAATAAGGAACCCAGCAGCCCGTAAGTCTGGTCGATCGGCTAGGATGCTGAGAATTACTCTTCAAGCCCGAACTATCTAGTATTACCATGACTCAGTGACTGCCACCATTACTATTGTAACAGGGATCCTTGATGGTCAGTTAGGGAGCTGGAGTTTCAAGGGGTCTACCCTGACTCCTGGGGCTTAGGCTGCAGGGTGGTAGCGACAATTACAACTCCACCCAATTGAGAGCAGAACCGACGGCGACATTGGGGGCCGAGAATGAGCGGCATGATAAGCAGGCATGCAATTACCGACACATTTGAACCGTTATTCAGTAAACCGTTCCTGAGTTATTTAGTGCAGGCTGCAGCGAGGCAACCCCAAGAAAATCATTCGACATCGCTCCCGTCGGGTTTCGAACAAATCGCCGCACTTGCTATCACATACTGTCGCCTGAATAAGGATCACATTCTTGTCTATGCATTCGCTTAAAGGCCCGAAAGACGCCCTATAACAACAGGTCAGTATTAGGACGGTGGGTCGCGAAACCATGAGTTGCAACTGATACCGAGTTCCATTGCAGCAGTTCATTCGGAGTCATGGCCGACCTCACCAAAGAGATTCGACTTCAACAAAAAACTGTCAACAGAACTCGCAAAAACAATGCTGAGGGAGCAACGGAAGTTCAAAAACTTGGAACTTTGTTTTACAGAAGATTCTTGAAATTAGGAGCGGTCGTGGATCTCGAAAAGGCCATCTCTATCTCCCGGCAGGTGATCGGTATGACTTCAGAGAGTCATACTAATTGGCATGAATACTTAACCAGCCTCTCGTTTCGCCTTGGAGACAGATATTCGATAACAGGAATGAATTTTGACCTTGACGAAGCTATCGAGGTTGGAAGAGAAGCAATCGATATAACCCCAAGCGATTATCCGAACAAGATAAGACGATTGAGTAACCTCGGAACTCTCCTTCATGACCGATTCGAAAGTGTAGGGGAGATGGCCAGCCTCGAAGAAGCGATTCGGATAGGATTGGAAGTGGTGGATCTTACTCCACATGACCACCCAGACCGGGTGGTATATTTAGCAAACCTTGGGGCTCTGCTTCGTTGTCGATACTCAAGATCCGGACAACTTTCTGACCTTGAAGAAGCTATTCTTGTTGGACAAGAAGGTGTCAATACGGCTGAAGATGATTACCCTGACATGGCGGCATTATTAAGTAATGTTGTTACCGCGCTTGGCGATAAATACGAGAGGACGGGTCACATGGCCGACCTTGAGGAAGCGATCCGAATGGGACGAGATGCAATCGACAAAGCTCCAAAAGATTCACCAGATCGTGGGAGATATTTGAACACCCTTGCAACCCAGCTTTATAGGAGATTTACTAGACTAGGGATGACGGACGACCTAGAAGCTGCGATCCAACTAGGACGGGAGGGAATTCAGGCCCTCGAGCTAACCCCACACAATCGTCGAGACAAGGCGACTTGTTTGAGCAATCTTGGTACTCAGCTTGGACATAAATACTCGACAACAGAAGATCTCGCCGTACTCGAAGAAGCTATCCAATTTGGGCGGGAGGCAGTAAGCATCACTCCAGAGACCGACCCGGATAAGGCAATTTGGTTAGGCAACCTGGCCATTCTGCTTGGGAAGAGAATAGGGATAATGGCCGACCTGGAGGAGGCAATCCAGCTTGGACGATGCGCGATTGACAGAATCTCAGCCAATTCGCCGGAACGCGCAAGATGTCTAAGCACTCTTGGAGTTCATCTTCACCTGAGGTTTTCCAGGGAGGGGGAGTATCGTGACCTTGAAGAAGCGATTCGACTTGGGCAGGAGTCAGTTGACTTGACCCCTGACAATAACGCGGAGAGAGTACATCGCTTAAGCAACCTTGCCCTCCATCTTCACGATAGATACATGGCAATCAGGGAACACGATGACCCCGATGCACCAATACGATCTGATGACATCGAAGAGGCTATCAGCATCGCACGACAGACAGTGAAAGCGACTCCAGAGGGCCATGCTGACAGAGCCAACTACCTGAACAATCTTTCAATTTACCTCCGTGCAAACTATGGGGTGACAAGATCTAGGCAGACTCTTGACGCAGCTATCCTCGCTGGACGGGAGGCAGTGAAAGCTTCTCCGGACGACACCTCATTCCGAGCAATATGGCTGATAAACATCGCGGCCCTGCTTCGGGACAGATTCATGCTTCACAAAACCGAAAGAGTCGACATAGAAGAGTCGATTTCCTACTATCAATCTGTCTTGCATCAATCTACATCGCCAATTACCAGCCGGGTGTTGGCGGGTAGAGAAATCCTCGACTGCTCTGCCATTATTTCGGAATGGCAGCAAGGCTATGAAGCTGCCACAGTTGCCGTCAATCTTGTCCCGAAGCTCATATCCCGTTCATCCGATAATCCTGACAACCATTTCCTACTCCGACATGCATTTTTCCTCGCTTCCGACACGGCAGCAGTGGCACTCCGTGTACGGAAAGAACCATTCCATGCCTTGCAACTCCTCGAACAAGGGCGTGGTGTTCTCGCGACATCTCTCGAAGAAATGCGAACAGACGTTCTGGATCTGCAGAAGAGCCATCCCGAATTGGCGAGAAAATTCGACAGCCTTCGAAGCGAGCTTACACAACCCGTTGTACGCAGTACCATCTTGAGTGATGATACTCTTCAGCAAACAGGGGGACGTCAACTGAATCGGCAGCACAGCGCAAATGAAAACATTGACAGACTGATCATGGAAATTCGGGAACAGCCCGGTTTTGAGGATTTCCTACTGGCGCCAAACAAGGCGGAAATGGAAACCGCTGCAAAAGATGGTCCTATTATTGTCGTCAATGCGAGCAAGCATGGTTGCGATGCCATACTGATCCAGCCGCAGAGAATATGGTTCTTGCCCCTCCCCGGTCTGAATACCAAGGATATCCATGAAAAGGCTGATAAAGGCTCTTGGGGAAGTCTCCAAACTCTATCATGGCTTTGGGACGTCGCTGCGAAACCAATCTTGGATGCTCTGGGCTTCACCCAACCCCCACTGAACCCGTCTGGCGAGAATTGGCCCCATGTGTGGTGGATTCCCACTGGACTTCTCGCCGAATTTCCGCTTCACGCAGCTGGACACCACGATGGGAGTTCTTCCGAAACGGTGTTGGATCGAGTGATGTCGTCATATAGCTCTTCTGTTAAAGCTCTCGTACATGGCCGTCGACGTCCTGTTGTCGCATCCACAACTAGTGCGCTCCTTGTTGCCATGGAACATACACCAGGTTATTCTAGGCTTCCCTTCGCAGCCGCTGAGATCAAGGTGGTCAGCGGGCTATGCAAATCGATGGCACTCAATCCCATCAAACCAAGGAGATACAAACAAGACATGATATCACAGTTGAAGGAATGCAAGATCTTCCATTTTGCGGGGCATGGCCATACTGATACGATGGACCCGTCTCAGAGCCATCTGATCCTAGAAGACTCCGAAGAATTAACAGTGGGCACTCTGTTGGATATAAATCTTCGCGAGCGCTCACCATTTCTGGCCTATCTTTCAGCTTGTGGAACTGGGCAGATCAAGGAAGAGTCGTATCTCGATGAGAGTATCCATCTCATCGGCGGATACCAATTAGCGGGCTTTCGCCACGTTATTGGCACTCTTTGGGAGGTTGACGACAAATTATGCGTTGATATGGCCAGAATTACATATGAGGCAATCGGGAGCGGAAGATTGACAGACAGGTCAGTCTGTTGGGGGTTGCATAAGGCAACGAGAGAGCTTCGGGGTCGCTGGCTGGATAAAAAAGGAACTGTCAGGCGTAGGAGCGGACGGATCAGAAAGATGCGCATCACCATGGGGTCGGCGAAGACGGGCGCTCCTGGTGCGAGCCGTGGTCCTCGGAGGGATGCGAGGCGTCCAAGAGATGTTATCTTATGTGATACTGATGACGCGGAAGAGATGTCGTCACCTCCTTGGGTCCCATACATTCATTTTGGGGTGTAACAGGAGTCCAGAGAGCGTCTCAAAGGAATAATCCTTAGTAGTCAGAGATTGTAAATGTTAGAAGGCAGCGAACTGAAGGATTGAGTGTTGATGTTGCCTTGGGACCCAAAGTCGAAGGTGATATCGAACCTGAGAATAATTGAGAATAATAGAGGCATACACTGAGGAATACCCAAAGTGCTAGGACATGGTGTATTTTCCCATGTTCCTCTGTCCAATTACCCGAGCTCCAAGCCCCATGTCAAGAGACCGGAATTGTCATTGAACAAGGGCTGCGCCATTCGGGCCCGGGGCAATTGGCACCGAGAAACCCCTGGCTATTCCACATTGAGCCCGGAACGACACGCAACATGGCTATGGCGAGATCATGAGGTAATTACCCTAGAAACTTAACCAGAATGAGGGGCTCCAATCATCGAATATTCCACCAATGGGTGAAGAGGTTAATGAAGATGGCAATTAGATAGAAGCCTCTCACTGCCCCAACCACAATGTCTTTTTGGATTAATTGCAGAAGCATCTTCACTATGTTGTCAAAAACCGTGTTGTTGTCCATTGTGGCCATGTCCATCTCCCCTGCTTCATCAGGCCCCGTCCCAACAGTGCGTCCACCTTTTTCATGGTCTGGCACCAAGCACGTGTGAGCTTCTCAGTCAATCCATTAGCTCTGAGAACTTCCCTCTAACACTCATAGTGTGGCTTTCGGCGACTCATATACCTACGTTCAAGGGACCAATGGATACCCAAAGTACAGCTTCATCGGCAGTTATCTTCCTGGAGACTTCGCCTTCACGCCTGAACGTCTCTTGGAGAACCGCATCTCGCAAAATTACACCAGCCAATCTGCCGGTGGTCCTAATTGGATAGAGTATCTGACGGGCTGTGCCCTTGAAGACGGCTATCACTCGCCGCTTGACTGCGATGTCCAACTTTGGGACTTTGCCTTTGCGGGGGCTAATATTGCCGAGGCGCTGTAAGTAATCTGACTCCAAGATCTTGGCTTTCGGTCTTCTAATACGCATACTAAGCCTCCCTCTACATCACCCTTACACTATCCCTCTAGTCAACCAAACCCAACAGTTCCTCCAGTACGGAGACTCCGTTTTACGAGAACACGCCGGTTTAGATCCTTCCAATGCCGTCGTTGCTATTTGGATTGGCATTAACGACATCATTGATGCCCAGCTGTTAAATAAAGCGTCGCCGGAATTTTATGCAGAAAGCATTAAGACTATGTTGGCACAGTCTGTTCTGCCTCTGGTAAAAGCTGGTTACAAAAACTTCCTCATCCTAAACCTTCCTCCATTGGATAAAAGCCCACTGAACTGGGCGAGTTTAAAGGGGCAATTGAACGACACCTTGATCCAGACGTGGAACGGTGAACTTCAAGCACAGACTCGGAAATTTGCCTCAAAACATAAAGGAGTCAGAACAGGCGTCTTTGATGCCAACAAACTGCTCAAGAATGTCTTAGATAAGCCAAGTTCTTACGGCATTACTAACACTACAGACTACTGTTCGGCAAGCAATCAATGGCCTCAAGTGGTTGAAGACCCTACCCAGTTTGGATGCGTTCCTGTATCCGAGTATTTCTGGTTTAATAGCGGGCATATGTAAGTCATATCGGACTCCGCTCTACCAAAAGCCCAAACTAATTTGAATGAAGTGGAACAAGAGTTCACAAGGCTTTGGCGGATGGGGTAGAAAAGTTCTTGTGTGAACGGTTTTAGGTCCAGTTCCACGCCTATGGATAGATAGTAAGCGCAGCAACATCATGGCAGAAAGTGACAAGAACACTAGTCATGTCTTACGAGATCTGCAAGATTGTTGTAAATATGTCCAGATAATACATAAGCTGTATAATCTTTGCTCACAACACTCGTTAGATTGAAACCTGTTCCATGAGTAAGCTTGGACACGGGGCCAAACTACGGTCCTAGCGAATATGAAAAGCAAAGAATCACTGAAGGCCAAGTCCTCCTAGCCGCCAAACCCGTCACACGCGCATGTTCTTTGAGGAAGGGAACCGCGGATTTTAGTGCCGTACGAGTTTTGCCTCATCAAAATTCAAGAGTGAAACCATGAAAGTCAACATAAATATGTCGACTATCTGCTTTACAAAGTTTGAAATTTTCATGGAATAATGGTAAAGATTATTGACAACGTTCAAGGCTTAACTACTACTATTAATACACTGCATATACCCTCCTTCACTACATCGTGTTCCTCTTTCTTAGCAACTTAAGGCTTCTTATCCATAAAAGACATTCCCTAATCTTTTACTTTAAGCAAGCAGGGCCAGGACGAGAGGGAGGGCCATCATCAGGCTACCGCGCATGATATTACCACTGCTAGCCGGTGGGACTGTAGTCGGGACTGGGGCAGTGGATGGGGTTGAGATCACGCTGGGAATGGCAGATGGAGCTGAGTAAATAGCAGGGACAGTGAAAGAGCCGGTGGGTTCTGGAGCACCAGGAATCGGCTTGCTGGTCGAGACAGTGCCATTATAGGCGGGGAAAGGAGCCGACGCGGTGGGAACGGGTACGGTCTGAATACCAGTAGAGGCTTCAGGGACAGAGTACTCGTAGCCGGGAGCGCTAGAACTAGAAACCTGAGGGACCAAAGTAGTGGAAGCCACGGAGGTCAAGGTTTGCAGACCAGAAGTAGCGCAAGAGGTAGCGGTGCTCTGAGTAATCTCCTCAGTCGCAGGGCAGATGGTGGTTCGGTCGACGATGGTGACAGTGGGCGCCGGGGGAGGCGAGTTTGTCGGCGCATGGAAGGTCTTGGTACTGCGCTCGCTGCACGGCACGATAGTGACAAGAGTATCGGTGACGGTTGTGACGGACACGGGGGTTGAAGACGAGTGCGAGGCTGATGCTGACTCGGAAACGGCGCCGCTTGAACCAGCGGGGCAGATGTAGGTGCTAGAAACAACGGTGGATGTGATGACCGTCTGTGTGTAGCGAGCGGGGCAGTTCACAACAGAAGCAGCACAGCTGGTGATGGTGTAGACGTGGGTGGACGTGACAGTGCTCGTGATGTCGCCGCCATCATACCCAACGGCGCTTGAGTTGCCGTGGACCACAGCAGGGGTGGTGATGGGCCGGAGTGTGGTTGCAGCCATAGCGTCAGAGGCAGCCGGGGTGGTGGTGATCGAGCCATCGCCAGAGGCCTTTGGGATAGCAGCAACAGGCGTTGAGCCGGAGGCAGTAGGGACGCTGGTGACCGAGTCATCATCGGAGGCAGTAGGGACAGCATACTCGGAGCCCGAGTCGGAACCGGAAGCGGTAGGGACGGCCTCGGAGTTGGAGACTGAACCGGAGATGGTAGGGATAGTAGCATCAGAGGCGGAGTCGGAGGCTGAACCGGAGGCGGTGGGCACAATGTCAACAGAGGCGGAACCAGTGGTAGTAGGATCAGCATCAGCGGAAGCCGAACCGGTGGTAGTAGCATCAGAATCAGCGGAGGTGGAACCGGAGGCGGTAGAGATAGTAGCATCAGAGACGGAGTCGGAGGCTGAACCGGAAGCGGTGGGGACAATATCAGCGGAGGCCGAACCAGTGGTGGTAGGATCAGCGGAGGCCGAAGCGAAACCGGTGGTGGTAGAGACGCTGGTGACCGACACAGTAGCAGTACCAGGACGATCGAACCTTTCGATGAAAACGCCAGGGACACCACGGTCGGGGAGACAGAGTTCGACGTTGGCGGCAGTACCAAGAGTGACTGTCAAGCTAGGGGCCAGGCTCAGGTCGAGAATATCTCCAACCTCCACGTTCAACTCGACGGCAAGGCCGAGAGTGAGGGCAATGACCTCAGAAACGGAGACAATGCAGTCGGGAGTGTTGATGAGGATGGCAGTGTAGTCAAACAGGCTGATCCAGATGGCGATCTTGGCACCAGCCTCGATCTCAAGGACAGGGATATCAAGGTCAGCTTTGAGGTCAATCTCGGTTCGCAGGCGGAGTCCAAGTTGCAAGGCAACCTCAGCAGACAGGTCAACATCGGCGCCAATACCAAGAGGCAGAGCCTTGGCAACAAGTCCAGTCAGAGACACATCAACAATATCCTTGGTCAGAAGAGAGATGTCGACGTAGGCGTCCGCGCCAAAGGAGATGTAGACACCAGCCGAAAGGTCGATGGCCGCATCAACTCCAATAACAAGATCGAGAGCAACAGCGGCACCGGCTCCAACATCGAGGAGTCCAGGAATCATAAGCTTGAGCGCGGGGGAAGCAAACAGCTCGACAGACTCGTGGACAGCAGCTGAGGCAGAAATGTCGACCTGGACGAAAGCCTGGATGCCTCCGAGGCCAACTCGGATCTTGGGCTCATCCAAAAACTCCTTTAGAAGCTCGAGAGTGACATCGCCGGAGATCTGGGCCTTGGGTAGGTGCAGTCCGAGAGAAATGGCAGCAGAAGTCTCGGTTTCCGCGGCAGCGATACTATGAGTATGTCAGTATGAATTACTTATGCTCACAGTTTGCGTTGATACATACCCTGCGAAGAGAGTGTGATCCTCCAAGTCTTGAGCCAAGCTGCAGGTCGCTGGTGCAATGCCGCTAATCTGGTTCGTTAGACCACCAAGGCCCCCAAGACCGCCCAGAAGGTGAGGAGAGGCTTGGGCAAAGGCCACAAGCCCTCCCAAGATGGGAAGAGTAGAAGCGCGCATCTTGTGAATTTCAGTAATGAATGGCTGGAGAAACGATGTCTCCAAAGGGGTGTAGAGAGTGACTGGAAAGGACTGGTTTGTTGGCTGGAACACAGTTAGAGACCAAGACTATGTTTCAACAGCAGAGTTGGTCCTATTTCTATAACAAGTCACCCCTATCCTATGGCCGCCAATGTGGTTGTACATCGGGACGGTAACTGTCAGTTCCTTACTGGGATCGGTGTAGTAAACTCAATTGATCATCTCGGCATAGCTGCCGATCATCTCATCATATATGCCGATCGTCATATCAAACCCTTGAAAACACTTGACCGTTAAATCATAAGTTTCTCTCGACCGTGACAAATAACAGCCGCTAACGATCTCTCTCGGAGAAAAGGCAATTCCGCACGTGCGTAAAGCCGAGCGGAGGAGAAGATCTCCCCGCCTCCTGAATTCGAGATGTTTGATGTTCGGCGGCGTTCTGAGCCCAACAACGAGATGCCAATTGAGCGCCGAGGCTCAAACGCTGTGCTTCGTCCATCGCAATTCGCGTGTAACTTATTGCAACGCTGTCAAACTATAGGGAATGTCTCAACCTGAGGTCCCAGGATCGTGACTGGCGGTACGGCCAGTCTGCAATCTACCAGACAAGACTCGTAGTATGATGGCCTACACTATGACGGTCAACTCAGGCTGTATGGTGATCGTTTACGGTGAGACCACAAGGCCATAATTGCTTCTGGAGCCACTCTCTTCGTTGATTCTGGCACCATTCCGGGAAGATCTACCAGCCGCGTCCATTCTGTCTGTTTCAATTTGCAGCGCCTCCAGTCTGGTCACTCCAGGGATGTTCAACCAATTAAAGAACAATATCTATGAGGCACAGCAACACTGACCCAAATCACGCGGTAGTGGGGGTGACAGGTCACATCAATTACTGATACTACGGAAATCTAAATTAAGCAGCTCGTATCTAAACTCACCGCAACTGCCGTCGGCACATTTTCCTCTGCGGCAATCAAGGCGAGCTAGGGTTATGTCGGATATCGGATTTCTACGGTTATTGCGATAGTGAAGCTTTTCTTCCTTCATCGTCGGCGTCCGCCGCCACCAGCCTAATCCTAGACTTAGCTTTTCCGTTGATCGGGTCAATGGCTAGCTAAAAGCCAAAGATTCCGAAGCATCCGGAACCTCCCGGCTTCCCGTGGCCATGCGAGGTCATCCTCATCTACAAGACTGACCCGAAGACCCCCTGTTAGATAGAAATAATAGTAAGAACTTCTCACACATATGCTCATTTCCATCTGCTAGATGCAACGGGTTATGCGGGGACATTCACGGATTGGAGGTGCTACGCATTTGGAGGGGCGGTGTGTATAACAGGTTAGAGATGGTTGAAGCCATGGCCTAACGGCTGGGAAAGTGTGTTGCAGCTGTTCATGAGCTGCCACTCGCGTATGATGACTCTCATAAACTTCACGGAGTCTGGCCACCGGTGCAGTCGCTTCCATGGCGAAAAGGAGGAACCGGGCCATGGAGTCAATTACCTGAAATTCAGGCCACCTCCTATTTCTCGCCCACTCTTGGGAGCACCAAACATAAGCTTATTCCAGAATACCCCCTACACCCATGTGCTCACTAACACTTATCCACACCTCTTCTCTATGAACCAAGTCCACCAAGGCATATGTTGAGCTCCAATAAATCCACCTCGTCTTGTCCCATCCAGGCCTCCTAGACAAGTATCCAAGCTCTTTCAATATCCATACGCCTTGTCGCTTTCTTGCTTCAGTAATCACCAACGCTCCCCAAGTATCGCTCCTTATGTGATTAGATAAAATAAAAAACACAAGGTTGGTTTGACCCGATGCCTGTGTTTGTGGCCGTATAGTCCCAACCAGAGCCGTGACATCAAATAAGACCCATCATTTAAATTAACTTACATATAATGGCCTTCGTGCCAAGATCTCCTCTGCCATTACAAATTCGGTATCAGGGAAGAGTAAAGTTTGGGAGAGAACATTTAAATTCTTTAGTCAAAAAGGGTAAGCATAGGCTTTTGTAAATGTGCGGATAGTGTTATACCATGCGAATCTCGACGCAGCTTGTCACCGCTTTTGTGGGCAACCGATCCCAAGCCACTCACCCAGCGTTGAGTGACTGAGTCCGCAACAGGTTTACTGCTAACGGAATCACAATGCATAGATATCTTCAATGAGTGCCGGATCACATCAAGCGGCTTCACTCGGCTCTCGATGATTTGCCGGTGGATCTCGGCTGCCATCCCTTGCCGACACCTGGGCATACTCAGGAGCCTGCGAATGGGTGTCCCGGGTAAATGGGGACTTGGGCGCATTCAAAGAAGCATCTGGCGACATATCAGCGAAAAACTCCATCTCTTTTCCCAACGAGGCCGCACCGAAACGGCGCAGATTGCTAGCATTATCCAACAGAGCTAACCGTTTCCGTTCTCTTCAACTTGATATGCCTTATAAACCTGTATTCCCCCTTCTATACTCTGCACCAGCCCAAAGAAGATCGTGAACCCAACCACAACCCACAAGGCATACCACTGCGTACCCTCCCGCCTATCATTCCACCATTGGCGTAGTGTCCTTGGTTTCGCCTGATCAAACACCAACTTCAACCGTACAAGCCTATCGCCCCAGAACTGGTACGCGTCGATATCAGTCATAGTCAACGGCCCGCACGACAACACGCCGGTGTCCGTGTCTGCCATGGTGGACTCGAAGTGCTTATGGTACCATGCCTTGCTGTTCTTGTACCACTTGTTCTGCGGGAAGAGCAGGGCGAGCGTTTGTAGCGTCTCGTGGACGAAGCCGTCCGGGAACAGCGGGTGCTCCTGATTCTCGAGGAAGGAGGCGTGGTGGAAGATCATGACAGTAGTCTCGCCTTCAATGTCGATCACCTTTAGGTGGTCGAGGAGGTTGTTGGTGAGCTCGACTTTGAGTCCGCCGATGGCGTCTAGGTTGCGGGCGTTGAAGTCGGTGTCGAGCTGAATCCCGTTGTGCCGGTTTGACCCTTGCACTGGGAAGATGCTCGCTGTGAAATCACGGATCGTGCCCTGGTCCCAAGACCTGAAAGCCCTCCCGGTCCACATTCTGTTCGTCGCCGGTTTCCCCACGTCAACCATCAGGAGCAGACGGGTGGCAAGGTTTACAGCCCCGTTTATGATCTCGGCTTTGTCAAGCTGCGCATTTGACACGATTCCCCGGTATCTGCCCTCGACACTCTGAACAACCTGCTGTCGCGTCAAGCCCTGCTTTATCTCCTGGGCCAGCTGAATGATGCCCTCATGTTTCGAGAATGGGAGGTTGGCCCCAAGAGAATAATATACCATCTTGCATTGCTCGGTGTAGTATTCAGAGTAAGGTTGCAGAGAGGCTGGTTTATAGCTGGCTGGCGTGACATCAGCCCAGAAAGCATTTGCGATCTTGAGTTGGGTGGCGATAGGAACTGGTGAGCAGATATGGTCTAGCTGGGTGGTATTCCCAGCTGGAAGTGAGGCCATCTGAGCGAGACGGATGTGATGAGAGAAATTGCAGAATCCTACGGGTCAAAGAGACGGCTAGATGGACTTATCAGTACTCGTGTCACTACAGAATCCGGGTTGAATCGCCACGATGGAACCCCTCTACCTGTCATGGGTGCCCCATGCAATAAGAAGAGACAGTTTGCAAGGCTGATAGGTATGGTGCGTTCTCCTTCATTTTGGCCTGGTCGTTTGCCTTGACAATGGCTCAGTCCGCGGACCAACGAGGAAAAACGCGTGGCACCATGGTCGCCCGGTAGGTACTAGTACGAGTGATGGGCCGAGCTGTGTCGAGGCTGAAGCCGCCCTAGTCGCGAAATACATTGTTTCTGACAAGGCAGATTAAGTACCTGGGAGATTCAGAGATGCCCGAGGACCCCAGTGAGCCTATGGGCTCCCGTGGACATCGCGTTGGTCGGGCAGCTGAAGCTAGGGCAGAGTATGCCCCGCCAACCTGCGCAGTATATAAGCCCCATGATGCATATGGAAGGCCTCAATTTCCTCTCTTGGCGAGGCAAAGCGGCGGAGGCAGTGCATCATGGGAACGCGACAACTCACTTTCCCCCTCCTTTACCCTCCACTGAGAATCTCCCCCTCCCCTGAGGACCTCCTGGCTTTGATAGTGATGCAGTCCCGTTATTGAAGCCCACATACTATTATTATGGGCAGACCACAGCCAAGCACAATCCTCTACGCGGCGACTTCATTCTAGTCCCTATCATGAATCTCTTCAGAAGTGACGAAACGCCATTTATCGTCGATGTAGCGCAATACGCTGGCAACCATCGAGGGCGAGTCGACAACTTGGAGTGCTGGGAGATCAGGGATCCCAGGCAAGAACCTTTCAACAGCATCCTCCAGGCTGTTTGCGAGGAGGTTTCCCGGTGCCGCTCAATTCCGCGGTCGTCGCATGTCCTCATCGACATTTTCCTCCGAGGCAAGACTCTCGATTCCAGCACCGCCTACGTAATGCTCGCGGGCACCACCCAGCGACACAGAAAGAGCGCAGTAAGGCATCTCAGACGAGGTCCCCTGCTGCGAGGTTACCCTGGCCTGAAGGTGGATCAGTGGGACTGGCCGCCGCAAGCACTGAATATCATCATGACTGGGAAGAAGGGAGAAGCGCCCGACAAGAACTTGCTCTACAGATGCTCCAAGTTTGACATACGGCGGCTCGCATCGGGGAATGCGAAAGTCACCAACCAGGTTCCGAACAGTTCCCTCCTTTCAATCATCGCGACGAACGATGGCGAAGAGACATCTCGAGCTGGAATGCTGAGCTGCGTTGTGAGGGTCGGACAGGACGACTTCTTCTTCGCACCGGCTCATATATTCATGCCCCGCCCGCCGGAGGAGCCCGAAGAGGACATTGACATGGAAGACTCGGAGTCGGACTGTGAATCCGAGATGCTGAGGGCCGGAAGTGCCACGCCATCAGACTTTTCCTCCGACTCCGAAGCTACAACGGACGATATTGTCCAGGACGGCCTCTCCGGTAGCTGGAGTCGCGCCGAGCGGCCAAACTCGACTCAGCCATCTCATGCCACCGAAGGCTTTGAAATCTTCTCGCCAGAGCACGACTACGCTCTTATTCCGGTCCCAGATGGCGAGACCTTCCATCAAGAGCTCCGCTGCATCTCAAAAGAGACAGTCGAGCGCATCGACGCAGGCCAGTTCGCAGTCTCCGTCATGACGCCATCGCGCGGCTTGATGAACGGCTTGCTTGACGGACGACCCACCCTCATGCGACTCCCATATAGCAGCAGGTTCACCCGGTTCTACTCCATCAGCCTCCCTGATGCTGTCAGCGAGGGGGACTGTGGCTCGCTCGTGATCGATCAGAACACTAAACAGATCTACGGCTTCATCGTGGCCGCGAGCATCGAACGGAGAGTGGCGTACATCGTCTCGGCAGATGAGATTCTCCAGAACATCACGGCTGAGCTGGGCAAAGAATGCGGCCGAGGACAGCCATTAGAGAGCATGGCCTTTGCCAACCGTCAGCTCCCACCATCGTCTAAATATGGAGAGCCGAGCGTACGATCATCTGCAATCAGCCATCCTGTCGTCACGAGAGTTTGTGACCCCTCGCCCAACATGCCTGGCCAGTCTGCCGGCCTCCCCTCCGAGCTTCCGTCGGAGCCAGTGCCGAATCTATCTCCAAGCCGTGAACGTGTTTCGAAGCCGCCGCTACCGTCGTCGCCCTACCAACTCTTAGAGAATCCCCTCTACCTCCCTACCTACCTCACCACGACCGTGACCGCGACAGCTCTGGCGACTACGACGCTGATATGAACGCTTGTCAGCCATATGAAGCTTGCGCGCATGGCTCGTCCGAACGCCCGGTCGCCTCTGACGAGGCCTTCAATTCCCAGAGCATCGATTGTGACCAATTCATGTCGAGTCACTTCGGTGAGGGTGCTCTCGTGTGCAGCAATTCCCTTAGATTCAACCACATGAATGGGTGCAGGAGCCTCGATGGCCCAGGCTGGGTGTCGAGTCCCTTCATGTCACCAGTGTCGCCTATTGCTGGCGCCACTCTCCCATCGATCTCGTCCGTAAACAAAAGAACAGAACTCGAAGAGTTCCTTGACACCTTGACGTATTTCCGCCACCCTCAGCAACCACATCAACCCTAGCCCCCCCAACTGTCCGGGCACCTGCGTCTGCGTCAACGGAGTTACTCCCACCCACGACGTACACATCCTTCTACACGCCGACTACCGGAAAGGCAAAGAGAGCACGGTCTGCACGTCGAACACTATCGGAGAGCGACGACTGTGATGATGACGACCGGGACATCGGCACGCAGCACGATCCGCACAAAAACACAGCAATTGCCCCTCCTCCGAGGAGTAGGCCAGGCGATGATGGAACCAGCTTCGTGTATCCATAATCTATACATGACGATCTCAGAAAGCCTAAAGACAGTGATTTCGAAGACAACTGCGAATTCTGCCCATACTATCTCATGGAACCCTTTCAGTTCATCCAAAAACCTTGGAATTTGTGCTTAAAACCGAAGGCGGAATTCACCCACACCCTCTCTCATGCTGTGAGCGATCACGCATTCATCAGAGGTCAACACCCACACCGACGTGGTCAACATTTCATCACCAAATGTATATTACATAAAACTAGTATAAAGGGCAAGAATAAGTGCGAATATTGCAACAAATCTGACCGCTGGACTCAAGATGACCCAGACGATCCGGCAGACGAGACGCATTTTGGCGGCGCGGTCTGCTTGCGGTGCTATTCCCACTTCTCCACCAGGGCCGATCTGGTCAACCACCACAAGGAGCTCAATATCTGCGCATATCGGGAGAATTTACCTCTCAATGAGAAAATGAAGCATCTCTACGTCACCTTTGCATCTTCAACTGCAGTGCCCAAGTTTCACCCGTCAGTTAGCACGCCGTTCTCCCTCGGCGTAAGAAAGAGAAGATTGAAGGGTGGCCAAGATCAGGCCTCATTGCCAGCAGCAAGACGCCAGAAAAACGGACGACTACCAGGTCGAGTACGTCAAATACTCTCGCAACCGACGTCTTCTCAAACCAGCTCTCCACTTGCCGCATCTCATCTGAGTCCACCCCAAAATCCTTCTCTTGCTCCAACATCAGTCAATACGGAGCAAAGCAATCCGATGCTATACCCATCACAACCCCATCCATATGGGCCTCACCCGGACGAGCCGTGGTATCCCGGTATGAAACTGCCGTCTCACAACTTGGGCTACCCCGATTTCTCCTCCATGCCCGAGTTTTCAGTCGAACCCTTCGATCCCATGTTTCCTGAGTTTTCATTACCATACCAACCTGTTCAAAATGCGCACAATTGGCAACAACACGGAGTACAACCGGCCGGGAAATACCAGGGGGATCCATTCACGGACTCAGGTTTTGGGTCCACGCCAGACGAGGATGCATTCAACAACATGACTGGTGGACATGGTACCTGAAATGGCGTTCCTTTCAACATGGATACACAGCTCTTAGTCTGCTCAACTGTTCGAAATGAATCGGCCGAAGCGGTCCCCCCGCCTAGAATGTCCCGATGATCTCGATACTCTCAGGATAGGAACAACGCTGCCGTTACCCGTCCCCACCGGAGGCATGCGCCTCTCCAGATCAGATAAGACAGGTCAGCTATCACAGGCTGGATCAGTATCGTCTTGATTGCCGGCGAAATGACGACGCATTCTCCATTCGAGAAGACCCGACGCAAAGCCATGCCTCGCGAGGCACACAAACACCGTCCAGCGCCTTAAGTCTATCAGCCTGTTATTAAAAATGGAGTTAGATCTAACTTACTAATATATTGAGCGAGTTCCTTGCTATATTTATTCCGTTTTTAGTATTGTTCTGTATTACTATAATGAGTAGATGCCATTTTAAGTTTAATTAAATACAACGTGAATTTAATGATTTTTTTACAATTAGTTAACTATAATATCTGGTATCAGAGGTAATAAGTCTTCAGAGTAGCCTTCTTAAGCTTATATATCTGCCTTCTGTCCCAGAGATCTAGCTTCCTTTACTGGTACTATACTTCTAGATGGTATCCTCCTCTTCGGATTTTAGCTATAAAACTGGGAATCAATACTTATAGGGCTAGTTTTTCAAGGGTTATACCGATTGAAACAATACTGCTTTGACATGGGTACTCATGTGCCCAATCTGATAATGGCCCCTAGGAAAATACTAAGGACGGCCAAGCTCATTGGGCATTGGGGTGCGACCGGGCAAAGCATACTATATGATCAGGAGTGAAGCTATGAATAGCTAGTAGTTCATTCTCTTACGATTCCGAACCTATTACATTAGCTTAGGGAACTAAAAAGAGCTAGCACTGATATCAAGAAGAGTTCGCATTCTTTTCAACCAACGTTGTCTGCTTGGAGCCCGGAGCCGGGCCGTGTCCAGAGCACTGGCACAGTATTCCCTTCCGTGTCAGCAACTGTGTGCTGGCATGAACAAACAGGGGCCGGAAACGATGTCAAGACCTTAACTAGCTGATAAACCTCTACTCAGGTTAAAGCGGCGACAGCTCGGGTCTGGCGCCAGAAACGGATTGGGACGGCAAGAACTATCGAGGGCGACTATTTAGGTAGGTAGGCAAGTACGCTCTTCAAGTTTTAACTCTCCGCACTGCCTCGTGCTCAACACTCGCCAGTTTTGCCTTTATCCATTCTTCACCAGTTCCAGTTTCGTTCCCTTTGGCTCCGTGACCTTTCAAGATGGCGCACTATGATTCCGAGAATGACGACCAGCCTCGCACTGTTCTTCCGGTTCTTGGAGACTTCACTCTAGCCAACACCGAACCACGAATGGTCCTTAAGCTCCATGAACTAGCCGAAGTGGCGCTCCAGTTCGTCGGACCTGGCGGTGTGATGGCCGTTCGTCTCGTGTCAGATCCGCAGTCCATCGCTCGTGCCAAACGCATCATGGGCAACGGAGTAAACATGGAATACAGAGATAAACCATGTCCACTCAGGTACTGACCATGGCTAGCGCCGGCGTCTGGACGGGAACCATCTTCGAAGCCCCAGCCGACTTGTCTCCCGAATTCATGTTTCCGGTCCGCCTCATCAACAACCTCAACAACCTCAACAACACAAGGACCGAACGATTTTGTATCCGCCGCAGGTTTGCACCCGCAGTGACGGATCTGAAGACAATGGCTGCCTACACGGATGGCGCGTGTGCTTCCAACGGTCTCTCTGCGCCGCGTGGTGCCTTTGCCTTTGTCTTCAACCACACGTCAGATGGCGTGTAAGCATGGCCCCCTGAGAACAAAGGCCCAACCGGCGAGGTACGAACCCATACGAGCAACAGGGCAGAGCTGCGTGCCGTCATCGCCTTTCTCAGATTCCGCGTGTGGTGGGGGGAAGGTTGGAAGCGTATCGTCGTCATCAGTGATTCCGAGTATGTGTGCAAGGGGGCCACGACCTGGCTGCGGAACTGGGCCAACAATAACTGGCGGACTGCAGCTGGTAGACCAACTGCTAATCGCGATCTCTGGGAGGTGCTGTCTGAGTTGATGGGGACTTATGCTGAAAGCGGATGCGAGATTTCCTTCTGGGCGGTCCCGCGCAGTTGCAACACTCAGGCGGATGCTGCTACGAAAGCCGCTTGCACTCTCAAGAGCTCTGATGATTATGGTAATGAAACCGGTGTTCTAGTCTAAGAAGATGTTATTGGCCTAGCATTCAGGCAGGTCAGTCAGTTCAAAGCAAGGAGAGCCAACAACTTAGGGAGGGGCTCCAGAATCGGTATTGGCTCAGGTACCCTTGAATCACTCAGGCGACGCCCTCTTATTAGACCTCGGGAAACACTATCTACTTTGAAACACCGGTTCGTTGAAGACTAAAAGTACGTTAGCTAGGGACATTAATGAAGAAGAAGAAGAAGAAAGTAACTCTACTCCCTTCCAAGGAATTCTCTGAACGAATTTGCGAAGGCATGGATAGGAATGGTTTCTCACTTTTCTTAAGCCCTGGTCAATGGCTCAGGGTAGCGCAGTTATGACTCACGTTACACCAGCATTAGTTCCAGCTCCGGCACGACAAAGGAAAATTCTCAAATCGAGATTCGTATAGCACTTAAGCTGCTATAGTATCAAAAATGAGGGGGGAAGAGAGCAGGGGGAGCATTCCCAATCCATCATCTATAATTGGTCATGTGCTCAGACTTCAAACCCAGCAAAAAAAGAAAGCCTCGCTCACGCTCGCAATCGAAATATAGGAACAGCCCGATGCGGGGGTCGAACCCGCAACCTTGAGATTGCGTACTCGTAAGAGTCTCACGCTCTACCGATTGAGCTAACCGGGCGTGGCTCTTGTTTGATGACGATCGACGCTCGATAATTGCATTGTTGAGCCCTCTTGGAATAATCGGTATGCCTCAGTGGTCTTGGGTCCGTAAAATTGAAGATTTGTTGGTCTTCACTATTTCTCCTACCCTGAGTGCCTTCTCGAAGAAGAAATGAAAGTAAACAAAAGGATGGTGGGGTGTAGGGTTTTAAACAGAAGTACCGTCTCCTGGCGGTAAAACTTGCACAAGACAAAATCAAACGGTAAAATTTCCTTCTCTTGCAAAGCAGATATTTCCAACATGGGCAATGCTGGAAGGGACTATTTTGTCCCAGTGTGTCCATCTTTGTAGGTCTGGCCACCTGGAAGCATGGCACGGCTCAAACCACAAGACCATACTGGCTCAGAATTTCACCGTGGCAGCTCTTTCTCTCAGTTGCGACGGTGACCAAGCTCTGGGTACGGGTTTGGGTATTTCCCCAACTCATCAGTAACCCAGTGGGGGTAGTCGGGGTCCTATAAGGCAACTGGTGTCAGTATGGAATAGGAGCAGAATAGAAACGGCCTACATCGTCAACCCAGGGCATCTTCGACCCTACTTCATCCCACTCCTTTGACCACTCGCTTTCTGGCAGATGGCGTCTCTTACACCAAGTACACCTCGCGCGCGTACTTTGAGGGACTTGGGCGCCGCATATGCACCAGAACTCCATTCCAAAGCTTGTTAGTGTTGTGCCTCTCCGACATAATTGGCCGTTTGGGTGCGGGCACTTACACAGCGATCAAATTGGTGATCCGGTATGAGCTTTGAAGGCAGGAGTGTATCATCATCCGGGTCCATCTTGGTGTGTTTTCGAAAGTACTCGATCATAAATTTAACCTCCTTTGATTCACACCGTGTACAAATCCACCTCTCAAAGATGTCGCAGTCACAGAGCTCGTTGAGGAACTTCCCAGTGACTTCTTTCTCAGCCGCAGCATCGCACAGCTCGCACAAGCACATGATGTGGCTGAGCTGATAAGCAGCGTCAAGGTGTGGTCGCCGCTTAGGGCGTTCAAGCGGTTCGCGAGGATAAGAGCGGCACTCCTCACAGAGGTTAATGCCGCACTTGATGCATGGAAGGGCACCAGCTTCGTCGCATTTGACGTTGTAGAGGCGTACTTCGATGGGCTCATCCTTGTAAATTTTTCGACGTCTGCCCCAGGCATAGTCGCGAGGACCAATGCTGTACGGCTTGCGAAACTCCTGGCGCCTTACGAGGCCGCGGCCGTCACAGAGGCAATGGCGGCTGAGGGACTTGAAAATCTTGCGTGATTCAAGTATGGATGAGAAGTTGGAGCGATTGGTGAGAGCGAGGTGGTAAAGGTCCAAAGTTGAGAGCCACGTTGCAAGGGTTGGGAGGATTGCGTAAGAGGAGAGAATGTCGGTGAGAGGTGAGCGTGGTGTTGAGGTAGCGGTGGTGTCGACGGCGGCCATGATGCTGTATCGCTGATGTAGCGTATATGAGAAATTGGCTCGTACTGTAGACCTGCAAAGCCGAGTTACGATGATTTATCAGGACTTGGAATTGAAGAGGAGAGAGATGCTGAACGACGAGCTGCTGCCTGCAGGTTGTAGCCTTGACATGACCCAGCCAGCCAACCACGATCATCTTGCGCCATTTTGTGGATCTGTGTAGGTAGTAAGTGGCCTCAGCTATTCATTATTGCATTAAACAAATAAATAGACGAAAATATAATTAGGGCGAGATACAACACGGACAATCAGTCTTTATTGACTTGAATTTTTCTCAAGGTTTCCTTAGGCGGATCATTATTGCTTGTCTTTAGGATTGTACAGTAGATTCTCTATTCCGAGTGCCTTCACCTGATATTTGTATTGCTCTGACATTTTGGGGCTCAAGGCAAACACTGCCAGCACTGCCTTGGGAGCAAAGTGAGACAGAAATCAAGTCCAAACCCCTATGAGTAGCAGAATATCTACTCAGAATCAAACAAAGACACATCCAGCGTTGGAGGATTAATAGTTTGGTGTGGTTAGGTACATGGGAGCACTCACACCGATAATCTCAAGGATAAAATCCAACGCGTTCAAAGGATATAAGAGTTCAATCCGTTTATTCTGTATCAAAAATTGTTCCTTTCTATTCTTTGCACAGATTATCGCGTTACCACAACTCCACATAATCTCTTTATCAAGCTCCGTTCGGACGGCCAGCTTATGTTCATCAATTTGCTTCCGGTTTCGCTTCCGGTGTCGCTTCCGGCTTGGCTTCCGGCTTGGCTTCTGGCTTGGCTTCCGCCTTAGCTCCTGGCTTCGCCTCTCCCTTCGCTCCAGGGAATCGAGAACCCCTATCCTTGACCTTCTTCTCCTTCTTAGGTGGAGGCGGGTAGGCCTTCAGGGTAATTTCCTGCCATTCGGTGGAAGCTTGGTAGGCCTCTTGGATCGGAGCCATAAGCTCGTTGAGAGCCTTTGCCACTGCAGGCTTCAGGATCTGAGGTGATAGCTATGTAGTTGATTAGCATTTATGAAATATTCTGGACAATGAATAATTAAACATACCACGTCGTTCCTGTAATCATCATGCATCTGAGCAATGGTGGTGTAAACCAGTGGTTCCAAACCATCGCGCTCACGGTCAACGCGGAATTCTCGGTTTCCACGCAGATGTGAGGCAGGGAGGAGAACAAATTCCACAAAGGCCAAAACTCCGTTCTCCTCAACTACCTTAGGAGCCGCCGCCGCTTTCCGGATCTTCTTGGTGACAGCCTCGGGGGTTTCGAGCAAGTCAATCTTGCTGTCTATTTGATGTTAGGATGTTCCTAGTGGGTTACAATATCGGTCTTACCTTGGTCACTGGCACTCATCTTGCCACCCTGGAGTCCAGGAACCATGGGGTTGAGGAGATGGGCACGCTGGAATATGTTAGCCAAGATTCACCCAGTCAAGATCAATAGACCTACCTGCGCGTATCCAATCTTAGGTAGCCACTCTTTGGCAGCAGTAAACAACTTGCGCTGGTCAAGACCTAGGAGATATTAGTAAAGTTACGGGGTATACGTTGCCAAATAAGGCTCACCTCCAAACTGAGCATCGACATCCAAGTACTGCTCGTCGAGAACTTGAAGAATAGGGTAAAGCAGGCCACTCAGAGGAGCATTGTCTGTCTGCTTGACAACCTCGGCACCGGCCTTCTTGGCGTCGTGCTCGGAGACCAAAGAGCACAGCTTGTAGACATCCATAACATACTCGGGGCTCTTCTGGTAGGAGCTGCCAAGCACAAACTTGAGCTTGTCGGTGGGCACTCCGACGGCCTGGAGGATTCCAGTTATGGTACGTCGGTAGAATTCGGCACGGTGTTGGACAAGTTCAATAGGGGCTTTGAGGTTGTCGAGGAATCCGTGGATGTCGGCGAGGAGCACCGTGACATCGCAGCCGGCAGCGAGGAGCTGGGCGATTTTGATGGCCGGGACGAAGTAGCCGCAGTGAGGACGACCAGTGGTGGCGGTACCTGGCGAGGCGAAGGTTAGTATTGTCTCGCGGGAGTATAATTGCCGGCAAGGCGGTCCGGGGCGAATTAGAGTGCTTACCCCAGTAGATCTTGGGGTTCCCTCCTTCATTAAGGATCTTCTCGATGATCTCGGGGTTGAGGACCTCGGCGAGGTTCTCACGGATGAGGGCAAGTCGCTCGGCAGGCTCCATGGTGGTCATTGTGCCTCGACTCTAGCGAAGTTGTAACGGGTCGACTGGGCTGCAGTGGAAGCGTTCGGGGTCGGCCACGTAGTATTTGTAGGAAGAATTTCGCGACTTTGGCGGTTGACTCAGAGCTGAGCTTGAGTGTTGGCGGGGTCTACGTTCTGGTGGCCGCTTACGCTTGGCGGGGTATTCGAGCCCGACCGTTGATTGGCGGATCTGGCTGATGTAATCACCCGCGTTTATCACTTATCGCATCGCCTGCCCCAAAATAAACTCACAGCCGCATTTTAGCGGCGGCGAGACCGCAACCCCTGAACTCAGCTGGCTGACAACCGTGGAGGTGGAGGATTGATTCGTGAAGCCACAGCATATGAGAAGTCACGGGTAACTAGCGAGTAGTCTGCTATTACATCAATTCGTTCACATCATAGCGCAGTCTTTCTAGTCACCTTCCACAAGAAACGGTGAAACCCCCCAGACACGGAGTCGTCTAATTTAACATTTTCAGAGCAAGGTTATGTGTCTCTCTAGGAACATAGGCCATCTCAGCCCCTTGCTAACCGAAACAATGTTCAGTCCGGGCAGAAAAGGTATACAAGCCCGAGGCTATCGATGGTCCGTAATTCAACTCGGTGATTAATTTCACAATGTAAAGGACACTCAGACACCAGTTTTGAAAGAAACCAACATCCTCCCTGCATGTTTTAGAAGGGCTGTACCTTACAAGGCAGTCTTCAAACAACGGCGAATAACGGTATGCATCCACCAAATAGTCCGATGCAAAGTATTTGATAGCGTGGGCCGCTCAGTAACACTCAACCTCTCGCGGTGTGAATTGTTTGTTTTTTACCAGCATTATTTCACGCCTTCATCTTGTCTTATCACGAGCACCATAGATGATGCTTCTTAGGTGAAGATTTAAGCGTTGACCCAATTGGACTTGTTTGCCTGGCTAAAGTCCTTGTTATATAAGCGCTGTGTTTCAAAAATCACTAGGAGAACGGTCTGGGTAAGATTGATATCCTTCGGATGCTTACGCGCGACTTGCATGTGAATTCAAATGAAGCCAATCACCGATGCTACCCTATCACACTTGAGAATCTTGGGGATGCCTCCGGAGAAAGATTGAACAAGCATTCTGAGAGCAGTGAAAGGCGTGCCTCAAGTCTTCATTGCACTGGACGGTCATGATCTGTCACCCGCTACAGAAAAACGAAGGTTCTAGGCGACTAAATGGTTAGAGTCGATTGCATTTTAATGGGCGATGCAGTCATTGAGCTCTCGTTTCCAGATCTGGGTTGGACCAGACCTATGTTGTCACATTGCTGGCTACGGCAAAAGTTGAACGAACACTACGCTATTGAATGTGATATATATGGATAGGTGGCCTCGGCATACGTGGGTAGGCGTGGGAGTTGTGGTTAGATCTTCACGGGGTCAAGGGAACTCCGGGGGCCAGGCGAGGACGATTCACAGAAGGAACCGTCAACGTATACCTTGATTGAAGACAACGAGTGGTTCATGCAAATATCGTTACCCTAATTTAGTCTAATATGCCCTCTCGTCTTATTAACTACGGCACATAGTAGTCCCAGGACAAAACTTCAAATGAGAGTAAAACACCTTTGGGCTCGCACATGCAACCAAAACGTCAATCTTCAAAAAGGCAGCCGAAAGAGACAAGCTACATACATTCTTTGTGTGTGTGAATCGACAAGAAAAAACCGAGTCCAGTGGCACCCTGACGCCCGCCCGCAGTTCTGTCGACCCTTCTCTACGCGTATACTCCCCCAACAACCTCAACCAACGCTCCTGTCGACTCGGGTCTCGAAAAATAATAAAAATGGGGAATGGAATATGGGGGATGATAAATAAATGAAAAAGAGAGACACCTCCCAACCGGACTTTTTAACGCAGGCCGATAACGCTCATCTCCAGCGTCCACACCCTTCGGATCCAGACCTTGAGCTTGCCCTCCACGCCCGCAACGTTCTCGAGCTCAACGCCCTCCCACCAGCAGCGCCGGGCAGGCTTGCGCCAGAAGAGCAGCAGCTTCTGGGCCATACCCATGGCATTGGTGCCCATCTCGTTACCGCGGATATCGCTGCGGAGGCGCGCAAGTGCAAGACTGCAGATGACGGCCTTGTTGGGCTCACCTGCACGGTGACCCCAGGTGTCGTCATGGTCAAAGCCTCTGTGAAAGTGTAAGCAATTGGCAATGCTTACGGGTCTGGGGGACTAGGATGTAGGCTTACCCTGCTGTCAGCATCTCGATAAGATGAGCCTCGGTCGTGCCAGGCTCGTCGCTGCGTTTCAGGCCGGAGAAGATGCCGTCCTGCTGCTGCAGAGCTTGGGCAGCGGCGCGCTTTACCTCGATCATGTTGATCTGGTCAATGTCGGGTCGAGGGGGAATGGCGTAGAAGTCGAGGTCCTCGCGGAGCACAATGATACCAGCGCGCTTGGCGTCGTCTCGAGGGGCACCTCCGAGAGGCACAACGTCCTCCTCTGGAGGGGAGTTGGGTCCAGAATCTGTAGGAATAGACTCGGCCACACCCCGGAAGAAGTCGAGCATGTACTGGAGCGAAGCTGGGTCATACTGTTATTGCCCATTGTCAGCGAGGTGGTCCAGGTCAGCCCATGTAATTTGACATACGTCTACTTGCACCACATCGCCATCTGCGAAGCCGCCTGAACGTCCCTCGGGAAACAATCCGTTGGGGAATAGGGAGAGCAACACAAACTCGGGCAAGGTGAGCAATTCATCTCGGGAGAGGCAAAATCGGGTACCCCTATTCAGGCCGTTAGTCTCCCAGAAACGCAGCTGAGCTGATCCTATTTAAGGGATACTTACCGTAGGTCCAGGGCAATGGTTTCGTCAGCTCCAACATCTAAGGTCGTCAGTCAGCCAAATTATCACCCTCGCGTAATCTCCACCATGAGAATTACGATATGCAACTCACCTCCGATGGTATTAACTGGCGGTCCAGCTTGTTGAACCTGAGTAATAATACTCGAGGCTCCTCCGGCGGCAGCCATCAGGTACGAGAAAGAGAGGAGGGGACTATCACCCTCCGAGTATGCTGGCGGCGGTTCGGCGTCGTCGTCCTTGCGACTAGAATCCCCCTTGGTATCCCTGGGGAGTGCGCGCTTGGTCTCAGCGACAGGGTCGCGGAAAGCCCTGGCAGAGTGGTCCGGGTCGAAGGGCCGAGACTCTCGTGGAGCAGAGGGTTCGTATGCGGGTGCGGCTGCGGAGCCAGATGCCTCTCCTTCAACGACAACAGCGACAAACTTGCCGACGCGCTCGGGGGCGTGGTCGGACTGGGAAAAGAGCGACGAGAACGGCGGGGGCCGGGACGTGGACGCCTCGGAGGCGGGATACTGCGGCGGCGGGGACTGGTCGCGGCTCAGGAGGATGTGGACCTGGGGATCGGGATCGGAGGTGTCGAGGTGGCGGATGGACGTAGTCCGGATGCTGCTCGATGCCGACGAGGATGTGGCAGACGGCGTCTTCTTCTCAAACTCCAGGGACACGGACGGTCCAATACCAGTTTCCTGCGACCCAGACAGTGTGGCGGATTGTGCTATCGCGGGTGCATGCGTGCGTGCGTGCGTGCGTGCAGATGCAGGTGGCTGCTGGGAGCCGTCGGGGGGCAGACGGGACAGATGGGTGGTGTTTCGAGGAGGCGGAGACCGAGGCGGAGGAGCACGAGAGAGCTTCACCGGTCTAGGGCGAGCAGATGGCGGAGGGAAGAGGGACGAGGCTCAGCAGGCTCGCAGGCGCATGTAGGAAGCAGCACAGAAGGTCGCGGGAGATTGGATCGATCGTCGCAGCGTTCGTCGGTTGTGTGAGAGATGAGTCGCGGTTGGCGGTTGGCGGTTGGCTGGGGTTGAACAATGGGGAGGCCGAGAGACACAAGACGCCCCCCGGCCGTGTTGCCCCCATTCGGCGGCTGGGCGGCTGAAGCGTGCTGCTCTGGGCTTCACTCCCCTGAGTCTGGGGCCGGGGCCTCTGTGAGCGGAGAGGCTCTCAGCGGGCCATGGCGCATGGAACCTAAAATTGGGCGCCGCAAGCAGCCAATCGTAGCGCTCGCTACCGACGAGCCGGGGCCTTAGCCGCCCAGCTTGGGAGGGCTTCCAGTGGAGTGGAGGTGCTGGAGTGCGACGAGCGGGGCGTCACTCGCTGCCCCAGCTACGCAGGCGACGTGTTTTGTAGCGACCAGCTGGGACGAGACATGCATTGCAACCCAGCACTCAATGCGTTCAGGTTTGCTTGTCACAACCACCACTGTCAATATCGTCACATCATCGTATCGTGCCTTCTCAGCCAACCGCCAAACCAGCAGTCAATCACGTTGTCCTCGCCCCGGAGGCAGATCGCTGTGGGATCCGAGTCATGATGTTAAACGATACCTTCCACCTGCAGCACCTACGTGTATCCACACAACACCAATGAATCGAGTTCGAGGGACCATCCGTCTACAGATTTGGAATATGGCCTTTCATTCGCTGTCACTATCTCCAAAAATCGCCCGGAGCACCTCATCGTGGGCTGCCTTCCCTTCTACCGCTTCGTTCTTGTCGGGATTGATGCCGACCTCAGCCTCCGCCGTTGGTGGCGTTGGTACTACCGGAGGGGCACTTTCAATTGCCTTCATCTCCCCAGACATGGGCTTAGAAAGTGGCCGCATCTCCGCCTCTCGATCCATCCACGTCGGCTGGACATTCGGCGCCTTTGACCTTGAGCTCGGCTCTGCATCGTTATCTGGCTGTGAATGCGCGGGAGCCTTGACGTTGAAGCGTTTGCAAAGTAGTCGCGTCGGATAAAAGTCTTCGACCGTCCTCGTCAGCTTACCATACATGCCCACCTTGGCCGCCTCTTCTGCTGGATCCGCCAGCTTCGGTTCCGGCTTAGAGAGCAGCTCTGTATCCGCTGACCCGTTCGTAGATATCGGCGTAGCTTTCTTGGCAGTGGTGAACCGCGATGCCATGAATCCTGTCATGGGTTTGAAGATCCTTGAGCAGTTGTAAAACTCTCCCAACTCTCGTAGAAACTCATCGCCAGTCATCCCCATTGGTTTAGATGGCAATGGATGGGTACCAGTTGCGAAGTGCTCTAGATATGTCCTGTATCGAGCCTTCTTGGCTTCGTCATCGGCGTACGGGCCTGAAGAACCCCGGGATATTGCTGCCACAGCTGTTTCTCGGTCCAGTTTGGGGGCTTCGTCCCACAAGGCTTGTTGTTTCTCTTCCTCGGACATGGCAAATCCTTCCGGGACCTGGCCAAGACCCGGAGGGAGATTTGTCTTCCCAGATCCAGTAGCAAGTCGGTCACGAGCAGTGCTGGAAATGAAATCGAAGACGGACTTGCCCGGTAGGCTCTTCTCTCCCAGAAGTGCCGCCCGTGACTTTGCGTCATGAGTCGACGCCTTGGCTGCATCTGCTGTAGACACAAACGAAGACGAAGTGGTTCCGTCTGCCGGTGTCTTGGACGACACCCAACCTGAGGGAACAGGAGGGGGAGCATATTGGGACAAGAGCTCTGTCAAGTCCTCGACAATTTTGGCGAGAACAAAGCCATCCAAGGGTAGTCGGCCATCGTGGCACCGACCAAGGCTGTTGCCCGCCCGTGCTGTTTTGGAGAGAAATACGGGCACATTCCGAAGGGCTGGGTTGACAGCAGCAACAGCCTTCTTTGCCTTTTTCTTTTTCTTGTCGCCTCCGATAACACGGTTGTATCGGATCTTGGGCCCAATCTCGTATGGATCCTCTTCATCGGACCCTGTGTCGTTGAGGATTCCGACTCCGATGCCTCCCCGTCCAGGTTTGGGCTTATTCTTACCCACAGTGTCCAGTGATGTGTTCCGTAGCCTGCCAACCATCGGGTCGTCGTCGGCCTCTTCCTCATCCGCAGCAGCAGTGACTTGACTGTTACCCAACACTGCAAGTTTAGCCTCTCCGTCATGACCTAGGCCTTTCCGGTCAACTTTGCGCACAAAGTGTATCATGTCGGTATTATCGGGTGCGAAAAGGTGTGTATCGCCAGCTCCAGGTCCCGTTCCTGCCAGGTCGAGTCGAGCACTTCGTCGCACCTTGGGCCCAATGCCTTGACCATCTTTCCAGCCCATCTTTCGCAGAAGTTTCAGACCCATGGTATCTCCTTCAGCCTTAAGCAAGCCCATCAGACCTCCAGCATTGGGCCCCTGGGTTGACGCGCCGAGGCCAGCAAAGGCTTGCGACGTCTGGAGCTGCTGGGCTTCGGCAGCATCGGCGAGATCCTCTTCGTCCATATAGTCCTCGGCACGTTGCTGCGGCGCCGTTTTCGTGTCATCTTTGCGACGATTGCTGCGGCTCGAGACGAAGCTTGAAGGCGTCCATCCTTCTTTGGACCCGACCGAGTTGAAGTAGCTGTGAAATTTATGTCAGCGCATGCGTCCACTGTATCCGGCTGTAGTTCCAACTTACCCTGCGCTCCAGCCACCAGTAAAGGCGCCATGGAGGCGTTTGCGCCCCCTCTCGTCCCTCACCTCCTGCTTCCACAGCGGCAGGTAGGAGCCATCGTCGCGTGTCTCGGAGTCGTCAGGCAGAGGAGTGCCGAATGTTGCGTATGGCGCATGGAGATCTGCCTCGTATGTCGTGCGGGATCGTTTGTAGGACATGGGGCTAGGGTGTCGGGATGCCGTCGCGAAGATTTAGACCGTGGAGGGGCATCGAGGTGGAGGCTCGTGGAGGGAATGGGGGACGCTGGACGTTGTGTCTGATGAGGATTCGAGCGTTGAAGCTATGACCCAAAAGTGTAGAGTTGCAGCTGGCGGCTTTACGCTTTACGTGGGTCTTATCGATAAGGATTCCTCAATTTGGATTCCCCTCGTTGGATTAATGTCAGGACTGCAATAATAGACAGCTCCCTGAATATTCCTGAATATTAAGTATGGAGGCGTCAGTGTTTGTTTCTGAATATTTTCCCAAGCACCTAAGATACACAGGCTATAGCACACAATGTGCGGATGTCTCAACTACACATCTTTTGATTCTCGGCGGTATGGCGCATTGCATTTGGAAAGGGAAGTGAGCGCGAGCTGAAGGGAATGGACATGCAGGATGACGGAGGGCATTCTAGCCCCGGTCTAGATTTGGATATACCGCGTGATAAGCCTCACTTGGCGCGACATTACAAAAAGCGAAAGCGACTTCTCCTGGAAAGGAGGCTTCAAGCTGGTTGCTCCAGAGCACATGGATTCGTTCCCAAGCCTAATTCCAGCACCCATTGTCCATCCCTCCGTTGTCGTCAGCCATGACGCTGGAGATGGGGTGGGCCGTTAGTTCTGGCCTCTTTGCTGGCCATTGATAACCAGCCAGCCCCTGACGGCTGGATCAGCTCCACTAGCAAATACGGGCTCAAATGGTCTCTGACCCATGGATGGCAGGGCCGTCACGATCCAACTTCCCCTCTCAGCGGTGAGATCAATATTTGCTCCTTCGTCTAGATCATTTCGCCCTGGTCTGCCCAACACGATCATGCGCTGATAGTATGCAGAGAGGATCCGTCAACACAAATCCGGGTGCTTAAGGTGAGGATGTGGGCTGTCTGTGCAACGTCTTCCCCACGAAGCACGTCCTATGGACAGCCGGTAAGCGGAGCACTATGCAGTACCTGGAGACAATGATGCAGCTCCCTCCGTCTGCGCCCCTTCTCCCCCGTTGAGTCAGGAGGGGCGACGGGAGACGGAGGTGGGAAGACCAAGCCGTCTAAATATGGAGTGATGGGCGATGCCTTATCCAGGCGAGGCAGACTAGGGCGGACATGGACGAATAGCATCAAGATATGCGTCCAGCCAGGCGCCGTCCTCGTCGATGTCGTCGTCGTTGTCCCAAAGCCTGATATGTGCACATTCCGCTTCAGACTGACGCACACGTACGTGCCACACCCGAACTGGCCCGCATGGCATGGACATGGCATTGCATCACATCACACATCACATCAGGGGATCGATCGGTCGTGGGAGGTAGAAGGAAGGCGTCTTTCAGGTTTTGTCGGCATAGTGGCAACATCATGGCAGCATTGAAGGGCTTCGGGAGCAATTAAGCCTCACCGAGTCCAATACCGAGGAAGAAAAGGCGCTTTCATGGGGTCGAATGGGTCATCCCCATCTCCGTGGATCTCTATCCCCAACTCAATAGGTGCCCGATCTTCCCTTGTTTGTCCCCCAGCAGCTCCCCCGTTTCCCAGCCCCTCGACCCTCGTCGGCAAGCCACCAAAATTTGCCCATCTACGAATACCCACTTCTGTATCGCTCACTCGTTCGTTGTCACTGGTGCTACAGAGAAAGTGCTACATCAGGGCTGGATGAAAAAAATAAAATAAAAAGGGGGTCGCGGTCTTGGTGCTGAAGAGGGAGCTCAGAGTGTGGTATTGGTGGGTTTCTCAACACTCTCCTTGTCATGCGTCTTCCCACCAGAGTGCCACAGTTTCCACAAGGCGCTGTGGTACTGTCATCGCTGGCGTCTGGTGGTGGTTGATAGCTCGCAGAACTGGTGAAGGCCCAAGACAGACCGGAAGTAGCCAGGTACCGAGGCGACATATGTGATTACCCGCTAAAGCCAAGGTACCTACCTGGCCTCCTGTCCCGCTAGCGTCCATGCAGGAAGTACCTGGCAGTGAGCTGGGTGGTGTCGTCAGGGGGGCCAAGACGGGGCGCTGGGCACTGGCCGCTGGGCGTACGTAGACGGCCCACGAAGGCCCCGTCACTGAGACATCGGAGGGTGCTACAGCGGGCTCCAGTGGACAACGGGGCACACAGCATGCAAACTAGTAGGCGGTCCAGCGAGGTAGGCGCCGCAAGCTGCAGTCTGGGCGACTCTGTACGCACCACAGGCAGGCTCATCCTGGGCCCTCGCTGCATCCGCCCGCTGGGACCAAGTCACTAAGGTAGGTCGGGCCTTGTACGCAGCAGACCAGACCAGACCAGACCAGACGGTCCAGCAGAGCCCGTTTTCCCGCCCCCCGACTTGCGATGACGGGACAGACTTGGTAATCCTCGACAGCTGGATATTTTTCGGATTTTTCTCCTTTTCTTCCCATCCTTACATCCCATCCTTACATCCCCGTCGTTCAGCCGCCGTCGCAGTCGTCCGTCGTCCGTCCTGCCCTCGCCTCGTCCTGGAACCCCGGGCACACGCTTCCATTTGCAGGCGCCCGCTCCCCCACTCTGCGAAGGACCGCCCGCCCGCCCGCAATTACAGTGCACACGCCAGGCCACAAGCCCAAAACCCAGCGCCCGGTTGCCGGTTGGTAGGTACCGCCGCTGCCCGCAACGACGACGGTGCAGTAACAGACAGTACATTGGCTTGCATTGCGACGTCAACCCGTCGGTTACAGCTCACAAGCACGCGCCATGGGCACGAGAACAGCTGCCGTTGCTGCTGATCTCTCATCTCGAGAGCACCCATCCCGGAGCTTCTCAGCCCGTTCAGCCCGTTCGACCCGTTCAGCCCACTCGTCCCGTTCAGGAAGGCCCCCGCCGCTGGCTGCTCCCGCTACCAACAGCGGTGCTGGTGCCGGCAGTGGAAGCGCTGCGCTACCTCCTCCTCCTCCTCCAGCGCGCTCTCCCTTGTTCCCCCAAGCCGCGACGCTTTCTACCGCGGCCACTGCCTCCGCCGCCCACAACTACGCCGCCCACCACCACAGCCGCCAGCTCTCCTCCTCGCACCCGCACGCCAACGCCAACTCCAACTCCGTCACCAACAACGCCAGCACCAACGGCGCCGCAACCTCCCATCACGGCCCGCATCACCACCGCCGCACCTCGTCCTCCAGCCGCCCCGTCTCCAGCCAGCCCGCGCCCCAAAATGACTACGACACCTCGCACGTAGCCTCCGCCCACTCCTCGAAGCGAAGCTCCAGCAGAGACCGCCCACCGCCCCCGGCAAGGGGCCCCGATCCCTCGCGGCCCCATCGACGAAGCAGCACTCGATCCAACCACCACCACAACCACAATCAACAGCCCGACATGGCGCCCTCGGCCACCGCCTCCCACAATGGCACCGCCAGCGCTGCCGCGTCCCAGCACGGCCATGCAGATGCTCCCGCGCCGCCTCGGGCATCAACGTCCAAGCAGAGCAGGTCGCGTACCATCATCCCCACGCAGTCTGGCAAATGGATCCTGGGCAAGACCATCGGTGCGGGAAGTATGGGCAAGGTCAAGCTTGCCCGCAAGGAGGATGGTAGTGAACAGGTTTGTCTTCATCTCACTGCCCTCTCCGCCCTCTATCCATCATCATCCTTCACCGTCCTCCCGCTCGCCGTCGCTCATTTGTTATCGGCATCTACATCATTGCCTTATCCGCCATCGCTGTGCAGCTTGCTAACTCGCATCCCCTTTGCAGGTTGCCTGCAAAATTATCCCCCGTGGCTCGACCGACGATGGCCACCAGTCACGCGCCGACAAGGAGCGCGCCGACCAGTCCAAGGAGATTCGTACCGCACGCGAGGCCGCCATCGTGTCCCTCCTAAGCCACCCCAACATCTGCGGCATGCGCGATGTCGTCCGCACCAATCACCACTGGTACATGCTGTTCGAATATGTAAATGGCGGCCAGATGCTCGACTACATTATTTCTCACGGCAAGCTCAAGGAGAAGCAAGCCCGCAAGTTTAGTCGTCAAATCGCGAGCGCCCTTGACTACTGCCACCGAAACAGTATCGTTCACCGAGACCTCAAGATTGAAAACATCCTCATTAGCAAGACGGGTGATATCAAGATAATCGACTTTGGCCTGAGTAACCTGTTTGCTCCCCGCAGCCACCTCAAGACCTTCTGTGGCAGCTTGTACTTTGCCGCTCCCGAGCTCTTACAGGCGAGGGCCTACACGGGCCCAGAGGTGGACGTTTGGAGCTTCGGTATCGTTCTCTACGTCCTTGTCTGCGGCAAAGTCCCTTTTGACGACCAGAGCATGCCCGCGCTCCATGCCAAGATCAAGAGAGGTCTTGTAGATTATCCCGGGTGGCTCTCGAGTGGTAAGCCTACGCCAAGCCCCTACCCCTCATTAAACAGCCCGTGCTAACCAAGCTCCAGAGTGTAAGCATCTGTTGTCTCGGATGCTCGTCACAGACCCGAAACAGCGAGCTACCATGCAGGAGGTCTTGAATCATCCGTGGATGATCAAGGGCTTTAATGGCCCCCCCGAAAACCACCTCCCCACCCGCGAGCCTTTGACAACGCCATTAGAGGCAGAGGTCATCCATGCCATGCAGGGTTTCAATTTTGGCGCTCCGGAAGCAATCAACGCGCAGCTCACCAAGACAATCGAGTCGGAAGAGTATCACCGTGCCGTCAAGATGTACCAGCGGGAAAAGGAAACCCCCCCGCCCACCAAGGATGCCGAGAAGAGGAGACCATTTGGTTTCGACTTCTACAAGAGGAGAAACTCGGGCACCAGCCGGGATACCTTGACCGGTCCCAGTACCGATGCTCTGCAGTTGGGCAATGATCCGATGAATGCTTTCAGCCCTCTCCTGTCCATCTACTACTTAGTAAAGGAGAAGCAAGATCGAGATCATGCGGAGATGTTCCCGCAAGCTCCCAACAGTACTCGCGAGAAAGAAAGGGAGAAGGAGAAGGAACGGGAGAAGGAGCGCGAGCGTGAGCGTGAGCGTGAGCGTGAAAAGGCCAAGGAGCCAGAGATGCTGCCCGATATCACACCTCCTCAGGAGGCCCACACCAATGCCACGGCCTACGAGATGCCGGGTGAGAAGCCAACCGGGGGACGATCGAGACCTCGCGCCCGCACTCATGGGGAAGACGATATGCCTGAGATTCCCAAGCAGGTGCCAGCACCTCCACCAGATCCCAAAGTTGAAATGCTTCAGAAGAAGGAGGGTACTGCCGCCGGTCTTCTGCGACGCTTCAGCACCCGCAAACGCAGGGAACCTGAGCGGCTGGATAAGGACCGGTCTCATCCTCCTGTGGTGCAGGTTCATTCGCCGGCTGAGCCATCCCCGCTGGCGCCCCGAAAGAGTTTCAGCATCCGTCGCGGTCGTCGTGAGCGAGAGGAGCAAATCGATACCCGTTTCCGCTCAGGCAGCAGCCAGCCACAGCATAGCGAACTACTTAGTCCTCCCATGTCTGCTGGCGGCGGCCAGGGTTCCCGGCGGACAGGCGGCCTGGGCCGATCTACGAGTGTCAACTCGGCCGAGATGAGGCGCCGCGACAATGCCAGGTTCGCCAAGGATCCTCCACCAACCAGCGGCTCTGACCAATCTGTACTCAATAATGACGACAGCTTGAGTGCCCATCGAGCCCATGGACACTCGCGGTCAGTCAGCATGAGGGATAAGTCGATTGGCCACGCCCGACGCGAGAGCATCCAACGGCGTCGCTTGAAGAGGGAGGCAGCCCAAGAAGCCAATGTGCCGGAGGAGACTGACCAAGAACTGGAGCAGAGCGGAGTCTCTACAGACCGTCTTGATGAAACTGAACTGGCCAAGCCGGTGTATCTCAAGGGCCTCTTCAGCGTGTCGACAACGTCTGGCAAGTCTGTGCCGGCAATCCGAACCGACATCAAGCGTGTGCTTCGACAGCTGAACGTAGACTACACGGAGATCAGGGGAGGATTCAGCTGCCGCCATGCGCCCAGCATCGACTTGAACAAGGTGCAGGACCTGCCTGGTAGTCCTGGGCCAACATCTGGGCACCGACGACGCTTCAGCTTCGGCGGTCTCAGGCGAGGTGAAGACCGTGACGAGTTCCGAGACTCGGAGCGTCCCCCTACCACGCCGCGGACCCCGGGTCGGTCTGACCGAGACCGATCTGACCGGGATCGATCTGACAGGGACCGATCTGACCGAGACCGCAGCTACTCTAATTCGGAAACTTCGTTGAACAGCATCTCGGACAGGAATAATGGACAGTCAAGGAGAGTGCCAGGAGAAACGAGCACCCACGTGCAGAGCGACCTCGGCGGAAGCATGGTACTAGAGTTTGAGATCTTCATTGTCAAGGTGCCTCTACTCTCGTTGCACGGAATCCAGTTCAAGCGAATGACGGGCAACACTTGGCAATACAAGAGCATGGCGGATCAGATCCTCCGTGAGGTGAGGCTGTAGAGGTCTCATAGCGAGCAGGACAGCGATGGTGATTGCCATCCATGAGAGGAAGACAGCATAGCGGAGATGGCGCAGGCATTTGGGATAGGTACATGGCGCAAGTCGTGGTGCGAGATCTCGGTTGACATTGCTGGTTTGAGAGCGATTGCAGATCAAGAGCCAGAAGCATGGCATTGTTTGTATAGGAGATGCGTGAATGGGAGGATGCGATGGGGTTTTACTATCGGCAGACATATGGACAGTCGTGGAGGAGCACATATAGTAGTAATGACAGATAGGGAGGGGTGCGAAGGCGTAGCAGACTAAGGGGACGTGTAATTGAAGGAGACTTTACGTTGGCTCACGTACTTTATTCGAGAATCAAATGTTTAGTTGTGATGCGGAATGTTTAAGCATCGCGTTGGGTACGAGGTGACTTGTGGTGATGTGAGATGGACGTCATAGATTCAACGGGATTGATTCAAGACAAGGCTGAGGAAGAAGCAAATATACCCGTTGACGGTCAGGGGTTGTTGAAGTGAGGCTGGTGCCGGGGACGACGACGACGTGGCTGAAGCATGTGTGTCTGGGCTTCAGGCTGGAGCTTGGCTCAGAGCAGCACACCTAAAGCAACGTTCAGGGCCCGAGGAGAGACACGAGTGACCTCTCCCCACGCCCGAGTGCAAGTAGCCCGGCACGCAATCGACAGCAGCCGGGGTACCTAGGTCGGGTCCGAGCGCCAAGTCCCGCAGGCCATGCGCCATCGACAGCAGCCCAATGCACCAATGCACCAATGCACCGTTTGGCCTTTGGCCTTTGGCCTTTGGCCTTTGCGGTCCTTCCTTCCAGAACCTGGGCTCGCCGAGGGTGCACGCCGCAGCCAATGGCGGGCCGGCAGCCAATCCAAGTGGCCCCAAGTCGCAACCACCACAGCACACCAAACCTCGACTCTTCTCAACTGCCACAATCCCATCCCCGTCCGTTCTCGCCATCCGCCCCAACGCCGCGGCTGCTTGTCGACGCTCCTCGCAAACGCACACGCAAACGCACTTCCGCCGCGAGCCCTCTCCGGAATCTCTCTCCGTCCATCCTTCCCTTGGAGCCCTGCGCCTGCGCCTGCGCCCACGCTTTGCCTTTCTCCGACAGGCCCGTTTCCGAAATCTCTCGCCGTCTCTTCCCCATCTGCCGGGACCTTGGCTGCCGCATACGCTCGTCGCCCACTGTCCCTCTCCCTCCACGGCCGACCGACCGCCAACAACCGATCTTTGCGCACGGAATCACGTCTCGCACGGTTCCCCTGCGCGGCTTCTCCCTCGCATCTCCACCTCACGCACACCACCTCCCTCCGCAAGACGCACCGCCCAAGATGATGCCCGCGGCGCACGTCTACGGACACCACCAGTTCACGCCCCAGGGCGCTGACCAGCCGTGGATGCACCAGCAGTCCGCCGCCCACCATCCCCATGCGCAACAACAGCAACAGGCCGCCGCAGCCGCCGCCGCCGCCTCCGTGGTCCAGCAGCAGCAGCACTTCAGCCGCCTCGCCGCTGGCGGCCACTCGTCCGTCGGCGGCGGCCAGATCCCCACCCACGCCCAGGATGCCGCCCACGACAACGTCTCCGAGGACAACCGCCGCACCATGGCCTATATTGCCGATCTGCTCAACGAGAACACCCGCGAGGCCGCTCTCCTCGAGCTGAGCAAGAAGCGCGAGCAGGTTCCCGAGCTGGCCCTCATCCTGTGGCATTCCTTCGGTGCGTGTCCTCCCGCCCTTGTCTACAAGATATACATGAATTCAAGAATCCAAGAATGCGAACTGACTGATTGCAGGCGTCATGACCTCTCTGCTCCAGGAGATCATCTCCGTCTACACCCTCCTCAACCCTTCGCAGCTAACCGCCGCTGCTTCCAACCGCGTCTGCAACGCCCTCGCCCTCCTCCAGTGCGTGGCATCCCACAACGACACCAGAACCCTGTTCCTCAACGGTACGTCCATCACACCCTCCAACCCTCATAAACATCCTCAACTTACAATTCCCCAGCGCACATTCCCCTCTTCCTCTACCCCTTCCTTAACACCACCTCCAAGTCTCGACCTTTCGAATACCTCCGTCTCACTAGCTTGGGTGTTATCGGCGCCCTCGTTAAGAATGATTCTTCCGAGGTCATCAACTTCCTCCTCACAACCGAGATCATCCCTCTCTGCCTGCGCATCATGGAGACGGGCTCGGAACTTAGTAAGACCGTGGCCATCTTCATCGTCCAGAAGATCCTCCTCGATGATAACGGCCTCAACTATATCTGCGCTACCTACGAGCGCTTCTACGCCGTCGGCACTGTCCTCAGCAACATGGTTGCTCAGCTCGTTGAGTCCCAGACGGCTCGCCTCCTCAAACACGTTGTTCGGTGCTTCCTTCGGTAAGCGCTAAAGTCTTGACACACTCTGATAAGAAACTAATCATCATCTACCAGCCTGAGTGATAACGCCCGAGCCCGCGAAGCGCTCCGCCAATGTCTCCCCGAACCCCTCCGAGATGCCACCTTTTCTTCCGTCCTTCGAGATGATGCCGCCACCAAGCGGTGTCTGGCTCAGTTGCTCATTAACCTCTCCGACAACGTGGTGGATCCCGGCTCGACTGGCGTCTCCAACATGTAAGGCGGAGCGAGAGAAGTGGGAGAGTATCTCCCAATTGTGACAATACCCCTTGTGCATTGATATCGGCGATTCATGGAGAATGGGTGGATATGTTTTCATGGTATTCTGGGAAAAGCAAAGGAAGCGGATTCAAAAGCATTCTGCATCGTCGATACCCGCAACCCCTCCGGCTCGTTGCATCGAAAGGGGCCCCTAGCCAGCAACGGCTACCGGGCTCGCCCCTTTCAAACATTCGTCTTCGTTGACGGCTCTGGGCTTGCATTTTGTTTCGTGTATCTCGGAGCTGGGCCCAGGACTCGTGTCCTACTGTTGCAGAGCGACAGGGCCCTGCGCATTATTTCTCCCTTACTCTTTTTATTATCTAGTGACCAGGTCTTATTCTATCTGGGCTCGCCAATTCTAGGAGGGTTTGAAATGGGATTGGTGGACACGATTTATGGAGGACGAGGGATGGTAGCGTGGCCGCGTTTGGCGCAAGGGCTAGGTGGCTAGGTGGCTAGCTGGGGGGGGGTCAAGATAGACAGATGATATAGAGGAACATTTCCTCCATGCCATGTTGTGGAATAGGTACCGGGGGGTGTTTTGGGCGTTGGATCGGGGAGGTTTGCATCAGTCACGGTGTTTGATTAGGTCTTGTAGTGTTTATAGGTAGGCCAAGAAAGAAAGTACATGTCAATAGCTTGGGCCGGCGTTGGGCATTGCGTTTGTAGTGATTGCATCAAGTTGCGTTGTATCTTTGTGGCAGTTCGGTCCTATGGTAAGATGGTGTTTGCGTCCTGCAGTCTTTGGTTTGGCATTCTGAGGTCGGTATCAAATATCACAATTCAACCCACTTCTTGTTGTGTTGTTGTCATCAATAGTATTAACTTGATAGCCCGCGCATTTCCCGTTTTTGAACCTCGGTCCCATTATCTCATTGATCCTTCACTTTTCATGCGTCCAAATTTCACTCTCCCACTTACGGAGAGGCATACTTGTATCCGTACTGCTCCTTGGCTGCATCTACAAGCTTCTTCAGCTCAGCCCTGCTACTCTTGGTCTTGTCGTCGATCTCATCCAGAGCCGTGGCCCGCTTGGGGTCCGCGTCGGGCACGTTGAGCCCGCGGAGCACGGCCGGGCGAGCCAGCACGCGCTCCAGCCAGGCGCGGATGCTGGGGAACTGGTCCAGCGACACGCTCAGGCGCTCGATGCCGTTGACCCAGCCCAGCAGCGCGATGTCGGCGATGGAGTAGCGGCCGCGGCCGGCGCCCACGACGTAGTCCCGGTCGCGCAGGCGGGCGTCCAGGATGCCGTACAGGCGCTCTGTCTCGCCGACGTAGCGCTGGATGCCGTAGGGGATCTTCTCCTTCGCAAACATGGCGAAGTGGCCGGCCTGGCCTTGCCTGCGGGGGACTATCAGTATATCTCCAGCGTTAGAGTGTATCGGGAATGCGGGCATACATAGGTCCTAGGCCGCCGTGCTGCCAGCCAATCCACGACTCGGCGCGCGTGTAGTCGTCCTCGTCGACGGCAAACGAGAACTTGTTCTCGGGGTCATACTTGCGCGACAGGTATCCGAGGATGGCGTTTCCCTCAAACACGGCGAGGTCGTTGTTGTCGTGGTCCACAATGGCCGGGATGCGGCCGTTGGGGTTGATGGCGGTAAACCAGGGCTCCTTCTGGATGTTCTGCCCGATGTTGATGCCCTGCCATGTGTACTCGAGGCCGTACGCCTCCTTGAGCTCCTCGAGGAGGATGCTGGCCTTGAAGCCGTTGGGCGTGCTCCAGGTGAGGAGCTCGATGCCCTTTTTGGCGATGAGACCAGTGGGACGGGACATGGTGTCTCTGTGGTTTTGGCGACTGGACGTCACTGAGGATTTACAGATGGAGGTGATGGCGATGAAATTGACGTGGTCAATGGAGCGAAACGAGCAGACTGGGAGTTAATTATGTGGAGTATACAGAGTCCGCGACAATGCTGCCGCATCCGTCCCTTATATCTCCAACGCAAACCCTCGGTCCTCCCTTGCTTAATGACGATATCAACTAATGCTAGACGAGCTGGTTGCGCCATGCCGACATCCGCAGCGGGGTCCCGATTGCATCGTGGAAAGTCGTCCAATGGCGAATCAAGTGTACCATCACCTCGCCGTTTCGCGCCGAGAATCCAAAGCAACGCTCGCAACTTTGCGTTTTCGGAATAGGCGTTCGGCAAAATCGTTCCTGATTCCTAAGCAGACAGATGGTCGTGGAAGCGAAGATTGATTGATTAGATAATCGACTGGCCTTACAAAGACTCGGCGGATGGAATGATGAGATAAGCAGGCTTCGATAACGGATGGGTTGTCTGGGGTTGAATTAGCTGAGAGACATATGAACCAAAGGGGGCAGATACCGGCAACTCAACTCAAACCTGGGATCGAATGTTCCGACGATAATCAATTACCCTGCAGCGCCCCGTCCCGATCCAAGGGGATCCTAGCAGGCCGGCACGGGACTGAAGTAAGAGACGTCTGGCGTTTTGGACAAGCTGTGCGGAGTACTTACAGAACTTGGTATTCCCGCGTAAAGGATTTTAGCATAATTAAGTCCAGGGTAGCTGAGTGGCTTGGAATGTCTGATATGCATTGCTCCCGGGATCGACGGTCTGGCGTGGGGGCCGTTGGTTTCAGAGGATTGAAAACTTTTGGCGCTTCGTAACTGCAGATAGATGGGATGATGATTGAGGCGGAGTCTTGGGCTTGGGAGACTGAAGGGGGGTGCGGGATTGGAGGCTGGACACAAGGCAGCACGATGGCCTCGTTTCTGGATAGTCGCGCAGAATCCCTGGTAGGACTTCTTTTCGAGTTGCACACCAAAGCTGCAACACCAACAGCAGCAGGGGGTGAATGACTGAACCCCGACTCCACCCTCATTGCCGGCCTCTACCCCTTCAGTTCTCATTTACATGGTGAGAAATAAGGACTATAGCAACGCCCGTTAAAGCGGGCTATCAAATTTCCAGTCGACGAACCATGAGACTCCAAAGCCGGCCCCCAAACCAACCCAGGCCGACCCGTGACAGCACACCCGTCAGGTCTAAAAAGAGAGCGGCATTCGTAATCGACTCCTAAGCACCGTCGCATCGTCGCCGTCACCGCCGCGGCGGGCAGATTACCAATCTCTCCATATTTAGGGCAACATGAAAGCTACCCTGGACATGCGGTGGCATGGCACAGTCAGAACCAAAAAAACTACGTCAGCAAGGCCCGGCAGCGCTGGGATGATGGAGAAAGGGCCAGCGATTGGGTTCTGACTCAAAACGGTCAAGTTGGGATCCCCGCAGCCGGCGGGCATGTTGGGGAAAGACAGGAGTTGGCGAGGGGAGACAAGCAGCATGACAAACGCTCGCCTTCACACCCTTGGCCTTCTGGGATGGGCACACTGGGGCAATGTGACGTTTCGAAGGGCGTGATGCAGTCATCCCAAACCACAAGCGCGCACGTTGACAACTCCGCGGTATCTCCCCTCCGTTATCTCCTTGTAAACTCCAGCCGTGGGCCGTGGAGCGGACCCAATCGCCCGCTGTCCCAGGGCACCGGACCCGCGATGGCGCTACAGAGATCTTCACATGTAATGGCCAGCCTGGGAGCGGCCGCGCATCCCATAACTTGGCCCTCCGGTGACATGCGGATGGTCGCTCTGTGCCTGCTTGCGTTGGGTTGTCGCGGCTTAGACGTTAAACTTCACGAGCAAGAGGGGGGCAGCGGTGACCTATCGGGCCCCGGGCGGTAGGCTCGGATTTGGGAGCAACTAGATGACTCTAAATCCGTGTTCACGGGGCGGATCTTTTGTTGTCGTGGCTTTGATCCGAAGGACACCGGTTGTTAAGCTACCACTAGGCTACGGCACCGGAAGGCCGGTTAGTACCGTGTCTCTTACTCGACGGCGCGGCGCCGGGGAGAGAGGAGAGCTAATTAGGGTTGAGCCACAAAGGTCAACGGTGCCGGTAGCCATTTGGAAATCAGTTTGGTTGGGTTGTCGTTGATAGTGCTCCCCCCTGGCGCCCTGCGGCTTGGGGATCATTGTCGATCATCCAGCGGGACGGCGTTGAAATGCTCCAATTCCGGAGTCTTAGTGGCATACACGCCCATCCTTCGCAGTAGCAAACCCGTAGTGTCGATGTTACTATGTCTTGGCAGCACACTGCGGACTTGTTAATGCTCAACTCCGGCATCGTGGGAAAGATGACGACGTCGATGACGAAAGGGGGTGCAGGCAACGGGTAACTAGGGTTTCGAAACCAAAGATAGACCAGGCGGGAGTGAATTGAGACACGGGGTGTGAGTCTTTACACCGGAAGGGACGGGATGGCTGTGAAGAGAACACGACGCCAAAGGGCGCAATAGCAACCAAGACGACTCAAGTGATTTGGAATCCACGACGGTTGATGACATTGCAGAAAGCATGCCAAGTAACTACAGCGACAACCTGTACGAATGCGAAGCGAAATGCAATAGTCGGTCAATTCCGACGACGAGAAGGGAGCGGAATGACAAAACGCCACGAACGGCGACGACGCAGGGTCCCTTTGTTTGATTGCCGCCATGCGACCACCCTGCCACGATGGGTGGTGGCGGACAACGGAGTCATTGGCGAGGGCGGGAGCGTTGTCGTTTCTGCGGAATTGTTCACGAAGCCATCGAGAAGCAGGGGCGTTTGCAGGAGCAAATGGGGAACCAGCGTAGGGGGCGAGAGATAGAGCCGCCAAGACGAAAAGAGAGAGTAGTCAAGCATGACTGGATGTCAACATCACGGGTTGGCCGAAGACCACCGACACCCAACACGGACGAAGAGTCAGGATTGGGAAGCCCTTGGCACGCCTTGGGAACAATGGCACCCAAGAAAAGCCGGTTTTGTGGTTGTGCGAATAACATCACGGGTTTCAGGAGAGGAGGAGGAGGAGGGGCGTGGGGAAGAGAGTGGGAGCCTGGGGAAGCGGAGGAATGGGACAGAGGACGGATAGAGGCAGTTGCAGAGCTAGCAGAGAACAAGCAACCCATCGGCAGGGGCTCGGCGATATTTGGATTTTGGGTGCGACGAGGCGGGAGAGTTGGGATGGGATGGCGGGCTAGAGGGCTGAAGGGCTGGAACGTGCATGGAGGGACGGAGTAGTAGGGGTTGAGTACCGGCCGGTAAGGCGTGGAGTCGGTACGTAAGGAAGGAAGGTTAGGCGGGCGTCAAGTCGGGAGGCGTCAAGTCGGTAGACAAGATGGTTGGTACGATGACAGGTACGGAGTAGGTAGATTGGTAAGATACGTAGAGGATGGATGGATGGATGGGGAAAAAGGCACCTCATCATCGAGGGCAAACAGTGGTAGCGAGTCCGTCAGGCTGGGTTGATGGCGTCGCATTTGCGGCCTTTGCGGCGTGTGCGGCATGCGGCATGCAGCGCTGTGGCCTTGTGGCCTTGTGGCCTTGTGCGCCCTTGGAGAGACTGAGGTGACTGGTAACTTGGGTACGTACCGCCTTGCTGGGGGCCAGTCGAGTCGTCCTCCGCCTTTTCGCCATACATTCACAGCGTCGCCCACGTTGAAAGGGCGGTCGATGGCACCCCGGCCACTTGGGAAGATGTGGGGCACAGGGTGGCTTGGGGCTTGGGAGAGCGGGGGCTTCTCTGGTGCGCATGGGGGCGATGGGCGATGGATGGAGGGGGAGACGACTCAGACAAGGGAGGGGGCGATGCGATGCGGCCTATGGAACGTTGTCTTTTCTCCCGTCTCCAGCCTCAGTTCATCTGCAAGCCGCCGTTGAGTGGTGGCTCGGCCGGGAGTGGCGGAGCATCATGCTGCTTGCTGCTGCTGCCGCTACTGCGTGCGTCGGACCCCCGCTGGCCACGCACTGGGGATCCGATCATTCTGCGGTTGCTTGCTCGATGCGGACATGGGGACATGAGAAACATGGCCGGTGATGTCAGTAGCTTCTGATTTTAAATGGCTGCCTGTTGGTGTTGATGCAGCTCGAGAAGCAGAATGACGCCTCTGTCGCAGCCACCATCCATTCCCTATTCCCAACATGTGCACATGTCCGGGAATACGCAGCGTGCACTACGTAGTACAGACACTGACACCAAGGCGGCCGACGGGCTGTTGTTGTCTGCTAGCTAGTGACTTTGTTTCCGAATGTCTTGAGCCGCAGTCGCAATGTCTCACCATAATCACTGCGACAGCCGCAGCCGCGAGCCCGGGCTAGGCCGTTCCCGGTGATATCCTGCGCCCGGTTTAGGGAGAGGGCCATCCCATTTGCCATTTCCGATATGCCATCTGTCCAACTATCGAACGCCCAGAAACTCCTCTCCCCCAGGGGCCCCCCCAGCTGCAGAGCAGGTTGTTAACCCATGGTACGGGCGCTGCGATGAACAGAAACAGCACAGGGCGGTGCGGCACGGCACTTCTGTACCCCGTAACTTACTGCGCGCACACACACGCACATATTCGCACGCACAACGCATCATTTGGCCCAAGCTCCCCCAGCCGCGCGCACTCCCCTATTCCCGTTCGCTTGCGTCGCCGATGGGGCCTAGGATGGGAAACCGACATGCATGCACAGGCAGCTTGATGTGCGGCCGGATGGGATTTACCTGGCACTGACCTTGGCACTGACCGACCTGGCCTGGCCTTGACCTGGGCAGGGGGCCAACCAGGGCCCACATCTCATCTTGTTCCCGTTCAGCCCTACGAGGTACGTACCCTTTGCGAGCCACACGCCCTCCCCTGTCGCGGCCATCACTGGAACCCAAGCCTGCACCCGCCCGCCAAGTTCTCCACCCGCTGCCAAGCCACACCCCCGGCCCAAGCCACACCCCCGTCCCTCCTCGGATCGTCGACGATTTTCACCATCTCGTCCAAGCTTCATCCACTCTCATCCGCCCTCATGCCTCATGCTCATGTTCACGCTCACGCCTCACGCCTTGTTCTCCTCCACCCTGTCCTGTCTCCCGACCCGCGGCGGCCGGCTCTTGCTCGCCAGAGCAGTCGACTGGCCCACACGCGGCATCCACCAACTGCCTCGTTCGGGAATGACCTGGCCCTGTCGCCTGCAGACCGGGGTTGGGCTTGCGTGCTGCATGCAACGACCTTCCAGCTCCTGTACCACCTACCGCCCGCCGTCCATACAGACTGCAGCGTGCCGGAGTCCCTCGACGCCGCGACAGCAGCACCCACCCAACCGCGGCCGCAGGGCCTGGTGGGTGTCCCGGACACGCCGAAGGCTGCTGCTAGACTCACCGCTAGGAACAGCCCATTCTGCTGCAGCCCTACAGCCTTGAGTGCCGACTCTGGCGGTGCCATGGCCCCCCCCCCTCCCCGCATCGGTCACAGAGACAGTCATTGACCGGGACGGACATGGAGCCGGCAGTAGCAGCACCTCCCGCCTCCTTTCCGTCTGTATCAGGAAATGGCGGGATCTACGTGTTCGACAAGGCACCTCGAGGCAGCTCCCAAGCTCCATAGCTCATCGGCCAGGCCTGTCAACCTTGTCCACTACGTTACGGCGCGGCGGCGCGCTTGACCCCATTTCACCCGTCATCGATGACTTCACACGCGTTTCTGCATCGCCAAGCTGCAGCCCTGCCTGTGCCACCAGGACCTTTTGCTTCAGCTTTGGGTTCAGTTCGCCGCTATTACCATCGCGTCCACCGACAATGCTTTGAATATTGTTACTGTCACCGCTGCACTCCTCGTTGGCGTCAATGCTTGGGATCTGCATACACATGGTACCTCGTATCAAGCGTCTTTCCGCACACTCGCTTCAGATCACCAGATGGGACTACGGTGGTGCAGGCAATCGGGGAGGGGTGTACGGCTTCACGTGATCGCCTGAGCGGGTCCCAAGTCGAATCCGGAATTTAGCCCACATTCTTTCTTACTCATGCCACTCGCATTCGCATGCAACCCATCCAAGCCCCTGGAGTCACAGACAGTTCAACGTCCACCCCTCTTTGACTTGACCTTCTGTTTTGAGTTCTGCCCCCATGAATGCTATGACTGGTTCACACGGCTGGGCGGGGAGATTTGAGGCTGGCATCGTTATTGAGGCCTTGATAACATCTAGACGCTATTGCTCCATCTGGACTCATTGCGCGACGGGTTCCCTCTGAGGTGGGTTCAAACAACTTGCTAGCTGGCCGGGAGGATGCGAGATGCAAAGGAGCTCGGGAAATTTGTAAGCCTTCGATCAACCGGGTGCAATTTGTCACGGCAGGGTTCGCAACTTGGTTCTGTTCCATAGGGCCAAGGAGACGACGGTACACAACCGAGGAGCCACAGCACAGCCGGAGAACTTCGACCACGACTTAGTACCCAGTTAGTCCCATTCTTCGAAGTGAAAGGGAAGTCGCGTGTCCACAGGGCGTCTGTATGTAACATTGCCCAGCACCTTTGCTGGCAGGGACCGGGGTGCATCCCAAGAAGAGGTGCTTTGGAATCTCGCCTATGGATACCATTTTTGCGATACACAACGTCCGTCCACCCTTAGCACCAGGCGGCCGACAGCAAACGGGGTGGGTAACCGGGGCCGAGGAAAGTTCCCGGGCCATTGATCGGCGCGGCCAGACCATCAAATCCTAAAAATTGACATTGTCTCGACCCATTGTCAAGCCGCGAGGCAGTACTATGTACAGGACGACAGCACGACAGAAGAAAAGTCTCCGATTCCTCAAGGACTTGCATCCCAGGCTCGTGATGCCATGCTTGAGGCCACACGCCCCCTTCTGCCCAGAAGCAATTATCAACCGGCAAGTCGTCTCATTCCCACGCTGCTGGGGCGTGTTTGCTCCAAATCTCGGCTGGTCCCCTACGACACGCCTGGATCAGTGACTGTCCACGACAAACCGACCCAGTGGCTGAGAGCGTGAGAACCTTAAACGCCGTCCCCCCTTCTTCCCGGGACACCCAAGTTTTAGACCATGGAGATGGCTCAAATAGGCATTTGCTCGAATACTCCACTCGGCTGGGCTGAGCAAGCGGCTTCTTGGGTCGCCACCCCCTCCTGTAGGCTCCCCTGTCATGGTCAACCAGTGGCCGGCGGATTGTCACTGTCACCAGAGAGGAGCTCTGGCGGCCGTTGCCAAGCTCCCCCTCCTTGACAGTACCTGCAGACTCGCTTGGTGGGCCTTGGCGTCCAGAGGTCCTGCTTCCGCGCTTGTTGGCGGAATGTTCTCTTACATTGAGGCTGTTATTGTGTGCTGTATGCTGCATGCATGAAGAACGGCAGCGGCCAGGCCGAAGATTCGTGTTTTATTGATGTTATTGTTTACCACTGCCAGCTACGGTGTTGTTGGCGATGTGTCTGCTGTCCATTTATCCGCCCCGCATCAGATGGCCGTATCATGGCACCTTGGCCCGTTGGGCTTCTCATCTGATCTACGTGGTCAACGCTTGGGCGAGCGGTTGCCGACCAGTCACGGAGGAGAAGTGCAAAGTCCGGGAGTTGTCGGAAGACACGGCACTGGAGAAGCTGCGCGACATGACACCTGGGGGCCGACCCTCTGCCATAGCAGACGATTTATGGTGTTTGAGGAGCCATGATGATTTACTACTACGTACTCTACGTACTGGTTAGATGCCTGCTGGGGCCGGCAAGCAAGCCTAGCTTCTGAGGTCGTAGCGGTTTGGTAGGTAGCCAGATTGCCCACGTTCCCGAGGACCTGGACTCGCTGGGTGGCAGGGACCCGGCGGCCGCCCGCCCGCCGTGCCTTTGGCCCCCAAAGATCTTTTGTCGGGCTGCCAGAGGTGCTAGGCAGGGAAGCTCGACTTTGGAGCACCGCGATTGGCCCGCTCGGAGCTTGAGCTTGGAATCAGGGCGGCTGGGGGTGGACGAGCTTAGTGCTGCACCCGCGGATGACACACCCAGAAACGGGGGGGGGGGGGAAATCACCGGGGGGGCCTCATAGGGCTGGAGTGATGACCCAGATGACGGGGATCAATGCAGCGGCCGTGCTTGGAGCGATAAGCACGCAAAATTGGTCGAGAGTGGCACGGCGGAGAGATGCTGCGCTCCGCCGAGCGAGGGAGAGGACGTCACGATGAGCTGGTTGGTTCTTGGTTGATGCGGGACAATTGACAAAGTGCGTGCGACACTGCGACACTGCGACCCCCTCTGTCCTCTGTACCCCGGCCGCGTAGCCGTGATGGGAGGACATTTGAAATACCAAAAGATGGTGTCGATTCCCCATGGAAATGGAGAAAGGGAGGCTTTGCCCAACGGTGCCACGTACGGCCTCGTCCAGGAGTCCCTATGCCGGCGTCAGGGGAAGCGGGCGGCAGCCTGGGAACGGCGAGGAACGATTGGGCAGAGCTTCGACGTGGAGGCCGCAAGGTACAGTTGATTTGCCCTACAAGAATGGTACATGACTGCCCAGCTAGGCGCGGGAAGGGCAGTCGGGGGGGTGAAAGGGCTGAACAAGCGGTTCGGGGTCCCCCCCATCTGGTCTCGATTGATATGACCGCATTGGGGAAGCTCAAACGTCTTGACCGTCGTTGGGGGCCGCGAAAGTCCCCAGTATCAGGGGGGCGAGGTGTCATAATTGCGCCTCAAATTTCGAGAGAGCCAGTGAGTGGATGAGGTCCTACTGGACGCGCGCATATGCAGCCCTGGAAAATGCAAGCAAAGGAAAAGTGCCTCCCCGACGAGATGGAGGGATGGGAGGGGGCCGCTGTGTGTTCGGTGACGACGACGACGACGACGACGACGACGACGACGACGACGACGACAACGATTTGAGGGGCTCGGATGATGGAGCAATTCCTACGGGGTTCAGGTCTGTTACTTCGCGCACGACCGAGTGAGAGCCAGCAAGGTGTAGGGCAGTTGTGTGTTCTAGCGTTGTGATGTGAGGGGAAGGACCAGGGTTACACATTATGGCGATGCACAAGTGTCAAAGCAAATGAGCTGCGGGTTTGACCTTGTGGTAATTTTTTGAGTGTTTTTTTTTCTTTTCTTTTTCTTTTTGCCCTCTCTTTTCGCTTCCGTCGTCTCCTTCTCTGGGATTCCTTTTTTCCCTGCTTCTCGAAAACGGTGGTCCCGGTGGTCTGGGGTGTAAGGCTGAGTGCAATTAGCCGGGGCCCTGGATTGGGTCGCTGTAGGGGGGAACGGGGACGGGGACGGATGGATTGATGGAGATGACGGCGCGTTGGGGGAACCGTTTTGTGCCAGAACGCTGAAGAAAGGCTCGGGCCAGCAAGAAGCGACGAATTCCGTCCCGTCAGGGATGAAGGATGTCATTTTCACCCGACATCCGACGGGCCGTGTCGCTCGTCCATATTGGATTGATTAATTGATTAGGCCATTGATCCATTAAGTTAACCCATTAATCCATTAGGCTATCAATCCACCCGCCAGCCAGTGCGTCAAGTCCCGGTAGCCGTAGCGTGGGCGGTGCCAGCAGCCCTGGAACAAGACGAGACGGAGCCGGGACGAGCAAGTTGGAAACGCTCGCCACAAGCCCGCCCGCGGCCCGTGCCAGCTATTGGGCTCTCGCGCTGGGGCCAGGGGACGGACGCTTTCCACGCTTGTTCCTCTGTAACTACTTAACTAGCAAGAGGTGGGAGCGGAAAAGTCGCCTGATTTTCCACTCGCGACACTTGTGGGGGAGCTGGCGATTGGCCCGCCGGAGAAATGAGAGGGGATTTGGGGCCATTTGGGGCGCCAGGGGGGGAAAGGAGGAGCATTGAGGCGTAGCGGGTTTTTTCTATGTGTGTCCCCCCCTTCCATCCTTCCAACCGTCCGACGGAGCAGCCTCCGCCGACTACGCACGCAAGTCGATAGGGATTCGACCTCCCGGTGCGGGGACCGGCGCGAACAGTAAAATCCGGGCGGATTGGGCGAGATGGGGCGGAATGCGCATCGGCCTGCGGACGCATTAGGCGAAATAGACGAGGCGACTAAGTTAATCAGGACGAGCATGCGTCTTGGTGCTGCTGGTGTTGGCGCGTGCTTTGTGCTGGTGTTGGTGTTGGTGCTGGCGCTCCTCTATTTTGTGAGGCTCCAGTTGTAAGTTGGATCATCCAGCACCTTCTGCCCCTCCGCCTGTTGGATCATCGTGCAGCCTGCCTGCCTGCCTGCCTGCTTGCCAACATAGCCAGTGGCATCATTCCCTGATTGGGGAATCCATTGCGAGCTGGAACGGCAGTTACAGAGTCACGCAATGTTCAATACGGGGGCGGATGACTCAGACATGGGCCGGGCCGCGCAAGACAAGAGACGGACACGAACAGAGTCCTACGGAGGTAGGAACGTAGTATGATACACCGCGTACTCCGTACATGGCGGGCGGCGCAGATTGATACACGCATTTCCGGATTTCGTCGACGTTCGCCCACACCCCAGGGGAGCCAATCCTCCGCGTGACAGCACTCTATCACATCTGCCATGCCATTGCTATCCAAGGACGGGTAGCTGCATCCGGAAAATCTTGGAACCCCCCTGCCCTCTGGGTACGGGACCCCTGATGCTGGGAAACCCGCCGGCGGGCCTGGGGTTCAAAGGAAGAAGAAAAAAAATAAGAGACATGTTAAAAATTATTATGGAACCCCTCCTTTTGCCTAGCTTTGCCTTCTGAATGCTTGTTAATCGGAGTGCTTGTTAATCCAAACGAACGCGCAACTCCGGGATATGTCATAACACCCGCCGTCGGGTCGCCGACCCGAGAGTGGGTGTGCGGGCGTTCGGGCGGGGAGGGGGAGGGGGATGATGGATGGATGGATGGATGAATGAATGGAAATTGAGGCCCAAGCAAAAAAAAAAAAAAAAAAAAAAAATGTGTAGATCCGAATCCTGGAATCGAGTCAGAGTCCGATTGCTGGGACAACCCCCAGACGCAAAGCAAGAGCCCTGGCTTGAGATTTTCTTACTTTGTCTGGGGGCAGGGGACAGGGCACAATGGCAAGTAACAAACGGATCCGCGGCGGAAAAAATGATCGACGAACGTCGAGACCGCGTCAATGGAGAAGAGCAAGCAATATCAGCGCATGATAGAGGCCCTTCCTCTGGCGAGAAGGGCCCATCCTACAAGGCGCAAAACTCACACCCCAAGACGGCCCGAGCTTGCATCTGTGCAGTTTGTATCCGTAAGGCATACTACGTACTACCGCCAACTTCACTATTCACCGTTTGACACGGGACGCCGACGGATCATCCATCTCCCCCCCCCCTTACCCTTTCCCCCCCCACTTCTTGGGTCGGTCCCCTTGGAGGGCTCGGAGATTTTTAATCCTCGCAGAAATGCAACTCGCCTGGGCCGTTAGTCCAAACCTTGAGCGACGACGCAACCCGTAGCCCGGGGAAGGTCGGCAAAACGAACAACGACAAGCAGCAACGAACAACAAGTGGCTGGATGCGCTGCAACACCGGCCGCAGCAGGGAACTCTAAAGCAGGCGATGATGGACACCCCCTCCTCGAAGAGCGGAGAGGTCGGGTTGTCGATATTAAATAAGTTTTTCTGATAATCAAACCTCCAACGGGTTGTTCTGTTAGCACAAAGAACGGGAACCCAAGAAAGAAGAAGAAGGGCGGTTGAAACGTTGCGACAGGCTGCGCGAGGGCCCCCATGCTCCGCTTGCTGCGCTACGACGCTGTGCGGCTGGTGGTCGAATCGGCGTCGACATGGGGGCCTGCCAACCATGCAGACAGGGGCGAGAACGGGGGGGAGGGGGGTCACAGGGGGGAAGATTTGCGCGCGTGTGCTGCGCTGTCGACAATCCCTCGGACTCGGGCCAATGGCGAGCCGGCGATGCGCATCTGGCGCTTTGTAAGTCGGTTTATTTTTGTCGGGACCTTACAAAGCGCGCACGGGCTGGGGGGGGGGGGGGGAAGAAGAAGAAGTTGGAGGAGCCTCCCCATGCCTCCCTCGTCATCCATGGCCCTGCCAGAACCCATTCGCCTTCCCACGGTCACTCCTACGGTCACACACACACCCTCGGACTCCAACCCTCGCACTTTTGATGAGGCCCAAAAGGCCCATAAGGCCCATCGCGCATTCTCTTTGGCGCGTCTCCAGCCTGCGAAGGAAGCCTGCCATGCCGTCCGTGACTGGCCGGTGGGCCACAGTCAAACTGGGATCATCAACCAGGGGGGGGAGGGGGTTTGGCATGCCAGCAACTCCGCCTTTTGCTTAGCCAAACGAAGCCAACCTGCGTGGCGGGCGGCGGGCGGGCGTGCCCTGCCATGTGGTTTTGGACGGGCATGGGGGATGGGGATGCCAACGGTGAACCCCTTCCCGTAGGCTGTTGGCTGTTGGCTGTTGGCTGGAGGGAGCAGTAAGGCAGCAGGTCGTAGCACAGATACAGGATGTGCGTCAGGACCCGGTTCCAGGTCCCCGGTGCCCATACGCACACACTCACGCTCCCACACCCACGGCAACCGTCTCGGATGAGATGAGATGAGATGGGGACGGGATGCATGGGATGAAGATGTTTAGTGCTTTGCGTTGCTTGCTTTGCTTTCTCTGCCCAAATGTCGTCGACAGTGGACGAGCCACCCGCTGTCGTCGGCCCTCCTTAGCTTGACACCTAACCTCTATGCACTCTGAGTCTTGGTGGCTTTCATCTCGAGTTGTCTCTCTTGTCGCTCGAAGCTACATCCCGGCAGGCTGAGCGCCCCAACACCGCCAATGCCCCCTTTCACCTCGCATGGAATTCCCCTAAATGCTTCCGCGCTACCGCGGCACTGAGCCACGCGGTAGCCCAACGTTCCGATCACCGATGGGGATCCCCGAAGCCAGCTGCCAGCACTGGCGGTGCGAAAAGGCGGGACGGATCTTCTGGAGCCGTGCAAGGCGGTGCTCAAGTGTCATCGCGAGTGATTGATTAGGCCTTCTGATTCGAGCTCCAGCGGATGATGTGCATGGGAGGACATCGCAGCGGCCCTCCGTCAGTTTCTACTGGTGGTTGGGAATCGTCCCGCCCCGACTCTTTGCCACTTCACTCGCTAGTCGCAACGATGAGAAATCAATCCTAATTGTATCCTATTCGCGGGATGGCGTCAGCCAGATGCCTACCCTTTGCGGAGCTAGGCCTTGTGCGGGCGGACTTCAAGGACCCTTTGTTCCAAAGAATATGCCGGAGTTTGGAGAGTCTTGCTCGACTGCCTGTAGATACTAGGGGACAAGGCCGCACCGACCAGGAGCCGGGCGCTGGGACCCGGCCCCGAGGGGGATAAACAACAGGCCCGGGGATACGCCCCCGTTGCATCACCCCACTGCCGCCAGTGGAAGATTCCAAATGAACAATGGGGGTTTAACTCTTGCTCCGCAGTGACTCTGGCGCATTGACTTTTATTCCCTTGGATGAACCGTTGTCGCCCTGTCACTAGGTGGATGGGATCGGCCGCTCCATCTTGTGGTGTTGTGAGAGCCAGGTCAAGTCAAGGCGCAGCGTCGTCGGTGGTTCTGTATCCCAACGGCTGCTCCTAGCGAATCAATCGAGGATCCAAGTCGCTGATTCGCTTTAATTCACTACGTATGCTAGAACTAGCAGGCAATGGCAGGCCAAGGGGGCCAAACGGCCATGAGGATGAGCCATGCGGATGGCGCTGAAGCCGTGGTGCCTGAGCCATCCCGTGTGGTTGGGTGGGTGTGAATGGAAACTCTGGAACGACAGGGGTCCAGAGAGCCAAGTCGAGTGAGGAGAAGCATCATGCCCCTTGGGGTCGGTGTCATTGAGCGTTTGGGCTGGGAGGAGAGGCAGGCGCCAGCGGTTGGACAGAGTGCAGTGCGTGCTGGCCGTGGTGGTGCTCTGATGCAGTGATGGCTCTTGGAGGGGATGACGATGCTGTCGTCACACAGCCCTACGACGGCGCCAGACGCAGATGATCGGCCCGGCCATGGGCCCCCGGGAGGGCGGACTTTGGGGACAGAGCTTGGTTGGTTCGAGGCGTGAGAGGTGGTGTCGGGGGTTAGGTTGCGCTGCTGGGACGTTTTGGAACCTTGGGACGGACAATGGTTTGGGGAATTGGGATGGGGGAGGAATGGCAATGGGGACCTTGGGACGGGCGTTTGGAAGGGGGGGCGTGGGAGTTGCCGCTAATAGTGAATGGGCGTCTGTTCAGCGGAAGGCGTAGTCTAGTGCGGAGCAAAAGCTGTGGTGGTGATGCCAAAAAAGAATCTGGGCTAAATTTGCCCACATTCCCGCGCTACTGAGGCTCGGGGTTCCACTTTGTACCCCTCCACTGGGCTTGGAGGAAGCAGGAAGAGGCACACGCTATGGCTTGGGATGGCTTGGGATGGTATGGCTTGGGATGGGCCGTGGCCTGGGAACCTACCTGGCCCTGGGGACCAAGCCCGGTTCGCTGTAGGTCTTGGACTCGGTTTGGGTCTTATTTGGGTGCTTTGTGGTGGCAGGGCTGGCGGGCCATGGTCTCTCGTCGAGGTTGGCCGGCTTCGAGGTTGGCTTCATCTGTTTGTTGGTGGCACTGGCGCTGTGCCCTGGAAGATGTCCTATTACAGGATCCGGGACAGACAATACAGCAATACTGGACGTACGTTGCGCTGTGCTGCACGGCGTTCCATCCTGTGTGCTCCATCTACTTGGTCCTGGTGGAGACGCGGCGACCTGATTCTAGTTCTATTGACGGCAGCGCCCAGCCCAAGCCCGAGAAGCAGTGGCAGCAGTTGCATTAGTAGCAGCAATGCCATCCTCCGCCATTCCACCACCGCCTCCGCCCAATCGTTCTCCCCACCAGTGATGTTACGTGATGGTACGGTACAAGTTTCCTCGCAGCAATCGTACCGTACCGTACGTACTGCAACTCAAATGCCCATCCAAAGTCGCCAGCCAATGTCTCTGGCGTGCGTTACGCAGTCCTGTGTGTACCAGCGCCTGTTCGTGGTTGTCGGTGTCTGGTTTGGTATCTTTGCCTCTGCCACACCTCCATCAGGCCTGCACCCCCCCTCCCTGTCCTACGACAATCATGCTCCGCTCCGCTTCTTCTGGGCTGCAGATTTGGATTGACGAGGCCAGACCGGCGGCGCGCTACTCGCACACTCAACTCGCACCTGCAGGCAGGCAGACTGGTAGGCAACCGGCCTTCCGGGGCAGATAGACACGGACACGGAGGGACACGGGGTCGGCGGCAGGCGAGTCGGCGAGCACATTTGTCAACCACGTCAATGGGACGTGAAGTGCACCGTTCGGTCTTCTCCATTGTAGCATCGCAGCCGCAGAGCCACATGCTCCAGCGGCCTGCGTTCGCCTCCTCCCCAAGGAGCCCGATGGCAACAGCGCTAGCAAGCGATGGCGACTGGAAACAAACCGAGACGGGCCAGGCCCAGGCCAGGCGAAGGTTATCGCTGCATGGCGCCCGTACAGAGGAAATGCAAATCACGGGGATTTCTGGGGGCCGCCGTCTTCGCAGGTAATTGGGGAGAATGGCAGACTAGGTCCGTAGGTCGGTCGCAGGCTCAGTGTCCTTGGTCCCCGTGATGAGCGGAGGGTGAAGGGTGAAGGGCGATGGGGCACTGGGGCAATGCGGCGTCAATGATTGATGGGCGGGCAGCCCTGTGAGGCCGGCGCCAGGCCCAGGGCCCAGGGCTCTTAGCAGTGAGTGGGCACTGGGCTGGAGGCTGCAGGCAGTAGAAGGCAGTAGTCTGGACGTGGGCGCTGTGGGCGCTGTGGGCTTGGCCTGCAGGATGGTTGAGGGTGGAGAGGCAAGAGGATGGCGGATGGATCATGGAGGGTGCCCCCTTCCCACTTGGGTTGGAGTGGGACCGGCGGGGGGCGGGCGGGCAAGGGCGTGCTGGTAGCCCGACCAAAGTCCTACCAGCCACGCCCCCCTCGCTCCTTCCCTGGCTCTCGAGGAAGGGGTGGAGGGGGCGTGTGGGCGTGTGGGCTGCGGATGGGTTGCAAGGAAGGCGTGGTCCTCCCCCCCGGCTCATCCCTCGTCACTCTCCGCTGGGCTGGCCGTGCTACAGCTTGGCTGCGGCTGCTTGCCGTCGAGGGACGATGGATATTTAATCTAGAGCCTCTTCCCCCTCATCCACCATCCCACTCCATCTCAAGTCTCAATTAGACGTCGTCTTCTGTCTACAGCCTCTGCCTCGCTTCCAGTCTCAGTCTCAGATCCCACCTCGTCTCAGGCTTATATCTTCACCTCATCCCCCCAGCATACTCCATCAACACGCATTCCTCCTCCTCATCACTTCTTGTTTCCTGCCTACCAAGGACGATACAACAGTGGAGCAGTACAGAACGGAATCGTACAGAGAACTGAGCAACACGGCATTCCAAGCTCTCCAGCTCCGCAGCTCTCCAACCATTTCTCTCCCACGCCCTCCATCACATCCCGCTCTAGCCAACATGTCCATGTTCACCATGTCACAACCTCACTACGCCTACTCGGCCGCTCCTCAAGCTCCTCGCCAGTACTCCGGTCATGGCACCAGCAGCGCCTTCAGCAGCTCTGCCAACCCCGACGAGGACTGGACCAAGATCTCCGATCTTGCTGAGCGCAGAAGGATACAGAACCGCATTGCCCAGCGCAACTACCGTAAGTTGTCTCCGTTTAACTCCGCCTCCCCAACAGGTGACAGGTGAACTGACACGCCTTTCGCAATACAGGCAAGAAGCTTAAGCGCCGCCTCGAAGACCTCGAGCGCCGTGCTGGATCCTCTGACGACGCCGAGTCTGAGAAGCAGTCCCAGTCGTCCACCAAGTCGAAACGTTCCTCCTCATCCAAGTCTCACAAGGCCCAGCCTGCTACCCCCGCCAAGACTCTCCCATCTCAAGGCCAGTACACGCCTCCCATGGAGCAGGACGACTTCTTCTACCCCGGCTCTTACGATGACCGGGAACGCTCTCACACTCCTCCTCTGTTTCCCTACTCGACCTACCCGGCTCCCGACGAGATTCTCCTTCACCCTTACGGCGCCGCCCAGCCTTACACAGCCATGACCACTGCCGACACCTACCCCAACTACATCACCACCTCTGCCGTCCCCGTGACGCTCCCTTCCATGACACATTTCAGCGATGCCGTCAAGCGGGAGTCGTACCCCAGTGACGATGGCATGAACCCCTACATGCCTTATGGCTTCATGCCCGGCATGGACCTCAATGCTCCTAGTCACTACGACCATCAGTCCAACCCTCATGTGAGTTACGCCAGCCACCCGGCCCTCGCGGCCCCCAGAGATCCTCGTTGCTGATCGGGTTGGCAGACTCCTCCACTGTCTCACTCGTTCGACCACTCCGCAAACTGCTCCGAGGCCGGTTACGAATACCCCACCACGCCTCTGTCCATGCCCGGATCTCCCGGCATGATTCACCCTCAACATTGAGTTTAGGGAGCCGCGGCATTCACCACACGCTACTCCTCACCGGCTTTTGAATTGACTGCGATAATACATGCAGTCGACGGGCACGGCATGAGGAGACTGGCCCTGGATGTGGCAAGCCCGCATCGGTGCATTGGGACAGGGAAAAGAAACGTGGGACATTTGCGCTCCTTGCCGGAGCGAAGGCGTACAGGACAAGCCTTGCAAAGCACATCATGGCTTCATCGGTCGTTTGGATTATACTCTGCTCCTTTTTTGACTTTTTGACACGGCCCTCTGGTATCTACCGGAGGGATTTCCCGTACTATATTTCTTTTTTTCCCCCAACACAGTGGTCGAAGGGCTCGACTCTGTTGGTTGATGATACGGCTGCTCCACGAACTTTGTTTATTTGAGGCGAGGGAAAAGATGGTACATGCGGCGTTTTTATGGGCGGATGGCTATGTATGATGAGGGTGGTGGATTGGTCGGATGGACGGATTCAAGAATGGATGGGAGGATCAGCGATACTTGAAAGCGATGGTGATCGATGGCGGCTACAGCAGCGGTGGCGAGCCTTTCTGAATTTTGGTTGAGTAGATATCCCGAGCCATCGAATTGTTTAGATGATGAATGTGCAACAACCATCACCTATTACCATCACCTGTTACAATGTCCTAAAAATGAGGCCCCCCAAGACCCCTGACTTGCCACAACTTGATTTGGCCCTGGCCCAATGACGATGGGAGCCAGCCCAAGCCCCTCCAAAAGCAGAGGTCCAGCCAGCCTGGTCGCCGACTGTGAGGCCCGGCCGTGTGGGCGTCACAGCCCGTATTGCCCGTGTTGTGTCTTGGAGCCAGCCTTGACGAAACGTGACCTTCCTTGTCTCGCATGCCACCCATCCCGGTCAAACACATCCCAGTCAAAGACATCCCATCAACCATGACCCCCCGGTCCCGTGAACGGTACCCGGTGCCCTGTGCCTGTGCAATGTCGAGCTTGGAGCCTGGAGCTCGATACCGTACGGGCAACGTCCAGTGCATGCTGGTCTCTTCAGCTGCAGCGCGGCGGCGCAGCCGAAGAAGGCAAGGATGTGGTGTCCTGGTTCTTGGCTTGCGCCGATACGGTTGACGTCCGCACGTGCAGAGCGCCATGGGGCTGGGCGGTGCGATTTGCAAGCTGTGGAGGCATGGCGTTCAGGATGGGTGGGCTCCTGCGGCCATGCCAATGGGTGAATGGGCGAATGGGCGAATGGGCCAAAGTGCTACAGAGTTCGGCTGCGAGACTATCGAGTCCGACCGAAGGCGTCGACGCCTTGCGGGAGGCAAAGAGGCGGATGGAATTAATAAACAACGAGGCAACTGGTGCTGTAGGTGGTGCAGGAGGCGGGCCAATCTAACCCGTGGGTCTGGACCCTCTGGATGGGGATACCCGAATGCGAATGGGCGGTAGAGGAGGGTTACCAAGGGCCGTGAGTGGGTTACCAGGCATTGGGGAGATGCGACATGGAGATGGAACATGGGGATGGTCGTGAGGGTGGGCTACGGTAGGCTGGCGGTACGAGGCACAGTGCCATTCGTGTCTTTTACGAAGTACGAATACACCAAGGCAAATAACAGGTGTGTGGAAATACGCAGTGTTGCTCTCGGCATCGCACATACGCAACGGCAGCGGCGGAGGCGGAGGCTAACGGGGGGCGGGTCGGAGGAGGGTGGGGAGTGCAGCGGAGGTCTCGGGGTAGAGGTTGAAAGGACTGTGTGAAGAGGGAAGATTTGGAAGCTGGGAATATGTACAGCGAAGGGGGCTCGAGGCGTCGTCAACAAACGGGGCAGGGTAGGACTCGGCACTTCGGCGAGTCGATGGAAGGGAAGGCCAGGGGCATGGAAGCAGCACGAACAAGCAGAGAAGCCAAGACGCACGAGGGAGCGGGAGGGGGGTACGAGGAGAAACCTGGGCAGATGATTCGAATCAGGCTCGGGGAAGAGGCGTTCGCGGTGAGGGTGACGCTCCGCGGAAGGGTTGTCTTCGGGAGGCTCGGAGAGGAAGGGGGACGGACGGACGGTACAACGGGCGAGGCACGGGGACATGGGGACACGGGGGACATGGCGCCATGGGGACGTGGGATGGGGAACGGGATGCGGGAAGGAATTCGTGATGGTGATGAAGCGTAGAGGGCGAAGCATCGTAGGAACTACGTAATCATGTCGGATGGATTAGAGAATGCGAAGAGCGGACATCTGTACGAGAGTGTGTGTGAGTGTGTGTGTGCTGTGTGTGTGTTAGTAAAGTGTGTGCTAGGTATATGCGTGCGTCCATCCGTGCTGTCCATACTGTATCCATAGGCCACCTAAATACCTACCTACCTACCACGTAGGATGTATGTGATGTGACGGTATGTGATGGTTGAGTTGGTCTTTTGGCCCCCAACCACTCTGCTTCCTTCTTGGGCTGCCGTGCGTGCAGAACAAAGCAGCGACGTGGAAAGCCATAAACAGCCCAGTGCCTTGCCCAGCTGAACAAGCAGGCTTGCACATGCTGCCTGTCGGGCTTGCACATTTCGCTGCACATAACTGCACATGCTGTATGCATGCCGTGCCATGCCCGTACGAATCGGCCTACTGGAGTCCCCCCTCCCAGGCTGCCAGTGTAAGTGACGCGCGGTTGCGACGGGGTCCTTGTCCGTGCAGGACCGGTGTGCGCCAGTGAGGGGCGGGCGAGAAGCGAGCGAGCACAGTTTCATCCTGCAGCGCAAAGTCGAGTGAGTCCCCCGGCGATTGCTGCATTAGGAATTAGGCAATGCCCAGTGCCGTGTCTTCCAGGGGAGGGGAGGGGGGTTTTTGATCGGGCCAGCCTTGTTGTGGGAATGGCCGGGTTTGAGATTCGCGGGAGGATTTGCAGAAGGATCGGCGGGTCTGGAATCCGGCGCCAGCGTCCTGCTAACCGCCTACGCACCTAACGACGAATACAGCTCGCCGGCGGAGAGGTGCTGCAGGCGCAGGAGCAGACGGAGCGGCACGGGCGGCCTGATTGGCGAGGAGGAGCGAAACGTGTGTGCCGGGGCGCCATGAGCTGCAAGTGCATTTTCCAAGGAAGGATGCGTACGTCGATTCGGAGGCTATGCACAAATGGGTCGACAGAGACAGGACGGCTGCCAGATAGAGTGATTGGCGACGTTCCTCGTCGGGAGCGTCAGCCAACAGCTCTCCAATTCCGACAGTTGGGTTTAGGTTATTGCTTTGCCTGTAGCGGGGGGGCTGTGAGTGCTATGAAGATACCGGGGCAGCTGTGGGGCCGCGGTCTCGCGTTATGTCATCATGCGGAAGGCGGAAAGCTCGGGGGCGGGAAGTTTCTAGACGTCGATGCCAGCCACTGAGCAAGGGGCTTTTTTCTGGGGAAGAAGCCCGATACAACTATTCGTGCCGTTACGGACCCCACGACTCCCAATTGAGACGCCGCCGCACATATCCGTCGATGACAATGCAGACCGAATCGCTCTATCTCTTCGGCGGTGACAGGTAAGCACTCAATCCCCTTTTCCAGCGCCAATGCCTCGCCAATTGGACCTGACGCTAACCCGTCCACCTTCAGCCCGTGGGACGCCGCCAAATGGACGGCTTCCGATGACCGCGTCCGCGGCGGCTCCAGCACGTCGTACCTGACCGTCACCGACGCGGAGCGGGCCTGCTTCCACGGCCATCTCGACACCAAGACCCTGGGCGGCGCCGGCTTCGCGTCCCAGCGCACCGTCGGCGTCCTCGCCCTCGACCTGTCCGGCCACGCGGGCCTGGTCCTATCCCTCGGCGGCGGCGGGTCGGGCCACAAGTATACTCTTACCCTCAAGGACACTATCCCCGGCGACCGTGGTGACGGCCGCGATCAGGCCGGTATCAGCTGGGAAACGGACTTTGAGGCGCCGAGCGAGGGTGGCGATGTGCTGCTCCCGTGGGACAAGTTCCGCGCGACGTACCGGGGACGAGACAAGCCCGATGCGGAGCCGCTGGATTTGAGCTCTATCAAGAGGGTTTCTTTGATGTTGCGGAGGTGAGAACCCTCATTGTATCTGCCATGTGGATTGGTTAGCTGACGTTGATGCACAGTTTCTTTGGAGCGCAGGACGGCGACTTTGAGCTTGTGATACATGCCATTGTGGCCAAGGCTTCGTTCTCCGAAGACGGTGACTCGGATGATGAGGGCGATGGCTTGCAAAAGCCAGTTGTTAAGGTTGCAAGGCAGGATGAGACGCCGCCAGCGCGGTCGTGGTGGCGGATGTTGTTCTGCGGGTTGCTATGAGCCTCACAACTCCAGGTCTGAAACTGCCGACATGCAACGACGAGAATCATTGTCTTGCCGACTGAAACCATGTATATACCCAAGCAACCTCGCCTAGACCAACACAATACCACAATGATATACCCCGTCCGTCTACCCCTTGACTTGCTCCCCTCCCCCGATTCATCCATCTCAACCCCGCGGCTTTCCGCATCTGGCGGGCCGCTCCCGGAGCCCCACCTCCGATCCGGAAGCCACCCCGTCCCGCCGCCCATCGGCCGGTCTCACCTGCGGCGATGGACCCAAAAACGGATTGCGTCACGACTCTGCTCTACCATCGATGCAGCCCTGCACGTAGCTACGCCTCAGCTCACGGTCGTACGGAGAACAACACATACATATGCCTCACCGCACGCACGCAACCCTCCTTCGCCTTGCCGTCCCACAAACCATGCCGCCGTAGCTCGCCCATCATCAGACGACAAACGACGATGCCGCTTCTTCTCAAGGCCCTGCTGCCCCCGCTGTCCGCCGCGCTCGCGCTGCAGGCGGCGGTTGCGGTGCCGTCCATTGCGGCTCACTCGGATCGCGTGTACGACCTCAGCGGTGCGGCAACGTACCTCGCCGTTGGCGCGCTGAGCCTGTATCTGCCCTCAGTCCGCGCCGCGGGTGCGCCTGTTCTGTCGGGTTTGGTGGTGGTGCTGCCGGGACGGGGGCCGTCGCTTGCGGGATGGCTGGATTGGAGACAGATTGCGTTGACGGGAGCTGTGGGAGTTTGGGCCGTGAGATGTGAGTGACGTCGTGTCTGGCACTGGTTCTGTGAATTCACGGTCAATAAAACTCTACACCACGGAACATGGCTGACATTAACTTCAGTGGGATCCTACCTCTTCTACCGCAACGTCGTCCACGGCGCCGACTCGCGCTTCTCCGAGATCAAGCACTCCCCGCTGCGATTCTCCACGGCCTTCTTCTTCCAGGCCCTGTGGGTGACCATCTGCCTGACACCCGTGCTGCTCGTCAACGCCGTCCCGCGTGCCGCGCTGGCCACGGGCATCATGGTCACGGATGTGCTGGGGCTGGGGCTCTGGGTCGGCGGCTTCGCGTGCGAGGTCGTGGCGGATGCGCAGAAGAGCCGCTGGGTGCGCGAGAAGCGAGACAAGGTGCATGATGAGGAGTTTATGACGCGAGGGTTGTTTAGCTGCAGGTAAGAACATGGGAACATTGTCTATATCGAGAATATAAGAAGGCTAACAGACTTACGCAGTCGCTACCCCAACTACTTTGGCGAAATGACGCTCTGGACCGGTCTTGCGACGGCGGCCATGGGCGTTCTCGCTCGAAAGCCTGCTCAGCTGGCCCTGGGGCTCTCTGGCGGGTATGCAGGCGTATTGGCAACGACGGCGCTGTCTTTCGCCAGCCCGGCATTTGCATCGCTGCTGCTGCTCAAGGTGTCCGGAGTGCCGCTGAGCGAGGCCAAGTACGACAAGCGGTATGGCGACCGTGAGGATTATCAGGAGTGGAAGAAGAATACACCCAAAGTGATTCCTCGGCTCTGGTAGCGATGGTGAGCTTGTGCGGATATAGTACGGCGAGGTTTCTGCTAGAACATATACACTTGTCGAGTTCATTGGGTTATGCCTGGAGTAACTTATGGCTTTAACCCCAAGTGGAGGTTTGCCTAAGAGGCTTGGGCTATTGTGTGTCTGCTACTGATTAACTTATCCTACTCTATCTGTAGACTTCGTTGATCGACTACCGGAGCATGTTGAGAGACGGCCAGAACTGGAGTGTGCTACGGTTTAAAATCACGCATCAAGTTGGCCCTTTCCACCACCACAGGTATTATACGATTGCAAAAGAAGACTCATTTTTAATTTGAAGCGCTTGTAGATAAGTTATAGAAATACAATAGGAGGCTTTCTGACCCAAGTCGATCGGGATGCGTGTCTGCGAAGGTCCTCTTGCGAATTGCAACTACCTCTTCGAGCAGCTGGACTGCTTCCTCCACCTGCCCGTTGGTATGGTATGCTCGTGCAAGCTCGTGTTGTGATGCTAGTCGATTGGGGTGTCTGTCTGCTAAGGTCTCTTGCATTGCGACTACCTCTTTAAGTAGCTGGACTGCTTCCTCCACCTGCCCGTTGGCAAGGTATGCTGTTGCAAGCGCATGTTGTGATGCTAGTCGATGTGGGTGTCTATCTGCTGAGGTCCTCTTGCGAATTGCGACTACCTCTTCAAGCAGCTGGACTGCTTCCTCCACCTGCCCGTTGGTATGGTATGCTCGTGCAAGCTCGTGTTGTGATGCTAGTCGATTGGGGTGTCCGTCTGCTAAGGTCTCTCGCATTGCGACTACCTCTTCAAGCAGCTGGACTGCTTCCTCTACCTGCCCGTTGGCAAGGTATGCTGTTGCAAGCGCATGTTGTGATGCTAGTTGATTGGGGTGTCCGTCTGCTAAGGTCTCTCGCATTGCGACTACCTCTTCAAGCAGCTGGACTGCTTCCTCCACCTGCCCGTTGGCAAGGTATGCTGTTGCAAGCGTATGTTGTGATGCTAGTCGATGTGGGTGTCTATCTGCTAAGGTCCTCTTGCGTATTGCAACTACCTCTTCAAGCAGCTGGACTGCTTCCGCTACCTGCCCGTTAGCAAGGTATACTGATGCAAGCGTATGTTGTGAATCTAGTCGATCGGGATGCGTGTCTGCTAAGGTCCTCTCGCGTATTGTTACCACCTTATTGAACAAACTGACTGCCTCAGTGATTCTTCCATCCACTGATAAACACCTCCCTACCCAGAAGCCTAGGTTGGCAAATTCCTCCTCTTCAATTTCTACGCTTACTCGAAGCAAATTGAGTGCATGTGGTAGAAATTGCTGCCACACCTCGCGTTTCTCCCATTCGTCATCTGGAAATACCATCTTCAGATGCTTAATTGCATCCCACTGGACCTTTTCCGCAATTCCCTGTTCTTCAATCCACAACTGCGTAGCCAGATAGACCAGCCTATGCATGTCGAACATATAGCCGTCCTCTCTTCTAGCTAGAAAGCTATATCCGCAAAGGGTACCGATTGCTTGCATCAGCTTTTGTTCCGATCCAACATCGGGTAGGATAGATCGAGGTATAGCCCTTGGTTCCAGACATGCTATAAATAGCAGCAGTTTTATCGCAGACTCGTCGGTTGTACCAATTTGACGGAATGATATATGCCACGTGGTGGTCACTGCATCTTGTGTGTCTCTGTATCGAGTGCTGTCTCGAAAGTTGCTGCTCATTAACTCAATCCTATCTTGGTTGGTCTTTTTGAAGAGTCGGAGGTAGTCTGCGATGGTGACTTGGTTGGTATTTAGGTAAGCCACCGCCTGCGTGATCGCTAACGGGAGATACGTAAGCTCTCGGAGAAAGTCGGCCACAACTTGTTCATCCCTAAGGAGGTCTCTCTCGACCAGAGACTTCCCCAGGTAACTCTTTGCTTCTTCTTCGCTCATCTCTGGCAGCTCAAATAAGTCGTTACCTGCAACTGAAACCGCTACTTTCCGAGTGCGCGTTGTGAAAAGAATCCGGCCTTCGTCGCTGTTTGGGAGGTAGTCGTACATACTCCCTGATTGCCCTGAAGACTTGAAGAGAACATCAATATCATCGGCATTATCGATAATAAGAAACCACTTTCCCGCATCCTTCGAGTTGAGATGCCGCTGAACTGATTCTCTCGAATCTTCCTCGTTGACACGAGGTATCCCAACCTCTTTCATAATATCCGTGTGCGCCTGCTCGAAGCTGGCATGGCTGAACGCCGGGACCCAAAAAACCGAGCAATCAGGCTTGGTTTCTTTGACCCAATACGCTAGTTGCAGAGCAACCTGGGTTTTGCCAATACCGCCCAGTCCCACGAGCGCAACTCTTTGGTGTGTATGAGAGCTGAAGAGACTTTCTTGGAGAGTCTGGAGGATTCCGTCGCGTCCCACAAACCGTTTGTTCGTAGATAATGGAACACAGAAGCATGATTTACCTGCTATACATCAGTTATGAGGGCACAAAGGTGGATGTTTCTGCACTAACGGGCTGAAGGTGCTGCATCCGAGGATGTCCTGCCTGTATAGTATTAGCTATGAAACGCAACCATCGCGGTCCAATACTGACAACGGGGTGATATCACTTCCTCGGCATCCACAGTCTCTGGCTGTAGATGGTTATTCGGCGAGGTCTTTGACATAGGATTCTGTGCCGCCAGCGCTCTTGTTGCGAGCCCCCTGAGGCTTTCACACGCTTTGTCATATTCATGGTCCTGAGGCCCAAACTTGACTATGTTAGAGTGCGTACGGGCGATGGCACAAATATGCTCTGGGCCATTTTCCCAGGAACGGCAGTGTGTAGCTGAAGACTTGGTGACGAGGACTGCTTTCGGCCCCTCCATTTTCCAGTTGCCATGTTGATCCTGTTCTCTATGAGTGCATGCGTTTTAATCGAGAGTGGACAACTATACCTTCTGCGCTGTTGGTGACTGGAGTGTTTCGTAGAAGCATATGACTTCAGAGTTACCCTGTCTACCCAGTGCAGTGTGGAATTCTCGATGCTGGGTGCTGAGAATTTGAGAATTGATGCGACTGAGAGATTCGACAAGGAATCGATTCGGACTGTCTCCAACCATCGGGATAAGTGAGCTAATATCCATGCCGTCATGTGGAACTCCAAAGAAGGCAATTCCGTACACGGCCCGATTAAGTCGTGTATGGTCCTCTCTGTTAGACTTCGACAATATGATCAGGGCCTATTAATTGAGTGAGCATTTTCCGGACAGATCTAGCTATATCAATAAACACACCTCCTTGACAATCAACCCTCCCAGACTATGGGCAATGAAGAGAATTGGCCTCATAGTTGGCCCATCAAGTAGTGCAAGTAGGCTGTTGCAAAAAGAAGTTGCAAGATCCTCCAAGTTCTGTATGTTCTCGCTCTGTACCACAGTCGATTCGTAGCCGTAGATCATCGTCCGCGCCGTGGGGATATCAAACGGTAGAGCATCTCGTAGCCACATGAACGCTCCGCCTCGCTCTTTGAATGAACCAAAAGCATGTCCGCCGAGGCCGGATATTGCTATGATACTGAAACAGTTAGTAAATTTCCCTTGGGTAAGCCGATATACTTACTCGACCTCGTGGCCCTCTGGCGGCGGGGAGTAGAGGGTAGTGATACCAAGGAAGCCATCTTCGACCGCTAGGTATGGATTCCGAGGCGATTGATGCTCATCTGGTAGCCAAAGGCGCCAGATCTCATCTTTGTGAAGAGTTTGGAATGGCAGAACGTTCCGGAAGGTCACCGTGGCAGTTTTGGTACGGCCATGCACCTCGCGGGCGAGGGACCTAACATTTGGGCCCGCAGAGCTCTGGTGGTCTTCCAGGAAGGACTTCAAATCCTTCAATTCCCAGCTAATCGGTACACCACGGATACGAAACGACCTGTCGTCTCTAGGAAGGTTCCTAGTCTCTGGTGCCGGGGGTGGGGATCTGTCAGGACGCTCGCCAGCGCTTGGTTGATCCATGATGATCGGTACGGAACGCTGATCAACACAAGCCACTCATGCGGCAGTTGGAATACCGGTTGATTGCTTTTGAGTGTACTAGGTGGTCGCTTCCCTTTTCGCGAAACTGAATGCGACGTTGGAGACGGAAATGGTGGGCGAGATGGATGAAGACAGCTGACTGTCCCTGGCTTTGCGGGGGAAATGAGGGATGCATCTCGCGGGGAGCCTCAGCCAATCGACGCATATCAGGCTGTGCCAACACGTGATGGGTGCCATCCAGACAGGCTTGCTTTTTATGGCATGTTGGTGGATTGATGAAGCTCTACAAGTGTACGTCGTATTATATTTCCATTCGCATTACAAGGCCCGCAAATGTGGTTCATGCGGAGAATATTTAACACTTGTTGGAGATATACTACCGACAAGTTGTAAGTAAATAGGTACCCACGGAGCTCCTCTTTTGTCTCGCTAGCTGAGTGGTTCAACAACACTGGATTGGCAACACTAAATACAGCCGTTACTACAGCCTCCATCCACATAGCGGATTGATTTAGTTGCGGGGAAATTGTTGATAACCCCATGCAGCACATAGCGAATGATGTAATTGTGGGCAAGTGTAACAGATGGCTCGAGGTGTCATGATCATTAATTGCTCATTTTATTCATGGGCTTTGACATTTTTTTCCTTTACTTGCTTTCAAAAAACCTTCCTCCCATGGCGTATGTCCATATTTAATCCCGTTCCCTCGCTCTTCCGCAATTAACTCACTTGTGGAACTTCTTGACCCTCTCGACCTCATCGAAGCTACCCATGAAGATACCAGCCTTATCGTGGATGGTCTCGGGTACCACCTCGAGCATTCGGTTCATCTTACTATCGACAGCCTGACCACCAGCTTGAAGAGAAACATTGTTAGCAAATCGGGAAACCACAAAAACAGGCGAATGTCAAGACTTACCATTCTCAAAGACCAGAGCCATAGGAGCGCACTCGTAAAGGATTCGGAGCTTGCCCTTGGGGCTCTTCTTGTCGGCAGGGTAGGCAAAGATACCTCCGTACAACAGGGTTCGGTACGCATCGGCAACCATGCTACCGATGTATCGGGAGCTGTATGGCTTGCCGTTCTCTTGGGCCAGCTTGAGACCGTTGAAGTAGTTAATGGTCTTCTCCTCCCAGTACAAGGAGTTACCCTCGTTGACGGAGTAGATGGCACGAGCCTTGGGGATGCGCATGTTGGGGTGGGACAGGATGAATTCGCCGACGCCAGTGTCGAGGGTGAAACCATTGACGGTGCCGCCCTTCATGGTCATGACGAGCTGCGAAGACGCACCGTACATGGTGAAACCGGCGGCAAGCAGCTCAGTACCGGGCTTCAGGATATCCTCCTTTGTGCCCCTGGAGCCGGGAGGGAGCTTGTGGACAGCGAAAATGGTGCCGACTGAGACACCGGCGTCGAGGTTGGACGAACCATCAATTGGGTCGCAGGCGACGGCGTAGTGGGCGTCGGCGCTGTCGCGGAAGTAAATAATCTCATCCTCCTCCTCGGACACTAGCAGGGCGCATTTGCCCGAGGAGCGCATGGCCTCAATGAAGAGGTCATTGGAAATGACGTCGAGCTTCTTCTGGTCGTCTCCGGTGCTGTTGGAGGAACCGGCGAGACCGGTCAGGTTGATGAGGGTAGCTCGGCGGATGTAGTAGGCAATGGACTTGAAGGAGAATTGGAGGGCGTGGCAGAGGAGTCTAGGTACACGGGTCAGTTGGTGGCCGATTGAAGCCGTCGGCATGAACGGCTGGTGGTGGGGGTGGGGTTGTGGTGGGGGAAGCCTTACGTGAAGTCACCGGTGGCTTCATGGTGCTTAGCCTGCTCCTCAGTGAGGAAGCGGGTGAGGGTGACGATGTTGGTGTTGATCTTCTCAGACTCTTGCATCGTGTTGCCGTTGGTCGCCATTGTGACTGAATGGGTAAAGGTTCGGCTGGAGAAGCGGATGAGGGGAGGCTTTGTAAGGAGGGGAAGCTAGAGTGGCGGGAGCTTAAGCCGAAGTACAAGGTTTCAACGTCACGGGAGGAAGCCGACGTCGACTGAAGGGATTGTTGAAGAGAGGCGGAGAGGGTATCGTCAGGGCGGGGTAGTGAGAGGAATTGGAGGAATGGATAAAAGAGGAAGAGAAAGAAGAGGATCCAGAGAAAGTGAGAAGAAGAAAGTAGGGTCCGACGAGATAGGCCCGGGAGGAGACGAGAATAGGAGCATCCCTCAAATCCAATTCCCGGGGCTAGATGACCATGATACGCTCGGCATCCAGTGTCCAGAACCAAAACGGCTTGCAATCAAAACGACGAGGTCTCGTGGCCCGCCCGCCACAGCATCTGTCGCCCGTCGCTCGGGAACACACGCCCCTCGGCGGTAGCGTGACCCGCCCGCGTTCCCCCAGCCCGCCCGGCTCTGGAGGACTGTGTTACGCACTTTCAACCGCTCAACCGCCTGGGGGAGTCCCTTCAGGTCCCGACGGCGGGTTCGAATTGGAGGTCGATTGGGTCGCTGCCGGCCGAGGGGAAGCGTCGCAAGAGGATTTCCCGGGGCGTCGACGCTGCGGGAGCCGCTTGATGTTTGGGTCGGTCCCGGTTCTCCCCACATCTTGAGTAATTGGCGTCGCCGGCTCCAGTCCGCCGTCGGTGGAGTGGAGGGGCGCTTGGCTCAGCAAGCTGTCTTTGAAAGGCTGAAGGGGCCTGGAAGCCGCAGCGTGGAGCTCCATTCCGGATGACCCCCCATGTCCCGCATGTCCCACGGGGCTCCTGGGCCGCCTTGAAGCCACGGTTAACGACTGTGCCTGCGCCTGTGACCTGTAAGCTTTGCCGCGGACGTCCATTGTCGATTGTCATGAATCCAATGCTAGTTCCCATCCCCATCGTCGGGGGTACACCTCCGTCAATTCACCTCCCCCCGCCCCGGTGGGGGTGGCTCGCTCGGTCTTCGGCCGAGCCTGCATGTGGCTGCGTCTGGTCTGGGGGCCACCCGGAAAAGACATCTGTTTAGGAGAGGGATCTGACTCTGCGGGAGGAGTGGACCAACCCGGGGGGAACGTCGGGAATGGAGACTTTGGGGGTTGAAGATTTGATGCCTGACATCGAACATCGATCATCTTGCTCGCCTGAGGCTGCCAGATCAAGATGTCCTTGCATTGCATGTTATCACGTGTAACCCCGCCGTGCAATGCATTGCACATGTCGATCAGACCAGACCAGACAGATGGACCTCCCCATCGGGTTAATAGGTTATCCGGCCAGCCGGGGCTGGGAGAATGCAAGACGGAAAAGGAGAGCGAAGGAGGAGCTTTTATTAGGCAAGTCACCGCCCAGAAAAATGCGCCCTGCTGTGCTTTTTGCCCAGGAATTAACTAACCAACAGGCGACAGGTAATTACTGTACGGCCAAACCCCTGCCTCCCTTCCCTTGCTCTGGAAGGGAAGCTCAGCGGCATCTGCATCAAACGCCAGCTGCGCGACACCGAGGCAAAGCTCCTGAAGGGGGCTAATAAGGAACCGCTGAGACACTGGCAGGACCGCTGATAACGGCCTCATGCCTCTGAGCCAGCGCCGCGGTCCACTGCGTGCCGCTGAAACAGCCGTGGGCGGCGCTGACCTCGGTATCGCGCCAGCACCTGTAATGCCCTGGAGCACGTTTTTGCGGGGGACTCGCGCCGAGCCAGCCAACCACGGCAGCGCTGCGCCAGGGGTCCTCGTCGCTCCCTCACCCTTTATAATCCAGCGCGCTCGGGAGGGGACCTCGGCATGTGAAGCCGTCTCCATGGCCGTCCCTTCGGGCAAGTGTCCGACGCTGTGGACTGGGTTTCTTGTGCGCCATACGCAATCGCCCATAATAGCCCCATGCGCCAGATTCCCGATTCCCCAGCTTTTTTCTGTGTTGGACCTCGATTGCGACTCTGACACTGCGCGCGCTCCTTCCATCCAACCAGCCCGTTCTCCGATTTATCCGCCGCTTCCACCACGGCCGCTAACTTCGACTCCTCTCCTAACCTCCATCATCTCTATCACCACCACCACAACCATCGGAACGTGAGCATTCCTTTATCGCGTCATCTATCATCGTCGCCATCGTCCCAATCGCTGTCGACTTCCGTATTGCGGCCATCTCCGTGAATCCACCCCATCCGTGACATTCGAGCTCGTCGCCGCAGCACGTGCCAGACTTCCGACATTCCGACATTCCGATAGCCTCCTCCTCCTCCTTCATCACCACCAAACCACCGCAACCATGGTCGCCGACGCCCTCATCTACCACCCCTCGGTGGCCCACTACCTGCGCTTCATTGGCACCACCGTCGGCCGCGACAAGCTCCTCCGCATCGTCCAGTACTTTGCCCGCTTCTACGCCTGGTACCTGCTGCGCACCAACGGCACCGCCACGGCCATCGCCCCCTGGGACGCCCTCAAGAAGCAGTTCGGCCTGGCCCGCAAGCTGCTGCGCATCGGCAAGAATGTCGAGCACTTCAAGGCCGCTGCCACCGCTGCCGACGCCAAGTCAAGCGACCCCGTCCTGCGGTACACCTCGGTCGGCCGCCAGCTGGGCTACGCCGGCTACCTGACCTGCGATGCCGCCACCGTCCTCGATGCTGCCGGCGTCCGCAAGTGGGCCGGCGCGAAGCGCATGCAGCAGGAGGCCTACCGCTTCTGGGCCATTGGCATCGTCTTCAGCGTCGTCGGCCAGCTCTACAAGCTGCACACCCTGCGACAGCGCGAGGCCTTGGTCGACAAGAAGGATGGCGAGGGCGTCGTTGAGAGCAAGCGCATCTCTATGTAAGTACCTCACTCCTGCGACTCTACTCCTCGCGCAATACCGTATGAACTTCCATGCTAACCTTCTCCCAGCGAGCGCTCTGCCAGCAAGCTCCAGCTCTTCTGCGATCTTTGCGACATGACCGTCCCCTTCTCCGGTGTCGGCTGGATCGCCTTCGACGATGGCGTCGTTGGTCTCACTGGAACCATCAGCAGTATTATCGGAGTCTACAGCCAATGGAAGAAGACAGCCGCCTAAACGGAGATATATATACCCAACCGCCTCTGTCCTTCCACCACCCGACAAAACAAAACGCTCACACATCCATCCACCCATCCACCCATCCACACGCGCATCCTACGCACTCTTTCATAATTTTATCCTCTCGCACAAACTGCAATGTCTTTTGGTGTATACTACTAACAGGACGGGAGTAAACTGATCGGTGGCCGGTTGCTAGTCATATTCTCTGTTTTGCCCGTGCAACTTTGCCATGCCATAGATTTTTTACTCGTTGGGACTCAATGAAACTTGGTTTTCCTTTTTGCTAAAGTCTGATTGTGCTTTTCGTTGTAAGAACTGCTGCCTTAACTCGAAACGAACGGGTCCAAACGAAAGTAGGTATTTGCCCACCAAAAGATAAACTTATACGCACAAAAGGAAACAAAAGAGCTAAACGCGGAAGAAGCATCGCAGCCGTCCTGGTAATCATACACTGTGATCATATTACCCAAGTTCCCGTATTTGCAATCGCAGCGCCCCCTTCCAGTGCCATCTCCTTCGTTGTCTTCGTCAAGCACAGTTCCGGTCCCACCACCTCATTCCAATCTCATATAACCGTATCGAAGTAGCGCTCTCTGGTCATGTCAAGTTATCCGCCGTACCTGCCTATCTGCTGCAAATCCCAGATCCAGTCCGTTCGCTAGTCGAAAAAGAATGCGCATGCCACAGTTGGTGCATCCGAGCAGGGTAGTCATCTAGTACCGCCGGTCAAGGACAGTTCCCGCAAAACGCGCGGTTAAGCAGAGATAGGAAAATGGGGTTTACCAGTAACGCCCGCCACGCTCATACTCGCGCGGGTATCCTTCCCGCGGATATCCGCCCTCGCGGGGAGGGAAGTCTCGGGGAGGTCGGTCATAGGGTGGCCGGCCGTTGGCATAAGGGTCAGGTGGGGGAGGGTAGTCCCGGCGATAAGGGTCATCGTAGCGTCCACGAGCAGCGGGGTACTCTTCCATGGGACGGCGAGGAGGCGATCGGTACCGAGCTCGGTCTTCGTAGTACTCGCGTCGTGGGCTTCGGTCGCGGTAACCATATCCGTCTCGACGGGGGCTATAGCCACGAGGAGGGCCGCGGCGGTCATAGTCGTCCATGGGAGGGGGGTAGGGTCGACGGCTGGGAGACCGGGAGCGTCCGCGCTCGCGCTGGGGTACATCAGGCTGGGTCTACATCTTCATGTCAGACGGTCATATTCGGAGCGGGGGAATACCACATTAGGTCATACGTCAGCAACACATTGAACCCGCTGTCCCTTGAACTCGCGGCCATCGAGCTTCTCCACAGCAGTCTTCAGGTCTGCAGCGGTCTCAAACTCGACAAATCTATCGATGGCGGTTAATCGCTATTCTCTTAGGGATGAAAGAATGATACAAGTTGTTAAACTTACCCTCGGCCGTTAGACTCTCGGCCAGTCTCAGAGTAGACAACGTCAAGGCTAGATTGACGGGCAAAGTCTTTGAGGTCCTATTTCCAGAATCCACGTAAGTCGCTGTCCAGGAGTAGGGTAATGCCGGGAAGTCCATGTAATCCACAAAATGAGAGCCATCGGTCAAGTCAAGAACCAGGGAGCAGGACCGGCAGGGTGGGGAGAAGCGGTCCAGAGTCGCCGTTCCCGAAACCGAGTCCTGGCGCAATCCCGACGGGTCGAGGCTATGGAAGCCGGAGCTCCGCGCGGGGCACAAAGGGGGGAGAGTCCATGGAGTCCAGCGATAAGCAACGGGAAGGAAAAACAGACCTGCCAACTGGTTTCGTTTGGAAGTCCCGTAATCTGCATCCGGTGAGGGGTTCGACGAGGCCGTGGCGCAGCGCGCTCATGGGTGCCGAAGGTGCCCTCCCGGTGCCGGGAACCGCGGGCAAACTGGACGGTGAGTCGTTCTCCCATAAAATCAGATCCGTCTTGGCAGCGAGGTTAGCCATGGAGCGCAGAGGAGAGCGAGGTCTAGAGTGGTGACATACGGAAGGCTGCGGGCGCATAAGTCAGTATTCAGCGCAGAGGGCGGGGAGGGGAGCAACTTACCCGGGACAACGTCGCGGGCATCCATAGGGTCCTTGTATTCGATGAAGCCGAAGCCGTTCATCAGCTTGACCTCGGTGATTTCTCCGGTGCCATGAGTCGCAAAGTGAGCCTCAACATCGGCCTTGGTAGCTGTCGGCAGCGAGTCAGTGGCATAGCTAGCAGCGTCAGGGCTGTGAGTATGGACCATTGCGAGGGAGGTTCCCCAAGTACAGCCGGGTGGCTGATACCTCCGTCATTGTTGCCGTCGGGGCGGGATTGGATCGGGGATCGAGATCAACGGCCGGTTTCGATCGAAGGGAGGTCCAGGCGGGCGAGAGGAAAAGCAAGGTAGGTCTCTGGGATGGAAAGCGCAGCCAAGGAAGTTCCGGGACTCCGGGGCCAGTCGCACGATCGGAACCGGGTCGGGGATTGAAGCGGAGGGAGGGCCCTTGGGATGGGATGGGATGGCGGCGGTGGTGGTGACGGGTGGTGTTGGTGAGGAGAAAGAGGCGTGCGCGCGTGCGAGGGTGGTGGACTTGCGACGGAAAGGCTGGTGGCCGGCGTGGGCGGGGAGCGGTGGCAAAATTCCGAATCGGGCAATGGCGCCGGGTTGGACCAAGTTCTGCAGCAGGAAGCGAGTGGCTCCAGTGGAAGCTCCAGTGAGATGACCTAGCCCCAGTGGGCAGCTGCGGAGGTTCCAGTGGGCTCCAGTCCAGTGGGCTCCAGTTCCAGTGGGAAGCTGTGATCAAATTGTGCATTAATTGCAGATTCCAGCATGCGACATTGCGACATGCATTTCGCTCACACACAAACCCCAGATGCACGCCTGTGGGTCGCGGACTACAGTAGCTCTACCACCTACAGTAGCTCGGTCTGCCTCCCACGAACTCCTCTGTCACTGCACTCCCTATCTGGCAAGCTGGGTCGCTGGGTCGCCGAGAAAACCGCCGGTTCAAAGTGCATTCCTCATTATTTGCCGCCTCTCCGCCTCTATCAAAATCTCGTCCGAGGCCTACTACGTACAATCCCCGTCCCTATCGACCCAACCGAGAGCCAAGAGCTACACGACGGCGCCCAATATCCACTCTCTGCCTTGCCCTTCCTGGGCCTTCCTTGCCTTGCCCCCGGCCCTCCCCACCCGCTCGTGCCATCCTTTGCCATTCCTTGACTTCTCGCAAATATCCCCCGTCGACGCCCAAACGCCATGCTCTGTGTGTTGTGTGTGTGTTGTGTGTGTGTACGCGTGCCATGTGATCATAGAAACGACAGGAAGATGACACTCTCCTTGCTAAGACTCCTCAAACAGCACCGATATTATCTCATCCACCATCGTGAACACCAGGTGTGCGCTGTCAACTTGTTAGCCTCCTATTCTTTCCATATTTGCTTCTTCCACTTACTTGAGCCTTGAATTGTTTAACGTCGCAAATATTCGTCGACTCGCTGCCTGCGCATTTACTCTCCCGACCACACTCCCTGCTAGGTCTGGTACGAGGGTCGCCAGCATCAAACTAGCCTCTGTCCGCGTCTTCTTCTTCTCCGCTGCTGTCCGTGGTTTGCGATCTCGCTGGAGCTGCCCCCCTGGCCACATGCTGTCCTGCACCATGCCAATGTATCGCAGAAGCGAATCCTCCTGCACAAGCATCTTGACGTTGTCGCGCACTTTTCTCTCGATAGTACCACCCAAGAGCTGCTGAAGAACCACAACCACTGCTCGTCCTCGGAGCCAGTTGTTTCCCTTGTTCAGCTCAAACACTTCCAAGAAGATGTCGCAGATGGGCTTGATAAACGGCTCGAGTTCTTTATTCTCAAAGGCGTTCAGTTCCGCTTCGGCTTCGGCCGCAGGGAAGGCTTCCTCGCTGTCGTTGAGTGGCACTGTGTTGAGCTGGCTCGTAGCAGCCGCGATCAAGTTTTGTCCAGCAACGGAGATCTGGTCCAACACCGGGATGTTCCCCAGTATGTCCTCAACACCATCCGTGACTGAATCGTACAGTCGCGTCATCATGTCTTTCTTGTCCTCGCGGTCCATCAGGTCTTGGCCTTCTGCGATGACACGTTGGGATAAGAAAGCCCGCAGATCTCTACTACGGCAGACCTCGGGCAACAGCAGCAGTTCCCGCATGTACTTTTCCAGTGCTTCTCGTCGCTTGCGTAGAAATTCGCTCTGGAACTTCATGACCATGCGCCGTCGAGGAAAGTCGAGGTTTCGTACCGAAGGGTATCTGGATCGTAGCTTCTGGTGCAGTTCATGGAACTCGCTATATCGTCTTGAAATCGCCCATGACGCTGCCGGCATTTGCTCTCCAGCATTTCTCTGCACTTCGACAGCGTAAAGGGCAAATTCTCTGCCATCCTCCTCCCTTCCGACTTGAATCGACTTGATCCTGATTGTAGAACGACCATAAAGACTGTTGTCGCTCTCTTGGACGACATATTGCTGTCGTTGGAGCTCTTTCCGCCGGATTTCTCTCTGGAGACTGGCCTTGGATTTTCTCAAAATTCGTAGCTCGGCAGTGTTGTTGGTCAACTCTGCTTTCCTTGTAAGGGATTCGACGACCGCCTCCTGAGCCACTAGGCGGTCGATGTCATTCGTTAGAGCAGTAATAGCTTCTGCTAACCCAAGATCGCCTGGGGCAGCCTCATGTACCTCGTCGTCGTCATCCAGTGGCATTCCATCCTCCACCTCCTCTCCAGCGTACTTGTCTTCGTCGCCAAAAAGATCATCGTCGATAAACACGCCAATTCTTGACGCCGCACTCACCAGGCCAAGAGATGAAAGACTTGGTTTGTCAATCTCCTTGCCAAGTAGAAAAGGTTTTATCCCGCTGTCTATCGAGCCTCGATGGGAATCGTTATCGTTCCCGGAAAAGATGCTCGCGTTGTCTTCGACAGGGGCAACGGGGCCCTCAAATAGAGAGGCGCGGAGGTCTTCAGCGGTCAAGGGTCGATCGTCCTCCATAATGTTGTTTAGAGCCTTCTCCACTGCTTGGACAACCTGGGTATCCGGAGGCTGTTCTCCAGCGGGCTCTTGGTCGAGACTCTGTACGGAATCAACCAGACCATCATGCTCCAGTTCATCATCGTCAAATAGCGGGTTCGGTGGTTCATCATCAAGTGACCGACGGGGTCGAGATAGAGGATCAGCTCCGTTGCCATTAACATTGGCAGATCTCAAATCAGACGCTGAACCAGATCGTCTACCTAGAGGACTAGATCGCCGGGGGGCAAGGCGCGATACTGGCCTAGGCTTCGCTTGAAAAGACTGCGCGGCTTTCACGATAGGGCGGTGTTCTGGTGGTGGCACCGGTCGGACTGTGTTGGAACTGGATGCTTCCTGAGCCGCAAGGCATTTGTAATAAAGGTCGGACTTCTTAAAGCTCAGGAAGAAACGTGATTGCATCTCCTCCAGAACAGCACTTTGAGCTTTCAGAATCGCTCTCCGGGCCCTGTGGTATTGTACCGGTGTGGCAGACTTGCCGGCTTTGAGGAACTCCTTAAGTTCTGTCGTTGAAGAAGCCGAAATCTTGAGTTCGGGTTTAGATAAATATGCTTGGTCGATCTGCTGAAGATCCAGTCGATCAGACTCGGTCCACATGGGCAGTGTTGACGGCAACTGTTCGTCTTCCTGGCCATCGTCCTCCAGTGGGTTACGGAAGCCATCTACAACCAACCAAAACTGTACCAGAGGCATAAGACGCTGGCGATCCATGTACTCCATGAAGTAGGACAGTCCCGAAGAGTCTCGTAGCAACTCGGCAAGGGACGCCGTCTCCAGTCTTGACTGGGAGGAGGTTGCTGGCAACGGGGCGGGCATCGGTGCACGGCGGTCGCCCCCAGCTGCCAGGTGGTTGACTTTCTGGTCAAGAAGGCGCTTTCCCATCTCCAGTCGACGCAGATAAACCTGGTCCTGGTTGTCTTGCAAGGAATCGCGCTTGAGCTGACTGGCGACTTCAGAGCGGAAACGGCGCGCATCCGACAGGTTATTGACCTTGCGGATGGCTCGTATGAACTTTTCAAACTTGCGCTCACTGTCGCCGGGGGTAATGCGAGGTGTCGAAGCTGGCTTGCCGGATCTGGGCGCTGGGGAGGCGTGCTGGTCGAGAGCTGCTCGGAGTTTGCGGACAGTCGATCTGTCCTGGAGCATTGAGCGGCCAAAGTTCTCCATGAGCTGGTTCCAGGTATCGGGTTCGGAGAGGAGCTGGAAGACTGGGAAGAGCACGGCGCAGCTCACGATCTCACGTATAATGATGGATACAGCTCGACTGGCCAGCATGTTCTCGGGCAGCAGCTTGGGAACAATCTTGGTAACCAACGATCGGAGGTAGTCTTGCTGCACCATCTTGGTATCGGGGAACGACAGGGACGCAGCAGGGTGTAGGCGGCCATCACGGAACTTGGACGCAATAGCGAGGTCCAACTCCTCGGATTCCGTGACGGAGCGGTTGAGCTTCCTCCCTCGAACCGACCGCTCCGCCTCGCAGAAGTCACGGAAGTGGGCGGTCAAGAGGGGCACCAAGCGGCTGGTGACAATCTCAGCCAGGTCCTTGTCCCGCAGCGAGTCGCGCAAGCCCATGAGGGCCTGGCGGATGGCGTGGTCGACCTCATTCGGGAACGTGGGGTTGCGGCTGATGTGCGAGTACCAGCTGCCGACGAAGTCGCGGAGTATAAGATCGAGGAAGCCGTCGACGGCCGAGGAGACGCGGGGCGAGTCGAGATCGACGGGGGTTCGGGTGTACAGCTGTCGTCTGCGCAGCGCCTGCACCTCGGAGCGCCAGGCCTGCGAGCCGAGAAAGGCGGCGCCGTGAGGCCGTGGCGTGCGGTCGCGGGGGCGTCGCGAAGTGAGGACAAGCGAGGCCACGAGGGCGGCGACGGTGACGAGGGCGCCGGTGACAAAGGCGTGGCCGGCCCAGCGCAGCACGGGGAGCCAGTTGACGGCGTACCCCCAGGCCACGAAGGCGGCGAGTCCTGCTAGAGCCGCATCTCTTCGCTTGAGGGCCATCGCCGGGGCAGTGGTTGAAGCCGCATCGTCTGGTGAGGTGTCATGTCGGGATGGCGGCGGTGCTATCCGCTGGCGGGCCATTATCGATTACGATTACGGGGTGCTGCTGCATCCACCCCTGTCTGCAAAACGTCAACCCATGGAAGCCCATGCACGCCCCGGCCAGCCAACATCTGCAGGTACTACGTACGTTGAGCTCACCTCCAGTTTAGATTAATGAAGCGATTCTCGCCTTGCATTGCTGAGTATATATGTATTTTTTTTAATATATTGTAAGCATTTTTTGGATGCCTCTCTGAAGTTGCAATCATGACTCGTGTGAGCTTCCCCCGCTTAAACATGCATTCAACAGCTCTCTATCTGAACCACAACTCGCCTCAAGATTGCATGTGATACTCGAGTAAATCGTCATCTCGTGTCCTGATCCATGCAAGGGGTCGCATCATTCTGACTTTTCCTTATCTCGCGGCTTACCATACCGGGTCCTCCAGTCTCCTGAACAATGCCACAAACTTCTGGCCATTATTTCTCGAGACCTTCTTCCCTTCCTCGGTTTCATCCGTCATGACCTTGACGCACGGGTCAGCTGCCTCGTCCTCCTTAGAGACTCTTTCGAAAGCGGGGTGAGCATCCAGGTGTTGCACCATCCACTCGTGCAGGGCTTCGACGTCGGTGATGGTGTAGACAATGCCGCCTGGTCTGAGGGCATATGCATACTCCGAGTTGAGCGTCGTCGACACGATTCTAGCCTTGTGCTTGCGAGCCTTGAAGTGGGGGTCGGGGAAGCAGATGAAGATCTTGGAGAGCTGTCCCTTCTTGAAGAAGTTGGGGAGGAATTTCATGGCGTTGGCTCGGATGCAGCCTACGTTCTGGTAGAGGTTGTCCGAGTTTTGCGACCGCAATGCCCGTATTCGTTCTTGGACGAACTGCGTCACTTGTGTGCGAATCTCAAGGCCTATAATTTCTCAGCAGCCGTTCGCCGTCCAGTTATTCTCATCCTACTCACCGAGAATGAGAGTGTCGGGCAGGATGGGGGCCAGAGCAGCCAGAAGCCCTCCAAACCCACACCCAATATCGACGATCTCAACATCCTTCGTGAGGCGATGGGACTTAGAATCACTCTCTGATGAGTCCTTTTCAACATAGTCCGGGTAGTATTCGGACCAGTCCATATCATCTGGAGACGTAGGACTATACGCAAGTTAGAAACCATGGCATGTGACAGCAGAGACCAGGCACAGACTACGTACTATTCTAGCAAGTGGTCGGAGAAGGGATTGGCATGCGCACGCTGGCGGAAGAACTTCTTCTTGGGCATTTGAGTAACTCCATCTTTCGTTACCGTTGCGCGCTGCTTGTCGCGATTGTGTCGCTTGGGTTGAGGTCCCGCCATGGTTCGCGCCTTGAAATGTTTTCTTGCGTCGCACGCCCAGAGACAAGCCTTGGAGGCAGGGCCTTTGTGGGCTGGCGTGGTGTTTTGCGCTCGGCCGAATACGGAAGGCGGTGAGCTAGGACCCCTGGTCAAATAGTGGGCCATTGCCTGCGTCAGAATCCAGCTCGGACTCCTGCCGCGGATGCCCGTGATCCCAGCTACGACGGTCAAAATCAGCTGCTCATGAGATATGATCCTCCTTCTCCTGAACACCTCACCACTGCACTCACGATGTCTCAGTCACCGCAAGACTCGTCCTGGAATCTGCTCGGTCCCCTGGTGACCGAGTACTCATTTGTCGTCCACTGCATCTCCCTTGTCTGTGTAAGTCTCCCTTCCACCCTCCTCGTGCTAGCTCTGTTACTGTGTTGCTGACCAACGGACAGTTCTGTCTTGGGCTTCTCTTCCTCATCCCCATTACTGTTCTCATTATTTTGGATCTTTTTCTATGGGTGTGGCGCATGTACAGGACTCCAACCCCGCCGAACGAGAGACACGGTCACGATGATGTGGTAGTTGTGCAAACTGCCCTACCGGACGCCCCGGCTCCGGTGAACCGCCGAACACGCTGAAAGCGGAGAGGACCAACTGGAATCACCGTCGTCTCAAGTCGCGAAAGTCACAAAATATGGGCAATGGGTTTCTCTTGAGATGTGTCCATGAGGTGTACGGAAACGAGTACAACTCCTCACGAACGAACGATCCGCTGGATCAACAAACATCTCTAGACGCACCCGCAGTTCCAGGAATATGCGAAAACATCCGGTCTCAAGCCTGCCCATAGCTTCATCAACCGGAATGCCTGGACTTACACTGGCTAGACCTTCGAGACTCTCGCAACCCTGCCACCCTTCCCAGCGCCGAAATAATCCGGGCTCCCTCCTCTGTCTATCAAACACTTCAAAGAAGTTCCAACCAACCTCCCCCGAAGGCAGTACCTCCACGTGCCGCTTAAATGGCTTGTAACAAAGTATAATTAGCTCTAGTGGCTCGAGCAGTGACGGCAACATGCCCCCATCTACCAATACCCGAAACCGCCAATGCGGTTAATTCCCCAGTCGTCTAAGATGAAGAGAAGGCTATTCTCGCTGGCCTGGGAGGCCCAGACAACCCGAAAAAGTCATTTACGACAAGTTCCCGCAAATCCAGTCCACCGCCACTCCACCATTGTGACCAACCTCCGGGGACGCCCCAAGAGCCAAGGGTGCGGGCCAGTGTACTCGCCTATTCCGTTTATTTGACCCATTAGTCCAACTACGGCGCATTCTCTTACAAACAACCCACTCGGAAAGACACCAACCAAGCGCCCAACCTCCAACGCGTTCGTTGTATAATTACATCAACGAAGCGCGAACAAGGTCCATCAAGACAGAACTGGGACAGATCCAGGCAGACTTCACCTCGACGAACCGTCGCCCACGTACCCGAACGTGGTCACCTTCAGGTGTTTTGGCTTAGGGCGCTTAGAGCTTATGTTCCTACTTTATTATTGTCCTCATGATTCTAGACCTCTTTCTATAGTTGCGGCGCATGTCTAGGACTCCAACCCTGCCTCACGATTCGACGCCTCCCGTCCCCATTGCGACGAAGCTGAAGCCCTCCGCCTTAACCAGGAGGTAGACACATCCACCCTACATTTATAGATGCTCTACGACACGAGATGAACAATAGATCAGCGCTTGTGGAGTCTTACATCCAGCCTTTTTTATTCTTGCTATATCACATCCAGCTTTTTACGCAATCTGCCCAAGAACCTTGATCAGGTCGGCAGTGACACCCATGGCAGTCACGTCACCACCAGCACCGGCACCCTGGACTATCAGGGGGTTGCTTCCATACCTCTCGGTGTAGAAGCTAATGATGTTGTCACTGCCCTTGAGTGCGGCAATGGGGTGCGAGCGGTCGAACTGCTCGAGGCCAACCTTGACCTGCTTGCTAGCAGTGTCAATGCTTCCGACGAATCGAACAACCTTGCCAGCCTTCTCAGCCTCAGCCTTGGTCTCCTCCATCTGGTGGTCAAAGGCGGACAGCTTCTCGAGGAACTCGTCGCCGCTGGTGCAGGACTCGAGTTCCTTGGGGATCAGGCTCTGGACGGGGAACGCAGTGGGCGACTCAACAGGCAAGCCAGACAGACGAGCCAGAATGGTCAGCTTTCGGGCAACGTCGAGACCGTTGAGATCATCCCGAGGATCAGGCTCAGTGTATCCGAGTGCCTTGGCATTCTTAACCTCGTCAGACCACTTGCCACCCTGGCCCTCGGTAGGGGCAAAGGAGTTGAAGAGGAAAGACATGGTGCCACTGAAGACACCCTCAATCTTGGTAACCTTGTCACCGGTCTCAACCAAGTCCTTCAGTGTAGAGATGACAGGCAGACCAGCACCGACGGAGGACTCGTGGTAGACGCGAGCGCCCGAGGACTCGGCAGCGGAGAAGATGTCCTGCCACAGCTTGTAGGAGCCCGAGAAGCCCTTCTTGTTGGGGGTGACGATGCTGACGCCTCGGCTCAGGGCAAGAGGGTACAGCTCAGCAACGTCCTGGGAGCTCGTGTTGTCAACCAGGACGACCTTGGCGGGGGCCGCGGCGAGGTAGTCGACGACCTTGGTCAGGGCGAGAGGAGCCTTGGACGAGGCAGCGAGAGTGTCGGTGACGTTTTCCAGGCTGATGCCAGAGTAGTCGTCATTGAACAGAGCCTTGCGGCTGGTGGCGATGTAGGCAAGGGTCAACTTGGGGGAGGGCTTTCGAGCAGCGAGGGACTGGAGCTGGTTGATGAAGCTCTTGCCGACACCGCCGGCGCCTGTCGATCAATTAATGGTTAGCATGCTGATGAATAACATCGATCAAATAGAAGTCTCAGTACCAATGATGGCGATGAAAACCTGCTTAGGGGCGGCCATGACTATTGTTGAGCTGCGAATTCGTCCGGGAGCTTTTAATGATGAGCAAACTTGAGTTCCGGTCGCGGATGGCGGGGCAATGAGGTGGGCATCCAAGCACGCCAGCTAACCCCGCGGTAACCTACCCTACGTACGGTACGGGACCTCTCGCATGAAAGAACCAATAGCCCACAAGCAAATGCACGGGAAATCCACCTCGCTGATGACCACAGCTTGTTTGGGAAATTCATGTGGTAGTAATTGTTTTGCAAATTGACGGTGATGATGAATTCTCGAGGGCTTGGAGGATATAAGTCACCTCAATTGCGTTGGCGTAGTAAGTGTTGACAGACCATGGGGATCTTTGATTGCCTCAGGCTGAGCCGCGACGAGCTTCTTCAAACAACACCAACTTGTAAACTTATCCCGTCAACAAGCACCATATTCAGCATCCGAGCCACGGACTACCACCTACGACAAACCAGCAAACTCCAGATCAAATCAGCAAGCAATATGCCACAGGATCCAAACCTCTATGGCCAGCGGGCGCCTAAGAAACAGAAACGAGACGCAACGTTGTCCACCTCGCTAGATTTTACGGCTCAACTGACATCACTCATATCAAACGCCCCATCAAGCGCGACATCCGGACGAACACGACCACCCAAGGAGCGCAAAGATGATGTTTTCAAGGGTAAACAAAAACGAACCAAGGAGACCGGGGATGGACCGAAGCGGTTGCAGCTCAAGGAGGTGACTGGGACCGAGGAGGAGACGCAAGAGCTGGCGCGGGCAAAGCGCAGGATGGAGGAGAAAGCACGGGTTTACGCGGCCATGAAGAGGGGAGATTACGTGCCCAAGGAAAACGAGGCTGCACCCTTGATAGACTTTGATCGGAAATGGGCAGAGGGAGTTGAGGGGAAGGATGCCGATTTGACCAGCAGCGATGACGACGACACAGATGACGGTGAACTGGTCGAGTACGAGGATGAGTTTGGGCGTGCGCGGCAAGTCACGAAAGCAGAGAAGGAGAGGTTGGAACGAAGAGCACGGCGAGGCCTGTTGGGAGCCGAGGAGCTTGAGCGCATGTCAGCACGCCCAAGCGCACCAAGCAACTTGATATTCGGCGACGCAGTGCAGTCGATGGCCTTCAACCCCGAGGACCCAGACAAGATGGAGGAGCTGGCGCGCAAGCGAGACCGTAGCGCAACACCACCGCCAGCGCAGCACTACGATGCGAACCATGAGATCCGCACCAAGGGCACAGGATTCTATCAGTTCAGCAAGGATGAGGAGACCCGGATGGCGGAAATGACATCGCTGGGGGAGGAGCGGCAGCGGACGGAGGATCAACGCCGGACACGAGAGGACCAGAAGGAGGCACGGCGGCAGGAGATCCAGCGGCGCAGACAAGACATGGCGGCGCGGCGGGCGAAGCGGCAGGCGGACTCGTTCCTGGACGGCCTAGGGGAGTGAGAACGACTTCCACGAGGGCAGCTTCTTGGCCCGTTCGACGGAACGGATACGACTACGTATGCCACCTCGGCGCCAACGAACGGCGATGGGACGGCCACGGCCACGGCAGGATCCAATGGCCGCGCAGGGGATGGATGGGTGGGAAAAAAGTAAGACGAGGTAATTAACTGCATGTGGTGGCTCCGAGGATCCGAGGCATTCATTGCCATGGCCGGCTAAAGTTGGTTGTGGCATAGCATACGAACGAGGTTTCGTACTGTACAGTACTATGCAGTCCGTACCGTTGTTCCAAATTAACGTGGTGTTGGACAAACCTCGCCGACTAGACGGAGTACTATCCGTACGGAGCTGGCAGTCCTGTACGGTAGGGAACTGAGAAGCGAGAGCGGCCCCAGTTTCGCAAGCTAACAATGCTGGCCTCAGTTATGGAGGAGCCTGGCTTGCGTTTCCACACCTCCATCTTGCAGGCAGGAAATGCGGAACTCGTCGTGTTTAGCTTCTACCGTGCGGAAGACTAACCCTGATATCGTGTCTAAGGTAGCACTCCGCAGATGTAAATATTTGCCTCGATTTGTATTTTGTATTTGTTGTGAGAATTCCAAGTTTTTCCCCACGGGACTGCGCATGACCAGGTGCATGCGAGATCGGAATACGGGTTTTTTTTCTGGTTGCTGACAAGCATGCCAATGCCTCCAAATTTTGTGCCGCAGGGCTTGTAGACTTGTCGAGTCTGTGGCTGCTGCTGACATGGACAAGGGGGATTCCTAACAATGCCGTCTTTGCTTGGGACGGTTTTCTAAACACAGTGTGGGCCAGCGGCCACTGTGTCTGAGATAAGGAGCCGTCTCATGAGACAGATGATTTTTTTCTGGAGATCAATAATAACATGTCCTCGGACTGACTGCCCGCTAGGAATGGCGGGATTGGACAAAGCGAAACTAGGGGGAGACCGAAGGGCGCAGGTCGACAGGCAGACAGGAAGGCAGAACGGCGCCAACGATTTTGATCCTTGAGTGCATGCAGCTACTGCAGAGCATTCGTCCTTTGCTTCCATCATGGCCGTCGTCAGCTGAAGTAAATGCTGAGCGGCTACTGGTTAGTGGTGGCTGATGGGGGCCGATGGAGGGTTAACGGGCCATTGGTAATCAGGGCATTGGTCCGCCGGCCGCCTTAACCCTGAGCCTCTTGTGCCTCCTGTGCGATGGCTGCACACTTGTATCCCAATGCTAATGTCAATGGGGGCTTTGCACCAATTGGGGCTGGGGCGCAGCGGACTGGGTTGTGCTAGGCCTGCTCTCCGGGAGAGGGATTGGGGGAACTAGAGAGACGAGCCACCAGGCCTTTTGGCAGGGCTGTCCAGGCTAAAGGAGCGTCCTACGGCGGAACGAAGGACGCGAGCGACAGCGTCCTTGGTTCCACGGCAGGGTTGGTAAGACAGGTACGTACCCTGGCAGGCAAAAGGCGCGCCAGGACGTCCAGGGCGCACAGGGCACGCGAAAGCAGGGCGCCGTCTCAGGCGCTGGTTGCACCCGGCAGCACCGGCCAGGCCCAAACGGGTTGGCGCATCAGGTGTGACTCATCGGCGGAGCCATGTCTCTCCGAAAGGGCGTCGCGGTACGATTGCACCAGAGGGTACCTACACCTGGGAAGACCCGGCTAACACGGCCGCGCCCTGTCCGCAGCATGCGCCCGTTAGTGCGGTCCCATGCCCCGCGTTCCCTTCGCCGTATGGGGTACATGCACCTTCTCTGTACAGCCCGCGCAAAGCCCACCACCCGCGCCTGCCCTGGCCACAGCCCTCAGCCCTCGTGCCCGCTGGCCAACTTTGCTGCCTGAGAAATACAAATTCTCCCGGTTTTCCAGTCCACAACTTTCCTCCTTCTTCCTCCTCACCCAACTTTTTCTCCCCCCAACTTCCAAAATACTATCCACACACAACATCCAGCTATTACTCTGCGCCCAAGGCGACCATCAAGATGTTTTAAATCACCCCCCCCTCGGTGTCTCCCCCCCCTCAGTCAAAATTCAGTCCCAGGACTTTCAACCAAATCACTCCACTCAATCCCCCCGTTCAGCTCACCTTCCGGTCGACCTGAACTTCAGCCCTGCATTGCATAGCTTCAGCTCCAGTTCCCTCACAACCGCCAACATTTCCCCCCAAGACTTTCCAGTCTTCACCACGGATCCCCAGTCACCATGGCTTCCCTCCAGTACGAACCTGCCGGCCCCACCCGCGCATCAACAGCTACAGAGTCCCGAATCCCCTCAGCAGGACTTTGTCTTGTTCGACCAGCCTCAGCCTCGTCAGCACCCTAATCGGTCTACCACCTCGCTGCTCTCCCAGCGTCGTCACTCGTCACATTTGCAATATCGTCGCCAACAGCCAGTTTCCCCTGCTGTTCAGAACCAACGAGTAGCCCAATTACTCCAGGCTTTTGGTCATCCATCATCAACCTCAAACAGCCGTCTACACAACCAGTTTTACGCATCGTCGGCTCCCTCGTCGTCTGTCACATTGAATCAGCAGTCTCGTCCTGCTCGACCTCCCGTCCCCCTCTTTTCTCAAAGCACCGGTAGCGTCCAACAAACCGCCAATATGATGAACGCCGCAGGTTTGTCACCCTTGACCTCTTCCCCTGATTCCACTGGCTCACCATCCCCTGCAGACGTCGAACTCGAAGAGTTCACGGCCTTCGAGGGCGGGGCTAACACAGCCTTCTCCTCGCCGGCCATCCCCACTGTCTTTGATTTCAACGGCAGTGCTTCAAGCTCTACTTCCAACCTGGGCACTGTTTCCCCCCAGGACCTGCTCATGCATGAGCCATTCATGTCTGCACCGAACTCGTCAGCTCTCACGGCCCTGACTTCTCCATCCATCTACAACGAGTCCCCTGACTTCACCGATGGATACGATGTGTCGCCGAACTTTGGAAGCGCCGAGTTCGAGGGTGCTGGTGATCCTTGGTTCCCTTTGTTTCCCCAGGACACCACCACTGTCCCTGAACAGCCTAGTGTGGACAACTCCCCTGCCCAGCAGTCGGATGAACTGGAGTCGGTGGAGCGTCCATCTTCCGCTCGTCGGAAGCCGGGTAACTCACCCCCTTCCACTCGTCACTCGTCTGTTTCTGGAGTGGCTGCTCGTAAGCGAGACAAGCCCCTGCCTCCCATCATTGTGGAGGACCCCAGTGACACCATCGCAATGAAGCGTGCCCGAAACACCCTGGCGGCACGAAAGTCGCGTGAGCGAAAGGCTCAGCGCTTTGATGAGCTGGAGGATAGGATTGCAAAGTTGGAAGCTGAGCGTGATCACTGGAAGAAGATCGCTCTTGCTCACTCTGGAGCATGAAAAGTAAAAGTGGAATTTCTTTCGTCAAGTTAATGATCGGACCGCCGTGTGTTTGTTTTCCGGCCTAATGGATCCTGTTTCTCTTCAACTCTTCTGTACTTGATATTTATCAATCAACTTTGCCTTCTCTCAATGTTTGCATGATACTTTTTGTGACTGGAATGTCTTGTTTTCCTTGGTTCGGACAATATACTCCTTTCCACCTACGTTTCCTCCAGAGAGGCGTGTGATGGCTGAAAGTCTCGGCCTACCTTTAAACTAGGGATGTTGCGTTCGGTAGATATATAAATTATGCCACTTCTCGCTTGAAATGAAGATTCTCGGTCTCAACATTCTTATGATTTTAGTAGAAGAGAGACAATTTGACGATGCGCCGTTGCCGTATGATGACCTATTCACAAGTTTGACACAAGCCACCAGGTCTGAATCTTAGCTCATATGGTATCAAACATATTTGCACTAAAGCACTCGATAGGATATAACAATGACTATCTCACTTATAGTACTCGATTCAATAGGTCTAGTATAGTATCAACGACCTTGTTGGCAAGATAATAAGAGACCGACGGCGATGAACTCCAAAATCTCTCCACCTGAACGCTTTCATAACGAATGTTTCATTCGATGACAATCATGATAGGCAACACAGTACGCCAAGCAGAGACTAGACGTGCATGTGCTCCCTTACGACGACAAGACTAACACAACGAACTTGGATATCAGGAATAAATACCCTTCCGGCCTAAGCGCGCTACAACTAGTGGAAATCTCCAATGCGAGGTCCGAAATACTCGCCCTCAGGCAGGGTCTTGAGGACACAGGCACCGCTGCCCTCACAGCCGTCGAAAGGCGCGGTGTTGCCCCACCATGTAACTTCGATATTGCTGTACTGCAGCGCGAAGAAGATGACGAGAGCTGAAATGGCGATACCTGCGGAGAAGGCAGCCGAGAGGACAAAGTTGTACTATCGGAATTTGTTAGTCTTGGTCGGTACAGATGACAGTATAGAGGGTAATAGTGAACTCGCCTTGGACCACAGACCGAGGTAGCGTTTCTTGAGGAAGACCCAGGAGAACCAGCCAACAGGAACAGCCGGCCAGATGTAGGTGAAATTGTAGGGAGCCCAGATGAGGCCGCCGTTGAAGATGACGACGGGATGCGTGTTGCGGATGAGCTTGTTCTTGGGATACTTCTTACCGAGCCACCAGAAGAGGACAACAACGACAACTCCCAGAGGGAAGCCGACCAGCGTCTCGACGTACTGACCACCAGCACCCCACATCTTCTTGGGGCCGACGGTGCCCCAAAGCACGGCCGCGGTGAAAAAGGTGTTGATACCGGGACAGAAGAACCGGAAAGGGGCGTCGTCGGTGCAGACGTCGTCCAGGTGGACCTGGTATTGGACAATGGCGACACAGACAAACGTCGAGACAACAGTCGGGACCATCTGGGCCCAGAAGGTGAAGCGAGGGGGGATCTTGAGGTAATGGGCGAGCTTCAGGTCGTTGCTAAAGTTCAGAGCCTGGGCGCAGGTCACGTAGCCGTATGTCTTGAAGAAACACATGGCCAGGGCGTTGCCCTCGACCCAGGAGCCACCGATGAACTCGGCCAAGACGTTGAGAGTCACCTCTACACCGGTCATGGCTCGGATGATGCCGACTGGGACGACGAAAATGAGGCATAGTGCGATACCGTAAGGGACGACAGCAGGAGTGGTGTAAGTCGGCCACTCCGCGATACCAACAACACCAAGGATGACAGCGAGAACCAGAACAATCAGATACCACCACTCCGGGACTTCGGCATACGACTTCATGAGGCGGTTGTGAACATCCAGGACTTGGCCACTCTCAACCTCATCCTTTTTGGATGGGCGGAAGCTGTTGACCAGGTCGCGGAAGCCCATGCGGATTTCACGGTGGTGGTATAGAATGCCGTAGGTGATGGTGGACGTGTACACAGCGAAGAAGAACATGTAGACCACGATATTGCCGGCCGCGAGGAACGGAGGCGAGTAAGCCTCGTACTTCTCGGCATCGAAAATACCGCGCTCGTCTAGGATGCTCGTCACGTTGTATCTCTGTCCGAAGTGGTCCCAGACGTGGTTGTCGTTGATGGGCAGGTACGCGCTATTGTACGCATTACCGTAGAAGATGGCGACGACGATGAAGAAGGTGATGAATGCGCCGATGAAGTAATTGAAGGTGCTGAAGAATGGCACCATGAGAGGATCAAGGAAGTAGATGAAGACGTTCCAGTCGAAGGTGGAGAAGGGGTTCAGGCCCATGCCGCTGTAACCGCCCGTGATGACCGACAGGTTGACGTTGTTGGGAGCAATCCACGTCATCCAGCTGAACCAACTCAGCCCGTAGAAGAGATAGTTGGGCAACCAGAAGTAAAAGAACATGGCTGTGAATGCGATGGCGAAGAACTTGAGGCGCGACCACCGCCAGACCTGCTTGAGTGGGCCGAGCACGGGAATATTGCCCTGGCTGTGGAAGGCAGTGTTGAGGGCAATCGTCACAAGGGATGCGGGCCACACACAGTAGGATGGGTACACGAGGAATCTTCGACAGAGACCGGCGAGACCGTAGCCGATGAAATTGGTGGACAGGGAGATGAGGATTTGGTAGCCGAAGTTGATTGCCCAGGACTGGTTGAAGTAGGTTGGGAGATACTGCATCCAGACAACGTAGTTGGTGTACGGGACATCCTTTGAGATACTTGCCATGATGGTAATAAGCATATGTTCCTTTTTGTTGAACGGGCCTGGGTTGAGAGTATGCCGAACACCAAAGAGAGTGAAGCCAACATCGGGAAGAACCTTTTCCCACAACTTGCCGACGGGATAGGCGAGGAGCTGGGGGACATTGGACGTGACATAGATGCTGGGCTGGCGAATATCGAAGAATCCATTGATGAACGAGATGGCAGCGGAGAAGAAGAGACCGATAACCCACGCACGGATTGTCGAGCACGGCATGGTAGGATCATCGTGGTTGTCGACGACGGCACGGACCTCGGCGTAGGGGGAGTTGTTGGTGATCAAGGCGGTTTCGATCTTCATCTCCTGGATGATCTGCTCGTATTTCTCCGGATTCTCAAAGATGGCCTCGTTTCCTGCAACCGGGCATGTTAGACGATAGTGATAGAGGCTCTAACGGGGTGTTGCTTGCCTATGAAGACCTCAATCTTTTCGATGATGGAGAGAGGGAAGTTTGGGTCCCTCTTGTGGAGGGCGTAGACCTGGGTCATCATCTGCGGGAGAGTTAGTGTGTCGCCAGTGAGTAGTTGCGGAGAGGACTCACGGTGCGAACTTCCTCGAGGGATAGAGTAGCAGCAATTTCCTTGGCCTCGAGTAAATCATCCTCGGTGACGATGAGATCAGTTTGGACAGCGGCTTCGGGTTCGCTAGAACTGGTGACAGTGTCGAAGGGCTGCGAAGAGAGTGAGCAGTAGGCCTACAGAATGTAGGATGAGGATAGCAGATCAAGACCGACCTCTTTCTCAAGGACGCCGCCGGCAGGCGCCGGGGCGTCCGTCTTCTTGATAACCTCGGCCATTTCAGTCAAGACATGTAAGAGGAAACCTAAAAGACTACCTTTGTGATGCTTGCTAACAGACCATTGGCATATCACTAGTAGAGAGGAACGGCACCATGTCTCAAGGGGGCGAATGGTAACTTATCAAGTGAAAGGCAGCTGTACTACGGCAAGGTATCACGATTCACCTCGGATACAAAGTAGTACCAACCACCTTGTGCCAAAACATCGTTTCGACATGATAGCAAGATAGGGATAGATTGCATCACCGCAAACGACCTGCCCCGAATGAGGGGGAGAGGGATCTTTTGCAATAGGAGCTGGTGGTATGGGTATAGGATGCAGGCGGTTCGTGGCCCACCAGCCGCCTAACGCATGTCTGTACATCACCTAGAGTCGCAAGCCGTTATCGCAGGTTTAGGTCATGTGTGGAGAGTCCCAGAGACGTTCTTGATACGTGCTGGTTCCGACATGGTGGTGATGTACTGGGACTCTGGTCCGAGTCTTGGCAACTATACGCTGAGGAACTTTTGGAGATAGCATACGCCGTAGAGTTGTACGGCGCCAGCGGCCGCGGGTCAGGCCATGCAGCTATCAAGTAGGCGCCGCAATGTGGGATCAACGCATCGTCTAGGTTTCAATTTCGAGATATCGATAATGTATGGCGAGACGTCGGCGGAGGGGGCTCGGAGTTGAAGAGAGGCGCGGACGCCGGGCCAGGGGGCATTATCTTGGATGTTCCCCGACGCGTGGGCAACAGACGAGGCTCCGCACTCGCTCATTCGCCTACCGGAGCTGCATGTAGTAGCTGTATTGATGCTCCCGCAGTCTCTTACTGTATTCACGGGGAACTTTTGAAGGGCGGCCGAAGGAGGAAGCTAATGCCCGGTGCAGGGATGGAATCTATCAAGGTGAATAGCTGAACGAGGACATACTTGCTCTGCAGTCCTGAATTTTGAGGCGTGTTAAGGTGGCCGTCCTGCCAAGACTGACAGATGGTTGGATTTGGAACCTCAACCAGTTTCCTGCGTGTGCTGTGGTGTGTTGTATAGTGGCCGTTCTCCCAATCCATCAATAAGGTCGCGAGGCGTCTTGACACTATGCACGATGGACCGAGGCAGCACCGTCAAGGAGACGCAGTCTCAGACTGAGCTGTTGGTGTTGCAGTTGCAATCTGCACCCTTGCACACTCACACACGGGAAACACAAATATCGCAGCGGCGGGAACGCGTGGAGCAGTACAAACGGGACGGCCCATGTTCGGATATTCGCACATCTGAGACACGGTGTAGATGCCCGGATTGGGTTCGTGGAGAGGAGTGAAGATGGGGAAGTTCAAGGGCGTCGTCACCAAGCGGGCCACGGCGGAGATGCTGCTGCTACGTCAAGCAAGTGCCGGGATTGGCCTGTGCGTGCTCTTCGTGGCCAGGCACATGGCCAAATCATGTGACATGGCCGTTGGTTAGATACCTGAGGTAGAGATTGACTCTGGAACTTTTGTCGAAAAGGAGACTTTCCAAGTTCTCTCGCACTTCGTCGGCCGCACTCTCAACCAACGCCAAGATCCTCTATCCGGGAATGGCTTGCTAACTACTACGTAGTAAGTTACCCTTATGGTTCTGACATGCTGCACTAGTTCCTGTTTCAATGCGGGGCCCCAAGATGGGATTAGGCCGCGTCCTCAACCCCCATGCCCGTAACTTACTTATCTCTCCATCACCACCATCCTATTTCGGCCACGGATCACCTCACGCAATGCTGATCGCTGTTGACGACGCGTGCCACGCTGCTAGGATACAGTGGACCTCGATCACTGTCTATACGCGGTTCCGATGACTTGGAGCACTGAGATAAGTCGTGATTTCGTTAATTCGAGCTATCGAGAGCCTTGGGAACACAGCGACGGATCTTGCTAGGTCTTTGCGTCCCCAGAAGACATGGGGTTCATTAGGTGCTCGTCTTATTTCATCAGAGTTCGTCCTCGGGACTTTTGTTCAACACCTTATCTGAAACCTAATTCGTGGCACTCTGCTTCCTACCTGCTTCTAACCTCCACCTGGACACTGGTGCCATATCGGCCCAGCGCCCATGTCGGGTGCGGCCGCAAGAATACCGGGAGAATGGGCATTGGCCTCGCTACTGCCCAATAATGGCCTGAACTCATCCCACTGCACTTCGCTTCTTTGAGGTGGTGTTGGGGTATGGGGATCACCTCATGGGATTCCTTATCGCCACCTCGGACTATCTGCCAAGCCGTGATTAGACGATGTCTGCGTTACCCACCCCTGGCGCGTGTCGATTTTGGGACTGTGTCTATTCATAGTCCCCATCAACCATTCTCCAGTGATGCCTCGGCCCATGTCAACCAGTGTAATTGAGTTCCCGATAAGCTATCCGGGACCGGAACTGTGCAATAAGCGTCATGCCCATACGCGGTTGGTGTTGATCCTGGTCTTTTTTCGTCTGCCCAAGTCCCAATTTAGTAGTGTGTTGGTTCTAGATCCCACCTTTCAAGGAACTGTAGCCGACACTCTAGGGTCAAGGACTGGTCGCTGGATAAGCAACTTCCGCAATGGGATAGCACTAGACCTTAATTCTACTCCCAGACCTCTAGCACGGGGCCTTTTGCCAACAGAGAGACTGCCAAGTCGTCTTGATACAAGATCAGAGAGTTCTCTTGAGCGTCTCTGCGCGCCAAGTCCCCGAGTCTCCACCGCCCGGAGTCTGCTGCGTGATGCCGTCGAGTGATTGGATTGATGGGTTGGCACTGCGCCGTATCATGGTCTCTGTTGGCAATTGCGCATCAGTTGGTCTCTGTACTTCTCCAGGCTTGCACCGAGAATGTTGATGAAGGGCCACTGGGTGTTCCTCTTGAAGAAGTGAGCCCATATTTTCAACACGGCGAAACTGAGACCTTGGGGGTCCAGCCGGAGTCCAGCCTCTTCCTCCTCGTCAAAGTCTACTACTGCGTACGCTTCTTCGACAATGCACCGAACCCAGTGTAATATGCGATCTTCGCTGCCTGAGTGGAGGTCATGTTAGTCGTCAACAAGATGCGGAGTCCGATTGATACACACCAGTAAGAGGTACCGCTTTTACCGAAGACTGGAGAGAACAAAGCCACTTGCTGAGAAGAACTGCGCATTCTAGTGCCGATAGCGAATGTCGAACGCTCCAGAAGAACGCCTGGCTCCGGGCGACACGGTCAACGCCTAATCGGACCGGGATGCTCAACGCATGAGTAGCATACAGCAGGGCTGATATGACGCCGTCGCTTCGCTCAACACCAGGGCATTTTAACATGGCCTTTGCTATCCGCGTTGGATCTCGGGTGTCTAGTTGTCGATATGGGCCGAGGTTGAGATATATGCGGACGTAGGCGAGCCCAAGCAAGGAGCTCGAGGTGAAAGGAATCGGCCCATTCTCGTTGTTGGGATTAAGACTTGATTCTGGTGCCTGTTGCCAGCTTGTAGTCCATGACCGAAGGCCGCGCCTAATTTCCGAAGCTGTTAGCTTGATCGCCAAGTTGGCAAGATATTGAATCCCCAAATGGAGTGAGAATGGCGCGCTGCGGATACAACTTACTCAAGTTTATCTACTTCCTCGGCTGGAAGAGACGCAGAGTGATCCATGATTGGCAAAGAAAGGTCGCGAACTATATATATTCGTTGCAATAGTCCATGCAACAAGACATAATTCCCGAGTGGCGTGGGGATTGGGTCCAATGCCACTCCGCAATCAAGGTTACGCAATAGCAGCCCTAAAGCATCCTGGAAGTGTAGCTGTTGTTTCCGCACCTCTTGCCGAGCCAACTGCCACTGCATCGCCGCTGGAGCCTTCCACTCTTTGGTCGAACAGGGCAGCCTCAGGTGAATCTCGTTGCTTCTGAGCGCCGGGTAGACGTTGTAGGCGACGCTGTGGATGTGGATGAATGAAAACGCGATGAGTTTTGCCCTGCGGACGGATTCCTGGTGGACCCATGCTAACCAGGCCGTGTGCAAAGACGCAAGATCCGAAGAACACTCTGGTTCTTTCTCCTCTTCTAGGCCGACGTCTCGAAGAACTTGCGCCAGCAGGCTTTGCAACGTGAACGCCTCCTGAAGCAGAGACTCCTTGGGCTCCCATGTCGCGTAGCCCATGAGGTTTATCAGGGCACGAACAGTGTCAATCGGCTCCCACAGCCCACAATCCATACCAGACATGCCGGACATAACAGACCCTCCGTTGCTCAGCGCTTGTCTCTGCTGAGGGCCAGTCTGCATGCTTAGAAGACTGGTTGTCTTGGGCCCGAACTTGTCGCGCTCGTGAAATAGCCTCTCAAACAGAATTGCTTTCCCTGCGTGGAACAGACGCTCAGAGTTTCGGTGCTCCAGACAGTACTGTGCACCGAGGGCGGCAATAGAAAGGACCAGTTCCAATGGGCTATCGAGGACCTTCCAAGTATGGACGTGGATGAACACCAAGTGGGTGTGGAATCCTTCAAAGTACGACGTAACGTATCTGGTCAGGGCATGTCGTGAAGGTAGGCGAAAGTCAGGATCGAGAACCCCTCGGAACGGTTCCAGCGATTGATCTAATCGAGATCGTTGCTCATCGGTGATTTTGAATAAAGGAGGCGAGAATTCATGAACTCGAGGATCTGATTGAGATTGTTAGTGCTGGGAATAAGTCAAATGCAATGATGGACCCGCGACGTGCTTTCAACTGAACCTGCTCCAGTGATTCTGTCGTTTTCAGGTGCGGAAGGCAACCAAGAGCTGAAGGGGGTGCCAGGCCTAGTGACAGGCCCTGAGTGAGGATGGACAGCTGAAGCCTCAAGCTCTCCTGTTTCCTGGTCTCCAGCCTCCGACTCTCTTTCTGGGTTCTGGAAGTATGGACTCCACTCAGCCGGGAGGCCTACACCGTCGAGAAACTCTGCAAACTCCCGAAACTGATCGAGGCCGCTCATGTCTTGGCCTACTAGAACAATAAGCACGGGACTTGTGGCTACTCTGTCGTGTTTAACAAACCCTGGTCAAGCATCTGGGGAGCCATGAGAGTCTGATTACATGCCTCGGCGGATATCGTCTGTGACACGATCCCACGCTGGCTCACATCTACATACACTGCAGCGGAGGCAGGCGGTTGAACCCACGGAGGAGCATTCAGCCCGGACAGCGTCGACAGCGACTCGGCAGCGGCGGCGGCGGCCAGGTCTGGCTCCAGCGGCCGGTGTGATATTGCTTGATCCACCGCATCGCCTTGGTGAAATGTAATGCGCTGATGTCGAGTTAAGAGGTCTCGGCGCGTAAACGCCGCTCCACAGCTGCACAGGAATGGCTTCTCCTTGGTATCTGTCGACGATGAGCAAGTGGGCACAGTGGGCCGCTGGGGCAGACCCCGGAGGCCATCTCAACTCTCAGCTTCAAGTCTGGGGAAACCCACGAGTACGAACATGTCGTTCCAGGTGTTCGGAGCGTTTGAAGGACCTTGCGCAGTGCGAACATACGTGGGGAACTCCACGGCGTCGTCTGCGCTGGACAGGCGGTTGAAGGCCGCCCACTTCCGTCTCCAGCATCTTGGAGGCGATGTTGGACTTGAGTTGGAGAAAGGTGCGAGGCGAACAGCGACAAACTGGGGCCATGGAGACTAGTCTTTGGAGTCGCTGTTAGCTGGGTGAATGACTCGCTGGGGGGCTTATCTCGGCGTCTCGGAAGCTCTCCACTTGGAGTTGGGGTAAGTTTCTCGATGAAGTGGAGGTCTCCACAATCAGTTCTGGGGTGTCACTAGTCTGAGTAATGAGGGATCACCGGTTTATTGGACGAGACTATCGTGATTGAATTGGGAAGATAATGGCTTGAGTTTGGAGCAGGAATCTTCTCTTTGACAATCTGGTCACCGGTCAATTGAGTCCAACTCTTGGGAGGTGATATGCGCTCGTCCCCTCAGACATCAGCCCGCCATCAACCATCATACGTCGTATTGAATCTAAATAACCTTTATCGCAATGGCATCCTTGTTTACGAAGCTTCCAGGCGTGGCCTTGGTCACTGGAGCTGGCGGCACTGGTATGGCGAGCACTGATTTTCGTCTCAATAAATGTTACTTACACGCATGTGCAGGAATCGGCGCCGCTATTGCCAAAGCATTTGCCCGGTCAGGATGCTCCAGGCTGGCCATCACAGACATAAACGAAACCACTCTTGCGCAGACTAGAGATGCCATCTTGGACATTAACCCAAAGGCTCAAGTGTTGACGAATGTGGGCGACGTCTCGGATGAGACCTTTGTCTCCTCCATGACTAGCGACGTCGCCAACAGGTTCTCGCGCCTCGACTATGCCGTAAACTGTGCAGGTATCTTGGGCGAGTCTCTGCGCTCGACTGAGACCTCGACGGCTGCATTTGATCTGATTACTCGCGTGAACTATCGTGGTTCATGGCTCTGCTCGCGGGCGGCACTTGCACAAATGTTGAAGCAGGAGCCCCTCGAGGAGCATCCTGAACAGAGGGGCGCAGTTGTCAACATTGCCAGTCAACTGGGAATAGTTGCGCGGCCCGGAGCTGGTACGCTTTCCCTTTTCCTTTTCATTACTGCTCAAGGTTCTGACCTTACTCCTGGAATAGCTCCATACTGCGCTTCGAAGGCGGCAATCATCAACATGACCCGCGCTGATGCCATCGACTATTCGGCTGACGCAATCCGTATTAACTGCGTCTGCCCAGGTGTCATTGAAACCCCATTGACTACGGGTTCAGAGGAGGTGACGCAGCGACTAAAGCCTGCGGTTGACATTGCGCCTATGCGGAGGATGGGCCGGCCAGATGAAGTGGCAAGCGCTGTGTTATTTTTATGTTCGAGTCAGGCATCTTTCATTCAGGGACATGCTCTGGTCGTAGACGGTGGATATACTATCAACTAGGCAATGGAGGAATGAATGTACAAAACCATGTTAAAACAAATCTAATTCTTTTCTAAGACTGCACTGTGAGCTCGCTGATTTCTATCTTGCCTTGTCCATTCAGCTTCGACCAGCCATTCTCCAAACCTCCAGACACAACCATGTCAGGCCCGCTTACAGTAGTCGGGGTTGACTTCCAGTCAAAAGCAGTTTCCCAAGCATGCGCAACCTTGAGAATCTTCTTCTCCTGCCACAGGCCCCCGACTATTTGCATGCCAACCGGCAGCAAGACCTTGGAGTCCTCCTTGGCGGGTGCGAATCCCACTGGCAACGACATGGCTGGGTGACCCGTTACGTTGAACACGGCAGTGTTAGATGTAAGACCGATGCTGGGCTCAAAACATTGACGCGGTGTTCCACGGCTACCGTGCTGAGGGGCCACATAAGGCGTTGTCGGCATGACGAGGACGTCAAACTTGGATAGAGCCCTTTCGTAGTCGTCGCTGATCTTGCGACCGAGGTTCACAGTCTTGGCGTAAAGACCTGGGAACTTGTCCATCAGGTAGAGACCGTTGATGATTGTGTTTTGGGTGGACGGGAAGAGTTTCTGGAAGTTCTCCGTGGTCCAAGGGAGTCTTGCGTGCTCAAACTCGGTGAGTTGAAGTCCTCTTCTTCCATGAGCTTGGCCGAGGATGGTGAGAGATCCCGAGATCCTCTGTTGTATGGTCCAGATAGCTGGGCCTTCGAGATGGGAGGGAATAGAAACCTCCTCAACCGTGGCGCCTAGCTGCTGAAACTTTTTGGCAGCAGAGAGGACAACTTCTTTAACGTTGGGATCGAAAACCGCTGGGTCAAATCCCTCCCTCAAAATGCCAATTTTGACACCGGCTAAGCTGGGACATTGATCATTCCACTTCACAAGCGATTCTGCGTAACCATGTGACCCATGGGCTCCAGAAGCGAACGACCTGTCGTCGATACCGTCATTTCCGGCAAGAGCGTCGAGAAATAGGGAAGCGTCGTAAACGGATTGGGTCAATGGCCCAGCGTGATCGTCAATGGCATCGCCGCTAGTGATGCCAGTCCAAGGAACAAGCCCATGAGTAGGCTTAAATCCAACGCCTATGTTCAGATTTCAAGTCAGCGCTTCAATCATAACGATGGCAGAGGAGAAGTAACTTACATCCGCACAAAGAAGCAGGTACGCGGATACTTCCTCCTTGGTCTCCTCCAATGGCGCAATCAACTAAACCAGATCCCACCAGCGCGGCGCCTCCTGAAGTGCTTCCACCAGCAGAGTAACCCTTTCTATGGGGATTATCAACAATCCCCTGAGCGCTGGTGAAGGAAGATGTCGAGTTGCAAAAGTTCTCGCACGTCGCTGTTCCCACGATGCTTGCGCCCGCATCGAGTAATCGCGTTACGATGGTCGCATCCGTGCTTGGAGTCCACGCAGGAAAAGCATCGCTACCGTAGAACTGTGGTACACCTGCAACGGCAATGCAATCCTTCAGGCATACCGACCGGTTCTTCAAGAGAGACCCATTGGGATCACCTCTGATAAGGAACTTGTGCGCCCATGCGTTGCCGAAATCTTGTTGGTCGGCTGTTGGTCGATGCACGTTCTCGCGCGGGTATTTCTTCACGTCGGGTGTGGGTTGATAGTCGGGGAGTTCGGAGATGTGTTCTGCGCAGTCATGGATAGCGGCCAGGAGCTGGTGAAAGTCGTCCGAGTCTTGCTCCTTGATGGCAACGCCGATTCGCCCCAAGACGTTATCGACATCACCTTTCTTCACCGGATTGTTCCTGGGGGAAATGTCAGCGAGAGATACGGACAGGACGTTATCATGAGGGTACATACGGCGAAGCCTCTTTGAAGAAGACAGACATGTCGATCGTGGCAGTTGATCCTTATCTGGTAGTGTGAGGTAGATTAGGATTGGGCTTTCCTCCTAGTACTTGAAGTTCACGCTTGTTTCTAATATGTGAGTAGCACAATGGGAACATTCTCCAAAGTATCGGCATTCAATCCCCGAATCTTTCTATGCGATGGCTTAATTTGAACCATCCGAATTACGGGTATGATTGCCAAGAAACGTTAGATGACAAATGACTTTAACAATTCTCAACGTAACATTCGCGATTCTACGGATTGGAGTTAGCTCCTGGTGATCGGCAGATGATGGAGTGTTGGAGGATTTGCCGAGTTGGAGTCGTTGGAGTCATTGATAAGTCCGTCTCCACCGCCAAGGTAAAGGTACCCCAAAATGACACCGTTCCGCATGCTCGTTGACGTGTCTGTGAGACAATTCCCCCAGATAAACGGTTAAGATGGGTCTGGAGTAGGGATTTGATCTAATGACCAATGATTTTGCTGCCGACTATCATGATATCTGCAGTGGTTGAGATTGTCATGATTAAGACCATGCGACCAGTGCGCCAATAACCGGGTGGGGCGGAAGACTCCAAGACGTGCTTGAGAAATTCAGATTTGGAGATGACCGGCTTTGAGCTTGAAGCAATTTTACTTTGGTCTGCGATTTGGGAGTCACATGGACGATCTAGAATGCGGAAATTCATCCCGGTTACTTGGGACGCCAGTTGACGCCAAACTAGTAGTTTGAGATTGGTTCATGAAAGCGATACCAGACATCCAGCACCTCTGTAGGAGAAACTCGTTTCAGTATGTCAATCGATTGTTTCTGTCTGACACACTACAGTCGAAGCGCTTTATAGAAAACCAGTGATCATAGCAAGAATCGACAGCAAATACTTGTTCAAAGTCTCAACCCATCTTAGCAAACGGGCTACTCAGCTAGCTACCTGGACAACTAGTCTTCCCTTGAAAGCCCCATCCTGGTATGCTTCCACAATTCTAGGAATTTCGCTGAATAGGACACGCGTGACATGAGATCTAACGCCGCTCCTCTCTACCACTTCCATCATTCTTCTAACAGAGTCTGCGCTCGCAACGTAGCTCCCCATGATGACCAGCTCGCGGAACACCATTAAACTGGGATCGAACCGCCACTGCTCCGGAGGTAACCCGAGAGCAACCATGACTCCCCCGAAGCGCAGGAGCGTCAATGCCCAGGAGTTGACATCGAGGGAGTCTGTGCAGACAATTGTAGCGGCGATTCCTTCGCCTTTTGTAAAGTCAAGTATCTGAGTGGTGGCGGCCTCGCTTGAAGTAGAGTCGATGATGAGATCGGGTGATAGTCCGGGAGGAACTTCGCTCGCTAGGGATCTCGCAGCTTCTCGGGTGTCGATGGCAATTGTGCGGTATCCCATTGCCTTTGAGAATTGTATTCCAAGGTGTCCGAGACCTCCTATTCCTATGATCGCGACAACAGCGCCAGGTTCGAGGGTTGCTGTTGCTTTTTCGAGCGCTCCCCATACAGTTGCCTTTTGCATTTCCAAGTTTAGCTTCTCTACTTCTCGTGTGGTCGGACATTGTTGAACAAGACTTACCCCGGCGCACATCAGCGGTGCTGCCTGGTCAAACGGTAGAGACTCTGGTAACAAAACCGTGGTGGCCGGATCGACAACCATATACTCAGCAAAACACCCATCGTTCTTGAACCCAGCCATCTCTCGCCTTTCACAGAACCTCGGGTCCAGTTTGCTGTGACGCCGTAGCGCCAACGCACATCCGGTGCATTGAGAGCACGCGTTCTTAAAATTCAACGCGCCTACCCGGTCGCCCTCTTTCCAGGATCCGCTGCATTTAGATCCAATCTGGACAATCACTCCAGCAGGCTCATGCGATGGTATCATGGGCAGTTTGCATGTGAATTGGCCACGGAGCACTTGAAGGTCTGAGTGGCAGAAACCTGCCGCATAGACCTTGATAAGGAGCTCATGGTCTCTGATCTTGGGTACTTCGATCGAAACGAGCTCATACGGCGCGTTGTACTATTTCATTGTCAATATGGATTGAAATTGACAAGGTTTCAATGCACACACCTCACGTATTTGTGCCGCTTTCATTTGTCGCGGCAATTGCTGTGACATATTGCAGGGTCGGTGATGGTTCAGCGTTCTCGCCATGCAAATCGGATACGAGATCAAGACGACAACTCCATATCACCAGATACCGCCATTGCCGATCAAATCGTACCATGCGATTTACTAATATGACATTGCGACTCCGCGTTCCATTCAACCGACATGATCAACCAACCATCATTGGTGCTTACGACTCCAACAGTAGCGGGGAGCTTATCCAAGCCTCCAACTGATACGCGCCATTAAGCTCCAACTCAATGCCCCGCGATGCATCCAGATGCTGCGGCCGTCATGGGATTAGTGATGATACGACTGGCCTTGACTCAGTCTAGCTTCTTGTTCGCGCCGTTATCATAAGGACTCTCATCGCCGGCGAACGGTTAGCTCCCCGCTTCTGTGACTTGACATATTTCCCTGCTTTCGGTTCCCTGTTCTTGACCTTGCTCTCCGGCGCATTGCATCCAGACCAATTCTCAGACTTTGACCAAACACCAAATTTACAATGGGCAAGAAGCGCGTTCTCATTAGCTACGGCGTCGACGTCGACGCTGTCGCAGGTTGGCTGGGCTCTTACGGCGGCGAAGACTCGCCAAACGACATCAGCAGAGGTCCGTTCTCCCCGCGCGGGGAAGCTCCCAGGTGATGCGATTGACTAACAACAATGCGCTGAGACAGGCATCTTCGCGGGCACGGTGGGCACGCAACGGCTGCTAAAGCTGTTCGATAAGTACAACATTAAGACGACTTGGTTCATCCCCGGTCACAGTCTGGACTCTTTCCCCGAGGATATGGCCGCTGTGAGAGATGCTGGTCACGAGATTGGCTTGCACGGTTATTCGCACGAGAACCCGACCGACATGACAATTGAACAACAGCGCGATGTCTTGGATAAGACATATCGGCAATTGACAGACTTCTGCGGTGGCAAGCCGCCCCGAGGAAGCGTCGCACCTTGGTGAGTTGTTCCTTCAATACCCCCTACAGCTTCGTTTAACAAGAGCTTCTACAGGTGGGAGACCAGCGGCGAAGGCGCCCAGCTCCTCCTTGACTACGGCATCGAATACGACCACAGCATGGCGCACCACGACTGCCAACCATACTATCTCAACACGGGAGAGTCATGGACCAAGATCGACTACAAAAAGAAGGCCGAGGAGTGGATGAAGCCGCTGGTCAAGGGCACTGACACGGGCCTGGTTGAGATTCCTACCAACTGGTATCTCGACGACCTGCCGCCCATGATGTTTATCAAGGCGGCACCCAACAGCCACGGCTTCGTCAATGCGCGCGACGTTGAGGATATCTGGCGCGACCACTTTGACTACTTCTACCGCGAGTACGACGAGTTCATCTTTCCCATGACCGTCCACCCTGACGTGTCAGGACGGCCGCATGCGCTTTTGATGCACGAGAGGTAAGCGGATATTGATTAGTGGCATTGATTCAATTCCTGGAACGGATTGCTAACATTGTTGCCTTGGGCAGACTTATCGAGCACTTCAAAAGCCACGAGGGCGTCGAGTTTGTGACGATGGCGCAGATGTCGGATGAGTTTAAGAGCAAGAACAAGCCAGCGCCTGGAGCGCTGATGCCTGCGGCAGCGGGCGCTATGTTGAAGAAGTGATGTTAACTTTACCTCTGTATAATAAATTCTATCTGGTATGAATTGATTGACTTGATATGATCAACGAACCCTCATCGAGACTTGGTGCGATTATTGGACCTCGTCAACTTGCCGACAAATCTTTGCCTCTGACGTTTGCTCCCTGGTACCTAGCTGTGAACTCAGATATTGACGTGCGTTTCGGTAATCTGCACCGCGGACTATTCCATCTACCTTAGTCTTGTGTAGTAAAGTCTGGGTATCGTCTATCTACCGAGACTCGGCAGTGCTTAACATAGAACACACATAATGATAGCTCTCTTGAAATGTTATTGAATTAGACTCCAAGCGAAAAGCTCTATCACTCCAACATACCAAGAGATTCAAAATCTAGGCCATTAGGCATTGGGGTAAGGATCTAGACCAGAGCAGTTGGGGTGAGTTAGTCGCGTGCACACAGAGCTGATACCCCGAGCACCGAACAGCGCCGGTATCTCTCAACAATCTAGAACTCATCTCCAACGCAACGATATACTACAGACCCTAAAAAAATAACCTCTTGGAAATGGCATATCCTATCTCCAACTCATCTTGTTGGAGTGTCTAGGACCAAACTTGCTCCAACGACCCCAAGAGTCACACACTAGCCTCCAACTCCACCAAATGCACTCCAACGCTATCAACCCCCCTCAATGCGCAGAATCTCCACTGCAAACCCAGCGGTATCAGGAACCATGCGTCCATCAGCCCGTCCAGAACGCGCTAAAACCCCAGATGGCTTATCTTAGCCTTTGGTCACCAGTTCAAGGGTGACATTGGGTCGGGATTGGCGCAGGTGTGGTACGGCACTCCAGTGCAACTCACTATCCTGGGCATTCCTTGTTTCTCTCCATATTTACTATATAGCCCCCAGGGCTGATGATCATATTGCCTGGATGAAACAGATCATCTCAATACCTCTTTGACATCATCTCTCAAGAAGACTTGGTTACTTGGACTTGTTTGCATATTTTCAAGTCGACAATCCCTCGACGAATTTGACCATGGCTGTCACTGGCTCTGAGAAGGGTGCGGATGCCATCACCCCTGCGCAGCCGCGCACCAGCAGCAGCAGCAGTGTCGATGCCGGCAAGGTTGACAACTCGGACGATGCCTTTGAAGTGTTCAAGCGCGGCGAAGGAACCGTCGACTTTCGAACCGTCGGCTGGATTCACACGGCCGTTATTTTCCTCAAGGGTATGTGCCCTGTCCAATTCCATTCCTCCTGTAGTCCTACGAGAAGAACTTCATCTTACTAACAACACCACAGTCATCTTCGCCACTGGTGTCCTCACCATCCCCTCGTCCATGTACGTGCTGGGCGCCCTGCCCGGCGCCATCAACGTGATCGGCTGGCAGCTCCTCAACACGTACTGCGCCATCGTGCAGGGCAACTTCCGCAACTCGCACGCGGGATGCCACTCGATCGCGGACATGGCCGAGGTCGTGGGCGGCAAGTGGATGCGTGAGATCGTGGGCATCGTCTTCCTGGTGACGTTTGCCATTGTCGGCGCCTCGGGCGTGTTCGGCTCGTCCGTGGCCCTCAATGCGCTGTCGGACCATTCCATCTGCACCAACTACTTCATGCTGGTCGCCACCTTCATCGTCTTCCTCTTGGCCAGCGTGCGCAAGTTCGAGAAGATTGCTTGGCTGACCTGGGTCGGATTCATCTCCGTTTTCGTGGCCGTCTTCGTCGTCGTGTAAGTATCGCATGCAAACAACATTGCATCCTGGATATAGCTAACTGAGAGCTTCTTGCTGTAGTATCGGAGTTACTGTCATCGACCGCCCTGCGGCTGCTCCTCAGACCGGCGACTTTGACCTGGGCTACCATGTCATCGGCCACCCGTCTTTCGTTGCAGGAATCACATCAGTTGCATCCATCTTCTGCTCCAGCGCTGGAACCTCCGCGTTCTTGCCCGTCATCTCGGAGATGCGAAAGCCGCGAGACTACAACAAGGCCGTCTACCTGTGCATGGGTTTTGTGGGCGCCAGCTACCTGTGCTTCAGCTTGGTTGTATACAGGTGGTGCGGTCAATGGGTCGCGTCTCCCTCGCTGGGCAGCGCTGGTGGCACCATCAAGAAGGTGTCGTATGGTATTGGTTTGATCGGCCTTCTGGTCAGCGCGTGTCTCTACATCCACGTTGCAGCCAAGTACATGTTCGTGCGCCTGCTGCGCAACTCGGTGCACCTGCAGAAGAACTCGCTCATCCACTGGGGTGTCTGGCTGGGCTGCACGGGATCGATGAGCATCGTGTCCTTCCTGCTGGCGTCTGGCATCCCCATCTTCAACTACCTGCTGGCCCTGGCTGGCAGCTTGACCTTTGCGCCTCTCGCCCTGGGTCTGCCGGGATACCTCTGGATCTTTGACCACAAGGAGTACCGAACGGGCTCGCTGGGCAAGATGGTCATCTACTGGTTGCACTGGGTTCTGATTGCGCTGGCGGCGTTCTTGACTGTCGGCGGAACGTACGGTGTTATTCAGCAGGTCATTGATGCGTACGCGAGCGGCCAGATTAGCTCCGCGTTTTCGTGCGCCGACAACAGTGGCTCGTCATAAAATTTTGGTCTAGTTTGTAGAGGGTCGGTCAGAATGACGAGATTCTATCAGGCGAAAGGCTTTGCTGGCTTAATTTATATAGGTGGAAATAGTTTTAGTAGATCAAGAGAAACCCCTGGGATTCAAACCCATATGTGCTCGACTTCGGCAAGTGACAAACCCAGCATACTTCTGGGGCCCATCATTACTACGTAGTAATCTTAGGGTGAGGTAACTAGAGCCAACTCTGGCCCGCTTGTCGCGACAAAGGTATATGTTCACCAATATTCATATCCGTGGAAATATAGCTACCCATCCAAACTCCCGCCCCCTTAAACCAAACACACTGGATGGAGCAGTGGCTTGATTCTCTACAAGAGGCATGGCAGCTATATGGGGTGCATGAGAAAAAAAAACCGAGAGATTATGCAAGATGAGATGCAGCCAGCTAAACAGATCTGGACGAATGGAAACTCTTGGTCGTGCAATAAGTTACCCCTTTCAGCTCATGCAGCCATCCTGACCAACCCCGTCACCCACAACTTAACGGCTCAACGGCGCTGCGCAATGAGTCAACAATTTTACACCCATATATCCGTACTCACCGTGTCCAATTATAACATGGTCCTAGTGTCAGGTAAGGCGAGATCCCTCTAGTCTTGGCAATTCCCGGTAATAAGTCAACCCCCGTCTCGTCCCACCGTGCCGGCTAAGCGAAGACTCGCCCACCAAACAACCAGCGGCCGAACCAAGGACCGCTGAAATTAGCCCGCTATTCGGGCCCTAAGACCAAACAGCCCCTTTGGGAGCACTGCCCGTTTGCTTCAGGAGACTCCAGCGGCCCCCTTACAGCAGGTTACGGCACTGGGATTCGCCGAGGAACGCTGGGTCTGGGGTGCTCGGAGGGGCCCAGGGAGCGAGCTGGAGCGCGGTAGGCAGTTTGAGACTAGATCGAGTGGAACTGTTCTGGATCGACATGCATGCTCCGTAATGATGTTGTTGCACGGCACACGGCAGCCGTCTGGCTGTTTAAAAGATTGCTCTTCCCCAGGAGAAGGGAAAGGCAAGTGAAAGGGAATTTAGGGAAAGACTGTCAATCGTCATTCGTTTGTTGCCATCTTCACCCCCAGACCACGGTCGTCCACTCGTTAAGCAACACCACAACACCAACCCACTCGCCCCCTAATCAACCACCATGTCCGCCTCCAAGCTCCTCGCCCTCGCCGCCCTTCTCCTCGCCGCCTCGCCGGCCGTCGCCCGCACCGACATCGCCGGCTGCACGTCCTCCGCGGCAGTCGCGACGGCCAGCAACGGCGGAGGCCTCTACGCGACCGTCATCTGGTACGTCCCCGACACGGGCGAGCTGTGCGAGTTCCTCGACTGCGGCGGCGGCCGCGCGCCCCCGAAGACCACCGTCCCCGGGTGTCCCGCTTACGAGGGCACCGAGACCTACTCGCCCCAGTACCTCGACCTCAAGACCAGCGAGGAGGCTTCCGCTGCTACCCAGTTGGCGCAGGCGTCTGGGACGGCGGCTGAGGACGACACGGCTACCATCACTGAGGCGCCCAGCACCACCAAGGCCGCCGGGACCAAGGACAAGACCACGCTGAGCACGAGCGTCGTAGAGTCGGACGGTGAGCAGACCACGGCGTCTGCCGCTCCCGAGTCTTCCTCCGCTGCGTCGGCCTCCGGTTCCAGCTCCGCCGAGACGACTCCTGCCAACGTCTCGTCTACCGCCGGTGCCGCCTCCATGCCCACCGCCGGCGCCATCATGGGCCTCATGGCCGGTGCTGCTGTCTACGTCGGGATGCTGTAGTTGCCCAATTGCCTTGTTGCCAAGTAGCTGGATTAATACAATAATCATAATACGTCCAGAGTCTTTGAGCCACTGGACCAAATCTGTAGTTCCCTTCAGCCATCCATGCCATGCGCCGCGTAATCCATCTCCTTTCGCCTGCATACAGCATACATGGACACCCAGATTCAAAGCATCGCCATGCCGTCACGTACGCACTTCAACACCAACTCCCCCGCCAGAACCGGCCAACCCCAGCACCTTCCCAATGGGCTTCCGCGGGAAAAGTTGTACGTAAAAAGAACCGCCGTTGACGCAATTGCACCGAATGTACCCGGCGCTCGCCGCATCGCAACAATGGAAATCCTCCGGCCTCCAACGGGCGCAGTTCCGCCACCGTGGAGCCGGGCGTCAGACGCCAAACGCGCCCTACGAGTGGCACCCGGGGATCTTGACGAGCCCTTCCTTATCTCGATGGCCGCCGTCCAATGAACGGCGCCGTCAAGAGCCCTCTCGTGTTCCACCGCCTCTACGCCCGGCGACAGTAGCGATAGGTAACGTGCAGGATAGGCAAGTGCATGTTTAGAAGTCCTGCAGGGCGCGATGGACAACATTCTTTGGCAACTTGCAGCGAAGGAGTCGTCCAGAATCTCAAGTCATAGCCGAGATCTCGCCTTATTTACCGTCCTCTTCTCTCCACTTCCACTTCATATTTGCTCTTCCATTCAACCTACCTGCTCGATCCTATCCAGAGGAATCAATCCACAAGCATCAATTCCATCCTCAACTCTGCTCTCTTCCCCACACTTTCCCCAGACTCAACCCACCGCCTCTCTCCGCCACGACCATCGTGACGGAAGCAGTCATCCCATCTCCCATTGCTCTACTCTTCTCCCTTTGACTTCCCCGCAAATAAGCCTTGGACTCTTCTTCTCCCACCTGATCACAAGTCCACTTCCCAACCAACCGTTTCCCCAAACGCGGCCTGGTGACGAAAAACGCGGCCCCAAGATCGATCACACGGCACCCCCGGACCACTCGCGTAAGAGCCGCCACTACCCGGACCGAACATTCCCTAACCAAACCAAGACAGTTCGTGTACCACTAGAACACCAACTTGAAAGCTTCATATTTCATCAAGAAAAAGAAGAGGGGTGGTACAACCAGAACAACGCATCAAGCAACCAGGGAGAAGGACACAAGCAAAAGGTCCTGTCTTGGCTCATCACATCCTATCGCATCACATCACCGTCTTGTCTCCTAAGATGGGTTCTCGAGGAATCACCATGCAGCCCGAGGGCGAACCTCGGTTCTGGTACCGCGATAACTTCTTTCTCACAAATGACAAGTCCTATCTGGATTCCCAAGTTTTCAACAAATTCCTCAAACAAATGTGGTGGAGCAGTCCACTCGAACAGCCTCAATTGCATAAGCTCTTGAACAATTGTCTAACTCTGGCGGTATACTCGGTTCCTCAGACCGCTGCTGACATGAAGGGTGGGTGGTTTAAGTTCCTTTGGTTGCCTTTGTTCGTTCATCTCGTTTTAACATAACCGCAGCAAACGGTATCGCACGACCCAAAGACGGCTCCGAGATCAAGATGGTCGGCTTCGCTCGTGTTGTCACCGACTATGTCACTTTCGCCTATCTCACCGACGTATTCGTCGTGGAGGAATATCAACGTCGTGGCTTAGCCTCGTGGTTGATGCGGTCGCTCAAGGAGATAGTCAATGAGTGGAAAGACATGCGTGGCCTCCTCCTCATGACCCACGACGAATCCGCTGCGAGGATGTACAAGCGCGAGCTCGGTGCGCTCGACTTCGAAGAAGGGCCCTCGGCTGGGTTGGTGCTTCTAGAGCTGCCTGGCCCAGCGGAAAAGCCCACCCCCACGCACCACTGATTGCAAACTTGCATGCGATACCAATTCTGGTGTCCTCTTATGGCGTCCTCCTCTGACGAAGCCTCTCCTCGATAGGGTTTCTTGGTGTTTCTTGGTTCTTGTATTTTAGCGCTGCGACCCAGACAATGCGGCTCGCGTCTCAATAGCTCGCTTGTATGGGGGAGCAATCGGCGGCTGGACTGGGTCTAGAGAGACATAGTCCTCGGGTAGCTGGTATGAAGCATCGGAGTCAAAGGCGGCTAGATCTCCGCAAGCAATGAATGGTGCAATCCACCGAGTGTTTCTCTCCTTATCCTCGGGCGTGTCGTCGTAGACCTCCATCTCCACCACTCCCTGCTCATTGACACCCGCGGTATCCTTCATCTCGGTATCGGTTTTCTGGGCCTCCCGCTCCTTGAGCATCTCTTCCAGCCGGCCACCGACTCCAAGCGGCTCTTCCAAGCTGGCTCGGAACCCAGCTGGGGGTTGGAAATTGATGCACACTATGAATGCCTCGACACTGCTGGCTCGACTGCTACGCGGCTTGGCCACAATGACCTTTTCGAAAAAGATCTTGAGCTGCGCGTACAGAACATCGACGTTCTTGCCGCGGAAGATCTTGGCCACAAACTTGCCGCCGGGCTTCAGCACGCAAAGCGCGAGGTTCAGTGCGGCAAAGAGCAATTGTGACTGGACGTAGATGTCGAGGTCGTGGAGACCAGTAACGTCGGGGGCACCATCGCTGAGAACCAGGTCGACCGGGTGCGAGGCCTGCGTTCCGGTCGCGTTGGGATCGAAATCGGGATCGAGTGCTGAAAGGAGCAGGGGCACCGTCGCGGGGTGGGTAATATCGGCGCGAAGGGTCGTGATGCCAGCCAGCGGCGAGATGGGCTGCAGATCAATCGACACAATCTTGACGTCCTCTCGCGGTTTGTTTTCCTCCTGCTGCTCGTCGGTTGTCTTTTCCGCCTCGGCCTTCTGCTCGTCCTCTGGTAGAATGCCCAGCATCTGCTGTCGGAACCGGGCCTCCTTATCGTGCCATGCCGTCCGGCCAAACTTCTCCCCCTTGATCAGCACGCGCGAGAGCACCTGCGACCAACTACCCGGTGCCGCACACAAATCAACCACTCGAGTGACATTGGCGAAGAGATCGAATTCTGGAGGGGTAACGATGTCAGCGGGGCGCACTTAGAAGGCGGGACACGAGGGGCAATGGACCTTCGTCGAGCTGCAGCAGCTTGAAGGCGCTTCGGGCGCGCCAACCCTGCTCCTTGGCGAGCCGGTAGTAGGCGTCGCGCTTGTCCTTGGAGGATTTTCCCATTGTGCGTGGTTGAGTTGCGAGTTCTGAACTGCGATGGAAATTTTAAGAGACGCCTTTGAATTTCTTGGTGCCCCGCGTTGCGTCAATGTGGGGTTGAAGCTCATGGTGGGGTGAGCTACCCTAGACATGTTGATATTGCCATTCTCGACGTGGAATTTGAGAAAGCGCTGTTTGTTTCAAGTTTCAGTAACTAGGAGACAGTGTATTTAGGCTTTCTTCAGTAATATATTTCCAATGAACTATGATTCACGGTAGAGAGTGTTCGAATAAACATACATGGTACTTAAACCGAGGAATTCTCAGAGTGAAAGTAAATGCTGGTAAACCTTCACCCAGCAAGGTCATGACCTTTAGGACAACTCCCAAAAAGTCTACATCGCAGGCTAGGGTGGCAAAACTCCTAAAATAGATGCCTACAATCAGTCCAAGTACCAAAAGCGCCACAAGGCTGGTACCTTACGTAGTCGTTCCAAGGACGAGGACACCAGTTTTGTGGAACCAGCCAATCAGAACGCCGCTGCCAGGCAAACCGTCTTTATCTTCGGATAGAATAGCTGACTCAGGTCCCTTGATGCCGCAGCCAGGAATGTCCCGCACGAGACCTGCCTCTTGACCACATCAACCTGCTTCCTTCTTGGCATTGGTTGGTAAGCTGTTTCACTGCAGTTTTCAGCCTCGAAGCCTCGCATAGGTCCACCTCATTCGTCCGAGAGACTCAGAGGTCGCCGCTTCTCTTAGTCCCTTCCTGACTGTCTTGAACCCCGCTTGCCGGACTCTCAAGATGGGCCACCTCATCACCGTCGCGACGTGTTCCCTGAACCAATGGGCATTGGATGTAAGTGCATGCAGGGAAGCCATCGACCCCTGTCTACCACGCCTAAACGCTCCAAGTGTTCATGCTCTGTATCGATCGCTAACGTTAGGACACAACAGTGGGAAGGAAACACGGAACGCATTATCAGAAGCATCCACCAAGCAAAGGCGGCTGGCGCGCGTCTCCGTGTAGGCCCGGTAAGTACCACCCCAGTTAGGTCACGAGTGAAAGCATTAGCTAACGACAATGAAAGGAACTGGAAATATGCGGTTATGGCTGCCTCGACCATCTGCTCGAGGTGAGTTGTCTTCGACGAGACACCTAACACATGGAAGCACCACCATGCTCACACATAACAGCAAGATCTGTACCTCCATTGCTGGGAGATGCTTCAACGCATCCTCCTTGACAAGAGCTGTCACGGCTGCGTCCTTGACATTGGCATGCCTGTTCAGCACAGGTACGCTTCATCTTATATCCAAAGCCCCAGTTTCTGGCTTCGTTAACATACTTGTAGAAACCAACGGTTCAACTGCCGAGTTCTTTGCCTGGACGGCAAGATCCTAATGATTCGTGTAAGTGTTTACTCCTACCGACCCAAGGGCTACGCTCACATATAGAGTAGCCCAAGATGTGGCTCGCTAACGACGGCAACTACCGTGAAATGCGCCACTTCACGCCCTGGCTGCAGCCGCGAGAGACGGAGGAATACCATCTGCCTCGTATGATCCAGGAACTACAGGGGGCGACCCATGTCACTTTCGGAGACGCTGTGGTGTCGACACCGGATACCTGTTTTGGCGCCGAGACCTGCGAGGAGCTCTTCACGCCACGCTCACCTCACATTGTATGCCCCCATTCTAATTCTGTGCTGATGTTGAGGAAAAAAGGCTGACCCTTCTAGGATATGTCTCTGGACGGAGTTGGTATGTATTATTTTCTCCACGCTAAAGACGTCGCTCACCGTTCGCAGAGGTCTTCACCAACAGTTCCGGAAGCCACTTCGTAAGTACACTGGAGTCTTTTATCTCCTTGGAACACATATTGACATCGAAATTTCAAGACGCTCCAAAAATTGGATCTTCGCCTGCAGCTCATCACTGAGGCCACACGAAAATGTGGCGGCGTTTACCTTTATGCCAACCAGAAAGGCGTACGTCAATACTCCAACATAGGTTGATTGCTTCTTGTTAACAAATCGCAGTGTGACGGCGACAGATTGTTCTACGATGGTAGCTGCATGATTCTGGTGAATGGAGACGTGGTTGCCCAGGGATCGCAGTTTGGTCTTCTTGACGTCGAGGTGGTCACGGCGACGGTGGACCTGGAAGAAATCCGCGCTTACCGCTCCTCCATCAGCAGAGGACTCCAGGCCGCAACCTCCAAAGCCAAGTATCAGCGCATACAGGTTCCTTTTGAGCTTGGCTCTGAGGACGAAGACCTGGATGCCAGCCTGCAACCGTCGCGGCCGATCCAGCCACGATTTCATTCCGTGGAAGAGGAGATTGCGCTTTGTGCTGGCGCATACCTTTGGGATGTAAGTGCATTTATTTCATACCTCGTCAACTAAACTGACTCTTGGAACCTACAGTACCTCCGAAGATCTGGCACTGCCGGATACTTGGTCCCGTTGAGCGGCGGAATTGATTCATGTGCTACGGCGAGTAAGTCTTGTCACTTCTCCCAGTCTACGAGCGATCATTTAGATACCTTGCTCACATACTCCCAGCAATTGTCTTTTCTATGTGCCGCATGGCCGTTGAAGCCATTGAACAAGGCAATGCTCAAGTAATCGAAGACGTCAAACGTCTAGCCAAGTACAAAGGCGACGATGTCCTTCCCAAAACCCCACAAGAGCTTTGCAACCAGATTTTCCACACCATTTACATGGGCATGAAGAAGCAGAGCTCTCACGAGACACGCCAGCGTGCCAAGGATCTTGCCGAAGCCATTGGCAGTTACCACATCAACCTGGATATTGACGACGTGTACCAAGCCCAGAAGAGCCTGCTGGTTAGCACTATGCAGTTTGAGCCCAAGTTTGCTGTCGAGGGCGGAACGCAGCAAGAGAATTTGACCCTACAGTGCCTGCAGGCAAGAATCCGCATGGTGACAGCCTATGAGTTTGGGCAAATTCTGCCGACGGCGCGAGCCCGACCTGATGGCGGAAGTCTCTTGGTATTGGGAAGTGCCAATGTTGGAGAGGTATGTCATTACTATGCCCACCTTTAGCTTGTCCCATCTATTCAGTAGCTAACAATCGCAGTCTCTCCGTGGATACCTCACCAAGTAATTAATTCACTTTGCCTCTAGAGACTCTTTGCTAACAGGATTTTAGATACGATTGCTCCAGTAAGTTGTGCCTTTAGCTACATCCCACCGCATGTGTTGGCATTGTGTCGTGGTTCGCTCAGAGGACAACCACAACCGAAGACAAGTGACGAGAAATCACCTCTCATTTCCGCATGTCTATTTTAAAGCCTATACTGACATCGAATTTAGGCGCAGACATTAACCCGATAGGCAGTATTGACAAGGCTGATCTCAAAGTATATACTCCATGTTCCAACGCTAGCGCGGGCCATTCTAACACCACAACCCAGAGGTTTATCGCATGGGCAGAAAAGGAATTCAAAATTCCTTGTCTCCACGAATTCTTGACTGCTGTCCCAACGGCCGAATTGGTTAGTAATCTGAGCCGCTTGTTGTCATGTGCATCCCCCATAGAGTCCAGCTTCTAATTCACACAACCCCAGGAACCGATCACCGAGTCGTATGTTCAAAGCGACGAGGCAGATATGGGATTCACTTATCCTGAATTGACGATACTGGGTATGTCTGCCATCCGATGCTGGTGTTTATTGCTTCGTAATGCGCAGATTTACCAACGAGAAATAATAGGACGTCTACGCAAAGTCAACCGGCTGGGTCCGTTCGGCAGTAAGTTATCCCGACAGTGCTTATTCTCTCTCGTTTGCTATGGGTTTAATCCTAGGCCTGGCGCTTCCAATATTCCGAAAGCAGTGTTCGCTAACTCTGATTTTGCTCAGTGTTCCAACGGCTTGTCCATGACTGGAGCGCAGATAGAGAAGTCGTGCCCGGCGATGAAGCTCCATTTTATACGCCCGATAAAGTGGCTCATAAAGTGAAAAGTATGTCCCCAGAGCTGCTCATACAACCTTTGCCCTTTTGCCGTCTCTTTTACCCTTCGGACTCTGACTTTAGATTTTTGAACCATTTGGCTGACCATGTTTATAGCGTTCTTCCACTTTTAGTTCGTTGTGTCTCCTTGCAGCTATCATAACCACCACTAACTCGTCATAGTGCCATTAATCGCCATAAAATGACAACCTTGACGTATGTGTGTTTTCCCCCAGTGTTGATAGATACTAACTCGCATGTATAGGCCCTCCTTGCACGTATGTCTCCGAGGCAGATGATGCAAAGCCCATGACCATCTTAATGAGGAAATACTAACCCTGAAGATGTAGTGCAATGACTACTCCCCAGACGACAACAGATTTGACCTCCGTCCGTTCTTGTACCCCTCCTTCTGGAAGTCCTGGAGCTTCAAGAAGATTGACAAGGAACTGGCCAAGATCGAGAAGCGGAAAGAAAAGCAGAATGCATAGGGCTACTCACCGCGATTACAGAGCCTAGCCCGTGATAACAGTTGTGCTAGGAGGAAATGCGTTGAGATTTAGGAGATTGCGGATGGTAGGTAACGACTAGACAAGATCCCGTATTTCTAGAGATAGTTCACATGCGCGATACTTTGAGCAGAGATCCAGGGAATCCAGACAGTCAGATGTCAATTCTTGACCCGCTACGGTCACTTGACTGGCCCTTGAAACAACAATATTCATGTGCCACACATTGCACCCAAAGTAGTGAATATCAGTTCATCGAGCAGGCTTACGACTAGTCGACATATCCCTGAAATACAGCTGAAATACAGACATCAGACCAGCGTTGAGATGTTTGTGCATATGCTTAATACAGACTAGGCTCTAATCAAATCCCTTAAACTCCCAGCTCGCCGCCCACAACCTCCAATGCTTCTCTAAGTAATCCCAACACCTTTTCATCTCCAACCACCCCTGATGCTCGTACAATCAGAGGGTACAACCTCAGCAAGTGCTTCCTGCTCTCACTCTCCACCCCACTCAACTCTGGAATTGCGTCACTCTCGCTCTTAAGGTCGACCAACTTGCGCAATATCCACAAGAGCTCCTTCCGCTGGCTCAGGGGTTGCGGCATCTTTCCTCGCAATGGCTGGTCGGCGATGTAGGCCTGGAGAGTCAATGCGCACCGAAGGATGAGGAACGGAGCGGAAGTGCTGGCGATGCGAATGTGCAACGAGCTGGGAGCTTCTGCAAAATGGCGCTTTGCGGTTGGAGATTTTGGAGTCGGTGGTTGTATGACGATTGTTGGCTCATCGATGGAAGCAACCAATGAGAACATCTCTTGACAGGCGACGTACGCCATTCGAGTTCGCTTGGTTGGCGGAATAGAGACTGTCCGACCAGGTCGTGGAGAATAGAGTGCAGAGAGCCCCAATTCATGAGTGCCATTAATCATTGCCACTTCAGTCGGCGAAGGAGCATGAATGATGGATGCCCTGAAAAGACTTTCCCCATAGGCCTTCCGAGTCTTGTCAGAAACAACCTCGGAACCAAGAGCCGGAATGATGAGTTCCCGAAGCGTATGGAAGGATTCAATGTCGAAGGACTCGTCTTTTTCGAGATTTGTCTCCGATGTGGCGCGGTCGCAGTCTGCACCGAGGATTCCGTCGGCAATAGCGACGATAGTGGACCAAATGGTCTGCGTCATACTGCGAGGAATATCTAAATCGATGAGTTGCGAAAGAGTTGCATCCAAGATGACCAGAACTGAAGACGTGGCCAATCTCCAGGGTTGTGTAGACTTGGTGATGGTAGAGAAGCGATACTTCAGGACAATTGGTTTGCACAGGGCATTCATGGCTTCCGAAAACGCACCGCTTCGGTAAATATCCTGGTCCGAGAAGTGGATCAAGATGAGTTTCTCCATGGTCTTCATGCTTGCTTTCGACAACGCAATGTACGTTCGCTTCGGTCCCGATTTCTCTGAATCAGTTTGGCTGAAAGCCAACATGACAAACTCAGCAACTTGGGTAATCATTGCAGAGGGAACACCGGCAATATCCGTACGGATCATCTGGATAGCCTCGACAATATGCGCCTGTAGGGGCGTGACATACTCAATGTCATGCACGTAGCCGCTGATGGACGCCTCTTCCAGAGTTTCTCGTAGCAGTTTCAGCATTATCCGAACCCTGTCCACTGTGAGACCTTCATAGATGAGGCGGTAGATTTCGGATAGGGCAGAAACATAGGCAATGAGACAATTCTGATTGTCCACAGTTTTGCCTTTGGGGGCCTTGGAGATCGGGATTCCTCTTGACCACAAGTCCCAAGCAACGTCGATTGTCGTCTTGTTGAAAGTGGGCTTCCCATCATCACTAGTCTGGGATAAGACGTGACCCAACGCTTTGAAAGTTGCGGTATTGATGTTGAGAATCTTGAACTCCAACAAAGTAGTGAAGTGCCCAAGAAGTTCCCGCCAAAGTTGGTCAAAGGAAGTGTGGACAGTGAGGATGTCGAGGTAATTGGCGAGAAGACTCGAAATACCATTGAGGACGACTTCGGCAGTCTCGGTCCACTCTGTACGATCGGTCTCATCCACCTCGTCCGACTCCGCGGCCCGGATCTCTTCCTCAATCGACGATAGAAGCTTGAAGATGACTGATTTAATACAAATCGACCATGCCTCGGGGCTAAGCCGGTCGCCATAAGCATCGAAGATTCTTAGCAGTGTCTGAATCGCGCTGTTACGCAGCTCAAGTCTGTCGTCAGTGGTGACGGTCGTCAGTCGAAGCAGTAGGAGCATCCACAATGCTGCATCGGAGCCCTTGGAGCTCTGCTCGGCAGCCATCTTTTCAAGGTCAGACACTCCGGTCCCCTGCATCATCTCCGCTGTGATATCAAGGGATTCGTTCTTTGCCGAGAGAAAGTCGGACACAACCCAGAAGAATGTGACAGTCTAATACAATTAGCAGTTGTATCTCATCACGAAATGCGCACGTACCGTCAATGCAATGTTAAGATCATCGTCTTGAGAGCAAAACTTGTACAAAGTATCCACCAGGATTAAGAAACACGAGTTTGGCAAGGAGGCCAGAAAGTCGGAGCAGATAAGCTGGAGTGAGTTGAACGAGGCTCGAATGAGCCTTCCGGACCGGGTATCCAGCAGAATTGGGTTGGCAAGCGAGCCACGACGGTCGACAGGGTTGAACTTCTTGGTAATGAAGATGGTACCGATGATCTCAAAGGCGATGTCCCAACCACTGACAAGGCTTTCTCCGCAACTCTCAATAATGCTTTTTAGGCCTTCCAGGATGATTTTGTGAATGTCAATGTCTGTGGTATGGGTTGCGACGGTAACTTCTCGATCTGCTTTGAGCAGTGGCACTAGCGAGCTTCTTAAGGCCTCTAACAGCCGGAGTTGGATTTCCCCGCGGGATTCGTCGGGCAACGTAGCTGTCACAGTAGCAGCCTCCAGTGCGAGTCTCACAAGAATTTCCGCGGCCCGGGTTCTCACTGATGAGTTCGTGGTTGGAGACGTCAGAGTTCGAATCAGCTCACCAACCAAAGCCGCCCAGCCTGACTCGGTCGGAGAATATTCCAACAACCTTTCGATATTGATAGCTGCGAGTTCGCCAAGCTTTGCCAGCGCAAATTGGTCTTCTTGGGTGGACCCAGAATTTGACACTGCCGAAAGTCGTCGAGCAGCTTTGGCTGCCGGAGCCTGAAGTTGCTGGCTATTCGTGGCCTGGGATTGGTCGACTGCATCGGTTTGCTCGGACTCCGTTTGGACAAGATTGCAAATTGCTATCACGACCTCCATGAAAGATTCGTTCGGAAAGTCAATCGTACTTTCAATCAATCTAGATGCAGCCGTCTCCACAGCGCGAACTTCGGAGCCGAAATTGGCCATCAACGTAGCATCATTCTCACCGCCCTGGTCAGTTCCCCGGTTGAGAGATGGGGTCCTTCCCGGGGCCTTTCCAGTCACGAAAAGCACAAAATCAGCTTGCTGCAAAGTCCCCAGGATGATGCTCCAAGCCTGGCCAAGCGTTGGGCCCAAGGCGATGCCCAGGTTTAGCAGTGCCCGAAGGCACAAAAGATTCCGGGTGTTTAGAGTAGCTAAAGCGACTTCGAGGGATCCTTGCCGCTGTTTCTCTCCCGTCGGGGTTGCCGGTGTCAGACTATCAACGCTCAACAGACCTCGAGCATTGCTGAAAAGGCTATTTGACGTCTCAGTCGGTGTGTTTGGGGTTTGTGGGCGAGGTTGTCCAAGGTTGAGACAAGCGGTAATGGCATTAGGTGGGACAGCTGCCTTCCCCAGAGTCGTCAGGAAGGCATCCCTGGGAGTTGACAGATGCAACAAGCCCGCAACATGAGCGAACCGTTGAAAAGCCCGGACTAGGCCATGGTAGTACTCTGAATCTAGAGCTGCATAAAGGAAAGTGGAGCATGTTGCGAGAATCGCGGGCCAACACTCATCAACAATGGCAGCACACGTCTTGATCTCAGAATACAGAGGGTGCTCTACCAAAGCAAGTGGGTTGAGAGGAACAGGGTTTCTCTTAAAAGACGCTGATCTCTCAACTTTACCCTTGGAGGCTTGATCCGGGTCGAGCTGGGATGGTGTGGGCGAATCGCGCCCACTCTCCTTCGAGGGCTTGCGTCGTCCTCTCGTGTCGCTCGGCACGGTGAGGGGTAGAATAAACTTGGCCAATCCATCAGATACGGATGAAATGCAGGACAGGACAAGGCTATAAATGTATGACTCCGGAATAGGAGGTGCCTCCGTCTTATCAAGTTGGTCAATAAATGGAACTCGGACGGTACTCCATTGGGTACTGATGCCAGTGTTTGTTGTCTCGGGTGATCCGGAACCGCCGATGATTCCCGTCACTCCAGCTTCCAGCATGGCCTGGTCAGATGCCATTGCGGAATTCGACTGCGCATCGGCGGTGGGCATAGTCGATTGGTGTCCAAGCCCAATGACGGCTGGCTTCTCGGTGCTGAGCCGCACAAAAGTTGCAATTATGGGTTTCAGGACATCCCTTTCCCCTTCCTTCGCATCATAAATAGAGAAGATGCGTCGGAGCAGGGCGTGCTCTGCAAAGACCCCCCGGAAGACTTCCATGCATAGAGCTCGTTTCCAGAGTGAATCGTCTTGGTCCAGAAGCTGTGTCAGAATTGCAAGAGACTCCCCGCATTCTGATGGCAGAATGGCGATATGCCGCCGGAGCATGGTATAAAGGATACGAACAAGCCTCACGGTCGTGGCAAAATTAGGTCTTCCTTTCAGGGCGCTCGTGATGAGCGGCATTACTCGCACACGCAAGATCTGAGCCTGCTCAGGGTGGTTCGTGAACACGCTGGCATGGTTGGTAATGACGGACTCAATGAGCTCCAGGCCGAATGTTTGCGGAAGCCCCGAAAATCGCAAGAACTCGGGGCGTTGATTTTCTGTCATGAGACAAAGATCATTGAAGATCTAGTCAGGTTAATAACTGTGCATCGGAAATGAAGAGCGGCATACCCTATAAGCATCTAGTGCAGCGGGACGGCTTTCGGGCTTTCCATCTGCATTCATGGACTCTCCGGCCCCGGGCCCTTCGCCTGCCTTTTCTAAAGAATTTAAGCATCCAGTATTGATTTAGGAATAAAGAAGGAAGACCTACTGTCCTCGGCGACAACCTTGTCGAAGACGGACACGACAAGCTGCTGGAGGGTTGCCGCGGAAGTATGACTAACGATGGCATTCTTGCTGCTCTGCAAGGTGAAGCAAATGTTCAGGGCAGTCACAAGCAAGTTTCCTTGGAGGTCGGAGGCGTAGTTCTGCAACAGCGAAGGCAGAGCTTGCAGGATCTTGAGTTGCACGTCCAGACCAGCTGACGCGGCCTGCATCAAGGCCTCCAGTACCTGGTCTAGCTTAGAGCGGGGAAGCGCGCGGGCGACAATGAGCCGCTGAAGGCAGACGATGGCGATGGCGGTGAACTTGGCATTCTTGGTACCGCATGCGATGATGAACGGGTTGACAAAGTTGACTTTCTGGGACAGCTCTATAACACGGCATTAGAGTGGCGCGAGCTAACAGGGGATGAGATGCGGACCTTCGGGAGCTGTCTGTTCGGAAGGGTTCCTCAAATTCTTCAGCTCCTCCAGCGACTTCTCTGCAGCCTGGACACATTATGAGACACCGAACACCGGGAGACGCGACAGGGTCGTGGTTGACCGGGGAGGGCGGCTCACTTGTCGAAGATCGTTGTGTTTCCTCTTGCTCTCCTGGATGAGGTTGGCCAGCTCCGTGGCTAGCAGTTGGGTCGTCATCTTTGGCTACCCAGGGCACGTGTCAGCTCACCGGTGAGCATGCACCTTTATTTCGAGTCCATGCAGCTTCAGCACCCAAATTTCCGGCTGTCCAAAGATGCTCCTTTGCTTGAGCCGCTGTTCGAGGTCGTCGTAGGCAGTGATGTGTCCCTTGTAGATGATGCGGCAGAATCCCTCACCGCCCGCGGAACTCACGTGGGGTTGCGGAGGGAGGATGATCCCAGCGACCAATCCGTCGGGTCAGCGCTTCAACAGTATTCTCACAACGGCTGCGGCTTTGGAGTTGGCAAATGTTAAATTACCATCGCCATCATGCTAGAACTGGTAATCGACATGTGCACCATGATGGCTGTTTATTGAATCGGCCAGTGTAACCTCAATCTCGCAAACCTGTTACCAAGGATACACGCGTGTCACAATACGTTAGCGAGCCAAGATTAGTGGAGTGCGCGGCCTCCAAAACTATCCCCTTGAGAATCACAAATTTAAAGGGGCCAACCTTCCTTGGACACTTTATATATTACGCCATCATTGCAACTTGCAGACAAACAATCGTCAAGGGCCTCGCTGTATCGTAAAGTTACAGCAGTTACGTCGTTGGTGTTACCCTATACTACCCCATGGTTGTACAAGGGGATCGTGGGCCGGCGGCGACATCATTTCGTCTTGGCAGGAGGACATTGGCACAAGAATAGTACTGAATGCCTAAAACTACTGCCTTGCAACTAACCCGGACGCTGTTTTTGGGTTTTGTGTCGGTGTAACTAGTATCAAATAAGATGATGATGCATTTGGCCCAAGCCATAGCTCTAAATGTTGGACTCCCCTGATTACAGGCCGTTAGTTGCGGTCAGAGATAATGATAAGTCTTTACGTACCAACTCCATAACCCGATGTTTTCAATTTATGTGGTGACGACCCATGGTTCAAACAGGAACGTTGTTGAACAAGTACGACACAGACTCGCCATTGTGGGTTCTTCGGATGGCCTGTTGATTGGTGAGCAATTGCGCTGTAGGTTTTTTTTTATTTGGATCCGTACCTCGGCTAGAGTTCCCGCCACATCAATGATCTTGAGCTTGGGGCATCGCTCAGCCTTGTCGCCCACTGGAAATGGAGTCAGCAAGATCCACAAACCAAATAACAGGAAAGGGTAATGTCGTAAAGACCCTAAAGAACTCGGGTACTTACGGGGAACGGCTAATAAAAAAGTTAGCAAGTATTAAGTTAAAGGGTGATTTACTTGAGGCAACTTACTGTTGGTTACAACGAGACCAGCCAGGCACGATGCGTTGATGGTCTCAATGGCCTTACCACTCAGAATACCGTGGGTTACAATGGCATACACCTCACGAGCTCCATTCTGACGGACTGTCTCAGCAGCCTTGGCGAGCTGTTCATACGCGTTAGATACGGTGGTCAAATTAACGAGGATATGGTCGACTTACCGTTCCACAGGTGTCTGCCATGTCATCGACGAGAATGGCCACCTTGTCCTGGACATCACCAACCAGAACCATGCGTCCAACAACGTTGGGGCGAGGTCGCTCCTTGTGAATAAGAGCAAAGGCGGTGTTCAGACGGTCAGCAATTGAGGTGGCACGCTTGGCACCACCAGCATCAGGGGAGACGATGACACAGTTGTCGACGTTCAGGTTCTCACGAATCCAGCGGAGGACGGAAGGCTCAGCGTAGAGGTTATCAACAGGCACGTTGAAAAAGCCCTGGATCTGGGAGGCATGTAGATCCATGGTGATGACATGGTTCTGGAGCAAGAGTCAGAGAGCGGTCAATGCTGGGGTAGTTGGGAGACATACGCATCCCGAGACCTGGAGCATGTTTGCAATGAGCTTGGCGCTAATTGGAGCGCGAGACTTGTCCTTCTTGTCCTGGCGGGCATAGGGGAAGTTGGGGATAACAGCGGTGATCCTTCGGGCCGAGGCAGTGCGGCAGGCGTGGATCATGATGAGCAGCTCCATGAGACCATCGTTGACATCGCCGGGAGCGGTGGATTGAAGGATGAAGACATCCTCGTCTCGGACGGACTCGCCAATGGAAACGCTGGTCTCGCGGTTGGAGTAGTTGAGGCTCATCGTGTTAGCGATGTCAATGCCGAGTCTGAAGCCATATCAGCACACCACCCCCTCGCCGCCGGCTCACCCAAGCCGATGAGATGCCATCTCGACATACCGACTCGCAACAAGAGCACTGAGCTCCGGGTGGGAGCTTCCCGCGATGAGCTTGATTTCGTTTGCCATTTGATCCAACATTGCGGAATGGAAGGAGGAAAAAAGAAGCGGGGCGGAAGATTTTTTGGCGGCAACAAAAGTAGGTGGATGCTCTCTTTGCCGCAGCACGTTCCGTGAGCGGACAGGATACCAGCAAGGATGTTTTTTTGACGTAGAGGTTTGATATGAATGAGTATCAAGGATGATGCCGAGATTGAATCACCAGATATGACTAACAAACCCTTATGAGGGACAGAGTTTTCGATCACGGGTTTCCGGCAGTGGAGTAAAACGCCATCATCAAGCGCTCTGGATGGGCTCTGTCAAGTCATGTGATTCAGCCGCCGATATCATCGATACCGCGGGACGGGCGCTTGGTGGCGATGGAGATTGCGTTTGACCTGAAAACTGGTGGCATCAGTTTCATTCAGTCATCTACGATTAAAAAACAAAAACAAATATACACCTTCTGAAGCCATTGCGCTCATCTTTTGTACCATTCGCGCGAAGTCATCTCGGCGGGCTCTTGGAGGAAGCCCCTCCAGCCGGCTGGCCCCGGGTTGTGGCCGGGTTCTTGTGGATCTGGAGGCAATTCGCCGCCCGACCCTCCCTGCGGCTACGAACATCATCCATCTGCCAACTCCCGATTATCCGCCAGACGTTCATCCGGCGCCCGACATCTCGATCCCGACCGACACAGCACGAACATCCGCGCACGACGAGCAGCCGTCGATATATCCTATTCACCACCTGTGACAACTCACAGCGCCGACACGTGATCCCTCGCCTCCTGGAACCAGTGATTTCATGCCCCGTCACAGCCCGCCGCTTTCGAGTCACCACACCGCTTGCACGCCTCAGCTATCGCATGGAAACCATGTTGGATCCAGGTCATCTTCCAGCATGGCGCAACATCATTCATTTTCACCGCGGCTGAGCCCGGCCTTTCCGTCGTCCTCGTCCCTTCACGACATGGCCCAACGCAACCGCAAGCTCCGCCTCCTCGTCGCCGCCACCGGACCCCGCGATACCTCCTGGGCGCAGGCCCTGGTGGTCCGACTCTCCAAGAACCCGCAGATCGAGGCCCGCGCGATCGTTGACGATGTGGTGCCGCGACTGACGCAGACGATCATTGTGATGCAGAATCGGAGCCTGGCATTGGGCATGGGCGATCGGGCGGACGATGTCGAATTTTACCGACAACAAGCCTTTGAGCTGGTGGAATGGGCAGATCTGATGGTTTGTGTACCGCTGGATGCGGACAGCATTGCCAAAATGCTGGCCGGAGTGACAGATACCCTCCTTGGAGAAGTGCTGCGGGGATGGGACACACAGAAGAGCATTGTGATGGTACCCGGCATGAGTACCCACATGTGGTCGAATCCAATGACGAAGAAGCACCTGAGCAAGTTGCACAGGAAATGGAGCTGGATCCGTGTGGTGGCGCCGATCCTATGGCATTATGAGGGGACCACCAATCCGAAGAGAGTTCCCAATTGGAATGGCTTCAACGAGGTGCTGGGAATTATCAGAAACCAAGCAGACCTGCTGGGATTGGGGCGCGACGTCGAGATAGCCACGGGTATGGCAATGGTTGCTGATGGTGACATCAAGGTCCAGGCCAAGCTGCCGCCTGAGATTTGGACCATCATCCTCGACTATGCGGGAGATTGGGAGATTGCCAAGGCTCTAGGGATGTATACCAACCTACAGATGCCTGCGCAATGGTCCTTCCAGCCGAAGGATCCATCGGACGCCCTCAAAGTTTACGAGCACGAGCTGGAGTGGAGCGTCCTCACATGCAACTCGGCTGCAATATGCAAGAAGTTATCGCAGTCTCCACCCAATTTTCACGACATATCGGCGCTTGTGGTCAAGCTGGTCATAAAATTTGGCCTTATCGACGTTTTGAAGTATATGGAAGCCAACCGACCGGATCTCTTCAAGGCGTTTGATGGGACAACGCTGCCGACTAAGGCATCAGCCTACTTCCCCCGGACCGACGTACTGGATTATTGGAAGCAGAGCAGGTGGTTCAGAGACCGGCACATGTACGACGCCGAAGCTGTCGATGGCGCATCAAAGAACGGTCATGTCCGTGTACTGGATTGGTGGTGGAGGCTGTCAGGACTGTCGCTGCGATACACCGAAACGGCGCTGGAGCAGGCTAGTGGAAATGGCCACCTCTTGGTATTGGAGTGGTGGCGCGACGCAGCTGCACAAGACGATCAAGTCGTCCTGCGGCCGGGCCGGTCGTTGCTTTGGGCAACTCAATACGGACAGGCTGATGTGCTACGCTGGTGGGACGCATCGGGAATCCCCGTTGCGCATGGGGATAGTGTAGCCAAGATGGCTAGCCGTTGGGGACTCGTTGAAGTTCTGGAGACGTGGAGACAACTCAAAGGCGACGACAAGCTGGTGTTTGACGCTGAGGTGCTGGTGCCGCCGACTATCTATCAGCACGTGGCAGTGTTGGAGTGGTGGCGCAAGTTTGCCTATGGAGAACTGGAAGGCATGGAGGGCCGCAAGCAGATGGTGGAGTTCCGAACATGCAACATTGAAGAGGCGCTGGAAGACAGCATCGGGGACCAGAGCGCGGTTCGGCGATGGTGGGCGCAGAACGGACTCAACCTTGGCCTCCGAAATGAGGAATGGCTTAAGACGAGATATCTCTAGGGCGCCCGTTGCGTTGGTTCGGGTGGATTGGTGACCACAATCCCGGGAGCCCGGGACCTGAGACCTGGACCCTGGAATCTGGGAAGTTGGGGGGCAGTATTGCGCGCACATACATATGTGTTTATGTGTGTGCCTGCGCCCGCATGTGCGTGGCATCGTCGGAAATCGGAACTGAAAAAAGGGGAAGGGTTCGGGAAGGGTGGGGGGCTAACATGAACACGTCCATCATTATGTGGCGAGCGGGTTTTTCTTTTAGTCTTTATTTTTGGCCTTTTTTGCTCTCAAGACCGAGACTGACTGTCTGATGAGAGGGTTTATTTCCATGCCCGGCACAAGACGATATCAAAGGGGCGGCATTTAGCTTGGAGTTTGATGATAGTGTTTAAGCAACATGAGGGCAAAGACGAAGCAATGCAAACGGACGTGCAGATGCCAAGCTAAACTCGTTGACACGCTGAAGCCCATACCGAAGTTGGGCGTCGAGATCGAAGCGATGCCATCAAGACATCAGTCGATTACCGCCCGCGGCATACGTAGCACGAACCCATGCGTGATGCATCTCCCCATGCCACCCATCGCATGCCACTCGCCGCATGGCACGCCCCGAAAGGGCAATATACCGCGGCGTCGATGTTTTGACGGCCAATTGTCCTTGGTCGGCCCACAGAAAAGCGCAATCTCACTTCTCGGTCGCGCCCTGCCAAGACATTCGGCCAGCCAGAGAGGAAGGAACATAGACAATATGCCATGGTACATGTTGGCATCTGGGGGGGACCGGCCCGGTCTGGCGCCCATAGACACTGACAGGGCCGCGCGAGTACCGAGATTTACGCATAATGGCGCGTCAACGCTGTGGCAGCGGGAGTCCTTGGTCGCAATAGGTGAGACTAGTCACGGTCGTCGACATTAGAGCGGCTGCGATATCGTTTTGCAACCAAGTGGCTAACGGCGCTTCTCCACACACCCTGGCTGGGATGGCCACTGCAGACCAGGGCCCTGCAAAGCCCGCAAGGGTTGGCCGCCCATTCCAGGGCCTGTCGGGGGTTTCTAGAAGCCCATATTCCAACTTCCGTACATGCGAAGGCGCTCCACATTGTCTTGGGAGGCTTGAGGCTTGAGGCTTGTTGTTCTGCCAAGCTGAATCGGCAGACGCAGCAGCCGTAATGGCAATGCCGGCCGGCGGCAGTCTCGCTCCCGCTACTGCACGAGACACGGCTCCCCTCCCGTTCCCGGTCAGCCCAGGTCAGGTCAGTTGAGAAGATTTTCAGCGAGAAAGAAGCGCCGCCGCCTCGCTCGATCCAAGCTGGCACTAAATGAGAGACACAGAGAGGCCGCGAAAAAACAACGGGGACCATTCCCTGAGCAAAGACGAAAACACGAACCGGAAGATGGCCATGGCCTACCCCGGCTTGCCTCGGGCCCATTGTTTTCGTCGTCGCCTCCGCCCCCCCTCCGCTCTCGTCACACTTTTGTGGTCTCTGGATGGTACGTCTGGTGACAAGTGTAGTATCTATTACGTTTTGGCGCGACTGGCGGTGCCTTCAATGGGCGAGCAATTCCTGGGGCCCCGCGAGCTCCAGCTCGACTCGGGACGCGAAAGCTGGAGACTCTGGAGAACTTGGGGCCCGAACAGAAAGCGGAGAGATCTGGGACGGGGGAAGCAAAAAGCTGAGATCTAGATTTGGGAGCGTCGTGATTCGCCAAGGTGAAGGTTGAGGTGAAGGCTAGGTGAAGAGCGCGATGCCACGGCAGCCAAAGTTGGGGTTGCAGTGTTCCCCCGACGGTTCGTGAGGGGTAGGGGGTACCTGCCGCTTGCGTTTGGCGCTGGTGTGCGGGCGTGTACCCTTTCTCCAACTCGCGGTATCGGGGTTGGGGGAGGCTGTAGATAGCGAGAGGGACGGCGAGATAAGGATGCTGGAGGAGGGCAGCGCGCGCCCATCGCCAGCGGCGCAAGGGAGGGCCTGTGCAGCAACGGGGCATTCGAGATAGGTAATCAGTGGTAAGCCCCTGTCCCAGGCTGTCCACAGGGGAGTTTGGCACCCAACAACCCCTGTCCCCTGGCCACAAGCCGAGGACATTCGTAATGGCCATGACTACATGGACGATGCGCACCTTGGGACAAGCCAAAACCACGCGGTGCATCGGCTGCAGTCCGGAAACGGAGCAGATTGGGCCCCTAGTCCCCGTCGTTACTCCAAATTAGAGGCCACCAGCGCCAATTTCCCCGCATTTCTCCCAGCCTGTTTGCTTTTTGCGGCTGGACGTACCGTTGCGTGTGTTCCTGCGGGAGGAATACATTGGCTGGCTTGCCCGTCTCTATTTCTTCCTCTTCCCCACAGCGGGCCCCTCCTCGTGGCCCAACTTTCGGCGTAAGCGACAGGCCAAGAACAGAAACGGTCGAGCCCCGATGTCCCCCCCACCGTAAAGGCGCACCGCAAAATGCACCGCGAGATCCTCAGAGCGCGCTCGAGCAGATGGTTCGCGGGTTCGAAGAAGGCGGTATGGAGTTCGACATTGGGGTTACGTACGAACGAGATCTCGGCCTTGTCAATTCCTCAGCCTGAACCCGCCATCTACATCGTCGCCATCTTCCATTGGCTTTGAGAGCGGAAATATCCCCCCCACCTGTCGTCGTCCACACGCTTGCTGCTGTCCCGTGTCCAGCGCCATCCAACCCAACCCAACACGAATGACAATGCGCAGCTCGTTCCTCGGAGACACGGAAGACATGGGGCTGACATGATTTGTGGTGCGGTTGCGGTTGCGACTGCGGTTGCGTCGTCGCAGATGCGGTTCGGTGCGCGGCTCGGAGCCCAAATGTGCGCCGCGAACGGGTTTCCCACCGGGCATACCCTTGCGCTATGTTTTCTTGGCTGCTGGAAATCCTGTCGCGCAAACCCGGCCGCAACCCATACCGTTCGTTTGCCTGTGATCTGATCTGTATCTTGCCGCGGTGGGTTCGTCATTGCTTGAGTGGCCCCCAGGCGAAAAAGAACTGCCTATCAGTGACGAATTGGCCGAAGGTGGCCCCCATCACTGACATTAAGGTAAAGTCCCCGTCGATGATTTATTGGGGCCAGTCTTGGGATCCAGTCAGGACGTCTGGATAGTCAGGGTGTCCTCCAGTACCAAGATGAACGAGTATGAAGTTGGCCGGCGGCCGGTGGAGACGGAAGACTCGAGTCCCCACCAACAGCGGGTGAGGTGGGATCGCAGTATTGATATCGGCGACTTATCTGTAGGGTTGACTACAGGCCATTACTCGGGGACGGCGAACCCACATTCGTCAACCTAGAACCGGCCTCTGTTTGGGCGCTCGCTGGTGTGTCTTGGCAGCCTCTCAGCTCCAGGCGATCACCGCAGAACGGAGCATCTGGACCTGAAGGAGGAGGAGAGCGTCAGCTGTCGAGGCGAGCGGACGAGGGGTCATGTGGCGGTCTCCGGGATTGTCGAGACTAGGAAGACAGGGCACAGAGTCGCATAGCATGCCGGGGTAAGATCGACAGCAGGCTGGTGTTTTTTTCCTTTTTGCTGCGCCGTTCGTTCTCTGCGCAACTGCGACTTGGGAAGATGGGCGCAAGCCATGCTCGATCCCGCCATGCCCGAAGTCGACCAACAACCACGAAGGCTGCAGCAGCGCTCGCTTGGGGCTCTGGCAGGAAAACGGAAGGCACGCAGGGCAGTGGATGCCGCGTCTCCCCGGCAGAGCTAACACCTAAGGTTAGCATTTAGCTTCTTTCGCCGACGTCCTAGCATCTCCAAACTGCCTTAGACCACCACCCTCCATCCCTCCAACTAACCAACCCACCAACCGCATCCCCGGGCCCGTGGGAGAACCCACACGCACTCGTCCTGTTCGCCCCTGGCAACCCTGTTCTTACTCTTGCTCGTCTTGCTCCTGCTCGTGCTTTTCCTAAACCTTAGCTTGAAAGCTACCGATGCTGCACATTGCCATCTTTCTTGGCAAAATCCCTTTCCTTTCCTGCCTCTCGCCAGCCCACTACCCGACCAGCCGAGTCATGTCTCGCATTCCCCCACATCGAGAGTACTTGTGAGCTGCCCCGGTCTACTTCTGCCTTCTCAGGACCGGCCCGGGTCTCCCTGGGGAAGATCCCACGACTACGGGCAGAAACGCGGTGTCCCCTCCACGCGAGGCCATCACCGCCCAAGGCCCGCCCGCTGTCTCCGTACGCCGTACGCTGTGTGCTGTCCCCCAGTGCGATTATGCATACCATGTACGCATGGCTTATCATGGCACCACACCGTGTCGAGTCTCGCTGCCGCAGTGGGGACTTCCCATCCCCGGCGGTGTTCCCAGCTCTCCCCCAGCTTGAAGGCGGTCCCAATGAGTGGTTCCTGTTGGCGCGTCATGGCCAGGTTGATCTTCTAGAAGACCGGCCCGGTTGTCATGAGGGCCTGCGTTTCTGGGTCCTGGCCCTTGCTCTTGGATCCTACCCTCGAGCTGTCAGCTCCGACTTACAGCTTTGTTTAAGAAGGCTCGTCCTCCCACCTCTCATCACGATGTCATGACCAAGCCGGTGTTGCATTCTCACCTTGCTCCCTTGTTACCATCTCCACAGTCTCTTTAGACTTCCTTCTTTAAGGAGAATCCAATTGCAGTTGTCGAGATTGAACAACTCTTGTCTCCCTCATTCTCTCTCCGCAACCATGGGTGTCCCATCTGACCCCGAACACAAGGGCGGCGATGTTCCTACCGCCGAGGACACCGCGCCCGGCATCCTCATTGACAACAGCACTGTCGAGGCCAAGTACGGCCAGACTAAGCGTGGCCTGTCGCCTCGTCACGTCCAGCTGATGGCCATCGGTGGCTCCATCGGTACTGGTCTCTTCGTCGGTATCGGTGGTGTCCTCTCCAAAGCCGGTCCCCTCTCTGTCGTCCTCGGTTACCTCATCTGGGGTGTCTTCTTCGTCTGGCCTTGCAACTTGTGTGTCGCCGAGATGTGCTCCTACCTGCCTATCCGTGGTTCCATCTTCGAGCTCGCTTCCCGTTTCATCGACCCCGCTCTTGGTTTCTCCATGGGTTGGACATACTTCTATGCTGGTGTAATGCTTGTTTGTGTCGAATACAGCGCTGTCGCAACTCTGATGCAATTCTGGGTTCCGGATATCAATCCGGCAGCTTGGATTGCCATGGCCATGGTTATCTGCGTTCTCCTCAATGTCGTCGCTGTCAAGTAAGTCAATACCCTCCTTAATATTTTCTTATCTGGGGAGCTTCGTTTCTGACCAATTCTCTCTTTAGGTGGTACGGCGAATCCGAGTTCATCATGGCCTCGCTCAAGGTCCTGCTCCTATTCGGTCTCCTCTTCATCACTCTCATCACCATGTGTGGTGGCAACCCCAAGAAGGATGCCTACGGATTCCGATACTGGGGTGACGGCAGAGCCATGCGCGAATACCACGGAACCGGTGATGTTGGTCGCTTGTGCGGTTGGTGGAAGGTCGTCCTCTATGCTGGTTTCACCATTGCTGGTCCGGACATGATCTCCCTCGCCTCTGGTGAGATCCAGAACCCTCGCCGAACCATCCCCCGCGTCGCCAAGCTCATCTTCTATCGCCTCATCGGATTCTACGTCTTCGGTGTCCTGGCTGTCGGCATCATCTGCAGCTCTGACGACAACCGCCTCCTCGGTGCCCTGAGCGACGGCTCCGCTGGTGCTGCTGCCTCTCCCTGGGTCATTGGTATTGAGAACCTCGGCATCTCTGGTCTCCCTGACTTGATCAACTTCCTCATTCTCACTTCCGGTCTCTCTTGTGGAAACGCCTACCTCTACTCCGCCTCTCGAACCCTCTACGGTCTTGCCCGCGATGGCCAAGCCCCTGCCATCTTCCAGAAGTGTAACAAGGCCGGTGTTCCCATCTACGCTGTCGGCTGCGTCAGCTTGATCACCTGCATCACCTTCCTCGTCTCCTCCAACAACTCCGTCACCGTCTTCTACTGGTTCGTCGATCTCACCACTACCGGCCTCATTGCCACCTACACCATGATGCTACTCGTCTTCCTTGGGTGGTACCGCGCCCGCATCGCTCAGGGTCTCAACACTGAGTCGCTCCACTACACCGCCCCTTTCAACCCCTATGCCGCCTACCTTGGTCTCTTCCTGGGTTGCACTGCGCTCATCTTTGTCGGCTTCGACTCCATCCAGCCCTTCACCGTGCAGAGCTTCATCACCGCTTACTTCTGCCTGCCCTACACTGCCTTCCTGTTCATCTTCTGGAAGATCTTCAAGAAGACCAAGATGGCCGACCCCGCTACCGCCGATCTGGTCAGCGGCAAGAAGGAGGTTGACGAGGAGTGCAGGCACTGGGAAGAGGGTGGCATCGAGGAGAACTGGCAGCGGGAGCTCGCGCAAATGTCTTTTGCGAGACGCTGCTGGGAGAAGATGTGGTAATTTAGAAGTCCTCGGAAAGAAATATAGTATGCCCTGTCAGATCAGTAACCTGTTCTGAATAGTTGCGGCTAGTAAATATGATATCAAACTCTGTTCAATAAGTTCAAAACATCCATGCAATTCACTTTGTGACTTCAATGCAATAAAATGTTTGTGATTTCTTACCTGGGAGGTCTTGTAAAAAGGAAATTTTCAAGTCACGCAGCTGGACCATACCGACCTCGCGACTCGCTGCTGCTACTGCGAGGAGCGTCAACCTTGTACACACTTGGTGATAGCCACCTACATTTGGAGTCTACGAACGGTACGAGTTCACTGTACCCTTTGTTTCTTTTGCTGTTCTCTGTGAGACAAGTCGGCACAAAACTAGTGATTGGACATCAAAGTCAAAGAGAGCCGAACGTTCATGTCATAGTTATACACACGCCCCGGTGATGTTTTACGTAATTTGTATTTAAGCTTTACTCAATATTATCAGATCAGTCAAGGTTTGGGAGTTGTTGTAAACCATAGAAGCATACACTTAGTACTACACCCAGTACCAGAAGATACAGTAGCTTGACAATAAAGTTGTTGCACACTCACCTTTGCCTCGAGCTTTCAATTTAATGCTCTGTCTCCAGCCTTGTCGACCATATGCAATAGCCTTGCTGCCTGTGGACAATGACCTTGCTTAAGACAGTCTGGTTCTGTCAACTTGCCACAAACAACAAAGTCATTGCCCATCAGTAGCTAGGTTGAAGACAGAGGGGTTGGATTGATGCATTGAAGCAAAGACAAGTGCAGAACAACCTTAATGTTAAGCTAGTGTATCTTTCGGTACTGGATGTGCTGCTATGCCTGCGTCTATTGCTTATAACAACTCCCGAGCCGTGACTGATCCGATGATGTTGAGTAAATCTAGGATAGCCAAATAGTTCTGCCAATATTATTAGATAAATCAAAGTAACATGGTAGATTCCACACAGTGGAACACGATGATGCATCTATAACCGGCATCACTTAGTAAGATCGGCGAATAGGGTTGGCGATTCAGCCTTACCTCGCGATGAGAAGTCGGTACCGGAGTCGGCTCGATAAACGATATGAGTCCTGAGGTCAGTATTTGATCCCGGCCATAGCGACCATGTTAAGACAACCAATACAATAAGCCGGGAGATCAATTGGCGACACAACGGAACCACGTTGCCCGATCGGTGAGAAAAGCCGGGGCTTCTTCCCGCTGCAACGTCATGGCTTCGAGCGGGCTCGATATTGCGTGCAGCAAGGCATCTGAAGACAAGGGATGATTTCGTACCCCCGAGGATTGCCGGGAGGACCGACGGGTTGGGATCGGGATGCCCGTACGCATCGGTCACTCCGATCTCAGCGAGCGTTGGCCGCAAACATCGACGAAGTCGTTCGGGGGGGACGCAGCAGGGGTTGCACGGAATGTGGGTTGCAGCATTGACCGAACGGAAATGGATAAAATTTTGAGATTACTCAGCTCTTGGGTAGAGAGCGAATGGTAACAAGCTGGCGGTGAAGTCCGCCCATAGGAACAAAATCAAGGAAACATTGTTTGTGTCGAGGGACGGAGCACGCCGGACGGGCAGGAAAAGGAAGAAAAAAGTAGAAAGAAATGGCACCACGTCAGCAAAAACGCGCGCAAGAAGTTCTCGGGAGTTGCTTTTGTACAACAACAGCCTCCGGAGCATGGGTTCTCCCGGTGCCAGGGCAGACCGAAACGGGGATTGTTGGCGATGGGTTTTTCTTTTTCTGTTTGTTGAGCACCAGTGGGATGGATGGATGAGGGGGTCTTCATGCAGGATAGGGTGGGGGAGATGAAATGGGAACTTGGGGAGCTTGTTGCATGCGCGCATTGACGATGTTGCATTCACGGCAAATACATACAGATGAGGATGGGCTGGGCTGTGACATGTCAGAATTTCTTTGGTCAATGGGCATCAAGGGGGGAATTCAAGGCTGAAGGGGGATTGAGTCACAGAAACATTGGGGGTGAACCCCCTACAGAGTATTGTCCCAGTATTGAAAATATTATCAATGTCTCGGGAGTTGACAATCGCGGAATATCACATGGTCGGATTTCACATGCGACCGACAATTTACAAATTGCATCACCTCGGACTTTGACTCTTTATTAGTGTGCTGTGTCTTGGCCCCATTCAATTCAATTGCCGGATTCAGACGACCGTGCAGTTGCGTCTGGCTGGATGTGCGCAGCTGCGGGCCTGGTGCTGCGTCTACGTTGTCATATTTGCTTTTTATTTCCTTTACTGTCAGAAAACCACCGGCAGCCGCTCGGACGGCATTGACGTGCCTTGCAAGAATGACGTGCTGGCGCGAGTTTTGGCTCGTTGGGAGGGTCCGGATGGGGGGTAACATTCCAGTTGGATACGGGGCGGCTTTCTGCGCACGCACGAGGAGATTAATTGAACAGGTGGGAGATGTCACTACATATTACATGGCTGGGCCCTTTTCCCTTGTAGAACTGTCGATCGTACGAGCGACGATGACAGCTCAGCCAGCTGCCGAGTCATTTATCATTTCCCATGCTGCGTTAACTTGTCCATTGTTCGCTTACACGTAACATCGCCGATCCAGGCACCAGGCACAAGCTCGTGAACTATTGGCATCTACAGAACTAGAAGCAGGTCTAGCTAGGCCTGGGCCTGGGCTGCTGTCAATAATCCCAATGGCATGGGTGCGCATTAACATTTTATTATACTACGTTACTTATTAGCCCAGGTTCTTCGGGGAGGGCCTGTCCAAGTCTAAGCTGGTAAGGCGAAGCAACGGAAAAAAGGACAGCCATGTTCAACGTGGGGATCTGGGCGACAGGTCGGTGAAGAGGCACGTTGTAACCCCTTTGCACCCGTGGCTTGCCATGGCAGCCCAGCAAGAGCATGGCAAGACTGGGTTGTCCGCCCAGCCAGGGCTCCCATCCCCTGTCCGAGACCCCGGGCAAATATTGGAAAGCCCGGGGAACGAGCTGCGGCAGGGAGCATCAAGAAAAATACCGTTGCGGACGGGTCCTCTGGAGAAGAGTCATGTCCGTCACTCCGACAGGCAATCCAATCTCACGAGCTCTGCCTTGAGATGAGGCTCGTAATGGGTCGTGGACCGCCGTCACCGCTGTAAAATTTCCGGAGCACGTCCGCGAGGTGCGCCGCCAGGGGGTCGTCCACCAAGCGAGTCATGCGCTGGGGCCGGGACTGGACAGTAGTACAGCGCCTCCACGCAGCTGGCAGACCGACGGACAGGTTGGCGCCATTGATGAAGTGGGTAGCCATTGATTGTGATGATGTTTTAGCCTGTTGCTACTCCGTACGTAGTTGGACGATGGGACTACTGAGCTCTAGATGGTGATTACAGAAGACAGTGATCCGCCGCAATGGGGCTTGGTGCTTGTTACGCCTGGTCCGGCCCAAGACACCCGCTGGCACTGGTGTTGTCTAACACAGTAGTCAGTCTGGCCTCGTGGCTTTGGACCAGGGCAGTCTGTAGTTGGCCAGGGGTAGAAAATGGCGTAGAGCTATCCGGAGTAAGTCAACCCGAATCAATGGTTATCAACCTCTTTCAATGCCAACGTGCCAGATAGGAGAGGATCGGCTACACGTACCTGAGTCGGGGAGAGTCATGACCCAGCAGCTCATGGTGACGAGTGAAGACGAGAGGAATGCGGCTGGGGATATGTGGCATCGAATATGAAGCAAGGTATCGCAAACACGGCCCGAAATTTCTTCACATACCTGCGTAGTCGGTCTATATCAATCAATCCCGACAGAAATAAATCCGGGGAAGACGGACAAACGCTGGGACCCGGCAGCGCGTGTATGGTAGCGCTGGTTGAAGATGAATCGGACTCTCTCGGATAGATTGGCCGACGGTTCGTGACTAGACACAAGCAACCTGCCCTCCCATTCCCTTAGACTGGTGTCGTCCAAATCATCTCCTCCGCCGTTGTCTCAGAAAAACCGATCCTCCGCGTCGGCGTTTAGTCGGCTGCTACGTGAGGCTGAGGAGAGGGAGACAAGGACGTGCCGTGCCGCGTGCAGGACGCACGGCTCACCGTCAGTACAGAGTCTCAGACCAACCTTCTTCAAGCTCCATATAGAAGCCGTGGAAACCGGGAAAGAAGGCCGCAGGACGCCGAAATGTGGGTTGGCGCGTGCAGAATGCGCGAACCGTCCAGCTGAAGTCGTGGCGTCGTGCTCGTGCGCAACCCCCTCGGCCCCATTGTCTTGTTTCAATTCCGTCTGTTTGTCAATCTGCAACCCGCGAGAAACAGAGGCGGCGGGGAGGGCCGCGAGAACCCGACCCGCCGCCGCCTGCTGTGTAGTCCAGACGGACCTTTGGATATGTGCTGTGTAATGAGGATGTTGCGGCTCCGGCGTTCGTTGGTCTGCTGCGTGGGAGTGCCACCGCGACGGGATTGGACGGGGTATCCATGGGGAGATCACTCCAACCTCAACCACGGCGCCGGCTCATTGGGCGTCTGCCACGCTGTGGTGTCGTAGCATCGTGCTAATGACCATCGAGCTTCCCCAAGCTCCTGGGCCTTGGGAACCTCACCGGAGGCGGCGCTCTACGAACGGCCGCCCCTCCACCACGAGGGCCCGAGAGTCCGCCTAGCCGAGAGCAGCCAGGCCAGGACCTCATCTGCATAGCATCATCACGGCATCCAGGCTATGGCGACATGGATCGAACGACCAGGTGTCCGCCCACGCAGTGTCCAGGTCCCATTCCCCAGCAGGTCACAACTGGGCCGCCTGGAGAGCTTCCAGCTTCCACGACCGCTTCCAAGTCGTCCAGGGTTGTGTCGCCCCTCGTCTGCGGCCGCGTCCAGGGCCTACACCACCGCGCAAGGTCCTCCAGCCACCGTACCGCACGCCTCAGGTCGCGGCCAGGGGTCGCAGGGCCCCGGCCAGCGAGATTTGATGGCCCTCCTCCGAGCTAAACGGACACAAATGCTGGTAATGCTGGTCGTGCTGGTCCCATCCCAGAACCACGCTCCGCTTGGCTTTCTCGGGACTAGCCTGCCAGCTGGCTTTCGCTGTGGCGTCCTTCAACGAGGCTTGTCCGCTGGGCTGGGAGCTGAGGCGGGAAGATTCATGTTGGGCGCTGCCATGCCGCGAAGCCAAGTCTTTGCCAGAAGCAAATTCAACCCCTCTCGCCCCCTGACGCCAGGCGACCATCCGGGGGGTTGGCCAGCTGAGGCAGTAGGAGGATCGTCGCCGCCGATGTAGAGATCTCGAACAGAAGCAACGACATGTCCACCCGTGATCCCTGCATCGCTGTCGTTGGTGGGTTTTGAGTCTCTGGGCGTTCTGGGGGATTTACATTGCTTCCTTTCCAGTCTTGCCGGCCGAACTCCCCCCCCCCCCAAACTGGCCCCCCAAACTCAGGATCGAAAGGATTCCCAGTCCAGACCCGGCACACGGTACCGCTAGAGAAGCCCCCAAGCTGCGAATGCCCACTCAGACGGGGCGGCGATTGTCAGGGACCTGGCGCCTTACGTAGGTGCACACAGACCTTCCCGCGGATGCATCTCTTTGTTCTTAGCGGTTCCTCAGCGGCTTCTTCAGCAGTCTCTAGCACCCTGCAAGGGGGGTACGTACTAATGATCGACTATTATCACCAGCACGAGGCGCTTTTGGCGTCCCAATGCAAGGGGGGATCTTTGGGGAAGAAGCCAGACCCGCACTGGGATAATGGGATTTGCCCCCCGTCGGCCAAAAAGTCTCCACCGGGACCCCGGCTCAACCACCGACACCACCACCACCAGCTGCTCCTCTGCTGCGCGTGTGATCACCCCTGATGCTGCTCACCGGAGGAGCTTGGAAGGACGAGGGGAGACAGCGTGTAAGAGATGCCGCAGAACTGACGATGGCCACGACGACAGGGGAGGGATCTCGTTCACCTGATGCACAAGGCACCACCGCCGAGCCATGTTAGACCCAATGCGGAGGGCTACCGAGATGTCAGTGTGCGGTTCACGCACAGCTGATGGAATTGTCATCGAATCTTCTGCTGCAAGGTACAGAAAAGCGTCCAACTCCATCCGCCGCGCCAACACGATAGCGTATGAGTTAGTGAGGGCTGCCACAGGACTTCGTCCTCACCGTCACAGTGCTACTCCATATGGTCGGTGCTGAATCCGAGGCAGGTAAATTAACCACACCCGTCGCCTCACTTGCGCGGAGCAGTCAGTCAGCCCGCGAGACCGCGAGAGCCAGCGGAGGACCGATGCGGGCGATGATGGACGGTCATGTCACTGCGTAGTACGATGCGGACCCCTGCGACTCACACGAGGGGGCCATGACTCTCTTTCTTGTCACCATGTGCTACAGCACGTATTAAGTTAACCCCTTCGTCTTGGGACGATGGCGGACGCGCTCTTGGACCACGCGCCGGCGAATGCGCCAGGCTTGCCATGTCGGGCTGGGCGGCGTGCTCCTTGGATCCTCCGCTTCATCTATGTACCAGCTCTGGCTCAAACACACCCGGGGCCCGTGATAGCCAGAGACAAATTGACTTTTGGACCAAGTAAAAAAGGACCGGGACATCTTTTTTTTTTTGAATTTCTTGCCGCCACCGGCCGCATCCCGGGAGGGTGTTAGCGACGGAACTGAACTTTCCCACCCACGAAACCCATGCTGGGGACTACTGCACGGAAGACAGGAGAAGTCGGCATCCGCAGACGCTCAGACGGCGGCTCAACTCGTCCCGCGTAATAACTCGTCCCGCACAACTCGTCCCGCATTGCTCATCACGTAGCAAGACAGCACGACAGCTCAAAGTCACATCCCGCGGGCTCGCCTCCCTCCTCAGTCGATCCCCAGGCCGCTGCCAACGGGGGGTTCGGCTAGATCTCATTTGCTCCCTCTCGCGTGCAGGTGGATAGCTCAATGCTAGCCTGATCGCTCGGCAGGATTGGCAGATTGCGACTAGGGGTCATTAGACTGAGGGCGCTGTACGTAGTAAATACGTAGCACGGTACCTTTAGACAGGTGTGGATAGCGGAGCACAAACCCACGCCCGCCCGCCGGAACACGCTCTCGACGGGGAAGAGCCCACCTGCAAGCCCGCAAGCACAGGGCTCCTCCCTCTAACTTCGTACCTACGACCGGCCCCAAGCACACGCCCACGCCCACGCCCACGCCCACGCCCACGCCCGCGCGCCCCGGAGCCCGCCCACCAAGTGCGCTGTACTACCGACTGCATAGTGCATTTCACGCCTGGGGGGCCTGGCCGGCCGCCTCTTGGCTGGGCCCGCGAAGCCTCCATCCCGTATCCCGTTTTCCCTTAAACTGCCTCTGCCCGTCCTCCAGCCTCCTCCTCCTCCGGCCCTGGTTTGGTTTTTTTGCCTTTTCCTCCCTCGTGGCACTGGCCATCGCCGAACGTTGTTGACAAACCAGACAAAGCACCAAAGGTTTAGAACCGCCAGGCCGAGACATTCAACCAAGCACCCGGGCCCTTCTTCCAACAGCCTAAACACGACCACACCCATCACCACCCATCACCCACACGTCATGGCACGCCCGTAGACTCGCCATTTGTATATCTTGGGACGCCGACATTTTCGAACTTGCTCGACCTCCAACCCACCGCTTCAGACGCACCACCGTCCGTTTCCTCCAAGAACCCCACGCCCGTGTTCCTCAGCACCTTGTTCTTCCGACGAAGAGGGGCAACCGGTGGACCGTTCGGAACAGGAAACAGGAACCACCTCCAGCAGCAGCAACCGTTTCCGCCCGCATCACCGCGTCTCGCACATGTCGTTCCCCGCCGCGCCCTCGCCTTTTCGCTGACAGTAGCATCCCAAGGGGGATTTGAAGAGCCTGGTTTTGGAAGACCAACGCAGACGCGCAGCCAAAGGAACTAGAAAGAGGCTCCGGCACAACCGCCATCATGGGCAAATTCTCCTTTAACCGCAAGAAGCAGCCGCCCCAGGTGACTGTTACGGGCCCGGCTATAACCAAGGCCCAAAAGATCCTCGGATCCAGTGCCATGAACTTCGACGGCGACTTTTCCGGCTCCAAGGTCAGTCTTGCTGCCACTGAGCGGTCAACCGCCGTCAGTCACGCGTCGTCTATCATGGCGTCGCCCAGATTCGTAAAACCGGACAGGGAATGGGGAGACGAGTCAGACGTCGTTCCTCGCCACCTCCGAGGCAATGCGCTCCCCGAAGATGAGGACTACGACGAGTACGACGACATCGCTTCCGACATGGTCAGCGTCCTGCGGAAGAGACAATCCTCGTCTACTCTGGTATCGTGGTACGACAAGTCCAAGCAGCCGCTGTCCATTTCCCAACAGACGTCCAATTCGGCCATGGCCAAGGGCCCGCCGTCCAAGGCGCACAAAATACTGGACATGGGACACACCCAGTCGAATGCAAAGTCCAAGAAGAAGCCCGCCAAGCTCGATCTGTCGCATCTCATCTCGCGAAAGTCCAAGAAGCACGAGCCGACACCCTGGGAGGGTCCTATGCTTGATTCCGAACAGTTCGTCAAGTCGCCGTCCTTGGTCTCGGCTCTCGCATCGCCACCTTTCCGCGGAAAACTGCACAAGCGACCGACCAAGGAGAGCCTGCGGTCAGAGCCTGTTCGGCCAGCTACTACCGAAACTAACCACCGAGCCAACAACCACCTCGAAGGCTTGCCGAACTTATATGAGCACTACGAGCAAATGTCATTCCACCAAATCATGAACCAGCAATTGAGGCCCTCAGAGGGCGAGAACAAGGAGAACAAGGAGATCAAGGAGACCAAGAAGCAGCCAGAGCCGCAACCCGCCAAAATCCACCGTCTGTCTGGCAGCAAATCCGCCCACAACCTTCACACACCATACCACGACGAGCAGGTCGTTTCACAATATGCGAAACGCATTCTCCCACAAACACCTCAGTCACCTCAAACTCAAACCTCTAGCATCGGCAAAACCGACCCGTCTTCCCCAATTGATTACGCTGCTAGCGTATCTAGCCGTCACACGCGCACCTCCAAGGCGTCGAAGCGCACTGATCATAGCTTCCAGGAGTCGGATCTACTGGAAAAGAGCGTCTTGTCGCTGTCTTCCGACTCAGAGGATGACATGTATCTGGATGGTCCCTCATCGGTTCCTGACTACCCAACCTCGGATGGCGGTTCCGCTTTTGATCCCCGCCCAACGACATCCCGAACAAGCGCAAGCGCCGACAACAACAACAGTCGGTACAGCAAGGCGAGTACATATAGCAAAGCAAGCACGTACAGCAAGGCGAGCAAGCGAAGTACTGCGACCTCGAGCAACTTCCTCACTATCCCGAGCGGCAACCACATCAAGCCCCCCGTCGTTTCCGCGCGATCAAGCTCTCTCTCCGGAAGCTCTTCCAACACCATCCAGGAGGGCACCGCCCCCCGCTCTCCCTCGCAACTGTCAAGCATCTCCAACTCATCGTCCGTCAACACGATGATGACCTGGCAGAGCAAGACCGGTTTCGGACTGCAACAAGCCCGGGCCATTACTATGCAACCTGCCAAGGGCCCTGATGAGGACGAGGCGGACTATGAATCCGAACAGGAGCAAGAGAAGAACCGAGAGGACGAAAGGATACTTGAGCCCAAGGCCTATGTTGAGACATCTCCTCCGCGAGCTCTCCTTCCCCGAGATTCCGCTGCCCACGCGGCGGATCAACCAACACCACCCCTGAGCCCTAGCTCCGTTGATTTCTATATCAGCTCCGCGCACTCCTCTGCAGACAGCCACAGCGGCCAAGGCAGCCACAACCGAATCATGGCCGTCACCCGCCAAGAGGAGATGCTCCTGGCTGCGCTCCGCCACAAGCGACAGGTCATGCGCGAGAGCATCCTTTCCGAGCTTGAGGACAGCGCCCGCGGCACCGAGAGGCGCATCCCCAAGGGCCATTACTCTAAGCCTTCAGAGGCCACCATTACCGAGTCGACATTTGACCTCGACTTCCCTGCCCCCCCGATGTGCAAGGACAAGACCACCGTCGCGGCGAATGGCACCACCGTCATTGACCTTCGCGCTGGCCTGGCTCAGACACATCTCCAGCCTATGCGTGCTGCGGACAACCTCCCCCGGGCCGGCCCTGCCCTCCCCTCGTCCAAGAAGGCGGTCCTCAAGGCTCAGAAGGAGTTGTCCCGCTCCGATCACCACGAACGCATTCTCCTCTACCTCGACCACCCTATTCGAGGCGAGAACGGCCCCATTGAAGAGGCTGAACCGAGCCCCGACCTGAGTGACTTTATGGAGTTTGAGGCCGAGGAGTCTGAGGACTCTGCCGATGTCGTCTCCGATGTCATCCTGTATCAATCGCAGTCCAGCCACTCTAGCGGCCGCTCCAGACGAGATGCACCCACCAAGCGTCGCTCCGAGGCTGTGACCCGACAGCGAGTACCGGACCTATCTCCCGACCGCAGCGGCGAGCTCGACGTGCCCCGCCCCGACAGCCCTATCTCGCCCTGCCCCGTGTCTATGCCGCGTCGGGGAACGGTGAACAAGAAGACGGCACGTCTCAGCGCCGTCGGCCCCGCACGATGGGGTTATGAAGAGTAAATGATCGAATACGGGACCTAATATGGATCGAAAACAACGGGCGTTTTTAACATTCGTTTCTTATGTCAGCCTTTGATATGGCTCTTAGACTGGAGCATTTTTGGATACCTTGATCACGCGATGATCACACATACACACATACACTTTTCCTTTGTCGACATGAACAACTATTTTGGATTCCTTGAGGGGTTTCTCGGTTACATATGAGACGGTGGTTGTTTATTCAACACCGCTGCGGGTATGGGGAGCTTGAAAGCAAGGCTTCCCCCTGCCATGGAAATACCCGGTGGATGGGGCGGCGTTCTTTTTCCTTGACGAATTCTCGAGATGATTTATCTGGGGGGCATTCGTCGTCTAGAAACTGCATGGAGAAAGAGATGGGAAAGACGAAAGAGTTACAGGGTGGAATCGCGAACTTGATGAATGTGACGAACAGGGGAGGCAAACTCATAATGTCAGCTAAAGCTGAATTTGGCTAGAAAGTCGAATGTGTATCATATTGTAATTCACGCGAAATAGTCGCAGAACGGTCTCGGCCCCGAGAGAGGGGTGATGAAATGGAAGGTGGTTGGTTCGTTAATCTTGTTCACTTGTGATGATCTTCATTTGTGATGTTCCCCTCGGGAGATGAATTCGCCATGTTGGTTGCACAGCGACCGATCGTCCAATTCTGAAGCACTGGGCTTAATACTCCTCTCCCTCAGGAGGCTGAGGGATCTTCTTATGCTGGGGAGCAGCCATGTATCTGTATTCGACGATTCGCACCACGTTAGCCTATTCCAGCCAACAGCCGACCACTTTTCCAGCTCATTTCCTCTTTGAAACATACCTTCGCAATTCGATCAGGATAGTCTCGATAGTATTGTTGCGCTTCCACTCGCTCAGACAGGGGAGGATGCTGCTGAGCACGAGGCCTCGGTCGTCGACACAGGGCAGGATGACCTTTGTAGTGAACCTGACCTCCGGGGGGCGGTCGGGGTATTCGGGGCCGCAAGTGATTTCAACGCTGTAGATGCGGTTCTCGTATACGGACTGTGTTCGAGGAGGGCGCGAATGGCTGTGGTTAGCGTTTGAACGTATATGCGGTGAGGCTTGGGCGTGATGGGTTGGGGCTGTTAATCCCATTTGAACACAATTTTGGGAAGAGGGGCTTTTAAGGGCTGCGGTGGTGGTTTGGGGGGATTTAATTCAACTCGGCATTGTCCAGTCTGGCCCAAGTGACCATGACGGTTATAGTTGGGCTGCGGGTTGGTTGAAGGCGCGGGTAACGGGTATGCTTACATGGGGTGGGCCCAAGATGGTGCCGTTCCAGTTGGTCATGAAAAGATCATCGGGATCCTTGAGACCGTAGCTGCAAGCCTCGGCGCCGAGACCCTTCTCGCCCTTCTCGAGCTCCTCCAACAGGCGGAAGTTGCGCGGGACCTTGGCCATGACTGTTATGTCGGACCCGTTCTTGCCGGAGAGGTCTTGAGGTTGTCTCGCTTGTTGTAAACGGGGCGGGAGAGGCGGGCCTGGGCGGGTGGCTGAGGGTGACAAAAGAAACGTTGGATGGCGGGTTGTGGTGTCAGGGAGAGGATGGATGGCCGAATGGCGGGAGGTGGGATGGCGGTTTGGCGATATTCAAAGACAACGCGGGGCAGATTGGTTTGGGAGGGGGACTGATACCAGGCGACCTGAGCACAGCCACACCCGCCTCACTCACGCGAGACCTCCCTGGAGCACGAGCCACATAAGGCTAGCCCGCCACACCGCGGCCCAGCTGCATTGCTGCATTGGCCACTCGCGTCAGCGGAAATGTGCCTACGGGTAAACCTTGCCCCGGAAGCTCTCCCCCAGCTTTCCTCCTGCAAGCGAAGCTCCGACGAGTAGTTTTTCCCTCCAGCCCGGAGACGTCATCTGGCATCTGGCATCCTGACCCTCACTTTTGCTGCGACTCTCCGCCTCGCCGTCCACCCACGCAGCCAGCAGCCATGGCCACCTCCCTCACGAGGGCCGCCCTCCGCGTGCCCCGGTCGCGTCTCCTCCTCGCGACCGCCGCCTCCGCCGTCTCTGCCGTCGCCGCCCGCCGGACCCTGTCCACCTCGGCCCGCGCCCTCCTCCCCGCCGGCTTCGGCCCCCCCGTCGTCACCTCGTACTTCTCCAAGCCCCGGCTGCCCGCCAACACCGTCGTGCGCTTCGTCCCCCAGCAGACGGCGTGGATCGTCGAGCGCATGGGCAAGTTCAACCGCATCCTCGAGCCCGGCCTGGCCATCCTCGTGCCCTTCATCGACCGCATCGCCTACGTCAAGAGCCTCAAGGAGTCGGCCATTGAGATTCCCAGCCAGAGCGCCATCACTGCCGACAACGTCACCCTCGAGCTCGACGGTGTTCTCTTTACCCGTGTCTTCGATGCGTACAAGGCGAGGTGAGTTCCGAGTCTAGGCAGTGCGTGCCAATGGCGCCATTGCTGAACGGCTGTCGATTATAATTGCCCATTGCTAACGCACTCTGTGTTTGTCTACAGCTACGGTGTTGAAGATGCCGAGTACGCCATCTCCCAGCTTGCTCAGACGACCATGCGATCCGAGATCGGCCAACTGACCCTCGACCACGTGCTCAAGGAGCGCGCCGCTCTCAACACCAACATCACGGCTGCCATCAACGATGCTGCCGAGGCCTGGGGCGTCACATGCCTGCGTTACGAAATCCGTGATATCCACGCACCCGGACCCGTTGTCGAGGCCATGCACCGCCAGGTCACCGCCGAGCGCTCCAAGCGAGCCGAGATTCTCGAGTCCGAGGGTCAGCGCCAGAGCGCCATCAACATCGCCGAGGGTAAGAAGCAGAGTGTCATCCTCGCCTCCGAGGCCATGCGTGCTGAGCGTATCAACGCGGCCGACGGAGAGGCAGAGGCCATCCGGCTCAAGGCTGCCGCTACTGCCAAGGGTATCGACGACGTTTCTCGCAGTATCCTCAAGGGCGAGGCCAGTGCCCAGGCCGCTATCAGCCTAAGCGTTGCCGAGAAGTACGTTGATGCGTTCGGCAAGCTCGCTCGCGAGAGCACCGCTATTGTTGTTCCTGGAAACGTTGGCGATATCAGCGGCATGATTGCAACTGGTCTCAGCGTCTATGGCAAGGTCGGCGAGGCCCAAGCCCGCACAATGGCCAAGTCTCTTGCTGCCGAGTCCTCCACGAACCATTCTACTCCCGAGGAGGCCGCCGCATCGCCGACTGATGTGAAGGAGACAGTCCTCGATGTCTTCGACCAGACTGCTGCCAAGAACTAGATATGCCATTCGGCCGAACCGAATGCCAGAGCGTTCACACCCTGAAGAGGAGGAGATAGGCACCCTCATCCACCCACTCACTCAGTTTACCCACACATATTTCACGCACACAAACACACTCTACCACAAAAACGGCGTTTAGCGGGTGTACTTTTAGTAGATCCCTCGGGATCTTGTCAGACTCTTAGAGCAATGGGGAAGAGAACCATGGAAGCGAAATGTGTATTATATGGTCGATTTCGAAGCCGAACGGGAACAAACAAAAACAAGATGCTCGTCAACGCCGCCTAATCTGTCACGAAACAACCTCTTAACTCAAACAAGTAAAAAATTAAAAGAAAGACAAAATCATGTTATGAAACGCTCTCCAACGAGTTGGACAAATCCTAAAGTTTCCATGTTAGCTGAGTAATGTCGATATAATGGAACTATCTGTGCATTGCAACTCACCTTGATATCACGGACTGAGAAAATTAAATGCTTTGTAAACCCCCCCCCCCACAATAAGTGCCTAAAGGATTCACTCTAGGCTACTTGGCACAATGCTTGATAGCTGCCCGTCGCCTTGATAGTGTGCCTTTGAGAGTATCCTTCCCGAGGAGCCTCTGAAGACGTTCCTAAACGTATATACAAGTTACTTAGCACTTACTGTATCCACTTCTATGGCAAGACAACATCAGACTAGACGATGGATTCAGAAGAGAACAGTAACCCACAAACCACCCAACGCAATCTCACCGACTTGTTTGCTCGCATAGAGGCTTCGCACTCCGAATACCTTGATGTGATAGGCTCCCTTCTTCCTATACCAGATATGCATTCCGAGGACCCGGGGGCCAACACAGGGCACAAGAACCATGGGTCCACATGTCCTCAACGCGTCAAACCATTTCCAAAGGATGATGCTTCTGCAGATCCAAGGGTTCGAGAACGTTGCTATGAGATGCTCGGCATAGAGCCGGTAAATTCAGGAGTATGGAGCAAGTCTGGCGGAACTTCCTTAGAGGCTCGTCCACTCCAGCCGCAGTTCATGAAACGGGACGCCGGACAACTGTCAAGGACGTTCAACGGCCGGCCGTACGACCCGCGTTCCTCGCTCTATGTGTCAACACAGGTGGAATCTACAAGACCCTCGCGGATATCAGTATCGAGACGATAGCGTGCGACGAAGAAGCGTTCAGAGTAATGAAGAAGGAGTATTTGAAGAAGTGTGGGTTCCGGTCGAGGTTTAAACTCCTTATCAGGCCAATCACTGTGGGATTCATACAGGTAAGAAGTCATTAGCTTTGATGATTTTCAAGGCGCTCTGCACTAATTGAATTTCCCAGTTTACTCTCTGGAATATTCGCGGTGGTTATGTATCAGTCTGCAACAGGCCAAACGCCATACCCTCCGACGACATGAATAATTATCTGTACCTCCCCCGACCGATGAAACCACTCCCTCCGATGCCGCTTGAGATATTTATTCACTGCCTCGAATACGGTGAGGGCGACCTCAGTCCCGCCCGCCATGACTGGCTGCCACGCCTGCCAAAGCGCCTGGACAAGCGTGTAATCGACTGTGATGAGACGTGTCTCGGTTGGGTAGTGCACATCATTGAAGGCCCAAACAGAGAGTCAATATTCATTCTCGCCATGATTACTATGCTCGCCAGCTTCCTGGCCACAGTGTCATGGTCAAAGCTGCAGGGCGACATTCAAGGTGGCACCGGGCTCGGAGCTCTCATCGTGGCGTTCCCTCCTACAATTCTAACTGCGTTTCTCATTCGGCTAGGAGCCATGTAAGCATGTCCCGCAAATAACATTAAAACTTGGCGCTTCCATGCTAGTCTTCTGTTGGTATGCGTGGCTGACACTTCCATCTGCACCAAGAAAGGGGCGCGGCCGCCACCCGCTGCAGGCGCTAGGAGGTTCATCTCCCCTCGCGTTAGTTGAAACCCGACCTCACTTCACGTCCGGATCATGTAGAAGGGACGCACGTATCACAGGAGAGTAATTTATGCACGGCAATACGGACGTTGGAAGAGGGGCAGTTTCCGTTCAGTCATGTCAATAGTCGTCTATTTGAGAATATGAAGAAAAAGGTATATGTAAAACGATAAGGCACTCCTGGCCTCGATATCGGCGTGCCCGAAAAGACTTCATCCCGTCTCAAACAGGGCAATTATGTTCCTCCACCCATTGGCCGTGTCCAAGAAATCAGCGGTCCTCGTATTTGAAACCGTGAAGATGTACTCATGATAGTTTGAACAGTCTGTATGGGAAATCCTCCTCAAACATCCAACATTGTAGCTTCCTTATTCACACAATGCACTTATAGCAGAAGAGGAACGACAGCCAGGAGGCCGACCATGGCGATGGGAACGCTGATAGCGCCAGCGCCGCCGCCGTTGTCGCCCGATTGGGGCCCCGCGGATGTGGACGCGGCAGGGGCGGAAGAGTCGGTCGTCGAGGGCTCGGAAAACAAGTCACTGATAGAGGGCTCGCTGGAGGATTCGCTAGAGGATTCGCTCGTGCTCTCGGGTGCGAAATCGCTGGCGCTGGAAGCGCTGGTGGTGGCGAAGGTCTGCGTCAGGCTAAAGGTGAAGGTGTCGGAGTCGGAGGAGTCACCGGAGGAGTCGCCGTAGGTGCAGGTGCCATCGCTCACGCAAGTCTGGCCGGTCAAGCAGTATTTGCCGTTGTCGCAGCAGACGCTGCCAGAAGGCATGCAGCCAGTTCCGCACTCTTCTTGGAAGGAATAGCAGGAGCCAGAGCTATCATCGTCACCACCGCTGCCGGAGCCAGCGAGGCTGCAAGTGCCATCACCATTGCACTTCTCGCCGGCGAAGCAGTAACCAGTGTCACAGCAAACAGCGCCAGAAGGCATACAGCCATCACCACACTCCTCTTGGAAGGAATAACAGGAGCCTCCCGAGTCGCTGCTGCCGGTAGAGCAGTAGCCATCGCTCCCGCACGTCTCGCCGGCGTCGCAGTAGCCGGTGTCACAGCAGACAGAGCCCTCGGGCATACAACCGTCGCCGCAGATTTCGTTGCCGTCAGAGCAACCGGAGGCGGGGCCAGAGCAGATCGAGCCGTCCTTGCAGCAGCCTTCGGTGACACAGTAATAACCGAGGTCGCAATAACCAATGTTGCCACCACAGCACTCGCCAGTCAATGGCATGCAACCATCTCCGCACTCAGTCTTGCCAACATCACAGCTACCAGTCAAGCCAAGGTTGAGAGCTTGGGAGCCAGTACCAGGGAGAAGAAGACCCTTCCGGCCGGTCTTGGGGGAGTTGAATTTGAGGGGAGTAGTAGCCGTAGCGACGCCGGCAAGGGCGAAGAGAAAGGCTGAAGACCGCATGATGTCTGATAGGACAGAGAAAGAAAGAACTGAGCTAGTCAGTGTGGGAGGTCAACGATGGGGTGAATGGTTGTACCCAAGATCCCGAGGAGGGCTTCATTTCTCTTTATAAGGAACTGGCAACGGTCGAACAACACACACGAGCCCTAGGCTGTGATTGTTCAGCCTCCTGCATCATGGATAATAATGCCTTGTGGCTCCCCTCCCCACCAAGCCGGGAGAGTAGGCTCCAGCTCAACCAGCCTAGCCGGGGTTCCATGCATCACATGGCGCCACCAATATCTGAAGGGGGAAAGCTGGAGATGTTGGGGCTGGCCTTGTGGGTTGGTGATGGACTCACACGGGTACGCGCGGGTACGGCACCCGCGCCAATCTAGCCAACGCCCACAGCTCGACAGCGCGCCTCACGGGGCCGAAAGCTGTGCTGCCTACCAGGTTGACGCACTTGCATTGACAAGCCTCATATTGATTTTCATGGCTCTTCGACAAACCTTCCCTACCACAACCTCCCAATGCATCGTCCGGTCTTCAGAGATGATAAATTGTTGACCGCCCAACCGTCGCATCCTGGAAGGCACCAGCACAAGCCTAGTCGTCAGACGGCCTAACCTCCGCCCGCACTCTAACGAGTCCGTGGATTGGTGACATTGAACCCATCCCAAGGATGGCTGGCATTGCTGGTTGGTTGGGTGGGGATTTGGGCTTTCAGCTCTTCAGAACCCTAGCTCTTTTTTCGAGCTTGGGACTCGCTTTCGACAAGAAAGGAAGGCCAAAGCCGATCCTCGGGGCAAGCTTTGTGAGGCAAGCTTCGCGATGGGTCACACGTCCAGACACCAGCACAGCCACGTACCTCAAGTCTCTGCAACATGTCGTGGCTCACGGCTGGATGATTCACGACTGAAATGCCGCGGCCAAGAGTGAGCCCACGTTTGAAGCGAAAGGACCCCAGGTCGATCGCATGCCGGGATGCTGTCACATCGGTCGGAGTGCTAGTGATAGCAAGAATTTTGTTGCTTATTGTTAACTGGGCTGAAAATGAAACCACGGCCTTAACAACGTTAAGATTAGGCTTCTTAGTGCAGGGTCCGGGGTAGTCAAATTTCGGACCGCCCATCCAACGGGAATCAGAAGACGGCAGCAATGTCTCCGCCGGTCCACCATTCGTCTGCCAGAAACCACTCGTACTGGTCGTATTTGATGTGATGAATCGGTCTGTGAGACTTTGGTTGTTTTGCATCGCGACGCAGGGGCCCGTAGATAGGGCAGAAAACGTCCGTGTGCCTGCGGTAACTATGCCCAGGAAAATCTCCCAATGGGGCGATCTGCAATGGTAGCGCCCTCCTCGGCAATGCGCAGGGATATCCGGAGCTCCTTGGGCAGTCGAATAACCCTCATCACCAAAGGCTCCTCGGGCGGTCAGTTTGGTCCGATCTTATTGGTATCAACCCCGCACCGACGGTCCAAATCTGCCTCGCGAGGCGTGCTACAGCCGAATGAGCTTGGCGCGGCTGTATTGAGTCGCATCGGTATTGGCCTGGTGCCTGGGTGGGTGTGTTGATCGCAGCTAGTACACCAGCGAGAACCTGCTCGTGAGCTGTTTGTTCTGATCGTCGTGCCCTGTTTTGTCTGTTACTAAAGTAGGCGACCAGATATAGATACCTGGTGGGTGACATTAGAGCATTGAGGCCAGTTGAATTGGCAAACTACCATCCGATTGGAATCTGACCTGATATTTTAAGCACTTCTCCACTCACACTTGAACAGACTTCTGTATGGTTGTTCCCACGATTTCTTCACACGCAAAGACAATCTTCAGCACTTCACCCTTGGTTGCACTCAAGCCGATGACCATTTCTTTGTCTCCCTCCAATCTCTTGACGCTTCCCCTCCAGAACCACACGAGTCTTCCATCATGGCCCTCCACCACCAGAGTTGCCCAGGGGCTGAGCTTCTTCCAGCTTGGAATTTGCTCGTTTTCAAATCCCAGCACCACACGAACAATCCAAGTCGGGACAGGCAATGATGGCACGGCTTCGGCCATCAGCAGCCCATCTTTATTGGCAGCAGAAGATCCAGGGTGTGGTGGTGAGCGGTATTGTCCAAGCATCTCAAAGTTGAGAGTCAGCATTGGGAATCCGGCAAGCTCGTGCAGCATTTTCTGGCCAAATGGAGGGTTGCGACTTAACAACCGCTCAATGTGGTAAAACTCCAACCGTGACAATTGTCGAATGTTTTTGACGCCAGCCTCGACCAAGCGGTTCATCTTGACAAGGCCGACTCCGTCGACTTGTAGCAACTGCTTCTCGCTGTCCTCCCAAACCCCAGCCTTGACACTTCTCAAGACATCAAGGGCGGTATTCACACCCTTTCCATCCTGTCTTTCCCCTAAGATGTCCACTAGACACCTCAGAACTCGGTCCAGCAGTTTGTGCATACGGCCAAGTTCCTGATGGAGCTCCTTGCGTGCAGTTGCTGAGAGCTTATTGGGCCATTGAGTTCGTAAGAGATCGACTTGGATGACGAGGAAGGCCTTGTGCCATGGAAGATTGAGGTTCCCCGTGATTGGGTAGGGGATTGCGGAGTGATCGTTGACTTCTCGGAGGAATGCCTTCTCGGATTGTTTGATTGGGAACGAGCGAAACTCGGCTGCAAAACATGCTTTCTTGAGGATGTCGGAGCGGGTCGGCGATTTGCCGATGGTGCACAGGGTTTTGAAGGTTGTCGAGGCCAGCTTGTAGCGCATCTGGATTTCATTCGAGCCCTGAGATGGAACTGGAAGCTGAGAGGTTACACGTTCCAAGGGATCGATGGTGGACGAAGGAGTTGGGTTCAGCTGGCTCGGTGTAGCCATGGTCACTGGCCGCGATGCGACTCTGTCACACCGTCAGAGGTCTGATGTGCCAGGTGAGAGTTACCGAGTTCGAATCCCGTCGCACTTTGGAGAACGAGGAATCTTGGAAAAGCACTCGCTTCTTTGGCGAGTTGTTTTGTGTTTCTTCATGTTTGGCGTTGATGCCTGGGGCATGTTTGGCGAAATCAGCAGGCGGCAAGTGCACCTTCCACGGCAAGTGCAAACCCTCGGAACAGCAAAACTGTGAAAAAGACCAAAATTCATAATCTGCCTGCGGATGGGCGAGGATGGTTATATGATGGAAGACAAATGCCCTTGGGTCGAGCCACTAAGCACTTTCTAGTCAATGAGACGCGCGTTCTACTGGCATGGCGTGTTGGCGGGCTACCCCCGATGTAGCATTTGCTTCGACTTTGCCTCGTTGGGTGTGATTCCGCCCACAAGGCTCAACCACGAGTGGGCCAAATGACTACAACTGCCGCGACGTCTATTACGAGAAGACTCGCAATGCTGCCTTCAGTATGCCTAGCTCTGGCTCGCTAATTTCAAGCCACAGCTGAACAAAAACTGCCTTCTGGTGGTCGGTGCAGAGACAGCTGAGATGGGGAGTAAGACCTAGAAAGTGCTGTAAACGCCATGCGCAAGTCTCTTCGCTAATGACTGGCCGAAAGGCGCCACAAGACAACTCGGCGTTTGTGGTACATTTAATGACACATCGCATAATCATCGTGGGTACGGGGCGCGAACAACGCAATTCGGGTTCTGTCCGTCTATGAAGTCGGTTCGAGGCGAGAACTGTGTGCAACCTGACGTTGATAGGCCTCGCGACTAATTATAGGTAGGCATGCTACTCCCTAGGGGTAACGATTGTCCACGTCGCATCGCCTGCCAAGGCAACTTCTCCTGTAGACACATCGCCAAGGAAACGCATCTGGGGTAGCCAAGAAAATGGCTTGCGCATTGGCAGGGATCGTGCGAAAGCCGCGTATTGGCAATAGGTGCCAGGTGTCCGGCGTCCAAGTCTTGAGAGTTCGGGGGATGGCTTACACTCGGTAGCTTCCGCCGTGTTAGCGCCGGCAGTGATCAGGTCCTGGTGACGTCGACGACAGGTTCTTGATACCTCAGAGATAGCGGGACAGGCCCTGCTCGCCGAATCCATGCGGAGAGTTTCAGCGCCTACTATGTAGAAACGACGCTGAGTGGGCGGGGACTAGCTGCACAAGCATGCCGCGTACACCATGTCGGTCGTCACAAGTGCCCATTGGGCAAGTGATTGAAACCCCGAGACTGGAGTTGCACGAATGTAGAAACTCTTTTCCAAGCAAGCAGGGATCCAACGCCCGTCTCGCCCTGACGGCTGACGAGTTCAAAGCTGAGAAACGCCTTCACATCCGGCTGCGAATGCTTATCGCCGGTTGGGTCCCACTCGACCGATTGCCACGCCGTGTCTCAGCCCACCAACTCTCACCGAGACAGTTGACTGGCCTGACTATGCTGCGGCAGCTAGGAGAGACACGGCTGAGATGCCCACATTGAACTATCGAGGCCCAGAACGCGCCCGCTTTTACCCAGGCACCTAAAGTTGGTTGCACCGACGTCACTCCTAAAGTCGCGGCCTCGAATAGCAACCTTGGATGCTACACATGGACACGTGCGATCAGCATCATGCATCACTCAATTTCATGCAACCAAGCTACCTGCCTTGGAAGTACAGGGCTACCTAAGGAGGTACCATGGCAAGGGCGCCTTATGCGAGGCCACCATCCCACGTTGCTTCTTGCCTCAAACTTTGGGCAGGTGTCATACGCCATCGCCCAACGTCGCGGGGATCAAAAGCAGCCTGCCTCCCGTCTCTCCAACTCCTTCATTCTACATCCTCATCCTTCAAGTCCACACCAAATCATAGCTACATACCATCACATTGAACCCTCAATACCAGACTCTCACGCAACACCTACGAATTCTCATCATGGCCTGTCGTCATTTTATCGTCCCCCCGCATCTCCTCCGCGGCATTGCCGAGAGCAAGGTCAACCCTGATCACATTCGCAAGGCCGCTTTGGAGTCTCTCGGTGCCCGTGAGAAACTCACCAAGGTCCGATGCGATCGCTTCGCCGCCCTGGCCACTCCCCGTGGCTATCAGCGCTCTGGCGAAGGGCCTTCCGGCGTCCAGCGACAGCAAATCGTCCCTCCGGATATGCTCCGAAACATCTCCGAATCCGAGCAAGTCGATGAACCCGCGCGCGTCCGCGCCAAGCGAGATCTCGAGCACCTCGAAGGTCTCATGAGTCAGAAGCAGGGTAAGTCAACGCTCTGTAGATTCTCTCCACGGCTAACAGGGCATTCTCAATCCAGCCCAATCGTCCACCCAGCAAACCCTAAGTGCGAGCAAGGACTCGAAGAAAGAATCACCTCATCGGGCCATTTATGACGCCAAGAACACATCGGACGAGACAGAGCTTCCTGGAAAGTTGATCCGCAGTGAAGGCGAAGACAAGGTCAAGGACAAAGCCGTCAACGATGCCTACGAAAACGTCGGCACCGTCTTGGAGTTCTACAAGAAGCACTTCAAGTGGAATTCCATTGACAACAAGAACATGGACGTCATAAGCAGCGTTCATTTCGGTGAAGCCTACGAAAACGCTTGTAAGTGTCTATGCGCCTCCCCATACTCGCTTGCGATCCTAACATGCCGTAGTCTGGGATCCTGAGAGACTTCAAATGGTCTTCGGTGACGGTGGCGACTTTCTCAACAACTTCACTGGTTGCATTGACGTCATCGGACACGAGCTCACACATGCCGTCACTGAGCACACTAGCCCTCTCGACTATTCGGGTCAGCCCGGTGCCTTAAATGAGCACGTCTCTGATGTCTTTGGCATCATGGTCAAGCAGCAAGTTCAGGACGAAAAGTCCGATGTGGCTGACTGGCTCATTGGCGAAGACTGTATCTTGCCTGGAGTCAAAGGAGTTGCGCTGCGAAGCATGAAGGCCCCCGGAACCGCCTACGACGACCCTCGATTTGTATGTGGATCAATATCCCTAGTAAAGTGACAAACGGCCATAATTAACGATGTAACAGGGCAAAGATCCACAGCCAGCTCACATGAAGGACTACAAGGCCATGGTCGATGACAACGGAGGTGTGCACATTTATTCTGGAATCCCGAACAGAGCCTTCTATCTTGCATCGGTGGCTTTTGGTGGTTACTCGTGGGAGAAGGCTGGCCAGATCTGGTGGAAGTCTATGAATTCGGGGAAGATTGCGGCTAGGAGCCAATTCAGGCAGTTTGCGGACGTCACTGTCGAGACTGCCGAGGAGGAGTTTGGCGAAGACGCCGCCAAGATCGTCCGAAAGGCCTGGACCGACGTCGGAGTTACTCGCAGCATTTAGGATTCAAGCGCAGACTCCTGGTGCAATGTCCTTTGATTGGTCTTCAGTCCTGGGCACATTCACGATCCCTTGGAAGTGTTAGTACGAATACAAAACCTAAGTCATCAGTTTACAATAGAGCTTGATGATTGCTCTTCTTCTCTCTCACCAATAAAGAATTTCGTCTGCATAACTTATGTCAATATACTGAACCTAAGTCGATAAGTGACCTCCGAGGTACTCGTACAGTACCGAGGCTGTTAGAGATGTCAGCGTTAGTTTGCGTACCGTCCTTCGATCAGGATTCGATCCAATGTCAGGACAGATGGCCTTTCAAGTGAGCATCCCGAAGACAAAGTTTTCAGTGACAAATTATGTTCACGTCGTTGAAAACAAGGTAGGCATTTTATTAATTACAACACTTAACGGTAACAACTGTTTGTATCAATTCCCCTAGTATGACGGTTCCTATGCGCCTTGTTCTGTACGGATGTCATTTAAGGAGGGGACCCCCACACCCGAGGTTATGAGGGGCACTTATTTCACTTGAGACCTCAGTCCAAATTAGGGTGGAGGAACCTATCTGCATCTTCAACTTGATGCTGAAGGAAGATCGGCGGCCTCAGGCAGTAAGCACATAACACCCCATGGACAACTATGAGCGAGATACGTTTGTCCTCAAAACCTTCTACGTGTCTTTCTCGACCACTACTTGTCTTATTTATGTTTCAGTCACGTCAATGCAGATATGGGTCAAATTGTTTTGCCTTGGCCAACGCAGTTCATTTTTTGAGCGATAGTATCGCACGCCCCCAAGGGGGGGCGGTCTAATCTATCGAAAGGGGGGAATATATACACCGCAAGAATAAAGTGAAGTAATTAATGGCGGCCATCTCTCGATCAGATGGCAATTAAGCCGCCGTCCCGGCGGTTGCTGTCTGTAGCCACTTCTCAAGGGCCCGCCGCAACAAGACGTTGCATAGCTTACAGGCTGAGGGTGTTGCCGGCAGTGCCGTAGACCTTGGCCTTGACGCTGCTGGCGCCGTACTTGGTGTAGCTGTAAGGGATGCTGCTGGTCTTGAAGGAGCCAGCGGGGGCGTTGTTGGTGGCGCCGTTGAGGGTAACATCGCTGACGGTGATGGTGCCAGTGGTCTTGGAGTCGACGGAGGTGAGGGCATCAGCGGAGCTGCTGCTGTCGAAGACAGTAGACTCAACAAGAACGTTAGCGCCCATGCGGGAGTTCACGCCAGTGACACCGATGGACAGGTAGTAGTTGTTGTAGATGTGGACAGTGCCGAATCGGACGGAGGGGGCACGAGAGTTGATGTTGTACCAGTAGTTGTTGGCATAGGTGACGTGGAGCTTGCCCTTGTCCTCGCTGGAGTTGCTGTCAGAGTGTCCGACAAGGGACGCCTTGTAGTGGTCGTGGAGGAAGGTGTTGGAGACGGTAACCCAGTCAGAGCCGTGGTTGATGTCAAGGAGACCATCATAGTAGTCCTTGCCGTTGTTCTTGTCCGAAGACAGGTCGCAGTGGTCAACCCAGACGTTGGTGGAGGCCTGGATGTTGATGGCGTCGCCGTTGGTGGCCTTGACCTTGGAGATGGCAAGGTTGCGGACGATGACGTTGGAAACACCCTTGATGTACAGACCAACGCCGGAGAGCTTAGCACCGCTGGCACCGACAATGGTGGTGTCGGAGGTCACCTTGACCTGGGTAGCACCAGAGATGGTGCCCTTGACGTAGACGACCTTGGCGCCGGAAGCGGTGGCAGCCTTGGTGAACTGAGCCAGGGTCGAGACAGTGGTGGTGGAACCGCCCTTGCCACCCTTGGTACCGCCGTTCTGAGTGGCGTAACCAATGGTGCAAGTCTCGGTGATGGAGGCACGCTTGGCAAGAGCGTTGGTGGCACCCTGCTCGACGGTGGGAGTAGGGGCGGCGCTGGCAATGCCAACAAGGGCAAGCTGGAAGATGCTGGAGAACTTCATTTTGATGTTAGGGTGATAAAAGACTGTAAAGTTTTGTGGTTGTTTGAAAAGACTGTGGGGATGTGCGGAACCGGTCCAGACACGAGAACGAATGTGATCAAAAAATGAGAGAAAGGGGGAAAGAAGGCTGTGAAGGACTGAGAACTACAGAAACAAAAACCACAACATGGCCGTGGTGGTTGATCTTATATATCTTTGCGGGACGTGGCGGCTCCGCGCTAGAATTAACCTTACACAGTTATCTTAATGCCATTAGGCTCCATAGCGCCACGATGGAATGAACAAGGAGGCTTCCATGGGTCGACGACCAGACTTACACCGGCTTGGGGTCCAGATGCCAGGGAAGCAGGGCCAGGGTGCGCGCTGCAGGGGGAAGTTACACCAATAGGAGAATTCTCCGTTCACGTTCTGGACCTCGCTCAACGAAAACGGGCTCGTGCCCATGCGATTGAACAACACCCCGGCTGTCGATGGGTGATGGGATGAAACGGAGGTGGGGCCGGGGCGTTCGGCGCTGGACGTCGGAGGACGGAGGTTGCAGCCCGATCGGGACGAATCCGGCCAAACGTGCTCACTGAATGGCTGGTGAGAGGTTCACCCCACTGAGAAAAGCAGCCCAGGTTTCGAGTGGAAGAACAGCCCAGCTGCACCTTCAGGAATTGGCCTGAACGGCGTGTTACAGAATTCGCTTTGCGGCATGCTACAGTGATCGGTCGGTTCAGGCCGTTCTCACGGGATCTAGCTACGGTGCTAAACCATGGGCTCCCGAGACTGGAAAACTGCCTACGCGGCCTGCAACGGACAGCCACCTCAACGCCTCTGTGGGACTGAAATACAGACTAGGGGTGACGTTCCTTAGCGTAGCGGATTCAATCTTACGCTGTGCAACAAAGCTGCATAACCCTTAATTTTCCTCAAAGCTCACGAGGCCTTCATGGACTGTGGGGGATGCCAAGCATGCCACAGCCTGACAGAGCACCTAGATGCGGTCCCGGCATTACGTCTTCGGCGGCACGGCGATCAGAAAGCCGCGGTTGCTTGTTCGAGAGCGAAGACGTGATGCATCCTTGTCGTGGCGGATATTGCGATTCTTGGGTGTGGGGATGCAGTTGATGGGATGCCAAGAGGACCTGAACTCCCGACGCAGTAGTACGAGTACGCGTAATCAATCAGCAGAAAGAATACCTCAGGAATTGGCGAGAAATAGAGCTACCAAATTTCCGGTCGTGCCGTGTCAGTTTGTAGACTCACAAGCCTGTTGACGGACATGCTAGACGGATTCAGACACCGTCCAGACGGTGAGAACCGCAATACCGCCAAAGGATTACTGCGTACGTAGTACGTGGGAGTCTAGTGCGGGCCCAACTAATCCGACAGGGTGGCTCACCGTTCCCCTGGCCGATATATCGCCAAGTACGAAGTCTACCAGGGGCCCCGGGATCAACCGCTCGATTTGGGTGCGCTACCACCAATGGCCCATGCTACGACACCCTTGATCATCTGATGCCACGCAACTTTATGCCATTTAAAGACCCAACAGACCCTGCCGCGGAATGTCAAGACGGATAACACGGCTTCGCTGCCACGGTGCCAAGTCCCAGACGACCAAACGTCGACGACAGCGGAAGAATTCCTTACGCCAGGCTCAAAATTGCTCCCCCTCTCCTGTTTTGAGGATGACAACATGAATCGTTGTTTCAGGTGAGTAGCCTTAAAGTTAAAAGTTTAGGATTGGCTAGTATGTCGACATCGAAGCTAACAATCGAGTGACGACGACGACGACAGTTGTTGGTCCTTACGGTATACCTGATTTGGGGTTGCGGTTTGAGCCTCCTCGGTTGAGCAGCTCGGACCGATTTTTCCGAACAACTCCCTCAGAGGCAGAAAATAGAGGAGCCGAAGCCAGGGAATTCCCAGCTTGAAGTCTCGCTGGGTGGGCTCAAGCATACAGAGGCCAAGACGAGAGGCCCAGATGACAGGCTAAGCGCGAAGCCAAGATGGCAGGCTGATGGCAGACCGGTGAGCCTCCTCCTGAGTTCACTTGATCACCGAGATTCGCGCTGGAGTATCTTTTCTATTGGCATTCTTCAACCAGTTTCGGGATTCCAATTCATGTTCCTGAAACATCCTACGCAGTACACTCGTGGCTCCATACACTCGTGGCTTGAAACATTCTTCTTCGCAAAACTCGAACCAATCTGGCGCCAACTACTCTAGTGTTGGCCAAGAGCCGGACTCGACAAATTGTCACCCACTTCCCGAAGCCCTTCCTGATATCCACTCAAGAATCTCCATCTTCTTCAGCCCCCCCGGGACATCTGACAGCAGACTCCGCAGATCCCGGGCGGACATTCTCTCGCACGTCTTCACCGCCGCCTCGAATCGATGCCCCATCTCGTGCTGCTCCGGACTCAGCATTACGTGCAACTCGACGCCCGCCGCCGAAGCTGCGAGCCACAACACCATGAGCTTGACGCCGGGGTCACCGCAGAAGGCACCACATCCCCACAGCCCCGTCCATACGGCACTGCAATCGGGGTACGCGGCGAATCCTGCCACGGCTTTGAGTAACTCGCGGTCAACGTTTGCCGGCAGTAGGTCGGGCAGTATCTCATCAGATGCCTCCACCATATCCATCTCCAGGGCATCCATGAAGATGAGGCGGCCCCCACGCCAAGTTCGCACCCATGAGTCGAAGTCCCCCGTAGACGGCGATGACTGAACAACCCAAGAAATATCCCGCCTCTGACCGCTGACGCTCAGCACAGCTCTTGCTCCGGAGACGGTGATGACGGTGTTTTCAAGGAGGTGTGGTGCGACGAGGACAACTGGACAGGCCTCAGGGGCAATCCCAACAAATATCTCCTCCTGCGTGGCGGACTGGCCAAACCCGATAACTTTGTTCGCAGAGATGACAGCGGCGCCTGCTGGGCCTTGAACCTCTAGTAGGTGAGACTCCGTATTGTAGTCGTCCAGGTAATCGACATGCACCGTCCCCAAGGAGACTCCCTCGAGAGACACCTCATCCTTTCTATGCAACGCATACGTAACATACCTCCCGGGGTCCTCAGGGGCAGTCTTGTGATCTTCCATCAAAGCTTTAGCCCCAGGGAGACTCTCAAAATACGCAAACACTGAGGTTAAATACATCTCAACTGCAGCCGGGTGTCTCTGTCTCGAAGCGTACCAGATGCTGAAGTCCTGGTATCCATCATCTTGTCTTTGCAGGAGTGCAGAACACAGGAACTGATGGACAACCAAGCAGGCGACTTGGCCGCGACTCAGACGTAGTGGGCGTCCTAGTTTAAGGAGGTCGAGCTGTCCCTCGGGGAAGTAGAGCGGGAGGTCAAGTGCGATCTCGCGCAGATTAAGCCATGTCGGGCAGAAAAATTCCTCTGCCTGAAAGTCATCACTCGCAAGAAAACTCTTCAAGGATCCGTAGTCGTCTCCATGGGTTCCTTCAGCGTTGGCAGCGATGGTCTGCAGTCTGTCGATAAGGTGTGCTGCTGATAAGACGGGCTCTTGGAGAAGATGCCGCAACAAAGGCCAGAAGGGAATCCGGCCTGCTTCATCCTCGTCGACGATGATGTTTTCGGGCAGGTCGCTGAAACGATCGAGGACGCGACAGGAGGGTGAGTTAGGGAGGATGAAGATTTGGGGTCGCGCTTCCATCATGGGTACTCGAGCGCTGAAACTGCGATGCCAGTGTCCGGTCTTGATGACTTGATCAACGCAGCATCGGCTTCTTCGTTCTCGTATTCATTGTCTGGGCTCGATCTGAATCCAACTTCGTCCCGGTTATACGTAGATGGCTCGTATTTGTTGCTTTCGCTGTTAGTGTAGCTAGCTGGTAGAATTCCCTCAGCCACCATCGGCCACAGATGCTGCCTAGAGTCGGCGAAGAGTCACGTCTCGCATCGACCTCTCTCAGCGCCAGCCATGTCCAGTCAAATCATCAACCAACTTATACTCGATACTAACTAAATCAACGAGTAAGTAAATACAGAAGATTTGCATCTAGATATATGCAGTTTTACTGGCCACGCGTAGGCATCGGTGCCACTTGCGTCCCAGCCGCTTATTAGGCGCTAAAGTGGTCATTGAGTCGACGACCTTCAAGGATGGCAATGACCCTGATGATGCCTTCGTCTCTGTTGACTCTAAGGCTGTGACCGTGATGGCCTTAGAGGAGGCGGGACCCGATTTGGGTAACGAAGGAGCGGTCGGAAGACGACCAAAAGCAGAAGGGTCGAAACGAACCTGAGGAACGGGGACGCCACGATCGCGAAGGGTTCGTCGGACAGCAGGCACGGGGGTGAACAATTCACACGTCAGAACAGACTTATCATTCGTAGACGGCGCCTCAAAGGTAGTGAGAAGTCGCTCGAGGTGCTCAGCATCGGGGACAAAAAGGTCATCAGAAAAACCAACAACAGCCTCTGTATCAGTAGCAGACATGACGTTACGACGGCGCCATACAGCCGAACGTACATCGCCATCAGAATTATTATCGAGACCCGGAGCGACATCCGCCAACGCATTAACCTCACCATCATCGGAATCCAGGACGCGTTTGGCAGATTTGGCAGCCCTCTTGGAAGACTTGCCCGCTTGCTTCTTGAGTTGAGCAGGAGACGCAAGGGAGACGCCGCGAGACGTCGGCGTCACAGGATCAGCTTTGAAGATAATGGGTTCATCGACAATATTGCTGTCTACCCCAGGCTGGGTCGTGCGAGCTCGTGGCGTGTGATGGGAGGCGCCTCGACGGGAGGTCTTGATTCCCTACCACTACAAGGGGTACAGTTTTGGAAGGCTACTGGGACCATCACCTTAGGCAATGTTGGACTCGCCTGCGCCACTAACATAAGGGTGTTAGATTGCTTTATTTTGGAGGACATAAATGTATCACATCCTAAATACTAAAGTGACGCTCCGCGGAATAAATGATCGTAACTCATTAATCGCACCGCACAATTAACTGAACAACTGAACAAAATCATGCGCTATGTTAAACAGGATCGTATCGAAATAAAAACAGACATAGCCAAAATACACAATATTCTTATCCCATATCTTGTTCTGATTCTTGCATTTTTCCCCAAAAAAATCTCAACGAAAGTGGCCGACTTTAGGGTAGCTAACACTGTTCTTCAATAGATGATCGGAGTCCATCGCAACAAGGGAAACATGGTAATTCGAAGCGAGCTTCAATAAATACTCTTATATATAAGCGGTTATGGAGATGGGGATGTAATGGCCAAGAAACTGTGCTTGAGCCAATATCTACCACGTTCCCTCCTGAGCCAGTGCCCATCGTGTTAGTGACTCTCTACCTCGACTCTCATGCAACCGGTGTATCCCCAATACAGCTATGTCTCTCCCCCAGAGCTCCTCATTGAATGCGAGGCGATATCTTCCCCTCGAGTAAATGAATCTCCACGCCGACCCTTTCCCACACCTAGTAACCTCCCGTCCTGCATCATTTGCCAGCTCCAGCCTCACCATTTCTAAGCGTGTGAGAGTCAAGCTAAGCCCGAGACAAGCAAGCCATCGTTGATTCGGATCAATACGATGATATCCAGTGAGACACGGTGTGGCGGAATGAAGAAAGGACCGATGGCTGTTGACTTGGAAGTGGTGGACGCTGTCTCGGACCTGAGAATTCCGCGCAAGGAAACTTAATTTCGGCCGACTAAGAACTGTTCGCAACATCACAATAGTCAAGGGAGTGTGTGCCTGAGTCTTTACATCTATCAGAAACTAATTTTCAGTAGTCCGAGCACCGCTACTTCGTGTTCAAAGCCTTGGATCTCGGCCTTCTTATTGGTCTTGGCCTTAGTCTCAGTCTAACCAAGTCTTGGTATTCATATTAGGACCAAGATTACCCTTCGGCTAAAGACCACCTCCCCGGAGATGTTCGGGTCTTTTTTTCGCTCTCATCACCAGATCAGCCGCTAACTCGATCAGCGAAAACGTATTCCTTCTTGATGGTGTTCTGACTAGGGGCATCCTTGCAGGGCTCTTCCCCGCGTAAGACGGGATGAAAGGAAGAAGATAAGGGACTAAATTTCAAGGGGCCGGCTGGCGTCCCCAGACTCCAGCCAGCGCTGGTCAGCAGGACCGCGCAGAATAAAGCGTCTTCATTTCCCAGTGAGGACCGCTCAGGCGGTAACTTAGCCCAAACGCGTGCGGATCATAACAAATCACTCTTGGCGACTCTGCTGATTAGAATGTCTCTTGGTTCTTTGTCGCCCACCGCAGCACGGCACAGCAACAAGATTGATTGTCGCAAGTGAAATGTCGACACCCATACATCTCATATTCATCACGACTGTCTCTCACGAGCATCTCATATTCACGTCCAAATCATCCCCTCATCCTTATCTCCAACCATGTCAAAAATCCCCCCTACCCCTGCCGCCATGACATCAATCCCCGCGGCCACAACCCACCCCAGCCCTAAGTCGGCCGTCCCTTGCATTCGCGCCTCGGATCCCGGCATTGATCTCTCTTAGCGCTTCTCCCGACTCTCCCCTGTGAGCTGTCCCCCATTCGGCCGCGCTGTCACCTTTGCGAGCCCGCTAGTCCGTATAGTGCTGTTTGCCCAGGGCTGCCCAGGCCCCAAGGGAGATGAGCAGCCATGGGCGTGCGACAGCCCCAAACGAGATGAGACAGCCTACAGCTCGTGTTCGGCGACAAGTCACCGGCACGGATTGGCCGCTGACCGAAGTTTCGGGCCCCCTTCTCAAACATCTCCGAAAATCACTCACTGTCGGGTTCGGACCGCCCACCTCGTAAATCGCAAAGACAATTGGAGCATGCAAGTTAAAACAATTGCAGGTATCAAACGCTGCCATCTATCATTTATAAATCTGTGCTAAGGTATCGATCGCTGGGAGCCAAAACAGCTCTACGCAATATAAATCAATAATCTACCCAACTTCTTCAACTGCTGTGATCATCCATGCAATGCATTTCCCCGTAAATCTGATCATGTCCTCCGATAAAACACCCATGTAAAAAGTCGTCCCGAACAAAGCGCCCCAAAGATCGTGCCACATGCTTATGCCCTGGTGCCGGGCGGCGCCGGGAGATAAGCCAAGGGGTCGTGGCAGTATCTTGATGGGTGCGACGAACGGAGTGCAAGCCCCATTATAACGTTGAACCCTCAAACATGCATTGTTCGCCAAGCTCCTTGTCATCTTTTTTTTCTCCTCCTAAGTCTTTTCTGTTGTTCTATCCCATGGTTTGGACAAGGTGGTCGCCTGGCAAGCGTAAGGATCGTCTTGAAATATGTGAATTAGATGGGCTGCTCTCCGCACGCAGGTGCAAAGTCTCTACATGCTTCGTGACCCAAATGAAGATATAGTACAATCAGAAACGAAGACTTAGACCAGGAGGTGGGCAACAAAGAGACCAACACAGGCCATGGCAATGTTGCCGCCCATGCGGGAAGCAGAGTTGGCAGGGACAGTGCTGACGGTCTCGGAGGCGCTGGAAGAGGTGGCAGTGCCAGTGGTGGCAGCAGCGCCAGAGCTGGACTCGGAGGCGGCGGTGGTGGTGGCGGCAGCAGTGCTGAAGGTGGTCTTCTCGGACTCGGACTTGGACTCCTTGGCAGACTCGGACTTGGTGGTCTCCTCGGTCTTGGACTCAGTGGTCTTTGTGGTCTCCTCCTCGGACTTGGTAGCGGCGGAGGTCTTGGTCTTGGAGGCAGCCTCAGTGCTGGTGGTCTTGGCCTTGGAGGTGGTGGTGGTGGCGTCGTCAGATCCGTCACCCTTCTTGACAACGATGCTGTCCCAGTTACCAGTCTTGTCACCGTAGACGTACTCCTTCACGTTCGAGTTCTGGCCGGGAGCATCCTTGCCCATGTAATCAGTGATGCTGATGCTCTGGTAGTAGGCGTTGAAAGGAGCGTCGTCGAAGTCTTGCGCTTGTTAGTCGCATTCTATAGTGATGTTAGGATGGGGGACATACTGGTGTAACCTCCGGCCCACTCGACAGTGCCCTTGGCAGTGTTCTTGCCACCAGCAACCCACGTTCCGAGCTTAACTTGCATGGGGGTCTGGGGGAAGCCATTGGCGCCGTGGGCGTCGGCAGCGAGAAGAGTGCGAACAATGGCGTCGTCGATGAGCCAGTTGACAGCAGTGGAAGTCCACTCAATGGAGTACTTGTGGTAGCTGGTCAGAGGAGCGGCAACGGGGTGGTAGGCACCACGGTCGTAGGTGCTGGTGTCACCCTTGCTGAAGTAGTTGGTCTGGACCTGGGCGTTGTCACCACCGACCCACTCCCAATCAATCTCGTCGAGATCATCGGACTGAAGGACGGCGCTGGTCACGATACCCTGGCCCTCGGCGGCCTGGACAACGACATCGACACGACCGAAGAAGAGGTAGTTGTTGGAGCGGACGGTGGGGGCGTTGCTCTCCTTCTGAATGATGAAGTTGGCACCCTTGGAGTTGTAGGTCAGGTCAGTGCCAGGCAGCTCATGGAAGATGTCGCAGCTGGCTCCATTCTTGGTGAAATCGCAGGCGGCTGTCTGGGCACCGAAAGCAGGGTCGGCGGGACAGGCTGGATGTGGTGTTAGTTACGGGACATGTTGCGGTTGACGATGCGGGGGACATACACTTCTCGAGAGGGTTGCAGTCGGTGAAAGTCTGAGCAGAGACCAGGCTGGACGCGGCAATAGCCAGCGCAGCGACGGAAATGGACTTGGAGAACATTGTCGTTGAATTAATGAAGCGAATAACAGTTGCAGGAGCGATTGTAATGGCAACGAAAGCAAGTTCGAGGTTGGGCGTCAAACGAGAGATGAGACAGCCTCAGATGTACCGTAGAGAAGGTATTATAGTTTGATAGCGAAGGACACGAGAAGCAAGAGGGCAGGCTGTCAAAGAGAGGCGGAAGCGTTGGATATTAATAAAAGGCCGGCCGGGACAGTCTGAACTAGAGGCGACGGTTGGGGCAGAGGGTCGACGCCTTCGCCTTGGGGGCTGTGGAGCTTGAGACGAGGACCCCCTGACGCCGGCCTGCCAAGGGCGACAGGGCGACAGGCGACAGGCGACAGGGGGCTAACGAGGGCGCGAGGGGCCGGATCCCTGAATGCGAGACCCTTGTACGAAGCAGAGTCACTAAGTCAGAGCGAGAGTGGGCTGCGAGAGGCGAGAGAGAGTGGGAGTCAGAGCGAGCGAGACAGCCCAAGACAGCCAAGACAGGCCAAGCTTGGGAACCCACGGGGGCGTCGGCGGCTGAGACACTGCAGCGAATCCAGTTCTCCCTCGCCAGCGCCACGGTCCAGATGCGTCGCAAGGCGCTGCTGAGCTGCCTCCAGGCTGACAAGGCATGACCGAGCAAGTCTGCATTCGGGTTGTGCATCTGCATCTGCATCTATGCATCTTTCTGCCCTATGCCGTGCGCGTGATGGCCATTGTCGGGTGCCGCCATCCCGGACTTCTGTGCCGGAGGCGATTCCATCACCGTCGTCGGATTGTCCGTCGTCTAGAACACGAGCTTCACGGCCTGTGGGTGCGCTCGACTCACCACCACCCGGCCCGGGAACTGCTCTCTGGCTGTCTCGTACTGCTCGCCCGCCGCCTGGGTGCCCTATCCGCCGATGACGAAAGGGCCCTCTCCCTCTCGTGTTGTGTTCCCTGCGTTCCCTGCCATATCGAGACGGCCGAGTGGTGCCAGGCGGGCCCCGTCGGACCCGTCACGAAGCTGCCCGTCCCCAGCAACGCCCACGAGATAGCCGTAATGCCCTGGGTGATCGGCTCGTTCCTCCACTGTCTTCCCCCCCTCCTCCAGTCTTCCAGGGTCCACATGGGGGAGCGCGACAGACGAAACAGGCTCGTGGTCAAAGCATGGAGGGCATGTGCGATACGAGGCGCGCATTCTATCTTCAGAGGGCAATTTCATGCTTGAGGCTTTGTGCGGTGCCCGTGAATGCCGCGAACCGCCCCGGATGGTGTAGTGTTTTGACACAGCACGGCACAAAGGGAAATGACCGGAGTGCCAGTCTGCATCGGGTCACGAGGTGTCAGGCTTTGAGTGGCTTGATGTTTGCCTCTGCACTAAAGAGGAGCTATCGTAATGCTTTGCATTCCCAACAACAAAGCACCTTGTTATTCACTTCTCACCAAGCACTTGGCAAGCAACTGTAAGCCATCAACTGGCATCTAAACAGAAGGTTCCAGCGGGCAGCACTACGTAAGGCTCTGGGGATTGTTACCAGGCCACCCACTCTCTCTCTCGAGACTGGTGTGTGCCGTCAACGCCGAGAAGTCAAGCCACCCCTGCGCCTCCCCGCTGCTTGACTCAAAGAGGGCTGGTCGCCAGCAAAGGGTCTCCGCCAAACCGCCAACGACCTGGCTTCTCTGCCCGTTCATGCATTCGCTCAAAGGGTCAGCGGCCAACACTGTGGAGCTGGGCCCTGGACCACAGCCCACAGCCCGCAGCCTGGAGAGCCTGGAGTTTGGTTGGTGCACAAGTCCGTCGTCGCCCTATGGCCGGTGGAGCGACGGCTTTGCCCATTTGATTCGCTCCCTGGGAAGCCCTTGGTGCGTTCTGGGCTGCGACGCACTGCAGAGATGGACGCTTTGGTCACGCCAGAAAGCAAGGGAATCCTAGATCAAACGGCGAAGACGGCTTTCAGATCTCTCTCTGCTCCTTGCTCATGTCCTTGCCGTCCTGCTGACCTTGTCTTTGCGCTGTGCGCTCTGTTGTCGGCTTGGGTACCTTATCGCATCGCGCTCGCCGTGCGCAGCGACGTATGTAACCCCCCCGGCGGTTGACAATTGCCGGCCCCCGTCGTCTCGTATCACCGTCCACCTGTGCCTCTTTAGCTTCGTCGCCCCTCGTCCTTTTGCTCTTTCGCCCTCACTTCACCCATTTCGGTAGAGACCTGCTATCTGGTCTTGGCAACGCCGAGCCCAAAAAGGTCACCCGCCCAGGGTAGGTATGAAGCCTGAGCAACGGCAACACGAGAGAGCAATTCGGTCTCGCACCTTGGCGCGGGTCACCCCAAGTCGATCAGTACCAGAATTCACCTGGCTTTGGGTCCCGCCCAGAGACTTTAGTCCCGCCCAGAGACCTATTCAACCACTCGTATTCCACCGTCCTTGGCTTTCGTTAGTCCCTGGGGGTAGTCGGCTCTAGGCCTCGGGGCACGGCTGCTGGCAAATGCTGCGAGATGAGAGATGAGGCCCTTATCGCGCGGCTGGCTTTAGCGGCTCTTGGTCTCCCGTAGCCTGCTCTTGGTATTGCCCAAAGGTATGAACGGCACTGCTCAGACGGGTGGGACGGCTCCAGGGCACGCCCAAGGCAGCCGCTCAGTGAGCCTTAGCTGTGGCTTCCTCCAACATGGCTGAGGACGGCTTGCTGTTGGTGCCGCTCCCGCGCCGTGGCTGGTCGACTATTGCATGATGCATTGCATGGGAGAAGTCCTGAGGCGGGCTGGTGAAGCTCGAGGCGGGTGAGCCTGGTGAGACGTTGTGAGAGACTGATTGGGCAGTGGCCGTTCCAGGGTCCCTCCATCTCCATGCTTCCATGCTACGTAGTATGGTAGTAATGATCCCATCATGTCCCATCGACCAGCCGTCTCCACCGCGCCCATCCCGCCTGTTCTGGACTGGACCCTCGACGTCACTTTCTCGCTCTCTTCCCGGCCGGATCGACACGAGGACTTGGGCACGCGGGATGCGGAACACCACCACTCCGTCCACCAACCCAAAATAACCCGAAAGAGGTTTGCCATCACGAGCTTCACTCCAGTCCACAGACCGGCCCAGCCCGTCTAGGTTTGCGCTAAGCTACGACCCTCCCTCAGGAACATTTTCTAATTTTATTCCAGCTCTTGGCCGACCTGGGGTTAGGCACTTGGCATGGCCGTGGCGGGCGAGGTCTGCCGCTGCCAGGCCACGCTCCAATGTAACGGAGGGGAGGGCTGCTTGTCGGTGATTTTTTTCTTTTAGGGGTCGGGGAATTGGGAGGGATTGTCTGAGCCCTTTGTGGGATGGAAGTCCGGCGACCAGTCAGCGGCGCATCCTCCCCTCCATCCCATCACACCCCGGCACTCTCCCACTCGCTCTCCCTCCCTTCCTGGGCCCATCTGGGATGCCTGGGATGGCCTGGGACGACCGCGAGCTTGCTCCAGGGCCACCCGCTCGCGAATCGCGTCGCCTCCCGCCCCTCACTCATGCAACGTGCGATCTTGGGCGCTGCTGCAGCCATGGTGGCCGCATGGTTGGCGTGGCTTCTGGCTGCCGCCTGCGACATGACGAAGGGTCCTGTCATCTTTGCAGTCCTTTACATTTTCTAGATCATGCTTTTCGTGCTGACAATGCTGACAGCATGTCTTGCAAATTCAATTGCGATTCGACTGGCAGCTCACAACTTGCAGCCACGCAGCCACGCCAAGTCTCACTGCCTTTTCACCGCTCATGCGCTCGGCAACACTGATTGCGTGTTTCACCACCTCAGACCCCATGTGTTGCTTTTGTTTCCTCCCCTCTGTGTGCTGTGTGGGATTCCGGAGGCACTTGCCTCACCCTCACGGCCTGAGACAGCGTTGGTCTGCGACCAGCTTGACACTACGCACGTCGATCCTACGGAATGCCTTCCTGTCTCGGATTCGTACTCACCAGCCATATCGGCTCGGACTCGTAGACCGCCCTTCCGCTCTATTCCGCACCGAAAGCGGGAAACCCGAATTCCCCATCTCTGAAGTGTACGAATATTATGGAGAAGGACCTTTTCGGTCGGAGCCGATCCCCTCGTCGGATCTCGTTTTGCCGCCGCTGACTGATGAGATCCGCTATTCGTTCTCTCCCTCTCCGGATTTGTCCAGCCTGCAAACCTTCCAATTGTTCTCGGAGGCCAACCGCTGAACGACCCCCCTGCTTCGAAACGAACCCCTGAGTTTCAGAAGCCAAGAGGATCATCGAACCACCTCGGTCCGTCTAGGTGCGGACAATGTTATGCTAAACTGCCAAGCGATCACCATACCGCGCGATTATTCTCCTCTAGACGACTGAAATTGATTGACTGACAACCTTTAAACAGAAGGTGACAGGCAACCCTGGTGGAGAACCAGAAGATCCAACAGTCAACCCCGAAACACGACACGATAATCAACTCCACTTGACACGAGCTGATCGTTGCTCCCCTTTTTTCCCACCTCGTCGCAACCAACAGAATCCCCTCGATCCATCATTGATCCACTGTCCCAGTGTATCAGACGAGGCCCTATTTCCACTCTTCGTGTGCAGCGATGACAATCATGATGCAATGACAACCCTCGCTTGTTCTAGGCGAATATCAGTTGACCGGGTGCGAGGTGCCCGTTACGGAACACCAAGTGAGCGCTCTCGCCGTTGCTTGACACGGCTGTGGTGTACGGCACCATTCATTTACCCGGCCGTTCTTCCACTCGCGTTTCCGGCGTCCGGATCCGGCGATGAGGCCAGGAATAGTGATCGGATCGGGGTGCGCGGGTTGCGCCCACAATTCTGTGACAGGAGGTTCCACCGCATGTCACCGATCGGTACCTGGACTATGCTTTTGGGATGGATCCGTCAAGGTTACGGGCAAATCAATTGGATACTTGTGTTTGCCGACTAATAAATTTTCTAGTGTTGTACATAGACGTGTGCTGATCACTCGGCGTCTATCCGGTATGGGGCTCCTCTGTCGGAAACGACGTTCGAGTTGGGTGCTGTTGGGCGGGCCATGACGAGGGATCAACCTGGAAGAAAATCTGGTACAAAAGACCTCCCTGTGAGGATCCAATACTACCAACGAAAAGTTGGGGTGGAATGGCTATGGACAGTCCTCGTCCCACCGAGAGTTGAAATCTATATGAAACTGATGTCATGCGCCTGGATCATTCCAGGGCCATGGGTTGGATTAAACTCTCGTCCAACAGGCCGACTTGTTGTTTCCTCAATTCCTGCAGACTGTTTGAGGGAAATGAGGTTTCCTTGTGCGGAAGATTTTCATCTCGCCTCTTTGTCTATCCAAAACCTGTTGTGCAGCCGAGGAATGACAGGAAGTTGGGCCAAGATGGCTTCGGATAACTTGTTCCACGGCAGCAGCATGGCTTGCCTCGTCCCACAGTTAATTAGGCGTGGGCTGCAGGCAGTCCCCGCATTCCCACCACAGCGGTCGCTGCGGGGTCTCTTTCCAGCGGCCAGCGCAGTTGGTGTGACAACATTTAAGCCTATTTACACTCGAGAGAAGGGTACCGGTGGTCTGGTAAATGGTGCCAACAGCGCTGGAATAGAAAAATTACTGCATTGAAGGAGTGATGGCGCTGCCTTCTGAGGTGGCTTGTCGTCCTAATTCATCGCTTTTTCTACTCCGGAAAAGCTTTTGAGGCGCATCATGACGTCTGAAATAAGTGGGAGAGCATCGGAACAGGTTATCAGTTGTCGAAACCCCGCCTCGCTGCCCAGGAGATGCAAGCTCTTACCCAAGGCCTTCAACACTACCTTCGATCCTATAAACTTCCTAAAGAAATGGATACTTATTCTTCCTATAACCGACTATGCCAACTGTCGCTGGGCGGGGTCAGCAGGAAAGTAGTGGGTAGCGTCATGAATATCCACTAACCCCTCCGGCTTCAAGTCATCAACCTCGGTTCTATGATCTTTCCATGGAGTATTTTTGCAGAATTAAATAGGCTAGACTTTCGTAGACTCAATTAACTAATACACCGTTCATACACAATGACCACGCAAGATTACAAATTCGAGGGCTGGCTTGGCCTGGACCCCAAGTCCGTCGAGGGGAACATGGTCTGGCAGGAGTTTGAGCCTAAGCCGTGGGAGGAGACCGATGTCGATATCCAGGTCACTCACAGTGGTATCTGCGGCTCTGACATTCACATGCTTCGTAGCGGCTGGGTGAGCAATTACGACATATGCGTGATGAGATGACGAGAGCTAATGAGGCTGTAGGGTGAGGCTCCGTACCCTCTCTGTGTAGGCCATGAAATTGTCGGTATCGCTGTACGTGTCGGCTCGCAGGCTGAAGGCGGTATCAAGGTGGGCGATCGCGTAGGCGTCGGCGCGCAAAACGATTCGTGCCTCGGGCGCCAGGGCGATTGTGACGAGTGTGCGGCGGGACTCGAGAGCTATTGCTCCAAGATGGTTGTGACGTACGGCTCGACGCATTACAATGGTGGCAAGTCCATGGGCGGCCACGCGACGCACCACAGATGTCCGTCGCACTTTGTGGCCAAGATCCCCGACGGGCTGGCGTCGGAATACGCGGCGCCGATGCTGTGCGGCGGCTTGACGCTGTACGCGCCGCTCAAGCACCACGGCTGCGGGCCGGGCAAGAAGGTCGGCATTGTGGGCGTTGGAGGGCTGGGACACTTTGGCGTGTTGTTTGCAAAGGCACTCGGTGCAGACAGGGTGGTGGGCATTTCAAGGAGTACGAGCAAGAGAGATGAGGTGTTGAAGATGGGAGCGGATGAGTATATCGCGACGGAGGATGATGCAGATTGGGCCAAGAAGAACGACAAGAGCCTGGATCTCATCATCTCAACCCTATCTTCTTCCAAGGTAAGTTGAGCGACTCTTCATATTGTCATCTACTAATAACCTATGACAGGTTCCGATACAGGACTACCTCAACCTGCTCAAGACGGACGGCACGTTTGTGCAGGTGGGCAACCCCGACGACGGCGGGTACACAGTGCACCCAATCACGTTCATCGTGAGACGCATCAAGTTTACAGGGTCAAGCACAGGGTCGCCTCGGGAGATGGCTGAGATGTTGCAATTGGCGGCGGACCAGAAAGTGCATCCGTGGGTCGAGCAGCGACCGATGAGTGATGCGAACCAGGCGATTGTGGATATGGAAGCCGGCAAGGCGCGGTATCGCTACGTGTTGACGAATTAAGAGGGCATAATACTTAGGACTGGGAGTGAGGTTTGAGGTTAGTGTTAGGTAAGAGGAGTTTGGGATGATAATCTTTCCAAGATGGATGATGGAAATGACCTACACCATTTGTTGTTCACTGCCGAACAGACAAGTGGTCTCAGTTCTTATTTAAATTGCTAATATTCTGGCCGATATGACAGTGTATTTGCACCGTGTTTCCCCATCATAGCCGGAAGAATATGATAGGCCGCTGTGATCAGAACAGGACTGTGCTGGGCGTGATGCGGTGGTGTGTCGAAATACGAGGCGACATGGGACTTTCCGTAATCAAGCGCGAGTTGCCAGGTTTTAAAAGCTTCCCTGGAAATAATAATTAGCATCCCATTCTGGTGTAAAAATCGAAAATTAAATATTCAACCATAGCACGGCTGCCATTTTCGCTTGTCTATTTTCGAGACTTCTTTGATGCGTTTCCGTAATAAAGGTATATTCTATAACGACATTGTGCTTTGGCGCTTCCCCTCCTCTCGCATGGGAGTTACTGCCAAGATGGTCGGCATTAGAGCAGAGAAAAGAGGACTGCACAGTCACAAGCCCCTTCACCCAAGCCCCAGCTAAATCAATATGCCTAAAATGCATATTTAAATGATGTATGGTGATGCCGAGAATTGTTCTTATTAATAAATTCTTCCCACAAAGGATACCATTAGCAGATATAAAGAAATACTAAGCACCATTCTTATACTCTTATTCTATAAGCTGCTGTATTAAGTATATGATGGACAATTATCTTAAGAATCAGAAAATGCACTTGCATATGCACATAAAAACGTGTAGGTTTGCTAATAACAGACCTCTTTTAAGAGCCAAAGTCTCCGGAGCAATTCGCGAGGGTAACAGGGCCAACTTGACTTTGTCTTTGTCGTTCTCCACAGCCCGCCTAATTTCGGTATACTACCTGGGGGCCGCAAACAGCATATAATACGGAGAATAAATACGAGCTTGGTCGCAAACTCGGTATCGACGACTAATATTGATACGATTTGCTTGTTTCGGTTAATGGCAGCTGGCCTACCCAAACACTTTGGCTGACAGCCATGCACTAAAAGAGGCAAACAAAACCCGCCAAGAGGTCAAACATGTGTGTATTGTGATGGCTGTCACTAAAGTAGCCAGCTAGGATAATGGAACGGGGCCTGTATGAGGTCTTGGCTGCCTGAGGCCGGAGCCACCGCTGGCTGCTGTGGGCTTTCTTCAACTAAAATAACTTGCCTTCTCCAGTCCCACTCTTCTTTTCTGCAACACACTCTGTATGAATTCACTCTTCAGTATCCCTCCTCTCAATTTTAGGGGTTTGTCCGGATTTTGCTGACCCGCCGCGAAAGACCCTTGCTGCCATTTGGTTCAGGTAGCCCGCTGAGCGACGCTGGAATAGGTGATCTCACGGCTCTCTGTTCACCAACATAACTCCTTTGGCCGCCGGCTTCGTATGAAGTTTGGCCTTTGATTGGCTTTGTGATCTCACTTTAACCCTGAAAAAATCTGGCGAATCGAGCCGCCGCAGAGGAGTCTACGACATCGAGGAGTTAGCTGCTGGACGACAGATTTGGCGTGAAGGAATCACGATGTCTCAACCTACTGTTATCACTCCCTCCCCTTCCTCAACTCCCGCCGTTCCCTCAACTACGACGCCTGTCGCCATTATTGCCAATCAAGTCTGGTGGAAACACTGTACCGTCGTCATTGGCGACTTAGATGGTCCTGTACTTGGTGGCAAAGGCCTCGGTGCCTCGAGTGACATCGCGACAAAGCTCTTCCTGCCCAGCTTGGCCGACACCGACCCCAGCATGGGTTTCTCGCTGGAGTTTCCACTTGGCCCGAACAACGAAGATGAAGGCTTTGGCACACGCCATGCTAGTAAGTTTTGGCTCTAACTGTGCCCTGCTAGAGCCCAAGAGCTTGCTAACGCGACGCAGTGGATCGTGCACTTGGGCTGAATGGTAGGGCAGTGCCGACTGAGACGCATAACATCACTGTCAAGTTTCCTCGCGACCAGTTCACCTCCCAGGTCGAGGCAATCGAGCCTAGCAGCCACCTGAGTAGCCTGTTCCCCGATTCTAGTACAGAGCTTTCACTGCTCAAGGTGTCGGTGAATAAACACGCCCAGTGCAAGGTCCAAGGATGGGGTATGCCCTTCGCCAACCCAGGCCACGAGAGCGAGGGATGGCTGAATGGGAACAAACCTGTTGTCGGTGACAGCACTTTACTAAGTGTTTTGGAGCAGCAAGAGTTTATTTTCGTCGTCTTTGCAGCCAAGGACATTGTTCAAAAGGAGTGGACTGAGGCAAGGCTTCCTCCCCCCTTTAGCTACCCGTACGGAACGGAACACAGCTGGGATGAGGATCGGTACAAGACCATGCTCAACAAGGCTAAGGGTGGTCGGTTTGCACCCGCCTGGTATTTCGATGACGACAATGCCCACCTGGCTGTCTTGACGCAGTCTCAAGTACAGGACGTTTTTTGGGTTCACCAGATTGCTCAAGACATCAAAGACACGAAGTTTCGGGCATACTTTGTCCCTCATAAGACCAAACAGTAGGATCAATACTGCGTCATCATACCCGTCACCCAGAAATGGCGTAAGCAACACAGCGCTGCATGGCGTCGTCTTACCCAAGATGAATTCCTTCAGCTCAATCTTCACAAGAACTCCAGCGACGAACGACCAGCTAAATGGGATACCAGATTGATGCCGCATCCTGGAAAAAGTTCTACTCTCAGTTCTCACCCCCTGAACAAAGACGATATAGTTCTTCTTGTCCGCCGGCCTCTGAAGGAGTATACAGATCGTGGTCCCGACTTCGAGGTCAAGGTCTTCGAAAACCGTACAGCTGCCAATTCGTCATTGAAAGAAAGGAGTGACCGATAGAATTTGGTTGCCCTAAACTTCGACCTTCAACTCAAGGATGTTCAGCGAAGGGTTGAGGCGGTTTGCGTATTCGACCCCAATGCAACGCCGACCAACGTTGCCGCATACGGGATGCCAACTGAGGTACAGTCCACGAATCCCAACACCCGCCCGATCACAGTCCCAACCGACGCTCAGATCAGATTCCGCATGGGTTTGCACCGAGACCTCATGCGCGGCACTGGCTTCTACCCTACTTGGCGGCTTGAAGCGAAGCGAGAGTTCCCGCACTTTTTTGATCACGAGGCTCGATCTCTTCCTATGACCAACTTTCTCGAAACCAATGATGAGCGATACATAGAGGCATTAATGATGGAGGCTCTTCCGAGTGATCGCGCTGGATTCCAGAAGTACCTCAGCAAGCGGCCCCTTGGCTTAGGTATCATCACCGCAGTAAGTCACAGCTTTGTCCTAACCATTAATTGGCACTAACATGAGATAGGGACCGGGTTTTGGAAAGACGACTGCGTTGGCTGCTGGAACGATCGCCATGTCCTCACTAGGCAAGATCTACGGCAGCGGACCAACACACGTTGCTGTCGAGAACTTCTCTGCACGCCTCGGCTGCATCACGGCTAGTGTCACAAACCGCTACAACAAGGACAAGAAGGCTGATGATCCCTCTCGAGCTCGCCGCCTGCTCGTCATTCGTGGCAACAAGATAAATGATGAGGTCGAGGCCTTCTTCAACCTATTGAAAAGCCCTCGTATTGGCAATGCAGCAGCCCCTAACCGGTGGTGGACGCCCCCTTCCAAATGGACGATGCACTTATCCCTTGCGTTCTGGTTACTTGTGCTGCTACGTTCCCCTGGTGTTCAAGAACTTCATCCAGATGATAGTGTAGCTATCTTCAAGCTGCGTGACACAATAGACAAGAGGGATGACTTGGCGCGACTCCGCGCCTACGGGTCTGGTGCCATGGAAATGGCCGAGTACGAGAAAGGCGTCACTGTTCCCCGACTCGAGATTGAGGCGATCATGAGAGAGATTGTGTTCGCTGCCGACATCGTGTGTACGACTCCGGTGCGATCTTGTCAGGAGCCATATGCCACCTGGAAGAACGAGCACGCTCGGGGAATTGCTATTGATGAGGCTGCGAATATCAGCCGGCCTGACTTGTACACGGTGTGGGGCAACACCCTCCTGCCATGTCTCATGGCGGGCGACGAGATGCAGTTATCTCCTACAGTCATGACCATGGGCGACAAAGATGCTGGCGGAAACCTCTTGAACCGCCTAGGCAACGACGGGAAAATCTCTCCTCTATCGTTCCTAAAGGCAACTGGCTGGCCGATATACCGACTACGAACCCAGCTCCGAATGGCCAATGGGCTATTCGACCTCGGCCACGATGAGTTCTACAGCGACGTGCCTATCGAGTACGGCCTAGGCTGCGATATTGGCCTCCCAGGACACCAAATTGGCCGCCAGCTGGAGACGTTCCTCAACCAAAGGTACCCAGAATTGACTCCGGCTCAACCCGGGACGATGCAAGAGGTGTTTGTACACCTCGAGCGCTCGAATACCTCCGTAGATAAGTTTACTGGCTCAAGGATGAACCGCGGCCAGGTCAAAGTCGCACTTGATCTGATTCGTGATTTTGTCAAGGCAACAAAGGTGAGCCCTGCCCGTATCATTGTCATCACGCCTTACAAGGCCAACGTCGGTGTCATTGAGTCAATGCGCAAGAAGTCGGACTACTCGATAATTTCTGGCATGCAGCCCGCAGCGACGGTTGATTCATTCCAAGGCCGCGAGGGGGATGTTGCCGTTGTCATCATGGGCACAACACGGAGGTCCGGCCCAGGGTTCACGACGGATGAGCCGCGACTTAATGTTATGACCAGTCGCCAAAAGAGCGGGCTAGTTATAGTTGGCGACATTAATGTGGTGGAGTGGATAGACGAGGGAAGAAGGGTGGAGAGGAAGCAGAAGCAGGAGGACGGGGACAAGACAAATTCCCTTGAGGTCATGAGCCGCAATGGCAAGAAGCAGTGGATGAGAGGCGCCCCCCTGCATCGTGTTCTGACGAAGATTCACAAGAATGGCCGGATGGTTCGCGCTCCGGCGCCAAGTTCGGCGGAGGAGGATGCGAGCATTTGAAGAATATGTCTGGAGAAATTGTAACCATCAGCCGAGCCTTGGTCTTGCAAGTACATAAAGTCAAAGGTAGGAAATTTGACTAAGAATTCTAATAATAATAGTAATTCTTGAGCCAGTATTGATAATCCTACGACTAAAATACAAAAATTGACGATAGGACAAGAATTTATTGTTCATCCATACTCTATTTAAACCTCTGTGATTATATAGTAGCCCGTCGTTTTGGCAATATTGGTTGACCAAGGCATGAAATAAGCCGTCCAATTAAGACATCTGTAAGCCAGAGGGGATCGACCCAAATCCAAATACCGGAATATTGGCATGAGCCAGTGCTCCCTCCAGGGAATGGGTGATGACACAGGTGCTCGCTAGGCGTACAGGGACTTTGGAATGGAAGCCATTGAAGCCTGGTCTTGGTCCCAACACGCCATCTGGAGCGCTGTGGCAGTGAATTACCGGCGCCTAAGCCTGGCTGTTAGCGACGAAATGCCTCGTCTTGCGGGGCGTACATTGGGGAAATCTAGGCGAATGACGGCTTATTAACCTCTGCCGTCACCATCGAATACGGTCGCATATGTACTGCATCCTCTGAGAACCGAGACTCGTCGGCCACCGAAACACTCCGCCGTATCAGGCTGCGCATCTGCAGCCCGAAATCCTCCCACGTGATGGGCTGAAGTGTTGGCGGCCTGCCTCGAGCACTGCCTACCTCCGATCTTCATCCTCGCAACGTTTTCGACAAAGGTCCTAGTCAGCTCTGTTGGCGCCGATACTGGCCTGCTGAAATATCGCACCGATTGACACCCTCCATTTCGGATATCGAACATGGCGAATCTGAATCCATCCGACGGCTTCACCGACCTGGTGCGGGATTCAAGGCTGCAAGCAACTTTCCGAAGCGACGGACAGCAAAGCTGCACGATACACACCCGATCGGCGGGTCATCGAACGAGGCAAAGACGAGACATATGGATACACAAAAAAGAACTAGGGTTTGGCGGATATGGATCTGTACAGTTACAGCTGAAGGAGGCGCCGAATCCTGGTCTGCCTCAGTATCGGGCGGTTAAGAGCATTCGTGTGTCGGAGAACGACTTCAAGTCAAAGCGATCGCAATACGTTCGGGAGCTTGAGTCCCTTGCCAAGTTCTCCCATGAAAAGGTGGGCTTTGTTATATACTCTACAATTCTTGCCAGCTAACAAACAGGAATTGAAGTATACGGATTTCTTTGTCAAATTCAGTGGTTGGTATACAAGTCCTGGATGGCTCCATATCGCAATGGAGTATTGTGAGCTCGGAGATCTACACAAGTATCTCTCTGATGCTCGGAAATGCCCTGACAATCGCTTGCCTGAAGATCAAGTCTTAGACATTGCATCGCAGGTCCTCAATGCCTTATCAATGATGCATGGAGAGCGGTTCGCCCACCGAGACCTAAAGCCGGCAGTAAGACTCCCCTATGGAATAGGCATACCAATATCAAGATATAATGCTTACACCGATGTACAGAACATTCTCATCAAGAGCCACCCACCAGAACCGTGGTGGGTGAAGATGTGTGATCTTGGTCTCAGCAAACGGATTGGAGATTTCTCAGGATCTACCATGGTGCCCGGAACACGGAATTTCATGCCGCCCGAGATTCTGGGTTTCATTGGAGACTCTAAAGCTGCTGATCCATACTTGGGAGATATGTGGTCTTTTGGAGAGACCATCTTTCAAACCCTTACTGGCCAACCTACGTTTGATAACCCGACATCCATCAACAGATACTGCAACAACCAAATCCAATTTCCTGGTGCAGCTCTCAGGGACTTGGGGGCAAGTGAAGATGCAATCGGCTTCATTGGTTCAGTAATGAATTCGAATCCATCGAAACGGCTTACGGCAGACGAGGCACTGGGTCATTGTTGGATCAAACTGAACACGCAGACGCCACCAGAGGAAGGAGATGTACGCCTTCCAAACGCTTCTGATGAGTCTTCTCAGTGGTCTCTAGAGGTGCCATTCCGGCCGCAGATGAACCACGACATGTTGGCGACTGCTGAGTGGACAACTACGGGCAATCATTACGACTCACCAAGCATCACGAGAAATACGGCTCAGATTCAAGTAGTACACCAAAGTTCCTCGCAATCACTATCAACGAAAGGGACGAGAGATGATGCGAAAATGCCAACAGTTGAAGATGAGACACCCATCGCCAGAGAAGGCCGTGACACATTACCAAACAACGAGGGAAATACTATCCAAAACCATGCCGAGGATGTGACTCTTCGACCGCAGTTCTTACCTTCGACAACAGGCGAGCCAACTGGGAAAACGGAAGCGATCCGAGAGGACCCGGTCAGCATCAAAGACTTCGAGAACATTCGAGATATACGTTCACGCGCCGAAACCTACTATCGAGAGAAGCAGTATCACAGCGCAGAGCAGATGTTTCGAAAAGTTCTTGAGCATGACATAAGGGAACTAGGCAGAGATCATCTTGACACGATTGAAACCATGGAGAGGGTGTCTTCTTGTCTTGAGAAACAGAGAAAACGTGAAGAGAGAGAAGAGATCCTCCGAGAGTTATTGCATATCAACGAGCAGGTATCAGGAAGGAACCACTCTAGGACGTGCAATTCACTTTACAAGCTTGCTCTGTCAGTATATGATCAAGAGAGATATCGAGAGGCAGAAGAGCTCTTCGAGAAGACCCTATCTCTCTGTGAGGAGGTGTCAGGGAGAAAACATCCTGATATATTGGACATCCAGTACTGGCTTGCTCAATCAGTATTTCGACAGAAGAGATATCAAGAGGCAGAAGAGGTCTTCCGAAAGAACCTATCTCTTAGGCAAAAGGTATTGGGCAGAGAGCATCCTAATACACTACTCACTCTGTACTGGCTTGCTCAATCAGTATTTGAGCAGAAGAGATATCAAGAGGCAGAAGAGGTCTTCCGAAAGAACCTATCTCTTAAGGAGAAGATATTGGGTGGAGAGCATCCTGATATATTAAACATCCAGTTCTGGGTTGCTCGATCAGTATTTGAGCAGAAGAGATATAAAGAGGCAGAAGAGGTCTTCCGAAAGAACCTATCTCTCAGAGAGAAGGTATTGGGCAGAGAGCATCCTGATACAGTATCCACTCAGTACTGGCTTGCTCAAGTAGTATTTGAGCAGAAGAGATATCAAGAGGCAGAAAAGGTCTTCCGAAAGAACCTATCTCTTAGGGAGAAGGTATCGGACAGAGAGCATCCTGATACATTGGATACCCAGTACTGGCTTGCTCAAGTAGTATTTCGACAGAAGAGATATCACGAGGCAGAGGAGGCATTCCGAAAGAACCTATCTCTTAGGAAGAAGGTATTGGGCGGAGAGCATCCTGATACATTGGATACCCAGTATTGGCTGAACAAATTGCTTTCCAAAAACGGGGAAAAAGGAAAAAAATCGGGTCCGGTCAGAATTTTGAAGGAAATCTTCGGATCATCCTCCAAGTAGAAAGGTGTATTGTATTGGTATATATATAATTGAAGAAAGAGTCGTATATGGAAATGAGATGGCCAGACATGTCTTTTGCCAACTTCCATGAGTCTCAGCCCTGATGTGATCGAACCTAATACGTGATGGAGCCTGGGATCACATCATCATTGTCACCATATTGAATTCGTTTCCCAGGTATCAAGGTATCGAGGTTTTATCTTGCTTGCCCCAAACTAACTACCGATGCACCTCAATAGTAGAGGCAGAAGAACCGGTAAAGTCTGAAATCCCCTGTAGATCGCCCCGCCCGGAAATTAACGTCATCGCAGGGAAGCCAATCCCTAGCGTCCATAGCCACCATTTTCCCCCAACGTACCCCAGCCGGTTCATTCGACACGAGCCTCCACGCACTCTGCCTTGCTTCATGAGGGCCGTCACCTGCGTGCTGCGTGCTGCAGGCGACAAGTCACACCAATCTACATGTTGTAATCTTTAGCTGCGTGCATTTTCCCTGTTGTCTGGTTGCGGCGTCCCACAAACAGGCCTCGCCTACAGTGATCGTCGTGGGGTTGTCCAAGGCAGCACGCGATGCAGCACTGCAGACTTCTGGTGTGACTCTGCCCCATTGGTACGGCGATGGCTTCTGCATTGCGACGAGGACTATATGTATGCCATCCCATCCCTCTTTGTGAACGTTTATTATCGCGGTCACGCGCATCTTCATCGCGCCCATTGTCCACCCTTGTGAGACTCCAGCCGCATCCAGACTCTCACTTCCCCTCGTCACCATCACAACCCCGCAACGCTCGTACAGCACCAGCACCATGGCGCCTTACAACGACGTCGAGGCCTTCCACGAGGTCCTCCGCTCTAGCAAACGTATCCTCGCCCTCTGCGGCGCTGGTCTTTCTGCCTCCTCCGGCCTGCCTACTTTCCGCGGCGCCGGTGGCCTCTGGCGCAATTATGAGGCCACGCAACTCGCCACCATGAGCGCCTTTCGCACCGACCCGGGCCTCGTCTGGCTGTTCTATGGTTACCGTCGCCACATGTGCCTGAGAGCTGAGCCCAATGCTGCCCACCATGCGCTCGCTGCTCTGGCCCGTGAGAACAAGGAATTCCTATGCCTGACGCAAAATGTTGATAGTAAGTGCCATCCGTCTAAGCGGAATCTCCGTCTTTACATGGAGTGAGGCACTGACTCCACCAAAGACCTTTCGCAACGGGCAGACCACCCACCGGAGCAACTGCGCACCCTCCACGGCTCCCTGTTCGACATCAAGTGTTCCAATAACGCCTGCGACTGGATTCAAAATGACAATTACGATGACCCGTTCTGCCCGGCTCTCGCCCCCGCCTCCGTGGACATGCCTCCGGGAGAGAAGCTCCCGCTGCTGGACCCTTACCACCGGATTAAGCACGTCTCCGAGGAGGATATCCCCAAGTGCCCTTCGTGCAATGAGGGGCTTCAGCGACCTGGCGTGGTGTGGTTTGGTGAGGATTTGGACGGAACGGTAATGGCTGAGATAGACAATTTTATGAGGGCGGGGAAGCTGGTTTGTACCTCCCCAATACCTCTGTCCAGCCCTTATTAGGACAAGATTGGGTAGCGAGTTCATCAAGCTGACAGTTTCTAGGACTTGATGTTCGTCATTGGCACGTCGGCGCAGGTCTGGCCAGCAGCAGGCTACATCTCGCGGGCCAAGGCGCTTGGGGCTCGCATCGTAACCGTCAACCCCGACGCGGAAAACGAAGACGAGATGTTCAAGGTGAAGCCTGGCGACTTTGCCTTTGGAAAGGACGCTGCTGAATACATGCCGCTGCTGCTGGAGCCCGTTATCGGGAAGCTTCCGGAGGGCGGGAAGAAGCTAGACAAAGACAATTAAGTGTCCCAATTGTGAGTTTAGTGGGGTCGAGAGCGCTGGGGGTTTCCTCTTCAGAATTGTAGTTTGTAGCAAGTGCAAAGGGATGGCATCTTGATTTCGGTCACGCTCTACTATCAGATCATGTACGCGGTTGAGATGGCCAATTAGAGCTTAGGATGCTCCGAGGTGGCCGCAACGGATAGGTTAGCCCACGGAATCAAAGTTGTCGTCCTGGTCGACGACTGGCTCTCCAACTCCAGGCGGTAAGATCATGGCATGGCTAGGTTTTGGCGTGTTTCGGCGGATATTGCCCTGGCGGGAAGCGATGTCATGACGAGAGGGGACATTGAAGAAATTCCGACTACACTAAAAATGTCCAAGCTTGAGTGACGTCTAGGCCGATTTTCCCCTCCATGACTGCTGTAGGCAGACAAGTCAGAATATCACGACGAATAAAATAACAGCCACCATGACCCATCCGCAGATTCCACCTTTACAACCTCCCGACCCTTGAGGCCCGACGCCCACCGTCCACGAACTATATACTGCGAAAACTCATCATCGTCGCCCTCGTCGCCCTCGTCTTCGCCCTCATCCTCCTCCCACCCAAACCGCCCATCATGCAGGGCTTCAACATGGGACGCTACGTCCCGCCCGACGTCGAGGGCACCACGTCGGGCAACCGCCTGCACGGCAAACACGCCCTCGGCGCGCGCGCCTCCAAGCTCGCCTCGCACGGCGCCCTCACGGTGCGCTTCGAGATGCCCTTCGCCATCTGGTGCTCGTCGTGCCCGCGGCCGACCGTCATCGGCCAGGGCGTGCGCTTCAACGCCCAGAAGCGCCGCGTCGGCAACTACCACTCGACGCCCGTCTGGGCCTTCCGCTTCCGCCACGCTGAGTGCGGCGGCGACATCGAGATGCGCACCGACCCCAAGAACACGGCGTACGTCGTCGTCGAGGGCGCCGCCAAGCGCGACACGGGCGAGGACCGCGCCCGCGAGGGCGACGCCGTCATCCTGACCGACCAGGAGCGCGAGGCCCTGCGCAAGAATGCCTTTGCGAGCCTCGAGAAGACCATTGCGGACCGCGAGCAGCTGAAGCGGGCGACGGAGCGCATCGAGGATCTGGAGGAGGCGTCGCAGCGCCATTGGGACGACCCGTACACCCAGAACCAGAAGCTGCGGCGCGCATTCCGCGTGGGTAGGAAGAGCCGCGAGACCGCCGCTGCGGCAACGGAGGACCTCAAAGACCGCATGAGCTTGGGGATCGACCTGGTGCCGGCAACCGAAGAAGATTCCCGCCGTGCCGCCCTGGTCGACTTTGGTCCCGTAGACGACACAGCTCAAGGCCGCGCCCTCGCCAAGCCCTTGTTCGGCGGTGGCTCCAGCAAGAAACCCCAGGCTCCATCCAAGGGCGTCCTGCTCAAGTCCGAGAAGGAGGTGTCGCGGAGAAAGGAGACCCTAGTGTCAGAACTCATAGGCAACACTCGAGCAACCCAGGACCCATTCCTACGGGATACTCGAGCTGGAGAAACCAAACCCCCTGCCAGGTTGCCAGGAGTGAAACGGAAACGCACTCTACAGGAAGATATAGCTCCGGCTCCAAAGACCCTCGTGCAGGAAGCGAGCGTCTCGACCGGACTGGTTAATTACGACTCTGATTAATGAAGGATGAATTAATTGATGAAAAACGGCATGGACAGCATAGATTATATAGTTAAGATACCCCGGGACATTATTATGATGCAATCCTATTGAAATTCAAATATTCTGCGGTTCTGTCTGCTAAATCCTCGGACGAGGCAAGCAAAACCAGCTGTAGGATGCCGAAGCTCCTTGTCGATTTCGACTGCTCTTCCCCAGCAGTCCCCCAACTTGGTCTTGCCCAACAAATGCCAAAAGCGCAGTGATATATCCCTACCTACCTTAAACCCATGAAACAAAATTCGATCCAACCCAGTCTGGGGTGGAGGCCGTCGGGGTGGTTGTAACTCCGTCCAATGAAGGCTCCTTGCCGTGCCTTGATCCCATTACGCCGTGAGAAACAATTGCTCGTCGAGCTAATACGGTGCCGATAGGGCGCTCTATACATCATCCATCTGACCCGCGGGCTCTTCGTCGTCGTCGTCGCCGAAGCTAGCGACCGAGGACAAGTCATCATCATCCTCGCTCTCGGCGCCAGCCTCATCTGCAGCGTCCTTGTTGGCGTACTTCTGCACGTACTCTGTTCCACAGTTAACATTGGGTCGGAGATGAAGATCGACGGGTGTTGCGCACCTTTGACCTTGACATCATAGCTCTTGGGTTCCCTGATCAACAAGGCAGCAGCTTCGCCATTGAGGGGATCGGTGGGGTTAGGGTATCGCAGGAGCTGAGGCAGAAAGACCTCAAAAATGTTGATCATATCGAACATGGGGGACCATGTCTGGTTGATGACGTCGAGGCAGACAGATCCAGACCTAAGGCTCTCGTTTTAGTACACCCATTTCCAACCAGGCCTTCCAATTTGGATGTTGAATTTCACTCACAGCTCATCGATATTGGGGTGGAAGATGCGGTTGACGAATCCGATGCTGGGAGACTTGTACGGGTAGGTGTCGGGGAGCTCGACGTGGACTTTCCAAATGCCACCCTCGAAAGGAGCTGCCAGGTGTCAGCGGACACACCTAGTTGAGGGGCTCTGTATAGTACTGACTTTCGGCCGGGCCCTTGAATCGGACAAAGAACTCTTGCCTGAGGAAGAGGTTAGGGGCGGATGAGGTGTCGGTCGGGAGGATCGGCGCTTACACTGCTGTATGTCAGTATATTTACCATCGTTGGTGCCGGTGAGTCTTACTGTTGTCATTAACCAACGTGACTTCGTAGTCGCTCATGAGCCTGTATCTGTTAGCGAGTCGCCGTCAAAGTTGCGCAGAGCTGCATCGTACATCCTGCGACACTGTTAGCACCTCAGACCATATTCCATGGGTAGATTGCTCCGGCGTACTTCATGACCTAAGATCCAGGTCGTGGTCAGCTTTGATGGCACCAGTGGCCTCTCGGGGGACCTCAACTCACATCTGTCTCGATCCTGCGGCGTGGGCTACTCATTATTGCGGTAGATGGCGGCGCTGGGGGTGGGTGTGGGGTTGAAGCGTTATCCAAGGACTCGGGGACCGGTCGAGCGTGCGGAGATGGAAGCGTAGACGAGCGGAGGCGGAATAATCCTCGGTAGAAAGATTGAAGCGGTTTGGAACTGCCTTCGTGGCCGACGACGGGAAATGGCGAGAAGATGTCGATGTGGTTGAGAGCAGTGAGCGCAGGTGGTGGGTGAGGGGAGGTGAATCCAAGTCACAAGTCACGCGGACCGACCGACCTTGGTGTCGTGGACAGCCACTCGTGCAGGCGGAAAGAGGGGCCGAGTATTTGCGGGGCTTGTCTTTATCGATAAGTGCCCTTGATAGGCAGGTAGGTACCTACTTGAGCTACCTTGTGCGTCTGCATTGAAACCATCATGTCCTCACCACGCCACGTTTCATCCGTCGTCATCCGTCGACATTACCGCTGGGAAGCACTAATAGTGAGGCTGCAGGGCCGGGCATCAAAGCTTGTAAACGACTGCCCAAGCCCTATTACTTCTCTGGGCTGACCCCTAACCGGCTTTCCGCTCGCCGAGGAATGCGAAACCAGTGAGCGTCATCCAACGACACGGCCTATCCAAGCCACGCGCCATCAATATTTGCTCCAAACCAAGGCGCCACGTCAACAAAAAGGCGGGGATTTGTTCACATGCTTTCACAGTCGACGAAACAATGTTGCACCAGTGTCGCATTCACAGACGAAGCGGGCACTTGAGCTTGTTGATGGAACATGGCTGCTAAATCCAAGTGGCTAGATGGACAGATGGACCCTGTCTTAGTGGCCTGTCAGCGAGTCACAGGCGAGGCCTGCGTGGTCTGTCACTCATCCTCATTCCTTTCGCAGTCCTAGGCTCCCGATGACATTTCCCCGAGTCTTCCGGCTCAATGATTAATCACAAACGGTAAGCAAGGCACCATTTAAGTTGGGCCCTGATGCCGAAGCGGCATGAAGTACTCGGGTGGGTACCATGCATGGGTGATCAACAGTCGGTTGCGAGACAACCTTCGGGGAAGGGCGCAAAAGTTGGCAAACACTTTATGAAGCTTATTTCTAGCACAACATGACGTGTAAGCAAAGAATCGTTACCGTGGGTAGCTGGGAGCTGCCACGCTTCGTTAACTGAGTCGAAGGGAATGCACGAGATCAGGGCCAGCACAGGAACCAGCGACCTAGATATATACACCAGGTTCCACTTCTCCGATTATCACGCTCGAAGAAGTCTCCGGCAAAGCCGCCGTCAGCGGGAAGATCAAGAGATAGACAAGATATTAATTTACACAGGCACGAGCGACTGTAGTAAGGGCAATCAAGTTTCTCAGTTTCGCAATCTTCCCTGCCAGCATAGACCAAGCAAGTCTATGCCTAACTAATGCACCTATTGAACCCTTTCAGTGGGCTCGAAGGGTGGGAAACGATGCGACACATGCAATGTGGTAAATGATCTTGCCATATTACTTTACAGGAGCTCCATTTCACATAAGTGCATGACCAAACCCAGAACACTTTGAAGTGAGGTCACAACGCAATACAGTCCGGCCAAATTTCCGTTTGCTATTTGTGTACCTCCACTTCTGGGCTTTCCAAAACGGAGCGTGCCCTCCGGACCTACAGCAACCCCCCCCCCCCCTGCTGTGAAGGCAATCTTCTCGATCAATTTCTATGGCGCCTTGAACTAACAGAGATCCAATTTCCGCCTCCTTTTCCCAGAGAATACCTGGCACACGTTGAGCCATCCGTGTGGAACTGTGTTGCACCGGCACCGAAGTTTGCATCCCTGTCAAATGCGGCCGAGAACTATGGCTCTTTCCTGGCGGTGCGCAGTACCCCTGAAGCAATGGTTACTTGAAAATTAGGCGGCTCAAGACCCTAAGCAAGCGGCTCTTGAATGAATTCCTCGCAGGAAAGAATGGCTGAGCGAATCTCTGTCGCTCTCTCACATTGACTCATGGCAATTTCACTACGCAGTGCAACATCCTAACCATAATATTCTCTTGTCAGTGCCACTAGGCAATCAGACAATCTCACCGCCATCACATTGACGTCTCAGTCACCCTAGACAACTTTCCAACAACCATGTCTAAGCAATTGATGGCCTGTATCGTCTCGTCAGAGCGGGGTGGGGGTTCAAGCTCCCGGGAGAGCTTGCGGCGTCGTGCGGACCTACGAAGGTTCAGTTTGCAACGAATTCTTAAATGTGGCGGTTTCCTGCTTATTATTTTAGCTTTGGTTATAATTGCGACTGTACTCTTTTTGAGTTTGGTCTAGAGTTATCTTATATGTTGTCTTGGTCGTAATGTCCGTTCTTCATGGGCGTCGTATGGAAGCCGAAACTACATACAACACCACTGCAATCTTCGCGAAGGAAGAGAAAAGCGAGTGTGCGAATTAATGGGTTCAGGTTTAAAGAACTATATGCAGTGCTCGGTTTCACATAACATAGCATCGCCAAACCCAGGACACTCGAATTGAGGTATCACAATGCAACGCTGCCATGATTGCCCTCATGGCTCACGTTAATGGAGAAGCCGGTACATACGGCCATAGCTCTTAGAAAATATGGGATCCCCCAGATCCTAAAATTGGCCGTTCAGTCACTGGAAAGCCGTTACCAGCCGCTTCAAACGGTGTTCTGAACAAGACAAGAGAGTATGCAGCCTCGCTCACACACCCCTCCATCATGCAGGCCTTATTTCGGCCTAAGCCGTAGGTGGAAAAATCGGCCTTATATGGACGATAAAAGAAGCAGCAGCAGCAGGAATACAGAGAGACCCAAGATTTATCCAGCTTAGTCTACCTGACTCAGCATGCGGAGCGTCTAGCCCCATAGGCTGCCATAACAAATGCACCTTTGGGCTTGACTCACCACAAGGTCTTGACCCCGCCTCACCTCCGCCTCAGTTGACAGAATAGGCTGAAGACATCTTCTTCTCGACAAGGCTGTCAGGAATTTCTTTAAATCTTTTAAACCCCAACATTGTGTATCAACACCAATTTAAACCAGTCGGTCTTCTCCAAGTGTGAACCGTCGACATGTCCTTCGGGGTCGGCTTTGGTGACATCGTCAAGGCGATTGGTCTAGCCAAAAGTGTAGTGGCGACGTATCGAAACGCTCCAAATCAAGTAAAAGAACTAGCAGATGAGTACGTTCCGTCCAAGCACATCCTTTATCTTCGCGTTCTGTCAGTGTTCCATCTCATCCAGAAAGTAGTATCTCCCGATTACTGGGTGTGCTAGAGGGAGCCCACAACATCCTCCAAAGAAGGGAGCGCGACCTCGCCGAATATGAAAGAAACATGTTGATGTCGATCCTCCAAGGCTACGTGACCATCCTCAACAAGCTCCGCACAATGTACAACGAAAATCACACTCTTGCTGCTGATGAGTCACACGGTATAAGAAGCCACGTCCGAAAGGTAGGCAAAAGGCTAGTATTCGAGCCGGATACGATCAAAGAATATCGGCAGGAAATAACTCACTACAATGCCATGCTTAGCCACTTCATGGCGCTATTGAACACGTAAGTGAGACTCTGGTCGGCAGTGATAAAAATTGCCGTGCTAAGTCCATTGCCCAGTCCGGTCATCTGGGACACCCATCAAAAGGTCGAGACACTGGTTGGGTACAAGAATACGCAGGAGGGCCAACAGCTCTTGGCCTGGCTCACCCAACTGGATTTCGGCAAACTGCACACAGACAGATTAAGGAGACGAGAACCAGGGACAGGCACCTGGCTTATTGCTTCAGAAAAGTTCCAGGCCTGGCTTGATCAGCCGCAGACGATCCTTCTCTGTCCCGGGATGCCTGGAGCTGGCAAGTCATTCATTGCCTCGATAATTATAAATTATTTGCAACAGATTTATTCCCATGATCGGGAGACATGCGTCACATTCTTGCTCTGCGACTTCAACTCTCAGCAGGAGCAATGCCCCGAGGATCTACTAGCAAATTTGTTGAAGCAACTGATACAGAGTAGGTCTATCCCAACAGACTTACAGAAGTTGTTTGTGCAGTACAAGTCGAAGCCACCAGGGTGCCGACCACAGATGGACGAGTTGCTTGGTTGTCTAGTCACGGCAATGAGTTCATATGAGAGAGTCTTTCTCATTATCGGCGCTCTGGACGAATACCAGACAGAGGATAGGACGAGATTTTTGGAGGAAATCTTCAAGCTTCAAGCAACTTCCAGGTTGAGCGTCCTCGCCACTCTGAGATCCATCCAAGAGATTCTTTCAGTGTTTGAAGAGAGCGGGGCCACCCTTCATGTGCTTGAGATTCGCGCACATCAAGATGACATACACAAATTTCTTGACCACCAAATCACGAACAGTGGATGCCGCAGACGTGCTGCAAAGATCGCCGTTGCGGCTGGCCATAGAGAACGGACACGACAGCATCGCAGAGATTCTGCTCCACCACAAGGCAGAATTAGAGGCTTGCGCAGCTGCCGAATGGAACTTTCTGCACGTTTCCTCGCTCACGGTGTCAGTGAAGGTGCGAGAACACGTACTACGCGTGTTGTCAGACGCAGGGGGGGAGGCCGACGTGCTCGGATTGGGCATCTTGTTCACATGATTCGTCCTTGATAATCGTGGCGTCTGCCAGCATCGTCCGCAATCACATTGGTCTGGAACATCGGAGTACCTAGATACCTCCAAGCCCGGCAATTATAAGTAGGCATCACAGTCAGGCTGCCCTTTTTAATGCCGCTTCCACCGAACTGAGCTCGCACGCAATCTGTGGCATTGATAGTTACCACCACACTCAAACAGAACATCAGCAGCCGACTGTCTCCAAAACATCGCCTCGCTACCGCCCGCTTGCCATGGCTACTCTCTGTATCCCTGGGCACTTTTACGAGAACGCCAGGGCTTCTTCCGAGTTTTCGCTGGACGATACTCTTGCCCAGTACCTCGAGGAACTCAAGCTTGACCTCGACCGGGCAGGGCATCGCTCCCACCATCTCGTCCACCATCTCTCCCAGCTTTGGCCGAGACCAACCGAACCCGACGACTTGAAGTACAATCACGGCGACCGCCAGCTCGGTTCCTCCGAGAGACTCGCCGGTTTTCATCCCTCTGAGTTCTTACTCAGCGACACTTACCGTGCCTACCTCGATTTCGTTGCTGGAGGCGAGCTTGGCAATATCCAGGGCGCTTCCCGTCCTATCTCGCAGCGCTGCTTCAACATTGAGCTCGTCTATACGCTCGACGACCATATTGGACGCAAGCTGCTTGTCGGGGCTCAGCCTACTGGCTGGCAGGGCGACCAAATTGGCCTCTTGCGCACCAACGAGGTCAATCTTGTCGACTGTTTGGTTCACGTTGTCCACTGCCTCTTTGACAGGGCCGTTTACGATTTGAACTCGGTCGGGGGTACCAACCCTCAGCGCGAAACGGCTCAGACCCTGTGCAACATTGTGGCCAACTCGGGTACACTCCCGATGACCGCCAACTATTCCGTCTTTTGATAAGATGGACAATGTCCCGCGCCCAGGGTGGCATTGCGTAAGTCTTCCGACGGTTTGCCAATTCCTCGCTTGAAAGGCAACGTGCTGATACGTACCGCTAGCACTGCGACCCTCCCCGAAGATACGACTATGCTATTAAAGCCTGTAGAGGCTGCGATTCAACTCGCGAAGTACAGTTTGGATTTACAGTAAACACCCAACAACAACAAAAACAAAAAAACAAAAACCCCAACGATTGACGGGCATCTCTACGCGATGCTGGGGATCAATTCGCAGGACACGGAACTCGCATGCGGAGCCAAGACCTGTCAGATTAGATGAGATAGTATGAAAGGAATGAGTACGATGAATGTTGTCCAAACTATTTAGACGAGATTCGGGTTTCATAGCGGCAAAGATAAGCCTTTATCCTGGTTGGCATGAAACAAGCGTCGTGGATGATGAGGACACAGTGATAATACTTAGAATCAGGTAGATCTCTTAACGAAGATTAATGACTACTCCATGGTTGAATTCACAATATGGGCTTTCGGGGCTACAAATATGCAATCTCTAGAGTGTACTTGCCAAAAAGAAGCAGGTTTGAGTTCAAACTCTCAACTTTCTTCGGTTCCGAAAATCGAAATATGTTCCTCAAAAAAGAAAGCTAGTAACCTACTCACGGCCACATCGAAGTTAGAAACAATATTCATGCTGCACCGATGTTTCTCAATACTGACCACGGCGGCCAGGCATCTAAAAGAACTTCAGAAGGAGTCTCATCACAGATTCTGCACACCAACTACCGCTCCCATCATGGCCGACAACAACAATAAGAACGACAAAACTGAGAAGACAACTTTGCTGCAGCTCATTGCAGTCAACGATAGGTATGGACAGCCAGGGATTTGAATCACACAATTACAATTAATGACCTCGTGGTTACAGTTATCCCTATAACGCCTCGTCTTTCGACCCACTTTACCGCCTTTATCTGCCCAGGGATGACCGACCCCATGGCTATCTACTACCGGAGGTTGTAGAGAAGATGCCATGGACTAAAGATTTCAAGATCACGCACGAGAACCCAAGGAGAGTCGATGTTTTGGACAGCTCCGACGGCAAAGATACGTCAGCAGCCTGCAACAAAGCGCTCGCTAAGGTGGTTACAGCCTGCCAGGAGAAAGATCTCTTCAACCTGAAGGGCGAGCAATACGAGGAGTTCGCGATCGTAGGCGTCCAGTATCCCGTCCGTCTCTTCAGGTATGCTGCATCCCTGTTCGGCATCATCAGTCAAGGTGCCCATCTTACTGCATACATCCGTACATCAAGCGGGTTGAAGATCTGGGTCCCTCGTCGAAGTCCTACGATAAGTACATTCCCCAACAAGCTGGACAGCACCGTCGCCGGTGGCATCTCCGCCGAGGACACGCCATTTGAGACTATCATTCGAGAAGCAGAAGAGGAAGCGTCTTTGACCGAAGATCTCACTCGACGAGATGTTCTGTCGGCAGGAGTGCTCACGTACATCACTTTGCTCGAGCAGGGTCAGGGGGAAGTTGGAGGTCTTGTCAAGCCGGACATGGTTTATGTATACGACTTGGAGCTTTCTGAAGATGTGATCCCAAAGCCACACGATGGCGAGGTTAAGGAGTTTTACCTCATGACGCCTGACGAGATCAAAACAGCATTGCTTCGGAAGGAGTTCAAGACGAACTCTGCGGCTGTTATGATCGATTTCTTCATCAGGCATGGAATCATCACAGCCGATAATGAGCGCGATTACACCGAGATGAGCATGCGTCTCCATCGTACTCTTCCATTTGCCACTGCACCACGGCTATGAAGTGAGGCACAAAGCCCGATTTAGCCAGGCCGCCGCGTAATAACATACGGCACCCTCGACCTCCTTCACGACGCCCACCTCGACCAGCTCCGCCGCGCTCGCGCCCTCGGTAGCTACCTCATCGTCGCTGTGCTATCCGACACATTTGATGCCGGCCGCGGTAAGCGCTTTCTGGCCCAAGACGTCGTGCAGCGAATCGAAAACGTCCGCCAGACAAGGATCGAGGCTCTAGCATAGTATTAGCTATAGGAAATAGAGGCAAATGTTAGTGAGGGCATTTCAGTCGGGTTAAGGTGTAGGGATTCAGGGGGCAGGGCAAGGCAGGGCAAGGCAGGGAGTACAGTCACGGTGACCGCCAGCTCGGTTCCTCCGAGAGTCTCACCGGTTCTCATCCCTCTGAGCTCTTGCTCACCGAATATAACCGTACCTATCTCAGTCTCATTGCCAGAGGCGAGCCTAAAAATATCTGGGACGGCTACCCTTGCAGGCAGCCGTTCTTCAAAGCGATGTAAGGACAGGTGGGTAACGCTCAAGGCCAGTAACAGGTTGCATGCGGTACAGAGTCTGAGGAAGACTAGAAATACTTGCAATTAAAATTTATTATCCTGTTCAGGATAATTTGCATCCGTTCCATTCTATGGGGCCTCCTGTGCCAAGGACGATGAGGGGTACTTTCACGGCCCTACTATTGCGTCCCTTTCTGAATACATTCACGGAGCGAAGACGCTACAACCTACAATTGCGCTTGCATCGACTGAAAGATCCACAAGGGTGTTTTTCAGGGATAGGTGGTGTCATCCCCGGTAACAGCCTCAGATGCCGAAAGGGCTTGAATTGCACCCGTTCACATATAAGTCACATTGATGCGTGAACTGGTACATACGACCATAGCTCTTAGAAAATACGGGATCCCGTCCGCTCTCCCTTAGTCAAGCTGAGAAGCGGTGAATTAGTACTCGGGTCGGTGACGACCGGGGAATCCTCACTGTTGTATGTTTTTTTTGTTCGTTTTTATTTTGGCTTCATTTTTGGTGGTGAAGATTTGATGACATTGAAAGCTCGTTGGAGTTGGCCTCAATGTGGCGGCCATGTAATATGTCACGTTACTGGAATCGCAGAGGCGTTGAAACCCTGTAACTCGCCACCACTAACATGGCGGTGCAATAATCCAGTGCATCGTTCCTCAAAACATTGGGTACAAACCTGTATCTAAATAAATGTATTGAAAGCCACTTTCATTCATTTCTTCGCTTTTTTTGACTCGCTTATACAAATCTGCACCATTGGCCCTGATTCATAAAAGTCTGGGGGTGCAGTTAACTCCTGACCGTTGGGTGCATGGCAACTCAAACTCTATCCTCTTCGTTCTCTCAATATAACAACAGTTCATGACCCTTTAAAAGCTCCCGCATCAACTTCCGAATCCATCTTTGTCAACTTCCTCGGTATAGTGATTGACTTACTCGCTCTCACCAACTCCGGTCCCGTGCCGCCGTCACCGCCCCACCCCCGGATCTCCGCCCTACGGCCGAACAGCCTCGGCACGTCCAAGCCAGGCACAGGCACGCTGCGCAGCACACGGGTATGCCCTGTCTCACTGACGTAGGCTCACTAATGGCAGCCAAATCCCCTGTAATTATTCTCCACTTTGCCCCGCCACTTCCCCAACACCCGGTATTAGGCCCCTCGGCCGCTCGGTCACGGAGCTTGCTGCCTGTGCTGCACCGGTTGAGAATATACGTACCCACAACCAAGGCCAAATTGGCCCCACCGGGATGAAAAAACCACTACAGCGCCGCACTTCGGGTTAAGATTGTACTCAATTGTACGGATCGCTAGTCTCACAATTACAACGTACAGGTTATCACAGTCAAGATGATTAAAAAGCCGCCGGCGCCCATTCTCACGACTCGCGCTGTGTTAAGCTCCTTTGTCTCTCACAACTAAGGAATCCGATTTTACATTTTTCTCTGTGTCTTTTTCCCTCTTTTTTTCCATTAGTCATTGGTATTGGTGGAACCCATCCCAGACTCGGGGCTTAAAGGTACACTCAAGTGTCACGAGTTCTTAGACCGTGGCGCAACCCACCCAATCCTCTTCATATACACCCCTTTCACTTGGCTCTCATGTCGTCGGTTGTCGCACCCTTTGTGAGGTCGTGTGCCTCGTCCCTCCTGTCTCGGAGCACACGGCCCCTCCGACCGGCATCATGGACCCTCGGCAGCGCCACCCGGCCCCTCGCTGTGGCTCAGGCCCGGCACAGTTCGCATTCCCCAATGGGTTCGACGCCAACCAACCAACGCAAGAAGGTTACGCTGGGCACCATACGGTCGCTGCACCGCAAGCAGGAGCCCATCACCGTCATGACGGCTCATGACTTCCCAAGTGCACATGTTGCCGACCATGCCGGCATGGATGTCGTCCTCGTCGGTGACAGCTTAGCCATGGTCGCACTTGGCATGGAGGATACCAGTGAAATCTTGTTGGACGAAATGATCCTGCACTGCCGATCCGTTGCGAGGGCCACTAAATCAGCATTTACTGTAAGGACTCCATCCGCTTGCATTCTTTGAACATGCGCTGACCAGAAATAGGTTGGTGATTTGCCCATGGGTAGTTATGAGATTTCTCCTGAGCAAGCCCTCGCTTCAGCTATCCGCGTCATCAAGGAAGGTCGTGTTCAGAGCGTCAAGCTTGAAGGCGGCAAGGAGATGGCCTCAACCATCCGCAAGATTACCACCGCTGGCATTCCCGTCCTTGGTCACATCGGCTTGACGCCCCAGCGTCAAAATGCCCTTGGGGGCTTTCGCGTTCAAGGGAAGACGAGCAGCAGTGCCTTGAGCATCCTCGAGGATGCTTTGGCTATCCAGGAGGCAGGCTGCTTCGCCATGGTCATCGAGGCTGTCCCTGCTGAGGTCGCCGCTCTCATCACCGAGAAGCTGTCCGTCCCGACCATCGGCATCGGTGCTGGCAACGGTTGCTCTGGCCAAGTTCTCGTGCAGATAGACATGACAGGTAACTTCCCTCCTGGCAGGTTCCTCCCCAAGTTCGTCAAGAAGTACGGCGATGTCTGGGGTGAGAGCATGAAGGCCATCGAGGCGTACCGAGATGAGGTCAAAAGCCGAGAGTATCCTGCACCGGAGCACACCTATCCGATCTCTTCCGAGGAGCTTGAGACCTTTACCAAGGCGGTAAAGGACTTGTAATGTGTTGGGCAATGACGAGCTAGTCGTTGGATCCGACTTTGTGATAGCGTTTTGAGGATAAAGACGAGCGTTTTTGCAACCAAGTGCATGGCATAGCAAAGCATTAGAGTTAGCATATGGCGGAGTTCTGAGTTGGGCTGAACCAGAGGCCCTTATTTGTTCTTGTATCTTCAGCATCCTTCGAAGCATACCAGCCCGCATGGGCATTTCATCATTCACCCAAATGCAGGAGTTATCGAGTATGCAACGATCAGCTGGCCGTGTGAATTCTTAAAGCACTGTGACATCTCCATCTTAGCACATGGGCAACAATCAAGCCTGGTAGGACATACCTGGTGCAAGTTTCCAACCACCTCATCCAACGACGGCGCAAACGCGCTGTTGACGTACAAGAACACGCTGTCTGAGTTTTTGCACCGTAGCTTGCGCCGCAGGTACCGCACCACCTCTTCGAACTTGCGCGCTGCGCTGATCTTGCACACGTCCTGCGCGAGCGCCGGCGCCGATCCGACGGGCTTGAATTTGATCACCACCTTGTCGACGGCAAAGCCGCCTACGCTGGCCAGCGCGGCACTCGCGTCTCGAGGCAGGTCCGCCAAGACGACGGAGGCAGACATGGTCAGTAGCAGGTCTGGAGACTCGGCGCGGTCGGGCGTGTCGGTCTCGGCGTCGACGTCGACGGCCGGTGGGGATGGGGACGATCTGCCATCTTGCGGTGGAGGAGAGTCCGACATGGTTGCTCCGAGAAGCGAAACAGGGGGTGTTTTGGAATATGAGGCTCTGGCAGGTTTGAGTGTGTCGGTGTGAAGCCTGCGGAGTTTTCTTGAATGATAACGTGCAGATGTGCTGATGCAAGTGATCAGGCTGCCGAATGATTGCCTACGGCCTGAGGTGTGAGAGAACGTGGGTGAAGTGGGACAGTGCGGGGCGCCCTCAGCACCGTGCACTGGCTTCAAGATACAAGACAACTTCAGTTCTCCTATATAACTTCAAGTTCGTCCTGCTTCGCTTATTAGGTCATGATTTTTTCTAAAAATAAATGCATGCGAGGTTTAAAATGAAGATGAACTTTTTAGGCCTTTGTTTCCTTGCCAAAAATATTATGAGGTGAGATCGGCTCTAATCTAACCAGGACAACACTAACCAATTCCTTCTCATGGACGCTTTCTCTTACTTAGTAGTTTTCCTTCATAGACTTGCATAGCTCATCATATTCCCCAGTCGTCCGGGGTCCAGGTCGCGACGTTTCCATGGCTTCCATGACCATGTCCATCAAGTCGCCCTTCAAACTCTCGTACACCATGCTGACCCAACTTCCAATAGTCTTCTTGTTCTCCGTCGGAAGTCCCTTTTGAGCATTGTATAGCGGGTCGTCGTCAATTCCGCACTGCGTCGGCACACCCAGCTTCGATCGCACCCAAGTATATAGTTGGGCAGAACCGTCACCCAGCTGAGTGGCCACATCAACAGGGCGGACGGCCATGTTGGGGTAGAAGATGGATGATGACGTGTCGACGACGGCCTTGTGGAAAGCTGCTCTAAAAACAGCAATGCTGGAGATTGAGCAATCCATGTTCTCAGTCGCCAGGAACTGGGTGACGGGCGCCATTGCAGCGTCCACCGTCGGCAAAACGCGATCCTTCCAGGAGCCAGCGTTGTGGGCATACCAAGCCGACTCAATGACAGGAAATGCAACCTCGGCGAGCTTTCCGATTTGTCCCTCGTTCAGTCCAAAGGCATGGAACGGTCCGTTTTGCGTGGTATCCCCCAATCTGTCGCGCAGAGTCTCCAGGAAAAGACGGTGGTTCGCACGGAGGTCAACCGCCTGGCACGAGATGTAAATGTGGCAAGCGCACATATGAGCAACCAGATCCGCGGCCTCCATAGTTCGCCGGGCTGAGAGAAGTGCCATAGAGTTGATGCCCTGGTTGTGCATCTCGGCAGACATGATGTGGGATGAGACGGGGTGCGCAAGCGCTGCCAGCTCCGTCATGTACGCAGCCATATTGACGTCGATGCCCTTCATGGTAAAGTTCTCCTTGTCGCTGACGTTAAGGTTGGCCTCGAGGCCGTTGCTGGTGGAGGGGTTGATGATCTCGCTGACTTGGGAGAAGAGCATACGTCCAATCATCTGTAGCGCCAGCCGCGTCTTATCCATAGCAGAGGTGATGACGACGGCCTGGAAGTTTCCTCCTGAATAGACCTCTCCCACCGCCTTGCCATCTTTCTCCGATGCATCAACCAGGGGGTTATCCGACGTGGAATTCAGCTCCACAGAGATCTGTCGCTGGGCCAGAAGGAGGTCCTCCAGGTAAGGCCCAATCCACTGGGGGCTCGTCCGCGTGGAATACCGATCCTGCCAGAGTCCCTCGCCGGTTCTCTTTCGGTTATCCAGACCAACGACAAAGCTGGAGCCGCGCAGGAAGCTGCGAATGTTTGCTGCGGCCTCAATCTGGCCAGGGTGTGGTCGTACAGCATGGATAAAGGGGGTTGCCCACTCAACGTTGCCGCCCATGCTTTCGGATGCGAATGCCGTCAACATCTGGGCCATAACGGCGAGCTGCTGTGCGTCGTGGAGCACAAGACTGGCTAGGGACACGGAGGGCGCAGTGCCGTTGATGAGACCAAGGGCCTCCTTGGGGCCAAGGCCGCTGGCTGAGAGGCCGCTCTGTTGAAGCGCCTCGGATGAAGGCATCACCTTGGCCGCCTGGCCCTCGCCAACCTGCACGAAGATGTCCGGGTTACCGGTTACCGCGCCAGCAATGTACGACATGGGCATGAGATCGCCCGACGCAGAGATGGTGCCTCGGATCGGCACCAGGGGGGTGATGTCGTGATGCAGCAACTTCACCAGCCTCTGGAGGACCTCAAGCCGGACAGAACTCTGGCCTCGCATGTTCTGGTTGGCGCGGGCGACAATGGCTCCGCGCACCCACTCAGGCGGCATGACGTGCGAGGGCTCGCGCTCCGAGTTGCTTCCAGGGGTCTTGTCAAGGGATGTGATGATGGCGCTCTGCGTGTGCTGCAGGACACCGATCTGGTTCTCGATCCAGTCATCGGTGCGCACGTCGGCGCTGCCACCAAAGCCAGTATTGACTCCGTACACGACATACTTGTTGGCCAGGTAGTTGTTGAGGGCGTCGACGCTCAGGGCGATACGGCGAGCAAGGTTCTCATCTTGGCTGATCTCAGGCTTGACACCATAGCGGGCCACGGCAATTACGGAGGAAATGTCAAGGCTGTTGCCGTCCAGGACTATCTTGCTCTTTCCGGTCTTGAGATCCTGAAGGCGACGCCATATATCCAGCGTCGAGGTGGCGTGGGCCGGCGTCTCGAAGGTCTTCATGATGGAAGCTGGAAGGCTGCAGTCGTAGCCAGCGATTAGGACGTCAGTACCCGTTCCCGGTCTTATATTCCGTCTAAGCCCAACGGAGGCGGAACGAGGGGGGATGGATGGAGAAAAGGGAGGGTCTAAGGTGGGAAACCGTTAAGTCCACGACGTGGCCCCAGAATGTTGGTACTTGTTCTTTGGGAAAATCTCAAAAAAAGCAAGACAAACCGCCGGATGTCGGAGCTGTAAGCCCCAATGTGAGACTCAGGAGAAGTCACAGATGGAGATTTATCAGTGGCTGGACCGAATTGGCTTGGGTCTGGTCCAATATCTTGGGTCCGTTGCTCGTGGGCGTTTTTTTATGGGAGAGGGGCTGGACGGGATGTGTTTGTGGCTTCCACATGAAAACCCTGGAAAGGGAGATTGTGTAACGATCTCTCACCTTGGACGCCTCAGACAGGAAGCGGTGAGACGTCCTGTCAGGTGTCGAGAGGCAGAAAAAAAAAAGAAACGCCTCGCCTGTCACTCGGTCTTGTAAGAGGACAGGAACAATTCCCATCGGAAACCCACGGAAGCCAGAATCCGCCAGGAATCAATTCCCTCCTCTCCATAAGGCCTAGGGTCATTTATTAGACCTGTATGGTTTGCAAACTCAAAAGCCCAGTGCTGCCAAGCTTTAAGCACTTCTGCATCGTTAGTTTGCTACCTTGTATCACAGACAGCGAGCATGATGCACCGCATCCATCACACTGATTGAGCTGCAACAGAGACAAACTGGGCGGGGTCCGAGCAAGCAGCCGCTGCATCAGACAATCGAGCTTGACTCATCAGAGACAGCAGCTTCAGGTTACCCCTTTCATCCATTCAGGATGACTCTTAGTGAGGTGGCTACTGCGACGCCATTTACGCCACACGCAACGGGTTGCGTGGACCCTGAGGAACGACGGTTGATGGCTAGTCGTGGGCTGGGTCAGGAATTACGTACGTTTCCTTTCCCCTAGGTCTGACTTTGTTTATTCATTTGCCGCCTGTCAGGTTAGGTGGAATGATTGTTAATTAGATCGGCCATGCTCCGGTCGCTCGTGCCAGTTCTCACGACACTGCTTGACTAAAATTGCCTCTACAGACGCCCATTTGCCAGCTCCTCGGTACATAAGTCAGGTTAGGAATTCAACGCGGTAGTGGACACTGAGACATGTCATCACCCTGAGACACCCACAGGCTATCATTCCATTCAGATACATCGTTCACTGGCTCTTCGGTTTATTGTTCAGAAGACTTCATGATTGTAATATGTAAGCTACATATACATGCAATGCCCTAACCGGATATCTACATCGACCCCTGGGCCGCTCGTGCCATCGCCATGTCCCATCGTAACCCATCCCCCTCGTGTGCCTCCCCAGTCCCCCAATATCATCCCAGCCCTTGACCATGCAATTCCATGCTACCGTGTCTGTCATGTTGTGTGAATGGATCGCGACAAACGCCCCAGTATAGTATATGCAGTTCCATTCCAGGAAAAGAACAAACAAGAAGAAGAAGAAAGTGCCAAACCATGCCGCTATACGCCGTCGCATGCAGTTCATGTAATGGAGTTCGAATGAAAAGTAGGTACGAAGATTAATCATCTCAAAAAACAAAGACCGCTCGGGAAATGCGACCGTCAACCACTAAGTAACCAAACACGCGAGGTATCTTTGTTGCTGTTTTCTGTGCTAGGGGTGGGAATCTGTATCGAGATGCGCAAAATGGAGCTGAGAATGGGACCCGTCTCAAAGGGTGCCAAATGTTGTGAGCTCGTGGAGCTAAAAAGTCATGGAAGGGACCGAGATGATGTTGTCGGTTTCAGAAGGGCGCATTATGTGCAGGCGATGCAATGTATCGTAGATTGAATCGGTAGCTGGGTGGGTTTCTTTACCACCCGTCGTCTTCATCCGATCCTGATGAGTATTTCGGCATTCGCTTTAATTGAACCAGCAAAGAGTCCAGCTCGGTCCAGTTGTCATCGTTCTCGGCAAACTTGCGGTGCTTTCGAGACAGGATGTGCTAGAAGACGTGTTAGCTTAATTCAAGTGCCGTGCTCTGATTGCTCAAACTCACCTCATCAAAGTCTCGGAATTTGTCCTGGCAGTTCTCGCAATAGCCAGGTTTGAGGTCCTTCTTGCTCTTCAAGGATGACGTGTGTGTCTTTCGCTCCTTGTTCTCCGTGGTCTTCTGGTTCTCCTCTTCTTGGACCTCGGCAGGACGCGAAGTGTGTCGACCCATCGTGGTCGATCTGCTAGATGCGACATCCATCGACACCTCAGCCAGGCGGCGCGAGCTCACATCATGAGATGCGGGGGCAGCCTTCTGAAGGACCTTTCGTTGGAGACCGTGAACCTCTTTGCTGGTTCCGGCCTTAGCCCCATTGACACCAGACGTAGATGAAATCATCTGCGAGCGGATAGCCGAAGTGATGTTAGACGGCTGAACACCTGACGCCACGGGCTCGCCAGCGAATAGGCGCCCGGTGCCAGCACGGCTGGTAAAGGCGTTTTGTCCAGTCTGCTTTGACAATGTCGCCTTGGCCGGGTTGAAAATCTCTGTAGGAGTCACGGCACGGGCCTTATTGTGGCCGTCTTCCATTTCCGTCAGTGATCGCTTCCCTGTTACAGGCACCGGCACTGGGATTTGGGGGGCCTTCAGAATGGGGACAGAGTCTTCTCGCTTAGCAGCGCGAGCCTTTTCTTGCTCGCGTTGCCTGCGATGTTCCTTGTCAGGGACCTCAATCTCCTCCACGAATGGACAGCGACCGTTGCCGACACTTCGGAACTGCGGCCACTCTCCGTCGGCCTTGTTGGCCACCTTGGGATACTCGCGAACCATGATAGGTTTTTGCTTTTCATCCATATCCCAGATATAAAGGTGGGGACCCTTGAAGTAACACAATTCCCGGTTGACGGCAGTCGGGTCCCGATCCGAAGGACCATTCAGACGCTCGTTGTGCAACAGCTGAAGCAGATTGGGCTCGTGGGACTTGGAGGTTCCGTAGTGCCCACGGGTAGCGGTGGACCTGGAGCTGTAAGAGTTGCTGTGGCTGGTCTCCGACTCAAGAAGAACCGACAGCATGGTCTGGAACTTGTCCAACGACCAAATCTTTTTTCCCATTTCACGAGCCTTGTGCAGAACATCATTGTTCCTCGCCTTACTTCGCTTCGTAGGGTCATCAAGCTGTTGTGACCGCATGGGTGCATTTCGGAACTCGAACAGAAGCTTGCGTCGAGCCTCTGTGTTTCGATCCAGCAACGAAGGGTTGATGGTCTGGGGTTGTTCCTCGGGCTCGTGCTCCTCATGGTGCTGTGGTTGTTCAGGTTCTTGCTCAGACTCGGCCTCAGACCTTTCGGGTGGGATCGATCGGGTGGTGACGACGTGGGTGACTGCAATTGAGAAGAAGGGTTCCTGACGCTGCATTGGGAGTTAGCCGGGGCTCGAAAATATTTTTTTCGACAAGGGTAAAACATACAGCACCAAGATAGGTGACTCTCTTAGTTAGCCTAGCCCGAATATCATCTGGGATACTCTCGAAATAGAAGACCATCTTGGGGAATTTAGCCCGATGGTGCTTCTTCCACTGCTCCTTCTCAGTGTCGGCATCTTGATTCCTGGAAGTCGAGGCGGTTCTTGAAGAACGTTCCTTGGCGACAGGACGCGTAGCTCCACGCTGGACGAGAACCTGGGTGCGGACCGGGCGTGTTGGCGACCGCATGGCACGCTGGCCGCCATTGTCGAGAACCTGCTTCTTCAAAGGCGGAGGCTGACCATAGGGCTCCTCACGCTGGATGGTAGCGTAGGAGCGCTTCTGCTTGGCGTAGGCAGCCAGGGTGGAAGCTCCTCGCAAAGGCGAATTGGCGACATTCGGGTTGTTTGTGAGCGGGCCCCGTCTCGAGGACATGGCCGAGATGGAAACGGGCGTGGGCGATAGAGATATGGTGGCCATAAAATGACTCCGTCAGCATGCTCTGGGGGGAGAAACCAGAGCAAGAGTCAGTTGTCAGTTATCAGCTCAGAGAGAGGAGTGCACGGCGTTGCTAAGCGTTGCTAAGCGTTGCTAAGGCGTGGGTGGTTGCTGGTTGTTGGTTGGTTGGTGACGAGGAGGGGCTGGGGGAGGAGGAGCCGTGAAGAAGCACGCGACGCGGAGGGCGACACGTCGTGTTGGCGAGGCGGCAGAGGAGAGGGAAGGAGGGTAAAAACTGCTACCAAGACATGGGCGGCGGTGGAGGCGACGACCAGAGAGAAGAGGAGGAAGACTGAGACAAAGAGCAAAGCCGAAGAGACCGGACGCGGGTGTTTTTGTGTGGTCGGCCTGCTGGTGGTGGTGGTGGTTGGCAGTGGTGGTTGCGTGGGAGGAAGCTGGTGTTGTTGGAGACCGAGACTGGGAGTGGAGCCGTCTTCGCCCTCTTCGCCCTCTTCGCGCTTGGCACAACAGCGCTATGCCTGCTTCGGCCGGCCTCCCACCCAGCGTCCACTCAGTGGGAATCAGTGGGAAAAACACGCACGGGCCCGGGCGGCTGCACCAGCAACCAACCCAAGCCCGCCAGCAACCGGCCCAGCACCATGTCCGAAAACTGACCAAAATGCGACTCTGCCGCGATAAACAAGTCTGTGATTACACAAACACAGGCCACCAGGCCGCAGGGCTAGGGTGGAAATGAAGCCCGTCTCCGTATTGTGAATGTCAACAACAGAGAGGGGACTCGGTTGTTCCGCATCCAGTGACCAGATCCACATCAACATCGGCAGCATGGCTTTCGTGCAGGGTGCATTACATGAGAAGAAGTAAAAAATTAAGAAGCAATCATCGGTTGACGTGTAGAGATATGTACCCGTCACCCACGTATTTGCGGGAATGGCTGCATTGCTGCATTGCATTGCATTGACCATTGGCTTCATCATCCCTCTCGCGCATATCCCTCACCCTGTTCCCGCTGTTGTTGGTCAATTCATTCATCCTCGTCGCACACCGACTAGCTAGCCTCGTCGAGCTTCCGGGTAGCCTCGGTCACCCGCAAACAACCGCCACTCTTTGACAGCCGCATCCCGCCCGCTGCCAGCTCTATCTAATCTCGATTCGTAAAGACACCACCGAAAACACCACCAAAAGACTCATCGTCCGGGTACGGAGCAAAGCCGAGACGAATTCTTCACTCGCTTTGCGTTACTTAGACACATACATACACACATACACACATACACACATACGTACGTGCCCAGTTCCAACTCTCCTCCGTCCCGTGCCCCTCACTTTCGCTGCTCCCCCTCCGGTTTTTGTCTCTCAACCCAATTCCTCCAGGCCTAAAAATGAAGCTCCCTCGAGCTCCATTCCGGAGTCTCGATCCGTACACCTCCATACCCTTCCGAACCGCAACTCGTCGACCACGAACGCCGTCCACAGCAGCAGTGACACCGCCCGCAACAACCCGCAACTTCACACTCGCCGCCTCTACTCATCGGCATGGCCAACATCCCTCGGCCGGCCGCCGCTGCTATGCCACTTCCGTCTCCGCCGCCGAGTTGAGATTCGGCCAGCCCGTCTACGAGACGCACCCTCACATCCTAAAACCCGGCGAGCGTTCGTCTCCCTTGCCTCCTCAAGGCCAATGCTAGCCCGCGACGCCCTGCTAACAAGTCTCCCTTCCAGTGACGCCCGGTATCACGGCGCAGGAATATGCCGACCGCCGCGCCGCCCTCGCCGACTCCATGACCGAAGGCAGCGTCGCCGTGCTACACGCTGCCTCCCTCCAATACAAGTCCGGCGCTGTCTTCCACGCCTACCGCCAAGAGTCCAACTTCCTCTATCTGACGGGCTGGCTGGAAGGCGATGCCATTGCCGTGGTCCAGAAGACGGGGCCGAACCTGGGCGACTACGCCTTCCACATGTTCGTCAAGCCCAAGAACCCCCGCGATGAGCAATGGTCCGGCTACCGCAACGGTATCGAGGCCGCCCGTGACGTCTTCAACGCCGACGAGGCGCACTCCATCGACGAGGCGGAGTCGCTTCTGCCCAGGCTTCTCGAAAAGGCCAAGCTTGTCTACGCCGACTTCCAACCGTCCAAGAACAACCCGGCCAACTGGCTGTGGCGCTTCTTTTCCGGCCGCGAGTCCCGTCCCACGCGAACGCCCCTCTTCTCCGTCATGAACAAACTTCGCGTCATCAAAAGCCCCGCCGAGGTCGCCAACATGCGCCTCGCGGGCCAGATCTCCGGGCGCGCCATCACCGACGCCATGCGCCAGCCCTGGAAGCGCGAAAAGGATCTACATGCCTTCCTAGACTACCAATTCATCGTCAATGGGTGCGATGGTCCCGCGTATATCCCTGTTGTCGCTGGTGGCGAGCGCGCTAACTGCATCCACTACACGGTCAACAACAGCACTTTCAAGGAGGACGAGTTCATCCTCATTGACGCGGGCGGCGAGTACGGCACTTACATCACCGACATCTCACGTACGTGGCCCGCCTCGGGCAAGTTCACGGCTGCCCAGCGCGACCTCTACGAGGCCGTCCTCAAGGTCCAGCGCACAAGCGTTTCACTGTGTCGCGCGAGCGCCCGCATGTCTCTGGAAGACATTCACAACATCACTGCCCGCGGCCTCGTTGACCAGCTGCGCGCTATTGGCTTCAATGTCTCCATGAGCAGCATCGACCAGCTGTTCCCCCACCACGTCGGTCACTACATTGGCCTCGACGTGCACGACTGCCCCGGCTACAGCCGTCGCGAGATCCTGCGCCGTGGTCACTGCGTCACCATCGAGCCGGGCGTCTACGTTCCCAACGATGAGAGGTGGCCTGCCGCGTTCCGGGGCATGGGTGTGCGCATTGAAGACAGCGTGTGTGTCGATGACGACTCACCATATGTTCTTAGCACCGAGGCTGTGAAAGAGGTCGACGATATTGAGGCTCTACGATGACATGTGCAATGATTATATAGACGTAAAAGTGTACAGTACCTGTAAGTAAAAGTACAAGATATCATGACGGAGCAATCCACGACCAATCCATGCCCGTTTTCTCTACTTCGGTTACATCTTGTAACCGACTTGCTACCTATCGCGAATCTAAAACAACGGACACCAGGATTATACGAATTGTCCAATCGAGAAATATCATTTCCAGTGTCATCAATTGATCATTCCATAACCAAAGCCACCTTGCTAGGTACAGTGTATAGCCGCCAATCATAGACTCTATATAATTCATCGACAAGTCATTCATCTAGGGTAACGTCCACCTGAAATCCAATCCCAACACAACCCTTGTCAGCCCCAGATAAGCTGTGAAACACAACAGTCGCATCTAATAAAATAAACAGCCCATATAACATCTCATCACCCGTAGCTCTATTATGCACGCAAGGGTGGAAAGCACCATACACACACACCGCATATACACCAAAGCTCACAATCAAGGCTGAAGCCCCAACAAACAAAGCAAACAAAAAAAATGTACGAGAAATAGGATGAGCAGTGTGTACGGCACGAATCATCTCTGGGGTATATTTTATACACAATCCCAAGTAACCTTGGAATAAAGCAATGTCTATTCTAGCAGAACCCTCTCGGGTCGAAGAGGGTTCGGCTGTGGTTGGGCATCAGGAATGGCTGTCGGGCCGAAGCACTGAGCAGCTGCTCAAACGCCTGAAGTCGCCGGGCGAGCTCCTGGTGCTCCTTCAAAATGGACTTGTTGCGACGTTCCAGGTATTGGATGTATTCGGTGGCCTTTGTTAAAACAGTCCCCTGGAAAAGTTGTCAGTCATCGAGAACGAAAAGAACGGCCATTGCCCGTAGATGGGCGGTCTTTGACTGACCTTGCTCACTTTGGGGGCTCTTTGTGGATTTGAAGACGACTCTCCGTCGTCTTCTCCATCCTCAGGTATGGACATCAAAGCCGGCACGGCGTCGCGTAGCTCTGCAATTTTGTCCTTGAGGTTTGTTCTGTATTTTCGCTCAATGTCGTTATGAGCTGTCCGATCCCCAGCCTTGAGCTTGTCCTTGCCCTTGTCTGACATGGAGTGATGGACCCCAGAGGAGCTCAAAGCCGTGGAGCCGTCATTGGAGGAGGTCTCACGCTTGATTTCCGCGCCCAGAGCCTTGGAGCTGTCGGCTGGTGTTGGAGTCTGGTTTTGGCTGTGATCCCCAACGCCAAGAATGGAGTCGATGCTGGCGTTGAACTCTGGGGGCAAGCCAGTTCCCAAGCCAGCGCCAAACCCGAGGCCAAATCCACTAGGGGGCATGAAACTCGCCGGTGTTCGGCCAGTATTCATGGCAATGGCCAGGAGGCGCCGCTGCTCGTCGTTGCTCAGAACCTGATTAACTTGGTTGCCAACGCCGGGCATCGTCTGTTGATAGCCCCCCATTCCCATGCCTCCCATGCCTCCCATGCCTCCCATACTTCCGGGGCTTTCACCAACTCCGAAAGGCTGGTCCATTCGCAGACCGGGTTCTGGCCTCTCCCAACTCAGTGGGGTAGAATAAAGGCCCTCTCGAGGGGGCACTTCTGGTGGTGGCATGGTCTCAATTTTGGCCAAGTGCTCCTCTAGATTAATGGAGTCAAAGCCCTCTTCATCGTCGGACAGCGCATTATCGAGGGCGTTGTCGTCGAGGAAGTCGGCACCCTTGAAAGCGGGCGCGGAGGCGTAAAGGCCTGTTCCGAGTCCTGGCGTCGTTGATGTCGCATATGCGGGTCTCGAAGTATCAATTAGTCGAATTCTGAAATAGCCGGGAGGAATGCAAACCTGGTCTGATTCGTCATGTCATAACGCTTGGAAAAGTCAATCTCAAAACTTCCCATTCTGTCGGCTTCTTCATCGTCAAATTGAATCCAGTAGTCTAGCGACTCTAAAGCGGATTCGGTGTCAACCTTGGTGCGCTTCCTTTCATGCGCATCTTTTTTCCGTTGGTGTTGGTGGCTTCGTGGGTGTCCCCTCGTAGGTAGGGATGTTTTGTGCTGGGTGTAAGGCGACGGCATGGGGGCTTGTGTAAATGAGATGTCGGACGGGGCAGTCGAGGTGTTATCGTATGTCGGGATGGTGGCTCCCGACGGCGCAGAGGTCCGGTCGGAGAGGCCAATGTTGGCGTCTAACCCCGTTGGTCGCCATGATGCGGGATCTGGTTGCTGTTGGGGGACGGCGCCGGCCGACGATTCGGCATTCTGGTCCACCGGGTTCAGTGTTTGATTGTTTGGCACCGAAAAGAAACTGAGAAGATTAGGATCCATCGCTAACACGGCATCCCCAGGCCACGGAGGCCGAATGTGGTCAGAGACGGGGGGATCTCGTGTCAGCGGCCCGGAGAAGGCTCACGCGAGCTCAATTCGTGCAAGACGGCGAGGGCGACGAGAGAGGGTCGCGGCGGGGCGTGATTGTCTCAGCGGACCAACAGGCTCATTCGGGAGAGGGCTCGAGTGGATCGAAAGGGGCGTCGTGACGGCGATGAGGGCGTTGAGGCGTTGTTAAGGTCAACGCGGAGGTGCGCGGGAGGCAAGCCGATGGTCGCCGGGTGCGGTGGTGGAAGTGGGAGTCCCGCAAGCGCAACTGGGGCGATGGAGAGAGATTTGTCGACGGCGCTGACGCTGACGGTTTGCTGATGGATGTTGGGAAGTTGGAAGTTGGAGAACCGGAGACTGGAAACGGAAGACTGGAGACGACACAGCGAGGTGGGGTGTCGTTAAGATTGATGCCAGATCTAGAGGATGAGCTTAACTTGGGTCGCGAGACGGAAAATGGCGGAAGCGGCGACGGCGACGGCGACGGCGACGGCGACGGGCGACGATGGCGGCAACGGCCCAGGCGGAGGATTGGCAGCGGAGGAATTTGATGAGGTTGGCCTCACCAAAGAATCGCAGGGTGAAAGATTTTGCAGAATATCAGTCGATAGGACGATAGGCCAGGATGCGGCTCGCCAATTCGCAGGAGGCAGGAGGCAGGACAAGACGCGGGGGTGCGGCAGGGCGGCAGGGAGGGATTCAGTGGCGGCAACTGGGCTCGCAAGGTGAAAAGCGGCCTGTCCACTTGTGTGTGCGTGCGTGTCGAGTTCGGCAGGATTGGATTGAGGGCACCGGAGGGCGCTGGAGAGCCCCGTTTCTGTTGTTGCTCAGGTGTGGGAGGGATGTTTGGGGTTGCGAGAGACGCAGAGACGCAGAGGCCCAGCAGAGAAGCGGCGGGAGAGACAACCAAACAGGGCGGCGTACGGGGGGCTTCCTTCACTGCCGGGAAGACGAAGAGGTCGTGATGTTTGTCGGCCGCAATGGCGTGACTTTGGACATGGCTGCCCGTCGCCCCGGGGGCCCTGAACCCTGGCGTCGCAGAGACTTATCCACCAGATGTAGACATCGTATGATCAACGAGCTCTCTGAGAATTGTACGATGCAGACCCAAGGCCGCCGCCTATTGGCTCGCGCACACATGGCCGGGGGGGCTGCCCTTCACCCGCTTCTGCCCCGGTCCGTTTGGCGGCGAGGCCCTGTCGGGTTTTGCCTGGGCTTCAGCCGCCCTTGTCCAGCGCTGTAATGGATGCTGTGTGGATGCACTGGATGCTGTGCTGGACGCTGTCGGGTACTTCCATGCCCTGTTTCTCACCAAGTTACAGGCCGCTAGACCCTGTAGAACCCTGTAGGCCCTGCCCACTCGCCTGTCACTGGGGCCGCTTCCCTCGGGCGCTTGGCAACGGCGCCAGTCTAGAAGGCCTGGAAGCCGTCAGCCTCGTCCCGCCCCCATTGCGAGCCGAATAAGAAGCCCAATCCGCGCCGCCCATTCCCACGCCTATTCCCACTCACACTACTGCCCCAGTGGCCAGTGGACCCGATTCGCCGTTGTTGTCTCAGTGTCCCGCACGCGGTTGGCTGGCGTCCAGGTTCTCGACTTTTTGTTTCTCTTCCCATGTGGCCAAAAGTGGATTTGTTGTCTCAACTCTTCCATGTTCGCCATGCGCTCTGTTGTCTGTTCAGACCGCCACCAGCTGAAAAGTGAGACCGTGGCTGCGCTCCGCCTGCGTGTTTGCTTGTGTGCGCGCGCGCATCCTGCGTCTGCGTCTGCGTCTGCGTCTCCAACGAACTGCGACCCCGTGCCTTTCGTCATGTACAATTGTGTTTATTCCCGCCTGACCCCAGGATTCTGGCTGGTCTGGACCCATCGGCGCTGATCGACGTTTCTAGATCTATTCCTGGACAAGGGGGCCAATGATCTTCTCAACTACTCAAAGCATGCGCTAAGAGATTCAGCTCTTTGCTCTTTGTCTGTCTTGCTAGCCCTTTGAACTAGTCTTGGTCAGTCAAAGCAACTGAACCATGTCTTCGTCTTTGCCGTGACGGTCCTTCTCATGTCTCAACACTAAACCTCGTCCGCAATTGGGGATCAATAGCTGCTATTGACTACCATTAACGGATCTCGAAACTTGGAAGATTAGATATCAAGCGTAACTGTGATGAATTGAGCCCTCTTGCTCAAGATATAAAGAGCATGCGATCCGAACTTCAACATGTCGATAACACGCTCTCGAGCATCTTTTCTACGTCGCCAATCGACCAAAGTTCAGACATATTTAAATTCAAATAATCCCTAGAGATGATACCCTCCGTTCGACTGTTTGCGGCTTCCGCTTTGCTCACCAACACCTTGTCCCTGGTCAAGGCAGTAGCCAACCCCATCAACATCCCAAGTCCAATGCTCCAGCCAGCCTTTCCCGCTTGTGAGCAGTTCCACCTCGCCATTGCAGGAGAAGACTGCAACTCCATCATTGCTTCGGCTCAGCTCGACTGGTACGAGTTCTTCCGTATCAACCCTGCCATCGGTGGCGAACAATGCTGCACTACGAAGATCCTCGCCGATACGTGGTATTGTGTCAAAGCTCGAGGCTCTGGCGATGCCGCTCCATCGGCCACTCATGAGCCTGAGCCTAAGCTAACAAAGACATCCGGGGAACCCAAAAGTACGACAAAGTCTACAAAGACAATGACGACAAAGACCAAAAACCCCGAGATCACCAAAGCCCCCGTGCCCAACTACAACGAATGCCGATTTGGCGACTGCTGGTACGCCTTTGGCGAGTTGAGCAGAGGCAACGACGAGAACCGCGCCGAGGCCTCTAGCATGTGCAGCAGGGTCTTTGCAGAAGGATGCAAGGAAGACTGGGACTGGCCTGGCAAGGTGGGCAGACTCTGCAACGGTTGCAAGGAGTTCAGCTCGGCCTGCCCCTGCTTCCTCGCAGGACACTACCACACCAGGTCCAACAACGCCTTGTACACACGGAAGGGCCAGCAGGGCGACAGTGATTTCCTGCCATCCGATGACTGATTTCCCGGCCCCCCTATACGTCGCCGTTTCGCACTCCCTAGTGCGAACGAGGGCATTGTACCAAGGGATCGGGAGTGGAGCCTCGTACCAGTCGAGGAAATGGGGAGGCTAGTGGGCATGCGGCTCCCCGGGACGCTGCCGTTATATTCTTATTTTCACTTCTATGATCTCCTTGCCAGGTTGCTGTTGCCCATGGCTGTTTGTACTGTAACTTCTCAATTTTGTCTGTTAATACAGTGGTAATTATGTTGGTAATATACTTGTTGTAACGATAGCTCAAACTCACCGGTCAAAAACGTTGCTGACCGGCGCATAAAATCGAAGTCGCCGTATGGTTGAGGTTGCTCTATGGTGTGTTCCCTGCATCCCCTTGGCGATGCGTTCTGTAACTTCCTACGCCTCACTTCATATCCAACGGGGGTGGGAGAGTATCCTTTCGGATGCAGTCGTCGCATTTCTCGGCGACCTGGATAATATCATGAGCTGCGGATGTGCCCTTGCACCCGTTAAGTGCCTTGTCGCACCATCGAATCTGGTAGTATCCGATATGGCCGCATATCCACTGCTTATCCACCTGCGTACACATGTTTGTTTGTGTCAATAGCACTCTCGGTCTTGTCGTGAGGTCTTCTAGTTCTGGATAAAGGCTCTTCGTGACAGGTCTATGTTTGAGGTGAGTTTCCTCTGCCATCAAGACGACGGGGGAATTTCCATCAATATTCCAGATAATTACCTTTCCAGAGTGATTGATTGATAACCGCCGCTGTGCTTCAGATCTGTGGCCCGCCATGTGGCCCGATGATTCCCGCTGTGGTTCCTCCGTCAATCACGGCCAGTTGGTCTCTGACACTATGCGCTTCTTTTCCTGCACGGCGCTTGGGGGGCTGTCTAATAACAGCACGCGCGGCCGGCCGAGGACTGATGCTGTGTGGTTGAGGACACAAAGTGTGCGATACTCAACACCAGAGCGTGGTCGAACGAAGCCGTACTGTATGTAGTGAGCCACGGCCCCTGACAAACCGGTGAATCGCTACCAACCACAGCCGGCCTGCGTCCCCGAGTACCGGATGCCTCTCATGGGGGCGCCAAACCTGCATTGCCCTAACTCATCAAATGTACTCTTCTCGTTGGGCGAGATGAGGGGACCCCTGCCCCGCGGAGACGATGATGTCCTGCAGAGGCTGCAGCGCACGACGCCCACGGCGCACGGCTGCAGTTCGTGGCCGAGACTAATGCTCAGGGCAACCCCCCCTCGTTCTGTGAGCCAGTCTGTATCCTGTCACCGCTCCTCGGCGGTCTCTAGCGAACCACTGGCGAGTGGCCAAAAGCCCAGGACGCTTGGGGCCTTTCAGAGGCTGGCACAGGCCTGGCACGCCTCGTCGAGAGCGCTTTGGTGTGTAAAGGCTCGTACGATTTGTTCTCCACCTCCCGCCTCTCGGCAAGGAAGCGCCATGAGCGGAACCCTGCGCGCGAGCGGGTCGTCAAGTGTGTACACGGAGCCGACAAATGGTGAGCACAGGGCGGTATTCGCCCTAGGCGGTGCCGGGCAGGGCAATCTTTTCGTCCCATATTCCCATATGTAGCAATTGCTGCCGGTTGGGACACCGAGAGGTCTGCCAGGTGGTGGATTTTTGGTAGGTGGGTAGCGACAGTTAGGCTGGTCGCGTGAGAACCTCGAGTCGACTGCAGTGCCTGCCGCCTGGGTGACGGGGAGAAAACCTCTCATGGTGATGGCCGAAGGATTGGAGCAGACCACTGGATCCCATCCACCAACCCGACACCGCATACCCAAGATGGCAGCCCGTACAACACCAATATTCTTTTTACGGCAACATTGGCGTCCGTCCTCGCGCGAATCTCACCGCTCCGTTTGTGTATCTCTGTTCCCATCGTGCGACCAACCCAGCGGTCGTTGGAGGGGTCCTACCCCAAGTTCTAGCCCGGGGAGCAGCGGCCAAGATGGCGTCGCCAATCTCGGGTCGTTTGACAGGCCGAATCTCCAACGATGACCCGTAGTAACTGTTGGATCCCATGATTGGATGCTGGCGGCGCATGGCTTCGTCGTATTCGAGTCGGCTAGTGGCAGCGAGTCTGACTGAGACTTGTCGTTTCTTGCTGGTGAACGATTAGCAACGCCCACGCGGGTGACAGATCACAAACTTGACCCTAGCTGAACACTATGCACGACCTCCCTGCTCTCTTCCATTGGCCCTGTGGGTGATATGCTTCTGCGTTGGCTAGGTACTTGGAGCTGCTAGAGCAGAGTTGCAGATTCGCTATTGACGAGTGAACATACTGTACTACCGCATCGCTCTTCGGACCACTCTACTCGCCGTTATCTGTGAATGGCCCCAGTAGCCAAGCCATCGTCATGCGCTTCGTCGCACCCGGAAACCTATCTCCACGCCGCGTGGCGCTAGCGACCCTGAAATAGGTGACAGAATTGGCAATGGGGCACACACCGGGCTACTCAGTCGTCTTGTTCACTCCAACAGTCTCCGAATTGATATCAAGTGAAAATAAAGTAAGACTGAGTAGGAGCAAAGGCCATGCATGCTGCCGGCATTCCGCGTTATTAAGTACGTCAGTGGTCAGCTGCAGGCCCTGCTGTCAAGCATATGCACCTATCCTGACTCGGAAACACGGTCATTCCTATGGCTGTACACGATATGAATATACCGTAGTCAGACAGTCAGTCAATGCTGAATTGGAGAAAATATGTTAAAATGTTCCTGTGACATGCGGCGTCGTTTGCATCATTGATGAGGCTTCATTCACACCCACAGCTGTTGGCTGACATGTGTACACCTGGAAGACTGCATTCATTGCAATGCACCTTCTGGTTGGGCTGAGTGTCAGCTGAGAAGACGTTCTCACAGCCCAGAGTACATAGCAGTCACGCGCTCTCCAGATTGCATCCTTATTTGTTGCCGCCATCTCCCCAGCTTCTCTCCCGATTCTCAAAGATTCGTTTCCTTCTCGTCTTCTCAACGAAACTGACTCTATTGGCGATTCACAATCTATCTCACGAATCACGAAGATCCCCCATTGAGGTAGTACAACACGTGCACAATCACGCAATGTTCATCCTGTACACCACGCAAGACACCCTTCTTTCCAAGGAGAGTCATCGGGCGATGGCCTGTCGCAAGATTGATAGTTTATCCGATGTGAATACCACTCCCGCGATGCGGGGGAGGGTTGAGGAGGCTAGAGTGACTTTGAAAAAGCTCATTGAGGGTCTAGAGATGCTTGAACTCTCCGCTAGAGCTGTTGATTGCTAACCCCCAGACTAGGACTGAGCATCGAGCGTGAAACTAACGATCCACCGGCGGCCTTGTACGAAGAGTACATCCCAGGAGAAGACGAATGGTATTTGCCCGACCTGTAATAAAAGGCTCTACCCTATTAGATCATGGGCCTATTTTTGGGAGTGTAAGGAAGTGTGAGTAGTAGTTAGCTTGTTTGAATTGGGAATAATCTCTCTTCGGTAGCTGCAACCAAGAGTCCCCAGTGTCTCGTGATAGCCTCAGGCCCCAAAGTTGACTCGTTCTAATGACTACACATTGATTTGTTCTCTCGGTTCCGGGGTCAGTGACCGTAAAGGTCTTGCTAGGATGAGGGCTTGCAATAAATACGAACGAAATAACCACGATCCGTCACACCCTCGATTTGGGATGGACACTGGATCTAGGGTTGCGCACAGATATTTAACTTGCCAATCAGACAAATCAGCCCTTGGATGGATCTCCAGTTTGGGTCTAATTATAGGTTTGGTAGGGGTGTCCCATCGCAATGGTGACCCTATTGAGAACATGGGTCCAACGACGGTGTCAAGGATCCGGTGCCTTCGACGGAAATTTAGCCTGCTGTGATTTATAGGCCCCGATGATTCGTTCAGAGGAGTGACCCATTCTGATAAGGCTGAATCGGTGTTCGTTTTACTGCATTGGGGAGAAACGGCCTGCGTCTCTAGAAATGAAATGAGGGAGTTGACGAATTGGAACGATTGCATTAAGAAAGTCACAATGCCCGCGGGGGGTATACAGACATCTGCATCGCCGACTGGGACAGATGAGACTGAGGTCCCCGTCACAAAGGATTTCACCACAATTGAGACGACAGCTGCTTCGGAAACCGAGGCTGCCGGGCCATCATCAACATCGACAGAGTCACTAGAAGCATACCCTTTTTCGTTTATGGCTACTGGGGAGGATGTGAGCATTGAGCCAAGCACCATCCTCGTCGAGCTCTTTGGTCTGTGATTGAGCGTGTTTGTACGATTAGTATTATGTTACCCGGAAATTTGTTTATCATCATGGTCGATCACTGTTGCGTTTGGCTGGTCTCTCGTAGACCCGCAATCCTCTCGCGTTTGACAACATCACCTTCGTTTACAAACTTGAATTGATTTTGAAAACACTCGGTACACGTATCGTAGGTAGTGCCTGTCGCTCGTTCCGCCTCCAATAATCGCGATCGGGCCTTGCCGATCGCTGTCGGGTTGCCATTCATAAGCCCAGCCCGCGGACGTTTGCATTCCCATGTCTCTCAGAGTTCTAGATAGATTGCTCCCTTTGGCATTGAATCACAGACCCAAAAGCGGTGGGCGAGAGAAGAAGTATTCGGTATTTCCGTTTTATGCATGTGGGTAGCCGTTTCGGTTGAGCATGCGCTTCCCGAGCACACCCGCGCCTTCCCCCCCGTTCCTTCCCGCGTCAATCTTCACTCGGACATCCCACTTCCTCCGTCTCCAAGTTTCCCCCTCATTCTACCCCTCTGAAACTCCTTTGAGGAGTTAATCGGAAAGTCGAGCATCAACCCACAGGCACCTCGACTCGGTGAGTCGGCCACCTGCTTCAGACTTGCATTCCATCCTCGGTGTGCCGGAGGCACAATGCGGCCATCGATACTCAGCTTTCCCCCTCTGGGTATTCTTGCTCTCGGCTTCTTCCCGAATGATACCCAAGGCTTCTCGTAGGGCTTGAAGCAGCGCAATCATGGTGAGTGTGAAACGTCGAATGTGCGACAGAAGCCCTAACGATGATTAGAAGGAAGCAAAGCCGTGCACCAGGATCCCACCAGCTACACCCCATCGCAAGGAGTCCGCAACGAGAACCGACTCTCCAACATACACACCGTCGCACTAAATGAGCTTCAGGAGTTAGAGTCTGAGCCCCTCTGCCACCGAATTGCTGCGCGTTTACTGGTCAACAACTGCCACCTGCTGGACGGCCAAGATGAGGCGACGGTCCACATGGACAGTGGAAGAGCGGCAAGGGACTTTGTGGACTCGTACGCGGCAAGTCTTGCCATATGTGACCTGGAGAGGGGAAGCTTTGTGATCCCTCCTACCTGCTCCCTATTTCGCGAGGCTACTCTGGCTGCGCTCCCCATCTCCACCCAGCCACAACTTCACGTTTCGACGCCTGAGATTGACGACTGCCTTGAGGGTCTGGCCCAGTCGGACTCTGCTTGGAATACCTGGGTGAGCTACCGCCATAAGACCTTGAGGTTTTGCGAAGCAGCTCGTGCGGACAATGAAAAAAGTTAGCGCCCCTTACCTAGTGATGGAACTGCCAAGCTGACAATTCCCTTGTAGCACAAAGCATCCATGTGTATCAGCGGGTGACCAAAATTCTCGAGAAACTCACAACTCAAATTGAAGATGAGCTGGAGGAGCGGTTACGATCACTTAATCGCGCGTTCCATGAAACAGCCGGTTCCGTTGACACTTTTGCAACCCAAGTTAACGAGATCAAAACGGGGCTTAGTATGGTGGATGAAGTCATACAAGGCCAACTGCACCGTACTGCAATGGTAATTCAAACTTTCCAAGTTGTTTCAAAGCTCTAATGCAATTAGGAATCGAGTAAGATGGTCAAAGGAGGGCTTGAGGACGCGAGAGGTCTGCAGAGGATTCTGGCAGTATTGCTACGCACAACCATGGATGCAACGGCGGAGGTTGCTGCAGCACACGAAATCGCTCTGGAAACTGCCACCCAAAATGCAAATCAGGAGATTGAGACCTTGATGACTGTCCTGGCTGCGACCGTTTCATCTTCTCTTTCGTTGCAGAATCAGATGGTAAGTCCAGATCCTGAGAAAATACTGTGGGTGTTAATACAAGCCAGGAAGCAACGCAAATCCAAACAGGAGAGATGATTCAGAATCAAGCCAAGCTCGAAGCAGTAAGTTAATACAAAAAAACCAAGTAGATTGTCGCTAACGTATTGAAGGGAATGGAAAGGCTTGAGGGACTTGCTGATCATTTGCTTGTAAAGTTCGACAAGCATGAAGGACGGCTAGAACAAGCGCAGCAAAAGACCACACAAATTCTGGACACCCTCGACGCTGCCACTGTATCAGCTTCAGCCTTTAGAAACTCATTCTTTCGCGGCTTTGGGTTCTCTGGGCTGTGGCCGTACGTCCTCTTCCCGGTCGCATCTCTCGTCATGGGATCTTACGGTCTCGAACCGTCAATCGGGCGTAATCTATGGCTTGTTGGTGTCGGTATGTGTCAAAGGTGCTACTTGGTTTATATTTCTCACAATTTCACAGGAGAATTAATAGGCTGTGTTGTTTCAAGCGCAAGCCTGTACACCGGCATCTTTTTTCCACCATCCCGTCCAAGACAGACAACGCTTAATACAACCTTCGGCGCGAACGAGCCTGCGGATTACCAAAGCGATGCTACCAATGGCGGATATCTTCGATTTATTCATACCAGTTTTCAGTAAGGCAACATCTCAGAGCATCATATTGCGTTCGGATCGAATTGGGTGACGGGATATGTTGGTGGATCTCAGGGGCGTTTTGGGCTGTCACTTTCGACTTTTATCTTTCTCGGGCTTCAACAACTTCACTGGGATACGCTGGGAGACTTGGGTCGGTTGGGTTGCATGGGAAATATGCTTGGACTTGTTTTCAAGCACCGTCCTGGACAGCGAATCTCTTTGATCAGCAGATTAAAAAGCGACAGGCCTAAAGCCGGATCATGTATTCGGGAGTCAAGCCTTAATAGCAATACTTAACAAATGGAAATTGTTCCAATTCGAAACATGGACAATGAACTGGTTCTGGGTATTCTGGAAGCAACAAATGAGAACTCCACTCCATGCCATACGACCTTAGTAATACACCAAACCCCATCTAATCAAACTCGGGGCAATAAAAGCAAAGCGAATTGGCCGTTGGGTCACAATCAGCCCCAGATCAGGGTGTCAAGATGAGCCAGCAAATAAGACCCTTGACCCCTGATCATGGTTTATCTGGAACCTGCGCATCAAGAAAGCTCTTTCTAAGCCCCATCCTCGCTAGGCCGTGCTTCTTAGCAAGCCGATCAGACGCCTTGCGGACATGGCGATAGCGGCGCTCATCGACCGGACCAGAAGGCTCACGGCTGAGGTCGACAGAAGCAATTAGTTTGAGGTCGGTATCGTCGCGATCTGTCCAGATGCCCTCGTGGTGGGAGGGTACGTCGTTGCCATCCTGGAGGCTCTGCATGACCAGGCTGGCAAGGCCGCCAGGTGTAAAGGTAGTACGCTTAAGGCCCTCGATTACGATGGAGCGAGGAAAGCCGGCGGACTCGTAGTGTTTGATCCATTCGTCAATATCGCGAGGTTTGGAATCGGAAGGCAGAGGCCGCGGGCGCGGTGCCTTGGTTGGGGCTGGAGCTGGTGCTGGAGCTGGCGTTGGTGCGGCAGGAGGTTTTGGGCGGGAATTGGAGTTGAATGAGGAGGGGAGAGATCGTCGTGGGGCAGGTTTGAGTTCCTTTTTGGCGGTAGATGGGGGCTCTTCTGTAGGAATGGATAGCTCTTTTGAGCTGCCTTCTTGATGTTGATTTGAACCAGCCGTTGATTTATGTTTGGGTTGAGAACCAGATCTTTCCAGGCCTGTCTTCTTGGTCTGGCGAGTCTTGCTTAGGCGGAAAGGGATAGGACTAGAGTTCAACGTTTCTGTGCGCAGTTGCTGAGATGGTGTTGTGTCGTTAATCAAGGTTTCTTGTGTGCCAAGTAGGGGAGACTGTGGCTGCACCACCATTGGCTTCAATACCTCGAGCATCTGGATTTCGCCCTCGTCTCCATCCTCCTCCAGCGGGTGGTCTTTCTGCGCAACGTGGAAAGGTGAGAGCTGCCGCGAAGTCTCGCTGGCATCCACATAATCTTGCCGTGACAGGCTCTTTCGAATGCTAGGGGAGAAGTATTGGGCTGAGGGGACTTTTCGACCCGCCGCGACTTCTATGTCTGGGGTTGAAGGAATCTCCAGTTTCGTGTTGTACCGTGGTCGCTTGGTCGAAGGCCCCGACGAAGAGAGTGGCCGCTGGCCAAGAGACCGCTTCGCCCCGACCGGCGGCGATGATCTCACATAGCTTGGTGGCAGCTCTTCAGGGGCGTCATGAGACAGTGGTGCCTCTGGCCAGTGTTGCTCTGACAAATCCTCAAAGTCGGGCTCTTCCAGTGCATTATATGCACGAGCAAGAAGAGGACTCGGATCATGCTCTCTAAATTCATCCTCATCCTCATCCTCATCCTCTACTCCGTCGAAGCTCCCCATAGCGTCCAAGAAGTCGGCTAGGTTTTCGTCAAAGCATTGTTGCAATTGAGCAATTGTAGTCTCATCAGCCTGGAGCCCCATATCCATGGCGATTTCGGCCCAGTCTTCTTCTTCCAGGTCCTCTAAGGGCCCTCTCAGCTTCTCACTGACTGCTTTGGCGAGATCCCAAAGTTCGATTATCTTGTCGTCAATCGAATGTCGCAGCTTAATTTCGAGTCCGTCAGCAGATACAAACTGACTCAGGTCTTTGTAAAATTCATGTTTTATTGTGCTGTCTTCTGTGTCCGAAAGATCAGGATCTTGTTCGTCACCATGGTGGGTGTCATTCTCAGTCTGAATAGGCTCGAGAATTGGTTCGGCCGGCTGTGCCGTTTCAGATCGTGGCGGGGAGTTCTTCTCAACAGACCGATGAGAAATTTCCTTGACAGTCTCCTGTGGTTGGGTCGGGACAGTTGCAGTTGCAGTCGCTTCGGCTTGGCCTTCAGCACTATTCGATTCCTCTTCTGGGGCCGAAGCAGCAATCTTTTGCAATTGGTCTATTGGGAGTAGCTGGAGAGTCTTGACGAAGCGATTCCGCCATGACTGCCAAGTATGTCGGGGGTTCTAAACTAGTCAGCATGGCAACCCCTACGTTCAAAACAAAACTTACAATGCTCTCAAACTCCTGGAAGATCTTGTTTCCCGTGCGGTCAACCGTGTGAGCGAGCACCCACTTGGCAAGCGCCGCGTCATCGTCAGTAGTGAACGGCGTTCGGGTCGATTTCGTACCACGAACACCTCCGCCTGCCGGCCTGGGAAGATCTGGGTCACGCCCGATGCGATATCGGTCCTTGATCTGAATGATGCCGTTCTCCACAGACTCAGTGATAAACTTCCACGAGTAGGACCCCGCGGGGACGTCTTTCCTTGCGTGGTCCGCAATGAGAATGTCTGCATTCTTCTCCAAAGGCACAACCGTCCCACCATTATTCTGTAAAATCGTCAGAATCAGCGTGAATGGTTCTATCAAGGGGGTGACCTACCGTAACCATCTCGAGGATCGATTTCCTCGTTGGAACTCGCGTCGCCACCCAGAACTTGACGTCTTTGAAGATGTTACCCCCCTCGGCGCTCTCGACGCCATCGTACGTCACCGCCGCCATTGGTGAGTGAGCTGTCGCTGCAGAACTGGCTGGTGGCGCCTCATTCATCGACCGTCTCGTCCATCGATGAGCTTGGCGCTGCCAAACTCAGGACTCTCGAAAATCTCGGCCCAAAGGTGCGAGTCAAAGGGAAAAATTACGGCTCATCACGCTGACGGGCTCAGATAGTCGCCCTCTTTGAATCCGCCGGTTGCTCACTGGTTCACTAAGTCCTTCGCTGTAGCCTGACGCTCCCTTGGACGCGTAGTGCTGTCGCGCGATCACGTGTCCACGACCACGATGTCAGCGTATCGAGTTACCGGTGCATTGGCGTCCGTCTATAAGCATATCCGGACTGTTCGGACGCCAGCCGCTGACGATTTCCAAGCCACGTTCATCTACCCGTTGGCATTGTGGGGCAAGCCGCCTACCAACCTCGTCCCGAGGTTGGTCCGGAAACCCTGTGTCAGCCGGGAAACTATGTGTCACTAAATCCTGCCTGACCTTCATCAACCGCAGCCCAAAATCACACCAAATTTTCGTCTTTTCAGATCTACCACGCGCAACCACAAGATGCCTCGCAGACGCGGCATTCCTATAGTAAAACAGCCTCTGAGGAACCCGTCAGATAAAGATCGGGCCGATCTGACACGACGGGTGCTCGCTGCACTCAATCCAAATACGCCGTATAACACACGAAGTGCCGCCAAAGCTGCTGCATCACCACCCTCATTGCGCGCTGTTGCAGACCAAATTGACGAGAATAGAGAGGCCGTTAGACGTGCTGCTAAGAGGTCATCATCATCTTATGTTCCTCCGAAGCCTCCCGGCCGTCCGCCGCTTCTGACAGCCTCTGAAGAATCCGCCCTGGTTGCGTACATCATCTGGTGGGAAAGATCCGGCTTTGCAGCAGAAAAGTCACAAATTGAAGAGACTGCATTACAATTCCTGCATTCTAGAGGCATCGAGAAAGATCATATGTCAAAGTCCTGGTACTCAGACTTCCGTGGTCGTCATCTCGAGCTCAGGAAGTCATTCCTCAAGGGCATAGATAAGGCACGCAAAGCATTTGAAGTTTCTGACGTCAAAGACATCAAGAAGTTCTTCTCCAACCTTCAGGAAGTTATCTGTGACCACGATATCGGTCCTTCAGAGTGTTGGAATGAAGACGAGTGCGGTATTCGCATCGGATGCCTTCGAGAACGGATCCAAGTCCTCGTGGTCCGCACCACGCGGTCACAACGCTATGAAGTTGTTGATCCCTCGAACCGTGAGTCTTGCACACAACTTGGGTGTGCTAATGCGGTTGGGGATAGTATCCCTCCTTGGCTGATCTTCAAGGCGTTAGCAACAACGTCTTGGGCCAACATAGATGCTATCCCAGGGATGAGGATCGCACAGTCAGATACCGGCTTCAGCAACCAACATATCACGTTCGAATGGCTTCATCACTTCAATGCGTTTTCCTGGCTTGCTTCTACAAAGGCTAAGCAGAAAGGAGTAACTCTCACAGAGTGGTTCGGCTGCGATGAATGGCTTCGAGATGCCTCATCGCCACACATCACATTGACAGCGCCTCCCGCTATTCGTAATGATGAGGATAGAATCTACCGACTTCTCGTAATCGACGGCTTCTCCGGCCACCTAGGCTTCGATGCTATTCAGTATTGCATTCAATTTGATATCATCATTTGCGTGTTGCCGTCACACTCAACACACCTCACGCAGCCGCTTGATGTTGGTGTTTTTCAGCCGATGAAGAACTCACATCAGAAGGAACTTAGGAAGTCTATTCGGGAAGGCAACATAACGTTTTCCCGCGAAGACTTCGCCTCTGCATTCTCAAGGATCTATAAAGACGGCTTCAAGAGACATAACATCATGTCAGGGTTCGAAAAAGCCGGTATTTGGCCCACATCTTCGAAGCCCGTGATCAACCGCATCCTCGCCAAGCACCGCAGAGAGCGAAATGCGATCCATCCGTCTGTTCTTAAGATGTTGCCTTCAGAGACTCGATTTCAGGATGCTCAAGACCAGATAGAGCGGATCTACAGGCGGTACCAGGAGGTCATGAGCTCCCCAACCCTTAAAGCTATCGCCAACATCCGCGACGTTGTGACTGAGGCGGGACTGCTGCATCGAGAACGTGAGGCCGTTGCCTCACACCGGCTTAATCGTATCGAGAAATACGGGAAAAGAAGGAGGTCCGGCCAGCGCGTACGGCCAAGTGGTGACTTCGTCACAAGTGTTGGATTTCCTGAGATTCGGGCTCAACATGAAGCAGCTATGGCAGCAGCAGAGGCCAAGGAACAGCGTTCTCAACTGCGGTCAGGCAGATCTATCATTCTTCAGGAGATAAGGGCTCTCAAGGCTGCTTGGCGGCAGGAAATTCAGTCCCGGGGAGTCAGTTATCTGCCGAGACTAACTTGGAACCAGTGGCTCGAAGAGACCGGCCACCTCGACCGATACAAAGACCTCGAAGCAAATCGAAAGCATCATAATGACTCCCTTAGCCAGCGGCCAAAGAAGTCACTTTCTGAAGCCCAAGAACAAGCCCGCCGTGCCGCAAGACCGATTATCGCGATGGATCAGAGTGCCTGGCCTGATGATGATGATGACGTCGAATTCACCCTCACAGGACCGCTCCAAGAAGAGGAAGACGATGAAGATGATGAAGTCAATCTCATAGGGTTCAGTGACCTAGGCGGCGAGGAAATTCCTGATCTTACAACGCCTCCAGGGATAACATCATCGCCGCCCCCTAGTGCCTTGGATCTAGTCGATGACGCCGATGACGATAACATCACAACACCACAACTTCCCGACCTAATGCCAACAGTACGCAGATACGATAACATCAAGAAGATGCTGAAGGAATTTCGTGACGATCAGGCTACTAGGAAGGCGGAGACAACACATCGTCAACAGGATCCTGATCGGCAGCCAGAATCAGGCCCTAGGAAAAGGCGGCGCAATTGAGGCCGAAAATGTGATTTCCGCTATTTTCTGTCAATTCGTGTGTTTTCAGCTATTTCGTAGCTTTCCAACGAGCCTAGTTACGGCTTATTTCCTTTTTAAATGACTCTGTCATAAAGTCTGAAAGATAAAGATCCTGAAATTGATGATTTTACAGCTTGAAGGCAGCAGCTTACGTTGACACACATTTTCCCGGCTGACACAGGGTTTCCGGACCAACCTCGGGACGAGGTTGGTAGGCGGCTTGCCCCACAATGCCAACGGGTACGTGTATACTTCCTGTGGCTCTGCTCTTTGGGCTCTGCTCATCCTTCTTCTATCGCAAATACGGTTTTCTTAATTATTTGGTTCGTTTTTCATGGTCATGGGAGCCTAATCGCAGCTCGCAGCCTCAACTGACAACCTTGTTGCCAAGTAGTACAACTTGTGCATTTTGGTCTTTAACTCTCAACTCGCCCTCAGGGTCTAAGCCTCTGAGGAGCCGCAATGATGTTCTCATTTCAAACAATCGTGCTCTTCATTTTGTTTATCTCTTTTATGGTCTTTGTAGCCTTTTTTGGGAGATTGCCTGCTTTGAGGTATGTATTAGCCCATCGTGCAACGCAGGCTTGCTGACTTTCGTCAAGACGTACTCCTATTGCCAAGCTGCACAAGTTAATATGGGTTCAAATTCCCAAGGCGGTGCTGGCTATGGACCAGGCTCTCACTGGTGGAAGGATATCGAGATATCTAACGAGGTTTGGTAACTCCATGATGTATGACCGACACTGGACCGTTGTGGTAAGTCCTCAAACCCGTACTACAGTGCACGCAGCCGGCATCAACTAACCATCACAGGGATTCTTTCTCGCAATCCTAGTTGTCTCTGAGTTTATGTATCTCCCACATATGTGGCCAAGGATCGGCGCTTTCACCAAGCTCACCGTCGTCATCACCGTCACCATGCCATACACGTTCCTCTACCTCGCCTGCGCGAGCGACCCGGGCTACATCACGCCCGAGAATGTCAACTATCACCTTTCCCTCTACCCGTACGACCATACGCTCTTCTCCCCGGGTCGCGAGTGCAAGACCTGCCACCTACTCAAACCTGCACGCTCCAAGCACTGCAGCATCTGCAAGCGCTGTGTTGCTAAGTCCGACCACCACTGCATCTTCATCAACTCCTGCGTCGGCTACGGCAACCAGCACTGGTTCCTACTCCTGCTCGCCTCCACGGCCATCTTGTGCACCTATGGTGGCCTGCTAGGCCTGTCACACCTCACGGCACGCATCTACCAGAAGGCACCGACGTGGTCAATGTGGCCGCCCAAGGGCATGAGCATGAACCAGTATATGGGTGCCTGGGGCTGGGGCATCCAGGATAACGTCAACATAGGCGCCACGACGCTGCTCGCACTGCTTACCTGCCCGCTCGTCTGGGGTCTCTTCATCTACACGCTCTACCTCGTGTACTGCGGCACCACAACCAACGAGACCCTCAAGTGGTCCGAGTGGAAAGAGGACATGCAGGACGGCTACGCGTTCCGCCGCCCGATGGCCCCCAACTCGCCTAAGAATAAGATGGTCGAGCCAACGTGCACGCGGTGGCCGGTCGAGACGGAGCAGGTCCTTGTCACCACGATGGATGGTGAGCCGCCCCGACAAGACGGCCGCATACCGGGAGAAGGCCCGTGGGAGAAGGTGTGGAGTCTGAACCACGTTGAGAACTTGTACGACTTGGGATTTTGGGACAACCTTCTTGATGTCTTTGTGCCCAACTACAACTTCGGCAACAGGGGAGACGAGCTCATTGTGGAACGGAGACGTCGCACTCAGTAGCAGTAACGGTTAATAGATTTCGGTTTACACATAGATACTTATCTTAAACTTGGAAACCTCCAAATTACATACAGTCTTCACATATAATCACTCGAGGCGTCAATCGAGGTCATCTTGTTTGGCCAATGAAGGAGGCCCACCCATTATTCATCATTCAAATCGCTCATTGTAATCATATCCACACGCTCCTTGGCCTTGCGCAGACCACTGAAGACGCGAGTGCGTCTTCCACCCGCCACCATGGTAGCTTCCTCGATCCCCTGGTACTACCCCCAGATAGAGCGCATTGATTCTGCAAATTCACCTCCGCCGTGGTTCCCCGACTCCCCGACTCTGTTTGGTCACCCTTGCGGGATCGTCTACAAAATGGTGCCGAAGCTATCAAGCATGGTTAGTGACAAGGCTTCACGACGTGTAGGGGTTACGAGACTAACCCAAAGGTCTGCTTAATGCTCTTGACGTAGTACTCGAGCCAGTTGCGCTTGGTAACGTCCTCCTGTCCGACAGGGACACCGTCCCAGGTGACACGCATAACGGTGACGTGGTCGACGTCGTTCTGGTCAAACTCGATCTGGAGCTTGGAGTAGTGACCGGCAGGCCACTGGCCCAGGCGCCAGCTCTGCACGACCTTCTTGCCAGGTTCGAGCTCAAGGTATTCGCCGGTGACGTTTCCGCCAAACAGCTCGAACTTGCCGCCCTTCTTGGCGCCCTCGAACCCCTTAAGAGGAGACCGAGTAAAGGCAGCCAGTCGGCCGGGGTCGACAAAGGTCTGGTACAGCTCGTCGGCAGTGGTACGGAACTCCTCGTTGTCGGTGACAGTGACAGTGTTCACGGTACCACCAACGCTGGTCTGGGAGGTCGAGGTCGAAGCAACCTTCTGGGCAACGTTCTGTGGGTGGACCTTAGGGGTCGTGAAGCCGCTAGACGGGTTGGAGCCAGGGGCATGCTGGATATCCTTGCCGTGCTCAGCGATCAGTGCTGGAGCAAGCTTCTGGAACTGCTCGCGCAGCTGGGGCACAAGCTTGGACCGGACGAGGTCCTTAACGGGCTGCTTCTCCTTGGACTCGGCAAAGATGTCTACGTCAAACTACGAGGCACTTAGCTATATTCTACGACAAAACACCGAAGGCACAAGGGCGAAGGGAGCTTCACGTACCACGTACTCATCCTCTTCGGTGTCGTGGGCGACCTCAGGCACGGTGATGGTGCCCGATACGTCGTCCTCTCCCGGAGCGGATCCTAGGACATGGGTTAGTACCGGGAAACGATCCAGGCATGGCACGTGTCCTTACCAGAGTACTCCAGGACCAGCTTGACGTCGAAGATGGTAATCACCTTGCCCTTGCGCTGGCTGACGTCGACATCGCCGTCCATGCTCTGGATCTTGCTAATCTTGGCCTTGACATCGCCGTTCTCGGCCTCAACCTTGAGGAGGTTGTTCTCAAACCACGTCTTAGCCCATTCCGACACGTCCTTGTTGACCCAGTGCCAGTTGTTGGGGTTGTGCAGAACCATTGTGAATTCGGGAGACTCGGCGCGAGCGGCTCAAGGCGGGGAAAAGATCTGGAAGCTTGATTGGGTCAGCTGAAGAACAGACATGGGCTGTAGCAAAAAGCTGAAGAAAGGCGAGTTCGCAATTGTAGGTCAGATATGGTCTTAGACCACAGCATTTAGGTCATCAATGAAGGGAGTACAAGTCACTCTATGACTGGTGCCAGCTGATATCTCATCACGGAAAATTGCGACGGTAGGGTGCATGAGCAAGGAAACGTGGTGCTTGGTACTTACAAGTTCGTGAGGCTGCGAGTAGAGAGGGTGGGAGAAAGCTATGAAGGAATGGAAAGAAGAAGGAAAAGAAAAGAGGAGGAGCGGGCTGGTTTTGGGAGTTGGGGATGGAGAAATTGGGAGGAGAGGAGAATGGAGAATGGAGAAGTGAGGAAGAGAAGTCTCAGAACCCTCTAGAATTTTGCTGAGCCTTGTGCCCCCACCTTGAGCCACTGTGGGGCTCATTTCCTTCCGCCAAGCCCCAGCCTCGTCTTTCGCAGCCGAGAGCATAAGTCTGTATCAGCCTCGGTACGACGATTGACAGGTCTTCAATCAGAATGCGCAAAAAAGTGTATTGGAATTGAAATGGGGGAGGAAAACATATGGCCATGCAGAACGCACGATCCAGATCTTATCCCTCAATGGTGGCCGTCGTCGGCTCTGCAAATGCTCCCATCCGAGTGCGAATCGACCTCGTTTGATCAAATGTCGAAACCCCGGGATGTATAGACTCTTCCTGGTTCAAGCTTCGGGGTGAATACCTCCATTATCGGGATGGGCCTGGATCCGCCCAGCTCATTAATCTGCAGCCAGACTGCAAAGTCTACTCCGCCGGCGCCACATCCCATTATCTGGAAACGCCATGAAGTGCCACTGTAATATCCAACTGCACCTGAAAAGAAATTAGAGAAAGTAGTCCTGCCCAAAAAGTAAGTTGATATGCTGAGTTGTCACTCGGAGCAAAATATCCGGCTAGTCAGCGGTCAGCTTAGACTCCTGCGACACGTCCATATCGACGGCAAGGTTCATCGATAATAGGTCAAGGTCAAGATATTTGAAGCATCCTCGGAAGTCATCACAAATAGGCCCTGCCCTTGGCCCCCAGATCGCCTTACCAGGCCTCCATAACGGGCCCCCTCGCGCGTTGGTCCGCGTCTGGGCGGGATACGCGACAAGCGCCGCCTTCTATAAATACCAAGACTATTCCAACCGGTCTAGGATCACTCCTTGCCATCACATCTACCCCATGATATCGGTGACGAGTCAGATGAACAAAGACATCCCGGGCTTACTAAGGCGCCCGAGCGTCCAGTCTCATGGACAAGGCCGTGATTTTGTCATGGGCGTAGAAGGGGCTGGCTCAAAGCCGGTGGAGGGGGGCTATTCCGGGATTATGGTCAGCTGGTGCTGGAAGTATTTTGTAGTTCATCCCAAACAAGGACTCCGTCCGCCCGTGTGGTTTTGGGCCTTCTGAGGGCCTCTCGAGACACGTAGATTCCCGGGATACGCAAGTTCACGGGCCTGCGCCGCCGTGGGCTACCGGCGTTGCTCGTCGGCCGAGGCTCGTATGGATCCACCTCCCGGAGCTCCCATCCCCGGCGATGCACGATGACTCCGGCGATGGCATACTTCCGTATGTGGAAGGCTGGCCAGTTTCATGACAAAAAGCTGATGGAACGCCACCAGGTTGCATCCCCGCCACTCCGGAGGTTCCAACAAACTGCTGACCGTCTTTTCGGTGCCTTTCTTTTTTAAAAGTCATCAACGCGAGCCAGTGACCCTGCCGACTCACCCTCCATTACCATCGGCCGGCCCTTGCACATGGGCTCGCCGCCATCATGCACCGTGTAGGTCTGTGCAGACCGAAAAAGGCGATCGATGCCTTGCCGTCTTCCGGTGACGCCTCTGCCTTCGACTCAGTTCTCACCATGTTGAGATGTGACAGGCGGAGAGGGGACGCTTTAAGCGCCGGCATCCACTCCTTCACCTACATCGTCAACCGATGCAGCCAATGAGAATCCCTGTCTACCATGGGGCTACTCTAAGAATAGAAATAGGTTGTCGTCATCCATCCAATGGATTTACAGAGCGGGCCCCTTTTCCACGACTTCTCGGTTCTGGGCTGCAGCGGGGGTGGGTTCCTCCCACTCAAGAGGGAACTGGGGACCGGACGGATTCTCTTTAGACCTTGAAAAAGGCCTCTCGGTCATTCAGTGACTGTCCCTTGCTTGGCTTGGAGGGATGGGACGGACGGACCAGGAAGGCTAGCATGCGGCAAGGATTGCTCCATCATGCCGTTGAAAAGGACTCGTCCTCGGCGCTTGTGGACGAAGGAGCTCGAGCCAGCGGCCGGGTACCCAAGTGAATGACAGATTTGAGTGATCAATCAAGCTTGAAATGGACAGCACCCGCTCAGACAACTGGGGCCGCGGCATGTGGCGTCCCGACTTTAAAAAAAGAAACCATCTGGGGTCTGGCACGGGCTGCTGGGACGGAACTGGAGCTGAGGGGCAACCGGGACCAGTTGAACTTGCGCCAGCCTGGTCATTCCCAACGCAGTCGGTTCCGGTATCCAGTTTGCATCGAGGGTTGCAAATGCGTTCGGCTCGTCTCCGTTTGACAAGCTGCGCGGTGCCGGCGCAGCAGAGCAGCGTGGGAATAGCGGGAACGTGGGACTGTGGGAATAGGCCCGCCACGGGCCTGGACCGAAGCGTCAAGCGTGTCCTGCGCACAGTAGCATGAATGCAGCATGTAACTTAACTTACGGAGGAGCCATGTTGCCATGCAGGGCCATCGGCCAAGACCCAGCCGGGGTCGTCGACCGTGGGTACGGAGTAGTGGGCGGCGGGTTGCTGCCGGACCAAGTAGATCTCGCGTTATCACCATGATCTCGCTCTGTGACTGTCCCACCTAAAGTGGCATGCCACCCCAACCCTCGTCCGCCCGGCACGCAACATCCAACCTCTCTCCACCCCAGCAACTTGCAAGCCGGCACCAGTCGTTCTCTTCGTGCTCTCTCTCTGCGACGGAGAAAGTCTTGGCCTTTATCGCCGTCGCCGTCGCCGCCGACTACTGCGTAGTACGCCGGGCGAGGGTGCCTTTGCCATAATATTTTATCCTTCCGCGGGGTCCAATTCCCAGCCTCTCCCTCGCACGCATCCTCACATTCACCGCGCACAACCACATCCGCTCCTCCTCATGGATTGGTTGACCCAGGACAATTGAACCCCCGGCCAGTGGGTTTCGAGGCGCCAGGCTCCTGCTCCAGCTTGCAGATCGCCGCACACACACGCGCGCATGCGTGGGGCAACAAGAGTGCTCTCTTCAACGGCCGACTGGCGACTTTGGCTCCCCTCTCGTCTGAGCATCGTCTCACCACCGCGCGCGCCGGCATAGCCAACCGCCCACCCAAACACCTACCGCAGCCAACTTCGCAGCCTCTGATACGCAGCCTGCATCTGTCTTCACTGGTGCGCTGTGGCGACCCTTGTTAGCTGTGACTTGTGGCTCTCCCTGGCGCTGCCACTTGCGCCGCACCCTGGACGCCGTGTTGGTTGGAGACCAGCCCGTCTCCGCCTCGTCTTAACGACTCTGTCATGGAGCCCGCCTTCGCCATGACTTCTCCTCGCGATCCCACGCGACTCCGTCAGGGTCTCAATCCTCTCACTACCTCCTCCCTGGGCGGCTACACCAATCCTCACGGAACGCCCATCTCTGCCATCTCCATGACCTCGTCCCATCTTCACTCTGTCCATACCCCCGCCAGCACCATTCAGCCCTACAATCCTCAACAATGGGTCGCCGCGCCCAGCGGCGGCCCAGAGCGACCCAGCCAGTTTTCTGGCGAGGCTCAAGGTAAGCTTCATGCTGTCTTCCACGGCCTCTCTCTTCTCTGTAACCATCATGCTCACTAACAGTTTTCAGTCTCACCACCGCCGCCGCCTCCATATAGTCCACCGAGGAGCCAGCAGCAGCGACCAATGAGCCAAGCCTTTGAGTCTTCACCTGCGTCCACTCCGACACCTCCGCCTCGGATCAACACGAATATGAGCATCCACCGACCCTCTCCAGAGCCGCAGCATGTTATTAATCCTTCATTTCCTCCTCCCCCAGGAGGGACCTCCCGTCGCTTTGGGCTGCCTTCATTGAGCCGTCGAAGTGACCGAAACTCGAGTTCACCAGGCCCTCATCCAGCTATACATCACCACAGACAGAGCATGATAATACAAACCAACCTCCACCCATCACCGCTAGATCATTCCCTGTCGGGCTTCGCTCCCCCAGCTGCACGTAGAGCTGCTTCGGCTGGCGCCATCGAAACGCCAACCTCCGCCCGCTCACGATCAGACTCACAGACTAGATGGGAACCGGGCATGCCTCTTCCGCCACCTCCACCTGGTCCGCCCCCTGCCGGATCGAGATCACAAAGCGTCCAGAGCATGGATCGAACTACAGTTCCCATCATATCTCCTCCCACAAGGCGCCGACCTCCTACCGGCGTGACGACTCTGGGCCCTGTCCCGCCGACACCAGCGGATTGGGTTGATTCTGATAATCAGGCGATCTCACGAGCTCGAGGTCGTTCTCCTGGGCTGACCATTGATACCGTCGGCGCGAGTAGTTCCAGCCAGGCACCGGTGGACTCAGTGAGTTCTTCTGCATCCAGCGCCGGTGGCTTAAACAGAACGGGGGCTGTGCGACATGACAAGACGATCATTCAGCGGCGGACGGAGAGTAGAACTCGTCAAGGCGTTCGTGGCTCCATTGATGACAATACTGTGCCAAATTCCATCTCGGACATCGTGGTTGGCAGCGAAGCAGGTGGACTAACACGCAGACCTACCATCAGCAGGTCAACTCCACGAAGCGCTGGAAGGGCGCCGCCTGAGCTCGCACCCAAAACCGGCGACTCCCTTCCTCAAGGAGACTCTCGCAACTCGACACCGAGAGCGCTTCCATCTGGCAAGCTCCCTCAGCCAGAAACAGCAACGCCGCCCTTCTCTCCGTATCCCGTCAAGCAGGCTCAGTACGGCGGGAGCAGCTCGACAGCAGTGGCTCCCAAAGCTCTTCCAACTCCCCCACCTCACGTCCGCTCCGCCTCAAGCTCACGCCCACGAGAATCATCACGTCCTCGAGAATCATCACGTCCTCCTGCATCCGTGTCGAACCCCGTCTCAAAACACATTATCATCACTCAAACCGCGGAACAGTTTGCAGCCGATACTATTGAGCGGTTCCAGGCATTTGCTGCCAAGGAGGCGACGGCTCACATGGATGCAGACCGAGTCCGTATGTTTGCTGACTTCATTGTCAACGAATCGAGGATCAGACGAGAACGATACTCTGGGGCTATTGGGGCTATGGGTTCTGAGATCTTTGACCTGACGCGCGATCTCTTCCGCCCTATGGTTATTCAGGGACGACGGGAATCGAATACTTCACGGGATGAGTTCACTCCAGACTCTTCGGAACCCACCCGCTCCCACCGCGGATCCATTGGTTCAAATCACCGACCCGAGAGCAACTCTCACTCAGCTCCCAGTTCCGCAAGTGTACCCGTTTCACCGAGCGGTCCCGCACCCAACGTCAACTGGGCCACCAACTATATGCCATCTCTGTCCCCCATTCTCAGCATGAGCGTGAGTGACAACCACGAAAACGGCAGCTCCCGAGGAAGGCCGCCGAGTCGCTGGTGGGAGGCAGACTCTCAGGGTGGCCAGTCCCCCCGCCTAGAGCGATCCAAGCGAGAGTCGAAGTACATGGGTGTGTCGAAGACACAATGGGCTGAGATTGATCAGAATTCAACAAGCCACGGAGACACGAGTGAGCAAGGTTCGGCTTCGGAGTACCCTCCAGAGAAGACGGGCTGGCATGATCAGTCGGAGCCGAGTTTGACTCCCCAACCCACGACATTCCCCAATACCTCGCTGGGCTCAAGTCCGGTTTCCACGGCTAACCGCGAGTATTTTGACGTTTCCCGTCTCGTCACCATGCCACCCCCCTATCCGAGACATCACCCTGCCGTCAACAACAGCCACCCCCAGTTGACTTCGATCCGACTGGCAGTCCGGGCCTTGAGCGAACTGTCGGAAATAACTGCTGCCAAGGAGAAATTCGCCGCCGACAGCGCGAAACGCCGGGAGCAGTTCTCCAAGGCAGCGGTTGAGCGACAAACGGCTCTCAGAACGAACTTGCAGCAGGAAATCAACTCGGGAAACATCAGCTACGCAGATGCAGCCGCTATTGAGTCCGATTCGCAGAAGAGCGAGGTAGGTCAGAAGAAGGAGCTGGAGAAGACAGAGTACGAACTGTTCCAGGACCAAGTGGTGGTGCCCCTGAATGAACTGGTGACGGGCCGTATCAGCCGCGCCACCGAGCTGTTTGACAACTTGTCTCGCACTCTCTTCGACAATGGACAGAACGATGCCGACATGCCGCAAGAGGAGGGCGACGATAGACCGGAGCTCCTAGAAAAGTTGACACTCCTCAAGTGGATCTTTGAGGCTCGCGAGTCTCTGCACCGCGCCATCTACGACATCCTCTCGGATCGTAACGGCCGTTATTGCGACGTCGTGATGACTCCGTACCGACTCTCTGGCAACGATGAGAAGCTCAAGTCAGCCGAGGCCTTCTTTGCTGAGGACTCGGCCAGGCGGGAGTATGCGTTTGCCAACGAGGTCCTGAACCGAGCGCGGGACTTCCGCTCCGTCGTCGAAGAGGCCGTCGAACGCGGTGTGGCGATACAGCTTTCAGCTTTCTGGGACATTGCACCGCCGCTTTGTGGACTACTCGATAACATTCCGCTCGACCTCGAAGGCTTCAACATCCAAATCCCCGCAGCCGAGTTCGACGAGAACCCATCGTACCACGTGTACCCGATGCAGTACCTGTTCAGCCTTCTGCTACACGCCGAGAAGAGCTCGTACCAGTTCATTGAGTCACACACAAACTTACTCTGCCTACTACATGAGGTCAAGGAGGCTGTCGTACACGCCAAGGGCAAGGTACTAGAAACGCAGACGGCCGAGGCGGACGGCACGCCGATCCCGGCTGCGGAACGCGACACCCGTGCGCAGCACATGCGACAGGCCGAGGAGAGTCGCCTAACAGAAGACCTCAAGGAGAAGGTCCGCGTTGTGCGCGACCAGTGGAAGAGCGCGCTGGGCGAGAACGTCACGCAAGTCAAGCAGCGGCTCGGCGAGTACCTGCTGCAGATGGGCGGGTGGGACGAGGCGCTCGAGGATGGAGGTGTTGGCTCAGTCTAGACGGTGGCATGTGCAAACTGCCCGGATAGACGCAGGAGAAAATAAAGAGACGGGGGACACGAAGAGGGCAAGACTAGAGAGGCGTTGATACCCCTATGGCCTTGACATGGCTTGAGCGTTGGACTTGGCTTCTTGTATATACCTATTTTTGAGAGTCGACGCGGCACTGAACAAACGCACCCCATGTTAATGAGACACGATACGAATGAGTCCCAAAATGACGCCCGCAGATAATGGTGGATTCTAGTATCAATTCTGTGTATTCCACACTTAGTCGTACAATCGTTAGCCGAGATCAAAGCCAGTGGCTGAGCCGGTTTCCCCCTGTGGTGAGGCCTATAATTGTACATTTTGTTCCTCCTCCTTGGTTGAGTTGCCTGTTGGCTGCGTTCTTTCGAGCTGCGTGGTTGGTTCGTTGATGTGTGTGGTGGTATGTGTTTCCTCGTTCGATGTATCATCTCGTGGCCATATTTCATGACCCAATTGCGCACCCAGCGCATCGGTCCCAGCCCGCCAAGGACCGCTTCGTATGCCTTTTCAATCCCGATCCCAAGCCTATTTCTCAACATCGTACTCGACCGGCAAATCCATGCCGACCTTGCGGGCCGTCAACCGCACGCGCTCATCAGTCGGCATGCCCATGCCGGGGTTGTACCGCTCGAGCAGCGTGGAGTACAGGCGCTGCGAGCGGAGGTAGGCGATGGCCTGGGCGGCGACGTCGACGCGGGCCGTTGGCGCCGCGGCGGCGGAAGAGGCGGTGGTGGTGAAGGACTCGCGCAGGCGGATGTGCAGCGGGGAGCGCGGCGCAGCGAGGATGGGCCGCGGGGGCAGCTCGCGCAGGATGGAGCGGTAGAGGGAGCGGAGGGAGGCCGGTGCGGAAGCCATTTTTGGCGGAGGGCGGTTGGTTGTATTTATTGTATCGATAAATTGAAGGGATGTCGAGGCCGAAGATGGAGAGCTACGGCGTGATGGGAGGTTTGGAGGTCTGGAATTCCCGCCCAATCAGAGCGCCGAGTCGCTTTTGCTGGGGCCGAAAAATTGCTGATGCGCTGAGGGGCCGCCGAGACCGCCAGAGAAAGCTGCCCCTCATCGCCGCGCGGTCCCTGGAATTGGATGTGGTGATGGAGGGGCAGATGGCATCACATCCGCGGAAGCATTTATACGCGAAACACATAGACGCAGCGAGATATAAGGAGATGTATAGAATCCCAACCCCAACCCCAACCCCTGGAGGCATTACGTTGCCTGCTTCGTAATTGCAGCACAAAAGCAACCTTTCATCCCGCGCAAGCGTCCATTGCGCTTCTCTTACGAAACCATCCCCACGTCATCGTCACCTCCTCTGTCGTGTCCCCCACACACACGCAAACCAGTATCTCCTAAACACCAACCAAACCACACCGACGACCCGCCGACGACCCGCCAGCCGTTGTCGTGCTTTCTCTCTAATCATCGTCGCATCGCCTCTTCATGCCCATTATCAATCCTCGCCTCCTCCTGCTCTCACTGCTCCTCCTCACGCTGGCTGTGCTACTCTCGCCGTCCTTCCTCGCCCGTCTCCGCCAACTCTCTGCCCACCTCCTCACCGCAACTGCCTCATCCTCGTCCGTCTTGCTCCGTCGAACGACCTCCTCCACGATGGCCGCCCCCGCCTACGCCTCCGAGCTCCAGATTGCGCAGCTGGCCGTCCAGCGCGCCTCCATCCTGACCAAGCGCGTCTTCCACGAGAAGGCCAAGGGCACCGTCGACAAGAACGACAAGAGCCCCGTCACCATCGGCGACTTTGGCGCCCAGGCTCTCATCATCGCCGCCCTCCAGCGCCACTTCCCCGAGGACGCCATTGTCGCCGAGGAGGAGGCCGCCCAGCTGCGCGACGACGACAACCTGAAGCAGACCATCTGGGACCTCGTCAGCTCCACCAAGCTCGACGACCCCGCCGCTGAAGAGCTTCTCGGCGGGCCCATCAAGGACGTCGACTCCATGCTGGAGCTCATCGACCGCGGCAACAGCCTCGGCGGCTCCTCTGGCCGCATCTGGACCATCGACCCCATTGACGGCACCAAGGGCTTCCTGCGTGGCGGCCAGTACGCCGTCTGCCTGGGCCTCATGGTCGACGCCGATGTCAAAGTCGGCGTTCTGGGCTGCCCCAACCTGCCCATTGACGATGCCGCCCGCCTCACTACCGACATTGGCTCCAACGCGACTGACGAGGGCCGTGGTGTTCTCTTCTCCGCCGTCCAGGGCCACGGAGCCACCAGCCGTGCCCTGACTGCCGGTGCTCTCGCCGCTGAGAAGCCCATCGCCATGCGCGCCATTGACGACCTCTCCAAAGCCACCTTCTGCGAGAGCGTTGAGGCCGGCCATTCCGCCCACGACGACCAGGCCCTCATCTCCAAGAAGCTCGGCATCACTGAGCCTAGCGTCCGCATGGACAGCCAGGCCAAGTACGGTTCTATCGCCCGCGGCGCTGGCGACATCTACCTCCGCCTGCCCGTCAAGGCTACCTACCAGGAGAAGATCTGGGACCACGCCGCTGGTGACCTCATCGTCCGCGAGGCTGGTGGCCAGGTCACCGACATTCACGGCAAACGCCTTGACTTTGGAGTTGGCCGAACACTCGCCAACAACAAAGGTGTCATTGCCGCGCCTGCTGCCGTCCACGACAAGGTCCTGCAGGCCGTGCAAGAGGTTCTTAGTGCCAAGCAGGCATGAACGGACAACGTAGTCGCAATATAAAAATATATAGAAAGGGTTCAGGAAAACAGGAAATGTATGTGACGGAAATGGAATAAAAAAGCGAGAATTCAGAAGTAGTTTTTGTATATGCCTTGACACAGATAGTACACGTCTGTACACGAGACTATAATACACACGCAAGCTGCGTCCCGCCGAGTCGGCCAGCGGCCCAGTCACCCACCTCTTCCAAGTGGCCACCAGCCACAAAGATCTCATCCAAAAGTCCTTTATTTAATCTTCTTCTGCTTCAGCTTGATCGTCTGGTCGTTGATGAAGACGCCTTTGCCCTTGTATGGCTCCGGGGGGCGCCACTTGCGCACGCGGCCAGCGAACGACATGAGCACCTCGCGGTCGATGCCCTCGATCAGGATGCGAGTGGGCGATGGTGTCGTAACGGTGACACCGCGGGGGATACCCTCCTCAACAGGGTGCGTGAATCCAAGCTTGAGACACAGGAATCGCTGTCCAGGGAACTCCTCCTTGGCACCACGCTCCTCGACGCTGGCTCGGTAACCGACACCGACAAGGCGCAAGATCGCAGTGTGGCCCTCAGAGACGCCCATAATGTAGTTCTTGAGGTACGCCCAGGATGTGCCTATTCAACAAAGGACCGCTTATTAGCAAAATGGTCCTTGGGGGTAGAGCAGAAGGACAGAAACTCACCCCACATCTCCTTCTGCTGCTTGACATCCGAGTCCTGGACAGTCAGGATTGCCATTCGGTTGTCCTCGTCGTGCTTCACTTGCACAAATTCGGGGACCTCGAGATCCAACGATCCTACACATTTCAGTCAGCAAAAATGTACTCAATTCCTTACGTCTGCTTCTTGTCCTAGCCTCCAACGTCAGGCAAAAAACGTACCAAGAGGCCCTTTCACTGTAATAGTCTTCTTGTAGATCCTCTTGTAGGTCGTCATATCCTTCTTCGCCTTGGGCTCGCCAATGAACAGCTCAACGCCTGGGGGCACCGAGATGGGCGTCCGGCCTAGCTTGGAGGGTCGTTTCGAGGTCGTCGAGAAAAGAGCTGCCGAGGCGGAGCGCGGCGTCGCGGTTTGCCATGCTGGTACGAGGAATCCGGGGAGCGTCACCGGGGTTGGTGAGGAGGCAGCAATGGCTCGTCCCAATGCCTTCCCCCGACTGGGAGCAAACATGGCAGCCATTGATTCAACCCTACGTTCGTACGGGTCTAAGGGTGGATGTCGGTCGTAGCCAAGGTCGAGATGCTCGTCGAAGCTTTACTTTTTGGCGCTTAGTCACCGCGTCACGTGTGCTCCCAAGATGTGCACGGAGCTCAGATAATCAAATCAGACCACTTCTACGATGCTACAGCACAACGCGTAGAATCAAAAGTGTATTAATCACGAATTATAGTAGAATAGAGAAATAAGTTGGTGCATGTGCACTTGTGGACTTATTGGCTTACAATTGTCAAGTGAATTGTACTACCACTGTCGAGGATATCTAGAAACCCCTTTCAACAATTACTACCACCACCCGAATAGAATTGGCCTGGGCCGACTATACATCAAGCTGCATCTAAACAAAGAGACAGGCTTGCAGGGTTACAGACACATTAAGAGTCTGTTTACTCCTCAGGCTCAAGGCCCTCCTCCTCGTACTCCTCCTCCTCGTCATCAATACCAGCATCCTGGTACTGCTGGTACTCCGAGACAAGATCGTTCATGTTGGACTCAGCCTCAGTGAACTCCATCTCGTCCATACCCTCACCAGTGTACCAATGCAAGAAAGCCTTGCGTCGGAACATGGCAGTGAACTGCTCACCGACACGCTTGAAGAGCTCCTGGATGGAGGTGGAGTTTCCAATGAAGGTGGAAGACATGGTAAGACCACGGGGAGGGATGGCGCAAAGAGCAGTCTGGATGTTGTTGGGGATCCACTCGACGAAGTAAGAAGAGTTCTTGTTCTGGATGTTGCGCATCTGGTCCTCGACCTCCTTCATGGCGACCTTGCCACGGAAGATGGCGCAGCAGGTCAGGTAACGACCGTTACGGAAGTCGGAGGCGGCCATCATGTTCTTGGGGTCGAACATCTGCTGAGTCAACTCAGGAACGCTGACAGCACGGAAAGAGTAGGCACCACGGCTGGTCAGGGGAGCGAAGCCGACCATGAAGAAGTGCAGACGGGGGAAGGGGACCATGTTGACGGCCAGCTTTCGGAGATCAGAGTTCAGCTGACCAGGGAATCGGAGGCAGGTGGTGACACCGGACATGACGGCGGAGACCAGGTAGTTCAGGTCACCGTAAGAGGGGTTGGACAGCTTGAGGGTACGCATGCAGATGTCGTAGAGAGCCTCGTTATCGATACAGAAGGTCTCGTCGGAGTTCTCGACCAGCTGGTGGACAGAGAGGGTGGCGTTGTAGGGCTCGACGACGGTGTCGGAGACCTTGGGGGAGGGAACGACGGAGAAGGTGGCCATCATTCGGTCGGGGAACTCCTCACGGATCTTGGAGATGAGCAGCGTTCCCATACCAGCACCGGTACCACCACCCAGGGAGTGGGTGATCTGGAAACCCTGGAGGCAGTCGCAGCCCTCAGCCTCGCGGCGGACGACATCGAGGACCTGGTCGACGAGCTCGGCACCCTCAGTGTAATGACCCTTGGCCCAGTTGTTGCCAGCACCGGACTGGCCGAAGACGAAGTTGTCGGGGCGGAAGAGCTGGCCGAAAGGACCGGCACGGACAGCGTCCATGGTACCGGGCTCGAGATCGACAAGGACGGCGCGAGGGACATACTTGTTTCCAGAGGCCTGCCTAGTGTGAGTTCAACAGCTCTTGGATAGGGGCAGATGGGTAGATTTCACGTACCTCGTTGAAGTAGACGCTCATGCGCTCGAGCTGCAGCTCGGAGGTACCGTTGTAGACACCATTGCTGTCGAGACCGTGCTCGCTAGAGATGGTCTGCCAGAAAGCAGCACCGATTTGGTTACCCTATCCACGCATCGTTAGCGAATGCCTGCACGTCGGATCGTTGAAGAGGATGAAGCACTTACGCACTGGCCGGTCTGGAGGTGGACCTATATTGCAGAAGAAAGTCATGGTCAGCCATCTTGTCCCAAAATCACGTCGTGGTTGAAGTCCCGAGCTTTGTTGTCCTGAAGGCGGTGGAAATGCTGCGGCGGGGTAGAATCAGGGGCAGCAGCATCGCCCGAGCGGGTAACAGAACGCGTCGTTGGGAGCGGGCAACCACAAGATGCAGGCAACTTACAATCTCACGCATGTTGACGGTTGGGGATGGATGTAGCTGTAAGAGGATGTGTCGTGGAGGAGAGAAGATGCAGGGCGAAAGACGTCGAGAGCTGAGCTAGCTTTGACTGAGTGGGTTGGAAGGTGACACGGTCAAGGGGAGTTGTTGATTTTTGTTGGAGAGCGGGACGTGAAATTGTTCACCGCCACGGCCCCCCCAATAACCCACCGGCAAGGGGAGGGGCGAGGGGGGCCTAGGGGCCTGAAGGGGGCCGCCGCCCAGTGCACTTTCGCTTGTTTGGTTAGTGGCCCGTGCGTGGCCGAAAAGGGCAAGGCGCCAGCTCAGGCACCTGCCAACACCCGCCAAAATCTGGCCAGAGACACACCACGCCGCACCGAACAAAGGGCATGCGGGTAGTAGTTCTTCACGCCGGACGAGCCAAGCTGAGTCTCTACAACGTGGAAAACACCAGAGGGATTAACACCGTCTAACAACGGTCATATCGGCATTGATGCCAGGATCCTCACATCCAGACCTGTCAAACTGGCACCAGCAACTCTGCAGCAAAAGCTGGGACCGCCAGGAGGCCAGCCACGTATTTCCCACTGACGGCCCGGGGCGCCACGAGAGCTCGCCCCACAGCTTGCTGGACAATTGCACCGCTCCAGTGGATGGGGCAGAACACGGGTCAACTGGGGATATTGGACGATCGACATTGGACATTTGCTAGGAAAGGGGAAAGTGAGGCGGCAGCGTCTTGGTATTCCAGGAGCATCAAATGAGCTACGTACAACGCTAAATCCCATGTATGCTCTCCCAGGTCGGAGTGGCGCATCCCATCCCCGTGTAACGGACACGATGAGTAGGTAATCCTGTGCATGCCAGGAGTGTGCGATTATGGTTATCCGTGATAAGTCCGCCCAGAAGGCATCTGGCCATGTTCGAGCTACCCTACATCGACGAGCCAGGCTCGAATGCGACTTCGGTTTCAAGCCTAAATCGAAAGACAAATACTTACACGTGTTTTATTCGCGCACATTGGATACATGACTTACAGATGGATGCACCACCTGGTGAAATAGCTTCATCTGGTTGGTATGGTGGCATGTTGGTTAGGGAAAGTCGCGAATTATTCGTAAATATCAAACAAATAAGTGCACGCATTACATATAGATTAAGTATTTTATTTTCACAACATATATTGCATTATGACTAAATGTCAACTACGTCTTGAAATTATAGATAGCCGTGCATGTGTCTACGGATAATCATACTCTTGATAATAACAACCACTACTTACCTGTGCACGAAAGGGGATCGTACTTGCGCATCACTTACCCTATAGGTATTAAATCGGAGGACTCATCGGCTGAGGAACATGTGTTCAAAATCACAAGCTGCATATTGCACCAAAGGAGCACCCATGTAGTATTTATATATATCATGGTCTGTTAACTCTTGCTCATTTCAGTGAGCCTTGACGACACCGGCCGCGTTGGCCTGGGCAGCAATCCTCTTCTTGTACTGCTGCACGTCGCCAGGGAACTTCTCTACCGTTCCGCCATCACACACCCACAGTGACTTACACACCGACTGCAGCATTGTCACATCGTGGGAAACCATCAGCACGCCACCCTGGAACTCGTTCAGCGCCTCCGCCAGCGCATCCATGGCCTCGATATCCAAATGGTTGGAAGGCTCGTCCAGCACCAGGATGTGAGGGTTCGTCAGTGCCAGGCAGGCAAACGCCACACGCGACTTTTGACCTCCAGACAGGAGTTCCATCTTCTGCAGACCCGTTGTGCCCGTGATACCAAAGGCGCCGAGTCGTCGTCGGTACTCCTCGTCTGTGCGGCCGGGGTAGTTCTTGGCCATGAAGCTCACGGCGCTCGTATTCAAGTCCAGGGCGTCGACGTGATGCTGTGCAAAGAAGCCGATGCGGAGACGAGGATGTTGCGAGATCAGACCAGTGGAAGCCTCCAGCTTGCCAATGAGCAGCTTGAGAATCGTCGTCTTACCAGCACCGTTGGGTCCCACGATACCAATACGGGAGTCCAGCTGGACATCCAAGTCGACATTTCGCAAAAGGATTTTGTCCTTGCTGTATCCAAAGGTAACGCCGGACATCTGGACAATAGGAGGCGACAACTTCTCCACCTCGGGGAAAGTGAACTTGACGCTGTACTCAGCCTCTGGGGCTTCCAGGACGGGCATCTTTTCCAACTTCTTGATACGGGACTGGGCTTCCGAGGACTTGGCCGCGTTGTAGCGGAACTTGTCGATGAAGGCCTGCAGATGGGCACGCTGAACCATTTGGTTCTCGTACTCTCGCTTGGCCACCTTCTTTCGCTCCTCTCGGGTGCCGTAGAAGGAGTCGAAGTTGGCTCCGCGGTAGTAGTCGAGGCGCTGTGAGTGCTGATGGATGATGTCGGTAGCGACCTCGTTGAGGAACGCTCTGTCGTGAGAGACGACCAGGACAGTGCTGGGGTAGCCTTGTAGATAGTCGGAAAGGAAAGCAATTGAGGGAACATCCAACATGTTCGACGGTTCGTCCAGAAGCAACAAGTCAGGTTCACAGAAGAGGGCTCGTGCCAGTGCCAGACGCATTCTCCAACCACCGGAGAACGTCTTGGTGGCAAATTGCTGTCGCTCGGGAGAGAATCCAAGACCAGCAAGAATACTGGCCGCTCTGGGCTCAGCCTTGTCGGACTCCATCTCGGCCAGCTTTCCTTGGATATCTCCAAGCTTGTTATCTTGGGTCTCCCTCTCGCGATCAATCCTAGCCGCATCTGCTGAAGTATCGGCCAGGCCAACTCGCTGGGCTTCCAGCTCTGCCAAACGTGCCATGATTTGCTAAAAACAATGTCAGACAGTGCGAATTGGTCAAGGAAACGAGATAATGCTCACATCTTGGTCCCTGAGAAGAACCTTGCGCCACACGTCTGCGTCAAGCACAGCTTGGATAGCTGGTGTATCATCGCCAGTAATCTAGTCATGTTAACATAAAGATTCGCCACGACCACAGAGATACTTACCTCCTGCTCGACGTGAAGAATAGAAATGTGGGTGGGAATGGCGACTTCTCTCTTGGAGAGGGCTCGGAGCAGCGTGGATTTACCAACACCGTTGTTACCAACCAGACCATAACGGTGGCCGTAAGCGAGCGTGAGGTTGGTGTCTGTAAGAATGCGGTTTCCACCAATAGAAACATCGATGCTGTCGAGTTTGACGTCTTTGGTCTTGGTTCCGGCGCCAGAACCCAGTTGAAGCGGGTTGACGGCCATGTAGAACTCCTCGTAAGACTGCGTAGACTCGGGCAGCTCGAGTAGTCTCGACGCCTCGTACTCGACGGTCTTGAACGTCTTCTTTTGTTGCTTGGCCGCAATCTTTCTCTCGGCCTTCTCAAGCTTCTTGCGGTCGACCTTGGATTCAACCTTTCTCACATTCGCCGATTCCAAGTCGACACCGCCCGTCGCTACCGCCAACGTCGACGACATGTTCCGCTGCGAACTAACCTGGATAGTCTGATCAAGACGCCTCACGATCGAAGGCCCAGTCCTCTGGGCACCGTTGGCAGCGGTGTACTTGTCCACCCATTTCTCGACGAGTTGCTTGATCTTCTCCTCCACGTTGGCATTCACCTCGCCTGATGCGGACAGGAGCAGGTCAGTGACGGTAGCAGCAGCCTCGTTCAGAGGAGAAGGACCAGAGGGGTCCTCCTCATCCGACCATGTAGTAGAAGCATGGGTCAGGTAGCCCACGGAGTACTCGGAGACCACGGGGTCGATGTTGGGCAGGACAGCTCTGATATCAGCCTCCATCTTGAAGGTGGCGTAGGGCTGGCTCAAGACGCAGGGGGGTGTGGAAGGCTTGTAGCTACAGCCGAATGAGGGAAAACGGCCGTTGAAGAATTGATGGCGGTATAATGAGCGCCTACAACGGGGTATTGGAGGGTGTGCGGGCGGTTGGGCGGTATATTCAGCGTCACCTCTACGTTTTTGCTTCGGCTTTGCTGGCTGGTGATGTGCCCCGCCAAGGCTGTGGACTTGTGGTCGTTGAATTTTGTGGGTTGCCGGCCCACATCGGACCGGCGAGCACTGGCAAGGTCGGCGCTTAAACCTCCCGAGGGCCGATCCATGGATGAAAGCTTCAACTTGCAAGTCCACGATGCCGGGCCACGATGCAACGTGGGGATTAGCACAAGGTTGAATTGTTCTATGAATTGTTCTATGGAATACACCTTGTTCAATAATACAGTTTACTCGGATCTCAATTGGAAAGTCTCTGGTACATTGACATGCAAAGCAACATGTCTCGCCGAACCCGATCCGTGCCGTGCCCGTGGCGAGTAAGACCTCCGTTGTACTACGCGGTACGTTCAAGGGCCCCGAGCTCCTCACCTGGAACCTCAATCTCCTCCTGCAGTAGTCAAGTCTTCCGCGACAGCCTCATCGATTTATGACTGGGCGTTCGGGGCTTGTGCAGAGTAATCATGGCGAGACGTTGTGGCCAGAGCAGACGACGCCAATACGAGCGCAACTGGCGGTGAGGGTCCAAGACTCTAGGATGATGCCGCCGCCAACTCCAGTTTTCCGTTCCGTTCTGTCCCAAGCCAAATTAACGGGCATGCAGCTATCGCCCGATTTCCCCTCCCCGTGACATATCAGCGGCGCCCGATTCTCCCACGGGTCCAGCCAAGATGCCGGAGACGCGGCCTGCGTCTCAGGGTTCGCCTGTTCGCATCCGACGTGGAGAATTCATCCGGCTATCAGCCAATCCATTGCCCACTCGGTGTCCGTTAGGCACGGGTAGTCGGGCTTTAGACCCTGTCCATGACAAGCCCCTCGGAATGCACGCAGGAGAGGTCCATCAACGCTTATCATCATAGTGTTGTCGCCTACGGATCATTGGATTGGATTGGATGGCCTGGGTTGGCCATGATGAGGTGCGAAGCCACAAATGCGGGCTGGCTGCGGCGTTTTCAGGAGCCTCTCAGCTGGGCTGCGATAAGCCAATCAGGGCGCCCCAACCCTAAATACAAAAGCGCGACTCCAACGCGTGACGACGCGAATCGCGTTACAGCAGCCCAACTTTGATGTTTTCTTTCGCTTACCCTCGTCAATTGAGGCCCCGAGTCCCGCATTTGCATTTTGCTGGGATCTGCAATCCGATAGCAGATGCAAACCATACAGCACTGGCACGCACTGGCACTGCACAACACTGCATTGGAGATCCACCGTCCTGTGCATTACAGGCATTACAGAGATCGGTGTAAAGTCCATTCTGCACGACAGAGCCGGCCCGCTCATTCACTTACAAGACATGGCTCCTTGTCAGCCGAGCCAATGCTTACTGCTGCCCTGACCGAGGTCTCAGTCTGCTCAGCTCTGCTCCCCACTGTACCAGGGGGCCTGAAACAAACGATGACTTTCTGTCTCACATTGCGACCTCCAAAATGACAGCCCTCATCGCTCACAGACGAGCGAGCGGCTTTGGACGGGCTTTCGCCAGCACCGCTTGGGGCACGCGATGGCTTTCCCACGTCACCGACAGTAGTCTCTCCACTTGGCGGCGTGCGCTCTTGACGCTACCGGTAGTTTGGTCCATGCCGGGACGTAGCGAGTGCCAAAATTGGCAAGACGAACAGGTTATCTCCGGTCTGGATTCCAAGGAATAAACGACGCCAAAGTCAGCTTTACGAGGAGTTGCACATTGCCAGCTGATCCGAAAAGGCGCCGACATCGTCTATGGATTTGAGTTTGCGCACGACATGTATCTGCCTCGGATCCGGCCTTGCATGTTCCATCCATCCCCAGGCATGCGGGCAAACCTGTTCCGCATCATCATGCATTGCTGCGTTCGCATTGTCGGTAGCTGCATGAGACAGACACATCCGGAACAACATGATCGTTTAGGAAAGGCATGTCCAGATGGTCATGCTGGCAATTGACCCCATTCTTCGTCCTCAAGATCCATGGCTGGTCAATTTTCATTGCGGGGAAGCATGATGGTTCTTCTAAACTAGCTGCACAGCCAACGAGCCTCAGACTGCCGAGTTGCCACAATGGCCCGAAACCGATGAGAGGGGGTGTTGTTGGTGGTTGCCTCACTAGCTCGCTGTCCAAGCAAATAGTCCCAACCTGGACCTGTGGGATCTGGACAAGCATCCCATGGCATTTAAGTTTAGAGCTATCGACAGACAAGCAGCTCACCCATTGCGTCAGCTCCAACCCTTGGGCACTACGCATGGCCATCAGCTCCCATCAATATCCGGAAGGATGAGGAGTGGAAATTGGAGCTATTGGACAATTGGCCTCTTCACGTGTTGGGAGGCTGGCATTGGATGACCTGATTAGTCCCCTTACCGAATAGTCGACGCTGGATGCTGAATCCGGAGGTTTTGCTGACGGCAGCGCACGTCATGAAGGGGATGAGATTTCCCTTTCCGAAACCCACTCGGATGGTTCTAGTGGCAAATGATAGGCTGGCACATGTGCGGCTGATTTCGTTTTTTTGCTCGTCGATGGATATGCCCAGTTACGTGTGCACTGGTCCTGCATGGTTCAAGGAATGACCCAGCACAGACACCTTTTGAGGATGCAGAGAGGGGATTTTCCCCTCTCTTTTCGGACTGCCTTGTTTCAGGTCGGAGTTGAGCCATTCCCTACGTCGCCGTTTACAGGTCCGGTTGCAAGTGCCGTACGACGTAGGTTCATCCTCTAGAAACCGGTTCGTCGACTGGGTTGCAAGCTCCAGCTGGAGGAGGCCGCATCCCTGAAAATCGATCGTGTGGCCCAGCCTTGTTCGGGCTGGATCCTGGAGCCGGGGCTCTCGGAGGTGGGCACCCGCCTGGACACGAGGAGATCACTGCTGCTCCAGGCTGCGGCGCGGACTTGCAAACTTGCAACAGCAGCGTGTGAATGGTGCCCGCCTTGGAATCGTTGCCATCTCCAAGAAAATCCGGCCCCACCAGGATGCGCAAGCGCCTCGTCGGATCTTGATAAAAACTGGTGGACTAAAGGTGCTGGAGACCCATGGCATCCGGGTGAGAGGACGCCGAAATCACTGTGGGCGTTTCAACGGAGCCCGCCGCAACTACCACACACAGGGGCAGGAATCCTTTTGGCTTCCGTCTTCCCAGTCTCGAAACTCGGGTTTGGGATACCGGGATAGGAGCTAGCTGGACAGTTATTGCTTTTGCGATTGCTTACACGAGTCGAGGGTCAGCAATGTAGCATACCTACGCAAGGGAGTGCGATACACGTGCGCCCTGTTTCTGGAATGAAGAGGTTTTCTGCTATGATAACTCGGCACAGTTGATCAGCGTCTGGATCCATAAAATCTAGTGAATATAGACGGGGATTAGTGGGACCACGACAAGCAATTAGAGCACAATGCTGCGTGTCTACGAAAACACCGTGAGGCATGTGTCGGACCGGGCATAATCATAAGCCCTGCTCTTACTACGTAGTATGTCTGGCCCTGTTCCCCCAAGCTTCTATTACTCAGAGACATTGACCTCCAGCTCATAGCCTTTGCAATTATTCTCCCTGCCGACCCTAGTTTGTCTCGCTCCGCTTTACAAAGGTCATGATTGGCGCATCATGCAAAGGTTGCGCAACAGTTGCCAACAAGAATGGATCTTCCGAACGGCTACGACAAGTCGGCCCCCTTGCGCCGGTTTGTTATGGCCAAGGTACAGCCTTAGTTGAAAACCCAGTTGCGTTGTGACACAGTAATACGAAATGTTTGTTTCTTGGTAATTGCCTCCACTTGAAAAGTCGACAGAAATGGCGACCTGCTCTGGGGGCTTGTAATGTTGTTGTGTTGTTGGTCGGCTCCCCAGCGGCCGTACACTCGAAGCGGGGCTCGCGTGTCCACCCTCCAGGGATGCCATAAAGTACCAAGGAGGAAGTGTGGAGTTGGACGAAGCAAGCTGAAGGGACGTATCTTGTCGGACCAGTACCGAGTACATCACATCATCAACAAGGCCTCGCTGGTGGCCTTGTTGATGTTTCTTGGGATCAAAACAGAAACACACTTAAACACACACACGCACGGGACGGAGGCCCAATCTGTGACCCTAGCGTGACGTCTGGGAACACAACAAGCTGAGGGACTGTAACATGAGGCTACGATGCGCACAGCAAATTAATTAGAGGCGGGTCGGTGGGGGACAATTGTGTGCTGTCAGATACAAGATCTCATCTTACAAACTTGTGCAATACAGATGCAGGATATAAAGATTGATGGAAGCACAAACCCCCTTTTTGTAAGATACAACAGCCACGCTTAAGCGGTAATAGGTTCGTTGGGATCCGCCTTATTTAAGCCGTCTCCTATCATCTCGCGGATTCCGCCCCAAAACAAGGCGTAGGGCGATATCAGGTGCCTGCATATTATGCTCGGAGACTTATAATACTCATCAAAACCGTCGCGAGACCACGTTATTGAGACACCGGCCCAGCAGGCGAGCTCCCCAACGGTCACAGCCACACCCCCCCGGAGCCTGTTGTGTTACACACCACCGGCCGGAGATAGTTTGGTGGCATGCACGTACTTCGTACACGTTTGGATGATGCAGATGGGATGGGATTGCATCACCCAACACCGGATCAATGGCCAGATTTCGGGGCACGAGATCTGTCTCCCAGCGTCATCATCCCTCATTGGGAGCTGGGTGCCACAGCGTTGGCGTGGCTGCAGAAGCCGACTGGACGGGTGACACGACAACGACGCAGGCATCTGCTGAAGGCAAACTCGACCGGTGGTTTTACTGCCCTGCGTTGCGCAAGCAACGGAACAGGGCTCTCTTCTCGGTCAACGACGGAAGGGGTATTTTGTGCTCTGAGCCACCCGGAAGGGAACGTCTGGCCGTCGAGGGCCCCCGTCGGGGCGTCGTCGTTGCCGTCGTCTTCGGCCGCTGGGACCCTGGGGAAGTCAAAAAGAAACAGACGAAAAGAAGGGGGGGGGGGAGGGAGGGGAAGGGGCGCTGTAAGGGATCCTGCACCTCGCCTGACATGGCTCCGGAGTCGTCTCGTCAGCTCGTCCCCAGCTGTCTCCAGCTCCCGCAGTGAACGCCATCCCATCGGGTTCGCGTCCTGGGCCTTTTCTTCCCCCAACCAGCAGTTTTCTCTCCTCACGCACCACCGCAGTGCAGAAATGCCGCTGTAGGCATAGCCCGAGATGTAACCCCGGAGCCAGCCCAGGAGGCCCCGGTGAGGTGTCCCGCTCGGAGATGTCCCCTGGGGCCGGGGGTGCGAGAGTGATGAGAATGCGCTTAGGCGGGACGGACAGCGGAATGAGTCCCAAAATACTTCAGGCGTGCGCACTGCACAACACAAATTGTGCCTTTCCGCAGCCGTGCCATGATCATGATGGACGAGAGGGTCACGGCAAATTGATACGCGGCTCGCCCGTAGGCGCTAAACTCCTAGATGCAGGCTCCCTTTATTTCTTGGAAGTAGTTGCTATATTGTGTACCTTGGTCTTTGGATATTGACTGGGTCTTCCTGGTTGGGCCTCAGGAGGGAGGATACGAGAGCGCGACCAGCGAGAACTACAGGCGGACAGTCACTGAGGGTGAGAAGCGCCGAGATCTCGAGCCTCACATGTTGTGGTCTTGTCCCCTATCCGTCTGCATGCGCCCAGCGGCAGCTCAATTTTAAAATAATTATTTTTTTACCCGCGCGGCGAAGACAATCCCCATCCCACTACTGTACGACGTAGGTCCTGCACGTCGCTTCGTTGTCATTCAATTTCAACTGTTTGCTGCCCTCCACTCGATCTAGAAGCTTCAATCTCTCGTGCTGCTGAGATGGACCCATCGCCAGGCCGCAGGCCCAATCAAGCGCCAGGTACTCTGTACGTTTCGGCGTCGAGCCTGCTGTGGGCTGCTGTAGGCGCAGCGCCGCAGGGCGCCGCAAGCCCACAACGCACCTTTCGCAGGCTCACACCTCAGCGTTGTTTGGGCCACCCGCCTACAGGCCCGCAGCGGCGCTAGACATTCAGTGGCTCCGCCCGCTAATAAGGGCAAAGACGCAAGCCCTGGACCCCGCCGTCTCGGCGCTCCGGGGGGAGGGGGCGCTGTGCGTCCGGAGGTACCTTCCGATGCTTACTATAGTACAACGCCCTGGAAGAGGGCCTGGGGGGAGCCCTGAGGCCCGAGGGAGAGGGGGAATAGGCGGACGCTGGCCCGCCGGAGCCCTGGGGGCCCTGGCTCGCGGGCTTGATGCTCATCCCTGCAGAGGCGATCCGTCCTCGCCCAAATCTCACTTGCAATCTCCAGGTCGCAGGCCGTTGGTGCTTTGGTCCGCGCGGGTGTGTTTTTGAGTGGATGTTACGGTGCTGCAGTCTCCGGCCAGTGGTCTGTGGTCGCGACGCAGTCGTCGAGCAGCTCCTGTTTTGCTTGGCCTTGGTTCCTCGCAGCTGGTTTTCATCCCACGACCAGTCAACTCACCTTCAACCTACCAGGGCCAGGGGACTTGCGAGAGAGCAGGAAAAAAAAAAAGGAAGAGAGATCGCATATTATCTTTCTTCCTTCTCCTACCTCTTCTCTGATCCGATCTTGCCCCAAAGCCCGAAACCGACGCTCCTCCCCTCGTCCCCCCCTCGCACACGCTCTCAACGGCGTTTCCGTGGCGGCGGCTTCAGACCACCTCCAGCTCCATCACGCGGCTGCTTCACCTTGAACCGGCGCGTCCTTCGTTCCCCCCACCGCGCCCTCGATTTCCCTCGCCCTCGGCCTCATCCTCGTCGCCGGTCCCCCAAGGAACCAGAGAGCGCACCGCACCGACCAGCGCACAGCCTCTCGCCAAGTCCTCGACCTGTTTGCCGTCTCGCGTTGCTTCGCCTTCGTCTGCCCCATCGTCGTCCCGGACCTCTGGGGCAATTTTGGGTGTGGTTGCATCGCTACAACGCCTCTTCAACCTTTGGGCAACACACGCCGACAAAGTCAATCAACCCTCCATGGCTTGACGATGCGCAACCCGTCCGTATCCAGAACCACCGTCACCCTCCCCTAGAAATGCTAGCCGTTGTCTTCTCTCTCGCCTGAGTTGAGAGTCCCTCGCAATCATGCAGGCCGTTCCAAGTGTAAGTTTGTTGACCATTCCCCCATTTCTCGTCACCCGTTCCGCAATCCGTAGTCAACATCAAACATACCCAGCCCATCGAGCCCACCAACATCACCACTTTCACACCACACCACATCCCCACGTCTAGCAATAGCCTTTCCGCATTCTATCACACGGCCCTCTTCTCTTCAAACCCTCTTTTGTGGATTGTCTCCCAGTTTCCTTTTGCAGCAATCATTGACGTCGACTCTTGTCTCTAGCTCGTGGGAACGGGCACTGCTATTGCTGCAGCGGCCAGCGGTTTGGTATTCGGCCAACCCACCGAACCAAACTCCGCTTCTCCCTCCCTCCGACCTTCGACCCGCAGTAGACGAACCTCTACCGACCGCGAGCCGACATTTCGCCCTCGAGCGACCAATTTCCTTTTCTCACGACCCGCAACGAGCACTACGTCGAACCCCCACGGGAGCTCACAATACCACACCCTCCCGCGACCCGCGACGGCTTCAAGACCTCCCCTCTCCCGCTACCAACGGCCACCCCAACCTCAACCCCAGGCGACAGCGACGCCTCCACCTCCCAAGGTTAGCAGCAGGAAGTCGTCTTTCGTTAGGCGCACAGAGTCACCCGCTCCCATCGCCGAGTCAAGAGACTCAATCTCTTCCAATGGATCGTGGATGAGGCGCCTATCCCTCCGCCCATTGTCCCGTCACGAAAGCCCCAGATCCAGCATTGGCCCCGACACTCCCTCCATCTTCTCCCACGGCTCTGCTGCGCCGATGCTCCCCTCTGACCCTGCTGCGCCATCTCTCCCTCCGAATAAACTTGTTAAGCGATCGACGTCGACCCAATATACCGACGAAAACGCCGACGTAGGCCGACGTTCAAAGTCTCACTTGCCGACTTTGCGACGACCTGCGACGAGCCATCAACGCTCTGCTACTCTTCAGAGGTTCCAGGTCGATTCTACTGTGACGACCCCGACAGAGCCTCATAAATTCTCATTCGGCGATCACTCACAACCCCACGAGTTCCTCGCTTCACCCCCGATCGTGACCCCGGTACGATCAACCACAAGAAGTGGATGGACATCGTTTTTCCACACCAAGACGGCTAGTGTGAGCTCACGGGCAAGTCCCGGCCGTTTTGGCGATCTCAGTCCGCATGCTCGACTGGTATACTCGAAGCGCATTTGCACCGGCGAGGACGAACACCGCAACCGGGCCCATCTCGTTAAGCCGCGACTGGTCACAGGCGCTTCAGTACCTTCAGCCTCTTCAGTGCCGTCAAGACTGTTGCCTGCTGCAGACATTCAGGAATCACGCCGTCTACCAACTCTGCCAGTTCAAGAATATTCACCATCCCCCGAGGGCACGCCCTCAAGAGGACCGCGAAAGTCCATTTCGATGCCTTTTACGTCGGCAGGGAATTGGGTGTCGAGGACCTCGGGCAGTATCCGTCGGCCCAAGCGAGGCGCTGAGTCCAGAAACGGAAATAAGCGACATGTGTCAGAACCACTCACTGGCGCGCAGACCGGCGCAGAATCTCCAGCCAATCCCCCGCTAGAATTGGCCATTTCGCCAGCATCGCCTACTCGGCAGGGGTCGGCGCTTGGTTCAGCTACCATCTCGTCGCTGCGAACGCGTAAAAGGAACTCATCGTCACCAGTCCCCCCGCTTTCAAGACTTTCAAGTTTCCATGTGGATGCGTCGCGATTAGGGTCTTCCAGCGGGGTGCCCACTCACCACACTCGGCCTAATCAACCCTCTGGAAGTTCGACCAGCTCTGCTGCCATGTCACAACTCAGGGGACCGCAGCACGACAGGACCTCTACGATGGAGAGCTCCGAGGCCGACACTCGGGACTGTACGTCGGTAGACGACGACGACACGGATTTCAAGAGTGACACCATGTTTGACTCTCTGCGGACGGTCGCATCCGGCCGCGCACGGGCGGTTGAGACGCCTCTGGAGTCTATGTATGACGAGTCGCCGCCCAGTACCGCTGGCAACGGAAAGACGAAACGCCTCTCTATTCAGGAAATCCTCGGCCGGACGTGGGACGAGGACGATAAGATTATGGAGGAGGACGAGAGTGTACCCACGCCGGTTCGCACAGTCCACCGGAATGAGGCTAGCTTCGCGCGCCGAGATATGTCTGGGCCCCGTTTCAGGCTTGACTCCTCCTCACCCCGTGATGTTTCAATCCCCACCAAGGACTTCAATCGCATGTCCTTGGATGACGACTTTGACGAAGACTGGGTCAGGGACGACGATTTTCCGTGCAACCCTCTGTCACCTCCTTCCAAGGGCAACTCACTAAACTCCAGAAGAATTAACCCCAACGTGCGACTGGCCCTTGCCAACATCAGTGGCAACGGGATGCTCGACATGAACGGCAACGACAGCCATAGCGAACGACCGCTAAGCAATCTGTTTGACTGGAGCGAGCCTCCAACCCACGACAAGTACGACACAGTCGGGGGACGCTCCCCACGCCCAAAGACTGCGTACGCAAAGCAAGAGATGGACTCTAGAGGCGGCCGCTCAGCTATTCGGAAAGGACCCACGCCGACCCATGTGCGCAGCCAAAGCGTCCCCGTCGTCCACGATTCTCCAGATGACCCGAAAACCTCCGGAGCCAAGTATGGCACGTGGGGGATGGGTACCAAGACAGTCAGCGAAGACTGGGATGATGACTTCGAGTTTGGCGGTGGTGGCATGGGAACCGGCGACAAAGATGACAAGATGTTTGCAGTTCCAGAGTCGATCCGAGCCACACAACCCAGTGTCAAAGCCCATTCGGGGCACATCCGGGAATTTTCTCTCCTCGTCAACGATCTGAAACGCCTCTGTCGCCATGGCCGGGACATGGATATGCTCGAAGGGTCACAACGAGGCTTGTGGAAAGAAGCAGAAGGCATCATTGCCTTGGCATCGCCGGACGAGGACTCGATGGAGGAAGAGGATGATGACCAGAAATCTACGTCGTCGATCAACTTTGACGCCTTCGAAATTGACGAACGCTTTGGCGACGACGGATTTGACGCGCACTCCATGGACCGCCTGGATGCTGCCTTTGACGGTCGGGAACCCGCGATGTCAAGAACGGCCGTGGTACGGGAACGGCATTCTCCCAGGCGACGATCCGTCTTCTCGCCCGAAGATGACATATTCGGCAACTGGCCATTAGCAGATGCAAACCATGTGTCGAACCGGTCAAGCCGGCCTAGAACACCCGAGAACCGATCGCACAAAACCCATGATGTGTCCGGAGTTGTCCGTTCTGTCATGGAAGCTATGCAACATCGCACACAGCCTGACGAAGTTTCTCCTAACGATGGCAAGGTACACTTTGACACAAACAGTCTCAAGGCCTTGGTCAAAAGGGCGGGGGATCTACGCGACTGCCTTTCAGATGCCATCCGACGAGCAGACCAAATCACACACAGTCCTGCGCGAACGCCTCGACATGAACGCCAACTCGAATCGAGCCCCGCCTTCACCCGCGTTTTCGATGACCCAGGCTCGAGCCCGCCACGACGAACAGTTAGGGGTCGAGGAAACATCCCTCTCATGGATGGCACATCAACAGAGAACTCTCCCTCCAGCCTGCCCCAACGGATGCAGATGATGACTGTCGGTTGAAAGTCACTCTGTTGGAGGACTGAACAGGTGCTCTGCATTCTTGCATGAGCGTGTACAAAAGATTTTGTGGAATTTTGTTTGCATAGCGACGGTCTCGGAGGTCCAGGGTTTTTATGCGATTACATCCGCATGGCTTAAAGGGTACGCTCGCCTCAATATAGGTGATGATCGGCCCCGGGGAGCTACGACATTATTGCAGTCCACTAGCTGTACCCGAATCTTCTCGACCTTGTCTGGATACTACTCGGCTGAAAAGGCTTCTTCTTGGCGGAGGGTTTCCTTTCGACAACGCTGGTTACGTTAGCCCTGCCAATCCAATGGCAGTGGTGATGACGAATCCATGGCAGCTCACGGAGAGCTGGTGCGGCCACGACTTGCACGCCAGATGGACGACCCCAAGAGGCGAACTTAAGGAGCATACATACATTGAAATGCCCTTAACGAGGATACGCCTCTCTAATGAGCCCCTCACAAGTAATAGGTAGACAGGACAAACAAACGCTACGGCGGTTCATGTCGGTACTTGTTCACACGGGTATAACTTGTGAGGGTTATATTTTTAACGGATTATTTTCTTGTGTTGTTCCCTTTGTGTGGTACGAGGAAACGTCACTTTCTTTTGTTCTCTTCTCTCTGTTATTAGTGTCCTTCTGACACACCTTAATGCTTTGACGATTATTAAAGGAAGGAAAAAGGGCGATGGGAAGGAAAGACGATGCTCTCGAGAAGATGATGTTCTTTCTCTCGACAAAGAATACTTTTTTTGCACGAACTCATGCCACGCATTGCGATGGGAGAAAGCGAGAAGGAGGGATGAGAGAAGGAGCACACATACATGCATACAATGAAAACAGCTACAAGAGAGGAAAGAAAACGAGGGGAATGAGGATGAGGAAGAAGCACACAAAAAAATTCCATGGAACGCCGGGGGTTCTTTTTTTCTTCGACTTTTCGGGGTTTGGGATAACATAAAGGCTGGGATGGGCAGGGGTAAACATACGGAAACGGGGGATGGAGGATGGTGCAGGAGGAGAAGAGGATAAGTGAAAGGGTTTTCACGTCGCATTAAGCGTATACTTGTACGCTCTGTTTGTTTTTTATGATTGCATGCATGGATAGAGCTTAACGCCATGATGATTTATTACTACCTCTAAAAACGGAGTCCTATCGTGTGAGTGAGAGTGGTGCGCCGAGTTACGAACTTGGGCATGACAGAACATTGACAGTTTGGATTGATATGGCGGATGTGGGGCAAGAGAAAGTCATTGGAGAAAATCAAGAAAGGCTTGACTTGTTTATGAGTGTTGATACTTACAGGCACACTCGTTGCTATTCGCAAGCAGAATATGTACCCTACCATTTCGCCATTGATTGCAATGTCCTTTCTCAAATGAAATGCCAAATATGACATAACTGTTTTGTTTTGTTCACAGATATTGCAATATTGATTATTCTACTAATTTTCTTCGTTCGTGGATAAGTCCTTTCTTTTGTCAACGTCTAAGACGCACAAGTACTTGGTGGACATAAAACCGTCGGAGTTGGCAGTGCCCCATCCGGAAGTCATGTATCCAATGCGTGCAAGGGTCCATGGGTGTGCGTACGTGGGAATAGAAATGCCGCCGATTCTTTACTTCAATAAACTACTGACGGGGATGTTGTCTTTCGCAGCGTGTATGTAACCAATGCCGCTCCTGTTGGTTATCGTGATGCCAACCCAAGTCGGGCCTGTTTTGAGCCAGCTACACACCCCCCTCCTTCAATCTGCAAACATTGACTTCTCGAAAGAGCAGCAGGACTAAACATCGAACGACTACAATGACCCAAGAAACGTCCTGTGAGCAATTGCGCCTTTAACGTGCACTAGTCCGACCTCAACACCACCGCCAGGCCCAATTATCCACGGCCCGCCGGCACGAAGCGTGCTCAACACCACATCACAGCAGTCCAGGGCCATCTCCACTTCATGGGCCAGATGAGCAATGATAGGGACGCATAGCTACGGCTACCCTCGCAGCGCATGCCCTCACGGGAGGAGTAGCCCCAGAGCATCACCCACTCACACCTGCTGCGACTTGGATGGATACGCAGCGAGAAGGGGCTGGTTCCTACGTCGAACCATCTCAACACCACCTTGCTCCTCGTTGGCAATTGTTCGTGCCTTTGCGCTTCACATTGCCATGTTCTGCACGCCAGGGTTGGCCGTCATGTGTGACACTCCCCGCGCTCACATGAAGTGATTTTGGCCGGACATACAAGCCCGCGACGGACATGCGAAGCCGAACCACCGAAAGAATCAAAACATCACACGACAGCTCCCGCTGCGTCATAGGATGGAAAAAAGGGTTCTCGGGGATCCTGGACAGGGACGACGACTAGATATCGCAGATATCACACGATATAGCTCTGACATGTGCAGGGACAGAATCAATGCGACTGGCGGAACCAGACAGTCGTGAGACAAAAAAGAATCCATGATTTTGCTTTCGCTGGCTAGGTACATCATGATGAGAACGCTGGTATACAAGGATGGGCAAATAAATCCAAACCCAAATCAAAACTTATTCCAAATTCGCTTGCGCCATTCCACAAATAGTGCGTGCATTTACTTTTGCATCGCACATGTTCTTCCCCCGAATTCGTTGAGGATTTCCAATTTCCAATTTCTCCGAACAGTCCCAAGTCATGCGCTGTCCCGCGCCACGGTGCTTTGTAATTGTCGTCATACAGCACCCCCGAGATGCCGAGGGCCCCCAAAAGGATCCCCCAACGGACACCCCACTCCGAGGCAAGAAAGCCTCCGAGGCCCCGAGCCTCCGCAAAGTCCACCTTAATTCCGGTTCCTGGCTTACCAAAGCTTCACCAGGGACATGCTCTGTCGGAGCGATTTGTCAAGCCAGGCTCGCTCTTCCTCAATCGTTGCACCGGCCGTGGCGGCGGCGACGGCAGCAGGGTCCGAGGTCCAGAGCGCCTGTGCACTGAAGTCCCGCGGCGTCTCGCTGACCCCGGGAACAAAGGCCGAGACGGACGAGCCGTGGAAGACCGGCGGCGGCGGGCGGGCCTGCAACTTGCCGCCTCGGCGCAACGTCTCCGACGAGGCGCGGAGCTGGCTGTCGTCGAGCTCGCCGGGGGTCGACGTGAGCACCAGGTAGCGGTTGGTGGGCGAGGACGAGGGCCGCCACATGGCATTGTCATCAGCCTCCTCTTCTGACATGTCATCATCGCGCTTGGACCAGAGTTGGTAAGCAGAGGATGGGGAGTCGGAGCTGTCAAGCACATGGTCCTTGCTTGCCAGGGTTGCGGTATCCTTGCTTGCGGAGATGGCAGCTTGGAGAGCCTCCAGCCACTGAGCCGGGGTTGCATCCAACCGACGGGCCGGCTTCGTAGAGGCGTCCTCGAAAGTGACAGAAGAAGCGACCGACGAGGCGGTAGTAGAAGCCTTGGTGGCGTCCAGGGACTCGGTGTCCGTCGACGACGAATCGACAGACGAGGTCCTGGGCTTGGAGGACGAGATAACAAGCCAGTCTAGCTCAACTGCAGGGGACTGATCTCGCACAGACCAGAGGCTATCTGAGGTGAGCTTCGGCAGAGGCTCCTGCGAGATGCGCGCCTTGCTCTTGGTAACAAGCGCGGCGGGTGGCTCGGACGTAGTGCGGAAATTGGTGCGGCGGTGGTTCAGGCTGAACAGGCCCTCATGAACAAGCTCGTCAATCTCTCGCTGCATCTTGACCGCCGCAGCAGCAGCGGCGGCGTCCCAGAGCGGAGTCTGGTTCCAGAGATGCGTAAAGCCGAAGTCCGCGAACGGCGGCTGCGGGGCCCGGGGCTTACGAGCCATGAGCAGTGCGGCCGGAGATAGTGACGTGGTCCGGAAATCGGAACGCTCATGGCTCAGGCTAAACAGGCCCACGGGTTCTTTGGGTTCGGCGGCGGCGGGAGCAGGCGCCCACAAGCCAAAGCTGACCGCTTCGGGAGTTGAGCTAGAAATCTCCAGCGGCGCATCCACAGTGCCGTTGGCGGATTTGGGGGCAGTCCACAGGGGTCCGTCACCACTGACGATGGTCGCCTTGGAAGGTTTCGTCCACATGGCCTGGCTTTTAATGGTGGCAGGGTGAGCCTCTCGCTGCTTCACGCGTGGTGTTTCCTCGTCGACGGGGAGATAGGTCGCCCACAACTCCGCATCGGGCTGGGGGAGACCGTAGGAAACTCGCTCAATAGCCGGGGGCAGCGCCCACATGGCCGGCAGCGTCGCCGTCAATTCCTTGGGCGAAACGGGGGTCCAGAGTCCATCGAGGGAAGGCTCGCGGGCCCTCTGGGGCGGCGGCTGGACCCAAAGGGCAGTGCTCTGAAGCGTGGCGAGCTCGGACTTGCGAGCCTGGGCACGAGCAGCGTTGTCGATGGGAAGATAGGAATTCCAGGTTGAGGCGTCAGGTTGAGAGAGCCCCTTGGAGGGGCGCAGGATGGGAGCGGCTGGGGGGGACCACAACATGGCCATCGGACCAGCAAGCGATAAGTGGTGGGCGTTCCGGAGCAGGATCTGTTGCTGGGGAACGGAGTTCTGAGTCGACACTGGGGACAATGGCGACAATGGAGAGGACGAGTGAGAGATTGATGAGAGAGCAAACTTGGGGAGGGTTGCAGAGTCGGCGGAGGGGGAGGTTTGTATAAAAGCGTCCTCGTCGGCGTTGGCGGAGTATTCTGCGGAGGGCAGCAAAACCCTTGGGGAAACTGGATGCGCTGGGACCTGGCGGGGTGGCGCCTTGGCCTCGACGGAATTCAATGTCCACGCCGCAACTAGGGTGTGGGCGTCGTCGGCGTCGTGAGCGAGGGTGCGCTGAGGGTGGTGAGGGTCTGTCTGAGCCGGACCAGGATTGCGAGGGATGGGGCTCGCAGAAGGGGTGCCAGACGGCTCATGATCGGAGGGGGCCGTCGTCATTGGCGCGCCAGCCAGGCGATTAGGAAGCACAGAGTCGGAGTTGCTTATTGAATCAACACCTCCACCGTGGCCACCAAATCCACCATCTCCGCTGCCCTGCTGTCTAAGCTCGGCCTTCGGCGACAGGCCCCTCGCGGCATCGGTTGCCGAGTTCAGATTGGCCTCGTCCGTGCCCGCGCTGGCGCTCGCCTGCGCAACAGGCTTTTCGCGACCCTGCAAAAATCCATGCATAACCCCGTGCAGCCGCCCAGGGCCCTGGTCCGTTTCCATTGGCGTCGCTGTGGCGTGGGGGCCGTCACTGCGTGGTGACGCGCTTGCGGCCCTAGGTGTCCTTGGTGTCCCCGCTGTCATTGGCGTGTCCCGGGCTTTGGGTGTGCCCGTCACTGCTGGGAGTCCTGGGAGTCCTGTCTTTGGCGAATTGGTCTCTGACGACGCGAAATTAGTAGTGATAAACCGCAGCGCTTCAGGGTCGTCCCTCCTCACAAATTCCACACCGTCTGCCTCGTCGGAGTAAAGCGTGGTAGCGCCGTCTTCTCCGCGCTGGGGAATCTGGTAGTGTGCGTCTTCAGCGGGGAAAAATCCGCTACTGCTGCCTCTCTCCTGGCTCGGCTTGAGCAGGCTGGCAATCTCCCACAACACTGTCTCATCAAATCCATCGTCGTCGTCGTCTTCATCGCTCTCCGAGTAGTAGCTACCGTAGTCGCTGTCTCCATCCTCCTCCGCCTCATAGTCCTCAAAGAACGACGTTGAGCCCGGTGCATTCCCGCTGCCCATTGCGGTCCGCTCCCGTCCCTGTCCCGTTGTCATCGTGCCGGCCATGGCCATCATGGTCAGCGGCCGAGCCGGGACAGAGGGCATGTCTGACATCTCGCCCCAGGGAAATTGGAAGATCCCCAGAGTTCCACGCCTATCGAGGGGCTTGGGGCTCTCCAGAATGTCTGGTAGCAGGGTGATCCGCTTGCTCTTGCGTGGGGGCCTTTGAGTCGCCAGCCGGTTAACTTGTTGCTCTATTACTGGCTCCATGGCTGGCTCCTGCTCCGGCTTGACCTGCAGTTGGTCCTCGCCCCCAGAGACGGGGCGCGACGTTGATCGCCAGACTCCATGCTGCGAAAACCGGCGTTCAGATACGGGCTTCTTCCAGAGATGCGAGCTCTCAATTGTAAGAGGCTCCAAGTTTTGGTCAATCCGACGTCGGACCGTGTCTAGAGCAATCTGACTAGGAACAATCTCTGAAGCCGCAGCTTTAGCTGCTGGGGTCCAAAGGAATGCCCGTGTAGCCCCAGATACTGCTGCATCAGAGGAAATGGGGCACCACAGCGTCTTGGCAGGGTGTGTATGCGCGACCCTGGACTCTCGGTCGTATTCGCTTCCGGCGGCGTCATCAGTCCATTGAGGAGCGGTCTTGCTCAATGAAAATAAAGGCTCGCGTGAACCCGCAACCTGCAAGCTTTCTTTGTTGTTTGCCGCCTTAGTCGGCAGGTCTCCTCGGCTGCCCACGTATGCGGTCTGGTCTCGGGCCAATGCTTGTTGTGGCATGCCGCCATGGGTGGGGTCTGAAGCTTGGGATGAGGGGTGTCCAGTGTTGCCAGCAACCTGCTCCGGGAGCAATTGCCGGGATACCTGTTTCGTAGAGGCGGCCTGCAGATAGTCCTCTCTCAGCGGTGTCGCAAATGATCGACTGGCGCTCCCAAGCAGTGAATCTAGGTCTGGTGTAGCCCCAAGCGTCGATTGCGAATCTCTCACCAGTAGCGTTCCCCGGAGTCCTTGCCATTGATGCTCCTGCTGGCCCAGCTCCGTTTCGAGATCGGCTAAGAGGGTCATTCTCTCTCCTTGTCCGCTACTGGCCGATTCTCTGCCCGGATCCTCAAGTTTTCTCAGCTGCTCTTGAATCATGGCTAGCGCGTGCTCGGGCGACTCGAGCGGTGACACTTCAGCCTGAACTGCCATAGGCACCATGTTGGTCCTGTTGAGCAACAGCGGCGCTGGTGGAGGGACCTTTCGAGGTCTCACAATTTGTCCTCTGTCTGAGAATGACGGGCATTCTTCCCCGACCCGACGGTGCCATCCGTGCTCGCTCTCAGTAATTGCCTGTGCTTCCTCAGCCGCTACGACAACGTTGTCCGCGGAGGTCTCCGACATAACAGTCGAGGCCCCCATGTCCTCATCCCGGCCCTGTGGGGGCAGTGTGCCGACCACGACTTCGGCACCATTATGTAGTAGATGCAGCTTTGGAACAGCTGGCACATCGACAGCTCGGGCTTTTTGCACATTGACAAACGTTCCTGGAGAGTGGATTGATCCCCAATTGGTTGAGGCCTCGTCATCTCGGCTCCTGGCCTCGCTGTAAGGGGAAAACATGCTCAAGTCCTCGGCCGGAAGAATAGGTGATGATCGTCGATCTGCTACGTTTTTGGATGAAGTTTTCTGCGTTGGTGACTTGGATGCCTTCGGTTTCAGTTCGCGATTAGCGCTCTGGGGGTCGGTTGATTTGGCTTTCGAGGAGCTAATACTCTCTTGGGGTCGAGGGAAGTCTTCAAGCAAGATGGATATGCTTTGAGTCGCTGCAGATGTTCTTGCCGACGCGTCTGTATGATATATGCTGTTACGGGGAGATGCCATGTCCACCTTGTCGTCCGACAGCATCATCGGCATGATGGGAACATCGGGTACTGATCGTGATCGTCTCCTCATGCTCCCTGCTATGCTTGATCTTGCACTCCCACTTTGCGGGTAAAACATGTCCATCTTCTCGTCCCAGGTCATGCTTCTGGCATCATCTGGCTGAGCCCGAAGTAGGATTCCGGCGCTTTTTGGCAGTGGCGGGAGTGCAAGAAGCTTGCCAGAATTCGGGACGGCCGGGAACATCATCAATGTCCTGGTCCGGGAAAGGCCATTAGAGAGTGATCGCTTGTGCTGGTGCATGTTTGGAGATCCTTCGGCAGGGAATATGGCGCGGTCAATCGAAGGTAGTCGAGGAATGGGCCTTGGCCTATGAACCATCGAAGCAGACCGTCCTGGAGACTTCATCGACTGCTTATCTTTCGCCGAATCCACAACCCTCTTAACAGCAGCTGGGTTATTGTACTCGATGCTTTTCATGAACATGACAGTCTGATCCTGAGCCACTATTCGGTCCATATTCATCCGAATTGCCCTGGGATTGCTTGGTAATCCAGATTTTGCTGGAGTGAGGGCTGGTAGGTTTGTCGTAGAAGGGGTTTTAGGACCTGGAGGCTCCGGTCCCTGTCTGGAGGGTCGGATACCTTGTTTGGCCGGTTCGTGTTCGAGCGGGAGAACCGGCTTTCGTGGATCTACTGGAAAGGAGAAGTTGACCTTAGACGGAGGAAACGGCGCATTTGGTAGAGGCTTCGTAAGCGAGGATATCCGATTTTGCTGGAGAGATGACATGCGAGTAGGGAACTGCGGCTCTGGTTGAGATGAACCACTAGTTTGCGGACGACGAGTATTTGCTGCTTGTGGCTGAGTGATATTTGTCGCCTGTCGAGGAGACCTTCGTCGAAGTTCTTCCATTCCCGGGGAAAGCATGGTGGCAGAGGTTGTCGCCATCGATTTCTCCATAGACGATAATTCAGGAACCTGGGCCCCTCCTCCACCAGCGTATGAGTTTGCCACGGCATCGCCACTCGAGATTAGCGATTTCCTCTTGACCGCTTTGGCGGGTATTGGCGGTGGTTGAAGCTCCGTGCGGGACACAAACGGTGCTGAGGACCCCAACATGTGGCTTGCTTTCGCTCGATCCTTCTCGTTCTGCGCTGCGGTAGCCAAGTCGATAGTCGGAATCTTGGTCATGACTTGTTGCTCGCTCGCTTCGCTCAAGATCGGGTTCGAGATGGTCAACTTAGTGCCCTTTCTCGTGACCATCCCAGGGCGTTTGTTGATGTCCCTAGCTTCCATGCTAACCGGCAGTGTCTGTGATCTCATCGGAGGGAAGAACTGGCCTTGCACGGGAACACCTCCGATCCCGGTCGCAGCTTGTCCGGCATACGGTCTTGCTATGACGGGAAGCTTGCCTGGCGGTCCTCCTGGTCCTGTTACGAGTTGGGAAGTCTGCAGTTGCGCCGCAGCTCTGAATGATGCAAGTGCGTCGTCCTTTAATTCCTCGTATCGGCTGGGGGGGAGCGTGGAGTCGCTTGTCGATATATCTCGGCTCTGCAACTGTCGAGTCGTATGGGGGCCTCGCATTGTTGCATCTTCGGTTAGGCTAGTAGAGTCTTCTTTAGAGGATACAAGACTGTCCTTGAACAGTGTCAAGACGCCTACAAATGGTAAGTGGAAGCCGTTCGATGGCGGTACTTTACGTACCAATCAAGATCGAGAGACCAGTAGCGGGAACCGCGGTCCTAGTAATTACATCGGCTGACCTGATGCCCAGCATCAGGGGAGCGCTCATCTGTGGTTCTCGGTTAGAACTTGAATCTGTGACGCAACGCTCATGCCAAAGACTCACCGCAGTCCAGATTCCCAAGCCAGCAATCGTTAAAATGGCAGCCCTGCTCCGACTTGATGTAGCCGTTCCTTGCTGCATATCTTTGATCAATCCAAAGGAGATAACCCGGATCAGAATGACAGTCGTGAAAGCCAAGTCGGCGGCAAGGAGGACAACGCCGAAGGGCAAAAGCGACGTAGTGGTAATGCAGACAGTATCGAGTTGGGGTCGCTGAAGCCCGACGAAGACGGCACCGAGAATAAATCGCATGATGATGGCGCCTTGTGTGAGGAGGGATTCGGCTTGCGGAACCTGGCCATGGTGGTCGACAGCCCAAATGATGGCTTGTTGTAGGGATACCCGGGCGAGTTGGTCAAAGATGGAGGCGAACACGATGGCGACCTGGCATCCTGTTGATGAGTTTACGTTGATTAGGGTAGAAATGAAATCTGTTTGAGCCCACAGGGCGGAAGTAGCAAGGAAAGTAACGAGGACCAGCCTCAGGCCGTCTCGTAACAGCGACGAGGCATGACCTTTAAGATATAGAAAGACAGCGCCCGATGCGGCATTGACAACTAAGCCACTGTGTTCGTCGATTAGTCTGCGGGGTTTCTGGTGTTGGTCGATGGGTAGGTTAGACTGACAAGGAAAAGGCCGCAGTCAAGGCCTGGGTGTTGATTGAGTCCGCCATGATGATATCCGGGGCATCTGGGTCGGTATAAGAAGGCAAGATAAGAGGAGATCCCAGTCAATGAGAAAGACAGAATAGAAAGAAGCAATTAGACGAAACGGATTAAAGTGCCATGGAACAAATGAAAGATGAAGGCATCGCGAGCGATAGTCACTGCGCCATTGAGTATCGGTACAAGCCCCGACGAAGGAGAGACAGTACGAGACAATGAGAGACAATGAGAATGAAAGGGAAAAGAAACTGTGAAGGAACAGCGTCGCGTTGCATGTCTGACACTTTGGGCAGACAACCCAGAGCATGGGGTTAGAGCGGGAGGATGGAGTGCGCTTGCACCCGTCTGGGCAAAATGGGGGTCTCAAACAAGCGACCTCAGGTCAAACAGGTCCGTGTTCGAGCCGGCTCTGGAGGTTCGCGATAATCAAGCACGGTGGGGAGCATGATTGGGCCACTGGGCGAGGCTGAGAGGAGTCGGTAGCGCGTCGACGGTAGTATGGTTTCATGTGAAACTCGGCGTGTCGAGAAACGGCATGGATCTGTAACGGCGAAGAACCTGAGACGAGCGGAAGGGCCGGTGGCCACCGCGCCAGATGGACGAAATACACTGGGGGATCGATAATGCCTTGGGTCCTGGGCATAGCGAAAGCTCTTAATCGGGTGTGCGCCCACACGTCGTCTCTGTCTTAGGGCTCCATTTCCGTCTGGTCTCCGTTGCTGTCGTAATACTGGTGGGCGACACCAGCTACCCAGTGGACGGGAGCGTCGCGACAGGCCGGGGCCCGCCTGCTGAGGTGACATGTAAAACAATGGCCGAGCCGGATCGCCGTTGCCAAGCGGGCGACAGTTGGAGGCGATACCTGCGGACCATCAGAAGTGTCAAAATGCCCCATCTGGCGATCAAAGGAAAGAAGCAACGGGAAGAAAAATAGAAGAGAGAAATGAATCGACCCGTCGGGCACAACAGGAAGAGTAGACGCCCAGCGGCAAGACACGAGCCCTTCGGACTGTGACCGAGAGTCGGGACACAGAGGACGGGGGGACCCGGCTGCTGGTGCGCAGTAGCGTCACCCGTCATGCAACGGCAGGCAGGGGGCTTTCCCGCCTGGGGGCAATGGGGACGGTTTTCCCAATTGGGCTAGGAAAATGAGTTCCTTCGGGGAACGGTTCAAGACGGGCGAAATGTCCATGCCTTGTGGCGGCGGCGGCGACGGGCTCCAAGATGTGTTGTATTTTGGCTGTGGATGTGGAGGTTGAGGTTGTTGAGCCGGTGCGACGGTAGGTTGCATTCGTTATTCGTGGGTGGTGAGGTGGAAAGAGGCAAGTGCTGATTGGCAGGTACCGATGCGCCTGTAACACTACATCATCAGACCTCACCTGTCGACACCTGCCGACGCCTGCACCCCGCCTGTACAATACGGGTCCTACATGTTGCGCCTGTTTCTCAACGCACCACCGCCACTCGCAGAGAGCTTGGTTATCGTCGAGTCCACCAGACCGCACGTGCTCTAGACATGCAGCAGTAGACGGACATGGCAATACTTTGTCGAGTCAGCGGCCTCCGACTGGAGTTGGGCAGCTTGGCATTGTGTGTCAACGTTAGCTAGGGCTAAGCTTCTGCTCCATCAACCCGAACATCCCACACATTACCTGCGTCATCTGCATGTCTGCTTACCCTGGACCACAACACCTCAATATCTGTTGTACTGCAGACAGTATCGGGTTTCTTTTCACTGTATGAATCAATTGGTATTGTTTTGTATCGCCATGTCACTTACACGAAGGTGTCGGTTTTTTATGCCAGTATACCAACACCCACATTCCAACTCACCACCCACGCTCCCTCGCACTCACAAATTAGTCACCACCCACGCCCTTAATACTACAATAACCATTCCATTACACACATGCCGCCTTAAACCACCTCTCATCTCCCTCCGCCGCCTTGACTCCCGGTCCTTGCCGGTTGCCTTTCACTCATCTGACCGGCCCGGCCATGCTGTAATTACACATTAACGCAGATGAACCATCCCCAGAACGGGATGTCCGTCCACCGTCCAAACCCACTCCATCCCACCCGCATATCAAATCGTCACCTAACACTCCCGGCCGAGTCGACGGGCTGCATCCGGGGCGGCGCAGGCAGTACTTGTATAAGGAAGTTCCGTTATCGTCACAAATGGTGACTCTATCTACTTGCCTCTCATGGTTAGCACCATGGTTCGTCCCTGACAACTAGTTGGGCAGTTTGGGACCGATCGTGGATCTGCAGCTAAATTAGGTGCTTCGACGCCCTCTGTAAACCACTAAACCACCCATTTTACGTTCCACCATTTCCCCACGAATTTGACTCGCCAATCGCCGCCCGCCTGATGGTCAGATGCCGGTCCAGCCGCACGACGACGACGTTGCAGGCCCATTCGACTCGGGCAGACATGGAAGGGAACCAGCCTGGTACAAAGTTGTCATACGTAGACCCAAGCGTACTCCCGTACCTACGAGGTTACTTACACAGCATATGCACAGATTGTTCTCCGCCATGTGGCTACTCCGCCTCTTATTTCATCACGATGCAGTTCCACTATCTTGATCCCGTCTAGATGAGTCAAGCTAACACTCCGTAGCCACAGCATCTCGGTTCCGAAGTGATAACTTATCGTTGTTAGCTTCTACTATATAAGGCGCCTATGCTGCAGGACTATGAGCTGAGACATACCAGACCAGACCCAACATCACCACTGCAACGTCTCATTCACTTTATCTCACACAACCACCCTCAACCACATTTACTCAACCTCCCAACACCTCGCAAAGCCGCAGCCATGGGCCGCTACGACCTTGAATACCCCAAAGAGGCCACTAACACGGTCAAGCGCCTCAACGACCGCGGTGTCTATGCCCTCGAGTCAATCCACCGCATCGTCAACTCTTGCCAGATCCTGCACGTCTCCTTCACCACGCCATCCCAACCCTTCCCTGTCATCCTCCCCATGATCGGCCAGATGGGCTCATTCGAACGTCCTAGCGCCGACCTTGGCGACCCCCTGGACCTCTACCTCCACGGATACGTCTCCTCGCGCATCATGAATCTCGGCCGAGCCGGCTCCGAGGGCGAGGAGGCCAAGGGGATGCCCGTGTGTGTCGCCGCGTCCCATGTCGACGGCCTTGTCCTTGCGATATCCTCATTTTCTCACAGCTACAACTATCGCTCCGCTGTGCTGTTCGGACATGCCACGCTCGTGACAGATGAGGCGGAAAAGATGTATGCCATGGAACTCATTACAGACAGCGTTGTCCCTGACCGCTGGCGCCATACTCGCTTGCCGCCTACCAGTGCCGAGCTCCAGAGTACCGGTATTCTCAGGGTTAGGATTGCCTCCGGAAGTGCAAAAGTCCGCGCCGGCCAGGCCCACGACGATAAGCACGATATGGAGAATGAGACTGTGCGGGACTCGGTCTGGACTGGTGTCCTGCCTATTCACCAGACCATGAGCGAGCCAGTTGCGAGCCCGTATAACCGCGCCGACGTGCCTGGCTACATCTCTGACTTTGCTAATGACTTCAACGGAGACAACAAGCAACTGTCTCTTGACGCCGCAAAGGACCAATAAAAGATGTTATAGAAGACGTTGAGTAAGGGTCTTGGGGACGGAGTTGCGCTCTGTAGTTATGGTGCTCTGAATCGAATGCTAGATTACCAGCCATATCGGTGATAAAATACTACTTGGTACATAGGTTCTTGATTAGGAAAGAAATACAATGGTTATCTTCACCACATCTCCCAGATCTTGGTGGGAATAACGGTCCTCATGATTGTCCAATGACCCGTCGCGCTCTTCTGGTGCATCTTGGTCACCTTGGCAGTGCTGTTCGCCGTGAGGATACTCTTGTCGTCACCCTCAAGCCACACAGACGAGGGGATTTCGTGACGCGGCTCCAGGAAGACATGACGCGAACGGCTCTCATGGTAGTCCTCCCGAACCGGCCGGCGGAAAGTCAGTTCACCAGGAGTCTTTTGGCAGAAGATGACCATGTTGATAAAATCATTTCCCCATGCCTTGACCGTCTCTTCAACCCGGGGGGCCTCACGGAAGACGCGGCAGGAGGGGAAGACCTTCGTGATGGTACGGATGATCATCTTCGGGGTAGGGGCGGCAAAGTCACCGGCATAGTTCTGGAAAAGAGTTAGTGTCGAATATCACTCGGCGTGCGATCCATGCAAATAGACATACAATGGCAATGGATCCGTCGTCCTTCAACAGAGCGTTCAGACCCTGGAAAAATTCTAGCGTGAAGAGATCGACCGGCTCTGCGCCGCCAGTAAACACATCATGGACGATGTAGTCAAACTTGGTGGTCGATTCATTGGCCAACTTGGCTGTGTAGCTGACAGCGTCGGCGATAACAGGTGGGTTGTTTTCGCGAAGGTCAAAGTACTTGCCAGCGAACTCGTGCACAACGGGGTCAATTTCAATAACAGTGGTGTCTATGCCATGGGTGACGAAAGAAGAAGGCGTAGTTCCGATACCAAGACCGCTGCATCATTGGTGTTAGCAAACCAGCTCCCTAGGCGTCTTGCGATGCACTTACATAACGAGGGCGTTGGCTTCATTGCTCACAATCGGGACCTCCCTCTCGATGAGTCGAACAGCCTCAAGCATGACGAAAACGCCATAAATCGGCTCAGAGATGATGGGTCCCTTATAGCGCACCCACTCGCCTCCCAGAAGACTGTGGTCACAACGGAGAACTCTGACTCCCTTGTCAAGGTCCTCGAGGACGGAGACGTACCCCGTCAGCGATTCACGGCGATCCAACAGGGTCCAATTCTGCGCCAGCAAAGTGCTGTTTAGCGAGTTTGTCGCCATGGGCGTCATGACGTGAGTGTTGAGCACTGCGGTGTGAAGGAGGGCAGGGATAGCCAGCACGAGATACTTGGACGGGGCGAGGACAGCGTATGTCGCTGCGAGGAGCAATTGCAGTCCGATGCGAGTCAGAACAAATGTCTTTCCAATAAAGGGTTGAAGTTGCTGGTTCGCAACTCGCTCCGCAAACTTGAAGAATCCCCAGGAGCCGATGCCTGGAGCCGCATCTGCCACGAATTGCGGCAACGCGCCGAGCTCCGCTTGCTCAAGGTAATTAGCCACGCATGCCGCAGTTACGGCGGCCAGGGGGAAGACAGTCAAACCCTCAATGGCAACAGGTCCCCACCACGAGCCGAGTTTGTCGCTGTACGGGCCGAGGAGGAACTGCACAATGGGGAAGTGCAGCGCCACGAGCGGCAGAAGCAGCTCGGTGGAGAAGGGCAGCATGCGGTTCAGGAACAGGTTGCCAGCCCAGCCAACGAAGCAGCCAGCCATGATGACGGGCGAGTGAGGGATGGCCGCAGGGATGGAGCCGAAGACGGGCGAGAGAGCGAGCTGGGAGGCGTTGGAGGCGACCCCGAGAAGACCCAGCACGATGGCCGTCTTGAGGTAGAGGGACGCTTGTCCCAGAGTGCTGTTGCTCCAGCTGTCATCCTTGGCCTTGGCCGCGAGGTTCTTGAGCTCCTTCTCGAAGCGCTCAGGCGAGATGCTGTCTGGCGCACCAGTCGCCTTGGACGATGCCGCCGCGGTCTTCTTCTTGGGAGCCATGATAGCTGCGATGTAGCCGCCGGAGAGTTGCGGTTAAGAAAATATGTACAAGGCAAGAAAGAGGAATGGAAGAACAGAACCAAAAACGATGAAGATTGCAGATTAAGTATCGCCCAGCGACTTCAAATGGCCCGCACCTGAAGCTCCGTTGATTTTGTTCGCGTTTCAGGGTGGATGTCGACGCGACATTGATCCGAAGGCATACGTGGAGCTAGAGGCTCGTTGTTAGCTAGGGATAGACCTCGTGGCTAGTGCTGTGGCTTGCACCCTCCGAAACCCAGCGCAGGGGCCTCAAGTCGGCCCAAACTGTCCCGGAGCTTTAACAGTGGCCTTATTTTCGCACCAATCTCGACATGCTCTTACAAGGCTTGGCTTCAATCGGCTGTTCAACTCTCACAGCTCCTCCTGGACGCTGCACTGACTGAACAAGGATGACCAACTTTATGAGTTAAATTGTGACTCTATCTTGACGTCGGTATATGACGAGATTAAGTTCGTAAGCGTCCGACCCCTAGCCGAGTGAAGCATGCACTTGACCCGACCATGGCCATGGGCCCATCCATTTCCGTTTATATATGCCCGAAACGTGATGCTGGACATGCTCAGCCCTTGAATCTTCTCCTTACCGACCATCCGTCTTTCTCAGCCTTCACACCTCCACTTCCACCTACGACCCCTGCCCTCTATTCAATAAAGCCAGATCTCAGCTTTGGCGGGACTAATGTTCAAACCCACGATCATCACGTGGGGCCCCTTTATACCCCTCCTCCCGTCCCTCACACTAACTCAACCCACGAACCACACTCCAACGGACCATCCCGACCACACCATTTTGTGTCCTGCTGACACCCGCCTCCGGAATGAAGCTTGCTGCCCATTTGTCCCAAAGCCTAGCCCCAGGCAGATTACAACTCCCGGACATTACCACATGTTCCCGGCGGGAAGAGAGTTGATTTTGTCTGGCTCCGGAACCGGGAACCGCTACCGGTCCGGGGTCGGCTTCCGTTGGGAGGGGTAGACACTTGGAGTGATGCACGGGAGATGGTACCAGTGATCATCTTGGAGGTACAGAGCGATATTTTTCAGGGTTGTAGAGGTGCTGAAAAAACACTGAAGATAACTGGATGAAGACACGGTATTACGTAGGAGGTATCTCATCGTATTCGAATCCCGGCGTTGCGGATCGGCTACGACGGCTTAGCTCGCTATCTGAGCTACTCATCCCAGCATGCGTGCTCCTTTAGCTACGCATTAACCTTATAGATTGCATAGAGCCGCACGGCACTGACCAAACCTCACTGCACCTCATCTTCCAACCTTTGCAGCGCAATAGCTGGACTAATCTGGACCAACACAACAGAAGCACCGTCTACATCTACAAAACCCAGTAAGGGACAAAACCCGCTCGCACCAGGCTCTCATCGTGTAATGAACTACCAGTCCTATGCAAGACACCAAAAAAGGCCGAAACCAGACAGCCGGGACAGCTAGTGGGGCTCCGGGCGTGTCGGCTCCGAGGCCGGAAGGGTGTGGCCGGGAGAGTGGGTTTGGCGTTCATTGGCCACGCGAAGGTCGAATTAGCATGCGCTAATAGTGGCGGAGACGTTGGTTGTCTTCAAACCATTGACTTAACAATTTAACATAGATAAGTGACTTCGTCAACTCCTTCGGCCCAATTGCTAAGTTTGAGCCTTTCACATCCTAATGGGATCATAGTCGTTTCTAACCGACGTAGATGATTCCTTCCTTTAGACTCTGCGGACCTGGTGGTGTATGCTCGGCGATGACACAGGAGATTGGCGACGTAAGACCGGCTGTAATTACAAAGTGACTGATCACAATAGGGTCACTGAAATGTTGGTTGATCATGGCCGTGTTGGTCTCGAATTATTTTCGGTGATGACAGCGTTGGCTATAATATTTTAATTAGACAGGTGTCAAGTGGCGGCTCTTTGTCCTTGTTTGGTTGACTGACCGCACAATACCGCAAGTTATTTTTGATAGTGACCTCTCCAAGTTGATTAACCCGTCGACAAAGATGATCAAAAGGGCAAAGAAGTTCCTTCAAGGCCCCCCCTGAGGTTCTGACTTATATGATCCGGTTTGCGAGAGGGGACGAGCCTCCATATAATAAGGATTAGAGTTGGAACTGGAGTCTAGCCCATTATCAATAAGACGTTGGATCAACACTTATTGAAACCCTACCATTATTCACACCACAGAGGCATCGTTGAGATATCGTAGAGTTTGAAAATCCAATCGCTTTGTCTATAGCATATTGAGGCCACTTGAAAGTATGGCAAATACCACATTGCCAACGTCATGGCAGTGATACCATGTCGTTTCATCGATTCTTCGACATAGTCTCATAACAATCTAAGCATCATAATTCCATCCTTCGTAGTCGAAATCCCTTCCATCCCAGATCATATCCCATCATTCCCAGTCCAATGCGTCCTCTCCTGTTGAAAACTCGAAATGCCTCGGGGCCCTCCCCAGGGGGGCGCAGCCGAGAAGGTATCAATCATCTTCAAAACCCCCCTCGAAACCGGTACAAAAAAGACGAGTCCAAAAATATGACAACAAACATGTCCAAACAACTCCTCTGCCGTGCCATAACGCAATGCAGCAACAACGACAGAACGCCTTGAATAATGCATGCCGTAGCCAAGTCTTTTGAATCCCAAAACATCCCAAATCTCGGGGTTATGGTCACCAATGACCACCACTCCCTCTGCATTGCTTCGCCTCTTGTGACTGCTTCATCTCCTTCCCTTCTCATCACATCCCCAAAGGCTCATCTTCCATATCATCATCACTGCTGTAGTCGTCCCCACTGTGCGGAGTGTGCATCTCGCTGACGTCGGCGCTAGCGAGGTTACTCAAGCTGTCAAGTATTCCGCCTCCATTGAAAGTTGGTGGTGCTGAGGCAGACAGGTCGGCAAGGCTCCCGTTTCGGCTCATGGATGGCTTCTCAGGGAGCTGCTTGAGCAAGCCTGTTGAGATGTCGAGCATCGTCATGGCAAACTCGGTAAGACCCTTGCTGCCCTCACCAGGCTTTGAGCTCACCGAAAGAGTCCAGCGGTACTCTCCGAGACGTCGTCGATACCAATCGGCTTCCTCGCGTCCTGGTGACGTGGCCCAGAGGAGGGAGCCAAAAGTGCCAATGAGGGCAAAGTTGGTCTTGGATGCAAAATACCAGAACGATCTGAGGTGATTGGGAGTGAGGCGGTTGACAAAGTCCATGGCGGAAATGAGGCGGGCCTTCGCAGCGCTGCGACAAATGTGTTGCACATATGAATCAACCGCCGCCGAGGCTGAGGCCAGCGATCTGATGATGCGTCTGTGTAGTGTAATTTCCGCCGCGAAATAAGCCAGGTGTAGGTATCCAATGCTGGAAAGCCTGCTGGTTGTCGGGTTGCTGGACGAGTACGAAGAATCTAAGCGGATCAACTGAGGCAGACCTCCGTACCACTCCTTGAGTTTCAGCTGGATTGGCTTAGCTAACGACAGAACGAGCTGTGTGCCTTGAGGACCCGCGTTTGTAACGGTCTGCATCGCCTGTAGGGTGTAGAAGGTGTCGAGAATTTCCGATAGAATCTCCGAGAGCTGGACCACCCGCGTGAACAGCATTCGGCCCCTCTCAACATCCAACTTTTCCTCAGGATCATTCTCGTCCCATTCAACGTCAGGGAAGTCGTTGGATGTGAGTGCCTGGACGCCCCAGTTCGTTGCGAAGATGTGAGACGGCCGCCCGTGAACAAGAGCGCCCCATTTGTCCTGCATATAGAGTGCCCATGCCAGCCGCTTTCTTAGACCCTTTTCCCATGGTGGTATTTTCCAGTGTGAGCAGTCTAGATGTAGCCCGAGCTCGTGTCCTAGTGCGACGAGCTGGGCTGTTGGTGCCCACTGGTCGCCTTCGGGTCGCTGAGACAACAGCAGACCGGCCTGTATTGTGGACAGCTTCGGGCGGAAGCAGGCATCCTCCAGAGTGGTGCGTACGATGCTCTCGAGTTCTCTGACGTTGGGGCGGGGTAGTTGAGCGAGTTCCTCGCTTTGGTCCCACCAATTGATGGCAAGTATATAGACGGCGGCGAGGAGGGGCGGAGAGAACTCTCGATAGGAGCGCTCGTATTTTTCTAAGAAGACGTGCTTCTGGATAATGGGGAAGCCGGGGTGGACGACGCGGAAGTAGATGTCGATGAGCTTGCGGCCATGGGGCCCCACGATGGACTCGACGTGGTCGGCATCTTGCGTCACATGCTCGTGCCCCGGGGTGCTGTGGTCGGGCAGCATCAAGAAGGTATCGTGGTCGCTCACCTTGCGGAGGGTGCCCCGGGACAGCAGGCTCTCGTCGTGCGGATCGAAGGGGGAGAGGTTGATGAGAGAGGGCTCGAAGTCGGTGGTGGGACCGATGTACTGGCTGAAACGATCGTCCTGAAGTCCCAGAGTCCGCTTGAGCATGGTCGGACCGCCAACATTGGCCATCTCCTCAAGAAAGGAACTGCTAGCGGCGGTGCTGGAAAGACTAGAGTTGTGGTTTCGTCGCCTGGATGCGAGACCCGGGGAGCTGTAGGAGGCCAATCATATGTCAGACAGGAGGCTTGGAGGCAAGGGGACATGCATTGCAGGGTCTGAGGGAGGCGGAGATTTTCAGGTGCCGTGTAGTGGGATTGGGAGAAGGAAGCGCGGGCGGGAGAGACAGAAGCGCGGGAGAAGAGGCGCGGGCACGGGCAGAAGAGGTGTGGGTGTTGGTGGGGAGCTACGAGTTGGGCAGGTGTTGGTGGGCAGGTGGACGGACGAGAATGATGGGCAATGCAAGAAGCAGGTCGACCCGCGTGGGGAAGAAGTTTCGGCAGCATGGGGATGCCAAGGGAGGCCATGGGGATGCCATGGGAGGCCATGGGGATTGCGATAACACGGAACGGGACGGGATGGGGTGGATGGATGGATCAATGGATGGATCAATGGACTGACCTTCTCTTGCCGATAACGTCGTCAGAGGCTGCATCGCCGTGAAGCTTCCTCTTCCGGGACTGTGGGCTGCAGACGAGTGAGCACTCGGAGCCGGTGACTTGGCACGGCACGCAACCATCCTCGTCGTCGCTCATGACGCAGTTGGCACGCGAGTACCGGCAGGCGAGACAGGGCGGGACGGGTGAGCCGTTGAACGAAGCCGGCTCAGTCGACGCCGAGCTGGTGGCCGGCAGGCTTCCCTGGCTCATCTCGAGCCTATGGAAGCTATCTTGGCGATAAGAGGCGGGCTCGAGCCGGGGCGGCTTGGGCGCAATGGCGATGGGCGCCGTCCTCTGTACCGAAGCCTGGGACATGATAGCGGGGGGTGCGGCGGGAGGCAGCAGGGCAGGCCGTGCGAGGGGATGGAAATCCAATGCCAGGGCAGCGGCGCGGGCTTGTGTGGAGGGTTTGCAGTCAAGCGGCAAGTATCGAGGTGTGCGTTGCCGTCAGGGGCGGGCGCGGGAGGATCACGACGCCCGTTGCCCAAGGATGAACGGGCGCGGAGATGCTTGAGCCGCAACGGGCCTCCCCGTGAGCTTGTGCGTGTGCGGGCAGGCGTGCGGGCTGGTATGTGTTGGCTGACGATAAACGATAGACTCGGGCGGTTCGTGATAACGATGACTGACGGCCCCACGGGGGCGGCGACAGTGACGCAATGTGCCTGGAGCTACGACCAGTGAGCAGCGAGTAGCCGGTTAACGATAGCTAATACAGCTACGTTATGCAAATCAGTCGATGGCACGGGCAATCGGCCCTGTAGCTCTGGCTCGGCGAGGCAATGGTTGGCGCGAGATAACAATCTGGGGAAGCGGAGAGGGATGGGATGGTACGGGGGGAGGCTGTACGTAGTATGCGAAGGAGGGAGAAAAAAAGATAAGAGAAGAGTGTGTAAGTAAGTCTAAGGTAAGTGTAAGTGGTTGATGTGCGTGTGCGGGTGCGTGTGCGTGTGCGATGGTGGGCGCCCACGGGTGGGATCCGAGCGGCCGGGATGCTAAGGTAGGGAAGCTTGGATGGCGGGCGCAGATGGGCGCCGATGGGGACCGTCGTCAGACGGGAGACCGGGGGGGTTAGCTGATAAGGCGGGCAAGCGGGGAGCCACTAAGACGGGGATAGTGTCTGGTCGAGTCTGGGTGAGTGGTTGAGTCGTTGTCAAACAAAAAGGTATTTGTACGAAGTATGTAATGCTCACGCCGCAGCCCTCTCAGATCTCCGATAGCGACCTGCCGCCCGAGGTAGCGCGGCGTTGCGTTGCACTGCGAGCGCGCCGCGATGACAGAACAGAACTGATGACGGCCACCCGATGCGACCAGCCGGCGTGAGGCGGGATGCCGGCGATAAAGCGACGCAGCCGGAGTGGTTGAGTCGTGGTTGTGTGCGCCCGCTGCGTCTGATGCTGCCTCTCTTCTTCTGCTGTGGCTGTGGCTGTTGTGTGCCGCTTCTAGTCCCGTCTCTCTCTCTCTCTCTGTCTCTCTTTCTCTCGCGGGGAGGGGGGTGTACGGGAGATATGATGGGACGGTGTGCGATTTGTGAACAGAGAGGGGCCCTGCGCCTGGGGTCGGTCCTTGGGGGACTGGGGGAACCGGGGTTAGACTTGGGTTGGGATGCAGGGCAGTTTGATCCTCTTCTTTGCCGTCGTCTTGATTTGATACCCAAGGCAAAACTGGACAAGATAGGTAGGTAGGTACGTATGATTTGGCGTCTGTCCTCTCTCTCTCTCTCTCTCTCTCTCTCTGCCCTTTGGAGGAGGGGAGGGGCGGGCGATGAAAGTGGAGGGGGTGAGTGCCAATAGAGACTCCAGCAGGAGATCTTGCTTTCAGGTAACGATGGAGACAAGGACCAGATAAGCTAGACCTATCGGCGTCATTGGAAAACGGGTGCTGGGCTAAAAACTCTCTAGATCGCCCGCGAGGGTGCCACGACGTCGCTGACTTGCCGGCGTGTAAGCAGGGCCGAGGCCAGTATGTACTCGGGCCCTCGGAGGACGCAGAGGGGAATCAGGCTGCGCGAGACAGAGCAGCTGGAAAGGAGGAGAAGAGAAAGAGGGGGGAAAAGGAGAGAGAAGGAGAGAAAAGCAAAATAAGGCCGAGTCGAGGGAAACGAAGACGTAAAAGAAAAGGCGACAGATCCCCAAGGACTCAATTGTCTGGACCAAAAAAGTGAATGGATCGGGGGAAACGAGACAATGACGGACATGTGAGCGAGGGTACTTGGGCGCTCACCCAGAATACCGCTCTAGTGGAGGTACCCCCGGAAGGTCGCCAGGTCCAAAGTCCAAGCCCAGGCGCACGCCAGCCCACCCCAAACCGGGCAGGGTCCAATTGGGGGGAGGATTGGGGTGTGGATGGGGATGGGAATGGGATCGGGAATGGGGAACTACGTACTCTTTTCTTCCCAGAACGGGAGAGGATGGGAGGACGAGAGTCATGGACATGGGACGGACAGCCGCCCCGGCCTTGGGGTTTGTCCAGTCATTGCGTAGCAGAAGGTCGATGCTTCTGCTTCCGCTTCCGCCTCTCACCGCACGCCCAGATTCCGCCCCCAGGACTCGGGCATTGTTTGCGTCGGGGCTGCATATCCCCCCCATCGAAAGCTTCCTTTCTCGCACCCGTTTCCCAGGCTGCTTTCGACCCAAACCTTGGCAGGTTGCGCGGAGCCAGCCGACGAGAACCAGAAGCGCGTATCAGTAGCTTGTGGGTTTCTTGGTTCCTTGGCTCCTTGGCTGCGGTCATGGAATTGAAAAAGGCCCGGCAGCCAGAGAGACCCCAGGAACAACCCCAAAAAAGGCCCCGCCATAACCCGGGCGGCGGCAAGTCAGCAAACCGTAATGTGTTAGTCGACGATGGACAAACAATCTGGAACCTGTTAATCCAGGGTCCCTCACATGTTGATGGCGTTTGCACCGGCCTAGCAAGAGACGGCCCCTAGCTCCTCGCTCAATCTCCGAATAAAAACAGCCGGTGTGGTGTCCGGGGCAGAGGGGACAGAGAGAGCGCCGAAGGGAGGGGCCCTGATCAGCCATCTGTCCACCCATTCATTATCCGGACATCAGCCATCCAGATGTGGATATGGGGAAAACGGATCCCCAGGATGGGACGAGGCCAACAGCGTAAAGAGCATTTTCCCGGCGGCGGCGGCGGCGACGGCCAAACGGCCTCATACCGCATCGCGTTGCGTCGCTTCACCACCCATCGTCCAAGGGACCCAATGGCTCAACGAGCTGCGGATCCGGCGGCCAGGCCCCGGCGAGAATGCGAGCGTGTGAGTCGCCCCGAGCCGAGGATAAATGAGTCGTCGGCGGGCAAGGGAGAGGCAAAAGGCGGGCCCAGTATCAAGCAAGAAGAAGGCGTCGGGTCGCGAGACAGGCACGTCGCAAGCAAAGCAACATGCTTATCTCTGGGCAGAAGCGAAGAGGAGATAGAAATACATAATGGCAAAAGATAATAACTACACCTGATATCAAAAAGAGGACCAACGCAAAAAACTTCGCGCCTCGTCAGAACCACATAGCGACTTGTAACTCGTCCACCTCAAACCTGACCCCTCCCTCCAACTTGTCCAAACCTACAGCTTCCAGGTCGATGTGACATGAACTCGCCGTGAAGAACATGGCAATTGATGTGTATGCGGTACCTCGATGTGCCCGTCCGGCTCTGCTGTGCCCAGGGCGCAGGCAGACGCCGATTACCAAATGGAAAAGCCATCGAGGCCATCTCTTCCCTCATTCTGCATGGTCCGGCAGTTGCTCTAACGTAATGGCTCGTCCGGGGGGGTAGGGCCCGGAGTCATCTTATGGGGGCCCGGGGGCTTCTGGCCCGCCCTGCACGACCAAGAGCCTGCAGCGCAGTGCAGCAGGGCGAGTGTTTTACCGCTGCACACCCACTATTGCAGCAGCCTCTGTCTGAGATGGAAGCACGGGAGAGGTAAACGGATGGCCCAAGTAAGTTACCGACGGTGGCCTGTCGCGAGTCTGTGAGGTCACTGAGGTGCCCTGCCGCACGGTCCACCCCAGCACGAGGCGGCTAAAATAACCTTTTTGCAGGGCGCTGTCCTCAACCAGAAGGCAGAACCACAAATAGCTCTCTCTGTGGGTGCTAACTTATCTATCCTACCTAGGAACCATGTCACGCTGCGTTGGGGAACTGCTGCTCGCCGGAGAAACCTCGACCAACCCGATGGCGGCAGTATACGTAGTAGGTAATAATTACCTACGCGATATACGAAGTCCAAAGATCTAATCTACGCGGCCTCTCCGTATCTCCATCCATCCACCGTCTATCAAACGCCGTCGCCGACGACCGACCGGCGACCGACGCGATAACGACAACTGCGAAGCCAGACCATCCCAACAGAGGCAGCTCAGAATCGTCCCAACCCAGGCCAGAACCCAGCACAGCACCGACCCGTTCCTAGTTCCTGGCAATACCCCGTCTTTTTGCCCTGTCGCTCGCTGATACACACTCGCCCATCTGCTGACATTCATCTGCTTTGACACCACGATCGTTCTCGCCTTTCATCCCCGTCGCTCCGGAGCCGCCCACCGCTCTCGGCATCGCCCCGGCCCCTTTCGCGCCGAGCTGATCCCCGGCCGCAACTTGACGCCTCCAGCCCCGACATGCTCCGATGCCGCCCAGCGTGGGCGAGTCGCTAGCCAACTCACCCATTACCATCAACTAATTCCCGGTCGGGCAGGAGGCCGGCTCCTCCATCCTTCTTGTCGTGTCATACATCGATAAGAGACATTCGTGCGATGCGACGCAATGAGTAACCGCACCGTGGCCTTGTCATCTGCTCTTACCCAATTCCTCTTGGATGCCATCCCGAGAGCAGACCGGCCGGCTTCACCGCACACAACAGTCCATTATTATCAACCGCTTCACAGCTGTCCGGCCCTCCGCACTCCCCGAACCAAATACCTTGTCTGTGATTGGATCTTTAACCGGCTCCATCTTTTTGGAGAAGCTGCCACTGGATATCGTCTGTGATCCGAATACGTCCCTGTCCCTGACGTACAGGCTCTTGGCTGTACTACCAATGTATGTGCGTGCGTCCCGCATGCGCGCCTATCGTGCTGGCCCTGGCCTGTTGGAGCCAGCGTCTACCCACCCGGCCCGTCCAGCACACCCATTCGCTGCTCACTGCAATCTGGCCCAGAAAGCAGCACCAAGCAGCAAGCCGCCTTGCGTCGTGGGGGGCTCCAGGGGGTGTGGTCCTGGCCTAGCGGTCCCTCTCCTGCTCCTGCACAGACCGACTCATCGTGCCAAGGCCGGGACCCTGCGAGGCCACCCCGGGAGCGTCATCGTTCGCTCGTCCGGGGCTCCGGTCTGAGGCTGTACACGACGTTCGGCATGGGATGAGACAAAAAGGAGGCGCCGACATATAGTACGGCTCCATCCTCCACTTGCAAGGCCGTCGATCCGTTGCTGACGCTGGGAGCGGTGAAGCCTTTCCCTGGCACCGTTTGTTTCCATTGATCCAAAAAAATTGCTCTCAGTCGTGTCAGCCTCCAGATGGAACGCCTGGACCCTGGTTTGTGGAGCCCCGGCTTTCTGTGCTCCAAATCTGTCGCTCGACCCGACAATACCACGCGAGTGTGGGGATGGGACGGTAATTTTATCGTCATCGCACGAGATGTATCTCCGAATCGGGCTCTCCGTTTACTCGTATCTCAAGTCCGTCCTTCTTATTCACCGTCATCGGATATCGGATATCTGCTGAATCATGACTTGGATAACTGCCCTGACCCACGCTTCACTAGGGCATCTCGGCTTGCGTCCAGACCATCGTTCTTTCAGCATAGTGCTCCGTTGGTTCGTTTGACCCACGTGGCGGCAGCATCATCGTGAGTTCCTGCCGGATTTCAAAGCCGAGTCTCTCATAAAACGTAACGGCGTTCATCGTGGCCTCCAACACGACCGGCACGCCGGCGGCGGCTGCCTTATCCAACACACTTCGCAACAATCCGGACGCAGCTCCTTGGCCGCTCCACTCGGGATGGGTACAGAGATATGTCACATCTAGAAATCTTTGATGTCAGCGACTTGCAGCCCCAAAAACACTTTGTCAGGGAACTCGGATTGAGTTGGGTTCTGGGAACAGGTTCAATCGACCAACCGCAGCACGTCAAGAGTTGAGAGTTGACAACTCATTCATGCGCTCAACGCGGAGCTAGTCCGGCAGGGCTTCGGGGCGACATGCGAGATCCACCGCAGCCTGCTCCTGTTCCCGCTCCTAGCGATTTCAATGAGTGAGCGACTTACGGTAATGTGCCCGGTCGCCCAGAACATTGCGCCTAGCCTTCTTGGTGAGTTCGGCATACGAGTCAAGGTACTCCCGTCGGCAGCATTCCGGGATTTCCTCATCGTGCTCGTGCTCGTCTTTGTCGTTGGGCCGCCTCTGCCGCTGGACGTTCCACTTGATGAAACTCGCTATTTTCCCGGTGTCGGCACTCCGAGAGATCAGCACCCCAGTGTCATCGTCGGCGATGTGTGCCAGAGTGTCTTTGCGAAGATATTCACCAAGAAACTCGCGACTCTTGGCATTCGGGAATTGCGCGTGCATCAGCAGGTTGGCGTCCATGGCAGCCAAGTGCGTGCTGGCCACCTCTGGAGCGTCATTTTCTGAGGGCACAAGAATCTCAAATCTCATGGCTAGGTGTCGAGAGAGAATTGAGTGAGTATAAGTGAATGCTGGTGGTTAGAAGGCGAAATGGACCATCCAGAGAGCACACGATTGTAGAAACTACTAATCTAGATAATTTGCTGCGTGTCATGTGATCTAAACCGGAGAACAGCGACGACTGACGATAACGACAACAGCAAGGACTTACCCAATACGTATCCCGAGGCGACTGCCGAACTGGGGAACTTGCTGCTCCAAACTAGGTAGGCTGCGTGGGAGTTGGGTCGATGAGTATGGACTGAATGAGTAAAGCCAGGTTGCGAGGTACCGAAGCTATACCACTACCAACCAGCAAGAGAGGGTATCGTCAGCTCCGAGATCTTGGAAGACGGGAACAAACGAGTTTGGGGGAATCTTTAGAGCCTATGGTCTCGAACTCATTCCTATCCATTTCGGCTTTTTTCTTGTCAAACACTCACTCGTGTCATCGTTAATGAACAACCTTATTCTTGGAAACGGGGGCTGAAGGTTATTCAATTTCTGAATACATATCCTTCAAAACATACAGAGACTCCTAAACACGCAGTCCGTGACTACCATTATTAACAGAGGGTTTTATGTCCTTTTGCTACGGACTTCAGATCCGCAAGATTTATACCAAGAAACCTAGACCATTAAGCTATAAGCGCCGGGTTGACTGGGACCCAGGTCCTCCCCTCCTCGCTTCGCGCATCTATTTTCCAATTCCATACTCGACTTTGACGTGGACTCCTCCGACGACATGATGATGACGATCCTTGTCCTTGCCGAAGTGGCCCTTGACGCTATAGGTGTTGTCGGCGCTCGAGTCCTTGCATCCGCACGGGCTCGATGCCTTCTGGACGGGAGTCGTCGCGCGTCGGCGGGCATTTTCGTAGATGGGAAGCTCACACTCGCTTGTAGGGGGAGTGAAATGGACATCTTCGAGTTCAATCTTTAAACTAGGGACACCTTCGATAGGAATGTTGGTTCCGTCGTGCTGTGGTTCCGTTGTTAGTCGACTGCTTCTGCAACTATTCAACGTTCATTTCGGTGGAAAGACGTACCTTGAGGATCTCGACCTGGAGGTTGGCCATGATCGTATCAACCACGCTATCGACCGGGTATCCAAAGATTTCGGTGCTATCAACGGCAGAGTCGAGCGAAAACTCGCCGTGGACAGTGCCGCAGGTGGGCTGCTGCATTACCACCTGGCCACCGACCTTCTTGCCGTTCAGGTACAGGTTCACGGAGCAAGGGCGCTCGACCTCGGTGACGTCAAGCTTGACGCGCGCAAAGAAGCGGGTTGAGGAATCACTGCGGCGGGTCTCCCGACGGGCCATGGTCTCGGTGTCGGAGTACAAGCGGTTGATCAGGCGAGTAGCGTCCTGTTGCATCTGGGTCTCTGACTTCCTCCAGTACTCCAGGCCCTCGTAGGCGTAGCCGAAGGTCTGGATGCTCTCCACCGACTCGGAGGTGTGGAAGTTTTCAGAGTCGGCGAAAAAGGGCACCAGGGGAGACTTGGGTGTGATGGTGGTTCCGCGAGGAGTCGACCAGCGAGCGCCGCCAGAGTACGACTGGTTGAACATGACCTGGTCAGGTTTCATAGCTTGCCAGTATGCCCAGAGTCGATCGACATTGCAGTGGTGGAGCATGCTATCAAGGCGATTAGTTTGGCTTCCATCTCACCGGATTACTGTGATCGACTTACAACAGAGGGTCGAAGGCAGAGAAGTCGGCCGCGAGGAACTGTCCACCACAAGCTCCGTCCCAGTGGATGGCGTTATGGATTTGCTCCAGACTCGTGCCGCCGTTTCCGGTAGAGGAAAATTCGTCAAAGGTGTTTGTGTGTGTAAAGGCATCGTACTGTCAAAGTTAGTATTGCACTTGAGACACTAGTTAGTGATATCTACTCACCACCCACGACTTATAGGGACGGTCGGCCAGGAGCTGGTTCGCAGAGTCGGGGAAGCTGTCCGGCGAGGGACAGCGGGAGATACGGGATCGGTTCCGGCTATCGAATGAACCGTAGGTGCCGTTGAGCGCCGCAGCAGGGAACTTGAAGGTGGAGAGTGGGTTATCGATCTGTGTAGCTTTGATGCCGTTGCCGCTGGGAATATTGACGGTCATCTTTGAAGGGACGACAGCGTTGGGGATGTCGTCGGAGCCCCAGTCCCAGAAAGGCGCACGGAGGTTTCGGGCGGCGGCAACATATTGAGAGCGATATCGCTGGGGATATTCCGCTGCTATGCGCTGGGCGGTGGCAACTAAGATTTGCTGGGAAGGATTAGAGGACTCATCGATGGTTTCAATAGTGGGAGCTTACCTCATAGAGTACGACGTAGGGTCGGTGCCATGTCAAGAAGAGTCGTTCCTGGATTGTGAGTTAGCTCCAGTGTGTTGAAAGCTGCAAGGATGGACAGCTTACACCGTGAGGGCAGTATCCTTGCCACCCATCACTGTTCATCTTGCCACTGTTGTTCCACTCAATGTAAGGTTTGCCGTGAATTCCTATTTAGCCATGTTAGGTTCGCTCAGGAAAATATAGGAAGGCAAGAAAGCTCACCCGCTACTTGGAAGAACGATAGAGGATCGGCGGAATCTTGGCTCTGCATCTCAGCCAACGCTCGAAGGTAGAGGTCCCTGTCACTTGTTAGCCGAAAACCCAACGACAACATGGCTGCCAACATACCACTGGGCGCCTCCGGCAGACTGCAGCTCATTGATGTTCTGTCTCAGAGGCACAGCGCTGCCTTCGGAAATGGAGAATCCGGTGATAGTGATGGGATCCTGGGCGCTCACAAGCGACACGGCGCTCAGCGCCACAGTCAAGGAGAATTGTAGCAACATGGTGTCTTAACTGAAGCCCCGAGGGCGGAAAGAAGAAGAAGAAGGAGAAGAGGGAGAAGAAGGAGGAGAAGGAGAGGGAAAATGAACGAGTGTATTTCCTCAGAGGTGTTGCTTGCTGTCAACAGAAACGACTGTGCGACCCGAACAAGAAGGACAATCAACAAACCAGAGCCGGAAAGGGAGAGGTGAGGGCGGCCTGAGAGCGAGGGAGGCTCGTCGTGTTATACCAGCCGGTGCCCTTTTCTCAACGACGATCCAAGTTACCAGGATGCCAGGATACTAGGATGACTAGCTCGAGAGCCTTTTGACACATAGCCGTGCGCGTTTCTTTTTTGCTTCCTCGTAACGCCACATGTCTGTGCCCCGGGCGTGCGTTGTGCGATGTGCGATGTTGCGGTGCGGATGTGAGATGCGGATGCCGGCCGCCCTGCGTACAGACGTTGTTCACCGTTGCGCTGTGCTGCGCGACAACAAAAGACCCCGATCGGATCCTTCGTGTGCTTCTTTGGGCAGGCATTGGTTGAGTCCAGCGGCTGTTTACCATCCCCGTAAGGCAGTCCGTCGGCCAGCCACTCAACCATTCAACCACTCAGTCCGGGCGCATCACGGAGCCCCGGAGGAGTCGGCTCTGGTCTGGTGGAGAGGAGAGGAGAGCATCTGCCGGCATTGGGCCCAGCCACAGGCACACGGCCCAACCTGCAGGTACAGCACGTCACTAATCTACAGTGCAAGGCGCGTTCGCTCGGACAACGGTGGCTTGTAGAACAGCCTGGACGACGCCTGTTGGCAAACAGCGCAGCGTAGGAGCGTGATTCGAAACGGCGGCCCGCTGAGGCTGCGAGCTCACTGCATCAGGAGCTGGAATGGGCGCCAACGAACGAAGCCAGCCAGCGGGCCGAGCGTCCCTATCGTTTGGTGCCCTGCGCTCAACTGTGGAGAGAATCCTTCCGGGAAAAGAAACTGTCTTGCAAGTTACAAAAGTCTCGGGGTTGGGCCCACGGCCGTTCTCGGGATAGATGTGCGCTGTGTCGCTGTTGGGCGAGGGATGATCCTTCGGCGGGTTACGGTCAAGGTTGGCAACCCAGGCCACATGAAACTGGCCAATTCTCGCGGCGGAGCCAGCAGAACCAAGTTCCTAAATTAAGATATGCTTACTTACTACCTCGGTGCCGTAGGTGCCGGTATGCTTAGTTGCTGGGGCCCTTGATGCGACTGCCGCTGCCGCTGCTGCTATTCGTACCTGCATCAAAAGCCTGGTGGTGTTGCTGCTGGTGCTGCCAACATTGGCACAATAACATTGTTCAGCCCCCCCCCCCCCCCCCCCAGGTTGTCTATTGGACGGTTCCTGCGGATGCTACGGGGAGGCGGCGGCTTTGTTTGTGACACAAGACATTGTCCCCTGCATGATTGACATTGGCCGCCATTGCGATCATCGCAGCCCTCGTCGTCATCTGTGGCTGATTGGGGCACAGAGCCAACATCATCAGAGACACCACGAACTGCAACCGCACGGGGTAATTATGGTCACATCCGGGCCGCGGAGAGAGAGCGGGGCGGCCAACAGGCTGGGACATTGTTTCTCACCGCCCTTAATTGGAACCTCGGAATTGGAACCTCGGATGCATTGGGAAAATGCGACGGCAATCAATCAATCATTTGTGGTTCTCCTGAGATTCCCTCTTTTTGTTTGTGGTTATTTTTGTCATTCTTGTCATTTTGAGATCTGCATATGTATCCCCCTTTCTTCTGAATACGAAGTCACGTACGTACAGCAATGCACATGCACAATCGCGGCCTCGTCCATGTCCAATAACTTATCCATGTGCTGTCAAGTACTCCGTACCATGCGGCCGATCTCATGAGTGGAGCAGATCGCCCGGCCGCGACCCCATCAAAGCCAAACACGCGAGCGTTTGACAGAAACAACGCCCTACCGTATTCCTCTTCCCAACGACGGCATATTCACTCCCTTATTCACTCACCAACACATTCACGACTCTCGAGGCTGAAATCTGCTAAGACATGGCTCCGCTCCTGGTCTGCGCCTCTTGTCTCGTCTCTGCCAAGGAGATTGATCGTCCTCCCGATGCCGCTCCCTTGGCGCCCAGACGCCGCCCTTTGTGTGGTGTGCGCTGGCAAGACAAGACAGGTCGATCAATGTGATTCATTCGTCAAGTTTCTGACGCCCGTGAAGAGTGCTCAGCGTAGCCTCAACGCTATGTCAGCCATGATTAAGAGACGTCGTCATCTTGATTGAATCCCCATGGCCGCCTTGCCACCGGCTCCTCCACTAGAGTGCAAAGCCCTAGATTCTCCCGCTTTCCTTACACCCTACAGTCCACGTCAATCCTGTCTGCCTCTCTTGTTGCAGCCTTTTTTTATATTTAGAAACACCACTCAAAATCAACGATCTATCCTGACTCCGATCCACAATATCATCCCCTTCGACTTAACCAGAAACGCGCCGCCGTCGTCGAGCATTGACCCTCCGTCTAACACCCCAATTTCCCCATCGGTCAAACGGCACGATTTCGCCACTTTCAGCCAGGAACGTCACAAGAGACAGGGTGATCGACAGGTCAGCCATTCACAAAGTAGGGGAGGTTTGTGTTCCTGCATTAGTATCCTCAACTAAATCCCACTGTCCCGTCCATCCAACTCCTCCCCCACCTGTCTCGTCAGCTACTCCCGCTTCTAGATCATCTGCTAACCAGGTACGGAGTATTCACGGCGGAGACATGACGGGAACAGCATGGAGTCACTATTGAGATGGGGTGGGGACACGGTGAAGACTTGTTGTCAATTCATGAGCCTGTTTAGACGAAATAGCCACTTATATACAGATAATCAAAACTCATCAACCATCTTACAGGGTACAACCGGGTAGACTACCTCCATCATCCATCTCCACCTTCGAATTCACTGCTCAAAGTCGGCCAGTGAAACCTTTCCGAACCCCCAACAAGTCTCCGTTGAGTCTCGGCCCTTGTCACTTAGAAAGGACCGATAACACTTCGCCTGGAGTCAACCTCATCAGACATCGCCCGGTGTACTTTTTCGTTCATACAACCGCCAAAGACCCTAAAATGTCAACGTTATTTTCGTCCTACTCCCTAAGCTGGAACCCGACACCGACATCCTAGGGGGCCAGAAATGCAGGATGTCACTGCAGCGATATTGTGCAACAGGTCCCTCATAGGGTCTGTTCCAGTGACACCAATTCACGGAAACCTTCCTTCCACCGCTTCGTCTGCTCCGTGGTCAACTTCGGCAGTGGACTCCGGGCAACGCCTCCGTAACCCATCCACGCCTGCAGGCCGGCCTTGACCCCGACTACACCGCCCTGAATGGCGGTCCAGTCGCCTTGCGAGACAACCTCCTGCATCTTGTATGCCTCTGCAACTTGTCCCTCCTGGTAGAGCTCCATAGTTCGGGTGCAAGCCTTCGGGGCAATGTTTGCCAGACCAGCCAGAATGCCGTGACCGCCAGCAGCGAGCGACGGGATCAGAAAGTCTGCCGAACCAGCCAGAACAAGGAACTCTGGGTGTGTTGAGTCGTGAACATTCGCGAGCTTGCGAGTGGCGGCGGCCACACGGTTCAGCTTTCCAGTGTTTCCGCAGGTCAACTTGACGCCCACAATGTTGGGATGAGCGGATAGCGAGATGATAGTATCGGAGGACAGATCCATACCACCCACGGCACCAGGAAAGTTGTAGATAATGATGGGGATAGGCGACTTGTCCGCCACTGTTGTGAAATATTCCATGATGGTTTCCGAGGCTGGGGCAAACAACGTGGCGTAGTAGGACGGAGGGAGCACCAGGGCGTAGTCACCGCCGGCTTGCCAAGCCTCTCGGCAGTACTCAATTGTCTCACGGGTGCTCTGGCTACCACAGCCCACAATCAGGGGCATGTGGTTGAATCCGTCCTCATTCAGGGCCGCCCTGGTGGTAGCGGTGACCAGTTGCCGCTCTGAGTGCGTCAGATGGACGGCCTCTCCGTTTGAACCCTGAGTAGCGAGACCAGTGACACCAGCTCGTGCGAGTCGCACGGCATGAGCAGCAATGGCTGTGGTGTCGACGTCTTCCGTATCTGGCTTGAAGAAGCACATGGTTGGGACATAGACACCACGCTGGAGCGGTCGTGCCATGTGGGACCCCACGTCTAGTGAGTGGTCATCCATGGAGCTGTTGCTGGGTGATGATGGAACGTCTGCTGAAATAATGAAATTGTTGTGTCTTGAGGTAGAGGAATTCCAGTAGTTGTTTCCGTAGTGGTCCGTAAAAGATCCAGCGGGAGAGGGTGCGTCGTTGTGAGGTGCCATGGTTTTATAGTTGTGGTGAACAGGCAATCACTTTAGGCGTAGGACTGAAGTGCGACTCTAAGTATCGATGTGTGTCAAAGGTTATGATGATAGCAATCATCCAAAGATGTGTGAAGGAAGTGAGGAGTGTGCGGGTAAGGATAGCGGGAATGTATGCTCGGTTTCTGATATGGTTGTGAATGCAGACACAAGGCAAGGGGGGCCGTCTCTTTATATGAGCATTCGGGCCCCAGTGGATCATGGCTCGATACTTGCCCTGGGCTCATCCTAACCTGCCAGGGGTATATCACGGTGGCCTCGTATGGAGAAGATGCATTGCGTTGTTGGATGGGGACATTGGCAAAAGACAGCTCATATCCGGCAGTTGTGGTGGAAGAAAAAGGCCGTCACTCAATCAATGGGGCACAGTCAGGGAAACATCCTCGTCAGGGAGAACGACATTGCCGAGATTGGGTCAAACGAACCATGAACTCCGCCAGCGTGCGTCAGAATTGCGTCGGCTTTTAGAGTGAAAGTGATAGAGTACCACGGCAATGATACGACGCAACGTGTAGGAAGCGCCTAGTGGACCGCAAGTTGATGTAAATCCGGGGTTGAGCATCCATTCAGCTCTCGAGGATTTCTGCCCGAGTCGTTCAGCGGACGGACAGAGCTGTGGGGGTTAGCGTTAAGCGGCCCGCGATAAATGTGCCAGTTGGTCAATTTTTGGATTGGTACAGGGAGAGCATTCCAAAATAGTCAGGAATTGGGGTTGGGTTGCAGGACTGGGGCGCAATGATCGCCGGTCCGACGCTGTACCTGACCAGCAGGTGACCACACTCAGAGGAGAAACATGGCCCTTTTGGTTGGTCCAATGCATACTCTGCATGTCCAGACCCAAGCTAGGTCAAACATGCTGCATTATGACGGCCCAAGGACGGTATCTCAGCGAATGACGGCGTCTTTGCCCAGGCATGGAGAGCATCCTCGAGAGGAACCCAAGTACCATCCAGGAACCCACGAGTGCCATCACGGGGCCGCGGTTTTGACCGGAGTCCGTTCCGGGCTTGGTGCTCGTCTTTGTGTAACCAACTCGATGTGAGCGCAACAACACCAGCGTCGTCCACGTTTCTTGCCGGTCAAATTTCTTCTCTCAAACATCAGATCCAGCAGTCCACCCCGGTGATGAGTGGCTATGTGCGCGCATGTGCTCACCACACGTGCACGAGCAAAATGCAACCGGTTGCATATGGTGCCGAAGTTGCTGCATCAATAGCCCCCCCGACGGGGAACTTTCATGTTGTCCACGAACACAGCCGCATCCGGGGCCCCACGACCGGGTTTTGCGGAGAACTCGATGCCTAGACCTTGGTCTCCAACCAGCATCACTGCTGATGCGCATGAGGCTGAGGATGCCATGGTCAGAAAGCTGACGCTCGTGACCCGCCCTCCATGGATGTCGACGCTTTCTTGCCCCGGAGAACCCCGCATTGATGTTGTAGTTTGCTTTTCTACTGCATGGTATGGATCCAGGCCTGAGAAGTTGTGCGCTGGTCGGTGTAGGTCGATGACGATGAGGTTTGCGTTGGTGCCTGACTTGTCTCGTAGACCGCAGGGGATGTGTCAAGTCAGACCTGAATCAAGTTTTACAAGGAGGCGAGAGTCAAGATCAAGGCCCAAGTCAATGGGTGGTTGATGGCTCATTCATTTTCACGTGTTAGCGATGATCAGTTCGAAATGGAAAGCGCACCACTGTTTCCTTCCTCACTCGAGTCGTTCCTTGGGGGCAGCCAAAAACGGCAAAAAGCGGGGTAGCAAGCTACAGATTTGGGGGCAGTCAAGCGGGGGCAAACATACCTACTCCAGATTACATGCACCAGCCAGTACACGTCGACACGCTCTCACCGCCCATATCTCAAAGTCACTTGGTGTAGACTCGGCTTCTGTCTGGTCCTGTTGATTCTTAATCAAAAGTGGTCCTTTCTCCTTCGCTTCCACCTGATTTCCCCCGTCTCCCCGTCTCCCCGTACCTCGTAACCTTGCTTCCGCTGCTTTCGTTGCTCACGAGGTAACGTCAGAGCTCTCCAGACCGCATCCTACCCACCATCTTCGGAGGCCACACACCATAGCAGCTGCGGCTTCTCCCGAGTTAGATAGCTGATGCCCAGACTTTGTCTCTTCCCAATGCCTCCTCATCCTCCTCCTCCTTCACATTACCGATCCCAATCTCCACCTCCACCTCCACATTTCCTTCTCGGGAGCGCACCCCGGATGCCCCCATCTTCATTGTTCCCTTTCTCCACAAGCCGGTGAGTTCCGGCCCCTTACACCCCAAAGCCCCTAGTCTTTTCTTCTTGATATCGGAACCTCATCCATCCACGCTACTCCATCCACGCTACTCCATCCGTGCCATCATTTTGCAGCAGTCCAGATTGCGCATCCCAGGTCTTCCTCTGCCAGGAAGCGGGGAAATCAGGTTCTCGGATTACCCGAAGCCCTCGCCGAGCATCTCGAGTAACGTTGGGGGTGGAGCACTGGAGAAATCCGGCGCGCGGAGAAAGCTGCTGAATATCCCCATGAAGCATCTTCTTGTTGGCTCCATCGACGTGCGTCAGCATCCTGTGAGGTTTGAGGCCATGAGAGAAAGTCGGATGACGATGCAGCCTCTATGCAGGCCATCCCCGCAACTCGGCTACCAGTGCAGATATTCCCCTCACCATCATCATCCCCAGAGTGAATATCGTTACCTTGGATCGGTTAGGCCATATCACGAGGCCCCGGTCTTGTCGCCATGCCTTTGGCCCGGAAATGGTACTCTGTTATCACACAGCCTTATTACCTTGTTGAGGAGGCAAGGTTGAGACCACCCATCACCCACTCACCAGATGCAATCATCCACGATCCGCAAGACGAACGCTTCGGTAATTTCTAACGAAACTCTTAATTTTGTCCATTGAAATAGATATCGAAAGGTCATGTTAACAGAGAATCTGCTATCGTCGTAACTCATGCTCGCACACTAAAGGCGAGGATCCATCCCCTCAACTCCAACCAGCCAGTTGTATGCCAGTACGCCAAGTATCCAGAAACCAACGTCTATTTTAGAATGACCAGTTCGTCATCGTCATCTTCGAGCGTGACCTGCCGCTCCATGAGATCAGTCCCCAGACTCTCCCGCCCCGCCTCGCGGATCCCCTTGTCCGTTACAAATCGAGTCTTCTTCCGTAACGGCGGCAGCTCCTCCTTGCGCAGTTTCTCGCCTTCTTTCATTTTCGACAACTTATTTTTCAGGCTGCTGCCCCAGCCGAGAGCTGAGCGCCCACTACTTGCTAATGACCCAGCTTGTGAGCTCTCTGGGCGCTTGCGCTTGACAGGACTTAGGTGGATATCGGAACCTTTCGTAAACAGCCCGAGCGACTTTGCGTCTGGCTTTTGTATCTCGGTCGGGGAAGCTTGGGAGCTTGCCAGTTGGGATGCTGAGATGGCAGAGCTCTGTCCGTTCGCGGGCCGTGATCCAGTATATCGCATGTATTCCTTGCCGGCCGCGTTGCCAATCTGGCCCAGTTTCTTCATCATCTCCCGCTCTCTCTCCTTAGCCTCCAGGTCTCTTTTCAAGAATTCGGCCCTGTCTTTCCGATCTGCGGCGGTCCTGTCCTTCCCGTCGATCAAATCAGCCGCGCTCATCGAGCGAGAGGCGAACCATTGCGTCCTCGACTCCCAGTCATAGTTCTTTGCCTTGCCGTCTTGGGAATCTTGTGATTTTTTGTTCCAGCTGGACCCTTCCCGGTTCTTGGGTTGCTTTGACCCAAAGCCACCCCCATTTACCTCCATTCGTCCTCCTCGTTGTTTCCGGACTGCCTCGTTGGAATGGAATTCACAATGGTGGGTCCTTTTCTTGTTGACCCAGGAACCGCAAAGCTCACCATCCTTCTTCAAGGATTGGCAAAACCCTAAATCGCGAGCCTTGCCAATCTCCACGATGGTATCCTCATCCGAGTTGATGACAAGACTGAATCGTCCAGTGTCTTGTCTACCAGGCGGGGGTGGCATAATATTCGGGTTGAGGATCGCCACCACAGTTCCCTCCGTCAGCTTCCAAAATCGCGTAAATCCTGTATTGAACAAAAACAGGTCCAGTTCAAATTCCAGATCAACCAGAGTCATGACCATGTATTTTCCACGGTCCTCCTCCTTCCCTCCATTCTTTCCTACCGTTGGCTTGTGGGCGCGGGGTTCTGATTTCTTGGCAAGAATTGCAAAAATTACAATGTCCTGCTCTATGTCCGGGAGGGCAAAGTCTGGGCCCTTGACAACCTTTAGAAGGTCCTTGATGTTAAAGGCCTTCTTGCCGGATACATGTCGGGCGAGGACACGATGCGGCAGGATACGTTTCGATAAATGAAAACTTGAGTAGGGTTCAAATGCAGTGGCCTCTTGCTCGGAAACATCCTGCGGCACCACTGTCTCGGCTGTATCGTCGTTTTTGGCAGTTGAGCTTGAGGCGAAGCTGTTCGCGTCCGAGATCGTTCGGATGCTTGGTGCGGTGTTACTTCGTTTCAGGCCTCCCGATGTTAGCTTGGCTGGTATGGCTTGTGACATGACCTCTTCCCGAGAAAAGACAGGGGCGCGAAGAGGCTCATCTGGGATATCGACGGCATTCTTCTTGTACCTGTCCATCTCGTCTTGGCCGATTCCAAACGCATTAGATCTCAGTCCTTGGATCTTTTTCTGCCTCTCCGCGCGAGTAGCTTCCTCGGTCCTCACGGACGCCAGTCGCTCATTAAAACTCATCGGGCGCGATGTCTCTGAGGAGGTAGTCACGCTGGACGATGTCCTCGACCTTCTCAGGTACCCTCCCGTTTGTAGCGAGTCGCCAGCGACTTGAGAATCCCTGTAACTCGGCGCTCGCTTCAAAGATATATCTCTGGCCTTCAAGCCTTTGTCGATTCCCAGTAGCACCCTGCTCGGTGACGTTTGTATTTGAGGAGCCTGGAGTTTCCGGACCGGTGACGCAGGTACTTGAATTTGGTTTTGCGGCGGTGCCCTCTGGCCTTCATTTTCCCCAGGTGTGACGCCTCGAGCGGGACGGTTGCGAACATGGCTGGTGATGGCAAGTTCTGAAGTGGTGGCATCCAATCTGTCGACTCCGTCCTCGGCCGCCTTTTTTGACCGAGCACTTTGCAACTTCTTCAACTTCAACCGAGCTTGGATCTCCTGCAATTTGAGCTGCAGTGTCTCTTCATCTTCGTCGTCGTCGTCGTCGTCCTGGTCCATCTCGGCGAGCAGGTTCACTGCTGGCAGGGTACGGGTCCTCCTCGACGGCGATGGAGAAGGCGGTGTCTGGTCTAGCATTTGTCGATATCGTTGGCGACCGCCCGGGGTGCTGACCAGAGCTTCGTGAGGAGATCGAGGCGGCCATTGTGGCTCGGTGGCTGGGGCAGCTGGAGAGAAGCTGTCAGTATTGTCGACGATGGAGAAAGAGGTATGGAGGCATGGAAAGGAAAACTCACCTGGAGCCATCAGGCCGAGGGAGGGTCTGAACGGGCGGGGAGCGAAAAACCGGAGCCAGATGGTACAGAGAAAGCTCAGAAAGGGTTGGGTAACTCTCGGTGTGGCATTCGCATAGGCTCAAGTCAGGCCCAAGTCCAGCGAATGTTTGGCCCAGACAGAGCGACAGCCATCCAGGCGGGAGCTGGGAACGAGGCGAGGAGCGAGGAGCGTATGGAGTGGAGCCCACGCAGAGAAGGGAGAGGTATGTAAAGAGAAACGATGCTGGTTCAAGATGCGATGATTGGTGTTTAAGCGGAGAAATGTTTTGAGGCGTTCAAGCCTGGATCGTGGACCCGGCTCTTGCATTGAGTTGGGTTCCTCTGGGTCCAGTTCGGGTCCAGTTGTTGGACTCGTCTGGGGCTGGGACTGGGTCTTGGCGCAGGCGGGAGGCTGGCATTGGACAGCGCCAGTGGTCACCGACTAGGTACCTCTAGCCACTAACTTACCTGTAAACTGCCGTTCGATTTTAGGCGGCCCCTGCATCACATCTGACGCGCTCGCTATCGGCGCACCACACGCTATCGCTCTGCAACGCACGCTCTGTGCTTTACGCGCCGGGACGTGTTCGCCCTGCACTTTTGGCACCGCAACCGTCGACTCTGGCGTTCAACATCCAATATCCAGTACTCAACTTCAACACCACGCGCGTCCAGTCTCTCCACAAGCTGAGCCTGGCAGTGAATACAATTGCTCATTGACGATAGTCAGTCGCCTTTGACACACCATCTACGCATCAATCGACCACATTCACTCGTTCGCCCTCACCTTTCTACAGCATGGCGAGGACCCGGTCCACCAAGGCTGCTCCGGCTCCTAAGAAACCCGCCACGGATTCGAAATCTGCGTCCTCCAAATTCACCTTGGGCCCTCAGGCTGAGAATCCTTCGAAGCTCTTCATCCTCCCATCCAAAGCCACTGCCGAAGCCCGAATCGTCACCCTGCCCAATCCTAGACATTCACGCCCTGCTCGATACCTGGTTTGCCCAGAGACAGGCATCTACGAATTCACCAAGATCGCGGCGCCAAAGACAACGCCACGAAGTTGGTTGATTGAAACAACACCCACTTCTACGAGTACCGAAGCAGAAAAAGATGACACAAATCTCCAGGCGGAGACTTCCACCGGCCAGGAGCTGTACATGGCGACAGCAATCGACCCTCTCTTTCTGTCTCTCCCAGCTTTGGCAGAGATGAAAGCATCCAAGGGATCCGCCGAACAAAAGCGCATGTTCCTTACAAGCGATGATCACTTCGAGAAACTCCCCGAGGAGTCTTCACACCTGTCTGAAATCTTGCGCTGCCCCAAGACCCGCGCATTGATCGAGACGCGTATGGGAGCGATCTGTGATACAGTTGAAGCTGGCGACGAGGTCATGTTCCGGTTGGATGAGAAAAAGCTTGTCAGTGTCATCCTTGCCAAGGCGAAGCGAATGAGCAAAGGAGGACTTCCTCCGAGCATGGATGAAAAATTTGTCAAGAAAGCGCTCGAGGCGCCCATTCTTGTCCAAAAGCGAGAGATGAAAGGGGGCGAAGTGGTGACGGCCCCCTCTAACGCCAACTCTCAGGTATCGACTCCGCCAACTGAATCTACAGAGTCACAATCGACCGTCGCATCAGCCGACACAGTAGCATCGTCAGCATCGCAGCCTTCGACAGCAGCCACGTCCTTTTCCGAAGAACAATCCACCGACAGCATCGTGAGTGCCATGGAGGCCCCGGCTGAGATTATCCAACTTCAGAGACTCCGAGTTGCGTTCAACTTCATTTGCTCCAACTACGTTGCACCAACACTCGCCGCCCAACTCCAGGAATCCCTCTCCAAAGCTGACACAACCTCTACCGATTTCTCTCCCTTGGATGAGTACCTCACGAAGCTTTCCAAGCTACGCACGGAGGCCATGACATCTCGGTCAACGGGCGACTATTCACGCAAGCACGACCGTGACGAAGAAGAGGACGAGGCTCGTGCTGAGAAGAAGCGGAAACTGGAGGAGGAAAAGAAGAAGAAAGCCTCGGAAAGTCGCGGTGTTCGAGAGCTCAAAAAAGTCAACACAAAGGGCATGAAGAAGATGAGCGACTTCTTCAAAAAGAAATAGCCGAAACGGATGGGCTCTGTATTTTGGGTATCTGGGTCGTGGAAAGACGTGACGGGAGAAGGGTTGCAGTCGGTTGGGTTGCGAGCGCCAGCTCCTTGGCGCATCACGCCCCTCGAGGTCGACCTCTCCCAATGCCAAACCCTCTGCCAATTTTGGATGTTCCGCGACTGCTGGGCAGACCCGATGTGCTGCTTTCTGACAGGTAGCTTGAGCTTGTGCTAGTACCACGAGCAGTGGTTCTACCTCTCGCCCGCGTCCCTCTGGCAACTCCTCGAGAACCCCGGGTGGAGGCAACTGGCGCCAGTCTCCGCCTCTCTTCTTCTTCTTCCCGTCGGCGACGGACCTCTTCTCGCCTCTGCTCTTCCTCGGCCGCTCGTCTCTCGGCAGCCAGCTGCTTCTTGAGCGCCTCGGCCTCTTGTTCGGCGACGTCCTCGGTTGCGCCCTTCCAACCGGGATCTAAGATTAATCGCTGGTTGTGCTCGGTCTGGGATAATATCCGGGTCCAGCTGCTGAGGAGAACGGAGGCATTGTTTACGGTTTTGAATACGGTCTAGAAGAGCGGTCAGTAGGGATCTCAGGAGCTCAGGGGCCGCTGGCTGGCTCATACATCCATGTTACCCCCGGCGCGCTCCAGGGAGGCAATTACACCCTCGAGGCCCTCATTAATACCCCGGACTCCCTCGAGCTCCTTGCGCAGGGCAGCCTCATGGTCGATGGGCTCGGTGGGACGGTCTTGGACTAAGGGGGTCTTCGGAGTCCTGGGAGTCTTGGGTGTCTTGGGTGTTCGTGGTCGAGAGGCAAGTGGGGCATTGACTCGAGAGGGCGAGGCCCAGATGTCGGACTCGGTGAGCTGTGTTGTATCGTCGGCCATGGCGAGGGTCGGCTGAGGATAGACAGGTGGATAATGAATGGACGGGAGTGCCTGGCCGGCAGTGGCCGTGTTTTGGATAATAGAACCCTTATTGAAGGTGCGTCAAGTCAACAAAGGGCGGCGTATCAGCCGAGTGAGCACACGAGCGGAGATTCTTTGTTGCGAGGGAGTGCCGAATGACGAGGGACAAGAGCCGGTGACAGCGGCCAGTAACCGGCCAGTGACAGACCAGGGATGGACCAGTGATGGGCCAGTGCCTAGTAAACAGTGACGTTATGCAGGGCGCGTAGTGGAGGTGGACTGCCACGCAAGGCCTCGCTCCGACAGGCCTGGGTTGTTGTGTTGTGTTATGCCGTGCTGCGCTGAGTGTTTGGCTGCGTGAGGTGGGTGGGCTGGCGATGAGGGGCAGCCTTCAGCAACCAGCCCGCCTTGCATCGAGGGCCCTAGCCACTTTACCTAACGTGTGTCGCTGATTGGACAGGGCGGCTCGCGAAACGGACGCGCTGTGGCGGGACGCGTTGTGTTGAAGGGGTTACGGTGGGTCCCCAGGCCGAAATTTGACCACAATAGGGCGAAAAGTCGGTGGCTGGGGGCCTGTGCGCTGGTGCCCAGAGACGCTCCAGGGTAATCGTCAGGTAGTTTGGCATTCCACCACCCGCCCCAGCCACCCGTCTCCCTCCACTTCCTCTTGCATTTGAGTCCAACCATACGACCCTGCTAATCATCATCTCTGCTCCTCCCATCACCAAGTATCGTCACCGAGAATCAATCGTCGCAATTCTCCCATCGCCCTTTGCTCCTATCGCTATTTTCGCCGCGCCGTCCGACCGTTACCGTGTGTGCAGCCCGACGACAGCCCTAATCGCGCGGTTTTCCGATCCGCCGTCTCCTTGTCGCCCGGTCACCGCCGCGCTATTGCTTTCGACATCCGGGTAATTCTGGCCCAACCGGTGATCCAGCTTCTCGAGTCACGACGCCGCACCACCCTGACGGACGACATCCGCCTCGACGATAAGTTCATCGATCGCTCAACGCAGCGCGCCGCTGCTCCTGTCCTTCAAGATGGCTGCAACCTTTGATGGCTCAATTACGCCTCCGCCCCCTACGGGCATCCGAACTCCCCCAACTCCCCGTCTCGGCTACCACGACAACTGGGAGCCCTTCACCCCTCGCAAGTCCGCACGCATTTCTCAACGCACTCGCACTCCTTCCCCGAACTCTTCGCATCGCCAACAGCCCCGATCGCCGCGCACCGTGAAGAAGTCCAGTAAACAGACCAACCCATCCATCTCTCCCATGGCTTCTCCTCAGAAGAAGCGCCAACCGGCTCTCGATTCCGTCCGTCGCGCTTCAAGCTTCATGGCTTCCCAGGGTATCCAGGCCGCTACTGCTCTCGGACTCGACGCTCCTGCTCAACGCCCAGCCAACTTAAGCGTCACCCGCGCCGCCGGAATGCTCCCTACCCCATCCAAGACACCTCAGAAGCCACCAAACGAGAAGACGGCCGCGAACATCATGTCCATCGCCCGAAACCTCTTCCCTTCTGAAACCGAAGAAGCCATGCCCAGCCCGAAGAAGAGACGTACCAAGAAGTACACTGGGATATCGATGAACAGCTTCAAGGTTGAGGAGGTCGAGGAACCTATTGAAATCTTCACTGATTCGCAAGACCGCATCCCCACCAAGGACGAGAGCGATGCCAACCCTTTCTACGGAGATGACGCTGCACCTGCCGAGCCCACTAAGCGCCGAAGCAAGCGCAAGCAGGTCAACATTCCCGGTGAGGGAGCCTACTCTATCGATGAGGCTTCTCGTCGCGAAGATGGAATGGTATACGTCTTGTAAGTTCAACCTTCACTCTCTCATATTATATGGTAACTAACTATTATCTCAGCCGTGGCAAGAAATTCTTCCGCAAGTTCTCTGATAACGACGACGAGGATATGGATGAGTTGCTAGACGATGAGAATGAAGATGAGGTCCGTCTAGCTCGACCTCTCACTCGCTCTTCCATCAAGCCCCGTCTTTTGTTCCAGACTCCAAAGACGGAGGCCATGATTGAGGAGGAGGAGGCCGCAACCGATGTCGAAGATGAGCACATCGATCAGCCAGTTGCCGAGCCTCAGACTCCTGCCAAGCCCCATCACCAGCGTGCAAGCACCCCTGAGGCTCCCAAGTTCGCACCTGTATCGCCTCCAGACACCAGGCGAACAACGAGATCTACGAATAAGCTGGCAGAACAATCAACTCCGATCAAGCCCACCGACCGGAAGAGCCCCTTCGACTCGTGGCGCCGAACAAAGGAGCACAAGGCGGCATCAACATCCAAGCGACAAGGCGACACACTCACTCCGGCACACGCCAAGCGCGCCCGTACTTGAGTTATTTTGATTTCCTTGCATATTTTACCAAAGTGGCCCTCTTACGGCTTTCTTAATTGGCTCGGTTGCACTATGGCCTCAGTGGTGTTGTTAGTACACAGCTTGTCGGCTGCAGCTGGATTTCACCAACCGACTTTGAATTCACTTCTCCATGTCGATTTTGTTTTTCCCCTGGCCTAGGGATTAAAAAACTGAGGAAGGATCTGCTTTTATGGCGTTGACTGGAACTGTAAGGTCTGAATAGCAGACGAGTTTTTGGGTGGACTGAGTGACGAATGGACAGGAATGGAAGGGAACGCAAATGGGTGACAGACAGATGGATGGAAGGATACCTGAAAGAATGGCGAGTATGCCGATAAATCGAGTTATGAATGCTCTTACTTCTAGTTAGCCTAAATCGAGGACTTAAATCCATTTACCTTATCCAAGCCATGAATAAAGTGCTTCTGAGCCAAATCCAAGGCGAGCTTGCGTGCTTAGCGCTGTCCCGTCGACTTCCGGTCCTCGCTGCCCCACGTTTGCCCCTCACCTACGATTTCGGCCCTGCGATTTGACCTTCCGATCCGACTACGCCGGAGTTTTATCGCTGACGGCCCAACCTTGTCTTCTCCAAGCTGCATCTGCTTCGTTCGAATCTCCAGCTTCCTGAAGAGTTTCTCACCTGCCAGGTCTAAACGCTCTCCATCCCTCCCTCTGGTCTCTGTCGCTCGTTCGCCTACCCTAAACTCGAGCACCTTCAAGATGCATATTCTCGTTACCAACGACGACGGGCCACCATCGCCTCACTCGTCGCCTTATGTCCATTGCCTCATCAAAAAGCTCCAGGAGGCTGGTCACATCGTATCTGTATGTGTGCCTCACACCCAGCGTTCATGGATCGGCAAGGCGCACATGATTGGGCAGACTCTCAAGCCTTTGTACTACCGACCTTCCGCCAACATCCACGGCGAGGACTCTGAGGGCACCACCCACCACCGGCCTTCACCCTCGGGGGATGTCGAGGAGTGGATTCTCATTGACGGAACCCCCGCTTCTTGCGTCCAGATTGGCCTTCACCACTTCTTCCAGGAGCGTGGTCCTGTTGATCTCGTTGTCAGTGGCCCCAACTATGGTCGAAATACCACGGCTGTATTTGCCCTGAGCTCCGGAACCCTGGGCGCCGCATTGGAGGCTGCTGTCTGCCAGCACAAGGCCATCGCTCTTAGCTTTGCCTTCTTCTCGCGGAATCACGACCCCGTCATCATTGAGGCTGCCTGCCGGCACAGCGTGAAGGTCGTTGAGGCGCTCTATAAGCAGTGGCCGACGGATGGTAGCGCGGACCTCTACAGCGTCAACGTTCCCCTTGTCGAAGGCATTGAGAGTCACAAGACCATCTGGACCAATGTGCTGCAGAACTACTGGCGAGAGGGTGGCTGTTTTCAAGAGATTGAGGGCGAATCCGGTGATGAGAAGGAGGAAGAGGAGAGGATACGAGAGGGCATGGATGGGGAAGTGAATGATGGAGGCAAGTCAGGCGAGGCGAGAAAGGGACATGTCCACAAGCACTTCAAGTGGGCGCCTAAGTTCACCGACGTTTACAAGAGCGTGGAGGAGTCCCAGCCTGGCAATGACGGATGGACCGTTAAGGAAGGACAAACGAGGTGAGTTACCCCTAACCGCTACCACGACCCAATTACTGACCCTATTCTAGCGTCACTCCTCTGAAGGCAAACTTCATGCATGGACCTGGCGAGTTCAACCAGAAAGAGCTAGAACTGTGAGTGTATTCCCCAAAGTCGCCAGCGTCGATTTTGTTGGGGCATCTCGGGCTGGGTTATGAGTAACGATGCATGATTTTGTTGCCTGTATTCTATGCAGAAAGCATCTCTCCAAATAGATCTCATTCTTACCATGGTCAAGCAGTCCAAGTCAGTCAGTGGAGGCAAACGGCTCCAAGAGAAAAGTTGAGATCCCCCTGCGGTTGAAGGGAGATGAAGCTGGAAAAGCCCCTGTCCAGGCCATCATCTCTTACGAAGACTCCTATGTCCAACCCCTGATCCTCTCAGCCATGAATTCACTATTCCCAAATAACCTGGTCAACATTATCACCGACTTGCCAGCGTCCGACGACGGTATCGTTGTCTCGCGAATGTTCCCCTCCTCGGATACGAAGGTGCTGCAGATAACGGCCTATGAGTCCATCGACTTCGAATATGCAGGCAGCCACGAGAAGACGTCGCTCATCAACAGCTACATGATCCGAAAAGCGCTGATCCGAAAGCACTATCTCTCGACAACCGTCGACCACTGGGTGGCCAAGAACCCCACTTCCGTCCTAAAGGATCACATCAAGCGCAGCGAAGCCTTCGAGGTTGATTACGCCGAGTTCCTCGACGATGCTTTAGTTGAGGCCTTTGATCTCCGAGAAAGCATGGACCGAAACGAGGCACTAACTGACGAAGAAGCCGCTGCGAAGGAGTGGTGGATCTTGAAGCCTGGCATGAGTGACCGAGGACAGGGCATCCGACTGTTCAGCTCAATGGACGAGCTTCAGGCCATATTTGACGGTTGGGAGGAGGATCGTCCTGATAGCGACGACGAGGATGATGCGGACAGGGGTGATGCCTCTAATAAGGTCGACGACGATGATGGAGACTACATCACGACTTCACATCTGAGACATTTCGTGGCCCAGCCGTATATTCACCCACCTCTGCTCTTGGAGGACAACAACCGCAAGTTCCACATTCGAACATATGTCCTCTGCACCGGCAGTCTCAACGTCTGGGTCTACAAACACATGCTTGCTCTCTTCGCCGGAAAGCCCTACGCAGCACCGGCCGACGCCCCGGACGACATCGAAGCCTTCCTCACCAACACCTGTCTACAGGACTCGCCGAACGAGAACACAGTCCGCCGCTTCTGGGACCTACCGTTGCCGGCGGCCACGCGTGACGACATCTTCCGCCAGATCTGCGAGGTCACTGGCGAGGTCTTCGAAGGCGCGGCGAAGGCTATGCCTGTGCATTTCCAGACGATGCCCAATGCGTTTGAGGTGTTTGGATTGGACTTCCTCGTCGACACGAAAGGGGTTGCATGGCTTCTCGAGGTGAATGCGTTCCCAGACTTCAAGCAGACCGGAGGGGACTTGCAGGATATTGTGGCCGGCTTCTGGAAGGGGGTTCTAAGGCATGGTGTTGCGCCATTCTTTGGTATCGAATCGAATTCTCTGAAGGACCAGGAGGGCGCCGAGGGCATGGTTTCTGTCAGAAGAGTTGACCTGGGCAGAGGATAGAGGTTTGCTACAATGCTTGGGGAGTACCATGACTGGGCAAAAGGTCAACATGGGTTATAGGGTATGGAGGCCGGTTTGCACATGAATAAGGATCGTAGAAACTACGGTAGGGTTCGTCAAAAGTCAACTGTTTACATCGAAAAGCCAAGGGAATGTGTCTTCTCATTCCAGACAACACATCGCGGCGAGCTTCCCACCGTCGTATGACACGCAGTGACAAAGTGACGTTGATGCCGAGATATTACGTGGATCCCCAACCCCCACGATAACATGTTTGCATAGCCCACCTCATTTCCCAGAAGCAAGTCTTACCCCTAGGATCTCCCTTATCCTTACCCTACATGACACCTACGAAACTGAGGTACCTTTGAATTTCCTTTGATCATCTACGCACGGAGCAAAGCTTGATCATCACCAGCCCACGTAAGACGCCATCTACACTTGGCACGCTCGGGACTGCACCGAAATTCAACGGATGCCCTACCGCCCATTTCCACGGTAGGCGTTAATGGCTTCATCAACAGGGAATGAAAAGCCCTCGGATTGGTGTTGGCAGCCAGCACAGCCACGCTGAGACCGGGACATGAGTGGAGCAGGCAACGTCTTGGAGAGGGGAAACCGCGAGCACGTCGTAACGGCATTTGGCGCCGGTTGGTTCTGATTCTGGCGGAAGATGCGGGATCCGACGCGAGGACGAGGGGTTTTGCCTGCAACACTTGTGTTGGCATCGAGGCAGTGCTGCCGGAGTGTGGTGGATATACATGGTGCACGGAGTTTAGTTTTTGGGTTGCACGCAGATTTGGAACCAACGCTGCACATGAATGTCAGAGCTCGGAAGCAGAGCAGGTGAGAGGGATGTTTGCGCATCACAGTTGTGGAGATGGAGGAACAATGCCGGTCTCTCTTGTCGGTGAAGCAGATTGATCATCTCGGCGGCATGGTCATGGCGGTCGTATTCTAAGTTAGTGTGGGAGAGTTAATTGTGACGACATATGCGAATTAACTAATTCTTGGCCAGAACTTGGCGGAGCAGATTAGTGGAAATTATGTTTTCTCTCTTACGCACCGTCGATCTTTCTGGAACGAGTGTATCAAGGGGTTTCAAGTAGCATGGACATAGCCCAAGCAGATGGACTCCCATCTCCAACGGAGCAGCCTGAATATGTATCCTGCAGATGGTAGCGTAGCAGGGAGGCTTCGGAGAGAAGGAACCAATTGCATTCAAGTCGGCTGGGTCAACCTTGCTGAACCACTCACAATAAACATTGCTACAGCCTACATGTGATATACCACATTCGCAACGGTGAGGATGTGACTCAGCCCTCAATCGAATAGTAGTGCGCAGCCGAGGTTGATTCTGGAGCAATTTACACAGCCGTTGGGCTACCTTCGCAAACCACTCGTTTCGGACCGCCGACACAGCCCTGGTGGGATTGGAAGATGTTACAGATGAGGTCTTACAGCCCCAAAGACGGATCATGGACTCAAAAGCCCTCACCAAGCTTGGAACGCTTGTCATGTTCGCGGTGGCTTAGAGGCCACATCATGGCATTAGACGGTGTCTTCCCTGCGAAATTGGTGTTGCCAGCCCCGCGGGGAGTTGACCCGAAAGGATCGCGTCCGTCAATATCAAGAGATCCCGGAGGGGGAGTGTTGATAGCTTTGGGCAGTATTGAGCTCTCCTGGTCGGCATGTCACTGGAGCTTGTTGTACGGTGTGTCACCGTGGTTGTGGCTTGGAGGGAATGCGGCCCATCGCCGAGTGAGACGGCTGGTTGTTGCTGCTCCAAGTATCAAACACGGGATGACAGCAAATGTTTCTCGCCTCCCTCGCCTCGGCCGCGCAACATACCCATCGTGGCTTAGACGTCTAACGACCCAAAGTCCCCTCTCGGGCTTACATCAGTCTTCATGGCTCAGTTTGGGACCCATCCTTCCCCGCCTCCTCACCCGACAACAGGCAGGCGGAAAGTGTCAACTCCACACGTTGAAGATGGGGATAGCTTGGCGGTGAAAGGACAAGCTTGAGGGTTTATGTCAACCGATTGGCTAGACCCCTGGGCCGCGGAGGCGGTAACTGAGTTTTCCGAGAGCACTGCCCTCTGGGTCGATCTAGAGAGCTAGGTTCGGAAGCTTGATAGCATGCCGCCACGACTTGGGCCTCGATCTATCGCATGTATCTGAGAGGATTTGCAGCTGCCAAGTTGGGTTCATGAGGAGATGATGGCTTCAGTGAGGTAATCGGGGTGGGGTGGGGACCACTAGGCATCTTGGCACTCCCGCAGGAGTTAAGCTTCTTAGCGGTAAACTGACTCTGGGCGAGAGACTTTCAGAGAGGGTTTGCCGGCTGGCGGATTGTTTTGACGAAACAATAGTCAGGTGATCCCGGAAGTAAAACTGAAGTGATACAGGGGTCATCAAAGTGTATTGACTATCATTTGAGGATTCTCGCGCGATCAACGGGCACCTGCTTCTTAAAGAAGGAGGTTTCAAAGGTCCCCGAAACATTCCCTGTTTCTTCTGGGCATGCCGTGGATGTGTCTGGATCCATTGGAGCAAAAAGCTCTCCATGTCTCTGATTGCTGTAAGTAACCCAAATGCCTGCCCAAATGTACGGGCCCACTAATTCATTGGCATAGATTCGTCGCTCACCTGGGATGATTGAGGCTGAGCACTCCCCTGTACATCCCATAATGGCCTAAAAGGGACTAGTAGGATGAGTTGAAGGGTCGGAGTGGTGCTCTTTCGCCTCTGCACACGCGCCGTCGTGGAGTAATCAGACTTCGGGCGTGAGACCCCCGCAACAGAATGCTGGTCGCCTGGGTAGCGACCAACTCCGCCGGGGCATTTTGCAAGGGGATCCGAGACCTGGTTTTGCTGGCGATATGCAGGAAGTTGTTGGTGGCTGCCAGGTTATCAGACTAGAGCATGTTGATTGGCTGCTGAAGTGATGTGCCACTTGGGCAAACCGGGACGAACGAACTTTTTTTCGACGACACATGATGACGATGGGGCCGAAATTCAATCGTCACGGAACAAATCTCCGGGGATGGACTCCCGTCTTTGCGTGAGAGAATGGGGAGTCGGGCTTTGGTAGTGAAGTGCAGCCATAGGTGAGTGTCATGGGCCGCAATGCACCGTCGCACATCATGGGCCATGTTACGGTTGTGGTTTGACTCAGGCGACCACGCGCGCGCGTGCATACAATTCCATGCATTTCCACCACTCCAGACCTCCCGGCTCTTGGGTCCTGTGTAGCCAACACGGAGGCTGTGCTGGAAAAGGGTTGTGTCTACTGCTGGTAGCTTTACTGCTCAGCTGCAATCACCAAAATGTTGGGGCGGTTTAGAGCGTGGGAGGGCGTCCCCAATTCTGCCAAGTTTTTTTTGCCTCGTGTTTTGGGCCAAGAAGCGTGATCTGCACCAAGCCAGGGCGACGGTGTGACGCCGCAGAAAGCCTCGCTCGCGTTGAGGGTGGCAACGACGTCAACGAAACCCGCGAAACCCCTGCGAAAATCCGGCTCAAGCCTCGAGGACGTTGTACTGCGCCCCGGAGGCGATTCCCGTCGAATTGTCACTGCGGACACGAGGTTGGCTCATCCGACCGCCAGTGCCGTCAACCAAGGCCCTCTTCGACGGGGTTCCTGGCGGATTGGCTTGGCTCTCATCTTTCTCCCAGATGGGTAGCTCGATGGGGACAAGGGGGGACTGAGATAAAGTGTGCATGGGGATGGGATGAGAGCGACATCAACTGAAAAGCTTGGCCTTGGGGTTCCAGCTTGGCTCAACCTTGTTATTGACAGGGGGCGGCGCGGGCGCCTACATACGGGACAGTAGCACCATAGCTTAATGGATAGCATTGTGGAGCAGCCTCCAAATCATTGATTCCATGCAGTCCTCACTGTCTATACGGCCCAATACTGCTCATACGGACCGAGGACGAGACTCGATCCGTTGGCAACGGATGCCTCCGAGCTCAAAGCGAGAGGGGCGAAGGAGACACCGCGCCTACTCCGTGTGCACTGCCTGCGACAGCCCGAATACGTGGTTGGCGGAGGAGACGGCCGGACAAAGTGAGCCTACCCAGAGAGTCACTCAGCGACCCAGCTGGCAATGCCCGCCAATAAACACCATCGTAATGCCTTTGGTGCCATGGATTGATGACGACGTATGCACCCTCATTTCCGGAGCCCCAGAATTGCACTGGCCGAAAAGACAAATAAGCTCAGCCATGTGGCCGGGCTTTCTGCCAGGGACCGCCCCAATTTGGCCTGGAAATTGCCACGGGAGTCGTACGCATTGGACCCATCTCAATCAAGCAGCTGTACCATCGGCCTCCTTCACCCTGGCGTCTTCGGCGTGGAGATTGCCTCTCCGGGGAACACGTCCTGCCCCGTATCAGGGGCCCTAAGAGAGCAGGTGGAGAAGGCGAGTCTCACACGACCTCGGCCTCTATCGCCGCCGCGGCCGCCGCCGTTGTCGTCGTCGTCATGTCGACCGCTAGGGAAATATCAGTCGAAGGCAGCGGTGGGAATGACCTGTGACCTGTGACTGGAACTGAGCGCCAGCGCGAGGATTGCTTATTGCAGATCTGATTGTATCGGACCGGGTGTCCTTCAGGGCAGGGGAAAAGAGCCAAAGGGCGCCGTTGAGCGGTTCCCAGAGGTCTTCTAGAAAGCCGCGGGACGCGTGGCGCGTGTCTGAGGTACCTAATGTTGCATGCGAATTTGCAGGGATGCTAAGTATCGCTAGGAAATGGTAGCGAGTATTTTGATTGCATAGCACGGCGACTCCATCTAAATACGACTCTTGGTACCTCCCGAGGCGGGAGCTTAGGTATCCTGAGCTTGTACCTAGAGGGTGATGAGCAGCGATGTCGATCTTCCCGTTCGCAATTGCAATCGCGGTTGTCAGCGAAAGCAAGTGGCCCCGGGAAATGGGAAACCCAGTTCATGGATCGTGAGATGGGTACGGAGTGCGCTGAACAACGCCAAGTCGTGCCACTGCGACGGCGACTACGCCTAAATAGTTAGAGCCTTGGCTGCCAGTCGCACCATCTGCCAGATCTGCGCGTCCACCCGCACTGTATTCAGGATCCGTCATCGAATGAAATGTCGCTTGGCTGTCGCTGCTGGGGGATGTCATCACTAAAGGTTGGTATGGTATTCAGATGGTGCATGCCTAGGAAATAGGGTTCGATGCAGCAGCATTGTCCAACAGTGATGACCGGCTGCCTGGACAAGGCATGCTAGAGCCGTCATCGACTCGGCTTCAGAGCTTCGTGGATTTCGCACTTGTTCAGCTCACATGGCAAAGTGTAGCGACTCAGCCTCCATCAGTGTGCGTCGGTTCGCGAGAGGCCGCCCAGAGTCGAGATCTCTTGGATTCCGAGCCATGGAGAATTTCCAAGAGAAAGAACAATACCGAGGCCTTCTCTAAATGCTTGGGATTCGGACGTTTTGTTATTGGCGATGACCGAGATTTCGTACGACACGAAGCCAGCTTACGCAGGCAGGACTGAGATGGAACAAGCCCTGTGCAACGTGCTGCACCGCGAAGGAGGCACCGTGGCCGACCCCAAGAATTTACAGGGGCGAGAGTCGTTTAGTTTAGCATTGTATTGGTTGGTACTAGGGGCGTCGATGCGATGGCCAGGCCTACCGTAGGTACCTAGGTAAGGTAGGTACCTAGTTGTGGTCAAAGTCCCCTCGAGTCATTGGCATGCCAGATTATGGCGAACAGTACCTCAGCGCTACCAGGCGACGACGCAGACAGTCTCCGCGGATTTGATTTGACGCTGTTTAGCGCCTAGCCAAAGCGCGACCCGCCTCGTTCTTTACATCGCCAATGCTTGCTTGCCCGATGTCCCTTGACAGGCATTTTAGGGACGGAGGTACCCATGGCTGGTAGCTCCGGCCGGCCCTGCATCGCTCCTCCCCTAGACAACAAGGATACGTACCTGGTCACCTCCCGAGCCGGGTGATGCCCCACACGGCCAATCATTGCATTTGCACAGCCTCATTGCCTCTGCTTGGCAAGTGGCAAGCGGCAAGCCAGACGGACTCCTCGCTCTTCTATCACTCCATCGTTTTTACACTCCCCTCACGTCGCAAATGGTAGGTTGTCTTGATTCAAGAGAACCGCTGTTTGACGCCAGACCGGCATTTCAGACTAACCCGTTCTCCGGGATTCCCTCGTCCCATTTTTCTTTCTTTCCTTCATAACTTACTACATCGCCCATGCCGGCCCTCTTGGCTCCACGCCGTCTCCATTCTCCTAACTCTTCCTTTGTTTCGACCGTCACCATCAACATTGTCTAGCCATTCGCCTCTTGCTCAGCCTCGCTGCGCTGCCACGATTGCCACGGGAGCCCTCCCAGAGTTTCGGATTGCCTAGTTCCTCCGCAACGGGGGCTGCCTGCCCATCATGGCTGACGAGACGCCGAATCCGCCCATGAGGCGGCGCGCGTATGTCACCCCAATGCCCGAGAGGCATCCGATGCCGCATATCATTCAGCCTTGTACTTTACTGACAGGATTCCCTTCTCTCTAGGCCGACCATTACCATTGACACAACGGATGTCAACCCTAGTACCAACGCCCCCGAAATGGCATCCAATTCCCAACAACAACAGCGGCCCAACGAACCAATCTCTCCCCAGGACGATGCCGTGAGTCCCACAACTACTGTTGCAGACCCGTTGTCTACGAGCTGGGTATCTCAACGCCAAGCTGGAAACCCGCGACCCGACCTCAACACAGCTGTTTCCTTCGAGAGCCGAGACAGTAGGCCAACAAGCCCTCATAATGTATCGAGCCCGGTGACATCACGAAATGGCGACCGTGGCGCTGCCTTCCTGGCAGTCCCAGAAACCCTACGATCGCGACAGAACTCGGTCGATTCGGAGGACATGTCTCGTTCCTTCACCTCGCACGGCGAAACTACTGTGGTTGGATCCAACTCGACCCAGGCGGAAAAGTACAAGTCGTCTGACATGAGCTCTCATAAGATTATGAACGATGAGACGGCCTTGAAAGCCGATGTTGGCACGGAGGCTGACTTCGAAGTTGAAAACAACCCTTTTGCGTTCACCCCTGGTCAGATGAACAAGATGTTCAACCCCAAGAATATTGCCGCCTTTTATAAGCTAGGTGGCATGAAGGGCCTCGAGAAGGGTCTGCGAACTGATCGAAAGGCCGGCTTGAGCCTTGAGGAAACTCATCTGGATGGCCAAGTTTCTTTCGACGAAGCGACCGCCAAAAACTACAAGCTGGAATCTGAAGGCGTGTCTCCGGCGATCCATGTAAGCTCACCCGGTGGTGAAAGCGGCCACTTTGTGGATCGACTCCGCGTTTTTAAGGACAACCGACTGCCGGAGAAGAAGGGCAAGAGCCTGCTGCAACTCATGTGGATCACCTATAACGACAAGGTGCTGATTCTGTTGTCAATTGCTGCAGTTATCAGCTTGGCTGTCGGACTTTACCAAACCTTTGGTGGTGAGCACAAGCCGGGTGAGCCCAAGGTGGAGTGGATCGAGGGTGTGGCAATCATTGCTGCTATTGTTATTGTTGTGATTGTTGGGTCCCTGAACGACTACCAAAAGGAACGCCAATTCGCCAAATTGAACAAAAAGAAACAGGATCGCGATGTCAAGGTTGTACGCTCTGGAAAGATCATGGAACTCTCCGTTTTCGACATTCTGGTTGGTGATGTTCTCCATCTGGAGCCAGGAGACTTGGTCCCTGTTGACGGAATTCTCATCGATGGTTTCAATGTCAAGTGCGATGAGTCGCAGACCACTGGCGAGTCTGATATTATCCGGAAACGACCCGCCGACGAAGTTTATGCCGCCATCGAAAACAATGACGAACTCAAGAAGATGGATCCCTTCATTCAGTCTGGATCTCGAATCATGGAAGGTGTTGGCACCTTCATGTGCACATCCACCGGCATTTACTCTTCCTACGGAAAGACCCTCATGGCTTTGAACGATGATCCCGAGATGACACCTCTCCAAGCGAAGCTCAACGTCATTGCTACCTACATTGCCAAGCTTGGTGGTGCTGCTGGTCTGCTCTTGTTCATCGTCCTGTTCATCGAATTCCTGGTCCGCCTACCTAAGCAGCCTGCCGACGTCTCTCCTGCCGAGAAGGGTCAAATGTTTCTTAACATTTTCATCATGGTTGTGACCATTATCGTGGTCGCTGTCCCCGAAGGCCTCCCGCTCGCAGTTACACTGGCTTTGGCGTTCGCTACCACCCGCATGCTTCGTGACGCCAATTTGGTGCGACATCTGAAGGCCTGTGAAGTCATGGGTAACGCAACAACTATTTGCTCTGACAAGACCGGTACTTTGACCCAGAACAAGATGCAAGTTGTCTCGGGAACTATCGGAACCAGCCATAGGTTCGGCGGCGGTCGTCCTGGAACCCAGGGCAGTGATGGCGAATCGACACCAATTGACACGAGTGGTGACATCTCAGCCTCGGAGTTTGCTTCGATGCTCAGTGCCCCAGTCAAGGAACTTTTACTCAAATCCATCTCGCTCAACTCCACCGCATTCGAGGGCGAAGTCGACGGAGAGAATACATTCATTGGATCCAAGACTGAGACCGCTCTGCTCATCTTCGCTCGCACCTATCTCGGAATGGGACCTGTGAGTGAGGAGCGAGAGAACGCCAAGACTCTCCAGCTTATTCCGTTCGATTCTGGTCGCAAGTGCATGGGTATTGTGGTCAGCCTTCCCAACGGTGGCGCCAGACTCTTCATGAAGGGTGCTTCTGAAATCATCCTTTCGCAGTGCAGTCAGGTCCTCCGCGATCCTGCTGCAGATGGCTCCGTTGTGTCAATGTCCGATGATAACATCGCCACGGTCAACCAGCTCATCGAGAGCTACGCCAAGCGATCCCTGCGTACCATCGGTATTTGCTACAAGGATTTTGAGTCGTGGCCCCCCAAGGCTGCTCGATTTGTCGAAGGTGGCAACAACGAGGTTGTCTTTGAGGACCTCTTCTTTGACATGTCCTTCATCAGTATGGTCGGAATCCAGGATCCCCTGCGAGAGGGCGTCCCGGAGGCTGTCCGACTTTGCCAGAAGGCAGGCGTCGTTGTTCGAATGGTTACCGGCGACAACAAAATCACTGCTGAGTCTATTGCTAGGGAATGTGGAATTCTCCAGGCAAACAGCATTGTCATGGAAGGACCTGAGTTCCGCAACCTGTCCAAGTTTGAGCAGGAGGCAATCATTCCTAGACTTCACGTGTTGGCCCGATCCAGTCCCGAGGACAAGCGTATCCTGGTTAAGCGCCTCAAAGACAAGGGCGAGACGGTTGCCGTCACTGGTGACGGTACCAACGACGCACCTGCTCTCAAGATGGCCGATGTAGGCTTCTCCATGGGCATCTCAGGTACTGAGGTGGCCAAGGAGGCTTCTGCTATCATTCTCATGGACGACAACTTTGCAAGCATCGTCAAGGCTCTCAAGTGGGGCCGCGCCGTTAACGATGCCGTGAAGCGTTTTCTTCAGTTTCAGCTCACGGTCAACGTGACTGCTGTTCTGCTGACCTTTGTGACTGCTGTGTCTAGCGACGAGGAGAGTGCCGTCCTGACTGCAGTACAACTGCTCTGGGTTAACTTGATCATGGATACTCTGGCTGCGCTCGCCCTGGCCACGGACCCCCCCATGACAGCGTGCTGGATCGGAAGCCTGAGCCCAAGGGTTCCGCTATCATTTCCACTACCATGTGGAAGATGATCCTGGGACAGTCCGTTTACCAGCTTGCCATCACTTTCCTCCTGTATTACGGAGCCCCCAAGGGCATTCTTCCTCTCTCTGGCAACCGAATCCCCTCAGACGAGGAGATTGCCACCCTGGTCTTCAACACCTTCGTCTGGATGCAAATATTCAACCAGTGGAAGTAAGTAGCTCCTACTCATTACAGCTCTGCGCAGTCATACTAACGATATATGTAGCAACCGTCGCCTTGACAATAAGTTCAACATCTTTGAGGGTTTGACCAAGAACTGGTTTTTCATCGGCATTAGTGCCATTATGTGTGGTGGCCAGGTCCTGATCATCTTCGTTGGTGGTGACGCTTTCCAAATTGCGGAGGATGGCCAGAGTGGTACCCTTTGGGCCATCGCCATTGTCCTTGGCTTCATCTCGATTCCCGTTGGTATCATCATCCGTCTTATCCCCGACAAGGTCATGCTGGCCCTCATTCCCCAGTTCCTCAAGAACCGGGCCAATAAGGTGCCCGGGCTTACGATCTCGGATGAGGAGATGGACATGTATCCTGAGCCGCTGGCGGATGTGCGAGACGAACTTAACTTCCTCAGGCGGATGAAGGGAGGCCGCCTGAACAACCTCAAGTTCGCCATCCAGCATCCCAAGGAGACTATCATGCAGCGATCGAGAAGCAACTCGCACTCGCGCTCCAACTCTATCAACATGCCACAGACACCTGTCCAGGAGGATGGTATCGGATCTCCAGTGGCGACTCCCGACTCTCGCAGGAGACCCAGATCGAACCGCTCGCGCTCCAACTCTGCGCTGGGAGCGCCTACAGTGATGGCCGGTATCGTTGCTGCCGGAGTGGCAGCAGGGTGGCAGCCAAGGACGCGGGCAGCAATGGAGGGCGAGACCCAGGGTAATGGGACGCAGGATAACGAGGCGCACAAATAAGGAGTAATACGGCTTGTAACATATGGGAGCTACTAGAACTGGTTCGAGCATTGCTTTTGTTTTTCTTTTGCTCGTTGGGCTACAAAACCAAGGATAGACAGTATCGTTTCTGCGAGCCGATGCATAAATATCAGTAATATTATACTTACATACGTCATTCCCTCCAATACGCTTTCGCGCTCAATGTAGATTGATGGCTGGCAGCGTCTCGAGGATCGGCAGGGTAAACGGGATAGTGGCATCCAGAGCAGAAAGCGTTTCGCAAGAGTTAGCACTGCCTCTGCGACGCGTGGCCAAGGTTTCACTGTGCTGGCAAGAATTCGCAGGATAGTCAGTTTAGCGCTTTGGCTCGATGTTATCAGCTTCTCCTTCCTTCTTGCTTTGTCTCGCTCGGTTTGCTGCTGGCAGGGCCGGGTTGGTTGCTACCTGACCGGTGTGAAGCAGCGAGTAACGCAGCGAGGACACCACGGGGTTGTGCCCTACGGGCTACGGGCTACGTGCGGGCTATGGGTATTCGTACACAAAGGGTTAAGTTCCATATGGCGAAGGTTTCGTATCGAGTGAGGGCGAACTACTCGTCGTTTCTTACGTGTTAGTGTTGGTCAGTTGCCCTTGCATGATACCAATTTTCGGTATGTTCTACCAAGCTGGGAGAGGGGAAACTGCAAATCCTAGCCTGGTGAGGTTGGATGGTGGCTGGCGGCTAGGGATGCAATCAAGCGTCGGTGAGAAGAGGGGGCGGTCTGGGATTGGATTGTGCCGTGGAATGCTCCTGATAGGTACCGTTAGTGGCTCACTCCCTTGCTTGCTTTGTCGACAATGACTGGGGGAGTTTCGCATCAGTGTTGGGCGGCATACGGAGTAGAGTTCTGAGGCTTGAGGGGAGGTTTAGGCTACGATTCCCCGGAGTTTTTGGACCCGTGAAGCTTAATATTGGAAGAGGGCGAGCTGAGCAGGGGAAGTAGGGGAAGGTGGCGATGCAATGTTTGCTTCTGATGCTGTGCATGTGCATAGACGAATGGAGCGGTTGTTAACTTCATCTGGATGCTGTGTAACCAAGGTGCCGGGGTGGGTACACGGCCCGGATGAGTGAAACTGGCGGCCAGGGAAAAGAAGGAAAAAATCGATAGCGCTGGTTCTTTGGGCTGGGACACGGCGTCGGCCGCCAATCACCCATGGTGTCTTAATCTACCTGGCGTGGTCGGGGTTCTCGGGAGGATGCGGGAGATGAGGGAAAGGGGGGGGGAGAGTGCGAGTGGCAACTAATTGGAAGCGAGCGAAAGGCACCGTGGTTGTTAAGAGAGACATTTATTCCTGATGAATTACACATATGGGAGGGAAACTGGCACTTAATTTCCACCGTGAGATAGACGATGCTGGCGGCTGTGCTGGCGGCGATGATGGCGAGGGTTGCTTAATAGAGCCGAGAGTGGACATTTTTGCCTCAGAGTGGTGGAAAGGCTAAATGAATCCAGGCCGTCGGTCTGTGTCTGTGTGTCTGTGTGTCTGTGTGTCTGGGTGTGTTTGGATAGTAGCCCAGCCAATCAGCCAATCAGCCAACCGGCTAGAGCCATGTTCTCGTTCAGCTGGGGAAATGGATGTCATCAATTGGAGCCGCCGAGACAATGCGGAAAGCGGGACACTTGGATGGCAAGTAATTTATCGCTATAGAAGATGGGCTTACGGGGAGCTGAACAAGAGAGAACTGATGCAAGGGAGATGGACAAAGAGCGGCGTAGAGAGTGAGTGAGGGACGGGCAAAGGCAGAGAGCATAATAGGCCCATCATATCATGCAACAACAACACACACACCCACACTGACACACACGCACTGCACACACACGCCATGCCGTCCCGCCCTTGCTCCGCTTTTGTATGCGACAATGATAAAAAGGAAAGCGAAAAAAAAAAAGAAAGGAAAAGACGAAACGATGTGAGGGAATAGACACGAAAAGGCGGTCTTTGATGTACTACGAATGCCGATCGTCTCTAGTTGCTCCTACTGAATGCAGGTGGAACATGCGAGAATCAGAGGGGGCGGTTGTAGGAAACCTTGCTGGCGATATCGGGGCTATCTTGCGTAATGAATTGCTGGGAACGGGGAACGAGGAACGAGGCGGGCAAAGGAGAAGAAGAAGAAGAAGAAGAAGAAGAAAAAACTGGGCTTATTAGGTTGGCTTGGCTTGGCTGGGGGAGGCGGCGGCGGAATGGGTTGGATTGGACTTGGCTGGGCCGGGTCCAATTGCTAGACACAACGGAGGCTGACTGATGAGCAAAGGACAGAGAAAGAAAAGGAAATAATTGGCGAGCAAGGACGGAATGGAACAACCAGGAGGAGAAAAGAAAAGAAGAGAAAAGGAATAGAATCAACGGTATTAAATAGGCGAAAGACAAGACTCACCGGGTTCCTTTTCCTTGTCCATCCACCCATCCATCCATCCATCCAGGGTCGCGTCAAGCAAGGTACCTAGTCGGACACTCGTTCGTGGTATTTCCCCCTGGCTTTGCGACTCGTCTGGTTTTACTTTGCCTGTCACTCGGTCACTCGAGTCACTCGGCGCTCACTCTTTCTCTCACACCATTCACGCTCACCCACTCACCATTCACCATTCACCATTCACCACCAGCAAAGGTCGAGCCAGTACAATCGCTCCATCCGCCCATTTCAGCCAGCCCATCCATTCCAATCTCCTCTTGCCCAATCTCTTGGAGCATTTTCCCATTTTCCCATTCTCCCCACCCTTCGACATTTGTCTTCTTCTTTCCTTTCAATACCTACCTTACCCTTCCCAACCCTTCCCAACCCCCGGTTCCTCTCACCAAAAAACCCACATACGCGCCTGGCTCTCTTCGCGCTCGCGCCTCCTTGCATACAACACCCGACGTGTGCTTACCTTGTCAATCGGCGAGTTTCGCCTACGACTTGCCGTGACGCATACACACGGCAGAGAGGTTACAGATTTACAACCAGGAGAGGAAAAACCACACACACACATACACACACACGCACACACACATAATCAAAAGTGTGGTGACGGCCCGACACAAAGACCATCCCATCATATCCCAGCACGCCACGCAACCCAAATCAGACCAAATCAGGGATCCGGTCTCTCTCTCTCTCTCTCTTTCTCTTTCTATCTACCTACCTACCCACGCACTGCAACTCTCTCTCTCTCTCGCTTGTCGGGATTGTCGGCTTCTGTGAGCCTGTGATTGACGGCTACCCGCATTGATCGCGAGACCGAGACGATAAACCCCTTCCCGTGTCTCCCGCCCTTCCGCGTCTCCTTCACACCTGGCTGTCCTTCCGTTTGTTCTTTGCATGCCTGGGTTTTGGGGCCGCTCTCAGAAAAACCCACTGGCATTGCGTTCGTTGTCTGCCTGCGTTCCGCACCTATTTCCGGTCTTACCTTGGTCTGCCTGACGAAGCCAGCTGAATTGCCTTGGGTCTAGCAACTCGTCTGTCCTCGCTCAGCAGCCCTTTACCTTTTCCTCACATAACACGCACTCACGCACCTTTTTTCCCTCCCTCCTTCATTCAACCTTTCCCTCTTCACCCGACCACCAAACCTTGAGAGAGCGACCGCATACGTCGGGGAGCCTTTCCGAGTGAAGCACGCACGCACACACACACACGACTTGCACAGCACAGTGACAGAAAGTCGCAATACGCTATACGCTGAACGCCGACCCTTCTCGATCGGTTTAATTTTAGATGCCATCCTCGTGTCGCTGCTGACCCGCTTCTTCTGCATCTACTCTCTGTTCCTCTTTCTGCCTTTTTCAACGATCCCATACTCTTCCTCTTACATACCCACGCTTCGACCCCCTTCTCACACCCCCGTCCCCTCCCCCATAAAAAAGGCCAACTGGTCTCCGACGCCTCTCGCCTATCGCCCCAAAAACTGAGACAGCGAAATCTCCTGGGCGCTCACCGGCTTTCTTACATACCTAATTTGCTGCTGACTGCCGCGGGTAAATTCGCACCCATCGCCACACGTCCACAAACAACACTTTCTCAACTCTTTTCATTTCCGTCTTTGGCCATCTGCTTCTCTTTCGACCTTGGTTTTTTCCCCCTCTTGTCGCTCCTAGACTCTCCAACTCTTTCTTGCGTTTTTGCAACTCCGCACCGCAGGATGAATACCAAGAGAGGTGCCGCCAAGGGCGTCTCGCTGGCCAAGCGCAAAGCCCAGGCAAACGCGTTTGACAAGTTGAGCGAGAACCCAACAGAAGCCGAGCTCAAGAACGCCGCCGCCAATGTCGCCCTCGCTGAGCTCGAGGAGAGAGTTGCCGATGTCCGCGACTCGTGGGAGACGGAATCTCTCTTTGAAGATGCGTTTGAGGAGCTGACTGCTAATTCCCCGAATGGGAGTGATGGTGAGCTTCCCTCTCTTTTCATTTCCTCTATCTCGAGCAATCTCGCCTCTTCTCTCCTTCTTCATTCCCGCACCCGACTTATTTATTTCCTCTTGTTCACAACCGCGATCCAAGTGGATCCGAGGCATTTCTGCATCTCATCGCTGTTATCTGCCTGTGTGGAAACGCATCACGCAGTTGTTTTCGGTTTATCCTCCCAAATGTGGCAACCATTCGCTAATCATCGACCGTTCTAGATGCTGATGTCTGCACGCCCGAGGAGGCTAGCAGGCTTCGCCGGGAACTCCGAGAACAGGGCCCCGCCGTCTTCTGTGAACGCACTGTCGATGCTGGTCGCTACACGGCCAAGAAGCTTCTCAGCGCCTTTGGAATCCGTCCGCCAAACTTCCTCGAGGGCGAGGATGACGAGGCTTACTTCAGCTTACTGTCGCTGGCCATCACCCGCGAGTTGTCCAAGCGCGCTAAGCTGTCCAAATACAACTCGCTCGAAGATGCCGTGGATCTGATCCAGCAGAGCAAGAACATTATCCTTCTAACCGGCGCTGGTATCTCGACCTCGCTGGGCATTCCCGATTTCCGTTCCAAGGGCACTGGTCTCTACTCCAAGCTTGAACATCTGGGTCTAAATGATCCCCAAGAAGTCTTTGACATCGATGTCTTCAGACACGATCCTACCATCTTCTACTCGGTCGCTAAGGACATCCTGCCCAACACCGACCGTTACACACCCACCCACAAGTTCATCGCCATGCTCAACGAGCGCGGCAAGCTTCTGACCAACTACTCGCAAAATATCGACAACCTTGAAATCAAGGCAGGCGTCCCCAAAGAGAAGCTCATCCAGTGCCACGGGTCCTTTGGCACAGCCACCTGCGTCCAGTGCGGCTACAAGATGCAGGGCGAGAAGATCTTCCCAGACATCAAGGCAGACAAGATCCCCCGGTGCCCGCGATGCATCCAGACACTGCGCACAGCCGGCGGTACCGTCAAGCGTAAGAGGTCCGCGGGTCTGGAGAAGAAGCGCCGTCGCTGGAGCGCGGATGATAGCTCTGACGACTCTGAGTACGACATCCCTACTGCAGGCGTTATGAAGCCCGACATTACGTTTTTCGGCGAGGCGCTGCCCGATGAGTTCTCCAGGCGCCTGACGGAGAACGACCGCGACAAGGTCGACCTGGTTGTTGTCATTGGTACATCCCTCAAGGTGACGCCTGTGTCCGAGATTGTCAGCTGGCTGCCTTCGCACATCCCCCAGATCTACATCTCGCGCCAGGCCGTCTCGCACATCAACTTCGACATTGACCTGCTGGGCGACTGCGACGTTGTCGTGACGGAGCTGTGTCGCCGCCTGAGCTGGCCCTTCAAGCACGAGATGGTGCCCAAGGGCCAGAAGATTGACGTGGCTACAGAAGAGGGTTACAAGAGCCGGCACACGTTTGAGGTTCGGGGCGCCAAGTCTAGCCCCTAGACACAGCGAGATTATTGACGCGTTGCGGGAGTACTTGGTACGCCCTGGTAGACCATGTTGGTACATACGAGAACGACTACTGTTGTGTGCGCATGATGCGCGGGACCAAAAAGGTGACGAGGTTTCATGGCTGAGATTGGTGGACATTTCTTTTCATGTTTTTCCTTTGCCTGGTTTTCGCGTCTGGTTGGTTGGGTTTCTCTCTTTTGGAATCCTACTTGTCATGGCGGTGGGCGGCACGGCGTCACGGGCGGGCGGGCAGACAGACAGACAGAGAGACGGACAGAGAGACGGACAGACGGACAGACGGACAGACGGACAGACAGACGTACGAACAGAGAGACGTACGGACAGACGGACAGACGGATGGCACAGGCGTATGGGCGTTTCCAGGGAATGGAGGTCTGGTTCAAGCCATCTACCCCAATGTTTTGCTTGTTAATGTTATTCCAAATGGATGTGTTTATTTTTTCCCCGATTGAATTGGTCATCTGAGGCATCATCGCATTAATTACTGTGCGCCTCCGTCATCACTCGAGTGCCACTGTGCCAGCAAAGCTTGATAACAGGGGTGCGTGGAGGTGGCGCGGCTAGGGTGCGTGGAAATGATGTGATGTGATGTGATGTGATCAGATGGGGCAACTCATGAAAGGGAAATGGAGAGTGGACGGCGACCCGAGAGGACTCGAGACCTGAGAGGAGAGGACTCGAGACCCGACGCTTCGGTTGACAAGGGTAGGGCTTTTTGGGACCCCCCCTGGAACTGTGTGCTTGAGACTATTATTGCCTAGGTAGAACCAGCGCGAAGAAGCTGGAGATGAGCGAATACAGCGAAAAAAGAGGAGGTGGCCCCATGACCTAAAACGCTGGACTTGTTTCGCCACATGATGGGATTCTGATAAGCTATCTATCTCTAAGTTACAAGGTACAGTAACGCCGTGTATGTATCTCGACGGAATGCAACTTGTATCCCTGCTATCGTGTCGCCCGCCCACGCCGCGAAACCTTTTACACAGCACCGCCGGCCATCCGGAGAACAACTCGCCACTTCGCACCAAACGTAGTAAAATAAAAAAAAGGCCCTCCCCTCCTCTCACCGACACTCGCAGTGGAGACAGCACCGAACAAAAAAAAAAAAAAAAAAAAAGGGCGCGTGAAAGTGTGTGCGCGCTGTCACCGCGGCGGGGTTGGCTGGCGCTCTCTGCCTTGGCTGGGAGCCAAGTTACCCAGAGAAAGCATGTGATGAGGGGGTTTGGAGTTACACCGGTCTGACAGAGAAGAGAGGCGAAGGGGACGTGGCGCAGAGGAGGGGGGAATAAAGGCGGCTTGGTTTGATTAGTACTTTAGTTGCTTGGCTGAGGAGAGGAGACGAGAGGAGAGGGGAGAGGGGAGGATGCATGACACTAGGATTGGATTAGACGATGACCTGGTGGAGTAACTTAGCCAAAGAGCCCATCCAGCTTTAGGCAACCTGCGAGTGAATAAAGACCAACACCCTTGCTTTCTGCCTATGACTCCCATTGAGAACAACATGTCGTCGAGGGAATGCCAACTATTTTACACCCAGATAGATAACCTTGATGCAGTTGATATCCATTCGATGCAGGCAAATACTACCATGTAAAATCACTTCTATTTCCACGAGGCCTCGAATAAGCCCAACCTCTCGTCTCACACGCTATTCATATCCATAGACGCTGCAATGCCCTCCCGCCTCCCCCCTCGCACTCCCCAAAACGCCATTCCTCTAAATCAGACTCTCATATTTATCCAAACCTGACTTCTGCTGCCCGCCGCCCATTGTGCTCGTGTTCGTGTTGCTCGCTCCCTGGTTCACCATGCTACCCATGCTCGATGAGACCGTCATGCCCATGCCCCGCCCGCCCATTCCCATGTTCGTGCTGCTTGATCCCCATGCGCTTGCCTGGGGGTTCGAAGGAGGCGGAGCGATGGAGAAAGAGGAAGAGGCCGACGCCATGCCTCCGCCCGGTGGAGGCGGCGGCGGCAGTGTAAAGGACGGAGTCCGGGAAGTTGCCGCAGGACCTTGTCCAAGTGACATACTGGCCATAGACGAGTTCATACTGCCTCCAAATCCAGAGGCGGAGGGGGTCGAAGGCCCCGAACCCCAAGGATTCGCTGGCGCAGCAGCTGACGCCCAGTTGACAGACGTCGCTGGCGGCTGAGGCTGATGAGGCGGCTGAGGCGGAGGTGCGAAGCTCGCCTGTGTCGGCTGCAAAGGCTGACTGAACTGCGTCGAGCTCGGTGTAAGCGTTTCGAAGCGACCCAGGTCGGGCGTCACCGTCCGGAAGGTGGGCTGAGGCTTGACGGAAAGCTGGCTTGGGGGCTTCGTTGGGTTTGTTGCCGGAGGCGGCGTCGACCATGAGAAGGCCGGTGTGTTTGGAGTGCTCGAGTTTGACCGGTTGGTAGATACCGCTGCCGCCTGAGGGTCGTCCCAGCCGCCGCCGCCGCCTGCGGTGCTCGATCTGGGGCTGATCACGGCCCTTCCCTTGACAAGGGCTTCAAAGTCATCTTCCGTCGCTCCGCCCTGATCAAACGTGGTACCTGTGACGCCCCCAAACGCCATAAAGTCTTCGTTAGGAGCAGCTGTGCCGCCATTTGAAGTTCCAGAGAGCTCCTGGAGCTTCCTCGTCTGCTCATCTTCGACCCGCTTTGAAAGACTCTTAATGAGATCCATGAATGACTGGAACTGCTTCAGGTCGAGAAGAGGTCCTAAGCTCATATTCCAGAGAATAGGGAGGATGTCCATGGCCACAAAGTCCGCGTCAGCGGCTTGGCCCACAACCCGAAGGACATTTAAGGCTGCCATCATCACCGCTGGCTCCTTGGTCTTGATCACCTTCACTAGAGGAACAATCTTCTCCTGCATAGTGTACTTGTCGAGGGCACTCGAGGAGGACGTCTTCTTGTTGGTTGAAGCGAGACCATTCAAACCATCGTCTGGACCCCCCGGCTCATTTGTCCCGCCGCAAAGAATCACAAAAGCCCGTAAACCACGGACCTTGATTGCGAGACTGTTGGTCTTGCTGAAGACGGTTGCAATTACGGGGAACAACTCATTCTTGATTGTGCTAAAGTCGAGTACTGGGAGCACAACCGGCAAGCTTCGTAGTGCCGCGTCGACAATAGAGTGAGTCGGGCATTCAATGGCGGCCAGAATTACTGGAAGCATATCTAAAGACAGTGTTAACGATTGTTAAAGATGGAGGCGGAAGAAATACATACCATCTTTGAACTCCTTTCCAGAACAGTTGTTGGAGATTGGTGAAAGGTTTTCTAGGACGACCATCAACCCCGCGTCTCTAGCCGGGTCCTTCTCTTGTGATTGCTTCGCGTTGAGAACGAAGATTTCCCGTAGGGCTGGTCGGACCTTTTCACTAAAAGCGCGGCGAGCTGAGGGAAGCAAGTCAATGATCTTGAAGATATTCTGAAGGATGAGCGCCTGGAGATCGCGATCCTTGAGCTCGTCAAGCAATGCAGGCAAAACCTTCTTTTCCATGACCGACTTGGGGAAAGAAGGCAACACCTTGAGAAGACCACGCATGAACTGTGTCTTCTCGTTTGGGGTCTTGGCCGGGAACCCATCAAGAAACCGGATCGTCGAAACAAGAATGTTGTCAAAGTATTCACTCTGTTGGAACTCACGGGCCGTCATCCTCTGAGCAGGCCGTCTTGTGATGAGCCGTGGCAGAACCTGGTAAGAAAGTTCTTTAGGGAGCGGCCGCGATGAGAGGAAGTTGTTGTTGGTTGAAGGAACGCTGGACGAGGACTGGAAGAGTCGTTTGTAGGTAGAGAGGCTGCCATGGCACTCTAAGGGGGATTGGTGGGGCGAGTTGTACAAGGCTACCGACAAGAGACCAAGAGAAAACATGTCAGCAGAGTAATTGATGTTGTTGTCCACGACATAATCGGGTGAGGTGTAGTCGAGCTGCAGTTGAACTGTCTTGGGCAAACGGGTATCCATGTTGAGCACTTCGTAAAGACTGATCCCTTGGATGGAAGTTGGCTTATCGGAGTTCTCTGGCGGACTGCAAAACGCTAGGCCGCTAAGCTTCCAGTCAGACTGTTATGGTGTTAATAGATTCAAAAGCAAGTGAGCACTTGGAGATTTGACGTGCCTTGGCATTGATAAGGACCGCATCGGGGGTGATGTTTCCATGAACAAGGCCTGCGTTCTCATGCAAGAACTCGAGAGCCTTGCTGATCTGCAGTAATCCCTTTTGGATTTCGAGCTCATCAATCTCGAGCTCCCGTCGTCGCTTTACTCCGTCGGCATCTTCAGTGACGAACCGACTGGACCGTCCGCCAGGACCTCCAGCGCGCTCCTGTTCATCCTTTTCTTGCAGCACGCTCGAAAGTGATGCCGTCACCGGCTCAGTTACAAACTGCAGGCCTCCACCCCTCGTGTCTTCTACCGGTTCGACCAGCTCCAGGATGCTGGGATGGCGCAACTTGGCCAAGCTGGAGGCTTCCTTCTTCAACCGCTCGACAACCTCCTCGACCGTCTTCTTGAACGACGTGGCGCCTGAGCGCCCTAGCGAGTTGCCATGGGCATCGAGCGACTTGCGGTCGAAGACGAAGACGCTGTAGGCCTTGCCGGTGGATTTCTTTTTGCAGTCGTAGATCTTCCAGGGACCAGCCGTCGAAGTCGGGGCAGACGAGATGGAGTAGTTTCCGGTGATGTTGGTGGCGGAGATGGACTTGAACGCCGAGGAGAACATGGTGCGTTTACGCGGGGAGCGATTGGGCAGCTATCCCGATCATGTCGAGATGCCAGGGATGGTCAGGGGAGGCAGTCGAGTGCTTTGAGCGCACTTGCCCGGTGTGAATCGCCGCTCCCTAAGATCGGATCCGGCGAGACAAAGGCGCAGGGCGAGGGCAGGGCGAGGGCAGCGTGGTTTGAGTCGAAACGAGCGTGGGGTCGCGAGATTACGAGATCGTGGGATTGTCGAGGTTAGCGGGATGACGTGGGATGTTTGGTTGCAACGACGGCGACAGCAGCAGGCGCGTGGAGTTGACAAATAATCCTTAACCCTTCCATATTAATTAGTGGAGGCCCCTTGTCGCTGTTGGTGCGACGAGGCTCAGCGCTGTCGGCGGCCCCAGATACCTAGATCCCAGGCGCGTCTACGGAGGGCCCTTTCAAAAGTCTTATCCAAGCGCTAGTAACATCATATCCATTTATCCCTGTCGGTTACCTGAGATACATAAAGCTGTCACAGTCTCGTTAAACAGCCGCTGTAACTTCAGGAGTAGTATGCTGCTGATCAGGATATAGCGGTTGCTGTGTGCTGTAGCCTGCTATCCTTTAGGGCCTATAGAAATCAGGAAGTACTTGGTGTACTTATTATCTAACCTAATGAGTAGGACTTACTTCTTATGGACAAGACTTTTGAAAGGGCCCTCCGTACCTAAGGTACCTAGCCGGATGATGTAACCAGCACTAACACCACTGCAGCACAGTGGCTCGCCCGGCTTCTAGGGCTCTTTTCCAGGAGGGAGCTTCGACACAGCGTAAGTTGACACGCAGGCGTACCGATGCAGGACATGACGGATACGTTCGGTTCCACTCCCGCGCGGCAGGACACGGCAGTAGCGGCTGGCAACGGCATGTCCCTCTAAGTACCTCGGATTTGGGTATTCTGATGGCGGCCAGCCTATCGGGCAATTTCTAATCCAGAGTGGAACGTCGACTTATCTGTGTCCGATCCAACTCCGAAGCGCCATGACTGCAATAATCCTCGCCCACCGCAAATAAAAACCCCCGACTGCCTCTGCTCATCCTCACCGTCAATCGGCTTCGGGCTTACCACAGATATATAACACTCCTCGGGAGCGTCGCGCAATCCTCTTCTGCATCAATTGGACCTTACTTGTCTGCTCTCGAGCTCGAAAACCCTGCTCCGACACCCCCCCAGAACCACATTCACAATGAGACCCTTGTTCGTCTCCCGCTCCGCTCTCCGGAGCGCAACCAGAGTCTCCAGCTCGAGGCTATTGCCGCTCTGCCAGGCCTCGCGCTTCTACAGCGCAAAGGCCGGCGAACTCGATGCCTCCAAGCTCTCCATCACCAAGACCACCAGCCCCAAGGCCCTGAGCAAGGCCGAGGACCTCGTTTTCGGCCGCGAGTTCACTGGTAAGCCCCCAACCTGACCACTAATCATCAATCAACCTTGCGACCTTGGCTAACATGCGCTTCGCAGATCATATGCTCGCCATCGAGTGGACCAAAGAGGACGGATGGAAGGAGCCCAAGATCACCCCCTACCAAAATCTGTCACTCGACCCCGCGACCTGCGTCTTCCACTATGCATTCGAGTGCTTCGAGGGAATGAAGGCCTACAAGGATAAGCAGGGCCAGGTGCGACTCTTCCGACCTGACAAGAACATGGCCCGGTTGAACAAATCATCCGCCCGTATTGCCCTGCCGACCTTTGACGACAAGAGCTTGATCGAGCTCATCTCCAAGTTCGCCCAGCTCGACTCGCGCTTCATCCCCGACAAGCGTGGATACTCCATGTATCTCCGTCCCACCATGATCGGAACCCAGAAGACCCTTGGCGTTGGCCCCCCTGGGTCTGCTCTTCTGTACGTTATCGCGTCGCCCGTCGGCCCATACTACCCCACTGGCTTCAAGGCCGTCTCACTTGAGGCTACCGACTACGCCGTCCGAGCCTGGCCCGGAGGTGTCGGTGACAAGAAGCTCGGCGCCAACTATGCGCCTTGCATCCTCCCTCAGCTGCAGGCTGCCAGCCGCGGCTTCCAGCAGAACCTGTGGCTATTCGGCGAGGAGGAGTACGTCACCGAGGTGGGCACCATGAACATGTTCGTGGCCCTGAAGGACAAGGAGACTGGTCAGAATGAGCTCGTCACCGCTCCCCTTGACGGCACCATCCTAGAGGGTGTGACCCGCGACTCTGTGCTTGCTTTGGCCCGAGAGCGTCTTGCTCCTAAGGGCTGGAAGATCTCGGAGCGAAAGTACACCATGAAGGAGCTGTCAGAGGCTTCCAAGGAGGGCCGACTCATCGAGGCATTTGGTGCCGGCACCGCTGCCATCGTCAGCCCTATCCGCTCTATCTCCTGGAAGGGTGACCTCGTTGACTGCGGCCTAGCCAAGGATGAGGAGTCTGGTGAGGTTGCTCTCCAGATGAAGGAGTGGATGGAGGCTATCCAGTACGGTGATGAGGAGCACGAGTGGAGTTTCGTCGCATCTTCCTAAAAAGCGGATTAGGTACTTGGATGTATTGGCGTTCTAAGACGGTACTGGGAGCTTGCGCTGGTTGCAAAGAATAAAAGAGAGTTCCCTGCACTCGCACGCATCCGCGACGTTGAATACATGTGCATGTTGTTGCATCAAGTCCGTATTGGGCAGGTGAGGTGCCAATGCTGACTCACTCGCAAGGGACCAACTGCATTGCATGCATATATGCCTGCAACCACGAAATACCGAAATCACGAAACTGCGGAGAGCAAAGAGACCTGTCGTAGTGACCCGTCGTAGTGACCCGAACAACCAGTCTAGTGATTTGAACCATTGAAGGAAGTCGTCTTCCCAAAAATGCAGATAACATGTACAAGTTTGACGGCCCGACGAGAAGTCTGCCCTCGTCCCATCACAACCAGTCCCCTCCTTTCTTATGTCGACTCATCCTTTGCGAAATCAATCCTTCTTCTCCTGCTTCGTAGGGTCGGGCAGAATGCCCTCCTGCTCTAACCTCCTTCGCGCCTCCTCGAGAGCCCAGGTCGAGACACTGTAGATGTTGGTTAGCACTGGGTTACCCTGCCAAAATGCCGCATCGCCGTGATTCGCCATTGAGGCCCGGATTCCCTTCAATGGCAACCACCCGGGGGCCGTTCGTCACGCGGGACAGCCGCTTCGTCGTCCGGGAACGGAATATTGCGCGCAACTCACGTCGTGTCGGGCTTGAAGGCAAGGGCGAGGCCGGTGGCGGCGAGGCTGCCGAAGAAGAAGTACATGGGCCACTCCCAACCCTCGGGCTCAGCCTTCTCGCCGGGCTTGATGCCCCAGAGCCATCCGGAGGGGGGCTCGAATTGCGACTCGCCGTGGCCGCCCCGTCGGCGGGCGGTCACGGAGAAGGCTCTGGCGGAGGCGGGCTGGCGGACGCAGCGGGCCGCACGCAGGGGCGCGGCGGCGTGGCGGATGATGGCCATTGTTCGTCGAGGAATCGAGGGAATTCGGCGGTGCGGGAGGTCGTGCGGTGCCTCAATGGCTGGAGTGGAGAGGCGTGATGGCAGCTGGTGCTGAAGACTCGACGTTGTTGGTGAGGTCGAGGCCGGCGGATCGGAATCTGAATTCACGTGACCGAAGGGGGTCATAAGACCACGCCTCAAATGCAGGCTAAGGCACACACCCCCTCAGGTCCAGCAAACATGCTTGCTTCAACTGACAGAGATTAACTACAATTAATTATGCAACAGTAATGTTGCCTCAAGAAGATGGAAATTATCCTGAAATACATCCAATCTCTATCATAATGCCATAAGCTTCTTCGAAAAGTTTTGCTTTGGAATGAAACCCATCGGGCACGTATGGAGTGCATCTGGACCGTGTGTAATTACCAGCTTGCGGCCCAAATGCCACAGCAACATCGCATGGACAAGGAGGGCCCCCATCTTCAGTCTTTGCACTCCTTAGTACAGTTTGCAAGCATGCTTTTCCAAAATCTTCTCCTGGATTTCTCAATACACAGTTCTTTCCACTCTTTTGGCTGTAGGCGTTGATCATATTGCCACTCTCCACTACGGGTATTATACATCGGCTAATTCGGTCGCTATTCCGGATACAATTCGTTCTAGCCAACAATCAACCGGGTATTCGTCATCAACTTTCGTCAACCGTAGCGACCTTTTCAAGACCGTGGCGATAGAGTCAGAGACTGATATCCGGCAATTTCGAATAAAACGACAATCTCAGTTCTCGATGGAGGTTGATAAGAGCTTGTCTGTGTCACGACTCACCCTCACTGATTCGCGCCGTCTGCACGGTTGAACCTGGGCTGTGGGTTTTAGTTGAACTCGGGCTATCCAAAACCACAATGGCCAGCGACAAGATCGCGATGGCTGGCGAAACCTTGAGGGCACAAGATTGTTCAAAGCCGAACCAGTCAAGTCATCTGGATGCTGGGGAAGCTCCATTCAAGGCCGGGGCAATGGACGCGATGGCTACTGAGCTTCAACGACTAGACCCGAGTAGGGTAATCAACCCGATGGCTCCTCGATCGGCCTCTCCGCCATCCATATCCTTTGCGGGAGGCTCTCTCGCCCGGCAGAACATAGGCTCTCGGCGTAGCTCTATGCTGAGTGTCGCTCAGATCGACGAGATGATCACGGATGACCGCATCAACATGGACACCTATGGAGTGTCCGAAATGCGAGATGGCTTCTTCGATGCATTATTCCTGAAGCCCCTACCCATCGCCCCAGGCGAAGTCATCGAGAGCTCCAAGGCAGCGCTGCCAATGGAATTCGACAAGAGTCATCCACTCTCTCCAAAGGCTTTCCTCCCTCGCCAGTGGCATGAGCTGCAGTCAGTGGCGAGGCGTATTACGACCACGAGAGCTGGTATCAAGCTTCTCAAGTCCTTTACGGCTTTCTTTGTGGCGTATGTTCTCTGTCTTATACCGGCGGTGCGAAGCTGGCTGGGTCGATATGACTACGTCATGGCGATATCCGTCATTGTCAACCATCCAGCTCGTACGGTTGGATCACAAATAGATGGTGCTGTCTTCACTATTATCGGCACCGCCTGTGGGTTGACCTGGGGCGCCATCGGCCTGCTAATTTCTACTTCCACACCTTCCGCAAGTGCTGGCTATGGTGGTATCCTGACCATATTCCTCGCTCTGTTCATGGCCAGTGTCGGATACATCCGATCCTTCTTCATTCGCTTTTACCAGGCAGTTCTGGCTGCTGGACTGGCCGTTGCTTTCACTACACTTGCAGAGACAAGTAGTCGAGACATCGGGTGGGCCAAGTTGCGAAGCTATGCCGTACCCTGGCTTTTGGGACAGGCTATCGCTCTAGTCATCAATCTTGTCATGTTTCCCAATGCCGGGAACCGCCCGCTCACCGCGGCCCTTGACAAGTCTTTCAGGACTATGCAGGTGTGTCTTACCTATATCCTTTGTGCTCCCCCCGTACTGAAATCCTCAGGAAGCTCTCATCATCCCTCGCCCCAGGAATAGGAGGCTGAGAAGACGCCTTGCAAAGACCTTCATGGACATGTCACTGGCGTATCGTGACATGAGAATCGATATCACCGTAACTCGGTTCCGCCCTGCAGATGTACGAGATTTGCGTAACCTCGTGCAGGGTGTTGTGAGGGCGCTCTTGTCAATGGATACGGAAACTCTCCTCTTTGAGGATTGGAACTTGGAAGAGCAACAAGTTGAGATCACTATAGGCGATCCGGATGCAGCTTCGGTTGAAGATCCGGACTCGTCAGACGAAAGGTGTGAGTCATTATTCGATTTGGAAGACGTCCGTCGTAAGGTAGCCAACACCCTGTCGGAACCTACGAAAGAAGTCCTCGCTTGCATGGCAGAAAGCATGAAGAGATGCCATGCCGCGCTGATGGATCTCTCCGGTCATCGCAGCTACTTCGGCCCACCTGCCGACATTTCGCCAGATATCACCCCTATTCAAATCCGCATGACGACTGCCCTAGCTACTTTTGACATGGCAGAAGCAAGCCTGCTGGTTTCCAGCGACATCCCTGAATCTTACGCCGACCAGTCTGAGACGGTCGAGCTTTTCGTCTTCGCAAGGCATGTCCGCGAGGCTGCGGCCACTATTTCCAATCTCATGGTCAAAGTTCACGAAATGTACATCAGTTGTGACCGCATGCGGGTGAACCTCCCCACATACCCTCCCTGGAAGGCTGTCTACCGTACCAATGCCCAGGTCAGACATGACCGCGGCGGTGTCACTGCTGGCATATATCAGGCGACATTTGCGGAGATTTCGCACATGCTGGACGTCATGAAAGCCAAGGAAAGTCATTCGGGGCCGCGGCCAAGTTACGAGGCCGTTACAAAGGTCGAGAGCACACCCCATACGATGGAGTCCAGCATTAGGGGGCACCCAGCCTCAAAGAGGGATAAGCTTGGGTACAGAATTTGGATGATCCTCCATCGAATGCAGGGGTTCGAGAGCAGATATGCCCTCAAAGTTGCCATCCTGGTCTCGTTGCTGTCAATCCCTGCATGGTTGACCGGCGACTCGAAGTGGTGGGATCACTACGAAGCCTGGTGGGCTGTGTGCATGGGTTGGATCATGATGCACCCAAGAGTTGGTGGCAATGTGCAGGATCTCGTAACACGAGCCTTTGCGGCCATCTTGGGTGCTGTCTGGAGCGGTGCTGCCTACGCTGCTGGGAACGGAAATCCCGTCGTCATGGCCACGTTTGCTGCCATCTACATGATCCCCATGCTATTTCGCTTCACTCAAAGCTCACACCCAGTAAGATACTGACCCATATATCTCTCGATTATACCTGTTTTAACCTATCTCACAGCGGTCGGGCCTGGTCGGATGTCTCTCATTCACAGTCATCTCTCTTGGGCTGCAGAACCAGTCCGATGCATCGTCCGCGGCTCTTCTCGCGATTCACAAGGGTTTAGTGTTCTTTGTCGGCACCACGACTCCGATCATTGTTAACTGGGTTCTTTGGCCATTCGTTGCGCGGCACGAGCTCCGATATGCACTTTCATCCATGCTCTTCTTCATGAGCGTCATATACAGAAGTGAGCCAATCCCAATATCTACGATGAATAGCCTTTCTCTAACGCCTTCAGATGTTGTCGCAAACTATGTGTACTTCGACGAGGGCGAAGATCCGACCCCTGATGACATTACAAGATCTGAGATGCTGGAAAGTCGTATGCGCGAAGGCTTCGTCAGAGTTCGACAACTCCTAGTATGTCCCCCCTGAGCTTTGAAACTCCTCGGCTTAACACTTACAATTGCCCCCTAGGTCATGACCCGCCACGAACTCCGGCTTCGTGCTCCCTTCGATCCCTTGCCATACTCCGCCCTGGCAGGCGCCTGCGAACGCTTCTTCGAGTACCTTATTGCCGTCCGCCAGTCTGCACTCTTCTACAACCCAAATTATATCCGCGACAACCCAGTCGCCGCAGAGAAGCTTCTCAGTTATCGTAGGGATGCCGTGGCATCTATCCTAGGAAACTTGTACATCCTAGCTGGGGCTTTACGATCTCAGCGAAAAGTACCCGTGAGTGAATATGCTTCCCTCTTTCGCTCCTCAAGACGGCTGGGTCTGAATCGTGCCGCTGCCGTAGCGCTCTTTCTATAGCACATGTACTAACTAACTGTCTACAGCGTTATCTTCCCAGTGCCGCAGCAGCTAGAAAGAAGCTTCTTCTAAAAGCCGGCGAAGTTGCGAAGGAGATGGCTGAGAATGTCGAATATCAGGAACTCGAGAGACAAAAGACGTGGAGCGACATATACAGCTACTCGTACAACGAGAGCCTGACAGGCTGTGTCGCCCAGCTTGAGGAGTTGGAGAAGTTCACCAAGGTCATTGTGGGTGAAAAGGGGTGAGTTCCCCCTCATCATACAAGATATGGAAATTATTTGCTGACTTTACAATAGTTTTGAGGGTAAATTTAAGGGCGTGGAAGACTCTGACTCCGAAACAGATACGCCGCCCAACGAACGGCGTTAATGTTGTTTGCATTTCCTTTGATACCCTAAAATCTGCCATACCGCCCTGTATTCTATACCCCTTATACCTACCGGCTGTGTCCGGCCAAAACAAACCACGTTAATATGCGCCGTTGGTCATTTCATTCAAGATATCTCTCGTAATCGGCCTTCCCTTCAATAACGCCCTTTCTCCAATTGTCGCTCTCTTTGGCGACAGCCTGCGGTTCTCCTTTCCTGCAATGGCAGGGGGAACCTTCCCCTTCGTAATTCTCTTGGGTGATTTGGTTCTCTGTGTTGGTCCTGTAGCGGTGATTTGAGTCCCCAAGTCTTCAAAATAATGGCTCTCAAGAGCATCAGCTGGCAAGTCATAGATCCAGTCGCGTTCCTCCATCAGCGAAATGAATTTGCTAAGCATGTTCTCATTACCGCTTCGCTTCAATGTGCTTTTGCTCCCTATCACGAGCAACTTGGTCTTCGCACGAGTGAACGCCACGTTGATTCTCCTCCAGTCCTTTAACAAGTCTCCAATGTTGCAGGCCTCGTTACTCCGCACGAGACTGAGGACAATGACCTCCTTGTCTCGCCCCTGGAAGCGGTCGGTCGTGTGCATCTCCACCCCGGGAAAGCATTTGAGTTTGTCCTTTAACAGTGACAATTGGGCCCGATAGTGAGTCATGACACCAATCTCCACGTCTGGAACTCCCACAGTGAGGAGGGAGTCGACGAGCTGAGAGACGATGCGGGCTTCAGCAGAGTTGACGATGCGTTTTCCCTGGGCTTCCTCGCGGACCAGAGGCTGAACGGTGTCCGTATTGATGAAGCGGACACGAGCTTCGGCATCTAGAATATCATACAGCCAACACCGAGACGATCCTGGGCCAGTGCAGAATGACCGAGGACTGCCCGCGTGAAACAGAGTTGAAGCATCGTGATGTCGTTGCTTGAGTGCATCCATTCTCGGGATATCAAGCTTACGCTTTCGGAGCTGTTCGGTACCACAACGTAGTTTTCCTTCGTAAATCAAGGTATTACTAAGGGTCATGATATCTTCGCACATACGATATTGATGCTCCAGGTTGACGACTGACTCAGGATGGGTGTCCGAAAGGAGTTTGAACAAGCTCACGTCAAGACCTCCTTCCCGAGCCTCCTCGTTTTTGACCACAGGGGGGAGTTGGTTATGGTCGCCGACAAGGACAAACGTTCGAGCCATCCTGATGGGGCCGGCGCAAATGGGCAGCGTGATTTGCGATGCCTCATCCACAATACAGTAGTCGAAGGAACGCTCATGGAAGATGGGATGGTTGATGCCAAGACACGTTGTGGCGACAATCGGTGTCCCATGCCATGCGTCCTTGATCTCATCGAAGGACTTCATCGGTTGACCAGCGAGGACGGCAAAGTCTTGAACTTCTGGGTGGACTTTTGCAGGAGCTCCCAGACGAAGAATAGGAATCTTGTCTTGTTTGAGCTTGAGCAGAATGTTGTCCACTGCGGTGTGGGTGTGAGACGTCAATAGCACACTCTTGCCCTGGGAGGTGAGGGCCCGAATGATGTGAGCGATGGTCGTGGTTTTGCCGGTACCAGGCATACCAAGAACCAATGCGTAGTCCTCAGCACTCATAACTTTTTCAATGGCCCTCCGCTGATCAATATTCAGTGTGTCTCGATCCGATATCGTATACTGGGTCGGTGCACTTTTGAATCTCGGGGCCATGAGGTCGACGATCAAATGTCGAATCTTCCGAGCTCCTGGTACGTCATCCGCCATAATCTGAACTAGATTATTTCTGACAGTTGCCATTCCATTGCTGAACTCGTCTTGATCCAACCGGTATCGGATTGGCGGTTCTTTGATCTTGCCGCGGGTTTCATCCTGAGTGGCACCTTCATGGGCAACGTCCATGATGCTGGCGAAGACCTGGTTGTCGGTTTCGTCAAATCCAGGTTGTCGAATCCGAGCATTGTGAAGTCTCCTGTCCACCGCCACATTGATCCTCTGTCTTTTCACTGCCGTCACATAGCCAATCGCCAGAGCGAAGTGTCCTTCCTCATCGGAGACAACCACAGGCTCTCCAACAGACAGCTCGGACTCCAGGAACGAGAATCCGGGGGGATGGTTCCGTTTAATAAATGCGTAGTGATAGCGATTGATCTTTGGGTTATCAGTATCGACAGATGCTGATCCTTCCTCGATAATGACATCTGCGAAACATCGGGACTTCTTTTCTCGTTCAACACTCGTCATGGTCCAGAGTTCTCGTTTGTTCTTCTGACTCTCCTTTTCTTCCTTGGTCAGAAGGTTCTCCCATTTGACAAAGAAGTCTTGGTGCTTGGGAGTGAGATGTTTGACCATCTCGTCAAATTTCTCGTGCATGCCGCTGGATTCTCCATCGCCGTCATCTGCTAGTCGATGGTAAGTGAAGCATGATGTCTTCGCATAGCATTTGCCACACATATGCTTGTTCTTCAGCATCGGGGGCAGCTGAACACTTCTTTCTCGGATATAACATGCTAATTGGTTGCGCTGCATAATCATATGTCGGAGTTCATGTCGAATCGCAGGAATCCGTATCGTCTTGGAAGTCTCCATGTAGTATAAGATGCCATATGCGATTTCAATGTCGTATCGGTCGGATAGCAGGAGGGTGTATAGAGCTGTCTGGGCCATGTGGTTGCTGTTTTCATGCTTGCCCGTCTTGACTTCGAAAGGAACGGTCAAGGTTCGCATCTGCTTGCCGTCTTGCATGGCGACTTCAACGGTTGCGTCTATATTCCCCTTGAGTCCGTACATGGGGGACCAGACATGCTCTTCGACATCCAAGAGTTTTGTAACAGCCATGTTCGCCTTCTTCCCGTTTCGGTCCTCAACGACGGCGTCGGCCTAGAGAGTAATTAGACAGTGGCCTGCGACACAGTTCAACACCACATACCTTTGGTTGAGGTGACACAAACGATTTGGCCCAGAAACCGAGTTCCGTCATCTTTGAGAGGAGATGCTCCTTGGCCACGGCCATTCCAACTTTGATCATGTAGAGATCCTCCACATGCTTGTCCATAATTCGGTCAATTACCGTAGCCAGAAACCGAAGATCCCACCGATTAGCGAGCAATGCCTCCTGGAAGATCTCATGGAGCATCGTTCCATAAACCAACGGCGGTGTAGGTTCACTGGTTGCCTTGACTCGGTCTTGCAGCACAGCTCGTCGCATGCAGCCAAACGAGTCGGCCACCACAGTGGCCGAAATCAGCTGGTCAGGGTGTAGGATAAGTAGATTATGAGCGTCGTCGACAACGCATTGCCCCTTGGGTGTGAAATCTCCGATGACATGGACATACGCATCTGCGTGAGCTGGTGTATCGAACCATGAAGCCCGAAGGTGAACCGTTCTCGTATCTTTCTTCCTGTCGGCTTGGATAAGGAGGATCTAGTACGGCATTAGTGAGAGCAACACCTTCAGTTCATTGTAACTGACCTTTTCAGGGCAAACTTGTCCATACTGGTTGACGTACTCGCCCTCTAGCATATTTGTCACCAAGTATCGCTGTATCGTCCTAGGCTTCCGGCTGCGCTGCCAGTTACTTAGTGAATGTTGCCTCGAGTGGTGTTCTTAACGTACGTCTCCGGGGGTGGCCTGGGTCTGCTTCGCTGCCTGAGTTGCTGCCAATTCTACCGCCTCAAAATCAAAGTCGCCACCGAAAGCATCGCCAAATTCGTCATCCAGGTCTCCTAGGTCTTTTTCCACTTTGATAGGGGTCTTCGGGGCCTTAGGTCGAGGGATTCCGGTTGGTGCTTGTGAAGCATGCTGAGACTCCACTGTCGTGATGAGTTCCTCCGCTTCATCAAAGATGTCGTCGTCCAGGTCCTCGAACTCGTCCGCCACAAGAGGTTCGGCCTCCTTTTTCTGTTGCCCCGTAGCATTTACATTATTCTTGTTAGCCACGGGGGTCTCAAGTTGTGTTGCGTTGATGCTAGCTTCAAGTTCCATCATAGCGTCGTCATCAAAGTCGTCGAAATCGTCATCGCCATAATCTGAAGAGGCTGGTTTCGGGGGGGTGTCGCGTGTTACTCGGCATGGTGACCCAACGGATGTAGCGGATATCCGCCTCTTCTTAGGAGAAGGAGACTCGCCAGTTAGATCTTCGATTTCAACCTCGCTCTGTCCGTTGATGCTGCTCGTGACCGTATCTAGCAAAGCCGTGACAAAAGAGGATTTGGATGCAGCCTCCCGCTCCTCTCTCTCTCCACTAGCCCGTCCACCTGATATTGACCTCTCGACCTTTCGTCTCTTGGGGTAGTTCAATCCACAGCTGATTGCTCGCCGAAGGTTACCATCAGCGGATTGTGCTGCTGGTCCCTTCGAGGGTCTTGGTGATGACGACACCATCAACTGAGCCAATGCCGGGTTCGTAATGCTCAAAGGCGTATTTGCATTCTGGGATCCGTTCAGGGAGTAGCGATCCCACAACTCGAGGGTCGGGTCGGCGTGAGGTGACTTCAATGCCTGGGCGAGCTTCTTGAAATTGACTGAGGGGGGATTCGGCTTGTCCGCTGCTGGCGATGATATCGGCGATGAGCTCCTAGCACGCTTCCTTCCCTTTCGGGGCATCATGGGAGACAGAGCGGAGACGTAGAGGGTGTCCTGCCTGTTGTCCCAGAGCAGTCGGTCGTTCGGGGAGATGTGGGTTTCGTCTTCGGCAGCACTAGTTGGTTCGATAAGATCTCGCCAAGTCAGCCGAGTCACCGGTGTCACGGCGCTGTCGTCCTTGGAGCGGTTCAACGGCCGCTGCGCATCGGTGGAGGCGTCACCAGCTTTCTGCCCATCGTTTGAGTCGCTTGTGGCCGCATCGTCGGAATTTGGTTGGTATTGAAATTGGTTCAGCTTGCTCTTCGTGACCTCTGAAACCGGTCGTAGAGCTCTTGGTTTTGGTGTTTGGAAGACGGGGTTGCTCTTCGATCGCTGCCACGGAGAGCGGTTCTGTTGACAGTGATTAACGGACTGGGGGCCGTGTAAACACAACACAGGAAGAACACTTACCTTAGACACTCCAACATAGTCGGAATAGGACTTTTGGAGAGGCATGGTATTCAGCAATGGCAATCAGGCTTGGGGGATTCACAAGCCTTGTCCATGAGTGCGAGATGGAAGCCTTGATTCAAGTCTTGGCCCACAATCGGAAATCGGAGGGAGCAACCGCGGTACGGTGGTGGACGCGTTTAATGGTCTGGACCGCGTCGCGACCCACCCCGCTACAGCAACACGCGCCGCTTCTGGAATTGACATTGAATCGCCACCAGCACGTGATGTGCATCTCTTATCGATAAAGCTTGCCCCAGATCATAGATGTTCCGCCGCCTACCAAGCCTGCATATCGATGTCATCCCCTCCACTTGCGTCACTCATCCCGCTTCGTCCCGTCACCCCATCTCCTCAACCTCTCTTTTGTTTCTTGGTCACTTGATCTGAAATTATTCAACCCCGTGACCAATTTGTCCTGGTCAATTGAATTTCGACCTTGAGCAGGAGCTGCTCGCCAACATAATGAACTCACCTACCAATGGCGGGCCCCCGCGAGGAGGCCCCCAGGCCTACCGGCAGACCATGGATGAGTGGCGCCAGCAGGCCCTCGCCGACCGAGGCCAGTATGAGGAGCGCGTCAAGGCCCAGATCAACCGGAGCTTCCAGGAATACTCCCCTCCGTGGTATGCATCGGCCGTCGGCTTCCGCCGGGACCGAAACCTCCTCGTCGTGACATCGAGAGTCTCGGGTTTTGCATCCACTCTGGGCCGGGACCTGGAAGACTCCGAGGCCAAGGCAATTGCTGAATACACTCTGACCAATATTCACACCAATGCAGCGCTCAAATGGGCCACCATCGGCTTGGCTGCCTACATGACGTATCGTGGCCGTCACACCTGGCAATTTCCCTTCTATAAGCCCAAGTTGGGCGGCAGGTTCAACCCGAATGAAGCCACCAGTATCTTCACAAACAAGAAGATACGGGGTCCCTACCCGCGTCTCACTTGGCACACACTCCGCTTCACAGCTTATGCCGCCGTCACGATGCTCATGGTAGAGCCTGTCTTCCGTTCCGTCAACTTCGTTCGAACTGAGTCAGCCATGGCTCGGGATCCACGCCTCGCTCAATTCATCAAGGAAGCTACCACCCGAGTTGAGAAGGTCATGCTCGAGGGTTCTGCAGGTTCAGGACACACTCAGTCGGGACAAGGGAGGCAGAGTGGCGACGAGAAACCAGAGAGTAGTGACGAGGTCGATGGGGATCCATTCCCAGCCAGGAGGCGCCTCATGGAGGCGCGTCCGCCATGGGCGGATCTTCAAAAGCCATTGCCTCCTGTACAACCCCAACAGTCCAGCCACGACTGGAGCGTCCTCGACGACGATGATGATGCCTCCCCTGTTGCCGCCACCGCCAAGAATGCGCGAACCCCCACAACCTCTGGAGGCTCCTCATGGGAACGCCTCCGAAGCCAGAACCAGTCCGGCCAACAACCACAGCCGCAAGCCGAATCTCAAGTCCAAGGCGGCTGGCCTAGTGCCAGCAGTCCTCAGTCTCAATCCCAGTCTGACTCTGGATGGGGTAGCAACACCAACACAAGCTCCGAGTGGGGTGGGTCCAAAGACAGCTACCCGTACGGCAGTGCGGACGAGGAGACGACCTCAAGCAAGGGACAAGCACAGAGGGAGTTTGATCAGATGCTTGAGCGAGAGCGGCAAGGCAATGACCAGAGCCGACAGTGGGGAGGCCGGTAAAAAGGGAACAGGCCAAGGTGGAGTGTATCTAATTGTATATCAATAGGGGCCTCGCAGCTCATGTCCTATGTGTATAGTATCCAGGGCTAAAGAAAAGAAACTTTCAAGAGTTTACACTGTGCCTTCAATCACAAATTGCGGGACTACGCCTACTCGGACGAGAGAGGCACACAAAGTAATACTGAATCTCGAAAGAAACCCATATGATTCAACACTACGCCGGCATCAATGCCGATTCACCATGTTCTGTCAGGTACAACGCAAAATAAACCTGTCAAGAACCCCAAGACAGGCGCACTATCTACACTCTTTTTCAAGCCTTAACCTCCTCAGAGACCTCCACGGGCTCCACTTCATTGCCGCTCTTCTTCTCAACGCTGGCTTCGGGGATACTCGCCGCCATGCTAGCAACGGGGGTCTTTTCCTCCTCAACGGGCGCCTCCGTCCTCTCTTCAAGCGCCTCCGTCTTCTCTTCAAGCGCTTCCGTCTTCTCTTCAAGCGCTTCCGTCTCCTCTTCAAGCGCCTCCGTCTCCTCTTCAAGCGCCTCCGTCTTCTCGTCAAGCGCTTCCGTCTTCTCTTGAGGCTCCTCCGTCTTCTCTTCAGCCGCCTCCGTTTTCTCTTCGGGTGTAGGTTTTGAGTCCTCCGAGGTCTCTGCCTCGACTTCCTCAGCAGGCTCCTCCGAAACTAACGTTTCGGGGACCTCCTCAGTCTTTTCTACCACTTCCTCTTCAACGACCGGGGCAGGCGTCTCCTCGCCAACAACAGCCAAGTTGCCTTGCTCAGGGTCAATAGACCAAAACGTTTGCGGCATAGAGAAGGTCAGGGTCGGTCCAGACGTCTTTGCAGGCTCAGGAGCGGCAGGGCTCTTAGCCGGAGCACGACGCTGAGGACCACGCGCGCGGCCCTTTCGGGCATCGGCAAGCGGAGCTTTCTCCTTCTCCTCAGTGAGATCCTCCTGAGGGTTAGGTTCCTCCTTCTTGGGAGCCTGAGGTCCCAGTTGGAGGCGCTTGTTCAGATCGCTCATGAAACCCGCCTGTAAGGCGGCAATCTTGCCTCCCACCGGTCTACTGGGCACGGGCGGTTTCGGCTTGGAGAACTCGCCGTCCTTAGAATCTCCAGACGAACTCTTGCTTGGTCTGGGTGGAATCTGAGGCTTTGGCTTGTCCGAAACCGGAGGCCTAGACTTCTGGGTGTCGTCAACAGGAGTCTTGGGCTTAGGACGATCAGGAATGGCGGGCCGTTCTGAAGGTTCTGTGATCTTCTTGGCAGGTCGTGATGGAATCTCGGGCTTGCTCTCTTCCTCTATTGACGCGGAGACAGTGGCCTCATAGAGCTGGCTTTCCGGGACATCCTCCCAGATATCTCGACTAGGGAAACGCTGGTTGAGTGCCGGTCTCTTATTTGTCAGAAAGGACTCGGATTTCGTCTCAGGCTCAGTCCAGGTTGGCTTCTCTTGGCTCCTAGTGGTGGTTTTCACATCAGCAGGCCCATTCACCTCACGTTCTGCCAACTCCTCCTGCTTTTGGGCAAAGGCGTGAGCGGGGGTCTGGGGACGATCTTGGACCCCTGATGACAACGTCCTCATCTTCTCTGTCAAGTCAGGCGTTGAAACCTCTGCAGTGTAGTGTACGCTGTTGGGCGCATCTTCCCAGACGTCCTTGCTGGGGAAGTAATGCCGGGCCTTTGCCTCAGAAGTAGCCGCCTTTTGCGCCTCATCCTTGCCTTCCTCGGGGAAAAGCGGCTCGTACTCCTTGACATCATCCAGAGGTGTAGAACCAAAGTCCTGAGAGGGGTTCTCCTTGTAAATGCTCGTGGGCCGACTGTTAGGTCGGCTATGGGACTCTTCCATCTCAGTGGAGGTTCTACGGCGTTCGGGAGGATGAACTGCCGGCTGCTGAATATACGGAGACTTGTCCTTGCCGACTTCATCAGGGGCCAGGATAGGAGCTGTGTACTCCTGCTCCTCCTCATCAACGGCGTGATCGCTATCGCCAGGTGAACGATACTGAGGGTGCTCGGGGTCATCAATGTGAACCGTCTTCTCGCCATCGGGACTGGTGATCTCAGACTTGAAGGACAGAGCGCTGGCCTGGTCTCTACCATTTGAGGCGGGAAGTGGTGATGAGATGCGTGAGTACTCCTCGCTGGCCTGGAAACCGACCTCCTCCGTGGGGGCAGCATGATACTCTGAAGAGGTTGCTACGCATAATCTGTTAGTCCATTGTGTCGCATGACGTATGATCAGCACTTACCCAGGCCCGATCCGCGGCTTGCAGTATCTCGAACGAGCTTGTTCAGGTCATCTCTGCTCATGGCGAAATCATTCTGGCGGTCGTGAATAGGGGTCTTGTGCTCCCTGTCGAAGACATGAGGGTTCTTCTCATAATACGCCTTGTCGAGCTTGTCCTGGGGCGCAACACCATGGCCATGCATGCCGTAGCTTCCAGGAGGTCCACCGCGAGAACTGTGCTTGCGATGGTGATGCTTCTTGAACTCATCGGAGCCAGGAGCGGGAGACGGAGCCTGAACATCGCCCAGATGGGGGTTCATAGGCACGCGCTGTCCAATCTCGGGGATGCCCTCGTCATCCACATCAGGCTGGCTCTCAGTCGCCGAGAAGGCGGTACTGGACTTCTTCTTCAGAGCATCGCGAGAAGCAGGACGGCCAATGCCAAAGGCAGCGGCCTTGTCGGAGTCGGTGCGGGTGACGGTCTGGACTCGCTGCTTGGCGCTCTGAGCGGGCAGCGAGGGCTTGGGAGCATGGAGTTTGAGGTCCTCGGCGACGGTGCGAGTCTGCTCCGGCGATGATGATCGCTCTTGCTCCTGCTTCTCTGCCGCGAACTCTTCGGTCATAGCGCTGTATTCAAGGCCCTCCTCACCGACAGAGGGCATGGCGACGCTGTTGGAGCGGTCGATTGGGTCTTGGGAGTCGACAGCATCGTTAGAGCTAAAGTGGAGGGCTCTGGGGCTCTTCTGGGGGATGCCATCGTTGAGCGGCGAGGGAGCGAAGCGGTCGGGATTGGGAGATATCGAGCGGTTGATGACGCGCTTAGCAGCGGGACGAGGAGGAATCTTGGGGGCAGACGCGGCCGAGTCATCCTTGTCCTGGCCTCGCGAAGGCCGGGGAGGAATGACGGGCGTCTGTTGCATAGTTGCGGCAGTCATTGTTGATTATTCGGATGCTCGGGACGAGCTAAAGTGTGTGTAGAGGTCGACGAATAGACGAGGGAGCGGGAAGGGGCGTCGTGGTCTTGTATACTAGCAACGCCGGGACGACTAGACTCCTGGAGGGGCCAACAAGAGGCCGGCGGTCAGCATAGAGTTTCGACGACACAACTGTTGCAGCACAGCCGAATTGAGTCGACGACAGATAGGCGACTGGGTGGGGAGGGGCGGGACAGGGGAATCGCAGAGCTTCTTCCGCTCCAGCGCGGGAGCTGCGTGGCTCTGACTCTGGAGCGTTGCTAAGAGCCACGGCTTATCACCGCCATCGAGATGGTTCATGGCGCTATCAGAGATAGAGGGATGCCATGGCGCCCACTGCGCCCGCCGCAGCCCACCCGCACACCACGGTCAGGGGACGGAACTTACCAATGGGGTGGCGGTGATTGGTATGGGAAATCCCCCGATGCCGATGGGTGATGGCGATGTTACTGTGGCCTTCACAGACAGTCGAGGTTGCGTGGTGATGGCTTCGAGTGCTGTTGCGCCAGGTCTTCGTCTCGCCCACGTCAAACGCCTTGGAGTATCGGTCTGAGCTTGTACCTCGAGGCTCGAGGGCTCCGGTCGATCGCGGGCGGCCCCAATTGTCACTTTATATGCTCCAGCAGCATCCACCTCGGCGGCGTCCAGGTGACGGTCAGTGCCACTTTACTATTACAGTGCTATAAAAGCTGGACGGCCTTGTACGTCGTCACTTGTTGGCGAAAACAGGGATGCTAATGGCGCCAAGGCCACGGTGTGAGACGTGGCCGATCACGCACTGTAATCAAGCAGCCGATGGTCCAATCCGCTTGTGCCATGCCCTCGTCTGGCAAACTGCTCTTGACGTGTGCATCCTGCAAGTCCAGACTCGTCACCGTCATCAGGGCCCTCCCCCCTATGTCTTTTTGGCGTCTTTCAATGAGCTGGTCGGACGGGCGACACCTGACTGCACAAATTGGCCGCTTTTCTCGCACCCTTCTCATCGTCTAGCAGCTTGCCCTGGGACTCGCAGCTTGACCAGTTCGCCCGGGGCTGCGTCAGTCCCTGGAGGCCCAGACACAGTGCGCCACACCCCGCATGATGCCACCATCCAAGTGTACTTCGTACGCGCAGGTTGTTGGACGGAAACGGCCATTTCTCTTCCCTGCAGACGCTGCAGCACCCGGCCTCAGACTTGTCCATGATCCACCTCAAGTGACGGCTGTTTGGGAGACAGCAAACCAGACACGCCGGTTGTCTTCACCTCGTAATATTTTGAGACAGCAAAGAAACCAGGGAAGAGCCCCCGTCAATGCAACCGCCGGTACCCCGAAAAGCCAGGTCCCGCCCTGGCCCTGTCTCGAAGAGAGCAGCTGACGAGAAATGGGCCCCTGGTTGACATTGTTGGGGAGAGCTTGTGACGGTACCAAACCGTCCAGTACCTCAGGTACGTACACCGTCATGAGGTACAGTACAGAGTCCGCATAAAGGCCCGGTCTGGCGCCCACACCTGAGGTACCTTGGCTCGCTCCCACCGAACACAACGTAGGTACCTCCCACATGGCGGGGACCCGTCTGCAGCGCCGCATCCCCACCGATCGAACTGAGCTCCTGGTGCTTCTGCTCGAGCTAGGAGATGCCAGGCGGTGTCGCTGCGCCATGGGATGCCAGGGAATGACGCTTACTCGCCGGCATCCTACTGGTCCAGACGAAGAACCAATACTGCAGTCGTATGACCCCGGCGACGCAGCTAGATGTATTCGAACGTGCAAAGACCTGTCTACTGAAATGGTACAAGTCAAAACGAACCTTGAAAACTGGTCCTAGTGAGGACGACGGGCTGCTCAGCGGCCTGGGAGCTGGGGAGATAGCTAGCCGGCGGTGGCCCGGTTACCTGCTGTAAAGGCTCCGGAGTTCCGGGAGCGCTCTACAGAGTCATCGCTCATGACTCTCAAAGACTGGGGCCAAAGACTACGGGAAGCTGGACAACTGGGCAAGTTGATCGCCTCTGGAAAGATGGAAAAAACTCTGTTCCCCTGGCCAGCAACCCCGTCGATCAGATGCAGCGTCCGCCAGTCGAATCACGTCGCACCTCACCCGTCCCGCTCCCTCAAGCCCGGACCTGTCACCAAGCGGGCACATGATGCCACCGGGAAGCACATCCATCCCCACGGTGCGGTTCTTCCGTCTACGCCCATCATGACGCCATGCCCAATTGCCCCTCCGTCCAGGCCCTGCCCAACGCCAGAGCTCCAGTGCTGCGATGGAGGGGCCGCTGCCCCTGGGGGCCTGGAAGTGCAAGTCCATGATCCAGAGCCGGTCCGGCCCAGCGGTCCTGTGCCCTGTGGCCCTCCACCACGAAAAGTCTAAGTGTAATTCTCAAATCTAATTCCATCACCGTGGACGAGGCCGGTCGAGAAGCCCTTTCCATTCCATCACATCCCACGTTAACCCCTCATCCCCCATTCCATCCTCGAGTCGGCGCCCTATTGTATCTCGGTCAGCGCCCAGCTTCCCCATTCAATCACCAGTTATCATGCAGTGCAGAGTACGTATCTACGTAGCACGAAGGGAGTAACTCCACACGCTGGCGTTATCCACAGTGCCCGGTACAGGTGCCGCCTTCCAGGCCATCAGTGCCTGTCCCGCTATCCCCCTTGCGGGCACTGGTGAGATCTCAACTCATCACGAGGAGCCACAGGGACTTTGCCCCGGCCCCTCCAGCTATTCTTGGCTGGTCAGTGCCCGGCTGGTGCTTGACGCCGCTGATCGACAAGTTGGGTCAACTGCATCTAGAACCGTCATCTGATCTCGCTCTCACCGAACGGCTCCTGTAAATGGTAGTTACAATGCAAAACTCGGCAATTGCCTTGGTTCAAGTTCGCAGCCTCTGCCTGCGACTGCTACGAATTCTACACCGCAAGTAGTTCCTAACCGACGCTGGGCTACTAACCCTACTTTGTCCATAGCGCGTATTTAGAGCTGTCAGTACCTAGGTAGGTATGTGAAGCTCAAAGTGTACTCGGGTGATTAGGGAAAGCGGGGTGCTCATGACAGCTCTAATGGAATGCTGTTGGTTCGGGATCGTTGGTTCGTCGTTGTCGACATCAAACCAAGTAACTTCAGAAGGTATCTATCCGAGTACGCATATTCAGTAATGTAGTGGTTTCTTTTTTATCTTACTTTACTTTCCACTGCTCTGAAGCCCCTGTAATGATATTCCTACTCTTTAAGGTGATCGCCATTAAGTTGCCAAAGACTACCCACGCCTGAGGGGGTGCAGTTATTCCAGTACTCATTAGAATCGCAACCAACAGCATCCTCCTCTTAGTCCCTTAGCTCCATTGAGTGCAAAAGTTGTTTCCTTAAACCCGAGGGAGGATGCTCGTGGCCCGCATTCTCTCCAGCAAGCGTCTCAACTCTGTGTCCCGAACGACTAGGAACACGCAGCAAACCTTACAGTAGCCAACACGAATGACGATGCTCTGGTTTCAATGAATGCGGTAGCAAAGGCTCGTCAACTCATAGTATCTCCCACTAATAAACTTATCAATACAAAGCAACTACTTCCAAGTCAAAAACGTAAAAGCCGTTCCTCGTTCCAGACGCCGAATCCCTAGCCGGGTATGCAGGCCAGTGCTCGCCAGCAGAGGCCGTAACTTCATGTGAGATTGGAGGGTTGCTCCATTAGCAGACACCCTCCGTGTGCATGCTTCCACAGTGTTTGTTGTCATCTCCATCTTTCTTCCGCACCAGAACCCACTTCTTCGTAGCAAACATCACCCTCGACTTGCGCCACTTCGTCATTTGACGGTCGTTGGTTATTGAGATGTTGCTCTATTGTCGCCTTCTTTGCTTGCGCAGTCAGATCATGTATATCTCTACACAATCATCTGGGCGACGCCCTGGCCACCAAGCGTCTTGCTGCCAACAAAGGCCTGTCCCTTGATGCCGGCTAGGCCATAGCAAACGCCTGTCAGAAGCAGGAAAACACCGGCGGCAATCAAGCTGCTCGCGCCGGTGAGAATGCTAACGAACTGGAGGGCACCCATGACGCCATACGCGGCGGCTCGCAGGTAGTTGGTGGAAATCTTGCGAATCGCAGCATCGAACTTGCTCGAGGTCGGGCAGATTCGAAGCAGGAGGGGAACTTCGACAAACAGGATGATGAACGCCGATGCACTGCACGAGTTTAGTTAGCAGGGGATTTCTTAAACCGCCGTGTCAACCCAGGAGCGCAGAAGCACGGGGGATACATACATGGCTAGGGCGCAGAAAATGATTCTGGTAGGGTGGGTGGTGAAGATGCTAGAGATTCCAGTCGCAAGACAAATGATCATGGACAGAATGCCCAGCCTGCAAGGAGATTCTCGGTCAGCTATATGTTCGAAGCGCAATTGCGCCGTCGTCATTGGGCGACAAGGCCGGTTCGGTCTCGGTAGCTCTGCTCGGAGCTTGAGTGCGCAAGCATCGCGAGAGCTTAATGGGAAGCCGGGGTAATCGAAGTGAGCTTACCATTGTCCGTAGATGCCTATGAAGACGGTCAGTATCATTATCGGACCAGCGCATGGCATCCGGGTAGCCACATACTGAAGTTTCTGGTCTCGAACTCCTCCTTGAGAGTCATATTGACAGCTGACGTCGGGGGCTAGGGCCTCGTAATCGGTTGGGGATACTGGTTCGACGGAGGGTTGCGCGGCAAACAATGCGGGCAAGGGAGTCGGATCGGGTGCGCGAGATTATCGATGAGCAAAATTCGATGTTTGGGTCGATGTGGTTGCGACGGCGATGCGGACAAAGGATGAGGTCGTAGATGATTATGTCGTGGAAATGATGGAAACGATGCACGTAGCCTTTTCGCGAAGGGGCATCCGACACCCAGTCCCTGGCCTGTCTTGGTCCCAATTATTGAGGCTGGCGCTGGCTTGGCTGGGGGGGCGACGGTCGGTTGCTGGCTGCGGGACACTTGCTGACAGGCGGCTCGAGGGCGGATACGGCGCTGTGATTGGGCCCTTGGGTCGGCGTTTTAGGGGCTTCGACGGCCTGACGAGTCTGCAATAGGGGACCTGGTCCACTGGAGATGGTGCTGGTCGCCGTTCAAGATGAGACACAGGCCCGACGGACGATTTTTGGCGAGAGAGCAATTAATGAGAAGGGAGCAGCGGATATTTGGCGTTTGAGAATATTACGTGGTATGTGATTCAGGCACCCGGGCGACGGGCTGCTTTAATGTCGAGTATGCGTCGGGAGGTACAATCGGAGGCAAAGAACTCTGTCGTATTCGGACTCGTCGCAGCTGTTAATTATATCGCCATCGCTGTAGGCAGCTCTATTTTGCACCGGCAGAGTGACGTACGGGTGTACGCGGCGTGGCAGCCAAGCCTCCCGTTCCGAGTCCCGACAGAGCATTCGCATTCGTGCAGCGAGTTAATCCACAGGCTCCAGCGTATCCAGAGAATGCCACGGCTCGCCAAGCCGCCACCTACCCTACATGGTGAGTGTTCGTGTCTTGGCTTTCCGTCAACCGTCTTGGCGAGATCCATCGTTTAATGTAGTCGTGATATTGAGGCTCACGATGTGCGATTGACTGACTATATGGAAAAGCAACAAGGGCCCCGAGCTGCAGGGCTTGAAATGTGTGTCTTGGTTGAAGTTGGACAGGTGACATTGACTAACCGATGCAATCACCACCTTAAATAAACCTACGTCGGAATGTTTTACGAATTCTCACTGGTAATGGCGATATCATGTCTTTATATCACCAGATATCGCTGGCCTGATTCCTCACTATAACGAATGTTCAGCTCTCCGCCCCAGTCAGTCAAGACCAAGTCCGTCCTGCGGATGTACACCATCTTAGCGCTGTGGAGAAAGCGCCGCCGGTCCTGGCGAAGTCAGAACTAACAACAGCGACAATTACATCATTCTTCAGCATCCAATCCAAGTGGGCTAGCCCTAGCTTGTAGCATCTCACATCGCCTTCGGCTTGCTGAATAAACATTATTCGGGGGTACGCACCGTTCGACCCGGGAAGGGCATATCTATATCGTTACCGCCCGCCTGCAATCTTCTCCTCCATACCTCCGAGATACGGCGACGACAGTCAGCTTTGCGGGGCTTTGCCAACATCATCAGCCATCAACATGCCGCTCACCGTCCTCTCAGACGACCAGGTCAATGCTGTATTCGAGGGCCTCACACCGGATGAGCTAGATGAGTTTCGAAGTGTTCTTTCTGAGGCCCTTCATGAGTTCTCTACCAACGTCAGGGGTCCGGAGGACGGCTTCCAGCAACCGCATGGAGTCTCAACACTCCACCCAGAAACCCAAGTCAAGACGTCGTATATGTCATCGTGTGGCCCCTGTGGGATGGGCTGCAAAGGTGAGCACTTGTACTACAGCCTTCAGACAGACATGATACTAACTTTCTTCAGTGGTATCGCGCTTGAATCCCGACGCCGTAAAGGACCAACAACTTAAGCACATTCACCCCAACGGTGTGCTAACCCTGTTCAAACCAGACGGATCACCCTTGGGTATCGTCCATCCCAGCGCCCTAACAGCGTTCCGTACCGCACTGGCGTCGGCCTGTCTCCTCAACCGACGGAACCATGTTAAGACCATCACCGTCTTTGGGAGCGGCATGCAGGCATACTGGCATGTCCGACTCGCCCTGATGATGCGCGGCAGCACCATCAAACACGTCAATGTCATCAACCGTAGCTTCTCTAGCAATGCCACTGGACTGCTCAAGAAGTTCGGCCGCATCCCTCAAGCTATCAAGCAACGCGAGGGCTGGACAGAGGCCCAATTCGGGCTCCTGACGCCGTCATTCCACGAATACAGCCGCCTGATCAAGGACCAGATCCGCGACGCGGACGTGATTTACTGCTGCACCCCGTCACAGGAGGCTCTCTTTGACGGTTCTATCCTGACGTCTCACGAGGGGCGGAAGAAGGGCCGTCTAATTATTGCGGTGGGGAGCCACACGCCTAACATGAGGGAGCTGCCGGATGATCTGATCCAGATGGCCGTGAAGCACCACGATCGGCCACACCGACACTTCCATAAGCACGCCAGGGACGGCGGTGTTATTATAGTGGACAATCTCGAGGGTGTACTTAAAGAGGCCGGTGAGATCATCATGGGCAAAGTTGACCCCCATCAACTAGTCGAGTAAGTTGTTGCCTAGCCCTGTGCGATGATAGTTTACTAACAAAATGGTAGACTCGGAGAGCTCGTCATGCTCCACCGCCTAGCTCTGGAGGAATCTGACGCCGAAGTTGCGAGCAGCCAGGCATCCATCTCTTCTGACCTGGATAAGTTGGTCGTCAACGACAAAGTCCCGTCCATGACCGCTGTGTTCAACAATACTCCCGGCTCGCCTCGGTCTAGCAGCCCTAGTGGATCAACTGGCTCGGATTCTCGAAAGAGCTCCTCCATGTTTCACTTCCGCAAGAACTCCGGTAGCTCGTCGGATGCAGAGAGGAAGAAGAAAGAAGATGGCCTCTCGCTCTGGCTGAGGGATGGAACTGTCGTCTACAAGAGTGTGGGACTCGGCCTGATGGATCTGGTAGTGGGGGTACACCTGATCCAGATTGCCAACGAGAAGAAGATTGGTACATGCGTGGAAGGATTCTAATACTGCTATGCCAACTCAGCCAAATGCAAAAAGTTGGAGGATTTCATTTTGGATCAGTGATGATAGAGTAGACAGCAATATTCTATAGCGGACGATATAAGACTCGTAACCTCGAAACACATGACATTCGGCGACATTCTAATGGTACAATTTATCATCCATGCTATCATGATTTCCTTACTCCGCAACCCAAACAGCAGCCATACCCATACCAGTGCCTATGCACATGGAGGTGCTGCCAACCTTCTTGCCAGTTCGCTTCAGCTCATACAGAAGGGTGGAAACCTGTCGAGCACCAGTGCAGCCCAGCGGGTGACCAAAGGCAATGGCGCCGCCCTTGGGGTTGATCTTTTCTTGAGGAATACCCAACTCGTTGGCGCACCACAAGCACTGGCTGGCAAAGGCCTCGTTGATCTCGAAGATATCCACATCCTCCTTGGAGATGCCAGCGAGGTCGAGGGCCTTGGGGATGGCCTTCCAGGGGCCCTGTCCCATGAGGAGGGGCTTGACTCCCACAATAGAGGCGCAGACATACTTGCCGATAATGGTCTGTCCGAGCTTCTCGGCGGTGGAGCGCTTCATGAGGAGAACAGCAGCGGCGCCATCGGAGATCTGGCTGGCGTTGCCAGCATGGATGGTGCCGTCTTTGGCGAAAGCGGGACGGATCTTTCCTAGGGACTCGACGGTGATGCCAGGGCGAACGCCGTCATCCTTGGAAACGGTGATTTCCTTGGTCTCGCCGGACTTGGGGTCCTCAAACTTGACAGTGAGGGGGACAATCTCCTGGTCAAAGAGACCCTCCTTCTGGGCCTTCAAGGCCTTCTGATAAGACGCAGCAGCGAAGGCGTCCTGATCGGCTCGGGAGACGTTGAGATCCTTGGCCATCTTCTCCGACAGAACACCCATGGGGACCTTGCAGTTGGCGGCCTCGGTGTGGTTCTCGAGCAGCTCAGAGAACTCGCTCACGGCATTGGGTCTGTTACCAGTCAGCGCCATGTACAGCCAGTAAATCTTGGATGGCTACTCACCCATATGACAGACTCATGCTCTCGACACCAGCACCGATACCAATTTCGATCATGCCAGTCTTGATCTGGTTTGCCACGTCGACAGTGGCTTGTAGTCCTGAAGAGCACTGTCGGTTGAGTGTTCGCACAGCAGTGGACTCGGGGAAGCCGGCAACCAGAGCAGCGGCGCGCATCTCGGTTGCGCCACCACCGGCAGCCAGCACGGTGCCGACGCAAACATCCTCGACGAGGGCAGGGTTGATCTTGGAGCGGTCGATGATGGCCTTGAGGATACCAGCCATGAGGTCGGAGGCGTGGGTATCCTTGAAACCGCCCTTGCCTCCCTTGGTGAAGGCGCTTCGGCAGCAAGCAGTGACGACGATCTATTCAGAGGAAGAGTGGTTAGGCGTGGGCGTGGTCGTGGGCGCAAAGGGGTGGGAGGCTCCATACGTCATCTGGGCGCTTCTCCAGGATCTTGTCGCGGCCGCCAGCGGTCGGGTTACCAGAGATCTGGCCGCCAATTTGAGTAATTCGGTCCATAGCTGGGGAGCAGAGAGAGAAGCGTTAGCAAGGGCGTCTTTGGAAATGTGGAGTTGGGGAGGAGAGCGGCCACATACCACCCATGATGTCGACTCTTCAGTGGTTTGGTAGCTGCGGATGAAAGAGGAATGCGCCGGTGTCGGTCGAGGGTTCGCGGTATGAGATGAGGGACGGGGCAGAGAGATGGGAAACAGAAGAATGGAGGTTCAGAAGCTTTACAGGGAGATGTACAAAGGTAATATAACACGGCGGTCGGCAGACCTCGGATGTGGTGGAGACGGAGCGAGGTTGACGGAGTGTTGGATGCGAAAGCGGCGAAAGCTCCTGGGGCTCCAGGGTGTCTGGAGGAGGGACCCGCTGATGTCAGCTGGGGAAAGCCGCCGACCGAGGCATCTCGCCGCCCCGGTCTTGGCGTAGATGCGCTACATCTTTAGCGCCTTTCACATGCCATTTCCCCAGCTTTTCGGCGTCTGGGCCTTGTACTCGCCGCCCGTGGGCAACCAGATTTGCGTCACGAGGAGCCGCTGATGAATGCCAAACCTCGTTTATTTGCCCCCCCCCCCCCCCACGAGGGACATGCTGTGACGGCCTGGGGATGGCTGGATTGCAGGCGGCCGGGAAGTACGTAGTGAGTGGTTCGTAGTGCGTGGTACGGTAAGCTGCGGTCATCTTCACAAGCCAGCCCTCTACCACCTAATCTGTCTTCTGCTTACATGGTGAACGTATAAGACAATCATCAAAGTCTAGGAAATTGAACCGATAATTGCCATGGCAAATCATCAGATGCGAATAAAGAAATTCAAAATGCCGAAATGCCAAAAAAGAAATTACCTCGAGTTCTGTGGTTCCTCGCCAGGTACTGTACTTTCTTTATTGTTGCGACAGTGATAGCGGTTCGACATGTCGGGACCTATCTATCATGTGAGAACGGCCCCGTACTATCTGTTGATGGTGTGTAAGGGTACGACGCAGATCCAAAGCCCCCGCCGAACACCAGCCCGGAACCCGATCCTCCAGAGCGTGGCGTCATTGGCTCAAGCTTGCAGTCGTCGGATGAGCCTCTATTGGAACTTCCCGCCAACGCAGAAGCCGGCGTAGAAGCAGGCCCAGGATAAAATGCAACATGGCTGGATGTCTGAGAGGGCTGGAAGAATGTCGTCGCCCTGCCCTCGACCGAGGTTTGTAGGCATGTCGGGGCGGACCCCGGCACTGCTAGCTGTTGCATGTGAGCATCTAGATAGCAGGTGCTACTTAGTTAGTTTCTTATTCATATCGTTCTCCAACCCGTATTGGCCTGGATACATGTAATATGACTTGCCTTGTTCAAGCCCAACCACGGAAACGCAGCCGAGTTGTGCCAGGGCTTCGTAACCTAGTTCGACGCTGACGTGCTGGTCGCCGAGTTGACCCATTTGGATACTTAATCGCAAATCAATGCGACCAATGTTTTCTACTTCGGCGATGTCGAAAAAACAGAACGACCTGGGAGCCTTCTCGGTTGTCTGGTTCATGCGCCGCAGTAGGGGGACGGGGCGTCGCTTCAATGGCATGTACTGGTCAATCTTAATGTCGGTGAGGCTGTATCGGCGACCCAGGCAGCACCTCGCTAAACAGGGGATTTCTTCTCCGTTTCGAAACTTAAGGTTGATTCGAATGACTTTTCCATCATATATCCAAGGCACCGTTGGTGAGGCAAAGTTTTGAGGGACCGATAATGTGGTAAATGCGGAAGGTTTCTGATAATGACTAATATTCATCGTCATAGCTGGGCGTAATTGCTTGAGGGCACTCCTTCTAGATACTTCGCGATTTGGCTCAGCAACCCCGGCGCTTTCGAAATGAGGCTGAGCGACGATTGTTGCGTCAGAGGAGCCGGACTGGCTAAGGCATGACTGCTCTGATGGGACCGTCAACAAAGACGGATCTTGGGGAGGGCTCTGTAATGAAGTCTCAGTTGGCCCAGACTCAGCACCGAAGCTCCTAGTGGGAAACTGTGAGGGTGTGTGATACGCTGAGCCCCCCGGGGTGTTGTAGTCACTTGTAAAGCCCGAGGAATGGCCTCCGGCGTCAAAAGCGTAGTGGCTTCCAAGTGCTGGCCAAGTAGGCAGGGGGCTCACATCTGAGCTTCTGTTTCCAGATTGTCTAATCGACGATGTTGCGTCTGAAGAAAAACTGTGGACCGGTAAACCATCAGACCCGAGAATAGAGGCCCGAGTGGCACTTCGGGACTGCGGGATCAGGCCGATGGGATGCAGAGGGGGCCCCATCGTGTACGGGTTCCAGATCTCGAAGCGCGGCGGAGATTCGAGAACTTTGTTTGCCGTCAGCGACTTCGGGTTGCGTTGCTTGTGCCCCCCCATCAGATACCCTGCCACTCGAGTCCCGAGGCTTGCTGGCAATCTATCACGCGTTCAGAGGTCATCGTAACAAAAATAAGACAAGGTGATCCTACCCGAAGAACAACACGGCGATACGAATGCGGCGGTGGAACCAAAGAACAGATCGTAGCTCCAAATAAAGATTCATGTAAAGCTGACATACGATTGGCATTGCCTGGGCATCGAGTACATCTTAAGACCATCCCCACAAATAAGAAAATGGGGCTGTGGTATGGCATTGTGTGGATGTTGTAAAAGGCAATAGTCGGTCGCCTCGTATCGATGCGCAAGGCGGCCATACAATTCACAAATGCAGCACCTTGCGATGGAGTTGCTAATCGATTCTGCCCTGGTATTGAAGTTGGTGCATATCCCAATTAGGGTGGGCGTATTGAGATCAGATACACGCATTCTTAGAGGTACCTATATTTCACCATCGACTTCTCTGTCTGTAAGGTGCCTTAGTCATACAACACAGCAATTTCCTACGGACCATAGCACTGAGATCACCAGGCTAACATAACAGCCAAGCATTATTGAGGTGTTCAAATTTAACTCTTTTGCTAAGAACCTAGGTGCTTAGGCTGTTGAATGTATTGTAATGATAGCATAAATAAGCACATCGATCCTCGACGGACTGTACTTCGCCATGTTGGGAGTCTGCGCCTGATATCATTATTTTCAACTCGGCATTACTCTTTGGGGATGGGGGTAGTCGGGTTGCCATTTCGCACGACACCCTCAAATTTGACCACTCCTATTCGACAGTAAAACTCCAAAGTAGAGCGAAATGACAATACAAAGGGGGCTGTTCGGCGGGGCTCCCGACAAGTGCAACCGGTGAGCCCTGCATTCTCGGTGTAGAAAGTGCAAAACTGACCAGAACATCTGCATTTTGAATAAATCCCTCACCCACGATGCAATACACGTGTCTCATTACGTGTCTCATTTGTAAATATATTTGCATCTTAGGTTGACTGAGGCTGCCCGTGATAACCAGCTGATGTTCATCGCGCGTGACCGCTCTTGCAGATTGCCTTAGCCCCTCAATTGCGATGCTGACACTGCCATGACTGATGCGAGAAACCGGCCGCTTCCAAGGTATTTTGAGGCATCCTTCCGAGTCCGAAGATAGCCAACAAGACGTGACGTTGTTTCCATGGATGTCGGGCACCTCAGCGTGGGGCACTGGCATAAAGCCAACTGTAACCGAGGCGGCTTCGTCACCAGGCATTGAGCGCCCCGTTTTCAAGAATCGCCCTGGAAATAGGGACTTCTGGAAAATGAGGCGAAACTGCGAGTATAGCACTTGGTTTAAATCGAAGCTTTGCTCTCGGGATTAATGTTTGTTGATGATTGCAGAGCAAGGCCTGGCAGGAACGCTATCCTCGATCCCATCGTTTGGCTTCGCGCAGGTTGCGTATCAAGAGAATACATTGTTGGGCATCAGTATGTTGACCAATGCAATTTTTATATCCATGTCTAACACTTTGAAGCCCATGTCAACGGTGGTGTGTTTGGGAGACGCTGAAGAGGGGCAGCCCGTAAACATTTCGTCTACCAGCAACACGCCAACGCCCACCCCTGGCGGCCATTGTGTCCCGGGACAAGATTTGGCTAGCCGTTGGAGAATGGTTGCACATCATAGCCCGACTTGGCTGAAAAGTGCCATAGAAGCCAAGAGCGAGAGTCTTTGCTTACGCAGCAGCTCTCCAGCCCGAAAGGTTCGAGTTAGCCGAGCGATAAGACAATACGGCTGTAAGCTAATCGAGTCAAGTCTCAGGGTTCGTATGTCCCACATCATGTCCCGGACTCGGGCGAGACTGTTTTGTCTTCCCTTTCTATCCACCGAGCAGGGAGGCCGAGTTGTCTTATTAAGGCTGGATCTAGGCGACGAAGATGGGCCCGTCCCGCAAATAGACGAGTTTGTTCGGAGACATGCCAGGTACCCAGGAAATATGCCAGGACAATTCCAAGTAGGACCATTGGACCAAATCTGGAAGGGCCTGATAAACTGGAACACGCGGAATACCCAGGGTCCGAATACTGGAATCTGGAACTGGGAGACCCTGGCCAATTGGACGTTACTCCCCAGAGTCCATCTGAGGATCTGTTCTTAAAGACGGAATCTAGCACCCCATCCGGGGAGGAACCACCTCCAGTGGACCAAGAGGCTGCAAAATCTGTGTTGAGTGATATACAACAGAAGTTATCTTGTTTGGCAATTGCTGACCAGGCCGAGCCGGGTTGTGATGTGGAAGCCAGCACATTGGTCGAGCAGATATACAGCTCTGGTGAAACCCTCCCAGTCCCGGATGTTGAACTTTCCGATGACAGTGAAGTGGATGATGACACTTATTGGGAGTGGGACAAAGACAAGCAAAAATTCCGACATTGGGACGACGAAGATGAAGAATGGGTGTACTTCCCTGACGCCTTTGACTGAGAAGATGCATAGAAGATGGATCGTCTGATTTGTAAACTTTTGAATCTTGGTATGGAGCTCCAGTTTTCTATTGGACCGTTGAACTGATAAATGAAGCATACTCGGTTACTGGAACAGATCGATATTTACCGGAGGCCGCATGATTGGAGCGTTGCTTGCTTACTTGGACACCGTGGTAGCCCGTGGGAATAAATAGCATACTCAACAAAATTTCAGAGCCAATAAAACAGGTTCATTCCTAGAATGGAGTACTTTGTACGGATGCGAGACCATGGATATGTCAGTCCATCTGTCCCAGTCTTGAATGTTAGGTACTACCCTACAGCAGCCCGATGCCGTAAACTAAACCCTAGATTTCTCAATAGCAATCGAAATTGTAAATAGCATCTTGCCCCGGTTGCCTCGTAGCTACATTGTTCCCCATTGCAACAGCGATATTGACGGCCAGTCACTTAGCGTGAGGATTTTAACTGTCAAACAATCAGTTCAGTACATCGTGTATGGCTAATTGGAATACATGTAACTACGATATTGTTGGCCAACAAAAGTTAAGACTTGCTCCAGACATGCTTCACAATTCTTGGTTAAAGGTAACGATATACTCTGCCGGTACATTGCGATATGTCCTACGAAGAATCTTCCAAGTCGTGCCATGCGATCTCAGTGTGAAGAGCATGATATAAAACCTTGGCCTTCGCAACAGAAGTTCATTCCTCGCCTCGCCCATTTCCAGCCTCCATCCTACTATTCCATTGACAGGTCCGTCGCCGTATATCTTCCCATGCTTTTTAACTGTTGGAACCTGAGGGCGATGAAGATGGGGGGGCCAAAGCCCGATGTTGCCGTCAGAGTATAATTTCCTCGCTCTAGTTTGAGCCACATAGACTGAATAAGCTCTCAAGGTTCGAGCTCAAGGGATAATAGGAGAACTTGGCGTGATTCCCTCCACTCCTTGTACCCTGTTTGACTTAATATCAGAGCTTCGTAGGCGGTGAGAACGTGCTCGCGAACATGGGAGAGTAGCTGGAGCTGAATTGATGGCGACCCCCTTTCCTCAGGCAAATAGGAGACCCCGATCCCAACACCAGAATGAAGCCTCGGGATCACATTGATGTCCATCGCGATTTTCCATTTCATTGCTTCTGTCATCTCCATCATCGTCGGCTCGGCTCAAATTTCTCGGTATGGAGCCATAGACCTTGAGCGCCTCTCTGTTCAAGTTCACCACCTATCATGTTTTTCGCATTCGGAAACTCCAAGACGAAGTTCGATGATATTTAACTTCATTATGTTTTTCTATTCTTTCGTTAAAATAGCTTCTTTCTGATCACGCTCATCTCCACTCCATGCTAACACCCCGTCCAAGACCCAGTGGCTTCTCTAGTCGAGAGGCATAGCTTGATCACCTCGCCTGACAAACACTAAACCAGATACACTAAGAAAAACTAAAATAACCATGATTGTCGCCAGACGGATCGGCTACTTCGCTACCGGCTTATCCTCAGGGGAGAAATTCAAGCTGATGCTGTTGACACAATGGCGCTCGTCTGTAGGCGTGGCGTAGCCCTCGCCCTTGAAGACGTGGCCGAGGTGGCCACCGCAGTTGGCGCAGACAATCTCGGTGCGGGACATGCCAAGGGTTTTATCCTCGTGGCGGACAACAGCGCCAGGAATGCTATCGAAATAGGCCGGCCAACCGCAACCAGAGCTGAACTTGTGAGTGGCCTTGTACAGCGGCGCCTCGCAGCCGGCGCAGGTGTAGACGCCGGTCTCCGGGGCGTGCTTGTTATATTTCCCGGTACCCGGGGCTTCGGTACCCTTCTCTCGCAGGACGCGGAACTGCTCTGTGAGACAGTGTTAATGTCGGCCATCGGATGCGGAGAGGGGTAATGCACACATACCCTTGTTTAGGATTGCCTGCCACTCATCGTTGGTGCGCTGATCGGGATACGACATGTTGGAGGACTTGGAGGAGGAAGTGCCGAAGAGAGAACCCAGGAAAGAGGACATGGGTCGAATGGGAACAGGCCGTAGGGTAGCACGGCGTAGGGGCAGATGCGGGTTTACGCGGATAGAGAGGGTGCGGATGAGAGTTGATGATGCTCGAGAAAATCGCATGGATCGCGACGAGGGTGTGAGTGAATGGGTGAGTTGAGCGGATTGAGGGAGTTAATAGAAGGTGACGAGCTCCTCCTTATATCTAGTTGTCGGGACCTAGTTTCATGCACGAGTATCAGATCAGTGGTTTGTTCGAGCTCTGATCCTTGTGGAAGCAATGTGGTGGCGATGCGGGACGTGACAGATCTGGATGGGGGAAAATGAGGGGCGCCCGCGATGTGGAATCTTTCGGGGGATTTCAAGGGCATTTCGAGTTGCATCATCAACTGTGTCTGAGTGTCACAGCCACACTAAGCTCCCCGCGGACGGGGTAGGTATTTGGAAGAGCACCCATGTCCCCGTGCACTAAGAGCGCTTCTGAGTAATCTTTGTAGGCGAAGTTAATGCTGGAATCCGGGCCCATTGAGCGCTCGTCAATCGATTGCAGGGTGGGCCGGAGAGGGAACGGGACAGATTAAGCAATCGGCGTGTCGTCATCGACATCTCATGCGCCGTCGGAGAAGTCATGATGAATGGGTGCCTCCAAGGCAGTCGTCAATGCTACTGCGTTCCTTTCTTGCTGCCTCAGGATCCTTATCGACTAGATTAAGCGTCTCGGTGGACGAAACCTCCAGTCCCCCCACTGCGCGCTGTGGCTGGTGAATCATGGTGCCCAAAGCCCCCCAAAATCGAGAGCCAGAGTGTCCAGGTTCCACCCTTCCTAGGTACCCTTGGGCCTTCCCACCCTTGGGCCTTCCTACTCTATACCTAATTAGCTTCAGGGCGTGCTAATTCCGCTGGGGGCTTCTGTTACAGCACCACCGACCACCTTGGCACCTCCCTACCCGACTCGAGACACCACACACACGACCGTCGACCGTCCAGGTTGCCACATTCAACAAAGGTCTCCCCCCACGGAGCCCCATACTCGCTTCACGTCTTCTCGGACCGCTCACCACCCGTCGTCCATCTTCCTCTCACATCCCCGCTGCTCCCATACGAATCGCCTCCCACCGCCATGTCAAGGAGGGCCCCGAACCCCGCCGCCGAGCGGGCGGCGCAAAACACAGCTACCATCAAGAACCTCCTGAAGCTGGAGTCCAACAAGGTCTGCGCCGATTGCAAGAGGAACAAGCGTACGTGGCTCTCGGGAAACCAATGCTCCCATTCTCGTCGCTCGTCGACTGCTTTGCGCGGGGATTATGTGCTGACATGTGTTGCGATTCCCTCTAGATCCCCGATGGGCCAGTTGGAACCTAGGTGTCTTCGTCTGCATCCGATGCTCGGGCATCCACCGTGGCATGGGCACCCATATCAGCCGAGTCAAGTCCGTCGACCTCGACTCCTGGACCGACGAACAGCTGCAGAGCATCCTCAGCTGGGGCAACGCGCGCGCCAACAAGTACTGGGAAGCCAAGCTGGCCGCTGGTCACGCCCCCTCTGAGGGAAAGATCGAGAACTTCATCCGCACAAAGTACGAGCTTAAGCGATGGACCATGGATGGCCCCATCCCCGACCCTGCGACCCTTGATGCCGACGGTGATGACGATGTTCCCCTGAGTTTGGTCAAGGAGAAGCAGGTGTTAGAGCGCAAGGAGTCGATCCGGAAGGCCTCACTGGGACAGTCCGGTGCTCCTCGCAGCATCCCACCCCCCCAAGGCGACCTCATCGGCGGAGATCCCGTTCCAGTTCGATCGAGCAGTGCCGCACCTCCCATTGCCAAGGTGGCTCCCAAGGGCGAACCCGCGCCCCCTCGATCCACTAGCACCAAGGATTCGCTGCTGGGACTGGACTTCTTTGGGGAGCCTTCAGCCCCTCCGCGACCAGCAAGCACAACAGGTACCAACACAGCTACCGGTCAATCTCGTCCCGATCTGAAGCAGTCGATCCTGTCTCTTTATGCCACTGCTCCCCGACCACAGGCTCCTCAGCAGGCTCCCCAGGGCGCCTTTGGAGCTATGCCCTCCCCGACATTCGGCCACCAGTCCCAGGGATCTGTTGGTGGTTTCGGTGATGCATTCGGCAGCCTCAGCATCTCCAACGCCGCTCCTCCAAAGCCGGCTGCTCCGGATCCATTTGCCAGTCTTGGCAGCGGCCGGGTTACCTCCAGCAACAGCGCGTTCGGTGGACTTGGCGGAGGGAGCTTTTTCGACAGCAAGCCCGCCCAGCCTGCCGCTCCCGTGCACCAGAATCAACCCGCCATGTCCCTTGGCGGAGGCTTTGGCGGCTTCTCATCGCCCGCTCCCGCCGCTGCGCCGAAGCCAACCCAGGCATCCTCCTCTGCTATGGGCGACCTTTTCGATCTCTCCGCCCCTGTGACCCAGGCTTCTCCCCCTCCGCCCTCTAACCGAACTATGCCCCCGACTTCCAACTCCGTCTTCAACCTCTCATCCCCCCAGCCCGCTGCCCCCGCGCCGGCCACCACGACAGCAACTAGCTCCATGGGCGGTTTCTCGGGCGCTGATGTCTGGGGAAGTGGAAACGAATGGAACACCCCTGCTGCGCCAGCCCCCGCGCCGACTGCTGCCCATAAGAGCCCTGCGTTGCCGCCGCCTGTAAGCAACGACTTTGGCTGGGGGAACTCTCCTGCCGCCGCTGCTCCTTCTTCGTCCTTTGCCAACACACCCATCGTTCCCGGTGCCTCAGGCGGATTCAGCCCGCAACCGCCGAAGGTCTCGGCAGATGAGGAGTTTGGAGGATGGACCAGCAGCACCGGTCCTTCCGCTACTGGTGGAGGAGCCAAGAAGTCTGGCGGAGGCTTTGGTGGCGACGAGGACTTGTTCTCTAACGTGTGGGGTTAAGGAGACTTTTGAAGCATCTATATGACTTTAAAGAGGATGGAAAGGGGGTGCAGAGACGGGATATGATATGTTTGAACATAACGACTACGGGCATGTCAGGGGTGTTTTGCATGTTAGGAGTCCATGTAGATCGTACAAAAGGGGGACAGGGGGGACTTTAAATCTTGAACTTTATACGACCTCGCAGCGTGATGACCTCTCAATTTGGAATGCAACAGCAGAAGTGAAAATATTAGGTGGTTTATTTATATTTTTGCAGCCAACGCCAAACCCAACGCTGAGAGTAGGGCCTCAGTACAAGATAAAACACAGCAGTAAGTCCTCCAGAGGACACCAGCCTCCAACCGCTCGCTGTCGAGCCCGTATCTTATCCTCTCTTTAACGATGTGCGTCCCCCTATGCTGTACTCATAAGGCGAGTGTTCCGTCTTCTTCTAACGAGTGCCCTGAACGTTTGACGGACCGAAAGCAGCTCTATTCATGTCGCAAACCCATGGTTCCTAAATCCCAGACCCAGAAATCTCCACGTTTCATCATATCTCGCGATGCGCAATTGGCCTATCCCGCGATCAACTGCGGGCGGCAACGGGACGAATAGTCGCTTAGAAAAGCATCTTCAAGCCGTAGTACAGCACCAGGAACGTAACGATGACGATGCCCGCGAGCTTCATAATGGCAACCTGATTGCCCGAAGCGGCCATGCGAGTCAGGCGGCCGGCGGAGCCCTTGATGCTGGTCGACATGGAGGAGAAGGTGTCGGACTGCAAGGGCGAGTTAGTATGGCGAGAGGCGGGACAGGCGGGAGGAATAGACGGACGGTGTTGTCGATGACATCCTGGGCGCGCGCGTTGTCGTAGATGTCGACGGTGACGCCGCGCAGGGCGGTGACCTTTGCGGAGAGCTCGTCCAGCCGAGCGTTGTTCTGGCGCTCGCGTTCGTAGGCTTCAGACATGGTGGGCGGTTATGATGGCGGGCTCGGAGAGAACGGAGGACGGGCAGTCGATGCGTCGGTCAGAGTTGGCGTCGCGATCGACGAGTTGGAACAGGGGGCGGATGGTCTATTGCAGAGACGCAATCGGGCAAGTCAGTGAGATGGGTTCGGATCGAGGGTGAGACGGCCGAATGGCGGAGCGTGGGAGCGTACAGGAGGCAAAAGCCCGAGGACGAGGTTGTGGTGAAAGGAGTTGAGATGGCGCTCTCACCAAAGGATGAACACAGAGAGACACTGGCGGCGAAACCGAACCCGAAACCAAAACCCATGACGATGTTCCGGGCCGCCCAGACCTTTCTCCAAGACCCGGTACGTACCGCCGAGGCTCCAGCGAACTCGCCCGGGACAGAAGCATTGCGTTGGGGATGGGGCCAGCTCCACTACAGTAGCGCCAGGCCAGTGGCACATGCACCGCCACAGCATCGCAGCGTCTTTAAGCCCGGTAGGGGGAAAGCCAGCGCACGCCAGAACCCAATGGGAACGCTGCCATTGGGATTCAGTGCAGATGCCCAGTGTCTCTACCAGCCAGTTGATGCTCCACTGCAGCGGTTGTTTAGCATCCGGCCTTGTTTTTCAAGGTGGAGGACCGCCCCCCCGCAGGCCGCCAATGACGCCGCTGAAGCCTTTCTATGGGTACTGAAGGTCCCCCGAAGGGCCTAGCTTACAGCGGGGAGGGGGGGCCGGCCGCGTTTTGGCAGGCGCCGCTTCAGTGAGTAAGCAAATGCCGTGCGTGGCGTGCTGCGAGTCTGTAGTGTCCCATGGTGTCTTGTGTGCCCGAGACTCCGGGAGTTGCTGCGCCACAACCACGAGGCATGGCGGACTTACGTATTCGAAGCTTGGCTTTCGTCTGGTCACCATCCATGCCGACGTGCATAGCCTCGTCCCCTCGCTCATCTTTCTCTGGGCGTCTTCTTCTGGGCGTTTCTGTCTTTTCTGCTACATAGTACGAGTCAGTCTCGGGTCTCACTGCGCTCTCTGATCTCTCCTCCTCCCACAACAGCTCTCAGTTGGTCCCGTCTCTGATCATCCGAAGCCCGCCCAAGCTGACGGCTTACAGCGCGCACTCTGCCCAACCAGGCGCCGTCGCTCTCTCTCCCACTCACTGTCTGGTGACGTCCGCGGCCAAGCTGCAACCCCACCCACCAAGACCGACCTGCCTCCACCCATAACATCGTTCCGGATACCGTGAGCTTGCTCCGTCACCAACCGGCGCGCAGACAGCTCAACTCCTCCTGCGTGATTTCGGCCGCTCCCTGGAATTCCGTCAAGATGGGCATCAACAACCCCCTCCCGTCGTCTATGGCGTGTAAGTCGTGCCCCTCAATCCCCATCCCCGCACCTCTCTCCCTCTCCCTCTCTCCCAATCCGAGCCCAGCCTCGCCGAAGCACCCGCTGACATGATCACTTCTCCGCGTCCACAGCGGAATGTAAAAAGTGCGGCAAGATCCTCTCCTCCTTCATCAGCCCGCGCCAAACCTTCGGCCCCGAAAAGGTCATCCCTCCCAACATTCTCGCCAACGCCAAGGGCCTCGCCATCATCACCGTCCTCAAGGCCGGCTTCCTCGGATCTGGTCGCTTCGGCAGTGGCCTCGTTGTCGCACGCCTCCCCGATGGCACCTGGAGCGCCCCGAGTGCTATCGCCACTGCTGGCGCCGGCTTCGGTGGCCAGATTGGTTTCGAACTTACCGACTTCGTCTTCATCCTCAACGATGCCAGCGCCGTCAAGACATTTGCCCAGGCCGGTTCCTTGACCCTTGGTGGCAATGTGTCTCTGGCTGCTGGTCCCGTCGGTCGCAACGCCGAGGCCGCCGGTGCTGCTTCTCTTAGGAGCGTAGCGGGAATCTTTAGCTACTCCAAGACCAAGGGTCTGTTTGCTGGTGTCTCCCTGGAGGGTTCTGCCATTATCGAGCGTCGCGATGCCAACGAGAAGATGTATGGAACTCGCTACACCGCGCAGCAGCTCCTGACGGGCTCCGTTCGGCCGCCACCCCAGGCTGCTCCTCTCATGGGCATCCTTAACTCGAGGGTCTTCAGCGGCATGGGAGGCCCCGGCATGACTGAAGACGGCATGTACAACGAGACGCCCGTATACGACGACAGACATGATGACGTTGTATGGAACGGTCGACGAGGTTCTGCCTACGGCGAGGGCGTGTCGCGCGATCGTACAGGCGACAACGACAGCTTTGGCGCTCCCAAGCGCTCAACAACATGGCAAGATGACGTCTACGACCGACAAGGCGGCTTCAGCGCGACCCCTTCAAGGTCGAATACCTTCGCAGGAGGCCACAACGATGACTATGTCTACAAGGACACCCCCAGCCCAGCTTTCGGTGCAGAGAAGAAGACAGGTCCCGGCCGGCCGGCGGCTCCCAAGCCGAACTTCGCCGCTAAGCAAGCGCTGCTCAAGAAGAACGAGGCGGTCGCCGTGTACAACTTTGACGCGGACCAGGCTGGTGATCTCGGTTTCAAGAAGGGCGAGGTCATCACCATCCTCAAGCGCACTGACAGTGAGAACGACTGGTGGTATGTATTCATGTCTTTCCACCCATCAACATACCTAACTCTCTCCCCAGGACTGGCCAGATTGGCTCGAGGCAGGGCATCTTCCCTAGCAACTATGTCAAAATGAAGGAATAAGGGTGTGCATCATGCCATTTCAAACCCGAATCACCACCTCGAAAACTGTCTTGGAATGGACAGACACAACCACGAAACCGACGACACGACAACACCCGATCTGCGACCATCAAGACCAGCTCTCACTTGATCGCGATCCATGATTTCTATTTCAGGCGTCGCTCTTACCAACCCAGGTGCACCAGGCGCGCGGAACTTCAGGAGGAGGAACTCAACAGGGAAAGGGAAATCAAACCGCGGCTGCTTAGAGAGATACACCCTTGGACAACGGTTTTTTTTTCTCTGTCGGAATGGGCCAGGCTCTTCATACCCCATACATCTCTTCTTTTTTCTGCCTCCTTTTCTTTTCTAACCATCACGCGGTACGGCCATTGGTATCATACCACCACTGCTTTTTTTGCGTTCTTGTGATACTCCTGGTGGTCAGGGAGAAGAAGTCATCTCGAAAGAGATCTTCTCCCTCCCCTTTTTGGTTTTCATCTTGCTTCATCCACCAATCATCGCCTCACTGCTGGCCATGCCAAATTTGATCGAGCTCTGTTGACTGGGGTTATGATGGGTTGATGTATGAAGGTGAATTAGTCGTTACCATGTTAGGAGATGAAATGAAAATGAGGACATGACGTGTTCATGATGGAAACAAAATTCTACTCCCTCTGTGTGTATCACTGGGAATTACGATAGTATCACATGCGAAAGGCGAACGTGATTCAGAGCTTTTGCGCAAGCTAAACTTTTGTCTATACCTCTACTCCCAACATTTTCCCCAATCCTTCCTTGCATGTGACTGAAAGCCTTGTCAGCTACAAGCTCAGGTCTTATAACACTGTTTGTACTTTACATCCCGCAACCAATCTCCCCTTGCTTAGCATCCAAACGTTCTCGACCATGAGAAGGGCCACTAGGTAGCGACCGAAGCCACCCAAGCCTCAACTCGCTTTCTAGGGATTGTGGGGCTCTTTGCTTCAGGGCGCCTGACGAGGTGCCAAACCGCCTCACGTGCTTCCTCCTTGACCTTGATGACTTTGAAACTCTTGGCCAACTCTCGCCCCCTTCCCTTCCCACGGTCCAAGTCGGCCATCAGCTTGCACACCTCGCCACGGATGCCTCGGCGGCGAGTGGTGGGAACGGTAATATGGATCTTGCGGTCGGTATTTGACGAGCGGGCTTCCTGAAGGCTCCAAATGACAATGTCGTTGTTCTTGGCTTCACCCCACTTAAGGATGTGTCGTGGCAGATTTGGAGCCTGATCGTTCACGAGTCGAAAGAGACTTACGTCTGACTTGTCGATGGAGGTTTCAACGTTTGTGAGATTGAGGTCCTGGAAAAGGTCCAGGATGCCGTCGCGGCTGCAATACCAGCTTGTGGTCATTTTGTTGGCTGTGTCGTTGTTCGGTGTTGTGTAATGAGGCTTGGGGTCGGTATCCGTGAAACAGAGTTTAAATGGAGATTCTCTCTTGAAAATGGCGTGGGAAGTGGACTTGGGCAATATCTTGAGAAAGCGCCTTGAAGAAGTTTGAGAGGGGTGTCTGAGAGATCTTTCGACCTCGAGTGATACGTTGCGGGGAGAGTTGTCAGGAGCAAGAGCAGGGGTGGTCCTCGGCTTTATATCTTCTTCTGTTCGACGATGAGAGTCCCGTTTCGCCGTGGCCATGTCCATTGAGGTATCCGACAAAAGGGTTGGCATGGAACGCGATGCTAACTGTTTCGGGAAGTAGGGTAGAGATTGTAAACCCAATGGTCCAACTCTGGCGGGCTCAAAGAGGTTCCTTGGGAAGAATTCCATGTTGCTGGGTGTAGCCATATTGTGGGTGGTACTCAAGGTTGGATGGTACCAAGAGAAAGCATACGAGATGATTGTAGTATGATCCTGGGAACAAGATGATCGTCGCAAAGCACAACTGGTGTGGTTGATGTTAGATGTGAGTTGAGAATTATCCCACGGGGCAAGAGAAGACAGGTCCTCCTCGTATCTGAAATGCAAAGTGCAGGTGCAAATCAAACTCGGTAATGAGGTTACTCCCATTTTGCTCAATAGCAAGCGACAAGCGGCGTTGGGGTCAATTTGCAGAAGGCGTCAACGCTCTCCGGACCAAGTACTAATGGGGCACTTTCCATTATCAGTCAGAACCGAGAACCCACGATAGCTGTCCTGCAAGCGTTGCGTATTGAAAGGATTGTGATGAAACTTCAATCAATGGCCCGTCAGCTTGCCGTCATTTCTTCCAGCTTGGTGAGCCAGAATTCCCTGCGTGTAGCCGTGATACGATCCATGTAGAACTTCGCAGAATCTGTCTCATCGATCCCGCTTGCCACATCCACTTCATACTGCTCAAAAAGTTTCGATGTCAGTTTTTCCAGGTCCTTTAGCGTTCCAGGATCCGTGATCAGCACTGCTACTTCCGGGTCTTTATGGGGTTGCGCAGGTGACCACAGAGGTACAGATGGGGAATCTTCTGCGCCAGCCACCTTTATGGTCGAACTAGGTTTATGTTCTTCATTGACCTTAGTGTTTGGTAGCACGACAATACGGGTGGATGATTCATCCACAGTCATCGAGACTTCCCCACCAGGGCTTCCTTCATCAACAGCTGCACTGGAGCGCTTCGTTCCTCTAAGCTTCGGTTTTTGTTTCGAAGATGGCTGCGTCAGAGCTTGGTCCTTCTTGGGAGGCAATATCGTCCTTGGTGACGATGTTATCTTCGGTGATACCAACGCCTTTAGCGATGCTGCCGTCTTAGTTGCCAACTTTGGTGATGATGTCGTTTCCATTGACCCTGAATCCTTTGGACGAGAGTCAAAAGGGAGCCTACGAGGTCTTGGCATGAGATCTCGAAAGCTCTGGTCCGAATCTCCAGCCAGAGGCTCTGGGCTGGCATTATCACTCGAGAATTGTGGGAAAGAAGACGCGGTGGGCACTCTGTTTTCCATTCCGTCCACCCCCGCCGATTGGGAAGCATCCTGGATTTTTGGGGCTCCAAGAACGCTAGGAGAAATTTTCGGTATATTATGTAGAGCGTAAGTACCGCCCATACACGGACTCGATCCAACACTTGGGCTTGGGCTCTGTCTTGTTGTTTCTTCCGGGGGAAACGATTGTCTGAGCGGCGAACTAACCCGAGGCATGTGGACTTGACTGTTACTCCGATTGAGGAAAATGTTGTAAGGGTTGAGTTGCTGCACCACAGCATCCGAACCAAAGGGCGAGTAAGCCGATACTGAAGCATAAGTCGGGAGAGAATTTATTCGCTGGGGGTATTGGAATTGAGGTGGTGCCGGCTGTCCCCATGTGGACTCAGAAGTCTCCCGCGGCAGAGGTGAATTCAGCAGGGACGTAAATGGAGCATCCGAGTGGTTGTTGAGATTGTAAGGGACGTTGGAGGGGAAAGATTGAGGGAGGGGCGTGATTGAGGAGAGGCGCGGACCAAAGTTTGAGGCAGTTTGGACGTCAAGAGAAGCAGCAGGCAGGGACGTTGCAATGGGTGTTGAAGGGGCGCAGGTTATTGAATCGTTAATGCGAAGATTTGACTTCTCGAGCATATAGACGGCAAGGTTGAAATCTCTCTTTTCCTCGAATCGAGCGACAATCGCACGGCTGTGGCCTGGAATAATGATGCACATTTCGTTTCGTTGCTTCTCGACGCTAACGATGTCGGTGGATCCGACAGGGTTCTTGAGGAGATCATGAAGGCGAATTGATATCTTCTCGCCATTAGGAATACAGCGCGCACCAGGTACAGGTCTTGAACTTGAACACACGTACTAGTCGTTGTTGTCCGTTGTGAATGAGGAGAACCAGGGTTCCGGTCTTAGAATCAACAGGCCGCTCGCCTTCCAGAGTTAAGGTGAAAACATTTCTTGGCCGACAAGTATGGTAGACCCTGGTCGAGGCCCCGTCGCGGATCTCCAACCGCTGGAGTGGACAACCAGAGACAGGTGTTGGTGGCCCAGGCATTTTGAATTTCGAGAAGTGTCACAAGTTTAGGGCGGCTCCGAGTGAACAAGGGTGACTCTGTGAAGCCAGCTGTTGAACAATCGGAATGGGAGCATTGCACTGGAGGCGAGAAATTCCATGCGCTGCATGCAACCTCAGGTGTCTACTGTGTGTCCTGTCACTACCTACCTAGGCAAGCTACTGCCGTGGCTGCACCTCGCACCTTCCTCGAAACATGGGAAACTTTGAGTCCGGGGTAGGTGAACTGGATTGTGCCTGAAAGACGTTACTGAGGGAAACAACCCGATTGGCTGTCAGGTGTAGGACCCGCCAAATCACGTGCAGATAAGCCAGCCGCGCATCCTTGCGATTTTCGAGGCGGCGCGCGCAGGTCCAACCACCAGAGACCCCAGCCAGCCGACTGGACTAGGCGGAACTTCGACATAACCTCTGAGGTAGTGAAGAACCACATCCCCACGAGCTCTGTAATTCTACCACCAGGAGTTTCATTTGGTCTGCTGAAACCAGACCGGGGCGCTCCTGTTCGTCCGATCGACGGTGCTGACTCTTGCACCCTCGACGCGACTTGGCACATCGACCAGCCGATCTCAACGACCACCCCGACGTCCCCCATCGCGAGTACGACCGCACATCTTCTTAGGCCTCCGAAAGCCTCGTCCAATTCCGCGCAAACACGCCCGATCTGTGGCGGATCGCATTGGCCGACACCATGGCCCCCGTACGGCAGGACATTCCGATGCACGCCATCGAGCGCACCCCCGAGTATGAAGACTTCATGTCGCGATTGCGCGAGTACCACACCAAGCGCGGCACTACGCTCGACGCAGAGCCCAAGGTTGGCGCGACACATCTCGACCTTCTCAAGGTCTTCAACCATATCGTTGCCAATGGAGGTTACGATAAGGTATCCGAGGAGAAGCTGGCATGGCGGCGCATGGCCGCTGAGCTTGGCATCTTCTCTAACAACGAAGCCTCAACCGCCTTTTCCCTGAAGGAGAAGTTCTACAAGAACCTTGCTGCCTTTGAAATAAGCACTGTCCATGGAAAGGAGCCGCCGCCAAAAGATATCCTCGAGGATGTCACTGCCAAGGGTGCCGGCCTCCTGTCCCGAACGCGCGAGAACTTCCGTGGCAAGCGCGAGAGTAACATCGGTGCCACAGACTCGGCCGCTTCTGGAGACGATGGCACACCCGTTCGCGAACGACCCGTCCCTGATCCCGCTGCTAGTGCCCGGGCATCTCGCGGGTTGCGCGAGGCACCACCTCAACGTGTCATATTCCAACCCGATACTGGGCCAACTCGAACGACCAGGCATGCGTCAGCGCACCATGCTAGCCACCAGAACTCTCCCGCCACAAACCAACCCCAGACTCCATCGCATCAGCACGGCATGCCCCCTATGCCTCAACCACAAAGCCACCAAGGCAGGGGCCCCTCGATCCTACACCATCCTCCCAACCCCGAGAACACCTCCAACCTGGTTACATCGTACCAGCCACGATATCTCAAGCCCCTGCAGCTTCGTGCTGTCGCTACTCCTAGCAATGCTCCCAATGAGTTCCAAAAGGCTCGCCAAAACCAACGTATTGTGGACCCCCGCCAGCCATTACAGCCTGGGAGTAAGTCTTGCATGTCCCCTATTGCACAGTTAACAATAACTGACCTGTCACAGCTGGTTTTGACGGCCCTAATATCTACATGCGTTGCCTTAATGCTCTGCGGTCTAATATACCTGCAGAGCAGGCCTTTGCTCTCAACCATCTCGTCAAGATTTCGTATGAAAGAGGCGACAAGTATAAGTTCGACTCTTTCCCTGGCCTTGCAGAAGGCCTTGTGGAGAAGGCCCTACAAGTCGGCAGTTTGTTCTACCACGTTAACTGGGTCGTTTCCTGGGATCCCAGTATCGACTCCAGCGATATTGACACTCTTGATGGTAATAATGGCACCCAGGATATCCTGGAGCGGATCCATAATCTCATTGAGAAGGATATGCCAGATGTCCTCCAGACTGAGGCCTACGCTGATGAGCTGGTCCTGGTAACCGAAGCTGTTCTGACAATACGGAACATGGTCACTCTCCCGGAGAATGCTCATAACATGTCTGATTTCTACCCCCTGAAGGACCTCATCTGCATCATTCTGCACCTACCGCACAAAGACTCCCTCATCGAACTTAAGCACTTGACGTTGGATATCGCAGAGCAGCTGACGCCATTTATGGCACTGGAGTCAGATGACCCTCTCTATAAGACACTGCTTGCACAGATGGCATCCGAGGACCGCGGTGCGATCTTGACAGCTCTCCGCGCTCTGGGCCGGCTCTCAATGAACCTCGAGGCCACCAATAAGCTGGGTAACGTCCCCGGACTGGTGCTGCAACGAATCGCCAGCTGGCTTCTCCTCAACGACGACGAACTCATCGACGCATGCCTTGACTTCCTCTACCAGTACACTGCAGTCGTGCCTAACGTGGACAACCTGATCCGCTCTCTGACACCTGAGAACCTTGTCGACCACCTCACCCGCCTCCTTGCCCATGGCGCCCGCAAGGTCCAGCGCGAGTTCACCCTTGTTCCCGAGCAGAAGCTGCCTGCTCGCGACGAGATTGCCCCAATGCCCGAGGACCTCCTTCAGGAGATGCTCAAGCTCGAGGAGCCTGAACGTGTGCATCATTGGGTCCGCAGCTTCTTTGAGGAGGACCGCGACTCATTCGTCACGCAGCTGGCCGCATGGCAGGCGTACCAAACCGCCTTTGTTGGACCGCTTAAGGCCATTGGTCAACCGCTTATTACTCCCGCAGACTTCATTAGGAACAGTACATCCGTGTATAAGGACTCGAATGCGCAGGTTCTTAGGGAGCCCGGCGATCCTCAGCAGAAGTTCATCATCCACGGCATTCGCGCTCGCCCTCGACCGCTTAGCATTGATGGAAAGGAGTACGGTCGATGTCTTTGGGCCTCCAATCCCACCAACAAGAATGAGAAGTGCGGTCACTTTTATCTAAAGGCTAAGCAGATGTGGAACCATATCCTCACGACTCACATGGAAGAGAAGAAGAACGAAGACGACCAGTATGAGAACACCGAGAAGGAATTCGTCTGCACCTGGGGTGAATGTTCCCGATTCGTCAATCCGACCAAGCTGTACCTCCAGGACTTTGCGCGGCATATCAACACGCATGTGTCAGCGATGCTGCCAACCTCGGAAGCGCAGGCTCGGAAACCAGACCGACCCTGGATCGTCCCCGCCAAGACCATGGCGGTGACCTATGAAGAGACCATGACGGTGCGGGACGAGCGGAATCCTAACGCGCCCCCGCAGGCTGCCGGTATCCCGCTGAGTGCCGCGCTTGTGCTGCGCAACATTGCCCGCAACGTCGTCAAGACGGAGGCTGAGGATGAGCTAATTAAGATGCAAGAGAGTGGTGGAGAATCCGGTGGGTGGAACGAGACCCTCTTCCGGCCGATCTTACCTCGCCTCTTTGAGATTCTGGCAGAGAACCGAGCCTTGGTAAGTCACTTTTACTTACTCCGATTGAGCCAATTACATGGTGTGTTAGTGCTAACAAATCTCGCAGAGCCCCTACATTGCGTCACTATTGGATCTGATCCGAATCGACAACGACGGCCAAGGCCGTTGAGTTGCCGTGTGGGGCCGAGATTCACGAGATTCATAGGCGAGTGACGAGCGTGTGGGTCGGACCCTGGCCGATGGTGTCCAGACCAAGTGACGCCCAGACCAGTCTTTAATGGCTCGGTGGCGAGATTGAACCATCCTCGCGGGATAGATCTAATAGCAAAAGCCTGGACCAACAGGTCGGCCGGGGCAAGGGAATCTGACAGAGATCGCAGCTGACCTGCAAGACGATGTTGGGGTGCAGGACAGAGATGAGGAGCAGACACGATTCGATGAGTGAGATTCAACGAGACGAGGGGTTTCAGAGCGTTGCGTGCGGACGAGAGGAAGGCCAGGGGGTGATGAGCGTGGCTTTTGCATTGCTCAATTGATTGTATCTGGATTGGCTTGTGTAATAATACCCTGCCCGCCGGCGTTTGGAACGGGGGCTGGCTGGTTGGTGTTGGATGAGGGCGAGAAGGACAGGGTCGACGGGCTAGTGACAGTCTGGTATCGCCATGTCGCATCTCGGACGCGCTCCTTGTGGGATAGATAGTCGTACATTGGCGAATGGGTATATTGACATTTCTCCTTGATACGCGGTGACCGACGGCGTCCCACTGAGCTGGGACGATCTGACATCTGAACATCCACATCTGACATCCACATCCAACATCCAATATCTCGACATCGGCATGAGTGTTCTCCGACTCACCGGGCCGGACTGCAAGAGGCCTTGGCACCAACTGCGCGGCAATTCTGCACGGCGCCGGGCCGGTCCCCAGTTTCCCAGGGCCCCGGTCGCGAGATGGCCCGTCTCCCGGAGCAGCAGTGCGCTCGCCCGAACGGCGACCGGCGCGTTACGAAAGGCATGGCTTATCGAGCTTCGGCGGCTCTTTCTCGTGGCAGCATGGTTGTGTCGGAACATGTCGATGTCGATGGCATGTCGCGGCAGGATCCCACTTATACCCCGGACTTGTGGTTTGTGTCAGGCCCGTGTCAGGCCCGTGCGCCGGCGGATAGGCGCGGCACTCCCCACGCGCATTCGAGGTGCATGCGTCTGTGACGGCGCCTTGACCGGCGATGGCTGCGAGGGCGACAGCTTCTGCAGATATTCTGGAACCAAGGCAGGGAGCGTGGTAGCTCCCCCACCACCAGAGCCACCAGGGCACCCTAGAGCTACATCAGGATCCTCAGGGCAGCCCCCCCCAGGGCACCATCAGAGCCCACCAGAGCCAGCTAGAGCCCACCAGTCCTCCCGTACCACACCCACGCCGGCACCCAACCTCGTGGCCGGGACGCTTCAGCCAGAACTGGGCCATCTCCTACACCGTACCCTCGTCCCATCGTCCCATCCTTCATCTATCGCAGCCCGGCATATGCAGATCGGGTGCGTCAGGCGCCTCGGCCCAACCCTCGTCCGCCTCCATCTTGATCCAGAGCCGACCGGCCAGGCCAGGCCTTCTTCAAACCTAAGCTAGGTATGCTTAGATCATCCTTAACTTATACAAGCATGGACCATCGAAACAGCGCTGGGACTGACGCTAAACAGCAGCTTCATGAGAGCGGACCCATCTGAGGCGCCCAAACTGCCTGGGCTCCATCAAAGAATCCTGCTGCCTGTACTAAACGAGGTGAATTTTTTCTTGAATGAAGATCTTGGATGGAGATGGCTAACGTTAACCACGGACTTGCTCTCCCGCTTCGTCTCCATATCATTTTCGTTTCAAGAATGGACGTTGTCCGAGCCTGCAATGTGCGAAATGCATGCAGCGCTGGCCAGGGTCAAAAGAGGCTTGTCTACTATGCGGGCGTGCAGATGGCGATGCAGATGCCCCGCGGTATTCCCTTAGATGCAGGGAGTAATATCATCTGATGGTCCAGACCTGCCAAGGCCGGCCAGACTTGCGAAATTGACACTTTGGAAGGTATTCAGAGCGAGATGGGTTTAGAAGCAAGACTCTGGTACGACACTCACACACCGCTCAGAGCATGCCGTGTAAGCCGCTGTGTCCACAGCGGCATGTTTCAACTCAGCTCGGCACGGAAGGCTCGGTGTGGGCGATTTTTGGCCAGAATGTGGTGGTGGCATCGACCGTAAGTTGTCGTCATAATTCACGACTTGCCACATCCTAGTTGAATACGGATGACATCAATGTTGTGGTTGACATTCCATCTTGTCATGAATGCAAGCCCTAGCCCTTGGGTTCGGGACACATGTAGGGATCAGCCGGTCTCGCAGCGAGGTCACCGCTCAACAAACCCCACTGGCTTGTCAACCTACCTTTTTGGTCACCGTTTTCTATCCCTCCTTTGTTTCGGAGAGTTGGCTTCTCCTCCTGCCACGCAAGCCGGAGCTAGTCGAGGAAGAGAAAACAGAAAGAAAAAAATCTCGGAGGGTGGGGGGAGGGAGTCCGGCTCCGTGCAAGTGGGCCAATCTCGGGCTGGCGTTAAGGTTGTCTTGGCAATCTGAGGTTTAGCGTCGTCGTTTTCCAGGGAATGCAACCAACTCTGCTCCGTTGTGCCCTCTTTTGATAAAGTGATATCAAAGGCTCCAAGTTTTTGTCCATGCCTGTATGAGTGGGCTCTACATGACGGAACTCCGCCACCTCATTCAATTACAAGCCTTGCCCTCCACTACTGTCAATTGGCGAGACTCGGGCTGTGTGGTAATAATTTGGAAACCAATGGCAACCCTAAGGGAGCGACGACGCTGGCTGAGTCGGGCGGGCTGGAGGCTCGTGTCGATCATAGTCTGGACGGCTCAGCGCATAGCTCCCCCGTGTCGGGCTTGGCCGCCTTCGTTGGATGGCGTGGGATGTCAAAAAGACAACATGTCCACATGATGGCCTGCGTGAAATGAGTTGTGCCATCTCGGTGAGGCGTGAACTAGTCCTTACCCCCCGGACATGGGCACCCCACGCCACAGACTTGAAGCCCCCGGCTGCCCCAGGTCACTGGCACTTGAGGCTTGGGACCGCCCTGGGGACCGCCCTGGGGACCCGGGACATGTAAATTATGTCTGTCGCTCATCTCGGAGAACCCTGGCTTGAAACTATTGCACCCGGCCCCGAACCAGCTTTGCGAATTGGGCCGGTTCCATCTGACTCGGATTCTGGATGGGCGGTGAGGTGAGTGAGATGGAGGTACTTCGAATGGACTACCGTACTCCGTAGGGGAATTCGGCTGCCTGGACAGGATGGAGAAGGATGGGGGCCACCACCAAACGCCGGCCCCGTGTTGGCATCCCACCTCTTCGGCTACTGCAAGCCGCAACGGGTGTCACCCAGCTTGAGTGGCAGAGAGCGCGAGTCGGTTGAGAGCGATCATGCCAACATCTCTTGTTGCGGTTGGTGTGTGGGTGGTGTGGTGTGGTGCGGTGCGGTGCTGGCCCTCCGTGGCCATGGGCCTGACTGTAGGCTGTCGCGTCCATTGCGCCTGATTTAGGTGTGGTTGGTGCATCTTTGCCGGGCGGCCGGTCAGCTGCATACCGAAAACAAGAAGAAGCACGGCACTCCAAAATTAGATGGGGAGAGAACCCGGCGTGTCCAGGGAATCTGCTTCCATTTGCCACGCAGTGAATTCCTGGAACAATGCTCGTCGGTTGACGCAAGGTTTTGGCATGGGAGGGTGCGCAGGCTCGTGCGCGCCGCGGGTGGATGCAGTGGGTGCTGAGGGTGCAGTGGATGCGGTGGGTATCGTCCATGGCAGCTACCGAGAGAGCTACCCCTGTGCTTCCCCCATGAGCCCCTAAGAATTAGCGGGCCGTGGGTGCTGTGATGGCGTCGACGGTGCCCTGGACTCCTGGAGCCCGGGCCAGGCCCCGCCATAGCTCCCCACGGAATGGGGCGCGGCCGCGGATTGATCGTCCCTAGGCATTGAGGCCCCAGAAAGAATCCCAAGGAAGCAGGAATTGGACGGGGCGGAGGGCGCCGTGCGTCGTGGCACAAGGTCATCTGGACGGCCACAAAGCAAGGGCAAGGGGTCTGGATGGGGGCGTCAGTTTGGTTATGTCTGACAGAGTCCAATGGCTTTGCTGACTGGCCGATTGCCCTGCTGTCTTGTGATGCGCAGGACAGACTAGCACTCGCATCGTCATTGAGGCTGACGCTGTGTTTTCGTCTCGGACGGAGCACTGCCGCCAGCGCTTGAGTTGGTGTTAGGTACGCAGGTGTGTGTAGGCACATACACGTCCATGTACCTTAGGTGTGGTGAGAGGTGAGTGGTAATACGGAATCCCTCAGCAGCGAAGCGCCGAAGGGTTGGGGGAGCTGCGACAAGCCAGGAGCCGCATATGCAGGCCTGGTGGGAGTGTCGGTAGGAGCGACCAACCCGCATTGTTCTCTTGACCACACCTTCCCTCCCCTTCCTCTTCTGCCAGAAAGTCCCGACCCGGGCCGGGCGGACATGCGTGGGATGGGTTTGTGCGTGTGCCTGAGCAGAGAAAAAAAAAACTCTTACAATGTCACCGTCACCATTCGTACGACAATCGAGAACGGAGATAATGGGGACAGAAGGCACGCAGCCATCATGGATGGGGTTGACAGCCAATGCCCCTCTCGCCCACCAACGACCCTCGTCACCTTAGACTCACTCTAATTAATTGCTTCGTACCCTCAGACCCTCGTACCTCCAGACCGACCCTCAGCCGCCTCAACAAGACATTTCCGGCACGGAGTCAAAACAACAGCCAACTAGCAAGCAAGTGTGTAGGCGGATTGGAGTGGAAGGACAGGGAACGGGGAAACAACACCACCGTCTCCACCTCCACCATCAACAAACCCCTTCGGAAGCACGTTAGCACGTTAGCTTTCCCTAATGCTGGCTCCTCGCAGGCACCTTATCACTGAAACGCATGCACTTTGCTCGGGCTTGGAAGCTCGCCCCCCCACATCGCCAAAGCATGGCATCTCTGGTCCGTCTGACAAACAGAATTTCGTTGCTTCTTTCACCCCCTGGCGCCCCTGGTGCTGGATCTTGTGACCATCCGCCGTCTCCATCCAGTCGCATCTTGGTGGATGAACCCTGGCTCATGCGACATCGGGCCCCGACTAGGAGGTGTGGTTCCCGTGCGGTAAGGAATGTACGAAGTACTTGAGCAGACAATCAAGGTAGGGAGAGAGAGGGGCAACAGTGAATCACATCACAACGCTCACCGTCGATATCAGGGGGCAGACCGTCGGTGTAAAACGGTCAGCGTATTGCTCCACTCTCTCAGTATATAAACGCTCGACGAGCTGGCGGTCACAACATTTCTTCTTGATTCCTCATCCACACAACACACATCAAACACCACCTTGGTCCTGTCACACTCTGCATTCTTGAGCTCTCGAGAACCCCGCACAACAAAGTGGTATGCTTCCCTGCAATCTCCCCTCGTCGTGCGCCTTGTTGGCGAGGAGCGGCCCAACGGAGGAGGCCATCCAGGCTCTCTTTAAAAGGACGACAATGGAACTGCTTTGGCTGACCTGAACCCTGTTTGCAGACACCCAACCACACCTTCTCCTCATCCATCCAGTCCTGACGTCTCGTCCGTCAACCCACTCGTCCGCAACAACCGCATCGCAATTGCATCAATCAGATCTCCGCATCTCGTGAACAACTTCCCCCTGGTCCGCAGATTGTAGTTCTGGCGTCGCTATTGAGGATCCCTGAGAATAGTACTGGTCCACCTGCCGTCACCTAGTCTCTAGTCACCGTCCTAGTCACCGTCATACCACGAAGCTTCCCTCCCCGGAGCTAACTTCTCATTCACCACCCCTTACCACCAATCTTGCACCACAAACACAAATCGGTAACACGATCGACACGCTTTGCGACGACTCCCGGACCACCGAATTCAGTCCGACACCCCTAACTACAAACCAGATCCAGCCCAGCTGAGCTGATTGTGAATCTTCGCCTTACGGACATCCCGCCACGCTAGACCTGCAGTAGCGGCCACTTGACCCTCTCCCTCTCCAAAAAAAAGATCGCCCCCGGCCCAAATTTTTTTGGACTGACCCTTCACCTTGCGCCCCACCTCCGTCTAACTCTGGCCCGCCGGCGCATACCTATATCAAGACCTCCTCTTGTCGACTGACGCTCTGCTCCTTCGACTTTCTCCCTCAGTCACTTGATTAAATATACACACTTCCCTCTACTCTTCTCCTCCTTCATCCTCTTCCACATCTCTCATCCTTCATCACATTCTCTCGTTGCACTACGTCACTATATACACAATGTCTTCGGCCGCCCGAAACGTCCTCCGTCTCTCTCGGGCTGCTGCCCCCGTGGCTCGCCCTGCCGCTTCTTCGGCTCGCTTCTTTTCGGCCACCCGTATCAGCCGTGTCTCTGATACTGCCAACAAGAAGAGTGTTGTTCGTGAGAAGGAGGTCCCGGCCACCATCTACGGTGCTGGCCAGGGTGACAAGCACACCGTCAAGGTTCCCGATGCTGCTGCCCAGGTTCCCCACGACACCCCTGTCCCTCCTGCTGAGAACGAGGCTGTCGTTCCCCTGACTCGCAAGGTTTTCGATGCCCTGCCCCAGACCATGAAGAACATGAGTGTCTTCGGCAAGACCATCATCGTCACTGGTGGTGCCCGTGGTCTCGGTAACTACATGGCTCGCGCCTGCGCCGAAGCTGGTGCCAAGGCCATCATCATCTTCGATGCCAACCAGGAGCTTGGTGACCAGTCCGCTGCTGAGCTTCACGAGAAGACTGGCCTCCCCGTCTCCTTCTTCAAGGTTGATGTTCGCGATGGTGCTGCTATCAACGCTGCCGTCGATAACGTTGTCGAGCGCTTCGGTGCCCCTGATGTCCTGGTCAACTCGGCTGGTATTGCCGATTCCAACATCAAGGCCGAGACCTACGATCCCGCCATGTTCCGTCGTCTCATTGACATCAACCTCAACGGCTCCTTCCTGATGTCCCAGGCCGTCGGCCGTGCCATGATGGCCGCTGGCAAGCCCGGTTCCATCGTCCTGGTCGCTTCCATGTCTGGCTCCGTTGTCAACTACCCCCAGGAGCAGAGCTGCTACAACGCCTCCAAGGCTGGTGTTATCCAGCTTGGCAAGTCTCTCGCTGCGGAGTGGGCTAAGTACGAGATCCGTGTCAACTGCATCTCCCCGGGCTACATGGACACCGCCCTCAACCGTGTTCCCGCCCTTGATGCCCAGAAGAAGATCTGGAAGTCTCTGACCCCCCAGAACCGCCTGGGTAACGTCGACGAGCTCAACGGCCTGTGTGTCTTCCTCGCCTCGGACTCGTCCAAGTTCATGACCGGTTCCAACTGCATCATCGACGGTGGCTACACCTGCTACTAAGCAACTCGCTTGTCGGCTTGGATAGGACCGAGCCAATTTTTTATACATTGTTTGGAGGGATGGGCATTTCTGGAAAGAATCCACAAAAACAAACAAAAAGGTCCTTGGGGGGGTTTTACGCACACAAACAGTTCAGTCACGAATGACGGATCTGTTTCTGATTTTCTTTTCTCAAGCTTGTTCGGAGTTTAAGGGTATCGAAGGATAGCTGTTCTTTCCTCGAAAAAAATGGGAAGCATTGAAGGGATACAATAGAGAACCTGGGATGGTATGATAGAGAGATATGAGAGACTGCACTGGAATGTCCGGTGGCAGCGGGAGTTATAGTTGACACTAAAGAATTCTAATGCTCATTACTTGGCTCTGGGAGGCTGTTTGTCCTCGTGTCGCGATTGAATGCCGTGGTATCTTTATGTCGTTGTGGTTGCTTGAGAGGAATGGCGCTAGAGTGATTGACTCACTGCGTCTTACACGATGCTCCGTAGTAGCTCCATAGCTCCATAACTCCATGTCTTCACGATCCCCTCATGCACGTAGTCTAAATTAATTCCCCGCCTCGCATTGGCCCGCCCGGCCAACCAATAGGCACGCCGCCGGGCTCATGAAAAGGGAAATCGCATCGTCAGTTCCGGCTGCCCCCTCTCCCAGCGCCAGGCCCGCCCACCGCCGGCCGCCGCGTCTCACCGCTTCCTCGCAGTCGCCAATACCCGCCACCAGCCCGCAGATCAGTGTGGGCCCAACATCGGCTGATGGAGAGAGAGAGAGGGAAAACCTACAATCGGAACGGGCAAGTAAGAATGATGGAGATGGATGCAATCGTATGCAGAGGATAAGAGGGCAGGAAGCAGGATTGCAGTGATAAGACCAACGCAGAGAGAGACCAACAACTATCCAATCCTTACACCAAAAATGCCAAAGTCAGACGCTGGCGCCAAAACACCACGCGAGACTTGCAGCCAGCCCCCCCTCCCCCCCAGCCAGACGCCGCCCGAGACACCGCCTCTTCGCCAGGCTCGCATCCCGCTCTCCCGCATTCCCGCGTTCCCAATCACGCACTGGCCCCGTCTCCTTTCTCGCTTCCATGCGACGTACGCCTGACGTGCCTGCCTCCCCCCCGAAGCGGCCCTTCAACGAACCAGTGCTGTCCACGTTACACGAAACCGGACCCATCAATGCTCTAGTAGGATTTACACCGCATGTAATTAAGCCGACGGCGCGTGCCGATGGGACCCTCGTCGAAGTAGACGTCTGGTCCGGGTGGCGGGGGATGGCACGGTAGATGAAGAAGAAAACCAGGCTGTTCCCCCCCCCCTCCCGGGATCGTGAGACGCCCTTTTACATTTTGCAGCAAGATACCAGGAGAATCGACTTTTCGAGTTGGTCAAAGAGACAACAGGAGCCCAAGAAACGAAACCGCTACCCTCAGAAACCTCATCCATCTCGTCCCATCCACTTCATTCCCATCTACCGGGTGACAGCACAAGCCAGCACGAGATCAAGAGATCAACTGAGCTGCCGGCGAGCACCCGACGAGTCATAATCATTCATCAACCACCCGACCAAGCTCATATCACATCACTGTCGCTTTCTGCAAACGGCAATCCCCAAACTCAACGACGCCGAAAACACTCAACCCACAACCAACCAACAAAACTTCGCAATGCAACTTCTGTGCTCTCTCCCTCTCCGCGTCGCCCGCAAGCTGCGCAATCGCCTTAAGCCCGCACTTCTCAAGGCCTCTAACACCACCCAACGCGCTGCCGCATCGGTCCGCGAGACGGTCCGCCAGTCCATGTACTTCCACTCCAGCACTGACAAGCTCAAGCACCAGCCGCGGCCAGCAGCCCTTGGCACCGTCGCTATGCTGGGCAAGGTCAAGTCCAGTGTCGCCACGGGCGTGGATGCTGCTCGTGGAGAGGGCGCGAGGTTGCGCCGGCAGATGAGCACAATCTACCAAAATTGGGAGCAGGGGAATGCTCTGTCCCACGGCAACGCCGCCCGTCTCAACTAGGGTAAGATGCCGCATTATTCTCGGGGCGTTTTATGTTTATGTTTTGCGCGGGCGCGTGTGGCGGGGACAGATACCTAGGGCGGATAGCTGGAACGGATAGCAAATTCAGTTTGATCAAACTCATCAAGTATCCCTTCATCTCGACAGAACCACCCCCGACCGCGTACACACTGTGAATCTTGCGAGGCGAAGTAACAAAACAAAATTTTATGATTGGAGTTGGTGAGGAGAGAAGGGTCTAGCAACGTAATAGACCTATCTCGAGGTAAACTCGGCGGAAGTAACTTGTGAAGTAACTTGTTCGTATGCAGGGGGTATATCCAGCGTGTCATTTCTATGTGCTTTCAGGCGTCGTATCCGCGTCACCTGCTGGCACCTTTTGTGCTCGGTCTTCTGCGTCTCCCTGCGCAAGCCAGAGTCCCATGACGCGGCACCAATGCCAACTCCAACTTTAAGATGCAAGGCCTGCTATGTTAAGGTAATCGAAAAGAGGCTTTCCGAAAAAAATGGTCATTATATGATTGAGAATCGAGGTGCGAGATCCGCCGGGGACGCGAGTTCGATTGGCCAAGCTTTCAGATCAACTGCGCTGTCGCCCGTGTCGTCATATCCAAATTGCGCAGGGGGAGCGAACCCTCGGCTATTTGGTTGGAAGGGGAGATCGATTTATCGTCTTAGCGATGCCAGTAACCGACCGTCTTCCCTCCCAATTGGGGAGCTACTCGGCGACTTGGAATACCGCATGGACCAGCCTATTGTCCCTTGCGGGCCTTCTCTTGCGCTCTTTGTTCTCGAGCGGCTCGGACCAATGGCGACAGTTGTGTAAGATCAACGCACTGCTTCATGAATTCATGCTATGCCAAGGTTAGTACAAAAGACTAATGGAGGCAACGGCCTAGGGAAAAAACGTACTCGGAGCAGATCGTGGGCGCTTGCTCGCTTCTCAGGATCGACCTTGAGCGCAAAGTACAAGAAATCCTTGAAGAGAGGCGAGAGATCCTGCTCGTTCTTGATATTGGGAGTCCCGTTGGTCGCGATCAGCCACAAGGCTCGAAGGGGGGACTCTGTTAGGTATGGAGGCTCGCCCTCAATCATCTCAATGGCCATGATACCAAGGGACCAGATGTCGACTTTCCGGCCGTACTCTTTTCTAGTGACTACTTCGGGGGCCATCCAGTACGGTGTTCCCACCATGGTTGTTCGCTTGTTTTGGGCTTCGTTGATGGTAGCGCAGAAGCCAAAGTCAGCTATTTCCAGTTAGTGTAGTCCAATCAAGAATATTTCAACGGGTTTTCAACGGCTCTCCAACGGTTGAACGGCGACATACTGAGCTTAATGTTACCCTCCATGGAAAGCAAAATGTTGTCGGATTTGATGTCGCGGTGGATGACTCCCTTGGAATGTAGGTGCTGCAGTCCCTTCAAGGTCTCCCGGCACACGGAGGCGATCTGGCCCTCGGACATGATGTTGAAGGTGACAACATCCGTAAGGCTGCCACCTTCCATGAATTCCATCACGACCCACAGCTCTCCGCCACAGAGGTAGCTGTCAATGAAGTTGACAATGTTCGGGTGCGAGCTGTCCTTCATGACGAGAATCTCATTGATGATCAGATCCTTCTTAGGTTGCTGCTCAAGGTTCATCTGCTTAATGGCCACAAGACGGTTCGTGCCCCGCTCGTGGCCAGTGTAGACACCACCTGAGGCGCCCTGACCGATCTTGTTGAATCCACGGTAAATGTCGCGAGGATCGCCCTCAGAGCAAATTCGCTTAAGAGAGGCAACGACATCGAACGCAGCGCTTTGCCGAGCTCGGTGTCGCGGCCTGGCTCCGGGAATGGCTCCGGGAATGGCTCCGGGTCCGGGTTGTTGCCGTGGGGCGTTCGCAACGCCATTGGCCTCGGGGGGACGTCCATACGCCGTGTTGGGGTGTGGAGGCTGACTGGGCTGGCCAACTGGTGCGGGAACTTGATGCTGAGGCGTTCTCTTGCTAGGAGCCCGCGTGACCTGGCCAGACATAGCAGCCTGGGCCTGAGCCATCGCCTGCTCCTGCTGTTGCTGCATGAGCTGCTGCTGATAAGCGGCAGCTTGCGCTTGGACGACTTGGTTCTGCTGGGGGGCTGTCGGGGCATACGGCGATGGTACTTGAACGCGCGAGTTCGATCGAGAGCGGTGTTCTTCGGGGAGCATGGGACTGTTGTCCTTGGAGCCGAAGGATTCTTCACCAGACTGCGACATGCCAATGCCAGAGTCCTTGGCAGTGTAGGCACCTTGGGGATGGTGTCGGTTGTTCATGCTGATAGGCGGTTTCGGGGCCGGTCGACTGGGCATCAGGTCTTTGCCCGAGACCTGGCCTCTGGGAACGGGCGGCGGAGCTCGGGGATTCTCAAAACTTCCTTCATGATTGACAGTTGGAAACCTGGGTTCGACAGATGGACTAGTGATTGGTGACATACCCATATAATTTGACGGGTACGTGCCCGGAGATGCTGCAGACGCAGGAGAGTTGGCCGCATATTGGGCGCCAGCATGGTGGAACTTTTCGAGGCTCTGATCCTCGTGGGGCCTCTCAGTGGTCTCCTTGTAGAACTGTAAAATATCAACCATCGTTTGAGGGTTCTCTCGCCTTTCCTTCTCGGGGATGCCGCTTTCGTTGATCAACCGCTGCCATTCCTTTGGCAGGCCCTACGATGATGTTAACGTGGATGGATGGGCGGGGACGCCACAAGGCGGGACTGGAGAGACTGACAGTGAACTGGCCCGTCGTACTATCGTAGCCGACGTGAGTGACGTGAACAGGGTTCTCGGGGGCGGAAATGACAGGCTTCTTGGGCGAGCCGACAAGACTGTTCATGAAGCCTGAGAAGCCCGACTTCTTTCGCAGGACAGCCGACTTGGGCTCCCTGCCATCATCTGAATATCGCTTGGTGTTACCCATGGAGCCATCGGTAGGAGCGCGTGGCCCGAGGCCTTTCTCAGACAGAGACGAATCCATCCCGGTAAAACTGGCGGAGGGCCGCAAGATGGGGGTCGCGAGCTGGGAATCGGCACCGATCTTGAGGAGCGGGGGTTGATGATTGTGGTGGCGGTGGACTGGACCCTGGGGGCTCGGCACCTTTGTCGACTCAATCCGATTGAGGATGGCGGCGCCGTCGAAGGGGGCGCCGATGAAGTCGTCAGCGGGGGCGGCTGGTTTGCTAAGGGGTCGAAGGTGGGAGTCGGAGAGGCGATTATTGCGAGGGACGGGAGTCCAGGCGTTGGAGGTGGTAAAATCGCCCTGCGGCAGGATGGGTGATGCGTTCGATCGAAAGGTGTTGGCGGGAGTGTGTCCCGACGCGGTCGCGGGGTTGGAGCGTGCTGGGGGAGCGCTTGGGGCTCGTCTCAGACTTTGGGAACTGCGTTTGCTTCCAAGGGAATCGGCGTCGTAGCCGCCACCACCATCGAAGCCGGAGGATGAGCGGGCGTAGTGATGAGATGGAGGCTTCTTGACGAGTTTGCGACGATGGGAAGGGGCGATGGAAGCAGAGGAGGAGGTAGACCCGGGGCCGTCCATGATCCAGCAGGCGGGCTTGGCTAAAAAAAGGTCTCAGGACGGCTATGCAGATAATGAATGGGTCGAGCGAGGGCAGCAGGGTGTGCAAGGAGGAAAAGGTGCGCGGGTTTGGCGGCCAGAGCCAGAGCCAACAAAGCCAAATTCCGATGCAGTGCAGCGCAGTGCGGGCGGGCCTTGCTCCTGCGTGTGCCTTTGATCGAGCTTGTGCTTTGTGCTTTTTGGATGTGATTATGCTCGGCGCTGGGGGGGGGAGGGGGCTGCGACTGGGAACTGAGACTTGGGGAACAGGGAAAAGCGGTTGGCCACTGAGGCGCTGTCTCCGAATAGAGAGCCTGCTTGACGCGGACCGCCCAAGGTGGCCAAGGTGGGTTGGGATTGGGGCGTGGAGGGGAGATGGGAGGGGCGAGGAGGGGGCCTAGTGGGACGTACTCCGTACACAGGTACTCTGGGACGGATAGGGAGAGGGTACCGTTGTATGTGAGTATGTGCGAGCGCCAAGTGCGATGGTACTGTGCGGGTGGTATGAAAGAATATCGATGTTTGTGACAGAGTGAAAGTGCGTGAGTGAGATGGAATGCGGGAATGCGGGCGGCTGAGGATGGGTGTGGGATACTGTATGATGGGGTGCGGACCGATGACAGTGACAAGGACAATGACGCCTGGGTCCAGCTTCGGATCAGGATCGGGATCAGGATCAAGGCCCGGCTTACCAGCTTCTGTTTTATGCCTGTTTGTTGGCGTCGAGCTTTACGAACGGCTTCGTATTGCGCTGTGCTGTGCGCTGTGCCGTGTTGTGCTGCGCCGGCGCTGTTGCTGGTGCTGACGGACAGGTGGATGATGGGTGATGGTGCGGGATGCGGGATGCGGAATGCGGGTTGCCTGTTTCGAGAGAGATATGGGTGAGAGCTTGATTGAACCCCAGTTCTGCCTCCAGGGGATATCAAATGAACGAATGAGTGAAAGGGGAAAGGGGATGCGCGCTGTAGCGAGAAGCGTGAGAGAGGAGCGAGAGATACGCGTGGGGGGATGATGGAGGGAGTGAGTTTGGACGAGTGGGCATGCTGTCGAAGGAGGAGAGTTGGTGTTGAGGAAGGGCCAACAGGACGGGCCGTGAATCAATGAATGGATGCATCAATGGCCCATTGACGGTCTGATATGAAAAAACTACTTGGATTGACTTGAATTCTGCTTGATTTGACTGCCCGACGTGCTTGAACGGGGTGTCTGCGCATGGTGCCAGTGCAGTGCTTTGGGCATTCAGAACCAGGCGTGCAATGCTGGGACTGCGATCCATGAAGCCCATCTGGGCTAGGCTGGCTTGCAATTGGACCATGTGGGCGACGGATGATGGGTCGCACCCCCCGAGACGAGCCTACTGGCCGGTAAGTAGGCAGGTAGGTACTGTACCTGGCCAGCCCAGCGGCCTTGGAACCTTGTGGCTGCTGGGCTACTGGCACCTAACTGCCCCCGACTGGCGCTGCACCACAAACCCTGACATAGTACACTCTCGGGCCGTTGGCACAAGTCGACAGTGCGAAAGCGCGCCGCAAGCACATGGTGGTTTGACCGCTGCCATGGTTGGTCGACATTTTGGCTTTTGGCCGGCCTTGAGACCCTGCCTTCCATGGCCTTCTTCTCTCGCTTCCACGAGTCGAGGACAATAACTTGGCTACAACCAGTACCGGCAGAGTTTATGGGGACGTCAAGGGACTCAAGGGACTTCATTGGGGACTCTTCATCCGCCCTGTACAAGATGAGCCTCGGCGATTCGCTCGCGGGATGCTACGCTCTGCTGCGACTCTGCTTTAGTGCTCCGTTGGTTGGTGTGAAAGGACCCCCAACTGGGGAGTTCCAGGGGATGGGACGCGGCGAGCTGCAGACCGAGGGGGCTGTGTCGTCTTTGCTGGCTGGCGAGCCGTGGCTCTGACACATGCTGGCATACAGGGGTCCTGACTTGCTCCAGTTGGCGACATACGAAGTACATTGTGCCCTAACCTACGGCGCACGACGTCGACTGTAAAAGCGAGGCGTCTTCGTTTCGGGCAGGAGTTTGGTTATGTCCGTCTGTTGGGCCGGATCAATGTTGATGAACGGCGACGATACACTTCAGGTCCACATTCACAGCCTTGGAGGACCGGTACACGCACTGTGATGCACTGTTATGCCCTCTCCTGCACGGCGCTGCACTGCGCTGCACTGTACCTTGCTTGACCGCACGGAAGTGGAAATGGCGCCTCCACACTAAGCACGGCACAGGTCCACCGACTAGTTTGTGTAGATTCTGGTCCCCTACTCCAGTCTTCAGCGTCCCGTCCCCCACTTTGTCTCGGACAGTCTGATGGCTTCTCAGTTCTGGACGCGGCTCTTGGGTCCTTTTCGAGACTCACGAGTCGGGACATGGAGAAACAGAGTGGGGACGGGGCGTGGTGTTAGCCCTATGGGGGCCCATTGCGAGTCCCAGCTCCAGTGCCAGTGCCAGTCAGTCTGGAAAAGGCCCACGACCACTCTTAAGCGCGTTGCAAACGCACCAGGAGCGGGCGTGCGTGGAGACGCGGGTGGAGCAGCTCTGGGATCTGGCAACTCTGGTGCGGAGACAAGACTTCTGAACGAGCGCCGCGAGGGGTCAGAGCACCACAGACTCCCAGCTCCAGGGTTTCCAAGGCTGGAGCTCCTGGTCCTTGGACAATTTTAGGGTGGCGCTTCCTCGTCCGCGACGCAGACCGAGTGGTGCTGCAATTGATATGTGGTTGATGGCTTGCGCCGACTGGAGCTACTGTAGCCCGCCGCTGACTACGTATTGTCCGCTTGTCGCCCGCTCGTGGCCGGTGGAGACTGGGTAAGCCTTGGGTCGTCGCCCTTTGCTGATGTGTCACTCCTCCAACTGTCCAACATCCGCACTGGCCCGTTGCAGCTTGTAAGCCTGGTTGTCCGTCCAGCGCGCGCGGCGTAAAGGTTATGCGGCTACGCTGCTTCCTCTCGGCACTTTTTTTTTTAACACTCCTCTACGACGGAGCCATTCCCTTGACTGGTACGCAAATTCATTCGCGCAGACGCCGTCCCAGTGGGGCCGATTTGGATCCATCGGGAACCGCAGGATGCCCTGGAGGCTGAACTTCTGAAGCAGGTTACAGGCCTGCAGCCATGGGAGAGACGTGACGATGACGGGGCGTCTAGTCCTTCACATTCCCATCTCTTTGCTTTGGTGCCGGGTGTGCGTGCGGCTGTAGCGTCTGCTCAGACGAGAGACGGCGTCGTCATCTCATCTCATCCCATCCTCGTTACCTCGGAGGGTCGCTCAAGATAACTGGGTACCTAGTTAATGACTGAGAGCCGGTGTAGCGTTCTCAAGATGTGATAGCCTCTTCTCCACTTATCGACTGGCTGTCCGAAGTCAATCCCACTGCAATTGTGTGATCAACGGACCCTTACACGTCGGGAGTTGCTCTGTCGATGAATTGATTAATCTATTAAACTGCGACTGCTACTGCTGCCGTCTGATGCTTGAGGCGCTTCCTCGTTTCACGTCAGGGGCTTCCGTCTCACCTCCACGGCCGTCTTTCCCAGGCACGCGGCGGGTCATGGGCGCTTCAGCCCTTTGGATTGGGCCCGGACATCCGCCTGGCGTCTCGATGCGAGACATCCATAGACTTTGGCCCACCAGCCGCCGACGATACTTTGGAGGTATCCCGGGTTTCGACATGGCCGCAAACATGTCTCGTCCCTGGCATTTCGTTGCCGTTGGTTGCGGTTCATTAGTTACCACATCTTGGACGCGTACATCCTGTGCCGTCTTTGACGAGATCCTGCCATTACCTTGCCGGCCTGCGGGTCGGGTCAAGGCCGCCACGCGATACGAGGAATTGTTCCACCCTGACTGACAACGGCGACAAAGCTCGCATCCGTCGCGTATGGATGCTGCCCAATTATCCAAGTCTCTGGGTCTCCGGCTACCATTTACGGTACTGTTTCGCGGATCCTCTCTGCCAAATGCCGCCCCCAAGTGACAAATGCCAGCTAGCCAACCGTCATTTGTCGACCTTCACCACCGAGTACGACATCTGCTGCACAACCTGCGTTTCTAGATGGCCCAGTTTCCGTGGCGCATCTGGTTTTCTGGGGGATCCTTTCACCGGCCCTGGTTTACCCTACCCAATTGTGCCACACTCTGTCCTCGCTGGCACTGGAGGTTACGCCGTCCTGCATCATGAGAAGTGGTGAGCACACCCTCAGCACCCCTGGCCCCCATTGATACGGCCGCCAAATCCTTCAGCTGTGGTTTAGCACTTGTTGGGATCCTGCGTACGTGTTCGTTCGCATCCCGCGGGTTAAGAAGCTGCTCGATAAGCGTCCCAGTTTCCTCCAATGCTGGAATTGGACTCCCAATGCTTCTTTCCCCTCGTTGTACACGTCGTCAACACTAATTTCTTCTGCGTACGCACTTGCAGTAGGCCTCCAAGCGAATGTGACTCCAATCGGGCCCCACGCAACAGTCCAACAAAGTTCTCGTCATACGTAGTACATAAAGACACAGACTTCAACATTAGCGAGGTCGAGGTCTTGTGCACTGTACAGTACTGACCCAAGTACCGTGTGTGTATATTTGAATCACTAGATTTGCCCTGCCGTTCCGTGCCGTGTCGCATGCCATCTACGTAGTAAATCCGTACCTGCAGTAGCCGAGAGATGGAATCTTCGGTGTTGCAGACGACCTAGATGTCGCGGGAGTTCCAGGTGCAGGAGCTAGAAGAAAGGACAGGGTTCAGTCACATCTCAGAAATTCGGCAATTTTGGCCTGCAGTATTGAATTGGCAATCAATTTTCTCCGTCCCGATTTAATTCTCCGGTCTTAAGAGAGGGGCATGGTATTGTGTCAAAATTCATTCTCTCGACTATATTTGACGATCCTGAGTTATCATTCTACTAAACAACCCTTAATAGCGGGGTGTTTTTAGACTGAGGTTGGAACAGTGGCAAGGAAACCCTGACCTTTCTAGACCGCGGGTCTCGGGATCTTCGTGCACTGGCGGGCGACCTGTCATGGCGCGTGGAGCTCGACATGGCTGAGCGGAGATTGCATCGTATCTGCTCCTTTACACTACATGAGGCCACTCCCAAAAGCCTATGATGGAAATCGGATGCGGCCCAGTTTGGACAAGGTATAAATTCAACCCACATCAAGGAGAGAATCCCATGCTTTCCCCTGAACGCCGAGCTACCCACATATGCTAGCATAACTACGGCTAGGTTGAACCCAGATTCTCCAAGTCGTTGAATCCGAGCACTATTATTTTGTTTGATTAATAGAGACGAGAGAAGAGAGATTTGTCGTGAAACCTAATTCATTGTCGGCTGCAACACTCCCAGATGAGTAGCGGCGAGTTTGGTTGGTGGCTTGAAAGCCGACACTGAGGGTTCCAATTGCGACCCCACTGCTGGCCAACGCACTCTCTCAGACTAGACGGGGACATCTGGCCACCCATCGGCAGGTCTCCCAGTGAAAAGCACCTGTTTTCTCGCGAGGAGCTTCCGTTTACAGGCAAATTGGAAGAAATTTTAGGTGCAATTGCGTCAGTTCTGGTTGCCGATAGCCATTCAGAAGTGAGACTGCTTGGCCTTTGGCACGTTTGCCGGCGCCTCTTGACACGAACTAGGTACGCGACTGACCTGGGAAGCGAACCAGTCAGGACAGCAGCACATAATCACTTCCCATGACGGTCAGCACGATGATAATGTCCGAGATAGCTAAATGAAGGCGATGAGGGAGAGTGAAGGACATGCATTATCACTCCATCATCACGTGCTCGACTGTCTTACACCGGTGCAATTGGGGGTAACCCGAAATGGTGAGGTATGGGGAAATGTCACATGTGGTATCCCGTGACCCGGAGACCCCCTTTCGTCGTTTGGTCTTTCCCGGTTTTGGGAGGCCATGGCATGAACTGGCCTCTGGCGACTGGTTGCTCCGGGCCGGACAAGCTTCGCGTAAATTTTAGGTGGCTCCTGCCAGAGCTCCGGAGGGTCGGTCTGGAGGTGTAGAGGTGTAGGTGGCTCCAAAGGCACTGGCTCCACGATCCCTGCTGGCTTAGAGCGGCCCAGAGGCTAGAACCTCTGGTGAGTATGGAGAAACTTCCACCTCACCCTCAAGTCTCAACCCTCACCTCTCAACCTCACTCTCGCATCCCATCTCCATTTGCCTCCCTCCGAGTCCGTCCTCCGCTCTCCGGTCTCTGCCACATCTCTGGTTGTTCCTCCTGGTTCCTGGTCATCGCCGTCTGTTGGTTTCTTGCACAATGTTCTAGAGACCCCAGACTCCACAACATCTGGTCATTTGTCGTCCGTCACCCGTACCGAGCTCCCTCTTCACCGTCTTCTCCAGCTTTTTCTGGCTGCAAGCTTCAGTGCTTCAAGCAGCCTTTAGAACCAGTACGCCCACCCCATGCCCATTGGCAATGGCCCCTACACGCTCCTCCGAGAGTGCAATTCCTGTGCATGCCCGTTTCTAACAAGCTGTCTCTTTAGCCATCACCACACTCCTCCTTTCTCCGTCTACTATATCACGATTCCCGAGTCGCCGTATTTAAGCAAAGCTTCCATCATGGCCTCCGAGACCCCCGTCGATACCACCAACCTCGGCGAGGTTTCTGCCGCGCAGAAGCTTCTCCAGAAGCACGCCGAGGCTCCTCATCACGTCACCGTCGAAGATGCGCAGGATGAGGATCTCCCCGTCAAGGTCTCCAACGATGCCTCTGGTTCCTGGGCTGCACCTATCAGCGCAAAGTCCGCTGGCAAGCAGCCGCAGGGTCCTAAGAGCTCTCTTGATACTCAATCGCACGAATTATTCCCTGAGCTCGGAGCTCCCAAGGGTAAAAGCGCCAACGTGGCGCCGATCTGGGGAGCCAAGAACAACGCCAACGGTAATTCCAACGGCGCTGCAGCCAAGGGCGGTTCCCGCTCCTCGACCCCCGCGTCGGGAACTGCAACTCCCCAAAACGCTATGCCGTCCATGTTCATCCCCGGCCGCAATGTCGAATCGGTTACCCTTGATCCCCAGTATATCATGCCCCGTAACCAACTGAGGAGGCCCATCCCCGACATCATCAAGGACATCAACCGTAAATCTCGTGCCAACATTACCATGGCCACCGCCTCCAACGGCCGCCTTAAGTTTGATGCCACTGGTCCTCAAGACGTCGCTCAACAGGCACTCAAGGACCTGGTCTTCCAAATTGGCACCAAGGTATGTTCTACACCGACCCCCTGATGTGATACAAGCTAACTCTGTTCCAGCAAAGCATCACCGTCCAGATCCCCCAGTCTACTCGAGCCCACATCATTGGTAAGGGTGGATCTATGATCAAGGCTCTTCAGGAGAAGACTGGCGCCAAGATTCAATTGCCCAAGGTCGACGAGAACCAGCCCATTGATGACGACGACGATGCCACCATTGACGTCATCGTTGAGGGCAATGCTCTCTCTGCCGCCTCGGCCCGCAACGAGATCCTGAAGATTGCTGGTGAGCGATCCGCCAACGTCCAGACCAAGGTCCGCGGCATCCCCGCCGCCTTCTATCCATTCATTGCCGGCCCTGGAAACGCCCTCGCCCATGCTCTGGAGGAGGACCACGGCATCCAGATGCGAGTGCCTCCTCTGCAAGCTTACACGCCTGGCCCGTCCCCTGTTGCCGCCAGCGCTGGCCAGCGACCTGTGTTCGCCCCGGCGGGGCACGAGGAGAATCACATTCAACTTGCGGGTGACCGCGCTGCTGTGCAGAAGGTTCGCGCGGAAATTGAGCGCCAGGTTGCTGAGCTTCACAAACAGCTCGAGGCTGAGCAGCTCTCTATTCAGCGAGGACGACACCAGTTCATTATTGGTGACCGAGGTGTTCCCACTGAGGAATTCTTCGCTGACACTGGCTGCGCCATCATTCTGCCCACCGATGCGGATGATGACACCGTGACCGTCATCGGCCCTGCCGATCAGGTTCAGGCCGGTCTAGAGAAGGCCATGGACCTCGCAATGGGTATGCAAATGTCCAACCTTGACATTGCCCGATTCCACCGAAATGCCCCTGGGGGTGCTGCTGCTCACGCTGGCTATGTCACTCGATACCTCCGTCAGCGCAAGGAGATTGAGCGTCTGGAGAAGCTGTACAACACTCACATCAACACCCCCTTTTCCCAGGATGGTGCTTTGCCGTGGGAGCTCTATTCTCGTGAAGGAAAGAACGCCATTCGTGCCCAGTCCGAGATTACTGGCATCATCAATGGTCAACCCCCTTCACGCATGAGTGCAGTGCCTATTGATTCCTTCTTCCATCAGCATATCCGAAACGACATCACGCCGAAGATCAAAAAGGAATACGGTGTTCATGTTGTTGTCCCCGATGCGTCGGAGCCTGGTGCCCCCGTTTTGCTTGTGTTTGAAGGTCCTGAGCCTGCTGAAGGTCCCTACCAGCTGCCCCGCAACAAGCCCACGGACGCCGATGTCCGCACTTTCCAGCAGGGTCTCCGGGAAGCCCAGAAGCATATCCTCGATCTCATCAACAAGCAGGAGCAGATTGCTACTGATTCCCTCGACGTCCCTCTAAAGTTCCACGAGAGGCTTCGGCGATTCATCAAGAAGGAGCAGGAGAGCCGCTCATCTGATCAGATCCCTGTTAGAGTCACAAAGGTTGGCACTACGATTACTCTTCGAGGCCCCGCATCGGCCGTTGAGGCACTTTCCGCGAAGGCCAATGCCTTTGTGGAGCAGGAGAAGGAGGACGAGAAGGAGCGTGGTTTCACCTTGAGCTTCGACTTCCCTCAGAAGTATGCCAACCACCTTATTGGCAAGGGTGGTAGTAACATCCGTGAGCTCCGTGATCGATTCGATGTCGAGATCCAGGTTCAGGATGGGAAGGTTGAGCTCAAGGGTCCCAAGGCCAAGGCCGAGACTTGCCGCTCGCATATCCAGGGCCTTGCTCGCACACTGGCTGATGAGACCACCCACATCATGAAGATTGATCCTAAGTACCACCGCGAGCTTATTGGCTCCCAGGGCAGCCAGATCAACCGTCTGCAGACCCGCTACAAGGTCCTGATCTTCTTCCCCCGATCTGCCAAGAACGTTGCGGATGATCAGTCCAACGCGGACGCTGCTAGCGAGACTGGAAAGCCCCGCCGACAGCAGCCTGCTAACGAGGTCATCATCCGAGGTCCCAAGAAGGGTGCGGATGAGGCTCGTGACGAGCTTTTCTCTCTGCACAAATATCTTGAGGAGCATTCTGCCACTGCCACTGTTGCTGTACAGCAGAAGCAAGTTGGATCTCTGATTGGTCAAGCCGGTGCCGCTCTTGACGAGCTCAGACAGGCCAGTGGTGCCAAGATTGACGTACCTGCTGACCGGGACACGGATATTGTGGAAATCCAGATCAAGGGCACGGCTGCTCAGGTTGCTAAGGCGAAGAAGATTTTGGAGGAGAAGCGCGCTGTCTTTGACGATACCGTGGTTCGCACCTTGGATATCGAGAAGAAGTATCACAAGGCTCTGATCGGAGCGAGCGGTAAGATTCCCGTTACTATGCTATCGAAGATGTTGATAACTGACTTATTTATAGGTGCTAACCTTCGAGACATTGTTGTCAAGGCCGGTGGATCTGATGATCGACGCGAGCTTGCCCGTACCATCCAGTTCCCCAAGCAGGAGGCCGATGGAAACACCATCAAGATCGAGGGCCGTAGCGACGTTGTTCAGAAGATTATTGAGCGCATTCAGGAGATTGTCGCCGAGCGCGAGAACCAGGTCACTGAGATCGTGGAGGTCCCCATTGACAACCACCGCTCGCTTATCGGTCGTGGCGGTGATGTCAAGCGACAGCTCGAGTCCAAGTTGACCGTCTCCATTGACGTCCCCCGTCAGGGCGATGGCAAGACTGGCGTCAAGGTGACTGGGCGACCCGAGAACGTGGCGAAGGCTAAGGAGCACATCCTGTCCTTGGTCAAGGCTCAGCAGGGCGAGACCATTCAGGTTCCCCGCAACCTTCACCACTCCGTCTCCAACGGCGGTCAATTCTTCCGCCAGCTTCGCAACAACCACCAGGTCACTGTTGACCATGCCGGTCAGCCTCTCCCTCCCAAGCCTGACTCGACTACCCGCTCCAACGTGGGTGCCCTGCCCCTGATCACGGACGAGGAGGATTCCACCACGGATGCCCACTCGTGGAAGGTTGTCCAGGTTTCCTCAGGCGAGGATGGCGAGATTCCTTGGGTCCTGCGAGGCACGCCTGAGAATGTGACCAAGGCCAAGGAGGCTATCGCCAAGGCACTTGACCAGGCCAAGAAGAACGATGCCACTGGCTACCTTGTTCTTCCTGACCCCAGAACCTACCGCCATGTGATTGGCCCCAACGGCTCCAAGGTTAACCAGATCCGCAAGCAGAGCAACTGCAAGATCCAAGTGCCCCGAGACCAGGCCAAGGATGAGGCCATTGAGATTATCGGAACCGAAGAGGGTGTTGAGATGGCCAAGGATCTGATCCTGGCTGCTGTTCAGGAGGGGATTAACAAGTCCGGGGAGTAATGATGGTTTGCGAATGTGCGCAGGGGAACAATATTCTTAGCCGGGGCATTGGGTACAATGTCGATCCAGAAAAGTCATGATAATCTCTATGGAGTATGTTGCAACGGGAAGCATTGCATTTGATGCAGCGTCTTGTTGCTATTAAGGCTACGCAGTTGCAGATGCCCAGGCTAGTTCACTGCAATACGTAGCAAAAAGTAATGATTATGATTATTCTCCAATTCGTCTTTGACTTCTTCCGTACCGTCGTAGCTGTGTGATATCTAATCGATGTTGAGGTAAGCCCGGTCCTGATGTTTCGTAGTAGTAGTAGATGACAGCACCCGGGATTCCGTGAGCCGGGCCAGGTAATGTACGTCGTGGGTTAGGGTTGCTGTGTGGAGGGGTAGAGCGTATTCGTATACGCACCTATCTTATTCGCATTCTTATTCATTCTCTGGATTCTCATTCGCGAGAGATACGTGCATTCTCCCATTTTTTTTTCTCTTCGTAACAAAGGGTATTGCATAATTTTCGTAGCGGACTGCTTTCAAGTAGAACGGGGTTTCCTCCAGGGGCGATTTATTTAGCGAGCTCTATTTGTATTCAAGGTGACTCTTCGGTCTGCGTATGCTCAGGCTTGAAGCTATGAGTCTAATTGACATGGTCTAACTGGCAATGATGACGAACTAAGTGCCAACAGTAGAAATGCCAGATTTACAGAATCCTGCTATGTAGCGACACGTTTTATGAGGCTGCATCGTAGACGTGTAAGTGGTCCCCCTGGATGACGCTTGGGTCTATCTATCACGTGGGGCGGGACAGAAGCAAGCACCCCATTAACACTACCCAGTGGCGGCGGTATCCAAGATTAATTAGACACGGCTCCTCTTCAATTACGCTCCAGCAACCTCCCGAAGCTGGAGAACCCTGAACATCGCGTAGTATTTTGGTTGTAGCTCCAGTCAAGCGTCGCATCTCACCAGATGGGGTCTCAATTGGCTCCTGTCCCTGCGCCCTGGGACGCCGTCCCTCCCCACGAGCAGCTCTTCGTCCTCATTACAGGCGCCAACAGGTACCGGCCAAGTCGCAGGCTCAATTGCAAAGCTTCCATGAAGACAACGACATACTGACAGATCTTCTACAGTGGCATTGGCCTCAGCATCGGCGAGCGCCTCATTGACGAGTTCCTCGCTACGCGTTCCCTGACCTCCCACCTCATCCTCATCCCCACCACCCGCTCCAAGTCCAAGTCCCTCCAGACGATCCGCGCGCTGCGATCCTACGCCGAACAGGCCGCCCAGACGTCGACGGCTTTGCGATCCCGAATCGGCGAGAAATACCGGTGGGAGGATACCGTCGCCCGAGTCCACGTCTTGAGTCTGCAGCTCGACCTGTGCGATGTGCGCGGCCTCTACGCCTTCGCTGACCGCCTGGTCAACGAGCCCGTGAGCAACCCCGAGGGTTTACAGGACGAGTATCTCCGAAATGTGTACATCCCGCGCCTGGACAGTGTCGTGTGCAATGCCGCATACGGCGGCTGGTCTGGCTGCAACTACCCCTTGGCCATCTGGAGCTTCTTCACGAAGGGTTTGACGCAGTCCGTGACATGGCCCACCTTCAAGGATGCTCTACCAACCTGCATCTTGAACGAACAAGCCCAATATGGCTACGTATGATTCCCCCCTCGCCCCCAATCATTATGTTTGTCCCTTATGTTGACCAAAACTCCAGCCCGCCAAGCCCCTCCTCGGCGAGGTCTTCTCGGCCTGTGTTTTCGGCCATTACATTCTCGCCCACGAGCTCCTCCCTCTCCTAAGCCGCCGCTCCCAGAACGAAACCCCCGGTCGTATTATTTGGTCCGGTAGTCTTGAGGCAGTCCGCAACTCGCTGAATCTGTCAGATATCCAGTGCTTCGATGGCATTGGACCCTACGAGTCCTCCAAGCGACTCACCGACGCCCTCTCCCTCACCACCACGATGCCCTCCTCCCAGCCCTACTCGATTCCTTTCCTCACCCTCGATGATCCTAAGGAAGCCGAGGCGAAGCCTGTGCGGCCCAAGTTCTACCTCACGCATCCGGGCATCGTCGCCAGCACCATCTTCCCCGTCCCCTGGTTCCTCATGGGGATCTACACATTTGCCCTCGTAGTCGCCCGCTGGCTCGGCTCCCCCTGGCACGCCGTCGACCCCTACACGGGGTCCAAGTCGGCCGCCTGGGTCGTGCTGCAGGAGCAGTCTGCCCTCGACGACCTCGATGCCGAGCACGTCAAGTGGGGCAGCTCCTCTAATCGCAAGCTCGAGGTGGACGTCAAGAAGACCGAGGTTGAGGGCTGGGGATGGGAGGGCAAGGTCGAGGACCCCAAAGCGGACACGGCCGTCGGCGTGCTCAACAAGTCGGTCGGGAGGAAGTCGGGCACCCAAAATGTCACCGAGGATGACCTCGTCGAGTTTGAGGCGCTGGGTGCGGAGTGCTGGAAGAAGATGGAGGATCTACGGCACGAATGGGCAAATATTATTGATGTCAAACGGGCGTAATGGATTCGCGGATACTTGCATCAACGGGGGCGTATGCAAGTAAGACGCCACGAGATGGATGGGAATGCAATATAGAGCCAAAAAGCAGGCAGGGCGACGACTTGATGGGTATCTTGCGATAACGACACGCATACATAACAAAAGATATACAGATGACATTAATTATTGATTACTTCCGTTCGTGAAAGGGCACGCCGGCCCCCCAAAGTCATATCCAGCAAGGATGGTCCCGCTCCGCTACCTGTCCTTTGCGTAGTTCTGAAGCAAGTACACGCTTACGGTTCCGTAGTCACGACGGTACGTGAGCGAACCTCCTGGTCAGAATGGATACGACGCAGGGCAACCTTGTCCTGGCGGCCAAAGAGGCCGATGCACAAGGGGAGAGGCACAATGGCTAGGGCGATGACAGCTTGGAAGATGAGAGCATTCTTCATGTTCTTTGGGGGGTTGGCATTGTGTCCCGCGATCAGAGCATCGCTGATAATGGTGAAGATGGCACCGAATAACTGGCCGCCAGCCCAAGCAATCGTAGAGGTGACTTCTGGGCTAAGTGGGTGGCTCAGTTCGATCAGGTATTCCAGAGCGACGGGGACGAGAGAGAAAGAAGAGGCGCCGAGGATCGCGAGGACAACGTAGGGACCTGCCAGGACCCGGGTCTGGGGCATCCAGATGAAGGCGAGGTAGGAGAGGCCAATAACGGGAACAAGGAGCTTGATGGCGAACAGGAAGGACTTCGTGCGGTCGATAATCGGAGAGGCAATTGCGGAGGCAACTAGACCAACGACAATAAGGACTGCGCCTCCAATGCCAGCCTCATCGTCGGAGAAGTCGTAGGGGTTGAGCATCTGGTTGAGGAGGGACGAAATGGAGTTGAAGAAGCCGACGTAGATGGAAAAGGGGATGAGAAGGAGCCAGAGCTCGAGGGACCCGGAGACGGCGCCGACGGAGGCACGGAGACTAAGCTTGGGGGTCTCGGAGGCCGGGCCGACGGGCGTCGGCGGTTTGGCAGGGACGAAGAAGGCCGGGACACAGCTCACGGTCGACTTGAAGAGTTGTGTTAGCGAGTTGAGCTAGTTGTGAAGAGGGGGATGTGAGGTCAGGTTAAGTGCGAGGTGACTTACGAGGATGGAAACATAGAGAACCGCATTGGACATGTCGCTAGACTTGCTGACCCAGAGAGGGGTGACTAACTGGCCCAGCGCGGCGCCAAACGGATTAGCCAAACTGGTGAGAGCAGTCGCCGCAACACGGCCGCGGTTGGTGAACCACAGATCGGAGTAGCGAGTGGGCGCGGCGAGGATAAAGGGTTGGGCGAAGCCAATGACGATCTCGCCGGCCATGGCGTGGGCGATGTTGCCGCCCGAGGACTTTGTCGAACCGGCGTAGCGAATCCAGTTGCCAATGAGGATCAGGACGGCGGCGGTCATAAAGGCCAGCTTGGGTCCGCGGTGAAGAATGGCGATGCTGATGGGGAAGACGGCGACAAAGGCCAGGAAGAAGGCGATGCTGATCCAGTTGATGGTGGATTCGCTCACGTCGTAGTATGCGGCGGCGTGGGAGGCGACGGGAGCAAAGGTCATCCACTGCGGAGGGTCAGTAGGCGTATATAATTGCTTTCAATCATGAGTGAGGTAACTTACATCCCACGACACAATGATGTTCATGAGCGTCAGCTGGGCCAGCCCAAACCACCGGCGCTTGTAGGTGCGGTACTCGGTCGAAACACCCTCGTTCACGCTGTCACTTGCACCACCGTCGCCATCGCCCTCAGCTGTCTCGGTGGTGGTTCGCTCCTCGAGGGTGTAGTCACCCGAGCCCAGCTTCTGCTTGCGCCAGAAGCGACCGCCAGGGGCGTCGCCACTCATGCTGGCGATGGAGTCGAGGAATCCGCGCGATCCCTGCTGCTGTTGCTTCTGCTCCTCCGAGGACTTCTCGCTCCTAGGCATGCGGCTGGTCGTGGACGGAAAGCCGACTTTCGAGATCGACGTGGTCGAGGAGTCGTCGATTGATTAGCGGCGTTCCAGGCCTCGCGACGTGGGGCGCGCGATGAAGCGGGTTTCTGGGGGAATTGATGGCTGTGCTGTGCTGTGCTGTGCTGTGGTGGGACAAGGCGCGCACGATGCCGCGCTGCGGACGTAGACGAGTCGGACGGTGAATATTGAGAAAGGCACAGGTCCGTAGCCGCGTTGGGAGGGTGAAAGAGAGTTGTTGAAGTTGGATCGGGCGACTTTCAGTGGTGTGGAAAGGAGGAAAGGCAGAAAAGCGGCCTGGTCAACAGTGAATCAATGCGTGAAACCGAACTCAGGCCTAGACCGCGATCCGTTTGGTGGCAGAAGCCGGGGGGAGGAAAGGCAAAAAGCAAGGGCGGCGCCAACAAGCTGCAGCGACGTTAGGTAAAAAGATGCACTAGGAGTATTTCCAATGCGAAGCCCACCCCCTGTCGTGTCTTTTTTTGTCTCTTTTTGTTGTCTCGCTGGCTTGCGTCTCCCGTTGAATCCCGGAGCGTGGTTCCGTGGAACTTGGTGTGTCGTGCGTTGTTGAATGGAGGATTGAGAATGGAGCCAAGGGTGGCCCGTGTCGTCGTTTCAGTTTGTGCGTACCTGCGCCTGGTCGCCTGCAGGTGAGCTCACTTCAGGGGTGCGAGGGCGCTATTGGCCGCGGGGTGGGTTCCCTGTGGCTGAAGAGGAGTGCGAGAGTGCGAAAAATGGGCTTGGCCGTGGTGGAAGCGTAGAGTAAGCAGCTGACGAGGCGGGAATGGGCTTGAGCTGGAGATGCAGATGGAGATTTGGAGGCAGATGCAGGAGGAGGGGTGGGAATTCCCTGGTATAAAAACACCAAGAGGAGGGGAAGCTGAGCCCGCCGTGGTGAGCCAGCAGCTGTAAGTCAACATGCAGCAGTATCAGTATCAACAGGCATTTGCATTCATCCGTCCAATCGACTCCTCACCAACAGAGATATCCTCTGCACTCCTTACGAAACACTTGCCTACTTGCCTGCTTTCCTCTTGGTGCTATCCTCTTCTTGGCACACCCTCCAACCAACCCCATGACCAGCTTCTCGCTTCCTCACATCTCGACAACTCGCCAATGCACTCGCTCATGCGCTTCACCCGTTGCGGGGTGCCCAAAGGTCGCCCAGGGTGCCATCCACCGGACCTCGTTGCCCGATTTAGCTACCTCGGCTCGCTTCCCATCGTCGAGATTCGCCCGCTCTCACATGATGATGGGCCGTCCATGCCCCGTCTTGCCCTGTTCTGCCCAGTCTGCTCTCGTCCCATCCATGCTGTTGCTCCGTTCGTCTGGCCGCTATCTACAGATGAACTGACAATATGAAGATCGGTATTAACCCCCACGGCCATCTACACAGATTGCACCTTCCAGACTCGAACATGACAGTCGGCTTTCTCAACTGCGACTTTTCGCCCTTGGAACGAAATGCGGGAAAAAAACGTTGAGGCCCGAAACAGGTGATGCATCGAGTCCGAGACTTCACCTCCCAACTGATTTGCTGCTTCTGAACTACGCCGCACACATTCACACAACATGACATCCGGTTCTTTCAGGGCGCTGGCTCCCAAATCCCCATCAAGAAATCCCCGCCCGCTAATCCGCCATGGGCCTGTTTCCGGCCAGGGCCCTGCCAACTCACCCGGCCCCGACTGGCGGAGGGTTATCTCAACCCTTGAAGTCCATGTTGGAATACAGATGGCCCATGTCGGATCCCGGAAGTAGGAAGCAGGTTTGTCCAAAATGGTACGTGATAGAGAAGAGAAAAAAATGCCCCGAACCAGAGTTGCTCTATCTGGTGTCTGTAGGCCTAGGTTTCGGGTTGTTTTCCGCCTTGGACACATGCTGCGCCGTGTGTCCGTCGTATCGTGAGATCGACCCAGATTGGAGACCAAAATCCTTCCCGATTTAATATGCTGGCAACGTGATGTGTATCCTCCAGTCTAGTTCTTACACGGTTTGACAATCCATCATTCCTACTGAGCCCACCTGTCATTGCTGCCGGCTCCAACTCTCCCCCTGGCACCACAGGCGTTCCATATGCTCTAGCGAAGTGCCTCACCCCGTCCAGGGTCGTATGCGTTCCAACGATCGACAGGTACATAATCCCTTGGTAGCTCTATTTCAACTTGAATATTGAAACACTGTCCATAGTACCAAGTACGCATTGTCATATAGGAGCCGTAAGCAGACGTTTAAACTTGAGTTCTTCCTTGCACATGTCTCCCCGTTCAATGCTATTCGTATGTGATCCCAGCATCCACTAGCAACTATTCATAGCCCTTCCAAACGTTTACCTTCCTCGCTCTGCCTCAGGGGTTAGCAATGATCCGGCTCTGCATACCGTATGTTGACGGTATTGTCTAAAATCAAGACTGGAAAGTGAGCTCGAATTAGTGACACAGTAGCCTCCACGTTTCACCAAATCATGCCAGCAACCTCCATTCTAGGGAAGGGTTTGGTATTTCAAGCAAGGCGAAGAACTCCTGCATAAGACCTCGTCTTAGTGTCCCAAAAAAGAATCCATCAAGTTCGAGCACGTTGCTCAAAATCGTTGACGTACCTTTCCTGAGCCAGAGACTATTCACGCTCAAGGTTTTCGAACCCAAAAAATCATGGTCGCGGTATGCCTTATACCGTGAACTAGTCGTCAGTGTTAATAGCGGTACACTGAGTATGGAAATCCATATTGGTCACAATTGTCATCCAATTGCTCCAGTGACACAAATACGGTCAAACAGGCACGGCCGATTCAGCGAGAGGGGCTCGAGGGTTTATCGGCAGGAAGACACATCGAACAAATGATAACAGCATAGCCCAACCAGGGGCAAAAAGAGGGACACAAATAAGGGACAGGATATAGGTAGAAATCTATTCAGGGCGTTGCAGCGTATGATACAGAGACGGCCGCCGCTCCTAGACGAGGCTCTTGGTGAGCATCGGCATCCGAGAAACAGGCAGATCGTACAAGGGACACCCTCAGGTGCTGCAAGAGCAGACACTGCCTCGTTCCGGCATTTGGGTGACTTTTCGACATTTCATCGTCATCTCGTCGGTACAGATCGCATCGATTCGGATGGTCGGATTGGGTCGTGTCGAGACGTTTACTTGAGCTTAGCCCACAGCTTAGGGGCAGCGCAGGCAGTAGCGCAGTGAGCGAGGTGGAAGACTGTCCTCAGGTTAGTCAAAGATTCCAACAGCCGTAGCCAGTCGAGAAAGCGCTGCTTCGCTGACGGTGACTCAATGCCGAGGCATATAGGATATGGAAATAGCACGTACACTCCTCAACGCAGTCCTCCTTGGCACCGTCCTCACTCTCCTGCTGCTGGACACGCTCGACACACTCGTCGAAGTGGTGCTTGGCACCGTGGCACTGAGCAGAGTTTCGGCACTCTGTTGTTCTTCTGGTCAGCATTAAATCGACCAATGAGTACCAAAACATCTTATCCCGGTAGCTCAGAGCGATAGGAGCCTAAATCACTCGTTGCGGTCGAGATCGAGATATTCGGGTCCGGAATGTGACCGAGAACGTGATCGGAATAATGAACGTAGACGGGGTTCGGGAATGATTGCAGTACGGGTTAACGGACCTTCCTCGAGCACATCCTTGGGGTCGACAATCTCGTCGTCATCGTCATCCTCCTCCTCCTCGTCATCCTCGTCGTCGTCGTCCTTGGACTCGGCCTCGGGCTGCTCCTCCTATCGCATTCGTCAGCACGGCTCGATGACGATTGTACGATGGTTTATAGGCTCCCCAGATCGGGCGTGCGCCAATTGCTTTCGTCGTCGGGAAGAAATCTGCTCCTCAAAACAAAAGTGTCTCGTACCTTGTCCTCAGCAGGAGCCTCGGCCTCCACGACGCTCCATGGCGTCACGGCCTCGACAATGTCCGAAAAGGCGTCCCAGATACCCATTGCGACAGGCTGAAGAATTCACAATGACGTGTGGTGGTTTCGATTGAGGGTATCGTTCCTGATCGTAAGAGGTCGGAAGCTCTCGGCCAGAGGCACGAAATGAAAACTGATGCGGAATTGAGGCATTTTGATTGGTCCTGCTCAGCCGGCGCAGGTCACGAATTATAGCACGTGACAAGACTCATCCGAGCATGCTTCCTGTCTTCCGGAATGGCTTAGGTAAGCCCAAGACGGCAAAAACCGGAGCCAGACTTCAGCCGTGTTTGCTTCAAAACTTCATGGCCGTGTAGGCGACAAGATCAGGATGCCAATCATCCATAGCGATCCTTTTAAAGTAGTAATACTGAAAATCTTTGTTCTAGTCTCGTATGTATGTCGTGAAGCCCTTTTGCGAGCGCCGAATGCCAACCAGCCGCCAATTTATCAACCAAATTCTAGAAAATGATCGTCCGTTACAGAACATGAAGAAAGACCGAGGGAATCCCTGGTCAAAGCAGGGGAAGGAGGGGGTATAGGGTTTTCAATGTGATGAAGATTGCTTCACGAAAATTAGGATCCGAAACCACGAAACTGGTAACACGGGCACCCTCCACTCGCGTGATTAGCCAGTGTTGGAGGTTCAATTTTCGCGATCCTGATCCCCCCTGTCGATTTCTCCTCGGATGTGATCCTCAAGTCGGATACTTAATTGCTGAGCTTGGGCCTCATCATAGTCTGGTGGAGGCTCATCTGGCGCTCTTCGGCTGGTGGTACTATCTGATCGATCATGCCGGATGACCGACAGGGAACCGTCCGGCGGTGGTGGCGCTGATTCGCTCGCTTGAGCCTCATACGCGGGTAATGGCTCATCGGGGACGTCCACGCCAGGGCCCATCTCACGACGCATCTCTTGATACTGGAATAGGCGTTCTCGTAGTCGAATGTAGGCTTCATTGAAATCCATCATGCCGCCATCTGAAAAGGTAAATTTGACCTCGATTCGAGGAATGTCTGGAGGAATCCCGCCTCCTGACACGGGGATACAATCTGACTTCCAGACCCATCCCCACCACATCGATGAGGAGGTTGTGGAGTCTTGGAACTTGAGGATCGGGGCGCTAAAGGATTCGAATCTAGGCTCCTGAGTAGGTTTCGAGGGAAGGTAGACGATCTGTGGATGAGGAGTTAATCAATTGGAGAGTGCGGGGGTAGGAGGATGACGGCGGACAGAGCCTAGCAACATACCCTCTTGTTTGTTAGGAATAGGGTGCCCTTATCACTCTTGCGCTGAAACGACTCGCACCGCGCCCTCAGCTCTTGGGGCACTGAGAGGTCGCATGAGATGCGGGATTCTAGCTTCTGGAGGATGCGCTCGTTGCCGAGCTTGACGAAACCGCCTTGGTTGAGCATAACCCAGCTATCGGCATTGTCAGGGTCGATGGGCCGCGAAGGAGGACGGCTCGTGATGAGATAGTCGTGAGGATTGTCCATCGTCGGGCGGGGTCCATGACTACATGGGCCGGAGGTGGCGGGGCAGTCGACGGACGGACTGGGCGGAGCAGGGACGGAGGTGACACGGAGGTGACGGGGGGTGGTCGGACGGGGGGTCGGACGGCGGGGAGGAAGGGGTAGGGGGGACGATGGGACGGGCCAGAGGCGGCGACGGCGGCGGAGGAGGAGGCAGATAGAGGGGCAGAAACAAGGACAGGAAGAGGGGAGACCGCGAAAGGGAAAGAAGAGGTTCGAGACTCGCGAAGGAGGCTTACTTTATTGACATTGTCACAGACAGGGTTCTAGCGACCCTAGCTCAAGGACGGATGGCTCCAGGCTCCGTGCCGGCAGGACGTGCAGTGCAGGCAGCTTTTAGTAGCTCCGAGATCTTGGAGCCTGTGGCCCTGTGGTCCTGTGGACTGTGGTCCCGTGGTGGGGTGGGTCGGGTTGGACTTTGGGCTTGGTGTCAAGGCTGGCTTGTTGGCTTGTTGGCTTGCAAGGCAGCGTGAGGACAAGAGCCAGGAGCGGGTGGCTAGTGGCTGGGAGGCTGGAAGCGATGCCGTAACGAGGTGGGGAGGGAGAGCGAGCGGTTGCGTTCTGGCGGGCGGATGGCGGAGGGCGGACAGCGGGCAGCGAACGGGGGCGTAGAGCGAGGGCGATGCGAGGGGCGGCGAGGGGGCGAGCAACAGAGCGGAGCGGATGGATGGTGTGATGTCGCAGTGGCAGCGAGCGAACGAGCAGGCGAGTGCGAGTACAGTAGGCGAGCAGACGAGTAGGCGAGCGGCGAGAGGGGAGAGGCGAGAGGCGTGTAGGTAGGCGAGCGACCAAGCAAGCAAGCGGCAATAAGTGGCGGTAGTAGCAGGAGCAGGCGTTGGCGTTGGTCGGCGGCGGGTGGAAGGCTGGAAAAGACTGGAGGAGGAAGAGGAGTCTGGATCCCGGGTCCTGGATCCTGGGTCCTGGGTCCTGAATCCTGGGTCCTGGGTCTTGGGTCTTGGGTCCTGGGTCCTGGGGCGGGCAACGGGTTGACGGACGGGTGACGACGGTACAACTGCACGGGAGAGCGAGGGGTCGAGGGTCGAGGGTCGAGGGTCGAGGGGTCGAGGCGAGGGGCAAGAGAGTGGTGGTGGGATGGGATAAGATGGGAAGGAAGATCGGAGCACAGTGTGATGCAGCAGCCGGAGGAGTTGGGCCTTGGAGGTTTTGGGCGACAGGGTGGGTTCTACACTGCGTTTGTCGGCTTGCGTTGGGCTGAGCTGCCTGCGTGCTGCGTGCTGCGTAGGTATGCTGCGTATGCTACTGCTGGCTGGGGGGTGGTGAGCTTGTGAGCTGGGGCCCTTGAGAGCTGCGAGAGGCGGCAGCCTGTGAGCTTGAGAGCTGGTGAGCAGCCCAAGACGAGCCTAAAGCCGTGAGCCGCTGCTGGGACTGCTGGGGGGACTTGCTGGGACTTGCTGGGAGGCGAGGCACGCACCATGGATCTGCGATGGTGAACCTGGTTGACGGGTGGCTCCAACAGGGCTCCAGTGGGCTTCCGACGCGCTACTCTGCGGCACGTACGGTACGTGCTTGCGACTGGCAACCCGTGATTGTGAAATGGGCCATATGGACCTTGCTCCCATTTTCCTCTGGCCACAATGGCGAGGATTCTGCCCATTCTCGGCCCCAGGTCAGCCAATGAAGTCGTCTGCCGCGGTGCCCTGCGCCATCGGGCTGCCCACCACGTGCCGTGAGGTAGGGTACGAGGGAGGCCTGGTCAGTCGTAGTGCTAGGTAAGGTAGTTATCTGAGGTGCTCTCCAGTTCCCCAGCCCGTGTGCGACGTGGGAGGCTTGCGAGGGCTTGCAAGGCTTGTGAGGCTTGCAAGCTGCCCGAAAGAGCAACGCGATAGAATCATCGAAGGTCCACGGCCACTTCCAAGGCTCCAGCCTGGTCATGCCATCCGCCACCACTGCACTTCCCGTCCCGTACAGGGGCACTAATAAACTAATAGCCTACAACTAAGGTAGGTAACTACCTACACGCTCTTTCCAGTCTCTAGTCTCACGCGCTCACCTTCTAAGAATGTCGAATTTTGCACCATCTCACTCTCTGCCTCCTCTGGGCGTCCCCTCCCAACTCCGATGGCCCCCTGCGGCCGCCCCTCGTCCCCGTCCCCGTCCCCTCTTTCTTTTCCCCTCTTCATATGTATCTCACGTATTAGGATCAGCCCGCCGTTTTTAGCTAATCATCCGCGTTTTCCGGCCCGGATGCTGGAGCGTCTGCCGCCAAAGACGCGATGCGGCAAACTCTGACAACAACGCAACTGCTGCTGGCCACCACCCCCAACACCAAGGCCCCTCGATAAATGCCCTCCCCCCCGTCACCTCTCCATGTTTCCTCCATCCTTGCACGGAATGACCCGAAACCTTGGTCCCCTCCTCCCGTATCCTCTTCTTCAAACCATGGCGAACACGTTCTCGCAAGCCCCAACTGCCGTCGAGCTAGGGTGGTCGATCAGCGCTTCTCGAGCATAGAGAGAGTGACCTGTCACCCATTGGCCGCCTGCTAAGTCGTCTTGGCTCTTTGTTAGCGGGAGTTTTAGTCCCTGCACTGCCCAGGCTTTAGAGGATCGGTCGTCCATCTCCCTAACGATAGCAGCCGGTGACAGTGCAGCAACGCGCATGGCTTGGGGCCAGTGTGAACTTGCACCGAGTACCTAGCGCCCGGCTCTGCGAATCATGGTCTTGCGCTGGGAGGGGTATGTTTCCATGTTTTCCCAGACCAAGTATGGCATGCATGGCCTAGTCTGCATTGGCCTGGATCCCAGCAATGAGGTTGGCCGCTGACCGGGCCTCGAAGGACCGGGAAAACCGGGTTGATGAACTGTCCCGTCCAACAAGCGAGCGAGCGCCGTCCTGCTTTCCGAAGGGACTTTGTGGTTCATCCCGTCCAGGATCGTCCTGCAGAGGGAATTTGACGCGGACTCGGCGTCTTCTCCGATTCCCTCTCCGTCCTCGCTACACAACTGCCATATCAAGACTCTGTCTGTCCAGGACAAGAAAGCTCCCAATAACCACCCACCCACCAAAGATAGTCCGTCTGCAGTCCTGTCCACCGTGGACGCCGACTGGCGTTGCTGCCCCGCTCTCCAGCGACGAACTAGAATGGCCCAAATGCCCGGAATCACTCAAGAACAGCCGATATTGGCATCGTGGGCGCGCTACTCCTGGACCGCACTGCTCCGGCCATTATTCAGGTGCGTTAAGTCGCCCCAACCCGAGTAATATCGAACAGGGACAAGAAGCACGTTCTGCAAGCGACAATGGCTCTCGTCGGGTCCGGCACGCATTGGGCCCTATCTGCACTGCCTTCGAGGTGTTTCTGCGCCTGCATGCATGTCCTCGACTGGATTCCAGCAGTACCTCGCCTCCTCTGCCTCCATACCATATAACCCTAGCCGGGATGCTTAACCTACGTGTCAATGCAGCAGCGCAATTATGGAGTTAGTTAACCCCGACACATTGGTTCTGGTAGGTACCTGCTTGCCCTATCTCGTTCATGAGCAACTAAGATATCTCCTTTGACCTTAAGCAGACCAGACCAGATCCAGTCGCGGACCCGGAATCTCGAAGGATGGCGTTCCTTGCGACATCGGTAGAGACCCTCGACTCTGCTTCTACCAACTCAACGCACATAGATGCCCAGAGCAAACGGATACCGCATGAGTTATAGGTACCCTTGGCTTGCTGTACTCCCCAACTTCCCTAAATGTCACCCTCGTGGCGGGGGGTGTCATTTTTTCCCGAACCTTGCCTGCCTGGACACAACCATCATGACTCGGCATTGCCCAGCATCCCACAACCACGATAATCGCGGCAACCCAACCGCAAAAAAAGGCATCGCAACCTCCGCAACAGGCTTCTCTCGCATCACAGCCCTTGTCCCTTGTCGGCCGCCCACCCCAGAAAACCCATATTCCTTGCTCACCGGCTGTAGGTTCCTCGTCACCGACTCAGTCCGGGACTAGAGTTGATAGTCTCCCCGGCCATGCACTCCCTCGCCCTCGGCAGCGGAAACCAACAACACTTCCCGCCTGTAAGATCCGACGAGGCCCATGACGTCGCTTTGTTGACTCTTCTCTCACTCGTGGTGAGCCTATGTTCCCCATGCAATGCCCGCCCCACGTTCCAGCTGCAGGCTCAATGAACGGGTCAATGGAGGCTGGGCCGTGGCCAATCCCCGTGGGTTCGAGTGCAGCACCAAGGCCATAAAAACAAGCCACCGCCGGCCGACAGCCTAGAACCAATGCGATACCATGCTGAGGAACCGCCATGTCTCACTCACGATGACCTCGATCCATGGATTCGGGCCCATGTCATGTACGGCCGCGAATAACCCCTGCACCGACTGCCAGACTAGTGACATCCCTGGTTCGGCCAACAACTCACCGACGATCGTCCAGCGCCCACATGAGTCGCTCACCCACTTGCGAGTGACAGCGTGCCTCAATTTGTGACAGCATGGAAAGGGCAGGTCCATCCGAAAAAACCCCAGACTAATGAACCGTAACCGGACCTCGTGCGAATGATACACAAGAGGACACGGGTCTCCAACACATCACAGCCAAGCACCTAACTCTGGATCACTGAAGCGATATGTTCTGCCTACGTAATTAAGGCATGCATGATCCTTTGGCAGGAGGTGTTCCACCAGTTTATCGTCTCCACGTGTTACAATGTCGAAAATGCAATGATCGCAGTCATCCTCCCAACTTTAGCCACCAGCTTCAGCACATAGCCTGGTTCTCCAAATTTAACTCAATTGTCTGTATTACAAGGAGCATCAGGGACCTGGTGAATGTGGTGGTCAGTCATCAAAATGGTTTCGGTCCAAATCAAGTTAGCCGCGCCAACTCTGCAAATGCAGCCGAGTTTTTACATCTTTCCTCGCTCGCTCTTTGTTCATTGTTGTTAGAATCAACATATGTTTCTTCAATGGAATAAGGGTAACTAAAGGTAATATATCTGACCTGGTACAGATGGCAGCGCATGGCTTTTCCCTGCTCCAAAACAAACAACCATTAAACTCGGTATCGGTATCGGTACTACAGCTACCAAAATCCGACCCCCAATGAGGCCTTACTTCCGCACCACGAATTTCTCTCAACTAATGTCCAGAACATACTTGGACTCATCATATGCAGTACGCAGGTCGTATTGGACCAGCTAAGCTGACACGTGTATTACGATCTAAGAAGGACCCAAAGCTCAAGAATTTGGTTTCAATTTTTCAAAGAAATTCGCAATTAATGTCCTTTATGATCTTCATCGAGTTCTGTTTGCGGTGAATATACTTGATGGCTGTTGGCTTTCTGCCGCGTTGGGCAAGATGCTTGTCTCTAGTCCAGCATCAGCAAGAAATTCCTTCGGCCCTCTTGTTATAGTTTGGGTCGACTAGGCTCCCACACTGGTACTCAGCACTCTCGGACGTAAGCAGCCACCAACTAATATACTCCCCAACCTCAGGGATTCTTAATTTGAGGGTAAGGGGGGTACTTGGATAATACACGCTATTAGGGGTGCACTGGTCAGCATCTGCTTATGGGTTTATATCTCATGACTCTGAACTTGACTGTATTAGGCAAGGTGTGCTGAGGTCACCCTCGGGTCCAAAACAAGTCAGAGAATGATTGCTCATTCTTCTGCACCTTGCCCAAAAGTTACGTCCTCCAGTTGGAGACCAGGGCAGCCCTCGAGCAATAAGATTCCTTGGCTGAGTGTCGGCGAAGAGTAATTTCAATTTCGGGACAAATAAAACAACAGTATCTCATCACAGTCAAATCTTGTACGCAATGGCAGTTGGCACTCTCCAAATATATATGATAGCGTTCCGATTATAGCACTCCAAAGACACACAGCCTCTTCTTAAAAGTGTCTAGACCTAACCACTAGAAAGACTTGGGGTTTTGAGAACCTCCCCTTTATGGGTTTGAACATGTATTCAGCGTATTGTTTCCGAAAACAACCACGGCGAAAACGCTTGCCTGAATCTAAACTTAGTACCATCAACCTATGCATCACGAGAGATTCTCAATATGGAGCTAGATATGAGTAGTTATTGCGGATCCCAAAACTTGCTGTAAGACAATGTACCTGCAAGGCTGCGTGTGTCCTCACGTATCCGGAGTGAGATTGAGCCCAGAAATCAGGCATTCTAAGCTCCGTTATTAGGTTCAAGGCATATGAGGGGATGAATAACTCGAAAACATACAATATGCATGTTCGATTCAGTTGCAGGGTGGTTTTTAATTTTGGTGCGCAGTCATGCATGCTAAACCGATTTGCTAAATCTATCAAAGTCCCGGCTGCTATCCAGGTTAATACGAGTATGTATCCTCCTTGAGATTCTGCAGTTCATCCATAGCATGCCTGCATTCCTCATTTCACACAGTGTTGAGAATAGAGGCATCGAGAGAGGTTGGAGAGCAATGTCACTCAATGCACACTCACTTATTCTATACGATTCCGGTTCCAGTTCCACTCACTGAGTCTGGTCACAATCTAATCCATGTGAAATAAATTGGTTTGTTCATTTGAACCGGCAGGGTAGGAATAGTCACCGATGAAATAGTGGGCAAGTTTAATTGGCGTCCCCTCTGTGTGTGATCTGACGCCGATAACGTGAACGATAAGGATCCAGGGCGCAGTAACTCCATGATTACACATCATGTATGGGAGCAAGAACCAGGATCGCGAACTCAAAAGTAAGCGTGCGAAAACCCCTGTCACTCGCACTAAGGCGATAATTGCAAGCGATATCGGTTGGGAAGTAACATTTTACTTAAATACCTAACTTACCCCTCTACCCCTCCACCACCCAGTGCAATGACGCAATGATTGGTAGGAACTTGAAGGTCTCGAGACCTCAACCATCCCGAAATGGCTGGTCAACGAGGGTATATCCTCTCACCCGTGTGGCCTTTGATTGATTGATTCCTATCCGCAATATAGTGCTTCCTTGGCAATGTGAACCAGCCTGAGGATTGAGATGCGGTCGAGATGAAGGCCCTGGCCATTAGTGCTGGGAAGATGGTTGTCCTAGATCTCCAGCAGGAGTTCGTCGGGTAGCTTTTTTTATCGCGCCATCCACTGCCACATGATTTACGAGGATCGATATCTCCTGGGAATTTCGCTCGTTAGACTCATCATCGCCCAAGCTCAGGTCTCGAGCGCAACTGCAACACGCCCCTACATGGATACTGGCAAGGGCGGCGATCAGGTTCTATTGGAGCTCGCGTGTAAGGCATTGCCACTTCAGTTAACGTGATTCTCTCTATAAAATCTATGAGTTTATTTCCAAGTTCCAGGGCCGTGACGATTTAGTCGCCTATAGTTTTATTAACATCTCCTGGTCTCACAAGCTTTACGACGGAATTTATTTCTTATCTGAGCGAGAGGTCGTCAAAAATATGATCCCCCACTCACAGGAGCCAACAGTCAGGTCCGCATAATGATTTGCAAGGGCAAAGTCTACGTTTTCAACCGCAACACTAACATCAGCAATCTTTACAGCGAAGAGAACGCGCCAATGGACTCACTTGACACTTTCTCGCCCACGAATACCAGCGGGTTCATGGCCATCAACGCCATGCACCTGAAGAATTCCGGCGAGAGCATGACTACTCATGGCTAGCCTTTTACCGAGGCGTAAGGTATCTGTGTCTTTTGATTAGTGGGAACGGAGGTGCTATGCAAACCAAGATGAGACGCATCTTCGACTCTTAGTCCCCAATTCGCTCTGTATACCTATGATAAGGAGTACATTTTTATCTTGTCTGATGATATTTTCTTCACCTGTACCAAGGACGTATCTTAATGTCAAACACTAGTCGGATTGTGTTGTGCTCTTAAAAGAACCGCCATCAGTGACAACGACAATCCAGCCCGCGCCAGTCTTGTCTTGGACTCTCGAGTGGTCCATGCTCAGATGAGACCACTTGATATTGTGGCGTGTTACACCTAATAGAGCGGATTGGGTGAGTCAGGATAGACTAAGAATGATTCTCTATCAAGCTTCCCAAGTTTCCACAGCGTCAAAGTGGGATGCCCCACCCCGTCACATCCAACTATTCCGCGGTGCCCCGCCTGATTGGGTGCCGGCCATATGGAGCGGCCCGGAATCACGGAGCTGGGCCGCATCACATCGACGACGACAAAACACCACATCTACCTCACTCCACTGACCAACAGCAGCCTCATTTCTCCTCCCTGCCGCCTTTACTCACCGACTCGTCCCTCCACCTCTTGATTCGCGCTCCGGCTCCGAGTGCAGACTCGCTTCTGACGTCATCCGCCATGGGTTCCTCAGCCGAGGCCATAGCCCAGCTCCAGCAGTACAGCGCATGCGACATCTCCGACGCCCTGCTCAAGCTGAAAGTCCCTGGCGCCGGCTTCGTCGCTGACCTCAACCTCTACAGCCCACCCGCTGGCGACTCGGCTTCAGTGACCATTGCGCCAGTCTCAACCGTCTTGTTCGCCGCCAAGGGGCAGGACCTTGCTGAGCCGACGTCCAATATCCCCAAGGGCGTCCATTGGGCCGATTTGACAGTTCCGGGAACCATCGTGGTGCTCAAGCAGCCGGAGGGGCAGAAGAATGCCATCTGCGGGGGCATCATGGCAGTTCGCATGAAAGTCTGTCAAGCCGAGGGGATCATCGTGGCCGGACGAGCACGGGACATTACCGAACTAAAGAGTACGGCCCTTCCCGTAAGTGCTTCATCCTCGCAACCCTGCCAAAGCCTAATACCTACGTGCAGATTTGGGCCCGAGGGCTCTCCACCGTCGGCGCCGGGGGCGGAAGCGTCCCCTGGGCCACACAAGTGCCGCTAGATATCGATGGAACTCTCGTCTCACCGGGAGACCTAGCCTTTAGCGACCCAATCAATGGGGTGGTCATAATCCCGAAGGACAAGGTCTCTGCCGTGCTGGAATTGCTCCCGAGGTTGACATCAGCCGATGACAAGGTCAAGGAGGATGTGCTCAAGGGTGTGACGGTCCACGAAGCCTTCAAACGTCACCGGAGCAACCTCTGAGTGATGCCTATTCCTCTAGTGCCACCCATGATGACGTGTGATTGTGACGATTGCCGGAAACGTGGCTGTCAGAATGACGGATCACACTTCAAAAGATGATTGGGCTTGATGACACACAGCTACTCACTCGCTTCGCTCGGCTCAAGAAGCTGAAATGCAGCCTGCAAGAGAAGTGACGATCAAGGTTTGGAGGCACTCACGCCTTAGACACAATCCATGGCGTACATCACAAGCAGGACAACGGCAGGCACAAGTTTGAGACGACTTGGAATTCAAGTTTCGTTGAATGCAACTCCGTGTTGTCATCAGTTCATTAACATGCCATCATAAAAACAGTACTGCGCCCATGATTACCAACAATGGACCCGTGATTTCCCAAAACCAAACAACCCGGTAGACAAAAGAACAAGAGAGAAGAAAAAAGCAACCTGGTAACCCGGAAATCATGGTGCAGCCTGCCTGCCGGTCTCCGGCGACGCTCTGGAGAGTAGCGCATCAAACCCCTGCCGCCGAGCCCAGATAGTCTCATTCTAGCCATCCGTCATCCTTGGGCGCCTGTGGCTTATCCATCCCAAAGTCAAGCCTGGGCATCTCAAGCTTGGGGGCTGGCTCAACCTTGATCTTCTGACCGCCTCCAGCCTTCTTGGGCGAGCTGCGAGACTCCGGCGGCGGTCCATATCTTACATCCTTGACATCCCAGCCATCCTCGGCCGCCGCCGCGACCCAGGTGCGCAGACCATCATGTACACTGCCGTAGAACTTCTCCTTGCAGAGACGTAGACTACCGCCAAGGCATCGCTCCCATCCGGAGATGTTAAACTCCCCTCGGAGGTTGTTCCGCTCCTCCTTAGTAGCCGCACAGGCGAGGATGGCGTTCATGAGATCCAGATGGGAAGCCAAGTAGTTTGTAGCATCCCACTCCACTCCACCTACGTACGGGGCTGCCGGGACCGGTGGCCGCTCCTGGGGGAAGTGTCGAAGCATGTATGAGTATGCTCGGTTATTACCCGGGAATGAAGGGTCGTTCACTCCTGAAGCATTTGCTTTGTCGGATGAGAGGGAGACCACGTTGACGTTGTGGAGGAAGATCCAGAAGACTTCCTTGGTGACGCTGACCACCTCCTTGCACCAAACGCGGTACGGCCTGTCACGTCTCATTTCCATGACAAATGGAACTGGGCGTTCATCCTCTTTTGGCTCGGGGTCCCTGAGGTGTGCCAGGATGCTCTTGGCTCTGAAGACTCGCTCCGCTGGGGACGCACTTTCGATGTATGTAAACAAGACTGATGTGATGATGTTGCGTGTTGTAAATTCGCTGGGACCCTTCTTCTCAGGGTCGAAAAGCATGTGCAGCAGCTTCGGGAACAATTCACCCTGGATCGAGTGAAGATACTGCATAGCACGTGCTGTCGTAACCAGCGCCTTGAGGCACAAGAGGTTCTCATGGAGAAGTGCATCTTCGTGTTCCTCCCTATAATCAAGTTAGTCACATGTCATGGTGAAGAATGGTTCCAAGACTTACCTCCACTCAACATCCATGATCCGGGTGAGAAGGCTCACAATCTCCTTCATGCCACCCTGTTGGATGAAATCCTCAATCCATGCAACCGTCTCGTTTCGTAGCAACAGGCGAAGCTTGTGGATCTTGCCAACCTCGACCAGCTGGGGCTTCTGTACCTTTCTCAGATACGCGACATAGTCGGCAGGGCCCTGCTGGAGCTTGATCTTGGCCAAGAGACCGGTGTTAGAGGAAGATCCGCTAGACCCGGGAGGACCATCACTAATGATGCTCTCGGTCGACTTGCTCCTGAAGTGACGACCGAGAGTGTCACCCTTGGACTTCTTCGTAGGGGAGCTTGGCTCCTTCGGCTCCTTCTTTCCTCTCGAGAGAGTGAAGCTCTTGCCACGGGTGCGCTTAGGCTTCTCCTCGATAGCATTGCCCGAGGCGATGGCCGATCCATCGATACTGTTGACACTGCCAGTAGATCCGGGTCGATCATTCTTGGCGGCAACCATCTCCGCCCAATCCTGGCGGATGAACTCCATCTTGATGGTATCATTCAAGTTGCGCATCTTGTACCGCTGGTTTTCGGGAATGTTTCGACGGTCCAGCATAGCTTCGAGGTGTCTGTCGACGTCCTGGGGGTTGAACTGCGGCTCCGCCATCTCAGGCTTGGGGCTCGCCGACGTCGACTTGGACCGGCCGTGAGAAAATGAGAAAGCACCCAGAGCCTTGGACCGACTGGACTTGCCGCTTGTTTTGGATGAGCTGGAGTCCTTGGAGCCCTTCCGCATACCCTCTTGAGAGAATCTGAACTTGGAGGGGTCGGTCTTGGAGTGGATAGGGACCTGGAACGACTTGGGTCGCTCCTTGAAGCCCGAGCGAGTATTCATGAACAGGTCCGTGTCACTATTGGTTCGTCCCTCCTCGACACTCGCATGTCTGCTTGGTTGCTGGTACAGCGGGTCACTGGTAAATTGGGCGAAGATGGGTGGCGTCGTTACCGGCTCGTCCGGTGTTCTGTTCTCCTTGTCCTTGGACATTCGGATATCCTCATCGGACAGTAGCTTGTGTAAATTCCGCAGCGACTTGGGCCTGAGCAGCGCAGCCAGGTTGGTTCCGGACTTGGTTTTTTGAGGCTTCTTGGGGGAGCTCTCGCGGGACTTGGCCGCCTTTGTATCCTTGGCCATGGATGTAATCACCGTGAGGTTGCCGAGAGCGTTCTTGGTCGGTGATCGGGACCGTCCGCGAGGGTCGTCTCGGAAGTCTTCTCGAGACTGGCGAGAGAGCCGGGGAGCCGGCTCCTGTTGGTTCTGCTGCAGCTCGCCAAGAGCTCCAGGGTTGTTTTTGGAGAAGTTGCCAATGGCTAGGTCGTCGTAGGTACTGGAGAATGAATAGCCTCCTTGCAACGGCGGCGAAGCCAGGGCGTCACCGTTCGACGCTTGGCGGCGGTGCATGAAGGACTCCAGGATCGAGGACTTCGGCCGGGGCCGTCGGGGTGCGTCGAAGCTGTCCATAGCTGTCGAGGAGAACGAGACAGGTTTTCTGTCCCAATCGGCAGCTCCGGAAGACGAGGGTGGTTCGGTCTCGATCGTCGATCAGAGAAAGACGCCCAAGCCACGCTGCAACACGGGTGACACGGGTAGCCTCCTAAGCAGGTTTATCGGCGGGCGGATGCGAGTACAGAAGGGTAGGGGAAATCGATGTCGGAAGAAGAAACGAAACAACTGAAAGGAAGCTCACGCCCACCCCGTTGGTGAGTGGGAGAGAAGGAGAAAGCAGGACTGCAAGAAGAATGCTCGAGATGGGAACTATGCCATTGTGGATTAGAGGAAGAGATAAAACCGGGGTAAGAGGTTCAGAGTTAAGAGTAGAAGAGCACGGCACGTTCGCTCAGTCGGTCAGTCAGCCGTTGCGAGGGTGGACGAGTGGGTTGTTTATCGTGACTGTGTTGCCGGGGAGACGGCGGAAGTCCGGGGTGGGCTGTCTTATCGGAGTGGACGCACGGGGCAGATAGTGGATGGCGGATGCATGGTGTGGTGGTAGCGCAGGGTAGCTCGCAGCAAACAACGGGCGGACACAAAGAGAAAAAAACAATAGCAACCGGACTCTAGCTAACATACAAGGAGATTCCGTCACTGTCGATGTCGGCTTCTCCCAATTCACTTCTTTTATGAATGTGGATAAATCGGGGGGCCTACATAAAATCTGACCGGCCCAATTGATGCGCGATGCTGGTGTATGATTGACGGGTGGATGACGTCGCCCAACCAACACTCGGCAGACGATCCGTGATGATCTACCTCGTAGATCCCTGCTTCATTCCACGTTCCAGAATTCTACCTGACTACTTCGATATATGGGCATGGGTGCCTCTATCAGGCTGAAGTTCTCACTTTGAGATTTGGGGATCTGGCAGTCCAGACTCTGAAACCACTCTCGGGGAGCAATCATCATTTCGTCCATAGCACCCTGTCACATGTGTTTCGGGTAAAGGTATGTGGAGATGCGTACTTACATTCAATTACTCGGTAACTTACAGATCAAGATACTTCAACGCTAAACTAGTGCAACAATCAATGGGTGCTAAGGTGCTGGTGCTGCCCGTAAATAGACCGACGGGCTGTCATCATGTCCGACGACGCCTGACGAAATAATGCATCACGAATACCGGCTGATTAGAGAAGCTGATCCTCAAATGCCGTTCAAGATACGTGCCTTTCTTCGATGCTCACCATCGCTCAATCGTAATATTTTTAGGTTATTTTTCACATGCACACTCATTGCCGCTTGTACTCATGGCCACCAGGATATGGATGTGGGGAGGGCGCATTGTGCGACAGCTAACGAAGGCGAGGAGATTGCAATAGGAGTAGCGGGAAGAGGAGGAGGAAAGAGTCAGTGATGCGGTTCGAGATAGGAACCATATATAGAGGATGAACGGAATCATGATTTACGGGGGGCGTCTCCCGCAAAGTCGAAATGTCAGCTTCTGGTCTCCAAGAAGAAAGCCTGCCAAACCCAACACTTCAATGCATCATGACTTCTCTAATTCCTACCCCCACCATCCACCAGGTTTTCTATAAGCAAATAAGAGCCCGAGCTATAGAGAATACATAACAAGCTACTGCCGTGATATCGGATACCCCTACGACCAGAAAGACGGAGCAGAGAAACGAAAGTATCCTACGCTTTAATGTTTCTTTGGAAAAACAGGCTACTAACCCTCCCCGACTTTCCATGGAAAACCTGCTTCATCTTCAAGGTCATAGGGATATACACATTATGGTGGCAGCATGTTCTATGCGATATATGGGTCGAGTTATTTTTTGCTTTAGAAAGAACCTGGAGGATAATAGAGTTGGACACTGGAGAAGCTTTGATATATTAGTATTGTGGTTGGAAGATGTTATTTCCTGGGATTGGAGACTGACCTCCCGACTTTACGGGAGATGCCCGTTATATACCGCATGGCTCAGGATGAGCCTGTTTGTCCACTGACAAGGCAAATGCACACAGAAAGCAAAGTTGAAGACGTGAAGGTTGAACTAAAGGATTGAAGTGAAGGTAAAGGCGCAACACCTTTATTATGTGAGTTGCTGTATCTCCCGCAATTGGGCGTATGCTAAGTGTGTACCCCTATTATTTCCAGATACGGCATGGCTGTGATTTATCTGATGATATAGAGTAAAACATGGGCTGGGAAAGCGCTGGCAGAGAGCGCCTCGTCAATATCTATAGGTTGTGGACTATTGCCGGAACCAACACAGGGGTTAGAGAGAGCACCCGGGTTCATTCCGTTAGGGTATCTGAGGCTCTTCCGGTTCGTTGTGCAAGAGGCGAAATGCAAGGAACGTCTTGACCGTGGTCATGGGTGGAAGAGTTTGGGCAGGGCGGTAGACGTGTGCATATGTAGGCCTTGGACTGCATGTGCGGTTGGACGGTGTGGACTCTACATTTCGTGGGATGCAGGCTTTCTTTAGGGTGCATATACCGCATGTACTAGTTAGAGTCTTGGACTCGCAAAGGTGTTACTTGTTACAAAGACTGCGAGAGGCAGAAGACGGTCTCCTTCACAGCGACGTGGACTAGCTTCTAGGGCATTGCAAAGGGACGAGTGGGCGTCCCGCGACTTGGTCAGCACACCAAACGACACCCTTGTCGGCGTTCGTCTCCACTGGCTGGAGATCCCGGTGGTGGACCACCCAGTGCCCGGCTGGAGTGATCGGTAAGTGGACTCGTCGCTCGTCGATTTGGGCAGTTGCTCTTCGGGGAACATAGGAAACATGCATGTCCGGCGGATCTTGAGAAGCCCCATCAGCCAGAGAAGCGGGAGCGAGAGAAGGGGACAGGGACGGGGAGAACAGGCTAGAAGGACAGAGACACGTGAGAATGGAGAGACTTATTAACAACAATTTATGTAATAGTAGATCTGTCTACAGGTCCTAGTGAGCGAGAGCGAGAGCGAGAGCGAGCGAGAGAGAGAGAGAGAGAGAGAGAGAGAGAGAGAGAGAGAGAGCAAGAGGGCTTAATGAAGGATGAGGTGGACTTACATACCCGAGTTCCCCAGAGCCCCGATTGAGTACCTCGCTGTTCGCTAATTCCCTGTCATGGCCAGACTGTGGATGCTGAAACTGAAACCCTCTGGAACTGGCTCAATATTCGTCCATTCTCCATATCGTGGGAATTTGTGCCTTGCACCTTGCGCCTTGCGCCTGTCTCTGTCTCAAATGCCGCCGCCCGCTACCGAAGGGCCCACTCCGCCCGGACTTGTCCCCATAACCACTCTTTCTACCGCGTTCGTCATCCCCCACTTCCCCACTACCCTTCGCCCCGCATGCAGCATAATATTCATCGTGGTCCTCGCCTCTTTGAACCTGCGGCGTGGGCACGTCGACGCTGGACCCTGTAAGTCGCTCCCTAGTTGCGTGTAGCCCTGGAATGAAAAGATAGGAACGGAGAGCCCAAGCCATTAAGCAAATAGTTCGCTCGTCCGGGGCCTGGTCTCGTGTTACGGCGCGAGAGACCAACCGGCGTCCCCGCGGCGCTGGAGGCGGGGCAGTTCGCTCACTGACAGTCAAGACTTGCTGGGATAAATATTTAACCCACGAATACCCCTCCATCGTCATCTGTGCCATTGTCAGGATATGTCTTTTTGCATTCTGCCGTCTGAGGAACCAAATCTCGGGATCCTTGTCTATTTTTGCTAATCCCATAACTCCTTTCGTCGCTGGTTGATCGCCTCTTACATTGACTGACCCGGCACTGGCTGAACTGGTCGACTCGCCCAATGCTTAGCTGCCGCTTCTTAGTTCCACCCTGATTGCAGGTGCATTTGCTGTCGCATTTTACCCCCGGTCTCATACCGACGCCCGGCATATGATACGGCATCTCGCCCATCGTCATAGGCTTCGCTTTTTGCAGTCGTCGCCCACTTCCATCCTCTCCCTTTCTGCTTCTCTCCCCATCATTCCAACGCTCGCGAGAAGACCATTTTCTTCGACTTCACCCGCCGCAATGCCTGTTCACCATCTCATGGTCGGCACCTGGACGCCTCCAGGCGCCATCTTTACTTTCGCCTTTGACGATGAGGCTTTGACTTTGAAGCTCGTCAAGCGGACCCCGATTGCCGAGGATGAACCCATCTCGTGGATGACGTTTAACGTTGGTCTCACCCATCACTTACTCACTCAATTGGCCTGATTCAAATGTGACAATTGGATGGAAACCAAACGTTGGGACTCAATTGAACGAACCTGCTGACTTGCCCTCAAACAGCACACCAAAAAGACCATCTATGGTGCCGCCATGAAGAAGTGGTCCAGCTTCGCTGTCGAGTCGCCCACCACCATTACCCACCAGGCCTCTCACCCCATGCAGCACGACCGTATGTCCAACTGCTCTCGAGTCTTTAATTAAAACAAGACTAACATTGTGTCCGCAGCCAATGCCTCTCTCTCTACCACAAACACCCGTGCCATCTTCCTCCTCGCCGCCCAGAAGCCTCCCTACGCCGTCTACTGCAACCCCTTCTACGACCACGCCGGTCACGGCGCCGTCTTCACCACCGACCCGGCCACCGGCGCGCTGCTCGAAAACGTCCAGAACTACGAGTACCAGCCCAACTCGGGCATCCACGGCATGGTCTTCGACCCCTCCGAGACCTACCTGTACTCGGCCGACCTGCGCGCCAACAAGATCTGGGTCCACCGCCGGCGCTCCGCCGAAGACCCGGCCCTCGACCTCGTCGGCTCCGTCGACTCCCCCGAGCCCCGCGACCACCCCCGCTGGGTCGCCCTGCATCCTTCCGGCCATTACCTGTATGCGCTGATGGAGAAGGGCAACCAAATCCGCGAGTTCGTCATCGACCAGGAGACGCACATGCCCATCTACACGCGCCGCCACTGGCCTCTCATCCCGCCGGGCATCCCCGAGAGCGACCGCTGGACACAGTACCGCGCCGACGTGTGCACGCTGTCCTCGTCGGGCCGTTACCTGTTCGCCTCTTCACGCGCCAACAAGTTCGACCTGACCGGCTATATTGCCGCCTTCGCCCTCAGCGAGGAGGGTGCCGTCGAGCGCCAGATCCTGCTCAACCCCACGCCTACCAGTGGCGGCCACAGCAACGCCGTCTCGCCGTCGCCGTGGACGGACGAGTGGGTCGCCATCACCGACGACCAAGAGGGATGGCTCGAGATTTACCGCTGGAAGGATGAGTTCCTAGCACGCGTGGCGAGGGTTCGCGTGCCTGAGCCCGGATTTGGCATGAACGCCATCTGGCATGATTGACTAGCCGCAGAAGCAGATGGAACGTATAAGGAAACACCTAAGCTATAGAAGGGCAGGAACACTAGACTCCTAGAGCGGCAGGACCCAATCATGCATACAAGGAACATAAAGCCAAATCCAATGAATTACGACTAATTGAGGAAAACTCGTCACACCCGTGCCACCCACCTTCACCGGCCGTACAGAGTGAATACATGTCCTCATACCACCTCTCGTGCCAGGTTTACGTGAAAGTGACTGGGCAAATCTCGACTGTAATAAAACAATATAGCCAGATTAGGCTCTGTCATTGGTCGAGACTCCTTTATCCCAGGCTCTGGAAACTCTGCTATCCTGAGCTACATCTTACAGATACTCCTTATCAAATGCCTTCTGTCTCCCACGAATCCCATCAATTACTATTTTCCAGTCCCGTTACCGTTGGTCTTGGCAGCACCATCCAAGCTGTACGGCTCATCATCCACCGCATTTTCATGCATTGCACTTAATAACGGCGTTCGTTCATTGCCGCCTGTGGCAATTTGTGAGTCTCTCACGCCGAGATGCGACGCGGGCCGCGGTGATAATCTACTGGCAGCGTCAAGACCCTGCTTGATCTTGAATACACTAGCCCGAGTATTGTTGAGCGGCCGGGTCGCCCTGTTGGCGGGGCCGAGCCGGAGGTGTTGCCTCATCTCATCCAAGCTCGCCTTGACCAGAACTGGCGGACCCTCGATGCCGCCGTCAGAGGTACGTCGCTTCATGTGAATCGCCGTCTTAGCGGCGTTGTGGAATCCGCCATCGTAGTTGCTGTGGTAGGAGCCAACCATTATCGCTTCATCATCCAGGTCGGGGGCTACATCTACCAAGATGGCGGTTTCGGGGGCGCTTTTGCTGGCGGCAGCTGCCACGGCGGCAGCTTCGGCATGAATACGGCGAGCTCGGGGAGCGGGAGTAAGGCGTCGAATTGCCTTGTGGACATCGACATAGACATCCGACTCGTCGACAATTTCCCTGCTCGTGGGTTAGCGGCTGGTGAACTAGGTGATGCATGGGTTTGACTTACTCTCCAATCAGCTCCTCAATCACATCCTCAAGAGTAACAACGCCCAGAGCGCCATGATCCGATCCAGGGAAAGCCGAAACAAGAACCATGTGGGACTTACCCTCCTGGAAGAAATTTATTATGTCCAGACAGCTTGTCTCCGGTCTTGTCTCGACAATTGCGCCAAGGGGGACATCGCGGACTGGGATCCTGTCCTCGGGGTCGTAGGTGATGAGCGTCTTTACCAAGAGCATACCGACAAAGTCGAGCGGGCTTCCGGAACGGTATATGGGAATTCTCGAGTATCCCGAGGTCAAGATATCATCCATAGTTTTCTCGTCCAGAACGTGATCCTCCGAAAGCGTGTAAACGTCATCCATGGGTGTCATGACCTCGGCCACAGGCTTGTCCTTCAAGTCTAGAACCGCGGTGATGATGGTGACCTCATCCTGGTTGAGTCGCTCAGAGAGTTCGCCCAGGGATTTGTGGAGCGTAACGAGCGTCTTCAAGCCACTCTTTTTGTAGAGCGTACCGTGGTCCTCGCCCAAGATCCAATCGAGAAGCTTTGCGATGGGATAGGACACAGGTCCCGTGAAGTACATAAGTGCGAGGACAGGTTTTGACATGTAGCCACCGATTTGAAGACCGTATCGGACGCAGACGGACTGGGGGACGATTTCACCAAAGATAACTGTATTATGGTTAGCACACCCATCAGGTGAGGGCAATTTACAAGGGTGCTGCGTACCGATAAGCACCGTACTGCCGACGACGGCTGCAATGCCACCGCCAAGGGTCCTGTCCAAGACAACGGGCAATGATTCGTTCACGATGACATTGGAGAGAAGCAGTGTGACCAAAACCCAATGTTTTCCTCGGTTTATTAGCTTGAGAACTCGCTTCGCATTACGATGTTGGGGTTCCGTGGGATCGCCTGAGAGAACCTGGAGGTAAATGCTGTCCTGCCCCATCAAGCTTGGCATTGTCAGCATTCGCCAAGGAAACGAGCGGAGGAGACTTACGCAATCGTCAGGCCCGCGAATGCACCGCCGAGCAGTACCAGGGTCATTGAGGCCACGAGAAGCACCACGAGGCTCGGGCCTTCGCTGTCAGGCTCATGAGAGTGAGGGCTGCGTTTTGACAGCGGGTGCGCCGCAACGGCAGTCAAACCAGTACCAAGGATTCGGCCCAAGCCCAGCACGGCGGGCCGCAGTGCGCTGTACCTCGCTGTTCGTCGCATCTTTGCGCGTTTGTGTTTGCGAAGGTGGGCGATTTCAATTCGGTGGTGTGATACTGGAAGTGGTGGCCAATTCGGTTGTGTCGTCGGTTGATGTTGGGTACTCGCTCTGATTCGACGGCGCGAGCAACTGGAGTCAAGGAAGGATGTCCCTGCGATAATGTCGAGAGGGCAATACGAGACGGGGAGTGGGCGATCGACTGCAGTACCCGTGTCGCGCTGAAGCCGTTCAAAGGAGAAGAGCAGCGGGATTGACTGAGTCTACGGGCGTTGCGACCCTTTCGCACCGAAGGCGGATGTTGATGGTGAAGAAACAAGAACTGGGAGGCACGGACAAACATTTGGAGACAGAACCCACTAGGTATAGACGGGGTCACAGGGAACCACAAGGAACGATGACGCCAACAGGGTGAGCTCTCAGCGGAGGGCGATGGGTCCTGATTGGCCGGAAGCCCACTAGCCCAGGTGCAAATGCCCGATGCATCCAGCGGTAACGCCACTAAAGGCCCCATATCACAGCGCTCTGTCCCACTAATTGTCGTGTAACTGTAATACGATACGGCAGTACGGCAGTGAGCAGTGGGTAATGGGTGGCTGCCAAGGTATCACCCTAATTACCACGGCTTTGGCAATGTTCCACCGGAACTGTGTAAGCGGGAGTCATCCATCTGTAAACAAATTCGACGATTGATGCACAGCAACAGGAAACTTTATCGATTAGCTAAGTTGATGTCTCACCTCTATTGGCGATAAAGGTGTCACGCGACCAGCTGCAGTGTGCGGAGGGAGATGAAGGACGGCAACGGTGAGACTCTCGGACAATGAATGCCATGGCTTGTGTCGCATGGTCTAAATTGCGGTGTTGGGTGCTGATAGCATCCCTGCCCTGGGCAAGTTGGCAGAATCCACCAACAAGATGCGATTGTAACCTCTCCCCTCCCTGCACAGCAATCCGAGGTTGCGCCATGTTCCCGAGTGCAAAATGTCTAGGCGCGCTCCTCTCACAGCTTGACTAGACTTACATCCAAAACGCCCTCTGAATTCCTGAGCCCTTCGAGGACTTCATTGCTCACCGGCCCCAAAACACCCAAAATCATCAACGCCTCGTTGCCCTTGGGTCCATCCAACGGCCCGTCCTGCACGGCAGCCAGCTGCTGCTGCTGTGGGTCGAGGCTGGCGACTTGCATAAACTTGATGTTGATGCCGTGCGCGCCGAGCACCATCCCCACGCCTCCAATTTTGCCCGGCTCGTCGTAGTTGTGCAGGATGATGAGCGTGCCCTCCGGCGTGAAGGCGCCGTTGAACCGGTCCAGCTTGGAGATGTACACCTGCTTGTCAGACGCGTATCCTTCGATGACTTGCTCGTTCCCGCTGTTGCCGGCCTCGTAGGACCGCAGCGTCACTAGGTTGGCAAACGTCGGCGGCTGTGCCTCGCGAGAATGCGTCTCGCTGATCACAATGCCCTTCTCCTTGGCAATGAGTGTCGCGTTGACAATGTTGACGTGCGAGTCGCTAAACGACGCTACCAGGCCCTTGACCAACGCTGCGAACAGAGGCTTCGTGTTGGGCATGCCTGCCAGGTCGCCGTGGTAGATCAACTCGAATCGCCGGCTGCCCATCATCCCACCCTTGCTGCGCACAAAGTGCTGCGTGTACAGCCGGCCCATCTTCTCGACCAGTTGCACAGACGGCTGCAACTTGCGGTACTCCTCCGGCAGGATGATGGGTGCGTTGACGGCGCTCGTGGGGAGGCCACCACGGAGGATCTCAAGGACTTGTTTACATACGTCCATGGAAACATTCTCCTGGGCCTCAACGGTGGATGCGCCGAGATGAGGCGTTGCCACCACCTTGGGATGCTTGCTGAGCTTTGCAGCTGCTGAGTCTGGTTGGAGCGGTTCTGAGGACCAGACGTCAATGCCAGCTCCGGCAATCCATCCCTCATCTAAGCCCTTGATCAACGCTGCCTCATTGTACACGCCACCTCGTGCCACGTTGAGGACGCGGGCCGTCTTCTTCATTTTCTTTAGTTCCTCCTCCCCAATAAGATCCAAGGTCGTTGCCAGGAGAGGTGTGTGGATTGTCAAGAAGTCCACCACAGGTAGGAGGTCTTGCAAGCCGGGGACAAGCTGGACGCCGGCCTGGCGCGCAATATCGGCGCTCGCGTACGGATCAACCGCAACGACTGTCATGCCCAGGCCCTTGGCCATCCGGGCCACGTTCATACCGACCTTGCCCAGACCGATGATACCCAGTGTCTTGCCGCTGACCTCTACGCCAACGAGCTTGCTGCGTTCCCACCGTCCATCCTTGACAGTCCCATCGGCACGGCCCAGATTCCGGGCCGTCGCTAGGAGGAGTGCGACAGTGTGCTCTGCTGCTGCAAGAATGTTGCCAGCGGGTGAGTTGACAACGATGATGCCCTGTGTTGTCGCAGCCGGTACATCGATGTTGTCGACGCCGACACCGGCTCGAGCGACGACCCGGAGCTTGTTCCCTGCTCGTAATACGTCGGCCGTGACCTGAGTCTCAGACCGAACGATGAGGCCATGGTATTGAGGGATGAGGGAGACGACCTCCTCCGCCGAGAGACCAAGCTTGTTGTCCACGTCAAAGTGGGGAGTGAGAAGTGCCAGGCCGTCCGGAGAGACCTTCTCGGGAACCAAGATCCGGGGCCGGGCTGGGCTCCCAGACGACGGGGGATCATGAGTAGCTGAAGGGGCCATTTTGGTAGGTGTACGATCTCAGTGTATGTGATCAAGAAATTTGGTGGGAGAGTAGTGACTATGTAAGATTTGTATGGGTGATGTCTTCAAGCTGCGATGAGAAGCGTGGAGATGCGTGTAAGTAAAAATCGGGAGAAAAGAATCCAGATGACGTGCAGGATATAGGCCCTGACCCCCTCTCTTGACTCTTCCCTCTTCCACCGCCTTAAGGAGCACGAGAGGCGCTCCGCCACCATTCTCTCCGTGTCCAATCCGACGGAACAGAGCCCAGCCAACCGAAGGTCAACGATGAAGCCTTAGACACGGAAGCCCCTCATACCAGGCCGCATTGCATGCGGTGTCCCGTCCCGCGCTCGACTAATATCCATTACTGGCCTCCCCACGCCAAGATTGCATGTCTTAAAGCGTCCCCAGACGCGGGGGGACATCTTCCTACCGCTAACGGGCTGAGGCCGACGCCCGGAGGATGAGACACAAATTGGCCACCATACGCACCGCAGGCGGGGGATGGCGATGCTAGTCCAACGACGTGAGGCGGCTCGACGAACCGCGAGCCCGAACTTTAACCCTTCAACCCCTCATTTTCCCCATGCTGAACTACTGCAAGCCACAAGGCCAGTGGGCGTGGGGAATGGATCGACTGGGTGGCCACGGTGCTCCAGCCTCGATGCCGCCCACCCTTCCGCGGCACCCGGAATAGGCACAGCTTGAGGGATCGAGGCATCGAGGCATTGGGGGTTGCTGCGCTGGCAGGGTGGGCTGAGGCGGAACGATTGGGGGTGTGAGATGGCCATTGCCTGCATCCCTCGCGAACGAGAGGGCGCCTCTGCCGCCTACTTGTGCCGTCATTGGATGTCTTCTGGACCCATGGTGATGCTGTGACCACACTTTGTATCAGACTCATGCATGGTCGCCCGCGCGTATTGCTTTTTCGTAGCGGTAAGCATGTCCGTCGTCGGGCTTCTTGAACCTGATCATGCTAGTCAATCTCTCTTTCCGCACAAGTGCTATCCACGGCTAGTTGTGCCACGACGCCGAGATGGCATGTTTTGTTGTGTTGGGTCAGTGGTATATGAGGCTTTCTTGCATTTATGGATCGGAGGCGCAAAGAGTGGACGGGGTGAGGGAGTTGTACTAGATTTGGGTATATTAATTTCCTCTCGATGATGATTTTGAGTGATAGAGTAGTTACTTACGCCCTAGCATCCACCACTTGCAAGTAAAGCCATCTCCGGTCGGTTGGATATTCCAGGCCAAGGGCTGCGACCGCGCGACCGGGGGCAAATGCTAAAGACAGAGCATATGAGTCTCGCAATATATTGCAATTTCAGTTTGATTTGATCCCATGGGCCCATGCAAGCATAACCATAACCACTAGGAGAGCTGAGGGAAAACTTTGTGAATGAGAGGCCCATACGACAACAAGCCTCCCGTACTCAAATTAAAAAGCGGAACTATACTGTAGCTCATCTCTCTACTGCTGCGTTTTTAAAAGTTTGCCTTGCCAGTAAACTTCTCGTTCTGGACAATCTCAACCCAGTAACCATCGGGGTCCAGCAGAAACGCGACGTTCTTCATCCGTCCATCTGTCAATCTCTTCTTCCAGCTAACCTCGAGATCCTCGAACCGTTGGCAGGCGGCATCCAAGTTATCAACCGAGATACCTAAAAAGACGCACAGTTAGAAAAGTCCTGCTAGTTTGTGCCATCCACCCTGTCCATGTGGGAATGGTCCAGTCTAGCGCGCACGCAGAACAACTTACAGATATGCCCAAATCCTTGGGGTTGGCTGTTGCCGTCATGATAGTGGAAGCTCTCATCAGTTTCTGTCCCATGATTGTAAGTGAGCTCTAGAAGTCCCTCTCTGTGAGAGATGTCGCCGTTTTCAACCACAGGCGTGTCGCCAGGGTATCCCAAGAAGTAGAGGTTGAAGCCTGCGCCGGGATTTTCCAGGGTACGCATCAGAGTCATACCAAGCACATCCTTGTAGTACTTGAGAGACTTTTCGATATCCTTGACTCGAAGCATGGTGTGGTTCTATAAAAGTCAGCTGAGAACCATTTGAGCTCCATTGATGCATCCATACCATGGTGTAGGTGGACACATCAGTCACTTTGACGTCCTCCGTCTCAGTGTACGGGTTTCGGGCAATGACTTCGACCCAGTAGCCATCAGGGTCAAGTACAAAAGCAATGTTCCTCATTCGGCCGTCAGAAAGCTTCTTTTGGAACTTGTAGCCCGCATCCTCGAGGCGCTGGCACGCCGCCTGGATATTGTCCACGCTGATACAGAAGTGACCAAAACCACGGTGAGGCTCCTTATTGCCATTGTTGATCTTGTACTCAGGATCTGACTCCGTTCCGTGATTGTGAGTTAATTCTACAATGCCCTCTCTGTCGAAAACCGACTTGCCAGAGCTGACGGCGTTGGCGGAGTCGTAGGCCAGGAAGTAGAGGTCGAACTTGTTCTCGGGAAACTCGAGCTTCTTGATGAGGCTAAGGCCCAGGAACTCGTAGAACTTGACTGAAGGGAAATAAAGTTAGCGAGATAGCCTATGCAACATTCTGTGGAAAGCTATCGCAGCTATGTCAAGCCCTGGTCGAGTTCAGGTCATCAAGGTGGTGAGCTGACGTACCAGATTCCTTAGGGTCCTTGACTCGAATCCTTGCCTAGCATTAGTGCCTGTGGGTCTAGCACAGCTGAGGGGCCAAATCCGGGGGCTTACATCGAGTGGTTGAACTTGTAGTTGTTGGTATCCGTGGTGGCCGCCATGGTTACTGATCTCACTTGGTTTCCTGGCTCCAGTCAGTGGCAGGCTTCTCGAAGCGGGGGTGGCGAGGGAGTACCTCTGGAGAAGGTGGCAGAGGTTGATTTAGGGAAAGAAAGGGTGTTCTGGATGGCTCTGAGACGTTGCACAGCTCTTGCGGCGTTCATTGAGATGAGGCAAATGTCTTATCGTTGGGGTAGAACATGCAAGACGCTGAATAATCTCGCCGGTTGAATGTGGGTGAACCCCTCCATTCTAGCTACCCCACTTCGCGTTTGACGAGGGTGCATCTGTACTGACGTCAAACGACGTATCCGGGATATTTCTCTGGGAAGAGGGAGACTAACCGCTGCTACGAAGACCATTAAAGTTAACGACGCACTAGGCCCGTGACGCCTAACTTCTACAAGTGTTGTCTCATTGAAGCGGCAGTTATGTCATCGTGACATATGGATATGCAGCCAATCCCGGCATACGACCCCAGGCACTGCCACGGATCCAAGGAGTTTGGTAGCAGTGTGCACAGTTCATATTCCATCCTGTGAATCATGGGCACACAAACACTGAAATTCTTATGTATCCATCGACGACTTCGTCCAAGATGTCACCAATATTTTGGGTGTAGGGTAGGGCCACAAGTCGAGGAGCACTGTACACTCGACTGAGATTCATTTCATTAGCGAGATTTCTGCCCTTAAGTCAGGATCTACTCTCAATAAAGAACCTTGGTGTTATTATTCCAAGAATCAGCACTTAGTCTCATCTGGCAGTGGGGAATGAGATGTCGCTATTGCTAGCAGGAAGCTCTCCCTGGACTAAGTTGACGCCAGGACGAAGGTAGTCAGCCATGGCCAGATGCTGGATTTCGACCTCGCGGCATATGTACTCTGCTATGCGCATGGAGGTCGAAACGAACATCTCGATCCAGATATGGCAAAGAAAATCTTCGCAACCCTCATGGTTGGATTCCTTCAAGGTTCTGACCGGGATGTTGAAGGGACCCTTGTTGGTTCAGTGCCACTGCCACTGCCAGCCGGGGGTCGATGCAACTGCGGGGCCCCCATCCATCGCTGGAAAGTCTGTCGACCGCACCGTGTGCCGCTCTTCGACTGTATGATTAGCCGCCCGCCTCAGCTTGGCCTCGACTTCGTACAGCCTCATCCTCCTCCTCCGCCCATTTTTACTCGACTCTTGAATCACACTGGAGGTCTAGTATGCGAAGCTATGCTATTTGTCTCCTCAACCCTCATGGATATCGCGCCTTGATCACCAACGACGCTGCGATTCTATGAGGACGACACAACGTCATACCGCCCTGCCTGGACGATCCTCAACACGCCCCAGCACCGCCTGCTCAATCACCAACACCAACCGTCAAAGTGCGACGCCGAGACCCCCCAACATCCCGAAGATGGAGCGCCCTCGCAACCTCATGGGGGAGCCCTACGAAGACTCAGTTATCATGGATGATCAGGCAGGTGCCGACGCCCAATCCAGAACACAGGCTCGGTCGCCCTTGACCAAGACTCGGTCCATGTCGGATGGAGGAGGCACTCCCTCGAAACTATCGCCCTCGCCGCACATTGTCGAGGCATCTCGACGAACTTCTAAAGACGACAGCACCATCCGCGACACCCCTACCCCCGTCACGCCCCGTCGCACAGACTTCAACTCTCGCGGCTTCCCTCCACCCCGTCGCGAGTTTACTCCTCCCGCTGGAGCCTCGAATCCTTACGTTAAACCCGCTCCTCTCTCTCCCAAGCTCGACCATTCACAAATATACGCCTCGCCGACAAACATCCTTCCTCGTCGCTCCCGCGGCCTCGACTTCTCGCGCGCCGCGACGAGCCTACACCACTCGACCCTCGCTGAGCAGTCTTCTCCAGACTCGTCCCCTACCGCGGGTGGCCGGGCGATGAACATACCGAGCCGGAGGAGCAATTATGGAGGGCCAGAGCTGACTTCGACATCCCTGTGGTCCGTCATGGGCAATCAGGAGAAGATGCACGTCAGTAGTTCTCTCGGGAGCACCCACGCTGTCGGGTCAGATTCTTCGAGCTCTTCGGATGACGATGATTTGATGGATGAGGACATGGACGAATCCTATGTCACAACACCCCAGGTTTCTAAGATGGGCCCGGCCATGGGTCCTCAAGGCCCAAGCATCCCGTTCGGATCTCCTGCCATGAGCAGCCTGATGAGCTTCCAGCAACGCCAGCGTCCGCGCAAGCAACAAAAGAAGAAGGCGCGCGGACACTTGAGCCTTGGCTTTAGCAGTGCTTCAGCGTCTATTTCCAAATCGCCTCCTAGCAGTGCATCTCGTGCAAGACGAGAGAGCATAAGTTGGCAGGCGAACCAATTACACATTTCTGGGGCAGACGCAGACGAGGGGAGGATGATGGGCGATATTGATGGCCTCGGAGCAGACGGGCAGCGGGGTGTGATAAGGAGGGTAGTTACGCGCCGTGGTAATCTCCTGGTAAGTTACCATTCCTTGATACTCAGCATTGGCAATCGTTCTGACATCCGCATAGCCCAAGACGAAGACATTTGCTCGAATTCGGGCGGCCCTCCTGGAGGAAAGCGCACCGGCTGATACTGAGTTTCGACGAGAAGCGGAAGTGGTCAAACAGGTTCGCGAAAGCGACATGGACCTTGAGCCTAGGATCCCTCAAGCAACTGTCACAGAGTCTACTCAAACCACGACAACGGCGCCTTCCTCGCCCAACATGACGCAGCAGGACCCCTTGAGTGATGTCGCCGAGGACGACATGATGGGTGACCTGTCCACAGGCCTCTCAAGCAGTTTTAAGCAACATGTCATTAAGAATTCTAAAGGCAAGACTTTCTGGGACAACTTCTCCGAGTCGAGTAGCATGGGTGGTGCAAGAACTACACCTCCCCCAGCTGCCTTCCTGGCACGAGGCTCCTCCTCTGGCGTTAGCGAAGATGTTGCGATGGACTCTCCGTCCCTTGGCGGACCTCCTGGTTTTCCGGTAAACCCTTCCCTGTCCGCTCTAGTCTGCTTGTTCTAACTTCTCACAGCCGTCCCAGAACTACGGTCCTCAGCCACCCAGTGCAGCCGAAATTACTCGTCGTATCAATAGCAAACGTCGCCGCGATGACGACTTTGATCCTATTAGCTTTAAGCGCCGCGCTGTCAGCCCCGGTATGAGTGCCCACAACTCGCCCATTATGCAGAGTCCCCTTCAGCGCGATGTCCAGCCGTGGACCTCTGGTTCCCGACCTGGAAGCAATGGCGGCGATAAGGCTGGCAGCAGTGCACCCAGCGAGTCCGGCAGCACTCCAGGTAACCTGTCCGGCGCCAGCTCCTCTGCTGCACCTTCTGGCCGCCTTAGCAAGGGACGAATCGGTTTCCAGGGAATGATCGATACACACGACGGTATCATGCGGATGAGCATTGAGTAGGCACTCTGATACAGGCCATTCTTTGCTCAAAAATCCACTTTTTTGTCTAGTTTATTTTGGCATCGCCCCTCGCAAACTGTTTGGGGCAACTTGGCTTCGGCTTGGACTTACGGCCGTCTTGGTACTGCATCCTGGGGCGTTACGGACGGATAGGCGTTGTTGCTTCTTTTTGACCAGCGAGAGAGAAAAAGTATCCTGGGGCCTCCGCCGGAAAACAGGCGTATTGTTAGACTTTTAGAGAAGCCAGCTTTACTTGCTTGTAGTACACCTCAACTTGGAGGTAGCGGAATAAAAGCGGAATGTTAAGTAATAATATGATTCCCAAGTGTGATTTAGATATCGACTGTCTTTGTCTTTGGTATCTACCTAGTTCAACCCCGAACGCCAGCCCATACAAGAGACAATAGAGCTATCTGCTCTGTCCATTCTGCAAGGAATATTTGTATCTCAAAAGCACAGCTTTCCAACGCCGCCAATGCTACACCACAATTTCTCAAAGGACCGTCACTCGCTTGAAACTTCAAAATTACTGGACGCCAACACCCTCTTCGGGGACGGTCAGCGTGCCAAGCTTGTCGTCGAGCCAGCGGGAGAGGTCGGCTGCATGACGGCGGAGGGCAATGGCAGCAGCGCCCGTGCCGGCGGAGCTCTCGAGGCTGGCCGTTGTCTGGGCACCGGTGCTGATCATGCTATCGGCCTCGCCGGGGCTGCCGACGTGAGAGACATCGCCCGAGCGGTCGTGGGGATGGAGGTGGGAAGAATGTTCGCTGGGGCCGTCTTGGGCGGGGCCGACGCAGACGAAGAGTAGGCCGCACTTGAGGCGGCGAATGACGACTGTACCGCCGCTAAGCTGAACGGTGATTGTGGCAGGCTTGATGGGCTTGATCTTGGGGGCGTTTTGATATTGGTGCTGGGACTGGCTTAACAGCTCGTCGTCAGCGTCCTCATCCTCGTCCTCATCGGGTGGGGAGCTGCCAATGGGATCGGGCGTGCGGGAGCCGGGGAGAGCGGAGGGCAGCACGGGCGAAGAGGAAGAATGGATCGAGAGGAGAGAGGCGGCGACTGTAGCGTGGGTGCGCAGCACAGAGACCGGCTGGGGGCTGGCGTGCGCGAGGAGCTTCCCGTGAGGGGTGGTGAGGAGCAAGGTGGGCAGCGAGGCCGTCTGGTTGGCGTGGAGGAAGGCCGTGAGGCGCTTCGTGAGGAGGAGCGGCGGTGTATGATTCGGATGGGACATTTGGGAGCGTAGTGGTTGATTGGGGATGCGATATCGCGCGCGGGCGGATGGAGGTGATCGGAGGTCGACCGAGGTGCGTCGCGGGTTAGAGCTCAAGGGCAGCTGTTGCGGGTCGAGGGATTTGCGTGAGTGACGGCGAAGGCGGCAGCGAGACAAGGACGAGCTGTGAAGCGATCTGAAGTATGCGCGACGATGGACAGCGTTGTTGTTGACGGCCGTGAAAAATGGGCAGATGTCTGGAGAGCTGATGACGGTTGAAGCTTTGACGAGATGAAGTGGAGGGAATGTCTGGGCAGCAGCTTTGTTGGACCGACTGATGGCGGGGCTCATGGACTCGCACTGATCCAGGCCGAGCAGGGAAGGAACGCCAGGGTCTCAGTGCGGTAGCGGTGCGGGGTCCTTCACTGGCAAGAGCGTCGTGGGCCTGATGCCAGTATGGAGAGTATGGAGCCCAACGCCAATTGGGCCTCGCTGATTGCCACTGGTCGTGTAAGATCATTGGATCGAATTGTCATGGATAGGATCGGGTGCTTTGCAACAGCTGCACTAATTATGAATGGAATCTCTGAATAAATGAATGAATGGGTTTGTGAAATGAACGAGTACAAGGGATATTCTGTCTTTAAGAGCAGATTGTCAGTCGGCAACAATGGCGTCTCAGAAACCTCGACAATACAGCTTCGCCTCTTCCCCTCATCCTGTTCACGGATTTGCTACCACCCACCGCTCAGCCATGTCGTCCTCAAGATCCCGGTACTCCTTCCCTTCCTCTGTCTGCTTCTTCCAGTCTTGGTAGTACGCCTCCACATGTTTCGCGTGGTTGAGCGCCACAGCCGCGTGTAAGTTCTTCTGCTTCGGATCGTACATGATCAGCTCCTTGATGGCGCTGCGCAGCATCGTCGTGTACTTGGCCCGCGCGAGGTACGTGTGGATGTTGATGATGGGTTCCTCGCATATGTGGTGGGGCGGGCACGCCTTCCACACCGTATATGGCTCGTTACAATCTTCTTTGCCTATGTGCTCACAGCCCCCGAGGAGGCAATTGCAGCCATCTCGAAAGGCTGCGTTCTCCAGACAGCTCTCTGCCTGACAATACCGGATGTGACAGCAGCCGCACTTCTTGCAGCTGAATGCGGGAGCTTTGCCGGTCATCATGGTGAAGATGACAGCGCCGATGGACCAGAGCTCCTGCATCAGAGTGTAGGGGCGTTCATCCTATATGAAGGTGTGAGTTTTGATGGACGGTTGCGAGAAGTCCAACTCTTACCACTGAAGAGTCTTCTAATGGATAGTCTTCCACTGAAGAGTCTTCCATTGAATCGTCTTTAGGCTCTCTAAAATACTTCCCCATTGTTTCGATCAGCGGCTCGTTGCCTCGATAACGGGCCATCGACATGCCAGACGGTTTGGCTCCGAGCTTCTTCTTCACATTGGCGACATGGCTCGTCACTGTCGCCTTGCTAAAGTTAGCCAGCTTGCACTGGCCATAGGTCTCGGTGCCGCGGGGATGCTGGAAGTAGATGTTGGCGGGCTCTATGGCACGGTGAAGGATGGAAAGCCAATCGGCGTCAACGGTCCTCCACGCCCTGGACGCGCCAGGCAGGAGGCCCGCATCAAAATGCAGCCGCTTTCCATCGTGCAGGTATGTAACGGCTCGTGTCAGGGCTCGGAGGACATGCCAGCAGAGAGATTCGGGGAGATAGTAGGAAGAATCCTTGCACGGGTGCTCTTTGAAGAGCGCGCTGAGATTTGCGGCGTCGCAATAGTCCCAGACCAGATAGGAATCAATCTTGTCATCCTTTTTATGAGTCTTGGGATTTTTCTGAATCTTAGAAAAAGGTCGACTGTCGATGCGGCCGACAAGGCTGACGAGGTTCTCATGGTTGAGGATCTGGGCTACGACATGGGCCTGATTGTGTTCGTCGCGTAGTTTCTCCCAAGCGGCAGTGTCGGAACCTTTGCGAAGTTTCATGAAGTCCTCAACGGGGCGGGCGAGGTACTGTTCTCCACGAGGGTCTCCTGGTCGGACGGCGATCCATACACCGTGACGAATTTCTTTGACGAGTTCAAATCTGGGACCACCAGGTTTCTTCCTGGCAGCAGCCGCAACACCAGAGGACGCTTGACCCTGATCCATGATATCTTAAACGAAACAAAACAATTATGGAAGAAGGTGTTCAAGTGAGCAAGATAGGAATCAATCCTGGGGATATATCATGTCTGTTGTCGTCATTGCCATGTTGGCACGAGATATTGGGTGGGCGTTTGCCTCATCCCTTGCTTGAGCAAACAAAGAAGTAATCGCACAGGTCGTCAATGGTACCATTTTGGACGGCATTGATGTGTGCCAACCCCTCAGCTGAGATTTCTTTGTTCTCACTTCCAGGGAGGGTTCCCAAGCACAGAGCTTTCTGTGCGGAATCAGGTGGTGATCCAGCGGCACCCAAGAATGTGAGCCTGTTGAATAAACTTCATCGTTCAGGAGGAGAATCGAATAAATTAAAAAGAATTGCCTTTTGTGAGGAGATGGGGTGTTCCTTGTTGAGTTTTAGTTCATGCTCGCGCGATATTGAGCGGGCTGTGTTTGTTTCGTACAGACACCCTTTTGTTTGGTCACGCATCACATCGCCAAATCCACAAGCTTTAGCTTAGCCTGAAGCTTAGAACCATGTCCATGATAAACGCCAAGCTTGAAATGGGAGGACCAAGGGACCTTTTTGTCAAGACTAAACCTTGCTTCAAACACCCGTCGGATTTACATCAGCGAACCAACACCTCTCGGGTGGACGGCGATCAAGAAGGCCGGCCGGAGGGCCGTCAATCTCCCGGCGCGCCGAAGCCGGCGTCTGGACTGCAGGTGACGGCTGCCCAACCGAAGCGTTCGTAGGGGACTTGGTTCTTCCTGGGAGACGGCGATTTGCACGAGGAGGAAGACCAAGACCCTCCCTCCGCAAAGGCGCCTTGTGCCATTTGGTGTCATGAATTGGGGCGGGGGAGGTAGCCCGGGTAGTCAGTCTAGCCCGTTTCATCCGCAACGGGAGAGGGAGAATTGAATGCGTCGGGCGCGACGTGGGATTTGTGGGATTCGTTGTGATGGAACCGGTCTGAAACAGTTGGTGTCGCTAGACGGGAAAGCCGGCGTGGTGGAAGCACCGAAATCAGTCGTGCAACGCGTCGGCCAGCCGCATTTGGACGATTCGGATGCAGCCACGGGGATTTGATGTTATTATCGTCACCGCTCGCAGAATAGCTGCAACGGCAGCGGGAACGGCGATGAGCGAAAGCAGACGCCGTTGACAGCTGGCGGCTAACCCGCAGGCGTTGCCTTCTCGTCTGTCCCCGGATGGAGGAACCAGGATTGGATGAGATGCATTCGCGTTGGATTTCCGGTGGCGGTTGGACCCTCGTTTGAGCATGGGTCCATCTGCCTTGGTAGGCTCTGATCAACAAGGGAGCGCTTTGAGTGGTCAATGCAATCCTGGCGCCACCCGCAACCGGGTCCCCTGTTATGCCCTCTGAATGGCTTTCCCATGTAGAACGCAGTAGTGCTGCCCTCTGCGCATTTTCCCGGTCTTGGGGGCCTCTGAGACCACTGAAGATCCCCATGGATAGTGTCAAAGGCCCCCTGATGACGATATGGGCCTTCTGAAGCTTAGTGCCGGTTATCCTCAAGGCCAATCAGCAAACGGCGCGCCTCAACAATGGTTCCTCCCAAACGGCCGCTATCCAACCACTAAGCCCGAAACAGCCCGGGGCGGCTGGTACCTGCGTTGCAACGGGGCATGGCGCCACGCTCTGGCGCCCGCTATGGACGGCAGGCTGCATCTCCCGGAAAGCAGCTCTAGTCTCCGTCCCCGTCTCCGGCGGGAAGGTGGTAAAGTGGGAAGGTGGAAGGTGACAGGCGCGCTCTAGAGACCACTACCAGCGGCCTCCCCTTCATTTGCGACACTTGCTCCCATCTCCGTCCGTTTTCATCCCAAATCCTCCCGGCTTGCTATTGTCATGGCCGCCACAATAGGCCTCTGCCGTTCTCGTCACTCTTTTGTCCCGTTGCGTTAAATCCTGCAGCCACCCGAGACTACAATACCGACACCCTGTCGCTATCCCAGTTCCTTTGTTCTCGCCTTTCGCGCACATCCAACTGCAGCGCGCCCAGACATCCACCGTCTCTCCCTCCTCCTCCTGCGCGGATCCTTCAAACATCTCCGCTCGGCATCCGACGGTTCGACCCTTCCGTGTGCGCCCCGCGTCGTACCGCGTAGCCAACATCTCCCAATTGCCAAACCTCATCAGTCGTTAGGCTGTTGATGTTCCCAACCGCTCTTTCAGCACTCTCTATTAGCGACATGCGCTCGTCCTCGCGATCCTGACGGCCCACCTCGCGCACCGACCCGTCGCCTAGCCCCCCCGGTGTAACACCTGCGCATCCACTTACGTCCACCCATTGTGTTGAGACATCTCACTCTCTCTTCTCCCTCCTTACAGTCTCCTGGCGAGGATCCGACCCGATATCGACCTCGTACGCTTGCTCTGGATAGCAGCACTGTCGAACCCTTCGCAGGCGAAGATCGATTTGTGTTCGACGGCAGGACCGCTCACCTGTCATTTACTCTCATTCAACTTCGATACCCGATTTACGACTTTCCCTTCGTCCATTTTTTCCAGCAATTCCCCTGATTCGGCAGGCCGTTTACTCCTTTACTCACGTTCAATTCCACAACATGGGTTGCCTCAGCCACCGCAAGAAGCAGACCGCGGAGACGGCCGATCAGAGATGGGAGTACATCAACCTGAAGGACTTCAAGGCCAAGGGTTGCGGTACCGTTTTCGCCTACATCTACCTGTGGTTCATGCTCATCATCTCCATTGCCGTATACGCCGTCGACAGTTTTACCGCCGTCAATTTACTCGCCTTCAACCGCTGGTCTGGAGGCATTGACCCAGCCATTAACATCGATATCAGCAAGTGGATTTTCTCCATCTGTATCATCCTTTCCTTCCTCAACCTCGGATATGAAGGTATTCGTGCCATCAAAGTTATTCGGCGAGGAAATGTTGCCGAATGCTATATGGACAGTCTTGCAGTTCGATGGGAATCGATCCGGTTGGGTTCTGGCTTGGGCTTCAGGAGATTCCTTGTCTTCGCAGAGCTTACGAAGAGTAAAAAGGGCGCAGAGTACATCGCCCTCTTTACCTACTTCAGCTTCCAGTGTAAGTTGTGGTGCCGTTGGACGGTGATATTGAGATTGCTAACTCGTCTATAGCGTGGATTCGTGTCATCATCTGCTCCGGGCCTCGCCAGGTCATCAATGCCTTCACAATTAAGGCGGTGTATGATGCAAAGCTTGCTGCTACTTCCGACTCTGTCGGGGGCTCCATCACCGCCTTCTTCCAGAAAATCAAGGACCTTGCGGAGTCTGACTACCGCCAAGCGCTTACCCTCTCAGGCATGTGCTTCACCCTGGTGATTTGGGTCTTCTCAGCACTGTTTCTTCTCGCTGCTGTGCTTTTCTGGCTCTTCTTCCTCTGGCACTGGATTCCTAGTGCTGATGGTGGCCTCTCTGGTTACTGCTCACGCAAGGTCACCAAGACTTTGATGAAGATTGTAACCAAAACGGTTAACAAGGCACTGGCAAGGGAAGAGGCTAACCGTCTGAAAGCCGAATTCAAAGCAGCTAAGAAGAATGGCGAGAAACCTCCCATGGAGCGTATAGCAACTCTTCCCACCCTGCCAAATGTTGGCCCCACGGACGACGACAAGATTCCAAGCATGCCAATGCTGGGACGCAATGACACTATGGCGACACTTCCTGCTTATTCGTCGCGTCCCGGAACCCCTGGTGGCGTGGAGTTGAGTAACATGGACCAAAAGCGGACGCCTCCGTCGAGAACGGCCACCGGGATGTCAAACGCAAGCTACCCATCACGACCGGCACCTTCGAGGACGGGTACCATGGCGTCGAACGCAAGCTATCCACCACGACCCGCGCCTTCAAGAACAGGCACCGGGGTGTCAAACTCAAGCTACTCGTCACGAGCGCCCTTGATCTCTACCGCCTCTGAGATGGGTTACGGGAGGCCGCCTTCTCCTACCCCTCAGGTACCCAACCTGGACTACGATGGCTATCCCCAGTCCCAACCCACCATGCCTAACTCGCATGGCAACTTCGGTCCCCAGGCTCCTTTCCGCCCAATGTTGTCAACTTCGAGTGGGGATCGCTTTACCGAAACCCCTGCCCCCATGCGTGGCGAGACACTGCCATTCCCTCCCCCAGCTCGTGCGCCGAGTGCGCGACCCATGGACAGCTATTCGCAATCCGGAGGATCTTTCGTATCTTCGCCGATATCCGCGCCAGCTCAAAGATCATACGAGGCCTATAATCCAGATGGCCAGACGAGCCCCGTCAACTCCAATTGGGGTGGACAACAAAGAGCCATGGACCAACCCATGCGAAACGCTACGGCTCCACCTCAGCCAGATGGCCGGGCGAGCCCAGCACCGACGGCCAACTCCAACTGGGGCGGGCAACAAAGACCCATTAATCAGCCTATGCGAAGTGCTACAGCTCCACTGCAGCCAGACGGCCGGGCCAGCCCAGCACCTACGGTCAACTCCAACTGGGGTGGGCAACAAAGACCCATGAACCAACCCATGCGAAGTGCTACTGGGCCACTTCCTCCCCGCGGACCCCAGTACCCTCCGCAACGGAACATGACGGCCCCAACGCAGGCTCTTCCGCCAGTTGGAGGATTTCAAGACCGATATTCAACGACTTCCTCAGTGACCTCCAATTCAGTTGCTCCTTCTTCGATGGTTCTCCCAGAGAATGCTATGAGAGCTTCCCCTGCGCCTCGCATGGGTCCTTCGCCTGGCCCTGGTGGGCCACCTCAAGGATATGATGTTGAATCTCAAAGGGGACGAGAACGCTGGAACTAAGAAATGACGTCGATGGATATTTAAGGATCGATTTTGAGGAGGCTTATTAACGATTTTAACGATCCGGGGCCAAGGAGTTGGCATTGAAAAGAGGCCTAGCGTCTGATGTAATATTGATATCCTATTCTGCATTCAGGGGGCTGGAATTGATATGATTGGGGTATTTGAAGTCGCGTTTAGCTCGGCGAAGTACAGCGATGTTGCAGTGAGGGCTGACTGGACCGTGACGTGACTGGCCTGATGATTCCAGAGTGGCCGGCGTGCTGATGTCATGGTCGATGGGCCATCTGTAATGCGCGCCCTTGCTGTGCAGTGATTTGTCAACGCCAAAGTTAAGGCAATTGATTCCATGTCGCTTACGTCGAATGCATCCCATTGTATTTGCCCGTTTCCTTTCAACGTTTCTGCAGCCGAGACATCCGTGAGATCTCTTTATATGATACCTGTCCTCGATTCGTATTGTACCTATGACCTTCGGAGTCAGTCGCATCATCACTTCACTGACCTGGGCTACCTTCGCCGCGATGCCGTCTCTCATTTCAGAATTCCACGAAGGCGAGCGCGCCATGCACCAGCTGCTCAAGGTGCCGCGCAATGAAGACCCCACTGCCCCCGGCTTGCCCATGCGGTACGGCATGCGAGTGATGCAATCGTCGCTCGTCGCCTTGGGCACGCTCGACGACGCCGGCCGACCGTGGACAACCGTCTGGGGCGGCGACCGAGGATTCGCAAGGCCAGTCGCCGAAGGTGTGCTCGCGTTTAATAGCTCTGTCGACACGCAATACGACCCGGTATTCAAAGCGCTGTGGGAGGGCAAGGATGCGGAGGCCGACACGGTTGTTCGGCCCGGAGGCGGAGAGGGGAAGGAGATGGCGGGTTTGTCGATTGATCTGGAGACGAGGGACCGTGTCAAGCTGATGGGGAAGATGGTGGCGGGCGCTGCAGTTAACGGCGGCAAGGATGTGCAGATGGCCATGCTTGTGACAGGGAGCTTGGGTAATTGTCCCAAGTATCTCAACAAGAAGGATATTGTGACGCACGAGATGAAGCCTGAGCTAGTCTCCGACAGTCTGCTTTTGTCGCAGGAGGCATTAAACCTAATTGATAAGGCCGACATGTTCTTCCTCTCCAGCACGAATGGGGAGACTATGGATACGAATCATCGGGGTGGAAATCCTGGGCTTGTGAGGGTTGTCAAAAACCATGCAGATGGCTTGGAGTTGATATACCCAGAGTGTAAGTCTCCCATCACGCACGTCTCAAATTCCAAATGCTAACAAACTGCAAGTCTCCGGAAACAGACTGTACCAGACTCTGGGAAATTTCAAGGTCAACCCTCTGGTTGGGATAGCGATTCCTGATTTCGACACGGCGGACGTGCTCTACCTCACAGGCTCGGCTTCCATCCTCGTTGGTGAGGAAGCATCAAGCCTCCTCGCACGAACCCAACTCGCAGTCAAAATCTCCGTCACTGCTGCCCGCTTTGTCAAGTCGGGTCTACCCTTCCGTGGTTATGCTCTGGAGCGCTCGCCGTATAACCCACCGACCCGACATCTCCTGTCCGAGCACGATGCGCACGTTGGATCCTCACAGTCAGATATCTCGGCGAGTCTTGTGAAGCGCGAGGCGCTGACACCGACCGTTAACCGCTTTACGTTTCAACTTTCGTCGAGGTCAGACCGTGTGCTCCAGTGGCATGCTGGTCAATATGTCACGTTTGACTTCCAGCAGGAGGTGAGCGCGGGCTATTCACATATGCGGGATGAAGATCCCCAGAGCTTGAACGATGACTACGTCCGAACATTTACGGTGTCGAGTCCTCCAGGATCAAAGCAGGTACAAATTACAGCAAGGAAGCATGGGCCTGTTACGAACTTCTTGTGGAAGCACAACCTACGTGTGCCATTGGACATTCCTGTCCTTGGGTTCGGCGGCGAAGAAGAATTTCGCATTCCTGCAGACCAAAAAGCACCACAGCCCATATTTATCGCTGCGGGAGTAGGCATCACGCCTCTCCTCGCTCAGGCCCAATCTGTCCTGGACGAAGGCGTTCCCCTCAAGTTACTCTGGACTCTCCGTGGGGAGGACATACCCCTCGCTGCGGACACGTTTGCTAAGATCCCCGCACTAGCGGCCGCCACTACACTCTTCATTACCGGACAGGCGGAGCAGAAGCAGATTGAACGGCTGGGAACAGAGGTGGAGAGGCGGAGGATGGGACGTGGGGACGTGGAGGAGTTGAAAGGGCGCGGGGCGCGGTTCTTTTTGTGTACGGGACCTGCGTTGCTGACGGCGCTGGGGGGCTGGTTGGAAGGAGAGAAGGTTGTGTGGGAAGATTTTGGATACTAAGAGGGTAAATTGACGGAGACTGGAAGATACAAGCAAAGAGGCGATATATCGTCACAGCCACCACCCGGCAGAATGGCCCATACAGTATCTGAGGCTGGCTTTGCGGTTGAAGGGAGGCAAGGAGCCCGGGATGATAGAGCGTGGATGTCTCAACACTAGCTGAGGAACTAATATGTCTCGCTGCTGGGTGATTTATCAGATGGCTAGAATTAGCTAGTGCAGTGCGGGGAATAGAACTATTGGGGAACGGGGATGGCTTGATAACAGTCAGAAAAGCACTTAAGTTTAGGCAGATGAGACTAGAAATTGTGAATGAGAATCTTGACAAGGAAAGATCGATGACATGGAGACCAACAATATAGTACATTAGAGAAGTGTGCTGAAATGAACCAGTACTATGTGTATGTGTTTCAATGTGTACAGGTGCATTCTCATTGTATCCCAGTCTCATTGTCTTGGTTTCGCTAATGCTCACAAAAGCTCCTTTCTCGCCCGTCCAACCGGAAATTAGTCTTGTCTGTCCATGCCGATCTCTCTGCCATCAACTCTTCAGGAGGTTCCCTAACAATGTCTTCACTAATAGGGAAGTCGACATTTTTCTGAACGATGTCGTATCTCGGACGGAAGTGCATTCAGGGAAGCCACCTGTACCGCGCCTTAGCGGAAATGTGCTCAATGTTATCGAATTCGCTTTGTTTATGTCGAAGGCGTGTCTCGAGTTGTTCTCGATCTGCGATAGTGCGAAAAGCAAGAAAGGAGTCGGCTCCACGATCTCGTCATGGATAGGGGAACAGACACAGACTGCTAATAGGCGTATGGGGACGAGGAACCGTTCGCCACACCCCTCGAGACTCTTAAATTCCTACCCGACTATCTACCGGCGCCATGATGGCATGCTCATCCCTATTCAATCGCTGATAGCGAGCGCTGGAGAAAAGATGTTCGAATCTCGAGCCGAGACAAACCCGCCGCAAATGATGCCAACGAGACAGCGACAATATTGTGGCGATGAAGGTGGCGCTCAGTAATCAAAGCCCATGGCGCGTTGGGTAAAGTACCGCAGTACCATACCTACCTTACCTTGGTAGGTACCATGCAGCAAAAGCGCAACGCGAGGTACTGTCCTATCGTGTGCATCTTGCGACACATGCCCAACTGCTGCCTAATCAGCGAGTCAGGCTGCGCCAATTCTAATTGCTTCAACTCATTGGGACCGCGATCGAACGGGAATGTTTTCTTTTTCGTTGGAAAGTCTCTAGCTGTGCGATCCTCTACACAGGTGTCTATTTACCATGAGCGAGGGAACAGCCGCAAGCCGGCAACATGCGATCACACCAACTGGCTTGACAGTGGTTGTTGACCCTAACGAGCCATCTTTGGAGTACGTGCTTTTCAATCTGCCTCGCATGCTTTTTGCTAACTAGAAAGTATTGTTTTCGTCCATGGGTTCAAGGGTCATCCAGAGCGAACCTGGACGTACAAAAATAGCAAGCACGTCGAACAGACAGAACCTATCGAACCCAAAAACCGAAGACGAAACATACTATCTAAAGTCTACCGAGGAAGAACCAGCACTGAAAATGCTGGCACATTTTGGCCACAAGATCTACTCCCAGAAATTATCCCTGGTGCGCGAGTCCTGACTTACGGGTATGACTCCAAGATTCAACATTGGACAGGCCCGCCTGTGAGCACACACACGGTGTATGATATTGCCTGGGACTTTTTGGTCGCCCTGGAGGCTGAGCGCCGGGAAGAACTACTGAGACCAGTGTTGTTCATTGCACATAGTCTCGGGGGGATTGTCGTCAAGGAATTGCTACGAAGGTCTCATGGCTGTTGCGCGGCCCAGAGTCATCTTGGCAGCGTTTTCGACGCTACAATCGGTGTCATGTTTTTCGGCACGCCACATGGTGGTGCTGACCCTCGGGGATTTCTCTTGAGTATTGCGGAGAAGGCTTTCAGAGCATCCGGCTATCGTGTCAATGAGCAGGTTGTCAACTCTTTACTGCCTTCGTCAGAGCGTCTTAGGGAGTTGAGGGATGTGTTCGGCCCGATAGCTCGGGAGCGCAATTGGGTCATACATTCTTTCCAAGAACAATACGGAGCCAAAAGCACATTGGGAAAAAAGGTACGCGTAGCTCGGAATATGCACATGCACTACTAACATTTTGACAGGTCGTCGAGGATGGATCATCGTGTCTACATATCCCGGACATCGAACTTGTAGAGCACATTGGCCGAGATCATATGGGAATGACTCGGTTCACGGGAACGGAAGACCCCGAGTTCAAAAAAGTCGGTGCTGCTCTTCGGAGGATGACATTAGCGGCTACCAACTCGCCCAATCGACGAGAGAGAAAGGGCATGGATGAATATTCTAGCCTGAGACTTCTACAGTCATTATGGTTTGGACAAATTGATACTCGGCATCTGACCATACGAAGTGCTCACAGTGAGACATGCCGATGGGTGTTAAGAGATACCAAATACCTCAACTGGCTGGATCCTAGTCAGCTTAAGGAACACCGCGGTTTCTTATGGATAAAAGGAAAGCCCGGTGCCGGGAAATCGACATTGATGAAATTTGTCCTATCTAAGGCTACCCAGACTATGGAGAACGTAGTCATCATCAACTTTTTCTTCAACGCACGAGGAGACGACCTCGAAAAGTCTACAATGGGAATGTATAGGTCCCTGTTACACCAGCTTCTGACACGGCTTAGAACGCTTCTGCGCGTCTTTGACTCCCTCACAATACCAATTTCGAGCGCGGCATTATATCAATGGAATATTGACTCATTGAAGTCACTTTTTGAACAAGCGATACAGAGTTTGGGGAAGTCATCTGTGGTCTGCTTCATCGATGCCTTGGACGAATGCGACGACAGTCAAATCCGAGATATGGTCTCATTCTTTGAACACACTAGCGAATTGGCCGTGTCCGCTGGCATCAAATTTCAGGTCTGCTTTTCGAGCAGGCATTACCCACACATTGCGACGAAGCATGGTCTGAGTTTGATTCTCGAAGACCAAAAAGGGCACAGCCAGGATATCGCCAACTTCGTTGGCAGCGAATTAAAGATTGGCGGTGGTCAGCTGGCCCAGACGATTAGAGCTGAGCTTCAAAAAAAGTCGTCCAGTGTTTTCTTGTGGGTGGTTCTCGTGGTTGGGATTCTGAACAAGGAGTACGATCGGGGGCGCGTTCACACACTCCGGCAGCGGCTCGAGGAAATTCCTGATGATTTGCACGAATTATTTCGGGATATTTTGTTCCGCGACTGCAAGGACCAGGGGGATCTCTTCCTGTGCATCCAGTGGGTTCTTTTTGCAAAAAGGCCATTGAAACCAGAGGAGCTATACTTTGCTATTCTGTCTGGCAATCCAAGGGCCCTATCCTCGTGGGGTCCTCACGATATTTCTCTGGCGGATATGAAGAGATTCATCCTCGACTGCTCCAAAGGCCTCACTGAAGAGACGAAGTCTAAAATCCCGACCATCCAGTTCATACACGAGTCGGTTCAAGACTTCTTAGTCAAGGAAAATGGGTTGGGCAATATTTGGCCTGATTTTAAGGATAATCTCGTCGGATACAGTCACGACAAGCTTAAGCAGTGTTGTCTCAACTATACCAGCCCAGGCATTTCTACTCGGCTTGGTCTTGACGGGGTGAGTCTATATCACAGCTCCCGGCAAATAGGCGTTGGCCGGTCAGTAGTCAACGCATTTCCATTCCTGGAGTATGCTGTCCGCAATGTGTTGTACCATGCAGAAGCAGCGGGAAATCGTGGCATTTCGCAGGAAAGTTTCATCCAGAGATTCGACCTAGCAATGTGGACCAGCCTTCGCAACATTGTGAGAAATCCTTACGAGACCCTATACACACCTGGAGCGAGCCTGCTTTACATATTAGCGGAAGCCAACATGCCGTACTTGATTAGGACCCATACAGATCCTTTATCATGCATTGATGAAGAAGACAAAGAAAGTTATGGCTGTCCCTTTTTCGCTGCTATAGCTTCGAAGAGCAACGAAGCTCTCCAGTTATTCTGGGAGGCCTTACTTGAGAGTCTGCCACCATCGGGCACACTTCGGGGACAGTGCAACCGGATTTTCCAAGTAGGGAGAAGTCAACTCGATATGATACCTCGGTTCAGATTCTCATTCTCAGAGGGGAGATCAACACTGTCACAGTCGTTAGAGATGGGAGACCTGGAGCTGTTCTCCGTTCTCCTCGAAACTGGGAAATTCCTTCCCGACTCCAAGGACGATTCTGGTCGGACTCCGCTTTCTTATGCAGTATCCAGAAGTGTCGGAATCACCAGGCTTCTACTCGAAACAGGGAATGTCGACATAAACTCCAGGGACAACAGTGGCCGCACCCCACTTTCATGGGCTGCATCTAGCAGTGCACGAGGAGCTTTGGAGCTCCTACTTGCTACAGATGCGGTTGAAATTAACTCACAAGACGATTTTGAGTATTCTCCACTCTCATGGGCCGTCTGTGATAGCAACAGACAAAACATCAAGCTCCTCCTCGAGAAGTCCGGCATTGAAGTGGACTTGAAAGATAGCAATGGTCGCACCCCATTCTCACGGGCTGCCCAAGTCAATGACGTCTTTATTATGAAGCTCCTACTCCAAACAGGTAGTGTTGATATGGACTCAAAAGACAACGTCGGTCGCACTCCCCTATCTTGGGTTGCCAGTTGTGCCAGCCCGGACGCTATGCAGTTTCTGCTTAAGTCCGGTGCAGTTGATGTAGACTCAAAAGATGACAATGGTCGCACTCCGCTCTCGTGGGCTGCTTGTGGGGGGAGAGGAGAGGTTATCAATATCCTCCTTGAGACGGGCAATGCCAATATAGGATTGAGGGATAACGATGGTCGCTCGCCACTCTGGTGGGCAGCTGAAGCTGGCGACAAATCAATCGAAAATATCTTGGCTCAGGCAAGCAAGACTGGCGAGTATTCGGAGGATGATGACTGCTGGGGCGATGTTTGAACTGGCATTTGAACTCAGGATATCTTACAGCCACACTTTTCTGGCACGTAGGTAGAGAGTTCCTCAAGCAATCGCGAATCTACAACCTGGGCAAATCACAAAAAGTCGGGGAGATGAGTGAACTTTGAGATATGATCATCAATAGCCAAATCGTAGAATATTCATGGCCGTGTGAAGGGAGTGAGAATGCAGTTTGGTTTCGGTGTATCTAGGGAAGTCAATGTATCGGACCGGACCATTGACAATCTTCGACTAGGGAGATTTGGGTTCCTCCTACAAACTTTTGGCGAATCCAATTTGACAAAAACGACCCCAAGCGACCTCTGGGTCCGTTGTCGGCGGCTAGAATTGCGCTTTTTGATATGAACGGAATGAGTTCTCCGGTCCACCGGGCAGGTGGAGCAGGTGAACCTAGCGCCGAACTTGTGCATAGACCGCCAAACGGTGGGTTCAGAGGCCTTGAAGGGCAAATAGGGAAGAGTCACCGGTATTACCTATTCAAGGCAATTGAAGCTTAAGAACCTGTTCTGGCATGGGTTGAGTCCTCCTCAAAGGGTTCTTCTGCGGAACCGCTCGCCAATTTTGGAGTTGGGACACAGCTCTCGCCGGCTCGGTCAACACTGCTGTTGTTGATTTCACTACACTTAGTTCACACCTGAAAGAGGAATAAGAGGGAATTATAGGGAATAAGCAAACGAGTGTTAGAAGAGCATCTTTTATGTGCGAGTTCGTGTGGGCGGCACAACCACGATTATCTGGTTTGTGTATCGTTGCGTCGCTTGAAGCACAGATTAACAATCAACATGACGGGGCCGCCAAAAATAGCACGTGGACAGGAGGAGCTCCATTGTGCTTGAGAGTGACCACGACGCATTGAGTGAATTAAGCGACAATGAACCGCTTGGATTAAAGATCGGGGAATCGGAAAACTGGGACCGAAAATTGTCTCCCGGTAGGTTTCTAAGCATGCTCGACGTTTCCGGGGAACGGGCCTCGTCTGAGGACTTTTCTCTCGTTTAACTGTGGGCCAGAGTGGCAACAGTTATGCAAAGCGATGGGAACCATCACCTGGTTTTTGCGTGATTCTTGCCAGGCAAGGATGCCATGATGGATGATGAATCGTACATTTGTGCATTTCTTGTCACGCGTTGCCAATAAGCCGTTAGGAGGGTGGAGAAGAAAAGTTGGGGCGGGTCGTCGTGGGGAATATTTCAAGGTCAGACAGCGGGAGGGTGGAGGTGAGAGGTGAGACAGCAGCTGGAAGGCAATGTCTGTATACAACGCAGTACGTACCTAGGTGACCGGGAGCACGGATTGATCGTTGGGTTGGGATTGTGCGATATTTACAGTCCGGTGTTGTTGATGTACTGCGCTTGGTAAGCGCCGAGCAATGTTGGGACCCAATATTGTAACACAAGTCGGACAATTTGCCCGTATTCATCAAACCCAACCATCCCACAGTTTAAGGGCTTCCGTAAAGGGATTCTGTAATGGTTGGCCTCGGGAGATAAAAGGCCCCAACTCAGCACCCAGCAAACCCACTTCGTGGGGTAGTTAAAGAAACAACCAACCCAATGCCTGGCTAACATTTCTTTTGAGACAAAGCATCCCATCCCATCGGTAAGTGGCCCGCTTGATTTGACTCACTGGGCTGACAATACCGAGGGGGGCTGGCTGCTGGCAGGCCGGAAACGGTTCGAGGATAACGCCGAAAAGTAAGACTGGGCGGCGCCTTTATGTCATTGGGCTTGAAAGGCGGAGCGCCAAGGTTTTGGTGGCTTTGCAGCCAACGAGTTGACAGCGCCAAACGGTCAGAGAGGGCCGAGGAGCGCGAATAAGGCTGAGACTCGAAGAAAGAAACTCCGGTTTGCAACGGCGATAGGCACTGGGTGTTTCACGTGAGGGGGGCGCCAGAGAGCTGACGGTGGGAGGGCAGTGGGACAGATCGCCTTGTTGGTATGACACTACAGCCAAGAGATCCGGAGGCCTCGATCTCAGCCCTGACGAATATCCCCTGGACTGGGTGAGGCGAGGTGTGTGGATGCGTGCGGTACGCTTGTGGTACCTCACCGCGCGGTGGGCGCGGGCGGCGTTGTCATGTCCGCAGAGCCACCCAGACAGGTGACCCTCTAGCAACCCTCCAGAGGGAAACCCGGATCCCCAGAGCCAGCGGCAACACCCCGGACTCCATGATTCCGCAGATCGGATCAACACCCTCTAGGTGCCGTGGACGAACCACAGGCGTCCGCTAAAAAGACGAGACATTGGCCATGTGTGGGTGACATGGCTGCGTTAGTTCGAAGGTTCAGGGACCAGTGAGCGGGATAGCAGTCATAGCACAGTGCTTGGATGGATGGTGCTTGGATGGTGCTTAGATGAGCGAGCTTCCCTCGACCCGGGGCAACGGCGGACTTTCCAGAGGGGCTTGCACTGGCCATTCGTCATTCCCCGCCACTAAAAGGCACCAAAGCCTATTAGACCGGGAGTGTGTTCCTTTCAATCACGCATTCTCACTCAACGAACTAGTAGCGAGTTCCCTTGGAGCGAGCGGAGCATTACAGACAAGGATACGTAGGCGATGCGTGGTATCCGTAACCAGACAGAAGAACCTGGATAGGATGAGACAAGGGTCGGCCGGAGGGGAGGACAGAGGCCCCGCAGCACGCAGAGCATAGTCGCAGCGATACGTGCTGCGTAGTAGTAACACTCCGTATCCACGAGAGGGTACTTCGCTTCGTGCACTCACGGCGCACATGCGTTTGATTTGCAGGTCCGTAACATTGGAGCTAGCGAAGGAGGTACTTCGCAGCAGGCATCTGGGGGAGCAGAGGGCCGGTACATAGCAAGCATTAGCAGTGGCAACGGCGTGGAATGGCGTGCGTGCGTGCGCCTGCGTGGCCTAGACTCGTAGAGTCGTAGTTGGCCAACGGATGGCTGGATGGTCCGCATGGTGCAGCATGAAGATTTGGGGAGCACACTTGTCAAAAGGGGCCCCGCTTTTCTTACAGTGACCCAAGCCAGCGCCAGTCCAGGCGGCGCACGCCTGTTCGCTGAGGATCTACTAGAGACGACCGGAAACGAAAACCTTCCCTTCCTCGCTCGCCCTCTTTCGTGCTCTCTCTTCTTTCCTCTTCCACCTCCATCTCACTCCTCGCAATTTCTCTCTTAGCCAATTCACCATAACCTCACCCCGCGACAACTCTGTGCGCCAGCCACTGCAACGCGACAACAGCCGATAAACCCGCTCCCTTCCGACTCTCTCGCCCGCTCTCGGCCCTGCCGCGACTGTGCTGTCTATCACTACCCCTCCACCAAATCCCGTGCTCATCCGCCCTGTGCCTAGGCGCTGCCGTGCCGCCGTCTAGGCATCCCCCGAACACCCCGAGGCCCCCGACGCCTCGGAAGTCCCTCCGCCATACTTACAGGTCCCTATAGCAGCACCTCAGCGCTATAGCCTCTGTAATCCTGGGATATTACCTCCGAACACCACTGCAACTCGGTATTTTTAACTCCGGAGCATTGATAATACGCTCGTACCCTTCCGCCGACGCCCGTCAACTCAACCATCGGTCCCGGCCGTTGCGATCTGGGCCGCCTCCACCCTGCGAAACCCCTCGTCGTCATCTGCGCCGCACTCGACCACCAAAACTTGCATCACCACAACAAACCCTCCGTCGCACGATCGCAACCACAGTCACACGCATCGCATCGCCCATCATGGCCTGCGACTACCAATACGTCAAGGACATGACCCCCGAGGGCTACTCCTTCCCCTCGCATCGCCTCCAGCGCACTGGAGTTCCTTCGGACCGCACTCCCTTGGTCTTGGTCGCTTGTGGCTCATGTACGTCGCCCCCGATCATCTCCGAAGCCTGCATCATAGCTGACAGTTCCCTCGCGCAGTCTCCCCTCCAACATATTTGCATCTCCGTTTGTTCCCCATGGGCCGGGACCATGGCAAGAATGAAGGGTTCGAAGTCATTGGCGGATGTAAGTCACTGTGATCGAACGTGGGTGAGAAGTGGCTTAGCTAACAAGCCGTCCAGACATGTCGCCAGTCTCCAGCGCATACAAGAAGAAGGGCCTCGCTCCCGCCCAGGATCGCGTCCGCATGTGCGAACTAGCTACCGAAAATAACTCCAAGTAAGTGTTGCCCGACGGGTGACCTCACCGCAAGGATAATAGCGCTAATCCGAGATGAACTCTCGCGCAGATGGTTGATGGTTGATCCTTGGGAAGCCGAGAACTCGACCTACATTCCCACGGCCCGGGTGCTCGATCACTTCGATTATGAAATCAACGAGGTAATGGGTGGCGTTGAGTGCACTGACGGCACCCGCAAGCGCGCCCGTATCGTCCTCCTCGCTGGCCTTGACCTCATCCAGACTATGTCAACTCCTGATGTCTGGGATGCCCGCGATCTTGACCATATTCTCGGAAACTACGGCGTCTTCGCCCTTGAGCGCTCCGGAACCGAGCTTGACTCGGCCTTAGCAAACCTGAAGCAATGGGAGAAGAACATCCATATCATGCGCCAGGTACGAACCCACGCCTTGCCTTCTCGGGCATACATCCCTCCCTGCCGCCACGTGGCTAACATCCAATGACCAGGTCGTCACCAACGACATAAGCAGCACTAAGATCCGGTTGCTTTTGAAGCGAGACATGAGCATCGATTACCTGTGCGTCGCATTCGTCAATATCCCCTTGCACCCTTGCTGACTATTGTGTCTCTCAGGATCCCTGATGATGTCATAAACTATATTTATGAGAATAGCCACCTTTACCGCGACCTCGACATGTCCAACGGCTCTAAGGGCAAGGAAAAGGCTGACTCTAGCATGTCTGTGGCTGGTCCCAGCGAGGGTTGAACAACGGCGCTTGCCGAGTCCTTCATTTTCACACACAAAACCGTCCTCATCTCGCCCATGCATTCCGGGCACTAGGTTTAACGAGCGCAGTTCGACGGGACAGGTCTGGAGCTCTCGAAGAGTAAGACATTCCCAACCGCACCTTCAAGAGAAACAAGTTTAGGCCGGCAGCCTCTGGGAATTGGAGTTAGTTGGCGGGATCCAAATTTGGATCTTAATGGTTTACCACACAGGTGGAGCGCTCGCCGCCTCGGTCCCGCCCTCGGCCGAGTCGGAAACGTTTTGGCTTCTTGGGCTGAAAAGACAAGGTCGGCATATGACATGCGCTGACCAGGCGGGAAGGAGGTTGTCTTGGATATGGGGTTTCTTGGGCTCATTTCCCAGCGGCAACATTGAACACTCTTTGGTTTTGGGATAACGGCGTCTTGGGCGGAGCTAGCAGCGAATGCTTCTTTCTGTCCGATAGAATCCGCCATCAGAGCGGCAGTATCTGTTTTTCCTCCATGAATCGAGGTGGCACAAGACGGGAGAATCCCGCAACCGTCTGTTCCGTCCAGTCTCCCCACTTGGGATGACTTTCGTTCGAATCTGGAGATGTGACCGAAACGATTGTGGCTGTAGTCTAGGCGAGGGTCGGTGTGGGAGTTATCTGCAAGAGATAACACTTCTGTTGACTCGATGTCGAGGAAACAGGGTCCGTCTTATAAACCCCCCGGCCGGTATAGTGGAGGCAATCGCTTGGCCTTTGCCGACGAGCCGCTAGGCAAGTTAGTGGTGCCCAATGCAAGTCACAACTGACCTACAGTAGAACGAGGGCCTGTGTAAACAAATGGGCAAGGAAAGGTGGCCGCCGGCGGTCCTAAGCCTAGTCTTTGTACCTGTAGACTCACATGCCAAATCCATGTGTTGATAGCAGAGCAGTTGTCATGGGAGAGATTAATAGATGCAGCGTCGGTCGGCGAACCCCGGTTTATCTATTAGGCCAAACGTTGTCTGGATCAGGAAGCTGGGCTCATTGCACCACGATACCTGCCTTGGCGGCCCTGGCAATTATGCAATTCCGTCCATTGGACATGGTTGGATCACGGCGCACTCCGCCATGTCCGGCACTCTATCCACCAGAAGTTGCAGGGGGAGTCCGGGCTGAAGGGCTACGCGAATGAGGGGGTCGAGAAAGGCACGCGAGGGGCACGAAAGGCAGGACGGTAGAATTCCAGGGCGGGGGATCGGCCAATGACGACTCTAGCATCGGGCGTGCTCCGACGCTGGACGAGATAGAGTTGCAAAAGTGCTTGTGTTGGCGCGGACGAGGTCAGCTTTTGCTTTGGCTTAAGGTGGCCAAAGGGACCGAGACACCTGCAGAATGCGGCAAGGTGCGCCGTGGTGATCGGCCTGTTCCCCATGTTCCTGGGTGATCCTGGCATCCATGGCGGCCCTGAGTGGCCGAATCGCCGGCGGCGCATCGACAAACGTGCCAGGGCGCCGCGGATCGATAGGACGGCTGATACGGGACGACCAGGGGTGAGCTCCAGAGCCGTGAGGGCGCCGGTCAGCGCATCGGGGCTCTTGGAGGCATGATGGCCTTTCTTGGCTGAGAGATTCGGTATCGCTTCGGGAGAGGGCTGGAGGGACATGGGCAATTGGCCCCGGGGATTCGCACTCCTATGGGCTTTAGTCTTTGGCTATGTGCATTGGTGGCATTGGCATGCGAACAGGGGGCCGAGATGCATACGCGGGACGATGCCGTCTCATTCGAGAGCAGTGTAAATGATCAGATGCGGGCGAGCCATAGAATACAGATATATAGCTTCAGTCGCCCGGGGAGGGATGCAGGAACGACAGCACCCATCCCATCCCATCCCTCCTCCTCCTCCTCCTCTCTCATCCTCAGCCCTCTCCTCCACGATGAAGGCCTCCTTCGCCGCATCGCTGCTCAGCGCCGCCGTCGCGTGCGTGTCGGCCGAGACGATTGCGCAGATCAACGGCGATCAGTACCTGTCGCCGTACAACAACAAGAACGTCACCGACGTCACCGGCCTGGTCACTGCCGTCGGCAGCTCGGGCTTCTGGCTGCGCTCCACCACGCCCGACAAGAAGAGCACTACCTCCGAGGGCCTGTATGTATTCGGCAGCAGGGCTACGTCGCTGGTGGCCGTGGGCGACATTGTGACGCTGGATGGGTTGGTCAAGGAGTACAGGTGAGTTGTTCCATCATGGCGGTGCTTGTCATGACACTGTTCTGGCGTTGCGCCACACGCGCCACAAATCGTGGTGTAAGTGAACCGCACACGTGCTGACCACCCTGCCTCTACAGGTCTTCTGCAGACTACCTCTACCTCACCGAGCTCACCCTCCCCGTCAACATCGTCGTGAAGTCCTCGGGCACGGCGGTCAAGCCCCTCGTCATTGGCGTCGACACCCCCAAGCCGCCGACCAAGCAGTACTCCAAGCTCGACGGCGGCGACATCTTCGCCGTCCCCAACGAGGCGTACCGCATCTCCGTCGAGAACCCCAAGCTGCAGCCCAACACGTACGGCCTCGACTTCTGGGAGAGCCTTGTCGGCGAGCTGGTCACCATCAAGGATGCCTACGCCATCAGCCGTCCCAACAGCTTCGGCGATGTCTGGGTTCGTGGTGACTGGAAGGTTACCGGCCTGAACGGCCATGGTGGTTTGACCATGTTGGATCGCGGTATGGTTTCCTCAATTCCTGTGCTCATTAATGGACATTTCACTGACCTCAAACTTCACTCCAGATGCCACCCCTGAGGCCATCATCATCGGTTCCCCCGTCGATGGCTCCACCAACCCCGATGACTCCAAGCTGGGCGACTACCTCGGTGACATCACCGGTGTCGTCTACAACGCTTTTGGTTTCTACCGCATCCTTCCCCTGACGTCCGTCAAGGTCGAGGAGCCCTCCTCCGCTGAGTTCCCGGCTGTCGGGTTCACCTCCAAGGGCTCCTGCAAGGGCATCACCGTCGCCGACTACAACGCCGAGAACCTCAACCCGGCATCGGCGCACCTGCCCCTCGTCGTCGACCAGATTGTCAACAAGCTGCTCACCCCCGACCTCATCTTCCTCCAGGAGGTGCAGGACAACACCGGCGCCACCAACAACGGCGTCGTCTCAGCCAACGAGACCCTTGCTGCGCTGGCGACCGGCATTGAGGAGGCCAGTGGTGTCGAGTATGCCTTCATCGACGTCGACCCCGTCAACAACAAAGACGGTGGCCAGCCCGGAGGCAACATCCGCGTCGCCTACCTGTACCGCCCCGACGCCATCAAGCTCGTTGACGTCAACCCCGGCAATGCCACCCAGGCCAACGAGGTCCTCGCTGGCCCCACGCTCAAATACAACCCAGGCCTGATCGATCCCGCCAACTCCTGCTGGTCCGACAGCCGCAAGCCTCTTGTCGCCATGTGGCAACCCGTCAAGGGCAGCACCACTCCCTTCTTCACTGTCAACGTGCACTTCGGCAGCAAGGGCGGCTCCTCGTCGCTCCACGGCGACCCCCGCCCTCCCGTCAACAAGGGCGTCGAGAAGCGCACTCTCCAGGCTCAAACGACTGCCGAGTTTGTCGCCCAGATCAGCGCCATCGACCGCAAGGCTCACATCATTGTGGCGGGAGACTTCAACGAATTCGTGCAGGTTGAGCCCATGCAGACCTTCCTAGAGACGTCGGGCCTGATGGACATGGACGATGCGGCCAAGATTTCCGAGGTGGAGCGATACACGTACCTGTTCGACATGAACTGCGAGGCTCTCGACCACATGTTCATCAGCAAGAACCTGCGAACTGGCGTCAAGTATGAGCACATGCACCTCAACACGTGGCAGAACTTTGACGACCAGGTCAGCGATCACGATCCCAGTGTTGCGCGCTTCAACCTGTGTTAAGTGGTCACGAGTATATTGATGAGTTATGTTAAGACTTGAATGGACATGAAGGTGGCGATAATGTGGAGTGGAAAATAGGAGGCAATATGCTGGCCAGGATTCCTGGCTTGTGGTTTTGCAAAGTTGAATTCGTGGAAAGGAAAAAAGGAGGCCTCATATAATAACTGGACAGTGTTATCACTGTAATCAGAAACCCGGGTCAGATATTATTAGTCCGACTCTAATCCAAATCCTAATGCCATCGCCTGGATTCACAATTTACCTGAGCGTCACATAAGTACTCATCGCCGGTGACAAAAGCAGGACGAGATCGATTTGCAAAAGTCTTTGTTCCTCATACATATATTACTTAGCTAGTAGTCATGAGAGAGTTCCCTCACGCTCCTGTCCAACATCCTCGACCTTCGCTCGTTTTGCACGACCTTGGTGATAACGCATGCACCCCATCAGTTTGTGAGAATTTTCAGTCTCATGCCTTTCCACCTTGCCGAAGGACAAGCGACAAAAGACTATCAGTGATCCCCTCAATCGTATCCCATATGCTCCCTACGTAGAAGCATTACTAGGCACATGATATTGCATTTTCTTAGTCTTTATTCTTTAGGTGGAAGTCCCAACAAACCCCTTGAGGTTTCTTAGTGCAGCAGTTAAGTACAGCTCTGGGTTTTTCCATTTAACCACCAAATGGTGTAGTTGCGTTTCGTCCTGGCAGGACTCTCGACCAACCTTTTGTCTTCGTCCCGGGATGGCCAATATCCCCTCTCGTCCACTTCTCAAAGCTCCGAACGTTTCGAAGGGGGAGCCATGACGTGTTTCGTCGAGTTTCCCTGGCCCTCAAGATTCATGGTATAACCATTGAGACAATGGCGGACGACGTGGTAGTTGGTCAATCCATACTTGGTCCAGTGTGGCTTTGCCTTGGTCTGTATTTCGATGTAGCAGCCCGAAAATCGTTTCCAGAGGCTAGGCACTAAACCCTCTTGCCGCATGTGCCCAACTCTTAGGGACGATCAGCCAAACGACATGAATCCAGATGCCGCAAAAGTTTCGCCGAGAATGCGAGGTCGTCGTCAAAGGCAAGTTTGGTGGCCTTTTCCAGTTCCCGCTGCGCAACAACTGCTGTCCCTCGTGTAAGGCAGCCTCTGTGATGGGATTCCCCAGTAGGTCAACGATGGAAACTTGCCAAATCTCGTGCAGGCTGCCAGAATTCAAAGGGAAAAAAACTCGAAGTTGATGGCGAAATCGGCATGGAATTTTTCGACTTTCGGAGCAGTGCCTGGCAAACTGAGACGCCGAAATGTGTCGGAAACAACCTCCACACTAGTTGTACCCGGCGGCCGCCATAAACGACGTGATGCAGTTGTCTTACATGGCGTGTCCTGGGTATTCTCGTGCTATATAGTTGTGTGATTTATAGTTGTTGAAGGTTTGGCCGAGGATCTAGAACTTGAGTCGGACAGGGTCGTCGCCAACAAGGATGAAGCGTGAGCGCTCCCATCGTCGATCCCAAGCAGTCGCCGGACCAATCCTGAGGCTATACTTGGTTGTGCGGGTGGTTGCTTGTTCAATATGCCCTCGCCGCTGCGTCTCGTCTGTGACCCTTTCGCCTGCGCCTAGCTCGAGCCGGAGACTGTAATCCTGGGCCACCACCATATGTTCTTCCGTCGCATGGGGGACATAAAGAAGCATCTCCTGGGCAGTTATGTCTCTGTCTCTGTCTTTCCCGTAGAGCTGCCCACCACAGATTCAGCGGCTAGGGCGAGCGAGCTTACTCCACGTGCAGGGCTGAACCCTCTCGACCGGCCATCCCTCGGACTGCAGTAACCTGGTAGTCTTGAAGACGCAATGTTGGCATCAGCGGTGACATGGGTGTGGGCGGTAGACGCTGACGCCGACTCCTAGGCAACACATATATATAGATATATAAAGCGCCGGGCGCTCATTCGCTGGCGTCGTCGACATATATCCTCTTCAGCAAAGCGCGCATTTCGTGCAACGCTCGTTGGGTGTAGTTGTATAAATCTCCAGCAGGCTGAACACATAGTGACGTCGGTGAACAAAATCGCATTGGCGGCAGCGAGCTTGAAGGCGAAGAACTCAGTGCGTACTTTGCAGCTTGTGTTCGGAGATGTTTCGTCCAGTTTATCCAGCCCAGAGTTCCGTTGTGTAGCCCTGAGTGATGCCAATGGCATTTGAGGAGTAGAACGCCACAAATGATCCTGGTAGTATGGGCAGTGCTGAGACGACGGCTGCAACGATGGCTGTATGCCGCCTGTGACGATCGGCTCGGGTGGGCAACTGGGAGCCGTTGGTGTTGGCGTCGTCACATATTGTTCATGTGGTCTTTGTGCTTTCTGCTCTGCTTGTTCATGGTCTAGTTGAGAAGGGCAGCATCGAGTGTCAGGGAGATGAGGGTATGAGCATCCAGCGGCTGCCGACGATAGCATTTCCATCCATCTCGGCTGATTCTTTGATGGGGGTAGGATGGAGAATCAAAACAGGTGGGCGAGCTCAAGATTTGGTGCATCCACGCAGCAGTCATATAATCAAAGCGCCCGGCAAAGAGATTTGGCTGTTTGGAGTGATGGAAATAGCTGGGCTTTCCAATCAATGATGACATGTATATATTCCGGATGAAGATCCAACTCTAGCTCCTGGGGTGAATCCAGCCCTTTTATAGAAAGCCCCAGCCTACTCAACGCTTCTGGATCATTCCTTAGCTTTGGGTTTGCCATGAAGCAATCAGGTTTGCTGTAGCAAAGTCAAGGAGGATTGCTGTAGCAAAGTGATTGCCTGAGGCAAACCCTTGGTAACGCCGAACATGATATGGTAGACACAAGACATAATTGTCATCCCAAAAGAAATTAGTCATTAGCGAATAAGTGTGGCGCAAATATGTGGTGACTGTTCTGCCGTTTTCCTCCCCATGCTCAAGCGCCTTGTCAGCCTTGGCCAGTGTCTGGTCTCACCCCTGAGAACATTCTGTTTTATGGTTAACTATGTTTGTCCCACTGTCATTACTTAGTAGAGCTAAGGAATGCACCTTGATTGACATGTCTTCAAACTATGCTATGCAAGTGTTCCTAAAATAACCGCTTAATGGACGAGGAGTATGGGTTTCCAACATCGTGGGCGTTTCTGTGAAAAAGGGTTCTGTTTTGGTTCGTTCATCGCAACGGCTTGCCGTTGACGAATTACCGACAGCCTTGCGGGCGAAATCGATTCCCAAATGGGATGTGCGCAGTGAGGAGAACAACAAGGCTTGGGCGTTTTGGATGGATGTCGCTGATTGGAGTCAATAACACAAAACGTGGCTGGGCTCAGAAGCAACTCACTTTCACTTAGGATTAGGATCACGATTCTGCCGCCGCCCTTAGCGGAACGGGTGTCATTCACATACATAAATATCACCTCACCTCACTTCACTTCACTTGCACTCTACAAATTCTCTTCTTCCACAATTCCACTCCAAAGAAACGAGAAGCCAGCAATTCTCTCAAGACTTTCCAAATCTCTCCTTACTATCACTTCTACCCGTTCTTCGCTACAATCCCCCGCAACATCAGCAACAATGGTGCCTCCCCCAGGTGCCGATTTCCTGGCCTCTCTCTGCGGCCTTTTCGCCGAGGCGGCCGCCAAGAAGAAAGACACCAAGGCCGATGAGTTCGCCTGCTTCCGAGGGCCTCTCGTCAAGTTTCTCATTGACTGTGGCACTATGCGAGTTGCCCGAGCCCGCGCCAACTGCATCCTCAAGTTTACCGACGACAAGAGACCCATGACCGACCTCCAGCTGCCTCCCTGCACGATGAAGATTGATGACGAGACCCGGGCTCAGCTAGACACGGCGTCTTCCGGCAACGAGTTCATCGAAATCCTTCAAGCCGAGATTGAGAAGCAGGTGCCCCAGCGTAGCCGCAAGCCTCGCTCCACGAAGGCTCAGATGGAGGCAAGGAAGATGGCCAATGTCACCATGGCGGCCATCAGAAAGGCCAAGGCTGCCGCCATGAAGGCAGCGAAGCAGGCCGCGAAGAAGGCCAAGATCGAGGCCAAGATTGCCGCCATGAAAGCACCCAACAAGACTGAGTCCGACAAGACCGAGTCCGCCAAGACCGAGTTCACCAAGATCGAGTCCGACAAGATCGAGCCCAAGAACATTGAGTCCATGAAGATTGAGTCCACTGTCGAGTCCAACGAGGCTGAGCTCCACACTGAGATCAAGAGCACCGAGCCCAAAATCGTCGAGCCCAAGACAGAGTCCAAGCAACCCACCACCCCTGTCCGCCGCCGGATCATTCTTCGGGTCAACAAGAGTTCGTCTGCGACTGTCCAGCCGACAGAATCTTCTTCTACCACTCCCACCACTGATGGCCTCAAGGCCGCTATCAACTCTGTCGAGGACATCACCCAATCGAGCCCGACCAGCATGACTTCTTTGTGTTCTTCTCCGGGAGATGATCAGAAGTCTGAGGTGTCTGTCGAGACAGAGGCGTCAAGTGTTGAAGACGAAAATGATGCCATCTCCGTTCAGAAAAAGGAGTCGGCCGAGCAGGATGCGAGTGTGAGCGACGTACTGATGCAGGACGTTGCTGTTATCAAACAAGAGTATCCTCTGAGCGAGATGAACCTTGCCCAAGTCCCCAGCGCCGATACATTCGTGCCAAAGAAATCCATTGACCCTGCTGATGAGGGCGGCTACGGCGATTCCTCTTCGGATTCTTCTTCGGATTCTTCCTCGGATTCCTCTTCCGACGAGGACGAGCCTGTGGTCCCACAAGACATCATGATGAAGGATGTTACCGCCAACAAAATCTCGGAGCCAGAGCAGCCGGACTTGGTTGCGAAGATCATCGACTTGATGGCCAATGAGGGTGCTTCTGAGTGGGAGGCTTACAAGAAATCGGCGATGAACCTGGCCTTCCCCAGTTCTGGTGTTGCCCTCCCCGTCACCGACCGCATCTCGCAGACACTAAAGTTCTTCATCGACAACTCCGTCATCACCGATCTCGAGATGTGGGCCCATTACAAAAAGAGGTTGCTTGAACACGCCGCCACATGTGCCTTTGATCAACAACACATTGACGATCGCCGGATGACCTTCGTCAGAATCTGCTACCACTCCGAGGAAGCAATCACTCACAGTAGCAAATGGGGCCGTGGTATCAACTGGGAGAGACGTCGCGTTGCAGTGCGTATCTGCGCCATCCTTTCTGAGGTGACGGCGGCCGTGGACGAGGATTTGACCAACAACGGCATCGCGGACTGGGTTGCGAATGTTCTGGACGAGCTTGCGTTTATGGAGCTGATGCAGGGCCCCCAGGAGAGCATGTATGAGATGGGAGAGGACGACATGGACTGGGACGAGTGAAGATGCAAAGGTTCAGACGGATGAAGCTGGCAGTTGACTGTTGATTGATGCGCGCGAGTGATGATTGATGAAACATGATGATGACGATGACTTTGGGAACTGGACATGGCGGATGCTACAATGGATAAGGGACATGACACTTGCTATCATAGAGTACTGAACGGAACGGAGACAGAAAATGGAATATCGCTCTTACTTCACCTCATAATGTGTCTTCGTGCTTCATCTTGTGGTTTGTGATTTGTGGTTTCTGAATGCTGAACTGGTGAGAGAGGAGATAGTGGCCACGGTCCCCACGTGACAGCGCGTGCTAATCTGTCTTCGCATTACGCGCGACGCGAGGGGAAGGATATGACGACACCGTTCTCAACCCAACAGCGCGATTGCATGGGAGCGACTTTGATCATTTTGTATCATCTGATTTCAATTGATTTTTCGCCTGATAACCATGCCTCCTCGCAAGCGCACCGCCGACGAGTCAGTCGCCGCTCCCCGCCGGAGTTCACGGCGCACATCTACCAAGAGCCAGTACTTTGACGACAGCGACGAGGTCAATAGCAACGAGGTCGAAGAAGTCGAGGAGGAAGACCTGCAGCCGAAGAGGAAGCGCGGAAGACCCTCGAAAAAGCAAACCCCGAAGAAGGAAGAGTCCGAAGAGCCGTATCAGGACGAGGAGGAGCAGCAGGAAGATGACGATGAGGATTCGGACGATTCGGATGCGCCGCCAAAGGTGACGTTCATTCCATTGCCGAAACTCCTCGATAATGGCGGTATTGAGTATGAGGATGCGAAGCTGCACCCGAATACAGTCCTTTTCTTGAAGGAACTCAAGTCGAACAATCGCAGGCCATGGCTAAAGTGTACGTTCTTGACATGCGGAAAACCGAACAGATGCTAATGGCAACGTAGCGCATGATGCGGAGTACCGGCGCGCTCTAAAAGACTGGGAGTCTTTCGTGATGCGAACGACCGAGACTGTTATCGACGTCGATGAGACAATACCCGAGCTGCCCGCCAAGGACGTCATCTTTCGCATCTACAGAGACACCCGATTTAGCAAAGATCCTACACCCTACAAGGTTCGATCCTACGGTCCCGTTCGAATACCTCATGCTGACGCCTTCGTTACAACAGCCTCATTTCTCTGCCGCCTGGTCCCGCACCGGTCGCAAAGGCCCTTACGCCTGCTACTACGTTCACTGCGAGCCGGGGAAGGCCTTCATCGGCGGTGGCATATGGGGCCCGGCCGGTGATCAACTTCTCACACTCCGTCGCAGCATCGATCGACGGCCAAGAGCCTGGCACCGAGCACTTAACGACCCGGATTTCAAGCGTATGTTCCTCCCTAAACTGAAACCGGACGCCAAAGAGAAGGCCGCAATGCGTGCGTTCGCGGCGGAGAACAAGCAGGGTGCACTGTTGATGGCCCCATCGGTATGTAATCATACAAACTACATGAGTAATGTAGAGGTGGGCATGCTAAGGGGATTAAATAATAGGGCTACCGGCGTGACCACCCTAACATTGAACTCCTGCGCTTGAAGTGCTTTACAGTGGGAAAGAAGATCAACGACGACATTTTTACCAGCGAAGATGCACAGGAGAAGCTCGCCGAGATTCTCCGGCCGCTGATGGGGTTTGTAAGTGGTATCCCTGTTTCAGCATAATTGTGTTCGGAGCGCTTACGAGTGGAAAGGTTTCGTTTTTGAATAGCATCGTGATGCCAGATCCGAATGAGGACGAGGGTGGCGAAGACGATGATGATGACGAAGAAGAGGAGGAGGCAGAGGAAGAAGCTGATGATAGCAACCCCGAGTGATCTATAGGTAGCTAAGGCGGGACGTGTTTCTTGTATTTGTGGCGTTATATTTGGAAACATGGGGCTGCAGACCAGTAAGAATGAAGCTTGGATCTCTCAAATGTCACAAATGATGTGGTTCGCATTGGAGGTTGAAGGATGTCAGCTTTTCAGGAGTGTATAGTCCTGCGCAGCGCTGGAATGAAGCTTCCTTGGAGTTTTCTAGAGGCCGGCATACTTGTCCAGACTTAGAGGAATATTCTAAAACACAATGCACTGTTATTTGTATGCAGAAGGACCGTATACCGGCTTCCACGCCCCTTATCGTCGGTAAATGCGATTGTCTCTTGCTTGCCAGTGCCCTTGTCGTGGGCAAAGACAGTCAAGATACATTTGCGTCAAGCGCGAACATGGGGAACATTACGGAAATCGGGGGTTACCGGTATGCTTAAACTTTCCCAGGTTTATATTGCTCGTCTATTTGGCATCTAATAAGAGCACTTGCATTGAATACTGTGAAGGCATGCCAATCTAGGGTGCATTCCTCAGCTTAACTACGGTCCACCCTTGTAGGTTCATCACTCTCGCCGATTAACTCAACAGCAGATTCACAAGAAATACAACATATCGGTACCGTGAGTATATAGCTAGATCACGAGCTGATCTACTTATGATATACTTATACTCTTGTTAAATGTCTTTTTTAGAGCTTCTAAAGGGTTGATTTATTGCTGTTTTCCAAAAACAGACTCACGCCATATTTGGGTCTCGCGCTGATAAATTTCAGGAGGTAGACTGTAAGTAAGGACGGGGGAACAAACATAGTAAGCAAGCATGCACAACACTTATACGTCTGGCTTAAAGAATCCAGCTTTGATTGCTGAATGAAGTTCAAGTCTCAAATTTATGCGCTCTTCTACTTTACATGACCAATGTAGCAGACACAATACAGGGCGCATCCCGATTCATCACCAGCCAAACACCCGAAAACGTGGAGCAATTATGTTTCTTTTCCCTTTTACAAACCGACGTCTATGCATTTAAAGCTCATCGTGGAAATCCTCAGCCTGATCCTCGCCACCAGAGCCACCAGCACCCTGGTACATCTTGGAGGTGATGGGGTAGGCGACGTTGGACAGCTTCTCCTTCTGCTCCTCGAGGTCCTCGGTGGTGGCGTCAGCGCCGTTCTCCTCGAGCCACTCGGTAGCCTCCTTGACGGCATCGAGAATCTAAAGTGCATGTTAGTGACTGGAACTTCAAGTACATCAATAGGGGCTGAACTCACAGTCTCCTTATCCTCCTCGTCAATCTTGCCACCAAGGCCCTCCTCATCATTGACCTGGTTCTTGAGGCTGAAGGCATAGTTCTCAAGGCCGTTTCGGGCCTCGATACGCTCACGGGTAGCCTTGTCCTCCTCGGCGTACTTCTCAGCCTCGGCGACCATACGGTCAATCTCCTCCTGAGTAAGACGGCCCTTGTCGTTGGTGATGGTGATAGTCTCCTGCTTGTCAGTGCCCTTGTCATGGGCGCTGACCTTGAGCAAGCCATTGGCATCAAGTTCGAAGGAGACCTCGACCTGGGGAACACCACGGGGAGCGGGGGGGATGCCAGTAAGCTCGAACTTTCCGAGGAGGTTGTTGTCCTTGGTGAGAGATCGCTCACCCTCGTAGACCTGAATCAGGACAACGGGCTGGTTATCGGCAGCGGTAGAGAAGATCTGGCTCTTGCGAGTAGGGATAGGGGTGTTGCGGCCGATGAGCTTGGTCATGACACCACCGGTGGTCTCGATACCGAGAGTCAGGGGGTTGACATCCATGAGGACGAGCTCCTCAGTACCCTCCTCGCCGGAAAGAACACCAGCCTGGACGGCAGCACCGAAAGCAACAGCCTCATCAGGGTTGATACCCTTGGAGGCCTTCTTGCCGTTGAAGTACTCCTCAATGAGGGACTGAACCTTGGGGATACGGGTAGAACCACCGACGAGGACAATGTCGTCGATCTCGACCTTCTTGACATTGGCATCCTTGAGAACCTGCTCAACGGGCTTGATGGTCTTCTTGAAAAGATCCATGTTGAGCTCCTCAAACTTGGCGCGGGTAAGAGTCTCGGAGAAGTCGTTGCCCTCGAAGAAAGCCTCGATCTCAATGCGGGTGCTCATCTGAGAAGACAGGGTACGCTTGGCCTTCTCGGCCTCACGCTTCAACTTGCCCATGGCCTTGAGGTCCTTGGTGATGTCGACGTTGTTCTTCTTGTTGTAGGTCTTGGCGAAGTGGTTGATGACACGCTGGTCGAAATCCTCACCACCCAAGTGGGTGTCACCGGCGGTAGCCAGGACCTCGAAGACACCCTGGTCAATGGACAGGAGAGAGACATCGAAAGTACCACCACCGAGATCGTAGACAATGATCTGTCGCTCACCGTCGGTCTTGTCCAGGCCGTACGCGATGGCGGCGGCGGTGGGCTCGTTGACAACTCGGAGGACGTTGAGACCGGCAATGACACCGGCGTCCTTGGTGGCCTGTCGCTGGTTGTCCTGTGGCCAAGTTAGCGATATGCGCGCAGATCAATTACTGGGAAGTAAACTTACGTTGAAGTAGGCGGGGACAGTAACGACGGCGTGGGTGACCTTCTTGCCGAGGTAGGACTCGGCGACCTCCTTCATCTTGCCAAGGATCATGGCAGAGACTTCTTCGGGAGTGAACTGCTTGGCAGCACCGTCGACCTGGACCTGGACGACAGGCTTGCCATCGCGAGAGACGACCTTGTAGGGGAAGTGCTTCATATCGGACTGGACATCCTTATCCGAGAACTTGCGACCGATGAGACGCCTATAGAGAGGGTTAGCGACTGTGTCTTCATGCAATTGGGGCGTTGTCTGGAGTTGCCTACTTGACGTCGAAGACAGTGTTGGTGGGGTTAGAGGCGGCCTGGTTCTTGGCGGAGTCACCAACGAGGCGCTCGTCCTCGGTGAAGGCGACGTAAGAGGGAGTGATTCGGTTACCCTGATCGTTGACGAGAATCTCGACCTTGCCCTTCTGCATCACACCGACACAGCTGTAGGTGGTTCCCAAATCCTGTAGGTCAATGGTTAGCATGGTCGACTCCAGAAGGAAGCTCAGAGCGCAAGCCAGAGCGCACGGCGCGGGGCACGTACAATACCAATGACGGTGCCGTAGTTGTCGACATCATCTGCGCTGACAGTCTGGACAAAGGCGGCAGGAGAGAAGATCAGGGCGATCCAACAAAGGAGTCCCAGGCCCAGGGCCATTGAGCTCCTTGAACGAGCCATGGCGGGAGAGTTGTGGTTATTGCTTCAAGTCAAGCAATGCGGCAGAAAATAAAGGGAAAAGTGGTAATGTGCTCCAACGCAGTGAGGTTCTGTATCCTCAAACTGGCGTATTCAATTCGGGTGGGAGGGGTATCGTGTGTGGTTGAAAAAGTCGGATTTGGAGGGCAGGAAGGAAGTCCGGAGCTTAAGAAGACCGTCTCCAAAAAAGTTGAGGTGTCCAGATTGCACAAGAGGCCAGATTTCACATCACCCGCCACACCCCTTGGCTGTGCCCCACGTGACAGGGGTCTATCCAGTGGGGTGCGCGGGTCTGCACTGTGCGGCAGCCTTACCGCAAGTGCCTGTGTCAGCCGGCGCACCAGTACCGCTGCCGATTTACTGCTGTAGTACGTCATCCCCAAAGGTGCTCACAGTGCGAGGATAGAGTTTTTGCACACCGATACATCGGGTAGCTTGGGCACCCTGGCAGCTCGAAGCCCCAAGCGCTCTAACAGCCAGCGCCTCAGCGCCTGCCGCCGCATCGCATTCCGAGGAGCCACCTGTCGCCCACTGCTTTTGCCGCTCTGCGCCACCAACAGTCTGACTTTGCTGAGTGGGATACCTTGAGATTCTGACTCGAAGCTACGTCCATCAAGGGAAATCAATTCTATAGCATTCTATCGGCGGCAAATAGTGACTCACGCTGCCGCCGCCCGGCCGGCTGTGACAAACAAACCTTGAATAGTCCGACAAGGTGGCTGATCCATTCCGGAGGCCAAATGGGTCATCGGCAGCCGTGTAAAGTGGCCTCTTCACAACTCTTCCAAAACACCTCCAATTTCGAGAATATTCCTAATAGGGCAGTGGGGCTCTCGGAGCCACGCTACCGATCCTTTTTGCCTTTCTAACACGAGAGAGGACCTGCTACCTGTCCTTAATACCGGCCGAGTTCAAACCCACCCATGAAATCCTTCGACGGAGCCAACTGACGAAACCTTCCACAACCGGACCACCAGCACCCTTGTTGCTTGCCGCTGACCAAAGGAAACGTGGCCAACTATGCCGTGTTACCTTGATCCTCTCCCGGCCACTTGCTTTACAAATCACTCAACTTTTAACTGGCCACTGTGTCCGTTGTCTAGGACGAATAGGCCAGCTCACCTTATTGATAACCATAAATTGAAGCAAACTCCTGGTCTCCCAAACGATAGGGACGTACCCTATACCCAGCACCACGTCAAGGAGCGAGACACAATAGCGACTCGAATATAGGTATGAAGAGGGCAAAATACAAGATTTTATTCGATCGGTAAAATGATTGGGCTGAAGTAGGTAGACTGCCCCTGTCACGGCGTTGAGCACATCGCTGTGAATTAATGTACGCGTATAATCTTCTCTAGGCCAAATCAAGAACCAAAGGGATCGCTCTAGTGGTAGACATCTGCACCCTTCCACCCTTGCATTTGCAGTGTCAATACACTTTTCCTGTTGACTTTTGCAAATTTGTCTCACTTTGCTGTGGTCTGACGACTGCTAAAAGTGATCTCACTAAACTGAACTCAAACAGGATGCCGTGACCTACCTCCAGGTATTATTATTCAACTGCACTCTCGCGCCAGTGTCGGTGATCTGTCGTCCCACTAGGTCGCAAGACTTCCTCTCTTATCCGCCTCACTCGATCTAGATTTATTGTTCTTAGCCCTAGGGGTCCCTTGGCCTTCGTTTCTGTTACCCTCACTCTCGATCCATCGCTCGAACAAGCGCTTTCCCAATTGGTTGTAGACTAAGTCAACCCATAGGAAACCTTTCAGAACGATCCTGGTCTCTGCCCAAGTTTGGAGACCAAGCACCGAAACTGTCTGCACCAAGGCCACTTTCAGCCACTCCTGGTCGGAGTTCTCAAAAATAGACAGACTCGAGATAAACAAGACCCAGAGGAGAACACTGGCTTGCTCAGGAGCTGGAGGGAACTCTTGCGCTAGGATGGCATTCTGTAACCCATTGACAAGAAATGTCATCTTGGGCCCGAGGCCTTCAATTTGTATAAGAAGACTTTTCATGAAAGCCATCATGCAAAGTCTCAAAAGCTCCGACATTGATGTCGGATCGAACCGGAGAGCGACCAGACGGGATGGAACAGAGGTGTTGAGTCGAGAGAAGAAGGCTTCTGACATCTTCACTCCAGTTTTCGTCGCTTCGTTTGCGACTCTCGAAAAGACTCGTAGATCAGCCCATATGTTCAAGAGTCGTGGGTCTGGCCGTGGATCGATCATGCTGAGTTCTGGTAAATTGGTCACTGATACTCCATGAGCAATTTGAGGGTTCCAGGATATGTTCTCATTCATGAACCTCAGGCTGCTCCCAGTTGCCAAGGCCAGCCCGAAGTCAATTCTTCACAGTATGGTTAATCAAATATGCCAGCCGATATTGTGGAAGAATATGCCGTACTCACCTTTGAGCCTTGTGTTCGACGATACTTCCCTCACGGAGCGTCTGTAGCCCACCACGCAATTCAATCATCCGACGGAGTCCATTCATATGCTTCTCAACTGTTTCGAGATCGCCGAGGATGGCGGCAGCGGCTGCCAGCGATATAACGACCGTCATTGTGGAAGTCGTCGTCGCTTCATTGTCGTCCTGCAAACTTTGCTGGAGATGGAACAACGTCTTTGCTAAATGGAATTGTGCAGTGGTGCCATAAACCTGTCCGAGTGATAGATCCCAGAAGGCTTGGGAGGTGAATAGGATGGAGTGAAATAGGGCGGGATGTTGGGAGAAATTGGAGAAGCACAACATATCAGTCCTTTGACCTTCAACCAGAGTGACCTCTATGGTGTAGGTGGCTGGCTTGATGATGGTGAAAGCTAGCAAGAATGTTGGATGGAGAAGCTCAAGCAAGGGCTTTGGCAGGCCACTGGTGAATGTCGGGGAGCATACCTTTTCGGATGAGATCCATCATATATGGTCTTAACTCCTCTACATACCCGTAAAGCTGGATCTCGGAGGCAATCATCCGGGGTGACATAAGACTCCATTCGTTTCTTTCATGTTGGCTCTTCTCTGTCTGGAGCCCTTGGATTCTGGCATTTTGTGAATTGTCTTGGGCGACCGATTCAGAATGCTTGACTAGCTCCTTGGTGTGTCTCGACTTGCGCGTATTCTTCCCGCGCATGACATGGCTGCGGATGAACTTGCGCGTCTCCTTATCTGGTTTGTCCAGAGATGTACTAACGATGAAGAGACCAGACGCCTGGTCTGTCATGGGCCCAGGTCAACATCGAGCCTTGCATGGAGTGAATGAAGTGGATCGACGTCCAGAGTGTACTTACTAGCCGCGGAAAACGAGGGCTGAGTCGGCATGGGCATGAGAATCACCCAATAATAGGGCCAGAACAATATGATTTCATGGAAGTTAGTCGCAGCGGATGGTCACAGAGTCATGCTCTCGATGACATGTCCCATGTAGTCTAGATTGTTTGCCAGAAAGAGAACGGCTGCCACGGTATGCTGCCGCTTACGTAGTACATCGGCAGGTCCTAGGCTGCTGCCGCCAAGACCAGATTGAGTTCCCTTTTGGGAATGGTGTGATGGTCAGGATCACCCTGGAGCCGCTTGTGGCTGCTATACTGTGCAAGCTAGAGGCATGTTTGGGAGTTGCCATTGTCCCGCGCCTCACAAAACTTGACCAAACCTGGGAAACAATTCAAATGAGCCGAAAAGAATGACGTGCTTATCGGGCCAAAATCCTCCCGTGCTTGGAAATCTTTGCAAATACTGGGTCGAATACTGCGGCGAGCGTCTCTCTTGAAGGCTATGAACCCTTGCACTGTGATGGTAAACCCATGCTCATTGGCTCTCCGTCGCCGTCTCCCTTGTCCATCGATGGCTCCCAACTACCTCTGGAATACAACCGGGAAAGATATCGTATGGTGGTGCATGGCTGAAAGGAATGGTACCTGTGTAATATTGATCATGTGGCTGGCCTCCTAATTTCTCTATATAAACCTTCTACCCACCCCAGAGCCCTACCCATTCTATCATCTTAGCATACATAACATTTTGCGTTGACAACCCAACCGAGCCCATTATCGAATATTCAACAACTTCCTCCTTTTATACCTCAACATGATCTTTGGCAGCAAATCTGTGTCCTTCGACCCAGAGAAGGACATCCCGTCCCTCATCGGAAAGGTCATCCTGGTTACAGGAGGGAACGCCGGCCTTGGGAAGCAATCAGTCCTCGAGTTTTCTCGGCACAAGCCTAAGCAAATATGGCTCGCCTCACGCAGCCTCGAAAAAGCTAAGGCAGCGGCCGACGAGATCAAGCAACAGGTACCGGATGCACCAATCACGCTTCTGGAACTGGACCTTGGATCCTTCGATTCAGTGAAGAAGGCATCCATGAGGGTTCTATCCGAGTCAGATCGTCTAGACATTCTCATGCTCAACGCTGGCATCATGGCGGTCCCCCCAGGCCTGACTAAAGATGGCTACGAGATCCAGTTCGGAACGAATCACATGGGCCATGCACTCTTGACCAAGCTCTTGCTACCAATTTTGGAAAAGACGGCCAAGAGCAACACAGGGGCGGATGTGCGCATTGTTTCAATGACATCGTATGGGCATACATACGCTCCCAAGGGAGGGTGTCGCTTGGACACGGCTAAGACCACGGCTGACAGCCTGGGAGCTTATGGGCGCTATTACCAGAGCAAGCTAGCGAACGTGCTTTGGATAAGGCAGTTGGCGAAGCTGTATCCTCAGTTCACAGTTGCAGCTATCCATCCAGGCGTGGTGCGTACCCAGCTCATGGATGGTGCGACGGCCACGCCGGCGGTTGTAAGGGTCTTGGTAAAGGTTGGAAACAAGTTTCTCAAGTCTGTCGAGCAAGGTGCCAGAAACCAGCTTTGGGCTTCGGTGTCAAATGATGTCAAGAGTGGGGAGTACTATGAGCCTGTAGGTATTGGGGGTTTGGCGAGCGACGACGGAAAGGATGATGGCTTAGCGAAGAAGTTGTGGGATTGGACCGAAGAGGAGCTGAAAGAGCATTCAGTGTAACTTTTTGTAATTCAATGTTTAGGTTAGAAGAGTACGATACTTCTCATATGTTGACAATGATACGCCTTGAGTTCTTGATCCATGTCTGGGCGGCCACCCTCAGATTAGAGCAAGTCGACGCTAACTGATTCTATTGTTTCGAGATTCTCAGAGAATCACCGCGCATGCTAATGCTTGAGATGTTCGTAGCACCAAGTGAAAACTGAATCTGATTCTACGCAGCCGCATAATACTCCGGTAGCTAGGATGACTGGAGCCTTGCTGAGAACTGATGATGTATCAATAACCTGCATCTTCACGTAGTATATCGTAGAGGCCTTTTGTAAATTTCATTTATGTAGCTTTTCTCTCATGTATTTAATCCAGGTACAATGCCTTCCATATCCTATGCTTACTCTAAAAGGCCAGCCGCGATAGTCTCGCCTCCACTCCGAATAACAACCCTTTGCCCTGACTCCAGAGGAGCCTTGGATGCTAATTTGACAACAACTCGTGCAACATCGCCTGGTTGCACAATTCTAGGCTTCTTCTTGACAATTGAACCACTGGCTTTGTCGAGCGTCGCAGTGATGGACTGAATCTGGCCGGCGGCATGCAGTCGCCCTCGATGAAGGTCCACAGGCATAGGCATCAGATGCGCGAATGCCATGGCTTTAAGGGTAAACGTATCGCTGCAGCTGATGGGTTGCGTCTTGTGGCAGAGCATATCGCCGACTCGTATGTGGATCGGGTCAATGTTGGTCAGGGCGATGCTCACGCTTTGTCCTGCAACTGCCCAGTCCTGCACGTCAGAGTCGACCATGATCGACTTGATGTACGCCTCCTCGCCACTTGGTTGCACCAAAACAAGGTCACCAATCTGGATAGACCCTGAATCAATGCGGCCAGCGATGGTGGTCGTTCCTAGTTGTGACCGGAAGACTTCTGAAATAGCCATTCGGAAAGGCTTCTTCAGAGCCCGCGCAGCCGATGGCTCTGAACTTTCCAGTGCCTCAATCAAAGTCGGGCCAGTGTACCATGATGCCGCCTCGTCCTCTGTTCGCTTAACAAGATTGTCTCCATTGAGACCCGAAATCGGAATGAAGGTCACGTTCTTGCCCTGGAACCCCAGGCCAGACAAAAAGCCTCCGATGTACTCGGAAATCTCATCGAACCGTTCCTGGTTCCAGCGGATCACATCCAGCTTATTTACACCGATGATCAACCTTTGAACACCCAGGCTTCGAAGGAGTAGGATGTGTTCCCGTGTTTGGCCCTTCAGTCCCTTTTCATAGGCCCCAGTGTCTGCATCGATGACGAGGATTGCAAAATCGGCCTGACTGGCTCCGGCAATCATGTTAGGGACAAAGTCTCGATGCCCCGGTGCGTCGAGAATCGTAAAGTTGGTCTTATCGGTTTCGAAGTGGTTGGTGGCGATATCAATGGTAACACCTCGTTCTCGCTCTTCGCTTCTTTGGTCCATAACCCATGCCAGAGCGAATGACTGCTTCCCGGATTTCTCAGCTTGCCTTCGATAACGATCAATCGTGTGTTTCTCCACAAATTTCAATTCCAAGAGTAGGCGGCCCATGAGAGTACTCTTGCCTGCATCAACATGGCCTAACGACATCAGTTTCGATTACGCAAAATATTAGACTCCTTGACTTACCAACAACGACGAAACTGATGCTCCTCTTGTTTGCACTGTTCTCAAACTCTTTAACAACGTCAAGACCCTTGCTCTTGGGTGGCGGCGCATCGCTGATTTCTAATGCTGAAATGTCCTTGGCAGCTTCTCCTTCCGGAGTGGCCTTGTCTTTTTGAGACTTCTTCGCTGCCTTTGGAGCGGCCGCAGTCTTCTTCCCCGCTGGAAAGGAATTAGAATTAGCCCATCATTTCGTCCTTGCAAAACTCGAACCTTTCGCCTGAGCCGCGAGCACAATGTCGTCTGGACTTGGCTCGGCGAAGGCCTGGGCAAAAAAGGAGGACGAAGATGTGTACGGCATCGCGTAAACATCAGGTCTGTGCGATCCAAAGACTCCTGGAGCAGGTCCAAAGAGAGTCTGAGCGAATGCAGATGGAGCAGCTGTTTGGGTCGGGACCACAGATTCATCGGGTTTCGTGAGAGGACTGACAAGCATGTCGGCATGCCCCCGTTCCAAGCCGCCTGGAACGACGCCGGCCTCTTTGGTCTGGTTTGTTGATTGAGGAATAGAGGAATTCGGGGGCGCCAACGGCTGGGTATGGGATTGCAGAGTAGACTGATCCGTGGTCTTTTGTCGTTTTGCCAGGTCGGACATGGGTGGCTTTCGGTTTTCCTTTTGTGTTGAATCATCGATGGATAGTTTTGCGATGCCCTTTTCTGTCTGCAGTGCTTTATCCTGCTCCTTCTTCTCGTCGTTCTTCTTTTTCCTTGCCGCTGCGAGGGCCTGAAGCTTAGACATCTTTGGTGCGCCTTCGCCACCGCCGAGTAAGCCTCCCCGAGGGCGGACAGGCTCGATGAATACCGCCAGGCGGTCTTGCGGCACGTTCAACCACGGCATGTCGTCAAAGAACCCGGAATGAGAGACTTTAGGACTTTGAATAACCGGAAAGTGTGAGGTGGGTGGCAGAGGTCCAATGTCGTAACCCAAGCTGTCTCCATATGCCCGACGACCGTGGCCTGCTCCATTTCCTTGCACAAAAAGGCGTTGCGAAGCAGAAAGAAATACTGCGCTAGACGTACCTTCTGGAGCCTTCTTTGTAACTGGCTTTGGTGGTGGCGGGGCGATGTACGTTTTCATGAGGTAGGTAACGGACTTGTCGAGATCGTAGTAATAGTGCCATAGTGCCTCCTGGATCTGCTCTGTCGTGACTTTGTTGGCCTCGGACCCAAGAGCTCTTAGAACCTCAGTGGTGCCCTGGGTCATGGCGGCTCTGTCCTCAGGGCTCAGCTCATCCTCCTCCTCGCCATAGTCTTCTCCGTCAAATTCGGACACGATATCATCGGGGTTGAACGTATGGACAATTCGATGGCGCGACATGGTTGAGTATATTGTTCGTAATCGGGGGCAAGGGATTGGGCGTGGAACCAGAAAGGAATGGAGCGCCTCGCGGGCTTAGATGTGGATGGGGGAGTGGTGGTGTCAAGCTTGAGCAAAAGAAACGAAGCCTGGATGGGTATCTTTATGTAGGAAAAGAGTCGTAAATCGTGGCGAGGTTTCCCGAAATAGAGAAAGCCAACTTGGGACTTGCGGCGGACGTAGGCGGTTTTCGGCACCGTTGTGTCGCCGGTTTGGGTTCGGAGCACAGAAAGAAGCGAAACGAAACGTGAAGAGGGGCCTTCAAGGTCGACGTCTGAGGTCCAAGATCAAGGGCAGTCATGGGCTCATGGCGGGGCAACAGCGGGCATTTGGGCAGCTGTGGCGGGGTTGAATGATGCAGTCACGCCGGGAGGGGCCTGGTAGAGTAGGTGAAAAGTTCACGCCACAGTTGAGATTTATTAGAGACTAAGCTTAATATGGATAGAATCCTGGAGGCAGCGCCGTTGAAGAAGCCCCAATTCGGCTTAAGGTGTGTGCGTAAATTCCCCCTCCACGTGAACGCTTGGGGCACTCCACGACCAGGCAGCCCCTGACTGCCGGACTTTTCCTTTCACCGCCGCCCGAAGTTGATGCGGTGGGTGGTGCAAGGCAACCCCAAATCCTCAAAAAATTCGGGCTTGATCAAGAGAAGCTTGGAAGCTACAGTCTGCCACCGTACTTCGTGGGATCTTGTTTATTTTTGCCGTAATCGCCCCGTTTCTAGCGAGTACAGCTCCCCGCGGTGGACGACCGACTGCCAACATGGCGATGAGTGAGTCTCGCACAAATATATTGTGGAGGGGTTGAAGCTAACGAGGGGACAGATCTGGATGTGTCGAATGGTACTGCCCGCCCGACGAGACGACCACCCCGAAGTTCCCTGGCTAACCATGCTCACAAATAGCGGCGGTGATGAAGGATGAGCAAGGCCGACCCTTCATCGTCGTGAGAGAGTGCGTTCATGTTCCCTCCCCGCCGAGCTCCCCCTCCTAACCGTTCCCAGTCAGGGGAGGAAGAAGCGCCAGTTTGGCAACGAAGCCGTCAAGTCCCATATCCTCGCCGCCCGTACCGTCGCGAACATCGTCAAGACTTCCCTCGGCCCCCGAGGCCTCGACAAGATCCTCATCTCCCCCGACGGAGACATCACCGTGACGAACGATGGCGCTACCATTCTGCAGCAGATGGAGATTACAAACCATGTGGCCAAGCTATTAGTTGAGCTGTCTAAATCGCAGGATGATGAGATCGGTGACGGTACGACCGGTGTCGTCGTCCTCGCTGGTGCTCTGCTAGAGCAGGCCGCCGACCTGATCGACAAGGGTATCCACCCTATTCGCATTGCCGACGGCTACGACCAGGCCTGCGATATCGCTGTGGCAGAGCTTGAGAAGATCTCCGATGTCATCGAGTTCTCCAAGGAGGAGACTTCTAACCTTGTCAAGGTTGCCCGAACAAGTCTGGGAAGCAAGATCGTTTCCAAGGCTCACGACCAGTTCGCCAACATTGCCGTCGATGCCGTTCTCTCCGTTGCCGACCTCGAGCGAAAAGACGTCGATTTCGAGCTGATCAAGGTGGACGGCAAGGTTGGAGGTGCTCTCGAGGATACCCTTCTCGTCAAGGGTGTCATTGTCGACAAGGACTTCTCTCACCCCCAGATGCCTTCCGAGGTGCGCGACGCCAAGATTGCCATTTTGACCTGCGCGTTCGAGCCCCCGAAGCCCAAGACCAAGCACAAGCTTGACATCACCAGCGTTGAGGAGTTCAAGAAATTGCAAAACTACGAGAAGGAGAAGTTCATTGAGATGATCCAGCAAATCAAGGACACCGGCGCCAACCTGGCCATTTGCCAGTGGGGCTTCGACGATGAGGCCAACCACTTGCTGCTCCAGAACCAGCTCCCCGCCGTCCGGTGGGTTGGTGGCCCCGAGATCGAGCTTATTGCCATCGCTACCAACGGCCGAATCGTGCCTCGATTCGAGGATCTCAGTGCTGAGAAGCTTGGCCGAGCTGGCATAGTGCGAGAGATGTCGTTTGGTACTACGAGAGAGAAGATGCTGGTTATCGAGGAGTGTGCGAATACCCGAGCTGTGACTGTCTTTGTCCGTGGCAGCAACAAGATGGTAAAACAAATACTGACCCCAGTGGCCAAGAACCAGCTAATGATGATTAGATTATCGATGAGGCGAAGCGATCTCTGCACGATGCTCTCTGCGTGGTGCGAAACCTGGTGCGCGACAACCGAGTTGTTTATGGCGGTGGTGCTGCCGAGATTGCCTGTTCACTGGCAGTCGAGGACGCCGCTGTCAAGACTCCTGGTCTGGAGCAGTACGCCATGCGAGCTTTCGCCGAGGCTCTCGACACTGTCCCCATGACCCTGGCTGAGAACAGCGGTCTCAACCCCATTGCAACCCTGGCTGAAGTCAAGAGTCAGCAGGTGAAGGCTGGCAAGGAGATCCGAGGACGACTTGGTGTCGACTGTATGGGACAGGGCAGCAATGACATGAAGGAAGCTTTCGTCATTGACCCCTTGATTGGCAAGAAGCAGCAGCTGCAGCTGGCCACACAATTATGCCGTATGGTCTTGAAGGTCAACAATGTCATTGTGGCTGGAGCCGATGAGAACGAATGGTAAGCCAAGTGGGAAGCTGCCGGGGTTAGATCAAAAGCATGTATGATGAATAGAACCTGCTTCTTATCCTGTCAAATGAGGTCATGTATAGCCTATGTTGTGTTCCAATTTGCGTTCCAATGAGTGATCATACTGGTCGGGATGTATGTTTACAGGACGATGGCCCCACAGCTAGGTAAAAGGAAATAGGCCACCTGACCAAACTAATGATGGTATGCCTATGCTTGATGCATTTATTGTACATGTCAAAATTGGGCACGGGCAGCAGAATAGTAGATGCGCGTGGCTGAGACTCTGTCTCGGGTCAACAATTAGGTTGAAGCTGCTGGCGATGAAGAATGGCCTGTGCTGCGGATGAATGATGCGCGTCATCCTTAATGCGGCCTTCAATCAACACTGGAACGGAGTTTCGCCTTATCATCAAAGTCACCTCTTCCACAATCCCACAATTTACGCGTCAGACCCCTCTCAATATTCGTGATATATTACCCTGGAGATCTACCAGTGAGACACCGTCCCATGTCGGATCATTCGGCCTCCGAGTCATCAGCAACTCCAGGCCCACCAGCACCAGGGACGACGAAGCGCCGCCCCATCCCCAGAAAAGGCCACACCAAGTCCCGGGGCGGATGCTCCAGTTGCAAGAGGAGGAAGGTCAAGTGCGATGAGGTCTCGCCAGAATGCGGGCCCTGTCTCCGCCTGGGGCTCGAGTGCGAATACCAGCCGAAGCAGCGTCGTAGTCCTGTCGAACCGTCAACCAGCGTGAGCCGGCCGTTGCGGACAACCCCAGCCATGTTCGATGTCAATGACATGAATTTCTTCCGGCACTTTTTGTTTGAAGCGTACCCGCCTCTTCCCATTGATGGGTTTTCCGTGTGGCAAGATGTCTCTCGGCTCTCTCATGAAGTAAGCCCCTCTCAACGATCATTGAAGCATGACTTACAATAGATGGACAGTATGACTTCTTGCTCCACTCCATGCTGGCCATTGGTGCTTCCCATCTAAGTCTGGCATCACCTTCAAGCTATGAAAAGTTGGCTTTGAAGCATCGGGTCACTGCCATCACATCATTGAATGAACACCTGTCAAAACCCAATCTCTCGACACACGACGCTGAAGCCGCATTCGGCGCCATGCTTAATCTGACCTTCCAGGCAGCTTACATGGCGGACGGCCTGGTTGACTTTCTCACCATGGTTCGAGGCTGTATGGATACCCCGTCGCCATCTCTCTGGCACTGAAACTTACTTGCTCCACAGGTTTCTTAATAGGCATGCATTCGCTTCCGAATATCGAAATATCCAAATTCAAAACCCTTGCGAGATCTTCTTATATCGTCAAGGTCCAAGAACTTGTTCGTTTCAGCACCTCAGATAACCGTCTAAATAGCATCATTGCCGAGGAGTTCTGCAACAGCACCAGGCAGATTAGCCCCATGTGCAAGAGTGTACCGGAGTTGCGATATCTAGCGCATATGCAGAAGATAGCAAGTCTAGCGGTCACGGACCCTTCTCAGAGTATGTCAAATGCTCTTTTTCGTCCTCAAAGAGTGCTAACATCTCCAAGGCGTACATGAACTCTCCTTCTTCTATGAGGGGCTGGTCGAACTCACATCTCAAGACTTTTCTGTCTTTATCGATCCAGAAAATCACGTGTCTCAGCTCGTCATCATGCACATGCTCGTGCTGGACTATGTCATAAGCCGAAAGACGGTGTCTGAGGAAAGCGCCAAATACGATAGAACCGAGGGATCAAATAAAGGATACGACTGCCGGAAAGGCATGTCCGAGATTTGGATCGACCAGATGCTGGAAAGGCTCCCTCTCGAGTACCAAAAATACGCCGAGTGGCCAGTCAATTTTGTTCGGGGTTTAAATTACTCCTTTGAGCAAGACCATGACGTCTGGAGGCCATTCTTGTTAAACAACGGGACAGCCACCATGCCCTCTGAGCGTGGAACCTTATCAACTATTTGAGAGTAAGTTAAGCAACCCATGGGTTTTCCGGGTCTGTATTCTAACTCCAGTCTCCAAGCCACCCTGCCATCACAGGCTTGAACGTTGATAGTCAACGCCGCATTATCGGGCAGAGATCCAACAGTACGGATCCATTGCCCATATGAATTATATCTTGACGTAGACGGAGACACTAAAGATTCCCCAGTTGTTTCTTTACCCTCTTCTAGAGACTATCTTGCGAGATTCCAACGGGACCTGAAACTGCCAGCTTGTCTATCCTCTGGACGTGAAGCCTACGATAGCTACTGTCTTCCCTGAGGTGCGGTACTACATGTATGTCTCTATTGTTTACAGATACTACATGGCTTGGATCTATCGATGATATCGAGTAAAGCTAAGAAGGAAAAAAGTACTCAGCAGCTCCTGTGTGTCCCACTCTGTATAGCTTTTGTCATTTCTCAGTGTGTACCTAATGACCTTAACATATCCTTTAGGTCAATGTGGTCGATCCGCCAGACAACTCGGTCTCATCTGACTGAAGAGCCTTGCGTCGGGCACCGTGCTTTCCCAGGTAACGGCTTGGGTGATAAATGCAAAAGATGCCAATAGCGCCAATCATTGGTACACACTCAAAGACCCAAAAGAGCCATTCGGTGCGGAAGGCATATCCGTTCATCCCCTCGGCAAACTCGCAGACACGATAGATGCATCGGACCTATTCGAATCAGCACTGTCTTACCCGAACCCCTGGAGTAACTCACCATGATCAAGCCACTCGAAATGTACACAGCTCGGACTACAGTCTTCCAGCCCTTGGGAGCGTCTTCGACTTCGAGCTGATTCCCAAGGACATGGAACTTACGGAATAAGCAAAGGAAGACCGCAAATGCGATGAGCTGGAAAACTAATCCTCCGATCAAGACTCGTCGTCCGATCCTTTCTCCGTCCCCTGTCCATTCATCCGTGCTTGCGATTGCTGAACCGGCACCCTGGACTGAAAAGGCGATAACGTCGCAGACTACGAAAATCGGTGTAAGATGTCGCCCAGGTATCTTGAGGATGCGGTGGTTCGACGGTGGCAGGACGGATATGATGAGACGGCTGATGAGGAGGTAGTTCCCTGCCGCGATGAAGATTGGTGCGAGAACGGTGAGGGAGAGAGTTATGATAAAAGGGGTCTATTTGTCGTCAGCCTCTAGAAGGAGGGCAGGGAGAGAGTGGCAACCGTACCAACGCCGACTGGCTTTGGACTGAATATGCTCGAAAAATGTACGCCCCAAGTTCAACGGTTGCACCAATTGGAACCACAACAAAGTACCATGCCCGGTACTTGATGAGTGTTTGGTAAGAGGTTATGATGAAGATAATTCCATAGGCGACGGTTCCGAGGATGGCGAGGGCAAAGGATGGATTGTACATCCAGATCGAGTCTGATTCAGCCATTATTGAAGCCTGGTAAAGGAGACAAGGAGGAGAATAATTTGTGTAAAATGCTGCAGGCCTGAATAGTATTTGGCTACATTTACTACGATAAATCTCCTACTTCTTCTTCCTTGCGAATGCTCTCTTTATACTACCTGGAACGCGAAGCCACGCAATTGTCGGATTGAAAGCGAGCACCTCCCACGTCTGAAGTTATTCACCGCGCATGATTGGCGCTGACCATAGGCCACTGAAGATCTTCGGGGGGACCTGCATCAGCTCTTACATGAAATTCATTCCGTGTCGTCGCGGCTTGGAAGCGACGAATGCGAGGACCAATCAGGGGGCCTAAATACCGGGAAGATTGCCCTTGGCGCCATAGGCTCTGCAGTTTACACTTGCCCCGGCTTACGACATGAGATGCGGCTAAAGTTGAGAAATTAAAGATTGGATCGTGCGTCCTTCGTTTGCCGTATTGGGCGAAAATCAGCATCATCGCTGCGTGGGCGATCATGGTATCTTCGTTTGCCGAATCCGGCGACACTCCCCATGATTGCCGTGCTTGTTGATTACACGCGGGTCGGCGTCATCTTGAGCAAAGTGATAAGAGTTCTAGGTCCAGTTAAAAAGCCGGTTGGCCTCTAACATGTGAAGGCTGGCTTGAAAACTCTGCTAGGGAAGTCAAAGATACGCGATCATGAACACCCGGGTGTCCACAGCTACGGTGGCATCATGAAACAGTACAGGTCAAGGTGAACCAGGCATGAGCTAATCATGCATGCGTGCAACGAATCCTCACGCGATGAAGTTATTCACATGGGCGAGACACTCGCTCACCTTTGGACATTCTGAGTCGAAATTTCTCATTGTGAGGTCAGGAGGCATATGATGGCGCGATAAAGTCGCAACAGGCATCCAGACGCTTGTGATCGTAATCATCCGTTGTCGGCCGGGAACGCTTGTGGCAACTTTAGGGAGGGTAAAAAGGGTGTGCGCTAGGTACAGATGTACTCAGATCCACCTCCAGGGGTATCAGGTTCCCTCATTGGGATGATACCCGGCGGTTAGTTATGGCAATTGAGGCAGCTGATTGGGATCTGGGCCGCGGGGACGGGCTGGGTGTCATGGTGTTGAGAGGTGCATGAAAGCGTGACTGTTCTGGGGTCATGACACCGCAATAGCGGCCAGGCGACAGGCAATACCGCATGAAAACGGTTCACTGACCAAGAAAATGCGCCTGGAAAATGGAAGCGAATGAACATGTTTTTCGATGTAGATTTTGAGAATGACCTGTGTCGGGGAAGAAGGAGATTCCCGCCGCCACCGGGAGGCCAATGCGAGGGTTGATGGGTGGATGGCAAGATGACTGCATCGAGCTTGTGTCTGGCCTCGCGTGAACAGAGTATTTTCGATACACTTTGTTACTTTGCTACTTTACTACCTACTTTGCCCTTTTCCATGTGAAAGAAGCTGACCTCGTCTGACCGGTTTGGCCTCCGTCGCATCTCGCCTTCAGCCAGCGCGCGGCTTGATCAGGCAGCCCCCGTGCGGCGGTGCGGCGGTGCGGCCCTACCCTGCACTGCCACCTCTGCTTGCCAGCGAGGAACGGTCAGGACCCCCCCGGATGGAGGCTGCCAGCTGGTTGAGTGTTGCAGGGAGCAGTTCCTCACCGATGGTTTTGAGTCGCAGCCCGAGACGCGACAGCTGAGGCGCCACTGGGCGAACTTGAGGGGGGAACGGAGGCCACGCGTGGTACTGCGCTGCGTTGGTGCGCATGTGAGTGAGTCAAGCTTGGCCGCCGTCTGCATGTATGTCCCCGTGTTTGTGGATCCCGGCGGGCTGAGATTAATTCATTGAGGATGGGAAGAGGAAACGGTGAGAAAAAATGATTTAATATTTAATGTATTTGATTTATTTAATATATTCTGGATGGACTTTCCGTTGTAATGTTGGATATTCGGCGTCGACTGGAGGTCTGGTAATGGGGGGAGTAGAGGGGCTCGATGCACTACCGACCCCAAGAATACCAGCATAAAATAAACAACCATCACAAACCCCGCCGGCGTATTCAGCAGTGGGAGAACCATTTCTAGCCCCAGGGCAAACCAAACGGGCATTACGGTGGGAGAATAACTAGTAAATAACAATATTAATTAAAATAATAATACCCCCAGGCTATTATTTAATTCCTATTTTATTTTATCTGCTTTTCTTTCTTTATCTCACCGTCCTAGGATCCAGCCACCTCCACCTCCACCTCCACATCGCCACCCCCCGTTTTCCAGCCCAATGTACCTTGGCACCAGGGATTTCCCAGCTTCATCAGCGACAAAGCAAAGAAAACAAGCCTTGGCTCAAGACCCAATGCCCGCTGTTTCGGGGAAGCACCCACCCGAGCCGGGTTCCCGGGCTCACCGCCCGTGAGACGGTCGGGAGATGATGCATAGTGTGGGCGTTTTTCCGAGGCGTGTCGATGAGCGGCAAGGCTTGTCAAGGGCTGGTTCAAGGGCGGCTGGTTATTTTGGGGGCAACTTAGAGGTCATCTGCTCGCTGGGTGATGAGCTGGGTGATGAGCTGGCAAGCCCACCCTCCCACCATCTCGACTTCTGTGCTCCCACCCCGTCCAACCCACCCATCTTCAACTTTGCAGTTCCTCCCTCCATCACGTCAACACCACCTCGCTCACACCTCGCACACCTCGTACACACCTCTCAGTCAGTACCTCTCAGCACAACTCTTTCAACACTCTCATTCAAGCCCTCAACAACACCACCCCTCCGCATTCGTTCCACAGTCCACCATCCCACACCCTCAAACACGGCCCCCTCCCCCGGCTTCCTGTACACGGCCACACCACAAGCCTCCCGCCATTCTGTTGGCCCTGAACTCCCTGGCCCCCATTCAACCTTGACCCTCCACACCTTAATTGAGTAGCCATTGTCGCATCTGCTGGCGCCCTCGCTCGCCTATCACAGATCACGGGACGCGGCCCAGGTCCCTCTAGCCCTGTAATATGCAAGCCGAGTCGATGACGGATGGCACCTGGCATTCGCCAGCCCGCGAGTGACTGATCGATGTTGCAGGGAGCTAAGGAGCAGCCCACCACGGCACTACGGTGGAGCGCGCCATCCCACAGACTGCCGGCTGGTGGCTTGTGGTTGGCCTTGGCGTGGCGGGCTCTTCAAGGCATTCATCCCTCGTCCATCATCTATGCAGGGCTGTTCATCCATTGTCCAGCTCGCCGTGATTGCTTGGTTGGCGTTCAAGGCTTGAAATTGACCTCCATCAGGTTGGGTTGTTTGTATCCCCTCGTTTCTTTTTTTGATGTCTTGTGTGTTGGCTCTCCCCTCTTGGTTGGCTCTATTGAGACTCCATGTCCTTGCATCTTGCTGTCTTCCCGATGTTTGCTTGTCCACCAGACCTCCTGTCCCGTTAGTCCAAGTTGATATCTCACTCGGGTGCCACCACAGCGCCACGGATGGGTCTCGTATTGAGCAGCAAATAAATCACTTCTCCGCCAATACTTCCCTCCCATCACATCCGGCTGCCGCTTTCGGCTCTTCTCTTTCCTCCTCACCATCCCGGTCCCATTTCAGGCTCTCATCCAAATTCAACATGTCATAATCGCCGACCCTGTTGGGAACCGAGCAGCCCTGTTGTCACAGGCTCACAGGTACACTCGGTCGATATTCGGGACCTTGCCTTCCTGTGTCAATGTGAGACGTGCCCTCGGCTGCGACTCGTCAGCCTGGGCATCAGCATGGCTTGGCTAACAGACCCCCTTGCTGAGGTATCGGTGCCATTATCCGCGGTACTTGTGATAGATCTGGAGGCCGCCTCGAGAGCGTGAAACCTCGACAAGGTCACCCGGGGAGCTGGGATTCCTTGTTCGTCGTGAGGTACCACCAGCCGAAATTGGGACTTTTGGGGCTTGATATCTCTTCTCTCGACGATCCGTCAGCCACAGCACGTCGTCCCCCACGGAGCACAACACCCGTGACTCATTATCCGCAGTTTCGTTTCTTATTCCGACAATACAACCGCCCGGTCATCATTGGTTGAACCATGTATCTCCACGATAGCCATCGGTTGTTCCAGACAAGTGGACGCGCACTTTGTGTTCCCTCCACTGCAGCGGCATCACGCATCGAGTCCCTGTTGCGTCCCCGCGTGTCCTTGCCACTCAGGCTCTCGCCTCATGCAAGCCATCATGCAGGACTCCACTGCATGTCACCCTGACCTCCACGCGGTGAGGGGGAATTTATGACTTGAAGAGCTGACTTTGTCGCCTCTTTGTGCGCAGGCTGGACAGGCTGCGCCCTGCTTACCGTGCGCCGAAGCAAACAAAGCACCCCATTGAGTGTGATTGATTTGAGTAAACGTGACCTTGATGTCATTCAAAAAGGAAAGATCTGATCACCGGTTTCAACGTCTCACCGAGGAGTGAACGCAATCTCTGAAGAGGTGCCATCGGTACTAGCCCTCTTGGCAGATGCTCTTTTAGTCATGGATTCATGGTTTGTTTATGGGGAAGAAGCCAAGTAATACGATGTTCTCATTTAGGTATCTTGGGTGTCAATTTTGTGATTCGCTTGCTCAAGGTGAGGCATGCCATTTCTCCGACTTGCGTCTGCGGGCCATCTGCAGTATTCGCCGAAAGCGAGAGCTCGCCGATTGCACCGAGAGACACCAACCGTTATATACGGTCGAGAATTTAATCCTAGGACTCAACGAAAGTATTTTCCCATTTAAGTTGACGTTACTTGTCTGCGGACTAATCCTTAGGCCTACAATGTCGATGAGCTTCGGATACCCAATTCAATTTAAGTTCCTCACCCACGTGAACTCGAATATCATCGCACAGATTACTTCGGTGTGGCTTGTCCTATAGATCACACGCATCTGGGTGTATAGGAGCCATCTTGAGTGTTGAAGTCTACGCTTGGGGGATATGAGGATGCACTCATTGTGTTGATCTGAGCACCTCGGACGCGGGGACAGTTTTCTACTGACTTAGCTTTGAGGGCGACTTTCTAATTGAAATTTCATGAAGACCCGTTTTGACCAACTATGGATGAGGTGCTTGATGCATTCGAGTTTCCGAAACCCACTATTGGACAATTCTAAGTCTGGTAGCTCTGCAGGGACTCTGAGTGCTGAGGGAGGAGTCAAACCTAAGGTACGAAGCTGTTGACTCACAAAAAGACGCTAAACGAAAATCACGAATTGCCCCTTGATGACTCTGATGGGGAATCATCAATATTGGGTTATGACACAGACGCAAATCTCTTGACTGGGTCTAGTAAGCGGTAATTCTCCCCATTTCCCCAGTTGGCAGGCGCAATAGCTTGGAATGACGCGCTGTGAGTCACCGCACTAATTGTCCCAATTAGCTCCCGCTGGCATCTGACCACATCGTGGCTCGCTTTGAGGGTGGGGCGAACGAGCCGCATCAATACTTCGCCACAACCAACTCCATCTCCTTCTCAACGCAGTTCGAGACAATAAAACGTCGAGTTGACCCGCCTCATCAACGTCTTGAAACAGGCAGTGCCTTTACTTGAGACTTCATCACATTCTCATTCTATTGGCGCCGGCGTTTAGCTTTCCTTTGTGTCTTCCTTCATTTAGTTTGCATCACCACCCCGTCGTCATTATTCCGCTTCCTCCGCAGACAGCCGCAACTTCAACATCACCCACCATGATGTCTCTTAAGAGTCAGAAGGATGGCTCCCCACAGACCCGTAAACAGGCTGTGGCGGAGCCGTCCTCTTCGCGCATCGTACCGAAGCCTGTGCCAGAGTCGCAGGCCCAGGACCCAAGGCGGTATCAGATCGAGCAGCTGCGTCGACGATACTCGCCCAAAGAGTCCAACGCTCCCAATGGAGCGACCTCGTTCGTCTTCAAACTGGCGCCCTCTGACCCGGATTTTCCGTTTGAGCTGGCCCACCTTGATTGCGACATCCGCGTTCCGTGGGAATACCCGGAGGAGAAGCCGGTTCTGTTCGTGAAGAACAAGGATATCCCGAGAGGGTTCGGCATCAACATCGAGAGGGGCTGGGAAAAGCTGGTGGAGGAGCGACCCGGAGCCACACTACTGGCCCTCACCCGAGAGCTGGACAAGAACCTGGAAACGTTCCTGTCTGAGCAGAAGGTCGATACGGTCAAGCTCGTGAGTTTCAAGGACACGAGACATTTGGACGCACAAGCTGCGGAGGAAACCACTGCTTCAGTTGCGCCAACTCAGCCAGCTCAGCCAGTCAAACCAGCGCCATTGGCATATGTCCCGGAACCTTCTTATACCAAAGATCAAATTGGTGCTGCAAAGGCTAGGCGAGCTACGGAGGTGCGCCAGCTTGAGGCACGAATGGGGAGGATGCCAACGTATCGTCGATCCCCAGATGGCATCGTGTATACTCTACCCATCGAACCGAAACGGCGGTCTGAACTACCCTCTGGATTACAGGGAGTTCAAACGCTTCATCTCATCATCCCTCTGATCTATCCGCTGCAGAATCTTCGGATCCAGCTGAACGAAGTGAACAGCGATGATGCCGAACCGTTGGAGGACATCTTTTCCGAAAAGGCAGCAGAGCAGCAACATATGACGCTCATGAGCCACCTGAATTACCTTGCCCAGAATCTTCACAAACTGGCAAAGCAGGCGCAAGCCCAGGTCCAGGCTCGGGCTCAGGCCGAAGCCGCCAAGGCTGAAGTGCTGCAAGCCACAGTGGCAACCCAGGAAGTTGAAGAAGATGGTACTGAAAAGTCAGTGGCTTCAGGGGAGAAGAGTCACATTCAGGTCATCGCACGTCCTCCTGAGTGGAGTTTGGTCTACGGAGACGACGATTCGACCGACGAAGATACTGATCCTGAAGATGAGGGCCAGGGAGGTGTTGTCCTGGGTGAGGAGGACGTTGAGACAGCGCCTGTGATTACTGATATCCCTGAGCGGGGAACCATGATGTCGTTCCCGTCCATCGAGCTTCACGGTATTGAGATCATCCAGGTCTCCATCTTGAGCCTCAGCGTCAAATGTGAGCGATGTAAGACTCTCAATGAAGCAGGAGGTCTCAAACCCGACGTGGAGAAGCCGTTGAGCTGTAAGAAGTGTGCGTCCCCTATGGCTGTTACGTTTAGGGCACAGCTGGTTCACGAGCATTCGTCGAGGGCTGGATTCCTTGATCTATCTGGATGTAAGGTGGCAGATATGCTGCCGAGCACCTTTATTCCCACCTGTGCGCGATGTTCTACGCCGAGTCTCGGACTCGTTTCGGTCCGGGGGGAGACGGTGACAAACGTCTGCCGGGACTGCCACGCCAAGTTTACGTTCAAGATTCCAGAGGTCAAGTTTCTCTTCATTACACCAGGGACACTCCCGCCGCCTATTACGGGCCCACGACGCAAGCAGGAGAAGCTTGGTTTGCATGCGGGAGAACCGCTGCCCAACAAAGGAGCATGCCAGCACTACCGCAAGTCGTACCGGTGGTTCCGCTTCTCGTGCTGCAGCCGTGTACACCCGTGTGACAAGTGCCACGACGACGATGAGGACCATGTCAATGAGTGGGCGAACCGCATGATCTGCGGGTGGTGCAGTCGGGAGCAGAACTATGCAGTCGAGGCATGTGGCTTCTGCGGACGGAGTGTCATTGGAAGGAAGGGCAAAGGCTTCTGGGAGGGCGGACGGGGAACTAGAGACCAGAGAACCATGAGCCGTAAGGACCCAAGGAAGCACAAGAGGATTGCAGGAAGCCAGGCGGCAAAGAAGGATTAGGGCAGCGTATTAGCGACGGCCGCTGATGGTGATTGCTGATGGCGAAAGGTCGTGGCCATGTCCTTCGTTGGTGTACTTGTAGCTGAGATAGAATACATGTGAAGCCACCAGCTGCCAAGTATCGTCACGGCGATCTCAGCCGCCGGGCCGTCACATCACGACTATCAAGACGCATTTCGGCCCCCAATCACGACTGCTGAGCTCGCACCGTCACATCACAAGTCCCGTCGCGCAGCGGCTGCAGCCGCGCCACCAGACGTCGCAGCCGCTCACTCGCAGCGAGCTGCTGCATCCGCATGACCCGCGCCGGACTAGTCACGCATGCTCGGCATGCCATTCTTGCGCTTCCCGGGCTCGCACACACAGGATCGGCAGAAGCACGCCAAGTGTCAGCCGTGTGAAACGACGAGGGGTTTACGCGGCCGGCGTCTATGGCACCCCTTCTAGTTCTATTCTTGGGGGCCTCTCTTTTGCACGTATCCGCCGGGCTGTGAGATGTCATTCGTTTCTCCTGGTAGAGGGTGCGAATGCCGTGCTACGGGACGATGTGATTCGCAGTGGCTCCGTTCGCAGCGATGGCGGCGAGTTGGAGGGCGGCCTTTTGTTTTGGTGCGAGTATGGGCGGCTAGGTGTAAGTCAGATGGCCGTGGTTGGGCTGTACTCTGTACTATCTCTGCGCAATGTTCCCCAGACTGCTATTTCGAGATAATACAATTAATCATTTAATCCAACTAATAATTAATTGATCTCTTCGAAAATAATAAAATCGATTAATTGATTATTTAGTCAACATGATTAAGTGAGATACGGTAGGTACTTCCGAGTAACTCACCCTCGACCCTCCGTCCCCAGTATTACTGCATCTGCTCCCCTCCTCGATAAGCCTCACTGGAAAACCTCGTAGATTGCGCATTCCCTACTGGCAAGAATACGCGGTGACCGCCGGGGAAGCCCCCGAGTGATTCGGAGAATCGCGGAAATGGCCGTTGATCTCTATCGGTGTGCGGCACTTATCGCGCTGCATGCGGAGAAAAAAGATGAGTGTTGAGGCTGGCCGGGGAAGTGGGCCAACGAACTTCCGGAGGTCCACGGGTTTGGGGGAGGTTTGCCGGCTAAAGTGGTTGGTGTTTTGTTGTTTGCGTGCGCGGGGAACGAGGAGGGGGAAAGTGGAAATCCGGTGGAAATCCGTTGGAAATCCAACGCCGGGGATCGGTGGGATGACTGGGGGGCTGGTGTGATGAGGGACGAAGCCGCTTGGAGGAGATGGTTGACCGGTGAGGGGACGGCGACATGGTGTAGGGGTTGAGGGACACGGGTATGGCATGGCGGTGATGCGGTGATGCCTGGAAGCCTGGGATGAAGATAACTATCGGGGACTGATCCGTAAGAAAGTCGCCGGGCCTCTGAGTAATACAGACATGACTATAGACTGGCTGGGAGAAACACGCACAGAGCGCACGGGCAAGCCTCATCTGGAGGATCGTACAGATACGGATACCTGATACAGGGCAGGTCCCAGATGCGGATCCGCCTCATCACCAGACTCTTCAACGGCCAAGGAATAAGCCTGATGCCTACCTATACATTACCACATCGTGCTGCGGCAAGGGGTTTTAAACTCTCGAAGTAATCGCGGCGAAGGGATCAACCCGTCACGGGATCCCACCTGAGGAGCGCTCCGACACACACGGTGCACGTCGCGATCCTCCAAAACCTGCGACTCCTCCGCGAGATGTGAATGTGACGGCATCTGCAGCCTGTAAGCCGGGGGGCCTCACGCGGAACCGAACGACCCCAGGGCCTCGGGCGCGGTGCGGCACATTTTACCTTTGTATTCCCTTGTCTGAAGAGCAAAAGGGCAACAGGAACAAGGCCCCCCTTCCCATGTTTGCGCGTGTGCGAACTCGGGGTGCAGCCGCAGGCCGCCGCCGGCCCCCAGTGTCCGGAGGTGCGAGCTTCCAGAAGAGGAAGTTTACCAGAGGGCTCTTTTGAAAGAAGGGAACGGCTCAAGCCCTGGGGGAATCGAGGGAGGGGATGGATGGGGGCGTGGTGGTTGCTGGCCTTGCCGGATTGGATCTGTCAGGGCCATCATGGGGGCGTGCCGGGGCTTTTTGGGTGACCGACCCCGGAGGAACAGAGGGGAATGGGTGGTGGGATTCCGCGCGGGATGGACGCTTTGGGCTCGGTGATGAGATGGAGGATGGGGGCGTGGGGTGGGTGGTATCGAGATGCTGTGTGTGAGTGCGTGGGCGAGGTGGTGGTTTGTTAGTGGTGGTTTGTCCGCCGCGCTGAGGCAGTGAGGGTTGGGAAGAGAGATAACGGCATCAACAACCATGGCATGTCAGTCCAAGCGCGAATGGCGGGCTTCTGGAATCTTTGACACGGCACACGAGCACAGGTGTCTAGAAAGGGAATGTCGAGAGTAAGTTTGCGAGTTAGGTGGTTGGAGCATGTATCCCCCTTTGGCCGTCCATGTAGACTGTCTGAATCGCCAAGTATCTCCTTGGCGTTGCTGGCCTCCTCTTTCGAAACCACATGGCTCGTCGAGTCAGTAACTCGCATCATGCAAGGTACTGGCCTACGATCCATCCAACCGTTCGTCAGGACGTGCAGCATTTCTCCTCGGGGCGATTCAAGTCGGTCCGGCCCCGGCTCACGATTGCGTTCTACGGGCTTTCTAGACCGGCAGAACGTTGCCAGTGTGTGTGTGTGTTGATGCGTAGTGGATGCAGCCGCAGGTAGAGAGACCTTCGCCATCTCCGTGACTGTTTCTTCCAAATGTCATCGGGATCCACAGCCCACGTCGCGAAGTCTCAAAGCACTGAGGCAAAGTGACGCTGCCTTTCATTTAATCCGTTCACACAGACCAATGCGGTGCGATACCAATCTACCCCACAGCGTTCCGAGACACCTGGGCCCCATGGTAGGACCCTGTTTGCAGGGCGTCACAGGACCCTTTTTGGGGCATTGATTGTGCCTTGGGGAGGGAGGGGGACCTGGCTGAGGGTATTTTGGGAATGGAGAGACTGCTGCGCAGATGAGCATGATACACTGAAGAAGCCCCATTTCCCCGCTTGCCATGAGACCACATTGGGATTCGTGTCGTCATCGACGCCGAGAGCATGCTGAACTGGAGATGTGGTGCATTGATAGCAATGGCGGTTTGCGATAGGGGGCATGTCAGTATCGAAGTGGGCAGATATACGACCAGATGACTCGCGCCTCATTCATGATTTGTATGCTAAGTTTGGTGTCACCTTGCGAGTGGACGCCTCGCCTGGCTGAGTTGTGGTACCGCGCTGCGCACAATGGCAAAGGCCCCATCCAACTCCCCCTTTCGCCATGCGCAAGTGACGTTGCCTCTTTTACCGAGCAGTCGTCTGCTATCAGAGGCATCTTCCGACCGCCACGCGGGACAGAGAGACAGCGTGACCACGGATGAATGTCTCTCGTTGCTTTTGGCTGGCCTGGCTTTCTTTAGCGCAGAGGCCGCCGCCGCCTCTTTAAGCCAAACCGACACGTGAATGGCTCGATAAGGCGGCCGGGTGCCCTAGCGAGAGCCTCGTAGGGGCGAGATGTTGCGCTCTGGGGCACTCAGACCAGCGGCGGATGGACGGGAGGGCCGCCACGGACCGCCACGGGAGCGTCACAGGACGGACTGGCTGATGGCGTTAAGTTACTCTGCACTACGGCCTTGGATGCGATTGGGACGAATGCACGGCAGAGAAAGCTGACCCCCTGGTGTTTTACGCCATTGCTTGGCAATTGTTGCTGTTGTTTTGTGCCCGGACTGGCAAGATATCCCACCGCCATTTTGTTTTAGCACTACGTGATGGGCGCAATGCGTGCGATGTAGAGGCGGTTTGTCACCTTCCGGGGGGTGCGGGACGCTTTGATTGTTACATTGGTGGGTGGCCTTGGGGGGCGTGCAGGCTGTGAGCTGAGGTAAGGTTAGGGAAGGTTACAGTGGTTGCAGCTTGTGCCTTGGTTTCTCCGGCGCTTCTCGCGTTCGTCGTCTCGCCTTTCCGACAAATATTATGTACCTACCTAGGGATGTAGGAGCTGCCTTGGTCAACTGTCGTCATTGTCATGGGAAGGGAATGTGGGAAGAGAGATCCGTGTAAACCCCGCTTCCCTCCCTGTTTTCCCGCTGAAGAGTCCAGTCAACTGGCTGTCATGCTCCCACAGGCCGCCCCCAACCTCTGCCATTGGCCTGTGTTGCGTGTTGCAGGGCTCGCACGTCCAGTTCCTTGAAACCCAGCCTCTGGACCGCGATGGCGATGCCCAGGACACGCGTATCAGCGTCGTTCAGGCCTCTGGCTCGCAGGGACCGGCCCCTTTCGTCTCGTCGTCTTCGTCGTTTCGCTGTCGTCCGAGTCATCCCACCGCACGTGGCCAACTGGAGACGGCCTCCGTCACACCATCAGGCCCAAGCCTCTTCAACTGTCGTCGGTCAGCCTTCCCGACGCATCGCGACGCCTGCCCCTTCTTGAACTCCCGGAGCCAGCCCCGGCGGCCACAGACACCGACACGTGCTCGTGACGCCCCCGCGGCGATTCATCTGATTCAGCGATTGCCTCCCCTGCTCGCCGCGGCGTGGCGCCGCGCCCAAGTGACAAGGCCTCTCCAGCGCTCCCCCCGGCTATCTGGACAAGTTCACAACCATCCCCGTCGAGTCAGGGGCCCTTTGCTCTGGCCCCGTCAAGCCCCCGTCAACCCTGTCGGGACCCGTCCGGGCCTCTCCCGCGGATGCCTTTCCGGCGCCAGGGCCAACCCCCTGGCCTGTCTGAGGCCGTGGTCATGGGAGCGTTCTTCTAGAAGCCGTGGAAATTGGGTAATTGCCCGCGACCCGGCTTGTCGGTGGGAGGGGGGTGCGTGGGGCCCTGGTTTGATTTATCGTCCATTTTATCTCCCTTTTCTTTTCCCCAATTTATTGATTTAATCGAACCTGGTCAACGGTGGCCCGATGGGGGTCGTGGATGCGAAACGGTGGCCACATTGGGATCACACCTGGACAGGCCCAGCTGTCACAGTCAAATACAACACTGAGGAAAGGGAGACAAGTCGCATCGAATGTCTGATGCTTGGCGTATTACGAGAGTTGATGACATTGCTGCTGGCTGTTGTGCAACCTGCAGTCACAAAAGCAAGAAGTGCTGACGGATGGAACAAGACCAACAGCCCGACCAAAACCAGTCGCTGTTCCGAAATGCCGCAGGCTGCTTCCGACCACCGGACTCCCATCTACCGTCTGAAAATACATGTGAAAATAATTAAAACGAAAAGAAATAAATTCATTCGGCCGGAAAATGATAGCTCGGAAAACCCGCAACAACGAAATCACGCGGTCCGTTCCACCGCGTTGGTAACTACTAGGCTCTGCCCCCTGGCTTTGACACCATCGCCTCCCTGCCTCAGAATCACCGCCTTTGACAGCTCCGACTCTTTGGTCTGCCACCAGGGAGCCTGCTCAATCTCATCCCGGGAGCTCGTTAGCGTCGACGGAGCACGACCCGGGAAACCGCCCGACCCGCCGCCGGGGGATACCTCGTTTTATTTTGTTGCTTGGTAGCTAATAGGCGAATTCCCGAGACCCAAACCGGTGTTCATGATTGGACATTGTCTACCTTGCTGGTAATACCCGTGGTTTCGTGTCCAAGGGTTGGTCTACTCCATAGCAGCGCTCCCAGTGTCTTGGGTTCCGTCCCTGATGGACCCGACGAGGGAGACGCTGGGGAAGGATCGAGTCTTGGGACACTGTTCAAGTCGAAGCGAGGAGGCGTGATTTCCGACCAGACAGGAGTCTGTGACTGGTAGTGTGGTCGATCTTGACAATGGCTTGTAGTTGGAACCTAGGGTCATGAGACTAGCTGACCCGGAGCCGTCGCCTTGGGCCGCGATGCTAGTAGGGAGTGCCGACAGCAGGGGAGGCCACGAATACTCCCGAGAACTCGGGACAATACTGGAGACATCACCTGGCTTTCACCGGGGCTCAAGTCTGGCCCCGAACTTTTGACATTGCAACGGTATCAGATATCGCCTTCTCCGTGATCACCGGTCAGTAGCTCGCTTCAAGGTGGTTGGGGGGGCCCTCAGCAATCTCGCTCCTTCAGCTTGCGGTTGCGCTGCCATATCTAATTCTCAAAGCACTGGCCGCTAGAGGGTGGCCCAAGAAATGTTTTCATCTCATCTTGCGCTCAAGCTTGGGCCACGATGAAAGGGATATCTCGCCATTCCCAGCCACGTTGTTCATGCCTCTTGACACCATCTCCGGACTTGACGCCATCTACGGGTGTAGTGCTGTCCCGGGTCGCCAATGCCCCGAGCTTCGTTCCTGGGGCTTATCGAGTTTCTTCTCCGCCTGGGGGGAGCCGGTGGCTTGGTTACGGAGTGGAGGGCCCGCCTCATCTGGTGGGAGACGGGGGCATTTCGTACATACCGCCAGAATCCCTGCCACGGCCGCTATTGCGCAGCCTGTTACCCAGACGGAGCTTAGGGCCGTGACCACGGCATCGAGCATGGCGGCGTCCGCAAGGCCCCCGGTCTTGAGGGAGTGTCGAATTGCCTTCATCGTGTCCTGGGCCGCGTCTTTGCCGTGGCCGAGCTCCTCGAGTCCCAACCGGAGCCGGCTGGAAAAGACGCTGAGCCCAATGGCAACGCCTAGGCACTGACCTGCCGATCTCAGGACACAGATCATTGCGATGGCGTGCCCAGCGTCGACTCTATCTACCGTTGCTTGGACACCGACTGACATGGCCGGGATTACGCTGCCCATCGCAATGCCTAGGACCATGGTGATTGAGATTAAAGCCCCGTCGGGCATATCTTGGTCAATGAGAATCATGAGGCCGAGCGAAACGATGGTTAGGCACCATCCGCTTAAGAGAAAACAGCGATAGTGTCCCGTCTTAGATACGACAATTCCCACTACCAAAGCCATCGGGGCCACGGTCAGAGTGGCCGGGAGGGCCCAGACACCCGTCATGGCTGGCGAGAGGCTCTTGACTCCGAGATAGAAGAGAGACATGTAGTAGAGTACCATCCACATGATAACACCGTGGATCATCGTGTTGACAAACTGCATGATCGTCGAGTAGTTGCGGAACATGCTGGGACGAAACATGGGGTTCTTAGCGTACCACCTCTCGTAACCTCCCAGTGTGATGAAGCCCATGGCTGAGACCACCATCGGGGTGATGATTTGGGGGGATTTCCAGGAGAAGGACGAACCACCCCAGCTCAACGGGAGCAAGAGGGCCACAGCGGATATCACGAACAGGGTGATACCAATCCAGTCTATTTGCGCAAGTAGAGGCCAAACTCGCTGCTGAGGTTTGTCGTATCCCAGTAGAATGGACGCCCCTATCACACTCGCTCCCAGCATTGGGAGGTTGATCCAGAAGATCCATCTCTACGCACAAGTTAGCCTCTGCTAGAATGAAAACCTTGGAAAACATACCCATCCAATATTCTCATTCTGCGTAAAGACACCCCCAATAAGCGGCCCTGCGATGGTTCCCAGAGCCCAGGGGATGTTCAAGAATGACACCCATCGCGCTCGCTGGCGCACGGCGAACAAGTCCGTCAGGATCACAGCAGACAGCGCCTGAGGGCCTCCAGCACCAACACCCTGGACCGTGCGGCCGACGAGGAGTACAGTGCTGTTCCGGGCGAGGCCACATACGATCGTGCCGCCGATGAAGATAGCCAGAGACCCCAAGTAGGCGGGCTTCCGACCCACGACGTGGGACAGCGCCGAGAAGATGGGCTGCGTGATGGTAGTAGTCAACAGGAAGGTTGTGCCCAAGCTCAAACTTTCTGATACACTTGCGTCAAGATCCGAAGCAATGGCCTTTGCGGACGATCAGTGGCTGCAGGTGTGAAGTGTTGGTGTAAAGGGGGTGGAGGAGGGTGCGAGATGGTGGAAGCTCACCGGAAGGGTGACACAAATGCAGGTTGCGTCGAAGGCATGGGTGAGAGTGACGAGACTCAAGACAGAGAATATGAGGATGTTTGATCGTTGCGTCTGCCGATTATCCTCGGTGGGTTGGTTCTCAACCAGTGGTGAACCGCCGTTCCCATCGGATGTCGAACTGGCGGGCTGCTTCTCAGGGGTAGGAGAGTCCATGACGGGCTGGCCAGGAGGCGACGCTGTCCTTCAAAGATGTTGATGACGAAGGATGAATGGGAAGAATGAATAACTCGAGAGATTTGTTGATTAGGGCATCGATACCCTGCTACCGAATTATCGTTCATCTACGTCAGAAGGCGCGGCTTGTTGATGGGTGTCGTTCGTGATAACCTTCATGGAACCTGCGGCCACGAAGTCAACATCACGAGAGCGCGAAAACTTACCACGTACTCAGGGGAATCTCAACAGAAACCTTGATAGCGAAGGGAGATGAAGGGTAGTATTTGATCCCCCGTCATCGGCCATCTGTGGAAGCGTGAACCTGCCTCGTCAACATTCCCCTGCAACATCCCCTCGTTCTATCTGAAGACACTCGCCCACATTTTCCGCGCACTCGCGCCCCTTGGAGTACATCACCTTCAAAACATCACTTGCACGCATCATGGAAACATACGCATCATCCACGAGCGGCCCGGTGCTCTTCTGCGGCTTCGTCATGTGCATAATCGCCTGGTGGTCGGTGTTCCCGGCCGTCGAGGCAGGCCTCCGCAAGATCAACCCAACGCTCTACCACCGCCTCGACAGCGAGTCCCGCACCAGGAAGCTTCTCCCCATGATCATGATGGCGATGCGTGTGGTGCTCGGTGTCCTCGTCACTTTTCCCTCGTGTTCCTACGCTGCCCTCACCACGCCTTGGGGCGTTGACAAGCAGCTCTCGCGCGCCGGCGACATCTGCGTTGCGTCCCAGTTGACTGTGTGGGCGACTGAGCTGGGAATGATCAGAGACTACTCGCCCGAGTTGTTCGTGCACCATCTTGTCTGCCTCCTGGTCTCGATCAACGTGGTGCTCAGTCCACCGATTCACCAGATCAAGATGCTGTACATCTTGTTTGCATCGCAGCTCGGAGATCTAGGACCAGGGACGATTGTCGTCCTCAAGATGGCCGGACTGAGACCTGAATCGTCTAAAGTAATGTACGGCGTCGTGCTGGCGTCGACCTGCTGGCTCGTCATGTCCAAAGTTGGCACTGGGTTTTGGTCCGTTGGAAACGCTCTGCAGTCCCCATATCAGATTGCCGATTGGGTCTGGGCATTCTGTGTTCTATTTTGGGCCTTGTACTCCCTCTTTGGAGCGTACCGGAACCTGAAGTGGCTCAAGATGGTCAAAAGCAATCCCCTGCGCCCATACAGCATCGTCTGTTTCAACAGGGTGACTCTCCCGACGTCCCACATATTCCTTGGGACGGCCTTTGGCACGACTCTTCTGTCTACGCTTTTCATCTACGGCATGAATCACACCGAATTCCTCACCTCCTCTGATTTGACCAAGCTGCCTTTGCTTGGTCTGTTGGGAGTGGGCCTGGGTCTGACAAGTGCCATGGGAATGAGGGCTGTGTATCCTGTCAAGGCTTCTGAAACAGACCCGTGGGGACGAGATCTGTATCTTCACTACGGGATGCTCGTCGTCGCCGGGTGGACGTACTCCATCTCCAGCTCAACGCTAGATATTGGGAAATCGGCAATCCTGGGTGCGCTGGCACTCAATGTGCCTCTCTTTCAAGCCCTTGCCAAGGTTTCCTACTACTACTCCATCAAAGACGCTGCAACACACTTCCTGCCTCCCGACCCTGAAGACGAAGATGAGAAACCCATCCTCGTGGCACCCGCCATGGCCAAGCTTGATAAAACAGCGACCAAGGCACACCTTGGGGTGGCTCGCGCAAACCTGACAGTCTTCCTCATCTCCGTCGGGCTCCTGGCTTGCAAGGTCTTGAACCTGACTGAGGCTGGCACGTTGGCCTTGGGAGCCTCGCTTATAAGCCAGCTAATTCGGAGTCCTGGTATGATCTACGATTCCCTTAGCGACTCAAAGGTTGCGCCCTTTCTACACGCCTTGCTTACGAGCGTAGGTGTTGCAATTGAACTATGGATTCTTGTTTACGAGCTTGCTGCGCGTCAGCTGCGCTCCGACAACGCCTCCTACTCGGGCATCATCTCCGACTACGCTCTCATCGGCGCCGTCATTGCAGCTGGCTTCGCTTCGGAAGTACTCCTTGCGGGCAAGCAAAAGATTCGCAGGCCAGCATCGAAATCCGCAGCACCTGATGCCAGGCCCAAGAAGAGTCAAATTGTGAGCCCCATGGTCTTTTCCATTCTCTGCGTCTTCGTCACACAATGCTTCATGGCGAAGGAGGTGATTCGGTACTCCGGCCCGCAGGTCTTGCAAGACCCAGGTGTCTGGTTCAAAAACTTCCGGGACATTCTTACCAGCCTGAAGGTATGGGCGGCCGTCGTAGCCGCAGGTTCCATGCCTGTGGTGTTGTTCAAGGCCCTAGGCTTTGAGGCTGCGAGGTCTCAGGAAGTGGTTGCGGAAGCTGATCCGGAAGAAATGAAAGCAAATTAATGCTGCAATAATTTTTAAACTAGCCGGCTTAATTGATTATTTAATTTTCAATTAGTTTAAACGCTGTTCACTTCCCCTTCCTGTATGGCACATGATGAAGGCTGCATGTAATTGACCCCTTGTCGACATCGTAAACCCCCCCGCGTACGGCAAAACGGAGAAGATCGTCGCGTCCCGTTACAGCTGCACGGTGATTCTCAAAGGAGCCATAGGATTCCGGATAAGTTCATGGTTGTCTCAGCGATCTTCCATATTCTAACGGCGACCAGGACGTCACATCCACCACCTCGGTCGAGCAAGGTTGTCAAAGCCTCCCCATGATCAACTCCATGTGCCAGGCATCCAACGGCCGCCGGGCCGCAAGCGTTTCCCGCGGCTGCCTCCCGATGCGGCCGTTGGTGGACGATCCATGGTGTTGCTTCTCCCACCAGAGTGCATACTTACCCCTTCGCTGCGTCAACGTGAGTGTTCCATCAGGAGGGACCCCCTCAACGCAGGGCCGCGTGCGGCGGTTGTAGCCGCTCTGCAGCCATGCACTTCCCCGGGTCTTGAATTGTAATTTCAGGCCTCACATGCAGAATCGGGGGGCTGCAAGGAGCACCTGGCGGTCTGGCGCCCACTCCCGATATCCCGCGGCCTGATGTTCGAGCTGTCATGATTACCCCGTGGCTGACAACACATCTTCAATCGCCCGAGGAAGCCACATCACACGACCATGTGCTGCTTCGCTGTCTGGGACGCGGGCCGTTAGAGGAGGGAGGGTGCGGATCAACTCTTCACGTGGCGGTTGTGCCGCCGGAGGATTTGCACATGTGGACGCTAGAAGTACACGCAGGTTTACGGTACAAGGAACGCTCCATGTTTCCATCTCCCGTGGAGGTTTACCATACCTCGGCCAGGTTTCTCGGTTTCTCGGTTTCTCGTCACTGCCTGCCACGAAACCGGGCCGTCTCCATGTCCCGCCTCCATGTCCCGCATCAATGAGATGGCCGCAGCCCGCAGACGACGAAACAACAGGCCATCTCCGCATCACCAGCCCCAACCCCAGCCTCGATCCCCGCGGTCACATGTTGCCCGTTCACCGACGGCCTCGCTGCAAAAACTGCCGGATGTTCAAGCCCATGACCGTCTGAATCTCCCGTTCGCGGGCCTTTCACCCGAACATTCGCCCCGACGACCTGTCCTTTGGGGGTGTTTACGCAGGACGGCGCTATTTTTCCGTCTGCTGATGAGTGCGGTACACACCCCCATATTCCCTCCCCCAAAGAGGCCCCGGGTCAGCAGGGGGGCATCAGAACCGCGGACTTGGGACTGGAATCGAATGAGGTTTCCGGGGTGGTCGATGTTACCCCATACCCCGGGCTCTGGACGCGGGGAAGTTGTCAAACGATGCCGTGTGGGTGGTGGCAGGGAATAGAACTAGCCTGATAGCAGAGATGAGAGACCTCGGGTGGAAAACTTGCAAATGATAAATCCAATTAAACAATAAAATATTAAATCGTTATTGATATTATCTTTAATGACCTGACCAAGAACTCCTTGACTAAGGCCGAAGCAAGTGGCTGGCTAACCCCTTGTTCTCGCCCCAGAGAGGACTCTGTGTTATTGCACAAGGTAGTAGAATAAGCTTGACTACACGGCGTGGCAGAGTATCATTGGGTCAGCTCAACTCAAATAGTGAGACAGATGGGAGGCGACATCATACACCGCCAGCCGATGACGACAGCACAGTTGCATATCGATTCTCGCTCTTGCCCATTGCTGTATCCTGGTGCCCACCCTTCCAGCCCTTTCTTCTGAGGCTCCCAATAGCCCTCTCCAACACCGCTCCCCAGCACATACGACCATAGCCCTCAGAAAATACAGGATCCCGTTTGCTCTCCCAGAGTCAAGCTGAGGAGCGCTTGAGTAGTAGCTAGGTCGGTGACGACTAGCGAATGCCGAGTGTTGTATGTATCCCTTCTTTTTGCCCTTTTGACATAGTTGTGCTCTTCCTGTTCTCTGTCTCCGCATTCGGTATCCAAGTCATCCGAGTCATGTGAGACGTCAGCGAGATGAATGGGGGCGGATGGCGAGACGTTGTCGGCAACAGACACCAAGGACAAGAGGCAAGCATAAGGCAGAATAAAACCACAGTAAAATCATAATGCATAATTGTTTCATTTCGGAAATACAATCTTAGTGACCTGCATGCAATCTTCTTGACCAACAGTCCCGGATTGTGTGATTCCTTTTTAGCACTGGATTTCTCCTCGGCATATCCGTACCACAATGATACGGGACAAACAAGTGTGAGTTTGGATACTGGAGATGAACACCAGAGAGGGTAATTCATGCTGGCCACGAAGAGTCAAATAAATACGGCATCTATGATCCTTAGAGTCACAGTAGCCGTGACTAGAGAAGTGGCTTGGGCCAACTGGGAGCTTGATAGATTCAGAGACTGTCGATTGGACTTAACATGACAACAAGAACTGCTTTATGGTACTTGAACTGGTCTTGATTTTAATTTAATCACTTCAGGTTATAATAACATACCTCCCCTGTGCAAACTCACTGGCGTGAATAGGAAGCCATGCATGTAATATCGATACTCGGAAGCGCGCAGATAAAAGAGTCTATCATCATATGAGACAACCCCAGCCTCAGAGGGCATCACGCATCGGCTGTGTACTACAATACAATTTCACAGTAGCCATTCCATTTCATTTTAATTTTCACAACATGTAGTCTGGCGCATCCTCTGCGAACGTTGACAAAACGGACCGTTTCGACTTACACCAACCTTGACGTCAAAGTCGAAACGGAGGGCACGATGCATTTGACGCCACCACGATTTAATCGACAGGCAACAATAGCGCTAGCAAGTAATTGAATTCTAATATTCGATTATGACTGCGAGGCGGTGATCATCTGTTCAAAGGTGGCTATCCCTACCCGAGTAGCCTTCGGCATTTCGGTACTCTCGGTATTGATGACGGCAATTCAGCATTAGCCATCGGCATCTAAGTGTGAGCGCAGCTGCCATCCTTCTAAGGCAGATGCACGCGCTGCTAAACCACACGTGGCGCTGATCCCACGGCAATCAAACCTACACGGCGATCTCACGCGACTGGGAGAAGGCTCATTGCCCAAGAGGGCTGCCTGGGGCAAAAGGTCTAATGCCGTTCTTCCCCAGCTTCTACGCGCGGGGACGGCTCCACGTGGCGGTCACGATGGAAGAAAATGGGGGCGGACGGCCATCAGAGATCAACCGGAATGGCCGCCAGAAGGGTGGTACATTGAATACCATCAGAGTCATGGAAAAGAACATACCCCCAAAGTGCAGACACCAACGGGCCGCAACTCGGCCACCCCCCGCTCGGATATGGCCTGCGGCAGCGCAAGCGGACGACGAAACCGCCATCTCGAGCCACCTCTAATGAGGGAGTCATGAGGCGTCCCGAGAGCGAGAGGAGACGCCATGGCCACTTCCCGTGCCCCGGCGTAGCTGAGGACCGCCCGAGCGGCGGCGGAGAGACCTCCCAGTTCGCCTCGGGGCTAAACTTGTCCACACACATCGTCTTCCCGAGAGTCAGTGCCCCCCCGTGTTAGGCCAAAGGGAGTTCTCCCCGAATTAGTAGGTCTTGACGCTGTGGTTTAAGGTTCAACTCCGGTCTGGCCAACTCGCTCTCTCTCGCCGTCGCACTGACACATCGATCGGGATTTGACAGGGAGATTCGGAAAATGGAAGCCATTTCCGCGTGGCTCTCCGGTTCGCGCACGGTCAACTTGCCGCGTTGGATGAAGGTTTACGCAAGGCTTCCGTCAACTTCGTAAACGATACAAGACAATTGGCTGCGGGAGATGACCATTTTGCTTGTGTCCAACATGTGACATGTAGGCAATTCTGGGGCTGCGTTGTCAATCTCCTCCCACTCTCCCAGCAGGTCGGGACGACTCCTCTCGGTTGTTTGAATCCCCTGTTGCGGACCAGACTCGGCCCTTCTAGTCGGGCCTCCAGGCCCCATCTTCTCGCCCCTCCTGGCATCTCGTCGACATGCACCTAAAAGCCCTGTGAGGACGAGGACCCAGAGACCACGCGAATTTCACGTGTTGCTGGACTGCCGGAGAGATTCCCGTTTCGAGGGGGCCCCTAGTGTTGGGCTGGTAGCGCCAAACCTTGGGACACGGCGTGGTTGACCAAATTGGAACCGAGACGTTAGTCCTCGACGCCATGGCTCTGGTCGGTTCGAGGCGATTTGATGGTGTTGGGAGAGAAGAACCGACCACGGACCGACCAACGACCGAGTGACGGGGCCCCACCCCCGGGGGATCCGCGGAGTGCCGGAAACAGCTACTAGCCCCCCGAGGGCTCTCATTGGCGACAAGTGGCTTAGCACCGATGATGGAGGGCTGGTACAAGCGGTACTTTAGTGTGGTACCTAGGCCACGGCTTCGTTCGCCGTGGCTCACCTTGGAGCTAGCGACGGGCTCGTCTCCGGGGCCTTCACCGGAGCTCAAAAGCGTCCAGCGACTGCCTGAAGGGTGGTACTCCAAGCGCGCCACGGGAAATCTAGCGATGGGAGATCGGGTGGTCAGCGAAGCGACGGTTGGGGAGCGCGAAGCTGTAGCGTTGTGTTGTTGTTGGGGCTTGTGGTACAGTTACAACCGCACCCATCGCATGGCTAATTTGGGCTTTTTTTTTTTTGTGCGTTTAATCTCAGATCATGTCCTTAAAGCCAACGCCCTTACCGAATACACCTGTTCGCCACCAACACCGTCGTACTCGTCTACGCGTGCAAGTTGGGGCTTCTTCGGGGAAACGAAATGTCGGTCCGAGGAAGCAACCAAGAGGTCAGCCCTGTAGTGCGCAGCATGTGGGTTGGCTGACAGCGTTGGTGGATGGTCAATGCCTGTCTCACAAACGGTCACGATGGGGCTCTTACTCAGTTCCCCACTTTCCGAGATTTCGCCATGGAGAGGAAATGGAGAATTAATTACGTGGCCGGTAATGCCGAAACGAATGAGTCGGGCTGCACGGACGAGGTACTGCGTAGTGTGCTCCGCCAATCCACTAATCTGCCGAGTGTGTAATATGGGATTTCCGATATGGCTATTTCTGTTGTGTCATTTGCCAGTCACAAAACCAGAGCATGTCACGGGTGGGAAACTTGATAGGCCAATGGCAAGTGTTTTTTTAAGGGTCACAAGAGGAATGAGAAGGAAAAAAAATTTGCAGAGGGGAACAACAAAATAAAAAAGCGCAAAGAGTGGGATGGATCTATGGATCTGAGGGTGTGGTGGTGTAAGGTGGTGGTGTCCTCGTTCATCCTAATCTGGCACCACCAAAACGCTGTCACCGCGTGATTGAGATTGGTTTTGACAGGGTGCATTCACTCCCAAATGCTGAATGACGTGCCAGAGTGACAGACTCCACCTGCGGGAGAAATATTCTAGAAACCCTTCCAAGGGCTGGCGAGTCAACCTTCCTGTTGACTTGGTGTGCATTGGGGGAGTCGCTGATTGGCCGTCATCATCGTGAAGGTGTTGAGGTGTGTTGAGTGTGTGTGCTCTCCCCCACTCGCTGAATCCGGTGGTTGGCAACCAGAATCAACCACTGGATCTGAGATATTACCAGCTTGGGTGTCGCCTATATCGGCCGCTGCAACCCTCTGTCACTGCTGTGCCTCAGCACGACTCTACGCGTGTTCTGGTACACCCCACCAACCCTTCCTTTTCCAACCTGTCCATTCCTCGCACACCAAAGTGGCTGCTGCAGCTTGGCAAGAATCAAGTCTTGAGAAGCTGTTTCGGTCCTTCTTCTCGTACAATACTAGAGTAGCCAAAGTATACCCCCTAACTAGTGTAACCGACAACGCATAGTTTCACACAGTCGCAACGTCACAAGGAACTCTCACTAGAACCCCCCAGGACCAACGCCCCATAGGAACAAAGTTATGGGGCGAGACGCATGAGTACGCCTCATGATTATTTCCCCGCAAACAAGCTCGCAAATAAAGGCCTCACCTCATCCGGATGATGGACTTAGTTTGCCACCCGTCAATTCCAGATTTCGGCCCATACATCGCGTGACGCCATGCGGTTTCGAGGCAGGATCCTCGATAGCAGATGGTCCGAGCCCAGGCCCCCAGATTATGACGTAGCTATCTCCCCGCCATGTTGTCCCCGTTCCCACCCCATCGTGAAACCCCAGATCTGGATGTCGATTATGATGGCCGCAGATGGCACGTCAGAATCGCCAGCTTCTGGGCCCTGCATAGTTGACGCTTTTCAGCATCATCGTCATAGATACGGCCGCCCTTTTCAGCCCGAACTAATTCGCGTCGTAGCTGCAACCAGTTTAACTGTTTAGACGACATGTTCCAACCCCGCCACGATCCAGCTCGAAGACACATTTCCCGTTTCGGCAATTCTCACGCTTAGGTTATTTTAACGATGAAATAACATTCGACTCGGCCGAGCACGGCGAGGTCAGCATTGACGTAACGCTGAACTCCTGAACGGCGAGCCTCCCTTCTTGCTGTGCGAACACGTCGACACCTTCGCATCCTGCAATCAACGTTGCGTTCAACTGCCCCCAAACCCGTCCTAAAAGTCGGTGAAGCAACAGTCATAAAACCAAAAGCTGAGATATTACAATCACAACCGCAACGGGTACGTGCGCGCTGCGTGCAGCAGGCAGATTTGGGGGTGGAAACCGCGGCCAACCAGTCACAGTAACCAAGGCCCAACCAACCCGCATGCCATCAACGCATGTCATCCAAGCTGTCCGAGTTTCCCGCCTTAGATGGTGACGTCCTACCCTGCCATGGTGTTGTCAAGGTGTCGTGTCTTGCAGACCCAAACATGGTACTTGGCAGCAGTATGCGATGCATGCGAGGTGCCGCCCTGGGCGTGCATCGTCATGGGGGCCCTGTCCTGCTTCCCACCCTGCGCAGACATCTCCTATCCCGTTCTGTACATTCCGCGAGGGAGACCCCTTGCAGGACGAGAGAAACCCGGTGTGTTGACGGCGTGCCTGCAATGGGCATCGTTCCTGGTCGTCCCGGAATCTCTTCGTGCGCGCGCGGCGACTAACCAGGCTACATCAGCGAAACCCTGGATGGAAGCGGTTCCGCTCTCCGCATCTCTCCCTTCCCCGGAGCCGGGGAGGATTGCCGTGTGGGCACTGGAAACTCACCGAGAATAATCGGCGAGCGAAATAACTTTCAGCTGGCCTTCTTTGTTTTACCCCAGGCCGTCCGGGATTTACAGTTCGCGGGCGAGCGGGGGCGGTTAACGTCCAGATCACCAATCTCGAGCCTAAAAAACGGTTCCCCAGAAAGCCAGACACTGCCAAAGGGGGGGCGTGTGCCAGCGATGCTTTGATTTTGAGCGCGAGCATGACCCAGCCATGACGGAAGAGGAAGCTCCTGGGTCGGAGCTCGGGGCGTGGGCTCGTTGGCGATCACACGGCTCCGAAGTCGTTTGCGCAAAGCCTGTGCATGGCCGCGTGCCCTGCAAACAGTTTTTGTTCTTTGGTTCGAAACATGAGCCTCTCTTAGCCGGCGGCGTGGCGAGGAAAAGCGCGGCTGAGAAATACTAAGACGCTCACACGCTCCCGGACATCCTGTGACTCGCAAGGTGTGAGTGAGCGATATACGTATTCGCGCCCACGGGCGGTGGTTTGTGATCGACTCAAGGGCGGTACATGGCTTGGCAGGTACTATACAAGGCGAGGGATGGAACAAGCTTCATGACTGGCGTGTCCAGCGCAAAGAGTGGTTTGCACCCTTACCGGGCGGCGGAAATATGCATCGGAGCGATTCCCGACAAGGGTGTGAAGTTTTTTGCTTGTTGGCCATTTCAGCTCCGAAGGTCCGCGACATGTCAAGCTCAATTGTCGGTCCGGGTCGACACATTTCAAGCGGTGAAAGAGAGGCCGCGTCCCTGGTTAGGAACGCAGGCCATGAATCAGGGACGTCGCGGCCAAGGGAATAGAAAGTGGTGGAGCTCGAGGTGACATTGCCATGCTCTAAGCCGATCAACACTGCCACAGCGTTAATGCCACTGCCGTCGCTTGTCGGCTGCCGACAACCCACTGTACAAGGTACACACACCTCTTCCACACTCTCACCACAGCGCACACACAAACTCGAGTTAGTATTCTCTGACTCGATAGCTTCTGACATGTAAAACGCCCACGGCGCACCGCCATTCCCGACGCAGTCGTGCGCCGAATTACCCCGTAAGTTAACCACCCCGGATTCCGAAAACGTCGGTCCGGGTTTGTATCTCGGGCCTGGGCCACCGTCATTTGCGCCTTCTCGCCATAGCCTCGAGCCTCGGCCCTTCACCGAACGCGGAGAGGCGGACAGAACCTGGGGAAGAAACGGCAGTCGGATAATTAGTTACCACACCAAGGTAAACACGCAACGGGGCCGTCTCCGACATGTCCCGAGCCGGACTAGCCCGAGCCTTGGCTTGACGGGACACAGCTGACAAACAGCTGCGTGTTCGGCGTTGCTGGCAAAATGCGCTCTGCCATGTGAGAGACAATTGCAGTGCCGTGCAGGGCTTGACAGCAGGGGCTAGGGATTGCTGTTCTGGTGTTTGCTTAGTTGAAGTTGCCCGGCTTGAATAGGCAATCCGTGCACAGCTGAGTGTTTCAATAGTTACAGATGAGCCCTGTAATAACAAACAGTGATATGGCACTCGCAAGGAGGGAGACCGAGGCAACGGTTCCAATGTCCCGTTAATCGCGGCTGTTCTGCCACGGCTGCCTCTTCAACTCGCCTCCGTTGGTCACGCCCTTCAAGTTTGTGATGCCTCATGACAGGAGTTGCAGGCATTAACACAACCGGGATCCCAACGCGCCAACCACCATGACCAACACCAGGCACGTCCCTCCACAAGGCCGACACATCTCCAGCCCCCATTTCATGCAGGGTCCATTGATCCCCGAGGCATCTGTCCCCGCACCGTTCTAATTGAACCCAATTGATTTGAATTGATTTATTATTCAATTAATTGCGTCCAGCAATCAATTCCCCCTCCCACCGACAAGGTGCCGGGGACGAGACAACTGACACCGCCTCCTCGTGCCCCAATTTACCCGGCCGTACGTTAGCCTTAATGTTTAGCAAGACAGCTCCAGGCATCATTTTTCGCGCAAGCACTGCGGAGTACACGCCCCTCCTTGTCAGGATTTCTAGCTAGCCGCCCTCCAAGCGTACCTAATGACTCAAAAAATGCTCTAAGGATAATAAAAAAATAATGGGCGGAAATATTTAATGTCAGATGAATAAATAAATTAAAAAGCAAGCGTGGGAAAAAGAAGAGTCCGCAACGTCACGGTAGACCCCACCGGCAATTCCCCCCCCCTTCCACTCCTTGAACTACGCCATTTGTCTTTCTTCCCTCGATCCCGCCGCGCCAGGGAAAAAGGGACCAGGAAAAAGCAATCGGAAAAACAAAAAAAAGGACGCGCCACCGCCGGAAAAAAGGTCACACGCAACGCCGCGGGGACAAGCCCGAGTGCAAAGGGCAGCTCCCTCGTCATCTCACGGGACGCGCTTTGAGGTCATCGGCATTGACAAGATTTGCGGGGTGGAATGGGTCTCGAGTGAGGAGAAGTGAGGAGGCGTGGGAGAGATGCCAGACGGGCCCTCACAGATCCCACTCTCTGGTATTTTCCAGCGTAGACGCCGTAGACGCACGCATTTAATCAATCAATCTTGACCGTTCTTTCAACCCATGCGTGTCCCTGCGCCCTTGCCGATACAGCGCACTTGGCTGCTGCAGAGGCGGGACTTGGGGGGCGTTGTGCGGCGGCGTGCGTGCTGTGCGTGTGCTTTGGCGACCTACCCGTATAGGGAAGCGGTCGCTGCAGGTTCCCCAGACAAGCCCGAAGCGGAGTGGCGTCGTTTTCTCGCTCTCAGGGCTGCTTTTGTGGGATAACAGCGCGCCCTGAGTTATGGCCCACTCTAACACCAGCGGAGAAATGCCGTGTATGATATCAAATGCAAATGATTACATTCAAGCCAAGAAGCGAGAAAAAGAAAGGAACAAGCCAATCATCATAGTGTTCTGGCAGCTAGGGTTGCTAAGCATGTCTCCTCTTGGTATTACTTCCCTCTACCGGTATTTTCCTCCCTCTGCCAAGCACTACGTACCTCATGATCCAGCAGTTGTTGATGGCTTTGCGGCCAGTTCAGCCGCCATGCCTCCCTCCCTCAGCATCTCCCTCGCAGAAGCAAAATGGCGTGTGGGCAACCGAGCTAAGGGGGACCTGAGGAAAAAGACAAACCCGGCGTGCCACACCCTTTGTGCTCAGTGCGGCTCCGCAAACATGATCCATACCCGCCGCCACTTGCTCCCCAGCCTTGCGTAAGAGCATGTGAGAGAGGTGAGGTTTTTAGTCCCCAGGGCAGGGTGTGTGACCTATCGGACGCGGCACAAAGGTCAATGCTACAACTGGAATCCGGGCTTTGGAGATCCGCAGGGTCTTGTGGGATGTGGGCGAACACTCGGGATCTCAGGGCTCGGACACGGCATGCCCAGCCCTGGTTTAGATGGTCCTTCCATGGCATTACTGTGGAGAGACTTGTAGATCTCGTCGGTGGTGGTTCAACAGATGGATTCAAGTACGACAATGACGGATTGAATGGCGCGGCTGGCACTTGTTCCGAGCTTGGTATCGCGTTGACGTAGTTCGCGATTGGTCTAGAGCGTTTCTTACGGTATGAGGGAGCTACCGGCATGGACGAGACGCCGGTCATGATGGTCACCCAGGTAGCATCCAGCCTGGCGCAGCCGCCCAGACGATGTCCGACAAGAACTCATCGCGGTTCACACCGCAGAACAAGACGACTAATGAACGACTCTCCACGCACACGGTCGGCCTCGTCGCGCTATCCGACTTCCGCAAGCGCCGTGCCGAAGTCCTCGAGCAGCAGGAGCGCGAAGCCCACGAGGCTGCGTTCTCAGGCACGTCCACACCGGATCGTTCCGTGACAGACACTCCTGACAACGCTGGCAGTGACGCGGGAAACGGAACACGTCCCGTGAAGAAGAAGAAGAAGAAGCAGGGCAAGAAGCTGCTCTCGTTTGACGACGAGGAAGACGGGCAGGACGCGCCATCACCGAGACCGACCTCGAAGCTGAGAGACACCGCGGCCGACGGAAGCGACAGCGAAACCAAAGGCAAGGCGAAGTTCAAGGCCAATGCCGCTGTGGGAATTGTGCCAAAGTCCATGACGAAGGCAGCGCTGCGAAAAGAAGCCGACGAGCGAGACACATTGCGCCGCGAGTTCCTGGCCCTCCAGGAGGCCGTCAAAGCGACCGAGATTGCGATACCGTTTGTTTTCTACGATGGTACAAACATCCCCGGCGGCACGGTCCGAGTTAAGAAGGGCGACTACATCAGCCAGCCACAGACCCATCAGCGAAGGCGTCGTCGTCGTCGTCGTCGTCGTGAGCCCCGTGATCAAATCCAATGCTCAATGATGGAGGAGGTGGCTATGCGTCGCCCACAGGTGCCAATGGACTGCATCCAGGGTCCAGGTTTAAAGACCCCGAGCGGACACGCCCCGAACCACCGAGTGACCGAACCACGGAGGCGGGAGCGGATACTCGAATGTGTGAACTAATTAGACCGACATCTTTTTCGGAGGATGAGGTGGCCCCCGATGCGTTGCCGGTGCCGAGATGCGATGGGCCTCAGTGGGCTTTGCGAATGGGGGATGATGCGACCCAATCACGCGCGGCGTCGGGGGCCGTGTCAGCGACAGCCTCAACCCCGTGAGACCAACGGATCAAGAGCTCATTCAGTGCCCCCGAAACCCATTTCCGTCGCCATGGCCGAACTGTCACATTTCCCATCTCCAGCTGTCACATCCGCATCGTCTCGGCCATGCCCTGCAGATCTCCGAGTGTTGATCCTCAGCTTGAAAAATCAAACCCTCGTATCCCTTAGTTGCATGTGCGCGTTGCAGACTCTGAGCCTGCTGCTCCCCAACTCCCAACACGTCTGTCACTTGGTAAGCTTCAACATGGCATGCCCTGCCCGCCCTCACGAGTACGAAATACAACATTCCCAATTTCTCCACGAGGGCCCCCAAATTGTTCCATGTCCTTGTCCTGCTCTCCAACCCGAATCCAGCTATTTCCACGCGCGAGGACCGCGAGAGGCCGTGACCTGTCATTTATCCCTCTCCTCCCCGTTTGGTTCCCCGTTTTGGCCTTCACCGCCGTCGCTCGCCTCTGGGATTACGGCTTCTGCCGACAACAAACCAGCGCCAACGCCGTTGCTGCGCGCTGCAGGGCTGGGTTCCCCCCCACGGCCGATGCAAGTGACCGGCCTAATAATTCGTCGTGCATGGTAGAGTCATACACCAGCATACACCAGATCCCCATCGCCCATCAAAGTTCAACCCAGTGACTCAACAACTAATATGGGCTCCGCCGCCATGTGCTGGCCGTGGTGGAGATGCGGCCTCGCCAACATGCAAAGTCATCCAGAGGCGGGAAGCACAACGTAATATCCAGGGTTCCTCAAACGGGTTCCTAAAAACCTCTGTCCGATGCATGACAACTAGATCCTCGCCCTGGGCTGGTTGCTGGCCTTGCGGACTTTCCGGGCCATCCTTGCCTTCGAGGCCTCAAAGCCGGAATCCTGGCCTTTAGCCATCAATGCGCGTCATCGCTCACCACCCACCTGAGCTGACCACCGCTGACTGCTGCTGCGACCGCTCCCACATCACATTCATCACCGTAGCTGAACGTCCAAGACACATGGCAGCTCACAGAGGTCACTTTTAGGCAGGGATACCGGGTTGTGTTTTGAATCTCTAACGTTGAATTTTATTCATGTTTTTGCAGAAGCTCTTTTCATGGACATTCGCCTTTTGCGATTTTTTTTGGGTCTCGACTGCTTGTTTTTTCCTTCCTTTTGAAACTGCACTGCCCGTCCTCGATCTCCACGAGGCCACGAGATTTGCCCCTCCCAACCTCCTGCTCCCCATCGGGGCGCTTTTCTCGGCCTCTCCACTTTTGTCCTCGCCGCTTTGCTTCCTTCATCCTCGCTCCGCGTGCAAAAAAATCGTTGGAGGCTCCATAATGCTCCGCAACCCCTCCCTTGCATGTTCTCCTCCCAAGGTTGCCCTCGGTCATTGCGTCTTCGTCGTAACTAGAGTACACACTACCATTGCCCTGAGCTTGTGATAACTGATGAATAAAAAAATCAAATCGCACATGAAATGATCCGGGCCAACAAGGCCGAGTGATGAGACCATGGTATCATACGTTAAAAACGCCGCCATGAGTGTAAAAAAAGAACAATCAAAAAGACCGGTAGAATGATGCAACCCGACTTGCATCGTAATCAAACAACGAAGGCCCCGTAGACCTTGTCTGATTATGGAAATGTCGTAATGGGCTGCAAAATGCAGCTTGAAGAAAACGCTTAATGCTTCCTGTGATGCCGTCTCATGCGCCGCCCAAGTGTACACGGCAGGCCTCCCCAGAGGCCGTGCCAAATGAGTTCCGCGTAGTGGTATAAGCTGTCGATATGTGGTTGTTATCCGGGTATCATGATATAATAATGTCTGGTCGTTCTTCACCAGCCCTTTGAGTGGTATCCGTTGCTGGCCTCCTTGGAGAAGTATTGGTTCCAGCTAGTGGCGTTGACATCCTCGCTAGTCTTCATGCAGGACTTCTCAGGGTATTGTCTGAGGTTGGCCACATCGTGCGAGGTATGGCGTCGCTTAAGGACTGCATTGGCCGTTGACGACTTTTGCTGTCGCTCCCAGAGGAGGTGGCGACGGAGCGACTCGGTCAACTCAGTTGCCAGCATGTTGCGACGGGTCGTGCGAGGCGACAGAGCGGCTTGGCCTTGGATGTGGCTGGCATGGGAAACAATGGGCTGGGCGGTGGATCGAGGGATCTCGTGAATAGGCTTGAGGGTAGGATGACGCATGCCCTTCATCATCAATGGAGCCTCGTCCGAGTCGTTGGGGGAAGCGCCCAGGGAGGGACCGTTGGGGGCCATGCGCGATCGAGGAATAGCCGATGTGGATTGGGACGCGTGGTTGCCCAGGTTGCGCGCGCGGTCGTTCTTCGCCAACATGAGAGTAATGAGAGAGCGTCTAGAAGTCAGGTTGGGCTTGGAGTCGACTCGCTGGAAGAACTTGTCATCAATGCTAGATTTGCCGCTGTCCTCGATGGAGTCTTCCCAATCCGATGAGTCGTCGTCGTCGTCATCAATGGCGCTCTCGTCGATGTAGTCGGTGTCAGAGTCCACGGCGGCCTCGTCCTCAATGGTGCGGGTCATGACGTTGGTGCTGAAGGAAGCCTGCTTCTTCTGGTGAGAGAGAAGAGAGCTAGGTCGAGAGGCGAGGGCGCTCTTGAGCGAACCGTCCTCTTCGGAAGAGCCGCCAATCTGGAACATTGACTTCTTAACAATGGGGATGATTGGCTTGTGGTTGTCGAGGCTCTGATCCTGCTCAGTTGAAGAGAAGGAAGCACCACCAAGAGAGAACTTTGTGGGTTGCTTCTTGGACTGCACGGGCTTGGGAGCAGGGGAGGAGGTAGGCTCAGGGATCATGTCGGACGTGGCGCACTGGACGGCACTGGGAATAGTTCGAGGAACGGGAATCTGGGATGGCGAGAAACCACGGACAACGGTGGTGCGCGAAGGTGTCATGGGAGAGGGTTCGGGTGATGCCTCTGAGCGGTCGCTGATCGACTTGGAAGGCGACTGGGACTCGGTGGTAGTGGAGCCGGAGCGCTCGAAGGCGGGTGGCGCAGAGAGGGACTCCTTGAGAGGAGCGGCCACAGGGGCGATGTGTGGCGGTGCCGACAAAGGACCCTTGTCCTTGACGATGGAGACGATCATCTTCTCGAAGTCGTCAGAGCTGATATGTCGTTCTCGCTTGCTTCGGCTGCTGGTGCACGAATCCTGGCGGCGTATCCTGGGACGGCAGATCTCAAGGGGAGCTGAGACTGAAGTGAAGTCAACGGCCTCCTCGTCGGCCAGAGACTCAACGCTGCCAGAAAGTTGGGGAAGATCGGGTATCCGAATCTCGGAAGGAATGTTCTGGGGGAGTGTTTTGGGAGATGAGGCGTTGGAAGCGTCCTTGAGGTCGTTGTCGACGACAAAGGTCTCGCGTTGCCAAAGTCTCCAGCTGAGGTTTTCTAGTCTTCGGCCTTGTTCAACGGAATCTGCGCACCGAGAGAAGACTATTCACGTTGGTCAGCGTCAAGGGCAAGTGGCAAAGAGCTGCCGGGGGCATTGCACTTACCAGTCCACATGCTATATAGGTTAGCGGGATTGCCTGTATCGACCTTGTGGATGACGTTTGCATCCACAGTGAGAACGTGTGTATCCAGCCGGTAGGGCATTGTTGTGTGTAGAACCCGTCGATTGCCTCGATCAGGAGTCGCGGAGGACAGAAAGGTGAGGGTGGACTCGGCCAGGTGTCGCAGGGCGAGGGTTTGAGTAGCTGATATTGAGTTTCGAGGTGGAATTCAGTCGTCGTCCAGCACGAAAAGGTTATCGTGTTGGTAGCCGACAAGGCGCCAGGGTGTAAGATTCGAAGGGTGAAAGTGTGTCTGCGCAGATGACAGGGCGTTCAGTCGTCTAAGAATGCTGAAGTCGCAAGGAGGTCTTTGCGGAGTGGGATCGGGTCGACGTGCTGCTGGCGGCGACAAGGGTGAGAGATGTGAGAGAGGATGCCGTGATAGATGATGCCGGCGGTCATGTACGATGCATGCGATGGGAGTGTAGACGGGCTTGGAGTGGTAGTTGGTAGCTGGTAGTTGTAGGCACACACGCGGTGAGAGTTGGTGTTGTTGTGGGAAGCGGAACCAGGAGGACGAACAAGTCTGGGGGAGCGACTTGTTAGATATTCTTGTTTGGGGTTTGTGGGTAGAGCCAGACGGCGGGTGGGAGACGGGATGGGGGAAGGGAGTCGCGGTGTGTCCAGTGTAATGTACTGTAATACCTCCACAGCGAACACGCACACGCCCACGCCGTCGCCCACGCCGGGGGTCTGGCGACCGGGGTGTGGGAGGCACACGGGGGACGCGGTACGTACCTGGCTGGGGATCCACAAGTCACCAAGTACAGGCCGGAGGTACCGCTGCGAGCAGCTGGGTGGGCGCTGGAGTGAGTTGGGGAGGAGAGTGTGCTGGAGCCGCTTCGCAGACTGGCGCAGCTGGCGCCCTCTGGGGTGTCTGGGTGTCTGGGTGGGATGGAGGGGCGTAGGCAATTGAGCGGTCCGAAGGGGGTGGGCGGATTGTGGGAACCCGCGCTCTGAGAGCGGCTCTCTGCTCTGGGCCTGTCCTGTGGCCCTCTGCGCTGGGCGTGGGTTCGCCCCAGGGCTCCCTTGTGACTCCAGCCAGACCCGCGATTCCAGGGAGCGAACGCCAGGGCTCGGCTCCCAGCTTTCAGACCCAGCGTGTACCGACGCCCACTGCGACAGGGACCGGGGTTCCGCCAGGGGAGACAAGAGCACAGGCCCGAGGTACCAGAGAGGGGGCGGCGAATTTGGCCCTGCCTGCTGACCAGTCCCAGTCCCGCTTAGCCTAACAGGGCAGTATCTGTGTCCGCGTGCTCTAGCTTTGGCGGGGACGTTGGTGCCCTATTAGGCCTAAACCCTCGCATCACCGCTAATCCTTAACGGGGCATATCAAAGCTACCCTTTTAGGCACAGTCAGTGCCCCGCCGCCCAGTTCCTCAGACGGATCTGTGCCTGTCATGTGGCGGTTCCTCTCCTGGCGTCCGTTTCCCACTTCCCATTTCCCGAGACGCTTGCGGATCCGTTCCCCTGGCAGCTCCGTTCAGGTCCCACTACCACCCCCACATATCATTCGGTGAGGGTCCGTTGTCCAGATCCGACCGTTTAGCTCACTGCCCCAATGGGTTTGGCGTGTCTCGGAGCGCCCTTCCAGCGGACTGTTAAGCTATTCCCAATGAGGCAAAAAGGTCCCTCCGTCAGCTCATTCTGGAACGTCCTGTCAATCACGAGGCTGGCCCCCGAAAACGGTCCGTTACGACTTGTGAGCTCCCCACGGCCCACGTCCATCAGAGCCTCGAACAATTGGGCACCAGGCACGGCCTTCAGGCCCTGAGCACCACGAGGTAAACCCCCAAACTGAGCCCCCACCTCGCCTCCCGGGGAATCTCCCGGGGAATCTCCCAACCATCCCCCGAGTCCGGCGGATTAGTGGGCCGCTGGCCGACACTCAGCAGAGACTGGCAGACTCTTGGGCAATTTCGCCTCGCGTCTATCTGGCCCGCAGACCTCGTGATGGCGATTGACGGGCGAACGTCGGAGTGGGATCAATGATGAGGCGGATGTGATGGGGATGGATGGGTGTCGCGGATGGACGGGATGGAATGAATCCCCTTTGGCTTCGGTCATGCCATCAGCCGTTCTCTAATCGTTTGATCCCTTTCCGGCTTCGATCAATTAGCCTTCCGCATCCATCACCGACTCCGATTCCAGGGCAGGCTCTCACTGCCCCAATGCCAGCACCCGTCAGGCCCTCATAGCGAATTGATGCCGCACATTCATCAGTGACTGACCTCAAGGGGTTCCGGGGGGCAGAGGTGACAACCCCGGCCAGTGGTGGTCAGTGGCCAGTGGCCCTGCCGCTGCGTCCCAGGTGACCCCGTGACAAGCCCCAGATTTCGCCGTTTCCGTCATCCGCAGCACGCTGCACCTCGCCTCCTCTCCGCGAAACCTACCACTGAGCTGCCCTGGACTACGCCGAGAGCTGGGTGATCGCCGTTTGCTGCGCCTGACCTGAGACCTTCCGTGGAGCGGGCTGCGGAGCGGCTGTATCATCAAGTCGACGGTCCCGTCCAGTCCAGTCAAGTCCAGACTCCCGTCTTGGACTCCCAATCTCCAGTTTGATAGACGTTCTGAGGTGCGCACGACCCAGATCATGGGATATGATGACCGGGGCCGCGGGTATGGCGTAGATGCCGCGCAGATCGGACGAGACCAGCCCTGTCCAGGCCACAAGCTCCTCTCGGTCAGATAGATGGGCCCATGATGGCCATCTACAATTTGGTTCTGCGTGATAGACACGAGGAGATGCTACGTAGCAGTCAGTCCGAAGGGTCATCATGCCCTCTTGCTCAAGTCCGCCGTGCCCATTGAGCCCGATGATGCCGCCAACTCAACGCTCCTCAACTATATTCGCCTCCATCTCACCAAACGGATGCGGGCTTCACGGTGATGCCTGGGGCTCGCAGGTCACCTGGCGATGACGGCCAGTCACAGCGTCACAGCGAGATTGACAGCGCATAATGGTACAGATGGCCGCCTTGATGGTGGCCTTGGAGTGGTGGTGTTTGGGGCCTCGGCCAGGTGTCGTAACTGATCCCTTAGGGCATCCATCATTCAGGTACTGGTGGGGGTGGGCGGCTCAGGCCCAGGTCACCAGACACGCCCATTCCAATTGCAAGCAGTCGTTGTCATCATGACCTTCACCAGCTTGCCAGCGCATAAAACTGTCTCTCCAGCCGCATGACTGTGTCCCAGGTTCAAATTTGGGGCGTTTCTTTTTTTGCCTTGCCGTACGGAAATGGCGGGACACACCGAGGCTGTCTCGGCTTCGACGCACTGATCAAGTTCTCTCAATGACTGGTCAGTTATACTAGCACAGCAGGGAATGCTGTTAGCCTCCCGTCTTGCAAGTTTGCAAACTGCGCCCTACTTGCTTGTTTTTGTCCTGCCGCTCGCCGAACCGCTTTCAGCACTTTCAACTTCCCCCGGCGCCACTCTCCCAGCCGCCGGCGGTGTTCCTTGGGCGGTGTTCCCTGGGCGGTGTATTGTGGTACGTCGGCCAGCGCAGACGAGCCGTGATTGCTTCCCTCGAACTGCGGGTTCCCGACTCCCATGTCCTCTCGCTCCGCTTCGTCTTGGCCCAGGGCTGAGGTCCCGATGATCTCACCGGGACGAGGGAGTCTTTTCTAGACGGAGGACAGCGGACGTACATCTTCTGAGGAACGGTCGGGATGGGCCGTGGACTACGGAGCGAACACCTCGATCGTTCCTCGGTTCCTCGATCTTGTCTTACATATTACCCTGTCCGCCCTCGCATCGGGAGATCTGGGCCACGTTGGTTTGTCCTCCCTTGAATGCCTCGCGGCCGCTTCTCCTCTTGCGTGCCATCAGCTGTATGTGAGCGGAGCCGCGATGAACTAAACAAACAGGTCTTATTAGGGCACAGATGGGGCTTTCTAGGGACGCACCTCGACTGCAGGGGGTTTTATCCTGTGCATTCTAGGAGCTCTCGACATGTCCTCTGCCGTCTACCTGGCAGTACACCTGAGTTGCTTGTTTATTCGCTTGTTTTACACGCTTGTTTGAGATCAGGCTGTGGACCCCGTCTCTATCGAGGGAGAACAGCCGTAGGGAATGGGATAGAATTTATGATGATCCAGCTTGGCCGGGCTCGCTCCAGTTATGACGCTCCAGTTATGAGAGGCTTTTATCATCTCCCGGCACGTGTCTTGGCTGGAGCACATTACACCCCAGTGCCAGGCTCTTCTCCTCATTGCAGACCTTTGCACATTATCCCGCAACAAGTGGCTTCCATAGGCCCGAACTTGTGCCGGCTTCCCAACAGTTAAAAGAGGAGGCTCCGAGAGTGAGCCATTATTTCTCACACGCACCCAGTTGATGTTGACAGAACTTAAAGGCTAAGGTTAGGTAAAGATGGGGTTCTCGGTGTTATCCAGTGGTGTATGGTTCATTCCCTTTAGTAAACAGCTCAAGTGGCAGAAGCCTAAGCTCGCTATAGGCAAGCTCCTGAGGTGTCGAGCCCTCTTGCCCACCTCTGCCCACCTTTGCCCTGCTTGACCACCCCGCGCGGGCCGATAAGCGATAAGAGCTCCTTCCCCTCTTTTTTTGGGGCTTCTCGCTCGGTCAGGGCTGTCGCGCCTGGCCATGCTCCCCTGCCAGCCGGGCCTGACCTGCCCTGAGCTCTCTGACCTTGCCCTGACCTGTCCTGTGTGCTGATGCGCCCATCTGCGTCACCACCTGGTCCAGGTTGGCTCGTGAAGGCTTTCTGGCGCCATAATTATTCCCCCCTTTCCGTAGCTGGTGAGACGATATGGTCTTTTCCTAATCCCCTTGTATTGCGCCTCCTACTTCTTCTCCTGCCTCCCGGAGCGTTCGCGCATCCTTTTGATCATGATCTGTTGCTGAATGCCTTTCCTGTCTTATCTGCAGCTATTTTCTTGGCCCCTCGATACCGTATCCGGCCTGTTGCGCCCTCTCCTCAACAAACTCTGGCTGGCTTTCCGCCTGCATCCGAATCGACCGACACTGCCATCGACCCTCCGAACTGCCATCGAGGCTTCAAAGATGGCTCCCAAGAAGAAGATCGCCGTCATGACCTCGGGAGGTGACTCCCCAGGCATGAACGCTGCCGTGCGCGCCGTCGTTCGTATGACCATCCACATGGGCTGCGATGCCTACTGCGTCTACGAAGGATACGAGGGCCTGGTGCAAGGTGGCCACCTCATTCGCAAAATGGAATGGGATGATGTCCGCGGCTGGCTGTCTGAGGGCGGTACACTCATCGGAACTGCCCGGTGCATGGCCTTCTACGAGCGTCCTGGACGCTTGACAGCCGCCAAGAACCTGGTCCTCTCCGGCATCGACGCCCTCATCATCTGCGGAGGTGACGGCTCCCTGACTGGTGCTGACAAGTTCCGCTCAGAATGGCCCTCGCTTTTGGAGGAGCTGGTCGGCAACGGCGAATTGACCGCTGACCAGATCAAGCCTTACCAGCACCTCAACATCGTCGGCCTCGTCGGCTCCATCGACAACGATTTGGCCGGCACCGATGCCACCATCGGATGCTACTCTGCCCTCGCTCGCATCTGCGAAATGGTTGACTATATCGAGGCAACTGCCTCTTCACACTCTCGGGCCTTCGTCATTGAAGTCATGGGAAGGCATTGCGGTTGGCTGGCCCTAATGGCCGGTGTTGCTACTGGAGCTGACTTCGTCTTCATCCCTGAACGTCCTAGGGAGCACGACTGGAAGGAAGACATGGTTAATGTTGTCAGAAGAGTTAGCAAAATTCCATTGACGTGCAAGTTGAACATACGCTAACGTAGTATAGCACCGTAAAATTGGCAAGCGCAAGACCATCGTCATTGTGGCCGAAGGCGCTCGCGACAAGAACGGCACCAAGATCACTGCTGAAGAAATCAAGGATCTCCTTGCCGACAAGTCCGAAGGTGGTCTCGCCCTCGACACCCGCATCACCACCCTTGGACATGTCCAGCGAGGTGGTACCGCCGTGGCATACGATCGAATGCTTGCTACCCTGCAGGGTGTGGAGGCTGTCAAGGCAGTCCTCGATGCCACTCCCGAGACTGAAACTCCTTTCATCGCCATCACGGAGAACAAGATTGTTCGAAAGCCGTTGATGGAGGCTGTGGCCGAAACCAAGAAATGCTCCGAGGCTGTGGACTCCAAGGATTTTGAAAAAGCCATGTCACTCCGAGATTCCGAGTTTGAAGACCAGTGGAATTCGTACATGTTGACAACTAACGTTATGGTTAACGACAAAATGCTACCCGAGACAGACGTGAGTCTTCTTTCTTGGATTATCGGTCAAATAGTTGCTGACATCCTCATAGCGCATGAAGATCGGCTTCATCAATGTCGGTGCTCCTGCTGGTGGCATGAACGCTGCGGTCCGCGCCGCCGTTGCGTATTGTCTGTCGCGAGGACATGAGCCCATTGCCATTCACAATGGCTTTGCTGGGTTTGCCAGGCATCACGGTGACGATCCCGTAGGATCCGTCCGTCCTTTCAACTGGCTTGAAGTTGATGGTTGGGCCAGCAAGGGTGGTTCTGAGATTGGCACTAACCGAGAACTCCCCGGCGACTCTGGTATGGAGTTGATTGCCAACCTCATTGAGGAGTACGGACTCGACGCCCTCTTCCTAGTAGGTGGATTCGAGGCCTTCCACTCCATTTCGCAAATGCGAAAGGCCAGGGACCAGTATCCTTCCCTCTGTATCCCCATGTGCTTGCTTCCCGCGACCGTCTCCAACAACGTGCCTGGAACCGAATACTCGCTTGGTTCTGATACTTGCCTCAACGAGCTGGTTAGCTACTGTGACAAGATTAAGCAGTCGGCGTCTGCTACCCGCCGTCGCGTCTTCGTCATTGAGACCCAGGGAGGCAGGTCTGGTTACATCGCAACACTGAGCGGCCTCGATGTCGGCGCCTCAGCCGTCTACATCCCTGAGGAAGGTATCAGCCTTGAGATGCTCAACGCTGATGTCCAGCATCTCAAGACGGTGTTCAACAATGACAAGGGCCAGTCCCGCGCTGGTCGCCTTATTCTTGTCAACGAGAAGGCTAGCAAGGTCTACAATGCTAAGCTCATCGCGGACATCATCCGTGAGGAAGCTCACGATCGATTTGAGAGCCGAGAGAGCATCCCCGGACACGTTCAGCAGGGTGGTGTTCCCTCCCCCATGGATCGCTGCCGAGCTGTCCGCTTGGCGATCAAGTGCATCCAGCATCTCGAGGCCTTTGGCTGCAATGCTCACAACCATGTTAAGAAGGACCCTAACAGCACAACCGTCATTGGTATCCAGGGCTCCGAGGTCGTTTTCACTCCCATGAAGGAGCTGGAGGAGACAGGTACTGACTGGCCCAACCGACGGCCCAAGAGCGCTCACTGGATGGGCTTGTCTGAGGTTGTGAATATTCTGGGTGGTCGACCCGATTATCCCAAGCCGGAGAAGAGCTTGACGGGCCTAGTTGCCAAAGACATGAAACGTGGTTTGTGAAGAGCCTGATTTTGCAGTAATCCCAGTTTGGTTTTAAGTTGTGACACTGGTTGAATTCAATGAAACAAAATGCTTCTCGATCCTACAGGTTATTATTAATAGCAAATATTTAAAGCCCAGTTCACTGTGTCCACTGTGCGCACTTATACTTAGTTCATTTTCGTAACCAAGGTAACACTGTTTGCAAGTGTGGTGATAGCAAAATTATGAGGTTGTTCATGACCCTCTTTTCAATACAAGCTATAGGGGAGTCCAATACGAAGAAGGGTGCTTCAAGAGGGTAAGTAATGGCATGTAACTTTATACCTAGAGGTGTAACAAGAATAAAACGCGTGACAATAATAGTTGAGTTATCCGGAGTAATTGATTCCAACAAGGACGTAACTTCTTCTTCCTTTTGGGGTTTTCCTGGATTTCTTCTGTTAAGGATGGCCAGTCCTGGTACTCATGTACTACCAAAATAATGGCTAAGAATGTTCCGCAATTGATGAGATTTGCCTGTCCCATGCAGCTCAAGTGTACTATCACAATAATAATAACGAGACTTAGGTGGTTAGGAACCGGGTAGTTCACCTCCGGCCGACTCTCTTCCAGGCCTCTCCGTCTTCTTATATTCTTGACTTGATCTATTTCATGCAAAAAGCAAGTTCTAACTACTCTCGGTAACGCTTTCATATTGAAATATCTTCACTCTTGTCGGTTTCTTCATGTAATGATGATTCCAAGTCGAAAATATAGGGAGCCACGCGAGGACTCCATGGAGGAATCGAGACTCTAGTATGGGAGCTGATCCATGAACACGCGAGCAAGAATGTCTGGTTTCTCAGCAGCAAGCCGGTCGAGAACAGGCAATACCCCTTGTATCCATGGATCAACCCTATTGCAGTGGGTTCTAGCTCATACATCCTACCGATGAGCATAGATCACATACCTCTACTTTGGCAACTTGACGTGAGTAGTCTATCCAATTCGTGCTCTTGCGCCACCCACAGCTGTGGGGCTTCATCTGTCGCTCGGGCGGGAGATTCGACACAATGTCTAGTTGCTTCGACTGTTTAAACTTCGCCATTATTGGGGTTGGCAGACTCAGTACTTTATGCCTCGGAATGATGGTAAGAGAAGAACGGCAGCTAAAGCAGCATAGCTCTGGCCTTGACGCCATGGAGTGCGCAAGAATTTTCAATAAATCGATTACGTCTGAAAAATATGGTGTCAAGAGTGGTGTTTCAACTTAGAGGCGGAGGAACCGGCTCTAAGAACAGAATAAACGGTTGAGTCTTTTGGAGATGGACGGGGCAGGGTGCTCAGATGGCGTTTTGCTCCAAGATCACGTTGGCCTGGCATCTTGGACCGGGTGCCAATATTGAGACGAAACAGTGAGCTTCTTCTGGAGTAGCATTTAAAATATTCACATCGACTCCAGGTCATCATCTTGTTGCGTGGTTCTGTTCTCTTCAGTTCCTGCGTGACTGCTGCTAGTGTATTCAAACCAGCAAACTCTTTGCATCAATTCAAACCAGTAAGCCGACGAAATGCATGTTCAAGCTAATATAAAAACAGCGAGATAATTATAGCCATAGCGACTGAACCAGGTGATATAGCTAGTGTTGTTCTCCGTGTAAGTTTCGTTCATCAAAAGGAGGATCTGACGCTTTCGGGTGGCCAGAATTTGGGCCGACTATCGAAAGGGTGGCAATCTACATGCATAATTTGACTGTAGTGACCTCAGGTCGAAATCCTGTAGTATATGCTTGGGATTCTTCGCAGGTTTATCAAGATTGATCCTCAGGTTTTCTGGGAAGTAAGGGTGCTGAGGAAAAGCACCCCAGAGTGAGAGGCACGACGATGGGAGGTTGGTATCATCAGGTACTTGACGATGGAGTACAGACCATACTTTCGCGGTTGTATTTTATGTTACGCGGTACTGCTCTTCAATACGTTGAATATCATTTTCACCAATCCGGTAGAAGAGCGATTGTGGGACAAGAAGCTGCTCGGATGATGGAAAATAAAGTTAAAAGGCGATCAAGCTCTGGGAGGTCTTATTCTATGACAGCATTGGGGGTTAAATGCGGAACAAATTATATCCAGGGTACGATCCAATCCGATGAGGACATATTTGACCTCTCAGCCTTAAATGATCATGCAGTGCTCTTGGCCGTACGATACACACAGCATATGACCTGGGTGCGCAGGATGATACAGTGGGATGCACAAAGGTTGCACCCGATCTAAGTCGCTCGTACAATACGCTGGTCTATATTAGGGTACAGTGTGTGGCCAACATAAGGATCAAGGTAAGAGTTAAGGTGAAGTTTCTTTTTTCAAAGAAACACAATACCTTATTACAAAGCAGCAACAGACACTGGTCTATTATGCTTGTCAAAGTTCTACAGAGTAAAGCATCATGATTAAAATGTGGTCCGGCAATGTATTCTACAAAGTAAGCAAAAACTCAAAATAGACGTGCAACGGCCACACTGTCTTCACCAAGATATCCGAGAAATCTAGTTCAGGCCTCATGGTTCAATCTGGGCATCAGACCTCCAATAAAACATACATCTTTATACTGGTTCGGTTATTTATACCAGTCCACTTAAGCCTAGAGACATACAGCATGAATGTCCTATTTAAAAGTGTGGCGTTTGCATCTCCGCCTGGGTGAATAGAATCCGAGGTCCTAAATTTGGTACGGTGTAGGGTAAGTCGCCCAGTTGCCCTTTCAAGGGGCCTCCCAGGCAACAAAGGAGCGTCCCGCTTAGAGAGCCGTGATTTGGGACTTGGGGGTGCACCACCTATCCCGCTTCGTCCCGTCCCGTGGAGCACAAGTGAAAAATCCTTGTTTATTGCACTTTCCCTCCATTCTGATGTGCAAATACAGGAATTTGTTGAGGTGGACAAGGAGGAAACCAGGCTGGGCTCTGGAGATTAGGCGGCCGCACAGCCCTACGCCAATGCTGTCAGGCTGAGCCACAGCAGGTATGGGAACAGGCGCACACGACCCACTTCACCATTGCATGTGACAGACAACCTCGCGACGCTGAGATGACGAAGTTGATCCTGGAGGGATGGAGGGAATTGGGGAATTATGGTACAATGGATCGGCGGAAATGGCCTGCGATACCGCTAACATCTTACACTTCTCCCAGGTACGGATACAACCGTTCTCATCGGGCTCTTAGTGGCCCCCCCAGACCCCACGGTCGGGCTGCCTCGATACCAGCAACATCCCCGTTCTCGTCCACTTTCCAGGCTTCTGGACGATACCCAAGCAATCAAAGCTTCCGCTGAGTGCCCAGGCGGTGACGGGGAACCCTGTTATGATTTCAATGCCCAACAAACCGCTCGCCCATCCCTCCGACATGGCGTTCTTGAAGTTGCTGCCGTGAAAATTCTGACCGGACAGGCTCCCAGATGCCGTCTTGAAGCCTGGTGGACTCGGGGATACGTACAGCAATATGCAGGCGGCGCTTCACACCGAGCAGGCTGTGGGCTGCCGATGAGTCGAGCCCAGGCTGCAGATGCAACAAATGCAGCATGGGCGAGACGCTGAAAAGAGGTGCATTCTGGCGCTAACATGGGTGGCTTTCCGCCTTGCCCTGCCACTCAAACTACCGCTCAAGAAAGAGACCAAAACTGGAGACCAACCAAGACATGGAGTGGGCTGTGAGTGGCCCTGTGCCCTGTGGATGCCGTCTGTGGGCTGTGTGAGCTGCTGCACCATTGCGTCAACGGATATCCACACCTGGATCTTGACGCCAGGATTGCAGTCGCGGGGTCCTGGCAAACCTGGGCGTTTTCAACCAAGAGTTGGCAGACATTCATCCATGCTGCGAATCATGATCCCGGGCAGAGCAGGGACAGAAACCACGGTTCCTCCCCAATCGTCCCGCCCGGTGGTCTTTTCAAGCCGGACGAGAGAGCTAGACAGCGGTGGATACCGGCCGACCCCAAACGAAAGGCGTCGTCAGGCTGGATGGTCTCATGTTCTGCCGGCTGCGCGACTGACCCTCCATCACGGCGTTCGCGTGGGTGAGGAGCTCGGCTCATTGGGCCGCCATGGCACCCTTGTTGGTGAGACCAGTTGATGGCTAGACAAGCTGCCAAATGTGTGGCAAGGCCAGCCGGATGACAGGCAGCCCAGCGGTCCTCGTCCTGGTCGCGGAGGCGGACGCAGTCAGTACGTAGTAGGCTCAAGGGCGGTAATGCGACGCGATCCATGCGGCCCCCAGCGCGAGCAGAGCCCTTGGCCCTTTGTGACTGCGACTCAGCCTGGCCATCAAAAAGCCTTCGACCCTCCCGTCCCATTTGCCCCTTCCACCTTCTTCCTCACGGCTCGCCCCCTCTTCTTGTTCCCGACACTGCCGCTCTTTGCTTCTTCCAGAAGAACAAGGAACTCTGTTGAATCCCGTCCATCCTCCATCCTCGCTTCTATCGCTTCCCGTGAGCGGACCGCTGCCACACTCGTCACTAGCCAGGCCAGGCCGACCCAGCAACAACCCTCCATCCCCGCTCTAGCCTGTAGCCCCTCCGACAAGGTCGCGGCTGACTATATTCTTGGCCGGGGGGTCCTTTCATCATTGCTGTCGGATGACGACGTTGCTTGTCGTTGCCCACCCTGATTCTTGCGGCGTCCAGCTCGCGCGCCATTAAATCCACCTGACTCTCAAAACCACCTGTCGATCTTGGCTCCTTGGTTACACATCTCTTCTTCCTTCATTCTTCCTTCATTCTTCCTTCAACATCGTCGCATCGTTGGTTTTTGCCAGTTTTCAAGACTCTTGATAGCGGCTCCTCTCAGCGACATTGAGGCTCACCCCACGGACCCCGCTTCGCCGGACCACCCCCAGCAACTACGTCACCGAATTTGCCCACTGAGCTGGTTGCCTACCGAATCTACAAAACACCACAACTAAAAGCATTTGGGATCTCTTGATCTGACTGTCATGTCCGCACGCGGTGTCAGAACTACCGAGTTCGAGGAGCGGGACTATTACCCCGCTCCTCGTCGCTCTGCCCCCGATCTGACCGATGAGGTCGACTACCGTCGCCGCACTGTCACTATCGACCCTCCCAGCAGAGAAGAGCGCGCTCCGGCCTTCCTGCGAGGCGAAGGTCGTCGGCCTGAAGCAGGCCCCATGGTCCTTCGTCAAAGACAAGTTGAGACCATCGACCGCCACCATCCCAGAAGCCCCAGCCCTGTTCGCGTGCGAGAGGAGCGTATCATTCGGAGGCCCCGGAGCGTCTCCCCAAGCAGCCATGACCACGAGCACGAGCGTTCTCGCACAAGAGTGGTTGAGCGCGAACGTGTTAGAGAGCCCTCTCGGAAGCGATCTCCCTCACCACGTGTTGTGAGATACGTCGCACCGCCCCGACGGTCGCCCTCTCCAGAGGATCATGACATTGACATTGAGCGCGAGCGCATTCGCACGCGTATCGTGGAGCGCGAGAAGGTGCCTTCGCCTCCCCCGAGGCGCGAGCCCACTCCCTCTCCTCCTCCTCCGCAAGTTATTCGCGGACCAACCATTGAAAGAGAAGTTATCACACATTGGCGAGACATTGATCATGGTAAGCACAATCCTCAAAAATTCCCCAAGACCAGAAACTAACAGCCAATAGGTGTCATCAAGGCCAGGCCTCCAACTCCTCCTCCTCCTCCGCCTCGCGCACCTTCGCGGGTGAGGGAGCGTGAGACAGATATTGATATTTCCTTGACCAAGAACAAGACTGAAGTTGATATCTCGCGGACGACTCGCACTCGATCCAAGAGTCGCGAGAGACGCTCCCACTACCACGATGACGACTTGGTGATTCGACGAGACACCGAGCGTGTCAGGTGGGATGACCAGCCCAATCGACGCCGAGCCCACTCGGCAGCCCCCACGCCTAATGCCGTTGACGAAGAAGGAGATTATATTACATCCAAGGTCGACTCACGTGGCCGTATGGGTGAAGCCTGGGGAGGTGCCACTAAGGACTGGGCCATTGTGGATGTTCCCCCTGGCACCGAGCGCATTCGCATGGATGGCGTCGGCGGTGGAAGCACCGACACCTCTTGGAGTAGATACAGTGGTGTTCGAAGGACCCAGTTCATCCCCGAGAGAGATGGTGCCCCGGCACCGGCACCGAGGGATCCTTCTCCCCCGCCCAGCCGTGACCGCGTGAACGTCTCGGTCTATGACCGTGAGAGGGAAATTGATATCGAAAAGGTCACGGATCGGCGAGTTTCGCGACCTGCCCCACCGCCCAAGGATATGTGGACTGAGATCACCAAGGATCTCGTAGTGCGGGAGGCGATCGAGGAGCTGGGCTACGACTATGAGGAGACGAACCAGTTCTTTTATATCATGGACTACCTGCGATATGTAAGTCTGCTCCCAAGATTTTTGACACTGCAAGAAGCGAGTTCTAACAGTTGCATAGGATGACGTTCTTCACCTGGTTGACATTTCGGACGAGATCCGCCGAGCCCGAAAGCAGCGCACCCGCGAGCTCGAGTGGGAGCGAGAATACCAGGAAGATTGGGAGCGCAGCCGTCACCGTCACCCGGGATCCCGGTGGGACGAGATCGTGGAGCGTGACCTAGTGTATGAGGGTCGACCGCCGCCTCGTGGCTACATCCGATAAACGGATTGCAGAAGCATGTTTGCCTCAGTTTCCGAAGCTTGATATGTTGGCGTTATCGGGCAGGAAGACCATACGATGATACGTTGCAAGCTAGAGAGAGGACAGCAGCCCTTGTCGGATTACGAATACCTTGTTGGAGACTCTTGGACTACAGGACATTGGACCATGTTTGAAGCTTGCTTAAGGATGACGTGGTGAGCGTTGTGGACTCTGGGTGACCAATTCGGCGACTTGAGATTTGAATCCGTGTCCTCTGGGTTACAGAGGATGTACGGAGTATGAATAATGAACGGGTCAATATGGCGCGAGATGAGCTTGGATGGGATGGGATTGGTTTGGATGTTTGTAGATGCTTTGCTAAAGTCGTTCTAAGGACGATGACAATCAATCACGAGTTATGACAAGAAAGACAAATGAACGAAGTGCAACAAGTGCAATGGGCAGATTGGCTGGAGGATGGATGAGAGGAGACGTGAGGCGGCGCAGACAACGGGTGATTGGGAGTCTCCCAGACCGGTGACCTCATCCGCCAGAAATCCTGTCGGGAGAAGAACGGCTAGCGTGCCCCACATCTGCGACCCCGCGACTGGACGGGGGAGGATACGACGTAGCGAAGCCGGATGGGGCTGGCGGGGGCCTCAATCATGCTGGAGGGCACTGGAAGAGTGACTGGAGAATGCATTGTACTACGTGATACGTGCTAAATACTACGCAGAAAGGCCCTGGAAGCATGCCGATGCGGAGAGAACAGAGGAGAAAACGCTTCGAATCACGGAAAGGGCGTACTGCAGGGCGCGGCACAATGGCCGATGGGCGCTGACGCAGCGATTTAAAAGCCAATCCGCGATGGAGACGGGTTCGCCGCCCCACCCTGCACCAGCACCTAGCACAAACCAGCCAATATTTGTGAAGTGCCGGTCCGGCGCAGCGCCCAGCAAGGGACGGGAAAAAAAAATTATGAAAGCGGGCAGTGGCGGCTTCGGGTCTTCTTCTGCGTCCTGGCCTGGGTACGCTCGGTTCGTGAACGTCGATTGTGTGACTCAAGCCTCTCGACTGTGACTCTTGGATCCTTTACTGGCATTCTTGTCTCAAGTGCTCTCCTATATCAAGGCCCATACGCGGCTCGTCTTTGGACTCCAGACTTTGGACAGCTTTGTCAATTCCAATTCCAATTCCAAAAATTATCACCCCTCCTTCCTCATACCACCCCAGACCCCATCGTGGTCTGCCCCGCATTCAGTCAAGATGGTGATGTGAGTAAACGAACGTCCGCGGTTGCAACTTGCTCTTGGATTGTGGTCCCTGAACTTGAACTCCCTCTTCTCCTTCTGTCGCGGGACCTCGCCTTGACTAACACCACGTCTTCCGCTGCCAGGCTCAAGGATCCGTCGACCAAATACAAGCCCTTCCCTGCGCTGAACCTCCCCGATCGACAATGGCCCTCGAAGACTATCACCAAGCCCCCGCGCTGGCTGTCGACCGATCTGCGCGACGGAAACCAGAGTCTGGTTGACCCCATGGCATGTCGCCCGCTTCCCCCGTTGCTTGTCGATTTGCGCTAACACCCGTGTCTCAGAACGGCGAGGAGAAATGGCGATACTTCAAGATGCTTACCGATATTGGCTACAAGGAGATCGAGGTCTCCTTCCCCTCGGCTTCTCAGACCGACTTCGACTTCACTCGCCGCCTGATCGAGACCCCCGGCGTCGTGCCCGACGATGTCTGGCTGCAGGTCCTGGCGCCCTGTCGGGAGGACCTCATCAAGCGCACCGTCGAGTCCGTTAAGGGTGCCAAGAAGGCTATCATCCACATCTATCTCGCCACTAGCGACTGCTTCCGGCGGGTCATCTTCAACTTCTCCAAGGAGGAGACCCTGGAGTTGGCTGCGCGCTGCGCCAAGTATGTCCGCTCCCTGACCAAGGACGACCCCGAGCAGCAGGGCACCGAGTGGGCGTTCGAGTTCAGCCCGGAGACCTTCTCCGACACAGACCCAGACTTCGCCCTCAAGGTCTGTGAGGCCGTCAAGGCCGCCTGGGAACCCACCGTCGAGAACCCCATCATCTTCAACCTCCCCGCCACCGTCGAGATGTCCACCCCCAACATCTTTGCCGACCAGATCGAGTACTTCTGCCGCAACATCACCGAGCGGGAGAAGATTTCCGTTTCCGTGCATTGCCACAATGATAGAGGCTCCGCAGTCAGCAGTTCCGAGTTGGCCCAGATGGCTGGCGCCGACCGAGTCGAGGGCTGCCTGTTTGGAAACGGCGAGCGTACCGGCAACGTCGACCTGGTGACCCTGGGACTGAACCTGTACACACAGGGCATCCACCCCAACATTGACTTCTCCGACTTGCAGCGCATTATTGACACCGTCGAGGTGTGCAACAAGATCCCCGTCCACCCCCGTGCTCCCTATGGCGGCGCTCTGGTCGTGTGTGCCTTCAGCGGCTCTCACCAGGACGCCATCAAGAAGGGTTTTCAGATCCGGGAGAGCGACAATCTCAAGTACGAGGACCGCTGGCAGGTGCCTTACCTCCCCCTGGACCCCGCAGATATCGGTCGTACTTACGAGGCCGTTATCCGCGTCAACTCCCAGAGCGGCAAGGGTGGTGCTGCCTGGATCATTCTCCGCAAGCTTTCCCTGGACCTGCCCCGTGGCCTCCAGGTTGCTTTCTCACGTGTTGTTCAGACCAAGGCCGACGAGCTTGGCCGAGAGCTCTTGTCAAATGAGATCACCGACCTCTTTGAGCAGACTTACTTCCTGAAGGAGAACCCTCGCTTCACCCTCGTTGACTACAGCATCACCCCTGATCGTGCTGCGTCACCGGCTCCTCCCGCTCCTGGCAAGACCCAAGATACCAAGAACCTCAAGCGGGTTTTTGACGGAGTAGTCTTGGTTGACGGCAAGGAATATAAGCTGCATGGCCGTGGCAACGGCCCTATTTCCAGTCTGGCCAACGCTCTCCGCAACGTTGGTGTGAATCTGGACGTCCAAGACTACAAGGAGCACGCCATTGGAAAGGGCCGCGAAGTTAAGGCTGCGACCTACATCGAGTGTACGACAAACGAGGGCAAGCAGCGAGTCTGGGGTGTTGGCATCCACGAGGATGTTGTACAAAGCTCCCTGGTCGCTCTCCTGAGCGCTGCTACCAACGTACGTATTATTTGCCCTCTTTTTATCTGATCTGATGTGCTGACATGAAATCATAGTTTGCTGCCAGCCGCCCTGGCAGCCCTTTTATCCGCCAGCCGTCGCCGGAAGCCGTGGAAGAGACACTGACGCTGAACGGAACCAACGGCAGCGCAAATGTGCCTTCTACTGTGGTGAGCATGTTGGAGGAGAAGGCGAATGGCATGTGAAGGCCAATGGACAGGGTATCAGTGGGGGGCATTGCAGATGGACAGGGAACAAAAGGTGCTCAAGGGTTGAGACACCAAAAAGCCGCTCTTTCTCATGACGAACACGCGGGGATTGCAGAGTCTGAGTTTCTAGTTTCTGGGATGTGTGGCTCATGGAAAACATGAAAAACAGGCATGACAGCGGGTTGCACGTTGGCCATGACCTTGGGGAATTGTGCATTGCAAGGGACTGGAAAAATCATGTAGTTTCGCATCTTGCATGGTGGGGAATCCGGCATTCATGTTAGGCATGTTGGTTGTTTGAGCCGAGTCCTGTAGTTGGATTCAAAGAATGAATGAAGTGAAAGAAGAACAAAGAAGCAACTCGACGTAATCTTGGCAAGGCGCAACGTGTTAAGACTCGGGACGCCACCTGGTACTCATAAAAACTAGCACCTCCACCTGGACCTCGAGGACCAACAGGCATCGCGGGGATCGTGGGCATCTTTTGATGAGTTAGATGAGCAAATGGCCCAGCATGGAAAGGTTGGCGGGCAATGATGCGGTGGTTGCCAGGGAAGGGTGGGGGCGCGGGATAATTGCCCTGGGACACTTGTTTACTTTCTGAGGAGTCAATACAAACAACGAGAGCGGGTTAGGAGGAGCTGGCGGTGGATGGCCGCTGTGAGTCAAAGAGGGGCATGCAGCAGACAAAGGCGAAGGTGCAAACGAAGGACGGGCAGTAATTGTCGCGAGAGAAGGTATTCCCAAAGTCAATAGATTGGCTGGAGCATGCTTCAAAGGAAAGGCTACGCTTCGGATAGAGTATTGGAGGGGGAAACCCTGTTGTCGCATTCATGTTCCATGTGCCTCTGCGCTCTGGGCTGTGCGAAGAGCGTGCGCCCGCCAGGACAATGGAATGGGATGGATGACCATGGCACGGCGGGGCTCTGCGTTATTCACACTGTATGCACAATGTACTGGGAAATGCGGTGGGCGGCTCAAATTCACGGTCTGGGGAGCGGGCGGCTTATGCAGGCCCCAGGGCATTCACTGTGCAGGACGCGCACGCCGCGATGACTCTTGGGCCAGGGGATTTGGCTTTCCAGTAGGGGCAAGCCATCTCGCCATGGCGTTAAGCGAGGTTCGCCCGGGCGACTTCGCCGGCCTTTGATTTGACAGAGCCCGGGTGTGGAGAAGAGGAAGGTGGGAAAAACATCGTTCCGTCTGCGGACAAGGGACTGGCCATAAGGTTGGTGGAAGACTCGAGTGCAAATGGCAGAGCGTGGGAGGGGGGAACAATGCTTGGACGGGGATGTGTGAGGCTGCTGTAATGCAGTGTGCTGCGCTGCACTCCGCTGCGCAGCACACCTGATGCGTTGTGGAGAGCGAGCCTGTGGGCGAATGGTGGTGCATGGGTGCAGCGTGCGTTCGCCTCGTTGCCTGCCTGCAAGAATGGCGGTCGCGGTGAGAGCGTCTGAGACGAGACACCGTCATCACCAGATGGCACATTCAAGACCGCGAATTGGCTTCCCGCTGCAGTGCCTGTTTACGGGGAAAGTGATTCACACCCGGCCCGGGACTCTCTGCATGCTAAACAAGCAACCCGGGCGGGCGGGCCGGGGGGGGGAAGAGAAGTGTTTGAACATCAGGAGTTAGCAGCATCAGGCTGGGCTTCAGCATAAGCACCGTGTGGCACAGTGCGAGCAGCGCCAAGGGCCAGAGGGGAAAAAAAAGTGGCGGCCGGTGACCTGGGCTGCAGGCAGTGAAGAGCGCCCGGGACAGTGGGTAAAATTAGGCGGTCGTGGTAGCGGGCAGCGGGCAGCGCAGGCGGTCGGGGCGGCGGTTGTTGGCGCTGCTGGCGGGACCTTGCGTCCCGTCACCAAAGCCAAAAGCTCCTCCTCCCACACAACCGCCTCTTCATCCATCTTCCCTTCCAAACCCGCCCATTCTTCCTTTTGTGCCTCCGTGTGCAACCGACCCTTCCTTGTCTCCCCCAGCTCCTTGGCTCTTCGCGCGATCGGGCTTCGCAAGTCTCCCAGGCGTCACGGAATTTCCGGCAATTTTTGGCATCGCGAGATCCCTTTTCTCTCCTCTCTCTTTTGGGCCCTCTTTATACCACCCGCGCCTTCGCCGCCGCCGCCGCCGCGCCGCCCCCCCTCCCACTACTCCCACGGTCCTTCCCTCTCCTGGCCCCCCAGGCCGCCGTCGTTGGAAAAAACCCCCGCGTCTCCGCCGAAACCAGTTTTACTTGTCGACACGTGCGCCTTTCCTCGACCTTCTTCGTCGACTCGCTTGCCTCAGACTTCTTTTCCTTGAAGCCGCATGACGACTCTCTTCTAATACTGCCACCATGTCGAGCTCAGAGATAAACCAGGTGCTCGCGAATTCGCTGTCGCCCGGTGAGTTTGGGTCCCCCCCCAGCGGTCCCCTCCCCCAAAACTCTTCCCCCTCCTCTCGCTCCCGCCCATTGGCGATGCTGACCCCCCGTGCACTCCGTCTCCCCTCCGCTGGTGATCGAGGGACGTCATCGTACTGACTGCTATTCCCAGATGCGAACCTGCGAAACGCCGCCGAACAGCAACTCACCCAAGCCGCGGAGAGCAACTTTGTAGGCGACCCCTAATCCCCCCCCTTCGCCCACCGCTCCTTAGCTCGGCGTGGACTTGGCTAACATTTCCGCTCGCCTAGCCCCTATACCTCGCAACTCTCGTCCAAGAACTTGCAAACGACTCTGCCGATGGTTCCATCCGAGCCGCTGCCGGTATTGCCCTCAAGAACGCCTTCACAGCCCGAGACTCGGCTCGTCTGCTAGAGCTGCAGTCAAAATGGCTGCAACAAACAGACGACGAGACCAAGGCCCAGGTTAAGCAGCTTACCCTGCAGACACTGAGCTCCACCAACATCCAAGCCGGTACTGCCGCTGCCCAGGTCATCTCCTCCATCGCCGTCATCGAGCTTCCCCGTAACCAGTGGTCCGACCTTCTGCCCTTCCTTGTCAAGAACGTCAGCGAGGGCGCCGATCACCAGAAGCAGACCTCTTTGACCACCATCGGTTACATCTGCGAGAGCCAAGACTCAGAGCTGCGCCTTGCTCTCGTTGCACACTCGAATGCTATCCTGACCGCTGTTGTTCAGGGTGCTCGAAAGGAGGAGACCAACCTCGAGGTCCGCCTCGCTGCCATCACCGCTCTCGGTGACTCGCTCGAGTTTGTCGGAAATAACTTCAAGCATGAGGGCGAGCGCAACTACATCATGCAGGTCGTCTGCGAGGCTACCCAGGCCGATGACTCCCGGATACAGCAGGGCGCCTTTGGCTGCCTGAACCGAATCATGGCTCTTTACTACGAGAACATGCGCTTCTACATGGAGAAGGCTCTGTTCGGTCTTACCATCTTGGGCATGAAGTCCACCGATGAGGATGTTGCCAAGCTGGCCGTCGAGTTTTGGAGTACCGTTTGCGAGGAGGAGATCTCCATCGAGGACGACAACGCTCAGGTCGAGAGCTCGGACCAGATGCGCCCCTTCTACAACTTCGCACGCGTTGCCGCTAATGAGGTGGTTCCCGTGCTGTTGCTGCTCCTGACCAAGCAGGATGAGGACGCTACGGACGACGAGTACAACCTCTCTCGCGCCTCTTACCAGTGCCTGCAGCTGTACGCCCAGGCCGTTGGTGCGACCATCATCACCCCTGTTCTCCAGTTCGTTGAGGGTAACCTCCGATCTGAGGACTGGCACAACCGAGATGCCGCCGTTTCTGCTTTCGGCGCCATCATGGAGGGTCCGGATGAGAAGGTCTTGGACCCTATTGTCAAGCAGGCTCTCCCTATTCTGATCACCATGATGGATGATCAGTCCCTCCACGTCCGAGATTCGACCGCCTATGCCTTGGGCCGCATCACTGAGGCCTGCTCCGAGGCTATCGACCCCGAGACTCATCTCCCCACTCTCATTGAGTCCCTCTTCAAGGGTCTCCTCAGCAACGCCAAGATGGCTCCTTCTTGCTGCTGGGCCCTGATGAACCTGGCTGAGCGTTTCGCCGGTGACTTCGGTGCCACCACCAACTCCATCACTCCTCACTTCAACCAGGCCGTCAGCTCTTTGCTCGATGTTACTGCTCGCACAGATGCCGATACTTCCGTGAGAACTGCTTCCTACGAGGTGCTCAACGTCTTTGTGCAGAACGCTGCTTCCGAGAGCCTGCAGCCCATTGCTTCGCTGTCAGATGTTATCATCAAGCGTCTGGAGGAGACTGTCCCCATGCAGAGCCAGGTCGTCAGCGTTGAAGATAAGATCACCCTCGAGGAGATGCAGAACAGCCTGTGCACTGTTCTTCAGGCCATCATCTCTCGCCTGGATAAGGAGATCATTCCCCAAGGCGACCGTATCATGCAGATTCTTCTTCAGATTCTCAGCAGCGTCGGTGGCAAGTCTAGCGTTCCTGACGCTATCTTCGCTACCATCAGCAGCCTCTCCACCTCAATGGAGGAGGACTTCGTCAAGTACATGGATGCCTTTGCGCCCTTCCTGTACAACGCCCTGGGCAACCAGGAGGAGCCCAGTCTCTGCTCCATGGCTATTGGTCTGGTCAGCGACATCACCCGGTCTCTGGGCGAGCGAAGCCAGCCTTACTGCGACAACTTCATGAACTACCTCCTGAACAACTTGAGGGTATGCGTTCCGAAACCTTTATTCGAGAATCTATCTAACAGTCAACAGAGCACTACTCTGGCTAACCAGTTCAAGCCTGCTATTCTGCAGTGCTTCGGCGACATTGCTGGCGCCATTGGTGGCCACTTTGAGACCTACCTGTCCGTTGTGGCCCAGGTCCTCGAGCAGGCTTCTACCGTCACTGCTACCCCTGAGGGTCCCTACGAGATGTACGATTACGTCGTCTCACTGCGCGAGGGTATCATGGATGCTTGGGGCGGCATTATTGGTGCCATGAAGGCTAGCCAGAAGAGTAAGACGATTGGCTTGCAACAAGATTACCTTATGCTAATGATTTGCAGCCCAAGCTCTCCAACAATACGTGCCCGCTGTTTTCCAGCTCCTTGGCCTCATTGCCAACGACCAGAACCGCAGCGAGTCTCTCATGCGCGCCTCTATGGGTGTCATCGGGTAGGCTACATTCCCCCAAACATACTGACACCAATGCTAACTCCCTGTTCAGTGATCTTGCCGATGCCTACCCCAACGGCGAGCTTGTTGACGCTTTCCGTCAGGACTGGCTCACCACCATGATCAAGGAGACCAAGACCAACCGCGAGTTCCAGCCCCGAACTGTTGAGACGGCTCGATGGGCTCGCGAGCAGGTTAAGCGCCAGCTTGGCGGTAGCCAGACCGTTATGGCCCAGAACTGAATGTTGTCGACGCAGCGTTCAAGCTCCCACGGTGCATCCGTGATACATGACCATAATGTCATGAACAATGCCGAGGACCCAGGCCACTGACTCTTGGAGTGTCAAGTCTGTGGCATATCCCGGCAAAATGATTCCACCCCCTCCCCACCCCCTGCCACAACATAACACGATCCCCATGACGCTTCCATGTATATAGATCCCCATACGACACTACAGTAATTGAAATACCCCCTCACGACCCTTCCCATCATCATCCATCAGCATTACCCCAGCTCCCCATATGTATTCACTTCCCAACCCCACCACTACACTACACGTCACAGCACCACCCCCCTTTCTACTTTTTGTCAGAGATGCAATGAAGGAATAGAGAAATCATGTATGCCCCGCGCGGATTAACAGCGGCGGCGATCCAAAATTCATGTAGAGGCTCGGGGAGTCAAGGCGGTCGGTTCGTTTTTGTCTGTTAGCTTTTTTTGCTCGCCTTGCGCCCCATCAGGAGTCATTCTTGGATTCCCTTTCAAGTGATTGGGAAGGCCCGGTGATGGCGTGCTCAGACATGCCTTGCGTGTGAGGGAGAACGAGTGGAAACCAGAGGAATACCATATCCAGGAGCGTGTAGGGGATTTATTTAGAGCCAGAGTGAGCGAGAGAAATGGCAGACGAGAACCAAGAGAAATCGAATGAGGCGAGTCGAACTAGAGTATCAAGTGATCTCGTTCGGGTTGCGACAGTCAGCGGTAGTCAGTGGCGCAAGAACCAGTTGACCCCTACAAACATCGTTTGTGTGCTTTTCTATGTATTGTGACCATGGTGAACAGTACGTGGTAGATTGATGTAACTGCAAGTGTTTCTCGGGGTGATATGTAACCCGCATTTCCAAGTAATTTGCTCTATCCATGGTATTTCCCCCAAGCCTGATTGTCATCCGCATTTAGGTATCGTATTAACAAAAGAGAAAGAGGTTATGTCTAGCAAAGCATGCTAACCCCAGTGCCCCGAGGCTGAAGAGGCCTCGCCCACCGACCGCCTTTTATTTTCGCTGCCGAGCTCGCCATGCAATATGTTCTGAAAAGAACACGGGAAAAAAAGTCTAACAAGATGTAGGAAGATGAAAAGTAAAAGGAAGAAAATGAAGACCAACGAAAGGACAGCGTCATCACTCGTGACAAGGTGGTGATAGGAGGGTGCGTACTAGATAGGATATGAAACATGAACGTGAATATGGATACATAAGCTTGTGTCTGGTGATGGCGCGGGAGTAATTGCTAACTGTATCCGTCAAAGACACCACTGGGCGGCATCCAATCCTGCGGGCCGTTGATATAAAATTGTAACTCATTCTCGAAGCCGTCAGCAGAGGGGTAGAGACCGGCGCCAGGCGCTTCGGAGGCGACAATGGTGTTGCTGTTGGGGAGAGGATAGCCTTGGACGGATACTACGGTGGTATTTTGTGGAGAAGAATCGAAGGCCTCGACAAGCATGCCCAGACCGTTGGAGTTACCGGTGTTGGTGTTAGCGGCCATATAGAGGTGCGTAGGGAGTTGTTGCTGAGAGTAGACCTGGGTGTCAGGGACGGAAATGGGCTGTTGGTGTTGCTGCTGGTGTTGTTGCTGGTGTTGCTGCTGCTGCTGGTGTTGCTGTTGGTGCTGATGCGGCCGGTGATTTTGTTGCGGCTGATGATGCTGTTGCTGCCGAGGAGGTTGCTGCCCTTGTTGGGCGAAGTGCAAGGGTATGATGTGGGCAGTCGGCGTCGTGAGGGGCGTCATGTGTTCGTGAGAGGAGGGTGACCGGAGGGTGGAGGAGGATTGAGTTGCATCAAATGAGCCGCGCGTCCTGCCATAGAATGATGAAGAGGATGGTGATGGAAGTGAAGAAGTAGAAGTTGACTGGGATGCCATGGGGGGGTTGATGGAAGATGTGGTGGCGACGGCGACGGGATTGGGAATAGGGTCCTTGCCATCGGCCATGCTGCCATCAGCGCCGAGAGAACCGCTCGGGTCGCGAGCGAATCGTTCGAGGGCGTCGACCCAGCGTGAAGCCAGTGGCCAGACCTCTTTACACTCCATGAGGATGCTAAGGGTACGATGAAGCATCATGGGACCGTCGCGGGTAATCATGGGATCTGGGCAGACTACGGAATAATTTTAGTACGCATGGTCGAAGCTTGACTGTGAGAAGAGGTTAAAACTGGTAGTGAGACGCACTATTTGGGTACCGGCAAAGGTAGGTGGCGAAGAGGCCACAACTGTAGACACAGAAGGCGGCCATCTGGGCGCCGACACTCTCATCTGGAGAGCGACGAGTGAACTGGGCGTCGATTTGGTCAAAGAGACGGCGGACATTGTGGAAGAGCTCAAGAGAGAGGTTGGAGAAGTAGGCCTGCTTTTGTTCGTCCTTGGAGCCGAGGGTCAAGAAGCTATTGTGGAGTCAGCCGAGGTTCTTTGTGGGAGTTTACAGAGTAACATACTCTGTCAAGTAGGGTCGCCGGGAGACAATATTGCAAAGCCGTGGAATCATAGTCACGCCGAGATATGCCTGATCGCGTTAGTTCCTGTAAGAGTATGTATCTTAGGAACATACCAAATCCTGGCCGTCTGCCTTGTACTCCTTGAAGTAGTAGTGACTCCATTGGTGTTCCTGGGGTAGACCTTGCTCCCAGTCGCGCAACCTCTTGATCATAATAGCAGCTTCGCTATTGGGGTCCCAGGGGCTGGCGCTCCTGGCAAAGTTGACTGCACGGCGACTTACAATTCCCCAGAAGTGGTGAGCCTGAACCATAGATGCAAAAAGCGAACGATTCGGATCGAAGACGAGCGATGGGTTTTCGTCTGCCGGGGGTGTACCCTCAAGGGCGGCACGTGAGCGAGGTTGACGACCTGCGGCAAAGTCTTGCTCGTCGCAGGGAAGGAGGGCGGTGATGTCTGAGGCAGCAAGGGAGACAGGCGAATAGGGGCTAGAGTGTAGTTGGTCTTGGCTATGAAGCATCCACTGGATACGAGTTAGTGACTTCTTTTGGCGACTCTTGGGGCAAGGTTTGACGTACCAAAGTCCTTCGAGCAGATTCAGCTCGTATGATGATTTCGGGGCTAGGGTTTGGGATCTGGTAAGTTTCCTCTCGGTGAAGTCTCATCAAGGAAGCCATTCGCATCGAAACTCCCATGTTAATCTATGTTGTTAGCATGCTGCGCTAATTATACGTGCTCTCAACAGACCAACATACATAGCTCATATTTTTTAATCCGCTACCTTGTTGAGCGATGCTAAGTAGATAGAATCCCTGGCATCTTTCGAGAGTGGGCTCTTGGTAGAGTTCACCGTATGCGAGCTGGGACGCACGCTCCATGAAGAATTCGGCGGCCTGGATACCAGAGCCATACCGGGCAGCGAGAGCGGGAGTCAGGCGTGCCGAGATGCTGAGAATGCAAACGACAAGAAAGACGCTGACAGAGCGAGGGTCATGGTGGAGCCGGGCAGGGAACTGTTGCTTGGGGATGAAGCCGTGTTGGAAGTAGTGACGGGTGAATCGGTTGATACCGTCGATGAGGTCCGGCAGGGGAGGTAGACGATCCCATTCATCGGCTTTCGAGCCTGGAGGTCGCACGACAGGAGCTTCTAGAATGTCCCGTCGCACCTTGGCGGGGTCGCGTCTGGCCGTCTTTTCGGCCCTCATGCGTGGGTGGCGGAAGTCACGATCATTGTCTGGTTGGCCTCGGACGGGAAATATACTACAACCATTGTCTCAGCGGGGACTATTTCCTAGTGTCTCGCGAACGGGAGCGTGGTGATGGCATACCAGTCTTGGGCACTGAGCCCTGATTCGAAACAAGCTTTGCATGGTGGTTGTGCCTTGTCGTGGACGCATTTGCTCCTCATCCGGCGACATCTACACAGGAGCGGGGGTGGTTAGCCATGGGTCACAGGCAAGAAGGGCATTCGCAACGACGGAAACCCGCAGCATGGAAGCCATTGACGGAGCCGTCGACGGAGCCGACTAGGGATACTCTCGCCGGAGCCGCAGGGGAACGGAGAACGAACCCACCTTCGACAAGCAATTGGAGCCCGGCGCTTGATGACGCCCACGATGCCAGAAGTCGCACCGCCGGGCGCGTCTGGGTCTGAGTCCCCGTTGATGGTAGCGGCTGTACTACCACGATGGATAGTACGGTCAGGGACATCCGTGGTCCCCAGGATGGCGGGCATCGCTCCAGGAATGGCCATCGCGGCGACGGCGTCCATAGTGTGCCTCTGGGGCAGCGGCGGCGGCAGCGCGTCCCGGCAGGCGTCGAGTCCAGTAGCGGCAACAGAAGAAGAGTTTCGCTGGGGACCGCGACGGTGGCCGTGGCCTGGCCGTGATGGTGTGACGGCGACTTCCCAGGTGGAGCGTGGGAACTGTTGTACAACCTGGACAGGAACCGCAGGAATTAAACTCGACTCTAGTCTCTGGATCAAGGCGATGGATGGGTGGCTTTTGGACCCCCAGCAGCTGCAAAGCGGGAACGCGGGAAGCCAGCTTGGACGCCAGTTCCCTGCGGGTCAGACCCGGACCACCAGACCAACAAGCCAACAACCCAGGCGGATCAGCTAGATCAGCCAGCCAGGTCGGCCAGATTAGCCAGGCCGGCCAGCCCAAGCAGCTAGACGAACCAGCCCAGTAGGCGGCAGAGCCAGCCTGGGCGGCAGATGGTGAGGGATGACAGGGACGGCCAGATAGGGTGATGTGCAACCTGCAAGGTCGCGCGATTGCCTGCCGGAGTCCAGGAAAATAAAATCAATATGCCCACGATGACCAGCAGCGGGCGGCAGCTCTAGGTTGTCACGGGTTCCGGGGTTTCGAGACCCGCGTCCGAGCCGGATAAGCTGAGCCCTGATCTGTTGTGCAAGACCGAGTAAGTGAGGGAGTGAAGGAGGAGAGACAAGCAAGGCGCGAGGTCACACCTGGAAGCCGCCTCAGAGCCACCTCAGGCCAGACCGGGAGACCAGAAGGACGGGGCGGAACGAATGAGAGTTATAGGATGGCCACAGCGTGGCGAATGGTGCTGGGTAATACTGGGAATATTACGGGTTAATAAGACCATCGATCTGTGGGCGATGGGTGGTAGCGACGCATCGATTACGGGTTAATAAGACCATCGATCTGTGGGCGATGGGTGGTAGCGACGCATCGACGGCACAGCGGGAGCTAAGACGTGAATATGTGCGCAAGTAAGAGCGTTTGCGTTCCTAGCAAAAGTGTATTAGGCGCCCGGGTTCGACGGATAACACCATTGCTTGACGTACATAGGCATTTTTACTCACCTAGGTCTGCCATTCCCCCAAGGCAGTACAGTGGGCAGCGCAGTGGCCGTTGGCCGTAGGCGGGTACCTGGTGGCCTGCTTGCTTGGCGGAGTTGGAATGGACACAGAGTTCGACCAGGTGGAGGTGTGAGAGGAGAAAGAGAGTGTGAGAGCGTGAGAGTGGGGGGAAATTATAGGAGAGTCGTATGGGGGGCTAAAGAGGCTGGCTGGTACTTACTTCTTACCCCAAAAGTCCGCACTTGAACGGCGAGGCAGTAGCAATCTGAGAGCAAGGAAGGAAGTAGGCAGGCAATGAGGCTGGGCAGGAGGGACCACTTTGAGGTCGAAGATGGCGAGTAAAAGCCACCACAACGCGAGGACTCAGGACTCAGGACTGGCGCAGCGACGAGTGCCGAGTGACAAATCCGAGGGCATGGACGGTAATGCTGAACGGTAGTATTATGGTGGCCTCTTTGGGAGGGGGCGGCGGAATAGGAAGAACCCAGAGGAACGGGAATGCCACGCCAAAGACACTCCCGACTACTTACCTGATGGACTATCTGCTCTGATCTGGGACTCTGGGGCAGCGCCATCTTCGGGCCCGGTTCCAGCCCGGACAACCCTGCTACTTTTTCTACTTACAGCAATGTTTCCCCGATACCCGGGCATAGCCTGTTCTCTCTCATGCTTCTCGTCCCTTCCAAAGTACTCGCGGACAATAAATCGGCAATCTATCTCCAGCAAATTAGCCAAGCCTTTTGTGCATAGACAAAGTCCAGCCCGCAAGAGCATCAGCCAAGAAAGGAAAAGCAAAGTTTAACTCCGCCCCCCCCTCCCCCGGATCCAACTCGAAAGTAAAGTGAGCAGGGGGGAAACATAGACAGGAAAAGAGAAAACAGGTCCAGCAAAACGGCCTACGTCGTGGAAAAGAAACCCGACCAGCTACGAATGGGCTGGCGAAGGCGGCGCAATGCAGACCGACGAACGGGTCGAAAAAGAGGACCCTGTGGCCAGTTTGAAGGCGATTTGCCTCGCCGCCATTGGCTCGGGAGAGGCCGCTAGAAACTTAGTGGTGACAGGATGCAAGGGGCAAGGATCTATCTTGTTAGTTGAGGGGTCCGGGCTCTCCATATTTGTCTCACTCCCGTGTCGGGTATCCATGACTTTCAGAGCCACCATGATGAATCTGCGTGCGTTCTTGCAGGCCCGCGGGCGTCGAGGGCGCTACCGTCTGCTAGCACTAATATTAACCCTTGGGATGTCAAATCTGGCTTTCTTTAGCTCGGTACGGTGTCTTGCCTGCCGTCGTCATGTCATCTCAGCGTTCACCCGTCATGACACTCGAGGGTGACGCACACGGAGTACACTGAACAAGGCGCTGACGACGGGAAAGAGGTACGACGTTGGCGGGAATGTAACCAACCCTCCCCACTACGCACAAACCGAGGCTTCATCGTCTGTCCCCTCATCTCCTCTTTTATTCTCCTGCTTGCAGCCATTCATATCATGCCATCCCGCCTCGTCCCGTCCCGTCCCGTCCCGTCCTCCAAGTCCGACACTCCAAACTCTCGTACTCTCCTCGCTTTGGCCTCACTGTCATCCAAAAATCAAGGAAATCCTATTGACCTCATTACCGACGCTACCGGAGATACCGACTGCCAAGTGCTCATTCCCCGCCCCATCCCACGCCGAGTCGACCTCTTGCATTCCTCCCCAGTCTTGAGACTCTCCCCCTCATTACCAACCAGCACTGGCCGGTATCCAACATCCAAGTCCCGACTTGCCATAACCCACAAATCCACCCTCGGCACCAGGTACGGCTGCGATGGGAAAGGCATCACCCTCGTCCCCACTATTGACTCAAACCTGCTCGTCGACTCCCTGATTACCATGTTTTCACCCCCGAAGTCCCAGGGGTCTGGAGGCGCCAAACCTGGATCACACACATAAGTGTCCTCCACTATTTCCCACATAATATTACTCCTCCACCGATGCTGTCGATTATTCCGAGTTAGCATGTCGCACCCTCCCAGCCAAGCGATCAACTCCTTAATGACTCACCTGCAATACGTCTCTGTTCAGACTCCAGCAAGGACTCAATCTTGTCCATGGTCAACGCCAGCAAGTCCTCTGCCTGTCCCCTGCTCACAACGCCTTCTTCATAGGATACATTGACCACGGTATCGCCCCCCCTGACCCCGGCAACGTTGAATACGAAACCCCGACTGCCTACATTGCCGTTGACGGTTGCTGCCGAAAACTGCACGTCCTCGATTCCCCACCGTGGTTGCTCTATCTGCTCCTCTCCCGTCGCCCCACTCGTTTGGACCGTAAACGCGCCCAGGTTTGAAACGAAGAACGACTTGCTGGTAACTCGGCCCATCCCTTCAAGTGCCTTGTTTACGAAGCTCTCGAGATCGCCCCCCAGCAACGTCCCTGCCATCCACGACCTCATGAATTTGTTGGGAATGTGTTTCAGCATCGATCGTCGATAGGACCGGGCCAGCTTCCAGGTCGTCTCAGCGTTAACAGATGGGACATATTCCAACTTGCCGCTCTTGTCACTGTGCTTGGTCACAATGCTTCGGTAATACCCGAGCCAGTGCGTATGGAAGCTACCGCCAACGGCGTTCATCATGACTCCATCGCTAGCAAGTACGCCACCGAGCCTGGGCATCCGAATATAGGGCCGAATGTCGAAGGCGTACCGAGAGCAGCCAACCTTTCCTGAGGAAAGAGGTCAACGGAAAACGTCGCCAGCAACATCACCGCGAGGAGGGCAGTGAAGGTAGTCCCGTTGGCTCTGCAAGCTGCGAGAACAGCAGACATTTTGCGCGCCGGAATCCGAAGAGACGAGACACGTGTGACAGTGCGCATCTCAGGCGGTGCGACCTCTGTAATTGACGCGAAGTATGGTTTTGCGGGCTGCAAACTACTAAAGAGGAGAGTGAACCCAAATATGAGGCCGACCAAGGAACGCTTGATTTGTCCCCAGATTAACTCCGGGATAGAGGGTTTATGGTCAGAGAGACTCATGGGTTCCGGGAAGAGCGAAGCCGTGTTCGGGTCAATGGTGACGATTGGGTCGACCGATGCCAGCCCTACAAGCGGGAGCGAATTGAGCCCTCGAAGCAAGGTCCGGTGGAAGACAATACCCGAGTTGGCGTCGGCCACGAGATGATGCAAAACAAAGACGACATCACGACCTCCTACCACATATACTCTCCACCAGGGACGGCCTGAATCTTCTTCGAACCACTCCCATTTGTTGTGCAGTTTCTCAAAGAAGTCAGCGTCGGCGCCATCGACATCGTCGACAAACTCGATGCAGTGGTCAAGGTCGATGCTGTGCAACATGCCGATATGCAGGTGGTGGCTGTCGCCCTTGGGTGACTGTTGTACAACCCCAACAATGCGGAGCGCCGAGTGGGCCTCAACGACGGACCGAAGGGCGGCGGTGATGGCGGTCCGGGAGAGCCGATTTCCCTCGTCCAGTCCAGCGGGAGCATAACGGGCTGACACAAGGATATTGGACTGGATTCCGAGCCGATGGAACATGAAGAACATGCGGTCATAGAAGCCTGTGTGAACTTCAGTTAGTCGTGGCCCTCCCCTACGAGGGGCTTTTGTTGGGGAGGGTGAACTTGCTGGACTCGCGGACCAGGGTGAATGCACTGTTGTGGCCGGCCATAACTGCGAGCCGGACGGTTCAGACTCTTTGGATTTTTGGTCAAAGATCAAGGAAGACGCACAGATGCAGAATGAGACATCAGAGGATCGACTATTAAACGACACAAAAGAGGAATCAGGTCGACGAGTTGGCAAGAACCGGGACAAGTGCCTCAAGGGAGGGGTACGTTCTGCCTCAACTTCTCATGTGGCCGACTTGAGATGCATCGCTTTTAGCACATTGGTCCAATCGAATGGGAAAGTACGAAGGGAGAATGATATGCAAAATGACTTGTTCACCAGCTCTGACAGGGTCCAGCAGGAGGGAAGACCGGCTAGACCCCGAGGACGGTTCAGACTAGAACATGTAAGCGAGGGAAAGAGGACTTGGGCCTGCGGAATGGGCCAGACAGGATCCCAAGACGAACGGAGAGTGGTTCGAGGGCGACAGAGGGATCCGAGAGGACTGCAGAGGACTGCAGAAGACTGCAGAAGAGCTGAGTGGAACTACATAAGGTATGCAGAAGAGCCGTGGCCATGGTAGAGGAGGAGAGGGGGGAGTGGAGGGAAAGCCAAGACGCCGTCGGGGTCTGACAAGCAATGACAGGCCCTGACATGACCGGGGAGAGTGGTAGAGTCGCCTGGCAGCACCCGATATGACGGTTGAAGACGGTGAGTGGTCCACTTGGAGTCTCGGCGTAGACCGCTTCGCCGCTTGGCCGCGTGGTGATGGGGAACTAGGCCAGGATTTGGCGTGTTTAACCTGAATGCTGGGTCTGTTTTGTGCAGGTCGGTTAAGCACTGCGCAGTACACTACTGTAAGTACTAAGTAAGTGGCATTGCCAACTGGCGACGCCTCGCAGAACGCAGCGGCGGTTGCAGATCCGGCAGCGCTTCCGTGGGTGCGAACGGTTCGCGGGGCCCCAATGATAAAGACCCTTGAGGAAACAAGAAACACCCCAACAGCGCCCTAACGTAAGCCATCGCGCCTCGGCCCGCCATCCACTTGCCCCGACGTTTACGGATATCTCGTTCAAGGTGCGTCAGATAGTGACAGCGGCCAGTCACCACACGTCACCGCACACCACCGCACAGCTCGCCTGCGTCTCTGCGCTCTATCTTCTCTATCGAAATCTGCCTCTTGCGGGGAATGCGTGGCTTGCACTCGCCAGCTGACTCGGGCGAGGCAACAGAACCTGCATCTGTGGCGCGGGCAGCCTGCAGCAAGCCCGCCTGAATTGAGACCAAGAACCGACACGGGCCGGGAGTCTGCCTGCGTTCCTTTCTTTTGCAGTTTCGCCAGTGGATGCGGACGTAAAATTAGCATCAAAGGACATCATGAACAAAGGGTCCTAATAAAAGAAACATGGCCTTCCGCGCGCCCGCCTCGACGACGTAGAGATGCCCGCCGACTGGGCTCTCCAGAATTGGGCGTCATTCGCTAGCCGTGGTGCCCTCTAACATGCTTCACCATCGCTTGACGGCTGCCTCGTTCCCTACCCTAGACATGTTCTACGACTGCCAGATGCCCCATCGATTCACTGTCGCCACTTGCATCCAGTTCGACCCAACTACGAACCAGAGTCGCTTTTCGAAATGAATCACGGTCCATGGCTTGCGCATGACGGCGCTCAGGAGGCCATGGCTGGCGTTTGCCCTTTGTCAGTCGCATTGATGGTCCTCTGGCCCTTCCACTCCAGAGTTTGGCAATCAAAGACTCACCTTCCTAAACCTCGAAATATATCCCATGTGTCACCTTGGCCGCATTGCTGCCTTCGATTTGTCCGTCTACTCCAGCTTCTCCATCATCCAGCTTCTCCATCATCCAGCTTTAGCGTCTCTGCCGTCACTCTCCAGCATCATTTCTTCTCTTTATAGATACTCTTTGCTCTTTGCTTATATCAGGTATGGCAGCGGGTGTGCCGATTTCGCCTCGTCCTTGCTTAATGACTGCCGTTCGGCGCCATGTCAGGCTGACAGACTTGGCCAACGAGCTCATCCTGGCTATTCTGGAGTTCTGTCCCGATTTGGCCTCTCTTCTGAACGCCTCGCATGCCCATCCCACTATATACCACTTGTTTCGCGCATATCATAACCGCCTCGCCACCCAGGTCTTAAAGAATGAGCTTCCAGAGGAAGTATATACACATGCTGGGGTCGCTTTCCTCGCTGGCAAACTGACCATGAAGAACCTCGACAACCTCAGCCTTGACGACATCAGCCATGCGGTCCGGAAAATCACAACCTGCAGGGACACAGGTTCCTTTCACAACCTAGATATGTCTTCAGCCAGCTCAGTTTCAAGACTGCACCGCAAGGTGGTTGACCTCGCCGACGTTTGCTTTCGCGAATGCGCCGAAACCCGAGAGCAGAACTTCGCCCCGTTCCGAGACTCCCTGACCAAGCGACAGCTGTCCAAAACCGAACAGATTCGGATTCAACAATCTATATACCTCTTCGAGATTCTACGAATCTTCTGTCAAGAGATGTATGTGGGGGGAGATCAGCCCCAGGCTTACTACGTCGACCTCTACTTTAAGCTTGGAGAACTGCATCTGAACTTGACGGAAAACACGCTGGCGCCATGGGAGATGTACCAGGTGATTGCAATCCAGTCCTTCTTCAGACGAGTGTTGCACGGCTTTGGTGAGTTTGACACCCCCTTCTCACTTGGAGAGCCAGTTGCTGATCCATGCCTTGTAGGACGAGATGAGTACCGCAGCGAGCGGGTGATGCCCGGCTTTCTGAGTTATGGGATCCCTTTCCTCCACAAAGCCATCTGCGAAACCGATCCTTCGGAGCGCGACAGTTTCCTCTCTCAGCATGAGCAAGACATTCTTGAAAAGCCAATACATGGAATTGGCATGGTGATTTCCAGGGGTGCTAGACACACATGGACCCGCAAACCGCTTAAGCCTCTCGACGAGTATAAACCATTTTGGACCGGCGACGTGGCGGGCATTCGGATGTGGAAAAGGATCGAGGCCAAACAACTTACCATGTCCACCGACGACCCCGTGTGGTCCGACATGTTCGACTACGAACTATTGCGCTTGGAAGGCCGTCTTGATCTTTGGAGCGCTGCGCTATGGGATGATGCTCGCTGGGAGGACATCGAGCCAACACTCCGTCTTCCTGAGCCAGAATGCTGGGCTGGAATCCAACATCACTCTGAGCCGATGGAAATGACGTTTCACCTTGCAAGACATCCGGATATGGCCTGGATGCGACATGAGAGTGTGGAAGGTTGAGATGACGAGCTTCTGTTGGAGAGTTGATGTTTTTGTTTACACCGAGGGATCTTGTTCGCTCTTTCGGATATTGTTGGTAGTGGCGACCAAACAAGCATGCGTAGGTCAGATGCCAGAATTGACATGGTACAGGAATCAGGGTAAGTTGGACGGAAGAGTGTGTTTGGCGCATACACGCTGGTGCCGTAGAGATAATGCAGTTGCATTTTGTTTCAATCACTTTGGTCATGTGGGTTTGATCTGCGGAAATCATGATCCCGCTTGCCGTTGGACCTCCCACGATGAAAACAGAACTCTGTGTTTGTTATGGAAACTTGGCCGGCATTTTCGTGAGTGGAATCCAAAGATGATGCTTCAAAATTTGGCTTTGTCAAGAAAGGGGATTCTATTTTGCAAGCTCTAGCACAAAATTATTGGCTGGTACGCACGGAAGTTTGCTAAGCTCTTAACTTCATCTGTATCAATATACTTCGCATGAATCCGATCAACGAGGTGAGCATGGAGGAGTTGTTTTTGTATAACTTGGTCAATATATATCTGGCCGTGTCTATGGGAAGCCTTGCTTTGCGCTCAGTTGAATGATGTGGAAGTCAGTAAGTCTAAAATATTGAGATGGTAGAAGCTTTCCATACCCATAAGGGCAACAAGCTTGTTGGCAAAACAATAAACAAAGTGCTGTAGAAGATGTCCATCGCGAGAAGTGACGAGACGAGCAGCACCTAAAAGACCCTTTATCGCGCTCCACGTGGGCGTTCAATTAGCAGTAGTATCTCCTAAATGGTTGAATGATCTCTACTAATTTCGCCTTTCTTTTCTGTCCAGCTGGGCAGTTTTGAAGTACCGGCTTGTCAGCAATGGCGCCGGTGGACAGCTACGCGTGGTCGGACCGGAAGGTCGAGACATAGAGGCCAGCCGACTTATTGGCCATCCCTGTTTTTATGTTTTTCGTCTCGTATTCCATGTAAGAGGACCCCTTTGACTACAATTGTGTTAGGCGCGACAGTGGCGAGCCACCTCCAGAAATACAGTCTGGTCATGGGGTCGATTTGGTACGATACTGGGCTCGTTGAGGGCGTCACATCTCCAGAAAAGGACTACGTCAGGATCAGGCTCAATTTGACGTATGGCACTCAATTCTTTGGGGGAGAGACGTCTCCAAAAATATGACAATGGAAATGAAATTGGTTTGGCGAAGGCAATCCCGCGCAGCACGATTGAAGCCGCGTTTTGGGGTCGTCAGGATCTCCGGGGAAGCAATCACGGATTTGGGTTCGATTTGTCGCTGCAGTATTGTCGCATCCCCCTTGAGTACTTTTCCGGGACCATTGCGAGCAGGATACTGAGACGATATTATGGGATCTGGATTCAATTTCGCGTCGCAGTCTTGTGTCAGCATCTTTCTGTCATGGATGAGCCACGACAGGGAAAATCACAGAACTTAGAAGTTGTGAAACTCGAGGTCGTAAGGTTCCTTCTCTGTTCTCGGTCCACATTATAACTGCTGACTCGGATCTCAGATCCACGTTGCTATCAAGCGTTCACATATTACCGCCCTCGACCCGCTCTTCCAGTGAAAGACTGCGACGTCAAATCTCCTTAGATTGAATCCTTTTTCCATCTCCGTTTTACTTTGTCGGCCGTCCTCGCAAAAATCATCTAGCTATAGGGTCGCCATGAGTTTGAAGCAAAGCACCGAAATGTGACAGAAGGAACATGTGTAAGTTGCATGACCCCGCAAGGAACGTCGCGGCAAGTTGGGCTTCAATCTGTATCAAATTTAATACATTGCTGAAGTTGCGGCCTCATCACTAAAGTAAACGGGTTGAAGGTTGAAGTGCGGTGTGCGTTAGGCCGTCTAATGTTACTGACGGCCGGATTGGGTGTCTTTGGAACGCACATTTGGTGTCATCTGTCTTGGCGAAAGTGCAGCAGCTCTAATGTCTTGTCTAAACGAAATAGCGTGACAATGCGGCTCAATCCTGCTCCCTCCATGGCATGCTTTCTTGGGATGTTGAGTCATCTGGCCTTGCTTTGGCGATTGTTGGTACAGCTAGTCTAAGAAATTGCCATGCTATCGGCTGGGTGGTTGTTGCGAGAGCGGGATTAGTCCTTAACCGGCAGAATCAGAGGTTTTCTCAGTTAATTCCTGGGTAATAGAGCCATCTGGGCACAGGGGCGGACTCATCTGTTGAAACTCAGGCGAACCCGAATCATCATACTCGCTCTTTGCACTTTAGGAAGCACATCAGCGACAACCTAGTCAAATCCTTTTCGTTGAAACCCACCGTCTTGCGTAAGAGGGCGAATCATTTTTCGTCTTTCTTTGCAATTTTCCCAGCACAAGAACAAGAAATCGAGGCTCTAGCCTTTTCTTTTGCTTTGAGATCGGGGCGATAACGAGGCGATAACGAGGCGATAACGAGGCCATACCCTCCAGGACGGACCGGCCAGACGCGCAGCCTTTCTCTTTGTCGAGGCCCAAGTCAAAATGAGGGACTGATCCATTCAAGAATGGAATTCTAGGCGTAACAATGATATGTGATAGTATGTAGATAACTCCGACCCGTTGCGGGCTCGGTGTCCCTTGCAAAGGACGACGACTCTTGGAGAATGATTTGCAGACGCCTTCTGGTGTTGCGGCTTGTAGATTGCTACGTGTTGGGATCATCGTGAGACGCCCGGAACGTCTTCCAGACCGGCTGCTAGGAATACGGTCTCAGACCCTCGGCGGGTCTTCCAGTCCCAGACTTTCCGGAGATATGTCCTTCGGACCCTACCTTAGTCCTGGAGGCCGCCCTTATCTTCATCCATTAGACCGTTCCCTAGCCCTTCGTTGGTTAGGAAATCAAGAGCTTTCATCCTCATCATCCCGATCCTATCCATTCAGTGTGACATGGATCCTGGCTTGGACACATCCGCCGGCCTTCCCAAAAGCGATAGTCGGCGCTTGCCCGCCGCAGAAAGCTTTCTGATCTACAAGAATTGGTAGTGGGGGCTTTCGGACATTCCAGCCGGAATGGATTCATCGGCGAGGCCTCGAGGATGTCGGTTCCAGAGTCCCAGGCAGTGCAAGGTAGTAGGCCAGGCCCAAGGTGGCAAAAGACTGCAGCAACAATTAAGCCAGCGAGGAGGCTTAGAAGGCCAGAAGGACGCACCGAGGCTGCTTATTCATAACTTCGTCAAACATCCTTGCGGAGCTTGGAGAAAGCAAGCGACCGGGTGATGTCTAACATGGAAGATAGATCGAAGATCGCTTATCGTACAGGGACTTCTGCGATGTCCGCTCAACTCCCAACGTTCTAGCCACAATATGCTGCTAGAGAGTCGATTTTCTCTGCGCACCAGTACCTACATTGATGGTTAGCATGTTAAGCTACCTAATCATGAGAGCGATATGGATCAATGCCTGCCGCAGAGTGTGGACTGGTCTATCTTGAGAGCAAATGTCGTCATTAGGAAAGCGGTGCAGACTTCTAGTTTGAGGCACATGTCACAAGGATGCAGTGCAGGGGAATGATACGGCATGAAAGGGTGTCGACCACAGCTGGCAGAGACGGAAAATTGCCGCCTTCTGGGGCGCAGGGCACGCGATGCCTTTCTGTCGCACTAATGATACCGCCTAAATAAGGTGGCAGTCAGACGGATGCGTTGGCGTTCCGCCGACTCGCCACGGCCAACGACGAGAATAGGTCGTGACACGCCAACAACGAGGCATTCATTCATTGGCACAAGCACCGCCCACTAGTCGATGTTGTGATCAATTGATTGGTGTAAGGTATAAAGAGAATACGACCTCATGCATAGTCGCACATTTATAGCAATGCATAAGTGCGTACATTAACGAGATGGCTAATTAGAGTGCGTACAGCAGCTTTGCCCGACAGCAGCCTCGAAGCCACGCGAACTGGAGGCGGCACCGTTGTGGCTGGCAGTCGCAAATCCGGGGCACCGGCGGGTATCCGATCAGTGCTTATGTTCGCTCGCCATGGCTGATTTAGAGCGATTCATTGAGTGGCCGAGAGCCCACAACCCTGGAACGCCCTGGTTCCCAGCACGCCAGCACGGCCGACCGTTTGCTTCCATGGCAGTCTAGGCGAGCGCCAGGATTCATGAATGGCCAGGTGCTGCTCGCGGCCCCATTGTCAGGCCAGGATTGTCTCTCTGGCGAGGTTTCAGCTTGGGCGTAGGGACCACGAACTTCAAACAGCAAAAGAAACGACGTAGTCCCCAAAAATAACGCAGACAGGCGGAGGATTCAGAGCCATCCTGTTGCCCATCTAGCCAGTCCCCCAAGAGACACCGAGAGAAGGGAGGCAACACACGATGGAGGCGGTCAGCTTAGATGAGAAGCCCCGAAGCGGTGGAATTCACGAGCGACCTACCTAAACAAGCGGGAGCTCATTTCACATCTAAATTATGCAGTAGCGCGCGACTCTTTGCCGTGTAGGTTGGATGGCACGTCGCGTACGTCGATCGACATTTGATTAGCACCTGGACGGCTCCCTTGTCGTCAGTTCTTCCGTTGGGCTTCCCCAGAGTCCAGTGACAAACCCACGACAGTAGCCAAACAGAGCTAGATGGCCAGGTAGCCTCGTCTGGTCGTGGCACGGGCATCGTGCCTCAATGGGAAAAGCTTCAGGGGAGCGAAGCCAGTAGCCCAGTGAAAGCCACGGCGTGACGAGCCACAAGCAGCGCCCCAGGAACAGCGCAAAGCGCACGAGGCACAAGGGCTGAAGGACGGAGCGAAGCGATGCAGGTACGGCAGGGGGCTAGAGACGGGAGTGGCAAGGCCGGCGGGTGGTGTCAACGGCGGCCAATCAGCGCTCAGCCCGGGAGATTAAATATCATTTGGCTCTCTTTTGAAGAAGGTCACGTCCGTTGTTCGCGCCGATTTACAAAATGACAGGGGACTTAATTGACCCCATCGAGTCCGCGACGAGTCAAGACAGGGAAACCGTCCACCCAGCAGGAGTAATGGGATTGCGAAACAGTGGGGAGCGGCCCCAGCGACGAACCCGCTACGAACCCGCTGGGCTTGATTGCGCTGAGCTTGTCTGGTGGGCTCCATGCCGCCATGTGGACGAGTGGTGGCGAGTGGGTGGCTCAAACGCCACTGTTGCAAGCGGCGGCACACCACTTGGGCAGGATTTGATTTCGTATGCCTCGTAAAATTCACTCATCTCCCGCAGGGCTAGGAACACGGGCAATGAGAGCGGCTAGAAGCTGTCTGTATGCGCGTGTCCAGCCGCGGGAACTCGTGCGTCGATCTCCCTTGACAACCCGTGTGGAATGGATGCAGAGTCTGCATGCATGGTGCATGAGGCATGAGAGCCCTCCCCTCCCAATCCACTTACAGACAGGGCCCTCTACGCGGACGTACTACGTAGTAACAGTCATGTTGAAGACAACTCTGGCCGCGGCTGTGGCACCGCTTGTACCGCGTGCCATTGAACTGACACACCAAAGAAACACACAAACACCGGGGCGGGATGACGAGGAAAAGCGTGATGCGGCCAGTCTCAACGTCGCATCGGGTCGGCGTCTATAGTACGACGTCGTCGGTGGAAAGGCCCAGGCCTGGCGGCCCACGCTGAGGCACGACAGAACGCAGCAGAGGCCAGGCCGAGCCAGGCCAGGGCAGACAGGCCCCATCGGGAGTGTGCCTGAAGTTGGGCTCGTGGTAATTTCCGCGCGACGTCTGGTGCAGAGCCCTGGTGGTCTGGTGTCTGGAGTGTGTGTCGCGAAGCCGGTTGCCAGGTCACCGGTACCCGAGACATGGCTTCGGGCTGGGCGCATTCCATGTCGCAGGTACCGCGCCTCCTAGGGCTTTGGGTCTCCTGGCTCCCCCTCCCTCTGTTTCTGGCCCCTCCCCGCCGCTTTGCGTTTGTGCCTGGCGGCACTTGGGGCCGTTCCTGGGGGGGCGCGCTGGATCCTTTGGGGGGAGCCCTGGTCAATCTCGGCCAGTCTCGCCTTGGCGCCCAGTAAAAACTCGTGCCTGGCGTTGAGTGCTTTGGCGCGTGTGGTGCGCTGCGAAGTGGGAGCTGAGAGTGCCTTGGCCTGAGTTGGTCTGAATTCGTAGGCCCAACTAGCTGCCCTGCGCTGGCTGTCGCACCGCCCCCCCCAAAGTACTTCATGGATCCCTTCCCCCCGACTGAGCCACCCTTCCCACGATCCTTCGAATTTCTGCGCTGTACCTTCACCTTCAACTACAACAGACTTCGTTGGCAGAGTCTACTCACCTCGTACATTCATCTTCCCCGCTTACATAGCCTGTGCATTTGCATCTCGCTCTGGATACCGAGTATCCCCAACCCGCACACTTTCACTCTCGCGATCCGCTCGCTTGGCCTCTTACACGAGCCACAACATACAAACAACAACAACAACAACAACTCGTCTGCGACTTGACTGACTCCGAGGATTAACAAACGACGCCGTCTCTGAGATTCGCTGTCCACCTCGCAACTATCCGTTTCACCACCAGCTACATACACCTAGCACCACGCGCGACATACCGCTGCCCGCTTTGAAAGCACTCACATACACAACCAACACCGACACCGTGGATATCTTAACACCGACGCAGTCACAATGCACTTCTCTAAGCTGATCCTGGCCATCCTCCCCGCGCTTGCGCTCGCGAGCGACGAGGGAACCACCACCCAGACCAAGACGGCCACTCTTACCAAGACCTACACTCTGTCTGAGGTCCACACTGTCACCTCGACCTGGACTGGCGAGCCCACGGCCGCTGCCGCCAACAGCACCACCCCGATCTCCACCCCGGCTTACAGCACCCCCGGCTCTACCGGCTCTACCGGTATTACCAGCTTCGCCAGCGCTGCTTCCACCGCTGCCGACGCGTCTACGCCCACCACTGTTTCCAAGGAGGGCGCTGGCTCTGCTCTGGATGCTGGCAAGGTTGTCCTGGCTGGTGTCGCCGGCATGGTCGTTGTCGCCCTGATGTAAAGCGTCAGGTGCGCTACCAAGGGGAGGAAGGGTTTCTATGAAGAACGAGAAACCGTGTTACTGTCAACCGAGCTCTGCGATGCGATCATCTTCTCACCCATTTCCTTTGTCACTTGTGCAACTTTTGCAACCCTTGCCTCTTTGGCCTGCTCAACAGCGCGGCCCAAACTTCTCTGGCATAACGATAAAACGACAAACAGCGCCACGATACCGACTGCAGAACGGCCCACGCCGTCTAGCACCATTCTGCTTCAACTGATGAGTTCAATTAATTTTTGGTTGACTCTGCCCCAATGGAGAGCTTCGACTTCCTCCTTCGTTTCATCGTGAGCACACGCACACATATGCACACCCGCTCCTTGTCGATACACCTCGCGGGTTTCAACATTTAATGTTTCGATTCATCCCCAGCGGCAGGCATCCGCGCGCGTTGACTGCGCTGCGCATAGCCTCGACTTTTTCTTCATGTTTCCTGAAATTGGTTCCTTGGTTTCACCATCCTGGCGCGTCTGGAGGGTAGTCGCCAGCTGCCTGGGTCCCCCAAAGCCTGTTCGTCTTCTACACACTTATTCACTACACATTTCACAGCGCTCCTTTGAGCTGCTACTTGCCAGGCTTTGGCGGGACATGACAGTTGGCGGCTTTGAGATGACAAATCCCCATATTCCAGATCGCTAGGACGATGACATGGTGCCTGCTCGCTGGCTGGAGACCCATTAGCATTGTTATCCGTCAACATCCCTTCACCTGGCTCTTTTGCTTCTCAGGGAGCCGGGACTGAGGAGATGGGGACGAACGTCAGGACGCGGAAACAATACTATTTTCACTTCCATATACCTCTGCTTCTTGGATGAATTGGCTTTATTTCATTTCTGTCTGGCGATACCCCTTTGGAAAGCAAGGTGATCCAAGTCATGGGACCCGCATCTAATGCTCTGTCATTCTCTTAGGACGAACAGCTTATTGTATGATGAGGTCCCATGAGTGTTGGAGGGAAGGATTGTGGTTTGGAGTATGAGTTTTGTTTTATTCGGTGGGGTGGGATTTGGATTGAAAAGGGGGATTGGTGCTTTTGAGCGGATCACGACTGAATGAGCCGTGAAGAGGCATATCGTAGATAGGAGAGCAATAGTACTTAATACGCCCTGCTCATAACTACCTGACCCCGCCGACTTTTGTTTTGTTGAATTGTGACTCGTCAATGTATTGAAACTCGGCAATTGATCTCTATTACCTGTCAGATCTGATCTCTCGGCGTCTTGGTCCGGCCTCGGGTATCTATGACACGCGGACCGATGACTAAGTGGCTGTCGGGAGCGCGCTCCGAATCACGTCAAGGTCCTGGCGATGGTGTTGGGATGGGGCTGATTAAGGATATTGCGCGGTATTTTTATTGGCCAACGGCGGAAGCAACCCGCTTGAAGCCGTCTGGGCGGGTCGCATCGGCGTCGCTCCCCAACTTTTTGCATTGGAAGCTGCAGCCATCTTTTGCTCACCTCCATCCCTGTCCGAACATCCCACCTTCAACACAATATCTCCTTGTCGAGCCTCCTGCCGTCCTTGATTGCTCGGCGACAGCATCATGGCGTCGATGGCCCCCTCTCTCAAACGGGCTCAGGCCCCCCTCCGACGAGCCCTGAGCGCGACCTCTTCCCCCGCCATTCGGTCTTTCGCTACCATCCCCTCCGACCCCAAAGAAGCCGGCAAGCCGAGACGGAAGACGTACTTCAAGGACACCGCAGTTGGATCATTTTCCGACTTTGTGTCCACTAATTCAGCTGCGCAGCCCCTTTCACCCACCGAGGCCTTTTCTCTTAGAACCGCCGAGGTCGGCCCTGAGGGCAGGAAGAAGACGATTACGCGACTGCCAGAGTGGCTCAAGACGCCGATCCCTGCCGGAAACGACAACTTCAAGAGCATCAAGAAGGACCTCCGAGGACTGGGCCTGCACACCGTTTGTGAGGAAGCTCGATGTCCCAACATATCCGAATGCTGGGGTGGCTCCGATAAGAGTGCCGCGACCGCCACCATCATGTTGATGGGCGACACGTGCACCCGAGGATGCCGCTTCTGCAGCGTCAAGACCAACCGTACACCTGGCCCGTTGGATCCCCACGAACCCGAGAACACTGCAGAGGCTCTGGCTAGATGGGGACTGGGTTACGTCGTCTTGACGAGCGTCGACCGAGACGATCTTGCAGACGGTGGTGCGAGGCATTTCGCCGAGACCATTCGGAGGATCAAGCAGAAGAAGCCGACCTTGCTTGTTGAGGCATTGACCGGTGACTTCCGCGGCGATTTGGACATGGTGGCCACTGTGGCGGAGAGCGGGCTTGACGTCTATGCGCACAATGTCGAGACTGTCGAGGACCTGACTCCGTATGTGCGAGACCGAAGGGCTACCTTCAGACAGAGCTTGGCTGTTTTGAAGCACGTCAAGGATGTGAAGGGTAAGGAGGGAATCATCACCAAGACGAGTATCATGCTCGGTCTTGGCGAGCAGGAGCATGAACTCCAAGCGGCGCTTGAAGGTACGAGAGCTAGGATCCACTTGGCCCATGAAACATGCTAACGCTATGACAGAACTCCGAAAGGTCGATGTTGATGTCGTCACCTTTGGTCAATACATGCGACCAACCAAGCGTCATCTCAAGGTCGAGAAGTATGTCACTCCCGACGAATTCGAGATGTGGCGTAAGCGAGCCCTCGATATGGGCTTCCTGTACTGTGCCAGCGGACCCCTTGTGCGCTCATCGTACAAGGCCGGTGAGTCCTTCATCGAGAATGTCTTGCGGAAGCGATCGGGCGAGAAGGGCATGGCGTCTGGGGCTCTGGGCCAGGCAGTTGCTCTCGACTCAGAGAACCGGTCGACGATTTGAACTGTAGACGGTTTTTCTTTCTCACACATTCTCTTGATGTTTAAGCACCAGTAATCGCTGTATAATGGGGTTATGAACACGGCGGTGGCCGCACGGATGGCGTTGAAAATTGGACTTGGATTGGATGATGCGATCTCAACATAGAAGCAGTGGTCTTCAACAAGGACCCTGCGCAAACTTACAACTCACTATATAACACTGAAACAATAAACGTAAACCATCACTTCCCGGCCATGGGTTGAGATCGCTTGTTCTCACAACTTCCGTTAGCTTAATCACAGCATCGTTGTCGGCCAAACAGAACACCTGCGATTCCTCGACATGTCCCCACGCACACTGATCGAAGAAGGCCACTGATTCACGGCATGGAGTGATGGATTTCATTGGGACTCTCTGATCCGTGGGACCAGCGTGGTGTCGCATGTCAAGTCTAGAGGAGTTGTATCACTGTAAATATCGGTACGTCATCCATGGAATGACGCGCACGTTGTCATCCGCCGTCGAGCGTGGCATCTTGGAGTTTCGGACTGGCCGTTTCCTTCGCGAACGTGGTTGTTGGAAAGGCACAGGTCATGTTTCGCGGCGCATGATAGGCGGGAAGGAGGGAGCTTCACCCGTATGTCGCTCCTTCTAGTTGGGTCACGTTGAGCAGGTGCCATACGGACTGGCAAGAGCCCAACGAGCTTAAAATTCAACAGCTCGCTGTTCTTTTTCAAACCTCACCAGTTTCTGGATTTCTGGTTCTCGTGCTTCTTTGAACACTTTGACGAGCCCCTCAGCGACGCCATGAAGCTAACGGCCATCATCACCCTCGCCCTCGCGGGTGCAGCGCAGGCCAAGTACTGGATGGAGGAGATTGGCCACTTTGGCAGGTCTCCGTACTTCCCCGACAGCCACTACCGCGTTTTCCGAGACGTCAGAGATTACGGCGCCGTGGGTGATGGAGGTTTGTGTATCCTGCCCGTGAGTTTCATATTGGTAGCTCACACAGAGTAGTCACTGACGACACGGCCGCAATCAACGCTGCCATCAGTGCTGGTAGCCGATGTGCCCCGGGGATTTGCAAGGGGAGCACCATTTCTCCCGCGACGGTTTATTTCCCTTCTGGGTATGCCTTGTTCAGTGAATATCGAGAGAATTGGCCCTGACCTTGTCTAGAACCTACTTGATCAGCAGCGCCATCATTGATATCTACTACACGCAGCTCATCGGAGACCCGAATGACCGACCAACCATCAAAGCATCCGGCTCTTTCTCCAAAGACAGCTTCGCGCTCATCGATGCGAATCCCTATCTATTCACCGGTGCCCTCTCTTGGAACTCGACAAACACATTTTATCGTCAGATCCGTAATCTCATCATCGACACCACGGCTCTCCCTCCGGACTTTCCTGCTGTCGGCATCCATTGGCCCTGTTCTCAGGCGTCAGCTGTCACCAACTGTGTTTTTCGTCTCTCGACCGTATCTGGAAACCATCACACGGGCCTTTTCATTGAGGAAGGCTCTGGTGGTTTGTTGAATGACTTGTACTTTTACGGCGGAGGCAATGCGACCGTTTTAGGGAACCAGCAGTATACTGCACGAAATCTTTGGTTCTACGGTGCGGATGTCGCGATCTGGATGACGTGGAACTGGGGATGGACGTTCAAGAGTACAGTTTTCAAGGGCTGTCGGGTCGGCATCAAAATGGATGATGTCTCCCATGGTGTGGGTTCCATCACCATCATCGACAGCTGGTTTGAGAATGTGGCCACCGCAATCTCTACGACTCGAATGAGTAGTGGTTCAGTGGGGACTGGAGGCTCATTCGTGATGGAAAATGTTCACTTTGAGAACGTGAATGCCGTGCTCTTGGGCCTTGGGGGGGTAGACCTTGCAGCAAACAAACTGAACCCGGGAGGGAGCGGTGTTTTTGTGATGGTAAGCATTTTTGCGTCGTGGAGATTCCATACTGACAGTTCCTAGGGCCATTTGGCGGACCCTGGCGGTCTGTTCGACGAGACAGGGTACTACAACATCTCTACAAGCCGCAGTGCCAACCTCCTCGAAGGCGACAGGTACTACGAGAGATCAAAGGTCAGGAGCCTGTTGGAGTTTATGATTCCCGCTAATCAATATTAGCCCCAATATGAGAAAGTCTCAAGTAAATACTTCACCTCGGCGAGAGCCAGCGGGGCAGCGGGCGACGCTTCCCATGACGATACCCAAGCACTCAACAGGCTGTTCAGCTATACAGCTACCAATGGATTGATCGCTTACCTAGATGCTGGAATCTACATCGTCACAGATACCGTCTTCATCCCGGCCAACGCAAAGATTGTGGGAGAAGCCCAGGCCTCGATCATAATGGCCACCGGACCCAAGTTCCAAGACATGCGCAACCCTCGTCCTGTTATGCAGGTCGGCCGCCCTGGAGATGTGGGCCGAATTGAGTGGTCAGACACCATTTTATCTACTCGCGGACCTGCAGCTGGTGCGGTTCTAATCGAATACAACCTGTTCACCCCTGGGACTCCCTCAGGCATGTGGGATGTACACACCCGTGTGGGTGGGTTTGCAGGAACATACTTGCAAGTCTCCGAATGCCCTGCTATCAAAGGTGCCAATGCGGGAAATTCTAGCTGCATTGCTGCGTACATGAGTATGCACATCACAGCCTCTGCTGGCGGCCTTTACACGGAGAACTGTTGGCTCTGGGTTGCGGACCATGATCTAGAAGATCAAGTGTATCACCGTGTTGCCATTTTTGCGGGGCGAGGCCTGCTAATTGAGTCACTAAGGGGTCGAATTTGGTTGAGCGCTACTGGCTCGGAACACCATGTCCTTTACCAGTATCAGCTTGTCAACACCCGGGACGTGTACATCGGCCACGCTCAGACGGAACAGGCATACTTTCAACCACTTCCTCCCGCTTTCTACCCCTTTCCACCGGTACCTCTCCTTCACGACCCAGACTTCCAAGCCGACTGTCAGAATGACCCTGCAGCAGGCTGTTCCATGGGATGGGGCATGAGAGTCCTCAATTCAAGGAATGTGGCCGTGTACGGGGCAGGACTGTACTCGTTCTTCAACAACTACAATGACTCATGCGCAAGTAACAAATCTCCAGAGTACTGCCAGGAGAGAATACTGAGCGTCGAGGGTGAGGTAGATGGAACGAGGTTTTTGGGGTTGAGCACGGTGGGGACAAAATTCATGGTGCAACGGGACGGCGTGGACTGGGTCAGGGCGATCGAGAACAACAGCACCTTTGCGGATACCTTGGCTCTGTACTCGCCATGAAGAAGTCGATGGATTATGGCAATTCGGAAATAGAGACATGGCCAGCAAAACGGTCAAATTTTGATGAATTCTAATAAAAACCCACAGGGTATCATGGTCATAAGACAGATAAATTGAAACACAGCCGATGATCAACTGGTCAAGAGGGTGCCTAGATGTCATAACAGAGGGATGCTGGTGGAGAATCAGATACGCATTGTCCATGGCCACTCAACCTGAGGAGGTCCCAGAAGGTGACAAGGACCTAAATATGGGTTCCTATTGGCTGTCCTAGTTGCGCTTCTTGAGAAAGAACGTGTATTCTTAGAATTTAGCTAGATCGCTAATAAACTTGCATCTAAGATGTCACTGGCGATCGTCATTGAGCAAGTTAGCCCAAACTGGAATGTGGGGTGCACTAGCATCGGCAGAACCGCACCGCTTTGGCCACCGCCTGCCTTAACCGGCGCTGCTCATAGCTTGGTCAGCACATCCAGCCATGAACACCAACCAACGCAACCTAATCTGGCTTCTTCCACGTTTCCAGCACGACTCCTCCTCTACAACGTCGCCGACACTCGATCAAACACCGCAATAATGACGGTCAACATCGGTTCCAACGCTGAGTGGCAGAGCATCCTTTCCGGCACCAATGTGGTCATCGCAGATTGTACTTGCCGGCCCCTCCGCTTTCGCAGTTCCCCAGCGCAACTAACACCCGCTCGATAGTCTACGCCGACTGGTGCGGCCCCTGCAAGATGATCGCCCCGCACTTCGAGAAGCTCGCAAACGAACACTCGCGCCCCAAGAAGGTTGCCTTTGTCAAGGTCAATGTCGATACGCAGTCCACTATCTCCCGCGCCCAGAGCGTCTCCGCCATGCCGACCTTTAAGATCTTCCACAACGGTACCTGTGTCGAGACCATCAAGGGTGCCAACCCGCCTGCCCTGACACAGGCCATCATGAACGCCATCAAGCTTGGCGACTCAGGCAAGGCAGGTGGAGGTGCTGTCTTCGAGAAACCCGGCCGGAAGCTCGGTGGCGAGGGTCTCCCGAGAGCTGCCCCGTCACGCGCTCGTGCCGTGACCTCCTCGGCATCATGGAGCCTCGGCCGGCTGTTCAATGCGATGATAGTCTTTGTGGGACTCTACTTGGTGTCTCTATTTTCGGTACGTACCCCAAAGTAAAAAGAAAAGAGTGAGGCTGACTGGGTGCCAGTTCGATCCCTACAAGGCGGCAGAGAAGTCGATGTTCAACACCCACAAACCAGTACAACCGACCACGAGCGCAAAAGCTGGACCTGGTGGTGCAAAGGCTCCGGCACAGAAACCTGTGTTTAAGACGCTGGCCGACTTGGGTGGTGAATGATACGAATCCATGTATCGGAGTGATTGATATTGGGCGTTGAGAGGATTCATTCTGTGTGTAAGGAATTTATATTACAGGAAAGACTGGAATTTGGCGTTATGGTCTATATTATTATTCTGATCTTTCTTGATCATCGATCTTCGGGTTATGATGATGCTCCAATGTGATGAAATGGAAGTGCCATGATGACGATCATCGTATCACGTGACGGCGCGACAGCGTGCAATGGCCAAAAAAAGTTCCAGATGCGAACTACCTTGAACTCGTCAACTACTAAATCTGTACAATACCAAGATGCTGTCCGCACGAGGCATCCGGAATGCCTGTCCGGGGCGTAATTTGTCTACTTCATTAATTACTGCTCGTTTTTCCACCTTCAATCCTCTCTTGGCTCGATCGCAAGCCTTTTCTCCCACCCGTTTCGTCCAAGCCAATAGGAGCCCGGCAATTACACAAACCTTTTCGACATCGAGATGCTTGCGACAGGAAGTCACCGCCACCTCGGCCGCCCCGAAGCAATCGCCAGAGGAAATCGAACACGTTGTGCGAGAGGCTAAGCAACGCTTTCGAGATACCCTCCCGAAAGGTTACTTGAATGAGGAGGAATACGCCCTGTACGAGCGACTGTATGGACCACCTTTACGAGAGACCCTGCCTGAAGATGTTGGCATCGACACCCATTCCGACATGGGGCCGCAACCACCCCGATCAGATACTGAAGGGACTATAATCCGGGAACTTGAGGACGGCGAGTTTGAAGAAATTGCGTATCAGATCCCCCGCGCAGAGGGAGAGGAAGCCAACAACGAGGCCCCGGAAGAGCAGCTCGAAGAACCAGGGTCGGAATACTTGGCTCATCGAGCTCCCGGATATGTCGACTTGGTCGCAAGAAGCCAGCGAGAATACGATGCGATGCAGAGACTTGCCCAAGACTTCGAGGTCAGCCAGAAGAAGCAACGAGAGGCCGAGAACAAGGCCGCCGCAAAGGAGGAGGAAGAGCAGGAACGTCAGATGGATGAGGCCAGGACTTGGCCAGAGGAGGAAGAGTACAGCCAAAGGGAATTGGCCGATATTCGCCGGTTCCATCCTCTCTCGGTCGAGGGTCGCTTCTACGATGATTTGGTCGAGCTTGTTCTCCCTCGAGATCAGCTGATCAGCCCCATTCGCGAGCTTCTAGACAGAACCCACCTTGACCATGTCAAAAAGGCGGCCGAAGTAGCCTTTGGCGGCGCGGGTCTACCCAATTCGCCGGCGACTCCGTCATGGAACAAGACTGGTCCAATGCAGGGAGTTGGTCTACCAGCAGACCAGCGGCACATGACTGAGATTGAGGCGGATGCTTTCATCGCGGGATCCATGCCCCCATCATATGCCTCCTCCATGTCCATCTTGAAGGAGGTGCGGAAGCGGGTTGGAACTGAGTGGTTACAGTCAAAGTTGAAGTCCGGCGGACTCCATGTTCTGGACGCTGGATCTGGTGGCGCGAGTTTGGTTGCCTGGGATGAGATTATTCGAGCGGAGTGGGATCTGTTGAAGGATAAGGGAGAGGCTCGTGCTCTAGACCCTCCCGGCAAGAAGACTGTTGTGGTGGGATCAGACCGGTTACGGCATCGTGTCAAGACGTTTCTGGAAAACACGACGTTCCTGCCGAGACTGCCTGACTATGAGCACTCTGGAGAGATGCGCGGTGGGCATCTTGATGCTGGAGACAAGCCGCAGCCACGGAAGAGCTATGACGTCATCATTGCATCGCACCTTTTCCTTGGACAGGAACAGGACCATTACCGACAAGCAGTCCTCAACAACCTCTGGAGTCTGCTAAATAAAGACGGCGGAATTCTGATTGTTGTAGAAAAGGCCCATCCCCGAGGCTTCGAGGCCGTGGCCCACGTCCGAGACACCGTGCTCAAGCAATTCCTCCAGCCGCAATCAGGGGAGCCGGACAACCTTCCAGAGAACCCCAACCCGGCGTTCCAACGCGAGCGAGAGCCTGGCCATATCGTCGCACCTTGCACCAACCAAGGCGTTTGCCCGATGTATCAAATCCCTGGGAAGAGCCGTGGTCGCAAGGACTTTTGCTCCTTCAACCAGCGATTTGTCCGCCCTAACTTCTACAGCCGAGTCCTCGGTTCGGGCCAGCACAACCAAGGCGACGTGGACTTTAGCTACGTAGCCATTCGCCGAGGAGTTTCAAAGAAGAGCCCGTTGACGGGTAAGGAGGCCACACTCGCAGCATTCAAGGGCTTCCAGAATACAGAGGAGAAGGTGGATATGGGGACCCTCCCACGAACGGTTATGCGCCCTCTGAAGCGCAAGGGACATGTCACACTTGATCTATGCACACCGGAGGGAAGACTTGAGCGGTGGACAGTACCAAAGAGTTTCAGCAAGCTCGCGTACCACGATGCCCGCAAGGCGAGATGGGGAGACCTGTGGGCTTTGGGTGCTAAGACGCGAGTAGCACGGGAAGCTCGTGCTGGTCGAGGACCCGACGACGGCGGAAAGCGAGCCGGACAGGGAGCAAAGCCGCGTAGAGTGGAGATCACCATGGGACCTGGCGGAATCAGTGCTGGTGAGAAGAATGCGCCCCGGGAGAGGCGAGCAAACAACAGGAAGAACAGGAAACAGGACCTGATCAAGGAGTTGATGGAGGCCGAAGAGGAAGAGGAGCGTATGATTGGCAAGCAGATGGACGAAGAGGTTGAGGCTGAACTCGACCGGGAGGACAGGAAACGAGGGCGATCATGAGTTGTATTACGAAACGAAATGTAAAATACTAGACTGTACAAAAGCGACGGCAAGGATGCCGAGGTATGGATGTACTGGAATGGTAACGTGGTAACGTGGAAGGGCGTTTACGTTGGAAACGTGGTAGACGATATTTAATAGATCTCAACACCATCAAGCATCAAAGTCTCAGTCTTTCGTTCCACCGCCAGGGTGAACCTGTCTGCTCAACATAACTGAAGTCATAGAAATTGAACCCATCTATTGCGAAGCAGGTCCACGGGCTTCCCGGCTTTCATGGTGAATTCTACCTCCCGTTGATGTCGCTAGCAACGGATGGGGCGAGAACAGGGATGGCATTCGGTAGGGGGTGTATGATCGCGGGCGGAAACCGCTTCACAATCAGGATGAAGCTGTTGAGGATTGCCAAAACATCCTTCCAGAACGAGACTCCTCATGCTGTTTTAGGCACCCTCAAGGACTACTCCAGGATAGTGCATTCCAGCTCCCCAACCGTACCTGCGAAGAACAATGCAGGCGCGATAATCATGTAGTGGTTGCAGCAACTGCTCTTGTAGATAAAAGCCGACTAGTATCGTCGCCGATGACCTCCAAATGGGTCTGTTAGCTTGGACGGTATAAGCAGCGGTTATGGATCTAGAACTGTCTATTCAGCCAACACTGTATTGAAGACTAAATCCAGGTCCTTCAGGAACATTTCAAGTTTCCACGCTCCATTTGGCCTCGCGAAACGGAGTTGGATCTAACTTATGATTGAAACACGGCAATCCATCCTTGGCTGGTCACCCGTCAACACCACCCCGCAAGTCAGAGACAGCAGACATTTGAGGTTATCCTGGAGGACCAATGGTGCCTTTGCCGCTCCGTTTTATCCCGCGAGGGCTCCGTCTTAGTCTCGGGGGCCAAGCCGAAAGAGCCCAGCATCAAGGCCAATGGCTTCTCAATTTCTAGAATCTCATTTTCAGCTGCCAGTCCCATCTGTAGCGAGACCGAGGGTTCTGGTGCCACAAGCCCTAGATTTCTTACATTATATTACTTCTCAGCTTGCCTAGCTGCCTGCTCTCTTGCTTCTGCCACTGCTTTTTCGGCTTCCTGATTCGAAACATGTTCTGTAAGTATTGGGGTTTCAGTTCCCTTGTTGGATGAAACAGGAAGTCAAGTGACATGTAGACGCCTATCTCCATATAGAGCAACCAGAGCTGCACGGGCAGCTTGGTGTCGATATAGATAACTCGAGCTCCTTCTATCAGGGCTCTTCTCTCTCTTTCAATCCTTCTGTTCTGGGCCGACACATAGGGGGATAAATAGCGAGGCTCGGTGCCTTCAGAGGCTGCAGTGCCAGGACATCTAAGGTGGCGTTTGTATTATACGAAGAACCCCGGAGATGTCAGTCAACTTCGATTTTGACTGTAAGCTCAACTAGATAGCTGGTATTGCATTTTGTAGGTCAGACCTGCAAGGCAATTCACTTATTGCGACGGCACATGGGCCTTCTCTTAAGTATTCTCCTCAAAACAAGTGTGAACAGGGAAACAGAGGAAGCGTCGGGGTTCAGTCGCTTGCTAGAATGAACGTCGGCTGTAGGGCATCTGTAACCATATTAGGCACCGTTTTCATGTCTTAGGGAGAATACCGACTCTTTCAGCTAACCACAATCCCCGATAGAGTTTTGTCTTGGACACTCGAAACAACATTTGCCTCGCTGGCGACAACGATTACGAGGACCTACACTAGCCCCAGCATGAGTGAACGACTCACAGACCGCCCGGTGATCCCATCTCTAGATAAGATTGAGGCGCAGCTCATTGCAGACGGGTTGCTTTTCCGCCCAGCGGAGTGGAAAGATGGGGCACCTGCTCGCTCCCCAACGCCCCTCGGCGTGATGCTCGGTCACTGCCCGAAACAATCACCAGTGTACCGAAAGATGTTGTTGGGGTACCAGCGACAAATTGAAGGCAGAGAAACAATCCTCAAGGATCAGACATGGCATCTGGAGTATCGCTCGAGCCTATATATCTTGGGTTCTTGGTAATAATAAATAAACAATTTACTAATAACCCCTTATTTTTAGGGAGAATGTCCAAGTCTTATCTTGATATTATGATGCCCGAGTCCCTAGGAAGAATATCCAATAGAAAACTGCGTCATACAATTGATTGCAATAGCAAAAGGATAAACCAGTGGCAAAAGACACCAGCCCCTTTACATTTATGATCTATCATGGAGTATCGGATGAACAATTTCCCTCCCCGATGCGTTTGCCCCCAAAGCAGAGAAAGTTTCAGGCATCACATTATATCAGGAGACTTTTTTATTCTCATAAGCGTGCTGGGAACCAGCCTCTTTCATGACGGTGTCCAAAAATCGACAATATGCGCTTCATCCTCTCTTACCAGCCCAGGCATGAAGTTAGTCTGAGCGTTCGTGCTACCTTAGCCTGGAATTTTAGCAACCACGCTACGAACGCCAAAATCCGGTTTCGACACGGGGCTCCATGAAGCATGTTTCAACAGCTTGGTTCAGCAAAAACAAAATATGCTGATCCTTTTCCTGATGAGATTTCTCCAGCATAATTATAGCAGGTTTCAACTTCAATCACGTTTCGCAGCATCATCCTTGTTGCGGTCTTCCAGGCGGCCGCAGGTTGCCCTGGCCTGCCTGCCGGGGGCGAAGTGGATCTTCGCCTACAGCAGTGTTATAAGAGCGCTGTGTGCCGCTGTTAATCTTTCATCACAGAAGTTCAAATGACGACTTGGCGCCTGATATCGAAAATCACATTCGACACAACGGTTTATTTACGATGGCCAGTCCCTGCGCCCAGCTGCAAACTGACGGTCGCGGAAAGTGCAGCAAGGCTGTACCACCACGGTCAACATGACCGGTCAATCTACGGGTGCACCGAAACCTTTGGGCTCCATTACTCTGTGGCACCGATTGTCGTCACTCAGCCTGGTCTGCTGTTTTGGTGTCGTCAACGTTTACACCAGCGAAGGGGAATCCGCACCGAGACTACCACAAGCTTTTTCTGCCGAGTGGCAGCCCGCACATCTCATCTCACGTCTCACACTTCGGTGAAATTCCGAAAAAGGGCGACGCTCGAGAAGCTTTCTGAGGCTGAGGACCTAGTGGTTCGCCAGCGGTTCGCCTGTTCTCTCACATCGGCGATTTCCGGAGCATGGCTTGGAGCGACCACGAGGCTTACGGGGGGAGGGCGGGGCGGCCCGTGGACCGGTCCTCCAGTGGGGATGGTCCAATGTCTCAGCAGCCTCAAAATGGTGGCGAGGCGGGCAGTGCCTCTCGACGCCTTAAGCCCCTCCAGCAGCGATTCGTACGGCAATTGAAACAGGATCCAGCAACACTGACCGAAGGCTGCCCAACCTTTCCGACTCAGTTGTGACGTGGCTGCATCGAGGGGGGCCTCAAAGCCCAAGACGCCATCAATGAATGGACTGGTTGAAGGCCAGCTACTGCACCATCTCCGTCACCAGACTGGACGGATCGTTGGGGCAATTCTGAAGCCTGGACCGCCGTCTGTTGAAAAAGATGCCCTCGCTCGGGCTTCAACGGTTGCGCCGATCCCAGGGTCTTCCTTGCACAGATCATCCTCGTCTGGCACCCAACGGGCGAACCAGCCCGGCGATGATCTCATGGGCGATGCTCCCGGGAGCACAGACAGCGAGGATGAGCCATCCCGGTCGGTCAGTCACCTGCTACACAGCAGAGTGCGACTCGATCAAGAGTAGCACGCCAGCCAGCGCCGTAGCCTCCCAGCCCGAACGTGAGGCTTGAAGTGCGGGGGTGAGTTGAAAGAACAAATGTGCAGCTTCCGCGCCTGCGTGCCGTCTTAAACGCCAATCATGTGACGCCGGCGAAGGGGATGGGCTCTGTAGCCATTTGGCGGCTGACGTGCTTGGGCAGCCAAGAGCTGGACTCTGATGGGGGAGGGAAGAAATGGGCGAGAGCGAAAAAGCCGACATGCCCCGTGAAGGCTGCCTCGTTCTCTCATTCCTCACAGAAAGCGAGAAAGCCGTTGCCTCTTTTGAAATCTAGGTGGCCCGGTTCGCCATCCGCCTTCTACCCACCCACATCCGTATTCCTGGGTGACAGCTCTTCCACGCCGTCGAGCGCCGTCGAGTTGTCTCCCCTTCGATCCAGCGTCATCCCACCCGATGCGACAGCACCAGCTCCAGCTCCAGCATCTCACTACCATGCCCAACCCCTCAAATCGCATCCCCAACCGATCGCCGTCGCCGTCGCCTTTCCCATACACAGAGACCGAGCTCGACTTCTCGGCATGTCGTCAAATGTCTCTTTCCTACCGACTTCCTCACGGCGGCCGCGATGACGCCGGCATTTTCGCCTTCCAGCAGTATGAGGACAGCAACAACGCCTCTTCTTCGGAACAGCCGACTGGTGCCGACGAGGACTACAATGTCCCGAACATCGACTCCAGCGCCAACATATTGAGCCGGTTGAGTCAAGACAACCTCGAGAGCAACTCTTGGGGCCCTACATGGGCCAACTTTTTGGAGGCACCAAATATCCTCCTTCCTTGGCAGGGTTCCGTCCCAGTGAGGAAGCAGGGCATCACCGACTTTCTTGACAGCCTCACAAACGTCTTTCCAGGCGCGCAAACACCCGAACCAACACCAGCGCCTCCCAGGGACAGTGCTCCGATTACACCACCTGTATCTGCGCAAGCAGCGACATCTACGCAGGCAGCGACATCTATGCAGGCAGCGACATCTGCGCAAGGGAAAAGAACTCGAGCCGGACGACGCGCTCAATCAGATAGCGACGATGAGCAATACGAAGGTCAGAGGTACAATCCACGACGGAAGACAGTCATCTCCCACTCTCCTTATCTTCCTCCTCCTCCTTCTACTGCTCTTCACACTCAAACCGACGAGACCCGCCCTACCTACCCACGATTCATTGCCCATGCCATCAGGGAGCTTGTGGACGAGGACTTTGAAGACTCCTGCGAGTATTGCTTCTGTTACCTCTACGAACCCTTCAAGTACATCAATAAACCCTTCACCTCGTGCGGGAAACCACGTGCTGAGGTATCGCATATCCTTACCCATGCAGTCTCGGACCATGGCCTGATTAGAGGCCATCACTCGGGACGCAAAAGCCAGCGCTACCTAACCCGATGTGCAAGCCACAATGCCGAGACCAAAGGCAAGGCCGCATGCACTCATTGCAACGACGTCGAGCATTGGACCGAGGAAGACTTGGCAAATGAGGTGCATGCTGGCGAGTCTGTTTGCACTCGCTGCTATGCCCAGCTGCCTACAAAGGCCGATCTCTTCCGCCACCTGAATGAGCCGAATATCTGCGTCTATAACGAGGACTGGGCGATGCGGAAGAAGGTGAGGATACTGTATAGTACCTTCTGTGCACCAAATGAAGTACCAAAGTTCCAGCCTCCACCTGGTGAGTTGCGAGGAGACGGCGCCCGAAAACGAAACCTGAAGGGCAATCGGCGCCCCTCAGCACAGCCAACTCTCACCCAGAACAACTCCCAGAACAACAGCCAGAACAGCAATCAGAACAAGAGCCAGGCGACAGCCTCTGGGGCCAGACTTCTTTCCACACAACCTACTCAAGGATTACCACATCATCCTCGCAATTCTCCTCAGCTGCCTCCTCAGCTTCCTTCTCCGCAAGTTCCGGCTTCTCCGCTCAGAGTGGTAAATGCACCGTTCAGCGGATCCTACTCAGGCAACTACTATCCAGCAACACCAGTTGTTGCGCCTCCACAACCAGCGTCAACATACTCCGCCGCCGCCTCGTCGCATCAAGATTTGGACATGTACCCTGACAGTGTAATGTCACAACAGTACATGGCCTACCAAACCTTTGACTGGCTCGAGGCAAATCCTCCTTTGTATTCTGTCCCTGTTCTGTCAGCTCAGCCTGTTCAAAATACGGCAGGTTGGCAAAATGGAACACAAGCCTCTGGAAAGTACGCCGGGGATGTACATACTGATTCAGGGTTTGGATCTATGCTAGAGGAGGAATTTCCGGAGTACTTCAACACTGCTATTGGAGAGATACAGCCGGGTTGATATGGAGCCAACCCGGACGATCCCGTTTACTCTTGAGCCATAACTCGTGGTCCACTTAACAGTCCTATGGACTAGTCGACCTCTGTTTGGCCCAACATACCCCACCTGTCCATTTGGTCCGTCCTACCACTTGGACAGAGATCGACAAACGGCACGCCGCCGTCTCGGGACAGTAGCCAGGAGTCTACGTCCCTTGCAGAATGAGGCACAGTGTCAGATCGGATAACCAGCCGCCTTTGGGCAGGCTGACAGATATCTTTCTACCCGCTTGCGGCAGCGACGGGCATCTCCATCCGACAACACTTGACGGGAAGTCAAGTTCAGGGCAGTTTTTAGAGAACCTGGCCGCTGCCGGGATACAGAGAGATCAAGACGGCATGGCCGTGTATGGAATCCAAGTCAGCTTGACTCAACTTCATCTGCACGTTGGTTGGACAAACCGAACCAAGGTTCTTGGTCTCGGTCGCAAATTGAACTAGCGAGCGTCTTTTTTTGGATTTACAATGATTATACCCTTTTCCCCATTATAGATTGGATTGGAAGCGATAGCCTGTTTAGTTATAGCATTATAGACCTTGTATGATTACAAGAAGGATTGTCCACGTTGACACGAGTCAGTTGTTAGGAAGACCGTTTATGCAACTGCACGGAGCTGTACCTCTTTCGATACCTAGAATATATCTCCCATCATACTTGCTGTCCATTTCTTCTCGACGTTTATTTCATGCATCGTCGACATTCACTGACTAAACCATTGTGCGGTGACTAAAGTCGGATGTACAACTCACCTTGATCAGAGTTGGGCATTTGTAACACCGCCAGCAGAGCTAAGGCGGCAAGGGTCATTAGCAAGGATTGTAAAAGAATGAATACTAATAACTCCCTTGGTTATTTAGGGATTAAACTTCGGTACTATGGGGTTGAAAAATGCTGCATTGAGTTGATTCCCATAACGAAGGGGGAAATTTGACGGTGTGGTTGAGAGCGGATCTTGACGTCAACAAACTCGTAAAGAAGAATGACTCTTTGGCAACCGAAATGTGCAGGAATGTTTGAGCGAACGTGCCACAGATATCCATTTAAAGCAATTGATCTTCTCATCATTTTCCTGGGATTCACATGTTGATGGGATGCGACTCGGCGAGACTCCGAAAACAAACTTTAGGGTAAGTCGGAGTTGCGCGACGATTGGCTGCGTCGACACCCAATAACCAAGCAGCGAGGTGGCACATGACGACAATTCTTGGTAGTTGCATGCTACGTGGCAGAGGGAGAGCTCGTCGCTGATCTCTCGACAGCCTCATCTGTATGTTGAGTCACCTGGTCGGCGATGATGGACAATAAGCTGCCGGTTGGCCTCAATCCCGCATTGGAAGGGCGAACTCAATGGTTGGTAGGGACGCGACGGCAAGATGGTGCTGCTGCCGCTTCATGCTGTGCTCGCTCTCGGACCTTGTTTTTCGGCCGCCTCATATGCAGGCTATATGCAAGCTACTTTCAGGCAAAACAACAATGGAGCTTGTCTAGTCGCATGACCTTGTTGATTGCGCCTTGGTCTGGATTCCGACGTCCGCTTGCTCGAGCATGCATGCCGAGCTTCGAGAGCAGGGCTGAGCAGCTTAGGCGTTTCGCTGGCGGCTCAAGTGGAGTGCCCACCAACAAGGCAAATGGCAGATCTAGACCACAGTAGACCAGTGGAAGGCGGTACATAGTGGTGTGGCACCTAAGACATATCGTAGAAGAGGGCGCAGGCCTGTTGCGGTGCCCTTGGCGCTGTCGCATAGTTATCGCTGACCTTGTCGTGCAATCTAGTCGTTTCCTAAGCTTTCCGCACTGCGGCACGCCTCGCTGCCTTCGAGTATGTCTCTGAGCTAGCATCGCTGCGGCTGCGTAAACACTTCAGCTAGTTGCAGTTCTGTGTTTGTGTCGCTGCTGGCCTCCGCGCTAACCCCAGCCCTCTTAACGCCCTTCTCGAGCCGATTCCCTTGCATTGCCTCCGCGATCTTGCCTTCTCAGGCATGGCTGGTCGACTGGCAAGGCTCAGTCCAGGGCCACTGATAGCGTTCCCGCGTTGCTGTCGAGGCGGCGGCCGCTTCGGGTTCGGGGTCGCCCTGAGGAACTCAAGGCCCTGCTCAACTAGCCGCACGATCATCTTCGTGAATAGCTGCCAAGACGTGGACAACATTGACTTCTTTGTGATCATGTAACTCTCGGTCACCCTCTATAGTGATCACACACAGCAGGAACGCGAAGTCTCGCAATGTGTTGATTCCCCTTAGGCGGCATGAGTTTATATTCAACGTGGAGCTCGACGGGACAGCCGCTAGGAAGCAGATAACCTAGATGACTTTCTTTCACCATGAAGACCGCATACATCCAAAAATTGAAGCCAATTGTAAGGGATAGCTTGCATGGGACAAAGCGATTGGTAGTGGGTACAAGCATGGAAAAGCTGCGATGACAACACAACCATTTCCCTAGGGAGCTTGAGTATTTTTGCCATAGCTTCTCTAGGTATATTTGTTACTGACATTAGACTGAACAAATATCTTAGGAGCGAGACGCCTCTGAGGAAGCGCAAGCGGCCATGTTCCTCTATGCCTCCCGCGCCTCCCCTTCTCCCTCTTTACCTCCTACACCCTCTCTCGATTCTACTCCTGATTTCACCTCTACCACCAGAATCAGGAAGTTTCCCCGTGGAAGTTCTCTTCCCTGTTCGGATGAGTTAAGAACACCGGACCGAACAATTGTCTTCAGTCAGTGAGACGCTCCAGAGGAAGCGCAAGCAACCTCACTCCTCTCCGCCTCCCGCTCCTTCTGTCAATTCTAATCCCGCTTCCGCCCCTACCACCAAAATGAGGAGATTTTAGATGGAGTGCGCGCTTAGTCTGAAGGGCACTCTTTTTGACGACGACGACGGCGACGACGGCGACAACAAAAACAACAACGAGGGCAATGACAGCGGCAATGACAACGATAAGGACTCTCAGTTCCTGTCTACCTAGACGTACGGCGACGACAACGCTCATCTTGCGACAGTAATCCAGGCATAGACCCAGGATATATGGTGGCCATGAAGCAACCGTTGAGATTCTTGTTCCACCTAACCAGACCGACTGTGTTGAGGCTTATTTAGTCGTCGTTCTTTTGCTGGTGGACTTTTAGAACCGCTACGATCCTGTCTGGCGCCAGCTCACCTCCAACAGCTACACTCTCAAGCTTAGATTGTACAAGGACACGTTGATCTGTCAGTTAGGCCGATGACGACCTTACCCATGAGCAGGTTCAACATCTCTCGACGCCGCATTGGTGGAGGGGTACGTACCTTATCCCGATAAGAAACCGAGGGGCCGGTTCAGATTCACGTGGGAGTATGCAGAATGCCGAGAAAATGCCTGGGGATTTGTGCATCTCCTATCTCATGCATTCACCAGCCGCCAGCGCGCCAGCGGGATTTCGACATCTCCGGTTGCGGTGCCGCGGAAGTCGGCGGTGGTGTCAGCGCAAATGCTACTGCCGCTCGCGGGCGGGACGCCGACAGGCCGGAGGCTCTGATAGGGCGCGCGATCCACTACGCGCAAATCACGGGCAATGGCGTCAGCGCGAGCCAGTATGAGGAAGCGGAATTTTCTTGTGAGAGGGAGGGGTTCAGAGGGGTTCATTGCTCTGGCGAGTGCTATGGTGGGGGGATCCTTTTTTTTCCTGCGGGCGGCCGGCCAGGGTCCCATTGTTTTTGGTAATGCGCCGTCGTTTATAAGCCAGCGGGAGTCTGGTGTGGACGCCTCGAGTTGATCGCGACGAGAGCCATTTCACCCATTGTCTCTTTTGTGCCGTCGTTGGACCATTGGTGTTTGAATGCTGAAGAAGAGGAGAGTTTCCGGTTTCTGATTATTCACGAGTCAGGACACTGCCGTCGGAGTTCCACCTAGGACGAGTTGTTTAGGTTCTCTCCACCACTGCGACCACTCCCACCAGCGCCACCAAACACGCACTCAACTCCATCATGGCAACCTCTCTCCTCGCTGCCCTCAACTGCAGGGACAGCGTCCACCTCGTCGTCGGAACAAACCCCCTCGCCGCCTCCCGCTGCGGCCAGTCCATCAACGCCGGCGCCCACCCCATCCTCATCGCCCCCGAGGGCTCGGAGCTTCACTACAGCCTGCAGAAGCGCATCGACGACGGCCAGGTCAAGTGGTGCAAAAAGGACTTTGAGGATGCCGACCTGCTGCTGCTCGGCCGCGAGGAGGTCGACCGCGTCGTTGACGCTGTCTTTGTCACCTCCGGGCCGCGCGATCCTATGAGTGAGTCGAGTTGTCTCTGCGAAACCACGCGAATCGCAAACTGACCCGTCAACACAGGCCTACACATCTCGAACCTGTGCAAACGTCATCGCATCCCCGTCAACGTCGTCGACTCGCCCCAGCTCTGCACCTTCTCCCTCCTGTCCACCCACACCGACGGCCCTCTCCAGATCGGCGTCACCACCAACGGCCGCGGCTGCAAGCTCGCCTCGCGCATCCGCCGCGAAATCGCCGCCTTGCTGCCTGCCAACCTGGGGCCTGCGTGTGCCCGTCTAGGCGATGTGCGCAGGCGCATCCACAACGAGGACAGTCTCGCCCAGGACGAGTCCTCCCTCGAGGATTCCGTCGACCAGGCCGCCCATTTCAACCGCCTCGTCACCGAGGAGGACGCCAAGAACCGCCGCATCCGCTGGCTCGGCCAGGTGTGCGAATACTGGCCCCTGAAGCGCCTTGCCGCCATCACCGACGACGACGTCGAGTCGATTCTCAAGTCTTACCCCGGATCTACAGGTCCCGATATGAAGCGCACCCCCCCTGCCGAGAAGCGAGTCGGCAGCATCATTCTCGCTGGGAGCGGACCTGGTCACCCCGACCTCCTTACCCAGGCCACCCACAAGGCCATCAAGTCGGCCGACCTCATTCTCGCCGACAAGCTTGTCCCGGCTGGCGTTCTCGATCTCATCCCCCGCCGCACGCCTGTCCAGATCGCCCGCAAGTTCCCGGGCAATGCTGAGCGCGCCCAGGAGGAGTTGCTTGAGATGGCCCTCGCCGGCGTCCAAGAAGGAAAGACTGTCCTCCGACTTAAGCAGGGAGACCCTTTCATCTACGGCCGCGGTGGCGAGGAGGTTGCCTACTTCCGCGAACACGGCCTCGGCGACCGCGTCTCTGTCCTCCCGGGTATCACCAGCGCTCTCAGTGCGCCCCTGTTTGCCGCCATCCCACCTACCCAGCGCGACGTCGCCGATCAAGTTCTTATCTGCACCGGTACTGGAAAGAAGGGCAAGGCACCGACGCCTCCAGAGTACGTACCGAGCCGCACTGTCGTCTTCCTCATGGCCCTGCACCGCATCGTCGGTCTCGTCCGCGAGCTCACCACGCCCATTGAGCTGGAGCCCCTCTCCCCTGCCACTGAGGATGCCACAAACACCCAATCACCGCCCCTGCCATCACCGGACCAAGTCTCTCTCACGATGGGCGAGAACAAGCGCATCCTGTGGCCGGGCAACACCCCCTGCGCCGTCATCGAGCGTGCCAGCTGCCCAGACCAGCGCGTCATCCGCACGACGCTGGAGCATGTTGCTGAGGCCATTGAGGCCGAGGGCAGCCGCCCTCCGGGCCTATTGGTCGTCGGACGCGCCTGCGAGTTCCTCCACAGCAAGGAGAAGGGCCGGACCTGGGTTGTCGAGGAAGGATTCCGGGGGATCGAAGTGGAAGACTTTACCATGGGTTTGGAGAAATTGCACGAATGAGCGTGGGAGTGGGTTTTATATATAGACGTCAGTCTTGAGAGACTATCGGAGTTAGGATATCATCATAGCGGGTTTCTAGCATTTCTAGGAGTTGGATTTGAATCAATATTGCTATTCGTACACATACCTATTGCTATTTTCAGACATGCCTGCATTCTTAATCCTGTTAATGATCATCCAATATCTAACTAGAGCAGCCTAGAATATTCATTTTCTAGAACTAATTTTTGGTATTTATTTCTACAGCGATAATGTTTTATTTTATTTATTAGTTCTAATTTTTAGTATCGTCTTTGACTACCTACTATAAACACTTGGTTTAGGTATGATGGCACCTTAGCCCAGCTGATGCTTTAGTACCTAAAGAAGCTTATACCTGTGTGAAAATAGTAATACTCTTTCGAATACCATTCGAACATTTGTTCCATTTTAGAAGGCAACTCTTTGTGTAAGCGAGCGGAGTCCCTACCCATAAGGTCATGTCAAATCTCTTTCTCGCCGACTCTGAACCTCTATTTTGACGAGAGAAGTAGCCTAAGCCGACTAAAAGAGAAACACTTTACAAAAAATCAACCTCTTCCAAAGACCATAGAGTGGTATTTGTCTTGAAATCTGTGAGAGGATTTGAGGGAATATCACTATGCATTTAGATGACTCATCAACCCCTCAAGTTCCAGCAAATCGGTAATTTAAGAGATGATGACATTCTGTATTTACACCAAGAATTTCGAAAGGGCAGCAGTGAACATCTTCGACGTCAGCTACATCATGGCCGCGTTTCTCTCTCAAAGGGCAACACAAACCGTGCGCACATTAGATCTACCCTGGAGGTTTGCTCCTCGAGCGCAGTACGACCCAGACAACAACCCTTCAGGGATCATTTCATTTGCGACGGCGGAGAATGTTAGTTGAAGCGTCACAATGGGCAATTGATTTGAGACTGAAGAGTGTACAGGCCCTGGTTACCGACGACGTGGTGGACTTTGCGAAGAAGCATGTAAGTTAAACGGCACGGCGAACTCAATCTCCTTCGTGAGGTAAGTGACAACTTCCTTACACGGGTATCGTATCCAGGCCACCATATCGGCCGAGCATTTCCTCTACCGTGGCACCCAAGCTGGCGGCATCCGATTTCCACGCGCCCTCGCTGCCCACCTAAACGAGTATCTCCAACCTCACGCACCCATCACACCCGACATGATCCAATGCGTCGGCGCCGCTACAGCCATGCACGATATCCTAGCATGGAGCGTCGCCGACCCCGGCGATGGCGTGCTGACCAGCCGACCCGTGTACGGCCGCTTCGAGCTCGACTTTGGAAACAAGTCCCAGGCCAGAATCGTGTATGCGGACACGGATGCTGAAAACTGCTTCGACGAAACAGTCGTGGACAGGTTTGAGGAGGCGTTGGAGAGGTCGAATGTTGAGGGTGTCAAGGTGAAGATGGTCTTGATAGTCAACCCCAATAACCCCCTAGGTTGGTGTCACGCCTTCAGCTTCCAGTTGCTCTCGATACTAGAGACTCACAAGCCGCAGGGAAATGCTACCCAAGAGGGACCCTCGTCAAAATCATGCAATTTTGTCAAAAGCATCGGTTGAACCTCCTGAGTGACGAAATCTACGCCTGCTCCGTCTTCGAAACTGACGACCCCAACACCACCCCATTCACGTCTATCCTCTCCATCGACGCGACAGATCTCATCGACCCGGACCTCCTCCACGTAACATACGGTCTTAGCAAGGACTTTGGCGCCGCGGGTCTCCGCCTCGGTGCCATCATCACGCGGAGTCGACCCGTCCTGCGCGCCATCGAGGGCGTCATGCGCTTCCACAACCCCTCAGGTGCCAGCCTCGCCATTGGTACCGCCATTTTGGAAGATAGGCCATGGTGTCGTACCTTCATCGAATCCTCCCGGGCGAAGCTCGCAGCCGCACAAGCACATGTGACACGTGGGTTGAGCGAGATGGGCGTGCAGTATCTGTCCAGGAGCAATGCCGGGTTCTTTTTGTGGGTTGACTTGTCGCCATATCTGCCCATCGAGCTGGGTGGAGAGACAAACGCCGAGTTTGCGCTGGCGAGGAAATTGGTGGATGCGGGTGTGTTTCTGCATCCGAGAGAAGAGCATTCGCTGAAGCCGGGGTGGTTTCGCCTTGTGTACACGCAAGATCCGGCAACCGTCACAGAGGGACTGAGAAGGTGAGTTCATGAAACCACAATGTTTGTGTGTGACTGACATGTTTGCAGGATTAAAGAAGCCATATCTTGAGTACATCCTTGATGACACCGTGGTGGATGGGCCTTTGGTAAAGTTGTAGCTTTAAACTTTAAGCTGAAAGCTTTCATTAGATACATGATTCGAAAAGAAAGATGATTTAGAAGGCGTCAAACCGAAAAAGAAAAGACAAGTCCAACACGAACTAGAGGGCTTCCACCCTTGATCTCACCAACATCAGAACACGTTCACCCAAGATACAACAATGCCAGGGAGCTTTCACCCGAAATCCAACACAAAAGCATGGCATATGCCGCCCGCCATCTACCAACCCCAACCCCTGACTCCTCCACCCTGTCGGCGCAGCTGTTCCTGGGCATGTCTCTTCAAACCGTCTCGACCACCTCGACCTCCTTGACCACTCCCGCCGTATCCTCCGCGATTTCCACCTTGTTGACCAACTTGTGCAAAACCAGGCCTGATGGGGTTCACCTTGGCGAACAGGGTGTCCGGCGGGAAATTGACGTCGGATGGGAAGCGCTCCAGATCCATCACGACAGATTTACCCTGGGTTCCAGCGGCCGAGTCAGAAGCAGGGGCGAATTCAACGACTTCCTTGTTGACCTCGCGCCATTGCTTGTCCACCACCATGGACTTCTTCACCTGGCGTCCATGCAACTGCCACTCGCGGAAGAGGTCATGGTCACCCCAACCAGCACCCACAGATCCTGGGCGTGCGAACTTCTCCAAGTGATGTCGTGAGGTCGCAGATGAGAGATCAGTGGCCGATTCGCTGGGGGGCAAGAACTTTTGGGTGTGAGATATGAGGGCTTCAACCCCAGGGTCTCCAAGAATTTGATTGGGCTGCCATTCTTGGCCGGAAAGCCCTATGCCTTCCGCAAACATCTTCTCAGTGTCCTTGAATGGAGCGTCGGTCGTCCACACATCTTCGATTTTCAAAATCATTCTTTTTTCTTTATCGGTGCCCTTGTCGACGGGATTGCCTGGATGAAACCACTCACTCTAGTCGTTGGTTTCGTACTCGGCGAGGCGTACCAGATCGATCATCTCAAACTGGATCTCCTTGCCCTGACCCTTTTTCACATACACAAACGACTTACCGATCGCATGGACGTCGTTATGCGCGGCAGGGCTAGGAAACTGAAACGAGCGTAGGAGGTCTTTGCCTTCCTCGTTCTTCATGGACTTGGGCCAGTGGATGACATTGACCTGCTTGTTCGCGCTCTCCAAAAGCTTCACCCTGGACATGTATGAAGTAACGTCGAGGTCGGGGTCCTTGGGATTGTAATGCCACTCATTTGGGTGTTTATAAAGGCGCAGGGCTTTGGGAATCTCGGCTGCCAGCGAAGAATGGTCGACGGCTTCCACCAAAGAATATGAAGAGAGCGACGCAGGCTGCACCGATGATGCTCGGGGGGCAGACTTGATCGTGTTGGTATGATAACAAAGACACTGGGGTGGAAGAAACTCACGGCATGTTTGGTTATTGTACCAATGTTGATGGGCCTCCCCAGGAGAGAGGAGGTGCTCAGATCAATCTTGGCCTTCTCCGCGGTTTCTTTGGTAACAAACACGACACGGCACCAGCCTTTGTGGTTATGTGAAGAACCCCGTTCCAAATCGGGCCAATAGTAAAGACAGTTGGGATAGCCAAGATCTACGATGAGTTTCTCGAGATCTGTTGTTTTGGCCGAGAAATTAAGGCCAAACAAGTGGATGACACCAGCTTGCTCGATGGCGTGGCTTGGAAGCATCTTGATGCTCATGTGGTTCGACACTACTCGTTGTTAGTCAAGGACAAGGGGACTCAATATGTGAGGATATAAATGCTTACTGATGGCGATGGCGATGGCGATGGCGATGTCTGTGTGTGTGTTTGTGTGTGTGTGTGTGTGGTGTTTGTGTGTGTGAGGACCCTTACGCTCCTTGGGTGAGACGGGCACTAAGAGACATCTCGCATCATCGAACTATTCGCAAGCGCAGCCTTTCTATTTGCACGCGCAGTGTACATGTATATTATAGGGATACGTCACGGGAAATAATGTAGCCTTTGCTATTTCATGCCGAGGAAGCCCACACGGGGCCTCCTACGAGGGCAAACGCGCACACTACTACCACGGGTGTGAATCACAACACTTTTCTTGATAACGTAGGCAACCAACAACCGGGGTATTTTTTTTTTGTTTGACGGGTGTATCACGCGTGGGTGTGATTTTCTCCGTCCGAAAATCTCTTGAAAACAAACCAACAGTCACCGTCGCCACTTTCATCACAAACCAACACAACCACCACACAAACCACCATGTCGAACGCAGCTATAAAATCCCTGCAGCGCAACATGACGACGGCCGGCCAGGCTATTGCACTTGAGGATGGCAACGACCATCCCCTCCGGGCTGGGTCACACTCGGCCAACTACTTCAAGATTCTGGGAGATCGCCGCAAACTTCCGGTTTCTAGGAGGCGCCAGGACTTCCTGGACGTCTACCACAAAACACAAGTAATGAAACGCTTCATTCCGTACAGAAATTCATTAACAGTCAACAGGTTGTGGTTCTCTCCAGTGAAACCGGGTCTGGAAAGACGACCCAGATCCCCCAGTTTGTGTTTTTCGATGAGTTCGCCAGCGGCAAGCGCATTGCTTGTACACAGCCGCGACGCCTGGCAGCAACCTCCGCGGCAAAGCGAGTCGCTGAAGAGATGGACGTGACGTTGGGCGAGGAGGTGGGCTATTGCGTCCGGTTCGATGATAAGACCAGCCCGAAGACCCGCCTTCAGTATATAACAGACGGCCGCCTACTGCGAGAGGCGATGGAGGATGCTAGCTTCTCCAAATACGTATGTGATCATCGTTTCCAAGCTTTCTCAGACTCAAACTCACCTATGATAACAACAGAGCTGCATCATCGTCGACGAGGCCCATGAGCGAACCATGCCCACCGACATACTCATGGCTTTGCTCAAGGAGGCCGTGGCATCCCGGACTGACCTGAAAGTTATTATAATGTCGGCTACCATGGAAGCCGAAAAGTTTACCGCGTACTTTGGCACCGCAGAAACTTTTGAGTTTACTGGGCGGGTTCATCCCGTCGAAATCCAATATCTTACGGAGGCAACCCCAGATTACATTCATCTTTCCCTGAATCTCGTCAACCATATCCACCACAATGAGGGGGATGGGGATATTCTTCTTTTTCTTACGTCCGTGGATCAGATCGAGAGGGTTTGCTCTCGTCTTCGATTGGGTATCGAGAACCTGGAGGTGCTGCCCCTGTATTCCGCGCTTGCAAGAGCTGAGCAGCAACGAGTCTTCGACAGCTCGTCGCTGCGGAAGTGTGTCGTCACGACCAATATCGCTGAGACTAGCCTGACGATTGACGGGATCGTCTATGTCATTGGTAAGTAGAGCATGAAGCTCTTGGATCCCCAATGAAGCAAAGTGGCTAATGATCAAGTATAGACTCAGGCGTTGAAAAGCATGCCGGCTACAACCCGCGCACGGGGTTGAAAACTCTTCGGACCGCGCCCATCTCCAAAGCTTCCGCCCGGCAGCGAGCTGGTCGTGCTGGCCGCACCGGGCCAGGCGTGTGTTACCGACTCTACACTGAACAGACCTTTAAGGAGATATTCATCCCAAACACCATCCCCGGGATCCTCGACAATGAAATCACATCGGAGATCCTGCTACTCAAGACTATAGGCTACCATAATGTAGCTAAGTTTGACTTTATTGACCCTCCTCACCGTGAGACATTCTTCCGTGGTCTACAGGATCTCAGAGCTCTGTAAGTACATCCGAGTATCATCAACGTAACATGCTAATCTAGGACTATAGTGGCTATCTTAATGACAATGGGGGGATTTCGGAGACTGGTCGATTAGCAGCAAAGCTGCCCACCCATCCTGCCTGGTACAAGGCCATCGTCGAAGGGCACAAGCTTAACTGCAGCGACGACATAATCAGCCTTGCCGCACTAAACAGCACGCAAAACTCGATTTTTGCCCGTCCCCATAAGGTGCGGTATGTCGCAGACTTGGCGCACAAACAGTTCGCCTGTTCCGTCTCAGACCACATCAGCCAGCTCAACGCACTCCACGCGTATGTGCGAGTGTCCTCTCAAGGGAAGGTGGATATGGACATGTGGTGCTTTGAAGCTTTCTTGGACCGCCGCACACTGGACGAAGTTATCCAGATCCGGATTCAACTCAAGAACATGGCTGAACGACTCCTTCAAGCGCCGCTCAAGGCGGCTAATTTTGGTGACCCAGCCTGCCACACCAACATTCGAAAGGCCCTGGCGCGCAGCTTCTTCTATCGCTCGGCAATCTACTCCGACAAGGGCGATGATATCTACGCGACTGTACACGACAACTGGCCGGCAGGAATTCACCCGGAAAGCTCCCTTGTGGGAGTCAACCATGAGTGGGTGATCTTTGGCGAATTTGTGCACACTGGCAGGCAGTATATTCAGAACATCACAGCTGTGGACCCAGATTGGCTTATTGTACGTTTTTCTACCCATTTAATTTCCACCTACTAACAGCATTCAGGATCTCGAGTACTTCCAGGATTTCAACCTGGCGCAAAAAGGTGGCAACAAAGGCTTGAGACAGCCCAACGTCAAGGCGTCTCTCGACAAGGCTCGAGCTCAGAGAGCAAATGCTGGCATCTAGGTTGCTCCTGGACGCTGGATGCCTTCACCTTTCTAGTGGGTTTATCGGCAGAGGTGCAAGTGGAGGCGTGAATTCTTGTTCGGTTTGCTAAAAGCACTGGTGATATTTCTTGGTGGGGAAGTGGTTTGGTCCAGTTTGTGCAAGGCATCTGATCCACTGTGGAGGAGATCTGATCTATTTGCCGAAAGGCTTCTGATTTTATTGTTATTTCTTGATTGGGGAGGGGTTTCGGTCTAATTTTGTGGAAGAAAAATGATTTTTGAGCCGAAAAGCATCTGATTTCTTTGTTGAACTGCATCTAGTCTCCTTGGTCAACGCTGCCTAATTTCTCTGAGCTGTTAATTCTTCTTCATTTCTTCTTCTCTAGTTTGGTGAAAACCATGCGGCGTAGTAAGTTATGATGTTGATTCCCATAAGCTGGCTCAGGATCTGGACGCTTAGTGCAATCCCTATTCCTTCGGCTTGACATTCCTCCCAACTAAACCACCTCCTCCCCGACATTCTCTGCGTACTCTATTAGGTGCTGGACGCCGATAATGATATCGCTCTCTCCTGCGTTTGGCTGTCTTAAGAATAAGAGGTGAAACTCCAGTCGTAGATCCCCACTAGTGATATTGTATGACACAGGATTCCCAGTATTCCGGGTGATGGTGATAACCTGGTCGCATTCAGGCTGGGGCTCGGCCGCCGCCCGTGTGTTGGCGGCGCCCGATCGCATCTGGGCTGCGACCTCGACCTACTTCTCGAGTATGATGCTGCTTGTCCTGCGGCGGAACTTGGCCAAAAGAACAATCTTGACGTGATGGTCTGGCGTGCTAAGCCACCATCTCATATCTTGTCTCAATCCTGGTAGTGTCTGCGAGTTCCCTGCTTCGATGACAAGAGTTGGCCAACCTCCGGCATAATCACGACTTAATAACGTCAGTCACATAAGTTCCCTTGCGTGTCTTGTGCAATACTCACAGCAGGACTTTTGATGAACCCAATCTTCATGGGTCTTTCTCGGAGCCGGACATTGTTCAAAGTCCCCTTCGCGCGCCCGGCCATATTCTTGTCCGCCAACTGGACCCGGCACCAGCCAGGGTGCTCTCCTGGGAGTAAAGGGAGGTGGCTCGGGCCAGAAGAATAGGCACGTTTCGAACCGCGATCTTTGAGCAACTGCTCGAGATCGGTCTTTTTCGCCAGAAGTGCAGACTACCCAGCTGAATAACGAAGCCATTCTGAATGGCGATATGGCGCAGCTGTCGAATCTTCTTGTGGGTGGCGGTTATCTCCATGGTGGTGGTGGTGGAGGTGATGGTGATGAATGTTTGGAGTTATCAGGCTGCATATTTACAATCGCACATTGGCTCTACCAGTAGGTAGGTAGTGGAGATGGCTTAGAGTACAAGTTCGGGAAGTCGCAACCAGCCCAAATTAGGGCCGGGACTCAACACCTAACTTACAGTGCATTTAACACCTAAGTCGTGGTGCATATAGCACTTGAGCAATTGGTTTTGATGCACCTAGAACTCGGCCTGCGCAGCGCAGCTGCCTGCATAATTGTGCCTAAACCATGCCTATCAGAGCTTATCGTTAATATGAGGCCGGTTCTCACAGGGAAGCAGACCATCGGGAATAGTTGCGAAAGCACCGGATTATCCTTCCACAAACATTTCTTTTCAGCCATCAAGCCGGCCTGTTCGTTCGGGCCACACCTTCGCCATCACAATGGAGAAAGGCCAGGTGCCTAACTTTACGGCGATGATTAAGCTGCAGCGGGCACCAATCAAAGTTGCTGCTCTGTCTGGAGCTGGTGAGGAGTCAGAGTTCTGCCAGGATTCTGATGATGAAGGTGGTGTCGAGAGTCCGGGTATGGACCCCCTTCCCGCACCGGAAGATGCCATCTCCGAGGAAGAAGCGCCGCAATCATAGTGTTGTTGTTATCGTCCCGCCCATGCTAGAGTGTCTCAGATTCGGAACTTATGTTTTAAGATGTATTAGAAGGGATAAACACTAAAAATTAGTCTTATTAAATTCTAAGAATTTTCGGACGGAAACATGGACCACAATACCGCCACTGGCAAGAGGAGTGATCATTCCCTTTTGCCGTAGTGACATTGCGATAAGAATTAGGTTTATTAAATAATATTTATTCTTATAGACTTAATCTTATAGACTTAGTCTTATGAAATACTAAGGTTGAGTCTTATTAAACACTGGAGATTGGTCCAGACCATTATTGGATAGAAAGAGATCGATGGCGTCTCCCCCTAGGATTCTCGTTTCCATTGCTATATATGACAGACCCTCTGCACTCTGGCTTAGAGAAGTCGCCAGCTCCAGTTCAAGAACGGTAAAATGTTCAAGGAAGTACAGTTACAGGCGCTCCATCGATGAGGGGATTTAATATTTAAACTGTAGCGTTTTCATTGCGCATGTCATCCTTTGTTGCAGATTTGATCTTCATTTTTGTCAACCAGCCTAACTTCCCCCCAATCAAAAGGTGATGATTGAGATGAGAGGTCGACCTCTGGGTTTGACGAGAGATATCAAGACATATTGTTGCTGCCATTCGGGATAAAGTCGTTACGTGCGACGGGCAGACAATGTATAATTATTTCTGACAGGCAGCATCTTTGAGCAAGGTCCTGCGGGCAGCAAGGCTCGAGAAATAAAGGTTCAGGCGGGTGCATAACAACTCTCTCACTTAGAATACTGTTTCCTCTGGTATTGGATATTGTAGTGCTAGTTGTGTCAAAGACGTTCTGGCTACTGTGTCATTTTAATTCATTTGGTTGATAGTCGTATACGCTTCGTCAAGTCAAGTGCTGGCTAAATACTTCAGATATCACACACCCCGGGTTGCTGGAATGACCCCCATGGCCTGAGCAGCAGTCGCTCTCATGATCTCTCGTTCTTCCTGTCCGCTGTTGTCTCCAAAAACTTCGTCCATCTGCTCCAAACTCTTGCCCTTGGTCTCGGGAACAAGCAGGTAGGCCCAAGCAGCAGCTACGGCACACCACGCGCCGTAGAAGATGTAAGTTCCGAAGCCAAGAGATTCCAGCATAGGCGGAGTAATGATTCCTACAATGAAATTAGAGATCCAGCACGTTGCCGTAGATAGGGCAACGCCTTTAGACCTGGTGGCTGATGGGAAAACCTCCGAAGGTAGGGCCCAGCCGAGCGGGGAGTAGGAGATTCCGTAAACCATAATGAACATGAAGGCCATAGCGACGGCAGCCCAACCAGCAGCAGGGTGAGAATCCCAGCTCTTGGAGAACAGACCGACAAGGATAGCCATGACTCCCCAGGAAATTGCGCCGCCAACAGCGCCCCAGATGGCGAGGGGTCGTCGACCAACGTGGTCGATGATGAAGAAGCAGATGACGACAGCAACTAGCTGAAGGATGTTGAAAATCCCCGACATAATAAGAGACATACCATCAGACTGACCAAGAGACTGGAATAGGGTGGGGGCATAGTAGATAAAAGCATTCACGCCGGAGAATTGCTGGAAGAATAGGATACCGCAGCCGACGGCAGTTCGGCGCCAGGTCTTGGGGTTGAAGAGATCGAGCCAAGTGACAACCTCGAGCTTAAGGCCATGAACTCCAGGATGGCGGCGTTCAGTGACAGTCTTCTGGAATTGGGCGTCGGCGACGATGCCGCGGTACTCGATCTGGACGCGCTCGTCCGTGGTGGGGAGACGGCGGAGCTTGGAGAGACTCTGGAGGGCGTCCTCATTGCGGCCAACAAGAGCGAGCCAACGGGGAGAGTAGGGGAAAAAGAGGATGCCAGCCCCGACAATGGTAGCAGAGACCATCTGGAGGCCGAAGGGCAGGCGGAAGGCGATCTCGCCGGTCATGTCGCGTGTGCCGTAAGTGATCCAGAAGGAGATGACAACGCCGAGAACGATAGAGATGGATTCGAGGACGAGAAGAGTACCTCGCAAGTTCGGAGGAGCGATTTCGGCAATATAGAGAGGCGCGCCCTGTTTAGTTGAGTGTTAGATTATACATTGCTGAGGTGGTATGAGACGAAAGGCAAATTTCCATACCATAGCAAGCGTACCAACGCCAATTCCACCAATTGTTCGTCCCACGACAAGCATCTCGTAATTGACAGCAGCAGTTTGGAGAATAGCGCCGATGTTGAAGATAATTACAACAACGGTCAGGGCCCTTTTTCGGGAGATCTTATCGGCGAGCCAGGGCATGAAAAAGCAGCCGAGAAAGGCTCCAAACTCTAGCATGCCTATCAAGCCCTTACCGAAGCCGCTCTTGGCCTCGGGGAAAACAGCGTGGAACTGATCCATGACATTGATGATGGAGATGACGCCCTGGTCGTAGCCGAAGGAGAAGCCGCCGAAGGAGGCGAGGAAGGCAGCGGCTAGAACGTAAGGCGACTGGATGAGGCCGGCGGCGCCGGTGGGACCGTAAGAGACATCCTCGGCGAGGCGGGAGGGGAGATGGATCAGGTCGATGTTTTCGACGGTGCCGAACTCGTCCTCCTTTCCGGAGAGGACCCGTTCATCCTTGGACTTTAGTCGGCCATGGCTGAGGGGTGATGTTCAAGGCTCTATTGGGGGTTTGTTGTTCTAAAGAAGCAAGGGGTAACTAAGGTAGAGGCCCATGGGATGCGAAGCAAAGCAGAAAGGCTCAAATCTAGATGCGAGGCCAAAGGACGAAAGACTTTCTAAAGCTGGATGTCTGGATGGAGTGGAAGAAGAATTCACTAACTGGGAGGATCTAGACCTTTTATAATGGAGGCGGGAGAGGTCAGTCCAGGTGCTGAGGTCCGTGTAGCGTGAGTAGAGCGGTATGGCGATGTCATGCTCCCCCCACAACGACGTCCGGGACACTCGTAGTACGGGCGGGACGAGGAGGAGTTCCCCCAATACGCAACGTCCAAGGATGTCACCGCCTCACCACCATCCCTAAAGCAGGCGTCAGGGCATGGACGGATTTTAGTTGATGAAGTAGCGTGGTGGCACCCATACATTTAGCAGCCCTCGACCCCATCCATCAGGCACCCCCGAATTCGCATCCGCCTTCCCCAGACGCCCCCGGCTTCCCGCAGGGCTCCTCCGGCCAGTCGGGGATTCTTCTCTGGCTCTGGGCCTAGGATTCCCTCGTTCTGGGTCACCCTTGCGACGCAAAATGACGCCACGGCAAAGATGGCGACTAAGAGAAACGTGGGGCGTGGCTGTGTGTGCTTTAGGTTCGTTAGGCCATCCCCGCCCAGCTGTGGAGAAATACAGGGGGCATTCCAGCAGTTGACCCCCTGAGGAGACGCTGGACATGGAGAAATCCTGGAGACGACTGCGGGGTTACTGTGCCCACCCAGTCTCCGGTATGTAATCACTGCGTTTCCGACTGGACGAGTTGGTTTGATGTGGGCTCTGGGGGGTTTCTTCTGTCCTCGGTTTCTTTTTCTCCATGGATAAGAATGGTAATCGACATCCCGTAGTCACCCGGCAAACGACGGGGAAGTGTCTACGATGCATTCTCCCAGCCCTGGGTTGAGCCAAGGCACGTACTGATTGGGGAAGCACTTTGCCTCCACACTTTGGACTAGGCTATGAGCAAATGTCAAGACACTTGCAAGCCACAAACTCTCCGCAGCCACTCCTCTGCGCTAAGCCGGCAATAGCGGATGATCGACTTCAAACATCTATGACTAGTCATGCGGGTAGCTAGGGCCCTGGCATATCGCCAAGCCAGACCTATTCCTCTCAGCCATGAATTAGCTCAGCGTCGTATGTTCTGATAGTCTCGAGTGATCACCAGTTGCTTTAGAAGGTGAGCACGAGTTGGAAGGTGTGTTGCAATGACGCCGTTTGTGGTCCGCATCCTGTTCCGATAGCCGTATGTTGGCGCAACATGCCAGCCGGTGACCTGACTTGATACTCCCGGACCAAGATCAGCGCGTGCCGCGAGGTAAAACCTCTAGCGTCTATGAAGGGAGTATATTATTCAGTGAGGGATATCTTTGCAAGGCTAAGTCAGGATTTCAGGGTAAAGATCTGCCAGTGAGTGGCAGCACTTGAAGAACGAGGTCCCGGGGCTTCGCTTGAGGATATTGATAGTATTTCAGGACACCACAACAGTAAATTAGTTTAGAATAACATTAAAATCACTCTGCTATCCTGCAGGATTGAATATCTAGGAGGTACATTTCCAGGGAGAAAATAAGGGCTGTCTTGGAATCCAATTGATGGTCATCAAGGACCTATAATGGCTGGTTCAGTCGTGTACACAATGAATTTCATACTGAGACGCCTTAAGACAACAATGGTGTTCAAATAAATCAAGACGGTGTTAGACGACGCCGGTGAGCTCTCCGAGGGTGTCCGGGGAGCAGACCGAGAGACGGCGACGCAGAGAAATTATGTCACATTGCGGCTCATGAATCCGAGGCTTGCTGGATAGACATGGATGATGATAATTGCACAGGGATCAAGGCGCGGTGGAAACCCACACGGAGACGAACGGAGAAAAAAGCGGCAGTGGCACGCCCCCCTAACGTCGCATGCAGATCCCTAGTTGCCCGTCTTGCCTCAAAGAGGAAAACCCGGCGCGACTTGTCATATTTGGACTTGAGGCACCACTAGGGCTGGTGATGGGTGTTGGGGTAATGCAGCGGCTTGACTCGTGTTGGGATGGGGCGACAAACCAGGTCGTGTAGAAGCCCGATGTTCCTGTCATGGTATTCCCTGATGGCATTCCGTTGCCGTTCTTCTTCTGGTTGACACGTGGTCATCAGTTTGATTGATTGGTTTTGGGCTCGTCTAGCAAGCCGCCACTAGAAGCCTGATCCGTCGTCCGTCGTCTCTCCACAATGGCCGCAGAGACCAAATCTATAACCATCACAGCATCGATTCTATGTCCATCCAACCCAGTCTCGCCTTAGACCACTGAGACACTCACCAAGCCCGCCCAAGGCAATTTCCTGTCGGAGACAGAGGCTTGTGCGAACAATCAGCTCACGAAAGCCCTGACCACTTGCGGATGGTGTACTTGTCCGCGATCCCCATAGCTTAGCCCTGTGTTGGGGTAAGGAAACCCCTCCCCCAAGAATTTTAGTGGAGGGGGTGCGGGGACTCCGCCCTGTCTCCGCACCAAAACTCGCCGGACCAAAAGTTTCCTGACGCAGAGCATCCAATCCAGTCAATTCGTTTGAGCTCGGCGGCTCCGTTCCGTCTGGAAAGCGTCGCATTGAAGTCAGGCTCAACAGGCTTGTCAGAACTCGGCCCCCGCGGCAAGCATTAGCCTGGCTTTCTGCGAAGGTGGGCGACCGATTCTTACATTGCCTTGCGTGCGTCGATAGACTTTGTTGTTGAGATGCTTGGCCAGCGACTGAGTGGGGATCCCTTCTCTTGATCACAATTTTAGCGCTGTATCTTCTGGCGCTGTCCCAGTCTTTTCAAACATTGATATAAAATATTTATGACATCATCGATGCCGACTGTGAATTGCGTCTTAGCTGAACCGCCGACAGGAGGAGGACCGTTGGAGAATGACACCTCCAACACCGCCACGTTTCTCGTGCGGAGTAACCCTGCCCGCAGATGAACGACGCCAACCAAGCTCTGCCGAAATGCCATCATCTGGATCGACGGAAACATTGCTGGTGGGGATGAAGGACTCCGTCATTGGGAGGTTGTTCTCGGACTTCTCGCCGAGTCCCATCTCCGCTATGGAGTCTTCCCTCCTTGCCATTCTCTTCTACCTTTCCATGCTCTACTCCCCTAATATGTATTTGGAAACCAAGGTTCTGCTTCCAATGGCCTCTCCGCTCATTAAACTGTCTAATCATGCGGGCTTTTAGGGGTGACATCTCTATAGAATCAGACCAAGGCACTTCTGGCCATTTCCGTTTGATCTAAGGGGTCAGGGGTCAATGACAGGTAATGGCGGGAGTACAGGATTTCCTGTCCCGGCCATCAACGTCAATGTACGCCAGTGCCTGCTCAAAAAGGTAGTCCTGGGCCAGATGCTAGGGAAGAGTATTGCTGTTCGCACACATACATTTTGCCTGGTGCCAGTACCTCAACTAGCCATCATGCAAACCAACATACCAACACAAGTCACTCAGGGCTTATGCGTGAGTTTATTAATAAAGTTAAACTAATAATGAACATAAAATAATAAATATAGAATAATAAATATAACATAATAAATGTAAAATAATAAACATAAAATAAAATATATAAAATAAAAAATAAATAAAAAATAAGGATAAAATAAAATAAAATAGTACTACTTAAAGTAGCAGCTCGGTCCAAAATCTTAAACCCACTGCGCCTTTTCCCTTTGCTCAATCTGAGTACACCTTTTGTCCTACCTTGTTTCCTTACAACAGCCGTTGCAGCAGCTCTTGTCACTAGTCTGCCTTATTGCTACCTGGCCACGTTAAGAAACACCGTGTCAAGTATTTCCGAGCGTTAGATTGCTCTCCCATCCTTTGACCTATCCTGACATGACTTCTTCTCTTCGACCTTACTATTAGTAGCAACATTTTCTTTCTCTTTGGTGCGGTCTGCAATAAGTACATCTCCCACTAGCAAATGTACCTTGCAATTTCTTATTATCTCTATCAAAAGCCACACGTAGAAACCGGGATCTGGACTCGAAGTCGTCGTACTCAGGCCAATGAGGAAGTCTAGTGCGCACCTAATAGACAGCCAAGTGCTGCAGGCTTGGCATCCATTTCTTTGAGAAAATACCCCTCAAAGGAAGGTTGCCCCTGCCCCTGCCTCGGGTCTAGCCGAGGCGATAGAACTGTGGGATGACAGGTAAAAGCATGATAGAAGCCATTAGAGGCATAGCGCAACGCACAACTATGTTACGACCAGACTTGAGAACGGATGGTCTTCCCGTCACTCCGGGATGTCAAGACCCGCAAACTCGCCCTACTCAGGAGGCGTCAATCTCGAACAGGAAGCATTCGGCACACGTATTAAGGGACTCGCCCAGCAGTCTCATCGGTTCGACCTTAGCGATGTTGCATTGGATACGGAAAGTTTGGTCCTTTGCTGTCCGTGTCTGTGCCATGCACGTCTGAAGGATTTAAGCTGTGCCGCGCGGATCACCATATCCAGACATTCAATCGCATCTTGACCAATGCGAAGCTCGTTTCACAGAGCCAACAAGGCCCCCCTGCCTGGACTCGGATCATCCCGACGGTAGTACGAGAGAGCGACAAGCCGAAACTTTAGGCAGCCATATTTCAAGATGCGTGTTGAGGACAGCGGAGAGACAGTCGTGTGACTGGGAAACAGATGTTATATCTACTGTACAAGTAACGAATGAAGATCACCGATGACGGGCATAATACCATACAAAGAAAGGCCGTCGCCTCTGGCTTAAAGACTGGAGTCCCGTCATGCGAACCGCAGCTAGCCAAGTAGGTCATGATCGTCTGCCAAAACCTCTAGTTATCATTTCATCTTGAAGACTTTCCGCCAGAACAGCGTGTGCACTGGCGGATCGAAAACCCGTAGTGCACTCGCGAAGGGAACCACAAAATTTGTAGAATTAAGTACAGCGAGTGAAGCAGGGAAGGAAGGGTCAGCGGGTTGGCTAGTCGCCTCCGGGGTATACGGGGGACCAGTTCGGCTGCGAGAACCTAGATTTGATACTATCGTTGCACGGAGAGTTCTTTTTCCTAGAGTCAAGTTATCATTCCTTACCGCCGACATCATATTGTCAGATATCTTAAAGTCGTTTTTTTCTCCAAATTTTCCACGGTGTTATTATCGACTGTCATTTTGCCGTCGATACCCAGTCTGCTACACTTACAACTCTCGAGACAATACTGTTAATTCCCGAGCCTTGCCAACGTCAATCTCAGCGACCGACTAGATAAAGCGCTCCATGAGATGCTTCACTTCTTTCTAACTATTTTATGGAGTTGATCGCAGCCCAATCGAGTCTTTTGGTCAGGCCCTAACAGGTCAAGCTGGACGGTTTTTGGGAGGTGGGCAATTTAGATGTTGTTTGCGACCTTTTTTCCGCGCCAAATTCGTCCTAGATCTGGGACGCAGTCGGGACCTGTGATTCCGAAAGTGTGCCCCCTCGCGCAGCCCACCAAGAATTCAGCTCTGGAAACCGAAATGGATTTTAGTGTGCTTCAGTTTCGCCTCCGAGTTCTCTGGTAGCCAGAAGGTGGGAACCGAGCCCGTTCGAGACTCCAATATCAATATTGGTTGTGGTCATACGACCATATTCTGCACTTCCTTTTCAGCTGCAACAGGCAAGGCACACCCAAACAGTTTCGGCAGTTGTGTACCTCAGTTGCAAGTTCAACCCTTGCTTGCGGCTGAAGGGGTTCTAGGCCCTCCAGGCTGGTCAGCATCTTAGCGCGAGTTGATGTGCCAGCCAATTGAAGTAGCACAAGTTGCAGGGAATCAACAATCGGCTTGCCTAGAATTGATCTCGCAACTTAAGTTTTTAGGTTAAGTAAATCGATAGCGCCAGAACAAGTGAGGCGATTAACCGATTTAGTACAGAGAGCTGAAGCCACAACTGTGATGTGAGTGCAATCTAAGTGCCAGTAGCCCCCGACTGCTCCGTACATATTCATTTGTTCTCCCCCATAATCTGATCCTTAAACCCCCGGCTTGACACTTGTTTTGTAGACATTTTCGCAAGCTAAGCATTGAGCCGCGATGATGAAATACTTGTTACTTCTCGTTTCTCTGCTGGTGTGCACTTGGGCGTCGCCCACTCCCGACACTGAGCTCTCCATCTTTGACGATGATGCCATCCCTGTCGTGGACCAGCCCGACCTTGAGCACTTCAACTTTACGGCACCCCAGGGCCGCGACGAGGGTATCGAGAAACGCGCCCTCAGCCTGACTTACGTCCTATACGATGTCATCTTCAACGGACTGGATAAAGGAAACCTGCAACCTTTCCGGGTCAAGGGCGAGCTCCTCGTCATCAAGCGAATCCCGTCTCCCGGGACGCAGAACGGCGCCAACCCCGTCGACGTGGTAATCTCGATTGGCAACCCAGCCGGTAACCCTATCGCAGGGAGCATCCGCTACGTCACCAACCGCTACCTCAACCCGTTGCTTAGTGGCAGTAAGGACGAGCTCCGCACCGACTTTGCACGAGTATCAACTAAATCCGGCACGGTCACCGTCTCTGTCGATACTTCCATCGCCGCATTCAACCAACTTTCAGTCTTCAATGCCAGGAGTGGCCTCTTTGCTGATGTCTACAATCCGGCACGCGGGGGTTTCAAGCTTGTTGTGAAGAATGGCAAGATCTCGGGGTGGGTTAACTTTGCGGGGAGGGGGGTCATTTCGGGAGCATCGGCGCCGTACAAAGCGAGAATTGGCGGAAAGGCAAAGCAGAAGGGCAAGATAAGCCTCTAGATAATACTTATTTCTAGAGTTAGACCCTAACCCTTTTTCACTTATATAAATACCTTAGGTAAACCCTCATCTACAAACCATCATCGAAATCTTTTCTGTTTCTTATCCATCCATAGCCGTAAAATCATCCATAAATCCCAAAACACCTTTCAATGAACGAACCTATTTTCTTTTCTTACTTAGCCAACCCACTTGCGCGCATTCAAGAACAGCTGGAACCAAGGTCCATACTGGCCCCACTCAGCAAGCTGGTCTTCGGGCTTCCACGATCCAACATCGGCCATGATGGTTCGCTCCGGATGAGGCATCATAGCCACAACACGGCCATCCCTGCTCTTCACACCGGCGATACCCTGGGGGCTGCCGTTGGGGTTGGAAGGGTACTGCTCCGTGACCTGTCCATAGTTATCGATGTAACGGAGTGGAATGAGTCCGTTGCCGTTGAGTGAAGGCAGATCGCCATCAGAAGCAAACTCGGCTCGGCCTTCACCATGTGACACGACAATGGGGAGAGATGATCCAGTCATACCAGAGAAGAATACCGAGTTGGCTGATTTATCTTCAATGGTCACCATGGAAACTCGGCCCTCAAACTGGGAGCTCGCGTTCTCGACTATAACGGGGTTAGTGATTGATCGCCAAAAGGTGAAATACTTATATGGAGACATACCAAACGTGGGCCAGGCTTCGGCTCCAGGAATCAACTCCTTGACTATAACAGTCACAGTTAGTAATCGCTCATATTGAAACAGAGAGCTTGGAAGTCGACGTACGTCTAGTAAGCATCTGGCAACCGTTGCAGACACCAAAGGAGAAGGTGTCGGCTCGCTGGAAGAAAGCCTCAAAAGTCTTGCGGGCGCCGTCATGCATGAGAATGGATTGAGCCCATCCATTACCAGCACCGAGAACGTCACTGCAACACAGCTGTCAGTCTCGCAACACATTTAACATGGGCGCGTCAGATATTCCTTACCCGTAAGAGAAACCACCACAGGCAGCCAAACCACGGAATCCATCCAGTGAGAAGCCGTCCAAAATGTCGGACATGTGGACATCGACGGCGTCGAAGCCCGCGGCTCGGAAAGCAAAGGCCATTTCGGCATGGCCATTCACGCCCTGCTCTCGCAAGATTGCAACTGTTGGAGTGCCTGTCAGCAATCATCCTTCTACCGAATTATTCAAACAAGCTTACCTCTAGGCTTGTAAACCAGGCTCTTAAGGTTAGTCATGGTCGGTAGGCTGACGTCCGCAGGGTCGAACTTCAACTTGAAGTGAAGACCAGGGTCCTTGTTATCCTTGATGGAATCAAACTCTGACTGGGCACAAGCGGGGTCATCACGGAGCTTCTGCATCTCATAGGAAGTGCTTGACCACCATTGCTGGATCTGAGTTCGGTCCAGGTCAACAAGCGCCTTGGCTTTGTACCTGACGACAAGAGACTGCTTAGATGTGGGTCGAACGTAACCAATTGTCTTGATCAAGCCAGGAGGAGGACCGCAGGTAGCGAAGCAACGCTTGAACTTGATCTCGTCGCTTCGTCGGATCTGGAAAACGGCACCGAGCTCTTCGTTGAAGAGAGTGTCAAGAACCTCGGCGTCAGACTTGGCAAGGTTATCAAGGGAGATTTCAGCACCGCATCGACCGGCGAACATCATCTCGGCGACAGTGGTAAGCAAACCTCCGTCTGAGCGATCGTGGTAGGCCAGGACGATATTTTCCTATCAAAATTGTGTCAGCAATCAATCATCTTGCCTAGCCGAAGAAACATACCTGGTGCAATTGCCACATAGCGTCGAAGAAGTCGCGGACCAGCTCGACGTCGCGGACGTCAGGGACCTCGTTCCCGATCTGGCCTAGGCACTGAGCCAGGGCAGAACCCCCCATAGCCTTGAAGCCTTGAGCAAGATCAACAAAGATAAGTAGACTGTCGCCAACCTCCTCAACACGACGGAGCTGAGGTGTCCAAGTGCTGCGTACATCCTCGACCAGACTGAAGGCCGAGATAACGAGAGAAACTGGAGCAGTAACAGTCTTAGACTCGGTAGTCTCCTTGTCCTTCCAAGAAGCCTTCATTGACAGTGAGTCTTTGCCAACAGGGATGGAGATGCCCAACTCAGGGCAAAGTTCCATGCCGATGGCTTGAACGGCATCGTAGAGGGCGGCACCCTCGCCAGGGTGGCCTACGGCCGCCATCCAGTTGGCAGAGAGCTTGACACGCTTCAAGTCTCCGTTGACAGGACCAGGCTTGATATCAGCAGCACCAAGGTTCATCAAACTCTCGGCAACAGCCATTCGGGCGGAGGCGGCAGCAGAGACTAAAGCAAGAGTAGGCTTCTCTCCCCTAGAAAGGCTGTTAGTAATTGTTTTTAACAGTCAAGATTCTGGGGGTCGCTTACATGGCCATGGCCTCACCTCGACGAGTCTTCTCGTCGACGCTGAAGCTAGTGAGGGTGACAGCAACATCGGCGACAGGAGTCTGCCAGGGGCCAACAAGCTGGTCTCGAACAGACAAACCACCAACAGTACGGTCACCAATGGTGATGAGGAAGCTCTTGGATCCAACGGAGGGCAAGTTGAAGACTAGCTCCGTAGCCTTGGTGATCATCTGGCCAAGATCGGACGAACCGCACTGTTCCGTCATGCTCTTCACGGCATCGAAGGGACGCAGGTTCTTCTGAACTCTCTGAACGTCCTTAGAGACTCTTCGTCCAGGGGGGAAGAGAACATCCATGGGGAGGTTGATGGGGTCGATGGGGGGTTGAGCAGTGGGCTCGCGGTCTGTCAGGACCAGCTTGGCAACGCCACTCTCTGCTTGGGAAACAGCATTTCCAACGACGGAGAATCCGCAACGCTCTCGTCGGCAGATGCTAGTGAAGCGGTTGAGACCATCTCGGTTAACAAGGAGGACTGGGATTCGAGATTAGTCGTGAACTTGCAAAAGAGCATACGTTGAAGTAAAGCACATACCGTATCGCTCCTGTGCCTCGTTACACCAAATCTATCAAACGGACGATCGTTAGTTTTTGTGATTAGTGAAAATCCTGTAATCAGACGCACCTGGAGAGGGGACATGGAGTTGTCGGCGCTTTCGACCTGTCGAAGCTCGAACTTGCCACCAAATCCAGCATCCTTCACAAGCTCTGTAGGTTGTTAGCAAATATGATATTTTTGGGTTCACAAACGGTTGGAAGCTACTGACCAGGAAGAGCATTGGAAAGACCACCGGCACCCACATCGTGGATGAAAGCGATGGGGCTCTCAGGGCCCAAGGCAACGCAGGTGTTGATAACCATCTGAGCACGTCGCTCCATCTCGGGGTTTCCACGCTGGACACTGTCAAAGTCAAGATCTGCGGTATCCTCAGTGCCTTGGTTTGATGAGGCCGCGCCACCACCTATGACATCGATTAGTCTTTTGCTAGTGCAAGATCATTGTATAATAATACTAACCAAGTCCGATAAGCATGGCAGGACCTCCAAGAACGATAACCTAGGGGATTCAAGTTAGTCACTCTCAAAATAACCTCCAACAGAACCTGATATTAAATTGATAATGACAGTTGATTCTGCTTCAGGAGAGGTTGGATATAAATGGTGACTTACATGGGCGCCATCTTCAACGTGAGCCTCCTCCTTGAGGGCATGTTGAGGTCGAACACTTCCGATACCACCAGCAATCTATGAAGTCCAAGTCAGCAAAGGATGCCCGCCGGAAATCAGAGATACGGATAGAATAAGGTATTTTCATGAGGTGAATCATCAGTGTTGCAAGTTGTGGGTTGACTAACCATGATGGGTTTGTGGTAACCCCGGTACTCGGGGGCCTCAGACTCAGCTTCATTCGTGAGAAGAGTTCTGAAAGTTCCAGTAAGGGCAGGGCGACCAAACTCGTTGTTGAATCGCGCGGAACCAATGGGAGCTTCCAGCATAATGTCGAGACTGGAAGCGTAGTGGGAAGGTCGTCCAATATCAACCTCCCAGGGCTGCTTGTTGCCAGGGATCAAAAGGTCCGAAACCCAGAAACCGCAGAGACCTGCCTTAGGGGCAGAGCCACGTCCTACAGCACCTTCATCACGGATCTCACCTCCACTACCCGTGGCGGCACCGGGGAAGGGAGAAATGGCGGTGGGGTGGTTGTGGGTTTCAACCTTAATCAAAGGCTGGACAACCTCCTTGGTAAGCTTCCAGCTGCCAGTGGAGTAATCAGGGGCCCAGAAGTTGCCCTCCTCGCCAGACATACTATCCAGACAAATGTTAATGAATATATCAAACAGCATGCACCATTTTAAATCAAAGCATGTCACAATTCCATAAAGAATGTTTGGAGAAAGGCTTCCAAAAAAAAAAGGATACTTACACAGCAGCGTTGTCGGAGTAGGCACTGATGACATAGTCGGGGTTCTTCTTGTGCGTGTTCTTGATCATGCCAAAGAGGCTGTTGGGCTGGCTCTCACCATCAATGGTCCAAGACGCATTGAAAACGTGGTGTCGGCAATGCTCCGAGTTGACTTGAGCAAACATGAAAAGCTCAACGTCATTCTACATCACGATGTGTTAGTCACTTGGATGTGGGGTTGAAAAAAGTGGCTCATACGGGCGATCGTCCGAGGGCAGTGTACTGCTTGACCAAATATTCCATGTTGGGCTTGTCAAGGCCAAGTCCAGCCTTCTTATTATGCTCCTCGAGAGCAGCGAGAGGACCCTTTTCATCGGAAAAGATGTCGACAACAACCAGGGGGTTTCGGGCTCCGTGAGCGAACATGTCGTCGAGGACAGGAGGGGAAGTGCTGAAGAGCTCGGTCATGCGGTCGTAGATGACATCTTTGAAGGCCAGGTCCTGCTCTCCCTTGTATTCCTCCTCGAATGTGACGGTAACGGCTCGGCCTCGTTCGATGCGGTTCACGGTCTTCAGGCCGCAAACGACGGCGATGCTGGAGGCCTTGGAGCTCCATGGCGATTGGTTTCGAGGGGAGATGAAGATTTCGACAGTCTTTCCATTAGTTCCGGTCGAAGTAGCGGCGGCAGGATGCTCAATGGCCTGCAGAATCTGCTTGACCTTGGCGAGAACGGCCGGGTCCTCGGTCTCGAGATCGACATAGTATTGCCATGATCCGGAAAGCTCGGCGACCTTGACAGAGCTCTGATCGTTGATGCGCTGCACGAGCTTCTGCAACTCCGAAGCCGTGAAGCACGACTCGCCGACCAGAACCTGGTGCATGGTGAAAAGTTGCTGCGCTGCGCGTTGGCTTCAAAGCAGGATGCGCTTTGACGTCGTCGTCTCGTTGTGGCGGGGTTGGAAAAAAATGTCTATCGCCCATGACCGCGGGGTGAATACAGTCACAATTGCAAGTGGGATGGATTGCCGGATCCGGGATAACCTTACTCCGTGACAGGAAATCCCGCTCTCCTGTGGTCTGCAACAAGCTATCAACGGGATCTTGCAGTATTAAAGTTGCTTGGCCCAATGCCTATTGATATATCTTGTCAGATGATTATCCAATTTCTTCGTCCGACATTCCCTCCTGCCTCTAACTACTTTCACCTCATCATTGTCCTCGCACATGTCATGGGGGGGCTCAAGGTGGGGCCGTCAATTCTCCCGACCAAAAATGGTGCACTTCACCAAGCGGGGTTATTGCATCGGCAGTTGACGCCTACCTAGGCAGGTGAGCCGGAAAGATAATTGATCATCGCTTACTAGTCGTAAATAGATCTCTTAATGGACCTAGTTTCACAAGGTACCTCTCATATTATTCTTTCAATTGGGTCGCTGTAAAGCTGTTGCAGGTTGGGCAACTACCCAAAGAGAACAATTCCCATGTCTATAGCATCCAAAAAGATGTGAAGATAGGTCGAAACTACTCAATGCAACTTCGACCTCTGCCCAGAGGATTCTATACAATTAATAGTTCAGCCTTAAGCTACCAACTCAAGTTAAGGTTAGCTTAGAATATCTCCGGGGTGCGGGGGTACAGGCCTTCCCGCCATCACTATTTTCGCCTGCCTTTTGCGGCAAGGTGAAGACAAGGATTGCTATCTTCGAAATAAACGTGGGCACTTCCATTATTTCAAGTAACAGTTTGTACTCCTACACCAAACCTTGAGGATTAATTTCCCCAGGTTTTGGTATATCAACAAACTCCGGTCTACCAAGAATTGTAAAAGCAGATGCAGATGCAGTTCAACTGTTCAGGATTTACATGATAAGCCACCGCTCAACATATCTACTCACATTTAAATCCCGGGGGGCGATACAGCAAAGAATGATTTTAGGATAACCCATGGGCACGATTATTGAGCAAAGATATCATCTACAACTTGTTCAAAGACTGGGTAATGAATTGATGATTCCACGAGAAGGATATATCCAACAGCAAGCAGGACGAAATATGCGTGCTACACTATTCCATGAGAGAAAGGGCGTTTATGCTCGTTAGAAAATGATTGAACAATCCTTCTTATCTTACAAGTGCCTCCGCCATGAAGCCGTAATATGGAAGGAGAAAAAAGAGTCGACCGGATCAATTGAGAGAATGAGACAACTTGAAGGTTAAAGTCTATCGATCGTCTAACACGACGTCATGGGTTTCTCGCAGATGCAAGATTTTATAGTCGAAACCTGTCAGGCTTCTCGATGAGCAGTTTGATACACTGTTCGGTATGTAAGCATTAGACTTGGATGGGCGATTCGTGCCTATGAATCTCTAAGTCGGAGACACCGAGCGAAAGTGTTTGGAGAGACTGCTCAACCTAGCATGAAGGTCTAGCCAGATACTTTGATCAATATGCTGACCCCCCTTACGACCAATCTTTCACAACTACAATGCCGAAAATGCCCATCAGAGGTTGCTTAAGATCAGATAGCTCCAATAAAAAGTCTTGACCTCTTCTAAGCATTCGGGACCTGACCTTTTTGCAACATGTTAAGAAACGCCAAGCCTCTCACGCCCGTTCTGCATGCATGACCAATAAATACGTGAATACAATGCCCCTCAACGTCATCTTGACCTTTGCAGTCTAACGTGTTTATGCAATACCCGGTGATTACGCAAGGGCAGCGTTATACACATCCCTGTTGCCGATTCCCGAGAGCAGGCAGGGTATATGACGCCGACATCGGAAAAGGGACGTGGACCCCTAGTTTCCAAGCTGCTTGCGGGCGCAGCACAAGGGTTAAGGACCGGTTGGTCCTGGCAGGTATGGTACATGCGGATGAGAGTCGGAAGATTTTTGAACGAAAAGCGGGCTCATGTGTGGTCTGGTAGATAGCTAATTTGACCGCAGAGTGAGGACGTGGGGGGTCAATGAAAGCGCCAGTTCCACTCTCATCGTCAGCTGCATCATTCTCCTTCTTTCTGAAGTGTGTACTGTCAGGAATAGACACTGTCTGTTAAGAGCGGACAGAAGGCGCAGGAAGACGAGTGTTTGCATCACTCGCCGGTGTGTCATGGGGGATGAGATGCTAGAACTAGGCGAAGGCAGGGCCATCCTTAAAGTCAATCTGCCCTCGCCTAAATTCGACATTGGATCAAAACAGGCTGCAAAAACAAAGAGTATTGCTATTTGCACAGACGGTAAAGTACATCAATACGAAAGAGAATCCTCGATAATACCGTACTTGATACAATATTTGAGTAAAGCAATGGTAATCCGACTCGGTGTATTGGTATTTATTATTAATTAGTTTTAGTTTTATTTCTATCTTATTCTATGACCTTAGCCTAAGCCTGCTCCTAACAACACGCATGAGTTAGGCGCATGGATTAAGCTGAGCCTCACTGTGTATTAGTACGAAGAAAGGTGTGTACTTGTGAGCGAATATCGATACCTAAAAACAACCAGGGGTGCACAATGCAAGGCAGCTCCCTAAACAGGAATGACGGCCGGGTGGCTCCATGAGTTTGAAACCCAGGCCTACCGGAGGTCCCGGGAGCTCGGCGTCAGTAGTGAAGAAACACTGGTCAGTGCGAAACGCTGCGCGGAAACCATTTTCGATGCTATCGAGTGTTGTGTTGCATGGATTGCGGAAAATTAAATTAGGAAAACAGGCGCTCGAGATCTGCGAAGCCGCGAGTAGCCGGGCTGGCGCCATGCACCTGGCGGGTGTGGCGTTTGGCTATTCCATCACGGAGAGCAACTTGTAATTTGACGTCGCTGAGGAAAATCCTGCAGCCGCCTGATGAACGCCCGTAACATGATTTTCAGGTCGCACTGGAACGAGCGTTTCCAGGCGAGGATATGGAAGCGGGTCCCAAAAGCCAAGCCGGTCCTTTGATGCGGGCGGTACAGTCTTGGCTTTTGCGGCCCAATCTCCCTGGTTTGTAAGAGTGGGCGCGGCCATTGAGTTTGGTAAAGGACCGAGCCAAGCGTTCGTCAGGATTCCCTGGACAGAGGTTGATGTTGGATCCCGGAAGGATTAACAAAAACCCCTAATACGTGTTGCGACATTCCGCCAGTTTGGCACGCGAGATGCTCGTCGAGAGAAACTGCAGATCCCTTGTTGGGCCCCCCTCGTCGTCAGCACCGCGCTCAGACATCTTTCCAACCGCCTTTAGCCATTCCCATGGTTGCGTACCGCGTGGAGCATACGTTCTGCGGACGGATCCTTCGGAGTACGCACGCATATCAATTATGGTCTTGCGGATCTTGCGCCAGCTGAGGATGGTGAGATTTTCTGGGCGGTAAACGAGGCAAACCGCCATGTGGCCCAAATCCCGGCTGCAGATATAGCCAAGACCTTGGAGTCACAGTGGATAGGCTTTTGGCCTGGGGAAGCCAAGAAAATGCCAGCCGAGGTCTTTGACCAAGTGCAGGCCTCCAACAGACCATGTCGGGCCAAGGGAGCCTATTATGCGGAGAGCGTTGTTGATGTTATGTAATGGAATCTTTCCCCAGATACCAAGACCTCACGAGAGAGGCCAGAAGCGAGGAACAGTGCTTACGTCCCCAGAGTCAGGAGGAAAAGCAATACATAATACGGGGCCTGATGGGGCGGTGGGTTTCGATGAGACCACCTGTATCTAGATCCACGCACCATCACCAGATGATCATTGCGGAGCGTGCAGATGCCGGACCACGAGCGACAACTTGAGAAGTGGTTAAAACCTTCTGGAGAGAGCGCCAAGACATGCAGAAGAGGAAACAAGAAATCAGCGCGCGACCGAGGTGATCGGCGGAGGAACGACTAGCTTTTTGTCTAGTCTTTCTGGGAGGAATCCATCCTTTGCATGGTTGAGGTCGCCGAAGTGCAGCAGACATGGGTTGAGCTCCACCGCGCCCGTCTTGTTAGCATCCATGTATGCACGATGATAAGACAAGCAACATGCGTGCGAACCCAGCTGGACAGGCCGCCATCGAGTGTAGTTCGACAATGGCGAAGATGAGTTAGGGCCGGCAGGTAGTACGACTGTTGCGTAAAGGGCGCGCACTAACACCAACCACGAACTGCGATGGCCCAACGGGCTAGCCAGGGATACGCCGCCCAAGGTTGAACCGCGGTGCGCGACTCGACCAGATGAGAGTCACAGGCCAGTGCAGGGAATGTGTAGCCAAGACATGCGCTTGCATGCGGTCACGAACGGAGCAAAAGTAACAAGAGCCGTATTGCTTAGCATTGGCCGTCGACCAGCATGCAGTGGAGAGGAAAACGCCGTCGCACCAGGTTAGCTTGGGGCTAACGCAGGCCGAGTTGGGCCTTGCTGAGCCGAGAGACTAGAAGACACAAGGAAGCGGGAATGGAAACACGGAGCGGATGAGGCTCCAAAGCCGACCGCGGCCGAAATCGCTGGGAGTGGACGGAGGCGGGACTCCGTTGCGTCGTCGCCCGCCGGAGATACGGGAGCATTGCTACGGCGTGGCGCTGCGGATATGGCGAAGTGAACTCCCGCATAGCTGTCCGGCCGGCGAGCGAGCAACCAACGGCCGACTCCAGAAACGGCAAGCCAACGCGGCGTATCGGTTGTAGATGGAGCTTCTCGGTTGTCCGCCCAGAACCGTTGCGATGGAGACTCACTGGAGAATCGAGCGAATGGAGACCGCAAGCCTGGAGATGCTTGGTCTCGACCACGTGCGCCAAGCTGTGAAAGCCGTGACATATCAACCTTTGTCACGACGACCCTCGTCACTGCGCCATTTGAGCAAATGGGCGCAGGGCGCAAGTCGCCAACGGGGAGAAAATTACGTACATTTGGATGTACCGCGCAGGTGGCTTGGCGGTTTGGCTGGTGAGAGGCGAGTTGGAGAAACAGCCGAAAAATGATTTTTCTGCTAGCTCCAAATCCCCAAGGTAAAAACTCCAACAGCTGGTGGCACCGTCACACCCTCGCCACCTCCCCATGCCACTTGCGCCTTGCTATGACGGAGCCGCGAACCCTTTCCATACTGGGAAGTAAAAGTGTATTTTTTCTGTCTGTGGCGTGAGGATGCCATCGGAGATCCCTTCCGCTAGGCTTGGCGGCTCGGATCATGGCGAAGCCAACCACGGGCGACGGCTCTATCGCAGCGATCAGGTGAATCGCATCGCCGTCGAGAGTGGGAAAGCAACAAATGCGCTCATCCAAGGTTCAGTATCAACAGCTCCGCTCTGTGAATCATTGCGCCATGTCACACAGCTCGAAACTCCCTGTCGACGCAGCTCCAGAACGGATACCCTCTGGCCTTGGAGGATCAATCACGCCCTGAGGGACGCCTTCGGCGAATAACTTGTGCCATGCTTCAACCAATCCAAACCCCCCCCCCACCACCACCCCTTATCACGGCCAAGCGCCTGGAGCTCTTCGAGAACGCTGCCGCTTCAGGCCCAGCGTTCCCCACCATCGCGGCCCCCACACCCTTGTCCACGCCCTGGTTTAGCGGCCGCGCCCCTGTAAAGTCCCCGTCGCTCGCCGCCGTAAGCCGACGCCCAACAGCGGCGCAAAGACGACGATGAAGGCCAACGGCGACTTGGGCCGGCCGCTTTCACGCTGAGAGACTTCAACTGAGCCGGCTTCTGTCGGCCTTCTCTGACTGTCAGGGACCCCTCGTACGCCCCAGGCGCGATGCGCGATGCGCGGTCTAAACGCGCCCGGGCCAACGACGGTCTCGCCGGAGCATGTCTCAAAGGACGATGCAGCGGCCCGCAGCAGTTGGACGGCTTTGCGGCAGCAGATAGTTGTGGCCCGGAACCCTCACGATGACAAACCTATCTCGCAAGTGGCACCTGAAGCAATTGGGAACAATGTATCCCAGGGTCAAAGACCCATAATTCACTGCGAGCGATCGATGGGACGGTTGCAGTCTCTCTTCGGTCCCCACAGTTCCCGGCGAACAGGACTGGGCCGGCCATGTAGGATCCCTTCCTGAAAGGAATCCCACTTCCAAGGCTCCATGTAGACGGCTCTTGGCATCGTATGGGAGGGGTCGCAATGGACCATCCATTACCACCGCCGTTATCAGCCCCGTCAGTACTCGCTCGTTTATTCGTGGCCGGTATCGTAGTCATTGATATGTGTAGAAGCAGGCAGTCAATTGTCTGGAGCCCGCATTGCCTCGGTGGTGTAATAAGAAGACGTTGCCACCCTGTTGCGTCTCCCGCTGTCCCAGTCTCCCATCCACATCTCCAATTTCTAGTTTCCTTTGACATTGGTTGGCTACGGAGTACTCCGTACTTCTTCATCGACTCTGGCCACCCCGGTCTCCCCGCCTCATCGTTACCTCTTATTAGGTAAACGTAACATCTGACCGTCACACCTACCAACCAGTCGGCCACTGACCCCAACCCCGACAAAAAAGACCGGCGCATTCCCCATCTGCTCCCCAGGTCCATTTCCCCGCCTTACCCCGAAAGTCCCACTCGCCCCAGCTCGCAGGCGACACCCTAAACTTTGGGACAGAGATAAATATCCCATCCACCCGCTCTTGTCAACTCGACTCTTCTCCCCGGACACGCCAATCCTTTCTCTTTTCATCTGGACGGCCCTTTCACATACACAGACTCGCCAATACACGACTCCACTATGGCTGAGAAGGATAGCGGCAATGGCTTCGACCTCAACCAGGAGGGCAGCCACCAAGGCCAGACAACTGAGTACAACCTTGCCGACTCACACGACCAACTTGAGCGAGGTCTCAAGAGCCGACACATTCAGTTCTTGGCTCTGGGTATGTGCTGATTCGCCCGTCAAAATGGAAAACAACAATGACTGACTTCTTCCGCGATAGGTGGCGCCATTGGTACCGGTCTCTTCATCGGCTCCGGTGCTATCCTCGCTCGAACCGGCCCTGCTCCTCTTTTCATGGCCTACCTCTCCATGATGCTGATGGTCTGCATCATCATGAACATCCTCGCCGAAATGGTCACCTACCTTCCCATGCGCGGCATCACCGTCCCCTACTTCGTCGGCCGTTTCGTTGATCCCAGTTTGGCTTTCGCCGCCGGCTGGAACTACTGGTACGCCTACTCCATGTTGGTCGGAGCCGAAGCGGTTGCGGCCGGTATCATCATTGACTATTGGAACCCTCCTGTCAACATTGGCCTCTGGATTGCCATTGTCCTTGTGGTTATGCTGGCTCTCAACATCATCGCTGTCTCCTTCTTCGGAGAGGCAGAGTTCTGGTTCGCGAGTATTAAGCTTATTACCATTTGCGGTCTCATCATCCTCGGCATCGTCATCTTCTTCGGCGGAGGCCCTAACCAGGATCACATTCGCGGTTTCCACTACTGGAAGACTCCTGGAGCCTTCATCGAATTCAATGCGAAGGGTTCTACAGGCCACTTCCTCGCCTACTGGAGCGCCTTCATCAGCGCCGGTTTCGCCTTCATTACCTCCCCGGAACTGATCGCCATTTCTGCTGGCGAGGCCGTTGCCCCGCGACGAAACATCCCCAAGGCCGCTCGTCGTTTCATCTGGCGTCTCGCCGTCTTCTACGGTGTTTCCTCCCTCCTCATTGGTATTCTCGTACCCTCCGACGACCCTCAACTGCTTGGCGCCTCCGATGCTAGCGCCTCCCCCTTCGTCATCGGCATCCAGAACGTCGGTATTCCTGTTCTTAACCACATCATCAACGCCGCCGTCCTCACCTCTGCCTGGTCTGCCGGTAACTCTTTTCTCTACTCCGGAAGCCGAGTTCTTTACTCCATGGCTCTGAACAACCAGGCTCCCAAGTGGTTCCGCATCACCAACAAGTACGGTGTCCCCTGGGTTGCTGTTCTCTTCACCTGGGCATTTGGCCTCCTCGCATTCCTGAACGTCTCCAACTCCGGCGCCACTGTTTTCAACTGGTTTGTCAACATTTCTACCATCTCCGGCTTCATCGCTTGGATTGTTGTCATGATCACCTACCTCCGCTTCCGCCGCGCTATGGAATTCAACAACCTGCTCGAGTCGCTGCCTTACAGGACCCACTTCCAGCCCTACGCCACCTGGATCGTCCTCCTCATCGTCAGCATCCTCACTCTCACCAACGGCTTCTCCCTGTTCATTGGTGACAACTGGAACACCCAGAGCTTCATCGCCGCTTACATTACCCTCCCCATCTTCTTGGTGTTGTACATCGGTCACAAGCTTTGGTTCCGCACTCCTCTGTGTATCAGCATCCAGAACATTGACGCCATCACCGGCAAACGTGAGATGGACGAGCTCGAGGCTTCAGATGTGCCTCCTGTGCCCAGGAACTTCCTTGAGAAGGTCTGGTTCTGGATCGCCTAAGCGATGGGTTGTTTCTAGCATTATATATCAATGTAAATAAGCGTACATAGACGCATGGTCTCATAGAGTAGTCAATATTAATACTCGCAATTACACTACACGATATCCTCGCAGCGCTTCGTACCAGAGCAGATGGATTGAGGGAATATGGTTCACAATATCACCAGTAACATGTAATTAAATACTACTACCTTGATATCATATCATTAACAAATATGAATTAGACCGATAGAGACTAAGTTTTCTGGAAACTTGGAAAATCCTGGAGAGGAATTGGCGCAAGTGCGGATTGGATAATCAGATTAAAAATTGCCTCGACTACTAACAAGACAAGCGAGCGGGGGAGGCCAGATTCATGACCAGCCCAGCCAACGCACTATTTGCTAGCCTCAATAAGACACTGGCCGGGGATAAGTTTATTCCTGCTCCTATCTCCAAAATAAATATGTCGCTTGTGCCAACGCCAACCCTTCACACCACGTCGATGCTCATTATATGCTCATACGACCTGACGCAATAAGTCGCCCCCTTCATGCCGAGACTTTATTGCGCAACTGAGAGATCAATTACCCATCCACCTCTTTGTTGGGCTATCATATTGCACGGTTTAGCCAAGGCTCATTTTTGAGCGAACCACTTTCACCATGTACGACGGCCAAGAAGAGCTTGACAATCTTGTATGGGACAAAAACGATGACGACGGAGATGAATCACTGAAGCAAATGCGACTCAAAACCAGATGTCGCCAAGTGGAAGACCTCTCGGAACAAAAGTTTGGGAAAAAAGCAACACTGATGTCGTCATTAATCATTGGGGGCTTCAATATTCTTTATAGAATATCCCTCGAGGGACTAACCTGCGATGTTATGGTTCGGCTGCCCTGTCCAAATCTGGTCCAGTTTCCAGAGGAAAAGACCATTCAGGAGGCTGCAACCGCAGGTTTCATTGCGAAGAACACCCAAGTCCCTGTTCCCAAACAATACTTCTACGGTCCAGATTCTCCTGTCGGACCCTTTGTTATCCTACAATACATCCAAAATTGCGGAAGTATGTCGGCGAGACTAACGGCACCCAACGACGACCCAAATGCCCAGCACGTTCTGAACCCCAACATTTCGGAGGCTACGTTAGACAATCTGTAGGGGAAGGCGGCCCGTTGTCTTCTTCAGCTCTCTCGACTTAAGTTTCCTCGAATTGGATCTTTAGTTGAAGCCGAAGATGGCTCCTACAACATCGCTGGGCGGCCCATTACCCACAATATGGCTGACATGGTCCGGCTCGCTAACATCCCTCGCGCGGTTCTTCCCCCAAAAGACAAAGCATATGGCACTGCAGACGAATGGTACGTCGCTTTAGCGGAGATGCATATGGCGCAGCTCGTCTTTCAGCACAATGATGCCATATCGTCAGAGGACGATTGTCGCAATAAGTACGTTGCCCGCCAAATCTTCCGGATGTTGGCGAAACAAGGTCGACTTTCTACATTTGGTTTCGCAGAGGATGATTGGTCTGCCCAATCGGCCAAACTAGCATCTTCAACCCTCTCCCCGGCTCCATCTGGGTCAGATTCCTTTCGACTGTGGGGTGATGATCTTCGAGCAGGAAACATTCTTCTAACCGACTCTGATGACATCGCTGCTCTCATCGATTGGGAGTTCTCATACGCTGCTCCGACACAATTTGCGCTCGATCCGCCTTGGTGGCTACTCCTCGATCTGGCCGAGACTTGGGCCTCCGGCATTGACGACTGGAAGCACATATACGAAATGCGCCTCGAGACCTGGCTATTTGCTATGAAACGTGTCGAAGCTGAAGAAAACATCCAAGACTTTCATTCTCTGCCTGTTCCATTGTCTACCTATATGCGAGAAAGCTGGGAGACAAGTCGGTTTTGGCTGAGCTACGGCGCGAGGAAGAGTTGGGCATTCGACACTATGTACTGGAGGTACCTCGATGAGAAATTCTTCGGCGACCGGGAAAGCGATATTCCTCAAGAAGCTTTATGGAAGACCAGAATACATTTGTTAAGTGACGACGAGAGGCGGGCAATGGAGCCGTTCGTGGAAACCAAGTTGATTGAGTCAAAGGAAAGGATTATTGTGGACTGGGAACCAGAGAAAGCGAGAGAACGTTTGTCAGAGCTTCTCTTTGACTAAGAGATCTATTGTCGCCTTGGATGTATCGCATGCGCTGATGCGATATCAGAACAGACATGAGGTAAAGGTGAAACAAGGGTCGGGCAGCCGCGGGAGAAAGAGAACGATATAGAGGCGGGAGACACAACTTAAAATCACAAACTTTTTGTCAGTTCGGCAGCTTCCATGTTGATAAATGCCAAGAATGAGGGGGGGCTGCACTGTTGTACGATTTCGCCAACTTCGTATTAAAGATGGATAACCACGCCACGAAATTGTGGCCAGCTGGGATGCTCGCCAACCGAGGCTCACAGACTTGGAATCAGCCTATTTTTTCAGCGTTTTTCTGTGAGCTAGTGAGCTAGTAACATAGATGTAGGGCCCAGCACCGTGAAACATTAACGTAAAACCACTAGCACTGGATTCGAGATTCATTGACATACCACGTTCAGTCAGATACGGCTATGAGTGCGTCATCGCTGTTGGTTCTTCTCCATTGTTTCTCCTCCAACATTCGGTAGGTCGCAATATTAGGACCTGTTACAGACCAACTGTAAATACAGGCATAATATGCAACCGGGCCTTCCGTCCTAAATAAGTGACAAATACAAGACGCCATTAAGGTGATCTTTAACTAAAATCAGGATTGAGCACATTCTTTTTCCGGGGCTCTCGCGGGATGAGGCTCCAGTACGCCTTAACATGGGATTCTCATTCGTTCAATCGTAAAACTGTAACGATATGTGGATCTCGACTGTTGCCGGGCTAGCCGTCGTATTACCTCCATGGCTTGGCTTTGCCCACTCAAACTAAACCAACAGTATGTACGTAACACTTCTCCTTTGACCAACGTACGCACCTCGTCAGACAATCCCGAATATCGTTTTCAATAGGTGAGTCTTCGATTGGAAGCTAGTAAAATGGCCCTCGTGGCATCGTAGCATTGACCGCGGTGCAGTGGCGATTTGCCAGGCACCTGGCTCCGGGATCTTCAGCTGAAAACGGGCATTGTGATTCCGAGCAGATATCGACTTCGTGCGGCCACTAATGCACAATTCTACGAGGTTATCTTATCTGATGGCATGATCAGATCGAGCTGTATCCCACGCGATGAACGCCGCCCCACGCAAGCGACGAACCGGTGCCACACGGCCGGTAAATCAATGACTAAAATGTTTTGGGGGTCGTCTATTTAAACCATTGCAGGCCCTTCTTTTGATGAAAGGGGAGAGAGGTAGATTCACTGTCGATATTCGGCCACAACTGCAGCCTGTATTCCGAAGATCTGTTTAACATGGCCGACAAGATAGCGCCAAGGACCGACGGGGTCGAACCGGTGCCTTTCGAGATGGAGGAGCCGATAAAGGAGCCGATCGAGAAGGTCCAATATGGTGTCCAACTAGCCGAGGCAGTCACTTTGTCCTGGACCAAGAGATCGTTGATCGTCATGTACATCTGGTGAGTCGAGGAGCCGAAACAGACTGAAGGTTTTTACTGATACTTGGAAAGCATGTGGCTCTTGTACTTTGTGAACGCTCTTCAGAACAATCTCACGTCAAACCTCTCGGCCTACATCACCAGTGACTTTTCAGAGCATTCGCTACTCACTGTCATCAGTACCATGACCAGCATCATGACCGCAGCTTGCACGATGCCGATCGCCAAGGTTCTCAATATCTGGGACCGTACTGTTGGCTTTACTTTCATGATGGTAGTCGCAATCATCGGTCTCATCGTCATGGCATCCTGTCACAACATTACTACATACTGTGCGGCACAAGTCAGTAAACCGCGCGAATCAGGTTGCGCATAAATCGCTAACATGTTGAATAGGTCATGTACTCTGTTGGATTTACTGGTCTCATTTTCACCGTCGACGTGATAACATCTGACACTTCGTCCTTGCGAAACAGAGGTCTCGCGTTCGCCTTCACAGCTTCCCCCAATATTATCACCGCTTTTGCCGGATCCCCCCTATCCCAGCAATTCCACGAGTCCAACTGGCGATGGGCTTACGGTACTGTCTCGATCTTGTTGCCTGTTGTTGCAACACCTCTCCTCGTTACCTGGTGGTTGGCAAAGCAAAAGGCGCTGAAGAACCACGTTATTGAGGACACGACCCCGACGCGAACTTGGATGGAGAGTTTCAAATATTACTTTGTGGAATTTGATGGTAGGCACCAGCTGATTTATCACCACCAACACTAACCTGAGACAAAATGCTGATGAATGCCTCTAAAAATAGTGATCGGAGTCTTTCTACTTATTGCAGGCTTCTCTCTGCTTCTTCTCCCTCTCACCCTCGCCGCGTCGCAAGGCAACAAGTGGAAGACAGATTACATCATCGCCATGATCGTCCTCGGTGGAGTTTTTGTCATATGCTTTGGTGTCTATGAACGTTTCTTCGCTCCCAAGCCATTCATTGCCTATCACCTATTGTCCTCGCGTACAGTCATTGGTGCTTGCCTTCTAGACTTTGCTTACCAGATTGCGTACTACTGTTGGAACAGCTACTTCACGTCGTACTTGCAGGTCGTGTACAATACTTCGCTCACCAATGCAGGCTACATCAATTCGATCTTTGACATGGTTTCGGCTGTCTGGCTTCTGGGTGCGGGATTCCTGATGAGATACACCGGACGATTCAAGTGGCTTCTGTACATTGCTGTCCCATTGTACATGCTTGCCGTCGGCCTCATGATTCAATTCCGGTCGCCCGGCCATAACATTGGTCTGATTGTCATGTGCGAACTGTTCATGGGTTTTGGAGGTGGTACGATGATTCTTGTTCAACAGATTGCTGTCATGGCGGCGTCAAAGCACGAGGACTACGCGGCAATGCTGGCTCTCCTCAGTCTATTTGGCAATATTGGCGGCGCCGTGGGGAACAGCATTTCAGGTGCCATTTGGACCAACACCATGCCTAAGAAGCTGCGTCAATTCCTGCCAGCAGACAAAAAGGCCGAATGGGAGACTATTTACGACGATCTCACAGTGCAGCTGACCTACCCTGTTGGCTCGGAAACGCGAGATGCCATCGTCGCAGCCTATGGAGTGGCGCAGAGAAACATGTTGATCGCCGGAACAGTCATTATGGCCTCGAGTCTTATTTGGACTATGATGATGAAGAATATCAAACTCAAGAATCTTGAGGGCATGGGTGTTGTCTTCTAGGCAACATTTTTGCGGTGTCATTGACGGAGGTCCATAGCTATTGGAAGACCGAAATACTCGAAGGCAGATGGGGGAAAATCAGCTCATCACGGCCGCTTAAAAGTGCAAAGGGCCATTGGTAGTTACGCAAGTTTACCAGATTGACGAAAAATAGGAAACTGTGGCTTCATAGTCGTGTATGATGTTCATCAATGGGTATCCAAACACCCTTGCCGTAATAAATTTCGTTCCCTCATAGTTGATGGCACAACGACGGTCAGTACAGGATTATCAGTAACAATTTGTAATTTCGAACAATTGCATGCGGTCTAAGTGTTATTAATTGATCATGTGTCCTCTAAATTATCCATCATGTATCAGTGCTCCAATTGACACACCTCACTACAAACTTAATGTCTAAGATTCAATCCCTAAAATCTCTTGTGTAAGTTCTCTTTCCTTTTCCATTCGTATACAATGTATTACATGCATTCAAAGCACACAATATCGTATTATTAAAGACACTCCTGGATTTGTCCCCAGGAACCCCGAATATTCGGCAGCTAGTAGGTAGACCTTAATTATATATGGCTAGTCCATAACACTCTCGCGACCTCTGAATATCTATACCTGAGCCAGTCCAGTTTTTATACCATCGTTCTAGGGACGATTTTCAACATCGATCCGTCGGCATCTGAGAAGGGAGAGGTGGACTAGGGTCGGTTGAGCGTAACACATGCGCCTGGCCCTTTGAATATTTGTAGTGCTCTAAGTCTGTTTACGGACGAAATTGCACAACAAATATGAAGAGCAGACAGTAAAGATATCCTCGACGTTTAGAGATAAGACTCAAGACTTAAAAGGAGACACTACCACGTCACATGAGCGGCAACACCTCAAGCCGCAACATGCTACTCCTTCAGGGAATCTGATTTTACGGGTCTCGCCCTACATTCTTTTCTCCATGATTCTACGAGCTCTGGTGAGCTGGGTATTCTAAATCAGGCTCTCCGGGTTTATTCCCTGACGTCAGTCCGTATTTCGATCCAGTGCGGTCGTTTTTATCTGCAAATGACCCATCAAAGAAGAATCAACATTCGGCTCCGTGAATATAATTTTAGGTCTGGGTCTAACAAGTGCCGCATGGATCAGTGGTAGTTTTGGGTGCTCAAATTGGGGTATCAAAATCATGACAAAAAAACTGAAGACAAGGAAAACATTCCTAATCAACACGGAACTTGATATTACCAATTTGGAAATACTTCAAGTCATTGTTCAGGGTAGAAATGGAATCGCAAAGTGGGGTGGCTATCATCGGCGCAACTTAGGTCGGGTCATCCTCGATCCGAGAAATAACCTCAACTCTAAACCAACTCAGCTTCATTCGAGACTCTGTTCTCCTCCACATGAATCAGGCCATATGACGGTTGACGAAGATATTTATTTCGGTCCATAGAATCACCACAATATGGCCTCGGCATCTTCATCTACCTGGAGCTCACTTGGACTTGGAGTAGCCGTAACGTGGGTCACACTCGGTCTAGTCGGCATTTTCCAACCAGCTCGATCAGCACAAATATTCGGAGTATCATCACCAACCGAGCCCAGTGGTAAGGCCGACAATACGGGTATCGCAGTCATCCTCGGCTCTCGAGATTTCGCCGTCGCCGCTGCCCTGTTCGCACTGCATGAGGCCGACAAGCATGAAGAGATGGGTACCGTGATTTTAAGCACCATGATCATCTGCGGGGCAGACATCTATCTTGCCTGGAAAGCGAAGAGGGGTTTGGAGTAAGTAGATATGGTAAGCTAGCCGAAATTACATATATCTAACATAATCAGAATGGTCATCTTCACAGTCGGGGCTTCTGTATGGGGAGTCATCGGTTTGGGATTAAAGGGATTTTTTGTTGAATAGGTGTCAGAACAACACGGTCACACTTAACTTTGTGTAGCCATGACATCCTATAATCCCAACAGAGCCAGTATCTTGCGGGTTGAGCTCTATTACTTCTCGCACGTAAGGTTGCGTTGTGGTTGTGATCTGGTGTAAAAAAAGTTGTTGACACAAGCCTTCTGGAACTTAGATAGATATGGATACGATTCCTTTCATGCTTAAAAGTCACGGATCACTGTAGGCCTGCTTGAAGATGCCTTGGTCTCTCAAATGAGGAAATCAGTGAGCTGCCTCACTTTGGACGGGTTGGGTTGCTCAAAATCAGGGTCACCGAAATATTGTTATGCAGAGACAAATGAACTTTCCATGAGGTATATAATTTCCATGTTATTATCTTAGTCGCACAGAACATCATTGAACGAGAATAGTACAAGGTGTTAGACATGACGGCCCTTCTGGACGGCCGTGGGCGAAATGCGGCATATCTCATGTGCTAGTAGCACGACTGTCCATGCTGCTCGGGCATCGCTTCCCGTGTTAGGTTGCCTGAAGAATCGCGAGCCTACCATTAGCTTACTTCATTTCGGATGGATATTGTACTCTTGTTGAAGAGGGAAGCGAACCATGTCGAGGTCATTTGTCGGACCAAGGGAACCGTCAAAACATTTGATGGCGATGCTTAGGACCACCACCACCGGCTTGAGCTCTGTCGCTTGAGGTCATCGAGCTTTGCAGAGAACTTCGACCGCTCTTGGTCGCTCAGTTTGGTTCCCACGGCATCCAGGACCTTCATGTGCTCCTTCTTCAGGTCCTCGAATCCGGCGTCCAGCTCTTTGTGCCACGGGTACAGCACGAAGACCTGGAAACACAGCGCGGAGCTGGCTACCACGAAGTTGGTCACGGAAATGGCCCGGGTGACAATCATGATGCCTGGATGTCTGGGTGACTGGAAAACCCGCGATGCTGACCGTTGGATGCCTGGTCGCGTGTTGGCTTGTGAAAACTGCCTCAAGGGCTCACTGCTTACTGCTCACTGACGTCAAGTCAATTTGGTGCGGGCCGCCGGGGACAGGTCACCCAGATAGAAGATAAACGGAATGAATTCGAATGTCAGCTGCACAGAGTAGGTGAAAGGGAGGACGGGAGGTGGGAAAACGAGATTAGGCGCAATTGAGGTTACATGGAGAAAATGCAATAGGAAAAAAAGAAGGTTTCACAGCAGAACTCGGTATTTTCTCCGGTACCGGAAAAGTCCGCGTTCTCACATGCCGCTCGGTCCGAGGACAGGAATTCAAAAAGTGGTCTGATCTTTCGAGTACTACGTGGTACGGAAGTTGTCACGGGTGGATCACTGGCGCTAGACCATTGGCCACGGTCTAGAATCATGTTGCATTCGGCTGTCAGTTGGAGGGGACACCCCTGCGTACAGCAAGCAGGTTGATCTGGCATCGGCTAGAGATTGATAAGAAACGTGAGAGAGTAGGACACTCTTAATTCTGGAAAATCGAGGTAGCCGACGATGGCCACGTGGTGCGCGACAGCGGATGCATGCCTTCGATTCTGAAAATAGATGAGGCTACCACGGTGGTGCCGAAAGTACACCCATCTCGCCCTATTGTGTGTCAGGGGTGTTGCTCGCAGATCTTACTCAAAAGCGGATGGGAATTATGATATAACGTAAAGGGTTTTTTTTCCTTATCACCTGACTGAACAAACGCTGCCAAGGGTAAAGTCGACCAGAAATGACAGGGCTGACCGTCTATTGCCTTGGGTTTCCACAGGAGGCCTCCTTCACAAACCGGTGCCTCTACCAGGAATAAAAAGTGTCGATCAACAACACCAGATCTTCAAAGTGTCATTAACAATTTACTGAATTATTGCATTAAAAGCTCATAGAGGTATTGCCTCAAATCAGCACACCTTAGCCGTTGCCAACATGTATGCTGTCTCCCAATACAATTGCCCCACGCTTGACGTAGATGTACCTCAGCAACCGGGAAAATGGAACCAAGTCCAGGCACGCAGCTTACAGGTTCCATATAGCGGGGGAAACCACCCCCAAACTGCGAGAACATCGGATCTCAGAACCTGCAGCGCAGGACGAAAATGGCTCGACACCGGGCAGAATATTGTCTTTCCGTTTACTGACCCTTTCCTAAGAGAACCAGATTGGCTATATTCATTCCTGCAATGATGACCCAGACTAACACCGCAAAGACAGCGGTATACCAAGAGTTGGCCATCTTCACACTTCCATCGCTGGCTCTCCCTGGCTCCGTGGACCCCGAGTTGCGCCGGACTGCGGTGTTCTCTCCGACAAGAGTGGTGTTGAACCCGGCGCCGCCAGCTTGAACTGTCATGTATTTTTTGCGACACGTGAAGTAAATCAAGGGAGCCGTGACAAATGGCAGGACGACGCTGAGGACGACCTGGGATGCATTCAGTGCCTGGCTCAAGCCAGTTCGGCCCACCGCTCCGGCGATGATGATGCTAGGCGTGATGCTGATGCTTCTCGTCACGAGTCGGCGAAGCCAGGGTCGCATTCTCCAATCCAAGGCTCCTTCGCTGACCATCTGTCCAGCAATAGTGCACACGACGCCGGCCGAGACGCCAGAGAGAAGCAATGCGAGAGCAAAGACTGTCCCGGCTGCTGGAGATATAGATTTAGAGAGCAGGCGGTGGATACTGAAGATATCGGCATCAGGTGCGTCAGGGTCATTGTACAACGAGGCTCCAGAGACGATAAGAATAGCCGAATTGACAAACAGCGCAAAAGTGAAGAGGGCGACGGCAAGCTCCGCTGTTGCGACCTTGATCGAGTATCTTATGGCTCTCAGGGACGGGGTATAAAAGCCCTTGTCGATGCCATCACTGATTGAAGACTCCTGTAACTGGGGAGGCAAAAGGCCATGCTTTTCGTCGTAGGCTCGGAGGCGAGGTTGGACGATTCCCGAGCCAAGGTATAGGCTGTGCGGCATGACTGTTGCGCCAAGAATGCCGCATGCTTGGTAGAGGCTTCATCTCGTCAGATACCACAAACTCAGAGTCTAAAAAAGTAAGAAGAACTCACCCTTTTTGCTCAATGATCGCACTAGATGGCAAATATCCTCTGAAGACATCTCCGACGTGCGTGCCCTTGATCAAGGATAATTGGAAGCAAAAGCAAACTACAACAGCGAGTACCAAACAGACAATAAAGAACTCAAAGACTCTTAGTCCTCTCATAGATCCGTGGGGCTGGTAGAAGAAGAGGATGATCATCACATCAAGAATCGAAAGGGCGCACCCGGCCACCAAGGGTATGGCGGGGGCAAGTAGATTCAGGCCTATAGCAAAGCCGATGACCTAAATGAATTGTAAGCGCTCGACGGTTCATTTTTTCAGGGCATGGCACAGCGCGACGAAGACGCGAGATCCTGGATGGACATACTTCTGCAATGTCTGTTGCGATGATGGCGATCTCTGCGAAGAAGTAGAGGACCAAGTTCAGCCACCGCGGGAGATACGCTCGACAGGACTCGGCGAGATTGAGACCAGTGACTGTGCCAAGTTTGATGCAAAGACTCTGAAGGAAGATAGCAAATAAATTGGCGAGAAGAACGACGAACAACAGCTTGAAGCGGTAGGTTGCTCCAGCGGCGACGTCGGTAGAGTAGTTCCCGGGATCGACTTCGCAAACAGTGCATTAGTTCGTCTGTGGGGTTGTGCCAAGGAATGAATGGCGGCTTACTGTATGCAACGGAGATCATGAACCCTGGCCCGATGAAAGAGCCAAACTTGAGGATTGCATTCTTCAAGCGTCGAATGGGATTTGAGCCATCTCCGCCGTCGTTGGAGGATCCACGGCGAGACGCATGAGATGGCGAGCGAAAGGGGAGAGGTGCGGTTGAGTTCAATGCCGCATCCTCTCCCGAGTGCTGGCCAACGGCGACTTCATTGGCCAGCGCGGGAGTCGTCCCTGCATGGCGGACGTCTGGATCCGAACTGGGCTTATCAGGCGCACTTGGAGGCGCATTACCAATTGACCGACTTTGACGGACTCTCTCCAATTCTCGGGCATTGGCGGCGCCATTGAGGTCCTCGTTGGCTGTCACGCCATTGGAGAGCGGGCTGGGGTTCTGGTTGTAGCCGTCTCCCTCGTACGGCTGCTCTATCCGCGACGTGCGATTCATGGCCCAAACGTCCAATTGAGGTGCACGGCACGTGAGACAACGGGAAGCAGCTCGAGCGACCTTGGAATGGGAAATATCTTTGACCGCTTCAACGGCTCACGGTTCAAATAAGCTGTCGGGTGGAACCTTGCACCACATCAGGTGATTTATGGAATGCTGCTCAGTCGGTAACAATCGCGAAGGTGCACCACGAGGGAAGAGAATTCGCCACTATATTGATACCGGGTAGAATGAAGTAGCCTACTTCCCTATGCTCTTTTTTTTTTTCTCAAAGGGGTTGGTTTCATGCTGCACAGTCGCTGCATCTGCGCCGTAACAACGTAGAATGCGAACTCATGTCAGCCGCTACTTGTGGATGATGTTGACTAGACATGCCGAACTTCCGGAAGAAATTGCAAGCGTCAAAGTCGCCATCGATTAGCGCCAAATTACCCCGGAATACGTTCATGTATGCATTCTTAATGGGTCCAGGTCGACGCCAAGCAAAATAAAACATGCAAAGAACAAAAATAATGTTTTGAGGCTATTGACAAATGACAAAAAGAAACTTTAGCCGACACAGGCCTGATTCGAACAGACGCCTCCGAGGAGATATGATTTCTAGTCATACGCATTAGACCACTCTGCCACTGTGCCTTAAGCTAGGCTTATTGTGAATGAGCGGCTCAAAACTAGGCATTATGATTCTTATCGGCAACATCATCTCTTCAAAAACGTGGCAATTGGTGAAGACTGTAGATTCCTTCAATTGTGGTAAAGTCTGAGACATGTAGAGTGCCATTTGGGGAATTCTTTAAGAGCTTATCGAACTGAAGAGAGCCCCACGGCACCGAGTTGCCCATTCGTCAAACGATGCTGAGATATATCGTCAAAATTCCCCAACAAAAGTTATAAGTGCACAAGCCTTTTCCAATTCAAAGCCCAGACATTGAAGCGTTTGCTTGAGAGAGGAATGACTTTTAAAAGTTTTCAGTTATGCAAAACAGACTGTGTACAGATTGTGTCCAGACTGTTCGGTCAAAGCTGTTGGTAACGACCCGAGCACTATGCTTTTGTGTGGACTACTACGAAAAGAAGCCAAAAGAGAATACAAATACAGTGACAATATCAACAGTGGTTTCAGCGGTACAAAATGGTATTTGTGAGGTTGTAGCTTGCAGTCGTGTTTGCGATAGAGCGGCAGAGCGCGATGTGCATGCGCACCGTTAAGTGCACGCCAACTACGGACAAATCACGGCCAACCGATCAGTGGCAATCAGGGACTGTCGGACAGGAAGATCCCGTATCTTATACGATGGGTTTTGTTTGGCTGCTGTGGCTAGTCACCGTGTAAGCGATATTTGGATGCATCGTTATTCACTGCAATCTCACGGTTGATAAGAGAAGAGTATTGCTATTCGAACGCGGAAACATTCCTATTCGTGCGCAATCATAACCTGTTTGTTTCACTAAAGCCGAAGCTAAACTAATGTACATCCCTTTAAGTGTAGCAAGCCTCCAGTTTGCACCTACTCCACAAAATCCCGACTGGGAGCCATTGACGCAGAGGAATCTGTGGCAAGAGCAGTCAAGGTGTGGTTCTGGGCTATTCGATGTAGATCTTCTTGGTACTAATAATCGATGGAACTTTTGCTGCTGCCTGTTGTAGGTGAGTACAAGAGTATGTCTCCTGTTTTCTTATCCAACTTCCGGGATATTCCTGCAGTGAACGTACTGGAGACTGACATATTTAAGGGATATGTGCAGTAGGAGGGCATATTGCTGGATGAAGTATACATCTCCCCTCTAGATTGAATAGAGAAAACGAATGGTTATTATTACATGGGATAAATACTAATCCATCCTTTAAACTTTATTTCCTAAACTGCTTTATTTTACTAGACGTTATAAGAGATACGTATCGGTACTGTGTAGGGTCGAGCATGTAGTTACAAATGCGAATAGTAATACTCTAGGGGAGTGTCTAAGAGCCTTACCTACTATAAAAACATATAAGCAGTACATTCTGGGTTATCTGCGTTCCCTAATGGTGAGTTCGATGCGGAATATCTGAACGAGACCAACCCCGTTGCCAAAGAAGACTCCAAGAACAATAACTCATCATCGCTAAAAAGGGCCTGAGCCCCGGGACTATGCTTAAATACATCCATAAAAGGGCTTGAGAGATGCCTGCAAAATACTTTGCGAGGAATTTATGATTCAACGTGCACAGAAATGATATCACGAGAAGAACCTTGTGCACAACATCAAGTGCCAACTCTATATAACGAAGTGCACAGTCTGTGGCCATGTTGCTTAGAACAAAGCAGATTGTGTAAAACTCACTTCAGAATACAATTGTGTGGCCAAGTCTACCAGGAGATTAGTTATGGTTCATTGGGGGACTGTACTGCGAGCGAAGAGGAAAAGGGAAAAATAAGCGTCGTTGCGCACCACAAAATTGAGATCCCCTGTCCGGCCCCTCAATCACCAGCAGTGGCAGGGGTGATGTACGGATTGTGGTCGCTCCCTCGGAACCGAGAGTGGAAACTGCCGGCAAAAGATCGCATCGATGGCGAGCAGCGGGAAATCGCCGGGATCCGATGAAGGGGTTCCATCGCTGCCCAAGAACCGAGACCGAGTACGCAAGGCATTCTCGAATCCTCTTTAAAATCCTATCCCGAGCGCCACCGGGGTCTTTCTTAGCGGCAATAAACCTGCATTACCATGGCACCGATGCATCCCGGCATTGGATTGGGAATACAAATGTGGCACGGATTGAACTTTTGGACCCTGAAGACAGGCGCCTGAGCTGAACAACGTGACCAAGGCAGTGTCAAAGTGACGTGAATGTCAATTCTTGACGCAGGATCCTTGTTGCGGTGCTTGCAGTTGCATGAGCACGCATGGAATCTTCTCGAGCTTGGACACAATTCGACAGAGTTCGAGATGGGGTAGTCGGATGACGTCAATGAGGCTTGTCAACTTGTCGATCATATTGACCCCACCTCAACCCACCCGGTCCGGGCGGGGACCCAGCTTGTCGGGTCCTACAGCAACGGCCGGAGCCAGCGCGGAGGACCCTCCAGAGATGGAGGAGTAAACCCTCCGCCATCAGCTAGGCGTATACTGGAGGACCCTGGAAATCATCCAGCTAGCCCGAAGCACCGGGTGAAAGCTGGGCCAGTGGACCCTCAATATCAGGCTGGATTATTGTTTCTCGCGGGTCCACCCCGGACAAGCCTCTCCGCCCCCGTTGAATGGTGCCTGGCATTGGAGCGGGACATTTCTCCCACACCGCTCGCGGACTTGCGGGTGCACAATGCGCTTGTAGGGTGCGTCCTGCCCCGCTGGTCCACACCTACCGTGTCCTCAAATGTTGTTTCGAGACACCCATGTTCAGATGCGTGCGTTGCGTCGAAGAGGGTCGAATATTGAGACCATTGAGAGAAGTGCGGAAAGCTCAGACTGAAGCAAGGATGGATTCAAGCCACAGCTTGCGCCGATCACTTCTCGGTCATCTTATATAATGGTTGAATCCTTCGGCATATGATGAATCACATTTTTAACAATTGCGCAGTGCCACATCTCCCCGTAATCAGTAAGGCTCACTGCAGTCAACGGCTCATTTACAAGGCCGTCATACTTGATTTCACATGCAACACGCCGAGAAGGAATACGCCTCACGGGAATCTTTCGGTGTGGATACACAGCATCGAATTCGATTGTGGGGGTCCTCGGTGGTCTTGAGAACCACTAGAACCATCCAGCCTTAGACGTAGTGGCTTCGTGGTGACAATTCAGAACTCTTTGTCTTACGACAGAACCCTTGAAAGCCAAGTCTGGAGGCGCCGTCAGCGCCACACCACGGCCCACCCACGTAGCTGTCAGGGCTAGTGGCCGCTAAACAAGGGCTGACACTTAACCTCCCTGGGGGAATGCGTATCAATCGGCGGTTTGCGAATGCCCTCCCGATCGTCAAGGAATTTTCTCAGCTGGCACAGACATCGCCATCGAAGGAATGTGGGGGCCCACTCGGGTCGAGACCGTCAGGGTTCAGCACCCGGTTGCATCTACCGGGAGTGAGGCACCTGAGGCTCCGCAAACTTTCGCTGGGGCCTGCTGCCAGTCACGTCGTCAGCGCTTAAGATGGTGAAGATTGTCCATTGAAATTGCAGAAGCTTGATTCAATCTCGAATGCGTATGCATCATCCTGGACGCACCTCGCAAACCGGACATCAAACAAGCATCCCGGTCCCGACGTTAGCTTCGGGTGATAAAGTGTAAGCTCCCAGTCCTGGCGATCAGTGGACAAGGAATTACAAAGATCGAGGGGTTCCAGATGATGCTGAGAACCTTGGCGGCAAATCGCTCCAGCCCCCCGGGTTGTTAGTATCCGGGCCGTTGCGCTCAACGAGTCCCCCAGAGACAGGCCGTCCAGTCTCCGTATTGAGGGACGTGTTTCGCTGCGCTAACGGCGCCCGTCTGAGGGGCCGTACGGACCAAGAAGGCAAACGAATGGAGAAAATCATGCACCTCTGCCAGCACTAGAGGTTAGATGGCGTATCATCACACCCCCTCCCCACTCACCGCACACCCTGACTCAGGCTCTCTCTCCTCGGTCGGTTCGAGGAGATTCCAAGAATCTCAAGTTGCCAACCCCCGATCAGCCATCGTATGCAAGCCGCTGCGGACAGCCCTAAGCGTGCGAGATGGGAGGGATCAAGCTGGACCCTCGGAATACTGAGAAAAGCGGATCCATTGGCATTCGCTTTCTTTTGTAAGCGCCGCAGTGCCGCCCCCGCCTATCAGGCGGGTCAAGGAGCAAAAGCTCCGGCTCATGGACTCCTGACCCGAATTAGATCAGACAGTGTTCGACCAGCATAGCTACCTGCGGACGCACAGGATTTTATTCTTTATTCAAAATGGCTCGCCGTCGCATGCCTTTGCTCCGCTGGTGTGGTGGTGTCATCCGCTGTCGCCATGTTTCTCTTTCGCCACGAGGCCGCCGCCTAGCTTGACATACTGGTATTGGGGGGGAAGTGTCCGCACGTCCTTGGCCTTGGACACGATTAAGCTCCAGCTGGGGCCCTTGTCTGAGGTGGCAACCCATCGGCCCTGTTGCCCATACAGGACATAGGACACAGACAGCGCCACAGCCTTTATATTAGCCATATCCGACCATCTCGACTTACAAGTTGCAACCACAGGCACAGCTAAAACCGTCGAGTGTGCCAGACCCTGGCTATTGATCTTTCTTTTTCTTCTTCTTCTTCTTCTTCTTCTTTTTTTCGGTCGGTTGGAGCGGGTCGCAATCGTTCATGTCGTTCGTGCAGGAATCAGTTCCTACATCAACCGTCACCAAGTCTCAGTCTGCAAGGGGCTTGTTGAAGAACACGCGAGCTCACGATAAATGTGCAAGCAGCATACGGCCGAATGCCAGGTCTGCAGGAAAGAATATCTCGTCTATGTTGAGTTCTGTCACGAGTTCCATCCTCCGCAGCTCGTTTGTCCACGGGGGATGCTGTTTGTTCGTGAGAGCATGCGGGAAGGACAATGCCCTAGTCCTGTCTGCCCCAACAGTTTGAGAGGAGGTTGTCGAGTCATGTAATATCATCCGAAGGACCGAAGGAAAACACACGACAAGAAGTCCCAAGGAGCGGCACGACCGAACCTCGATTCCCCGACATTCCTGTTTAGGCCTCAAAGTTTTCGCCCAGTCAACCCAACCTCGACAACTTGGTCGATGCCTTCATACTCGGGAACCTCGAAGTTGTACTTCTTAGCGATGGAAGGGGAAACGAAGCTATGTTAGGAGTTAGCCACAGTCGGCAGGAGAGGCCATCAGGGGTATGTACCGTCCACCGACAAAATGACGCCCCTTGAAGTGCTTTACCAACGGCTTAGGGGCCGTAAGGCTAACAAGTGCTGTAGGCATGAAGGAACTCCCGAGACCTGATTGTGGGGGACCATTTTCGATATCCCAGGACGAGGGCGCATCCACAGACATCACCGGCAGCTTTGTTTCCTGAAGAGCTCGGATCACGGCAGGGAACGGCTCGCGAACCTCACCCGAAAAGCTAAATCCTAGGCTGGGGTGTCAAAGTCTTGCCCTTCGAAGGGACCGATACACGAACCGAAAATGGCATCCACGATTTGATCTGTTGAGCTCATGGCTGACAAAAAATCTTCGACGAATGGAACGTCGAGGTCTTCCAATTGTTTTGCGAGGCGCTAAGCACACGATCAGCAGCCATTCTCTTTGGATAGATATGGGATACAGGGGAGGGGTTGTTGGATGAAGAGTGAAGGCAAGGCAGTAGGGTCCGGGAATGCCGCTTCTACCATCGACACCTCCGAGGGATAACAGGAACACACGACGAGAAACAAATCCCTAGAAACAATACATCCACTGGACTATCCGGAGCTCACGCGCAGTTTAGACTTCCAACGGTGCGGCCGAGCCCGGTCGTGTGAAGACGGTGAATGACACAAGAAAACGGGATAAGGCTTGCCTGGTAGAGGTCATTCCTGCTTCGCTTTGGGTAGAACACGGTTGGATGGTATCCATAGTGACGGAGGTGGCGAGCGGCCACCAGTCCATCACCTCCTATCGGAGATTTAGTGAGCAAAGGGTGTGAAGATACGCGGCATCCGTCTAGGCCCGCTGATCTTACCGTTGTTCCCTGGACCGCATGCGACGAGGACCCGTTGACCCTGGCTCGGGGGTTGAAAACGAAACACTAATTGCCCCGTTGATCAGTCGTGTCCCAAAATAACGCCCGTCCAGGGAGGTTGCCAAGGACGGACGTCAAATGTAAGTATGTGACTGACCTGCCTGTGAGACAGACAGACCCGCTAGTTCCATCAGCTGGTCAATGGAAAAGGCCCCGGAGCTCATGAGCTCTTGGTCTAGAGCGGCTGCTGCCTTAGCTCCAAGTGTCTAAACATGGGTGTCAGTCAGCTCGTGCAGAACATACGAGGAACGCGGAATCATTCGTGTAGTAGGTACTCCGTAGACGCATACCTTGATCGCCATCGTGAAATGACGCTTGAGGTTGTGCGAAAATCGTTAAAAATTGGTACCAATTTTCAGACGCAGGGCCGGTTATGTAAGTGATGATGCAAGTGATGCAGGAAGAAAGAAGAGTTGACGTCGTCGTTAGTTCGACGCCGTGAACTGATCTCCTCGGAGCACCGCAGCGCCTCCCGATTCATCCAGCGTTTGGGGGAAGGAGGGTGGCCCCATCCAAGCGCTGTTATTGGCTGGGGCGGCAAAACCCAAGCTCCGCTCCCGAGTTGAAATTATCCACCATCGCCATGCCACAGCTTCGACGGTGACCTTACCGCGGTCGTCAATTGCAAGAAATCGTCAATCTCTCGCCAATTGCCGCCATGGTCGTCAAGATCCGTCTCGCCCGCTTCGGGCGCCGCAACCATCCGTTCTACAATATTGTCGTCGCCCACGCCCGGTACACCCTCCCGCTTCGGCGACCGGGTCCACGAATGCTGACATCCCACGCAGGACGGCGCGCAACTCTCGACCCCTCGAGGTCATCGGCACATACGATCCCATCCCCAAGGCCGACCCGTACGACAACTCCGGCAAGCTCCACAAGGACATCCAGCTCGACCCGTTCCGAGCACGGTATTGGATCGGTGTGGGCGCTCAGCCGACCGACACGGCGTGGCGATTGCTCTCCATGGTGGGAATCGTGCCCAAGAAGGAGTTTGGCCCCAAGAAGGAACAGGGCACTAAGACCTTGACGACAAGCTTTGCGCAAGTGCGATAAACGGGACGGGACGGGCGATTGCTTGGAAGCCGCGAGGTGTATGATATGTACAAAAGCATTTCAAGGCGTTGACTTGGGTATGATGCATGCGAGGGTTTCGAGCGAAACCAGCAGCATATGATGGCCAGAAGATACCGGGCCCAAGATACTATTTGTGGTTGTTGACATCATGTCATGTGGAGGCACGCTCTTCAGCAACTGTACAATTCTGCTCTGGAGGCCAAGGTCCGGTTTGTCAAGAAACAGGGACTATATGAACGAGAATTGGATGTCATGATTAGACACTTATATTGAAACGTGTATCCAAGAACCAATGTCTAACTAAACGCCAACCCTATCTGGAAAAGCGACTACAAATTCGCTGTCAGGACTCCTCGTATGCCACCATGAACCATCTCGTAGCCAATATGCATATACTCTTCTCCGATGCGGCCGTCATGAAAAATGTAAGTCTAATGAGCGGCAGAGAAAAAAATATTGAGGACCAAGCACACGGCCATCACCACCATTCCATAAATCGCAAGCGCCAGTGATAGGCGTCGTAGATTAGCGTGGTGGATGTGCTCCAGGTCCCAGCGCCACTTCTTCCGCCATCGCCACGAGTTTGAAGTGTTGTGGGCGCTGAGGTTGCTGGCCATGCTAGCGATGCTTGCCATGCTAGCGGCACTGCGGATGCTTGTGGTGCTTTGAGCAAGAGCGGCGGACTCCTCAATATCAGACGAGGAATCCTCATCGATGTCATCATCCTCCTTAACTAAGCGCTGATGAAAGCTGCTGTCGGGGTCACTGATCTTGTAGTAGAAAAGTCCCGGAAGGATGAAACTAATCGATGTCGATCCAGTAGCGCCAACAAAGGCCAGCACACGAGCCAGGCTGGTTACCGATAAGGCGGTGAAATACGCCAGTATCAGAATAAAAGTGGTAATCACAGCAAAGCGAAGATCAGACATGGAACCCGCTGCGTGGTCACCTCGTGGTGCAGCAGCTGTATTCAAGAGTGGCGACGCTGTTCGTCCGATGGACGCCTGCGAGCGGTTAGGCCGCCACTTCATGACGGCGTCCAGAGAAGCACGACACGGGTGAACTTGTAGCGGCACCGAAAATGTGACCAGAACGACAATAGCCGCCTTGCCAATGGTCGATGCAACTCCAGTAGGGTCTGTAACACATTAGCATCGCTCGGGTAGCGAAGGAGAGACGACGTACACATTGAGACAATATTCCCAACGACGGCATTGCCGAATGTAATGTAACCTGTAATGGCTACCAAGGTATAAATGGAGGCAGCGGAACCAATGCTTATCCCTATGACACCAATAATGCTGGAGGGCGAGTTGTCCTTGAGTTCGTTCAAGATTGAGAACATCTGGGACAGTTTAGCTAGGGTCAATAAAGGGTATTTCAATAGAACTCACGTTTTGGTGGCAGGTATAAGCAAACACAACCACTGGCAGGGCGCTGAACATCTCAACTGCCCCTCCCCATTGAATGACTCGAATGCTGCGGGGGTCGGCATGCTTATCGGCTGCGAAATGATACACGACCAAGACAATCAGGTATCCAATTGAGACAAGAGCCACAAGACTGGTGTACTTGAGAGAATCAAGCCTTCGCAAGAAGCTCAGAGGAATAATGAGGAGCATGAATGCAGTAATCCAAAAGTTTCGGTCGACAAGAAACGGGATCTCGGCCGCTGCGCCTGCGAAACCAAGAACGACGCCTGGCATCAGATCGCCAATAATGATCATGTACGATACGCCCACGCCGAAGCATTTGATGGCAATTGCGGCATCGAATAGGACGGCCGCATTGGGGTACGTGATTTGCGAAAGGGCAAAGAAGGAGGCGGTTCCGCGGTCGAGATATCGGGCGCATCGCGACTGGAGATAGAGGCCAAAGGCGGAGGTGCACCCAGACCAGACGATCATCAGAACGCCGAGCATGATGCCCATATGGGACATGACCGAGGGCATGGCAAGCGTGCCAGCGCCAACAACTGTAGGGATCCGTCAGTAAGCCGCTGCCTTCGCGGGGGGGCGCATTTCGGGACGCACTCGTATTCAGCAGATTGACCACACTGCTCATGGTGGTGGCCTGGCCACCCTGGCCGCCATCCTTGTGTCCGCGGAGTCGAGTTCTACGAGGGAAATCGGGTCAGTATGGCGAGCGACAGCGCCGGGTGGCTCTGGCGACTGAAAGCCGGGTCTTACCTAGACATGACGCCGGCACTTCTCGTGTTAGAAGCGTTTCCATCAGATATGGCCGAGTAGGTCGTCATGGGGCGCCGACGTGCTCGTGGCAGCGAGGTCGCAGATTCGGCTTCGGCGGCGCACGAGACGCAATGCGCACTTCGTTATCAGTTGTGTGTACGTCTGCGTCGTGGGATGGCAGATGAGGCAGTCCGAAGAGTCGGGAGGAAGAGTCGGGAGGACGAGGCGTGGCGATTGATTGCGTCAACAGTCGTGGCTAATGTCGTGCTGTTTCCACCGCTCCAGTGCACCGTCCCGCGGCACCGAGGCCACAGAAATTCGGTCGTCGGGTCGCAAACGTGCGGTAAAGCGAGTCGCAGGCCGGTATGTCGCGAGGTTGTGGTGGTTGAGGGAGGATGAAGAAGGGCAACAGGTGCTGGTCAGGAGACGATGCTGCGCCTTGGCGGAATTCCCACGTCTGGGCCACGATCCTTTGGATTTGATGACCACTGACCAGCCAGCGACAGCGGTCTGCGGGGGCGCCGAGCACAAGCCGCCTGCCTCAGCACGCGCTGACACACTGGCTGCGCTAACACAACGGGATCGCCTCTTTCCGCGGGGCCAATCAGAGCCCTACCGCCGCTCGCAGCCTTGCTGGGGGAAGCCACAATCCCCATGGCTTCAGGGGGGACTCCAGTGGAACAGTGGCGGCTGGCTACAAGCGGCTAGGTACAACGCCCCTGGACACCAGTACAAGCACAAGCACAAGCACAACTGAGTGACGTTCACGTAAATTACCACAGGCGCATTCGCCAGGGATCAACTGCCTGGCTCATCTGCGACAGTACACCATGGCTCCACATGTCTCGCTCTCTTGTTCATGATATTGACAAACTTCCTGACCCCCCGCTCCTGCGCTTGCCGCCCGCCTCTCCCGCAACCTTGACCTCTTTGTCATCCTGTCTGTCAGTCTTTCGGTCTACCGGTCAATCTTTCGGTCTGCCGGTCAATCCCGCCATTCTGCATCAGCTTCCCTGCGACCTCGCTGCCACCGATTGCTTTGCCACCGACTGCGTTGTCACCGACTTCGCCCGCCATGGACCAGACCACCCTCTCCACCCTTGACCTGCTCGAGTCGCGCCTCATGCGCGTCGAGCATCTTCTCTACGGCCAGACCGTGTCGCCCTCCCTCGCCCAGGACTACTCCGCCGTCGAAAAGATTGGCGACCTCGAGAACCGCTTCTCCACCTTGATCTCCAAAATCCGTGTTTACGGCGAGATCCTCAAGATCTGTACGAAACCCTCAGCATCAATGCCCCTCGATCGTGTTCTCATACCCAATTTGTTGCAGATAAAACACACCCCGATTTCTTTCATGCCGCCGACCCCGCCGATCCTCCATCCGAGCTCTCCACCGATGCCATCCAATCCATCGTCCTCGCCTCTGCCTCATCATTTCCATCCACACTCTCCTCCTTGACTGCAATCAAGGACAGCCCGATCCCCGATCCAACCGAAAGCACCACCCTCATCGCATTAGGGGACCGCATGAAGGCCGTCCAGGCGACCCAAGTTGCCCAGGTAGCCGAGATGGCCGACTTACGAAGACGAAGCGAGAGAATCATCCGATCCTGGTACGAGAGTGGAGTTCTTGACAACTCAAGTGTCATGGCCGATCTAGAATCTCGGGTGGCAATCGCCGAGCGCCAGGTCAGGAGAGCAGAGAGAGAGCTAGAGGAGGAAGATGAGATATGAAACACTCAGCCCTAGCTCCGGTTGAATTAAGGTCTCCGGGGTAGCAGACATAACAAGGGGCAACCTCCCCATCGAGAGGGCGAGGGAAAACATGCACGCGGGCCGTGGTTCCTGGAAGCTTCGAATGGTGATCGTCATGAAGCCAAGATGACCCAATAGGATGGAGACCGCGGCCGTTATGAGCCAATCTCACAAAGCATGCAGAACCGCAAATCAACATGAAAGCGATTGTCGGAGAGAGACATGACGCATCCGGCAGTTTCATGCGTTGTTGTCCATGCGACAGAAGCTGAGACACATTCCAGGAGTAAACCAATATGTAGTTCCAGCAACACATATAAATGCTTATGGTACAATTAAATTACCTAATTAATTCAATCCCTCCTCATTCAACCAACCTTGAATTCATGTATATTCGTACTTCACGTTTCGATATTGCTTCTCTACCGAGCAGCCGACTCATCATGAACGCATGTGACAATGGACGAATCAGAGAGAGCACGCATGTGACAATCTCCAAGGTTGAGATCAATGAGCCTCTATGAGGAGTGTTATCGGACCCGGAACGCAACAACTCATCCCCGAGTAGCTCAGCTGGAAGAGCGTTCGGCTGTAATTGCCCCTTCGTTACCGAAAGGTCACCTGTTCGAGCCAGGTCTCGGGGAACCTGATTTTTTTGCCATTTCAACAGATCAACTTCCAAGGTCTTGTTGATTTGACTATTTTTTTTTTTTCCTCCTCTTCTTCTTACTTGGTTCAATTTGGTATGGTGGATCGGTGCGGCATACGAAGTTGTCGGGATATCCTGCGCATCGTATCTCCAGATCGTCTGACAAATGGAATACACACAAGGTCAGAGTAATGACACAGATAGAGTTGGGGATAAACACGGTTCAACGACTCAAAGGGAAAATGCTATGGTATGAAAGTTGTCACAGCATCGGCATGCAGTGGTAGTGTTTGTACAAATGGCAAGCTTACACTGACGCAAAATTCACCTCAATCAACAACCACTGGACGAATGGGTCAAGAGTGAACCAACAAACTTAGAGGACGGGGCCCAAGAAATCAAGCAAGCTGACGTCTCAGAATTGGAACCAATTAATTCGTAACGGAAGTAAAATCACCCAACACCACTCAAGAGCCAGTGATCACAAAATTGAGAGACATCATCCAACAATGGGACTTCCAGTATCATCAATCGCGGCCATTGTATGAAACAATTGCGGGGAATCGCTCCATTCGGTGGGAAATTCATGTGTAAGGCATCCTCAAGAGCAGAGGTGATGGATAGTCAATTGTGGGATGTGTGCTATCGGCTGTTTTGGTCGTCAATAGCAGCAATGCCACTAGCTCAACGTTCGAGTATCTACGCCGCTCATGAGATACATTTCGCCGCCAGCACTGTCTCAAAATCTTTGTATGTAGCGCCTTCAGCAATAACAGTTAGTCCCCCGTCGGCACGCATGGTTCTATGCCTCCCCTAAACTCGAGATCTTACACATGACCTGGCTGCTACTGTAACACTATGCTGAGATCGCGAATGATCAGTTGACAATGTTGGGTCTTGGGATTCACGATGACCATCTCTTAGTTTCTATTCCTTAGAGTGCCAAATTTTTACACGGACTCCTTGGGTTTCATTTCTTATACTCTAAAAAGCATTCGACATTTCGCTCGAGCGGGACACGCCTCTGCTCCACGTGTGTCGGGACTCCTAAAATATCGCGTAAAGTTCTTGAGCTAGAAATTGCTTTCGAGGTTACTTGGTGGCAGAATTTCTAGTTTAAATCAGCTAGGACCTCAGCCCTATCATTGCTTTCTGTCGCAGAGCGCGAGATCTAACTACAGTATTGGTCTACTGTTGGTCCCTGTAACAGCTCATCGGTCTTGTGTTTAACAGTGAAGGAAATTCTGCAAGTCATATAAAGCGTTCTCAGCATACAAAATAAATAGATTTGAGGTTCTTTGGTCTTGTACACACTCGATAACCCTCAATGGCTGCATAAACTAGATCAGCCATGTCTAGCTTACGCGGCGATGTTGTACCGAGTAGCCGCTGCTCGTGATGGAGAGTTCCATTTGAAGAGAAAAATACGGCACCCAAATCTCGACACGGCCCTTAACAGGTTGCATCCAAGCCTTAAATCCAATGCTACTTTGGTCCTTTTGGTGGAGGTGCTCAGGGATAGGTCTTGTGCCGCTGTTGTCGAAGAATGAATGTCACTCCCGTGTGGGAAGTTAAGCTACAACGCACTACGGTCTGATCCCTGTTCGTGAAGAATACTCGAAGGGCTTGTATATTTTAACAGTTCTTATACGAAGATAACTCCTTAGAGCTTAGCTTGGCCTCAACCCGAAAGTCCGTAACCAGCTTCAGAAAGGTCATTTCAACAACTTACGACATCACCAGCCACAGTAACCCTCAATTGGTACTAGAAGACTATTTCAAATTAAAACTCATTATTCACATAACTCATCTGATGCGACGAATGACACTTCTTGCCAATATTGATCAGTATCTGTGGTGACGTTGTTCACTTGTTCACGCTTTTATAAACTACCTATGAAAGGCACCTCCCATTAGAATGAGACTATCACTATAGTCACCAAAACTAATAAATACCAGTTAAGTGTCGTTATTTCTGGTATGTGAAACCAATGTGAAGGTAAATGGTAGTCAATCCTGCGCAAGTGCAGGGTAGTCGCAAGACAGATCCATCAATTGGACAGTATCACTTCGTCTAAGTGAGCTGACCGTGATGATCCACCAACTCTCAGAAAACTCACTGCGGTCGCGTGCCTATGAGTCCATATTTACGAGTGATTTGTTTCAGGCATACCACGATTGGCCGACCATGTGGCAGTCGACTATTCCATGACAGCCAGGAACAGCGTTCATGTCTCTTGCCCCACCTCCGAAGAAGGGTCTTCTTGTGTTGACGATCTCAACTCACGGCATGACAGGGAACCAGCCTGTAAAATATTTTCATCCGCCTTTTCTCTCCCTCACTTGTGACAATGGGACGAGTGAGCGGCGGTCGAGACACACCAACCGTAAATGAATACCGAAACATCACCGTGCGTTTAGGCGCTTCTCGGGACACAAAACATGGACATGGCAGCGGAGGATGAACAGGGCGAGGCTAGTCACGCGAGCAATTACCGTATTTCCGAGGAGAGGCACTATCTAAACCGGGACATGCTGGACAGGATGTCACCGAATGGAGTCTGTCGTCTCGAAGATGGAGTCTGCCATCGCACAAGATGGGGCTTCTCCTCCACGATGGGGCTCGTTCAATGGTTGTGCACGAGGTACTCGGGGGTACATGGCATTGTGTCATGCAGAATCTTCCATGGAAGAAATGAAGTGGGTTCAGGACCCTGGATTGCGTGGTCCGTGAGTGCTAGACGATGTTTTCTCGCACCATGAGGCTGAAAGAAGAAGCGTGTTCGTCTGGTCCGTGAGCTGTGGGTATGGTTTAGTTCAAAAATGGTTATTCGTTTGCGATTGAGTGGCAGAAAGGTATTCACCTTCACCACGGCGAGTCTCCACCGTGAACTCGCCCAGGAAAATAGATTCGCCGCACAGGCCATTCGCTAGTAACGGGCGACAAGAGGAGCCTTCTATCCCGAACCAATGCTTCTATTCTCGTCAGCAAATTGCAACCGCAAATCATCAGACCATCGGCCGAAAGTCGCCCAAAGCAGAACCGTCACTCCGCCCGCCAATTCTCCACTTTGCACAATCTTCTCTCGTCTCGGCGGTGGGCTTGGCGACAACCTCACCCATCCATCGTCAATCTCAATTCGCAGCCTCGTCTGACCCCGAAACGGCGCAATCCACCGGCGCAGTCCATCGCTCAAACCCACCTCCGGCCGACTGACCACGACCACCGACACGAACGACCGGCAAGCCCGCAACTCCGGACTAACCGATCAATTGACCCGCCGCAAGGATGGGCTTCCAGAGCAAGCGCTTCCGCAGCGCGGCTGAGATGAACTCCATCGGCATGCGGTATCGTCGCGTCATGAACAGGCATCCCTTCCTCATGTTCGGGCTGCCCTTCATGGCCGTCATTGTCGCAGGCTCCTTCGTTCTAACGCCCGCCACCGCCGTCCGATACGAGCGCTATGATCGCAAGGTCCGCCAGATGACCAAGGAAGAGGAGCTCAACGTCCGCCGATCCGCGAGGAAGGTGGACATGAAGGAGGAGTACTACGTGCGTCATCTCCATCATCTCCATCATCTCCGTCACCATCATGCCTATTGCGAACCCTTCGCTCTCCGCCACGTCTCGGAGGATAAGGGACATGCATGGTTGACTGGACTATGTGGCTAACTTGGCATACAGAGACTGGCTGGTAAAGATCTAGAGGACTGGGAACAGAAGCGCGTGGAACGTCTCCCTGGCGAGAATGATGGCACTTTGTGATCTGGCCACCCTTGCTTACAGCGCGCCTCAAACATGGAATACGTCAAAGACGTCATTCCCATTCGCTGATCCCGCGCAGCCAACGCAACAATCAACGTAGTTACTATGCAGCATTGGGAAACAAAACGTCACAGGGGTATGTATGATCTACGATCTTGGAGCCTGGCAATGACAGGTCGAATGGGTTTTTCTTTTTATCGGTGCACTCGGCGCAATCAGTGCATATTCCCCAGCGGATTCGCAGGGCGTGATGCTGGACAACGTAATGTACATGGTTGGAAACGCACATACTGTATAAGTTATGCGGATGCATGTTTCGTAGTTGGTAGGTCAATGACGAAATAGACGGGATGAATGAACGAAGCGCCCGATGACCAGGCGGCTTTCTCAATGTTTAACCCAGCAGCCGCGACCACGGTGTTTCAAGTTGATGGAGATGAGCAAGATCATCTATCAACTCTGGGTCCTGTCAGCATTCGCCGGCTTCACGCACTCCCGTGATCATACACATCCGAACTCCGGATTACGGGTGCCCCGGACGGACGGGATAGTTAAATCACCGTATCATCATCACCTGTCACTTCTCATGCGAGGGAGAGTCACGATGACAACCCCCTGCAACGATCTAACTCGGTACTGCTGTGGGAGGATAGCCTCGGTCGATAAGCAGCTGGACAGGGGCAGTTCGGAATTTGTAATTAGGAGGGAGGAAGCGAATCGAGAATCAATCGAGTTGTTGGCTTGGCAGTGACATGTTTGTGACTGTGACGACGGCCGGGCGGGGCCTGGTGAGGGGAATCACTTAGTAGTCCGGTACAAAGGCTGACGACGAAGTTAATACCGGTGTTCTCCGTAAAGTGGGTGTAGATCTCTGGTCTCGAGACCTCTTTAGCCCGAGGGTCAACGGAATAGTGCGAGGCCTTGAGACGCCATACCGGCCGCTATTGAACGGGAGCCCTTGCACCCCTTGAAAGACGGCCTGCGAGAGGCTAACTGCGCCCCGCCTCAATCCGTCTCGTGTGGCGGCCAGTAGACTGCGGATACGATGGGACGCCACGCGCCAAAGGACTCCGGTCCAGAGTACAAGTACTGCGTGGTAAGACATTCGTGTAGTGCTGGTGATTGGACGAGATGCGATGCAAGAGAGTTTGACTTGCAGCGCTATCAATGAGGGGCGATCCGGATCAGGTTTGTGTCAATGACGATTGCTCGATACTTGGCATGAGGGGCGATGTACGGGGTATTAAGTGGAAGTGAAAAACAGGTCCTCTTTTCAATTCAAGGAGGTGATCATCTTCGATTGCCCGCGACATTGAGATGTGTAGGCAAGATGTGCGGTCGTGAGGCGGTCAAGGTGTTTCATGTGCAGAGATGATGAGCGCGGCGTGGGTTGAAGATGAGGGGGATTCACAGGGGCTGCCCAATGAGAGATGACGGGTGAGCAGGTGGCTGAAGAGACAAGCCTAGAGAGCATCGGTGAGCTGGAGTCATTTGTGGATTTTTAGGCGGCGATCATGACTATCAGACAGAACTTAGTGCAATAGGCTTGTCTGTATGTCTCGGTGCAGCGTGTGACGATAGTCCATCACTCCGCTGTGTGGGAGGTGCGGAAAACTTTGGCCGAAGAGGGGACTGGTGGCCAGGAGGGAGTACACAGGGGTATAGGGTAATACTGGCAGTTGGAATTACAATTACAATTATATGGCGAAAGGTAAAATAAAACATGGCAAAAAAGTTGTTGTAGTATATAGAATTGGGTGACATGTAGAGTAAAGTACTGTATGTACTTAGTATCTGCTCCATATCTCGTAAAGGGGATCCGGCAAAGGACCGAACACTCTCAAAGAGCAAAAGTCAAACCACGAACCTATACACACGATTCAAATTCGATACGAAGCGAGGGCGTCGTGGACCGGCGACTAACAGCCAATGAAAAGCAAAGCATACTCGAGATTAAGTTGACTTACTTGCGGCCACGCAAGCCTTTGCCCAGACTCGGCCATGGAGTGAAAGGTTGTTGTCGCTAGCTACGCCTTCGCCGTGACTGGCTGCAAACTCTCAGCGTCGGCGATGCTGAAAGACGACTGGCCGGAGATGCGGGCCTTGACTGTCGGGTCCGACATGGTATCTCGGGATGGGATGGGGGCTCAGCTCAGCTGGGAAGGGTTGCAGGTGGAGGCTGGAGACAGTGGAGGACTTGGGAGGCAGCTTGCATGGGTCTTCACTTTCGGGGTTGAAAATTAGTAAACAATTTCGTCGATCATCCCCGGATGTAACGCAAAAAGCATGTCATCCTCTCCAAAAAAGACCCTTCAGTCAATCAGAGCGGCCAATTCACCCTTCTTCTCGCTACCGTGAAGCAACCCCCTGCCAGCCCTTCGGAGACAGCGTCGCAGCGGCCGTCCATCTGTCCCAGCTGGATGGGTTTGGGCTGGCTGATGGCCGGGGCCGGCTCTGGCAGCCTGGGATGTTTTTCTTTTGCGCAGGCCCAGGCCGGTGGAGGCCCTGGGCCATGCAGGCTGCAGCTGCTAGATGAGATTGGAGATGTGCGATGGAGATGAGATTGAGCTGGAAAAACAAAGGCGGGCGATGCGAAGAAGCAAAGCCACCACCACACCGATTCCCAACGAGCCGGCAAATCTCGATTGTGATGCTCCACACTCAGCACGACAGCGACGACGAGGACCCAACCAAGAGCCTTGTCGAGTCGAGTATCAGCCGTCCTGGACAATGAATGGCTACTGGCTCGTTGTTCGGCTAGCTGGGGAGCTGGACGGACGACGCCACGCCCGTAGTGCTGGGGCCAACGAGAGCCAACAGATGCCAAATGTGCTAGGGATGGCCGGTTGGTGATGGATACCGGCAGTACATGATTGCATGCATGAAAGCTGCTCGTGCATGTGCTACTTGATTTGAAAGCTCGAAGCGTGCATTACGCTTGCGGCGACATCTGAGGGGCATAGGGGCTTCAATCTCCGGTGACAGCCCGTCTTCACGATCGTTCACGAGCCTTCACGGGATGGGGAATTCTGCCAAGGCCCCCGCAGAGACAACCACTGCCGGGTGCAGACGGAGCACGGACGAAGTGAGGAACGGACTGGCAAGCTATGGGACGGGGCGGGACGAAAGCGTGCGCGCTATCAATCTGGCGGTGAAAGTCTTCGCAAGAACGGGCAAGACACTCAGAAGGGGGGCATCGGAATCTTGCGAAGCTTGGCCAGGCTTGGGCTTGCGGGAACACTCCACCTTTGGAATCCTTTAGCGAGAGTCAAGAGCGTGGCGTGCCTGACTTACGTTTTGACCCCGCGGATAGCGTGACGACCGGGCGAGTGATTAACGCGTCGCTGAGGAATGTCGAGATTGAACTGAGACGGATGGGTGGAGGAGGCCAGCATGCAAAAGGCGATGATCGACGGCATTGAGAAAAGAAACAGTCGAAGAGTCAGAGTGAACGAGGCGGCGAGACAGGACTGTGCTGAGGCAGAGGCTAGATGGACCGTCGACAGGAAGTAGAGACATTCACACGAGTAGAGACACAGCAACGGAGACATGGAATTGCGGTGAGGACGACATGTGAGGCGCTCACGGGACGTTTAGATTGCGGAACGTTCTCCCCTTGAGTCAAGAGGCTTGCGCGGACTGAATGTCTGTCTGTCCATTGCGTTTGAGGAGCAATCCCGCGCAGCCTGAGTGGTTGCCGGCGGAATTTAGCATGCCATGGCGAGGGGGCAGAGGCTGAGAGGTGCATCGGTGGCATGGGGTAGTCTATGCATCCTGCAGGTGAGATTGACATCCTAGGAGGGGGAGGGGCTCGCTCGCTCGCTTCATGTGCGTGATGGACGATGGGCTGCAGGTACAAGGCACCGCACGCAACTAAACCCAGCGATGGGCCCGATGGCAGCCTTTCAGCTGCATCGTCGCCTGCTAATCTGGCATCCTACGCTCTCGCTGGTCAGGCACAGCGTTCCCACTCGGCAGTCTAGCATACCTTGGTGCTAGCCTCGTGCTCCTCGTGCTGGAAGCGGCGTAGCAAGCACCTCGAGCTGCAAGGGAGACAACCCGACAAAGAGCCAAAGGCCACCTAGAGAACGCCACGCCGATGCCCCAGGTCACTGTGCCCCTCTCTCACCCAGCGCCCTCCCTCGCTCACCGATTTTACAGAATGAGGCGCATGTGTAAGTAAGCCGGTACATGGGAGGCACATTCTCGCCGAGTAGTCACCCACACGCTCACACGGCAAACGGCATCACGAGGCTACACTGCCCCCACTCGCACTTTACGGCAGGGCTTGGCGGCCGCGCACCGGTGCCTCGTCCGTCCGGCGCCGGGCCTCGCTGGCTCTTCGTCCTCGTGGGATTCTGCTGCAAGGGAGATCGCCCCGAGGGATTAGTCTGTGAGATAGAGAGCGGCGGGAACGAGGAACCTGCCGCGCGACGGGGCGGTGAGGGCAATGAGGAAATTGGAGGTAACTTGGTGATGGGACGGTGCGGTACGGGCAGCAATCGTCGTCTGATGCGGCAATAGATCGAAGCCCGAGCCGAGCCAGCGAACAAAGGGAGCCTTGGGCCGGCTGGGGCGTCGGAGCTGCGGTAATCCGGACGTTGAGGCTGAGGGAGGGAGGGAGGATCAATCAATGGATAATTTTGTGGTGACGTCGAGGCCCAGTTTGGGCCCTGGACTAGGGCCTTTGACCGGGGCCTGGCTCAGGAACAGGCACAGAAACAGGCACAGGCAACAGGAACAGGAAACACGCAGGCTCGAGCCAGGACCACCCGTTGCCAAATCCAGGTCCCAGCTGTCATCTGATACACCTTACAGGTGCTGCCACTCAGATGAGGGCTGCGTTTCGTTTCGTATCTAGTTAGGCCTAGATCTTGGCCTCTCTCGCGATGTATGCCTTTTTCCTCACGTTGAGACTCGGACTCGAGGTTCGAGGCTCTTACCTGCATCACACGGTGCTCTCAGCTCCAAGGACTATTGTGCCAGTCAAGACACTGGCGAGGACGCATGCCCAATCAACCGAAACAAGGCCCAGATCTAGAATTGATAATGCCCGCAAAAGGAAAAAAAAAATTGACATGGTCCATCCTGCCGCAGATGGGACATGCATGCACTCAAGCTCGCGCTCGCGCTCAACCTGCCTACGCTCTCACGAGTTCACGCTTTTCGCGTCGCAGGACAAGACAGTGTTGGTTGTCAGGCGAGACACCTGCACTCGCAGTCACAAACACGCAGCACGCCAGCGTCAAGAAAGCGTTCTGGGCCCGAATCTCCAGGGCTGACCCCTCACAGGTTTGCTTTTTTCTTGCAAGTTGTGCTCGCGCAGGCTAGGAGCTAAGAGGTTTCCTTTGTCCTACACTTCAGCCTGCCAGGCCGCGCCGCACATCGGTCCCACCGTGCAGGCACCCCGGTCTCCATCTGCCAGCGTGGACTGTGGGCGTGACTACCCCCCCCGGACGCAGGGATGTGGCATGTCGATGTAATTGAATTGGATGACTGAAAAGAAAGAAGAGTCAATAGATGGCTGGCTGGGCCGGCTGGCAGCATGGGAGATGGCCAGGCAGGAAGGGCTGGTTGCTGGGGAATGCGCAAGGCAATAAATTGGAATATTGGCAAATTAATTACGGACGAGGCATCGTCCGGGCGTAACTCGACCTGTTCGCGGCGAACGCGGGAAGAAGGGCGCCCACAACCCCAACCGGTACGAGGCCGCACGCAGACGGGCTTGCTTCACTGCTGCGCTTACGCCTCACCTCAGCAAGGCCGGGCCGGGCCAAAAAATCCGCAACATCGTTTTTTTGGTGGCGTCTTGCGGTCTGCGGTTTGGAGTGGTGGTAGCGCGCACGGGAGCCCAGGCACGAGAGACAAAGGAAGTCGGTGAAGGGCCATGGGGAAGCCCGGAAGCGGAAAGACAGGAACGGGGTAACTCAAGCCGCGAGACACACGCGGGCGGGCGGGCGCAAGCTCAGGAACGGAGCACGAAACAACCACGGGCGAGGAGAAGATGAGCAGGAAGTCTGAGGCCCGCCTTGTTCTGCGGCAATCTGAACTCTCGACAAGCAAAGGCATGTCTTGGTGATAGTTTGGCGGGTACGCAGAGAGCCGGGTGGAGTTTCGGAGCCAAAAAGCAAGCGAGCGAAGCGCAAATGCGAAAAACCTACGACGCAGCCGGAGCGAGAGAAGGGCAACGAGGTTACAGCGAACGAACCGGTACCCAGAGGTACCTCAGCCTCTCGTCCCGTCTCTGTGAGAGCAGCGAGCCAAGCCCATGCCAAGCCCCCAAGGGTGTGGATCGGGGGGGAGTGGGGAGGAGCAAGAGGCCCTTCAGTGAAGTCCGTCGGCCTGTGGATGGCGCTGCGAGTCCGTCCGGAGCAGGAGAGGAGGGTTGCAGAGGGCGTGGTAGCGTGGACGTGTGGGCGGCGAGACGGCGAGATTCCAGAGGATGATGATGCCGATGATGACTTGGCAGCTGGGATATGGCGGGCCGGGCAATCAAGGCCGAGATGGTATACACGGCAACCCGATCAAATGTTGGGCCGTCAACACGTTTCTCTTTTCTTTTTCGGCCATCTCATCTTCCTTTCTGCTGCTTCCGGTGCACGCCAGGTCGGCCAGTTCCCAGGCCCCCCGTTCCCAGGCGGACAGGGATCGCCCTGTGCGTGATGCCGCTGATGCGAGCCACTCTGTGTGGGTGGGGCTACGAAGTCATCGCAGGACCGGGGGTGTCTTAGCATGGGACCGGGGGCTTGCACTTACAGTCTTGCACCCACACCGATACATGCCTGAGCCTTGGGTGCGCCCCATGCCAGTGCCCAGTGCCTTGCCTAAGTAGGTACCACTGCTGCCCCCCTGTCCTGTCCCCGTCCGACCTTACGTAGGAGTGGAGAGTACGTAGCCTTGCTCCCGGCTCTGACGGCCGGTGACGTCCACTTTCGCCTTCGCCTCTCATCGCCCACGTCTTTTATTTATAGAGTTGGGACGCCCCCCGATGCCTGGGCTAGTCTGTCCTGTCAAACTCGACGACTGTTGCCTCAGTGAGCATCACCGGTTGATTCATCACTCTTACTCTAATACTCGGCCTTCGTCTTTATTACTGCCTCTCGCTTACACGCACTCACACTCGAGAGTACTACCGAACCAGATTACTACCACTCCTCGGTCCTGACAACCTCGACTACACTACACCACATCCACCCCACCAATCGATACATACAACATCCACCACAATGCATGTTCTTGGCCACGGCTTCGGCCAACGACGCAAGTCCTCCAACCGCCGCCCACGCGATCTTCACATCCGCAAGATCTCCTTCTCCGGCTCCTCGCTCTCCTCCGGCTGCTCTCTCTCATCATCAACCTCGTCTACTCCCGTCGCCACTCCCACAGCTCGTACTCCCACTACCGCCCGCCCCGACATCGACCCTCTGAACCTCAACCCGACCTTCCACGCCCCGCCTCGGCTCTTCGAGCGGGCCTTTAAGGACACCACCGCCGTGCCCGTCTTCTGTGACGAGGCGCAGGAGGAGGAGCATGTCGAGAACTTCATGGTGGAGCACGATGTTGAGCAAACACCTACCGAGATGGCTCTGCCGCCTCATGTGAGCCCCGAGGACGTCGGCCATGACAGGCAAGAATCTCGAGACTATTTCTTCGCCGCCCTGGCCAAGCGTCCTCCCATGCCCAAGTCTCGCTGGTCAGAGTCCACCGTCCAGACCCTCGACTTCGAGGTGACACAGGACGAGGATGACTCTTCCGACGACGAAGAGACCGCCACCTTCGACGACTCTGACGACGAATCCGTACTCGAGATGCGTCGTCTATCCCGCCGCATCTCCCGCCGCAGCTCCGACCGCGCTGCCGCCCTCCAGACTCTCAGCCTCAACCTCACTTACAACCACCCCGCCGCCCCCAAGAGACCACCCATGCGATCTCTCGACACCGTCGACAACTTTATCCGCCGCGGCGGCTGGAAGCGACGTGGCATCGTCTTCCACTCCGAGGAGATGGACGGTTCCAACCGCTGCGCTGAGCGAGCGAGCTGTTAACAGCCGCTACCCCTTCACTACCACTACCTCTCTACTACTTTTTTTTATTCCATGCCTCATGATTTCTTCGATACCCCTACACCCTTTACTACATTTCACGTCTTTCGTTGACTACATTGAACTTTTACACTTGGGAGCATGTCATTTTGGGCTTGGCTGGTTGGATTGGATTCATCACTGCGATATTCCCCCCCAGTGACGGGATTGACTTTTTTCTTTACTATGGCTTGGAGTTTATGGACCTATCTGGCTTCGCGCCTGGCGATCGGAATTTGATAAAAAGCGGATGGAATCTGGGACACGCTTTATGGGATCCACGTACGGGATTGTACTACTTTACCTCCTATCTATTACACCTCTCTGCCTATTACGGCATTCTCTTCCTTATTAGCATCAGGCTTCATGCCACAACAAAGCAAACCAATACCAATATTTGCCTATCTATCTCCACAAATCTGCAGCCTCATCCTCCTTCACCCAACCTCCCTTGGCAAGCCCACTATTGGCCTCCACTTCATTTCACGACTGCTGCATGTCAACCGTGAAATTACCCCATATCACAACGACATGCGAAAATACAAAGCAACGTCAAAATAGGTTTCTCTAATCTTTCGTGCCCTGCCAAACCGTCTCCACCCGGGCTTGTCCGAACCGTGCACTCTTGACCTCATCAACCAGCCCAACAATGCTCCGAGCCCTGAACCCTGAACGGCCCCCAGGAACTAATTAACCCACAGCCCCAAGCTCCCGAGCTAGAAAAAAATAGAAGCCCAAGGGCGCAAGCCCCAGGCATAACACGGAGCATGCAGTACGACGTTCCAAAACAACAACAAGACTGATGATAGCCTCATCAGTGCCCGCCGCACAGACCGGCACTTTTTCGTCTTCATCTCTGCGCACCGACGCCACGTCAATGGCAGTGCCGCTGACACATGGTTTCGTCCGTGTCCCAGGTGGCCGGCATGGCATATTGAGAACGGGATATTACTTGAGAAAGTTTGTCTTGAAACTACGTCAGGCACGGAGCACACTGTGAACGGGCGTGGCACGCAAACACCAAGACTGTCTACCAACGAGATTATGCCCCAACTCTCTCGCGTGACGGTCCCCGCGCGTGACAAGACAAGTTCCCCATGTCAGACAAGCGAACGCGAGAACTGCCCCTTGCACCCGCCGATCCACGTGCAGCGCTCATCTGGGGAGCAAACAGGAAACCGAGGGGCGCAGCGGCCAGGGGGAGGCGAAATAGACCAGGAATGACCTCACGCGGTGGAATGTGGCAACCGTTGAGATCCAGGGGCGAGGACGGGTGAGGACAGGTAAGCTATCTCGTGCCGTGTTGTCTAGGATTTGACATTTGACTCTTGAGTACGGAGTCGTTCGTAGTTCACAGTTTGGGTCATCAAAGTGAAATCTGTCACTCCCCCAGCCACTGGTTTCATGTCGTTGCCCGACGGAGATTTCAGACGGGACCTTCGGCCACGGGATTTATCGGTGGCCGACGCCGTTTGAGCTTCGTAAGCATGCCGAGTGATCATCGCCTCCGTCAACCAGCCAGCACGAACCTTCGTCTGGGGGTGTAAGGCTGGCCCCGGCATGGAAGTTCTGGGGATCTGATAAAATCCGAGCGAAGCAGGGGAGCACCGCCCCCCGCGGGCGTCGTATTTCGTTTCCTCCCCCGGTCTCCCAGGTCGCCGGGTCAAACTGAGGAGTCGTGGCCTTGGTGCGCCCGCAAGGGAAACTGTGTTCATTTTGAAGCACTGGTGCGGTGCGGTGTATTGCGCGTCGGACATCGTCTTGAGGTTTGAAATCACCGCCGCCGATCCAAAGTCAAATCGACATCCGTGGCTCCCGGCGATTCGGGCTCAGGCTCAAAGCCCTCACTGCATGGATGACGTCGATCCGCAAGTGCCGGTAGTATGGGGCCGCAGTGCGTTTCGGCCGCGGCTCCGCCCTTCCGCGGAGTCCGCAACAACTCTAAGCACACGGGTTGGAAGGTTCCGCCCGAAAGGTAGATTTACGAAATTCGCGATGGCATCCCGTAGAGTCGGGTTGATCCTGGCGGATTGATAATGCCGCGTAGGCCCTTGTGGTACATTGGGATACTTCTTCACACAAGAGGAGCTCTGAGCCATTGCGGTCGGATACTCTTTCTCTCATCTACGAGCTATTGTCTTTTTTAGCGCAGTCATAGCACGTCAGATTTTTCGTGTAAGTTCTTGATGATACCCAAAGGTCCCTCTCAAGACCATGCGTACCTCGGGTTGATGCAGTTCTACCTTTTTTGAGGGCCGTCTGGAACTAACCTGAAGGCATCTGGATGATGAATTCCTCCTCAAGCGAACCTTATTCCCCTACTTACTAAGTACCTAGCTAAGTGAGGTAGCTATTCGTCAAGGGGTCAGGTTGGCTTACCGAAGCAGATGATAGAGTAAGATGAGGCGCGTGTGGCTGGGTCAGGTATCAACAGCCACACCGACTTCAAGATGCCAGCCCTACACGAAGAGTTAGCTCGTGGTCCTTACGTTCTGAGCCACTCATCGACATTGTCAAGTGAGGCAGTTGACCTATGCACTTTGAGCTGAGCTGTCCTGCATTGTCTTTTTTCCCAACCTATCACCATCAGTTGTTGCTCACCTTGGGATGCACTCTCTCATGCATGTCCTTTCAATAAGAACCAATGAATCCAAGACTAGTTCAGCCATGCTGGCGAGCCCAGCCTGATCGCGAAATATTCTCGCACATAAAAGAGGGCAGGTGTTCCATGATGCCTCGAAAAGAACCAGACGTCTTTCTCCAGTTTCTCTTTGATTCAACGTCTGCTTCAGACCCGATCCAACACCATTTCATCGCCATGTCACTCGTGCCTTCTTCAATTCAGGTTCCGTGTCGAAGTGTCCAAGGGCCTAGCCCGACGACATGGGCAAAGTATCGAGAAACCATCACGCGACTTTACATCCGCGAGGACAAATCCTTGGCAGAGATCATGGATATCATGGCACGACATCATGGCCTTCATGCGACGTAAGCGAACCAAGCTACAGTAGAGTTTCACTTGAACTAACAAACACCAGTGAGAGAATGTACAAGTTCCGTATCAAATGCTGGAACTTAAACAAGAGTCTTCGTCCCGAAGAAGTTCTCGCCATGGCTCGCGTCAAATCTCGTCGCCAGGCAACTGGCGTCGGTGCCGACTTTTGGAGATATGGCCGGCCTGTTACAGCGGCGAAGCTTGAGCGATACCTCCGAGATCATCCGCACACGGCTACCCAGTTGAAGAAGCACGTCCCTGAAGATGTACTTCTAAAGGGACACATCGAGGCATTGTTGCCACCACATATCATCGTCTTGACACCTTCTCGACCCCTCAGACTCGATGATGATATTCACTCTTTGGAAGCCTTGATGGTGTCCCTCAATTACTACACGAAGGCGGAATTCTCGGTTCATGGGAACTCGGCTGCGGTGACTGGTGATGGTAGCTTTTGGTCCCGTATGGGGCTGTTGTCCTCTGGGGGTCTATGGAACGCAGTATCACTATTGGACAAGGAAGATGTTCCACCGAAACACTGGAGGGTAGCCAACTTCACGTTGCAAGTTGCATTTGACGAACTTCGGTCTGCAATCCACATTGGGCACCCCGGCTTACTGTGGGGTATAATCTACAGATATGCCGACTCTGATCGCTCCCGACCGGAAATCGCGACCTTGTGGCTTACTCTGGCACGAGATGTCTGCGCAGCTGTCAAGGGCTCCAGCCATCCACTCTCAAGGACTTTCTCCATGCTTCTCAACTGGAGAGGCAGTCCCATGCAGTCAAGGGCGATCCGAACCCTGTGTAGCGTCATAGGCAGCACTCTCTCAAAGTATTTCAGGCAAAATGGCTGTTGGGAAATGTATGTCAACTACTGCTCCTGGGATATCTTTGACGTTCTTGATCCCAAACTCGTATCATCTGGGGAGAGAAGAGCTTTCAATGAAGAATATTGGACAAAGCATATGGAGACCACGTCACAACCAGACGAGGCGATCAAAGCAGTCATCGCCCTTGTCCAATTTCAAAGCCACGAGGACTTGAAGGGTGTCCTAAGTTGGCTTGAGGAGCATCAGTGGCAAGCTACAACCTGGTGGACCGTCACTGAGAGATACTACATGGCCGCCGCATATCTAATAGCGGGGAAAGCAAATGTATCCTTTGATATTGTCCAATCAACGTTTGATTCGATAGTGGGGGATTGGCGATCTGGATTTTCCATCCACGACACGCTGGTTGATGTAAGGAATATAGAAAGCATTGTGGAAGAACTCCCAGAGGGAATGTATGGTCTTGACAGCTTGAAAAGCCGCGTGAGTATGGTTTTCGGTCAGATCATAGAGGAGCTGGACAGTGATCTGCCAGAGGTTCTGCTTTCCGAAATGGATTGGGAATGATGTTGGATTAGAGTCATCGATTACACGTGTATGGGGGTTCATTCAAATGAGAACACGGTTATGTCTCGGGCCCTATATCTCCCTACATAACCACATTAGAAACGGTACCAGAAGTTTATTTTCTTAGTGTACAAGTGTGTGTGGCACATATAGGAACGAGGCTATTCCAAAGCTCGAATTGATAGAAAGAAGTCAACGCCTGCCTATCCATATTCCTTTACTTGATGAACCCATATAGCATCATCATGATCCGTTATCCTTTATCACGCAATATATGTATACGAACTACCACATTCGTCGCTGGTAGTATGCTGGCTCCTCCAATTGTGCCGACCTCTGCAGGTCCTGCTTGATCATCTTTCGCCTCTGCGCCCTGCTGAGCGGCTTATCATTCTTGGCTTGGATGTCAGGGCGGCTCACAGGCACCATCTTTTCCGCCACCTTGGCTTTGAGCTGCTCCACAATATCGATGTTCTTCTGCTTCGCCTCCGGATTCACCTTGTGGTCCGCTACCTTGTCCGCCTTGATGTCAGGCTTCGTCTTCTTCACCTCGATCACCACGCCTTGCTCCTTGGCCTCTCTCTCAGCCTCGCTCTCTATTTGCACAATCGTTCCATCTTCGAGCTCTGTCGTCGTCGTGCGGAATCGTTCAGGGAGGTAAGCTTGGGATGATGGTTGTGATTCGCGGTGGGATCCTCGCGGGGGGCCTCGGGGCTGGATGGCGACGCGCAGCTCACGGAGCGTACGCTGTTGTATCATGTAACCACTGAAGAAGAGGGCAAAAGTGCAAAGGAATACTGGAGACACCACCACGTTAGTGAGCTGGCTTGGAATGGGGCTCGCTGTGGAGATGGTGGGATGCGACTTACTGACGAAGCCAGATGCGATGACCTGGACTTGCGAAGACGTGAGGAGTAGTTTTCCCATCTTGGTCCGCACTTGATGGTTGAAATTCGATGTGGAATGCTTCAGAGATAATTTTGGACACGATGAGTTGGGCTACGGAGCTTTCTGGCCTGTCCGTCGTCATCTCCGTCGTACACGAGCGGAAACCTGGTAGTGGGTTGCTTACTCGGTCGGCCCAGCAACAATCTTATCGCCATTAGCTTTTCTCAACACCAAGATCGAGCTGCAGCCCCCACCATCACCAACGTCACTTTCAACCGTCGCCATCCTACGAACACCAATCGTCGCCATGTCTAGGTTCAAGTCCGACACCGTCCACGCCGATGCGAGCCGCTTCCTCGATGAGCGCGGGTCAAACGCGGCCCTCGCGCCCAACGGCCTCAACCCAGCGACGATTATGGAAAAGGCCGTCAAGGACCGAATTGTCGACTCATACTTCTACAAAGAGCAATGCTTCGCGCTCAACGAGGCCGACATTGTCGACCGCGTCGTTGAGCACGTCAACTTCATCGGCGGTACCCACGGCGCGACCCAGAAGCCCAGCCCCTTCCTGTGCTTGGCCTTTAAGCTACTCGAACTCGGACCCAGCGACGCGATCTTGCAGGAATATCTCCAGTACGGCGGGGAGGCGTTCAAGTACCTGCGCGCGCTGGCTTGCTTCTACGTGCGTCTGACGCGAAAAGCCAAGGACGTGCACACGCTGCTGGAGCCGTTCTTGGAGGATCGCCGGAAGTTGAGGCGCAAGGGCAGGGCCGGTACATCGTTGACGTTTGTGGACGAGTTTGTGGACGACCTCCTCACGAAGGACCGAATATGCGCGACAAGTTTGTGGAAGATGCCGAAGAGAGAGGTCTTGGAAGATCTGGAACTTCTTGATCCGAGGGTTAGCGCGCTGGGAGATCTGGAGGACCTCTTGGAGGAGGAGGATGAAGCAGACAAGAAGGAGAATGAGTCAAGAGACGGGTCTAGGGACGAATCTAGGGACAGGTCTAGAGACGACTCCAGAGACAGGTCTAGACAGGAGTCTGGTGAGGTATCAGACAGGGACGACATGGATGTGGATCGTGAGGAGAGACCCAGAAGTCGAAACCAAAGCCGAAGCCGGAGTCGAAGCCGGTCACCCTGAGTCCTCGCCCTCGATGGAAGACAAAACCGATACGACTAGACGTAACCGTCACCCATTTACCACAGGGCATTTGCCTGCACCTCGATTTTCTCACGAAGAAAGTAGGGGCTACGACATATTGCAACAAGGGACCTCTTCGGCGCGCAGCTCTGAGGACATTTCTGCATTTCCTTGGAAGCGATGCTACGATAGTTCCTCGCAGCTCACATCAAGGCGCATAACATATTCTGTGTGCTGATGTTCCTAGTATCGAACTGAGCAGTTTTGAGCCATGTAGGAGGGTCCTGAGGAGGGAAGAATTGGGCCAGCGTCAAGATGGAAAGCTGTCTTGACGGCAGAGACCATGAGCATTAGGAGGAACATGATTGAGGCAGCACACCGGATCAAGTTGCTGTGTCATAACATCTCTATATGCCAGCTAGCTCCTCAGATCAGATACTATACAAGACTATGCCATCAATGGCTAGTAAATTTTACGTTCATCCTGACCTCATGCAGCCACTACTTCTTTTAGTTTCTCTGCCATGAGCAGCACCCTCTGATCATCCCAGTACTGTCCAATCAGCTGCAATCCGGCTGGGAACTTACTCCCCTCTACCTTAGCTGGGATGCTAACAGCTGGCAATCCCGCGAGACTCGCTGGGACGGTAAAGACATCGTTCATGTACACATCCACGCTGCTCTGCCGCTGAACTTCTTCTAACCGAGGAGGGAACGTAGGCGCTGTAGGAGAAAGGATGAAGTCAACCTGCATCGGACCGCGCTTGTCCTCCATGCCTGTAGCCTCAGCCATGTCGCTGAGGTCAAACTGCTCAGGTTCATACAGGGGGTTATCAAGCTTGAAAACACGATCAAAGTCCTTTTGCACCATCCTTCGGACCTTTTGCGCCTGTATGAAGTAGTTGTCCATGGCCTCGGAGCTGAGACTGTACGTTCCCAGCAAGATCCTGCGCTTCACCTCTTCGCCAAAGCCAGCGCCACGAGCCTCGGAGTAGAGCGTTTCACCAACAGCATCGCTTCCTTCGCCGCGGACGCCGTAACGAACGCCGTCGTACTTGGCGAGGTTGGAAGATGCCTCCGCAGGGGCTAGGACGTAGTATGCGCAGAGAGCTTCCTTGGTGGATGGAAGCGAGATGGGGATGAGCTGGGCGCCCAGGGATTCGAATTTTGAGGCCGCAGCGACCCATGCGTCGCGAATGGAGGGCTCGAGCTCGGAGATGTTGTATTCGATGGGGATGCCAATGTTGATCTGGGACAGGTTTGGCAGTCTGGATGGTGATGAGTCAGAGCAACGTTGCCGGGAAGCTTCTTGTAGCGACGTCGGGTCCTTGGGGTCGTGTTCTTTGTAGAGACCAGTGCCGAATATGAGGTCGTAGATTAGCTTAACATCCTTGGCTAGCACTCCAACGGTATCCAAAGAGTTGGCATACGGAACCACGCCAAACCGGGAGATCATGCCATAGCTAGGCTTATATCCCACAGTCCCCGTATACGCCGCCGGTAGTCTGATGGAGCCACCTGTGTCCGTCCCAAGCGCAATATCGGCATCTCCCAGCTTCACAGCCACGGCGCTACCACCAGAGCTCCCACCAGCGGAAACGTCCCCGTCCTCAGCCAGCGGGTTCTTCACGGCGCCATGGACCGAGTTAATCGAGTGTGAGCCCATGCCGAACTCGTCCATGTTGGTCTTTCCAACAACTGTTGCGCCGCGGGCGCGCAGCTGCCGCACGATAGTGGCCTCGAATGGGGAGGGGTGGGAGGAGAGGATGTGGGAGGCGCATTGCGTCGGGAGGGAGACGGTCGCGATGTTGTCTTTGACGGCGAGGGTGAACGGCTGCGCATCTTTACGTAGGGTCGGGGGCGGTGAAGATGAGGGTGAATTAGCGGCGGTTTGGTCTAGTTTATTGTCAATGGGTGGTAGCAGCCTTGAGAGAGGATGTGCAACATACTGCTGTCGACGAAGTGGTTGTGGCTACTAAGTGAGCGACATGATGTCCTCGCCAATTGCGCTCGAGGCGCAACTTGAGAGGAAGCTCGACCGGCGATGCCGCGAGCAGAAGACTTCGAAGCCAAGCGGCGTACCAGAGCCGCGCTCATCGCGAATTGCCCACCATAAACAAGCTCCAAGCTTTGGTTCTGGTGCAAGTGGTGGTGAAGCTCCAAAAAGTCGACCAGGTTTGGTTGGTCACCCCAGCGAAAGCGGGATGCACTACTTATCGATAAGGCGCGTTGGCAGGCGCCAACCGTCATTTTCCAAGCTTCATCTTTAACCATCGCGTTAGCATCGCCAAGTCACATTCAGCTTTCTCGACCCCGAACACCACGTCGCAGATATGGTTTCGAAACGAGACCTCGACGATGTCGACGATGGCGAAATTCCCGAACCTGAGTTAAAGCGACCAAAGAAGCACAATGCCAAGTCGCGACAGCATCAAAACTCCGGAATCGATCCCACCTGGGGTCAGAAATACGTCTTCTCGGGCAAGGAAAACGCCACAACGATTCCCGCCGGCGAAGAGGACGACTTTGAAGACGACGCAGATGCCATGGCATACTTGAACTCCGTGAGGTACCGTCTCCCCCTTTCTCGTTCCTCCCCCCCTTGTTGTCGTTCTTTGCTGAAGATTCCGCCGCCCTGTAGCAGAGCGCACATGCTGATATGGTGAGTACTCTAGACAAGAAGCCACCGGAATCCCCCATTTGCTTGTTGCGCCCAAGGTCCAGATTGGGCCGCAGCTGCCTGCTGATTTCGAGAGAGACGAGACGCACCCCGACGGCGAAGAAGACATCGATCGGACCATCTACGACGATGGTGTTGGAGATACGAGAGGGTACTATGAGGATGGCGCATATACTGCAGTTCCGGATTCTTGGGGCGGGGATCATAAATACGAAGAAGGAGAAACTCCAGAAGAAGGGGAGGAGGAGTTTGACGAGGAGAGAGCGTTACACGAGGCGTACTTCGCATCCGTCCTAGACCAATACCTCCACCTCCGAACCATCCTCAACTCAAAACCTCCTCCAAACGCCCTCTCCCGCCTTTCTTCATCCCAGCCCACATCCGCCGCCGGCTTCGGCCGCCAATCCTCCCCGATCGCTCTCTGGGCCCGCCTCATCCGCACCACCGACCCGCACCCGCTCCAAGTCGCCCTCATGTCCAAGGACACCATCCTGCACATCCTGCGCGTCCTGCTGGGCGGCAAGTTCCTCCGCCGCGGCTACACACTCCCCGAGCGCACGAGCCGCTGGCTCTGGGCGCTCCTCGCCCGGCTGCCGGACAAGGGCGAACTGAACCACACCGAGATTGGCTGGGTGCGCGACCTTGGGCGCAGAGCTGTGCTGCTGGGGAGGAGTCTTGCGGAGATGGCGGCGTTGAGGGACGAGTTGGCTGAAGGGGGCTTGGGCGCCCATGAAACTGTGGATAGAAGCAGCAGTGACGAGGAGATACTTCTGGACACGGAAGAGTTGGAAGTCGAAGGCGCAAACACCCCTGGCGACGACGAGGACACGGAGGAGCCCTCACCACCAACCTCTAAAGTCGCCGAGCCAGCACCCAAAGACGACACTGAAGAAGGTGAGATAGACGACGACGAACCTGAGGACGTCGCCATGGACCTAGGATCAGACTCAGAGGCCGAGGACGGCGAAGTTGCCTCCCAACCCGAGGGAAACCTCGAGGATGCAAAGGCCCGTCTCCTAGCCCAGCTCAACAACGCCCCCTCCGACAGCGAGGCGCGCGAGGAAGAAGAGCAGGAAGCCGCTCGGGAGCGATCCCGGGCGAATCTGCGGGCGACGTTGAATATGATTTTGACGGTTGCGGGCGAGTTCTACGGGCAGCGAGATCTGCTCGAGTTTCGCGAGCCGTTCGTGGGTATGTAAGTGTATGTAAGAGTGGCAAAACACGGAGTCAACAAGTTGAACATCTCTCGTATCAACGTTATAATTTTATTTTCACTTCCACGAGGTGCCGAATCCTCACCCAATTGATGATATCCGCATCGCTCCGTAGTCCTACAGCCTGCTCTGGAGCTCATGTATCTTTAATACCTTCAACGCCATACACCAAAATTCAAAATCCCACCCAAAATTCATACATACAATACTGTAAACATAAAATGCATTAAACGGTTCAGTTACCCCCGGCATAGATAGGGATGGACCATCATTAGTTGGCGAGGTCCATCTCCCTCTCAGCGCTGTACACGAGGAAATCGGCATCTTCGAAGTCTTCATCCACAGCCATGTTCTCCTGGCCGAAGCCCTTGAAGGGCACAGGCTTCTTCGCTCGGGAGCGCGGGACAGCCATTGCCCTAGCATTGCCGCCGGGGGTCAGGGTGCCAGGACTAGCCTGGCGGCGCAAGTCAACATCCTCCTCGTCATCGAAGATTCGCTTGCGGGAGGTCTCAGGTGAGGAATCGACGCTCTCGGTGCTCTCTTGCGACATGGTGAGCTCAGGGATGGCATCCAATTCGGGAACATCGAAAAAGTCGCTCTCAAATTCAGGCTGAGTGTCCAATCCGCCGACTCTGTTGATACCGCAGAAGGGCAGCAGCTCTCGGGAGGAGGCTTTGATGGGGGCACGGGCAGTGGAGGGGGTAGGCAGAGGGGCATTGTCTGTCCAGAGCTTGAAGGCGCTGGGGCCAACAGTCTTGTAGCCCTCGGGGACGGATTTGCGGACTCGCATGCCGACGCTCAGGAGATTGGCCTGGACGGACGAGGGAAGTTCAGGCGTGCGGACAGCTTCAGCATTGGTGGTGGGAGCGCCGCTGGTAGACTTGTTGAAGAAGGAAGTGATCTGGCGCTGCGCAGGGTCGGCAGAGCTGCCAGCGAATTGCCGCTTGGTCCGGGGAGTCGACATGATGACAGGAGTAAGCTGGGAAGCTGTGTTGAGGTTTGGTGGACGAGATGGATGAGGGTGCAAAGAATGTGAGATGGACGAGGGAAGTTGGAGGATGATATCCAGGGGTTGTTGTTGTTGTTAGTGGTGGCGAGGATTGATGGAGCCCAGGTGGCCAATTGTGACGCAATATTTTGCAGTTTGTGTGATTGTCTCAGTTATGGGAGATGACGTCGCAAGTTGTCAGGAATGGACGATCTTGCAGGATGGAGAACCACAAGCGCAAGCTGCAAGTAATCGCAAAGAACAAGGGGAAGAAGCAGAGCAGAGTGGAGAGGGTCTGAAGCACGGCCAGCAGTGACGTTTACGGCGGGCGACGAAAACAACCAGGCCAAGAGAAGCGACGGTGGTTGATGTGGTAACGGGCGAGATGAGGGCGGAAACAGGGGACGAGAGAGGAGGGAGGAAAGAAGGGTCTGGAGGTTGGGGCCCTGGGAGACAAAGCGTGGACGGCGACCAATTGCCAACGCCGCCAACAAGGTCATCCATCCAAAAAGCTAAAAACAGGGCAATTCCAGACTCTGCGGCCCCCCGGCCAAAACCAGGAAAAGCGGGGGCGAGGTACCCGTGTCTTAACGCGATCGGTTCGTGCCGCTTTCGCGTTAAGTGGTCGAGTCCTGCAAAGGCCCTTGCAAGCTCTGCAGAACATGCCTAATGCAGACTTGGCGATTGGCTTTGCTGAGTCATCGGCCGCCCAGCCAGTGAACCAGCAGCGAGCCGTTTCTTTCTGTGTGACAGCTGATGATCTAATCGATACCTAATCAACGAAAGGCCGGCCAGGTGATTGTCAAGGTACTTGATACTCGCAAAACACCGGGTTGCCAGGTCGAAACTGAGTATAGTACCGGCGCCATAGACCTTTCTCATGCTCACAAAGGTACCAAATGAGGGGTTTTTACCTTGCATATATCTTGGTTGCATCTGTAACCTTGTCACACAAGCTGTCACGCGAGTCCCCGTAGATGTCCGACACCATAAGCAGAGTAACACTTGATCTAGAGACTTGAGTGTCACATTCGGACATCTATCATTCGGCTTGGAGAGAACAGTCACACCGTTGATCGCATCATCGGGGATTGAAGAGCACCTTGATACAGTAGCTCTATGGACAACAAATGCCTCCTGGAGTCCCACCGCCCCAACCAGACTACCGCTGCCTTGTCACACAACCCCAGCCTTATCCAATACCCCGGATTCCCCAACTAGCGTAGCAATCGTCATGCACGACATGAAGGACAAAGAGAGTCAGACTCCTTCAGTATCGTCATCCGTGCCCTTCTAGGCAGCGAGCCATGTAGTGACTCATTCACCAACTAACTCCGCTACAGATGCTGCCTATCTTACCAGCAAGCTGATACGGCCATACGAGCGTAGGACGGTCAAAGGGATCCAACGGAAGTCTGGGGAAGCTTGATTTCGAGACAGTGAATTCGGTGTGGGCTTATCCCAGCGGCTGGGGCTACAGCCGGCCATCGTCATCGATTGCCGCTAAACATGGCTTGTGGTAGGATGTTACGGCAGCGTCATCAACACACTACGATACAACCACCCAACATCACATAACGTGGAGGTACAGACGGAGTCATGGAGATACCGGATTGTGGAAACCATCGTGAATTTCGCATAAGCACAGTGACCATCCTCCGCTACCCACTGCACCGGGGTATGAAGCGATCATCAACCAGCGGTTCCACATCCTCGCGTCCGAGCCCGCCAATCCAGGCCGCTCCGACACTCGTGAAGGCTTTTCTCCAGCTGTCCACCCATGCAGTGTTTTTTTTTCCTTCCTGCCTCGGACGACTCTTTGGTACAAGGCGCGCAACGGAAAACAAAAGAAGAATGATGTGCCATGCAAGATATCCGGAGACCCCAAACGCCCCTATTCTGGGTGCCCCATCTTCTATCTGCAAAGAGTTTTGATTATGTTCGCAAGTTTGGTTGTCTATACGCCCATGTCGAGGTTGTTATTTTGCAGATCCGAGATGACCACCATGAGATGAACCGTAAGAGTCATGAGTACCCAAGGAAAGAAACCGCCGTCAAGCAGTTTACTTTCTTCGGAAAGAGCAGCCCTCAGTCAGACGGGCCTTGCCACCGGTGGGCTGGCACAGCACGGTGGTGCAACCCTGGCAGATGACGACGGTCTGGGCGTGGGAGAAGACGGTGGTGATGGTGAAGCAGCCGGGGCACTTGACGTCCATGAAGAAGGATCGGGGGGCAGGGACGAGAGTCTGGAAGTCATCATCGTTAGATGGGTCGTCGGGTGGCGAAAGCGCGTTGATGTCTTATCGTACCTTGAGCTTGTGCTTCTTGGCCTCGGCGGCCGCGGAGGGGTTGAGGAGATCAACGGCGAGAACCTGTGGGACATGGAATTAGCAAAATGTCTCAATCGGTGTCGTAGTTGTCCCAAGATTGCTCCAAAAATTTCCTCGCAGCAGTTGTCGATCCCGGTATCCATTGCCTTGGTGTTTCCGACACCACCCAGTACCGTTGTCGAATTTTCGTCAAATTCACACACGTGTCCGTCGCCTTTCCTTCGTCCATCGGCCATCGTCCGTCCATCGAAGGGGGAATCAGAGAGGTGCGTCGCTTACCATCTTGACTGATTTTCTCGGGGAGAATTTTCTGGTCGAGTCTTGCGAGAACGGGGATGCTTGACGAAATCCGGTGGCAGATTTGAGGCTCGCAAGATGGGTGGGAGGAGGTAAGCGAGGAAAAGTTCGGTGGACTTGAGGGGGAGGATCTCGTTTGCCTCCAGCTCCATTTTTCGCCAAAAGCAGATTAGTGCAATAGGGTTTTCATACCCAAGCACACGTGATGTGGAATACCCCAGCTCCATTGGGCCAGAACAGCGTCGGTGCAACATGGAGCCGGAGGGATGAGCTTTATGCACGTGCGGTTAGTGGGGTGTGCGCTTTGTGCACGTTATGCGCGCCGTTGCCCGCGCCTCTACGTAATTTCACAGCGCCAGGCGGTGACTTTGTGAGCTAAGTTACTGCAACAGGCAACTGCTTTCCGCGAGTGCTTCAGGAATCATTGAGGGATTGAACACTCTGCGTCCTCTCTTCTTACACCACAGTCACCATGGCGGCGCCTGCAGAACAGCGGATTGCTGTCCCTATCGACGATCCCAATGCCGACACAGAATGGTTGGTCTGCTGTCTGTTACCCCTCCATCAAGCTCTAACCCCGCCATAGGAATGAGATTCTACGGAAACATGGCGTCATCCCCGAGAAGCCTCCCAGCCCGACTCCCATGATTGAGGAGGCTATTCTCGAGGGTAGAAGGCTAGCGCACGAGAATCGCCTGGAGGGCAAGGACCTGGACGAACTCGACGAACTCGAAGATGACGAGGACGAGGCCTTTCTCGAACAATATCGGCAAAAGCGGATGGCTGAGATGAACAACATCTTAAAGAAGGCCCTTCATGGAACCGTGTACCCGCTCTCGAAGCCCGAATACCAGCGAGAGGTCACCGATGCCTCAAAGAACGGTCCCGTGTTTGTAAACCTCACATCATCTATGGGAAACAACGTCGAGTCAAGAGTTTTGACTGAGCTTTGGAGACAAGCTGCCCAGGAGTACGGCGAGATCAAGTTCTGCGAAATTAGGGCAAGCCAAGCGATCGAAAACTACCCTGATCGCAACTGCCCGACCATATTGGTGTACAAGAACGGTGACATCATCAAGCAAGTCGTGACGCTCGCGACTATTGGCGGCGTTCGCACCAAAATGCAGAGGATTGACGATATGCTTGTGGAGGTTGGTGCAGTGCCCGATTCGGATATGCGTGTCGTGAGGCGGAGGCGAGCCGCAGAGGATGCCGAGGAGGAACGCCTGGCTGGAAGTACCATCAAGACTGGGACTGCCGGGAGGTCGCGCAAGGTGGACGACAGCGACGATGATGATTGGGATTAAGAATATTGTATGCGCGGTAACTCACCTACTCTGATGTTGGTCAGTGACGAAAGTAACATGCCGATCACCAAACACGGTCTTCCGGCATCAAGTGTGTTCAACACCAAGCCATCGAAACCTCAAATTCGACCCGGTTCTAGTGAGGTACACGACCCGGACCTGTATGAATCAACGACAAGAATGAGCATAATTAGAGACTGTGCATAAAATGCCATTTGGTCTCCAGGCGCTGATGCCTGATGTTGGCAGACGGCAACCTGTTTGTAACGGGACAAGGCTACCTGCAAAAGCAAAGTTTGGTGCCTATGAACCAATCCCAGCAGGTACCGAGCATTCCGGCCAAGGACCAGCCATGCATGGCTTGAAGTACTACGTGCGAATACGCGTCGATGGCCAGTTACAATGTCGAGCTCCGTTCCTCGGACTTCACTCACTCCAGCCCCGCGGTTCATGTGGCACGTGCGCATCGGCAAGTTAGTCGAGGCGTTCCCGTGCGTGTGGGGCCGAACCCTGGTATTTACGTCCCCGTCCGCCTCGGCGTCGAGCGCGTCGTCACTTTAAGACCCAGACAAGCCACTTGCGACTTTTGCATCTCTGAACCATTCATCTATTCTGTTTCAATCTGCTGCAAACACCCGTTAAAACGTGTGCTGGTTCTATTTATACAATGTCGGACGAACCGTCTTTGCCGCATATGCCGGCTGCCGTCTCTTGGGACGAACAGTCACAGAGCTTTAGCAACAATCCCCGGAAACGCGTCCGCCAACAGGGTCCCAACCACGCGCCATCCCTCAAGTACAACTCCAGCGACCCGGCCATCTTCTCAAGCGATGATGACCCGGCTCTAGACAATTATGTCGAGGGACGGCGCAAGAAACGGTACGTTGGGTCATGGTTTCAACAGCATCCCACGTCTTCAGACTCGACCTTTGGGGAATCAATTCAAGTCCCCAAGCAGCGGCGGCAATGGACGCGACAGCTCGACAGTGGTGTTTATCTGGGCAGTGACGGCAATGAGAGCGATGACATGATGGACGAGCTGGAAATTCCCACCAAACCGAGATTGCCGCAGCTCGATCGCGCTGCTGTGCGCCGGATCTCAAAAGCTGAGCAAAGCGCGCGCGACAAGGTGCGGGCATGCCTCGATCAGGGACAAGAGACCATTGATTTCTGGTCAATGGGACTGGAAGACGTATCAAACGACACTATCAGCCCCCTCTCACAGTTTTCATGCATTCCTCTCGTTACCAAGGATGTTGCGTTTGAACAGAAGGACCCGGAGCTCAAGGTGTACTTCGCCATGAACCGGCTAACAAGGGTCCCCGGCGCCATATTCGACATCACCTACCTCACCATCCTTAGCCTTCGAGGCAACAAACTCAGGGAGCTTCCTCCCGCAATTTCCAAGTTGCACAACCTCAAAGAGCTAAACGTCTCTCAAAATCGCCTCCGTCACCTTCCGATTGAGCTGCTTGAACTTCTGAAGGCAAACGGCAGTCTCCATACCCTTGTCCTTCACCCCAATCCCTTCTGGCAGCCAGAGCATGATCTACAAAACGAAGGCCCGGCTGATGGTGAAGCTCAATCACCAAACACGGTCTTGTACCAGTATGAGGATACTGAGGATCTGTCAGTCCCACATCTCGTGGGCAGGTCACTTGGCCGCTCTCCAGTACAGCTCTCCAACACAATTGGTCGTATATTTTCAGACTTCAGGCTTCCCTCCGGTCCCTCTTCCCTTATCCTCCCTGTCGAGGGTGCAGCAGATGCCAAACAGACTACTGCTGAGATACATCGCAACCTCACAGGTGGAAGTGCGGTACCGAGCCTCCTGGAGACAGCCCTCCGAGCATGCTACCGCAGCGGCCAGCTTCCTGATATGGGATGCTATATCCCCGATGGCCTCTCCCACCTCCGTGAGCTCCTCGAGCGAGCGATCAGGCAGAAGGAGGCTGGCGGCTTGAGATGCTCTCGCTGTAGCAAGTCAATTGTGGTCCCAACTGCCGAGTGGATAGAGTGGCAGGAGATCAGGACCTGCGAGCGCGTGGCACAAGATGGTCCCGCCCAAGTGCGGGCCGTGCCACTGAGCATGGCGGAGGGGGAGACGGCGGTGCCGTTTATTCACAGGGGATGTTCCTGGCGATGCGGGCCGACGAATACAGGAAAGGGTAGCTGGGGAGTACCAGAAGGATATCCTGCGCCAACAATTGTGGAAGAATCAAATCAACAGCCATAGTTTGAGTAGTCACATAAATAACTCGGCAGAGAAATAGCATTATGACAAATTTCACGGAGTCCGATGGCCTAGTATGGCTCTGTAAGTCCCTTCAGATCCTGTGGGTGTCTGTGGTTTTATGTACGCCCTGTGGAGGTTACTTTCTCGTCATGGGGTTAACCGTGACACTTAAAGAGGAACACGATACGACGAAGTACGTCGAGTGTAAGAAAACTAGCTGATCAATCGTAGAGAAGTTTTGGAGCTCGTTTCTCTGCTGCTTAGACCCGAGGGGCCTCGCCCAAATGTCGCTTATTGATGCTTACAACACTACGCAGCCCCAACTATAAGCACACACTCCAAACGGGGCAACATAATATGAGACTTAACGTGTTCGCCTTCCGGAAAATTTTCTAGTTACTAATTTCCACGTAGAAAGCCCGAGTTCGAGATACGAAAAAACGTGTAGGGTAAGAGACCCTGCAGCATCGTGGCACTTGCTGCAAGATACCCGGCATCCGAACCCCACTTTTGGTTGCGCTGCGAGTTTGCGACCGCCAACCGATTCAGCACACATATATCCGGCCCGTTCAACATCAACTTCTCTTCTTCAGCCCTCTCTCTCCCTTATCTCCCCGTCCGTCCTTCATCCCCTTTACTCACCACCACCATGTCCGCCCAACGTATGGCTCCCCTGGTCTTCCCGGCTGCGTCCCGGCACACGGCTACCGTCATCTTTGTCCACGGCCTGGGCGATACGGGCAACGGTTGGGCCTCGGCCGTTGAGAATTGGCGTCGACGACAGCGGCTGGATGAGGTCAAGTTCATCCTGCCTCATGCTCCCAGAATCCCCATCACCGTCGTGAGTTTGCTTCCATAGTACTGGTGCGACGGGGCACCGGCAGTTGGAGTAATGCACTGACATATTTGGACAAGAATGGAGGCATGAGGATGCCGGGATGGTTCGACGTGGTATGTTCACATTGGACTTGATGAGTTAGAAGTTATCTGATATCGAAACTAGGTTGCTCTTGGCGGTGATGCTAACACCCTCATTCGCAACGAGGATACTGAGGGCATCAAGCTCAGCCAGAAGTACTTCCACAACCTGATCCAAGAGGAGATCGACTCCGGCATCCCTTCGGACCGCATCGTCCTTGGCGGCTTCTCCCAGGGCGGCGCCATGTCCCTATTATCCGGCCTGACTTTCTCGGCCAAGCTGGCTGGTATCGTGGGCCTCTCGGCCTGGTTGCTGATGTCCCAGCAATTCTCTAACATGGTCACGGTTGATGATGCCAACCACAAGACGCCCGTCATCATGCACCACGGCGACCAGGACCCTATCGTTCCCACCAGCCGTGGCAAGCTGAGCGCAGACAAGCTCAAGGAGCTTGGATACGACGTCTCGTGGACGACTTACCCGTGAGTGTTTACTGAAAAGAACCATCGATGCCCGCATGAATATCCCTTCTAACAATATGTCTAGCGGTATGGGCCACTCCGCCTGCTTGGAGGAGCTTGATGCAGTGGAGGTTTTCTTGAGGGAGAGACTCCCCCCTGCTGGAGAGACTGCAACCCGGGAGCGAGAGTTGTAAATGATGAGATGTGACCTGCTTATATATGGCCCATTTGGGGTGCATCAGGCTCTGCCCTATTAGAGATTAGACAGCTGGCGTAGGAGCCCTCACTCACATGAAAGAGACACTTTCATCCTCAAGGGCACAGTATGCTTCGGCATCACATTGTACATCCACGAGTCAGACTGCAGACCAATCATGACGTGCATCCGCGATTGCCGCGTGGCACCCATCTTACATGGTGCCCCGTGATGCGGCGGGACATGTCGGTAGAGGCCATGTCTTCCCTTAGCAGCAGGCAGCATTTTGCTGGAATTAGTGAGCGCACTGCGCACTTCTGATGCGGGATGACGTGCATTCCAAGAGCCTCCTGGGCCACTAAACGCTCCCGACGCTCAGTGGGGCGGGCGGTGTTTACAGTGGGGGTGGTCCAGTGAAGCACCCGGTTCTCTCCAACAGTTCGTCTTGCACAGTGCACGCCTCACCTTGCAGAGCACTAAACCTCCACTACGGTTGCACTAAATCTTGATCCTCCCGCTTCGCTTCAACTTCTCTCTGCTATCTACTCACCTCCTCCCTTGCTCCGCCGGTCTGCCCTGGGTGATAGCGTACGTGTCTAGTCACCCGACACGATATGCCCTTCTCGCCGTCTTTCTCCTGCGCGCCGAACCGCCTTGGCTGAACGAGCCCTCTTCCGTCCCACGTCGAAACCCTGTGATGCCCTCCCTGGCCCCGGTCTTCGACTGTAGATAAACAAACAAACATGGCTTCCTCTCCGGAACAATCGCGCCCGGCCTCACCGACGCCGTCCCAGCTCCCGCCCGTGCCCGGCTCTCCCGTCTACTCCATCGCATCTACGGCGAATCCTCTGTCCCAGTTCAATTTGCCGCTCCCGCCACCGCCGCGGCCCGCCCACGCCGTCCTCTCCAAGGCCGACCTCGGGCTGTCCCAGCAGGCCTACTCCGATCTCCTCTCCTCCGCAAAGGCCTACCGCCTCGCTCTCGCCAGCCTCTCAACTGCTGCATCAACGTTCGGCTCTGCCCTCGAAGCATGTGCGCGACTCAAGGAAGCCCGCGCCGAGCCTATCGGTCCGTCCGGCGCGACCAACATGACGGCCAGTTTTACGACTAAGGGCTCATGCACCGCCGATATGCTCATGTCTGCCTCGGGCGTTCACCACCTCGTCGCAAACCACCAGCAGATCCTCTCCGAAACCGTTTACCGCTCCTTCGAAGTGCCCCTCCTACACGACCTCGATAAGTGGCAGACTGTTATCGACGATGAGGAGGAAACGTACAAGCAGAAGGTCAGGGCGCAAAGCAAGGAGATCAAGCGCCTCGAAAAGGAGGGAATGAAGCTGCACAAGCAGCGGAGGCGAGACGTTGCACGCTTCCGGGCGCATTTGGTCGAGCTGACCACGAAGCTGGACGGTCTGACAACGTTGCACGCAGACCATGCTCGAACGCTGCTGAGGGAAAGCCAGGAGACGAGCGGGAGGATTGTCGATGCTAGTTGCAGCTTGGTCCGGGCGGAGGTGGACATCTTCGAAAGCCTGGCGAGGAAGGGCTGGACCGGTGGCGGCCTGGACGATCTGCTGGAGAAGGGCCAGGACCTGTTCGCGACTGAGGACGACAACACAAGCTATGGCGGTGCTGGCGGCAGCGCTGAGACGGCTAAGCTCTTCTCCATACTGCCCCCCAAGAGTATCCTCCCCGACTCGGGGTCTGAAGTATCCAGACCAGGCCACGCCAGGAGCGACAGCCTGCTTGTCGATACGGAGCGATACCAATCTCTTGCGGCCCTGGCCACGGACTCAAAACCAAGCGGTGGAAGCGGCGGTGGCGGAGACAGCGACAGCGTCTTTTCGTCTGACTTCAACAAGCCTCGCAACGCGCGCCCCTTTTCACCGCAGCCTATCCGCCGCATCCCCACCGACGTCACCTTCGATTCTCTTGGAGCTGGGTTCGGAGTGGTAGATCCCGGCAGCACTAACGACGACATTGACGATCTTCCACGAGCCGATTTGCTCCTGCCAGTGGCCGAGGCCGATGATGCAGACGAGGAAGACGCACTTCTCAAGAATGGGAACGAGCACGATGAACGAAACGAAGACGGGCACGAGGAGGATCTACGAGGCCGGATCTCGCCTGAACCGGAGAGGCAAGGGACAAAATCACCAGAGTTCATCACGGATGAGAGCTCCCCCGAAGCTGCGTGGGGTGGGAGCGTCGAGGATGCCAGACACTAGTTTGATGTATGGGGCGCGCGTTTGAGTTGTACTGGGTTATATCTGTCGGCGTTGATGTGGACATGTTGGAGGCATCCTGATCACGGTGCGGTACGGCGTGCACTGGTAATAGATTTGCATAGGTACTCTGTTGTTGTACAAACATTATAACGGTTCTTTATATGCCCCGTTTCTAGTCGAAGCAGATCAAGTTCCCCACCATCCATTGACACGCCTGACGCCGTGAGCCGTGATTTAAATGCTGCGGCCACTCTTTGAAGCTCATCTCTCATCTCGTACAGTCTAACTGCCCTCGAGGTCGTATATTCCCCAACCCACCTTTTATATCTCCTTTGGTTTAGTCATCCTTGTCAATGTTCAGCACATCACCTCCAAACAGCCCAAAGGTGGCATCCAGCCACCAGATGAGCTTCCAGTAAAGGCTTGCGCGGTTCCAGTCAAACTCGCCCGTCTCAGTACGGGGCACCTCATTACCGATCATGCTGCCGCCAAACCACTTGACGAAGGGGATGGCGTTGAGAAAGCGCTGCATAACGGACTGCTGGGGAAGCAGGGCCTGCTCGGCCGGGAGGAGAGTTGCGCGGCGCGCGGTGGGGATTCGCCGGCAGAAGACGCTGTCCACCTCACGGATTTCGAGAGGCTCGATACCCGAGGTGGAGGATTTCGGGATAAGGGGGATAGTTTCAGTGACGGTGGCGCTGGAGGTGTGCGAGTTGGCGATGGTGCCCGTGTCCATGGTCAGGCTGGAGGTTTGCGAGTGAGAAGGGGAGAGGTCGAGGAGGCGACTGTTGAAGGACGTAGGCATGCCGGTCACGCTCTTCCGCTTGGTCCCGTTGAAGCCAGCGGGCATGCTGTTGGACCGGGTGTGGTCGTTGACCAGGGCGTCGACATCAGGGCAGGGCTCGTCCTTGGCCGGCGGGAGCCCGCGGTAGGACTCAGCGTAGACCAAATGTCCCAGTATCCTTTGGGGGCTGGCATACATGGCAGCCTCAGCGTCCTCTGAGCTCTCAAACGTGACCTTGACCCAGTGCTCTCCTCCATCCGCGCGATTGACTAGTGCCCTCTCATCCGCATTCAGTGTTCGGCGTCGCGTAAAAGACGGATCTCGCAGTTCAGATTTGTACCGGCGCTGGGATGCCGGGGGTTCGCGAGGGTAGTCCTCGAGGATACTGCCGGCGAGTGATTCGTAGTGTGAGATGGCGGCGTACTGTTGGGTCGAGGAGCGGTAGCCGCGTAGGATGAGCTCTACAGGGGAGGAGGTGATGGTGCGTTGGGGCGCGGGATCTTCCTGGAGCATGCCGCTGCTTTTGCGCTGGACGGTGGCAGCCGGCACGGCCTGGTTGGAGACCCAGTCCCCAAAGAGCTTATCCGCGGCAGCGAGGGTTGGGTTCTCTCGGCCACGGGCGGGCGTACCAGGTCGAGAGCGTGAACGGCGGTTTGATTTACCAAAGGAACCGGACTCGGCGACGCTGCGGCGCGAACGCGCGCTCCCTGAAGGCGCATCTTGTCTAGGGAGCACAGCTAGGTCAGTATTTGCGGAGCCACGAGGGAAATCGAGTTGATCGTACTGGTTAAAGTACATGGCGTATGGTCGCTTGATGCCATCGTCACCGACGTAGCACTCGTCGTCGGGGACGTTGTGGAGGATGAGAGGAGCCATGGCTGGAGGGTGGAAGCTGGAGAATGGCCGGTGGAAGGCGGTCGGAGGAGGAAGCCGGGAGGGTATGGGCGAGCAAGGGTGCTGCTTCCCTGAGATGGATTAAGACTCGCGGGAGGTGGAGCGAGGGGCGGCGAGGAGGAAGTGTCGTGATCGATGGTGCTGGGATGAGGCTCGTTTCGCGGTCGCTCACATGCCCAAATTTGCTAGAGTTGCGCTGGGGACGATTTTCTGGCAGAGCAACCAAACAAATAGAGGCTAGGTTTCCACAGCGCTATGCTGCGGGGAATGGTTTATCCGTGAACCGTTCACGTTGGTGGTCTTGACTCTTTGTTCGTAACATGACGAGAATTGGGTTCTATTTTTATGTTCTGATGCCTCATAGTATCGTATATTTGGTTTGCCAATGTTTATTTTAACGGAGCATTCGTGCAATTGTGTCGTGCGAATATCTGGAGTCGGACTTGTCGGTCGCTACCCGCGCTGTAATCTTCTTTGCTTGAATGGGAACGAGTTAAGTGACCAAACATGTTGGCCATTGCATCGGGGGCAGAACTTTTCAATTGAAAAAGGCTCAGGCACCCACGGGTACTTGAGTGTGAAGTCTTACTCAACCGGTCGTCAACAGGTTTTGGTGCTGAGACACTGCCATTGGCGTTGTGAGCAATCTGGCCAGTGTTTGGTTTAGGTCACGGTGATCTCTAGGCAGCCCAGCCGAGAGCTAGGCAGCCCTTGAGGACGAAGGACCTTCTTAGGCATGTAAGACCCCTGGATCTGCGTATGTATGCTTAATAATGTCAAGACCAATCATCTCGAAACAAATAGTACTTCTAGTTTACAGTTCATGGTCGTCCAGCCGGGCTAACACAAACCACCCAAGACTCGGGAGATGGTGCTGGGACAGGGGCGAAACGGGACCAGCTATCCGCGTAGGCCGGCATATGATAGGCAGCTCTACGTGGTAATTTAGCGGGCTGAATCAGCATCATCCCACTGTAAAACCATTCCGTCTCCACTGTAAAGTCAATCGCGCGCGGCTTCCAAGTTCAGTTTGGTCCGCCAAGGGAGTTTCCGGGGCTGGAAATACGGATGTAAATGGGGGCGTCAAAACTCGGGGCGCCGCCCAGTACATCACAACGACGATTCCCTAAAGGAGGGGCCCGTTCTGCAAATCAATTGCCCATCATGAGCCAGTTGCTGTCTTTCCGCGCGCTTATCGGCCTGTCACTTGCCGTGGCCATGTTCGCCTTCCTCGGCACCTCCCCCCTCAAGGCCTTCACATCCACTCTGCAGCGAGCTGGCCTGGATTGGTTCTCAACCCAGCAAAGTACCAGTGCTGCCAGTGCCAGTGCGTCTACATCACCAAAGATGTCGATGACATCAAAGACGCCCGTTTACTTCTTTAGCCATGGCGGGGTGAGTTTATGGCCGATTTATAGACGTTGAGAGAATTGTCGTCCTCTAACACGCCTCCCCACACAGCCCGATGTTCAGTACCAAACCAAGCATCCTGTGTACCCGATTCTCCAGCAGATCGGCAGGGAGATTACACAGCAGGTCAAGCCAAAGGCTGTTGTTGTGTTTTCAGCCCATTGGATGGGTGAAGAGGGTGCTATCCATGTTAATAAGGAGGAGCACACTGACCTGATCTATGAGTACGATCTCGAGTCTTTATTACCTCGCCGACCAGGCCTAGATGCTAACTAGAACCAAGTTTCTATGGTTTCCCAGACCATTTTTATAAGGCGAAATATCCTAATAAGGGAGACCCCGAGCTTGCGGGTAAGATCATGGTTATGCTTTCTGAAGCAGGTATCCAGTCATATGGAGTCAAGCGCGGTCTTGACCACGGCGTCTGGTCCGGCTTCCACGTTGGTAGGCGCGCATCCGAGGTCTGACTTTCAGGATAGACGCTCACCCAAGTCACAGCATTTAACCCAGAAACAAACCCTCTGAATGTCCCTCTGGTGCAGGTTTCGCTCTACAAGAACGAGGACCCCCATGCTCATTATGCTCTGGGTCGCGCCGTCGCGTCGCTGCGAGAGCAAGGTATTGTCATCATCGGAGCTGGCATGTCGGTCCACAACCTCCGCGACATGCATTACATGTATGAGGGAAACAACAAGCCCATGCCGTACACGGTGAGCTTCGACAACGCGCTGAAGGAGGCCGTCGAGGTTGACCCGGCGCTGCGGGAGGATAAGATGGCCGCCGTGACCAAGCGCGGCGACGCCCACCAAGCGCATCCATTCATGGACCACCTGATGCCCGTGTATATCGCTGCGGGAGCCGCGGGAGAGGACTGGGGAAAGCAGACTTGGACGTTGCACGAGGGTAGCTTCGGATGGGCGCAATATAGGTTCGGCGACGTTCCTGAGGTCTCTTCCGCTCCGAAGTTGTGATCGGATAGGGGCTTGGGCATCAACAGCTGCCACATGGGTTTCGAGCAGGATTAGCTGACAAAATACCGTATCACATCGGGTGCGATCGTGCCACTTAGGCATTAATATTGGCCCGACCTCAATTAAAGGATTATGTGACGTGAGAAATCATGACGGTGTGTTTGAACGTGGTGCTGGTGTGGTAAACAGAGTTGAAGCGGTTGCAGGAAGCCGGAGCGCATAATAACAATCTATAGGTCTGAAACGTCCACGTCACAGCTGCACTAATGTCCGACCGGGCCTAAGGCCATTATTCATCAGGCTCATTTCTATATATTTTCTATCTCCGGATATGAGCGGCTCATCATATTGTCTTATTTGGATAAGGTAGCTTGGGACTTAAAGGCCGTCCTGAGCCTTGATGATAGTCCCAGCTCCCTTGACCAAGTCGCCTTTGTTGTAAAACTCTACCGCAGGCAGCAGCTCGCTCACCACCCATCTCGCGGTCTGGGTATGCAGTGAACCGTGACCAAAAGGCTCGTGATTCTTCTCTTTCCGCATTTTGGAGTCTCCAATGTCAAGGTTGCCTAGAGCATCGATAATCACGCGCCGGGAAGAGTCATCAGGACTGTCGCCACGAGGAAACGACGAATAGCCGCTGCAGAGTGCCTGGAAACAGACAAGCTGGTCCTGGAGGTGCTCGTCAACATCGCCCCCGTGATTTACTTCCTCAAACAGTCCTCGGCATAGCTTGTCGGAAACCTGGGGCGTGAAGGGACCTCTCATCTTGTGCTTTTTCGGCATCGAGCCTAGATAGTCCTTGCCCCATCTTCTCCCATCCTTTGAGTGCGCCACGAGGAGAATATACCACCGTGTTTCGAGGCGGGAGTCTTCGACTAGCTTGAGGTTGACGTCGGCGCCGGGGAAAAGAACATCAAGGTCTTTCACCAAGGCGTTCTGGAGCTCCTCGTGGAACGTGTTAGGCACAACCATGGTGACGTCTACACTGGACACTTGACAGACATCCGGGGTTGCAAGTGGCGCTGCTGCCTTGAACTGGAGTGCCTGTCCAGGGGCGAGTGGGTAAACCTTCAGCCAGATCGAACCTCTTGACTGAGGCCCCAGGCTCCAGCCTCGCCGAATGAGCCGCCTTTCAACCTGAAGGGCGAACCGTTCCTCGAGCACAGGCAGTAGGACTTGGTCAAGGTACTCGTAACTGGGCGACCAACTCACGTTTGTCCCGCCTGACACCTCGACCTCTATTGGGTCGCCTTTATCGTTGCCTGCCAAGACCATGAATGGAAGAATGGCCTGCAGTATTAAAAGGGTGCTCGCAGACCCTGAAGCAGCAGATATTTTGACGTTTCTTTGCACCAATTCTGAGGGAGCACGTCTGGGGGAAAACAATATTGTCTTTGAGCCCACGCTGAGGCCCTCCACCTCAGCATCCGTGGCTTCAGCCAGCCACTCGATGGAAGTCACATGCTGACTCTTGAGGCCTATTGGTGTTCTGGGTCAGCTGTTGTTCCTCGGTTGGACTGGGGCATCAGCCGCATCACCGACCTCCACCCTTTGGGCCTCCACGGCTGCCTCTGACATTTGTAATGACGACGGGTTGCGTTGAGAGAGCAGCCAGGCAAATCGCGACGCGAACGACCTGTCCGCCACCTTCTCCAGTCCTCCCGTCAATTTCGATCGGCTTCATCGCGTTGGTTGTGAATGGGTGGCAATGGTGGGTGGCTTATGGGCTTGACGCGCTGGATGAGGAACTTGCAGGGGGCGAACCGTGGTCTTGCCACAAGGGAGGCGAAAAAGAGTTCGGAAGAAGTTTGTGGAAAAGATCGAGATGTTATATATCCAGCCCGCCAGGGGAGGTGGTTTCGAAGTCGACAATATGAAGGACGAAGTTTCCTTGACTCACGCCGTATGAGTCCAAGGCCTATGTGAGACTAGTGCCAACACGCGCCGCTTCCGCTGACAACCAACTCGGAGAGAAGATTGCTGAGGGTTGTAGTACCTCGGGGATCTCCAAAGTCCCGTATGCAAGTCATCGAAAAGACCCTTGATTTAATCAGCAGGCGGCCGTTTCCGTTTCTCTATTTCGAGCGAGGCTATGGCGATGCAGCTGACGTGGATATCCGTGAGCTCCGAGTGAGAGTATAAAAGCAGCGCAAGGAGAAGCCGACACGACGTCCGAAGTTCTGAACCTTTTGGCCTTTGGTTTTGTCTGCCTGGGACATATTGATCATAGAGGTAAGTGGAATGTTTCTTCTTGTCAAGGGTTGAGGTACGTACCCGAAAAGCCATGAACAATGGAAGGCAAGCGCGTGTGGAGTGGCGCGAGCGTCCTTTCTGCACGGCGTCGTTTCATTTATCTTTTCTCCGGCCCTTTCCGGCGTCTTTCTTTCTCCTCACATTTTCATCTTTTTCATCTTTTCCATCCTGCTGGCTTCCCTTGTCTGCTGCGCAAACTCCAAATGTGGGGAAATGTATCATCGCGATCCAGCGACCGGGACTCTCCCCCTGACTAAGGCTGATCAAAGGACGGGACGGCCCAGCCACGACTAGTGCCATGGCAGGTGCCTGGATGACGTTGGCGTCGTCTGCTTTGGATTCACAGATATGATTTGGCGATTGGAGGCTGCGGATTCTTGTCTCTCCGCTGACGTGGGGGGTGGCAATTCTCGACCAAGGTGTGATGTGGGCCGATTCAGCGACATGCATCCTTCAGCTCGGCAGTGCCATACTCCAACGCTACGAGAGGTTAGAAAAATCCAAGAGCGAGTCATTGTGTCGCCACATAGGGGAGACGCCACGCACTCAATATTCAGGGGCGAGCGATAATGAAATCAGTTATCTTCTGGTAGTATCCAATCTAGTCGAAGACTCCTGCATTGTCTGTCCCGCAACCCAAAGCAACCACGCGCATTCGATCAACACGGCCTTCAAAATCCGGTCTCGGCGATAACGACAGAAAGGAAATCAAAACAGGCCGCCGCCTCTTGAAACAATTCGGAACTCCATGTCTCCCATCTATGAGCCACTCGATGTGATCGTGGCTCTTTCTCAACGCCATGGATATCTTTTGACGGCATCCGACCTTCGCCAAATAGGGGTGGGGGTATGATGACTCCTAGACATGCAACTGCAAAGGAATAATTCGACGTCCTGGTGCAGACATTAGCGTGGCTCAACTTCCTGGTCTGGATCTCGACTCACTCTTCCACCTCTTAGCTTCCGGCTAGGATGCCCACCTTATTCCGTTGGCTCCCCCTTCTTCTTATCCCTCCTGTCATCTTTCGGCTTCTTCTTGTCCTTCTTGTCCTTCTTGTCGTCTTTCGTCTTCTTCTCATCCTTTCCATCATCTTTGGGCTTCTTCTTCGTTCCGTCCTTCGACTTCGTCTTTGACGCTTTTCGGCGTTTGCGGCCCCTCCCATTCTCATCTGAATCACTGAGGTTCCTACCACGGCGACCTTGATCTGCGTCTTTAGGAAAACTCTTATAATACTGTCCCATGGTATCCAAAACTTCGATAGACAATGATGGGGCGTTGTTTCGCGCTCCCGCGTGCACCGTCTGATTCGCGACAAACTGGTCCATACCCCAGTTATAGTTGGCATTCGAATCATCAATGTCCCTCGTGTGGCTTGGGACTTGGACTGGACTAGTGTCTGTTCCTGGAAGGTAGCTTCCGGTGGTGCTATTGCACGATAAGCTTCTCTTCCCAGGCGGCTTGGAACGGTTGCATACCTTGGACAACTCCCAAAGTTTGTCATCGTCGAGGACGGGGAGGCTGGTTGCCCGTTCTGAAAGGCACTGTCTTGCATGCTCGGGGCGGAGTTCTGGACCTGTTGTATTCTCGTCAGCACCAGGGAAAGACGATAAGAAGACACGTCGACGCCATACTTGGACCCGAGGATCTTGAATCTCACCACTTGCATACGCCCTGGGATCCATGGCAGCCGAGCTATGGGTGTTTGATTCGACTGCACCATCAAATGTCGTGCTGTAGGCCCGTCCGACGTTGCCAAGGCCTTGCGGCGGTGGTTGCCGTGCCTGTTCGGCAGGTCTGGCAGCTTGGGTGCCAGTGTCATCCTGTACCCGAACTGCCTGGCCATGCCCGTCGAAATAGTAGAGGCGGCCACCAATCATACGGTGCCCAGGATCCGGTGCTGGGACGTCTTGTCCCCGGTTCTGGTGCGAGCGTGCCATGGCGGTGCTGGGCGTGGGCCGTGACGACTAGACCGTTGTCGATAATCGACGGGGCGAGAGTTGAATGTTATCGATGCCTTCGATCGAATTTGACGGAAGAACTGGCGAAGGGTGGATCAAAATTTCCCAGTACGCAGGAAGATAACCTGAATGGTAGAGGGATGGAAGCAAGACCTTCTGCGTCTTGCGTCGAAGCGGGGAGGAAGCGAAGTCTGTGACTCCCAAGTTTGTGGGCTGGAAAGGGAACGAAACCAACCCACTCGGGGAACAAGTCAAATGACGAGATAGCAGAGTCCACGACAACGACAACGACGATGGGACCGATGCCGCCGGCTTTTGGACACGAGTGATGGCTATATCGGGTGGTTAAGTCAAGCACGAGGAGGTTGAAAGGAGGTGATGGATGTGTTGGCGCAGGCAGCATCGAAGGCCCGTCACGATTGGCCGAGATGGAGACTCGATTTGTTGGTGCTGTTGAACTCTGTACCGATATTCTCGGAACAAGTTGGCACTCACGGAATCGACGGACGGCCAGAATCTGTGTTGAGGAGGAGCAAGGTCGTCATCACCTTGTGGACGAAGTTAAGCACGGAGCAGAGGGCATCAGGTTCGGTCGGTGAAGGAGGTGGCCGCCTTGGTACAAACGGCCAGGGGTCCTTAGTAGCCACTCACAACACCGGCTCGATGATTATAAGCCGGACTCACTCTGCCACCGGGCTCTCCTCGAATAAAACGCCCCAAAACCCAGTGGGACATTCGGAAAGATGACACTTGATCTAGGATACCCCCTGGATATCCGTGTCCCGAGCCACATCGTGCTGGAAGGCTTCATCTCTAGAGGGGCGGTCGATGGGCTTGATAGTCGACGCGGTAGGAGGGGAAGGTACCCGTCGATTGGAGGGCCTGGAACGGGGCAAAGGAGCATGGCGGAGCGGATTGAGGAGGCTTTGCTGGTGTCTGCCGCAGCACGGCGACCCATTTTGGACGCCGTACAGATATGGCAGCGGGAATCAGCCAAGACGAGAAGAAGCGCAAGAAGAAAATGAACCGAAAGAACGAGGAAAGCAGAACTGGGACAGAAGGTGCTGTTAAACAACTCCTGAGACACCCATCCATCCTGCAGCGTGGGCTGCAGCCCATTTCCCTACAAGCATAACCGCCCGCAAGAGGGCTGGGATCTCACCAACTCAGACATTGCGTGCCCACCTGGCCGCCATCTCCGCCTGATTTGGAGACCTGCAGAAATGCTACATCCGGGCTGGGACTTGTTCAGCTGCCGAGAGCTGGGAGCTGGAGACTCGACAATGCCGGCCTGCTGCTGGCGCCAGTTGCGGCGTTCCATCGCAGGCCGACGACAATCTAGCGCATACACTTCCCTGGGATGCTATGCAACCCTCTACGAGGACAGACAGGCGAGGGCCGCTCAGTGGGGTGGGCTCTGATCTGGGGGGCCGCGAAGAGGGCGGCCTCCATTGTCCCTACGAGACTCCGCAGAGCCTCCGCCTGAAGAGGTGTGTGACTATGAGGAGCTTGTGTTTTCGTCCAGGCTTGAACAATGCGTGTGACCTGGCTGAGTGCCACAGATGCAGTGTACCGGTGTGTGGAAGCATTGCAGGCGCCCTTGCCAGCCAAAACCACCATCTACCCAACAGAATAGCCACTGGAAAGCCCGATGGCTAGCCACTTTCGCTCTATTCGGACCTACAGAACCTAGCACAGCATTACAGGTGCGATCACCCGCTGGAGATGCAGTAATCCTAGCGGACCGGCTCTGAAGTGCTTGCAGCCAACACATGTCTGTCTCACCCTAGCAATGCAGAGAAGTGAATCAACACCACCACCACCACCACTTGGGCGCGTGATTTTCGAGAAATTTGACGATCTATTGGAGTCATTCTATCTAATATATACAATAACTAAGGAGAGTGCCGAATACTAGCCCCCTGAATCCGCATACTCTCCAGTCCGGGACTAAGAGAAGACGGATCATGGGCGATACAGCAGTATATCGGCCGCTGTGAGGCGCAGCATTCTATGGGGTAAACGAAACAAGAGCAACGCAAGGGGGGATATAGAAGCCAAAACAAGCAAGCCAAACAAGCCACACCGTCCAAAAGGATCGAGTGATTTTCCTTCCAAAACACCCTTTCACGCCCGACTAGGGAATGATAGTCGAGCCAAGCCACCCACACACCGTTCATCAAGAGCCGCGACTCAGAGCGCTAGTCCTTGTCTCCGTTATGCTTGTTTGAGTCTGTACAGCCCTACCGGTTGTAATGCCAGTTCTGCTGGTCTTGCTGAGTTGGTTGAGTGCCTGCGGTGTTGAAGCTGTTGTCGAACTGGTCGATGTTCTTGTTCGCCTTGCGTCTGTGGTCATCCTTGGTTTTACGAGACTTGGTCGAATGCTTTTTTCCGGACCCGCCTAGGCCCCTCCGGGCCTCCTCAACGAACTCGTTCGTTCGATTGGGGTCGGTGTCTGCTCGTCGGGAGGGGTGCTTGGGTTCCTCGCTCGACCAACCGCTCGAAACGCTATCAACCCGTTAGAACGCGCCTTGTCTACGACACTGGCATTTTACGAACCTTCCTTGCCAGTTTACAAGGTCAGACTGCCTGTCGTCACTGCCAGAAGGCTGGCGGTAGTACTGCTGGTTCTGGGGTTGAGAGTACTGCGGCGAACCGTAACCTTGAGGTGGCTGCTGGGGGTACTGTCGTGGATCATAGCTTTGATGTGGTTGCTGATCTTGGTATCCGACACCATAAACGGCCCCAGGATAATAACCCTGTTGTCCTGACATGGTGTATGACAACAGTCTTTCGATGTGTTCAGCGAAGTGGTATGGGAGGGCGAAGAGAGAATCGAGGCGATAGAAGACTATCAGCAATGATGATGAACTGGTTCCACGAGGTGGCAGATTCTTTGGCGAGGGTCACTGTCTTTTATATGTATCCCAGGTCGAGGTCAGGACGAAGCGCTGCGCCATACCAGGCTTTTAGCAACCGCCTGCTTGCCATGACTCTTGTGCTGGTTGAGGCGGATGCCAAGTTGAAAAAGGTGTCCAACATGGATAGCCCTGAGTCGACAAGCGAATGACGCTCAAAGACCCGGGATAGAGCAAGAAGGCGCTGGTCTAGCCTTCGACAAGCCTCGATGCCTGTGTCTGCCTGAGCCATGCTGGCCAACGACAGGACTGCCCCTACCGACCGGCGAGAGCCCAGACGAATGCCCTCCCAAAAGCCCCCTGGCCTGCCTTGTTACCATTGTGGCGCGGCAGACCGCTATTGCTTTTTGTTGGGCATGGCGCTGTGAAGGGAAGCACAAGACCGGCGAGCCTTTGCTCCACCGTGTGGCTTTGGCTTGAATCTATCCCAGCACCTCTCGGCCACGAGGCGCAGTATCGAAGAGTGAGGCGTCGCAGGGACTCGGTCGTGCAAGGCAGATCGTGACGCAGTCGAGAGAGAGGCTTGTGCGGGACGGAGGCTAGGCGTGTCTCTGTTGTTGGGGCCGTGGCCTGAATCGTCTGCCCTCGGTGCGGGATGTGGTTCGCGGGCAAAGCTGCCAGCAGTAGGGGGCTTTTCAGGCAAACTCGCACGTGTCTGGCTGGCTGGGGTGATCCCCCTGGCTATGGGCAGGAGAGAGAAGAGACATTTCCCAGAATGCCTCGGAAATGGGAAGGGCAAGAATGGTCAAAAGACGGTTTGTGGGGGGGATTAAGCATGCGGCAGACAGCCTTCTTTATTAACGATCCTCGACACAGATCCCCGGGAACTCGGCTACGTACGAGGACAGGGCAGTGGATATGGGCTGGCAAAAGGTCAGCGGAAGCCGCCAGGAGGCGTGGATGGAAGACCTGTATCAACAGAGGCCCTGTATTCCCGGCCATCCCAGCGGCTTACTCTCTCACCTCACCGTCTGTAGCACGACGGGGGTGGATAGAAGATGCAGACTGCCCAAAGGAGACGAGGAGAAGTGTGGGTGGTGAGACACTGAGACATCATCACCAGCATGGAAGCAAGCCGAATCACACAAAGCCGCGCTGTGGCGGCATTTCACCTCTCACTGCGACGGCGCTTGCATATGGAAAGAAGCGATCTAGCCGGAACGACTCAACTGGTGATAACTAGGGAACTGCTGGGGTGTGTTCTCCACGAGCGACACGCTACATAAGATATCGGACGCCGCAGAACGCAGTACTCGTACGCATTGGGGAGCCTCCCCGAATGGCGACAGTGGGTTCATGCACCCAAGCGGTGGACCGTGGACGATCTCCATTATCGCCGCTGCCAAACTACAGTAACTCGACTTGGGTAGCACCGTACAATGGGCATCCTTCCCGTGTGCCGTGCCGTGCGGGGAGCTGAGCTGAGCTGAGCTGCGGGAGGGTGGTTGGTGTAGTGTTGCAACCGTATGGGTTTGGACTGACACGGTGGTGGTGGGTGGTGGGTGGTGTTGGTGCTACGTCGATGATGTGGTTGTGCGTTGCGGCTGAAAGAAGATACGCATACGCAATGCTACTCGGCTGGAAAGATGCTCGTTGCTGGTGTTCAATTCAATCTCAATCGCGACTATTATTACATGGGATATCGCTCAAAGTCGAGGCCATTGCTGGTTCTATCCTTCTCTTCACACGGTACGCAACCGACCCCATATTCCTTCTGCAAGCCACAGCACGCGCAACCATGATCTCGCGCCGACAAGTTGACGCCCGTTGCCAGCCCAGCCGCCACAGCTGTTGGTCTCTCAACGGGGAGTGGACCCGGGACGAAACCGGCAAGCCGAACGGCTTTCTCGCAGCTCTTTTTTTCGCGCCATTCCCATTGTTGGCGGCGGCGGCTCCGGCGGCAGAGTTGCCGTGTGCAGCCTGACAAGCCGTAGTTCGTCTCGATCGCGTCACCCGCAGATCCACGCCTGCAATTCCCTGCGCTGGGCCCTAGTCAAGCAAGGGAAGCACTCGCATTTGCGCTGTCGCTGTGCGGCACGACGCTGTTATTCTCGCCCCCTCCCCCTTGCCTCCGCGTGGCGTGATGTGCTGGTGTGGATGAGGGTGGCGGCAGGTCAATCAATCTGTACTATGCCCCGGTTGTGTAGAGGACCCCGAGACCCCGACCAAGTCGGGATGGAAGGCCGCGGGACCGATCATGAACAGCAATGCAAGTAAAGGCCTCTGGGAAAACTCTTCAGCCATCATCCGAGCGATCGAGGTTCAACCAGGGTTTCTGGGGAGTGTTAAGATCGCCCATCTTCGACCTTCTGGGATATTGATGCGGCAGCCACCATCTGCGCCAAGGCTCGCCCCCACAGCATCTTCTCCCCCTCCTCTCTATGAGCGAGTCGCTTAGGAGCCTCGGGCATCTTGAGAGGTTTGTTGGGTAACGTTGCGGCCGGAGTTTGTATTCCTACTACACTCCGCATCGGATGTGTCCGCTCCGTGGTCAGAGAAGGCTGGCCCAGGCTCAAAAGGTTCCCAAGGCCGGTCGGGATGCCAGAGATGCTCCACAGCCCGAGAAATGATCCTCTCTGACTTGCCTTGCTTCACAACATCGCCAAGTGATGGCTTGGTGACCTTGGTGACCTTGGTGGCCTTGGTGGCCTTGTTGGCCTTGTTGGCCTTGCGGTTGTCGGATTTCTTCTTGCTCATCTTCGAATCGCGGGTACTGCTACATTTCATGGGTTAGGTGACATGTTCTTCAAGGGTATAGGCATCTTGGGGCCAAGCACGACATACCTTGACGATCGGCTGCCCTGGTGCGCGGATCGCGAAGTGAACGATCCCTGATAAAGAGACGGCGAGGTATCCCCTGCAATGGCGACAGGTTTCATTGTAACGGAGCCGGCGTTTTGCTCGTGCAGTGAGGTGCGAAAATCGTGAACCCAAGGCTGAAGAGTCGCACGGACGCTTCATATTATATCATTTTCAAGTCAACATGCGGCTTCAAAGAGACGGTAAAGGAATGAGGCTCTTGGCCGTCATGATTCCGACTCGCTGGGTTGGGCGTCACCGGCTTTCTCAGCCCCGTCAATGATAGATGGGATGGATGGCCCAGATGGTTGACCGGTCTGCGAGATGGATCAAGCCGCAGAGATCACGTAGTGAGACTCCTGCGGGCTATCAGAAAATCTCCATCCCGGTATGTCTCGATAGGTGCCAGCTCTGACGCCCCACAGCATCTTACTGGCTATGAATCAGCCTCCAGGGGCTTTGAAGGACCAAGGGGAGAGAAGAATCTTCGGTAGGCTGGAAAAAAGTTCCCAGCAGAGCCCCCTTGTAGAGTCGTCTCGTGTTGGCATCAACGATGCACTCGCGGCCTTGGGGTCCGTCGCATCGTAGCTGGATGAAATCCTTTTCAGCCTCACGATGCGCCGCTGCTCCCATCGAAGACGGGTTAGCTTGCAAAAAGACACCCTGGACATGTGGTGATATCACTCCCACACCGGATCGTCAATGGGCCTCTTCCAGAACAAGCCACCCCAAGTACTGCAGGTGTGCCCAGCCGGAGCTGGTGATGTGGCACCTTGAAAGGTTCTCAGAGAGGCTGAGGAGACGGACGGGAGGCTTGGGTCCAGAGCGGTGAGACATCACAGGCAACAGCTTGTTCCTCTATGAGCAAAGATGTGCGCTCTCGTCATTGTGCTCTCATTGTGTAACAGGGCCAGCCGGCGAGAGAGGGGCGTCGCTCGAGCTGCGAGGCTTAGTCGGTCAAATCATCCTCCAAGCCGAGACTGAGGCCATAGACCTAGACCGACACTTGATCCCTGGTTCTACTCTACTTTGCTGGCTTTGAAGATGATCACGACCCAGGCTGGAAGAGTTCCCCTGGTCGTTTGACGCGGGCGGGAGAGGCGCTGCCACCAAGCCCCTTGATCTCCTCCACGGCCGTGTCACTACAGCATCGGCTTCGAGTATGACTTGGCACATGGGCGGGATGATTGGGCTCGAATGCGGCGTGAAAAGTTGCGTCTACCTGGCCGTCTGCTGAAGTTACCCAGCCGCTGTGCCTCGGGGTAGCACGGCAGGGAGACTTGTAGCCTGGCTCCAGGTATCAGGGGTATGACGCCAAAGTACCGACGCGAAAGACCGAGAGTTCAAGTTCGAAAGCCGTTGAAAGTTGGCCCGCCTCAAACGGAGAAAACCGTCGTGTCGTGTCCCGGCGCGCACTCACACATGCAAGTCGATACACCCCGTTCCGCTAGGATGAGGCGGAGGATGAAAGGGAAAATGCCAGCGTGTCATAATTGCCAGCGAGATTGTGGCATTCATCCGTCTGACCGGCAAGTGGCGGCCGCGCCGACAGGAGAGGCACCAGAGCGTACTCCGTCCATGCCCAACTGACGACGTGCCCTCGCCAGGCGGTCTGTCAACTCACGAATCCGCCCGGAGGATGCCAGACATGCGGCTGGATTAATCTCCCACAAGCCACTAGTTTCTTACATGTGCTGTCTATTAACTATTGCGAAGTCTTGCTAACTTGGTACAACTAGGTCCTAATAAATGCCTCGGACGTCGTGTTTTGGCGCTAGACCTGTCAAGCTACCCTTCGAAAGAAGTCCCCGGACCGCAAAGTGCAAGTCGCATCCACTTTGGTCCAGAATTCGATATACTGAGCAGTCATATTTCAAATGACCGCTTTCGGTCCTGTCACTTCCACGCACCGATCAACGTGCCGGATCTGACGCCTCCGCCCGAGCGGCTGGAACCCATGCGGCTAGGTTTAGGACTCTCCATATTGCAACCCAACCCCAAATGCAAGAAAAAATTGCATGGATAAATTGGTGTAAGTCGCGATAGGCTTGTTGGTGAGGGGGGTTGAAAAAAAAACCAGACCGCTACTACTCTAGCTACGTGCTGCATTTACCATTCGCCATCGACATCAATCGCTTTCCTCACCGCCCATCTCGAATACGGACGTCTTTTGGTTGGGTTATCCAGAAAACCGGCCTCGACTATTGCGGCAGAATTAGATTGCTGGCCTTGCTGCGACACGTCGTCGATTGAACAAATCTGTTGGACGACGAATCTGACCAGCTCCACGTCTCGGGCAACATTGGACAGCGTCCAGGGACGATGGCAGCCAACCGCAGCGTGAACCCCAGACTCTCCAGATGATGGGCTATGCTGGACAAACCAGTGACACTGCCTTTGGAAGCCAGGGGTGCTCGTGCTTAGGCCTGTGGCCAGGTGATGTTTCGGGCCTGCAGATATATCACATATGACGTATCGATGGGTGGGCAATGACACTTACACTAAACCGGGGCTGTGCTGCCTAGGTCTGGAGTAATCGTATCGGAAGGAATCAAGATGGAGTCATCCACACAATGTGCGCAGCCAGACTCCTCTCAACGGGAGGCTTGCATTTCGCACCCACTCCCACGCGACGACAAGGCCCCTTGGCAACCACCACATGCAGGTGGCTCGAGCCACGATGGAGTGCAAGTACAAGGATCATGGGTGGCTATTCTTGTCCTGCAAGTTGATCATCTGGAGCGTTGTGATTCGGGATATGAGGAGACTAGTACGTCGTCAGCCTCACTTATCCGCCCCATCAAACGGCGCCATGAGAGCTCGGAACAATGGCACGATGTCGGTGGGACTTGGGCCAATGACCATACAGAACCCGCTGATGCGTCTGGGGAAGTACTAACAACACGGGGAAGATGTGTACGGACCTGTCGACGTGCATGGCGTGCCTCTGTGTGACCCGTTGACGTCGAGGGGCAGCACCAAGGACAGGGCGTCAAGGGGAAGAAGTGCATCTATGATAGGCTCTCCCCGCCTCATCTAGGTCTGGACCTTCGGGGGCTTGTCATCGCTCGGCCCCTCGTCCATGACATCCGAGATCTAGACTGCGCCAAGGAGCCCGAGGGGAGGAGACGGCGGGTACTTGCTGCGCCCGGCCGAGGCAACTTGCCAAAAGGAGCGTTGCCGTGTTGTATGATTCGCCGGTGATTTTCAAGGTTCCCTTTTCAACTGCAAGGTGGGTGTGGTAGACGCCAGAGATCAACCTTGGCCATGGTCACCGCCTGTCCCAGACAGCCTGACCCCTGAGCTGTGCCCCTTGCCTAGGAGCCATTGTTGATCCAAGCGCAAGTTCCGAGGTGACGTCTTGTGCCCTGCGAATCAATTTGAGGTTGACTCATGTGATTTGTCGCACAAACTCGCAAATCTCGCTGGATTCCCTGGCTGCCTAGCCGAGCCAGACGGAGGAGAGCGGCAGGGAACCCACTGCTCTGGAGGACCCACGCAGATGAACATACACCATGTGTTAGCACTGCATATATCTCGCGATAAATGACATAACGCACATAATTTTGTGTATCTTCGTGCCCGGGTTGATTAGTTAGTGGCTCATGGGAGACCATTGCCGCCTCAAGGTGAAGCCCGAATCTCGGCCTCTCCCCAATACCCTTGTTGGAGCAGCTCGTACAATGGATTTTTTATTCGATACTGAGCAGTTGAGTGGTACAGTTTTCCAACGGCTTCTGCCGCTGCTGGCCTCTATTATTAGGCTTCTGATATTGGCTCTCGTACCTATGTCGTGGTACCGCGCCACATTACGGAATCCACTTTGTTGCTTTGATCCATCTCAACTCATTAAAAGAGCTTAAATACCTAAAATTAACCATATGGGAACTTCAATCCAGCCTATTTAGCGTCGAGCTCTGTAGTTCGTTGTGCACCATAAGAGGCGGTCCGTTATAAATTCGAAGACTGTGTGCACAACTATTGGGTTTTAACTTGCTTCGCCGCCTGGCGACACCAATCATATAATAACGCCCCAGTTCCCCCAATGCAGGGCAATAAATCATGTCGTCTGCCAATAGTTCCTTCAGCGAGCCAGGTCCTTCCTATGCGCATCAAACCCTTCGCAGCTACCATCACGGCTCCCACAGTTATGTCTCCGCCAGCCCTTACAAAGCTCACCAGCTTCATTCCTCCAATACTATGACTCCTACGTCCCTTGTTCCCCGTAACATGCTGTTTCCCCTATAATAAGCCTCCGGAACCCATGATTACCGACACCAGCATCCGCTCGTCTTCGTCATATGTGTTACTACAACAGGTTGCTTAGAGTTGTCACAGAACATGCACTTTAATATCGCCAGAAATTATAATTTGACTGTAAAACCAGAGACAACACATGTCTTAAATATATAAAAAGACTTACGCTGATATGGAAAGCTGTCGAGCTGGTGTGCTTGACCTCGCGAGGCACGACCTGTAACCCCACGCCAGACAAGTACACTGACGACTCTGCCGGCGATTGCAAAAAGGAACCATGGCCAACTGGCCTATGAAAATACTCAATGTTGCTACCGCGCCTTTCTCGACTATGGCATTCGCGTAGTCTGGGGACATCTTGGATGGAATCCCAATGCTGGCTTCAAAGGGGCCGTAAAGGAGCTGTTTTATGAGATCTAGTTTGCCAAGAGTGCCCAGCGACAGCTCAATTATAAGGAGCGACGCAATATCCATGATGTTTTGTGATTGGTAACTTAAAGATCAAAGTGCAACGATGCCGAATCGCACACGCTTTTTATTCATCTTACATGTGTTCTACACAGGAACAATTGCATGCATAGATGCTCAGCCGAGCTCAAACTATCATTGAGATTTTATACTTATAAAATTTTCCTAACGCTTGGTAAGTATTCAAGTCATGTGCTTGAGGATGGGACTAATCCAGCATGTATCGCATATCTCAAACCTTCTGGGTGCATCACGGCCGGATAGACAGAATATGGACACTTTGGTGGACTGCAACTGAAATTAGATGTCTGAAGTAGCCTCTCAACTCATACATACTTTTAGGCAAGCTATTTATCCTAATAGGCGCTACGAGGGCATGAATGGAAGTGATTGTGGGCATATCATGTGGGCCAATATCCGGTCACCGAGAAACTCAGCTTGACAACTTTATCGACATGGGACACACCGAACCCTCCCTCAAGATCAATGATGCCATGAATAAACGCTGGGACCCTTTTTCTTACTTTACATCTGCTGGTAAGACTTGGCTGGATCGCCAGGAGAAGTCAAAAGATCAACATCAAGGTCGCCAGGGGAGTCATGGGGAAATTCATCAAGTTGCGTCTGTTAGTAGTAGGAATTTACCCGATAGTATAATGAATACCTCCGTGGGGACCAAGATCTACACTGTATGGGACGCCTTCAGAAAGCAATCGATATTTGGAGATGCTGGGCTTCAATAGCAGTCTGGGACTCATAAATTGGCCGCTAGATGCTGCAAGGTAACTTGCTCAACACAGCTGTGTGGTTCGCATGTCTCCGGTTTATTACTGGACCTACACCTTACTTCAGTCGACGAGGATGGCTTTCAAGACTGTTGTGAGGACTGGTATTTCTCCACTTCAAACCGCCTACAGGGCCAAGATTGGGGCCATATCGGAAAACGGACCGGCGATGACAACCTCCCCACCTACCCACGGCGAGAGTAGAACGTCTCCGCCACCAATACCTTCCGGAGGGGAAATTACGAGACCGTCATGGAGGACATACTCCCCGTTTTCTCCCAAGCGACGGGATCTCCATCAAATATGTGTGAATTTTCGGGTGCGGATGGATATTTTGGCCAGCTACAGCACTCAGATTAAAGATTAGCTCAAATTTACAAAGGCGTATGATGAGGACTCTACAGGTTGATATCCGGTATACTTACATTCCTCTTGAAGGGCTTTTCATAGAGATCGACAAACCACCGATGCCACGGCATGAAACTGCCAGTGCAGTGGATAGTACGAGTCTGTTGGATGTGTTTCATGATGAAGTCGCCAAACTAGTTTAAGGGCAATATATTATCCAGCAAGAAACAAGCTAGTAGAAACTGACTCAAAGACTGGGCACCAAGGAGACAATTTGAGGCGTCCGGGCGGTAAGCCCTGAAGACGCTTCACGGCTTTAATATGAAAGAGCCTCCCCTTTATGAAGAGCGAACCACTGTTATTTAATCATAGTCCTATGCATTTACCAGAGACCCGGTGTTAACATACCATTCTCGGCGAAAGGCAATATTCTAGATGCATCTGGGAGTCTGGGCGGGTTTCCGTAGCTCGATTTCCCGCTCATCAAGAGTGGTGAGAACATCAGCCTTGTTAGTCTCAGTTAGATGAAAAGATCGGGTTTCTGCATCAACTAGTTTATCTTGATAGGCTGCGGACACAGTCAGGGCCACCGATACTAGCAAAGCCGAAGTCACAAAGCAAGACAGCTTTATACTTGGAGCGACCACATGAGTCGAGCAGGGAACAAACATCGCACGCCAATTCTCCAGCTGCCGCGCAACAACTAAGTAGTAATATATTGCAGGCTACTTCGTGAGACCGGCAGAATTGAGACCTCGGTATTGGGTTCTAGTCAAGGGACCTACGCAGGCCTCAGGGGCATGCAGATGGTCAGTGGTTGACGAGGCAATGGCTTTTCACGGTTTTCCATAGATTAAATATGATTTTATTGACGTCGAACAATGTATCGTCTTGTTTTTAACAAGGTGATGTACTGCCCATTCATGTATAGACCACCGGAGGCCCTACCATATTTGTCTGCCATGCGGAAGCAGCTACTACAAGCCGAGAAATGATCTCGTGGAAATTTCTAGTTGATCAATAAAGCAGGAATAAGCGTAAGAGTATACATGGCTTGTAAAATCTCAGAACTGGGCCACATCCTGGTATCTTGCCATCAGACAAGGTATCTTGGATGCAATGCTGCGACCGGTATTCCGATGATTGGCACCAGCTTTGGCCGCCACGATTACACCTTGATGTAGGCGGTGAGTTCCTCACAAATTTCTCCGAGGTTACTATGGTAAAAAAGTAAAAACACTTGGGTATTGGATCTTAGAATGAAGGGAGCAAGGCTGCTCCTGTTAGCCTCCAGAGGAGCAGCATCAAATCTTCGTAGCGTTGTACGGAGAGCAAAAATGGCATCGGAAAATATAACACTTTCTCAGTTATCATCATAACCCTTCAATTGAGTACACATTGGCTCAAATAGTCCCGGACTTCCTCTAGAAAAAATACCGAGGATTAATCTAAGCGTGTGAAGAGAACCTTTCGGGTGTGGCCTATGAAGCGTTAAGGATGCCAGGAGGCTGCCGACAAACAAAGAAAGCCACCCGACACTAACTGAACTCAAAAATCCAGATACGTCCAGCCGTACTTTGGATGAGACTTGGGGAAGGGGTCATACGAAGTAGACTACTTCAATTCCGGACATTTTGTTGGACGCAGGTTCAACCGCTGCATCAAACTTGCAATCCCAGCAATAGTCGAACCACGCCACCTGGTCCTGTTTCCTCGGGTTTCAAACCAAAACTCTCGCAGGGGGTCGACAAACAAAACCGCTCTAGAACACGCGTCATCTGGGTAATGTTCGAGTTATGTCAATCAAGGAGTTTGACTCTGCATTCAAGAAGGGCAGCCAAGGTTATGAGGTGATCCAACGGTAAGGAGATATCTCAACAAGGTCAGAGGGACCTCAAGCGTCAAGGCAATTTGGAGTGATCACTTCCACGTTCGCTAAGAATAGTCCATCCATTTAAGATAACATAACGAAGAAATTGCTCCCAAAGCACTCATGGTCTTGAAACGGTGAGGCGGAGTGCATCCCGGGGTCCCCTGGTTGGTCCCACTACACCGTTCCAACGAAAGGCTAGTCGACGTGTCGAGTATCTATAATGCGCTTCGATACAGTTCCACCTATCAAGAGTACCAGAAGGCTCGCCGATCACACAAACGCGTTTCGAAAACATTATTCTGGTCATCTTGGCGGCCAATGTGGTAATTGAGTCGCGCCCATTACGAAACATGACAATGGTTCGCTAGCTTCCTCAGCGGCGGCAAATAAGCGATCTGGGATATATTAGATTCCAAGGCTAATGTAGAGACGTAGTACCAGGGTCAGGTTAGGAACTGGATATTGATTTCACCGTGGAACCAAGGGGGAATGATGATCAAAAAGCACTCGGAATAGAATAGTATCAGAACCAGATCCATTGGTAGATTCATCCAAGGGCTCAGGAAACGACGGGGTGATTGACACTCCCAAAATGGCCTGTTTCTTCAGTCGACTGTACAGGTTGCGCACCCTTGGTGGTGAATGAGATGGTGACCGAGCCTGTGACATAGCGCCGTGTTTGTGCTCGACTGCTATCAAGCTTCCAGTAACACCAATAATCTAATGTCGAAGATATTATCTGAAGTAGACGATATACCTCATCAACTTTGGCAATGACCCTCAACTTTAGCGCATCCATAGTGACTCCTTCAGGGGGCCTCTTGAGCTCATGCACATCGTCTGTAAGGTGCAGTGGCGAAGGAACTCGCGCCTTGTCTCCTGGGAACACCTCACCAATCCGCTACAGTCATCAACTTCGGCTGCGAAGCGCCAGATGATGTCTTGGAGTTCACAGGGAGGCCACATTAGCGCGGTCGAACTAGCCATGGCCAAGGATGAACGAATTCCGAGGAAAATGAGCGGTGAATGTCATTGTTGATACATATCCTGGTAACCAAGAGTGACGGTGAGGACTTGCTTGTGGGTGGGATCATCATGGACCAAGAGAACTTTACCAGTGAGGTAAGGAGCTAAACAAGTTTATTAAGGTTGAAACGCAGTGTGTGTTGTGCTTTGGCAAGGAAAAGACGTATTAGAGCACCGGAAGAGCTTGTGGGTTTTGAGTTGCTGGACTTTCTGGTGCAAGGTATAGTACTTGATTGTGTGTGTTATGTATGGTCGATGACAGTGGTTCGATCTACCCGAGAGGATATTCAACAAGCTTACCCTATACCACAATGATTATGTCTGGACTTGGCTCGGTGAAAGGATGACTGTCACTTTTGTGTATAAAGCCGAGTGTTGAGAAATTACCTTCCTTCATTATTTGCATCGTGAAGTGAAAAATAGGACCAAATGGAGGCACCCACCTACCTCGATAATTGAGCGTTAAAGTATCAATTCAAAACACCATACTACGTAAATTTGTTTAAGCATAATTATTTGAGGAAAGCATGTATTTTATGGCTTGTTGAATTATGTCAATCAACGCGTAGGGTAGGGGATACTTTTGCTGGTACCGTGATCCCGCCGTTTGCGAGTCTGCGACGGTACACCCTGGTCAGGAGATCGGCTAGTGCCAATCAACTTTGACTTTGTTGCATCGTCGATTAACCTTAAAAATAATTATCATGGGCTCAAGCTTACTGATGAGCTTATTGGTTTTTTAAGCATAAAGATTTCAGTTCAAGAACTTCATGCGTGCCGCAACGAGTTGGACGAAAGCAACAATTCCGTCTCTGGAGGACAACGCTTGTTTATGCCGATGCGTCATCACGCCAGAATGATGAAATATCCTGAAACCCCTCAAACGAAACGTCCCCCCTCCATTTCCCTGCCAATTTGTCCTTCACTGATGAAAACGTATGGAATTCGATGCCATTGGCCTTGGATCAACCTTGCACCCGCGCCGTCACCTCGAATTGACTTGTGGAGATTACGGGGTCCGTCGCTGGCTTTTCTCGAGTCACCGCAATGGACGGAGTCCGAATTTCCCGATTGTCAAAAAAGCATTGAGTATGTATACAGGGTCTGGGATGGATGGAGCATCGAGATTCGCCTCGGCTGGATGCGAACAAGAATCATTGCTGCTGCTGCGCGCATGGCCAGGCAGCATTGGGCACATCAGCTCATGCGAAAAGCTCCAATGCCTGGACGCACATGAGCAGCTGTTTCATCAACCCGTTTGCTCTCAGTAGACGCCGATATTGGACGGGTTTTCATCGACCCACGAAGTTTCACGCTGTTTTTCACGTTGCGGTGGGCTCGCACGCAGACTCCAGCGTTCCCCCGTCGATCAGATGATTTTCGGGTCGTTTCAGGTGTAAGGTGAGTTAATCGCCAAGCCAAAGCAGAGGATCCTCAGGGGGCAGCGGGGCGCGCCGATTGCTCGTATGGAACCATCCCGAAGCAGGCGGGAAGAGAACAGAATAGAGTGCTGCTGACATGGGCAGGGAGGCAGAGATCCTCCGGCGCGTCGCCGTCTACACGCAGGTTCCTGGTCATCCTGGAGTTGGACGAGACCTGGCATCGCAGCGAGCGGTCAGCGGGGCCGGCGCTAGATTTCCAATAGCGATTCTCCCGTGATGAAAGGGACCTGAAGGGTTGCAGCGATCAGGACGACCGGGTTTCAGGATCCACCCATTGTCCAATAATGGGACGGGCCATGCCTCATCCCGGTGAGGCTCAAACCGAGGGCCGCAGGGAGGTCGGTTAAGCACCCCCCGGCGCCGTTTAGCTGAGGCTCCCCGATTTTTCCGTCTATCATGTTCATGGCAGCCCGGGGATAAAAGTGGACGTCCCTGAAAGGCGCTTGGGATTTATGGGATGGCCTCCGCTTCGCCAGGGGCAGACGGACGGAAATGGGCCCGCAACCATGCTGCCCATCCCAGCGTGTCCCAGCGCCACCACCGCGAAGCCCTCTCGGTATTGCCCTGAACCCAGGATCTCGCCCAGGAGATTCGCGCCGTGGCCAGCCGTATTGCATCTAGATTGCCTGTAAACTGCCGCCTCCCAACGTCGCTTAGGGGCCGCTGCCCTGAGAGCCACGGCCACATGTCCCGCCTTGGCTAGATCCCCAACGCTCCATGTCTGAAGTGCGCCTTGGCACCACCCGAGAGGCCATGTTGCAATGAAGCCCATGACCCTTGGCTGCGGAACTTGCGGATCATCCTTGTTGGGGATTCTTTTGTTCCATTGGAACCGAGATGGGCGGCGGCGAGCTGTGGCCAACCCGGCGGAGTGACGCCTTGGCCAGGAGGTTGAACTCGATATATAAGTCGAAGCTGGTGTTCCCTCAACCATCTTCTTCCTCGCTCTCTACACTCGTCCTTGCATATCAGTCCTTGTTGCTTGTTCTCTCTTTCATCTTCACTTTCTTTCTATTGGCTGTGCCAACCATTCATTCACTCAACCCACTTGAAGTCGAATATCCCAGCGAGCTTCGCTTCATCCAGTCATTTACAAAACACCACCAAAAACCCAACAAGCATAACCCATCTATCATCATGCGTTACTCCGCTGTTTCCGCTCTGGCTATGGCCAGCACCGTTGCCGCCCACGCCCAAGTCTACGGCGTCTGGGTCAACGACGTCGACCAGGGCGACGGCCGATCGGCTTACATCCGAAGCCCTCCCAACAACAGCCCCGTCAAGGACTTGACCAGCGCTGACCTTGCCTGCAACGTCAACGGCGGCACTGCCGTCAGCGACTTCGTCACTGCCGCTGCCGGTGACAAGCTCACCGTCGAGTGGTACCACGACAACCGCGCCGACGACATCATCGCCTCTTCCCACAAGGGCCCCGTCATCACCTACATTGCTCCCTACACTGCGGGCGATGGCACCGGTGCCATCTGGACCAAGATCGCCGAGGATGGCTACGATGGCTCCGAGTGGGCTGTTGACAAGCTCATCGCTGCCAAGGGCAAGGCCGACTTCACTCTGCCTTCCAGCCTGGCCGCTGGCCAGTACCTGATCCGCCAGGAGATCATTGCCCACCACGAGAGTGACACCGCCTACAGCCAGAACTCTGCCCGTGGCGCTCAGTTCTACCCCTCTTGCATCCAGTTCGAGATCACTGGCTCTGGCAGCGATGTTCCTGACCAGAACTTCGACTTCAACACCGGCTACACCGACGCCGACCCCGGCATCGTCTTCAACCTCTACGGCTCGTACACCAGCTACGACATCCCCGGCCCTGAGGTCTGGACCGGCTCTGGCTCCAGCGGCGGTAGCAACACCGCCGTTGCCTCCACCACCAAGGCCGCCGTCGCTACCTCTTCCGCTGCCGCTGCCACCTCTGCCGCCGCTGTTACCACTTCTGCTGCTGAGGCCGCCGTCACCACCGCCCCCGCCGCCGTTGAGACCACTCCCGCTCCCTCTTTCTCTACCATCGTCACCTCTGCCGCCGCTACCGAGGTCGCCTCTGAGGCGCCCGTTGCCACCGCTGCTCCCAGCACCGGCTCCGGCTCCGGCTGCTCCAGCCGTCGCCGTCGCCGCCGCAACGCTCGCCGCAACATCAAGAAGCTCAGCGGCAACCAGTAAGCTTGCAAAAGCCTGCTCGGCCGACATTGTTGCTCAGCGTCTGTGACGTGGAGACTTGGTTGACCCTTCCACCCCTTGCTGCCTGCCTTGGCCTGCATGGATACCGCATCTACTTAGATGGCGTTTTGTTTGTGTACATAGATTTAGCTCTGACCTTTCAGACATATCTTATTCTGTATAAAATCATTTTCACTAACATTCTTGCCAACCTAAATCCCATGTGACTTGCCTATGTTCAGACTCTAAACGAAACCGTATTCCATCTTATCGACAAGAACAAGACGTAACCTATTATATCCACTATGCTGTAGCCGATTGATGTTTAATCTTAGAACCGCCACTCACCTTCCTTGAGCAGGGCTGACGCGGCACATGGCGTGGGACGTAGCGTGGCAGTGACGTATGTGAACCTTGAGTGGCAGCACGTAATAGTAATCTTGGGATGAGACATATCAACTTGCAGGGTTTCAGTTTGCTTTTATGTGTGGTAGATGGATTGCAATATTTCGTCTGAAGTCGCCATAGAAGCATTGACATAAACATTGTCTCGTAGATCTCAAACAAAACAAAACATGCTCCTCTGTAACCCGACAGAGCAACCCCTTAAACACATGTATCATGTATCGTGTGAAACAGCGACAGACCGATCTAGAACGACGCCCATCGACCACTCAGAAGCCGTTACGCACAATTCCATCCCGTCGGGTCTAGTTCTGCTCAGGAACTATTGAGTTCATGGTCAAATATGATGCAAGATACTAAGACCCCTTCATTCCAGAGTTGAGTTCCCGCCTCCCATGATTGGCTGTCAGTTGCCAATTCGCAAAGCCTCGTGCGCAAATCGGATTATCAGAGCAGATCAGGTATTCTAGACGTAAAGAGGCGCAAGATCAGCTGTTTTTAGTCTCCGAGCAATATAGTGCAGATTCTGGAATGATGCGCCTGCGATCAATACAAAAAATATCCCTATATAGCGACTATCTGCTGCAATCGCCATAGTTAGGCACTTGGAATCATTCGAATTGACAACCCCGTGGGCCCATCCAATTTTCCATCATGCAATTCAACATATTTTCCTTCCTTTTCGTCCTTCTGGCCGCCTCGCAGGTCCAGGCCGCGCTCTCTGTCCAAAGCGTCTCGGCGTCCGTCGGAAAGGTATTCGGGTTGGTTGAAGATGCCACCCAAATTGCCCACTCAATTGAAGGCAATTTTTATCGCGGCGCAGTACCGGTAAGCAGACACACAATTTACACTAAATTACTACCAGGCACTAAATAGAGGTGCGTTTAGAGACTCGTTGTCAACACCCGAAATATTATCGGCCTTCTTACTGGAGAGGTCCAAAACGCCCTCGGCGGTCTTGACAGTATTGGAGGAGACAGTGTCCAAGGCGAAATCTGCTCTTCATTCGACAGCGTAAGCCCAATTGATGCTTCCCCCCTAATAACAGAGAACTAATCAATTCCTGGGCAGTTCACCAAGGTCCAGCGAAAATTCTTAAACACCATTACCAGCAAAGGCGATGTCCTCACGGGTGGTCCAGCAGCTGCAGTTATGGACAACATCCTCCATGCGCTGAAGCGAGGCGTCGACGGTGTGTCTGCTGGCATGATTGCCGGTTTGCCATCATGTGTCACCGCGAAAGACAACATGAGGACCCTCGACGAGGCCTTGGATGAGGCCTTGGAATCAATGTCCTAAATCGTCCATTTCACGAGTAGATATCCCGATTTTGGTGTCATTGTCATGATAAATAGCGTAATGAGGGTAATTTCAATACTATGGACCATCTTAGTGGAATCAAGCCCGCGTTACAGCGGACAATTGGCGGCAGCTGCCCCGAAGTCAATGCCCGCTGCGGCCCTGCGGCAAACTACCCCGCCATTCACGTTTGCCCCTCCATTCTCCCCCACATGCATCTTCCGTCATCCGAACACCCAGCTCCGATTGCATCTTCCGCCCGGATTACGGATAACTTCTCTTTGCCGGACAAACCGCTCAAGACTGATCCGCTGTACAGTAGGCTTACAACCTCGCCACAGTTGCCAATTCCTCCCTAGGGAGCCTCTCTTCTCTCTTTTAATCCTACCGGACCCCCTCTTTCTTACCGATCACGAACTTCGACTCCATCGCAATGGCCTCTTCCACGCACCAAGGCCGCCTGGCCGACCTCCTCCCTCCCTCGTGGAAGACCTCCGTCACCGCCTGGCTCGCAGAAGACACGCCATCCATGGACTACGCCGGCTTCGTCGTCGGCGAGGCCCCCCGGGTCGCTACCCTCTGGGGCAAATCCGCGGGCGTCATCGCCGGCCGACCCTTCTTCGACGAGGTCTTCACCCAGTGCGGCTGCACCGTCGAGTGGCATGCTGAGGAGGGCACCGAGCTTGATTTGTCCGCAAACGGCGGCAAGATGCGCGTTGCCACGGTCCGCGGACCGGTCCGCGGCATCCTCCTCGGCGAGCGCGTCGCCCTCAACACCCTCTCCCGCTGTTCCGGTATCGCCCGCTCCAGCCGCGACCTCGTCGGGCGCGTCCGCGCGGCGGGATACACGGGAATTCTCGCCGGCACGCGCAAAACCACGCCCGGTTTCCGCCTCGTCGAGAAGTATGGCATGTTGGTTGGCGGCGCCGACGCCCACCGCATGGACCTGAGCTCCATGATCATGCTCAAGGACAACCATGTATGGAGCCGCGGCAGCATCACCGACGCCGTCAAGGCCGCCAAGTCGGTCGGCGGCTTCAGCGTTAAGATCGAGGTCGAGGTACAGAGCGAGGCCGAGGCGGACGAGGCCATCGAGGCGGGTGCTGATGTTGTCATGCTTGACAACTTCACTGGTGACGGCGTCAAGATTGCGGCGCGGAGTCTGAAGGAGCGATGGCAGGGCAAGCGACACTTCCTCCTCGAGGTATCAGGAGGACTGACACCGGAAAATGTGAAGCCGTACGTGTGCAATGGTGAGTTTGAATCCCCTTCCAAATGTTCTCATCCCGTAAATTGGGTTGGGACGGCTAACTGTCTTAGACGTGGACATTATCTCGACGAGTTCAATCCACCAGGGGGTACCTCACGTAGACTTTTCCCTCAAGATCGAGCATTAGATGTAAAAGGAAACAAGATTAATACGGTAAATAATATCTGCAACCTCGGTGACTCTGGTCCCAATCGTGCCCTGTGCAAAGCAATGGCTGTTGTTGTTCAACTTGTCTTAGTCTATCTGTCTAGACATTTGGAATGACAATATCCGTAGACTCCAAGTCGCGCTACCGTGGTACTAAGTCTTCAGTAGCATCTCTCTCTTAGGAGTGACCTCCGTCGTCAATATTTGCCCCTGCCATCTGCATTTCGATGTCAGGTCCGCTGCCCTGCCAGTGACTCGCCGGGTCCTCCTGTACAGAGGGCTTCTTGTCTGCATCCGTATTCCCACAGCACGACAGCAGCACGCTGGCTTTGTTCTTGGTCGAAGGCACATCCAGTGCAGGGTTTGCCGTGAAGAAGTCAACAGGGTGGAGGTGAATCTGATTGATTTCAACCGGCCTATGACAATCGTGGTCAGTCAATGTGTGGCGAGAAGTCTGCAAAGGGGTAAGTGAATAGGTATGAAAGACTCACATCACCGGCCAGTCTTCCACGCGGGGATTATGCGTCAGTCCAAAAACGGACCAGACAACGGGACTGCTCCTCCTCGCATCATCACCCTGTCTCGTTCCGTCGGCGCGAACCCTGTCTCCCGGCATCACCCCGTTACGCACCCGCCCCTCGTCGGTGAACCAGTCTCCACGCTTCACCATATCTGCAACACCACCTTTCTCCTCTCTGCTCTGGTTCGTGAACTCGCCGGCTGCCCACAACTCCCCATCTCGGTAGCCAGTTATCCATACGTGGTGCTGGGCGAATCGTGCCCTCGCAGCCACGGTGCTCCGCTCGTCAGCTAGCAGCGTCTGTGTCGCAGGAGGGACCAGCCGGTACCCAACGGGGCGTCCAGATATAGCATTTTTCTTGGTTGCGTTCTCCAGTTTAATCAGTCTGTTGACACGCGGCTTTGCGTCCATCCACGTTGCCTTGTTGACAGTCTGTCGCTGCACTTCGTAATAGTTGCCATTTGGATTCGTCCGTGAATTCATGCTCTGGCTCACGCTCTCCTCGACAACGATCTGCGTATCTACGCTCGCATACGAGTCCATGGCTGGATCAATGCGCACGGCAAAAATGTGCTGGTGGTTCTGCGCAAGCACACCAGGAGACACGACAGTCCCGTAGTTGCTTGACTTGCCATCGTCGATAGCCACCACGCTCACGACGCCCGTCGCCCGCGTTTCGATAGTGATTCCCCCAGCAAGATCCAACTTGTATGCGAAAATGTACTCGTAGTTTGCGAGTGTAACGATGAACTGGACCACAAACTCTCTCATGCGCGTCACCACTGCCCTATTGGTTCGGAAGTTGGTGTGCTTCCAGATGATGCCGTTGTCTTGCTCGTGGAGACAAATGACCGACTTTGCTGGAGTTGGAGATCCATCGGCGGCTGCAAGATAGGAGTCAACATAGTGAATGGCGCCCAAGCAGTCGCATCCAAGTTCAAGGTTGTTGCTAGCTCTGCCCATGCCTCCATCCCCAAAGTCAAACGCCTGCTTTCGGTGGAATGGCGGACGGGGATCGCCATAGGGCACCGTCATCTCACTAAAGCTAAGACGGTACAGTATAGAGCGGTTATCGTAGCAGACGTCGTGTAGTACCGCACCTTCACGGGGAGTGAAACCTAGGCGGAAGCGCCACTTCTGCCACTCAATGAGACCATCTGGATGCGCAGTGAAGGAAACACCTTCCGGTTGGACAATATCGAGCGGTTTCAGATCAGTTCGAATTGGCTCGTCAATCAGTTCCGGGACGTACTCCGCCGGCTTGCTGTTCTCAAAGAGCTTCCTTGGCGTTTCTCTGCGTTCCGCTGGAGCCATGCCATCCTCCGAACCGCCCGTGGCAAGCCGGTCGACCCGAATAATTTGATTGACCAAGCAGTCCATGACAGGTATGATGGGGATCGGGTAGCCATAATGATTCGAGTCCGGATTGTTCCTGGATGCATCCGTCGCAAACACCAGGCCTTGCATGTATCGTGGTGGAGTCCCCTCTGCAGCGTCTGGCCCGCCGTATGGCCACGGGTCAATCCTCACCTCGAAGCCCTCAGGAAGAGTAACCTCGGTCATGGCGTCCCGGAAGAGATCAGATTCAGCACAGGCGTCTTGAAACTGAGTAATCTCCCCGCTGGACCTTTTGTCAGTCATGGCCGGCAGACGATGATACTTGCCTGGCTTACACGGTAAGGTACGGCTGCGAGGCCCGCCCTACAGACTCATTTGAAACCACGTCCCCGGTGACTACATCGACAACAGCACGCGTGTACTTGTGTTCCTCCGTCGTGATGAAATCATACTCGACCAACGCCTGCCGGGGAGGCCGCTGCGTCGCTTCGGACAGCGTGCCTGCATGCTCAGCCTCCAGGAAGGCCACGAGTTCAGCCTTCTTCGGCTCGTTTAGGTAGATGGACCTGAAGAACAGAGATGCCTCCGGGCCGTGGAGGTTGACGACGATGTCGCGAGCCCTGGTGAACTCGTCCCGGGAGAGCTGGGCCAGTGGATGCGGCAAGCCAGCCGTGGCCAACGTCTCCATTGTTGCAGTTGGAATTGGTCGAGAGATTGCAGGCGATATGTTGATATCAAGTGGGATGGAGGAGGGTGCTAGGATGATTTGACAAGAAAGCTGAAGGGTGCGAAGGAGAGACTGAGACTCTCTTTCCGCTGCAAGCCAAACGCGTGAACCTCGGAGATGACAGTGGTGGTGGCAGTGGAGGTGACAGACAGCCAAGCCAGGTGTCGCAATATCGGAACAGGTCTCCTAGCGTCACGAACAAACGCCAAGGATAGAAACTCGACAGTCTCAAAGCGAGATGAAGGATAATTCCAAGCAAGGTAATCCGGACAGTTTATTACCCCAGATTGATCTCCAGCGATTCCCGAGTGCGGAGAGCGGGCCAACGGGGTGGGGTAAACGCCCGGTCACGTTGTGTGCAACGCAACTCGCGGGGAGCAATCATAGGCAAGGCGGTACATCAAAGTACATACGTACCTTAAGCTGTGCGTGAGGCTGCTGCAACGTTGTTTTTGCGTTACGATACAACGAGTGATCTTGTCGCGGGTTCTGGTGGTTGCTCAGAAGTATCACCTGCCGCTGCATCAGAGTACGTAAACTCCGTCCTACACACTGACGATGCCAACATGCTTATCCGGCTTCTCAAACACCGTGCACCTTCAGGGCAATGGCGTCGCTTCGTGTTGCTAGTTGCGTTGTCATTACCGCGCGTTACAATCCATCCATCAAAACCCTATAAGGAGAGGACTACTTGACGATCAAACATTCACAAGACACTTTTCACGAGATGATGATTGCGACAACTTGCAATTCAATGCTATCGACGTGTTACTCCATGAGTAAATAACAAACACCCCCTTTGTTTGAACCCCAAGTCAGGCCAAGGTCTTGGAATGCGTCGCGGGCCTAGCAGTGTCCTGAAAAGTACAACCACCATTCCGTGCAACACCACCCCGAAGACCAAGCAACGAAATGAATGCGTGCTATGCATGCAAGAAAAAAAGGACCAGCACAGATGTTTTTCTTATTCCCCCTACCGTTCCGTACGCGCCATATCCATCCGATGCATCATCATCAAAAGACGCCAGGCAGATTGTTGTGGAGACAAGACCATGAGAAGGTGACCAAGTGGCCATGTTTGAGAAAAAAGAGTTCGTTAAGTACGACGTTGCATAACGTACAGATGAGAATCGAAATCAAAGGATTCGCCTTGATTGCGGGCTCTTGGTCAAGACTTTTGTACCAGCAACCGCGAGCACGTTGCCCAACCAAAAGGATATGCCATGGCTACCAATTTCACGAGACCAGTACGCAGTCTCGAGTTGGGAACCATGCCTGTTCCGCTCAAGGGAGAATGGCCAAGTGGACCTTTGCTTAGACGACAACCATCTTCTCGCCGAGGGGCTGCAGAACATTCTTGCCGTACTCGCCACCGTAGTTGCCTGATTTCGTTAGCTTTGGTTCTGATCTGAGATTCAATCCATGACTTACCCTGGTTCTTGTAGTTGCAGACGGTGTACCAGGCGTCAAAGTCGTACATCTTGCCAGCTGTGCATAGGACGGTAGCGCAGCCGATCTTGGTGGTGTCCTTCCAGACAACCTGGGTGAAGTGACCGTAGAGGTCGAGACCCAGGGTGCTGGGGGGGTTCTCCTGGCCGTAGTATGACCAGTTGTCCATCTCACTGTTGTACCACTGGTTGGTGATAGACTGAGCACCGCACTTGTTCTGAAGATCGGAGATATCGCCAGTGGAGCCCCAAGAGGCAAGGTTCTGACCGTAACCGCCGCCACCCTGTGTCCTGCGTAATGGGTTAGTGCCCGCAAAGTGCGTGACAGGATTCAAAAACTTACATGTCGTGTTCGAACACACAGGTCTCTGCGATGGTTTGGGCGTATCCGGCGAGGGTGGTGTCCCATGTAACAGCGTCAACGGAGTGGTTGGCACGGTGGAGGTTGTGGTAGTCGACCATAACGGCCTCGTAGCTCTGGTCCAGGGACAGAGAGCCGGTAGAAGAGCCAGACTCAGCGGCGGCAGTGGTCTCGACGGCGGCGGCGGCAGTGGTGGAGGTCTTCTTGGTGGTCTTCTTAGAAGAGGTGGTGGTAGGCTCGTCATAGGCGTCGACCCAGACGGTGGAAACGGCGGCCTCAACCTTTGAGGAGGAAGTGGTGGGAACAGCGGCGGCCTCAACGATAGTGGTGTACACAACGGGCTGGACGTATGTGGGCTTCGCCTTGGCCTTCATGCTGGTGGTAGTGGTGGTTGAGGGCTTGACCTCCTGGTAGACGTAGTCAGTGGCAGCAGCCGCCTGAACCGCATCCTCAGTAACGGTCACGGTGACGACCTCGTAGACCCATTCGGTCTCCATAGCACGCTTGTTGATGGGGCTGGCGGAAGCCAGAATGGCGCTAGCGCCGGCGATGAACACGGAAGCCTTCATTTTGATAGAGTTGAAGTTCTAAAGGCTCGTTAGTTTTCTGAATCCAGCAGAATAACGAGTTTTGTTGCTGCGAGGTAGTGATTCAATGCCGCTTGACACAGTGTCTCAACCTTGTCGGACGAATTGCTAAGGAACGTTGTTGGTGGAATGTGATCGAGGTTAATCAGAGCTGTGAGACCAATGTGTCGAGACATTCCGAGGTCCAGAACCCGTCTAGATATAGACTCGAGTCGTTGCATCACGAGCCAATGATGTGGGCGGTGCTTTGATGGCGATGGCGAAGTCATTGTGATCGAGAGCAGGGAGGTTGGACGTCTTTGTTGTGACAAGCATTGTTGTGGGTGGGGCTGAGAATATCGAAAAAGAAAACGGGTTGATGAAAGGCGGCAGCGGTCATGCGACAGGGGAAAGTGAATACATCAAATGCAACAACAGATCATGATACGTACTTTTGGTTTGGAATGATGTTGCTATCGGGGGATTTCAGATCCGGTCTGGAACGTTTGACAGCACTGCTGGAGGTAGGGATCCGTCTAGGATTCCGGGGCGATGTTTTTCGAAGGAAGGTACGTCTGAATAGACAAGGAGTGACAGGAAGAAACCGAAACAGGAAGTCGAAGACTGAGGTCTGGGGAAGTTGAAGTGGGACCTGAAGAGGTGACGGAGTCGACGAGTATTTGAGTGGTTCGACCAGCGGGTGGGTTTGGGGTTTAAAGGAATGGACTGCAATGTCTTAGACACGCAAAAAAGGAGTGGCAGAAAGAACGGTCGGGCCTGACTAGCGGTCGACAAGATACTCTGGGTGAGGAGGAGCGAGTTAAGGGAGAAAACGAAGGGATGGGCCGGAGCGGGAGCGACGTTAAAAAGGAACGGCGAGAGGTCGCGAGCGGTCGCAGCACGGCAGGGCCAGTGGGCAGGTCCAGGGACCCTGGATGATTGGACGAGGGGTTCCAGGGGGCGATGGAGATCCACAACTTCGACGCTTGCTCGCTCGCGGCACCCGACCGGGGGTGTGGGTGTGGGTGTGAGGATGAGGATGTGGAGGCGTGTGGAGGTGCTGGCGATGATGATGATGAGGAGGATCGAGAGCCCCAGCACGGGAAGCGCAGCAGGGAGAGGGCAGCCAGAGGGAGGAGATGAGGCTTGTTTGGGGCGCGCACGCCAAGCCGACAAACCGAGGAGCCCTTGCAGCGCCCCCAATTACAGGCGGTCCGGCGCCAAAATTAGCGGGGCACGACACCACCTCGCGGGCCCTTCCTGCAAGGTACCAGGCACCCCAGGGTTGGCCCCTGGCTCCCCAGGCACTGCCCGAGGCACCCGCTGTGGCTAGTGCGGTACGGGACGGAGTACCTCCCAGCAACTGCGTGTTGCCCCGGCGGCTGCTCTCAGGCGTCCATGCTTCTCCTCAGGCGCTTTGCGACGGGCAGCTGCAGCGCACTCGGCCGCCACCTGGCAGCTGTCCGATCAGCTGTCGGCCCCTCGGCAGCGTGCACGTCCAGCGCCACGGCCACTGCCCACCCCTAGATCCTGGGCTCTCCCTCGCTATCGCCTTCCACTGGCCCCGTCCACTGTCGCGAGAGACGCCAGACTCCAGGCCTGTAATCCCCCTGGCCTGCTTCCCACGAATTGCTTGCACCACCACTGCCAGAAACCAAGCGCTAGCGGGCCTGGCCATATTGCCATATTACGTCCATGGGCGCGCTCGAGCTGTCGCCTTGCTGGATACGACCCCAGGAAACCGCCTGGTGCCGCACCAGCGGTCGCTTACCAAATCCCAGGCCTTTTCTACACGGCATATTACTCTGCATGGGTGATGACTTCGCCGAGCTATCCAGCGCCGTCGAGGCTTCGACGGCTTGTAGTGGCGTGGATAACGCCCGACACGTCCCGGCCTCGCACCGCCTCTCGCATGGCACAGCTGCGAAGCCAGCTCGTCTCCTACTCTCCCCGTCCGCCAATTACGAGATCCTAGATCTCGTGGCCACAACGATCACAACCAGAACCTGCTGGATTACGTATGCGGTGTCCAGGCGTTGCGTGTGCTTGTTTTGCCCTGCAAGCGCGGCCTGCAAGGTTCAGCATAGTATCGGACCAGTCGATGCCCAGAGGCCCATGCCGCACCTCAAACCTCAAACAGAAGCGGGATGAGGCAATCAACGCACCCAGACCCTTGGCTCGCCCATCTAATTAATATCTCATCTACCAACCGCGCTGGCTCTGATTGCAAGGCTCTGCTGGGTTCGGTTAGACGTTTGATCGCCTTCCGTTTTGTTGTTGTTCTTGTTTTCCCACATTGCCGTCAGTCCACATCAATCTCCATTCGCATCCGGGGCGGCCGCCTTACGGGCAACATGCAGCTCTCAGCTCCTTTTCCCCATCATCGCAATTCGTGCTGAAATACGGTTACTCTACTTCGAACTGCATTCATCTCCGGCCAGCTAACACACCCGATCAGCATCCTGGCTATCCGAGTCGGGGGTCGAGTCAGTCCGGTCCGTAACGCCTGTTGGCTAATCAGCTAACTCGGCCGGCTGACATTCTAGATGCTGACTTTTGTATAGCTTTTTATCGAAGCCCCTCCTCCAAGATCCCCGCTTATCCGTACAGAGTACCTTTCAAGATGATCCATGATCCGCAATTGATCTTGATGGGGAATGGGCCCAGTTGTGTGATTTGATGACAAGCTGCCAGCGCGCCGTTAATTCCCAAGCGATGAACCAAGCATGAGCCAAGCTTCAAGAGGCAGGCCCATCGACATTTGCATCCACATTAGAATGAAGAGCCGGGAGGGATATCGGTCTCACTTGCCGCAACGCCTCACTCAATGTCTCCATACCTTATTAGGTAGCTGACCCTTCCGTCGGTGTGCCTTGTCTCTCAGCTGACCTGGGACAACAGTGTCGGAGGAGCAGGATGGCAACACGAACAATTGGACGCCAACCAACGAACACACTCTACTCACGACAGCTTAGACGCTCGGCGAGCAGTAGGGCAGTTACAGAATAGGGCAGTTGCAGAAACCGCCAGCACATACGAAACGCATTTCTATTGAGCCCAGCCCAACTAACTGACTGACTGTCTGAGCCGCCCTCGAAGATAGGTCACGCATTAATCTCATCTATGTTGAGACGCTGAGGCCCTAATTCCAACTACCCTCCGCCGCCCTTAAGGTACCTGCCCCGTACCCTGCAGAACAAGTGTGGCTTTACTCGATCTGAGCATGCAACGACATGCCCTGACGACCCTGGCGGGGATCATGGCCAGCGAATCCTAGAAGCCACTTCTAGCGCTGGATCCACCAAACAAGCTCCCCTGGTGATGCGCCGAGGGTGGAGAGCCGCATGCCTGGTGCCACAGCCAGTGGGCGAGCTCCGAGGGGTTACGTACCGACCCCAAGTGGAAGAGCAAAAATCTTCCCCCCTGACACGAACTGGGATGTGGGGCCCGGCTCTCCATCTCTCTGAAACGGCCTAAATGCAGCGGCTGCTCCCCTCTTCATCTCCCGCGCAGGAGCCATGTACCTCGCCCATCATGCGCCAGGAGTCGGTAATTTTGCTATGAGGTCTCCGGGTGTTCTTCACTCTAAAGACGGGAGAGGAAGTCGCGGATTGAAAGTGTACATCGCTAAAGACTTGGCGTGTTGGGAGAACCAACTCCAACCCCAGACTTGGTAATGCCGGTGTAAGTGTCAGTCCCAGTCCCAGTGCAAGCGTCTACGTAGTTCTCTTCCATCATCTCCCCGTCACCAACCAAGCGACTGCGGTACCTGGCCAGCTTGCCTAGCTTGATGCCCCATGCACTGGCGTGTCACAGAATGACAGCTTTCTGCAGCCCAGCTACACGGTCACGGCCCCAACCCGGCACTTCGCCGCGCTGCATCGCTCTTCTCGCCTCTCTCCGGTCACTTCACGGTTCCCTCGCATGCCAGAACACGAACCACTTGCAGCTGTGCGCCCATGTGCGTTTTCTTTTGCCCCAAACAACCAACATGACCTGATGATTCCTTCTGCTCTGTCCTGGTTTTGTTCTACCGACAAACAAACGCACCCCCTTCTGCAGCCTTTGACGCTAAATACTCGTATTGGAAGCAGTTGACCGCCACTGCCCAGACTTTGCAGAAAGTTTAAGACCCAACACAAAGAATGGCACCCCATTGCCCATCTCGTATATTTCATTGCCTTCACCTTGGCATACCAGTATCCATAGCAGATCGCTTCTCTCTTACTTCCATATCCGTCGTTTCTATTTGCTTTGTCTGTCCCAAGGCCCCCTCCCGTACACAACCCCCGTGACTCTTTCATCCCCGACGTGCCGCCTCCCAAAGCCATTCTCTCCGACCTTCGGGAATGCTATGCAGGGCTGCCTTGTACCACCCCAAGCTGTCATTGCCTGCCTGCTTCGTAACATGAGGCTTCCGCCCCAACGCTGCCCGCTTACTCTCCGCTGTCCGGGCCTGCCGGAGTCCATCGAGTCCAGACCGAGCCACCGGCAAAGTAGGCCGCGGCCAAGAGCTGCAACGTCAAGGGTCACCCCCATTGTCAGAGTCGATCAGTCACTTGAGTTGTCTATTCGATGCCGAGCGTCCCCGCACACTTGCATCGCTCGTTTATCGACCTAGGCGGCCGTCTAGGGGCCGCGGCTGTCTCGCTAGGGTTGACATGCCCGGAAGCCCGACAGTGGAAGGGCGCCTCGTGCAGCAACGGTCGTCTAAGGCATATTATCCCCCCAGCACACATCACCAATCGTCCGAACCTCGCAGTTTCACCGATCCTGGGCAGCAGCCCCGGGCCAGACCCAGCACTGTGCTTCGTCCACGTTACAATGCGTGAAGGACGCCGTGGCGATGGCTGAAGCTGGCACCCCTCGAAGAACTCCGAGCTCGTCGATGCAATGGAACACAGAATATGGGTGACCCTGTGAAGTGACAAAGCTCAACATCCCCTCCCTCAATATCCACGTTGCTTGAGCTTGTCATCCTAGCATCGCACAATCCCGGATCCAAGAATCCCGGCGACTCTCCACCTGCCAACATCCCCCTTTTACCCTCTCATCACACTACAGCCCAGTGTCTCGCCACCTTCAACTTCTCCGGGGACAACAGACGAAAAAAAACCAACTCCCAACAGAAGGAATACGGCTATCAGCATCCAAGGAAGGACCCTGCCTTCTGGCACGACATCCCGCCTCGAGGCCCTCTCCCTGCTCAGCCAATCTCGGCCAGTGTGCGCCACTAGGGAATCGTCGTGGCACAGAGGGGTGGTCTGCAATTGCCATGAATGGTGGATTTACTCGACAACTACCCAACACAATATAAACACACTTCCTTGTCCCGGCCGAATAGCGGTAAGTCGCCGTATGCCGCCGAGCTATTCGTTAAGTCCAAGTCAATCGATTGCCCCCTCTTCACTGATCAATGGATCTCCACGTCACGCATCCGCAGCCACAGCTCGCGTATACTTGCATTGAGTTGCAGAAACAAAACCCACCAACCGGCCGCATATCCCTCGAAACGAAAAGGCGAACCGTTTCGAAACTCTTTTCGTCTGCATCCTGTCTCTGATGGTTTTGTTTTTCTGCCTCTTTGCTTGCGCCCCCTCCGTGCCCCTAGATTCATCTGACCTCGCCCCGACCAACCAGCAGCTTTCGCCACCCAGACGTCAAACCTAAGGAAGGGCCTGTTTCACGAAGCGCAGAAGCGCGCAATTGCCCAAACTTCCCTAAACAAAGAATAAAAGAAAAGAAACCCGTCGCAAGCCACTTGAATAGAACTATGACCGATTCTTTCAGCTCCTGCGGCATAAGGTTGCTTAAGTGGCAGGCTCATCACGGCTCAAGCACAGTCTCAATGCCACGCACTATGTTATGCCAGCCAGTCGCCTCAGACAAGGTTTAAACCCAATGTTGTAATCCCTCGGTCATGATCTATGTCATATCGTCGTCAAAGTTCTCGTTACTATGTTTCAGCCGGACGCCGGAAATGTCACTTCCAAGCCTCGGGATCTCGGGCGCCTGAGCGAACTGGTGCATTCGGGGAAGTAGTCTCCCGCTGCCCGGTGCCAAGCTCAGTCTTCGCCTTGCCCAGCTTCAGCCCTCAGCCCCGCACGCCTCGCAGTTATCGTTTGTACATATTCGGACGATAAATCATTCGGTATCACAATGAGCGTTCCGTATTAATTTTGTGAGACTCGAAACGACGGTTGGCCGCACCTCCGAAGCCCGAGTGGTTGTCGTGTCCCCCGAAACCCTTGGCTCAAAAGCGGATATCGGTTTGTCAGTTTTGCTTGGTCGTTGAAGTAGCCAGCCCGTGTTGCCTGTATGATGCGATAGCCAATAATTCCGCCAAGACAACTGTTGTGCTGGATGATGAGACGTCTTAGCTCTGGTCTTGCATTCGCGGAGTGGTTAACCGATCTCCCATCGGCGCTCTAGGGTAAGCCTCGCGCAAGCAGCGTTAAGCACTCTCAGGAGCAAAGCCACATAACTCCCTCCTCTCTTTATTGGAAACACTTGCATCTTCGACCTTGTCCGTTTTGTGTTACAGCGGAGAATGCGCTGGCGGTTGGTAGACACTAACGTCGTTTTCCCGCCTGATGTATCAATTTATTCCACACATGCCCAACTGGAGTTTCATCAGGCGCCTAGCTTACTATGTGGCTGGGCTCATCATTTTGGAGTCTTGCTCATTGTAATACTTCATCAACCAGCTCCCTTAAGGCATGAGGGACAGCTGCTCATTGAAGGCGAAACGTAACAGGCTGCATGGGCAGCATATCTATCTGCGATGGCTTATGCTAGATGTTGTCTGATGTAGTGTGTCAAGACGAACGATTAATGCATTATGCTCATGCTCTAGTCAAGACCCCATCCATTGCGTTAGCGACCAGCCTCTCGACTTTGCGACCTGCAACTGCATATCCAAAATGATAAGTAAAGCTCTGGACATGGGCATTCATTGGACAGTTGACTGGGACAGACCATGGGTTGACGCAAGCATGTCCAGGGTTGCGCTATGACTCCAGGAGGTATTGCAAAGCATTGGGCGCCGTTGGATATGCCCCCCCAAGTGGTCTGTTGACATGTAAAATGTTAGGGCCATGTCAATCACACGACAGCGCTGCCTGTATAATGCAGCCTCTCCTGACCAAGATGCCCGTGATCATCAATATCCGAAAGTCGAGTTTGGATCCTCGCCACACATTTAACTTCTCAGGCAGATGTTTTACGGACCCAATGGTGATGGAATGTTTGTTTGGTTTCAATGATTGGCAATCCACTCTCTTCGATTCATTTGCAAACGTACATGATCGATCCCGATCTTCCGTAGTTCCCTGCTCCTTATTGCTTCGCCTCGCTCTGCCCAGCGATGAAGGGCTTGCCGTCGCCAGGTCCAATGCGCACATCGGAGAAGATCTGCGTCGGTCGCAGCTCAACGGGGGTGACGTTCTTGGGCTGGTCGGGGATCTTCTTCTCGAGTTTCTGCCAGAGAGGGTTAGTCCCGGAGGGTTCCACGCCAGGCCTGGGGGGATCGGATGGTGACGTACCAGGTTATCGAAGACGCACTTGTTGAGCTTCCACTCAGCAGGGCGGCACTGCCACAGCTGGTGATTTCGGTCGTCGAGGCACTCCCAGTGTTTGCGGAACTCGGCGAGGCAGTGGGTGTTGATGTCCTGGATGCTGTTGGATAGATGGGTCAGCGGAAATCCACAATTATCTCAAGGCACAGCCATTTCTGAAGATAATGATTTGGAAATTGATATTCGGAGAGAAACGTACACGCTGGAGGCACATCGGGTGACTCGTCGGCCCTCCTTCAAGCACTCAAACTCTCCCCGGCCGGGGTTCTCAGTCTTGCACTGCATGAAGTCATCGTTGTAGTCGCGGCATCGGGCGCCGATGAAGAAGGAGGCCGAGAGCAGCGGCGCAGAGCTGGCACCGATCTCCTTGACAGCCGGGATGTTCTCGGGGAGAGGAGTGGTGTCAATGAGCAACTGCTGATTGAACCTGGACCGGAGGGTTAGCCATTTATTTTCCCACCATTTCCACGCGGCCCAATTGCCCTTATGCGGCGGCTGGGACGATTCGGCGGGTCGGCGGTCGGTGAGGGGACGTACTGAGCTCTTCGGGAGGCCATGGTGCTGGTGTTTGCGCTGCTGGACGACGAGCGTTGCGGTGATTCGAGATGCGGGAGTGGGAAGGTGAGGTCGCTCGGCTAGGATTTGACTGACTGATGTCGGAATTGGCTTGCTGTGATTGGTCGGCGGGTGGGGCGAGGCTACGAGGTAGGCTGCGGTTGGGCCAAGGCCAGCCAAGCTATGTTTTCGCGTTCCAGCTCCAATAATTTTGAGGCTCCAACAAACAAAGCGCACCACGACTGTCCTCAGCCTTGCCACGACGACGTCCTCCACCGCGACCGAATACCGTCCTAGATCATCAGAATATAGGTGGGAAACTCGTCGCGACCGGTGTGGAGTGATTTATCCCTTGTCAAGTCGCTACACCCTCAGCCGACAGCTCCAGCTCTGGAGCTGAGACCAACCTCCGTCAACACCCCGATCTCGGATTTTGCGACACCTCACAACCGCCGCCATGTCGCTCTTCGGCCAAGCCAAACCCTCGCTCTTTGGGCAAACTCAGACCGTACAGACTCCGCAACCGGTACAGCCCTCGAATTTTCCCTATTGGCAGGGTCAGAATCTAAATGGAACTCAGCAGCAGGCAAACACACTTGGCGCCTCCATGGTCCAACAACAACAGTCTCAACAGATGCCCACGCTGTCCCAGTCACAGGCTCAGCTGTCCAACTCACTATGGCAGCCCGGAAAGGAGACCCCCCGTATGTCTTTTGTTTATACTCACGAACAGCGCTGGATGACATGACACTGACTCTTGCTCCCAGACCAGAAGCCTATCCTCGAGCAGATGAAGCTCGTGACCGAGAAATGGGATCCCGCGAATCCTAACTGTGTCTTCAAGCACTACTTCTACAACAAAGTCGACGAGTCCCACGTCCCCTTCTACAAGCCCCAAGCCCACGAGGACCCCCGGGAGTGGGAGGAAGCTTTGCAGAACAAGCCCGCGCCGGGATTCATGCCCGTTCTTTGTTCCGGATATGCTGGCGTCGCCGATCGTCTCAAGACACAAAAGCGAGCCGTGTCCGACTTCAACACGCGCCTTCACCAGGTTAATGGCAGCCTCGATGCAATCCTCCAGCGCCACGAACTTGAGACCGAGGTGCGCGCCGTCGCAGCGCGTCGACGACAGACGACCATCAGTGAGCGGTGCCTGGCACTCGCCGCTCGGGTCCAGGTCCTGCGGAATCGTGGCTATGCGTTGAGTGGCGACGAGGACGACCTGAACAGCCGGCTACAGAACCTGGAGAGGGAGGTGCAGGATCCCGCCGTTGGTGCGCGGGAAGAGGAGCTGTGGAGCAGACTCATCGTTCTGCGAGGGTATGCGGATCAGTTGAACAAGGAGATGGATAAGCCTGCAGGAGGAGATGGCGAAGCTCTGGACCCCGAGTTGGAAGGCAAGGCGAAGAGGGTGAGTTAACAAACTTCCCCTGACAGAAATCCCCGAAACTAACATGATGTCATCTAGGTATTGGAGGACTACGAGAAGCAGATTCAGCATCTGAAGAAGGAGCTCGAAGCTTTGGGTGTCGACTACACGCAGTGGGAAAAGGGCAGAAACCCTCACTCGCGGTCGAGGTAATTGGGATGGGTGGTGGCGCCCAGTCAGCATTGGAGCGAAAAGAGGAGTATTTGGACTGTTTCAAGGTTGTTTTTGGTTGCATCATGTGGAGAATAAGAACAAGCCACCCACGGTCGTTCATTCTGGAGATATCTGGTGGTCGAGCCGTCTTTGGATGAACATTCGGGTGCCTGACTCGATAATAAACCAGTCGGGGTTCTCAACGTGTTTCAGTGCGCAGTGCGCATCTATTGAACGTGTATGTGTTGGGAGGAATATAGAGATGCATAGACCCATCCATGCCCTCGTATAATGATACAGATTTAGACCGTAAACCTCCTGTCGTCTATCCAATCCGTCCGTCTATATCGTACAGGGGAGCTCCATCATCTGAACCCCCACAGCAACAAGGCTCGTGCCTGTCGGCTACTTCATGCATCCTCCGAATCGAGTCGGAGCTGTGCCGTCATTGCTCGTAGCGGGGTGGTGGGTGGTACATGGTAGATGTGACACATCTAGAAGACCTTGCTGGCAAGGTCGACAACGAAGGGAGCTGGCGGGCCAGTTAGCGACACGCAGGATAGACAGAGCAGCGGGCGGGCATACAAAGGTACAGAAGGACAACGGTGGCAACGGCCTGCTGGACGGTGAAGTTGGCCTCGGCCTCGAGGGCTCGGATCTCCTCCTGGGACTGCTGGGGGGGCGCGACTGCGAGGGGGTTAGCTGCTGGCGGCCAATGGCGGGGAACACGGGGCGGCCGTACATCCACCGAACATTTTGTCTGCTGAGTCTGTCGACGGGGTTGTTGTAGAATGGAAGCGGTGGGTCCGAGGTCGAGGAAGCACGATTCTGGAGGTTTTGGCTGGGCTATGATGCTATCGCGAATTCCGGTGCAGCGAGTTGTCGAGTCCGCCATAAAAAATTGGCACCTGCATGGAGTTCATACGCACGGACCATCTTTGGGTTTGTGGCAAGCGCTTCCAGTTTTCGGCCCGAGCAGGCCCGGAGGCGGCGCGGGCTTATCAGATATCAGATAAGGAAACCCGCCTGTTGCCCTGCTGGCGCCGGACGGGAAGAAGGAGCACTCTCCAGTCACATAACTTAACGAGTAAGTAGGAGTGGTTATCAGGGTGTCTGTCACGCTTTGTCCTTGCTTTCATTTTCTTTCTAGACATAGATACAGCATGTCGAATCTTCTGTGATTGCTCTAGGTATATCCTGTGCTTGTTCTTCTTTGTCTCTGAGTAGCCCTGGAAGTCAATCTGCATCGAGGTCGTGCCCAGTGGCGACCAAGTTAGGCTCAACGGAACGGAGCCGTATCGCAACTCATATTGAGATAATCATCCCTTGCAATAAATCGATCTCGTCAGCACTCAATTGCTCAAGAAGAGATAATTTCTACACTCTAGCGTCGAGACAAGTCCTTGTCCGCACGCGGGGCCTCTCTGCTACGTCGCTGGCGGGCACCAATCCGTCTCTCCGACGCAAACCTCCAGTAAGCCATATGTTGGCGCAGTGAGTTTCCACGGCCAGCTGGCTCGTCGATGGAACTCCGATGCACCTAAACCCGTCAGATCGCAGAGAGTAAAGGTTCGTTCCGAGCCTGTCGACGATCTCAAGTGGTGGACTCGTTTCCCTCCGAGGCACGTCTGACTTCGAGATACGATATTGAAGACATGCTCAAGACTCTAGGCCGTGGAGCTGAGGCTATGGGCGCATTAATTTTCCAAGTCATCCCAGAGGATGTCATGCTCCCCCCAAATCTAAAATCCAGGATAGAACCTTCACCAAGACCGCTGCCGCTAACGTTTTCAACTATCCTCTTCGACCTGAATTCTAGCAGGGTATGGATGAATGGCAGAGGCTACTATAGTATCACCACCCCTCCAGTCATCAAGAGAAACATTCTTGAGAACCCGGCTGGTACACCGGCTATACTCCTTATCAGCCCGAAATCAGCCAGGGCCGTCTGGAGTCGCTGCTCACTTCCAGACAGTGGTATCACCATCGCTAATGCAAGTCTGTCTAATGAGGGAACTGCTGCTGCTGAGGCCATGACTATGTCGATGAGCAGTCTGCCAGCTTCGCGGGCCAAACGACCAGGCAAGACGTATGTCGTGTCCCACCTGGTGCACCGTGGCAGCCCTGGGTCATGGAAGGTCGAGCCTAGGGATTCGGCATTAAGCTCCAGCAGATGGACGTATCAGCCCCTGATGCGGCTCAGAAATTTGAGATCTGGGTGACGACCTGGTTGGCGTTCTTGTCCAGTATCCGGACACAAACGGAGGAGTGCACGACTTCCGAGAACTTGCGAATGTGGTTCACAATCAGGGCGCGATTCTCAGCGCGGCCACCATGTGATTCAAAAATATTTTGAGAAAAAGGGTGGTTCCAAGCGTGACATTTGCTTCATCCCTGTGTCGGCACACGGCACCAACTCCGCGTCGGCTGCCAGGACTGCCATGCAAGTTGTTCCCATCAAGTGCAACACCGCAACTGGTAACCTTGATATGGCGGATCTCGAGGACAACTGCAAGAAGCATACCGACGAACTGGGTGCTATTACGATCACATATCCTAACACCTACGGTGTTTTTGAACCAGATGTGCGAAGGGCCTGCGAACTTGTGCCTGAGCACGGAGGCTTCATGTACGTGGACGGTGCCAATATGAACGCCCAGGTCGGTCTCACCTCGCCTGGTGCAATTGGTGCTGACTTCTGCCACCTCAGTCTGCACAAGTTCTGTATTCCCCATGGCGGAGGCCGGCCTGGCGTTGGGCCTATCTGTGTTGAGGGCTTCCTCAACCCTTTCTTGCCACATCACAAGGATGAGTCCCAGATCTTGAGCGCGGCTTTTGGGAGTGCCAGCATCTTGCCCATCAGCTGGATGTCCATTTCTGCAATGGGTAAGTCCAGAGCACGACAATATTGAAATAGCCTACTGTTGCTGACTTCAAATACCTAGGTGATGATGGCCTTCTCAACGCCACCAAGACTGCCCTTCTCGACGCCAACTACATGCTTACCCGTCTCAAAGACCACTACCCCATTCTCTATATGAATGCTAACGGCCGTTGCGCGCACGAGTTTATCGTTGACGCGCGGCCCTTCCGCGAGTCGTCGGGCATTGAAGTTATCGATGTCGCAAGCGTCTCCAGAACTAGAGCTTCCACCTGCCGACCATGAGCGGGCCTGTCCCCAACACTCTGATGATTGAGCGTACAGAGAGTGAGAGCAAAGAGGAGATGTACCGCTTCGTTGATGCCATGATCAGCATCCATGAGGAGATCCGCGAGATTGAGGAGGGTAAGCAGCCCCGTGAAGGTAACGTCCTCAAGAATTCGCCTCACCCCCAGAGGGATCTCATCATGGGCGACGGTAATAGCAAGTGGGAGCGGCCTACTCGCGGGAGAAGGCTGCCTACCCTCTGCCATACTTGGAAGAGAAGAAGTTCTGGCCCTCAGTTAGTCGTATCGACGACAGTAAGTTTCCATCTGATTCTGTATATCCCTTTTACGATCATCTAACCAACAATCTTGTCTAGAATACGGCAACGTCAATCTCTTCTGCACGCGCCCTCCTGTTGAGGACACCACTTCTGCGTAAAAGCTTCAGAAATTGAATATGGGAAACGACATGGTACCCTATCGAAAAGCCAGAGAAGATAAGCCTGTAGTATCCCTCCCTGTTGAGATGCTGTTCGCCTAAGAAATCGTCGCTGGATCAATCGATCTTGTGCTTGCGAATTACGCAAGTTTGTTAATTATGTTTGCCTTTGACGGTCACATGGAAAGAACGCATCCCGACATGACAGGCGAGGATCGGACCCCCGAGTTTGGGAAGATTACAATTCAACATCATAGGCACTTGGTGGCTACGGAAGCCAACTAGTCTCAACATTGGTATAAAGAGAAAGTGGTTTGTGGCATTTACATGCGATGACAGTTACAAAATGAACTATGTGCTTTGCTTGTTTGGCATCGTCATCCGCATCGGTTTTCTGGTTGAAGCTTCTTCTGGAGCGGATTAGGCTTCCTGTAGTCCCTGAAAAATACCACGGAAGGAACATCAGTGATGTTGGCTACCATCTAGGGCATCATCCTCTCGGATTGATTTTGGATCATTGATTGTCGTAATACCTCGCAGTCTTCCACCTTCTATGTACGCTAATGTGCTCATTAACATGCTTTCTTTTAACCCACTTTGACACCATCACCTCCTAAAGACCAAACTCAGGGCGTCATCACCAACCGTTACTACCTCCTCGCCAGTCTCGCCATGGACAAAGCCCATGACACCACCCTCCTCGCCGCCGCCTCCCTTCTCCTCGCCGTCGGCGTTGTAGTTCTTCTTTTCCATTAGGGGGCGGTGGCCCTTCCACTCCTTTTCGGCAGAGCCTCGGCCGCGCAGGTCCCAGCGGCGCACGACGCCGTCCGTACCGCAACTGGTCAGCAGCCAGGTGTTGCGGATGAACTCAACCTTGACGACGGAGTAGTCATCGTGTGCGGACGGGATGAGGCGGCGCTGAGAATAATGTGTCATGTCATAGACAGCGATGGAGCCGGCGTTGGAGCCGGCGGCGAGAAGGGTCATGGGAGGAGCTACTGAGGCGATGGTTACGCTGAGTGTTTCGATCCCCTCATCGCTATGCGCAAAGGACCCGATAATCTCGCCACCAGCCTTTGGTTTGACAGAGGCCTTCTTACCACGAGCGGCGAAGCGCGGGAGAGAAATGATCCTGATGAACCCACCACCCGACTTCGATTTTTCATCACGAGAACAACCACCACCAACAGCAACCCAGGCGCCATGGGGATCCATAGCAATGGAGAGCAGTCCGCCCTCGACGTAGAACTTTTCATTTGTGCTGGTTAAAGCGACAAGAGGCCGGTCTTTGCCTGCACCCAGGCCCTTGGCAGCGGCCTCGCCCCAGACATCCCATACGTAGAGGCTGCTGTCTTGGGCGACGGTGGCTAGTAGTAAGCCGTCATGGGTCCACGCACCCGCAGTGGAGGCGCCATTGTTGCGGACGTAGCAATTCACCATCTCGAGAGGGTTGTTGGTGTTGGAGGGATCGATCTTGTAGACCCAGACGAGGTGGTCCCATTCTTCGGGGTTGGATTCTTCGGAGTCGGATTCTTTGGAGCTGGATTTCTTGGGTTTGGTGGTGGTGCCCACGGCGATGTGGTTGGGGTAAGCAGGGGACGGGCAGGGCTCGATCCAGTTGATCTCGGTCGTTTCCTCGTTTTCGCCGAACAATTCCATCTGGAAGGGCGAACCAGGCTCCACCGTGGCCTTCCAGGCTCGTAAACGGCCATCGTAACCGCCACTGACGAGGAATTCGCCTCTGGGGAGTGTCCAGGCCAGTGCGTTGATCGTATCCGAGTGGCCCTCGATGCTGACGAGCGAGTTCAGCTGGGTGTTCTCGCGGGCGGCAGGGTCGCTCTCGTAGCTAGCAGGCAGGACAGGGGGTGGCGGGATAACGGAGGTGTCGAAAACCCAACCCACACCGCCGTCTGACTGCTCCCTGCCGGCAGAGCCTCCAACAGCGATGAGGCTCGGGTGGACGGGGTGCTGGGCGATTGAGAAGAGGGAATGTGGACATTCATCAAAGTAGGCGATGGAGTCGTTTTGGATGATCTCCTGCTGGCCATCGTCATCCGAGTCCATGGCGTGGTCATCGTCCTCGGGAATCTCCTCGGCGATGTCGTCTGCGTCGAGCATTTCGTCCATGTCGTCGATCTGGAGGTCGTGGGGATCGCGGGGTTCGGAGGAGGACATGATGGCGGGGTAAATTTGTTGCAGCTGTTGAAGGCAATGAGATGGAGAACGAGCCCTGGGGAAAAAAGGCTGCCCCTGAGAAAAGTGTTGACTGCGTTTTCAGTCCGTCACGGGCGTGGTATGCCGGGTATTTATTGCCCCTTGGAGGCGTTGCTTGATGCTGTTGCTTGATAAGCAGTTGGATAGTAATTTTTTTCTCGCCGGTGGTTGATTTTTTTCACTCGAAATGCGGGGTGGCGGTGGCATAGATTGCTACCCCTGCTCCATCATAACCTTGCCACCTAAGTTACATGCTAATTAACGCTCACAAGAAAGGCTTAAGTCTATTTTATTTGTACGTACTACTCAGTGATACTGAATGCGGTGTACCTTGGTAAAAGAAGTGCCCAAAAAGAATCACCGCCTTGGATGTTACTCCGCGCCACCATGACTGACCTTAGCTCCCGAAAACCGCAACATCAGGTCACGCACCTCAGGCGACGCGCTCTGTAGTGCAGCCTGAGTATTGGCCCCCTTTTCAACGAGTTGCTTGAAGATCTCGATGGACTGTGGGAGTAGTCCTTGCCAGTTATTTATCCACCTCTGCCAGGCTCGTAATATTACCTGGAGCGCGGTTCCGTGAATTTCATCCTGAATCTCCATATCCGCACCATTGTCGAGGAGGAACTTGACAGTCTTTGCACACATTGAAACTGTTGCTGCTATGAGCGCAGTTTTAGGTACCCTGGTCGAGAGAGCTTGCAAATTGATGTCAGCACCCTTTTTTAGGAGTAGCTTCACGACCCCCGTACGGCCTTGAGAAGCTGCTGCTTGGAGCGCAGTCCCCTGCTCTCCTGGCTCATTGAAAGCGGCCCCGTGTTCAAGAAGGAACTTGACGACCGAACGATGCCCTCTAAACGACGCCTGATGGATTGCACTTCTTCCGACACCAGCCTGACAATTAATATCGGCCCCGTGTTCAAGAAGAAACTTGACGACCGAAACATGCCCTTCGAGCGACGCCTGTTGGATTGCACTTCCTCTGGCGCCAGCCCGACAATTAACATCGGCCCCGTGTTCAAGAAGAAACTTGACGATTGAAAGATGTCCTCCACACGACGCCTGTTGGATTGCACTTCCTCTGGCGCCACTCCGACAATTGACATCGGCCCCGTGTTCAACAAGCAGCCGAATAATTTCTTCGTGCCCCTTCGCTGATGCGTATTGAATTACTGAGTCAACACGAGAATGGTGCGGACTTGTATCGGCTCCCCTCTCTAGAAGAAATTGAACAATTCCAATGTGACCACCTTGCGATGCACCCTCTAACGCACTTGGGCAAGGTCGTAACAGTTTCCTGTTCCTAGCCCGGAAAGACGTTAACGGCAGGCAATATATATCAGTTCGGGGGTGTCTTGCATCGATATCAGCTCCTTTCTTAACAAGCAGTTGAACAACCTCCATGTGACCCTCTTCTGATGCTGTTGCCAAGGGGGTCTCTTTCCAAGCACTAAACTTATTGAGTGACCTAGCAAGCCTCTTTTTATCTGTTGTTGAAGTACAGCTTAGACTTTTTTCACTCAGAATCTTGGACAGAATCGAGTGGAGATTGTGGAATGCAAGATAGTGCAAAGGCGCGTTGAGATAATCACTCGGAGGATGTCCAAGGTGCGCCCTAGATGGAGGCTCTAGATCTTGAAAAAGCTTGAGAGCCTGGATCTCGATAGATTGCTTATTGCCTCCATCCTTGAAATGGTCTGGCCAATGTGTCGAAGAGTATCTCAAGAGATCAGACTGGCCTTCGACCCATTTCAACTTTGGCTGTAGGCAGATAGTCAAGCAAATACTTGCAATTTGATTGTGGACGTCTTCCTTTACGATACCGAAAAATTCGACATCCTTGTGTTGTTTTATCCGATCAGATTCCAGATATTCCTGGAGGGAAAAGTGCGCGATACGGATGGTTACCGGACCAGGGATCGATTGCAATTCAGTAAATCCAGGGCAGACTTCTTGGAGGGCAACCTCGTCCATGAGCCGACGCTTGGGGTTGAATCTTGGAGTCGCACCGAGTTCCACAGCGATGCCGCAAATGAGTTCCGTGACTTCGAGTGGTCTCTTGGCGTAACAGAGCAACATAAGCATACGCTGAGCATAAGCCTTCGCATGTGATGGTATGTTGGCGAGCATGCGTCTGTACGTTTCGTCCAAGGTGTCGGGTAAGGAGTAAAGCAGTTGGTCAAGTAAATCCTCGCTCCGTGGACAGCTAGCTAGTGCTGTAAACTGACACTCCACCCATCGGAAACTACGAAACAAAAATAAAGGTTAGCAAGTCTCTTTGAGTCGGCATAACGGAAACATACACTCCCTTAGCGCGCTCGGTGAGCACAGCTTCGATCCGGCCATAATGCTGTTCCCATTTTCGCAGTCCTCTTTTCTGCCGGAGACTCTGGGAGATGAAATTCGCAATGTCAGTATCGACATTTTTGTTTCTCATATCAATCGATTCTTTTGGCTGCGCACGTAGCTCCTCCCGAATGTCGATTTCGTCACGACTTGTCACGAGGAGATGCAAGCCGGGTTCCGACCACTCGCGCATCTCTGCCAGGGCCTCCAACATAGCGCTGCGGTGCTTATCACGCGGGCTTTCATCCAAAGCATCCAAAAAGATGTATGCGTCGTCAAATCCGCGTATGAGCTGACGAAGACAGGCTAAGAAGGCCTGGTCCGGCGGCGTGGAGTTCTGGTAGCTACCATGTAGACTGGAGAGAAGCGCATAGCTCTTCAACTGGCCTGATAACTGCAACACCAGAGAACGGAGCATGCTTGAAATGTCTTGCTTGCGCTCGTCACTGAAAGTGAAGAAGAAGAATGCGATGCCGACGCGTCGTGGTTTGGAAATCTGGTATCGATAGGTATGCTGAATGGCCGTGGAACATAACACTGATTTACCACATCCAGCAAACCCATTAAGCCACAGGAGGGAATTTGGTTGGGTAAGCCAAAGTTTGAACGAAGCGTCTTCGAGGAGCCAAAGCCCTGTACTGGGATGTTTCTTTGCGCAAGCAGCATTAAAATTGATGGAAGGGTCGGGAGCCTGGAGCCATTTGTGAATGTTGTCGGAGACCTGGCCAGCTCTGACCAAGTCAAGTACTGCCTTCATGTCCCCAAGATCGTCTTTGACACGTGCTAGGTCCTTCTGCAGCATCAAATTCTGTGCTAGAGACAGGTGGGTGAGCAGTCCATCGATACCAGCTTCAAGATTTCGCAACGTGTTCTGTCGGAATGGGTAGGCGAGAACACGGCCTGCAGCCCTTGCTTTGGATAGGATGTCGTCGGCGGGCTTTTCTTGGAACTTTTTGACCTTATCTTGGAGATCTTCGATGTATTCCACACAATTTTCGACCAACGCTGCAATTCTCGCACGTAGCGAGGCCGACTCATCCAGAAATTTCGGGTTCTTCATTTGATCATGCAGAATCTGAAGAAGTTCCAGGAGTCCTCCAAGTCGTTTGGTCGTGTCTGCGGCATTGGACTCCAGGTCCTTGACCGCCGTGTAGTAGTCGAAGAGGTACTGGGTTGCCTGGATGCCGAGCGAAATAACCCCAACGGCGCTCCCGGCCACACCGAATGCTTCCGCCATGGCAGGATAAAATTTCCTGCGACCGCCGGGAAAAGGGGGCTCTCTGATTGTAACAAATGGGGAGGATACTGAGGAAGTAAAGTGTGGAGGGATACAAGGCAGACATGCATTTATAGCACATTGCACACGGTGTGATCGCTGGCACAGGCGGCCTGGCAGTTTAATTTGTTTGACTGGTCTACTTGCATGTCATCGATATGTAACGAAGTACGATCTGTTTGACTACAGTGGATGTTATTGCTATAATAAATGCATGGACACCTGCGGCGGCTGTGTTTGGATCGCCCTGTACACCATTGGCAGCTTGCTGAAGAGGCACCTAAGGGGAGACCGTCAAAGAATATTGACAGATCGAAACACAAATTTACAAGTCATCTTATTAATGAACTCATAATTTTGGCATACTCTAGAAGACTTTGATTTGAGACTGTGCAGTTGAGAGTTGCAAATTGCCGACAGCACCAACCGGATCCAAGAATTGCCCTCGCCATGGTTTCCAGAAACTCCCCCCCCCCCCCCCCCCCCCAGCGATTCCTCGTAGAATAGGCGAAAGAGAAAGTGATGAAGATATTTTTAGATCTCTTTGTTGTCATTGCTGGCGCGTATCTTCATACCGCTGGTAGAATTGTTGCTCGCTTCGCGTCTTGTCCTCCCTCCCTCAGTTTGCTCCCTTAGTAGCTATCTGTACTTTCCATATTATGTGACCCATTCATGTCATGACAGTGGCGTATTATTACTATCTTCCGTTGATGGTGCGTTTGCCCTGATCCCAATAGAAACACCCATGGCTGGTGACACAGGGTCCGCTCTATCAAAACTGGTGTGCTCATGCCTCAGGGGCGGTGACACCGCATACATCCTCCTGAAATCCGTCAAGCTCACTTCTGGCGACGACACCGCTTCGTTCTGAGTCGCCTAGGCGAAATGTCGGTGGTCTTGGTGGTAGCGGTGACAGCATGTCACTCGGAGTATCGCCGGGCAGCTCCGGCATGACTGAGGGTGCCCGCATATCCTGCGACAGAATCTGCGTCGACCCGTAAGGTCAAAGAGCTCGCTTGCGATGGGCTTGGAGGTACCTCCTTGGGAAATTCGGTCTCTGTTTGGCGGCCGTGAAGTGTTGCTCGTGCTGTTTGCGTCGGCCGAACCAGAAGAAGACGGCGCTTAGCATAGCCATGGGGACGAGGGTATCACGACGGCGATGGTGATCCTGGCCCCTGTCGCCAGGCAGCCTGAGTTTTTAGCAATGATAGAAATTTTGATGCTGATATAAAGCGCGAATACGTCGAGCTGGGTTTGCATTCAGAGTTTCCGTATCAGTCGAGTTGTCGCTCGTCTCGTAAACCATCCGTGTTTCTTAAGCACTGATGGCTTGACCGCACGTCAAGGTAACCGCCGTATTTTTGGTCACCTTCGTCGTCATGACTAGAAGTATCGTCTTATGGGAGCCGGCGCTGCAGGTGCAGAGCTGCAGGGTCCCGTCGGCCAGCGTATTCGGATATTTCACGCTGGGTCAGGACCAAATCAACACGGGTTGGGCAGCACGTCACTGTGAAAGCGGTGGCGTCGATGCTGATCAGACCTGATGCAAGACACGGGTGCCGCGTAGCCCGTGGGTGATTCCAACCAGACAAGTAGCAAACCAAGGTAAAGGCGCTGGGGAGGCAGGAGGACGCATCGTCGACACCGACGATTGTTTTGCTCATGATGGCCTTACAAGGTGCAGCTGTGAGGTTCTCCGTGGGCAAGCTCCCACGATTGTAATGTTGTTCATAGTGAAGGTGGACAATATTTGCCGTCTACTGGTTGCTAGTTGACCTCCTACTCCCGTCAATATATGCACTAGAGGGCGCCCTTTATTTCGGCTTTCTCAGTTGATCCGGCCGCTTACCCTACTTGACCGTCTTCCCCTCAATCTCAATGGAATCTAGCTGGTTTGCCGACCGTCGTCCGGTGTTGTGATGCGTTTGCCCCAACAGTAAGTTTGCGTCTTATGTAGAAAGCCTCGCTGTGATGCAGAATGGCCCAAACTCGTGCTCGTCGCCAACTGAGAAAGACAAAAGACAACACAAATGGGCAAAAGAATTAAGTCACAAACAGACTCTAGGAAGAACCCGCCGCGTAGTCTCCATGCCAAGCTGGTTGGCCCATCATGAGCTATCCTGAGCAATCATTTTTCTGCGTGGAACTACTGCACCGTGCCTGTGTTGGCGTTGCCCTTGCGAAATCACGACCAACACCACCGACAAACGGCTTCGCCGTGGATGTCATATCCAGGATCCCTGCGGCAATATCACGAAAGGTGGATGGAGCACGTTGAGAAACACATGCGGGTTTTACGATTGCCCGCTGTCGACCAGATTCTTATCAGATCGCTTCGCACCTTTGGCGTCGGCCATGGTAACTAGATATACCGTTCAAAGACCCTCGATCCATTTTCCCAATAAGACAAACGTCAAAACGCCGCCAATTAATTCTTCCAGCTAACTCGATACTTTCTACGTTTGACTATTCTATTTCCATGGCGAACAGGAGACTGCAACCTTAATCACTGCTCATCACTTAGCCGCGGCCTAGACCAACAACCAATATTCTCTATCTGCGCCACTTCCCAATTGCCAACAGCAGAGAGTTAACTTGACCCAAGTCATGAGAGAGTGGCTGCTGAGAATTGAAGATGGCGAGTGTGTACACACGTGCACACGACCTAACCTTTTGTGGACTTTGAACTGACCTTCACCACTCCCATATGCAATCCAACATTACCTCCTTATGAACTTCTTGAGGGCATGGTTGTACTATAGTGGCAAAATAATTTTTCGCGTTCGGTCGCTCAGAGGTATCTCTGTTCTGTTCGAAAGCCATTCAGCTCTCAACTAATCTTCGACATCATCTTCAACGTCATAATCGTGATATCTTTGATACAAGATGTGGTTCATTAAGCATTGGACGTCGAGTAATTATAGATAATTGGTACTATAAAATTTCTCTTCTTTCTTTTACCAGATGACCAGATAGATCAGAGCTATACAAATAATGGAGGTGCACATTTAGCACCACAACCAATACAGAAGACAAGATAGCCCATGCAGTAAGGTTACCATCAATTTATTATACCAGTATCTTCAAACAATACCATCCTAAAATAACAAACACATGTGTAAAACTCTCACCTAGCTCCAGATGAGTTGTTTATTATAATGCCTGCTTTCGTAGTGAGTATAAGGATACTCCAATGAAGAAATAATATTGTACTAACATTTAGTCTCTTCGCATTCATTATCTTACTATTAAGAAGTAATTTTAAAACAGACAATTTCTTGCATCTAATCGATGGTGATGTGTGGTGCTAGCGGTTCTTAAAGGCAGGTCCTAAGAGAAAGTCGCGTTCGCCTTGCCCTCGGAAAGGTCTGTCAATGACTGGCCGTCCCAATGCTCAATTGGATCTGCCGGGCTAATTTTTAATCGTCTTTCCTCACGAATCTGACCTTGATATATTCTGGAATACTCATGGGCATGCCCATCATCCTTTCCTCGAGTACTAGCTTTGCTGTTCAAATGCTCTCGAGTTCTTGGTGTCTATGCCAAGAATGGTCGCTCTCTAATGATGATAACACAAATAGCGCATCATGAATTTGTTTCCTATATGTTATATACACCCAGCAATTGATCTGGATCTCCAATCTCGGCTTGTCGTATGTTGTAAGGCAGCTCTCCCAGAACTCCCAAACCTCCAAGCAAAACGATCCAGGTATACTTACGCCAGCAACGCCACAACCATCCTTCTTTTCCTACCATGCAATCTGTTCTGCCTCTCTCAATAACCCCCGACATAATCATCCATCCAGAACCTCCACCCAGTTCTTCTCAGCTTTCTTCCTCCGCCACCGCTCGCCGGCCGCCACCCTCACCACCTTCTCCTCCTCGCCGACCTCTGTAGCCTGGCCTGCCATCTCCCGGATCTGGTGCTTGATCCCCAGTGCCAACATCTTTTGCCATCCACTGTGAACCTTGCATCGCTTCCGCTCGCACATGCCCCGGACCTCGTCGCCTTCGCCGGCTGGGTCTCCCATCTTCGACGCCTTGAAGATGACTTCGCCCTCGGGCGACTTGGCAAACGCCGCGAAAGCGTCTCTCGCGCCAATGGTGTCGAGGCGCCGGTCGTAACCGCAGATGTCTTCTCCGAAACGGCCAGCGTTTATGGCGGCGCGCCGGCGCTCCTGGGCGAGCTCGATGAGGGTGAGCATCTTGTGACAAAGAATGGTCTCCTCGGCTAGATGGAAACGTGCTGTAGCTGCATTGTCGAGAAATTCCTTTTCCTCCTCAGACAGAATATTTTCGAGGTGATCATCATCAGCTGCGAGAAAAGTCAGTTCGGCACCAGGAGGTATGGCCGGGAGGTGAAACTCACTGGATGGAGCACCATCTGCCCCTTTTAGAGCATCGTCAGAGAATGGCGCTTTCACTAACCTCCACATTCCCTCCTCGTCAAGGCCGGAGAGTCCACTCCCCAATAGTGCCATAAAATCCTCTTGAACCAATTGATCGTTGAATCCAGCCTTGCCCTTAGTCTTCGGCAACTTTGCGACCATTCGCTCCCACCAACTCTGCGCGTGTTCATTTGAACAGAATACACTCTGGTTCGCTTCCGTCATGCGAGCCGCCCTACGACAGCCGCTCAAGGCGCACGACTTCTTGTACAGTGACGTGAGGTTCTCATTCGTGCAGTTGGGGCAGATAAACTTCTCGATGAGGGACTCTCCAATCTCCTTGCTCAGATTTATGCACTCGCCGTGAAACCAGTCCTCGCAATTTTCACAAAAAATCATCCACCTGTGGTCGTCTGGGCCGCGGCAAAGACAGTATGGGCCGTTGTCCTCTTCCATGTCGTCGTCAGAGCTCCCATCTTGGGGGACCGCACCCGGAGGCGGCGTGGGCTTTGCTTTTTTAGCAGGTTTGGGGCCACTGTTATTGGGGCGTTTGGGCGCCTTCTTTATCGTCGCCGCAGTTCCTTTCTTCTTCAGGACTGGATGCTGCTGTACGGCCATGTTGGCTGAGTCTGTGGATGTTGGTGGTGGATAGGAGGGAGATTTCGAGGATGGAGGAGGGACATCTGAGGATGACTGAGGCGTGCCGTCGGCCACCGACTCGTTTTCAACACCATCTTCAGTGAGCTCAAAGTGAGGTTGGTCACCTGGTGCCATTGTTGAGCCTGTTTGCTCCATTGTTTTGAGCGCAACAAAGGCGCCAGTGATTGTTCCCGAGTCTCTGAATCACCGCGCAGGAGAGTGGTCGCCCCTTGACGCCAAACCGTTTGCCTATATATATAGTGTTTGCTTTATTTAAAAGCCACAAGTGAAGAGTGTTCGGAAACCCGCCGTCACCAGTCCTATATCGCGGTTCTCCCTTTGCAAGGACGGCTTGAAGTCGGTATTCGAATGAGTGGACAGGGGACCCAGATGACTAAGCCAACCGCCGTTGTGGCGGTGGCTGTCATCCGCCGGTAAAAGCTCGGCAGGCAATTTGCTCGTGAAGATCGAAAGGTATAAGCTTGGAACAGTCGATCTCGTCTTTCCAAGCAAACCAGACGATTTTATCGGAATTCCCCCGCCATGTCCAAGTCAATCGCGACCTCGAAGGGCCTCCAGGGCATATTGGCCCAGCTGCCTGCCCGCCAATGCCAGCGCTGTTTCTCCAGCAGCGCTCTCCAACCGAAGCAGCTCCGGCCTACCCTCCCGCGTGCGCCCATGCAGTCTCGACAGCCCATTACCCAGCGACGAACCAAGTACAACACGATCGAGAAAGCTAAGAGCAGATATGCCAATGGGGTATGATATACAGCGATTGGAGAGCAGTTGCGACAAAATTGATTCGCAGTCGCGGAATCTCGAGGCTGACAAATGTCCGACAGCCCTTTTCCTGGAAGTCCGGCTTGCTGTTTGTGGGCACTTGCGGCTTGCTGGTGTGGTACTTTGAGTTCGAAAAGAGTCGCATGCAGCGCAAGAGGATAGCAGAGGCGGCCAAAGGCGTTGGTCGGCCGAAGGTGGGCGGCTCTTTCGAGCTGATTGATCAGGACGGGAAGCCATTCTCCAGCGAGAGGATGAAGGGCAAATACTCTCTGGTACGTGGAACGTGGGGTGATACCTGGGGTGCCTGCGCAAGCGTACTTTGGTGATCAGGCTAACATGGTTTTTCAGGTGTACTTCGGCTTCACTCGCTGCCCCGATATCTGCCCCGAGGAGCTCGACAAAATGGCCCGCATGCTGGACGTCGTCGAAGCCAAGGCCCCAGACGCCTTACTGCCCCTCTTTATTACCTGCGACCCCGCCCGAGACGACCCCAAGGCCCTCAAGGAATACCTCGCCGAATTTCACGACAAGTTCATCGGCCTCACCGGCACCTACGAACAGATCAAGGCGCTCTGCAAGAAGTACCGTGTCTACTTTAGCACGCCCCAGAATGTCAAGCCTGGACAAGACTATTTGGTGGATCACAGCATCTATTTCTACTTGATGGACCCTGAAGGCGACTTTGTGGAGGCTCTGGGCCGACAGCATTCCCCGGATCAAGCTGCGCAGATCATCTTGGCTCATATGAAGGATTGGACCAGCAAATAAGGATTGGCGCCCATAACCCAAAAGAAGACAGACTGATACGATAAGGGAGGAGTGGCGGGTTCTGTAAAGCATTGTACCATGTACCAAAATCGCCTATAGATGGATGCCACGAGGGTAAGAACCACTCAATTCATTGTAATTTTTCGCATGTGTATCTAAATATTGTAGAGTCCAAAAGATGTCGTGCTGGAATATTTAGTTGACAGACTTATTTGTGCTCATTCTATTGAGAGAAGTTGTTGCGCGACTGGTGTTGGGTTGGCACGTTTATCAAGCGCGTCGGATATTGGCGGATTTTTGCCGACGACATCGCAGCTATCGCGTTATGGAGTCCAGTCACACTTGAGCTAGCCCACGTTTCCCTTACTTTCCACAGCACAATCTGGACTATCTTGCTTTTGAATTCCCGACAAAACATCCTTGCAATCACCGGAGACCTTTCTGATTTAAAATGCGACGCTCTAGCGTGCTCGGCCAGTGCCGATTCGCTGCGCGTCGCTGGTCGATGCAGCCTCGCCTTGGAGCGCCTATCGCCGGCCTCGCCGCAAGCTCCAACGCCGTGCGATATGGTGGAAGAGCGTTCCACGTCTCTGCAACTGTTGCCTCAAAGCCGAAGGGTTCGTTGGGTGTGGACCCCAAGAAGCTCCAGGAGCCGAGTGATGCATCAAGCAAGCTGTTCTCCGAGTTCGCCTTTGCCTTCGAGTGCGTTCACCCCTGTCCACCCGCCCGCCATGTCCCATAGCTTCTCCAGAAACTTGACGGCAGTTCCCCTCCCTTTCTGGTCCATTTCTGACCGGATACAGTATCGATGGTGTCTTGTATCAAGGCCGGGATCGCGTGGAAGGAGCTGAGAAGGTGATTAAGATGATCAGGAGCAACGGGATACGATACGTGTTCCTAACAAACGGAGGCGGCGTGTCTGAGAACAAAAAGGCAGATACGCTGCAAGAGCGACTTCAACTTGGCAAGCATGATGATGTTATACGCGGAAGAATGATCCTTTCCCATACGCCAATGAGCGCTTGGGATGAATCCCTCAAGAATAACGGCACGGTGCTAATCACAGGCTCTCACCCTGAGCAAGCCCGCCAGATTGCCCTTGAGTTGGTTACCCAATTCTTTACAAATACTTTGGCACATTTCACTCACACTCAGTAGTTACGGTTTTAAACGTGTCGTTACCCCCGGCGACATCCTGGCAGCATGCAGAGACGTGTACCCTTTCGAGCTCACCAAAGACGGGCTTCACGGCAAACACGTCCCTTTGCCGGATGGAAAGAGAATGCTGAACCTGGCTGATCCTTACACGACTGACATCCCCGAGGACGCTCTGAAGATTGATCAGATCTTCATTTGGAATGACCCCCGGGATTGGTCAGTGGACACACAAATCATCCATGATCTCCTGATTTCGCACAAGGGCTACTTCGGCACATTGTCAAGGAAGAACGGCGACAAGTCGCTGCCCAACAATGGATGGCAGCAGGACGGCCAACCCGGGCTATGGATATCCAACATGGATCTCCTTTGGAAAACTAATTATCCTCTTAACCGGTTCGGCACCGGCGCTTTCATGGAGGCACTCAAGGGGCTGTGGTCAACAACGACAGGTGGGATGGAGCTGCAGTTCGACGCACTGGGTAAGCCGTCTAACCATACCTACAAGTACGCCCATGACCGGCTCCTTAAGTACTACCACGACATGGCTTGCCACCGCGGGCAAGCAGACAAAGACCATGATGCCACCAAGTGCCACCCCCTACGCCGAGTGTACATGATTGGTGACAACCCGGAGAGTGACATCCGCGGCGCAAACGACTTCAATGCCGACGATGGCACCGAGTGGATTCCTATCCTAGTACGAACAGGTGTCTGGCGTCAGACGGCAACGGAGCAAGAGCCACGACACAAGCCGGCGGTCATTGTTGATGACGTAGTAGATGCGGTAGTGTGGGCACTCAACAACGAAGGCATGAAGGCGTCCAGAGAATGGCTTTTGTCGGCTTTGTCTCACACCAAGGGCTATATCAAGTTGCCGGAATTGGAGGGACAGCATCATCCTGGTAGTTCGGGCGAAAACCCATCGTTACATCCGAGCGTGAAGGAAGCCTCGGAAGCGAACCTTTGAGGCAATGAGGTTCACCGAAGTGTCTCTCGGCGTGGGGGTTTTCGGGTGGGCGTTGTGATCAGGTGGGCATCATGTAAATATCTCGAAGCAGGATCCAGGGGCAGGCACGGGCGGGCAATGAATAGAATATGAGTGGACGTCTTGTCCACAATGAAATCTTGACCATCAACGCGTACCGTATTCCGAGCGTTTCCCCCCACGGTGTCGGTGCCCGACGGTGGAGTAACGGGGGCGATTCCTTCGGGGATGCGTCAAATGGCCAGGCCCGGGACGGGCCGAACGTGAAGAAACGAGTGGGATGAAGGGCAAAAAGAACAAAAAAATTATCAATTGGGTCTGGAACGATCCATGTCCCATGTCGTCTAAGAGCCACAGCGGTGAGGGCCGTGATGATGCCTCCGGGATGTGCGATGAGGGCCGTTAAGAGCCCGGTGTGCGTATTAGGCATAGCGTCATTGCCGCTCTTAGTTTACTGACCGACGTTAATTAGTGATGACTGTTCGCAGTTCTGTGACTGGTCAGCTGTTTTATGCTCAATTGTGCAGTGAAAACGGTCAGAAATGGTGGATCGTGGTGGCTTTCTGTTGTCGACGTTTTTGACTGTCCTCGTTGGGTTTCCGCCTGTAGGTAGGAGTGATGACCACCCACCGAGAGTTCAACTGCAAGTATTGACAGTGGTACTTCCGCACGTCAATGCTAGGGTGATTGATAATTAAAGATAAATTCTGGATCTAGATTAACGAGATGTCAATTATCTTGCATCCTAGTTTAACAATGCATTGCCCAGCCGTAAGTAAGTGTGAATGAGTCAAGACATCATGTCGTTCATAAGACTGTATCTACGTATCGTTGCTTGGTCGACTCAATGAGCTCAGGACATCCTTGAATCAACCAACCCCGCTTCCTTAGAAATGCAACGCTTACCTCCCAGCTCCGAACATCCCACCATCATCCCCGCACAAGAAGCTAAGGTTCCTCTTTTCGAATTCGTCCCCCGCATACAAAAGATTATAACAGAGTTCATCTTCGTCAAACTTGCCAGCAGCGATGCAATTGAGCATGTTTTCGCGCATTCGGGCAAATGGTAAAAGGTCAGATCAAGGATGATGCGTCACAGTCAACTGGACAGCGGTTGGGTAAAAGCTTTTCCAGCAGGACGGTGGTACCAGAAGTCGGCCTGGAAGTCGGCGGCCAAATTGATCGAAGGACGATATAGCCTCACCATGACATTGGCCTTCCAGCGGGAACCCCAGAGCAGCGGCATTCTGTGACAAGGCATTGGGGACGTTTGGTATGATTAGCACTGGAAGATATGTCGGGCGCGGTGTATTTAGGCTGTTTTCCATGTAGGCCCTTTCGTGAAGGCGATAAATCGAGCGAGTTACTGAGGGCATGGTGGAAGAAGAAATCCGCTGTTGGCTTGTCACTGTGGCAGCATTAACTCTACATCTTTCATGTCTGCACTCGCGGAAAGCGCGGAGAGGTGCTTTTGTTGAAGCTTCTTCCCTCGCCCTAGAGACCGCCAACAAGCATCAGTTCTAGTGCTTAGGTGGTGCGTCTCATCAAGCAATGGCGTTGTGTCCTCTGGTTGGGCCGATTCTGAAGTCTTCTCCTATTATCTACATTCGTCTTCCCTGTCCAATCATCGTTGGGGTCGCACATCTCTGACAGCTTAGGCATTGTCTCCAGGCTCAGGGTTGTCAGAGGGATTCGCGCCTTCATTGGTTCGGGATGGTCGGCAGTTGCCTCTAGAGTATGGAGCAGGACCTCAATCCCTGGCAATTTGATCCGGCCCGTCCACCTTTGTATGCAACTTGCTGACAGTAAGTCCGTTGTTTGCGCCGGGACAAGTAATCAACCGATGCGACCGGATATTTTATTAATACCACTCACTCGGGACACGTCAGTCAGCACATTATGCGAGCCCGCAGCCGTTGCCAACCTTATCATGACGCTGTTTCCCATGTGTTGGGTTCCCGCTAATGCAACCCGCTGATGCGCTATGTCCGAGATGTGGGCCGTGGAAGCCAAATGAATCATGGAACCGTCGCATACCTCGGCAACTAGCTATTCCTGACCAGAATTGTATTCTAGAATAGTGCTAAGATGGCATGACATCGGCGATAGTAGTATCACCGAAAATCAGATTTGTCTAGTGGGGATGAATGACGCCAGCTGTATATAAAAATTCCGCGTCTTAAGTCCGGCTGTTGAAGTTTGGTACAGAATGCAGATGTGACCCACGAGTATATATAGACTCATTACTGTGCCGGCCATATTCTAGGTCTCCTCTGCATCCAGAAAATCAAACATCATCTTTGCTTCCACCTCTCATCTATCTCCTTAACGCCAATTCTTGGCATCATTCGAAACACCAGAAATCATGGCGACAGACTACGTGTTCGAGGGTTGGCTGGGCCTTACCCCGGAATCAGTCAATGGAAAGATGGAATGGGGAGCCTTCGAACCTAAGAAGTGGGAAGAAGAGGATGTGGACATCCAAATCACCCACTGTGGTATTTGCGGCTCAGATCTGCACACGCTTCGTTCTGGCTGGGGCGAGACACCATATCGTATGTGTGAATCCTTTCTAAGCCGGGAATACTTGATTAACTCTATTGAAAACAGCATGCTGCGTTGGCCACGAGATTGTGGGCAAGGCCGTCCGCGTTGGCAGCAATGTGAAGGATATCAAAGTTGGAGACCGTGTTGGAGTTGGTGCACAGGCTCGAAGCTGTCTTCAACCTGATTGTGTCGAGTGTTCTTCGGGGCTGGAGAACCACTGCCCAAGAGGCAACGTCAACACATACGGCTCTGTCTACCCTAACGGCGAGGGCAAGTCTTACGGTGGCTACGCCGACTACAACCGGACGAATGGCCATTTTGTTTTCAAGATCCCAGATGGCTTGTCGTCAGAGGCCGCTGCCCCTATGCTCTGCGGCGGTATCACCGTGTTTTCCCCGTTGAAGCATAACGGCTGCGGACCGGGAAAGACGGTTGGTATTGTCGGAGTAGGAGGCCTGGGTCACTTCGGTGTCCTATTTGCCAAGGCTCTCGGAGCGGACAAGGTCGTTGGAATTTCACGACGGAGCTCAAAGAAGGACGACGTGCTTGCCCTCGGAGCTGACGCTTATATCGCCACAGAGGATGATAAGGACTGGGACAAGACGAATGCCCGGACTCTCGACTTAATTGTCAGCACGGTCTCCAGCTCGAACATGCCACTGACTCAATACCTGGGTTTACTCAAGGTTGGTGGCACGTTTATTCAGGTTGGGTAAGTCATCTCATCTATCTATCTCTTCATCTGTAGACGTGAGGAATTAACCAGGATCACAGGGCCCCTGACGGAGGTAATCTACCTCCTATTAGCGCGTTCTCTCTTATCGTGAGCGGAATCAAGGTGGGCGGCAGTGCCATCGGATCACCAGCCGACATCAAGGCCATGCTAGATCTCGCGGTGGAGAAGAAGATCACGCCTTGGGTTGAGACGCGGCCGCTCCGTGAAGCCAACCAAGCCATTGTCGATCTGGATCAGGGCAAGGCACGGTATAGATATGTTTTGGTCAACGAGAAACATGCGTAAGCTGAGGAAATATGGTAGGAGCAAGATAGTAACCAGCATGGAGACATGTACAAATGAAGAGGACAGTTTAAAACGCCATGCCAATACGGGACAAAACGGGTGACAACGTATGAGAAATTATGCACAGTGGAGTCACGTCACTGGAGTGCACGGTGGGGGTCACGCATTTTCTCCCCACTGGCCAAAAAGCGGCACTCTCCAGGCTATCCAGGCTTCAGTCTTTCAAGGCCCAGAAGCGCAACCCTGCCGAGAGCATGTGAGACACTGCCAAAAACCGTGACCGAAGGCGTCAGAAAGCGGCCTAGCGTCACTAGCCACCCGAGATTACGTCACGCGGGCGATGCACAGAGGTGGCTTCGGTCGGGGCGGCTCCATGGTGCTCCATGATACTCCTTGTCGCTCCATGTGTGAACCCGGCCTTGCACAGGCCCCCCCATACACTCCAAGGATCTCCACGGGGGAGAGGCTGCGGGTGTCGTGCGCGCCATGGAGTTGCTGCCGCTCAGCCTCAAGACAGCCAACCAAACTGCGACGCAGGTTTATCATTAGTTGCGTCGGCCTTTTAGCCGTGGCCCTTGTTTGGTCCCAGACAAGTGGAAATCCGGAACAAGGGGTGGCGAGTTCCGGTTCGGTGCTGGCGACGGTAACGGTGACGTCCCTTGTCCCGTTTGCTTCCCTGGTTGTGCACCCTCAGCTGAGGTCCGGTTGGTCAAGCGGACTGGTTTTCGTACTGGGGATCATGTGGTTGCTTGGTTATGTAGGTGTGTACTTGTTGTTGGGGCGGGCTCTTTTTCTTCTCTTCGGGTGGTGTCAACACTTTTCCTCTCGAGTATTTAAGTAGTTCTCTCTCCTTCCGCCTTTGAACGTTCCCGTTTGTGGCTACCTCTTGTCTGGATAAGTCTCGTGTCCTTTATTACCAACTTATTTAACCAGCAAGCCGAGTAGCCGTTCCTTATCGTGCTTTGGGCTAACGGCAACGAATCGACCAGCCTCTAAAAAGCCCACCCCCGGCGGCCTGATAAGCGCACTCCCACACACTGCAGCTAGCCCTTGCCTTCCATCCCTCCCTACTTTGGTGCGCGGGGGGGAAGAACGACCCGGCGCGCTGTCTCCTGCATCTGCATGTACCAACCTGCATCTCAGCTTCTCAATCCGTCTTGACTCACTCACCTTCCTCACTACCCTTCACCGCGTTTCTTCTCCTCCCTTTTCTCGAGCAATTGAAGGGAATTTGTGCCTTTGAACACGACTTCTCGCGCGTCATGTCTGCGGCGCCCTCGTTTAACCCCGCGCCGAGCAATGGCCTCCATCCGCCTTTGCGCTCGGCTCTCAAGAGCGATGACGATGGCGACCGCCCTCCGCCCTCCAGCGGCTCCCTGAAAGGTACGTTCCGATGCAATTTGTAACCACAGTCCTCGTCTGCTATTGCCTATGGCCTGGTTCGATCCCTTACCCGTCTGCACTCCCCTGTCCTGCGCTGAGTCGTCAGCCCTGTTCAACTCGAACGTGCCGCAACTGCTGAGCCTGGCAACCTTCGGGTTGGGACCCTGGCATGTCTTATCGCCAGTGTGGTGGGCATGCCATGCCATGATGTGGTGACACTCAGCAAGGCCACGTCTGCTCTGTGAGATTGCAGAATGGCACGAGTGGCCCTGCTCTGCGCTCAAGTGAGTGCCTTCTCGCCAGTGCCTTTTCTTTCTCTTTCAAAGTTCAACTCGTCGTTGTTCTGCTGAAACTCTACCTGCCTGTTGCCAAGAAATGGAGTTCGCCCATGAAACCGTGCCCTGGAATGTAAGGATGGAGCTCACATGGAAAACAGCTGTGCAGATTGCCGACACTGAGCCAGAGGTTCAACTGCTCGAGGATGAGTCCCAGCCCATGAGGCAGTTTCCCGCCGGCCCTAAGCGGCGCTTGAGTGGAAAGCTACCTCCATGCCAGCTTCCCAATGGCTCATCCAGGTCTTCACTCAGTGAGAGCTCTGCGTCTATTCGTCCTACCGAGGACACGTCTACCTCCTCTCCACAACAAAGCCATCGCCGCCAGTACTACAGCGAGAAGCTGCTTGCTCAGGTTAACGACTGGCTGGAGCACGAGAAACGGAAGGCTACAGCTCGGAAGCCGAAGCCCCGCCGACGCAAGTCTAAGTCCCCTCCTAAGGGAGACGGACAAGACAGTGAGCGCCCTACCCGTGAGGACAAAGACCAGTCTCAGAATGGCCGTGCCCGGTCAGAGTCTGTCGACTCCCAGTCGAGCGACATCTCCTTTGATCGACTCCAACGCATTCTCGAGGACTCCATGGCGCACATGGGCTTCAGTTCAGTTCCGCACTTTAGCCCCAAGTTGACTCGCCCTCGACACCGCAAGTCAAGCTCACGCAACTCGTTGCGCGCTGCCTCATCTGACACTGATTATGTCGACGGAGATGCTATTGTTCCTAGTTGTGATGCCTGGCTTGACAACTCCAAGACCATGAGCTACGGAGGTGGTGCTGCAGGCACAGAAGACGCCACCTCGGGCTCCGACTCCAAGGTCGAAAAGGAGCGCGAGGCTTGGCTGAGCTTCAAGAACGAGATCATTCGTATCACCCATACCCTGAGACTCAAGGGATGGAGGCGAATCCCGTTGGGCGGTGGTGACAGCATCTCCGTTGAGCGTCTGAGTGGCGCTCTGACCAACGCTGTCTACGTCGTGAACCCTCCTGCCGACATGGGCGAAGTTGATGGCAAAGCTCCCCCGCCCAAAATCCTCCTTCGCGTCTATGGGCCTCAAGTTGAGCACCTGATTGATCGTGAAAATGAGCTTCAGGTCCTGCAGAGGCTCGCCCGGAAGAGGATCGGACCTCGTTTGCTAGGCACTTTCCAGAATGGTCGTTTCGAGCAATTTTTCAACGCCATCACATTGACACCCCTGGATCTTCGCGACCAGTACATATCTAGACAGATTGCCAAGCGTATGCGCGAGCTCCACATAGGCATCGATCTGCTGCCGCATGAGAGACAGAATGGGCCGAACGTGTGGAGGAACTGGGACCAATGGCTAGACAATGTCGATCGGATCACTACCTTCCTGGACAATCAGTTCGAAAAGGAGACACAAACTACCCAACACGACTCCGTCCTCCACGCGTGGAAGAATAGTGGCTATGTATGCGGTGCCCCTTGGCCGCAGTTCAAGGAGGCGGTGTTCAAATATCGCGCCTACCTTGAGGGCCGTTACAATGGTCGGAAGGACATCAACAACCGACTCGTGTTTGCCCACAGTGATGTAAGTGGACCCAATACCCTGTCGTCTGATATGCTACTCACAATGCCTCAACAGACACAATACGGCAACATCCTTCGAGTTCGGCCAGACGATGAAAAATCGCCGCTGCTCCAACCCGCCAACCAGCATAAGCAGCTGATCGTCATCGATTTTGAGTACGCAGGCGCTAATCTTCCGGGCATCGAATTTGCGAACCACTTTACGGAGTGGACGTACAACTACCACGATGCCGTGACCTCATACGCCTGTAACGAGCGGCGATACCCCACCGTGGAGGAGCAGAAGCGATTTATCAAGGCCTACGTCGATCACCGACCCCGATTCCCCTCGACCACTACCTCTACCCCTCTCATGGCACCCTCGGACGGAAGCCTCTCGAGTGGCCCCTCGACACCGCTTGTTCAAGCTCATCCCGGTCCCAGCTCAAACTCCATTGTCGACTTCATGCTTGATGCGCGCGTCCCTCCTGGTGGATGGACTGCTGCGGAGCGCGCCAATGAGGAGCAGAGCGACCAGCGCGTGCGAGAGCTTTTGGAGGAGACCAAGCTGTGGCGTCCCGCCAACCATGCCCAGTGGATTGCGTGGGGCATCGTGCAGGCCAAGGTCCCTGGCCTCGATGAATCAGTTACAGAAGAGGATGTGGGTCCGGATGAGTTTGACTACCTGAGATATACCCAGGACCGAGCCATGTTCTTCTGGGGCGACTGCGTGCAGATTGGACTTGTCAAGGCTGAGGAGTTACCGAAAGCGCTGCAATCGCGATTGAAGATTGTTGATTACTAAGGGCTTCATTTTATGAGGTCTCGACGTACATGCATTCTAGAGAGTTGAGAACCTGGTCTAGGTGCGTAGCAATGAGCTGCAAATATGCCGATGATGGCCGAGGTGGCCTCCAGTCACTGGGCGCCAAACTAGGCAGGCTGGCATACCGAACCTAAGAAGCAAGGTTATGAGATTGTTAACTCGGTCTAAAATCCTCCCGTTTTTCTTCTTCTTGTTGTACCTACTTTTGTCATTCATATCAAACATAACCAGAAAAAAAGAAATAAAATCATTCCTCTTTTACGAATTTGTTCTTGTATATTTATATGAGTCTTATCATGGCATCTAGACGCACCACCTATCTCCCATGCCCAAGGTATCTAGCACAAGTCGCTCTCAAATGTACATTTGGCGCAGCAAATCAGAATATGAGTTAAGCATCGAGCTTTAGTCGGTCTAGCATGGCATCGATCTTTCCGAGTAGGATCTGGTAGTTGATGGCATCCGAAGCAAATTCATCCTCTGCGACCTCGCCATCAAGTGTGCGCACCGCTCCGGGTTTCTCCGCCTCGCGCTGGCTCTCAACACCGTTCGAAGTCCCATTCGCCTCTGGTATAGTGGTGGGTGCATCACCTTCGGTGATAGTCGCCTGCTCAGCCAAGGCTGCGGCCAGTTCGGCTTCAATTTCGCCGTCCTCGTCCATCATCTCGTCGAGGCCGGCATCCTCGAAGCGCAGGCGGAAGCGATCTGAGAGGTAGTATCGAATATCATCGAGCAATTCAATAGTGTCAGTCTCTTCACGTGAGTGCAGGCGCTGGGCACTCTCGTTGATGAGGTCCTGGAACTCCGGCTCGTCGATGTAGTCTTCGAGACGATAGGCGAGGTACCGGGCTGCAAACTCCTCGAGACGTTGCACGCGCAGATCCCATGCTGCGTGGATGACGTCGTAGATGTTGATTGGCTCCATCTCCACTTGCTCCGTCGTCTCTTGATTACCATTAACTGCCTTTCCATTCTCGGTATCGGCCTCGTGTCCATGAGTCCGGTCAACGAGAACGTTAGCTGTGCCGCTACCAAGCGTGCTGATGGCAACGGCGGCTTTCGTCTTGAGATTGTCAAGGAATAGCATATCAGCAGCATAAAGTAGGTCGAGGGCGTGCTCAAGCGGACACACGACAGTCTCAGTATATATGAAAGATAGGATGATTTCGAGAACGGCCGGCGTGCAGTCGACGGTGATGACGCGCAGGTGGTCGGCACGCCGCGATTCGACAAAGTCCCCAGAGAACATCTTCTCAAAGTACTCACTGCGGATAAGCATGGCCTTGTGCGCGGGGTAGAGTACGGATTTCCTCTTCTTGAAGGGTTTGCCACCGTCGCCGGCTGGGCCAATGGGGATGGTTGGGGCTTCTTCCACCGGGTTGGGATCTTCATCTTGCTCCGCGTCACTCGGCTCATCTGCACGCAGGAGCACATCGGCGAACATGGCGTTGTCGTACTGCCACTTGACATCCTTGACACGATCCGTGTCTACAACCATTTTGTGGCCCTTGACACTGCTCTGGAAAAATCTCTCCAGTTGGCCTCGTGCTCGCTCGATCTCGTCCTGATACCGTTGGCGGGCGAGTCGCCTGTCTGACCCGGCGAGAATGGCCTCCCATAGCTGTTCGACCTCGAGCTGCTTGCTGATCTTATCCAAGCCCTTAGCAACGTCTTCCTCTGATGAGGACGCCCCCTGCGGAGCAAGATCTCGCGGGACTTCGCCAAGGTAAAGATACCTTAGCACAATGTGAAACGCCTCTGGCGGGATCGCATCAGCGAGTTTCAACGTCGCCGTACCCGGGGCGGCGGTGAGTTTCCTGTGGAAGTATGGTGAGCGGGAGGCGAGCAGAAACTTGTGCACCTTGAAGGAGCGGTCGTTGGCGACGAGGGCAACATCGGAGGTTCTGGGGGTGACGCGACCGAGCAGAGTCGATATATGGGTGGTCCAGTAGACGTAGGGGTCGGTGGACTTGGAGAAGTCATACTGCAACAAGAGGTTGCGGATCCGGTCGTTGAGGGCGTTGTAGATGCAGCGCTCGCCTTGGAATGTGTTACGTTCCGCAAGGGCGCCTAGAGATGGGATGTGTGAGTGTATGTCTGAGTGTTGTCTCAGGTCTCATCTTTGGACATAAGATAGACTTGATAGACTTAATAACCCATGAGAAACATGGCTTGTGAAATCGATCGACGTACCGGCTTCTAATAGAAGCTGAACAAGTTCATAATGTCCACAGAGACTAGCCTGTCACAGTGTCAGAATCCCGTTTCGATCTCATCTCTTCTCTTCATAGTCACTATCTCCGGACCCCCGCCTTTCGCCTTCGATACCTACAATAATCAGGGGCGTATAGTCGAAGTGGTCCTTTCCATTGATGTTGACGCCCCGGCTGATGAGCTCCTGGCAGGTTCGCAGATCGCCATGGCGGCAGGCCGTCAGGAACTCGTGGAACTCGGGGCTGTCGTCGAGCGGGTTCTCATCGCGCAGCACGCCGCTCTTTATGAGGATTGCCTCCTGGGCGAGCGTGCCCTCGAGCTCATCCTTTCGGAGAACCATGGCGGGGGATATAAGTCTTTGGGATGAAACAAGAGATATAAAGAGATGGAGGGATAATTTGTATAATTTTTTCCTCCCCGGCTTATTGCCTTTTTTAGCGGTTGCTCGTTTGATGGTGATTATCAAAGCAGCTCCCAGCACTCGTTCCCCCTCCAAACCCCTCCAAAAGTCGCCATCACCAATCCCACTTGCGGGCCAGCCAATCACCGGCCCCACGTCCCTGTCGCCCCACATCCCGGAACGACGTCATCTTATCTCCGGCGACCGTATCGTTATCGATAAGCCCGTCCGGCTCTTCTCCGGCAAGTTTCGGCCACCGACAGGCCGGCCGCCTTAGGGCGTTGCCATGGCACCCGGGCTAGCTGTTTACTTTCCAATGAGAACCGCCGATGGGACGACGAACAAGGGTCCGCAAGTGGATGGTGCACGACCATCAAACCTCAAGTGCCGCAACTCTCCACCGCTCTCTCTCCTCTTCCTCTGAACCTTAGCAACAAACAACCGGGTTCGCTACTAACAACAGCAGGGTTTTCTGTCTTGTGTGCTTTTTGTTTTCTTGATGAGCCATTGTCGCCTTTCATTTATTCACTGATACCCGACCCATCGTCAACGCCGCCCGTGCAGGTTGTCAGAGAACCCTTACTGCATGGGTTAAGAGTCACGACGGTTATTGACCGTGAATTGCATCATCATGTCTTCCGAGGACAAGTACGAAACGCTGGAGAAGATTGGTAAGTCCAGCCACCGCCTCTCCCTCAACCGCAATTGCCATGCGGTTGCGCTTCGCTCGGATTTGGAGCTAACCCGTTGCCTCTCTTCACGTTCACAGGCCATGGCTCCTTCGGTGTCATCCGCAAAGTCCGTCGCAAGGCCGACGGCTTCATCATGTGCCGCAAAGAAATCTCGTACCTCCGCATGTCGCAGAAGGAGCGCGAGCAGCTCCACGCCGAGTTCCAGATCCTCTCGCACCTCCGACACGACAACATCGTCGCCTACTACCACCGCGAGCACCTCAAGGTCAGCCAGGACCTTCACCTCTATATGGAGTACTGCGGGAACGGAGATCTGGGCCGCGTGATCAAGGACCTTTCACTCAAGGGCCAGCGGGCACAGGAGAGCTTTGTGTGGAGCATTTTTAGCCAGCTTGTCATGGCTCTTTACCGATGCCACTACGGCGTTGATCCCCCAGAGGTTGGCGGCAATGTCCTGGGACTTGTGCAGGGAACTGCTTCGGATAACCCCAAGGTGCCGTCTGGAACAATGACAATTCTGCACCGAGATCTGAAGCCCGAGAATGGTAAGCAGGCCGGATCCCGTTTTCAAACAATAACACGAGTCACACGACTAACACTATACTAGTCTTCCTTGGTGAGGACAACTCCGTGAAGCTAGGCGACTTTGGTCTCTCCAAGATGATCAAATCACACGACTTCGCCTCCACATACGTTGGCACCCCATTCTACATGTCGCCTGAGATCTGTGCCGCCGAGAAGTACACCCTCAAGTCGGACATCTGGTCCCTCGGCTGCATCATCTACGAGCTCTGCGCCCGCGAGCCACCCTTCAACGCCAAGACTCACTTCCAGCTGGTCCAGAAGATCAAGGAAGGCAAGTTCCCAGCGTTGCCGGAGGTTTACTCGCCTGAGCTCGGCCAGGTCATCAAGGACTGCCTCCGAGTGAACCCGGACCGAAGACCAGACACAACGCAGCTCCTAAACCTGCCCGTGGTCAAGCTGATGCGGAAGGAGAAGGAGGTTGTCGATGTCAACAAGAATCTCAAGGCGAGGGAGGACGCTCTCCGTAAGAAGGAGAGAGAGGTCAACGAGAGACTGGCCAACCTGGAACGAGAGACGGACCTGATCCGGGAGGAGCTGGACTCTTCTATGAGACGGGAGTGGGAGGTCAAGGCGCGTCTGGAGATTGATCGCCTGGTCAACGCTGAGATGGACCGCTTAAACAAGCGATTCGAGGACGAGATCCAAGCACGCGTCGAGGCCGAGCTGCAAAAGAAGACGGTATCATTCGCGCCGTCCCGGCCGGAGAGTCAGAATGAGGAGTTCCCGCCGCTCAGCAAGCACGAGTACCCTCAGTCATCTGTCGGCACCAGCGGCGACGAGTTCCCTTCCACCACGGATATTTCCGAGTACTCTATCGACAGTCCCGACAGCTCGCGGGAGACCAAGAAGGCCACGCGTACTCCATTTGGTCGCGCGCAGACAATGTTTGTTGGACATGCCGGCACGCCCATGGACATTGAGATGGGCTCACCCAGTCCCATTGCCATTGCGTCGCTGTCGCTGTCGCCGCGACGCAACGGGGCAACCAAGGCTCCCACTCATAACCCAGGCAACATCTTCGCTGCCAATGCCAACGGCAGCTCGGGCGACCCACGATGGGACCTCGCCCGTGATGCCTTCACTGACTCGGATGAGGAGGATATCTGCCCGTCGCCTACCCGCAACATCAGATCATCCAAGAACCCCTTCACCTCAAAGTCACGACCTGTCCTCACTTCGCAGAAGTCGGGTCCTATGAACCGTCTTAAGCCTCAGGCGTCCAACCCAGGCCTCGTCTCGAAGTGCACATTGCCCCCTCTTGAGTCTGGCCCACGGTCGCCCAACCGCCGCCTCAGCAAGATCCCCTCGGCGGCGAGCCTCCAGGCCGACATTGGCGTCGGTTTGACACGCAAGCAGTCGCTGAAGAAGAGTGGCGACGAAGGTCTCGGCAAGGTCGCGGCTAAGAACAACATCAAGGGCCGCACGCTCGTTGAGCTTCAGCAGGCCCGCGCAGGTGGCCGCCCTCTCAGCGCCGTTGTCTTGCCCAGCACTGGCGAGAACGTGAGCCCCAAGAGGGCATTCCGTGAGCGTCTGGGCATTGAGCGCAAGTCCAGCGGCGACGAGCCTGCTGTCTGGGACCCGGATTGCGATGAGATGCCGAGTCCTTTCCTGGTACGCGCGCGACGTATCGCCAGGGTGTAGTCTACCTCGGCGTTGGTCACTCAAAGCGCCTTAATGAATGGAGAAGTTGGAGAGAAGAGATGAGAGTTGTTGATGAACGATAGATGGGAGGGGATACCACGCACGGCATGACAGCCACAAACATCTGTCATATTATTTTTCCTTTGTGTTTTTACAGAATGAACTGGCAGCGGAGGAATTAACTACTTGGACGGGTAGGGGCTGGTTGGTATTACGTTGCATGACACGGCGGAGGGTGGAGGATGTCGTGCCCTTCATCAACATCTGATGGAGGGTGCTTGGAAACTGGCGTGGAAACAAGTGGCAACTTGGAAAGGATCTTCGGGCGTTTGGGCGTGTGGGGAACAACATGTCAATGGTTGTGTTGTTACCTCTCCCCTTTTTTGTTGTTGAGGTTTGGATTCTGGGATGAACTACGGGCGGATTGGCACTACTTTGATGATGGTCGATCGTTCTAGGCGGGCGTTGGAAGCTGTTGCCAGGGAATTGTTTTTGTATATGTTTTAGACGTTGTAAAAAACCTACTGTCAACGAAATATTGCAGCGTGCACTTGATGGTGACTAGATGTGACTCGACTAAGTAATGATCTTCCCAGCGCGGCAGTTGGGTAGCGCAGTTGTAAACTCCGGCACCTAGTCTAGACATCCAGAATTGCATTGAGGAGTCTCAAATGACTGAGCTGGGTTGAGTGTTCATCTAGGGCGCAGTTTTCGAATCTTTGTGTCAATTGGTGTCTTGGTGTCTACTTACTGTTTATTGTAGAGCCAGTCAACCCTTCACCCCCATTATTCGGCATCATCTCAACTACAGCCTGCATCGTGGCTTCTGCTTACAGCGCATCAGAAACCCGGAGCTGAGACGAAATACCTGATAATGCAAGGTTTGCCCGGGTGATCGGATGACCATCCAGCTGCAGAGTTACGAAGACGATTACGGGCCACGGACCTCATTCCGATTCATCACTTCCAACGAAGAGCCTCCTCGCTGGCAATCTCCAACAACACAAACCCAACTGTGGATCCTCGCCGGCAGTTGTGTGAATCGCCAGCCCTGTAGGCACCCGGCCGATTAACATGCACGTATGACTCGAGCGACGGGCTCAATTGCAGCGCTGCCAGCACCGATTGGCTCTGCTGTCAGGACCCTCTGCTGCCAGCAGATGCCCCCGAATCCGTTGGTCGGGACATCGGATGATGGGTTTCTGTCGACGCCTCTGCTCTCCAAGGCCAACACGAGGTCGCAGCATTTCCTAATCGGGGAATCGGCTGCCCCGGACTTCGCGGGGATTATCCAGACGTGCATCCAATAGCTGGACGCTGCCGTACGGAGCAACACCCACGGCGAGCGCAATGGAGGCGTCGTCTTACACTCGGCTGCATACCGAGGCCATCCACAACATACAGCAGCAGCCAAACGCCGCCGTCACATTCGATGCGCCAGCCCGTGGCATCGCTTCCAGCGGATCCCGCAAAACGAAGCTTACCCCCATCTCGATTTCCTATTTCCGAGTGCAGCATCGCCCCGATCACCATTCATCGCGTGTTCCCCCACTCCAAGACCCCCCCCCCTAAAAGCCTAGACGGACAATCGTCATCCGCCGCGTTGGGCAGCACTGCGTCACGACCAGTCGCCTGGTTCTGGCCCATGGACGCGAGCCACGCAACCCTTCGGCCCTGCGTGCGAAGCTGCACCCCAGCCAGTCGTTGCGGCAGGGCGGTGCGTGATGAGAGGCTGCATCTTGCAGAGCCCTGCTACTGCGCGGCCTAAGCCGTCTTGAGAAGACCAACTTCATTTTTGGGATTGCGCATTAGCATCGGGCATGTTATCTCACAGCTGCACGCATGCGTCACGACTTCGGGGACTTGAGGACGAGGCACCCCAGGCAAACGGACAGCGGTTCGAGCCAGATCATCTTGGTTGTTTTGTATGTCGCGAAACTAGAGTTTAGAGTCCAAATAATTCAACACAATAAAGGGGGTATTTTCATATAAAAAACCACTTTGACCCGGCCATTTTGCAAATACGGGGGGGTTTAAGACGTGAATAAACGCCACGAGGCCGAGAAGCCTCCAAGTCTGACCTCCGGCAAGCATCAAGGCAATAGAAGGGGATCAACGCCGGTAGCCACCAATCCGAAAAATAACAAAAGCAACAAACAAACATTAACCAGCCGTGAGGCCAATTCCATCTTGCGTAGCCGCGAGGCCCGTCAATCTTCCAATACCACGATCCAGGCGCCTCCGTTAGAATCCATGTCGTACGGTCTCAAGTGACGAGAGGAGGGGATGAACCCCCCCCCCCCCGGGTCTTGAGTGTGTCAGTGTGTGCGTGTGTGTGTGTGTGTGTGTGTGTCTTCATGCGTGCGAGCGTGCATGGCGGTCCTGTGTAAACCCGCGCAGGAACATCGCCTTCTCCTCCAATCTGTGTAGATCTTTTTTTTTTGTAATAGCGAATCCGTATTCTTGAAACCAATTGTCTGTGTTGCGTCCCCCGATCCGGATGGATTAAGTCCTGCTTTATGGGGAGAGCAGCCGTTTTGGCCGTGAATGCTGAGGAAGGGGATGGTGATTCGTTCAGTGCCGTGATCGATGGGAGCTGCTGTGGCGATGGGAGTGGCTATGTCGATGGGAGGAGGAATGATGCGACGAGGAATGCCTGTGCCGGCTAGAACCACTACTGTCGAGATCTCGCTCCAGCGTCTCAACTCTCGACCTGTAACCCTTGACAATTTCCTTGATGTGGGCGATGCGGTCGAAGTCGACTTCAAGCTCGTCGAGCTGCTGGAGGATCTCGGTGTAGCGGGCAATTTCGGCGTCGGCACCACCGATGATGCCATCGGCCTCGTCGTACTGCAGTTGGGTGAACCTCTGGGCCTCGTAGCTGAGATGTTGGATGCGCTGCTCAATGCTTGCCATGAGATGGTCGAAGTACCGTCCTAACGCCGAGAGCGAGGAACTATCGAGAAGCAAGAGACCCTGGCTGCTGGCCCGACTGGCGGCGCGCGAGCTGCTGGACCCCCCACCTCCCAACGCCGCCTGGCCCTGGCGCAGTAGCTGGACCTCCTCGGCGCTGAGACCTAGCTGGGTGTCCGGGACGGCCTGGGTCGACATTGCGGGCAGCCGCTCGAGGGGCGCTACGGCGCGGGGAGGCGGAGAGGGCCGAGGTCAGGAGGATCGCGCGGCGGCTCGGGACGGCGCTGGTGGTGATGGTTATGGGCGATGATCGAATGCGAGTATAGCGGGAGGGTGGGGAGAGATTCGGTGCGTATAGAGGAGAACAGCGGGGACTCGGGACATGGGCCGTTGTCGATTGAATTCGACGGGATGGGCGAGAGCGTGTGCGCCTGTGGATGCGATTGGGGGTGCGATTGTGAATTTTGGGATGGCGACTGGGACTGGGTCTGGGGCAGCAACAGCGACAATGGTGACGATGATGTCAATGAAGCCGGCGAGGATGCGACGGGCGATATCGAGGACGACGAGGACGACGGCGGCAACAACAACAACGGCAAGGGCCTTGGGATTGGCGAATGCTGTGCTGCGCAGAGCATCATGATATCGGGATGACGGCGACTATGGGCATCGTCGGTGGGGGAGAGCGAACAGACAGATTTGGTGATTTAGTAATTTGGTAATTCGGTGAAAAAGGAAGAGGGGCACCGGGAGGAGGATGGGGAGGAGTAAAGAGGAGGGGAGAAGGGATGATTGTTTTCTAGCTACCCTGCGTACTGACGTAACAGTAGAGGGAAGCTAGAGAAACAAGTGAGAGAGGGAGAGCGGAGAGCGGAGAGAGAGATGAAAAAGAGAGGAGACCGGGAAGAGGAGAAGAGAGAGAAGCGGCGGAGAAAGCAAGTGCGCCGAGACGAGACAGAGAGAGTTGCTTTGCTTCTGGGGAGAAGATGGGCGGCGGTGATTGGAGAATGGGCCGGCAAGAGGAGGGGGGTAAACTGTCGGTACCGTGCTGTGAGGGCCGTGGAGGTTAGGTACCTTAACTTAGGTAGGTACCAAGCTCCTACTCAGTATGGGTAGTCAGGTATTGAGGGAGGCCGGTATACCGACGGAGGGCGGGCGGCGCGGTTTCGGTGAGAGAGGCAGGGATGATGGGCTGGATTTGGCCGCTGGGTCTGGGTCTGGCGTTGGCGCTGGGAACCTTGACTGGGGTTGAGGCTGGAGAGAGTACAGTGGACTCAGTGGGAGCAGTGGACTGTGTGGGCAGCCCGTGGATTGAGTGGACAGCCGCCTGAGGATTGAGTGGGCAGGCCCGTGGATTGTGCGACTGGGACTGGGACTGGGGGTGTGAGTGAGTGCGTGTGGGTGCGAGACCAGACCGTCGTCCGTGTGTGTGAGTGTGAGTGTGAGTGTCAGTGTGTGTGTGCGTGCGTCCTGTGTCTGTGTCTGTGTGTGTGGGAATCTGTGGGATTGGGGAGACTCTCGGATTGGGGAGCCTCTGGGATTGGGGAGACTCGGGGATTGGGGACTGGGGACTGGGGATGGACTGATTGGGATGGCTTTCTGGGCTTGCGCGTGGGACGTGGGACGCAAGTTATTAGGACGTGGGACCGAGTGGGCAGTGGCGGCGCGGGATCTGGAGCGCACTCGTTTCTTTTGTTGATTAACGAGACCGCAATTCACTCTGAATCTCGATTAAGCCTGATGGTGATTGGGGAGAGCACTCAGACAGCGCGAGACGGTCCGTGTGAGTCCGTGTGAGTCCGTGTGAGCAGCTTGGGCGTGGGAGGAAAGAGATGGCGGCGCCCCCGTGAAATGCACAAGCAGGGGTGTTTTCCTTTTTGCTCGATTGATAACCCGCCGTCGAGGAACTTGGGGCGGTAACGCGGGCCCGGCAAATCGTGGTTGGGTGGTGAGTTTGGGGGAGGGGGGTGAACCGGCTTTGGGAGAGAAGTGGTGGAGGTGGCGCCGGACGACGATGGAGACGGCGGCGGCGGCGGCGGCGGCGGTTGAGGAGGACTCGGTTGGGCGGTGGGTGGTGGTGACCTGTGGTGATGGGCCGGACGTGACCAATGTGATGCGAATGTGAGAATCAGGTAGGTAGCTGAGGGAGACGGTGATGGGGAGTAGGATGCGCAGTGTTGCACAGACAAGAAGAAGCTTGTGGAAGTTGTCGTCGGCACGTGCAATCGTTGAGCCGCGGATTACAACAACAAAGTGAATCGGCCAAGTGAGTGATGTGATTGTCTGTCGCTTGGACGTTTGATGGTGAGACGCAAATGACAACCCACAACAACCCGAATCACGATGATGGCGGTGCTGCGGGCTGCTGGGCTGCTGGGCTACCGACAGACGGGAACCGGCGGAGTAGTCCTTGACTAGGTAGTGGACGAGCCGACGCCCACTTGCCTCTCTCTAGATGGCTCTGGCTGCCTCTTGGTTTCCTTTTGCTCAGTCTTGGTGCCTCTAGATCCCAGTAGCAACCGAACTAGCTTCAGCGTCCTCAGAAGCAACCGAGACGATCTCCAGGGTTTCTGGCAGGGCCTGTGACCGACGGAGCGGTAGAGGAAAGACGAAAAAGCAAACAACGGTGGGAAATGGTACAGTAGTGCAGGATGGTCCCCCCCGTCGTATGGGGGTGAGGATGCAAGGGCTCCTTGGTGGTGGTGTTGTTGCTCTGGTAAAATCCGTCGGTGAGAGGAGGAGGCTTGATTCGAGACACCGAGTCGCGTGTGAAAGACGCAATATGAGCTAAGCCAAAACGGAGAGAGAAAAGAAATAGGAAGAGGAAGGTTCAGATGTAGAGAAGGAGAGAAGAGAGCAGGATATAGCGGCAGTCCTCGGTAAACGGTGAAATGGGAGGGGGGAACGACACGAAGGAAAGCACGCAACGACGACGGTCTCGGTGGCCGGAGGGGAATGCAGACATGGACAGATGGACAGAGACATGGAACGATGGGCAAGGGAAGTCGAATCGAGGGAAAAACAATGTCCATCCATGGACCTGGACGCGACGGGGAAAAGCACACCAGAACCACGCTTCGAGAGGGTCAGGAGACGGTCATGATACAGAGACCGCCCTTCCATGATCCAACCTCATGCCGAGCGTTGCAGCGAGACACCCCCCTCCCCCTCATCCTCTCACGCTGCTGTTGCGGTGCTCATACACCTGCTCGCTCCCCATTACTACCTACGTACGACTCGGAGCCCAAATGAAAGAGAAGGAAAAGAAAGGTCCCCCCCGCTGTCCGACTGCTCCGTCGTATGTTTGTCCAGGTTCCATGCCGTTGCGCACAAACCGGAATCCCGGGTCATGAGCCCCGTCGCCCACCGCCCACCGCTGCCGGCCGCCCTGTCTTGTTCTTTTTGTTCTTCTGGTCCCTTTCTTTTTCGCTTTCGTCTCGGCGCTCTCTGCCTATTCGCTTAATGGCACCTGGTCCGTGAGGAATTGCCTCTTGGCCTTGACCGAGGAAAAAAGACGGCCGGGGGGACAGGCGGAGTGACGAGGAGCGACGACGTCAAACGTCTAATTCCCAGCACACTTGTCTGTCTGTCGGCTTCGGGAATTGCAACATCTATTCATGGAGCCACGGGAGCACAGAGCCACAGCGAGAGCCACAGAGAGCCCCTCCACCCATGGAAAGCCTCCCCAGCAAGGATTGGATCCCGCTTCGGTCTCTGTGCATTTCTTCGCCATCTCGGTGTCGTCTCGGCTGACCATGACGGAACCGTGCCACCACCGGCGAGCGAGCCCACCTCGGGACATTGACACCTTGAGAGTGGAGTGGAGGGGACGGATGGATGGGGGAACCCAGCCCAGGCCAGCCCAGGCCACTTTTTGCTACGGTGCTAATGAGGATGGGTAAACCCAGCAGAGTGCGAATTCGATCGAGCAAAGCAAAAACAAGGGAGGCCACCCGCGCCGACCGGGAGCCTGAGCCACCGCGGCTAGCCACGACGGGGAACCGCCATGAGGAGCCCCGAGAGGAGATACGACCCGACAGGACGGAACACACGACGAGAGTCCGAGGGACAGACAGACAGGGACGGAGAGGGGACCGGCCACAATCCACAGAGGAGAGACCGCAGAGCACACCGCAAAGGACACCGCTGAGGAGAGACGCAGAAGCCGTCATGTCACGTCACGTCACCATCTCGTCTTGTGTGCCATGCTTGTTCCCGCCATTCAGCTAATAAGCCCACCTTCAATCCCACCTTGACCTCACACTGGCTTACGCGGAGGCGCCAATGGGAGCAGTACCGAGCCGATTAAGGTATGTCTTGGAGCCTCGAAAGCCCATCACGGATGGGGGGGGCATGGAGGGAACGTGCCGCCTGCGGTGGGCGACGTATTCGTACATGGAAACAGAAAACAGACCCGCGGAGAAGAAGAAAAACCCGCACTACATGGGCACTCCTTGCATTGCGGACTCATGATAATGGCGAGGCCAGGGAAAGAAAAGAGCTGCTCGGTCACCACCACACACACGCAAGTCGGTGCACAACCACCACCAGCCCTACTAGGTACCTACCGCCTGGCCGACTGCCCAACTGGGTAGGTGCGAGCTAATGTAATGCGCACGTGTGCACCCAAACCCAAGCACCACGGCCCTGGCCCACTCGTCGAGCCTCGCAACCTCCACCACTGCGGAAAAGCCATCACCGTCATGGCTCAAACAATGATTGATTGTTGGACATTTTGCTTTGTAAAAGCCTCCTCAACAAGATTCCCTATCTTTGTCTCCTCCCTCCCCATCCACCTCGATAGCGCCTTCACCGGCGGCCACAATCGTCCACCAATGATATTCGCATCCGCCATCAAACGGGATCCAATCGCCGAGGCCTGGCCCCGAGACAGCATCCCGCAATTCCCGCCGCCCTGTCTCACAACCGAGTCTCTGATCCAGGCCTCCTCAGATACTCTGTGCAGTACTCCGTACCAGAGACACTCATTACACTAATTGCCAATTGCCCACGGAGCATGGAAACGCGGGTCTCAGGATGGCACGCAATGCGCCCCGGCCTGTGGCGCGCGCGAGACGAAACACAATCCCAGTAGCAATCAACAACATGGTCTAAAAAAGCAGCCAACCACACCAGCCAACACTCACACAAACACTCGCCCGCATACATCAGAGGCAATCATTTGCTCCTAGGTTCGTTCCAATACCCGCCCACGTTCGTCAACATCGGCCACTGCATCGTCCACTGCATCTGCACTATGCAGCTCGCCGCCGACCTGCAGCAACCCTTGAGCCTCATGACGACAATGACGCCAGCGACAGTCGCGCCTGTCCATTACGGAGCACTCTCAATCAACCTCGCGCGACTAATCTCGCCGGGTATCTTTCCCATCTTGAACGCCGCAAGCCCTTCTATCAATTCCCGTTTCCCCTATCCGCTTCTTTCCGTCTCCCCATCCGTCCATCCATCCATCCACCATCCGCCCATTCTTCAGCCATCCTCCAGCCATCCTCCGCCCATCCTCCACCCATCCATCCAACTCCGTGGATCCGGATACGTGCCCCGGTGGTGTACCCTCCCTCCGGTCCACTAACTTCTTCCCCTCCTGGAATCCAAGGTTGCATCGTGCGCCAGAGGCACGAGGACAGGAGATGCCCAGACAAGGAACTGCGTGGAGTGCATCTTCCCGCTGCAAGAAATCCATTCTACCCTCGGCTCAACCTAGTCCCTCCCCCCGCGAGCGTGACCGTGTGGTGGACCCCTGTCGAAAAGTTTACAGCCTCCGGGTTCAAGGAGCCATCTTCGAAACAGAAGGTCTCTCAAGTTCCTCAACTGATCCTGTACTACGACCGTCATCATACTGTAACCAAGACAAAATCCATGGTCGGAAGTCCGAAGTAACACCAAGGACTCCTGTCTTGTGTCTCCCTCGCTTCCCCAGAAAATCGTCTCCTCTCCTTGCCGCTTACGCTTGCCATGGCCAAGGCATGACTACATGTCTTCGTTCTGACCTCAGTTCCAGGGATTTCCTGACAATGGGGGATTTAGCCACCCCGGCCCTCCCTACAGCCAACATCCATTTAGCCGCACAGATCGTGACTCTGTCCGGGTTGAAGGCCCGCTCATGTGCCGTTTCTCACAGGAGATTTACGGCTTCTACCGCCTGACCCTCTGATGCGCCTGTTGACCGTTTGTGTACAAGGGTACGCGATTCATCCTCAAGTTAATTCCTTCTTCATCTTATATGCTGGATGACATGCTCTACCTGTAAAAACATGATAACTTACGCGGCCAAGTGCCGGTTTGCGGTGGATTCATGATCTTCATATTACCTTTGCTGTATTAAAGCTCCATGGGTCTCGGAAACGGGGTGTAAGGGATTCCCGTTCCCGCTTCCGACCGCATGCGCGTGTGACAGTCTTAGCATGTCTCATATACTCCCAATCATAACACCAAGAACCGGCGGTTAGGTCCGCGGCCATAGGAATGCGACTGTTTGTCTGTTGGGCGCAAATTTGCGGTATTCATTTGGAATTGCCGTCACTGCTAAGGATCATTTGGTACCGGCCCCCAAAACTGCCAGATCGGACCGCAACGCCGTTGACTCGTGTCACCGAGGTTGATCAAGGGAGGCATCTATAGACCAACGCTGCCACAATCGACTTGACAAGAACAAACAGCGAATGGTAAGATCTAAGACGTCGAGAGTTGGTTGTGGATGATCTGGTAGAAATGGAAACCGCCTGGGCTGAGGGAAACCGCCCACTGATTCGATTGACTCCATTCAGTCCATTCCATCTACCTAGCCGGGATCATGCGTTTGGATAAGAATCATTACGACAATTTGATCGCAAAATCCTCATCTCACGGGCGGGCACAAAGACATGGTGGAAGATACTTGCTAGGGTGCGCCTAATGGAGGATTCACCAGTGGCCGATACATCGGTGCAACCCAAGCGCTCAACCAGTATATCGTCAATAATCGTTCCAGACAGCACATTTCTATGTATCTTTAGTTTTCTGCGCTTCGGATAAATTGCATCGTCGCCATGCCTTCCCTCTCGTACTGATGAGTTCGGATGTGGTTGAATAGCTACCGCCCGCTTGGAGCAGGCAGCTCAACGACCCGAACAAGACACGCATTAAAGCATCAAATCGAATTAAATGGTCTTATTGAAACCCCGGTACTTTATCTCCGTCATTTGGTGAGGAAGCTGCATCTCTTACCTCAACATTAGGAGGGAAATGCGCAGCCCGTTGAGGAGGTCAAGGTAGGCACTATTCTTGTGCAGCCTATTCTCTACGTCGGATCTGGTCAAACGTTGCTTCTGAGACGAGTGCCTACACGCAGTATTACAGAGGACATGGAAACATTCACGATGCTGATACAACGGACACTCTGTACTAGCATCGAGTACCTCACCATGCGACTCTATCCAGGTACAGAAATGTATACCATGTAGTTTGTTTACTTTGTCGACCCAACAACAATCTTATCGTCAACTGTCCAACCAATTTTCTCATCCTCAAGATCCCGCTACAGCCCCACCATCACTAACAGCACCTTCAACAGGCGACCTCTTATGCAAGTCAATCGCCGGTTTGTCCAAATGCATCTCAAGTACTGTCAATTCTAAGGCAAACCGCATCGTCTGCGGGAGCAGATATTGTTGAAATGTGACTGGAGCGCGAATCTCCTGGTTATCAACCGTTCGGTCGTTGGACGGTTTTACCAATCAGACTCAGGCTTGTTGTCTCTAGACAAGACGTTTTCGTGCTGAAAGAGTCTGTGCATGGTATCACATATAACTCATACGGGCCTGGATTATCTTTCGGAGGTCTAGAATTGGTCTTCTAGTTAGTAATGAGACAGGGAGCAAGAATATGTTGGTATTCCTTGCTGAATGTCTTGGGACACTCTGTGTATCGATAGGCCGGTTCACATTGTAAATCCCAAGGCGCTTATGCTGATAAGCGTAATAATGTTTAGGATTAGGACTGGTGTTCCGTGGAGTTGAGGGCTCTTGACAAGCGGTGAGTACATCCTCGTCAAGCTGGCTGCTGCTGCGTGGAATCAATCATTCTCTATCAAACCCTGGATCCCATTCGGGGACCTGAATACCCAGGTACATTACAAGACTTAGAATAGTCCGCGAATCCGACGCTGTTGGTCTCGGACGTTCTCCCGCTTCTCTAGGCAATTAGTGCGCGATTCGCTATGATTACACTTGTGGCATTGATCTTCTCATGCGCATATTATTGTAAATCTTTCTTGGCGCAGACTCAAGTTGAAAAGAGTAATATTGCGAGAGCCTATTTAATCTATACAAATGAGTATTAAATTTGCTGAGTTTGTTGAGTGTCATCAAAGTGCATGTTTGTCGTAACCCCAGCTCCAAGTCGAATGGTGACGCGGTTGGATCAATAAGAGAACTAAGGTCGTCTACCAACATTAATATACATCCGTGTATTTATATGACTTGTTGTAAACATATTGGCTTAAGAGAGATCGAGTCTCAAACGTGTAGGCACACCTTCATCCTTCCTCCTTTCGAGCTGGTTTACCTGCCCTCGGCACTCAATGAAATTGGGGGGCTCAGGGTCCAGCATTATTATATCACTGTTATATCACTTTTGTAAAGCGTCGTCCGATGTGTTCTCGAAGCATCCAGCCACACCTCTATAATTGTGGCTGTTGCGGTCACCATGGCGTTGTATCTCGTTGTCTTCATAAGTGTCAGACGGAGATGGAGATTACAATAACGCTACCGGCAAGAGAAGTGATTGTTCCCTTTACCGTAGCAGGATTGCGATAATAGGGTTCTAACCGCGAATCATTCCCAGGAGCATATCTAGCCGCATTGCTTTCTTACCCTCGTGTCTCTGCACTCATAGAACTGGATCTTTCTCAGTTCTATTCTCATGTCCTGAATCTTCTGTGACACCTCAGCAGCTCAGGCAAGATGGCTGCCCCTTGACAGTACTTGGGATAGATTATTCGTTTACAAATTAGCGACATAGCGGCCACTCTCTGAATTCGAATTACGTTCCAAAACACCGATTGATACGAAGTCCTATGCGCAGCTGATCCCGGATGATATAGCAATGTAGGACCTGAGGGGCTTGTGGCAGCGCCTTTTCCATCCGGGTGAGACGACCCAGGCACCAGACTACTCTTCCGACTTGAGTCCCGATATCCTCCAAGAGAAGCAATGTAAAGTTACCAGGTAATTTTCCAGTGTTATGAAACTACTCCGCCAGTATTTCGGTTGGTTCGGGACGGCCAAGGGGGATAGTGGGTGAGTCTTAACCTCTGTATACAACGCAGCGCGAACTTTTAGATCTTACAGGTGCATCCATGTTCCCTGAACTAGCTAAAGATTCATGTCTAATTTGAGTCAGTGATTTACGATCAACGCATCCTGCAGCAGTGTCAGCTTTGTTGTGGGAAACTGTTGCCGTGGTTGACAGATACTCATCCGCGACATCCAGGTCTGGGAAGCTCACCATTGACTAGAACAACCTGATAACCATGGTACTTAGAATCCAAGGCCGCTGGGAATTTCTTTCTACTACTGTCATCCTTTCCGGGCATACATAGATAAATGAGTCTCTACAGGAGTGTCGTCCGGAAGAATTCCAGAAGCACTATCATGACTTCAACATCGACATTCACCACTCCTAGGACAAAGAAGTATTGCAGTTTAATAAAAAGGTGTCTTAGCTTATTACAATATTCTCACCCACATTTATTCTTTTCCACGGTATCGCTTTCTCATCACAGTCACCAACCTCGTCGCTTGCAGCCCGGCCTACCCTGTACTCGCTTCGAACTCAGCCCCGAAATGCCATTCAAGAGCTAACATTGGGCTGCCTCATGATATTAATTATGAGGATTAGGCGGAATTATATGGAATGACTATGCTTCATAGTAATGCATTGAATACAACCTGGCGTGATGCGTTAATTTGTCACGTTGGGAGAGTTCACTCCAGAACACTCGGTTTTCAGTTCAAGTGAGGGCTGAGAGCCCGCTAGAGACTTGTCCAAAGACGTAACCTGAGAGTATATAAGTGAGGAACCACAAAATCAACACCTGTCTGAAGTTATTGCCATTTCGTTTATACAATGCCCCTCATGATACGGTCAAATACGCCATCTTTCAAGACTATCAACACGGTCGCAACTCTGGCGATACTCCCCGTAACCAAGCCAAGCACTGCTTCCATTACCAACCATTACTAAACCCAGGCAATAGGTCCTATGCTATTCATGCCGTCACACCGCCACACCCAACAGAATCGCAATTGCATTCCGTCGAAACTGATCGGCCAAGTGAACCGACATGACACCGGCGATCCAAAACCGGTTCGACCAAGCCGATCTGAGGAGATTCCGACCGGCACCCAAACCACATCATCCTAGGCACTTCTGCCACACCGCGCGTCGGAGAAGCAGCAGTACCCGCCCGGATGAAAAGCGGGAGCAGCACCTGGGATCCGGGGGCCATCTCATCGTGCTTGCTGCCGGAGAGCGGGCTCGCCGAATACAACGCAGGGCAGGGAATGTCGGAGAGGGGGCTTTACGTTTCTTGCATCTTGCATCTTGCCGCCTGTAGGTACGTAGCGGTGAGTGTGGGTATTTAGGACGGAGATCAGAGGTCGGCAGTGAGATTGGAGCGAGGGTGAGAGTGAAACGGGCGCGAGTTGAGTCTGTGACTGACTTGGCAGTCTTGGTTGGTAGCAGCGAGACATGTTTCCGGAGATGGAACTCTGGCAAGATGGCCAACACGAGTCTAGTGCGAGCGAGAAGCTATCCGCAACTGTAACTAGATTACCTCCAATAACTCCTAGGTCGAAATCACCTACCCATTAAGGCAAGTCAAGGCAAGGGACTCATCCCAACCGGGCGAGATTACCGGCCCCTCGGACCTCCGACCTGGGGGACCATGGCGCCGGCGCCTTCACCGCACACCGCATCATCGGGCAGACGAACCCTGCATCTGGGACCTTGGGGGTCACGTCGCCAGCGCGTCAGGGACGAGGGGGACCCGGTCGACGATCACTCCCAAGGCATGGCTGGCGTTTTCTCTCATCTCTGTGCCGCGTAGCATCGTAGCATCGAAGCATCGTCACATCGTGTTGTCTTCTGAAGGGGACCCGCCCCCCCTGACAGGTTCCTCCCGAAACCTGAAACGCCTCAGGGTCCGGCGGCGTGGGAGGCTGGGACGGTAAGTTCCGCTGCCTCGGTGTCGTTTTCAGGACGTTGACGGGTGTTTCTGCTAGTTTGGGCGTGAATTGCTTAGAACGGAGGTCAGGAGGTGA